CCCCCCCCCCCCCCCCCCTTTGGATCACGTTCTGGAAATACTTTGATGAATATTATTGATTGATTGAACTTATTTATTAATCATTACATCCTACCCATCTTGTTTTCCATGCGACGATTCTGCATCTTCTTGTAGACTAGGACACTGGCGCCAGCAATGAGGGCAACACCGACTATTGGAACAACGACGGCAACTGGGATAACCCATGATCTGGACTTGCCACCGGATGATCCAGTGTGGCAAGTTTGTTGAGTTGGTGTCGTCTTGGAATAGGACACGAATGAAGGGTCGACCACGACATCCTTGTTGAATGATGGGATGTTCAATGCAACTACAACACTGCTGCCGGCAGCATTATTATCATCTCCAGTGGCTGGGACCAACTGAACATTGAGCAGACGGTTAACACCATCCTTGATCATACGACTTGGGAAGTTGCCAACGATCAGACCATATGGTGAGTCAACTGTGAGTGACTTCATCGATGTGGTGATGTCGCTGTTGTAGTTGGTCGTGGCCACTGAGACGTTCTTGCAATCGAGCTGGGTGAGGTTGGCGGGGTATGAAGCTCGATAGATCAGCTGGAGTGAGTTTTCCTGGCTGGCAAACTTCCAGCCAGACATGGCGATCTGGTGCTTGATACTGTTGGCGGGATTGGGCAAGCTCTCGCCGACAAAGGTGGTGGTGTTGTCGGCCAACATCCATGAGCTAGTGACAGTCATGACGAATGAATCTTCGGCGCTGATGACACCCCTGTTTGTGAATTGACGGTATGACTCGTCAATAACAGAGGCACCATCTTGTGTCCACATCATGGATGATGTTTGGACGGTGCGCACTACTGATCCAGTGGGGGACAACTCGCGAACAGACTCGATGGCGACACTGAATGAGATGTTGGAGAGGAATTGGGCGGAGACTGGGCTGATGGAGGATGGCACGACCTGGGCGTCGTAACGGATGTCACAGATTGATCCAGAGAATCCTTGGTTGCACTGACAGAAGCCAGACACGCAGATGCCATTGTTTGAGCAGCCTGATGGACATTGGTCCTGGAGGTAGGCCAACACAGCGGCTGGGGCGGATGTCTGAGTGGCGGCCTTGACTTGTACAGTGATCTTGGTAGCGGCATCAACTTGCTGTACCGAGGCGTCAAAGAGACAGATGAGGGAGGTCTGATCAACCAAGATAGCATTGATGCATGGTACGTTGTTGGAGCCGATGGTGACAGTGAGGGGCGCTATGAAGTTGGTTCCAGTGACAGTAATGTCTCCTCCGACAAGGTAGAAGAGTTGGGTTGAGCTGGTGACGGTTGGGGAGAGGGAGCTGAAGGCACCCACACCAGTCTTTCCATCGATGGTCACGCTAACAACTGCTTGGTTGAATGATCCTTGGCCGAGGCTACACACCAACAACGAACCATCAGTGCTGCTGGCAGAGGTCTGAACAGGGCATGCTTGGCCATCAACAGTGACAGTGATCTCGGTTGATGAGCTGTCTGAACGGAGAGTGTTGAGGTAACGTCCAGTGATTGTTACCATGCCGCCGCTTGGCGAGATGGGCTGGGTCTGGATATCAAGAGGTTGGATGTTGAGTTGGAAGTCGTTGGATGGCTGGGTGTCGACTGTGATGGTGAACTTGTTGTTGCGAGCATTGGGGTCGATCTTGGCTACGACCAGATCATCAACAACGGATTGGATCTTATAATTGTTGGAGAGTGATGATGTTGCCACGGCCTTGCCAAAGTTGGCACCTTGGATCGAGATGATGTCAGCTTGTTGGGTGACACCAGTGATTGATGGGGCATTGTACTTGAGTGCAACAGATCCACTACGATCATCGATGGTCAAGGTCAATGTGTGGCTGACACCTGTACCGGCGGGAGCAGTGCACAATAAATTGGCATCATCGACAGTCCAGCTAACAGCGGTACAGGCCTGGCCGTCAACTGCGACAGTGACATTGGTTGGGATGTTGTCACTGCGGAAGTGATTGAGGTAGGTACCAGACACGGTGACCTGTGAGCCCTGAGTGTCGGACTTGGTGGCAGTCGAGAGCAATGGGTAGAGGATGGCTGAGAGTCCATTGGACGCGCGGTCGTCGACAGTAATGATGACCATTCCATTGCGCGAGGTCAAAGGTGCGAGGAAGGTGATCACCGTATCTTGAAGATCAAACTGTGTGACAGACACAGATCCCAACATGACCTTGACTGTGGCGGGGTTAGTTCCAAAGTTGGTGCCAGTGACAGTCACCTGGTTGGTCTCACTCACTGTAACCTTGGATACAACGGGTGCACCGTAGGAGAAGTAGTCGGTTGCTGACATTCCATCAATTGTAACAATCACTGGGATGTTGTTACCGGTACCGGCTGGGGCATCACACTGGAGTGCAGAGTATCCATCGATTGGTGGCAAGACAGCTGGGAGGGTGCATTCCTTTGAACCAGATGACAACTGGAACATGACATTGATGACTGTGCCGGTCTTGTTCTGACGCTCAGCGTTGAGATAGTTGCCGAGAATTGTGATGGGGCCGCCAGAGGTGGTGGTCGATGTGATGGACTCGATCATTGGAGTGAGGGTGATATCAATGGCGTTGGATGGTTGGGTGTCGACTGTGACAAACAGCTCACCAGATTGAGCAAAGGCTGGAATGTATCCAGTGAGCTGAACCTGGTTGGCGCTGAGGGCTTGCGAGGTCAGGGCGCCAAAGGTGGACGAGGCGACTGCTGGGACGTTTCCAAAGTTGGTACCAATCACGGTGAAAGTGGCATCGGTCTGGGTCCAGGAGGTGAGGGTTGGCTTCATGTAGGCGAGTGGATAGCTGTTGGAAACTGCGCCATCAATGGTCACAGTGGTGGGGTTGGCGACACCAGTACCAGCCTGAACTGTGCATGTGATATTGGTGAACTGATTGACAACAACACTGCTGCACTCTTGACCTGAGACCATGACTTGGACGTCGGTGAATGAGGAGTTTGATCGCTTCTGAGTCAGATGGCGCCCGAATATGGTGACAACTCCACCCTCTGTAGAGACGAGTCCAATGCTCTCAATAGTTGGGACAAGTGTGTAGCTGGTAGTTATGGAGCTCTGGCCACTGACCTGGATGAACAGGTCACCGCTGAGCACATCCTCTGGGAGATCAGTGAATGTAACGACTTGGTCGGATGTTGGGAGTGTCTTAGCGGGAACTGCGGTAGTCAATCCAAGCTCATTTGGCAACATCAGTTGAATGTCGGATAATACACTTCCGAAGTTGAGTCCGGTGACGGTGATGTCAGTGCTTGTGACGACCACTCCACTAATGATTGGTGCGGCATAAGATACTTGATAGTCATCGAATGAAAGACCGATGTCCAACTCGATGGTGATGTTGGCACCAGTTCCAGCTGGAGCCTGGCACACAATCTCGGTGTTGCTGACTGTGATCACGGCATTGGTACACCAGAGCACGTGGTCCTTGGTAACGGTAATGTCCATCTTGGCTCCAGAGGCATCGAGTTCGTTGAAGAACAGACCAGTCAGGGTGAGGTCGCCGCCCAAAGTGGCAAGGGTAGAGGCTTGTTGGATGATTGGCGCAAGGATCAATGGGAATGGAGCGGATGGCTGGCCATTGACAATGATCACAACGTTGCCGTTGAGTGTGTCGAGGGGAATGGGGACGATCATAGAGTTACGGGTCAAGTGGATACCGGTGGCAGCAACTGGTGTATTGCCATTGTAGCTCACTTGGACGACGGTGTAGTCGTCGCCAAAGTTGTCTCCGGCGATGGTGGCAATGGTATCAACCTGTTGGAAGTTGGTGATCACGGGTGGCAAGTATGTAAAGGTGTTGATGATGTTTGATGGCTCGTCATCAATGGTCACCTGGACAGGCAGGTTCTTGCCGGTGCCCTTGGGAGCGGTACATTGAATGAGATTGAACGTTGCGTTGTTGGAGAATGACACACCGAGGCATGGTTTACCATCGACTGTGACCGAGCCGTTGACAGTTGTGTAGTCCTGACGACGGCCATTCATCAAGTATCCGGTCAATGTGATGGTGGCTTCTGCGGCGACTGGCGAGGGCTCGACGGCCGAGAGCATAGGGGTGTAGGACATGGGGAATGTTGCGGACTGGCTGCCAACAGAGACTGACAGGTCTCCATTTTGCGTTTTGAGTGGCGACAAGTTGCCAATGATGGTCTCAGTACCGTTGTCATTTAGAGTGAGTGAGATGATGGTGGCGTCGGTTGGGTAGTGGAAGGCAGCATCAGATGGTAAGTTGCCAAGGTTGGTACCAACAACAGTGAGGGTGAGACCGAAGTGGTAGGCAGACTCGATGGCTGGGGCGTCGTACTTGGTTGACAAGTGGTTGGATTGGTCCTGGCCATCGACGTTGACGTTGACAGTCACAAACATACCAACACCTGGTGGGCCGTTGCAAGAGATGGTCGTGTGGGGGCTGACGATGGTCACAGAGGTGCATGGCTTCTTGCCAATGGTGACGGTGATCAACGATGCATCAGTTCCAAAGTTGTCGCCCATGATGACGACGGGACCACCGCGGGTGGGGAGCGAGGTGATTTTGTTGGCAGTTGGAGCGATGAAACCAACTGATGGGATAGTCATAGAGTAGGACTCAAAGATGATGCTCGATGGACGGGTGTTACCAGTACCTGGGCCTGTGGTCACTTGGAGCACTGATGGGAAGAGAATGAAGGTCGATGGGATGACCTTGCCGCCTACGACAAGCGTCCTGTTGGTCAAAAGGAAGCCGGTGCCTGTTGGCATGGTGACGTTGAACGTGCCACCGCGGGTTGGGACACGCTTGGTAGTAGTGTCATTGGTAGTTGGGTTTACTCCGTATTGGAATGCACATCCATAGTTGTTGCCGTTGGGGTTAGCATAGTACAAGTCCTTTGAGTAGTCGTATGATGAGTAGACACCCGAGGCGAGACCACCGGTGAAGGGTGGGGTGCAGTAGACGAGCTTGGACGCATCACACACCTTTGTGTTGCTGACTACTTGAGTGCGATCGAATGGACCTCCTTGGTTGTTCATCTCAGCTGCGCTACCCTGTCCGGTGATACCGACGTGGAAGCGATTGGCCAATGACATTGGGAACACCTTGCGCACCATGTCCACCTGAGAGAACGACGAAGGCACTGTCATATAACCAGGGTAGCTGTTCACCTGGTATCCGACGGAACTAGTAAGTTGGTAAATACATTGAAACCATCCGATTGGTGCAGAATGGAGTTTGAGTGCTCTCATGTTGAACTTGTCGTCTGATCATGATTTGAGTGTGTGTGAGGGGGAATGTTAGATTATGGGACTTGATTGATTGATTGATTATAATACTTACAGATTGCAATGATTGAGGAGGAGAAGGAGTCTGAGGTGCTCTGTTGGGAGACAATTGGGAATATTGGGACGGTCGGAGTGGCCTCATAAGGTAGTGTACAAGTGAATAGGGTATGTTTGGTAATGATATTGATGTTACCACATGGCTTGGCGAGAGAACCGAGACTGATACGAAGGTCAGTGTTAGAAGCACCAAAGTTCTTTCCAGTCATAGTCAATGTACTACCCGAAGCGTAGGATGGGTATACCATTTCAATCCATGGACCTTGTTTGATTTGAATGAATTAGTGAGTGTGAGTGAGTGATCGATCATATGATTGATGGATTAATTACTTACTTTGGTAACGATAGATAGTGTTGGTATAGGTCTTGGTTCCATCGGTGATGGTGATTGAGTTGAGTCCCGAACCGGATGGGAATGTGGCTGTTACAGAGGTGGTTGACTTGCGTACCCATGGAATGGTTACTGGGGAACCTCCTGGTGGTGTCATGGTCACGGTAAGGGTAGCCTGATTGAAGGAGATCAAGTTGGTGATGTCGGCAGGTCCTCCAGCAGTGGGTGCAGGGGCAACGTAGAGGTCTCCACTTGGTCCCCACTCAATCAATACACGAATTGGTGAGTAATCAGTATTGAATAGGTCACTTGAGAAGGCTTTGTCGGAAGAACTATAGTACACACTGTTGGCTTGCAAGTTGTCCGGCTTGCCAGGGGCCCACAAACAAAAGGTATTGCACTCTCCAGTGACAATGTCGTATTGGGGCATGTCGGACTCGGGTCCAGAGGTGTAGGTGAACAGGTTGCGTGAGGCCCTTTGTTGAGACACGTAGTAGGAGGAGTCTTTACCGTTGGTCACTGAGTTTTGGATAAAGTTCCACTCGTCGCCACTTGTGATGGTGGCAACGTAGGCAGTGTAGCCGGATGGTGCGCCAGATGGGGCCTTTTGGTTGGCGACCCATGTTAACAAATTGTTCCAATTACTCATTGATAGATATGGGAATTGGACATTATCATAGTAATGATTGTTTACGCTCCATTTCACTGGTGCACCATGGCAAACCAGGGAAGTCGTAGTCAACACAAGTAATAATATTAGATAATTATACATTATTATAAATTATAAATATATATGTATGTGTTTGTAATAGAATAGATATTTAAATGATTGAATGAAATGATGGATGATGAACGTCTATTTGTGAGTGTATTGTGATTGATTGATTGATTGACAATGCTAACTTTTGACAGGATTACTGACATGCACAGACACACCACAACCACATCCATTGCCGAAGCGCCTTGGTCCGACCGATCTGGTAGTGTTGAGGGTTACCTATGTTGGGCCTTGTCCAGGGACCCTTGAACACCAATAGTCCCCAGTCCGGTAAAATATGATCGTGATCGTTTGGTTTGGAAGGGATGGACAACCACAAAACAATCCCCTTATTGTGTGTGTTCATATTGGATCATGATTTATCATGTTGGGATTGTGGAGAGGGGAGGGGGTCTATGACATGACCAGTCAGTCCTTGGGCTTGTCGACAAATGCTTCGACACATAGGCAGGTTGACCGGATGTAAGGTGATATTAAAGACAACAATTTCTTGACATTGTGTTGGGTTGGGGTAAACATGTCAAACGGATGGGTTGTGTTTTGTGTAGTTGGATATTTGCGGAACGCGCGGGAACCATCGTTCTAAACATGCCACCCAAATCTGAAATAGGGTTCTCCGATGTACACAATTCTCCTGTCAAAACAAGCCCAAAATCGCTCAAACATCAGTTCCAAATTCCTGATTTGGCAACACCAACAGTTACATCTTGGTTTGATATTGATACAGTATTGATTTTGTTGTTGTAGGTGGAAAACATAAACTTGTCTTAATTTTTAAGTTTCTTAAATATCTACGTAATCATTATTTCTTTGTATTGAATGTATCTCAAGATAATAAATGAAATAAACTATCTCATAATATAATGAGTTGATTTGAAGGATGTGTGCTCGATAAATGATTGATTGATTGGTTGATAGAGTTAATGAACGCCGTCGATGAGAGGAGTTGCTGTGGGAAGAGGTCAACAACAATTGTTTCCAATAATTTAAATATCTTGGAGACCAACTTTCAATTCAGTTCATGAAGATACCCAACTGTTGACGATAATATGACTTCCAAGTTGTAGGGGAATGAATGATATGAGAGGACTGAACCTTGACCGGTGTCATGAGTTCTTGTTATTGCTCAACCGGTCTGCAGAGAGATTGTCATTGTTGCCACATAACTCAGTGACTCTGGAGATCGTCCTTGAATAGGATGTTCACCATAACAAGAAACTAAGAGAAAGAGTATTTGATGTCGCTAGCGACATTAAGCCTGACTTGATACTGTAAGCCAACATCGCGATGCATATATGGGTTGTGTTAATAATAAGTAATTAATTGATATCAAATGAGAATGATCTAGATTGTCAACAATCCACATATTAATAAGAGCATTTGGGGTGGTTCCGCCCAATACAATCTCCCCTCTCCCTAGTGAGAGAGCAAACTCTTTCTTATCGATAAGACTCTTGGTCGACCAATCTACTTTATATTATTTAAGGTAAAGGCCATACACTGCTGAGTGCTGCCTGCAAGTAATGACAGACAGGAGCAAGCTGAGGTGACTTGAAATGATGCGACCAGGCGAGCGACTGTTCGACGGGAGAGGCATATGAATAGGAGACCTCCCTATGGTCTTAGCCGTGCCGAAAGGCTTATGTTCGGCTGACTGCCTGGCTGACATAGACTTAGGTGGACACGACTTATAATAGTGTGTGTGATGTTGTTATTGTTGTTGTTTGGATGAAAAGTTTTCGTTGCAGAGTTTGATGAGAAACTGACGAATGGTTTGTTGAGATGAGTTGGGCTGAATGAAGTGAAGTGAAGTGTAGTGTTGTTGGTGTGGGAATGAGAACATTGCTTTGTGAACACCCCTTTTGTTGCTCTGAATGGGGATTGGGTGAGCGAAAGGGTGTGAGTGTGTATCTGCGATGAATGTGTCACTAAGATTAAAGCTATCGATTGTCATTCATTGGCTGGTCAGTGAGTGTAAGTGAGTGTAAATACAATTACTACTTTTACAAAGCCTTGTTTGTCAGTCAGTCAGTCAGGACCTCATTCGTACAGATAATCAAAACACTACAAACACATAAATAAATATAATAATATAACAATCATATCTGATCACCAACTCATACTCATTCGATCATTTCACAACACTCACTCACTCACCTTTCATTTTCAGATTCGAGTTTACACATTAAGAGATATTTAAGAATTGGAAACATAGAGACATAATATTAATAATTCAATCAAATTAATCATTTCCAACCAGTCAATCTGTCAATTAATTAATAGTAAGAACGAATCCCTTCATATTATATTATTTTAAGGTGAGTTATCAATACATTTATCCATCCAATCTATCAATCCATCGATCCATCCGCTTTGTTGTTACCAATTCACTATGATTTATCAGTGTGTGCCATGACAGAAATATTATGTAGATCGGTAACAAAAAAGACATGTACCCAGTCAATCATAGCATCATCATTTACACAAATCAATCAATCTCCAAATCAATCAATCAATCTATCAATCTATCATAATCCAATCAAATTTATGTAATATGTATCAGTCATATTTTAAAGATGATCGGACCCTTCCCCGCCAGTAGCAGGATGCGGCGACGGACATGTCCGTCATAGTATCATGGGTGTCAACTTCAGTAGAATCAGAATCCAGAATCAGTATTCCAACCTTATATCGATCACTATTCATTCATTCATTCTTTCATACGTTTATAATGTTTATATATATATATTATGTGTTTGTTTATTATTATTATCTGTAAAAATACACAATGTAACTCCTACATTCATTCTTTCGTGTGTGTTTGAATTCCACTCATTCACCATCCACCATCCACCATCAGTTCCATCCAGTGTTTATTCGATCAATCAATTCGTTTGTGTAAGTGTGTGTTAGTTAGTGTTTGTTAGTGTGATTGGAAGGGGGTAGGAAGTATGACGCACTAGATCTGGTGATTGTTAAGATTAACCAGTTGAATGCCCTGTCATCACTTCCTCTCCACAATCTATCTGTCAATCAATCAATCAATTAAACAATCAATCAATCAATTCAATCCCATTACCTACCTACCCTATTATTACACACACATACATCAGACCAGATTGATTGACGGACAAGACAGAGAGAGATAGAACAAGGGAGGGCGGCACTTTAAGTACCAATCAAATATTTGATTGGCGCGATACACGGACATGTACGTGTATACAGCCATTCCCATCACCACCCGCATCAATGCAAATGCAATGACATAAGTTTGTTTGTTTGTTTGTTGCGATGTCAACTCAACTCAACTCAACAACAACAGAATCAGACACACACTGCCAGACATCAGATCGTCATTCGCAACACATCAACAACACACACATACAGGCAGCCAGACAGACAGACAGACTTGCACAATCATATCGCACCCCACATCTATACATTGATTGATTGATTGATTGATTGATAGATAGATAGATAGCAATAGTAATAGACATAGATGGATGACAGGGATCTGCCTCTTCCTCCTCCTCGACTATATTCAGATTGTCTGCGACACCTTCGTCTAGAACCACATCCTCCACTACTACAACAACCACCACACCATCCAACATCAATTGCCATCGTTCGGAACAGCCGGGGGGCTGTGTCGACTTGACTGGTCTGCACTCTAGCTGGACTGGACTGGACTGGATTTATTGTGATGACGCCAGTGATGGAGCATCTACCCACACTGGCGGGTGCGCATGTGTAGACCATTATGACTTGTATTACATGTAACGGTCCTGTCTGTCTATTCTTGTCCCTTATATCGATGTGTTGTGTGTGTATATTAGTGCTGTGCTTTCGCATCATCAATCAATCAATTCTGGCAGGCTGGCTGGCTGGCCAGAGGGGGACGGCAGCGCCTCTGTAAGAGAGTGGCACTCTTCTGCGCGCCGGCAACATGTTCCACCCACTGCCAGTATGCCATCACTTCCATGTCAATCTGTCAAAGCATTTAAGAGCATTCCTCTTCGCCATTCAACCATTTAACTTCCAAGCACACAACCATTCATTCATTCATTCATTCATTCTTGTCAGTCGAGACTATCTATATCTTTATATGTTTGTTGTTGTTGTTGTTGCAGTTAGTTGTACATTCACTACCGCCACTCACACGCTTCCACCTTCCACCTTCCACCCTTCCACCTTCTACTCTTACGCATTTACGCTTCCACATCCAATCGATCAACTCACTTAATATTATTATTATTATTATTATTATTATAAACTAACAAACAATCAACATACATTACAATGCTTCAGTTACTTACACAAGTCGACATCAAAGAGGTGTTCTGGTTTTGTTACCTCTACATCCTTCTTCCAAACATCCTTCTCTACATTTTCGGTTTCCGCCAGAGAATGTCAGTACGCGAGCTCTTCCCCTTCTTCAAATGGGTATGTATATCAACTCGATCCAATGGCCCAACGCACCTTGCTTGGACCCTGGCCTAGCCCAGCCCACCCCCGAGTCCACTCACTAACTCACATACAATCAATCACACTAATAGGGCTTCAACATAAGACGGTCAAGCTTCTTGGTACCAATATTAAATAATAATATAATAGTTACTGGTGAGGAAGCCGTTGCATGTGGCATCGACAAACATTTGCCAGAGCCAGAGCATCAAGATGATAGACGTATAACCGGTATTAATCAGTGCGCCACAGAGTTCTTGGCGTCAACCGCCGAGATACAACAGGCGATGGAGAAGGAGAAGCTACTGCAGGAGCAGATCGAGAGCTCCAAGATGTCAAACCAATGCAAGACCATTGGTACTCCAATCACCAACTCACCGACACCAACTACCAAGCATCACACAAACAACACAACCACCACCATTGTACAGAGCCCACCAACTCCAAGTGTACTTGCACATGCATCATCAGAGACACCAACACCAACACCAACTTCACCAACCACTGTCTCGCGCTCATCCATTGCCAGCCTCTCCGATGAGGAGATCATTGTCAAGGTCGAGAAGGGAGAGGTTGCACTATACCGTCTGGAAGCCGAGCTCAACGACTGCGAGCGCGCCGTGCAAATCAGACGCGCGGTCCTCACCAAGAACATTGACAAGTCGATCGAGGACATCCCTCACCTGTCGTACGACTTCTCCAAGGTGTTGGGAGCCTGTTGCGAGAACGTCATTGGATACGTACCCATCCCCGTTGGCACTGCCGGCCCCATCAGTCTCAACGACAAGTCGGTCTTAATTCCAATGGCCACCACCGAGGGCTGTCTCGTTGCAAGCACACATCGTGGATGCCGCGCCATCTCAGAGTCGGGCGGCGCCCGCGCTACCATCCTCTCGCGAGGCATGACCCGCGCACCAGTCGTGCGCTTCCCATCGATCACTGAAGTGTCGGCATTTGTCGAGTGGATCAAGATCAACGAAAACTACGAATCGGTCAAGAAGGAGTTCGACGCCACCAGCCGCTTCGCCAAGCTCATTGGCATCAAGACTTCAGTGGCTGGCCGTCTGGTCTACATTAGATTCAGATGCGACACTGGCGACGCCATGGGCATGAACATGGTGTCCAAGGGCGTGGACTCAGTGCTAAAGATGATGAAGAACTTGTTCGCAGATATGGAGATCATCAGTATCTCTGGCAACATGTGCACCGACAAGAAGCCATCTGCCATCAACTGGATCGAGGGACGCGGTCGCTCGGTCGTCTGCGAGGCCACCATCAGGGGAGACATTGTCAAAAACGTCCTGAAAACCAGCGTGCAGGCAATGGTCGAGCTGAACCTGTCCAAGAACTTGGTTGGCTCGGCCATGTCGGGCTCGATCGGAGGCTTCAACGCACACGCCTCCAACATTGTAACCGCCATCTTCTTGGCCACCGGCCAGGACTGCGCACAAAACGTCGAGTCATCCAACTGCATCACTCTGATGGAGGAGTGCAATGAGGGCAACGACCTGTACATAACTGTTACGATGCCATCGATCGAGGTTGGAACCGTGGGCGGCGGCACCTTCCTGCCAGCGCAATCATCGTGTCTGGACATCATCGGCGTCAAGGGATCCAAGCCAGGCAGTCCAGGCGTGCACGCCGATCAACTGGCGCGCATTGTATGCGCTGGTGTCATGGCTGGCGAGCTCAGTCTTTTGGCTGCACTGTCTGCCGGCCATCTCATGAAGTCGCATCTCCGTCTCAATCGCTCACTCAGCAGCACCAACTGTGCTACAATCTAAAGAATCTTGCGCTACACGTTCATCAATGTGGGCGTGTGGACTCGCAAATAGCCTGTCCATGCCTCCAACTCCCATCAATCATCATCCAATCAATCAATAATTATTCACACAGATAGAGAATCAATATGATAATAAACTCATATTAATATCTTTATCGTTCCAAATCAAACTCAAACTCATCCTATCCGAAGGATTCACTCAACATAGCTCAATGTAAATCCTGAACTTCAAACAACTTGGAATTGAATCCCATAATATAAGTTGGAGTGTTAAGTGACCCCCACCTGTGTCCTGCCGACTTGTGACCCTTTGTCACTCTCTAAACAGCTCTTGTTGACGTGTTTATTAAGTGTATATATATAATCCAACAACAACTTGTATATAATGTAGATATAGTTATATTTATTAATAATATTAAGTGACAAACAATCAAACATTCATTCAATCAACATATCAATCAATGCCTTTGAGTAAGTCAACCTTCATGTTCTTTCATTCACTCAATTGATGAGTCTACTAAACACTCAATCAATCATTAGTCACAACACAATCCAGTAGTAGTAGTAGTAGTAGTGGACAATTAGATATCACAACAGATAGTATTGACACATCGCCAGCAGCCACTAAGCTTGCACCATCTCCCAAACTCAAGTCGTGCTATCAAGATAAAGCATCGCCACAGATCCCTTCACCATCACCAATACCAACACAATCACAATCAACAATCAACAATAGCAACAGTAGTACTAAACTTAAGCGACTATCTTCAACACTTGTTGGAACTTTGGAACAAGGAGGCACAACAACTGTTTCAAAGAAGAAGCTAATGACTTCGTCGTCGCATAGTCAGACGACGGCGATGTCGACATCCTTTGAGGCAGACCCCTCGACACTTCAGTTCATTCAGACGGCAGTGCAACTCATTTACAAGTCAAGATCAAATGCACTCTCTTATCAACAACCATTGGTCGATGTCGATCTCTCACACCTCTTGTCAAACAACGATCGGTTCCCTGTATCCAGGAACGTCACACTCGAAGACTTACACGAGTACCGAAGCAAAGATGTAAGACATGGACCTCCATCCAGCTCATTCATTCATTCATTCAGGCGAGCTAACAGAAGACTTATATTGTGTAGATACTTTTGGAACTTGATGAGATCAATGAGATCAATAGAGACTTATACCTATGGTGCGACTATCTGGACTCCACTCCACTAAAGTTGGACATATTCGAGTGTCGGAAGAATGAAACAGGTGATACATACAAGCATGTATTGTTGGAAAGATGGATATTCACATTCAAGTAAGTAGAGATATGCCAGCCTTCCAGCCTGGTGCACTCACTCACTCACTCTATCACTCACTCAAACACCAACAACAGACCAAAGCCAGCTGAGCATCAACCAAGTATAGAGCGTAGTGTAAAGGAGAGAGAGTTGACAATATCAGATGAGTTGAGTGGCTTGATGGTCCCAATCAATGATACAGGCATACATGTTGGATCCCAATCTGGGACTCTGTCACCAAAGGAAGGTGTTGACGATGAACAGAACTATTCACATGAATGTCCAGTCCTCAAGTGTCTCTACTACACCCTCTCATCAATGCCCTTGTTCTCAAGTATCAAATACATGCAACAACATACAGAGATTGGACTAAAGGTCAAATATGGAGCATCCAAACACTTCCCTCCTCCAGCGAACTTTGATCCACTTGATTGTAAGTTAAGTTAAGTTTGAGCATGCTATATGTTGCCTTTCTAACACCAACCAGATCCACATCTGATCAAACTAAACTTCCTTCCCAACGTTTGAGACTACCAAGGGTAGCCTCACACTCACTGTACACTTTTCAAGTCGACCAAAGGAAGATGCATCACTCAACTTGGACATTGGCAATGCATCATCCCCGTCAATTATTATCTATCCAACACAATCATATTCAAATCTTCAATGTCATCCATTGTCCGTGGTCAATGATTCAAACAATCAATCATCGTCTTCATCGCTGTCATCATCACAGCCCATTATGACATCTCCTACCCGTGTTGTATCGGGCAATAGCACTGGCAATGGCATTGGCCATGGCAATGAAGTGTACAATCTATCAAAGCTACTTCAACAATCAAGCGTGAGCTCAAGCTCAAATACACAGTCAATCAATCCATCAAACAACCTTCAACAACAACAACCAACTAATGTTGCGGCGTCCAACAACAACAAAATTGTCAACCCTACTGTACCATCCACATCCAACTCCACCTCAACTCAATCAACATCGCCTTCATCGGCACCAATCTCAATACCTCCTCGATCATCCACACCGACAATCCCAATCAACCTCCCTAACTCTAACAACAACACCAATACTATCAACAACAGCAACACCAACACTAATAATAACAATCAATATACAACTACACCGACAAAGTCACCTTATAACACCTTTTCCTACGAATCACCATCAACGCCAACACTTTCCCCATACCTCAGATACAGCCCATTCTCTCCAAGCAGCCCGACCAACCACTTCCATCGCCAACCAATACCATCCCCGCCATCCCCGATACGTGTCGGCCATCGTCCATTGTTTGTTGATGGTCCCATATTCACTTCTCCCTCCTCCCATCCCTCCTCCAACAATGCGATGATCACAATGATGTCCAACCTCAAGATTGGACATCACTCCCAATTCTCACTCGACACACATCCCAATGGTGGAGGCTTTGGCGTGGGTGTTGGGGTCGGTGGCGGCAGCGGGCTCTCATTTGGATCATTCCAAGAGTCGATACTCAGTGGAAACATGTCCAACACTCCATCGACAGTGTTTGATGGCTATCTTGGCGACTTGGGTGTAAGCGGCAAGGACTATCTTCCGCCACACAAGAAGATACCCTACTCAGCGATCTACTACCACGTCGACTACGATGCTCCCTATGCGGCCACAATCGAACTTGGACCGAAAGGCTACCGAGTGCCACAAAAGGGTCTTATCCAAGTATGTATATATACTCATTTGTGATCCAGGGTGCCATCTGGACATTCACTGACATCACTCCAAACAAACATACGTAGTTGACGCTATTTAATCCCAATCATACACCGATCAAGACATTCCTGGTGAACTTTGACTTGACCAACATGCCACCCGAGACCAAGACATTCATCAGACAACGTATCATCTCGGTCCCAGTCGACAACACATCCTCCACATCATCCACAACATCATCCACAACAACATCATCAAGTAGTTTATCATCTAATAATGATAGACTGATGAATCACCACAACAACAACAACAATCATAATCATCATAACAATAGTAATAATAATGGAGTACTCAAGTATGCGATTCACCTTCGATTCTTCAGCCCAAAGAAGAAGAAATATTACCTCTATCGGAACATTAGAGTAGTGTTTCCATATCGAATGCCCGATGAAATGGAGAAGCTCAAGATCATATACGAATACCCACCGCCACCTGTCTATTACCATGCTCAAGAACAGTAACATTAAGACGTACCCTTACCCTAACCCTTGCCCTCGCCCTTGCCTCTCACACACTCAGCACTCGAACACGAATAAATGACAATGGTGTGTGAAGAAGTTCAATTTCAATTATTTTGATTTTTTGCTGATGATGTTGTGTGTGCAAGTAAGCGCACTCCAGGTTTGATCAATGATCAGTTAGTTGCTCAATCCGATCAACTCAACCAACCCTTGTAGGAAACAACATCATATTATATATATAAATAATATATATATTGTATAGAAAGCAACAAACATGTTGACAGTCGGTTGCAACAAACTCTTCCAAAAGTCATCACTATTCAAGTCGGCAGCATCGTTGACCAACACCAGATCATACGGTGTTCAGTCACGCACAGGTGTTGAGACCGGTCCATCACAAGGCCAGTTCTCACGCGCCTACCCCGTCATTGACCACACCTACGACGCCATTGTCGTCGGTGCTGGTGGTGCCGGTCTGCGTGCTGCTCTCGGTCTCACCGAGAAAGGTCTCAAGACTGCCTGTATCTCAAAGCTCTTCCCAACCCGTTCACATACTGTCGCTGCTCAAGTAAGCATCATCACATGATCGATTGATTGATTGAGCGACACTAACACACCTACCCGTCCCTCGCCTCTTGGAATCATTCCAATCAATCACTAACTCACTCACATGATCGCGATTGAATGAATGAACGAATAACACAACATTGCGAACGAATCAAACAAACAGGGAGGTATCAATGCAGCTCTAGGTAACGCAGATGTTGATGATTGGAGATGGCATGCATACGACACTGTGAAGGGCAGTGACTGGTTGGGAGACCAGGACGCCATTCATTATATGTGTCGTGAAGCCGTGCCAACAGTGTTGGAGCTCGAGCAGTATGGTGTGCCCTTCTCGCGTATGGACGACGGTCGCATCTACCAACGTGCGTTCGGAGGACAGAGCAAGAACTTTGGCAAGGGAGGTCAGGCTACGCGTTGCTGCGCCGCCGCCGATCGTACCGGCCACGCACTGCTGCACACTCTGTACGGCCAGTCGCTCAAGCACGACACCAAGTTCTTCATTGAGTACTTTGTCATGGACCTGATCATGGAGAATGGCGAGTGTCGCGGTGTCATTGCCTACTGCATGGAGGACGGCACCATCCACAGGTTCCGCTCGCACGCCACCGTCCTCGCCACAGGAGGATACGGTCGTGCCTATTTCTCGGCCACCAGCGCACACACTTGCACTGGTGATGGTAATGCCATGGTGATTCGTGCCGGTCTCCCATGCCAGGACCTCGAGTTTGTTCAGTTCCATCCAACCGGTATCTACGGAAGTGGTTGTCTGATCACTGAGGGTGCCCGTGGTGAGGGAGGCTACTTGCTCAACAGCGAGGGAGAGCGTTTCATGCCACGTTACGCCCCATCCGTTGCCGATCTGGCCTCGCGTGACGTTGTGTCGCGTTCTATCACAATGGAGGTGCGTGAGGGCCGCGGTGTTGGCCCAGAGAAGGACCACGCCCTGCTCAACCTGACCCATCTCAGCCCAGACATTATCGAGGAGCGTCTTCCAGGTATCCGCGAGACTGCAATGATCTTTGCCGGCGTGGACATCACCAAGGAGCCAATCCCCATCATTCCAACCGTCCACTACAACATGGGTGGTATCCCCACCAACTACAGAGGTGAGGTCGTCACCAGGAACAAGGAGGGCAACGACGAGATCGTCAAGGGCCTGTACGCCGCCGGAGAGGCAGCCTGTGTGTCCGTGCACGGTGCCAACCGTCTCGGTGCCAACTCACTGCTGGACATCGTCGTCTTTGGCCGCGCTTGCGCCAACACCATCGCCGAGGACCTGCCAAAGAACACCCCACATGCTCCACTTCCCAAGAACGCCGGTGAGGAGTCCATCGCCAACCTGGACAAGGTTCGTTTCGCCGACGGCCCACGTCTCACAGCCGACCTGCGTCTGGAGATGCAAAAGATCATGCAGCGCAACGCCGCCGTCTTCAGAGACGGAGTCGTGCTCAAGGAGGGAGTCAAGAAGATCGACGAGTTTGCCAGGTCGCTCAAGACCGACATGAAGACTGTCGACCGCAACATGATCTGGAACTCAGATCTGGTCGAGTCGCTCGAGCTCCAGAACCTGATGACCCAGGCCGTGCTCACCATGCACTCGGCCGAGGCCCGTAAGGAGTCGCGTGGCGCCCACGCCCGTGAGGACTACAAGGAGAGAGACGATGCCAACTGGATGAAGCACACCCTGTCCTACCTCGACGTCGAAACTGGAAAGGTTACGCTCGAGTACCGTCCAGTCATTGCCAAGACCTTGGACGAGGGCGAGATGAACTCCATCCCTCCAGCCAAGCGTGTATATTGAGGCAACCAATCATTATCATTATCATCAACGTCATTACAGTTACATTACATAAAGCCAGCTAGTCTAGCATCATATCGAACACATAACAGTTTAAAAGTATCATTGTACTTTAGTTCATTCGTTCATTGATTGGTCGAGTCTATGATGGAGGGGATTGCGATGATCATCTGATCCAATCCCTTCTTCTTCTTTGGTCGCCACGCTCACGACTCAAGGTAGGCTCGAGCCGAGTTCTAGCAGTGTTGCATTTGCCATTCGGCTCCATCAATGATGATTTGGTCCAACTGAAGTAGATCCATATTATCGCGTTGTTGCAAGCATTATCGCACTGACGCGTGGATGTTTCATTCAATCTCTTCTCTTACGCTTCTTCTCCTTCTTGTCGGCACTGCTGTCTGATGAGACATCACTGCTGCTGTCACTGCTGTCACTATCGCTGTCACTATCACTGCTATCGCTATCACTGCTGCTGTCACTGCTATCACTATCGCTACTATCACTACTATCACTATCGCTTGATGATGTTGAACTTGATCTCTTCTTCTTATTCCTCTTTGATGTGCTACTACCACTGCTGCTGCTCTTCTTCTTATCGTCTTTGTCTGCGCCTGACATAGTCTTTAGCTTCTGCAGGTCCTTCTTATATAGTTCTGGATCATTCAGATAGGCTGTCCTTGTTGGCCTTGAACTGTATACTCTTTCATTCTTGCATTGGTATGTAGCTGAGTATGTGAATAATTATGAGTATTAGTTAGGATGTCCTGTTGTTCTGACCACTGACTGCTTCAACTGAATGGATACCCACCATGTCCATACTGTAGACACTTCTGACAGCGAGTAGTCGCAAGTTTAGTTGTCCTATTCGTCTTTCTATCCATTACATGTAATGTACTATTGAACGATCGAACTACGAATGAATGAATGTCCATTCAATTTTCGAGAATCGGTCAATCAATCTTGTTGCTTGGCACAACTTGTTGTTGGTCAATCATTTGATTGACTTTTATTATTATTGCCTTCAATTCTAGTTACACGGCAACATCAACAGTTAGTAATAGATACCATCAGATATCCACCAAGTGTTCTTGTTGAGGATCGCTGGATGATTATGAACAGCAACTTGGAGCTCAGATAGAGGCACAGACTGGTACTTAACTCTAAGTTTAAAATGTTCCAGAGTAGTATTATGTTGAAGTGCTTCGGCCAGCGCTGGAGCAGCAAGTAGAATCGATCTATTGTCACATTCATCAATTTCATCATCGTTGTATACATTGATTGCTATTTCGGCTAACGAGATACTCTTGATGTTTGGACAATGAGCAATGACAAAGATGCCAATCTCTCTACATCCTGCGTCCAGTACCAAATGACTTACATTGTCGTAGGACTTTAGAACAGACAACTTGACAGCTTCGAGATCTTCAGATGAGTCGTCTACACCCTCCCACTTGAGTTCACTGGCAATGCAATGGAACTTAAGATAGTCCATGTCATTCTTGACTGCCACTAGATTGGAGACAAGGCCAAGTTCGAGCCGGGTGACTGTTGAACGAGGGGACTGCAGAACAAACTGGAGGAGTCTCTGCTCATCGGCAAACTTCCACGGAACGATTGAGAGCGATGTCAGGCTGGTGGTCTTGTTAAGGTACTCTAGCAGACCAGTAGTGAACCCCGCATCCACCTCCTCCTCTCTGTTGTAGCTCAGATTGAGTTTGAGCTCGGTCAAGTTGTGCAACAGGTCGAGTACTTCAAAGAATTGAGTTGGAGAGTATTTAGTTATTGTGAAGCTGATGGCACCATATCTTTGATGAGTGTAGTTATCTCTTATCTCCAACGATGTGATATGGGTCAATTTGGAGAGTATGGTCTTTACTCCACATAAACCAACTTCCATTCCTTCTCCCGGATATGGCACCAGTATCACTTTCTTGAGGTTGGGATAGTTGACCTAATTGAGTGAGGCAATGTCCTCGTCTTTGATATAACCAAAGACATACATTAGGCTCTCTATTTGATTGCAAAGTGGTGCAATCTCATTGGACAATGGTCCATCGACCCATGACTTGAACGAGATGCCATGTTTCAAAAGTATTTCTGCACTACAGTCTGGCACCTGCTTAGTAGCTAGACCAAAACAAAAGCTATCTGTATTGGTTTGCGGATCAACAATGTTGACCAGTGTCCAAAGGGAGAACTTTGATTGACTGTATAGATAGAAATGATCAGCCAGGAGCTTGACATCATAAGAACTACAAGAGTATGTTGTCAATGATTGACGGACGCTTTGAAAGTAGTTCCAAGACACCAAGGCAATGTTAAGTATCCATTGTTTCTTTGTAGTCTGTTGATAACCATATTCTTTTAAGGCTCTCAATTGACCATCAATCACAAGCCACCCAACTATTCGCCTAGAGATGATAATTTTGTCCATGTTTAGGGTGTGGAGTGGTCTTGTTTCTAGAATACGCTCAAATAAGTGATTGACTGCCGATCATCTGAAATTGATTAATCAATGGATTCTAGGAATTCGAGATGGACAATCCCAGTGCAGTTGGATGTAAATATCATCTTTGACATCACGGATATAATCCATCCCCCAATACATCGATACCTGATCAAAGTTTTTACCCTCCAAGACCAGCTTGCTTACCACAATCATTGATGTTTGACCATGCTAATCGCATAATCTTCATTTGAGCCTTGATGGTGACTGTGGAAGTTGTATGAGTGAGCTCTGTGTAAAAGACTTTTCCCTCATTGGAATGGAGTGAAGAAAGCTCAAATGTCTGGCATGGAACCCAAGTATCACATTTCTATTTTAAACTACTACAGATACATAAAATCATATTCTGAAGATGTCCAACAACGATTATATCAATAACGAATGTGGTCTTGAAGCTAGAAATGAGACCCATGAGACCAAGGAGAATTTGACTCGAGCTACGCTATCAAGTTTGCGTATTGGAAGCATTGTTCTCTCGATCTTCTCTTTGATATTTTTGATCATCTCACTTGCCGCACCTTGGTACTACACTTATAGCCTCTACTATTACAATAGAGATACGTCACTGGAAGTAACCAACTTTTTGGCGTATGCTGATGTATGTGTTGGTTCTCCCATCGATCGATGGATCAATCTTAAGATATCCATAATCTGACCTCAATGCATATTTTAGTCGACTTTCATTACCAAGCAATCAATTGAGAAAATCAAGATTTGGAGGAAGCCAGGCAGTGTCTTCAACCAATTTCTCTGGGCTCTCTCATTTATGACCATTGCACTCTTCCCGCTGGTGGCCTCTATTGCAATTGATTTCAAGCGCCCGTCCTCAAAGAAACTCTCACTTATCCAATTCCTGACTACTTCACTTGCAATGTTCCTGACGGCTCTGGCCTGGTTTGTGTGGATCGGAGTCACAATGGAGAGAAACGGAGGTTCCCTGTCCTACGCGTCCTACCACACAATCCAAAGTGTGGTAGGAAAGCCCATGTGGGGAATTTGGATTGGCCTGCTCGCTATGATCGCATTGGTCATCACTAGCGTCCTCAGGGGACTAATCTATAGAGGCATGCCGAAGATAATAACTGTACACCCAGGCAGTGGCCATATCCAGGTCATCCAGGGCACCCCAATGACCAACCTAAACCAGCCACAGTCACAGTACCAGCAGATCACTGTGGCTGTTCCACCCAACGTGGTCGTGGACGCCCAGCAGATGTACCGTCTGAACCTCSAGTATGTGCCTTGTGGATTCAGTGCCACCGGTCAACAACTGTTCTCGCAACAAAATATGCTGGAGCCATGTTCCCCTCCAACTTCCGAGGCACCTCTCAGTTCATAACAACTATCAATAAATCCTTTGATTGAGCCTATCATGCTAACGAGAGGATATCTTGAATTAAACTTTTGCTGATGGTTGACTTGTCTTTGGATGTTTGACGAATGACACATCCATCCCATCACTTGAGGAAATCAACCTTACCCTTACCCTACACTAACCTTGCCCTTGCCCTTGCCCTTGCCCTTTCCCTTGCCCTAACCCCAACAAATGTGTAGATGGTGGACCAATAATAATGTTATTTATACATATATACTACAACAAGGAATGCACCTTCTTATTTGTACGTTGCTTTTGGTATTCAATTGGTATGCGTTGAAAGTGTTGATTGGTTGTCCATCCATTGATTGTACTGTGTTTGGTAATGTATGAGTCGAGCCATGTTCGTCCACCATGCTCAATGATCGTTCCAATAAGTGAATCAATCTGATTGTCCCACCAATAAGGTATATCAATCAGTTTGATTGACAATTGATTACAGATCACTCGTTTCTCAGCATCCCTATCGCGATAGATCTTGGCGTCGCCATAAAGCCTCGTGTCTTGGAAGTGCTGTTTGCCCTGATACTCAAACGCCACGTTCAATGAAGGGATGTAAAAGTCCAACTGGAAGCCAAAGTTTGTGCTGTTGGTGTATCGCAGACGGGCCAGGTCGCGGTACTCCTCGATCACCTCGTGATCGCCAAACAATCGCGTCAGGTACAGCTTGAGCAAGCGCTGCGAGGACTTCTTGCCTGGCGTGTTAAACTGTCGCGGGTTCCATTTCTGCTCAGGGTAGACCTGCGCCAGCGACTGGCAGAAGCCGCCATTGCGCTTCACCAACGAGAAGCCGCCAATGTCGCGGATCTGGCTCCAGGACAGACGGTACCAATCGGGTTGGTCCTTGATCTCGTAGTGTCGCGCGGCAAACTCCAGGAACTGCCGCAGCACCTCTGGGTCCTTGTGAGCGGCGCGTGGCAGATTGGCAAAGCGCCAGACTTGCCATCCCTGTGCATTGTCTATCAAGGCCATCACGACCTGTGCAGGGGAGCCTCCATGGAGCAACAACAGACTGTTGCCATAGTTATCAATGAAATCCAACTTATTGATTCGATACCAATCCCTTGCCTCCTTGATTCCAAGTCTCGTCTGTAGCCATACCATGTACTTCTTCTGATTCTCAATGTCGCGCCAGTAGTTCCTAAGTGAGGTGAGGAGGGGAGTTAGAAGATTGATTGATTGAATGATTGAGTGATACATACTTTGGAGTATTGACAAACTTGAAGGGAAGCCAATCATAAGATGGATATTGCTTTTGTAATAGTTGATGAACAGAGTCGTTGTGGAGCTGGAGTAGACCACGTCCACGCAGTCGGATAAAGTCAGCCTTGGTGACTTGATACCACTGTTCATAATCGGTTGCTTCGAAACCAAGCTGTTTGGACATCCATGTCAGGTATTGACGTTGATGTGATACTTCCGCCCAATGACCGCGTGGATACTGCAAGTTCATCATATGTTCTTGTTGAAATCTCCATGGCTGCCAATCATGATCCGGATATACCTTTCTTAACATCATATGTAATGAGCCACCATGTGAGTACAAAGGCAGTCCTGTCAAGTCAGACACTGTATACCATTCATCAAGATCTCTTTCTTTGATACCCAGTTGACTAATCATTCATTCAATCAATCAATCAATGTGTGAGTAAAGTGTACCATTCATTTATCTCATTCATACAATCATTCATTCATACTCTGCTTTATCTTTAACAAGTTGATTCAGTTTATCATCTTCAGATATTGATGTTGATGTTGATGTTGATGTTGATGTTGATGTTGATGTTATTGTTGTTGGTATTGATGTTGTTGATGATGTCTGAGTCGGCGTCGAAGTAACATCATGAAGTGGATGTTGATGTGATTGAATGAATGTGTCTGTGTTTGGGTCTGTGTTGTTGATGTTGCTGTAGTAAATACGTGTATTATGTCTTTGTATCAATGGTAGTAGAGTATATCTACATGTATATATTATCTGTCTATGTAATAACATGTTACTTATTATTACTATTACATCATGTTACTCAATCAATCATTCTTTTCAAAATAAACCAAGTCCAGAGTTCTGTGTGATGATGTAATGAATGCGTTCAATTCGTTCGTTTTTGTGTTTCACTTTCATCGAGACTGGATTGTGTTTGAGTGCTCGACTAGTCTACACTTTAGACTCATGTTTGATTGGTATTGTTATACATAGTAATACATATATATATATATAGTTATGCTCTCTTTGTCAACAAAGAGAATATTGTCACCTAGCAATACCAACTTGTTATTGTTGGGTCACAATCATGCTGCCACTACTTTGTTGATTAGATATAAGTCATCATCATCGACATCAACATCATCAGTATTGGACACTGATCAAGATATTGATAATGATGATGTAGCAACAGCAACAACTACAGCCGACAATAGTACCACCACCTCAACAACATCAACAACAAAGAAGATGAAGAAGACCAAGACACCAAGTGCACCACCACCTCCATCAAGCGTTGACTTGAATGATCTATCGATTAGACAACTAAAGGCAGTTTGTAAGGAGATGAGTCTACCTTGCTCATATTCAAAGAAGCCAGACATTATCAATCTCATCAACAATCACAAAGAGTACTTGTTCCAACAGATGATATCAATGGCACGTGGTGGAAGTACAAGTGGAAGCGCGGGCACATCACCAAGCACAACAAAGAGCAACAAGAAGACACAGACACAGATACAGATGGAGGATGAAGGATCAGATGTGAAGGTGAAGGAGGTGAAGGTGACCAAGACGGCTAAGCCCAAGCTGAAAGGTGAGGTCGTCGCCCCAGTCGACCCTGTCACCCCCGTCGCCGCCACAGCCACACAATCTTCAACTTTGAAGGAGAAAGCCAAAGTTGCAAAGGTTGTGCCATCGCCAACAACATCCAAGTTGAAGAAGGTGCAAGCTCAAGATAAGGAGAAGGAGGAGAAGGAGAAGGAGGAGAGAGTCACAGTCAAGAGCTTGAAGGCGTTGTCAATGGCAGAGCTACAGGCCATTTGTAAAGAGCGTGGCTACATTCAATCGATCACATCACACAATGACTTGGCCATGTTCATCTTCTTCAAGCAATGCGAGGAGAAGGCCACCAAAAAGAAGAAGCAGAAGAAGTCAGCGCCAACATCAACAACATCAACAACATCCACAACATCAACAACTACAGCTCCACCCCCAACCACTGTCCAGGTGGCCGCCACGCAACCACATGTCCGCGCGGAGCGCCAACAACCACAACAACAACAACAGCAACAACAGCAAGAGCAACAGGAACAAGATATTGATGGTGATGATAGGACACCAGAGGTATTGTTGGTCCAAGAGGAATCAACTTATGTTGTGCCAGAGTTACCTTCGATTGAGTCTGTTCGTACTCCTGCTCCTCAACATGTTGAGGCCAAGCCAAGCAAGACATCCAAGCCCAAAGAGTTACTTGGTGATCTGATCTCCACACTAAAGCATCGTGAGAGTCAGTTGGAGAGTGCGACACACAAGATGATAAAGGAGCAGGATCAGGCCAAGACCAAGGCCACCTCGATCACCACGACCAAGCAAGACAAGCCCAGTGCGGCCAAGCACGACAAGAAGAAGTTTGACAAGAAGCTGGACAAGAAGATGGACAAGACTAAGGATAAGAAGATGGACAAGATGATGGACAAGAAGAAGATGAAGAAGCCACATGCACAAGCACCAGCAACAATACCAATACCACCAGTACCAGCACCAGCACCAGGAGGAGGTCCTGTGAACAATAATATCAATACATTGGACATGGCAGGTTTGGAAGCACTGTGCAAGATGTTCAACCTACCAGTGGACACCAAGCACAAGATGATCCTGTCGCTCAAAACGAAGAATATCACAAAGATCACGCAGGCCGTCTTTTACCTGTCCAACAAGCCGGCGACCGATCACATCAAGGAGATCACTGAAGTGTTTGACAACCTCTCTGGACCCGAGTTCATCGATGGTCTGATCAAGTAAGTTGGGATCGAGCGACCTGGAACCATTCCAATCAATTATACTCATTCTCATACTCAATCAATCAACAGCGCATTGACAAATGCAGGACAGGCATCAAAGGATTATGGCACGCCAGAGAATATCGCAGAGTTTAACAAGAAGTTGGCAGAGTTAGTGACGAGTCGTCGCAATAGTTTGACGATTGAGGAGTTGATGCCAATAATTAGTTACCTGCGCCACATTCAATCACCTTATATATTGGACGTGATCAAGGTGGCCATGAGCGTGGGACGCCTGAACGCCATGGTGGTCGATGCGACCGCCCTCACTTGCCGCATCAAAGGATACACGACCGAGATGTTGGAGTTTGTCGATAATGCCTATGTGGAGGCGCGCAACTTGGCCAAGGCCAACGACACCGCCGTGCCAGCCTTCTTCCGCTTCAACGTGCGCGAGCTGCAGATCTGCCTCCAGGCGGCTGCGGGCAATCTGAAAGAGGCCATTCATCTTTACAACTCGGTGACCGACTCGACCAAGCTGGAGCTCGGCAACTCGTTCAAACATATCTTTATCCTCCTGTCCAAGCTGGATCGCTCGCACGCGATCGAGTTCTACAAGCTGAACGCTTGGCGCTATGATGCACGATTGATCGACGACGACATTATGCGCGCGGGCAACTTCACGAGCGGCGACCTGCAGGTCGCCAACGACATGAGCTCGCTGTCCGAGCTGCTGATCAAGAGCGAAACGGAGGACAACGTCCAGATGCACGACATGATCGTGCAGCACATGGTGACGCTGACCCGCGAGGATCAGCTGCAAGTGACACGCACAATCATACAGATGTACCTGCTGCAGGACCAGTACCATCACGCTCTTCGCTGGTTCTCCATCCGCCTCACCGACTTCCACCTGCAGAACTCGCCCTACACGATCTACCCGTTCATTATGTACCACAACAGGATCAAGACCAAGCGTCTGGCCGAGCAGCCCGATGCCAACGTCGACGATCAAAACAGCATGATCGAATTCTGGGAGAACAAGCTTGGCAGCATCGACACCAGCCCCAAGTCTCGCCAGATTGCCGCGACCAAGATCTCATTCGTCTTTGCCAACCTGGACAACATCACAGGCTCGCGCGCCGTCTGGACCGAGAGCGACGTGTTCCTCAACGACCTGTGCGAGAAGCGTGACGTCGACGGAATCTATGCACAGCTACAACATTACATGGATCACAACACATTGCCCTCGGGCTGTCTGCTGGTGCGCGCAGTGTCTGTGCTCAGGGACCTAGACCTGCAGCGCTACATGGACTTCTTGCTGCTACAGGACATCCCCAGCAGCTTCTACATCATCATGATGGACCCCAGGGTGATCAAGAGCATGCAGACCGAGCCCTACAAGGCTCTGGAGATGATCAAACGCGACTTCAAACTGATCAATTCGCCCACATACTACAACTACCTGTGCACATTCTCCCTGGACAATGGACTGCTGGACCGCGCCACCATCATCATGCAAAAGATGCTGTCCAAGTACATCCCATTCAGCTCCTTGACCGTCAAGAAGTTCTTCACGACGATCAACACTCATTCATATGTGCGTCAGCTGCCCGACGACCTGACCAAGGCCACACGCAAGATCTACAACCAGCATCCAGAGTGGCATTACCTGGCAAACACAGTGATCTACGACCACCTCAAGGCGAACGAGGTGGAAGAGGCCGCCGAGATGTTCCAGCGCCTGTGCGCCCATCACAACGTTGACTACGATCTAATGCGCAATGGTATCGACCTCTTCTACGCGATGCTCGAGCATCAGGACAAGAACAATGACAACAAGGACAAGGACGTGAATGACAACAAGGACAATGTCGGCGGCGGCGACAGAGACATTACTGCCCTCAGCACGCTGACCCAGCTCGAGGACTTCCTGGGCGTGACCGACCTGATGTCGCACCACAGGGCCAAACGTTTGTTCTTCACCGCGCTGTTCAACTATTATCATGAGACTGGCCAGTCACAATATGCGATCGTCGTGCTGTCGGTGTACGAGGAATCATTCCGCGTGATAAAGGATGGCAACCTGTTGCTGTCAATCTTTAAATGTTTGAAGAGCCCTCTGGCCAAACTGCAGTACATGGGGCGATTCCAGCCGACGTTGGAGCGTGAATGTCCGGCGGCGCTGCGCGACGAGATCGCCAAGGCCAACGAGATCATCAAGGACGACGCCATCGAGCAACAACTCGAGTCTCTGACCTTTTTCACACCGCCTCAGTTCGAGCTGCTGGACGATATCATCCAAGAGTACATCATTCCAACGCAACTACCTAGTGATCAAATGAAATCCGAATGGATTCCTGACCGATCAATAGACACAAACCATTGATTGATTGATCAGGCTGGAGTGATAATAAATAAAAGACCAAAATACTATAGTATGTTTGTTGTTGTTGTTGTATCGCTGGGCTGTTTATTTCCTGGACTTCTTGGCCACATTACCAGATGTTGTTGCGACTCTCTTCTTGTTGTTTGTATTTGTGTTGGTGTTGTTGGTGGGCTTGGCATTGGAGTTGGAGTTGGACATAGCCTTGGCCTTGGACTTAGCCTGGAGTGCTGCTGCCAACTTTGCTGGTGCCATCACAAATCTTCTCTTATTGTTATCCTCCTCTTCTTCTTCCTCTTCATCATCATCTTCATCGTCATCGTCATCATCGTCGTCTTCTTGGTCATCATCATAATCCTCTCCATCGAATGACATATTATCAAAATCCTGATCATCCTCCTCTTCATCATCATCATCTTGTGTCTTCTTGGAAACATTCTTTTTGCCTTTAGCATTGGTCTCCATTTGTTGCCATAACTTTTCATTCTCATCGTCGTCGATGGTGCCATCATCCAACTCGTCTGGATCCTGTTCCTCCTGCTCCTGGTCCGAGCCAATTGCTTGGTCAGCTGCTCCCGCGTCCTCTTGCTCCTCCTCTTCCTCTGGTTGCTCCTCTGCCGAGAACATCACACAAGACATCCTTTGCTTCATAAAGATTGTCTGATTGCACACTCTACTCTCTATATCGTATATTCTTGCATGACGGTCCAGTCCGACAGCCGCCAGCAATGGCAAGGTTGGATGAATATCCAGCGCACGCACACTTCCAGTGCTGCCCTTGTAGTTTCCAAGCAGTCTAACCATTCCTCAGGTCATAGGCAAAGACATTACCAACAGAGTCTGATGCAAATACCGAGCTAAATGAGTAGGATTGAGCAATGTTAGAGAGTGATTGATTGATTGAACGAATGAGTGTATAGTTCATACTTTTCGAATTGACTTGACATCTTGATCGAGAGTATTGGATGCTTTGTGACGGTGAGATCAAGGATGGGCGGCGTTCTGTTCTTGCGACAATCGTATAGTCTGATCTGATAGTGTCCTGTGCCAGTGACTATTCTGTTGTGATCGGTCGGTGTGTACTCCATGTCTGTGATCCAAATGGGTGGGGACACTCGCAACTTGTCGGGTGGGGCGTTCTTGGCGCGCCACGTCAGTTGCTTCGTGTTGATGTCGCATATGGCCAGATCGCACTCTTTGCCACCGATCACTACCTTGGACTCATCGCTCGGGTTGACCTTGAGTGCAAACAGACTCTTGGAGAACGACAGCGTGTCCAGCTGCTTCATGTCGACACCATCCTCAGAGACCTTGACCACATTGATTGTGCCCTTCTCAGTGGCGATCAGTAGTCGCTGCTCAGACAATGGTCTGATCGCACGGATTGCCGAGTCGTACGTGCACTCGGACACCACGTGTCCAGTGCCATCCTCTTGCAACTGCCAATGCTTGAACGCACCACCCTTGAATCCCTGCAACATCTGAGTCTCATTATTGTCCCAACCAAATGACATTGTTTGCAACTCATTCTGAATTGACGATGTGATTGATCCAAACGATGATACTACCTGTTTAGTCTGCAAGTTACAAACTATATTGTGATTGATCGTTTGATTGGGTGTGTGTGAGCATTCATCTTGATCACTCATTCATTCATTCATTCTTTGATTGACCTACTCTTTATCAGACCATTATCTGATCCAACTACAATATTCATTGTTGTTTATATTTGTATATCTGTATGTTGTTAATATTATTAGTGAAATTAATCGGTCATTTAAAAAACGAACGAAAGATACCCACCCACCAATCAGTGAGAAAGATCAAAATTGACAATTTATGGGTCATTTTGAATGAACATGAAGTGAGGGAGATTTGGGGTGAGAGTTAGACAACCATCAGAGTCATATTTACATGTCTCCTTATATCTTCATACAAAGAATAAGGACAATTGAGCGAGAGCACACATGGTTATTAACAATACTTGGTGAACAAGATCGTTCTCTTCAAGAAACATTATCATCATCAATATGATTATTTGAATCAAAGAAGCGTTCCACAGGTTTTGCATGTATTTATTAATATATTTAACTGATTGAAATAATTGTACAATATATATTAACATGATTCTATTTTGTAGTCTAACTTAATTGTGCCATATCGTACAGAATCGAAATGCGAATGACTTTAAACGTCTGCTGGAGTTTAGTGGGCGAGAAGTTGTCATGGGGGTGATGATGGCAATATATTTACAACCATTCAAACAAATAATAAGTATATTAAAATTATTCTTTGATTATTAATATTGATCCTCATCTAGATCACATGTCTCTCTTTCTGATCAATCGCTCGTTAATATATCTTCCAAAGACTATAAAATGATCAAACTTTGGTCATTATTAATATCATCAAATCAAATTAAATACTTTAGATCTATACCTAAATCAATCAATTAAACAATTAAAACAATGTTGTACAGTAAGTATCCAAAAGAAATAAAAGAATATTGAAGAAAATAAATTATTAATAATATATTTTCCAATTAAGAATCACTTGCCAACCTCTCTGGTATGACCTCCAACTCTGTGAACAATAGCCAGGTTCAGACTACCAAATTAGTTGGTGGAACTCAATCTTCAAACTCAATTGCACTGATTGATGCAGATGTCCATGGTAGCGTTATCATACCAGGTCTTCTTACTATTGCCCCAATCGATATTGTTGCACGTCTTTAAATCTCATTAACTTCTAAATACACTCTAATGACTCTTTGATGAGTTCATTCATTCTTGTAAAGACAAATATTATTTTATTTTATTTTATTTCCTTGTCTTTCCACCTCCTCCAGCATTTGACTTGGGCTTGCCACCACGGAAAGATGCACCACCTCTGCCAGGTCCTCCAGTGGAAGATCTCTTTACAGTCTTGTTGTTGTTTCCGCTCTTGTTGTTCTTCTTTTTCTTGTCGTCCTCCTCCTCATCTTCATCGTCGTCCAACTTTCTTTTGACTGTCTTGATGCTCACTGATGTTGGGATCTTGCCTGACTTTAAGGTCTTGTCCCACTCCTCGTCGTCACCCTGTATCGCGTATTGTGCCAACTCCTTGTCGTCCTCCATCCACTTGGCCTGCATCTTCTTCTTGACATCCTCGGCGCCAAGCTCCAGCTCTGACTCCATGTCTTGTGCCAGTGGGATCATCGAGCTGTCGTCCAGGTCACCCTTGAACGATGACAACAGACCACTGCGTGGTGCGGCGATCTTGGGCTTGGGCAGCGACTCGTCCAGACCCTTCTGCTTGACGGCGCGCAGTGCCTGGTACACCTTTCGCATCGTCTGTGAGAAGAGCGAGATGATCTGGTTGTTCTGCAGCTGCAGCTCGGAGTGGAGCTGGTCGACGGTCTTGTGCTGCAGCGACATGGCCAGCAGTACGGCGGGACTGCAACATCGACAGGTTGTTGCGCACCTCGTTCAACTTACCACCAAACAGCAGCTTGCCAATGATTGGCAGCATGTCAATGATGACGGTGAAGTCCACGATGTTGTTGGCGTACGACTCTAGACGCTTGAGGTCGTAGCTCGAGAACATCAGGTCCAGCTCGGCGCTGCTTAGTGAGACTTCGGCCGCCTGTGACGCGGCGAAAACGTCCTGCATGATGTTGAGTGCCAGAGACGACGAGAATGAGCGGAAGTCGTAGCCGAGCAGGTTGCCAAAGCGTTTGCGGAAATCCTGGTAGAAGGACTCGAGCCAGCCTGCCGAGGCCACGGTCGCGTTGTGTGAGTTCTTGAGCTCGCGCAACATAATGCATGTGTGCTCGCCAGTGATCTCGTTTGATGAGAGGCGCAGGTACACGGGGAGGTACTTTGACTTGGACCAGAACTGATACAGCTGGGCGGTCACACCGTATGACACACCCATGTAGTGCAGGTTCTCTGGCTTGCGCTCTGTCAACTTGTACAACAGTGGCGGCAGGTTCTTCTTTGGTCTGATGACCTCTGATTGCAAGTCGCCACCCTCCATCGCCTCGTTGTCCTGTTGTTGTTTGTTTGATTGGTCGTCCTCTGAGTCGTTGTCATTGTCGTTGTCATCGAGTGAGGTGATCTCGCCTTGATAGTATTGTGTGAGGATGTCGAGTGCCTTTGAGCCGTAGCCCATCTTTTGGTAGTCTGGGTGAGTGGCGATGCGAACTACGCGGGCGCCAGAGAGTCGTGGGAAGTCCTCGTCCTGGAAGTGCTGTGTGAGTGTCCATGGGATGAGGTCGCCAGATGATTGGTATCCCTTCTTGATGCTGTTGAGGATGGCCTCCTTGGCAATCTCACCCTCGAGACTGACCTGGATCGCGCAAAGAATCTCGGGCAGACCGCCCGTCTCCTCGTTCATTGGACCGAGCAAGACGTACAGGTGGTGGTCTGGCGAGTCGGACATTAGCAACAAGTCATTTGGTGAGTTCTTGTAGTGGCTTGCGACAAAGAGTGCCACCAGGCTCTGCAGGAATGCTTCGGACGCCTTGTGGAATGAGAACAATGTGTCCCTGTTGACGTAGTAGAGCTGGCATGTGGAGGGATGTGGGCAGCCTCCAGATGTGGCGGGCGGGGCCACAGTAGCGTCGAGACACAGCAGTGTGTTGAGCCACGACTCGACTGGATCATTAGCTGCGTAACGAATGGGCTGCAACAGTTGGATCTCACGCAGCACACGGCCAGTGTTGGTGGCGGCGGCGGGTCCGCTGGTAGTGCCCGACTGCTCACGCAGCTGGCGGATGAGTTTGAGCGACAGCGAGCGACCAGTGCCCTCGTAACCATTGATCGTGGACGACATGAACACGAGGTATGGACCCAGGAGCGAGCGCACGTATGGCAGAGGAATGGCGGCAGCCTCATCAATGACGACCAGCTCGGCCTGGCCCAGCTTCTGGTGATCGGATGGCTGGATGTATTGGATGGTCTGGCGATGAGCGCGGAAGATGTTGACACGCACAATGGCGTCGTGGAATTCGGGGTTCGTCGACTTGACCAGCTCGTAGTCCACGTGCTCTTGGTAGCCAAGTGCGTCGAAGCCTTTGAACACAAACTCAAACAGGGTGACCAAGTTCTCTGGTGCTGGTGAAGAGACAAAGATGTTGGAGTAGCCAAAAGCCACGGCACCGGCGATGGCCAGACCGAGTGCGGCGGACTTGCCACGACCACGACCGGCCGTCAGTGTGACGGTCGAGCGAAGTGTCTTCTCTGAGACGGCGTCGATGAATGTGAGCACGGCCTTGGCCTGGTCGAGTGAGCGAGTCGCCTCGATGAGCTCGCCAGCCACCTCTGTGTCGCGAACAGACTCCTTGAACTCGCGCAGCTCGGCTGCGCCGGGGGCCTCTGACGCCGCGGTGATCGGCACGATCGTGCGTGATGCTGTGGAGATTGGCAGGATGTTGAGCTCGTCGTCCATTACCAGACATTGGCTGCACTTGCCGAGTGACAACAAGAAACGCTCGTTGAAGCGGCACACGACGTCGTTCTTCTCGTCGTCGTCGCGGAAGCGGCTGTGCACGTCCATGGCCATCGTATAGAGCTGTTTGAGCGAGGTCATTGTGCGCAGCAACAGGATGACCATGCCACCACCCTCGACCGTCTCGATTGTTCGCGCCAACAAGTTGGGAGTGATCGCTTCAAAGTCCTGCAACACCACCATGCCAAAGGTGTTACCCAAGATCTTATGAGTCTCGGAGTAATAAGTATATCTAATATTCGTCGTCGAGATAAACACATCGAATGGGTCCTCACCATTCGTCGTAGCTGTTCCATTAGCCTTCATTCTCTCCTTCATCTTTATCTTCTTTTGTTTGTATCTTTGGAGTTGATTGATTGAATGATTGAGTGAGCGAGTGAGTATGATTGATTGAGTGAGTGAGTGAGTGATTGATGTATATATATACGACATACTTTGAGAAGCTTAGCTCTTTCTTGTAACACCATAGTACTGTTGGACGTGCTTTGACAACAGACTTGGCAAGGATGTAGTGGAGGTTGGGTACTTGGTCCTTGCCATTGTCACCAACGATCACAAAGAATGAACGATGGTTTGTTGCAACTGCATTCTCAATCAATGTTCTAATCCTGTTATCAATCTTCTTTCTAACCATTGTTATTATTATATATTATCTGTATGATCACAAGAAATGAATGAATAAATGAATGATTGAATGAGACGAGAGTTTGAACAAGTCCTCGTTTTTTTAATTTTGCTCGTTTCTTTCAATTCTTTCAAAGTCCACGAATGATTGATTGATTGAATGAACTAATGGAGCGTGTGGAATCACAAGGAACTAAGGGATGATGCTTAGTTCTGCTTGGCCTTACCTTGGTTGGCAACAGCTTGCTGAGCGGCATGCAGGACACTCTCGTCAGCAAGGTAGTAGTGTGGCTTGATTGGCTTGAGGTCGGCGTCCAACTCGTAGACGAGTGGGATTCCGGTGGGGATCTCAACTCCGACGATGTCCTTGTCAGAGATGTTTTCCAAATGCTTGATGAGAGCACGGATACTGTTGCCGTGAGCGACAATGATCACCTTCTTGCCTGATTTGATCGATGGCGCGACAGTCTCGTTCCAGAAGGGCAGGAAACGCTCGACGGTGTCCTTGAGACACTCGGTCAGTGGGAGCTGCTTTGGGTCGACGTCCTTGTAGATTGGGTCGTTGACTGGTGCGCGGGGGTCGGTTGGCTCGAGGGCGGGTGGGGGCACATCGTACGAACGTCTCCAGACGAGCACCTGCTCGTCGCCGTACTTGGCGGCGGTCTCGGACTTGTTGAGACCCTGCAGGGCGCCGTACATTCTCTCGTTGAGACGCCACGATCTGATGGGAACGATATCCTTTTGGTTGAGCTCGTTCAAGATGATGTCCAATGTCTTGTTGGCACGCTGCAACACGCTAGTGTAGGCAATGTCAAAGTGCAAGTTCTCCTCCTTCAGACGTCTGCCTCCGTTACCAGCCTCTTGCACGCCCTTCTCTGACAACTCTACATCAGTCCAACCAGTGAAACGATTCTCCTTGTTCCAAGTGCTCTCACCATGACGTACCAACACCAATTTGAATGCTGCAGCAGTTGACATCTGATTGATTTGATATGATTGATTTGATTTGATTTGATTGTTTGATTGATTGAATATCATGGTCAATCAACAATCTACTGACTTGACTGATGACTTTGTCACATCCTGATGAATACTTACATTGAAGTAATATTATTATTATTAATATAAATATTATGATGTTGATTGATGAGTTGGAATAAAGTGCACTTTGTTCAAGTTCCCAACCCCTATCCATTGTGTAGATCACTTTAGCTCAAATCAATCACAATCACATCATTCCGGACTTCCAGAAGTTTCAAACTTTCGTTCGGTTCAGCTGTCCTGTATTCGTTTGAAACACTATTGATCATTAATGGTTGGTTGATAGTTTGATATATATATATAATGTTAACGTCAAGGATAATATCACGCTACTACTATACTACTACTAGTAGTATTAGTAGTAGTTCAATTCAATCATTATTAGGACATCAACTCAGAATTGGTCATCAATCAATCGTCACACCTCTAGTGCATCATCAATCATATACAACAAAAACAACAACAGCAACAAAGACTACGAAGACTACACCAAAGACAAAGAACAATTATAACTCATCATCATCATCATCATCACATTCAAAACCAAGGACCAACAATCCAATCCCAACTTCATCTTCACGGTCACAGACAAAGACATCATCATCAAACACAAACACAAGCACAAGGACTCATACTCCAAACTACAACAGCAACTATTATAATAATAATCCACAGCATAGATTACCCATTTCAATCAAAGAGATTGAGCAAGAGATACAGAGTGATCCAGAAGGAGAGGGTCCGATAATGTAACTATCACCAACGCACAAGACAACATATTTGCGCTTGACACTAACGCCACAGCCACTCCCTCGCCATGCCACACCACGCCACTCAATGGACACACTCAAACATACATTAGCTTCAAACAATACGCAAGGAATCTACTCAAACATAATAGACCAGATCATGCATTTCCTCCACTCGTTAGTTTGATCAATGGATTGGAGAGCGAGCACAAGGTCGCCTACACCAACTACTTGGCAAACTTGATAATGGAGGCTAGTATGTTCAACTTGGCGAATGACTTGCTGAGTCTGCCATCGAGCTCAATCCTTACATTGGACATTGTGATCTCAAAGCTGGTCGACCTGATCGATCGCTCGACTGACAACGAACTCTACAAACGATACTTGTCCTCATTGCTCGGTCGCGACTATCCCAAGGCCATCTCGATGCACACGTCCCTCTCCAGTGTCATGGTGAACGCCCACCTTGCCCTGGGCCAGGAGAAGAAGGCGATGGACCTGCTACGACTGCACGAGAACAACTTGCAGGCGGAGGTGAGCCAGGAGTTCATCTGGCCATTCAGCTACTTTATCGTGTACTACATCAAGCATGGCCGCCACGTGGAAGCGAGCACCTTCTTCCTGGAGCGCATCGTTAAGTACCGTTCGTTCCTCTCATCGAGCAAGTTCCCCTTCTTCCTCAAGTCGGTGCGTGAGGCCGGCCTCAACGAGCAGTACGTGCTGGAGAAGCTGCGCGAGCAGGGCCTGCTGGCCAACCCGGAGCGCACACTCGTGGGCAACCTCATCGAGTACTACTTGTCCATCAACAATCTGGTTCAGGCGCGACTCATTTACAACCTGTACCTCGATCAGAACAATGTTCCCTTCTTCAGGGCCTACGAGCAGTTCATGGAATATGCCATCAAGCGCGGCGACTATGAGTATGCCATGTCGTGGCTGCCCGAGATGCAGGCGGCCGGCTTCTTTGCGCCCATCACCTTGATTCAGCCCCTGCTCGACCTGCTCATCAAGCTGAACAAGACGCAGTACATCCCGCTGCTGGTGGACTATTACCGCAAGTTTGACAGCACGCAGCTGCCCATGGTTGCCAAGACCATCGTGTTGAATGAGTTCTCGCAAAACGAGCAGCGTCGCAAGTTTGCCCAGCAAATCATCACCGTCATGAAGCAGCGAAACATTGATGTTGGCACCACAATCAATTTTATCATCCGATTCTACTTGCACATGGACAAGTATGAGCACGCATTGCTCTGGTACGGACGACTCATCGAAGAGTACAATCTGCAGCCCAACATACACACGCTGTTCAGCTTCATCACGTATCACAAGGTGCACAATCAGGTCGAGCTCATGGATCATTGGAGCAAGCTCAAGCAGGTGCTCAATATGGACACGAGGCGCGAGCATGATATCAGACTGTCGCGACTGGCCATCGACAATGACGTGGAAACATTCGAGAATCGCAGCGAGTATAAGCGAGGCTCGCGCCCGCCCAACGACGAGGAGTTGGCCCTGCAGAAGGCCCTTCAGGGAACAGACAACGACGCTGTGAGGGATGCACTGGCCAAGGTGTTCAAGAAACCTGAGACCATGGACAAGAGGATACCATGTGGAACGTTGATGATGGAGGCTGCCATCAGGTTGCGCGCCAATGACAGCGCCAGCTTCTTGACGTTCCTCGAGCAACACTTCTGCTCAAGAGAGCATCGCGCCATTCTCTATCATCCAAACGACTACCAACAGCCAATGATGTATGATCTGGAGGCGACCTTGCGTAGAATGAACACGACCGCTCCATTCCATCGCAACAACATATTTTTCTTGAACCAACTACTCTCTGGTCTATGGTTCGCCGACAAGCCCGAGGCCAACAAGTTGGCCAATCGACTGTTGGACCACATGATGACCAACAATATCAAGCTACTCCTATCGCCCAACGGGATAATGTACTCCAAGTACGTCCTACTGGATAAGGAGCAGCGCGATGCTTTGATCACCGAGGAGTTGGCTCTCAAGATGTTCAACTTTATCAAGTCATTGAGCACATCGCCCAAGTTGAACGCAATCCAATCCCTTTCAACTACATTCGCTGCCGAGTACTTGTCATCACATGGTCAGATGGATGAGGCCAAGGAGATGTGGTCTCGATGCACCGATCTTCAAGTCGAGGCCATCTGCACGGGTATTGGTATTGTAGCTCACAAACACTCATTGACCAATGTTGGCCAGCTTGCCGAATGGGAGAGACTACTCCCCGGGCTGACAGCAGATCCCCAAAAGTTCTACTATGCACTGATACTACACTTTAACAAACTTGGCGACACGGACAACCTGACCAACGCAATCAACGCGACCTCTGGCATCTTCAACCCCAAGTACTTCACCATGGTTGTGGCCATGTTGGAGAAGCGACCAAATCATCTGGTGCAACTGATTGACAGGATGCAGAATAGTTACAGAGGTTATCAATTGCCAAAGGATACATTTGATGCAATCAATAGGGCAGTCAAGGCTGCCACCATCACCGTGGATGTGCAGAAGTTCCTAAAGATGATGGGTGAGGATCGATACCCGCCCAAGAAGGAAACATTCTCCGACTTTACCAAGCAGTATGTTGAGGACCTACTGGCCAAGAATTCCAACAGTACCATGGCTGTTGCAGCCGATGTTGTTGAAGGCAAATAAAGTGACATGTTACCCTGTGTTTCCTTTGTATTGGCGAGAGCATCTCCACAATGCTATTGAGGAGAGTGCATCATCATTTATTCCCATCTGTTGGGTTTGTAGTTGTTGAAGTTGTTGTAGTTGTTGCGCTTGAACCAACATATCAGTGAGTCAATGTCCTGTGTAAAGTGTGCGCCAAAGAGTGTAAGGAGAGAGGGGATGGGATAGTAATGCCCAAGTCAGCAGAGTAATGCAGAGAGTGAAGTGGTCGTCATGGAGACCTTGCAAGGTGCAGTGGGCATCTTGATCAGAAGTAGATGGGATGGTAGGGTGTGCTTCCATTGAGCCTCTTGGAGCAGATTGGACAGTTCTTCTTCCTCTTCAGAGCATTCTGTATACAGGCCATACAGAACAGATGACCACATGTCGTTGACACAACATTCTCTGGTTTCTCATAGCAGATTGGACATGAAGGTCTAAGCTTCTTCTTTTTCTTCTTGTTGGGGCTGGTGGAGCCATTTGATGACTTTGAGCCTGTTACCGATACCTTTGGCTGTGCCTCTTCACTCTTCTCTTTGTTCTCCTTCTCATTGTCCTTGTTGGCGGCTGATCCCTCGTCGTCTTCTTCGTACTCATCATCACTGTTCTCGTTCATGATACCTTTGAACTCTTCGCTATTTACATATGAATGAGGGTTGTTTGAGCGCACTTGAGGCTGCTGCAATGGTACGAATGGGGCAAAGGGACGAGGAGCGCGAGGATGTTGATGTTGTTGCGAGACCCATGAACTATTGTTGTTGGAGTACCACATGACGTCTGGGTTCTGACTGATGACATTGAATATGACCATATTGTTGTTGTTTCTTCGATTGCCATGGTTGTGACCATGAGCATGACCATAAATATCCTGGTACTGTGATTGAATAGGTCTGTTAGACATTGTCGGTGGCAATAAGAATGGTGGCAGTGTGTTCACTGGCACCTGCTCAACAGTGTCATCAGTTAAATCAATGCAACTAGATTATGATTGATTGATTGATCGAGTTAGTTAGTTAGTGAGTGAGTGAGTGAGTATGATTGATTGTCACGTCACAACTTACTCTGGTCCCTGTGATTGTGATTGTGGTTGGGCTGCTGCTTGTTGTCGTTGAAGTTGTTGTTGTTGTTGAAGTAGCATTTGTTGTTGTTGTTGAATTGTATTAAAGTATTGTTGACGTGATAATATGTAGTCCTCCTCTTCAAAGTCGTGTGCATGTTGTTGATTAAGTTGATTAATATGTTGATATATTCTAAGGTCCTCATCATCTTCTTCGTCGTCACCACCATGGTCGTTGTCATCGTCTTCATCATCGCTAAATGTATAACTACGGGATAAACCTCTTGAGGGCACTGGATATATTGGGTTCAAGTCACCTCCGACAACCACGAGGTCTTCGTCATCGAGGTCGATCACCTCGCTTGCATTACTATTGTTAATGCTACTCAGACTTGCTGTATTCTGTTGATGTTGATGATGTTGATGTGTGCCACTCTCATCTTTGATTGATGCTACTACTGCTGCATCATCAATTGCATCCAAATCAACTGAATCAATGTTTACATTTGATGATGATAATGACATTGATGTTGTTGGTTGCATTGATGCTGCTGTTGTTGTTGTTGTCTCTAATGATGTTTGATTTATGCTTGATAATGATTCTGCAGCATCAACTACATCATCATCAACATCTTCATTATCATTATCTAGATTATTATTATTATTGTTCGAGGATGTTGTCGTTGTCGTCGTCGTAGTTGTTCTTAAGTGTGTATCTGATTCATCATCTGCACAACCTTGTATGTAATGATGATCATTATGAGGATGTTGTTGTTGAATATTCGGATCGTCCATATTCATTATTATATAATAAATATAATAATAATTATCTCTCTTTTGAATGAATAAATGTAACAAAATGAAATATAAGTGATAATCCAACCATTCTGTGTCAAATCCAAATGTTTCTAGAATTAACAACATACAACTTGAGTGCAACCTGATGGGTGGAATCGAAAACAAAAGTTCCACTTCTTCGAGATTACCTAACTTCAACATTCACTTTCACGTGACTTCTTCATGAACATGTACTATATTAATATCTGTTGTCAACTACTTCAAATTCAACGTTGTTCATATAATGTCGATCAATCAATCAACTTGTATTACTAGTAAGTTTGCAAACAAACTACATCGTCATAAACACATGCTTTAAGGACTTGAACTCATCATCATCTGTTGTTGTCGTAGTTGTTGTTGTTGGTGATGCTGATGATGTCTCCTGTTGCCACCTGGTGAACTATGATGATGATAACTGTTGTTGATGGCTTGTTGATGTAGATTACTTGATTGTTGTTGGAGATGTGCTGCTGAACCGGGCTCACAGACACCGTTGCCGGCACGTGGTTTGGGTCGTCGCTCCATCACCCACACGACCTCCATGCCCTTGGGCAACAGACTGCCCTTGATCTCGTAGGACATCTCAAAGCCCATCTTCATAAAGAATGGTATCGAGCGCTGTTTCATCACCAGTGTCTTGCAGCCAACGTTGGCAAAGTCACTCCACTCCAACACTGGTGACAAGAGATATCTTCCAATTCCTTTGGATCGACTGTCCTTTGTAACGCCACAGTATGCCAAATGATATTGATGTGGCTGTTCTGATACTGCATGTGCCTTCATCAATACACAGTTCACAATCGACATCAACTTCCTAATCCTATAAGCATTCCTAATACCAAGCTTTGGTAATAGTTTAAACAATTTGCCCATGAACTATAATTGTGATTGATTGATTGGCGAGTGAGTGAATGAGTGATTGAGTGATTGAATGAGTGATCGAGTACATACCACTGGCACTCTCTTGCTGGCATTTGGAGGTATCCAACATGCTACTCCACTTAATACATTCTGTGAGTTGTAGTATCCCTAAAGATTGATGTCCAGACATGTTAGTTAAATTTCCAGAATGAATGTTTGATGGATATAATTACCCAAATAATGTAACCTTCTTTGAACATTATGTGTAGAGCTGCTGTGAAGAATATATTCCGGATGTTCAATCCATCGTCGTAAATGTCCAGGTTGTCTTTGGACACATCGTTCATGTTTCCAATACCCTCAAAGTCTGGTGAACAATCTGATTGTTTGCTTGTAATGCTGCTAGTGTCATTCATCATACTGTTTGTTCCAAGTCCGTTTATCCATGCGAATCGCGGATCCATCCTATATGCCTCTGCTAGCACAGCGGCAGCACGCCCCAGTTCACTCCTATCCAACTGCTTCCTCACTCCACCATGAAAAGTGATTGAAAATGTTGATAATGAAGCTGCTATCTCTGGTGATGGGTTTGGCTTTGTTGTGATCAATGTCGACTTTGTCTTGAATCCATCAAATATCTTATTCTGTAACACCAAGTCTATTGATGGTCTTGAGTCAGGATTCGGATCCAACATCTTCAAGACCATCTCGGCCAACTGTAAGTGTTCCTATAAATTTTGATGAATTGATTGAGTGTAAGTTATCGAGTGATGGTGGAATAGTTCCAAGGTAACTTACATGTGGGAACTCCCTTCTAAACCTTGATGGGTCGAATGTTCCGGCCAGCAACTCCTCGGCAATGCATCTTTTGGTTAAAGGTAACAAGTGGAGAGTGGTCATCTCATATATAATACAACCAAGTGAGAAAATATCTGCTGGTCTACAATATGAATTGTTGTTCAATATCTCTGGTGATGAATAGTAATATGTTCCTGCTATTCCTTTGACTGGATTCTCGAATCTTGTTGCCAATCCAAAGTCACCAATCTTGACCTTATAATCTGATAAGAATATGTTCTCCGATTTCAGATCGCGATGAATCACATGTGAATTATGTATCGATTGAACTGCCTGGCACAGCTGATAAATCCATCCATAAAGTATCTGATTGATTGATTGAGTGATGGAGTGAGTGATGGAATAGTTCCAGAAGTGATTGACCGAGTGAATTAGTGGTTGATTATTTGAATCGTTCCAGAGATTGATTGAGTGATTGATCGTGTGTTTGAGTGTGTGAGTATTGGAATGGTTCCTTTGAATGACGATCAATGATGAATAAATAAATACCTTTGATGGGATCAGTATCCTGGCCATCTTCTCTCCACTACTTCGTGTGATACTTGATGGTGATGTCGGTGAGACGGGCACTTCGTCTGATGAGATTGAGAATTCTTTGGGAGGCGGCTTCACTCCTTTGGACTTCCGGAACCATGTTGGTTTGGAGACAGTCTTCTTTGGTGATGGTGTCCTCTGTGCTCCATTGTTTGACATCTGAGGTGCCACAGCCGGTGATTGTTGAGGCGATGTAATGATATTTAGATGTAATGGTGCACAATTATATTGTTGCTGTATCCTCTGTATCTGTTGTTCACGTGATGCATGTCTGATCGCATATTCATCTGGAGTATCTGGTGTCGAAGGAGTTGGAGATGAAAGAAGTACTGGTGACATCATGCTAACCTGATCCAATCTTGGTATTGTGATTGATTGACCATTGGTAGTCTTGGCTTGGGATGTTGATGCGGTGGACATTGGTGGCGAGGGCAAGTATGAACTGCTGGATGTCAATGATGAGGATGATGATGATGAGTCGTAGGATGTTGAGTCGTAGGTGGTCTCAAACTCATCGGTGGCATATGAGTATGGCGGTGATGCACATGGTGGAGGAGTATCGCGATCCCTACATCGTATTGATGCTGGGCCTCCACCACCAGGTGAGTTTGAATTATGAGTTGTAGTATCCACCATTCCAGCCAATATTAAATTGATCATAAACTCCATCAGATCACCGCCATCACAATACTCCATCACAATACACAGATTATGAGTTGCTCCATTCTTCTCTATGAATACCTCCTCGAACCTAACTATACTAGCGTGTTGAAACTTGGCCAATGACATGGCCTAGGGGGGATCGGGTCAATCAATCAATCCTTCAATATTTGGAATCATTCCAATCCATCAATCAATCAAATTTTGACCAAACATACCTCGTTTAGACCTTCGTTGGCATCTTCCAGAGTTGAGAATGTTCGCTGCTTGATGACAAAGAGTTGATCGTTGTCATTCTTTTTTACAAGGATGGCCTTGGCTTCGCTTCCAACTCCAATAACCTTGACAACGGTATATTTGTTCATCGTCTGAGTTGTGTTTACTTGTGTTCAAGTCAAGTAGTTATGTATCTTGTATCTATCTATAAACTACTACTATCTCTACTATCTACAAATAAAGGGTTAAGCTAGAACTGAGAATGATTGATTGCTTGATTGATTGATTGATTGTTTGATGGATGGATGGATGGATGGATGGCTAGGAGATGGTCTTTACCTAACTTGGTTAGCTGATCGATAACACTCTTCATTCATTCTAATGATCACTCACTAAGAACATACAAGCAAGTGTGATGGATGACACACCTGAAACAGGGATATGTCGGACCACCCAAGTCAGATTGAGCTGGATTGGTACACCACATCACATTAATGCCAATCAAACATCAGCATCACATATCTTGGTTAGATCACCCGTTCCTGTAGTCGTCTCCTCCTTAAATGGAAGGATAAGGATAAGTGATTGATTGATTGATGGGTTGGGTGTGTTGTTGACTATGTGTGGCGTGAGTGTGTTGTTGTTAAGTGGTGCCAACACAAGTCGGCGACAACACTCTCACACACTCATCACCACCATCAGTCAATCAATCACATGATCACCCTTATAATGACCTTATTGTTGCTGATGTGACCATCCAGACCATTATGTTAAGCAACCTTGTTGCATGAATAAGAGAGAGAGAAGAGTTAGTTGAGGTCGTCTGGCGCAACATTGATGAGAGAGAGAGAGAATGGTGTTGTTGGACGGACGGACGATACGTGGAAATGGGGATGTGTGAATGTGAAGGTGGAAACGACGAACAACCATCCATCTATTCTAATCCATGGATTGTTGGATGGATGGATTGACGGATGGATTTTAATTCACAAACAGACTGATGGGCTGATGGTAGTCCGTTTCGACGGTTGGTCGGGTGCTTTTGGGATAACGGACGGACGGATAGTGATTCAATGTTCGTCCGATGCTGAACTGTATCCATGTCTCTGAGTGAGGAACACCCCTAGAGTGTCCTTCCATTGACGCTGACACACTCTTCAACACGACTCGATGTGTTGATTGAATGAGCCAGCTCCAATCCTTGATCGTCGATCAATCAATCTACTCACTGAGTCTTTGTCTTCTTGTGAACGCTGTTATCATCAACCTCTGATGATGTGGTCGATGTTGTTGAAGTTGAAGTTGAAGATGATGAAGTCGCTGATGATGAGTCCTCCTCTAAAACAGATTCCTTTCGCTTCAATGTGTTTGATTGATCGATCGCCGATTGAGCAACAGCTGTAGCATCTGTTGCAACTACAGGAGAGATGGTTGGCATTTTGAATGATATCCTCATCATGCGCTTGTTTGGTGACACGTCCCTGACCTCGATACACTCGGTGTCTGCAGGGAGTGGATGCTGGATGACGGCCTCGACGGCACGCTTAGTGGCCGCAACCAGGTCGTCCTTGTCCGAGATGAAGCAGTAGCAATGAATGGTTGGTGGCGGGATTGGCGCTGGTTGGTTTGGCTTGAGGAACACATCCCTAAAGACGTCGAGGAACTCGATCGATGTCGATGGCAGGTTCATGATGACGTTGTTGAATGGGATAGGTGGGTTGCGACTGACAAGGTCGCGAACAAAGTCGCGAGCATCCATGTTGGCAATCTCGACCAATGTCGTCGCCTTGTTTCTCGCAGCGTTCTCGCGCATATACTTGACGGAGCTTGGGTTGAGGTCGTTGGCATACACTGTGCATTTGCTCAGCTTGGCGGCGGGCACGGCGAATGGGCCAACGCCCGCAAACATGTCCATTATGACGTCGCTCTGACGGAACTTCTTGATTAGGTTGGTGTGCTCGTACTGCAGACGACTGTTCCAGTAGACCTCGGCAAAGTTGAATCGGAATAGACAATCATTCTCCTTGATCTCAGCCTCGAGGTCGTTCTCGCCGGCCAGCAACTCGTAGTTGAATGTGCGGAACACAGTGTCGATCTTGCCCACCTTGTTCAACACGGTCCTAATCTGCGGGCGCTTCTTATCCAATATGATCTGACCTATTACCGACTTGTATGGTAGCAGTTCAGCCTTTAGATTCAAATGAGCTATATGACCAATGCGTTCAAATGCATGAGGTATTGGCAAGTTCTCTGGCAACACACTCCTCATCACCTCCTCATAAGTGAAGTTGTTATAATTCAAGTCAACCTTATGATCAACAACCTCTATCTTATTAGTCTTTAAGAATGTTTGTAACTTCTCTGGTAGTTGTGACTCTGCGAGGTTGATTGTATTAGTCTCTCACAAACTCGCTCAATCAATCAATCAATCAAGTTAATGATACACATACGATTGGCAAGTGTCTCACTTAGTAGTACTAGTTTCTTATCTGTTGATTCGTTGGTGTCTATTATATGTTTGATCCTATCTCTTATGAATAGGTAACCTTTGAACTCTTGAGTCAATGTCTTTAGCATTGACTTGTTGACCAGTAGACCAACTATTGACAATGACCTATTAAACATCTCTTTATTGAGTACTGCCGTTGCTGCTGCTGTTGTTGCTGTACTACTCATATTCTCTCTATCTCTATCTATCTCTATCTCTTCTCACTTTTTCAAAGTCCATAACAAAATAACGAATTATTTCAATGATGTCACTATTATAGTTAATACTTTGTCATCATTATTGGAGATATTGTACAATATGGTAATATCAATCATATATTATGTAGATGTATATATAAAGATAAAGTAATGTATTTGAATCAATCTATAAATAATGATATAGTTGTAAATATCTGTATAAATTATTCAAAAATAATCAATAGTAAATTGGTGACGGGAGGTTCTCGGGAATTCCTGATGCTATTACCATTAAAGACTAATATTGGTACCAATTGAGAGAATGAATTATCAGTTGAGGGGATAATGGTGATCAGATTACAACATGTAGTAGGAAATATATTTCTTATACAAATTATTATTATTGGTTTACAAATAAGATCCCAGGGATACCCAGATTTCAATATGATTAACAAACAATGGCCTTTAGTAATCTACTCGATACTATCTATTGATGGCGATCTATGAAGGACTCAGATCAAAGTTAACTTTGTCCTTCCAAATATTTGTATTATTATTATTTTTATTAATATTAGGAAGGACATGTTACAAGAATATATTTGGTGAATGGTTGTTGATGTGGCTGGGTCTACAAATCAAAATCCGGAAAGGAGATTGGTCAATGGTAGAAGATAAGGTTAGTGATGTTAGAAGGGAAGTCCAAGAATAGAGTACTTAGGACCACCTTACTAATCAAGAATTAGAATCTTTGACGACTGTTGGACAAACAAAAAGACTTAAAGTGACGCACTGCGAGGGTTCGTCTTTTGTGTTCACTTCACTGATTGATTGATTGATTGGATAGCTGAATGATTGAAATTCAAATCTGTCGTCCTTCAATAAGTCCGTCGAGCAGTTAAGCTTTTAAGATTGATCCACCTAAAATATTATTAATAGAATATTTGAGGATGGATTCGCCAGGGGATCAGGATTGAGTCTCGATCTTAACTTCATCACTGATGGAACTTTATTGTTAACAACTAATGTATGAATGGTTGTTGGTAGTTAGGATATAATAGATGGAGGTTGATTATCTGATCCATCGCAAACAACAAACAACTGGTATTCCAGGTCCAAAGGAAGTGGAAGGTAATGGGGTGATGTAGTGTGGTGTGGTGTGGGATGATGACGATAACGATTGAGTCAGTGTGTTAGTTGTGTGATGTGTGTGAGGGTGCTGATCAAATAATTGGGTTGTGTGAGAGGGGCGAGATAGATCAATTACATCTACACACTCAATCATCACTGGCACTGAGATCTACAAAGAGAGGCTGCATTATCGTATCCGTCAGCCTGAACTGAAACCCTTTGGACGCAGCACGCCCCTTGCCTGGAGAATCAGCAACAGACAACAACAACACAACAACAACAACAACTACAACAACAACCTTGTTCTTTCTCCAAACAAACAGAACCTTCTGCTTGCCTGCTGCGGCCTGCCTCCATCTACACTACATCTTTGTTGTTGCATGTTGTTATTGATGTCTACCCCTCACATTCAATCACTCAAGCAATCACTCCTCTCACTCAATCACTCAATCACTCACTGATTCACAAACAAACAGCTACAGAGCGACGTAAACTTACTCACCAATAACTCAGTGCATCGAGCTCGGAGGCTTCGCGGATTGGACAGTGGATGGCAGACGGATGCAATCCATCTTGCATCAGATTTAAATCATATAATGTGTATAAATGGGTACATAGGCTAGGCTGTGTGTGTTGACCTTGGTCTGGCAACGCGTGGTTGGGTGATGCAGTTCCAAGGTGCAAAAAGGAGGAGGAGAAATCACGTTGATCAAGCTCCAAGTACTTGTGACGCCTAACACCAACCTATCACTATCCTATCGTATCGTATCAGTATCGGTATCGTATCCAACAGGCCATCCAAGGGCCATCACTAACACTAACACTAACAATAATAACTTTAGATTATTTGATTTGTCAACAGTATCATCAGTCATCATAACCTTGATCCAAAGTACAGTTAGTTGATCAAACATTAACTAATCGTCGTCGTCGACATCATCAACATCCACATACTCATACTCATCAATCACTCATCACAAACTCAGTCACTCACTTCACTTGTTGTTGATTGTTGTCAATATATCTATCTCTTCATCCAACAACACACACTCGCACGCTCAATCAATCAAACACATAAACACATTAACACACAATCATAGATATATATATACATCAACTCACTCACTCTCTAACTCAATCACTTTGTTTGGACAAATATATACCGCATTGCATCTCATCACCCGGTTGTGTCTGTTGTTGGGTAGTTCCATTCGCGGCATTTCACTCACATTCACCGCCAGCCAGCCACAATCCAGCCACATCCAGTCAACTTCCAGCTAGCTTAGCCAACCAGTCTAAACACCGTCCAGCCCCCGATCCATCCGGTCAACCATCATCCAACACACACATATATACATATATATACAACAACAACAACATAAACATACAACAGGACCTCCTAAACAAGTCATCATCAGCCAGCGACTCGGGACCCATTCTCCACATCTGCACCGTCCATCAATCCATCACACCAACATAGCTCATCTCATCGCTCCTCCAGCTTCCACAATATTTTTTGTTAAATACCGGACTAGCATCCATCTATCCATCCACCAACCAGCATTCATCTCTTAGTCAAAGGACGGAACAAAGACTTGTAACTCATACCTTGTACAATATAATAATAATAATAATAATATAATATTATCTCTCCAACATCCCATCATCATACATATATGTATATTAATTAATTGATTGAATCATCCGCATCCTTTAAACATTTATCCGCCACGGTCCATTCCTTCAATTCAATTGTATTATAATATTATAACCAACCAACATGTATGTATCCGCTCTCTCCCTTATGTTTGATTGATTTCTGATCGATGACTAATTATCCCCGGCCTGCCGATCCAACCCTTCCTCTCCCTCACCCTCACTTAATCACAAAGACTGACTGCCTGACCTTTCCTGAGCCGATTGGGAAACTGACTACGTCTCTGCCACGGAACCCTTGCCTGCCTGCCATCCATCCAACCAACAATCCATCCAACCATCCAACCAAGCAACACACTGATCAAACAAAATGATTGTCTCTCCATCCAACGACAAACTCAATATTATTCCCTCGATGAGGATAAAGAATATCAACTTGTCTAATATATCCTCGCCAAACTCGTTGTCTTGTCCTTCATCTCCCAGCTCAACAAGCTATAGCGCCAACCTAGCTGGCGGATCATACACTAGTGGAGGAGTCAACTACAACTTCAGCCTCAGCACACCACCCTTCTCATCAGTGCCATCATCTGGCATTAACAACAACATCAACAACAATAACTACAGCCTCATTGGACAAACAATGTCTGGCATTGGATCATCATCAGGCCTAAGCTCTCCATCAAGGAAGCAGGCTCAACTCTACAAGGACTTTTGCGCCAGATATCTGACGCTGTCGTCCCTAACAATCCGTCTGTCATCATCACAAGAGTTGGTCACTATTTCCGAAGCACTCAAACTTCGCCACTCAATCTCCACATTGAATCTAAGCCATAACAAGTCTATCAAGGACTTGGATGCCTGGATTGCATTTGGCTTCGCCCTGAAGATGCCCTCGCAGACCATCACCAACCTGGACCTCAGCCACAACTACTTGGGTGCAGAAGGCCTGTCTCCTATTATATCGGACGTTATCCGCGCCAACAAGAGTCTGACCTGGTTGAACCTCAGCTTCAACAGTCTGGACCAAGACGAGAACCACTCCATACTGGAGGCCCTGGTGGCCAACCAGACCATCACCCATTTGGACCTATCATACAACGAGTACCAGCTGTCCTCCGATGTGTCAAAGCGTCTGTGTAACTACATCGCCACGTCCAAGTCGATAGCAACCCTCAACTTTAACAACAATAGTACTCGCAACCCACTCCGCGGACTGCCTGCCGCCATTAAAGCCAACACATCTCTAAAGTGCCTTGACCTCAGCTCTATGACCTTTGCCGACTCTGATGCCCACGATCTGCTACGTGCTTTGCTAAACTCTCCAACAGTCGAGTCAATCAAGCTGTTCCACAGTGTGTTGTCCACATGTAATATGCCATTGGGTGATCGCATCACCGAGGCACTGGCCCTTCGCTACCAAGAGCATGACTTGATTGAAGATGAGAAGCTGCGCGACTCTCTTCAGGGCAGTCCACGTTCATCCACACTGTGCGAGATCCATCCCCTGACCTACTTGAACATTGGAGGCATCAACTTTGGTCGCAAGGGCTTCGCCGCTTTCCTTGACATCTTTAGTCGCAACCAAGATATTGACAACCTGGACATAAGTGCCAACCAATTGAACGAGGCAAATGGTGAGGAGCTGGCCAACTTTATCCAACTCAACGAGTCCATTCGCACACTCAACATTAGCAACAACGGCCTCTACGAAAAGACTGTGGCCATTGCCGACGCACTCAAGAACAACCACTCCATCACCAACCTCAACATGTCCAACACTCGCTCTTCCAACCTCATTGGCAAGGTACTGGCTCGTGCGCTGCCACTCAATCAGACACTGACCGTCCTGGACATCTCGCGTACCAAGTTGGGTCCTGGTGGCCTACTTGACTTTGCTTTGCAACTTGGACTCAACAATATCAAGCTTGAGTACCTCAACTTGGACGAGACCGACCTGGGTGATCGTGGCACCGCCCTCATAGGTGAAGCGTTGCTCACCAACACAACACTCAAGCACCTGTCACTCAACACCAACTCGATCAAGAAGGACGGCGCCAAGAGTCTGGGCAAGGCTCTCAAGAAGAACACAACACTACAAACTCTCCAACTTGGCTACAATCAGATTGATGTTGGTGGTCTCAAGTCCATTGCCAATGGTCTGAAGATCAATACCAAGCTGAGTGAGCTATCGATCAAGAACAACTTCATCCCAGACAAGGGTGGAGTTCAGCTGGCCGAGTCGCTCAAGAACAACAGGACACTGGAGGTGCTCAATCTGCATGGCAACTTGTTTGGCAACAAGTGTGGCATGGCCATCCTCAAGTTGCTCTCCCACAACCACACTCTGATCACAGTCGATGTGTCTCACAATCAGATCGAGAAGGAGCTGCAACAAGAGATTGGTGCTGCCTATCGCAGGAACCAGTACATCACCTCAATGAACATCAGCCAGAGTGAGATGGAGTCAATCACAGACAGCCCACGCTTCTTTGCCAGCCCCAACAGTGCCATCCATCCGAACTACAGCACCGACTCACTCACACACAATCAGATCAAGTCATTCCTGGCCAAGGGTCACCTGTCGCCTACGCTATCATGCTCATCTTTGCCCAATATGGCCATTGCCACGTCTTCAACGATGCCAGCATCTGCACTGCCCTCGCCCACCTCACCACCTATGTCGACATCGTTCTCTGCGTCCTCAAGCTCGCCATCGTCTTCCCCTACCACCAGCCACCTACAGTCATCATCCTCTCCCTGCCTGACGGATGGACATAAGCAGCCCTCACTCATGCGTCGCCATGCACCCATCCGCAAGGAGATGTCAATGACATCGATACTCAGTGGACGCGGACCACTCGCCGCCAGTGCACCTGCCATCACACAACATACCCAGTCAACTGGCAACTGTTCACCATAATATATACCTGTTGTAATTAGTAATTATAGTCCCCTCGCCTTCCAAACAAGCTATACACCATCCATCGTGATCAACTCCACAAGTGTCATTGTTAGACTCAATGACATGTCGTGGGCTGGTATGATGGATCGACCACTACCTTCTTGGAAGCTGCTCCAACGAGCTAACCTTGTAATAAATTATACTCTTTCATTCATTCATTCACTTGACCTTCTTGTCTTGTCTACCTCCAGCATATCTTCATACTTTCACGTCTTCACGACATACGTGGATAGTTGGTTGTTGCTCTGCAAATGGGCCTCTTGCCTCCCATCCGCGAGCCATAGTTTGTTTATTTACAACACTAATGAGTGATACAAGCTAGATGTGTCCATCGAAACCTTCGAATGAATCTGATCTGCCTTCTTCAGAGTGTGCGTGGATGTCCATGTCGCCAGGTGCCATGCTTGACTCGACTGATGGCAGTGGCTGAGACATGAAGCTGGACAGGTGGAAGAATGGTCCAAACGAATCACGTCGCTCCAGTTGATTCCAATCGACATCATGGAACCATGCGTGGTTCTTGATCTCAACGGCATCCAGCTTGGATCCCAATCGCTTGTCGGGATCATAGTGCAACAACTTTTGAACGAGGTCTTTGCAATGATGTGGGAAGCCCGAGGGGAAGTCCACGATGGCCGACTTTGCATTGCCTCGAGCGCCCTCCAAGAAGAAGGCAATATTGCTTTGTGAGTTGTTGTCATTGTCTGGATCCAGTGAGAATGGTGGGTAGCCTGTTATCAGCTCATACAATACGATGCCGACAGACCACCAATCAGCGGCCTTGCCATGTCCCTTTGACAACATGATCTCAGGTGCCATATAGTCCAATGTTCCGCACATGCTCATTGTCCTGTAGGTGCAAGGTATGTTTGTTAGTGACTTGTCCGAGGCACATCATCGTAAGTGAGGTACATACTTCTCATCAATCCTCTTGGCAAAGCCAAAGTCTGCCAGTTTGATGTGGCCATAGTTGTCGACAAGTACGTTCTCAGGCTGGAGTGATTGAAATGTGTGAGTGATGAGTGAGACGCAAGGGCCAGGTCTAAGGATATACATACCTTTAGATCACGGTAAATGATGTTCTGTCTGTGAAGGTACTCAAGTGCCAGGACTATCTCAGCAATGATGAGCTTGGCAGTCCTTTCCTCAAACTGCATCTCTGAGCGAATGTAATTGAAAAGTTCTCCCTTGCCAACATACTCCATGATGAAGTACAGGAATGAGCGTGTCTTGAATGTGGCGAACCTAATGACGTTGATTGAGAGGTTAGTGGATGTATGTCGCATGGTTGAGGTTGACGTATACATACAGCTTGACAATGAATGGGTTGGAGATGGAAAGCATGATGTTCTTCTCATTGAGGATGTGCTCGATTTGTTTGGAGTTGGTGATGCGACTTCGGTTGAGCACTTTGAGACAGAAAGAGATGTTGGTGGGAAGGTGTCGATAGAGACGGACGGTGCCGAACGAGCCAGAGCCAATCTCGGACTGGAATGTAAAATGTGACAGCTTGACAGAGGCCCAATCGATCTGATAGGGGTTGGCACCCGTGGCAGTGGCAGTGTTGCTGGTCATGGACAGAGGCAACATTGGGGGCGGTGACGGAGATGGCGTGTACAGCATCAGGTGGTTCATGGTCGTCTGGATCGCATCATAGGACGCGTTGAGATTAACGTGGTTGTGATGGATGTGTTGAGGGTGATGGAGATGATGTGCAGACATGTTGTGATGGTGATGATTGAGCATAAAAGGATGGCCAACGACTGATGTCATTGTTGTCGGGTATGAGTTGGCCACTGTGTGATGTTGATGTTGATGATGATGTTGTTGTTGTTGTTGTTGGTGATGGTGGGTGGGCTGGAGGAAGATTGGCGTAGACTGTCCGGAAAATGCTTGGCTGGCGGGCGACTGTGGCACCTGGATGGCCACAGGCTTGGAGCTCATCAGGGGTCTATTTACATAGGAGGCGGATGAGGACGAAGCCATACTTGGCGAATAGTCGTCCAGCATGAAAATTGGAGGAGGTCCCGCTGTGGCGGCGACGGCAGACGAAAAAAGTAGGTTGGAGGCGGCGGAGGCAGCACTGGCGACATGTCCAGGGTGGTAGAAAAATGGTGGAGGTGGCGAAGGTGATGGATTTGGCATACCATGCATTGGCTGCATCATTGGCGATGACAATGACATGTGTTGAGCTTTCTGAGCAATAAGTGTTGGTGACACTATTGGCGTGGGGTATGGCTCAGCCTTCTTTGGTTTGGTCTTTGGTGATTTTAAGCTATTATTATTATTGATGTTGTTAATGTTGTTGGCGGTGTTGGTGGTGTTGTTGTTGTTGGACGTGGTGTGTTTATGTTGATTGGACATTGGAACGATGCTGCCAGTGCTAGTGCCAGGGAAAAAGTATGCTTGTGGAGGAGAGATTGAGGAGCTTGGGGAAAATGTTCGAAGTGGCGGAGATGGTGAAGGATTTACAATATTGACAGGATATGATGGTGATGTCATGGAAGTAATGGATCCGTTACCAAAGCCAGAGTTCAAAAAAATTGCGGTAGGATGATGTGGATGTGGTTGGAAATGTGGAGTTGTGGAGGATGAGGAAGAAGAAGAGGAGGAAGATGATGATGGAACAAGTTGTTGATGTTGGTCCATGATGGTGGATGTAGAGGTAGAGGTAGAGGTAGAGGAAGAAAATGTCGTCGAGGAGGATGAAGCGGAGGAGGATTGAATCGGCAGGGCTGAAGAGTCAGAGGCAGCTGATGCAGAGCCCTCCTTCTGTAGCTTATATTTATGAATGGATTCAACGAAAGAATATAATATTGACTTGGCAACCTTGATCTGTGACTTGACATTGAATACCTCATCATTATCATTAAGTATCTGTTATTGTTAGTGAGAGTGTGTGATAAATAATGTTAATTTATGGGATGGAATAATTCCATAAATGGTTTGTTATTTTTGGAACTTACATTGACAAGATGTTCCAGGTTTGTGAGTGAGTTTGTTGATAGACTATACAGTTGGTTGACATAATCTGAAGAGACATAATAATTTGGAAGACCTGGATTGCTTGAATAAAGTGTCATATCCTCGCATTGTCTATTGTGGCTGAATAATTGAAATGATGGATGTGGATTATTAGTATTATTCGTATTATTATTATTATTTGGATGTCCAGACATCAATCCAATCTTAATCCTAATCATACTTGTGATGTTGGTGGAATGTGTCCAGACTTTGTTGTTGATAGTTGTGGACATGTGATAGTGGTGGTGAACTGCTTGGCTCCATCAATGTATTTGGTTCGTCAATAACGATGGTGGCATCCATGATGATTGTCGTCTAGGTGGCCCTGCTTGGGTGTCAGTCCTGGTTGTCAATTGTGATTGGATTTGGATTTGAATTGATTGATTGATTGATTATGTGTGTGTATGTATGTATATTGGATTATTGTATCGGTCACGTGGATTGTAGAATGACTTCTTGAACAACAACAATCAATCTCAAAGTTGACATCAGAGTAGGAAGAGGGGTGGATGTTGTTGGACCTTCACACTCGTCCGTGTCGTCGTGTCGGTAACCCTTTGATTGATTGATTGACTGACTGAGTCGAGAGTGTACCTGAGCTGAACCTGTATGAATGAATGGACCAATCCAAGAAGCCAATCCAAGCCAATCCGGGTAGGGTCTATTAATTAGAGGTATGTATGAAAGCGAGAGAGTGTGTGTGTGTGTGACGGTGTGAGGGAGTGAGATTGTGAGAGCAACAGATGCCGTTATTCCTGGCACCAGGTATGAGAGGTCCTTTAACAGACGACGAATTGATTGATTGTTTGTTTGTTTGATTGTTTCGATTGTGTGTTTGTGTGTGAGAGGGTGTGTGTGTGTGTGTAGTTTGTGGATTGGGCTGCTCGGAGCTTAATCTCGTCTGTTCTGGCGGAATAGTTGCATCAATCGCCCTCTGTCCTTGAACACACATACACACACAAACAAACTAACATCATTCATTCAATCAACCAATCTATCTAACATCCATACAAGGTGGGAATTATCATAAAGTTTTAACGGCGTGCTGCTCACGTATTCAATCATTCATGCTCTGAGGCACAGAGATAGACACAAACCTTGTGTGTAAATCGTCAAGGTTTGTAGGTAGCTAACTTGGTGAGTGAGATGAATTTGACTGAATTTGAGCGATGCATGCACATCGATATTTAATAAATGGATGGGCATTGTAGCATCATCAGTACTGTCTGTCAGTCAGAGGTCTCGCGTGTCGTGGTTGAGGCGTGTCATTTCGAATTTATTCGTCTGGGCTGTATGGTGCAGTGTGGTTTTGAAAGCCCAACCCCTGGACCACCACACACAAACGATCACATTCATGTAGGGTGGGTCACATGAAACATAACAATGTTCGTCAGTGTGTGTTTTTTTGTTTGGAATGATGGAGAGACGAACTATGTTCCATCATCAGGTCGAGATGGTTTGTTCAATCCCCATCACCCCTACCCTATCCTACTTTCTACCAAACCGACTAACTCAATTTTAATCCCAAAGCCAAGACAAAGGCCGCAACCCTGCCCATAAGTACTCACACCCCCTATTCATTACCAGATCAAGGATCAACCTCTCTTCACATTGAATCTTTGATTATGTTTGTTTGCCCAACGAGAATCTAAATTTGGGCCCATACATACCCATCAATCATTCCAAACAAACACACTCACCAATGTATTTGATTGATCAGTGGCCCCATCAAAGTAATCAAGTTTCTTTGCATGTATTACTTACACGTGATCGTCTTTGCGCGTTGCCAAGACCATGGACCGTCCGTGTGAGTGAGAGAGCGATATGATGTGATGTGCAAGGTCTTTCTTTGTTAATGATGTTTATTTGTAGCTTGGTGCAACTTCATGTGCTCCTTCCACATTAACGATTGGTGCTCTGGCGTGCAAAAATAGGTGGCGTAACCTGTCTTGGCGCAATGATTGCACTCCAAGATCGACTCTTCGCCACAATAACTAAATATGTGATTGATTGAATGATGTTGATAGGTGTTTGGTTGATGGGCAAGTCAGGCAAGCATGTAGTAGTATGACCAGATCGAATTGATTGATTGATTGATTGATTGATTGTGGAATGAATGAATGATGGGTCAGTGAACATGTTAACAATCCTAATCAAAGAATATCCTTATTGTGGATCATGGGTTGCATGCATTGGCATTGCCAATGAATGAAGAATAAGAATAACTTACCAACATGGTCTTTGTGGTGGCGCATGGGAATACCTGTACTTCTCAATGACGGCATCACGAGCCCTCTTCTTATCCTTCTCAAATTGGTCTTGGATCTGTAACTGTTGTAGTTGGTGCTGTTGTTGACCCGATGAGAATGCAGAGCGAGGATTGATGCTTGGTGTTGTTTGTGTGGCGACTGATTGACTCTCTTGTTGATACTGTTGGTGTTGCTGTTGTTGTTGTTGTTGGTGATGAATGCTGGGCGTGTAGTAACCACCTGAATACTGATGTTGTTGTTGTTGCTGTTGCTGTTGCTGTTGCTGTTGTTGTTGGTAGGGAGTTGATGTAAAGTGATTGTAGCTATTACTGTTGGATGTCGATGTTGTGCCGTTTCCGACGGACGTGGATTGCAGGGAGAAGTCTGGTGTCGCCTGGAAGATGCTTCCAGAGGTGAACAATGAGGGTGTGTCGGAGAAGTAGTTGTTGGTCGATCCACCAACGCCAAACGATGAAGAGGGCCAGCCGCCAAACAGCGAGTCCTGGGGATGCGCGGCAAACGCCTGGCTGTGACTGCTGTGGAGCGAGTGTGAGTGGCTCGCGGTGTCGAGGTAGCCGTTGGACGTCGAGGACGGGCCAAAGTTGGAGAACACGCTGTAGAAGGGGAATGTGCCTGAGCCATTCATCGTGGGCGTGCCGGTGCCAGTCGACGAGAGGTAGTTGGCCGCTGCCGAGAGCGAGGGTCCTAGTATCGGTGAGCTTGTCAAGGTCGAGTTGTTCATGATGGGCGGTGATGGTGAGGCTGATGCAGAGGCTGATGCCGATGCAGAGGCAGATACAGAGGTGGGCGTCGTCGATGAGGTGTTGTTGATGTTGATGTTGCTGTTGCTGTTGTTGAGAATGTTCGCGGCAATCTGAGGAGGGATGACACTGCCACCGAGGCCGCTGCTCGCGATGCTGCTGAGGAGTGGACTGACGGTGGAGGGCTGTTTGGACTTCAAGCTTCCACTTGTCTTTGGTTTGGATGCTTGATTTAAGGTTGGGTATTCGTCTTCGGAGAGTTCAGTCTGGGGGTGGTGAGCATTGCTGTTGCTGTTGCTGCTGTTGTTTAGTGAGGTTACGTAGTTGCCAGTGTTGCCAGCTGATTGATTATGGTTTAAGATAATAACCGCACTGGAGAGCAACTGTGTAAAAGAATGTTGTTGTTGATTGTTGACTGACGCGGTGGAGGTGGAGGAAGGAATCGGTAAAGGTAGCGGTGCAGGGGCTAAAGGAGGTGTTGTGGCTACAGGTGTCGATGATGGCGTGACAGTGGCAGGTAGTGGTGGAGAAACTGATTGTACAACAATTGGTGTCTGAGTCTGAGTCTGGGAGGTTGGTGTCTGAACGCTTGGTGCTTGAGCGGTGGCGGCAGGTACTGAAGCCTGAGCCTGTTTAGATGGGGTGGCCGCAGCGGCAGAAGGGACGACTACATCTGGCTGCACTGTAATCCTTCTCTTCTCCTCTGGCTCTCTCGTGGTGTAACTGGTCTGAATGGTGAGCTTCTTGGACTTCTTGCCCGGGACGGACCACGAGCCATCGTTGCCAAAGTCCGAGGCTGGATAGGGCTTCTCGCACATGGAGCAGTTTGGCGTGATGGTCTCGTTGATGAACGTGCACAGGCCACAACGCCACTGACCCGCCTTAAGCGTGATCTCCTCCTCAGGGTTGCTCTGGGGCGACGGCGAGTCGCCATCGGACGAAGCGTTCAACTTTGAGCGGTAGTCGTTAAAGTATGCGTCAGAGAGTGGTGCGCCGTACTCAGAGATCGAGTCGGCCATCGACTCGAGCTTGGGCAGTATCCTATCGAGCTGCTGTAGCAGGCGGTCGCGGTTGGACTCGGTGATCGTGGGTCGCTGATCGCTGTTAATGCTATTGAGCACGTCCATCGAGACGACGGAGCCGCGTGTCGTCGACAGCGTCTCGGTGTGAGTGATGTAGGGCATCTCCTCGATGTACACAATCGCGTCGACAACCTGGTGATGGAAACGGATGAGTGACTTTTGTGCCGTCGTCAACTTTGACGCAATCTTCTCGTCCAACGATGAAGATATTCCATTGTTGTTACTCCTGCTGTTGTTCTTGCGTGTAGGTATCTTTAACTCTTTGAACTCTTGTATGCCTTGTGATGATTTAGTGAGTGAGTATGTTTGATCAATCGATCACATGACCTCAATTGTTTAGAAACACATACTGGCTCTTAACTTTGATAGCCTGTCTTTGACATGGCGTAGCTTGCAGTTCCTCTCGAGAAGGTCGAATACTTGTTCTTCGGTGAGTTCGGCATCCTCCTTGGGCAACAACTGTGTCCATTCGTTCCAAATGCCTGTAATCACATCGTCGATCTGCATCTCCATGAGCTTTCCCCTTCGCTTGGCCTGACATGATCGGTTCTTCAAGTTCCTGTCACCCAACACGACCAAGCAATCGGACTTGGAAGTAGTGATTATCTCTGCTAAGTTCTCTGTCTTTATCGCTATTATGTGTCACGTGTCAGTCTCCATTCGATCAATCGATCATTCAAACAAATACTTACATTGTCCATACTCCTCAGACTTGAGGTTGACATCAAAGCCACCCTCGAGGAACAGGCTTTGGACTTCTTTGGCAAAGCGGAGTACTCTGGTGTCGGTGGCAAAGAGGACGACCACTTGAAGGAAGGGACGACGACCGAGCATGCGTGATGGGTTCGATCGACACTGCATCGAGACAAAGTCCTCCGAAGAAGACGAGTCGTCAAGTGACAGTGCGTTAAGTGGTAAAGGTAATGGAGGTTGATGTAGTTGTACGAGACCAGGTGGTAGAGGCAGTGGTGCTGGCACATTGCCATTCATCAGTCTGCCTCCAATGAGCTCTGATATCAGTGGTGTTGTTGTGGAAGATGATGATGATGATGTGTTTGTTGTTGGTTGGGTTGATGAAGCTGAAGAGGAGGAGTAAGTGTTGTTGTTGCCATTGACATAACCATTGGTATGACCATTGCTGTTTCCATGACCATTGATATAACCATTGACATTATTGTTATTATTGTTGTTGTTTGTTGTGCTATTACTATGAGTGAATCGACAAGAGTCGCCCAGTTTACATGTTCCTGACTTATAGTATTTACAAATGGCAGGTTGATACCTTGATGATGTATAAACACTCCCGCTATTACTACTACTACTATTACTATTACTATTATTACTGTTATTATTACTATTGTTGTTGTTGCTATTGCTATTACTATTGCTATTACTACTACTACTACTGCTACTACTACTACTTGATAGTGTAGCGATTGTAGCCATTATATAATATATTATCTATCTATATCTGTATCTATATCGTACGTACGTAATATAACTGTTTGGATCTTTGAACAATTGTGACTTTGACGTGCTTCAAGCATGACTTGAATGAATGAAGTTTTGTTGTTGTTGGGTTCCCAACTACTTTCTTTCTTTCAAATTAGTTTTTTCAAAAGGAAGCGAGTCGCTTCCCAACCCTTACCCTTGCCCTAACCCTTGCCCTTACCCTTGCCCTTGCACTTCTATGTTTATATGTCATTGTTATACTTTATTTATATTCTATTATTATATTCTATATTGTTAATATTGTTGTTGTTCTATGATATTCTATTCGTTCAGGATGGATACAATGTCTTTGAATTTCGGTAGCATGTTGTTGTTGTGATGGGAGGAAGAGGATGTCTGAGCGAAGTGGTGGAGGTCAATGTCTGACATGGTTAGACCCCATGGTAAATCTATGTTGGCAGTGCCTACAGATGGCAGTGGTGATGACTTGATCGATGTGTTGTGGTGACCCATATGTTGCTGTTGTTGCTTGGGTTGTTTGCGGTATGGATGGTGAAGATTGATCGATGACATTGATGATGACATTGATGATGATGAGGATGATGACTTCTCTGGAGAGAGACTTGATTTACAGGAGGAGGGCAATGTCGATGATGATGAGGACAATCCATTGGGTACATTATTTACATTTGGACATGATTCGTCCATGGTCGGGATGTCTGACATCTTGGCCGACTCGGTGAATGGATCAACATTATACTTTAGACGCCAGAATCCATTCTGGCCAAGTACATCTGATCCAGACTCAAATACATTCTTACTATGTGATAACTATATATGTTTGATTGACATGAGGTTAGTATGTTGATGTGAGTTGATGAATGGACAGATTCCAACACATACCATATCTTGAATCTGTTTGTGCCAGTTGTTTGACTTCTTCTTGTCCAGACCTAGCTGGTCCCAATGGGAGGTCATGAAACTATATACATCGGACTTGAGCGAGAAGAAGGCCTTCTCGGGAATGGCATCGGACAGGGTGTAGAAGACAACCTTCATGATGGCCGCCCAGGTCGGGTTGCGCTCCAAGATGGCGGGCTTGCCCTTCTTACACAGTATGCAGTTGTTGTTGAATATACATGGTTGGTTGACCACGGGTGGCTGGTGGCGGTGTGGCGACGCGGTCTTTTGCTTCTTGGCAGGGGGTGACATGTTTGGATGGCCTGGTGTTCCGGCCACCGCGGCCAGAGGGCTGCGTGGGTGTGAGTTGTAGTCCATCGAAGAGGACTTTGCGGCAGGCGATGATGAGCGCGAGTATGTCGATGATGCCGATGACAGAATAATGTTGACCTCATCATCCTCCTCATCAATAGATTGTCCACGGGGCACACATGACAGCGAGTTGTTCAATGAGTGTGAGTGGCCGTGCGATTGGTGCGAGGCGGTGGCGAGCATGGCATGGTGTGGGGATGAGAATGGATCATCCTCGTCTTCGTCTTCCAGCAGGGAGTGCACGCTGAACTTGTCTGGGCTTTGGAAGGGGTGGGTGGGGACGTAAGGGAATGACTGGTTCAACTTGGTTGGCGACGATGACGACGACGAGGAGGAGTTTGGCACACTGGACATTGAGTTGGTCGAGCGTCTGAATGCCTGTTCTCCACATGCCATTATCAATTCGATCGTTGGAATCTTTGTTGAGGTTGGTGTTGGAGGTGATGGGTGCTGGTGTTGATGATATTGTTTCTTTGGAACGATTTGTGGAGGACTGCTAGTGTCCTTGTCCTTGAACAATGTGAGTACCTGGCAAGCATACTCATCCTCGTTGGATTCCAAACAGGGTGATTCCCATGGTGAACTATTATTGTTATTGTTATACTTCATTGTTGTTGGATATTAATTAAATATTATATTATTAATTTATATATTTATAAGTTTATATAATCTAAAAAATAATATTTTGGAGTTAATAATTAATATTTAGTCAATGAGTGAGTGATCGAGTGAGGCCTTGATGATTGATTGATTGATTGATTGATTGATAAGAGTAGGACGAAAGGTAATAATTAATGTCCAGCCAACGACGACAATATTGTTGTTGTTGGATGATGGAGTAATAATAATAACACACACACACACGATAGAAGCAGCAGCAGCAACAACGACAACGAGTTATTTGAATGGTATCAGGGATGCACAATGGGAGGGCGCAGAGTCAGTTGGTCCAGCGCACTCGGGTCAATCAATCAGTGTTTTAACGTGATGAGTGGAGGGATGTGTTTGTTTGATTGATTGTTTGAGCGTGACGCTGATGCCGAGCTGGCCGTGTGATGGTTGTTGGCTGTTGGGTCGACAGGCTGACTGGTTACGGTTGAGTTTAAAATGACTTCTAAGCAGCACCCTGCAGCTGCTACGAATAAATGTGATTGTTTGTTTATGTGTGTGGATGATGGATGGATGGAGGGTGGATGGTGGATGGTGCTGGAACGTACTTGTTTCGGTATGTGCTCTCTGCAACTGGATATTAGTGTGAATGAATGAATGAGTCACACAAATGTGTATCTGTTTCCAAGATATATATAATTAAGGTGTTGTTGTATTGTGTTGTGTTGGTAGGTGGTGGGTGGTAGTTGGAGTCAGCTGACTGCGAATGTGTGTATGTATGTTTGATTGATTATATGTATGAATGTATTATAAATGTCGTTGGCGTGGAAATGGAAGAGTGAATGGGAGATATCGTTCGGAAGGCATAGAGATAGGGACTTGAAAGTGATGGATGGAAGGAGTGATTGATTGATGTGATGGAGTGAGTCTGTGAGTGTGTGTGTGTGATGGGATAGGCGTTTAAATCAACTCCTTCGAATAGTGATAGTGGTATAAGAGTGAGTGTGTGTCGCAGAATGATGTATATTCCAATACGACCCTTTGACTTGTAGAAGTGTGAATGGTGTATGGACGATGCGTAAGTGGCTCATCTGACTGACTGACTGACTAGAGAGTCGATTTAAAGCAGCCTTGATATCCATCCAACCAAGAGTGTCTCCAATATTCCCTTGTTGTAGTATTGGTCATTCGAGAGTGTGGTCAAGTGTGTGTGTTAAATCCTAATAAGGGCTGCTTTGATTGGCCTCGCCGACACGAACGGGTGGTCCTCGATGAAAATAGGCAGCTGGGGGTGATCTTACGTTCGTGATAGGTTAAGCTGGCCACTGGTGATCAGCTGACGCTACTTAGAATACAACTTTTATGTTTGGTAACATTGTGTGTTTATTGTTTGTTTGTAGACCTACCATTCATAGAGCAACAGGCCTCCAAAGGGTTCTGATTCACTCGGTGTATGATCCTAGGGTTTGTCAAAAGACTCTATCCCTACCTATCGATTCCAATTCATCATGATATTGCCACCTTTCGTAGTCGGTGTGGTGGCTTCTCTTTGATTAAAAGGTGTCTGACTGACTGGTCAGTGAGAGAGGGAGTAGAGGCCTAAGTGGCCCCCCTCACTAGCTCAGTCGCTCAGTCGCTCGCTTAGGTGTCATACTACATATCCATTGACTGTGGATCCTGTTTATAGTATCAGGCCAATTTCAAATAGAATATGGTGTAAGTGTGTCTGTTGCCTGATGTATAGTTTGTTAGTAGTGGCAGGTGGTGACATGTCAGCGAAAGCGACAAAGTGGAGTTAGGGTCGGAATGGAGAATGAATGAATTGAATTAGCGAATGACTTTAAGATTGGAAAGACTACAAATTCAAGATGGGCCCACTAGATTAGGGACTTATCCTTAAAATGGCATACAAGATTTAAGGAGATGAGTCTGGTATATACCAAATACCAAACGCGAAACACTATTTACAGTCAACTAAATAAGTAGATTGGTATTGGTATTGATTGATTGAGATTGTCCAGTCCCTACCTTACAATCAATCAACAACAACAAGATCATCATAATTATAATTCATTTTTAAGGAGATTTCCATATTAGTAACTTAACTAGATTAACCTTCTATATTGTTGTAGTCAAACATGAACTAAAGTTCTATCTTTGGGTTGTCTTGTTATGAACAATATTAATGCGAGGGTACGTCTGTGAGGGCAAGGGTTTGTTTGACATGGTCGTTTTTTTGTGTTGGCATTGGAGTCCGCCAAAGAGACAACTTTGTCTCAGATCACTACATGTAAGCTTGGCACGATCAGACATACATTGCAATCATATATATACATACAATGCTCTTTAGAACAGTTGTTAGACAAACTAAGAAGCATTGTAGTAGTGGCAGTGGTAGTACTACAATTGGATCATGTAATAGTAATAGACAATACAATCCATTGACATGGTGTTCATCGACATCACTTAGTCGGTCAATCAATCCATCAATAAGATCATATAGATACAGCAGCACATCATCAAGTCCTTCATCGTCTTCACAACAATTGTAAGCTTGAGCGAATGAGTGAGTGAATGAATGAATGATGGACACTAACACAATGAATGAATGAATGAATGAATGAAGATATAGTAATAGCGGTCAACATAAACAGTCACAGTTTCAAACACCTCAACAACAGGACCCAATAAGTCTACTGAATCGATCAGCGCCAACAACAGAGAACAGTGATAGTATGACTAGATTGACATTTAGTACGATAACAACGACGATATATCAGTTAGATACACTAAATGTGTTGGCCCAATTGATGGCCGCAGACACGACATTCCGTCAACTGATCTTGTACAGACTGCAAGTGATGCATGACGAACAACTTATTCAACATGCCATACTGCCCAACATCAAGCTCAAACGCAATCTGATCGCGATCATACAGAACTACATGCTCACACTCGATCCGGCTTCACCAGAGATGCGCAAGCTGCTGCTCGACAGTCTGCCGCAGTTCTTTCAACTGACGGTCGCCAGTGGATGGTACATTCTGCTGCCAATCGATAAGCGCGATCATGCCCTCCAGCAACTGATGCACAATCTATGTGTCAGTGTTGGTGTTGGTCGTGGTGATGCTCCTGAGGAGCTGGTGGAGATGCATTCGCCAGCGGAAACACCCGCCGCCACAGACCCAGCAACAACCACAACCACAGACACAGCCAGGGAGACAGACATCGTGTCCGATTCCGGACCGACACTTGCCGGAATGTTGGTGGCGTATTTGATGTGTTTGCAGAGGACAGTGGACACGAGGACAGCATTGTCTGCGTGTGGACCACGCGCGCCACAGGTGATCGACATGGCAACATCATTCTGTCTCCACGCCAACATATATCATTTGGCTTTGGTATTCTATAGTCATTACGCTCTGTTGTCAATGGTGCCACAGCACTCCACTGTGGCCGCCTTTGCAATGTATCACAGAGACATGCGCAACTCACCTGCCGCACGACACTGGCGCTCACTGCGGCAGACATTGGGCTTAACAAACGACTTGGAGATGCATGTGGCCACGAACTATCCTCACATGGTGCGATACATGGCGCGAATGCAGCCCTTCCTCGATGTGCCACTGGCCGACCTCAAGGCGACGTTCGCGCGCTCCGAGGCCCAGGTGGCGCTGGAGCAGAGCATCAATGAGATGAACGCCCCTGAGATTGCAAAGCACCTGGCCACTTTCAATGTGCTCAATCGCATCCCCCTGGACACGACACTCCTCGATCTGGTGCCGGCTGTCACGGGCCAGGCCTACCACGCCAAGACATTCATGCGCCTGCTGAGCAGCGCACAGTGTTCGGAACAGATCAGCGCCATACTCTTCAACCCCAACTACTTCCTGCGCCAGCTCACTTCCAAGGTGAGCACGCTCGAGTTGGCCATCCAGACGCTCAAGACACAGGCCCGCACTACATACGCCACATGCGCGCACATCATCGTCAAGATCATCGTGCGACTGCTCGAGTCGGGCACACACGACCACGCTCGTGATAACAGCCATGCGACACTCGGCCTGAGCATGCTTCGCCAAGCCATCAAGTACAACATCACATTCACACAGGAGCACTATCAGGAGATCAACAGGATGATGTCGATGCTCAAGAAGGTGAGCGGCTACAAGATCCCCGTGGAGCTGCACGCCCACGTGCTCATGAACATCGACTCGTCACTGGGCATGCTGCTGCGGCTGGAGCTGGAGCTCGAGTCCAATCCCGACCTGCCCATCGACTACGATCACCTCAAGCTGTACAGCGGCATACCCAAGAACAACAGCCACTTTGTCAGGCTGGGCCTGCGTCTGCTGCTCGAGTACCACACACGCATCCGAGGACTCCCGCTCAACAAGGAGACGCTGCTCTCGATTGATATGAGACGATTCGTCATGACCAAGAACACGGCCGACATCACCAACAGGGACTTGGCCGAGGAACTCTACGACTACTTGTTGTCCAAGGGCCGGCCCGACCTGGTGGTCGACCTGCTAGACCGAACATTCAGACGCGAGGGCAAGCTGACGGTGCGCATTCCCACAACAATGCTGTACAAGATCCTCGTCTCGCTCGAGACACTGGAACAGCGCATCAAGTTCTTTGGTCAGCATCACAGATACCGCACGCTCACTGGACGCTACCATCCTGAGCTCGAGGCGCTGCTGCGCACGGACGCCTCGCAGACCGGTGACCTGAACATCCACTTCTTCCTCGTGGAAGTTGCCAAACACAACGCCGCCCAACTGGAGCGTATCAATGAGACGTTGGTGCGAGTGGAGCTCTCTGCCGATGCTACCGAATTCATCCAAACATTCTTTGATGGCTTTGCCACAGACAGTCCAATGTTAAAACAACATCTACCATTACATCCACCAACGATTGGTGATAACTAGACTTGACAAGGAGGCCGCATAAGACATTGTCCTCGCTGGGCATGCCATCCCAGAGGAGGCTTCCACGACACTCCATATAAACACGCTTCGACCTCCAGTCATGACTCAATGAGTCATGACTTTGTGATGGACTCATTCCCAATGAATATCAACTTCTCTCAACCAATCAATCTATTGATCAAACTTGAAAGGCGGAGTGTTGGACAAAACTGAACCCAGCATGTGCAATAAGTTTATTCGTCTTTGTCGCGCAAGTAAAGAACAAAGAGAGAGATAGATAGATAGAGAGATCATCAGGATGAGGACAGTAATTGAAAGATACTATGATCAGTATTATATGTTGGATCTTAATAGGAAGACTGGCGAGGACATGTACGTCAATAGACACTCGAATGGTCTATGTGTAGTTGGTCTGGCACCAACACATCCAGCGTTGGCAAAGAAGATAACAAGATTCGAGTATACAAATGTCATTGCCAACAACTCTGTACAGGGCACACAGAAGAAGGGAGGCACGACCCTCCACAAAGACACTGTCGTTGCCCGACTCACATGCGACGACGGCACCGTCTACGACCTCTACAGCTGTATCAAGGGCAAGCTGCTCGAGACCAACAAGTACCTCTCGACCGACGTCACATCTCTTCAGACACAAGTATGTAGATACCGAACGAGGATGAGCGATTGAGTGTAGCGTGTAACTTACACATACGCACGCATGAACATCATAGGCTGGCACCAATGGATATCTGTTGATAGCAGAACCTTTTGAACGCGTGGACTACATGGCAAAGAATAGCGATCTGTTGTCATTCGATCAGTATCATCATACTAGGAACATCCCAATTGACAAGGGACCAAAGTTCCTCAAGGACATGGGCGATGACGAAGAGGCTACAGCTGCAGGTGGTGGCAATTAAGATAGCGAGCGAACGAGCGAACGAGAGAACATATGTTTATTCACAGGACAACGCTGATTGTTGTATATATATACAAGTAAAGTAGAGCATGCAATGCATTAGCTCATGCTATTATTATATTATATTATATTCCCTCATGCGCCAGCTTGGTGGAGTGCTGATGTACAGCTTGGATAAAGTCGCCTGCACTGTCTACTGTGTGTGTTGGTTGCATGCCGTGTCCAAGGTTGGCAATGTAGCGCTGAGTTCCAAACGAGCGAACCATGTGCTCGACCTCTTTGGAGATGACCTCGCTGCCACCGTACAAGACGGCTGGGTCCAAATTGCCCTGCAGTGTCTTGTTGGTGCCGACGAAGCTCCTGGCTGTGGCGGGGTCGATGGTCCAGTCGACGCCGAGCACGTCGTACTTGGAGTTGGCCAGCTTGGCCAAACCAAAGTTGGAGCCCTTGGCGAAGCAGATCATGGGGATGTCGGGGTGGACGGCCTTGACGCGCTCGGCAATCGTCACGAGGTATGGCAGACAGAACGTGTCAAAGAGGTGCGGCGACAGATCGCCCGACCACGAGTCGAACACCTGCAGTGCCTGTGCACCTGCGTTCACTTGTCCAATGAGGTAGTCGATGCATACGTTGGTCAACATGTCGAGGAATCGGTGAGCGTCCTCAGCGTGACGATAGAGCCATGTCTTGGCATTGTTCATGCCTGAGCCACTGATGCCACCACCCTCAATGCAGTATGATAGGAGGGTCCAGGGTGCGCCAGTGAAGCCGATAAGGGGCACGCGACCATCCAGACGCTGGCGAGTCAAAGTGAGCGCGTCAAAGACGTATTGAAGCGTGGCATTCACGTCCACGGGGTACTGGACACGCGACATCTCTGATGGTGTGCGCACTGGGTTGGGGAAGTGTGGACCCTTGCCTGGGATCATCTGGACCTCGAGGCCCATGGCCTGAGGCACGACCAATATATCACTGAATATGATCGCTGCGTCCAAGCCAGGATAACGATCGATTGGCTGCAGAGTGACCTTGCAAGCCAGCTCTGGATTGCGACACACTGTGAAGAAGTCTACATCGGCGCGAACCTCCTTGAACTCTGGCAAGTATCTGCCAGCCTGTCTCATGATCCAAACAGGAGTTCTCTCGACCTTCTCGCCTCTAGCTGCTCTCAAGAACAAGTCATTCTTAAGTGTTGGGAATACCTGGTTATTGGTTGTCATTGTTATTATATGTATGTAGTGTATATTTAAGTATTTGTGAATGTGATAGATTCATTGATTGGGGTACTTGTGAGTGTCATCTGATGACCCACATGACGAGTCGTTCGTGTGATCAGATGTATGAAAAACGAAGAAAATGATTGTTTGGGTGAAGATGAGGTAATAATGATGTTAATACCAAAGCAAAGGTTATATATACATTACATTCATAAAGATTAAAGTTTATTTCCTGGACAGGTTCGTCGTTGACTTGGACTTGCTTGTGGACTTGGTATTCGTGGGAACAGCTGGCTTTGCTGTGGTTGACGAGCCAGATGTCTTGGACTCTTCTTTCTCAAAGAATTGTTTGAAATCTTGAGACTGTGTAGCTTGCTTAATATATGCATCCAGGTCGATATCTTCATTGCCACCATCCTGTTCATTGCCAAAGTTCATTCCATCCCACAAGTCATCTTCGTTCTCAGCCTCAGCCTTGCCATCTTGAGGTCCACCGTCCATCTTACCCAAACCAAATTGATCCAATTTGATATGTTTGGCCATCTCATCTGGATTGAAGTTGAATTTCTCTGCCTGTTTCATCATCTGTCTGACCATCTCTGGATTGAAATCAAGTGACTTGTTGTTGTTGTTGTTGTTGAGGTAGCTATAATCGTCATCGTCGTCGTCATCATTCTCCTTGTTCTCCTCTTTCTCCAACCTCTGTCGCTCCTCTCTCTCCAACTCCTTCAATGATGTGTTGAAGAACTTTGAAGGATCAACATCACCACTGTCGCTGCCAAACAGACCGTGCATCACGGGACCAATGGCCTTGAACTCCTCGTCCAGCTGTCTCTCCTCCTCTGGCGTCATATTTTCGATCATCCTCATCATCTTCTCCATCTGCTGGTCCATTGCCTCATTCTCCTCCTCCATGTCGTGCTGAGAGAACTCCTCGCTCAGGTAACGGCCCATCTTGTCCATGGCCGCCTGACTGATTGGCTCGCCATCCTCCTCGGTTGGAGTGGTGATCTCGCCTTCATCCCATCGCACCTCGTCCACCACCTGCGACGGCCTGTTCTTGATGCGTCTGTCACGGTCCACCATGCGTTCAAACTCTAGGCGCGAGGATACCTCCTCACCCTCGGTCAGGATGCGGTCCATGTTGTTAACCAATCGGTTCAGGGGCTCCGCGCCAGTGCCCTCCTCGGGCAGGTTAAGGAATCCTCCCAACTTCATCTCGTATATCTTGTTGAGTTGGCTCTCCTCGGGATCCAAGCGCACCTTGAATCCAAGCTGTTGATCGAGCTCCCTCTCTTCGGCTTGGTCCTCGTCACCATACTTTTCCAGCTCATGGTCCTCAATGTCCTCATGCTCCATTAGCAGTTGATCGATGCTCTCCTCTTCCAGGTCTGGTTGGTCCTGGGTCGCCGGCTCAGTGCCAGTGTCTTCGCCATCGTCTAGTGACGCGCCCTTTCTGGTAAGGGCACTCCTAGTGTCCACGTTGGATGCATAGAGTAGGTCGTGCACGCCAAAGTCTGGCTCGCCATATATCTTTTGATTAATTAGCTCCTGCTCGTGAGCTGCTTCGTCGTCCTCGTCCTCGTCCTCATCCTCATCAGCATCCGGATTGTTCTTCTCCTCCTCCAAGAACTTGGCCTCTTCAGCCTCGAGGAAGCCTGGATAACGTTGCTTGACACTTTCCAGCACCTTGTCCACCAGTTGCTCGTCCAGCTTATCATACGTAGCCTGCATGTTCTCAGTGGTACCAATTGCGTTTGTAAGGATGTCGCCGTAGAGATCAGACACTCTGTCCAGCTCCTGCGAACGACCAGTCTCGTTCAACACCTGCACCAACAGAATACCCAGGTCCACGTTGACGGGATGGTCGAGCGGGAAGAGCAGGCCGAGTATCTTGTGTGCCGATCGGGCGAATGGCTCAGCCTCATGATACTTGCCATGGAAGGCCAAGTACTCGGCGTGATTGCTGTACGCAATGCCCAGCATCTCATCCTTGACCCATTGTCTGCGCAGTGCGTCGCGCTCGACGTTTGGTGCAGCCATCACAGTGTCGCGCCAGTCCACCTCGAGCAGATCGACCGCCTGGCGCGAGCGATTGAGTGCGTCGTCCATCTGGTCGAGACGCGAGTGTGACTCGGCCAGGTTGATCATCAGCGCAGCGTACTCGCGCAGTGAGTAGCCAGTGTATTGTGCACGCGATCCAAAGATGTTTCTAATGTACAACAATGCCTTGTTGTAGGATTCGAGCGACTCTTTCCAATGCTCGGACGACTGATGCTCGTAGCCAATGGATGTCATTGCGCGTGCCAGATTGGAGAACTTGTCCAACTCTTGTGATGAGAACTCCTTCTGATTGGGTGTGATGAGGAAGTCCAACGTTGCTGACGTCTCATAAGGTGGTAGTCTTGGTGCATAAGGCTTTGTATCCGTTGGCTTTATAACATTAATATTGATTCCTTCATCTTTGATGTTGTCCAATGGTGATGATCCATAACTACGTCTTTGTTGTTGTCCAATGAATGATCTATGTGATGATGTTTGAGTGACTATTAGGGAGCGAGTGATTGAGTGTGAGTCATCAGTTGATTGATTGATTGATTGATGCTATCATACTTGATGTTGATGTTGAGAATGAAAGAAGAGGAACACCATTGGTTATTGATAATGATGGTGATATACTCGGTCGTGTATTATAATGATGTCTGAGGAGTAGTGATAATGATGTTGTTGATGTTGATGATGACGCTGTAGTTGAGATAGATGATCTAGATATAGTTGATGATGCACATCTTTGTATATAGTTATAACTTCGTGATAGCATCATAGTACTAACTAACTGATTATCTGTTTATGTGATTGATTGCGCAACAAAGTGGGAACAATGAGAGGGCCGCGAAACAAACGAACGACTAATCAATCAATGTAGGGTGAATGTGTGTGGGGTGATCAATCACAATTGTGTGACAGGACTTCAGAGGTAAAAGACGAATGATTAAACAGGTGGGGATGATTTATGCGTTAAATAACAAAAGGAGCGTATTTATTGGTTGGAGGTGGCGAAACCAACCTGCTTGTTGCCGAAATCGAAGATGGCGTAGTAGGTTGAGATGAAGACGTCACCAAGGATCCAGAGTGGACCAATTGGGGCTGGGATGTCAATGCCCATGAAACCAGAGAGACAGTCGGTCTGACCCTGGGAGGTGATCTGGAGAACGTAGTCGTTTGGAGTCAAGGAGAAGACGCGACCAGCGAGGGTGAACTCGATGTTTGGAAGGGAGGAGATGGTGGCACAGTTGAGGATTCCCTCACCGTTCTCAATCTTGGCTCCGAGCTTCTTGTTCAAGGCGTTGATCTGGTCGACTGGACCGGCAATCAAAGACGTACCAGAGTCACAGATGGCGTGGCAGCCCTCAGCACCACAGTAGCCGAGAGAGTTTCCAGCAAGAGCAACATCGGCCATGGCGAACTCCCAGTAGGTCTCGTTGGTGAGTGGGACGTAGGTGATGTCACCGGTGTACTTGGTGTTGTCGATGGAACCGAAAGTGAGCTCACCACCGTTGTTACCTGGGGTCTTGGACAACCAGAAGGCGAAGAGTGGGTCCTGGACGAGTCCCTGGTTCATCATCATGTAGAAGACGGGTGGGATGTTGTTGACAGAGATGGACTGGAAGGCAAGACCGAGGATACCATCGAACTTGGCGAAGTCGAAGGCAATACCTGGCTCAGCGGTGGCCTCAGCGAAGAGCTGGTTCTTGACGGTGAGGGCGCCGACCTTGACGGTGTCCTGGGAGATGAAACCAGACATGGCACCAGATCCGTACTGGATGGAGAAGGTGGTTCCGTTGGCAACGTATGAGGAGGACTTGGATGAGTCGTACTTGGTGTGGAGGTCACAGGCAACGACAGTGCTTGGGCACTTCTTGGATGGGACCCAGAGGTTGGATGAACCAGTGTCGAAGACAACCTGGAAGACCTGGGCGGGGGTTCCGATGGAGACAGCACCGTAGTACTGGGCATCCTCGTAGTCAGTGATTGGGACGGTAGTGCCAGAAGCACCGACCTCAGCAAGAGCAGCGTACTTCTTGTGGAGGTTGGCTGGGATTCTCTTGAGAGCGTTTCTCGAGACTGGGCGGAAGTTAAGTGGGACACTGATGGTAGGAGAGAGAGGTAAAAGGGTATCAAAAGTGGATAGAGATAGAGAAGTTATAATGTTAATAATTGCTTAATTGCTTTGCTTATTGCATTATCTTTGCATTCGGAGCAAAGATAGTGATTTAAAAAATTGTATGGTAACTGATCATGTGACAGGATCACGTGATCGCTATCAATGACACGTGATATTTGATAAATAGATAGAGATACATACGTCAAAGCCTGTGAAACCACGGCGAAGCAGACCAACAAAGCGATAGTTGAGTATCTCATTTTGTGAGTATGTGTATATATGTTAGCAACAAGTTGTAGTATGAAATGATTGACCTGACTCGGTCATTCCTTTATCATCATCGCTTTCTCATGAGTGCTCCTCTGCGGCGCACACACCATCTCTGACTGACAGGTGCATTGCCCACAATTACCAAAAATCCCATCAAATGCTCAATTAAATCGAAAAAATTGCAATTGTCCTGAATCCACACTAATGAATAGTGTTTCGAGTTTTCCTACGTTCATTCCTCTAGGCTCTTTTTTTGAAAGCTATGTGTGAATCGGGGGCTTTATGAGTATGGTGGGGTAGTCCTTTTTTTGAGGCTAGAGCGCCAGCCCCTGAACGGTGAGCCAAAGGTGATGGTTAGAACGACCACCCACACAGTTCTTTGAGTTCCGAAGATGATCCTGCCGCTGAACGACTCCATAAGGGGCGGAGAGAAGGGAGGGGTTGGCCGTCATTCGTTCTTCCCGCCTACACCTCATGTTTGGGAATCAAGCGAGGGGGTTAGCCCATTGCTGGAGCTGCGGTCGCACCCAAAGGGGGGGTCATTTGGTCCAATGTCACCTTAATGATGGAAATTTCGACATCGCTTTATTGATTGTGATTCTTTATTGTATTGTGTATGTACATCCACACACATTTACAACTGTAGATTATTAATATTCCTCCCAAATTATAGGTCAGTCATCGACATCCAGGTTCCCGACCAATCTACCACTCTTGGGAACCCAAACTGTTGGTTGTTGCGTGTGTCGTGCCGCGTGTCTGATTGGATCGGTCAGTCAGTCGTGTGGACGCACGGACACAAGTATCTAGATTCTGAACCGCACTTTGTGTAGGTTATGTTAGATTGAGTAATCGCGATGACTGACGGACGTTTATTGAGTTGTAGATGTAGTAGTGGTAGTAGTTGTGGTTGACGACGATGATGATTCATCCTTTGTATCTGTAGTTGTTGTAGCTGGTGCATCAACAGTGACAGACCTGTAGATTAATATGTAGGCCATATGCCACTCGCCACCACCAAACAGCTTCTTGATATCCTCATTGTTGTGAGTGGAGACGATCGAGTCGTCAAACTTCATCCAGACATTGTCCTCCTTCTTGACCCAAGCGACATAATGGCCAGAGTCGGCGAAACGACCCTGATGCGTCAAGACGGCAGTCAGCTCATACTTGCCAGTGTCATTTGACTTGATGTCAATTGGTGCGTCAAGTGCTGTTGAGACTGCTGCTTGCTTGGTGTTGTCTGGCTTCTTCTCTGCTGGCGCATCGGCCATCTCCTCATCCTCTGGCTTCCTCTTTAGCGACGAATCATTGTAGATGTCGTCCATGATCTTTCGCTTCACGCTCAGCTTCTCTTTCAACTCTGGTGTGCAGAGGTCAAAGACATCCAGGGTGAATGGGAATTGGACAGCTCTGATGATCTTGGCCTTCACTCCAACGGTGGCAGAGTCGCGCGACTCCTTCACATCCTTCTTCCAGTGGAAACGCACAAACTGCACGTTGAGATATGGTGGCAGCTTTGTGATCAGGGTCTTCTTATTGTAGACAGCCTCGCGCTGGAGCGATGGCGAGAACTTGCTGATCTCCTCGAGCAATCCCTTCTTTAGTCCTTCGTGCAGGTATGACGTGTCGATGTTGATGTTACAGGTGAGCTTGAGCAGTGTCTCCATGCGCTCTGTGGCCTCTTCATTTGGTGCGTCCTTGCAGGTGTACACCTCCTTGGCCTCAACACCAAACAGTTTGCCAATGATGGACTTGGCCACAATTGCTGAATGAGGGGACTTGGCATCCAAAGTCTCGCCAGGTGCGGCCAACTCTTGTGAGTAGGCTGTCATCAATTGTGACATTGCCTCCTCTGCATCCTGTTGCAGATGCATACCTCCCTTGGATTCATCAAACTGAGGGAACAATCTTCTAAAGATCTAAATGATTATGGAGGATGATAAGTAGTTGATTGATTGAGTGATTGATTGGTTCAGTATTTCTTACACTTAGGAATGCGTATGTTGAGATTGGAGAGTTGGACTTGAGCATTTCATTGAAGAGGGACTGAGATGATTTGACAAGACCAGAGTAGAGTGATGGTTGAGTTGGTTGCTTGTACTTTTGAATGGTCTGAACGAGTTCAGGTACATTCTTCAAACACTGCAATGTAGCATTGAGGTAACAGGTGTTTCCAAGATTGAGCAGTCCCGCTGGGAGATCATACAACATTGAGTCTTGCTCCTGCTCTGGTAGATCCTCAATAAAGGTCACAGCCTGAGTAGGCTTCTCCAGCTCCAAAGCAGTACCCATCATCATCAAGTTCTTTCCTTCAGTCAAGTCCAAATCCTTCCACTGAGCATCATCCTTTAGTACTCCACCCTTGAATCCCATAACTATGTTTGGAGTAGATGGGCAGTAAGTATGATTGATTGATTGATTGATTGATTGGTTCATTCATTCATTCAAACATACTCTTTTGTCTCTCGACGGGTACCATTGTAAGAGAGAATACTTGGCTCTTAAAGACATTAATTGATTCATTTGGGTCTACATCAACCTCAATCTTTTCTTTGCCCCATTTAATGTTTACTTTAACCATCTTATATTGTTATTTGTATATATATATTATATCTATCTATTTGTGTTATTAAGTATGAATGAATAAATGAACTCAATGTTGAACATCACCCTTCATCATCACAAACAAAGTCAAACACATCATCAATCAAAGTTTAATTTATTTATTTATTTACAAATAATAATTCGAAAGTGGTAAATTGGTGGGATTTGCAGCGAAAGGGAGCGGAATAATGAGATATCATATCGTCAAACTTTGCATCTCTGTCATTATAACTATCTCTATTACTTATTATTACATTTACATACAATTACAATACAATACATACTTATATAATAACAATAATATGGATGCCAACAGTGTAGTATTACAGCCTTCTCAAAAGCATACTGCAACAGGTATGTTTATAGATTGACTGACAGAGACCAGACGAAGACGACAAGTTCTGAGACTGACACGCGATCCAACAAAGTGATATTCCTACATGGATTGATGGACACTGGTAATGGTTGGAAGACAGCAATGCAATCAGTTCAAATGGGTGGATTACAACATGTCAAGTTCATTCTACCAACTGCGTATGTACATGTTTGATTGAACAAGAATGAATGAGATGAATGAATGAGTAATTAACATTATATATATGTTTATAGACCAGTGATACCAGTATCAATCAATCTTGGAATGAAAGGAACTGCTTGGTTCGATATTAAATCGTTGGATTTGAATGGAGTGGACGACCAGGTCAATCTTGAGAAGAATAGAAAGGATCTCGAGGTGTTGATTGAGAAGGAGAAGAGTGCTGGAATCCCATCAGAGCGCATTGTACTTGGTGGATTCTCTCAAGGTGGTGCACTGTCACTCTACACAGTCTACCAATCACCAAACAAGCTTGGTGGATGTGTTGCAATGAGTGCATTCCTCCCATCACAATCAGTTCTTGGTGTATGTTACCATAATCCATCATTATTATTACATTAGGAACTGCGAGCCATTAGACTAACCAAGTGTATCCGGAAACAGAGAATCAGTGCTCATAACAAGGAAGTACCATTGGCAATGTTCCATGGAACTGCCGATCCAGTTGTCAACTTTAAGTTTGGGTAAGTCCAAACAACTTATTCGACGCGACACTCAATATGCTAATCAATCATCCAATCAAACATTCAAGCGAGGTATCATTCAATGCCCTCACTAATGTATGTGGAGTCAAGGGCAAGTTCACACCAATCCAGGGAATGGGACACAGCGGCAATGAGGCCGAGTTGAGGGATGTTCTTATGTTCCTCAAGACACAATTGCCACAGATCTAGATTGATTGATTGATGGCCATGGTCATGATGTATCATTAGATCATCCTGTGTGCCTGGATGTTCAGCTGATCGACAGTCGACAGGATAAAGCATTCACACGAGTGCACTTGAGCACTGACAACAACACCGACGACGATGACGAATAGGATTAAACAGTCTCCCTTTATAATTCAATCAAAGAGAGTTCGATCGATTTGTGTATCAACATGTTGTTACACTTGACTTAGACTGACTTGGTCGATGTCTTCTTGACTGCTGTTGATGCTGCTGCTGTTGGCTTCTTCTTCATCGCTGTCTTCTTCTTCAATATCTTTGTCTTTGGTTTACTCTCACTCAGTGGTGCCTCCTCTTCCTCCTCTTCCACTTCCTCTTCTACCTGCTTAGCTGGTGGTGCATTATTCTTTGTTTGTGTCTTTGTCTGTGTCTGTGTTTGTGTCTTTGCTTGTGTCTTTGTTTGTGTCTGTTGCTTCTGTTCTACTTGCTCGACTGGTGCTTCGGCCACCTGCTCCTCCTCCACTTCCTCCTCATCATCAGACTCCAACAGTGGATGTCCATACAATACAATGAATCTCTTGCAACCATTCTCCAATTGCTTAGCAGTCCTCTGCCAGAAGTTGAGCGCAATATCCATCTTCATTTTCTGTTGGATGGGATGAAAGCGAGTAAGTACATGTACATCATGTTAGGTTGTCGTGTTCCATGCAATGTCATACCTCATAGTTATCATTATGTTTCAGTATAAGGTCGCGGTAATAATGTTGATCGTCAAAGGTTAGACCTCTCTCGATGCGAGGTGGACGTTGCTTAACATCGAGCTTGACGGGGTCTGCCACGACATTGAGCTTTGCCAATGCCTTCTCGCTTCTCTCCTTATTTCTGATGCTGTTTGAGAACTGCAGGCCCATCATTGCATAGTTCTCGAGTGTAGTCTTCTTCATATCCCATCTTTGCTGTACCTCTTGACTGCCAAAGCGAACATTAAGTACTCTATTATGGTTCTGTTTCTTATTCTTTCTATTATTCTTCTTTAAAGGCATATTTAATAAAGTTTTATATTATATTTATAATTGTATCTGTATGTGAATGTATCTATGTATTTAAAAAAATGAATATGTCACTTGTTTATCAATTTGACGAAAGAGTTGTCGTTCGTTTTCTCATCACAAAGTGTGTTTGAACTTGTGAGTGCACCGATTTTTTTGATGTGATCAAAGGACTGACTCTTAATCATATATTTATTCTAACATCGCAATTTATTAAATGTGTAGTTGTAATTTGATTGTTATATTAACAAGCATATGATAACTCTTCACCCATATCACCAATGAAAGATAACTTAATTAAATGAATGAGTAGCAACAAACAACGTTATTCAATTATAATAGACAGTTACTACTTCCACGACAGAGAGAAGAGAGTTTGAATCGATCAATGAATGATCAATGATGGTAATTGGAGAATCAATGAACCTGAACTTAGGATACATCCGATCAATCAATTCCTCTAGTTGGGGACTTGGCTTCCCAAGAGTCACCAACAAACAACCTAGATACCAGACACCAGGAACATGGTTGGTTGATTGTGGCACACCCCACGCAGCACCCCTGGCCCAACCAACAATGATCATTCATTACAATACCAGGTGAACTTCCCCAAAATAACACACACCTGGATTCCCAAGCGATCACCAAACTTACCACACATTGGTGATTAATGGATGGATTGATGGATGGATTGATGGATGATGGATGAATCGGTCCATCCAACTTTTAGTTTAAGATAAGGAGGGAAGACCCTGGTCCTGGTCACTCAATGAATGAATGATCACTTTCACATTCATACCAACACAACCACCACAATCTATTGTATCATGTCAGATACCTTGGACCTGATGTAACAAGTTTATTAATATTACACTCACATTCAATCTATCTATTTCCAGAAATGCAAGCGAAATACCAGAGGTGCTTCTGTTTGATTGGAATGGTTGGTCTCCTCACTCACACTCTACTAAATAACCAACATCATCATCAAGGTTATATGTTCGATTAAAATAGACTCGGTGATTACATAGGCTTCATCAGTAAGTGATCATTTCAATCAAGAGGCACATACATGTCATGGGTGCGGGGACTACATACGCTTGCAATCCTAGGAATTCGTGTGTTGTTCCCCATTCGCCCCCAAACCCCACAATTAGTTTATGTCATGTTGGACCTGACTGACACAACAGTTACTTATCCGGAAGGTGTTAGTCGAGGCTTGGGGTGTGTCCACACACAACATCGTTCATTCAGATGAAAAGCGCAAACACAAACAGAAGTCGTTAAATCTGAAATGGCAAACGGATGGGATGAGTGAGTGAATGAGTGTGTCTTCACCTTTGGATGATGTCGGGGTCAACGAATGCGCATTATTATTTATAGATACTCACTCCTTAATTAGTTATAGAGATACTAATATTAATAATAATATTACTTTATCAATCAATCAATCAAATATAAATATAATATAATTTAAATAATAATTATAATAATTATATAATATAATGTCCAAGAGTCCATCCACTTTTGGTCAACAGGTGTTGGCTTTGTGCCAAAAGTGTTACCTGATTAAAAGGAGGAATCGTTTGGAGACTGCTACCGAATTGATAATTGGTGTACAATATATTATTATATTGATTATACTTAAATTGGTTATACCTTCATCAGTTGGTCAGAATAGTCAAATGTTCCAATCAATGCCTGCTTCACATGTTCTACAAACTGATTCCAGGCTGTTGGGATATGTCGATCAATCTAATAATGGTGGTCCTGGTATGGCCGCACAATTACTCAATAACACAATGATACCACTCAATCAGACTGTTGCATTTGGCAGTGAATCTGAGATGATCAAAGCATATATGGACAACAAACAAACATATTGGGGCGGTATAATATTCTCATCAATCGACCCAGCCAACAACACAATCAACTACACCATTCGTCTCAACAATACCTACAACTACGATATCCAAGACTCACCATATCCATTCCTCCAACAAAGTATACTCTCTGCATTTGGTAAGTACCCCCCTCCCATCAATCAATCTTGGAACTATCCCACTCACTCAATCAATAATCAAACATATTTAGCATCAATCAAACTTAATATACCATTGAATATATCACTCAACTCTACTCAATATTCTATACCAGCTAATAAGTTCACACCTACAACGTTCAATTATCTATTCCCTATATACTTCCCTCTATTATTTATGTATTCATTACAAGTGTTGATTATATTATTGGTCACAGAGAAGAAGGATGGTATTAAGGAAGCACTCAAAGTGATGGGAATGCGTGAGTCTGCCTACTGGTTATCAAACATCATAATGCAGACCATTATGAATGTCATCCTAATCATATTCATCCTAATACTTTGTTATGCTACCAAAGTATTCACATCAACGTAAGTACCTACAGGAACTATTCCAACACTCTATCACTCAATTACTAACTCCCTGGAACTATTCCATTTTGATCAATCAATCTAGTAATCCTGTTATGATGTTCTTGATATTCTTTTGTTTCTCAATGACATTGATCGCCATTGCATTCATTGTGTCGGCATATATGACTCAGCCAAAGATTGGAAGTATGATCTCTGGACTTGTCCTGCTTGTTGGTGTTGGTCTATCTGTCGTCCTACAATTCGTTGTCAAGAAGAAGAATGCCGGCATCCGTTTCCTCTTCTTCCTCATCTCCCCATGTGCATTTGGCGAGTACCTCGTAGCACTATCATTTGCCGAAGGTCAGAAAGAAGGTATGTTCACTCGCTCATTCATTGTGGCCATACCAAGTCCATCGCGTGATACTTACACCTCATCATACATTATCCACATGTAGCTGTACCATGGGATGATCCAGCATTCACTGAGGCAATTGGATTCTTGATCTTGGACTTTGTGCTGTATTCATTGATTGCTTGGTGCTCGATCGAGGTACATGAGGGTGGCAACAACTTTAGGATATTCTTTAAGAGGAGCTATTGGCAACCAAACCGTGGTCAGACCAAGGGCAAGTCATCAAAGGATGGTCATGCAATGCAACAATCCAATGGCATTGAGATCGTGGACTTGGAGAAGGTCTACGTATCAAAGACCACCAAGGACAAGCAAGTACGTGCGATCAATGGACTCAACCTAACTGTTCCCGCTGGTACAATCTTTGCATTGCTCGGTCATAATGGTGCTGGAAAGTCGAGCACAATGAACATACTCACTGGCATGATACAACCATCTGGTGGCGATGCCTTCATCAATGGACTAAGCGTCAAGACTGACATGGATCAGATCCGCCATCACATTGGATTCTGTCCCCAACAGAACATCGTCTATGCTCAACTCACATGTGCACAACATCTCCGTCTGTTTGCAAAGCTCAAGGGTGTACCGGCCAAAGAGATCGAGGAGTCCATCGCCACTTCGCTTGAGGAGGTTGGACTCACGGACAAGACGGACGTGCCAAGTTCAGATCTGAGTGGTGGTATGAAGCGACGTCTGAGTCTGGCAATGGCATTCATTGGCGACCCATCAATCGTCTTCCTTGACGAATGCACCACTGGCCTCGACCCATTTGCTCGTCATCAGGTGTGGGCACTGTTGCAGAAGAAGAAGCATGGCAAGACCATTATAATGACCACTCACTTCATGGAGGAGGCCGAGTTGATTGGAGAGTCAATCGGTATCATGTCCAATGGCAAGCTACGTTGCTGTGGCACATCACTCCAACTCAAGTCCGAGTTTGGTCTCGGCTACATCCTATCATTCACATTGAATGGTGGTCAAGACAGCACCATCACATCATCATTCAAAGACTATGTCATGTCAGTGTTCCCCGATGCAGTTCAAAATGATACACATGTCCTGTCTCCACCATCCTCCAAGACCAAGACATTGAAGGACCACGATCATCAACATCTAAGTGAGCCTGACATACCAATGGACATGGTACCATTGAGTGGTGCTGGTGGCAGTGGTGCAAGCTCCCCCATCAACAACTCTAACAATACTCCTATATATGGTCACAAAGACATTGAGATGACATTCTCATTATCACATCAAAAGTCCACAGAGAGACTATCAACATTCTTTGAAGAGTTGGAACAATCAATCCAACAACGCTATGGCATCAAGTCAATGGGTATCAGCATGACCACACTCGAAGAAGTATTCCTTCGTATCCAAACAGAAGACCCTACTACTACAGCCAAATAAACATAAACTTATTAATAGCTTCAGACTCTTTGACCTGGTGTGTCTCAATTGATTGAGAGTTATATTCTCTCTCTCTTAGTGTCACTCTCTCACACTCAATCACTTACTCACTCTTGGTTGGTCAAGTGGGAGAGTAGTATCTTGCGGGTCAGCAAACAACCTAGGTATTAAGAAACTTCTGAGGATGCCGTCGATCATTCAGAGAGTGGCAACGTGTCGATCAAAACACACACACGACTAGTTGTTGGCATCAACCTACCCCCTCCACGCATTGTCCGTACATGGTTGTGGTGTTTGTGTGTGTGTGTTTTGATCAAGTGATGACGGGTGGGGCTAGGCGAAGTGTTGCCATGTACACCGGTAATTGCACCAACAACAACAAGTATTAGTTAGAATCTCAATGCCTTTGATGCCAAGAAAGGATCGCGCGTGTGTGTAGGACCCAATAAAACACTTCCAAGCATTAACGTTTTATTTATCATTATCTTCGTCTGACCCTTCATTCATTCATTCATTCATTCATTCATTCATTCATTCAATCATCAACAATTGTTCGTCTGTCATATTTATTAATATCTAGTATTTGGAGGTCCAAACAATAGGTATTATCTACTTATATAAATATATAATATATAATGAATAATAATAACAATATAATATTACGACAAAGACAACGACGACAACAACAATGTTATATAATAATTATACTTTCATTAGCCAGTATAATGCTGATGACGATGATTAATAGTACTGATGCATTCACTGTTCAGAATGCAACGGTTGTTCGTAAACAGGGATCTTTGCTTGGTCTTTATGCAGACTTTGCAGTGATGGAGGTCAACTTGGACAGAGACTTGTATATAAATCATGCGATTGCTTGTGCCAACTACACATCGCCAACGCCATTGCCAGAGATCGATTGCACCTGTGACATGGCCAGTCACGACAGATGTGGACAGTCTGCCTCTGGGCATCCTTCATGCAATTCAACGGCATGCACGCCCACCACCAACATATGCACACTCGATTGGAGCCAAGTGTTTGCCAATCAAACCTATCACTTCAACAATGTTACCGAACTACTGTTACTAAGATACAAGCCAACAAACAAATATGTTGAAAGTACAACTGTTCGTATCGTGTCGTCATTGTCGTCGTCGTCGACCATCCATGTCCTAACCCCTCATTCAATCAATCAATCATGTGATGGCACTCACTCACTCGACCATTCGATCACTCGATCAATCGAACAATCGATCAAACATGTTTAGTTTTACTTTGCCTTGGAGTATGGAGAGCCAGGCGTGTTCTTGATGGGCGGTGGCACTGGTGGAAGGATGGGCGACTCTTCGATGTTGTCAGAGATTGTGTTTACGATATGCCCGCAAGATTCTATTTGGACAAATGATACATATCACATGACAGTGTTTGATACAATGAAGACAGTGGGATTCAAATCACCTTTCTCTTTGTCGCTCACAATCTATTCGGCGCCAGTCAATCCTGTTGTAACCACTGCACCCAAATGCACAAATATCAGTGCCGCCGCCGACTCACCCAAATGTATCAACGATGGAGAGCTGATCATTGGTGCGGGTTGCGAGCAAAGGACGTTCGTGGTCGACCGTGACATGACCTTCTCATTCATGTGTCCCATGACTGGAGGGTCATCAATCTTCATCTACATTCAAGATGGCAGGGATGCCTCTCAAGAAGACAACAAATGGGCCTATGTCAACAATGCAGGTAAGTAATGATGATCATGATCAGTGATACCTTGATCCATACTCACTCAATCCTCTCTTCAATCAATCAATCATCAACTATAGTTGACAATTGGGGCTCAATAGTTATTGGACCATGGCCAAATGGAACGGCAAGGATATTGCATATTTATACAATGCCACAGGGAGGATGCGGCTTTTCTTATACTTGTGTGTTTACATCACATGCACCATTGTTTAGACGTCCACTGACGGATAACTATCCTCTGGCCGGTGTATTCAATCTTCAGAACTCAGCCAGCATCATTGCGACAACAATGGGTGGAGTAGTGATCTCGTCAAACAATGTCCGTTTGCCATCATTCTTGTCGATCAACTTCCCAATGATATATGGCGATACATTCTGGCCCGTCCCACAGCCGTTCAGGATCCAACCAAACACTGGCTTCACTCCCTACACATACACGCGACTTCGTATCCTCGCCACGGACAACCAGCCCAAGAACAGGACGTTCCAGGCTGCCTTCCGTCTGGGCTTCTCGACCTTTAGCTCATTCGTGTCCGTCGAGGATGTCGCTCAGTTTACTCTACAGTTCAACAGTGTGTTGGTCGATGTCGATGGCAAACCCCTGGACAATGCCGTGAAGCTACAGTTGTTGGACACGCCACCATGCAACTACGCCGACTACGCGACGTTCTTTGAACAGGTGCAACGAATTGAGGGCAACGTCACGACCGAGACGGACTTTACTCAGATGTACTCTTACAAGTTCAACCTTGAGATGTTGGCATTCCGCGACGCTTGGGTTGGCTGCACACAAATGTCCACCAACTACCTCTCACTTCAGAACACCACAACGATCAAAGAGACAACCGACTGTCCATCCCCTACCGATCCAAAGTACGCCAATGACCCCTGTTGCCGAGAGGGTCTCCAATTCGCTCAGTGCTGCGTGCCCAGACAACTGGGACTCACCAGGTTGGACCTGACCGCTGTCAATCAATGTATGTATCCATACTCAATCAATCAATCACTCGCTCACTCATACTCACTCACTCTCAATCAATCAATGTAGCCACTGTCAATCAACAATGTTCAAGCCCTACATGTGTTACATCTGTGCTCAATGACTATTACTCTTCGACTTCATTGATCAACGATGGCGATTGTAGAGTGCCCAAGATAACACAGACAAAGGAGATGGATGAGTTGATAGACACGATCAGAATGTGCAAGGAATCGGTATACAGTGATGTCTATTGCCAGACCGATGCAGACTGCACTCGCGATCAGGGCAAATGCATATTGTACTCGCGCAAGTGCATGCCCAAGTTGGAAATCCAGGACCGTTCATATATCAAGTGCATCATAGACAATGCCAAGGCATCAATCATCTTCAATGTGCTGCTACAGGCCAACATGGCCAAAATGACGGACAACAGCACAGTCCTGGCCGATAAGCTTTATGGCGTGTACGCTGCCAATGACTGTGTGGCGCTATCCGGCAACACCTTCAGACAAAAGTACAACATCAAGAACTCGGTCTACTGTCCTAAGCCATACCTACAGCCGTCCTGTCTGGATCAGACGTGTGCACTACAGCACGACACTTGCTTTGACCTTCTTGCGCCGTCTTGGGAGTTGCAGAGGGCAGGCTCAGACAGTTGCTCGACGCACATGTGTACGTCCAAGGGTTGTTTGTCGAGCCAGATGATGTGCACCAACTGCACAGAAGAATACTGCGGCCACTGCACGGACAATCATTCATTCTGTCACAACATCAAGGAGTTGAACGATACTACTTCGTGCTCGAATTCAGGCGCGGTGTGTCTGCTGCCCAATGGCCTTTACAATCGCACCATGACACCTGATCAATGCGCCCAAGCAGGCCTTTGCTCACAAACCTGCGGCTACACATGCGTTGGCACATACACTGGATGCTACAGCACAAATTTCAATTCAACCACTTGCGCAGCGACCTCTGGCGCTACATGGAGCACAGCCTTCACAGTCTGCCAGTTCGCCAGCATGAATCAACAGGACTGTTCAACCAACGGCCATCAGTGGGAAGACTGCGCGACACACGGCAACTCAGAGTGCCTCTCCAAGAGTCTGTCCAGCAACTCATCGAACCCATACAATATCAGAGGCAACAACTGTCAGGTACAGGCCAAACAGTGCAGCTCAAAGGCCGAGTGCGAGCAAGCGTCGGGCTCATGCTCTGATCAGTTCTACTTTGATAACAAGGTGCTCTCAAGCTACCCCTCGGGACTGGGCAAGTGTCTGCGCCCACATACCAACGGTACGATAGGCCTCGTTCCCTCGTGCCTCTACAATGTTGTTAATCCCGACAAGGACTCGCCCAGGGGATGCTATGCCTCATCGCCCTCGGTGTTCAGAGCTGCGGACTGCCCCGCTGGCTACACCTGGTGGGCACAGGCCAACAACCAACAGCAATGCGAGTCGCAGTTTGGCTGTCTGATGCCCGACTTGTCAACCTACGCACCCGACAACCAACGCCGCTACAACGAGATGACCGAGTCACAATGTGGCGGCTGCGACAACTCATACAAATGGGGTCCAATGTTCAAGTGGACGCCCGGCAAATGGTTGCCTGGAGTCATGGTCAAGCCACAATGGCTCTCAGGTGCACAAGTCAACTTCACAACATATCAGCCCGCGCTGGACTTCCAGGCGTTCTCCACCAGTCTGATGAACGGACTACAAATTGAAACATTGCGATACGAATCAACTTGCAAGGTACAGCGACTACAGGACCAGGTCAACTCGATAGCGTGCAGCTGCAGGGGTCCAGGTGGCCCTCAATGCTTCCTCTCCAGCTCCGTGCCCATCAAGAAGGTGATAGCATGCGCCAATGAAACGTCGTCCTACCAATTCATCACTGGCATTCTGTTCTTTGACGAGCAGTCTGTGGCCATGTCCTGCAACAACCTCATTGTGTCACAGGTCACACGCCAGAACTTCAAGTCCTCAAAGAGTGTGGTGTCGCTCAGCTCGGACTTTGTCTCGTACAAGCCGCCCATCGATTATGGCATCACCAACAGCAAGGGAGCGTACATTGGACAGGTTAAGAACGATGGTGTGGAGATCAACCCCAATGGCGCCACACACTTTACGATGTGCCTCTCAGTGGAGGGCGACGCCACGTCCAAGGAGTTCCCTGTGTCCGACTTTGCATTGTTGCTCGACAAACAGTCATCCACATTCACGCCCATCAACGCAGTCATCACGCAAAGGATCATCAATGGCACAGACTACATTTGCTCCAACATCAGCATGACTGGTACCACGGCACAGACGTTCTTCCCCGTGTCCAGGGTGTCACAGTGGGAGGACGCCAAGAAGCGATACTTTAGCAACACGGACGAGGCCTTGCTGTTCACGCTGGGCACATTGTTTGGCGTGCATGCCTTGTGGGGCCTGTTCCAGTTGGGCTTTGTAATGTTCACGATTGTCAACCGCGATGAGAAGCCCAAGCTGGTGCACCTGCTTATCCTCAGCATAACAATCTTCATCTCGATTCGCTGCATATACTTCCTGGCGCTGCCCTCTGGCACCTTTTACAACTCGACGATAGCCGACTACGTCCTGGTGGTGCTACCCACATTCATCTACTTCACATCATTCTCGATCATCATGGCGTTGTGGTACGTGGTGATTGGAATCAACATGCAGGAGGGCAACTACATGCAGCGACTTCGACGTCTGATCATCATCGTCAACAGTGTGCTCTATCTCCTGTTCGTCTTCATCATCCTCGTGTTCAACTACACCAAGAATGGATCGCTGGTCAACAACTGCAAGGGTCGCTTCATCGACACGATATCCAACACGAGGGCACAGCGCATCATCTCGATCTTTTACGGAGTACTCCAAGCGACCATCTCATTGTTGTTTGGTATCACATTCATTTATCTTGGCCAGCGCATCCTCAAGATCATCAAGGGCAGGACGACAAGGGCCAAGGCACAACCTGACGCCAACGCCACGACAACGACTGGCGGCAACAACTTCCTGACTCGCTGGTTCACATCCACCATCCAGACCAAGATCTTCTTTGTGACAGTCACCTGCTCAATCGGTCTGATACTGCACAGTGTGTTTGTGTTAGCACTGGTGTCGTCGCAATGGTCCAATGTGACGTTCAGCTTTGTCGGTCTGATCATCACAGAGATCATACCAGTGATGACCATCTTCTTTGCCTACAACCAGGGTCAGGTGTTCAGTTACATTATTCAGAAGCGATCTGGTACATCTGTTGCCGGCTCGAACAAGACCAACTCTCGATCGGCTTCCATCTCAGACTCGAGCAGTACCAAGATGAAGCAGATGAGTTCAACATCATCATTGTCAATCACTCAACAATAAGTATATAAATAAGACTTGCGACGACGCTGTCATTCATTCATTCATGTATCTTGAGACATTCTTTATTATCATTCAATTGTCCAAGCCATCCTTACTCCCATGGTCTGTCCTCATATCCATAGCCAGCAGTGTCATCACCAACGATACGATCCTTGACCACCAAGAGACTGCCAAGGAATGAGTGCCACAAGATGCCAGAGTCGCCCCACATGAATAGGGCCATGTCCCAGAGGAGTTCGATTCCCTCGTTGCGACTATCAATGCAGACACAGTCGATAATGTTGACGATGATGTCCACCTCCTCCAATCCAACAATGTCATTATCCAGTGCCTTTCCATAGATGCGCTCATATACAGGTGCCACCATGCTGCGGAGCAGAGTGTCATATGCTTGGCCCAACTTTAGTGCACTCTCCTTCAGCTGTTGGTACTGGCTCTCACAAGATTGGTGGTTGTGTGGTTGCACAAAGTACTCTTCCTCCTTGCGGTCAGTGATCGTGCCGATCATTGAATCCTTCTTGGCAAAGCGGCGAGGGTGGGCATGCTCGGCAACACTCATGGCGGCGTTGAGGATACGGTGGCGAGCATTGCAGAGTTGCCAATAGTGAGTGGAGACAAGTGTGAGACCACTGACAGCATACCTGTGAATGTCGGCAACATATTCGACACCGGCTAGGGTGACGGCAAAGGCATACTCGATGCCAGGGTACTGTCCATCACGGGCGCCCAATGTGAAGAGTATGTTGGAGCAGTCGCACACACTCAGATCGTAGCCATAGTCGGGAACGTCATGGATCACTGAGGCGAATCCAATTGCCATATAGGCCTCATCATCCATGCTGGAGTTGACTGTCGCCTTCACGAACGCTGCATCGATCACACGGTAGTGGAGCATCTTGGACAGATCTTTCCATGCGCAGGCATTGATCAGATGGACACCAGATCTACGCATGTTGTCCTCATATCGTTTCTTGGCACGCACAAACTCATAGCTGATAGAGGTAGCTTCAAAGCACGATTTGATACCGTCCTCACCAGTGGAGTGCACCTCGGCTATGCGATCAGCAATTCCAAGGATCCACATGCGGATGGCTGGCATCGTCCTGTCGCCTCCATAGTCATAGAGGAACATGTTGTCGATGTGTCCCATTCCAGTTCCCAAGGACTTGCCAAACACGAATCTGTTGTATAACAAGCTGTTGGCCACGGGCATTGGTGATGTACTTAATCCTTTGAGTTTCAGGGATTCACATATCGTATCCCATTGAGTGTTGCCAGTGATGACTGCGAATCCACTGCCCTTGGACATATTCTCTATGATCTTGTTGGCTTTGGGACGGTAGACCTTTGAGTAATCAATCTTGTAGACAATGAATGGACTGTTCTTGGTGACCACACCAGAGCGAAGGGCAGTGTACATCTCAACTACGCGCTCCAATGTCCAGATGGCCCAGATCTTGGCTAGGACAACTTGAGCACAACTGTCCATGTACTTGGCCAACTCATTCTGGAATACGGCGACCTCAGGGATGGGACTGGTCCCCAAGTTCTCAATGGCACCAGATAAAAGAACACCTTTGAATAGGCCATGGATAGGCCATGGTTTATCCTTTTGATTACGCTCACCAAGGTTGTTCTCCTTCTTGATGTCTTCAAACTTGACAATGACATTGCGATCCTTGATCTGGACGATACCTGCGAGTGGAGACTTGAACGTATACTTGGAGAGGTCAGCTGAGTTGATGATCTTGGAAATACCTTGGGTCAAAGGATTGATGTAGTAGTCCTGCCAGGCGAGTGTTGCTTCTTTGGACACGATGATCTTGATTGGATGGCGATCGAACCTGCCAAAGGTGTACTTCTTGGTCTGGTCACCCTTCCACCACTTGGCAAGGTCCTTCTCTCTCCAGTGCTCGACACCATTATGTTTGACCTGCCACACCTCAAAGAAGGTATTTCCTTGGTTGATGGCCATGTATGGTGCATGGGTGACGAATGTGTTCTCGGCACAGACATATGGAAAGCAACCCCCAACCTCGGGCTTGAACATGAAGGGAACAATCTGGCCAATAAACTGGTTGTTATTCTGATTGCTGGCCATCGAACACATACGGTCCTCCTCAGCGGTGAGGTTGTAAATATTCTCGCCAGCAGACCAGTGAATAACACCTGGATCCTTACGAACGCGTAGTTCATCAGGTGGTAGACGGTCCAACTTGTCATTCAAATAAATGTTGTCAGCGGCCTCCCACTTCTCACTTGGATATAGTTTATCTTTGGTCGGTCACTCCAAATCTAAGTTCCAACTTTGTCATGTATAAACAAATGATTCATTGAACACCCACCCTTAAGTTCTGTTTCCTAAATTGACATAGACATTCTTCATAACTATTATTGACAAGACATTAGGTTTGGAGGGGTAGGGTGTCTAGGGTAAGGGTGGGTACTGTACACTCGGATATTCCTAGTGTAGCCGGTAAAGAGGAGTAAGGGTATGAATAATATGTTAGGCCGACAAAATTCATTTAATGTTTTTTTTTATTATTATTATTAATAATGAATATAACCACATTATCTATATTATTTATTGTTGTATATCTTGTACTGGATTTTATTCATAAGAATAAAAAACTATCAAAGTATGATCCACCAGGTGCTACAGCCTTATCTTTACTTGGTAATCTACATCAAATTGGATCACAACCTCATAAAGGTCTAGAGAACATGGCAAAGAAATTTGGTCCAGTCTTTAGATTCTGGATTGGCGATCGTTATGCAGTGGTGTTGTCCGATCCCAATATCATCAAAGAGATCAATGTGAAGCAGTTTGATAATTTTACCTATCGAGCTATTTCACCTACCTTCGATGTAATGAGTCGATGGTCTGCTGATTTAACTCTGGCTCGAGATGAAAGATGGCACCATGTCAGAAAGTTAATGTCCAATGCCTTCACTAAGACAAAGTTGAGAGCTTACACTATTGTAATTGATGAGCAGCTCGATCATCTAATGTTGCAGATGAATAATTTCATGAAGAACAAACAACCAGTATGTAATAATCATTCTCAGGAATAATTCCAATCAATCAATCACTCACTCAATCATTTGAAATAATAGTTCTACCCAAGGAAATATTTGCATAAGTATTCACTCAATATGATATTGAGTATGATGTACTCTGAGGAGATACCTCAAGAGGAGGGGCAGGAGGGTAGGATGGCTACATTGTTCCCGCCCATGGAAATTATTTTGAAACAACTTGGAACTGCCAACTTGGGTGATTACATCAATATCTTGAGACCTCTACGAGCACTCAATTACAAAATATTCGGGTCAGAAACGGAAAAGTTATACCAAATCTCCGAGAAGATCTACATTGAACATGTTGAAACACTGATGAGAATAAGTATGTTGTTGTACAACAATTCAAATTAGATAATTCGCTAATATATAATTTACATTCATAGCCCTAGAGACCTGTTGGACAACTTGATCATTGACTCAAAGGGAGAGGAGGATAAGGAGTCAGTTATCATAGTATGCAATCACTTTCTAATGGCTGGAAGTGATACATGTGCTTCAACTGTTGAGATCTTCATGTTTATGATCAATAATCCAGATATCCAGGAGGAGATGGCTACTGAGCTTGCAAGAGTAGTTGGTAAGGGCAACCGTGCATCTGTTGAACATCGTCCAGAATGTCCTATCTCCAATGCAGTGATAAAGGAGGTGATGAGAATAATTCCAGTCGCTCCACTTAGCCTGCCCCGTCAAGCCAAGGAATCAATCATCATTGCTGACAAGTACTTCATTCCCAAGGGTGCAATGGTAATCAACAATCATCGTGCTGTGCATCATAACACTGACCACTGGGACCATCCAGAGAAGTTCATGCCCCAGAGATTCCTGGACGATGGAGAGACTCACAATGATTTCCTCCTACCATTCAGCTCTGGTCCTCGCAATTGTGTCGGTCAGAACCTTGCAATTGAGGAGGTGTTTGTAGCCTGTGCCAACAATGTACATGCATTCAAATTGAACTCAATCGATGGCAAGCCAGTCAATGAAGATGAAGTCTTTGGATTGACCATCCAGCCAAACCTTTTCCAAGTGTGTCTCGAGGCCAGATCTTAGGACCTCTAATTAATAAATTGTAAATAATAAATAATTATAATATATCATATCATTCATTGATGATACATACATGTCTTTGATTGATTGTTGATCAGATCGACCCACTCACCACACACACTCTGATCATCCAATCCAATTCCCTAATTCATTTGTAGATCAACTACACTCAAATGTGTGTGAACATGTAATATTGCAATGGATACAAATAATAATTATTACAACGAACAAAGTGGAGTTCTTCAATATTTGTAATTACCGGTTGATATCGACATCGACGAGAGTAAGGATAATAACAAAAACAAATAACATCCACCTCCTTATACGGTATCCAACCATCAACCAAACAAACAAAACCGAACCGACCCCTATATTAACATCGTTTGATGATTCCAGGATTGGTATAGTGACCTCCCAACATGTTGAAAGGTGGCGATGTTGATAGATGAGTAATGAGTAGTAGTACAAGTTCATTCATCATTCAATACGTCTATCACTAGTATTAATACTACTTACTTAGTTTAAATAACAATGGTTTCCAACCCAAATGACACTCCTCTTCGCCTTCCCAACACCAAGTTGTTCATCAATGGCAAGTGGGTAGACCCAGTAGTTCCCAAGACACTCGTCACTATCAACCCTGCCACAGAGAAGGTCATCTGTGAAGTGTCAGAAGGTTCATCAAAAGATGTCGATATAGTATGATTCATAATTCAACTCATCTACATCGGTCAATTCAAGATCATTCACACAATCAATCAAATGTCCAACCAACATATTTAGGCTGTTGCAGCTGCCAGAGAGGCTTTTGAAAATGGTCCTTGGAACAAGATGACTGCCCAGCAGCGTGGAAAGTTACTCTTCAAGTTGGCTGACCTTATTGAGCAGAACAAGGAGTGGTTGGCCACATTGGAGACAACAGACAATGGCAAGCCATACTCGATGGCACTTGACTTTGATGTTGCTCAGAGTGCAGATACAATCAGATATTTTGCTAGTATGACGGATAAGATACAGGGTAAGCTGATCCAGGGTTCAGAACAGAAACTCACAGTCTACACCCGCCACGAGGCTGTTGGTGTGGCTGGCTGCATCACTCCATGGAACTTCCCATTCTTATTATTATGCTGGAAGATTGGACCAGCCCTCGCGGCTGGTTGCACTGTCGTTGCCAAGCAGAGTGAGATCACACCACTGTCTGCACTTGCCCTCTGCCACTTGGTCGAGGAGGCCGGCTTCCCTGCTGGTGTGTTCAACCTGGTCACAGGTTATGGTCACACAGTCGGAGACGCCATAGCCAGACATCCAGACATTGACAAGATCTCATTCACTGGTTCCACAAGAGTTGGCCGTCTGATCATGGAGGCAAGCGGCAAGAGCAACCTGAAGAAGGTCACCCTTGAGCTGGGAGGCAAGAGCCCAAACATCATCTTTGATGATGCTGATCTGGACCAGTCTGTCATGGGCTCAATCTTTGGAGTCTATATCAACAGTGGTCAGTGCTGCGCTGCTGGCTCCCGTCTGTTTGTCCAAGAGGGCATCTATGACAAGTTTGTGGAGAAGTTCACTGAGGCCGCCAAGGCACTCAAAGTTGGCGACCCATTCACAGGAGTCACCCTAGGTCCATTGGCCAGCAAGGAGCACTTTGATCGTGTGATGAACTATCTTGCTATTGGTCGCAAAGAGGGTGTCAAGGTGTCTCTCGGTGGTGAGCGTCTATCAAACGTAGGATACTACGTCCAGCCAACCATCTTGCACGAGGTCAACGATGACATGTGTGTTGCAAAGGAGGAGATCTTTGGACCAGTGGCTTGCATCTTCAAGTTCAAGACTGTCGAAGAGGTCATCAAGCGTGCCAACGACACTCAGTACGGTCTTGCCGCTGGAATCTTCACAACAAACCTCAACACTGCTCATCGTGTTGAGAAGAAGCTGAGGGCAGGAGTAAGTAATCACTCTCGACCGACACTAATTGGGCAATCATTCGGAATCATTCCACTCACTGACACATCCAACTCTATCAATCAATCATTATAGACTGTCTGGATCAATGATTACGGTTATGTTAACTCCTTGATACCATTCGGAGGATACAAACAGAGTGGATTTGGAAAGGATTTGAGTGAATATGCCATTCAAGAGTACTGCTCAGTCAAGTCTGTCATCATAAACCATGGACAGGCTTTATAATCTACTTATTACAAATTGATTGATTGAACGAATTAATCAATCAAAGAACAACTCGCAAAGGAAGGAAGAAGAACAGTAGATCATCAATCCAATTGGTTCGGTTCTTCTTTTCACCATCTTTAGATATTCTTTTTGGGCGATTTCATTAAAAATTAATTAAAACAATGTTGTAAAATGTCCACTGATCATTCAGTGTCTCTGAAATGAAATTGATAGGGCCTGATGGGGCTGTAGAGTGATCAGTTCGGGACCAGGTTGACCATTCTTGGTTTGGTTTGTTCGACATAATCATTCATATCATTTAACTATTACCATCACATACTTCTTCACTCAAACATATAATAATGGATACCAACCCAATTGATACTCTTCGCCTTCCAAACACCAAGTTGTTCATCAATGGCAAGTGGGTAGACCCAGTCGTCCCAAAGACATTCGTCACTGTCAACCCTGCCACCGAGAAGGCCATCTGTGAGGTGTCCGAAGGTTCATCACAAGATGTTGATTTGGTATGATTCATCATCATGATCACACAATCTCACTGATCACTCAATCAATCTAACTGATCAATGTCCATCCAACATATATAGGCTGTTGTCGCTGCCAGAGAGGCATTTGAGAATGGTCCATGGGGCAAGATGACTGCCACACAGCGTGCCAAACTACTCTTCAAGTTGGCCGACCTTATTGAGCAGAACAAGGAGTGGTTGGCAACATTGGAGACCACTGACAATGGCAAGCCATACGCCAATGCACTTGGTTTTGATGTTGCTCAAGGTGCCGAGACCATCAGATACTTTGCTGGTTGGGCCGACAAGGTCCAGGGCAAGCTGATCCAGGCTGCCGAGCAGAGACTCACCGTCTACACACGCCACGAGGCTGTCGGAGTTGCTGGTTTCATCACTCCATGGAACTTCCCATTCCTGATCATGTGCTGGAAGCTCGGACCAGCTCTCGCTGCTGGTTGCACTGTTGTCGCCAAGCAGAGTGAGATCACTCCACTGTCTGCACTTGCCCTCTGCCACTTGATCGAGGAGGCTGGCATCCCCGCCGGTGTCTTCAACTTGGTGAGCGGATACGGTAGCACCGTCGGAGACGCCATCTCGCGTCACCCCGACATTGACAAGATCTCATTCACTGGTTCCACAAGAGTTGGCCGTCTGATCATGGAGGCGAGCGGAAAGAGCAACCTGAAGAAGGTCACCCTTGAGCTGGGAGGCAAGAGCCCAAACATTGTCTTTGACGATGCTGATCTGGAGCAATGCGTCACTGGCGCCATCAACGCCATGTACATTAACATGGGCCAGTGCTGCTGTGCTGGTTCCCGTCTGTTTGTCCAAGAGGGCATCTATGACAAATTTGTCGAGAAGTTCACCGAGGCCGCCAAGGCACTCAAGGTCGGTGATCCATTCACCGCCGTCAACCAAGGTCCATTGGCCAGCAAGGAGCACTTTGATCGTGTCATGAACTATTTGGCTGTCGGCCGCAAGGAGGGTGTCAAGGTGTCTCTCGGTGGTGAGCGTCACTCTGACGTTGGCTATTACGTCCAGCCAACCATCTTGCATGAGGTCAACGATGACATGTGTGTTGCAAAGGAGGAGATCTTTGGACCAGTGGTCTGCATCTTCAAGTTCAAGACCGTCGAGGAGGTCATCAAGCGTGCCAACGACACCGAGTACGGTCTTGCTGCTGGTATCTTCACAACCAACATCAACACTGCCCATCGTGTTGAGAAGAAGTTGAAGGCAGGAGTAAGTCATCATCTCAATCAATCACTCAATTAATCAATCACTCACTTACTCAATTACCCAATCAATCATTATAGACTGTCTGGATCAATGATTACAACTACATTCACTATTTGATCCCATTCGGAGGATACAAACAGAGTGGATTCGGAAAGGACCTCAGTGAGTACGCAATCCAAGAGTACTGCTCAGTCAAGGCTGTCATCCTCAACCATGGCCAGGCATTGTAAACAACCTACATGAATGAATGAATCAATCAATCATTTTATTGACGATATATTATAGATTAGCCATCGATTTGGTTGGAATGCATTCTTGACACATGTACTTGGGTACTCATAGTAGTTGACCATTTGGTAGCCAGTGTACACGTCTCTTGGTATATTGGGAATGGCACATTGTGCAGAAGGGTAGACAGTGGTCGGTATACACTTCTTGAACTTGAAGCAACTGTAGTTCTCCTGTTGGTATGTGCCCAGGTTGTCCTTGGGCCGGGCACAAGACGTGCCGCTAGGGAGTCCATCGCACACTGGCACGGGCAATCGATGGAAGATACGACGTATCGTCATGTGCTGGTCCAAGTCAATCGATGTGATTTGGATAATTGCGCGGTCGGAGAAGAGCAGATCGTCCCAGTCCCATTCCAGGGGGTAGGGTGGCGGCACGTATGTGCGGAAAGTGATGAAGCGATTTGTGTTGATTAGGTTCGCGCGTGATGTACATGTGCTGTTGCCGCATGGGCCACGTTCAAGCATATAGAAGTTGTTGTCTAGAAAGTTGATGATGGGTTGCTCGTACGCCAGTATGGGGAGCGCTTTGTATACCCATGCAATGTAGAATATCAAGTATTGAGGGAAGAATCCATAAACAATGAATGCATTCTGATCGTCGAGAAAGTCATCATTGTTCATATCAGGTGCTAAATATATTATATTGGTCTCTTCTTGTTCGGATTGATTATAATTGTTTGTCAAGTAGACACTGCTGTAAGGACATGATCGACGCGAGTGGCAAGTTAGAGGTGCCGGTGATGCAGTGCAAACCTGGCACTTCCTCGTATGTAAGTCGAATTGATAATATTTGGCCACACTGCTAGTTGATGATATCTGTATTACTAATATAAAGACTAGTAAAAGTCCTAGGACCAGGGTAATTGTATTCATTGTTGTCGTGGTGAGGGTGGGATTATTCCTAAATTCCTAAATTCCTAGATATTATTAATTCCATTGATTGAGAACCTAGATGAATATATTCAATACAATATGATATGTCAAGGAAGTCTCATATCATTCAAATTGATTAGTGTGTATCAGTATGATGGTGTGAAGTGTGATGTGCGATCAGACGAATGTGTTTGAATTATGATGACAATCTACATTCACACCCTTTGACGAACTCACTACACAGAGATAAATACATATTTTATAAATATACATATGATATATATATAATTTAACTCTAGTTAAACATTGCTAATCTTCTCTTGATCGTGACCATTGATTATATAAGTAGGTCCAGCTGGTGGAGATGAATCTGATTTTGATAGTTTCTGTTGATCTGGCTTAGATGTAGACTCTAACATCTCAACTTTGTAATCTTCTGGTGATGTTGATATGTGGAGTACCAAACAGATACTAAATATTGCGACTATATTTGATGCCAACAATATCCAAAATCCATAACCTGGTTTGAAGTTATTACAATAATCTGGATTGGGTAAGGTTGATGTTGAGGAGGAGGAAGTTGCTGGACACCATTGCTCCTCTTGTTTGAGAAAGTGATTGAAACTGATAAAATATAGTTGAGCAAATATTTGTAATATTACTGCAATGAAAATTAATATCTTGATTGTTTGTCTAAGACGTATTAATGGTCTTGGTGATAATGTAAAGAATAACGATACTCCTGCAAAGAACCAACTGAATAATGCTAAACATATTGAGACCAGAGTAGGAACAAATACATTTCTAAGACTACCATATTTGATTAAAGTAGGTTCCTAGTAATAATACATTATATATTAATATATATTTATGGTTAATAATTATTTTAACATAAACATACCTCATTATTTGATGTATTCTTTAGATAGACACCCATAAATGTGAAAGATACTTCTATATCACTGCCTTGATGGATAATGTACCATGATGTTGTTGTACTGACAGCTGTTACTCCTATTTGAATACAAACAAATCCAAGTAGGAGGAATGTACTTAAAATAGTGCAACCTTGTTCAAAGTTCTTCATCTTGTATTTATGTTGTTTAGGTAATAATTAGTATTTTAATATTGATTTGTATTTACAAAAGTATGATTATTATTAATATTGATTCACAGGTCATTTATATTTGATTGGATCACATGAGTGAAATTGGTGAAACTGTGTGATTGTGATGATGGTGAATAAAGGGGGAACCAGGCCTCTTATTGATCATAAATGGGGTATTACATTGACGACATTAATGGGGAGACTCAATATAATAATTCCTGGTTATTCAAAACTCATTCAAAGATTAAGATGTTTCCGATATCAATTATCAATAGCCTCATTTGAAGTTCATTCCCTGGTTGGTGAAAGAGAAATTATCAATTTTATTATTTGTTAGTTAAATTGAACTTCTAATATATTTAAGTGATTATTGATCCAATTTAATGTTAAGTGATCACTGATAAGTCAGAGTATGGAACTTATGATCGTGTCAATACTTAGTTATTGCAAAGTGCACCGAGACTTTAACTCCGAAGGGACGAAAATGACCCAACTACCAATTTGTCAACGCAACAAAGTCATCACATTTGTTTGAATTGAATGAGAGATAGAGAAAAAGAGAGATAGAGATATAGAGATGGATAGTTTATTTAAACAAGTTCTAAATAATAGATGGTTGTCTAAAAAGTTGTTTGATAGTGTTACATTGGTACATCAAAGGTTAATGCAACCAAAAGAGAATTATGTATTACTAGATTGGAATGCATTGGTTGGTCATTGGTTGGCATCAATGAATGCCTATCTATTGCCAGATAATGATGATCCTTATAATGGTACAAGCATACAATTCACAGTGGGAGATGTATCTATCGATCAATATCAAGGACATCGTTATATCATTGAGTACTTAAGAGAACATCGACTGAACGACGTCTTTACCTGCACGCCAAGTATGATCGACACAATGTCTGCACTGGGCATATACGACCTTGTACGATACCTACATGAACACGGTGCATGTGCATCGACCAATGCAATGGACCATGCTGCATCGCTCGACTTGATCAAGTTCCTACACGACAATCGTAACGAGGGCTGCACAGAGAGCGCGATGGACAATGCAGCGAGTAATGGAAGGCTTGACATTGTCGAGTTCCTGCACAACGAGCGAACAGAGGGCTGCACACACAATGCAATGGACTTGGCTGCCGGACATGGCTTCCTCGAGGTCGTGAAGTTCCTACACGACAAGCGAACAGAGGGCTGCACGACCGAGGCTTTGGACAAGGCCGCGTCAAACGGACACCTCCCAATCGTCGAGTTCCTGCATCAACATCGCACAGAGGGCGGCACCACGGAGGCCATGTCCTATGCTGTGAGCGCTGGACATCTCTCTGTCGTCAAGTACCTTCATCAACACTTCCCCAGCTTCAAGCTCCCACAATATGCGATGGATGGTGCCGCGAGGAATGGCCTGCTGGACATCATCGAGTTTCTTCATGTCAATCGCACGGAAGGATGTACGTACCAGGCGATGGACTCTGCGGCATCCGGTGGCCACCTCCCTGTCGTAGAGTACTTGCATAACAATCGTACTGAAGGCTGTTCAAAGAAAGCAATGGACTGGGCAGCTTCTAATGGCCACATGGACATGGTACTATTCCTGCACAACAACAGGACTGAGGGTGCGACAATTGACGCGATGAACTTGGCTGCATCTGCAGGTCGCTTGGACATGGTTCGCTTTCTCCACGAGCAGCGCACTGAAGGCTGCGACTACAGCGCCATGACATGTGCGGCAGCGGCCGGATACCTGGACGTCGTGCAGTTCCTTCATGAGAACCGAACAGAAGGCTGCACAACTGACGCGATGGACGGCGCCATTCGAATAGGCCGCATGGACATTGTACAATACCTGCATCATAATCGAACAGAAGGCTGTTCAGACAACGGATTACTCTACGGCATCTACAGAGACAACACAGATCTGATGCGATTCCTCTTCAAGAACTATTTACATATCATCGATGGTAATTCTTCCAAAAAGATGGTCCAGGTCTACTACAACCTATTTGCCATGGAGAACAACAGTGTTTCCGTCATTGCCGCGCCGGCTGTCCCTGGAATGCCATGAGGCCCTGTCATTGTCCTCATGAGGCCCTGTCATTATCTTGCCTCTGTCCTGTCCATACTTCTATCCTGTCTCTATCTTGTGATGCTTGTCACAAGACAAAGTTTGATGATGATCAGCAAACACACGTTTTTGACTTTTGATGATCATCAAAAAACCACACAAAGAGAGTGCACTCACACACAATCAATCAGACGGTGATGATCCAAAAACAGATGGTGGCCCACCTGTTCAAATAAAATGGATTCACCTGTTGTACCTTACCTTGTGCACAGGGGTGTATTAACACTTCATCAATCAATCAATCAAATCAATCCAATTTCTCTATATCTCTTTATCTCTCTTTATATATATATACATAACTTAAAGAAATGGCATCAATAGTATTTGATAACAGCCTTTCAGGACAGGTCAACCAGTTCTTGGGCGATGTGGACGATTTGCTAACCATCAAGACTGGTTCGCCCGCAGAGAAGTTGATCAACTTGTTGCAGTGTGATGAGAAGCCTGTGCGTGAGAACGCAATGGCCTTGTTGGCATTCGCCAACCAAGCAGCCACCAACAAGGATGCCTCACGTGAGGCCGGCCTCATCCCTGTCTTCCTTCGTTACATCACCCCTGCCACCCTTGTCGAGTCCGCGCCAATGGTCAAGCACGCAGTGATGGGTCTAATGTTCCTTGGTAATCACTGTACGTATGATTGATTGGGCGAGTGAGTGGAATGATTCCAGGTCATGGCGTTCCCAGACTGACCCTGATCCCCTATGGTGATCACAACAAACAGCTGATGTCAACAAAGAAGCTATTGCATCTGTTGGTGGCGCAGACTCAACTTTTGAGTTGATACGTGAGTTGTTGCCAGCGATGGCAACACCACCAGCAGGCGCCAAGAGGGATGATGTGCAGCAGTCACTGTCACACTCACTCAATCTTGTAATCATATTGGCATCGTTGGCATCCATCAGAGAAAAGATTGGATCCGTCCAGAACTTCCTCGTACTCAACAGTCTGCTTGGCTTCGAGGATGCCAACCAAGAGTTGCAAATCCAGATCCAAGAAAAGTCACTATCCTGCGTCAACAACATCTGTCTGCACAGTGAGTATCCCGCCTATAGAGTTCGGATCCTATCCCCTTCCCCTGCCACTCCCACCTAACGCATCACTCACTCATCGCGCATACACAGAGGAGAACAAGGATCACGCCAGAGTTGCTGGAACTATCGAGGCAGTACTTAAGCTGTTCCACTCAAAGAAGGCAACTATTGTGGACAGCGCTGTTAGAATGATTTACAACATGACCATTGTGGATGCCAATCGTGAGGCACTCCGTCAATGCAAGGGACTCGAGGCACTCGTCTCCATCCTCAACCAACAAGATGCCATCAAGCTCATTGTACTCAAGGCCATCTCAAACATGGCTGTCGACAGTATGTTTACCTACCCTTGCCCTTACCCTAGCCTTAACCCTAACCCTTACCCTCATTCAATCAATCAAGGACAAACTATTGAATATATGATCAAGAACAAGGAGGCAGTGTTCGACCCAATCCTTGCCATGTTCCCATTCGCCAGTGGAGCTGAGGGTGTGTTTGATCAGGTGTTGTCCATCGTCCAGAACCTCGTGTCTGAGGATAACTTCATTGAGGATGTCTCAAAGATGGGCATTCTCGAGAAGATTGTCCAGTCCATCAAGGGCATGCCACTCACCAACACTGCCCAGCAATCCGTCCTCTTCAAGTCTGCTTGTATTATATCCGCTTTGGTAACAATTGGTATGAATTACATTAGATTGATTAATTTGGAATGATTCCACTAACACTCAATCAATCAATCAGAGGACGTTCAACAGGGTGCAGTTGAGAGTGGAGTCGTGGCTATACTGATTGACTTGCTCAAGTATCAACCAGCTGATATTAGACGTGAGGCTGCACGTTCATTGGCCAACGCCACACCATACTATGATGATGTTCGTGGTGAGGTTGGCAAGCTGGGCGGTGTTGAGCTCTGTCTCGACTTGCTCCTCACCTCTGACAAGGAGCTCACCAAGCAGGCAGCACGTGCCCTCGTCAATCTTGCACGTAACACTCACAACGAAGAGAAGTTGTTTGAGGCCAAGGGTATTGAGCACGCCATCCGTCTGATCAACTTGCCAGAGAAGGACTTGAAGATGCTCGGCACCAAGCTGCTGGTGAACCTGTCTCTCAATGAGAAGGCTCGTATCTCATTCTGTCAGAAGGGTGGACTGTCCATTGTGCAGACCCTATTGACCTCGCCCGACCAGGAGTTGCAACTTCAGGGCACCAAGATCATCACCAACTTGGCCATCAGTGGTAGAAACCGTAAGCTGATGAACGAGAATGTTCCAGAGCTCCTGCCAGCCGTCAAGGCCCTGCTCAACTCTTCATCCGCCGAGATCAAGACTCAAGCCGACGTTGCCATCAACAACATATCCTTCCCATGTATGTACTTACTTCACTTGATCATTTCAATCAGCTCCATTAACATGTACACTCCACCACAACAGATGAGAAGAGCTATGAGGGACTGGACTTTGGTCTGGAGGAGCAGTTCCCAACATTCATGACCCCAACTCAGTATGAGCAGGATGAGGATGATGAGGATGAGGACAAGGAGGAGGCCCAGAAGATGAGAATGTTGGAGGAGGAGGAGTTGCGCCAGGCTGCCGAGACAGAGATTATTGAGAGGAAGAAGATCATGGAGGAGGAGATGAAGAGGATCGAGACCAGAAGAAAGCAGGAGGAGGAGAAGCGCAAGCAGGACGAGGAGGAGGCCCGCAAGAAGAGAGAGGACGCCGAGAAGGCCAGACAGTTGGCCGAAGAGATGGAGCGTCTCAGAATCGAGGCCGAGGAGAAGCGCAAGCAGGACGAAGAGGAGGCCCGCCACCAGGCCGCCCTTCAGGAGGCCGAGCGTCTCAAGAAGTTGTCCGACCAGCAGGCCGCCGCCGAGCGTGCCGTCGCCGAGAAGCAGGCTGCCGAACTTGCCGCCCGTCTCAAGCTCGAGGAGGAGGAGCGCAAGAGATTGCTGGAGGAGGAGCGTGCTCGCAAGGAAGAGGATGAGCGCAAGAGACGCGAGGCTGTCGCCGCCGCCGAGAAGCAACGCTTGTTGGACGAGGAGCGTGAACGCAAGGAGCGTGAGGAGGCCGAGACACGTCGTCGCCAGGAGGAAGAGGAGTCTCTCAAGAGGATGCAACAGGAGATCAAGGCCCGTGAGGAAGAGATCAAGAGAAAGAAGGAGGAGGAGGAAGCCAGAAGAAAGCGCGAGGAGGAGGCCAAGCGTCTGCAGGAGGCTCAGGACAAGGCGTCACAGGAGGCTGCCAAGGCTGCTCAAGAGGCTGCCCGTGCCCAGAAGAGGACACACATCGTCCAGGAGATCATGCACGTCGAGGCCAACTACGTGCGCAACCTCGGTCTGATCGTCAAGAAATTCCTCAACCCTCTGGCATCGGCTGGTGCATCCAAGCGCCCAATCATCACACAGGACAAGATCAAGTCGATCTTCTCGATCGTGGAGATCATCCACAACTTCAACAGCATGCTGTCGGACGGTCTTCAGTCACGTGTCAAGCGTTGGCTCGCCGACAACAAGAAGGACGTGCTGATCATTGGAGACATCTTCATCAAGACCACCGACTTCATGACTGTGTACTCGACCTACATCAACAACTACAATCACTCGATCAAGACACTCAACGAGCAGAAGAAGACCAACTTGCCATTTGCCCAGTTCATCAAGAAGGTCGAGGCCGACCCCGAGCTGCGCGACCAGGAGCTCGAGAACCTGCTGATCAACCCCGTGCAGCAGCTGCCACGTTACGTCATGTTGCTTTCTGACCTGATCAAGAACACCAACGAGGACCACCCAGACCACAAGTCGCTCGTCGAGGCCCTCGAGAAGATCCGTCACATCACCTCCTACGTCAACGAGCGTAAGCGTGATGCTGAGGACGCCATGACCATGGTGAACATCCACCAGAACCTGCGCGGCAAGGTGCCACGCGACTTCTTGGCGCCACACCGCAAGTTTGTCAAAGAGGGCAACATCCAGTTTGGCTCAGCCAGTGGCTCTTTCAAGGACAAGGACCCAGTAGTGTTCCTCTTTTCGGACATGCTGATGATGACCATCAAGCATCCAAACAAGCCCAACGAGTACAAGTTCCGCTACTCGGTGGACCTCACACACAGCACCGCCATCGAGGACTTCCCTCGCATCAACAACGGTTTCATCGTCAAGGCTTCGCAGTGGTGGATGTTCTCCTGTCCCACCCCAGCCGACAAGGCTCAATGGGTTGAGACTCTCACCAAGGTCATCCAGGCACTTCCAAAGAAGTAATCAATCTATCCATCAATCGATCAGTCTGTCCATCATCAATCCAATCAATCCCATCGTCACACTTCAATCATAAACTAGTCCAAGCTGTGGACCATCACATTGTATATATCTTTGAGGCTTTACTATTATTTGTGTCGGTTCGGGTGTCTAGATATCTTGACGCTCCTCAAAGTAGATACCTTCCTCAGCCTTCCACTTGGTGTCGGCATCCTTCTTGTTCATACCACAGACCTCGAGTTGACCTGGGATTGGGTGTTGGTACTTGTAGTTTGCGCTGGCTGTGAGGTAGGCCTTGGTGTCGACGTGCTTGAGTCTGAACTCAACGTCACGTGTCCACTGATCGCCGGCATCAATAAGCTCGACGACCCAGTTGTCACCAGTGTCGCCCTCGCCATTCTCGCCAAAGCAGCTGACCTCGTTGTTCTTTGTGAGTGGCGAGACGGCCAGATGGCTGTGCAGGTTCTTGCGGGTGTTCAGATGGATCAATCTGATTGTGTCGCCATTCTTGATGATCGTGCCCTGCTGTCTGTACTGTCCATGTGGTCCCTTGATCATCCACAGACTGTTTGTATCGTCATTCTCTGGGAATCCAGTGACTGACTGTTGGCCACTACCGCCTCCCTGACTTCCATAAGCGACCTTATGTGAGTGCAATCTAAACTTTGTCGCAACATGTCCCAGCTTGATTATACTGCCATATGTAACTGTAGAGACTAATAATAGTATGTTTGTTCATTGTGTCAGATACTCTATTTATCCTATCTTACTAGATGATCAATCACATGTGATGACTCGCGAGTCAACTTACTGGCATGATCTTCATAATCTGCTGAAACTATATTGAATGTTGATAGCAACACCAACAGTGTAGCTACCAACAACAGTCTTATATTATTACTAGTATACATCTTCTTTAATCTCCTTTATATCTTTACAACTATCTATCTATGTTCATTCAGAAATGACTCCAGAAGTGACAAACTTGACGAATCTAGCTAACTTTTAAATTTCATTTCAGGGACACGTCACCACTCTCCCACATTGATCAATCATACCAGAACATAAACCTTGGCGGCATAGATACATATATTGATGATCGATCTCCCTGATCGTTTGATTTATTGATTGATTGAACAAAAGAGAGAAAGAGAGAGAAAGTGTATCCTTAAGCTCCAACAAGGATCTCAACATCCCAAATCCAGAAAGTTGAATCGATTCCTACTCCAAGTACAAAGTCAATCTCCAATCTCGTCATTCCTGCTGGGATCACAACGGCTGGAAGTGATCGGACTGGCTCAACTGGTGACAGGCCAGAGTTGACCAACACTTGACCGGTGTTGGCATTCTTCAGTGCAATGGTGCCCTCTGGATTCCTTGGATGTCTCATCGAGAGGAAGCGAACGGTCATCTGGGCACCAGAGAGTGCGCCAGACAAGTTGACAAAGAGCTTGGTCAATGTCTTTCCTGGTGTCTTGTCCTCGAATGGTTGTACCAGGTAGCGAGCCTTGTCTATTCCACTGTCTGACGATGCCATCTCCACACCAGAGTTGTGACTGGGGATGTTGCCCATTGGGACGGTGAGGGGCGATGGCCAAGACTGTTGTGGCGCGCCAAACAGACCCGGACTGAGAATGTACATGCAGTTGCGGGCGGTCAACGTGGTGACTCCCTTCTGGCGAGTGAGAAACTGCGTGGTCATGGTGTTCCTTGGCGCCTGCTCGAGGATCCTGCGGCCAAACATGAAGTAGTCGCTGCGGTAGTACATCAAGGCATTGATGATGAACTGATCAGTTGGTCCAATGGCATCGTCATCATAGCCTGGGTTCTGGGGCTTGATCAGCTGGTCGGCCCATTGGTGCATCTCCTGGCGCCATGATCCAACGACCAAAGCTGAGAACTTCCATTGGTCGTTGAAGTTGATTGTCTCAACGATTGTGGCAAAGAGGATGAATGCCACCACGCGGAAGTTGTGCTTGTACTGCACGAGCAAGCTGAGCAGGGCAATTCCCTCGCGGATCAGGTTGGTGATGTTGTCTCTGAGCTGCTGGAGATTGGCCTCGGTTGGCTGCACGTCATAGATGGCACGCATCTTGTTGAGCTGGGTATTGAACAGGATGAAACGGCCAATCTGATCGTTGAGCGACTGAGTGTGGTAGTTCTGGATCTGGGACTTGACATAGTCCTCAACTGAGAGCTGCTGGCCATTGGCAAACAGTCCAATGAAACCAGTGAAGATCCAACTGGCAAAGGAGATACCTGCGCCTACGCCTGGGATGAAGGCCAGGGTCTTCTCGATCCATTGAGCGGGGTCCTTGAGTGAGGGATCGGCATTCATGGCAGCCTTTTCCTTCTCCAGCTTGGTCCTGTAGATCTCCTCAAAGTTGAGGTTGGTTGGGTAGGTGGGGTTGGGGTTGGGCACCGGCTGGCCGGGGATGACCAAGGGTGGGTTGGTCGGGTTGGTCGGGTTAGCAGCCTTGTAGATGTTGGCACCGACACGGTTGGTCATTGGGAGTCCGTTGGCGCGGTTGTACTCGTCCCAGATGAAGGGTGGCGCGTTGGGCTGGGGAACGACAGAGTTGGCGGGGGTGACACCAGGTCCACGGTAGTTTGGTGCAAAGCCATTGGCCTTGTTGTAGGCCTCCCATGAGATGGCTGGGGCGTTTGGATTTGGCATTGGTCCACGGTAGTTTGGTGCGAAACCGTTGGCGCGGTTGTAGTCCTCCCATGAGATGGATGGTGCGTTGGGGGCGGGCAATGGTCCCTTGGGCTGCTGTGGCTGGGGCTGTGGCTGGGGTTGAGCGGGTGGCTGGTTTGGTCCACGGTAGTTGGCTGGGAATCCGTTGGCAGCATTGTATGCTTCCCACGAGATGTTGTTCGATCCAGGCTGGGGCATGGATGGAGCGGGTGGCTGGTTGGGTCCGCGGTAGTTGGCGGGGAATCCGTTGGCTGCGTTGTAAGCCTCCCATGAGATGTTGTTTGAGCCAGGCTGAGGCATTGATGGTGCTGGGGGCTGGTTGGGTCCGCGGTAGTTGGCTGGGAATCCATTGGCACGGTTGTAGGCCTCCCATGAGATGTTGTTCGAGCCTGGCTGAGGCATTGGCTGTTGCTGTTGGGCAGGTGGCTGGTTTGGTCCACGGTAGTTCGAAGGGAATCCGTTGGCAGCGTTGTAAGCTTCCCATGAGATGTTGTTTGAGCCAGGCTGAGGCATTGGTTGCTGTTGCGGTTGAGTAGGACCACGATAGTTGGCGGGTTGACCTATGGCCTGATTATAAGCCTCCCATGAGATGTTCTGGCCTGGTTGTGGTTGCTGTGGCTGTTGCTGTGGTTGTGGCTGTGGTTGCTGAGTTGGACCACGATAGTTGGATGGTTGACCTATTTAATTGATTGATTGAGGTTAGAAACATGAGCATGGTCGACAACGAAGGGGAGGAACATACCAATTGCTTGATTATAGGCCTCCCATGAGATGTTCTGTTGTGGTTGTTGCTGTGGCTGGACAACTTGTGGTTGGGCAGGTTGCTGAGTAGGTCCACGGTAGTCGGCTGGCTTTCCGATAGCAGCATTGTAGGCTTCCCAACTAATTGACATTTCTTATTATATATTGATTGATTGATTATGTAGTAGTTATTTGTTTGTTGTGTTTGGATGATTGATTGATGATCCGGACTGATGCTTAAATAGGACAAGTTGATTGAAGTCCGTCCATTGATGACTGTTAGGTTTAAGCAACAACTACAACAGACATTGTCACTGACTGCCACAGACCTCTTTGTACATCTTGGAAAGGTTCCATAGACTGACGCTGGAAATATCGTTTCCAAGAGTGTGTATTATCTTTAGTGACTACACATATTGGCGGACCAGAGACGAAAGTCTTGTTGTCTATTTGATTGGTTGAGCGTAGGCCCAGACCTAGGACCCAAGTAATAGATTCATCCGTTAATTTTGGATGATGTCTACCAAGATCGATTGAGTGATTGAGCCATCATGTGATCTGTTCAATCGACACAACAAATCTTGTAGAATGTCCACACTCGATTATTTTGTTGTCCAGTGTTGAACAGACGACGTGATCCATCACACAGCTCAAAAGGACATCAGTAAGTCACTTTCGATTTATAAATCTGAGTGTCTAGGCCCATGGGCAATCCATGAATTAGTGGTGCTACACGGTAATGTGTAAGTCATGTGGACCATTGTATTTTCATTGGCAGGTGTCAAGAGACACAAAGGTTTGAGTTTGAATACCTCAAGGGATGGCATTGACAAGGCTACATCAACCTGAAGTGAATGTAAGAGTATGTTTCAATTGGTTAGACATTGATAGAGGTTGAAACAAAAGACTAAAGATGTTAATCATTCATTATTACGTTATTATCTGTTACTTTTATTTGTGAACAACAGTGAATGAATGATTGTTGATGTTGTTGAACTTGGAATTGATTTGTATTGTGAACATCACCCACCCACTCTACCTACTTCATTTCTTGTTAACTAGATATCTCTCTTTGTTGTTGTAATAATATTAATATAATATATGTTGAATAGTACTATACTACTTAGAAGGATGACAACTACAACAACAAGTTTAAAGGTGGGAGAGGTTGCTTTGTGTAGCCTTGACAGATTGAGACCAACTCAATGTGCAGCTGGTATGGCACATGTAATGAGAAAGGTCGATGAACTAAAGACACTCAAACAATCAAAGGGCAATGACCAAGTTGTTCAATTCCTTCAAGCACATCCCGCCCCAGTCGTACTCAAGAACCATGACATCTATCTCATTGACAACCATCATCTGTGCAGGTATGTTTAATCGTGGTGTCACCTTGATCTTGCTGATACTGACTTCAACACACTACAGAGCTCTGTATGAGCTGAGAGGCGAGTTCTTTAGTGACCTCGACTTTAAGAGCGTCAAGACACAGGCGGTTGATCCTGAGCTGGATACTGCTACTTCTACAGCACCAAGATGCTTTGTAAAGGTGGTCAGTGATCTCTCGGCGATGGACACAGAGTCATTTTGGAAGAAGATGGATGATGAGAGATGGGTACATCCTTATGATCACAATGGCAAGGGTCCAGTACCATTCAATCACATACCTACACATATCAAGGATTTGAAAGATGACATCTGGCGAAGTGTTGCTGCATTGGTCAAGATACAAGGTGGCTTCAAGAAGACTATGATACCATACGCAGAGTTCCAATGGGCCAACTTCTTCAGAGAGAATGGAAACAATGGTGGCAGCACATGCACTGGCGACGACAAACAAGCATTCCAAGAGATTGTCAACAAGTCAATGGAGTTGGCACAGGACAAGAGTGCATCACATCTGCCTGGCTACACTGGTAAATAACACAGCACATGGTGGCTACATTGTAGACTAGCTGGGCCTGTCTCGAGACATAGGCCATGGCAAATGATGTTGTATTAGTTTGATTGTTCATTAATTATTACATTGTCCTATTCCAGGTATCAAAGATATCTCCACTCTTTCCAATCGCATCAATCTGTAACAGGCTGGACGTTGGATTGGCAACAGTTCGAATGAAGTGTGAATACTTGTGAGTTACGTCGATGTAGTCGTAGTTAAAGGTCTTGAGAATGGTTGTAACGCCCCAAGAGCCATCGCCAAGGTATACTGTGCCCGATGGATTCACTGCGCCACCCACCAGAGGCTTGGATCGCTTATACAGATGGTAATGGTGCTCGAAGCCAATGGACAGGTTGTGGCGATCAAAGATTGGCGCCCAGTTATGTCTGGCGCGCAATGTAATGTCGTAGTCGGCCTTGACGTAGGTGCATGGGTACATGGCAATGTGGTAGCAGCCAAACTTAAAGGTGGAGTTGGTGTTGGCCAGCACGCCGTCCAGCCACTCGTTCTGGCTCTCGATGGACGTGACCACTGCGCTGTCTAGCACGACGATTAGCACGTTGGGACCAATCTGATGAGTATGATTTGTGTATCTCTCGTTGGGTCCAACGGATTGCAAGCCAGTCTGGAAGGGCAGGTAGCGGATGTAGAATGGTACGGTGTTGCGCTTGGTGTTCCAGCCGCCAGCCTCGTGGTTGCCAATGGCGCCGATCAGGGGCACGGTGTAGCCGGTGGGCGTCTGGAGTGCAGCATCCCAGCGCTCAAACCAGTCGTCCCAGATCTTGTAGCAGCAGTCAAAGCCATTGTCGTAAGCCAGGTCTCCACCAATCATGGCAAAGAGTGGCTCGGTGGTGGCGGCCACGCGACTCAGCTCGTCGCCAACCTGTGTGAGTGACATGTCGCCGCCGTCCACAAACACAATTGTCGAGTTGTCGTTGGGCGCCGTCCTGAACTTGCGCTCCTCAAAGAAGTACAGATCGTTGCCAGTCTGATAGGCAACAGAGATGTAGTATGTGGTGGCAGGCTGCAGACCAGTGACATCGGCCCAATGGACATACCTGTCCTCCTCACGGATATTGTCCATCTTGAATGAGCTGGCTTGAATCAATCGTTTGTAAGGATTGTTAAAGTCGGCAATGGGTATTCTTGTGCGGCCTTTAAAGTAATCCTTTTGTGACACTGTGTCGACCATGGCAAACGATGACACTGGCTTATCATTCGTTTGGAAGTTGGCAATAACAGCCACACTCAAGTCCTCAGGGACGGTCAATATAAAATGGCAGACACGACCCTTTGGGCATCCAGGGCCCTCAATCTTTCTTGTCATATATGTTGTAACTCTCTGTCAATTGTTTGATTGTTTGGTGGAATGAGTGTGTTGGGGGAAGATGTTAGTTTATGGGATGGAATGATTCCAGTGACTGATCACATGACTTACAAAGGGGAAGTGAGTAAGACAGATGGTGTGGACGAATAGACATGAAATGAATGATACGATGAGGATGGCAGAGATGATGGCAGCGGTGTACTTGGGTGGGAAGTGGCGGATGCCATTGGCAATGGATACGCCATAGCGGTAGTAGAAGGCGGTCCTATCCGGATTGCTATACTCGGGTATGCGTCGGATGAGGTGTAGGAACACGGCAATCCACAGTAGTGACATGATGATGGCGCCACCATACCATGCCACACCATTGAATCCGGCAGCCACCAACACGAACCAAGGACATGCCAACCAGAATGCCACGAATGACCAATAACCAAACTGTTTCCAAGAGTCCCTCTTTGGCAATCCATGTTTTCTCGAGCGTCTATAACCTATTATTGCTGTTATAACACATATCAATAATACTCCTCCCACCGAAGCAGCCTGAGCAAACAGGTAATATAGTGAAGGGTATGTGATTGTCATTATCTGTGATCGTTTGATTGATCGTTTGATTGAGTGTTAGATTGAATATGTGTAGTATGAAATATATAAATAGAATGAATGATTAATAACAATAACAACAATGAAAGGGAAGATGAGGGAATGAATGAATTGCTGATGGTGGATCAAGGCCTCGGAGGTTGGGCTACGTCTGTTTTTCGTTTGTGGACTCGGGCCTTGTGCGACCCCCGATCGGTCACAAAGTCTCTGAAAAGGAAACAAAACTTGAGATTAGGGGTTGGGTCTTGAGGGACCCACCCACAAGAGGACTCATGACCTCATCAACCAACCCCGGGAAAGGGCGCGCCCCTCCCCTCCAATGTCCATGTACAATACATCACTTCACTTCTTTATTCTCTTGATTGGCAGTTCGACGAGAGATGTCTGGGACATGAGTTTGAGGAGTGGATGCGACTTGGTGGAGTGGCCGCCAAATGTTGCACTCCTTCGCTCTGGAGTGACCTCGTGTGAATCATGGAATGGATTGGTCATTCCAGTCGTACCTCGATTGTTGAATAATAGTGGATGGAAGAATGCTGCGCCATTGATGTTCATGTCCATGTCATCAGCGTGATGACGATGGTTGTTGTTCAGCGAGTCGGTACTGCTCTGTATACTGTTGCCATTACTATTATTATAGTTGCCACTATTGCCAAAGAAGAACAGTCCATTGTTGTTGATACTATTGCTGCTCGAGAACAGACTGTTGTCATTGCTGTTGCTGTGGCTGCTGTGATTCGTAAAGATGCTTTGGTCCGAGACACTGAGGTTGGTGAGCGAGGCGGTTGGGGACGACGAGACGACCGACACTTGGACCGGCCTGCTCGTCTTGATCAGTCGCTTGCGCTTCTTTGACTCGTGGAAGTTGATTATCTGTTGCTGCAGTGAGTAGTCGGTCTGCGTGTTTGTGATGCGTATGCCCGAGAACGGGTCGTTGAAGTACTGATTGTCAAAGAGCTTCTGGATGGTCTTGCGATCGACGTAGTTGCCCGACGGAAGCGCTACGGGCTCGTTCATCAGCTCCAGTGTGATGGGATCGACAAACTTGGTCGGCACACCGGCCTCGTTCAGCACGATGTCCGGGTTGTCCTGCAGGAACTTGTCAAAGTCGTTGATCTCGACGTCCATGTCCGAGTCCGAGGCTGGCTGACCAAGTGTCGTCGATCGATGGCCACCATAGCCTCGCGGTGAATATAATGCGCTTGTATTATTCGTTGTGCTATTGTCGTTGTTCATCATCAGTTTGGATGTTGGTAGACTGAACTGCATTGGATGTGATGAAAGTGATTGAGATGTTGTAGTAGTCGTCGTCGTTGTGGATGTCGTAGTCATTGTTTGATATGTAGGGAATAGTAGCTGTTGTTGCTGTTGTTGTAACAGTGGCTGCAGTGCCATCGAACTCTGATATATCTGCGCCACAACGTTCTGAGGACATTGTGCCGCAGGCAGTCCCCACACCTCTATGCCTCCAATCGATGGACAGCTTGATTGGAACACTTTGATTGATTGATTGATTGTGTGTGTCAGTGAGTGAGTGAGGGGAATGATTCCAGGGCGAGGGCACATGACATGACATACCTTTGAGTATTCGAATGCGAATGGACTTGATGTTGTTCAATAAATATACATTGGAACCAAAGGTCTTGACTTGCTCTGGTTGGGTGCCGTTGAACATTGACGGCTGGCTCTGGCCGCGGAAACTGGGATGGCAGAAGTAGGTGTAAAGCTTGTCCTGTTGATAGAGGTCGTCAAAGTGTCCGACAAACTGAAAGGATTGATGTACCAGCTTGTTGTACACGAGATGGCTGCCACTGGGCGATGCAGCCGCCGTCGAATGCATAGACTCCTTCTTCATCATCGTCTCCAAACCACCTGGATATCGCTCCTTTGATGTATCCCATTTACTAACAGATAGCATCGAATGTTGTGGATGTTGAGCCATCTTTGTATCCTCTGAATGTTGTCTATTTGATTGTTCCAACAATCTCTTTGCATTGGCTTCAATCTCATCAAACGATGATTGTGAAGTATAGAATGATAATGATTGAGCGATACCTGTACCAAGCTTTGATCTAACACTTATCCTCTCTACATCTATTGGGTATCTGTTTGTTTGAATGTTTGAATGAGTGATTGAGTGACCCTGACACGTCAATGTAGAGTACTTACGGGAATGAGATGGTGATGTCGAGGGGAGTGCGAACAAACTGTGCAGAGAGGAAGCCTCGCTCTCTGGCTTCAAGGGTCTCGTGTATGATGTTTGAGACAGAGAGGTCTTCACTGAATGAAGGTGCTTCGCAATGTACTGTGCAACCAAGTGATGCATATGAGAAGTTGATTATATTACAACATCCTGTACCTGTTGTACCTGTACCTGTACCACCAGCTGCAGAGTATGTATTACTACATCCTCCACCTCCACCTTGTTGTTGAAGTTGTTGAAGTTGTAGTTGAGGTAGTTGTAGTTGTTGTTGTCCAAACATCATGATGTTCTTGTGTGTGTATGTGTGTACAAGTAGTATCTCTTTCCTATTTGAGATACTATATCTAAGTAATATAAATATGTATATGTATATATGATACAATGAATGTTTGATTGCAGTAACAAATAAATAAATAAATAAAGATGATTGATGGATGGACAATTAAAGTAACTGATTGTTGGGGGAGTGATTGATTATGTGATTGATTGATTGTTTGTTTGAAGTGTGTGTGTGTGTGTAGTTAAGTTGTTGGTTATGTCTGTGATGTGGATTGATGATGGATGAAGTAGTTGTGATCACAACAATTGGAAGGGCAGATGTAATCTGATGTGATGTGGAGGTGTGTGTTTGCTTCTCTCATTCACACACACACACACATAGACACTTCGTGTGTAAACACGATAATAATAATGATGGACTGTGATTGTCCATAACGAATCTTTGAATTATGTGTGTTTGTGTTGTTGTACACAAGTGTTGTCGGGGGGTCAAACACACACAACAAGGGGCCACGCGTCCACTTACCAAAACACAAAACACATCATCAAAGGGCCTCATTGCAAGTGTCAGCTGATCACAATGAATGAAAGTCAAATAAATAAATCTAGAAAATATTAATTAATAAATTTGTCATGACCTCTGATGTTCTCGCGAGGTTAGAAAAGGAGGGGGCTAAAGCACGTCTCAGTGCTATGGACCTCAACCTCTGATGGCATTGTGCAAAGATGTCCAAATGATTTTGGTGTTAGGTCCATGTGTGTCATCGATGGACTGGACTGGAGACACGCGCGCCCCGCCATCATGTTCTATGTTTGGTGCATGTAGGCTCGAGATCCGATGTAGTCCATTCCTGATTTAGAATTATCCGGGTCCCTTGAGATGCCATTACCCATGACCTTTGCTTCGCGATCATTCATACACATTCTCGCGTCATAGTCTACGAGCTGGCTGGTTGGCTGGATGGCTGGCCGGCTGGAACATCAGGCAAGTCTCTTCTCTCGTTGGAACTGAGTCCAGTGATATCCATCACTCGCCGCCGACGTCGAAGTCGATGAGGTTGATGGAACACACAGGTGGTGGAAGTGCTTGTCCACTTGCCAAGGTTGATCACCATTCTCTGTGAGGTAGGGTTGTGCCAAGTGAACTTGGAAGCGTGTTGCCGGAGGACACTGGACAGTGTCCAGCAGGGGGTACCATACGCCAACTTCAAAGTTTGCAATCTTTATCGATGAAGATGAGCCATTGGATATTGATTGTTGTAGACCCCATGATGCATCGGTCATATTGTGACTGCCATGGTAGATCCAACCATCACCAATGATGACCTTTGAATGGAGTGGTGGTATACATGGTACATGTCTCAACATACTATGTATTGGTATAGTACCCTGACCATGTCTATCCGCGTATCTAATAGTCACGCACTCTTTTGCCAACTTTGGATCAATATTAACTAATTGTATAACATGATTAAGTGATGGGAATAATATTTGAAGTGATCTGTCATCTTGAAGACCAAGTGATTGAGTGAATTGTGTTAACCATTGTCTTGAAGCTGAGACCGCACTACTTTGGTAATATACATTATGGTGGCCTTGATTGTGACCATGTTGTGAATGATGTTTTGTCAAAAGTTGACGCAACTTTAGATGTCCAAGTGGATGTGATGATTGATGCACACCTGGTATGGACATCACAAGATGGATGTCCTGTTGATGACACTCACTAAAGTCAAACTGATTGATATACTCTGCCATGGACATGGACATGGACGATATTGGTGCACTGAACCCTAGACTGGTGAGTAGTTCAATGAGCTCATCTTGGAATGATCCCTCTGGCGCTGAGACTGGGTCTGTGGCAATGGCTCCACTTATTCTTGGCGCATCAACTGTGAATATGGTCTGTCCAAGAAGTTCCCAATCTGATTGAGTGAGGTTGGCCGATGAGACTATGACGCGAAGTACATTGACAAACTCGATGATCATGACCTTGGCATGGAGTATACCGCCTCCCTGCTGGATATATGGATGTATCACTGTGATACTCAAAGGATCAACATGGGGTCGTGGCAACTGAACAACATTATGACCATGTAGGAATGGTTCACCAATAGGCTGTTCAGATACGCCAGCATTCTCACGATCACGTGCATAATTGATTGATACCTGTATCGATGTTGTTGAGTTGTTGATGTTGGTCAACTTTGTTGCCAACCAAGTCCAATCACAGACATAAGTTGATAACATCATTGAGTTGACATGTTCATATCCTTGATCTTGTCCATTCTCCTCCAACATTAATAATTGATCGAATGTAACATCACTCTCATGTTGTGATGGTGCATGTTCAAGTACATTGTTCCGAAAGTGTGAGATAACCATGACCTAACCCGGCCTGACTGACTATACTAAAGTATCTATCTGAATGAATGAATGAATGATTGAATGAGATTATGAATCAGACCACGATCAGATATATGTACATGTAACTCTAGTCAATGGCTGGACCCATGCTTGTCCAATGCGGGCTTTCAAGCATACATAAGCCATGGCTTACCTTTGTGGAGGTCGTAAGCTCAACAAATAGATAGATGTTACTGGGCTCCAGGATCTTTGTTTGATTGTTTGATTGATTGATTAACTTAACGATAGTAAATATTTGGATTCATGTAATCGAATAAAAACAAATGATTCATGTTTGTTGAAGGTGTAGAGACCCTTTTTGGGTCAAAGTCAGAAGGATGGACCCTTTGCCACCGACACTCCCCCCACACTTCACCAAGTTTGTTTGATTTTGGTACCCATTTAGATGGATCAAGATCACACTCACACCCACACACCTTGTCAAAAAAACAGATCTCAACAAAACAATCATTAATACCATCTACACACAGCAGACACTAAATCAAATCAACCAACACCGCCTCTCTGTTTGTGTGTGTGATCATTCAAACACATAATAATAGAAACCACACATTATAATTAGTCTTATTCTTTGTTGTCCAACACGATATTATATATCTCTCTCTCTAAATATATATATATCTTTATCTCATTGCTGCTGATATAGTATTAGTATTGTACTTGCAGGAGAGTGGACTAGACTGTGTAAAGACAGTGCGATCATCAACGAGTGGAGTTGCAAAGTTGCTGCAATGATCATTGAGGCATAAGTAAACATTAGTATCAGTATATTATTTATAAAGAAGAAGAACGTATTTATTAGCTGTAGTAGTAGTAGAAGTAGAGGTAGACACATTCATTCAATCATTCAATCGTCCAACCAATGTATGTTTGATTGATGGACACATCGCGATACTTGTCAAGCATGACACCTTAACTCACTCACTCACTCACTCATTCATTCAATCAATCATCCAAAGTACATAGTATATATATAGAATAGAGATAGAGATAGAGGAGATAGAGAATAATGGATAATGATGACAAGTTGATAACAGACTTGATTGCAAGAATTAATATACAGATAAGGTTACAGAAGAATCTGTCACCAAATGCATATCAGACACAGGATCAGATACAACAGGAGCATATTAGAAGATATAATGAAGAGACGTTGATAAGATTAAGTGCTACAAAGCTCAATATCATCGCCGCTGGATTGTCCGAGGCTTTGGAGAAGTTGATCAGTCGCAAGGATCGTGATGAGACCATTGAGCACAACTCATGGGCAATAGGATATATACTTAATCTATTGGCCAAGTGTATGGCACATCAATGGTATCATATTGTAAGTGTTGGCGACTAGGGTGGGCGTGGCTACATGAGTGTGGCGCGTCGGAAACACGGGAACACACGACGGAAACATGGAAACTAACTTGATATTCGCGCCACTTCATCAAACATATTTAGAAATCACAATTTAGGAATGTACAGAGACTTGATGAGAAGGAAGCAATAAGATTGAAGGAGAAAGAGGAACAAATATTACCTCCGCCTTTGGAGGAGAACTTGGCCAAGCTGATATTGTTCCAGGCAGTAACATGTTTGATGCGCGCGATCAATAATAGCGAGTCTGAACTGCAGGTCAGCTCGGGCAAGGTGATCTTCCAGCTGTCAGCCACCAACTACGAGACGGTCAGCGCCAAGTTGACCGAGATATTGATCACGATCGTCACGAGCAAGGGCGAAGTGGACGAGCAGGTCACCAATCAGTTCTTCCTGATCGAGCACTTGAACCTCAACTCAAAGCGTCTGTCCGAGCTGCTGGACAAGATCACCAAGTCGGCCAACCACTTCAAGAAGGAGCGCCACCAGTTTGTGCTGAGCCAGGTGTTGCGTAAGGCCGTCTGGAACTGGATCGACAACTATCCAATGGAGTTTGTGACGCTGTGCAAGATGTGCGAGCGTCTGCCCGGCCAGCCCGACGTGCTGTTTGATGTACTGGACAGCTGGGCCAAGAAGACGGCGCACAAGAATAGCTTCTGGCCGCTGCAGACGATGCTGCTGATCCTGTGTCCAGACATCATGCTGGCCATCCACAAGAACGAGAAGAACAGCGACACAGCGGCCAAGGAGCGCTTCCTGGACGCACTCAAGAAGGCACTCAAGGTGCCAAAGCTGGCCGACGTTGCGGCCGTCTGCTATGTGGACATCTGCAAGGCATCGACCTTCGTGTCCAAGTCCGAGATGTCGGCGCTGCGCTACATCGTGCCTGGCATCGAGACCGAGCTGAAGGAGCGTCTGTTCAACCCAGCGCGCGTGCCCGACGGACCAAACGACATTGACCTCATGACTGATTGTCTGGTGTCGTCGTTCAAGATCTCGCCGCGCAAGATCTCCATCCTCATCCCAGACAACATCCCCGACCTGCCGGCGCACTTCAAGATGGTGCTGGTCAAGTCGCTGCTGCGCATCGCCCAGGAAGACAGCTCCAACTCGCTGCCGTGGAGCCCATCCATCACAGACGCCTACGCACTGGTCTCTACGCAGCTCAAGTCGCTGTTCAACGAGTACTTGCTCTCAATCCGTTCGTACTCATTCCTCAAGAACGCCACAGACAAGAAGTCCAAGTTGCAGTTTGAGAAGGTGGCCTTTGACACACAGGTCATGTACCTGCTGATCCAGCTGTTCCTGGCCGACCCCAACCTCGTGCTCTACACATCCAAGCCAATGGCGCAGAACCTGGAGGACATCCGCAACATCATCACTGGTCTGTGCTTCTGCTCGTCGCAGTTCCAGCTAGCCGACATCTCAGACGTGGCAGCCGAGACGCTGCTAAAGTTCCACAACGCCACTTACATCGATTGTTGGTACGAGCGACGAATGATCAATGGCTTCTGGGAGATAAGCTCAGCGGTGAACGTGTCGCTGGCCAACGCTCTGATTGAGCAGAAGGAGATCAAGGCAGGACAGATCCAAAAGTTGATCACACTGCTAGAGGAGATACTCATTCGCAGGAACGCCTTCCTCGACAAATCAAAGGACACACTGCGACCAGAGATGTCGGTGCGCGACGTCCGTCTACAAGGCAGCACGAAGTTGGAAGTCGCGCTGCTGATACACCTGTGCTCACCCGAGCCAGATATTTGCTCAAAGTGCGCCACGTGCTTTGGACTGCTCTGCGAGGAGATTGAGATTCTAGGCGACACATCAGACGACGCCAACAGCATCGTCACCAACTACTCAATCTACAAGAAGCTGTCGACAGCTGGTATCCTACAGACTGGTCGCCAGCACCAGCAAAAGGTGATCCGCTCACTGCTGCGCAGGATCGAGGCGCAGACCACGGGTAACTACGCGGCGTGGGAGGAGGTCTACCAACGCTGGACGGCGCTCACACCGATGCTGATCGCCAACGAGGACATGGAGCGCGCCAAGAAGCAGACCAGCGTCATATTCAAGCCGGCCGACAAGTCGGTCATGGAGATCAAGCAGGAGTGGCACAACTCACTCGGATTCCTCTGCTCCATGTCGGGTATCACACTGAACAAGGAGACTACGGTCAAGGTACAGGACAGCAGCAAGATCCGCCAGAAGAAGACACAGCACGAGCGCACGGCCAAGGTGATTGCCAGCTTCCTGGACGAGATCATCGAGCTGATTGTCCACGAGTCGGCGTTCATGCGCGAGAGCTCAGTGCTGCTGGTCGGCACGGGCCTGTCGCCCGCATCATACGCGTGGCTGTTCCGTGTGCTCCAAGACGAGCTGCAATCATACTTTGGTGATGCTGGCCAGCTGCTGGAGAACAGCGATCGATGCACACAGTTTGTCGAGCAGACCATCTCGATTGTAAAGCACATCCTGGACACGTCGCAGGAGGCAGAGGACCTGTCAATCATCACAAGCTTTGAGAGTCTGATGCTGTTGATCATCAAGTACATCAATCACATGGTGGCCAGCGCCAGCATGCGTATCAAGAAGAACTTTTGTGGCCTCCTCGACATGGTCATGGTCAAGCGACACTATATCTCCTTCTCCAAGGAGATGGAGTTTAGGAACACGCTGCTGGAGAACATTGTGGAGTGGACGTCGGACTTTGCCATGAACCCGTCGCTCACCAGCTCAACAGATCTCTCACGTATCGATGCCGTTAGCGAACAGAACAAGAGTGAGATGACCAAGAAATTGACCAAAGAGGTGGACATTGCCTGTATCACTACCATTGCCTCGCTGTTGCGTGGCCTCGAATTGCCAACCACCGACGCTGGTGTTAACATGTTCAAGAAGTACTTCACATTCTTTACAACCCTTCTAACCAGGTGCAAGCAAGATGTAAGTTGGGACTGGACCAGTCCGTGCGATGTATCTTCATCACTCACTCACTCGCTCTCTCATTCATTCAATCAATCATAGTCTGCCGAAGGATCGACTGCACTTGCAGATGGAGCAATCAAGAGTTTAAGTAATATGTTGAGCGCAAACATTCATTATGAATACTTTGTGATGATGGGATATCATGAGGACCATGAGACACGTGCAGCATTCCTAAGAGTGATTGCCAACATCTTGAATCAAGGCACAGGATTCGATGCAGTGACAGACGAGCCCGAGGAGAAGTACGAGAAGTTCATCGATCTGTTGCTCGAGCCAGAGTTCTACGCGATCCTCTCTTTCATCGAAGCGATCCCCATCACAGAGGCCGACGAGCTGGCGCCCATCCTGGTCAACTTCCTCGAGCACCATGACCGCACGCTCGTCGTTCTAAAGAAGGTGATCCAGCAGGAGGTGGTCAGCACGGAGAACGTCAACAGTTTGCTCAGACGTAACAGTATGGCCACAAAGATGCTGGGTGCGTTCACCAAGCACATTGGCCGTCCATACCTCAAGCTGGCGCTCTATCCAGTCATCAACAACCTGATCAATCAGAAGGAGTCGATGGAGATTGACCCGACTCGTCTGTCACCCACCGACGATGCCGCCGTCAACACAACGCGTCTTATCAACCTGACCAAGCAGTTCCTCAAGGCGATCCAAGAGTCGCTCGTCCAGCTACCTCTTGCGCTGCGTGAGATCTCGGCACACATTGCCAAGGTCGTCTCAGAAACATTCCCTGGCAACGAGAAGATGGCCATTGGTGCCATTGGAGGTATCATGTTCCTGCGATTCATCTGCCCGGCCATCCTCAACCCGGACTTTTATGGCATCGTCTCCACTGGTGCCCTCACCCAAGACACTCGTCGCTCGCTCACACTCTGTGTCAAGCTGCTGCAGAACATGGCCAACGGCCAGCTGGGTGTCCGTGAGTCCTTCATGTCCAGCTTGAATGCGTTCGTTGCTGAGCACATGAAGGTAATGGAGGAGCTGCTCGAATCATTCGCAGTCATCTCGCCTGACCTTCCCGCCAACGCAGCCAAGGCTGGAGGCGGTGTCAACGACTCGTGGACCTGGGAGTCCAAGGAGGAGGACATCATCGTGATGCACAGGCACATGGCCAACGGCAGCGAGAAGATCACAAACTACCTCGTGTCACACTTCAATCAAAAGGCCGTTGCCGACCATCTCACGCAGGTGCTGCAGCGTCTGGGACCTCCCGCCACGATCGAGTCGCGCAAGAAGACCACAGTCAGCTCGCGATCAAACATCCCTTCGTCATCGGCAAAGGGTGGTAACCATTATGAAGACTTCATGCGTCGTCACGACGCCACCAACATCGAGCATCTCAAACAGAAGAAGATATTCTACAAGCAGGGCGTTACAAAGGATCGCCTTCCAGTGTTCTATTACATCGCACGACGTTACGAAGCCTCGTTCGACATGGAGCAGCTGCTGTTCCTTATGCTCAAGACGCTAAAGGACAGTATACGCGCGCCTTTCTCAATGGTGATCGACTGCACGTCTGTCACTAACGACCACATCATACCGATCTCGTGGTGCACGACTTGGATGCGCCACTTCCCCCAACAACTCAACGAGAACCTCAAGACCATCTACATTATCAGTCCCAACCACATACTCAAGAAGTTCATGAAGCGTGTCGGCAAGCTAGTGGGACGTGCCGCCAAGAAGATCATCTTCCTGACCAACCCCGTCAAGCTGTTTGACTATGTTGTCGAGGCCGACAATGGACTGCCACCCAACTCGCTGGCCATGGAGACAGATGTCAAGGCCACCTTCTCACCAGTCGTCAAACTCTCGGGCCAGTACCACGAGAAGAGTCTTACACTGCGCACTACCTCTGACACCATCCAGCTCATCTCGATCAAGCAGTACCCAATCCTGGGCCGACCCACACCTCTCGTCGACATCTATCACATCTCGACCATTCTTGAGACTGACCTGGTGGACATCAACGACAACGACCAGGAGTTCTTCATCAAGTACGAGAACAACGGACCCAAGTCTATGGCACTGCGCAGTGCACAGCGAAAGCAGGTGATCCAGGCGATCGTGCAGTGTATCGCGCGTTGGAAGCTGTCCAAGCCCGAGACCAAGGTGTCCAGCCGCGTGTTCCGCCCACAAGACATCCCAGGCACGCTGCTCAATGTCGCCTTGCTCAATCTCGGCTCGACCAGGAACGCGTTGCGTGTCGCCGCCTACAACATGCTGTCGGCGTTGTGTCGCAACTCCAACTTCTCGATCAACATGCAGCTCCTTGAGACGAGCGGCCTATGCATCCCCAAGAACATCAGCCAGTTCATCATCCGCATCTCTGACAAACTATCCAAGACCCAGACACCACTCACACTCGAGTTCCTTCAAGAGTCGCTTCATGGTATATCCCGCGCATCCGCGATCGCCAAGCATCTGGTGCTGGACTACATCGAGCCATGGATACCCAACCTCACGCTGTTCTGCCAGCGACCTGGACCCGACCACCTCGAGCGCTACAAGAAGACGATCAATGTGATTAATCAACTAATCGACCTCAGCATCAAGGAAGCCTCAATGAAGTCCGTCATCTTGGCCAAGATCTGGACGACAATCGGACGCCAGAAGGAAGGCCTTGTGATACTGGCGCTCAAGTGTCTGGTGCGCAAGTGCCAGGATGCCGGCTTTGGTCAGCCTCACTGCGAGGCCATCTGCGAGATGGTCTCGTCCATGGGCTCAGTGTCTGCGCAACTGGTATCGGGCAAGCTTATCGCGCGCGTCACTCGCATCCTCGACAAGACCGCGCAGGAGCCGGTGTTGGACCTCGCTGATCACCGTCTGTGGCCCAAACTCATTGTCTACATTCGCCTGCTGCTGTACCTATCGTTCGACAACTCGATCTGCTCGCACCTCTACCTTGCCGACCTGCTGCACATCATCTGTTCGCTGTTCTGCGTGGGCAGCATGCAGGTGCGCATCACGATCCACGCGCTGCTCATCAACACCATCCACTCGCTCTACACATTCCTCGTGTCGCACGACAGCAAGCTCACGACCATCCCCTTCCTGTTGTCCGAGTTTGGCCAGCCTTCGTTCCGCCTGCTCTTTGGCATCAGCAACAGCAACATCTCGGCTGCCGACTCGCCGCTCAACGACAACTCCACCAAGGACTTGGAGAAGATATCGATCACAAACGTCGACCCAGTGGTCAATGCGATCTTTGCGATACTCAATGTGTTCCGCGACAACTTTGAGGCGGCCAAGGTGTGGCACGCACGTTGGGTGTCGCTCACAACCATCACGGCGTTGCGGCCCAACCCGCCCATCCAAAGCCGTTCGCTCATCACATTGGGAATCATTGCGCGCTCATCCACACAACCTGTGCGCGACGTTCTCGTCTACGACATCATCTGTGTGCTACGCAATGCTGTTGTTTCGCCACGCGCACTACAAGACAACTCGGACATCATCATCGGAGCTCTGCAATGTCTCACACGACTGTTTGAGTACCTGCCCCCGACTAGTCGCTTCATCCCCTCGCTGTTCTGGGTGGCCTCCACCTTTGTCCAGCTATACGACAGCCGCATCTTCCCATCAGCCATCGCGCTACTCGAGACGATGCTCAAGACAATGGATCGTCGCGACCTCTTCCAGGAGTCGGTCAGCAAGACCATCATGGCGTCGCGCGAGCACCACGCCGCCATCCTCACCAAGCTGGACAACGTCACTGGTATCAGCTTCGAGAGCAACTTTGCCTTTGCCATCACATCGCACCTCCTAAAGGGATTGAAGTTCGCCTCGACCAAGACAGCGACATCGCGTCTACTCAGCACCTTTTTGAACATCTCTACAAAGAAGAGCAACTCAGGCGCTGCCATCCTACCTTATCTCGCCGCACTGCTCACTACCGAGGGAGAGGTTTCCAACATCGATCAGATCACGGCCATCGCTGGCGAGTCAAGCCGCACATCGTCCACTCAGTTGTTGCTCAATGAGCACATGATCCCCGACACGGACCACGCCGCCCTCTTCTTCACGCTGCTCGTCACCATCCTATCACACAGTGATCGCGAGCATGAGCAACTGTTCATATACGAGGCGCTCAAGGAGGGTATCCAGTTCATGCCACAATCATTCCCAGTGGTGTACAAGACATTGATACCCAAGATATCGACGGTGATCTCGTCGTCGCAGATCGAAAAGATGATACAGGCGTGCGAAGCCATCATGGTGCACATGTTCTCCTATCAGATGGAGTCGCCCACCACCAACAACAAACTGTCGTTGACACATCTCAAGAAGCTGGGCTTCCAGGGCATGCCAGAGTGTGGCTCAGGATTCAGTCGACCGTCCACACACATCAACGAGTCGATACTCAAGGCATGTGGCGAGTTGATGGACTCGCTGTGCAAGCAAGTCGAGGGCGAGGATTCCAAGGACATTGAAGAGGACAAGGACTACACAGAAGAGCCCTTCACTGAACAGAATGAGGTCAATCACGACGATGACCTGGATGATTTCTCGGACGAGTTCATCTTCCAAACACCCGTCTAATCAATCATTCATTCTATCATTCAATCAATCAATCAGATAGGCATCCAAATCCATTGGAATAAAGATAATTGTAATTTAATATTTATTTAAATGTTGAAGGCAGTCTTCAAAACTGAAACGACGCCAAGATCTTCCAAAGTGCCACGCTCACTCCAGATCGATTATTCAATCAATCACGATCAAACAATCAAATAATCAATCATATGAATACACACTTAGTCATCACCTTTGTTGAACTGATCAAAGTACTGGTGGAGTGCGGCTCACAACATCATTTGGATGCAGTGTCCTTGGGTTTAACGTGCAGGGCAGCCAAAGATGCACTATCCAAACACTTCATAGGAATGAAGCGTGATACAGTGATGAAGAACAGCTCAGTAAAGTTGTATTACCAACATGTTACAAATACAGAGTTGGTAGTCGGAACAATCCCAGACTCAATCACTGATTTGTCATTTGGACCAGATTATAACAAGCCCATCAACTACATTGGATTACTGCCTGAGCATCTCACCAGTCTTCAATTTGGACGCGACTTTAACAAGCCGTTGGAAGCATTCCATCTCCCTCAATCCATCACCACGCTCATATTAGGACCTGGCTTCAAACGGTCCATTGAGCAAGGGGTTATACCAAGCTCATTGACCAAACTGAGCTTCGTCCCCAACACAGAATGTATTATCAAGCCTGGATCACTGCCCGAGTCGCTCAGATCATTGCAGTACTGGCACGAGCCTGTGAATCCCTACACGTCCCTACCATCCTCACTCACAGAGTTATGGTTCGCCCCACAGTTCAACAGTGCTCTGCCAACAGGATGGTTACCAGCGTCTCTAAAGGAGCTCCACTTTGGACAAAGGTTTAATCAGGTGATCGATTATGGTGTCCTTCCTTCATCGATAACCAGGCTTACTTTTGGAAGTGGATTCAGTCAGTCGATCAATCCAGGGATGCTCCCTCAATCCCTGACCGCGGTGACCTTTAATGGACACCCAACTATCACACAAATGGACTCATTGCCACAATCAGTCGTGACACTTGAGGTGGGAGGCATTACAAGACTATCCATCAAACAGTTGCCATCGACTATCAAGAGCGTGGCATTCATTGATCAGTTCAACCAGGCCCTGCCCCCGGGCCTCCTATGCGAGGGCCTAACCAAGCTCACTTTCGGAGCATTCTTCAAACAAGACATTGTACCGGGTATGCTGCCATCATCAATCACTGAGCTCTACCTTGGATTCTTCTATGAGCGTATGATCAAGCCTGGAATGATTCCAACATCTCTTCAAAAGCTGGTATTGGGTCCCAAGTTCAACAATGAGATCAAGAGATTCGCTCTGCCCGACTCACTGACCGCGCTGGTCTTCTCAGAGGCATTCAAACAACGTGTGTCCTTTGGCGTCATACCAAGATCACTCAAGTCACTCACCCTACATCACTTTGATCAAGTGGCACAGTTTGAATCCCTCGACCAGTATGAGTCACTGGAATCAGTACATCTAGTTGGCAAACATACAATGGGCTTCGTAGCGCCAATCACAAACAAATTGAGACAGGTACATGTTGTTAGCACGACGGCCAACCCACTCGAAGCTAAACTGGCGATTGTGGCCATTAGGAAACTGGCAGCCAACATACCCAATGTTACAGAGTGCTACTGTTTCCATCTATATTCAAAGACCAACCTGATGGAGTCCAAGAGAATGTTACATCGCAGGATAGATAATGGCATTGGATTGTACATTTTCGAGAACACAAGCTCAGTCATCACACCTCGAGTAGTCGAGTCCGTACACATATTAAAGGAGAAATGAACTAGCTTATGATACATATCGGATCTTTAATACAATTATGATTGGTTGCGGATGTGTGCGCGAGTGGGTGATTTAGTGTAACTTAGGCATCACCATTTGTACTCATATTCTTCAATCTAGAGTTGATACGGGAGTTCTCATGGTGGTAGTACATCTTCTGCTTGATGTAGATGGTTAGACCGATCGCCACTGCAATGGTCACTACACCAATTGGTACCACAATGGCTATGATCAACCATTTGTTACTCTTCTCCTCACATCGTTCGTCCGCCTTCTTATTGTCAACCAGCACTGAGAAGTCTGGACTGGCGACATTGTGGCAAGTTGATACCAATATATGTCACATTGTTGTTGTTGGAGACAACAGTAGTGTTGATGACTTCGTTGATGATACTTGTAGGTCGACCATTTGCCACGGCGACAGGCAAGAATCGACCATAGTAGACAGTCTCCTCGAATGTGACTTGGATGTAGGACAGACTCTTGGTCAGGTTGTCAGAGATGGTGGTTGTAGAGTCTGTGTTGGCATGACATGGACTGTCATGACGATCGGTCAAGTTGGTAATTGTGTTGGCAAAGACAGGTCTCAATGAATTGATGTTGCTCAAGAACTGCCAGTGATTGATCGACACAGTCACTTTGAGTGCGTTTGGTAACAAGTTGACATCCATGCCACCAAAAGACAATGATCTTGATTGACTCGAGAATTGGAATATCACAGATACCTCGAGGAATGGCTGGTTTGGCACTTGATCCAACACGTATGTATATGTTGTCAATGATTGTCCACTTGTAGACATATTAAATGTCCATGATGAAGTTGGAAGCATACGAACTACACGACGATTAAGGTCCAACTCTTGTATCTCGACAAGATTGAAATTCAACTTTGACTTTGTTGTCTGGATGGCTGATGAGGTGTCTGATGGAAGTATCTGTACATCTGGACTAAGTGTAAACTCACAATAATGGCCGCCAAAGCCAACACTGCAATCACACACTCCCCTTCCATTACAATCACCTTTGCCATTACACTTGTTGGCCTTGTCTCCACAGTCCTCCTTTAACACAATAGGGTCTAACATTGATAGATTGATTGTTTGAGTAAGTAAGATTGAATGAATGGATCGAGTTGGTGTAGGGTACATACCAATGAATAACTGATTGGAAGAGTGGTATTCTACTTTGTCGACAATGACTGAGAGGTTGACATAACCAACTGAGAGTGCACCATTTGATCCATCAACTTGTACTACAACTTGTGTCTGACCAAATGTCACAACAGAACAGTTCTTTCCATTTACAAATACAGACACTGATGTTATAWTTCTCACCAAACAATCCGGTCAACGTGAGTTTGCCACCATCAGTCGTTAGATCAGATGTATCAATAACAACAGGTGAGTCTATAATGAGTGGAGGTGTTAGCTATGTTCGAATTGATTGAATGAATGAGTAAGTGAGGGAATGTATACATACTCTGGATATATAATGGTTTGAAAATCGATTGATACGGAGATGAGACGTTGTATACCATGGGTACATTGGGATTGATGGTGAATGATGGTACTGTACAACGTAGTGTTTGATTGGTTTGTTGGAATATAGTGCACAACTGTTGTGTTACCAACACAGTGTAGTTGTACTCTGATTGGAAGGTACCAGTGATATTTACAGAGAGTGTACCATTGAATAAAGTTGACTCGATATTATCCACAACAGTAACTATTTATGAATGAATGATCGTTAGTGAGTACTCCATGAGGGTAGGAGTTGCCACAACTTACGATCTCTTGCCCAGAATATTGTAATAGGATTCTTGTTGTATTGTGAGAAGTAGATTGTTGCATTGCCATATGGTTCTGGAGGGGTCAAACTTGATTGATGGAGAATGATGTTAGATATAATGTACTGTTTGCGGCAACACCATATGCATACCCTATTATGGTACTTGGAAGGATTATATCAGGCACAAGAAGGCTTGATATATTCATAAACAGTTGATGGAATCCCAAGTTCTTTCCAGTGATCGTGAACCTATTGTACACTGGATCAGTGATAATAAAGTGTGTCTTATCCAATACGACCGCTAATCGATTCATTGAATGAGTGAGTGAGCGAGTGATAGATCAAAGTTGGCAAGGAGTAATTTTTGGTACATACGACATGAAAAGTTGGCTGGCACACCTTTGATAGGTGTATTGGTAAGCTTTACTCCAACGAATGTCCAGTAGCAGTAGAAACAGTCGGGTACCTTGGTGATTGATGTATTGGTGTAATCCATCCATTGGATATTGCAGTGTGAATCTGGGATAGTTCCAACAACACCAGGATTCTGACCAACATTGAAGGTATGTGGTGCCACTGGATAATCAGGTAACTCTCCCTCAATCTCATTACCCATTAGATATACCGAAGTAGTACTACTTCTAGGCATCAACCAACTTGGGGGTGGAGCAGTCTTCATGTTGCCATTTTGGATTGTCCTAAGTTTGTTTGAATAATCGAGTAAGTGAGTGAATGAGTGAAAGAGTTAGTTAATGAATCAGTCTGTTAGGGAAGAAAAGTAAACTTACAATGTTTCTACTTGTTTGATGTCGGTAAGTGGGATGGTATAATTCAAATGTCTAATATTGTACAAGGTTGGATAGTTGGTCAAGTTGGTTGGATTGATGTTGGCTCCGTTAAGTGTCCTATTTGATTGATTTGAGATTAGTATAATATGGGGAGTATTATATGATAACAATGATACTTACAGTTGTAAGAAGTTTGGAAGGTCTCCAACAAGTTGGACCAAGGATAATGGATTTCCTTTGGTCTTTGAAGGGTCCAGTGACATAGTCCTCACAGAACTATATAGGAATATTAAACAAAATGTTAGTAGTTGGTCAATCAATCAATCATCTATAAGGAGAATGTTATAACTTACAAAATGGTGATATTCTTTACACCAAGAGTTATTGTCACATTCTCATAGTTGGTCAGGTCACTGTCGCGTTTGAACGAATGAATTAAAAAGTCAGATGTTATTTCTCCAATGTAAGTCGAGTGGTGTAAGTACTTACAATGTACTAAGCAAAGGGAAATGAACATTATTAAGATTGAATGAGGTGTAGGTCATTGGTGAACGTGGATACTCCAAAATACTAAAGGTTCATTATAATGTTAGTCAATCATTCTTTAAGTATTGACATGAATTACTTACAGTTCAACTAATGATGGATAAGTTAGTGATGGATCCATAAATATATGTTGAGTGAATGATGAGGTATAGTTGACTTCAGTCAACCTGAATGATACAGCATTGTTAAATGCAAGTTGTCCAATGTTTCCAGATAATGTTACTTTGTCAAAGTATCTAAAAGAAGTTATGTTAGTGATTGATTGGTCAAAGGGATTGATAAAGTATTAATATTTACAATGTCTTCAATTTGAAGTTGACTGGGAAATTGTCGGGCCATGAGGCATCAGTGTTGGTAATCCTGAATGATAATTGATAAGTTAGTAGTGTGTTTGGCATACAATGGTTAATGATTCAAACACATACTGTATCTCTTGGATATTAACATTGATTGGATTGTCTAACATTTGGAGTAGGTTGGCACTTGGCATCAGTGATTTGATTCCAGGCATGGTATTCAATCTAAATGTAGTTAGATTTGGAAACTCAAGTTTCTCCACCACAGCTGGTGGAGTAGTAGTGGTAGATAAACGAATAAATAGATCACTATTATAAAAGGGTAAGTTAATAATAATATATTAACATAAATAATTATACTTACAATGTAATAATTCTTTGTACAGTGTCATTGGTACATATTAGGTCAGTCTCATTGTTTGTGGATATGTTGATCTCATCACATGATGGATTGACCAATGACATAGTCTGTTGATATTGGTTCATTATCCATTGTACAGACTTATCTAGTTTGATTTAATAGTTTGATCAATAAGTATTAGATTGTGTGAGAGTGTGAGTGAAGCTTACATTCATCGGGATGCAATGATTGAGCTCCCTTGGTGATTGGACATGTGAGTGCTAACAATAAACATATGATAATGATTGGTATATTCATCGTTGTTCCTTCAACTTGAAGAGGTTCAAGTATTAGTTGTTGTAAGTAGTGGTAGTAGTTGTATGAAGTAAAATAGATAATGATTGAAGATGATCTCTAATATGATGGAAGGAGTAGGTTGTACTATGATGGTTGCCACCTTGTTTTATGAGAGTAAAGTATGTGTGACGAGACTTTTCAAGTCTGTACCAGACCAGACAGATCTGAATCCATCGAAAGATATTTTATCAATAATAAAATCAGGGATGGCCCCCGAAAGTCCAACGAAGCCCCACCACCCGATAGATACTTTGCCAATTTTAGCGATTGATCACATACCCCCCACTCGCACCGAACAGAGTATCTACCCATCCATCTTAACAAAACATACACATAATAACCAAAGTTAAGGTGAGGTGATGTCTCCCTTTAAACTTATGATGGTTCGTGTAAAGTCACAAAAGGGTTTGAAGTTAGAGAGGCTTGGCCCAACTCAAGAAGCCTCGTGTCCAATCAAGACACTCGAGTGGTGCTGATGATGTTGCTTGGAATGGGTTGATGGGTTGTTGGGAAGTTGATGAGACCTCACCCCCTTGATCCATACATACATACTACTGCTGTATCTTTCCTTTATTGGTCAGGACCTGATGTTGCTGTTGTTGTTGAATTAAGATGGCGTCCATTGACTTTAGTATCTGTAGACCCGCTTGTTTGGCCACTGTTATCATCTGATTGATCGTGCTAGAGTCCAACCCACTGACTCCACCCTTTTGAATACTACATATATTGGACCTTCTATTAACTCCAATCGTCAGCCTTGCATCCATACATAACTCTTCCTCCAAAGTACTGTCCAATACGAACTGTGTTCCAATCTTGGATGATTGAGTGAGGTCACATGGACAGACAGACGCGTTAGTGATGTGTAACTGTGTCGCGCGCATCAATCAATCAATCAAACAAACAAACAATCATACCTTTGTTAGAGTGACACAGATTGGTACGTTGTCAATTGAGACTGAGGAGTAACTCTCTGGGTCTTCTGAGACTTCAAACTCTACTTGTTCATGCTCGCCTTGAACGATCTTGATCTGCGGCAGTCTTGTATTGTATAGAGCGGCACGTGTTGCAATTGATAGAGCATCAAATAGGTTTCCGCCACTGTCCAATACAATGGCATCTATATACAGGTTCCAACAGTACTTGCCTGGCACTATACACAGACTAGCCAAGTCCAGTGCATTGCCCTGCGTCAACAATCTCTCCAACTGCTTCGCCAACTCCACATTAATATACTCTGCTCCCTTGCCTTCAAACTCTGGTGATGCTGATGGACAACTATATGTTCGCGAGTATGAGTAAGTAAGTGAATGAGCGAGTGAGCGAGTGACAGACTTAGGTCCACTTACCAATCGACGTTCACATTGAGCATTCCATGATTGGGCGCGTCAGAGGTGGGTGATGCGATGTCTGCCTTGATGCCAACGATGACGTGTGTGTTGTCTAGTAGTATACGAGCTGATCCACATGCATGAGCGATCTCTCCAACATCCAATTCAAAGTGTCTGTAATCAAGTCTAGTCCTTCCATCTGCCCTCACACCATTCTCCACTCCCTGCTGTATATAATATGTCTCACTTGGTGATATCCTCTGTATGATCGATGAGTATGTTGATGTCATTATGTTATATATGTTATGTTATATGTATGATTGATTATTTGATTGAATGAATGATTGAATGTATGTGTTCGTCAAATGTCTTTCACGAATGTGATTGAAAAACCGAATGGAACTTCGAATCTGGAATCTTGATTGTTCCTTTGAATGAGAGATAGAGTGATATCAAAGTTGGTAGTGTCCATGTGAATAGGGATGACTTGGTGATTGAACTAATACTGTTGTATGAGTAGTCGGGCTCGGTGTTAATTTGATAGATGTTGCACACGTCTTTGGAACAACTCTGTGCCGATAGTATTGGGTTGGTGCAGAAGGTCTTGACACAAAGACTCTCTTGGGGACACGCTTTGACGATACATGATCTAGGATGAAGATTGAATATAGTAGTGCAATTGACTCTTGATGAACATTTAGCCAATAGATTCATGGCCTTTTGACAATATGGACCTTGTATCGATGACTTTGTCGCGCAATATCCAATTGATGATGATTGATCACATCTACAGAACTCATAACTTCCACAATCATCCCTTGTAAAGCATACTCTATAACTTGGCGAAGGTTGTAGAATACATCGTCCAATGAATCCATTTGCCAGTTGTACATCGCACTACATCATCATGTTAGTCCTCACTCAATCAATCTATCGTTCAATCTATCAATCAAACATACCTCTTGACCACGGAATACATCACAACCCTTGGCATAGGTACAGAGGTCTCCAACTTCGGTGGTGTTCTTGCATTTGCCAACACGAGTGAACATGCTTTGGTTCAAGGGGACGCAGTAGTCTTTGTTGCAGTTGTCCATTGTGTCCATGATTGAACAGTCGCCATCCAAGGTGGAGTAGGGCACACATTTGCCATTGAGACAAAGTGATTGTCGGTCGCATTGTCCATCAGTCATGCATCCAGCAGCAGGTGTAAAGCATTTACCCTTTACACATTCCATCTCCAAAAGACATTCATAACTATGTTGACATCTCTCGCCATATGTAGCAAACTCAGCCACCAGACATCGTTGTCCTTGATCATCCAGTACACAATACTCTCCTTTTGATTCATCACAGTCTGCATTGGAAATACATCCACTACCCTCTGTATGCTTCTTCTTTGTACATGTTCCATTGATACAATTTAAAGGTAGATAACATCTGTTTCCACTCCTATTTTCATTGTCATGTTAGAACATGTCATTATGTATGTTCGAATATATATATACATACAATGACGTATCACATGGACCTCCTTCTTCTGAACATGAGTTGAATAAACATAATAGAGGTGGCTTGTTATTATTATTACCAAGAGTATGCATTCCATTAACCTTTATACATAGTATCATGATGATGAATGTCGTCATCATCAAGACAATTATAAAGTATTTTCTGGACATCTATTATTTATTAATTAGTTAGTTATTTAGTTAGTTAGTATGAAGTAATACAATCCATTCAATCATGATCGGATAAACCTAATATAGGTACATGTATATATGTACATGTATCGATCTTTCCATCAAATAAATATATCCATCAATCACCCACAGATAATGAATTAATGAATGACCAACTTACTCTTGTTTGTTTGTCCAGCTTTCACCCACCCTTGAACTTGAAAGATACCCTCACAGACATACCCTCACACAAAATTTAGTGTCATTCATTGTTGAACAAACAGTAACAATAGTTAGATATATAGATAGATAATGATGGATGATGACGATACAGATACAATACAGAATAGTGTAACAACACCTCTTACACAGACACCTCCTATAACAAATAATAATACAACATCATTGAATAATGTTGCATCACCAACAGCATCAGATATCAACAACATCAACAACAACAATGATGATACACAACAGTTGTCTGAAGAAGCCAACAATCAAAGATTTACAATGGAGTTGGAGTTCATTCAATGTCTCTCCAATCCAAGGTATCTAAACTGTATGTATGATTGATGCTCTCGTTCATTCATTCAATCAAATGAATCAATCATTCTGACTTGACATGACTACATGTAGACTTGGCACAGAATAGATACTTCCAAGACAAGGCGTTTGTAAACTATCTAAGTTATTTACTATATTGGAAACAACCAGAGTATGCCAAGTTCATTGTTTATCCTCAGAGTCTATACTTCTTGGACCTGTTGCAACAGGAACGTTTCAGACAGGAGCTCAACCATGCTCAGTCAACAGAGTTTATACATCAACAACAGTTCTATCATTGGCAATACTATCGAACCAATAGAATGTCTGCTGCAGTACAGAACACTGATCAATCAGATAAGCAACAGACGACTGATCAGCAGCAGCAGCAGGTTGAAGTTCAACCTGAACAACAACAACTACAACAACAGGTGGATCAAGTGATGGCCAACACATAATGTATATATATAAAGACAAACTGACCTTCACATGGATATGCCAACGATGGCCATTCAGTTCGGTTAGCGATCGTTTATTCATTGTAATGATGAATGATTGAATGATTAAATGATTGAATGAGTGATATCTACAAGGAAGAATGTTGTGACGCGAGTTTGTAGATCGCGCGAACAGACAGACTAACAGTTGATCTGGCCATAGATGTTTGAGATGGAACCATTCGCGTCTTCAGAGTCGGTGATGAGCACGGGTTGGTAACGGATCTTGTTGCTGCGACAGCAGCTGCCGCAGCTCGACCAGAACTTGTGATTGGGCAACGCCTTGCTGTTGAATGGCTTGCCCTTGATGGCGACGTTGTACACGACACCCACCATCATGTAGATGGCAAACAGCACCAACAGACCACCGATGCTTAGGGCCGAGATGATGAGGCCCTCGCGCAGCCTGTTCACGCTCTGGAGGTGCACCGGCTGGCACGTGCTCAGATAGTGGACGTTGTCGGGGCGGCGTGGGCCGGTCGGCAGCGGCGACGACTTGTAGCTAAAGAGTATGGCGTTGGTTGGCGCCAGCGTCAGGTTGTAGTAGACGCCCGAGTAGTAATAGTAGAAGGTGCCAGAGAATGTATGCTCCATCTGCGCGATGAACTGCTGGATCGTCTCGTTGGGGAATGGGCGCATGGCCTCGTAGAAAAAGATCATCTTGGCCATGGCTGCCGGGTCCGACGTGTTGACAAGCGTGGGCGGCTGCGTCACGTATAGGCGGACAAAGTCGCGCGCTGGTGCCAGGACGGGGGCCTCGGTCAGGATGCCACCTAGGTCGAACAGGGCCTGTAGCGACACCCAGACAAAGTCGTCGCAGATGCTGCTGTTGAGGTACTCGAAGTTGGTGTGATTGTTGTGCACCTCGTACAGGTTGTACCAGGGGTTGGTCTGATTATAGTACTCTGCCCAGCAGAGGTAGTTCTGCAATGTCTCGCCAGTGATCGTCATCAAGTACTGCTGGCCACCCGTCCAGTATGACGCGTTGAACTGCTCACTATACAACACGCCACCGGAACTATCCCAAGTGATTGTATTTGCCGTTGCATTCATATGAAGTGGGAATATTGCATCATATATACTTGGTACTGCCACATACTCCAATGTATAATTCTGTTTGGTGGCTCTGTTTTGTTTGATTGAGTGAGTGTGTGTGTGTGTGTGATTGATTGGAATAGTTCCAGTGTGTGAGTGAGTGTGACATTGATGATCAAACATCATGCGAGTGATGGGATAGGAACATACCTTGTGTAAAAGTATAGACCTGAATGAAAGGCCTTGAGGTAGCTGAATAGGTTGTTAAAGTCATGCTCGAGCAATGGGGCTTGGATGTAATACACCTCGACCTCCTCTTCCAAAGTGAAGGCATATGAAGATGTTGGCAATACCAAGCCCATCAACAACACTACCAGCACGAACAACACGCGGACCATTGTTATAGACATTGTTTGTGAGTGAGTATGTGTGTTTATGTTATATATATATATATATATATAAATTAATATATATTTGTATGTATTGGATTGATTGAAATAGTGAAGAGTAGGAAGAATGAATGTTAGTTAGTCGTGGACAGTAGATGGGGGAAGGTATGAACAGTAGTGTAGTAGTATTAATGTGTGTCTTGATGTCTCAAGTCCAATAAGGTTAATTGTTTGTTTGGTAGGTTGTGATTACCCCCCTCACATCACACTACAAAAGGGGTAGGCCTAATCAAGGCCCTCAATGCACAACAATAAGTCGTAAACAAAAGTTTTGATTGATACACACACATAGTGAGGCCCAGGATACATCAATCCAGAAAACAAGTTTAGGTTGCCCCCATCATCAGATTCTTCCTTATAAATTATTGGGCGACAACACAAGCCAGATCCATAAAAATGGCACTCTGCGATCACTTTCGTACATTCGCTTATTCATTCCACTTAAGCTTTGCAAACAAGGCTGCAAAGTGTTGAAGACAAACCATGCACATTGGTCTTGAGAGTTTTGTCATTAAATTTTGAAACTGCTTGCAGTAGGTAGTCTTCTCAACTTGAACTCTAACAGTTACTCCTCGTTAATAATCGTATCCAGTAAATAGTATCTTGATTCAAAGTGTACATTATTGTTGTTAAATATCAATCACTCGTCTCTATCTCTAAAATAATGGAACTTAAACCGAAAGGCCGAGGCGGTCAGTCAGTCATTCTTCGGAAGTAAGTTAGTTGTTTGTTTGGTACCCGGTTGTTGACCCGGACCCCTTTGGACACTGACCTTCGGAAGTTGTAGCAAAGATATCGGAAGTGTCTTTCAATCAATCAATCAAACTGATCCATCATTTAATAATATGATAATATTATATTGGTTTGTTTGTTTGTTCAATATCATTACATGACATTTATAACTAACTAGTTAGTTTGATTGTTTGAGGAAGACTAGTCTTTGTTTGATTGGCAGTTTGATTCAGGTCGAGTGATGATTTGACGAACCACAAACATGCTCACACACAATCAAGAGGTGTCAAAAAAGACGAAACCCAGTTGAGCTTCATTTAAAGTTGTTGTCATTCATTCATTCAATTATAACATATATATATATATACATAACAAACATCATTGTGATATAAGATGCAATCATTGTGTCGAACAAAGTATCTTTATCATGCTGATGTCCTTCGAAGAAGTAGCAAGATAGTCTCCTCCAACATTGTTAGCAATAATAATAGAGCATATTGTTCAGTTTCCAATAATGTTGTGTCGACACCTACAAGAGGCAAGGATAGACAGAGTTGTAAATTGGTGGAGGGCGATAGATTGCATGGATACAAGGTGGTCAAGATTGAGGATGTTCCCGAGCGCCAGTTCAGGACTTATCGTCTGCTGCACGAGAAGACAGGCGCACAACACCTTCACATCGACTGCGAGGACAAGAACAACGTGTTCTCTGTGACATTCAAGACGACGCCACACGACTCAACAGGCGTGGCCCACATTCTCGAGCATACAACACTGTGTGGCTCGAAGCGATATCCCGTGCGCGACCCATTCTTCAACATGCTGAAGCGATCACTCAACACGTACATGAACGCGTGGACGGCGCCCGATCACACGTCCTACCCCTTTGGCACACAAGACCCCAAGGACTACTACAACTTGCTGTCTGTCTACCTGGACGCCACGTTCTTCCCGCTGCTCAGCGAGTCGGACTTCCGCCAGGAGGGCCATCGTCTCGAGTTTGAGGTGCTGGACCAGCCATCGTCCGCGCTCAAGTTCAAGGGTATCGTGTTCAACGAGATGAAGGGCGCGCTGTCCGACCCGTCGTCCTTCTTCTCCGAGGTCGCCCAACAGAACCTCTATCCCTCGACGACTTACGCACACAACTCTGGTGGTGAGCCCGTCGACATCCCATCGCTCACGTACGAGCAGCTCAAAGACTTCCACACCACATACTACCATCCGTCCAACGCATACTTCTTCACCTATGGCGACATGCCTCTCGAGAAGCATCTCGAGTACATCCAACAGAACTCGCTCGCACACTTCACCGAGATGAAGTCCATCCCAAGCGAGGTCAACAAGGTCCCTCGCTGGTCCGAGCCCAAGTCCATCGATGTCAAGTGTCTCCCATCTGCAAGTATGTTGGTGTATCCGTGCTCATGTGACTGCGGTCATCGTACTCACTCTCGCCCCTCCCTCTCCCATACTGGAATCAATCCCAATCAATCAATCACTTGATCATGCGACACTACAGTGGAGGTGAATGACAGAAAGTACAAGTACAGCATATCGATATTGCACAAGGATAATGGCGACCCATTCGAGAGCTTGTCAATGCATGTTTTGGCCAACTTGTTGATTAGGGGCTCAAACAGCCCAATGTATCAGGCATTGCTGGTCTCTGGTCTGGCCACTGACTACACACCTAACACAGGATTCGACGACAACTTTAGAGAGAGCTCATTCTCTGTTGGCGCATCGGGAGTGCGCCAGGAGGATATGGCTAAAGTGGAGAAGACAATCTTTGAGACGATCGAGAAGTCCATCAAGGAGGGCTTCGAGCCAAAGATGATCGAGTCCATCCTGCATCAATATGAGTTTGGTCAGAAGGATGTGTCGGCTCAGCTCGGACTGCGCCTGGCGGGCGGTCTCCAGTCAACATGGATCCATGGTGGCGACCCCGTCCGTCGTCTGTTCCTCAATGAGCAGGTGGCTCGTCTGCGAAAAGAGATCGCAGCCGGCCCATTCTTCCAGAACAGACTGCAACAGTTGCTGAACAACCCTCATCGCCTCGTGATCAAGATGTCTCCTGACGAGGAGATGCAGGCACGCGAGACAGCGCAGGAGGAGAAGAAGCTGGCCGAGATCAAGAGCGCGCTCACTCAACAAGACGTTGAGAAGATCGTGCAGCAGGCAAAGGACCTGCAGCAGCGCCAGAACCAGCAGCAGGACGTCAGCTGCCTGCCCAAGCTCAACATCAGCGACATTGAGAAGCATCAAGAGAAGATCGTCTTCCGCGACACTGAGCTCGGCGCCGACAGCACACCCCTGCGCATCCTGGACTACCCCACCAACGGCATCACATACTTCCGCTCGCTGATCGATATCTCCACACTGCCAGAGGACCTCAAGATGTACGTGCCTCTGTTCTGCAGTCTGTTTGAGTCGATGGGCGCCGCAGAGTTTGATTACAAGCAGTTGGACACAGAGATACACTTGTACACTGGCAAGCTCAGTCTGTCGCCAATGATCACCACGTCGCCATTCGACCTGGGAAAGGCTTCAGAGCGAATCTACATGCGTGGTGCCGCAATCAACAGGAACATCGAGAAGATGTTCACGCTGCTGAGCAAGCTGATGCTGGAGAACAAGTGGAACAACCCAGATCTGCTGAAGAACCTGCTGGGCCAGATTCAGTCGTCGATGATCGAGGGCATCCCCTCGGGCGGACTGTCATACGCTCGCACCAACTCCTCGTCACACTTCTCACGCGCCAATCAGCTGAGCGAGAAGTGGAACGGTCTCACACACGTCAACTTCACCAATGACATCATCGCCAAGAATGACCTGGGCGCGATCATCGACAAACTGATGGCCATCAACAAGTTCATACTGGATCGCTCATTGATGAAGTGCAGTATCACCACTGAGAAGGACACGATCGACGCGGCCACTCAACACCTGTCCGCATACCTGGGTAACTTCTCGTCAAATGGCACACGCACACAAGTCAATCCAATGGCTCCCGCCATCGATGGTACGGGCTTGCCAACATACTTTGCCATCCCCGCCACAGTCAACTATATTTCAAAGGCTTACAATGGCGTCAACTACGTCGACCCCGACTCGGCACCCCTAGAGGTGCTGTCCAAGGTGTTGTCCGAGTACCTTCACAAGGAGATCAGAGAGAAGGGTGGCGCATACGGAGGCGGCGCCTCCTTTGGCGGCGGCATCATTGGCTTCTACTCATACCGCGATCCCAATCTGACCAAGACGCTCAACGCATTTGCAGAGTCGATCAAATGGTCGCAGGACAAGATCACACAGGAGCTTATTGAGAATGCACAACTGTCCATCTTCTCCGACTTTGACTCGCCCGAGTCCCCATCGAACAAGGGTGTGGGCGAGTGGATGCGTGGCATCACACATCAGATGAAGCAAGAGCGTCGCGATCGTCTGCTGGGCATCACAAAGGAGCAACTGGAACAAGTATCCAATCGCTACCTCAACACCGACCGCATATCATACACCACCGTGCTTGGAAAGCATGACACAGATATATCATCAAACAAAGATTGGAGCTACAAGGAGCTTCATTAGACTTGCATCACCAAGTGTGTGATGGTCGATCTACACTTTTTTGGATCACTCCACTCCGTTCATTCGTTCTTTCATTCGTTCTTTCATTCTTTCATTGCATTGAAGATGTATGTTCAAACTAATATCCTACCCTTCGTTTTAGATATTTCTTGTTTTACTGTTGTATGAGTCTTTCAAGACTTGTTTTTACACAAATTCCTGCGACGGTTCATATTGGGCCAGCGAGTGATTGATTTTGATTGGATGTCTGGAGGTTTAATGAATGCAGTACCTCTTTTGGTCCACCCTTGGACCAATTCCAATCCATGGATATTATATGACATCATAGTCGACATTTCGTAACCCTTAACCAAATATGATAGGATTTATTAATTATTATTTATTGATTAATTTCAATATAATATATAATTATATATTTAATTGTTTCTCATTCAAACTTATCACTATTCTCATCTTTTCTTCCTCTAGATAAATATTATTATTTAATTATGATACCATTCATTCTGCCCGAATTACCTCCTAATACTGCACCAACAGCTGACCAACAACGTGCTCTTCATGACATTGTTCAAGTTGTTAGGACCATCTTGAATATGAGCCAAGATGACATCACTGCTCTAGGAGTTGGAGGTCAAAACTACCTCACAGTCAACTCTTGGGCCAATCTAAACCAACCGAACCCCAATGGTCCGAGTCTTCTCTCTCGTGATATCTATAATCGTTTCGTACGATTCGTCAACTCCGCCCCTGCTACCATCCAAGTTATCAGAACTAATTTGGTGAATACCAATCACCATTTAGCCGCTGCTAATGCCGAGATTAACCTTGCCAATGCTAGAGCCGCTGAAGCTGATGCCAGATCCACTGCAGCTGATGCCAGAGCCACTGCAGCTAATACAAGAGCTAATGCTGAAGCTACCAGAGCCAATGTAGAAGCTGCCCGAGCTAATTCAGAAGCTGCCAAAGTCATTGTGGAAGCTGCAAGAGCGGAGAAAGCCGAGGTGAGCCTTGCCATTGTCAGGATTACTTTGATGCAGATCGATGAGAATGCGAAAGAATCCAACTAGACTCAATAAAATATTGCTTAGCAATCACCATCTCAAGTAATTAATTGTTAAGTAGTTATTGGCGGATATCCACAAGTGTATATTAATTATGTGATGGTATTTTATTAAATTGGTCATTAATTATGAGAGTATTATTCTAATGAGTTGCAACTATACTCTTACTGGTCGATCATAGCACACATGGTTCCACAACATCAGCTCCTTCTGGGGCGTCCTGGTTGAGTCCATGTTCTGCCTCTCATTCCTATAGACTATACTGAATCGCCACAGTCGCTCATTGTACTCGTGAGAACGGTTCCACTCGCGACATATATACTTGCCCAGTGCCATCCTAATCTGCTCGTAGTTGTTGCCTCCATTATAAGTCTCGTACAACTTGAACCATCGATGATTGCCAATACAAGGGACATATGGATCAGGTTTCTCGATAGAGTATGGTGCCAGGTTACCTTTCCACTTGGGGTCGGACAGCTTGTACATGCCCTCGTTGGCCCACAACTCTGTGAGCTGCCCATTGTCCAACTCGCCCTCAATCGTGTACCACCAGTGTATTGAGGGTGGACGGGGCGAGAACATAGACCAATGCTGGTCGATCCTGAGCATGAACATTACCCACTGATACTTTGGTGGCACATAGATTGTGTAGCCAGTGTTGACGTTGGACAGGTTGAACACGAGACATATCATGATGAAGCTGATCGCGCTGACGTTGAACAGGATATTCCTTGTCTTCTTGATCAAGCGATGACGGCGGTTGAGTCGTCGGAAGTAGTGGGTTGTGGCCTCATCTGGAACGCCATTGTAGTCCAAGCGGGGCTGGGCGGCAGCCTGATCTGGTGCCTCTCCAATGTTGTCGAGCATCGAGTGGGTCTCCTCCATGAACATGGAGTTTGGTGTGGGCTTGCTGACCAACACACTCTCATTGATCTTGACGGCCAGACGTCCAAACAGGTCAAGTACCTTCTTGCCATTGGCCTGAACAACTCTCATCTCGGCCACACGTACGAATGGGAAGAGTAGTGGTGAGGCGCGAAGTATAGCGGTGAATGCCTTGTAACCAGTGTGCTTGATGCCCTTGTGATCACGGCATACTATCCAGTTTGAATGGGGGATGTGCTCTCCAACATCTTTACCCTGGGATTGTGACATGTTTAGTTGCTGGACACCGGACTCTTCGTCATAGCGTAGTGGCGCTGGAGATACCTCGGCATCGGGCAACAACAGGAATGTGGAGACCAGTCCGGCAATGGTATATCCATACTTTCCATTGTAGTAGAGATGGAAGTCACATCTCTCCTTGGAACGAAGACGCTCAAACAGACGGTCCCAGGTCCATGTCGGGATCAGGAGTATCGCACCACAGACACATATTGGACTGAAGAGTCCGAGTCGCATGCACATGGCAAAGCCTATGTGAAGGCCAAGGAATCCGATGGCACATAGTGTCTTGAGGGGACCAGTGAACACGGGCGAGTAGGCTAGCAGTATACCAAATCCTTCATAGTAGAGCACGGATCCAGTCAACATCTTGAGGAATCCTGGGAACAAAAGGAAGATGTCGGCTATCCAAGTCCTAAAGAAATCCAAGTTGAGTGCGAGGAATGTTGCGGTACGATCAACTCTCCATTCATCACCTGTCTTATGGACATAAGAGAAGCAGTACAAGAATGCAACTTGTAACAAAATGGCAAATGATGCTATTATAATTGATGGTTTGATTGTGTGAGTGGAATAGTTCCATTAGTGAATGATTGAGTGATGTGATTGAATATATGATCGAGTGATTAGTTGAGCGGAATAGTTCCAATATTGAATGATTGAGTAATTATAAGAATGAGTGATGTGATTGGTTGAGCGGAATGGTTCCATGATTGATTTGTTTAATGAGTGATTGAGTGATAGGGTGGAATAACCCCATGGTTGATTGATGTTAAACTTACCTAGGTTGGTTACATTGTATTTCTTGATTGTCCTCCGTAGAACTGGCCGTTTGAATGCACTGTCAAAGGACCAACATGCACCAACAGGCAGGAATAGACCAAAGAAGCACATGACCCTAAAGTATACATCTCCACCATATCCAACTACATTGTTCCTAGCTTGAATGGATATAACGAATAAATAATGTAATAACATCATCACTCTTGACTTGTAACCAACAGCCACACAAGCGGATATGATAAAGTTGATAACAAATAGTATTTGAATAAAGGTCACTGTTCCATTCATCATATGGAAAGAGAACCAATATTGATTACTAAACTGTTCCAACACAGTTATCCTCGGCAAGAATCCATCATCTATGTATCAAGGTGATGTGATTGATTAGTAATTGTCTACAATCCATGAAAAGAAATAAGACTTACCAGAATAATGAGCATATACATCTGGCCAACGATCAATGACATCCCACATTCCAATGAGTCCTAGACCCAGTCGGAACAATGCCAAACATCTCTTGTCAACACCAAAGATTGTTTGGAACTTGTTGGTGTAGCTATTCATATGCTTCTTTTGCGCCAAGCCCATATTTGTTTTGAATATTTATGGGACCTGTCTGTTGATTGAAAGTCTGAATGGTATATAATATATAATAAGATATATAGAGTTAGAATTGAATGATTGAATGAATCAGTGATTGATTGATTGATTGATTGCCATCATCAACTCATCTTCCTCTCCACAGTGATCGCCCTTCTTGTGCTTTGGGCTCACAGTGAGCACCTGACAACATGACAATGCCAAAGCAAGACCAGTATATCACATATATAAAATACTGGCGAGAGATGGACTCTTAAAAGAGTGTGACACCATAAGCCAGTATATATATGTACTGCTTACTTGCTCCTCATCAATCACATAATAACCCACATTGTTGTTGGTGAGTGAGTGGTGAATGTCAGGTGATCATTGATTGAAAGTGTGTGAATGTGTGTATGTGTGTGAGTGTGTTGTGATTGATCAATCCACTTGAGAGGGAATAAGGGTGAGTGATGTGCTGATGCCTCTCACTACACTATGATGTAGATGAGTGGCACCTGATTGGAGGCCTCTAAAGTAGTCAGTGAGTGTATATGAATAAGAGTCCATGGAGAAAGTGGAGGATGGGAATGAGAGAGCCAGAGTAACAGTGAATGAATGAATGATTGACACATTGGGTGTTATTAACAACTTCAATCAATTAGCAGTACCTACTTGCTACTAGTATTCTGCTGCGATGTTTGCACTAAGAATTGCCACACATCATTCAGCTTTTGGATGAGCCATTGACGGTTGACATTACTTCCAGAGGTCCTAATGCCGTACTTTGATGCATGTTGTTTCAGATCACCCAGAGTCATATCCTCATAGTCTGGTTTCTTCGCTGTTGACTGGCGTGATTGTTGTTGTTGGACGTTCTTTCCAGTTGATGATGATGATTGAGACACCACAGGTGGCGGAGTGGTCGTTGAAGATGATGGCAGTGACAACCTCTTTGTTCCCAGTTGCTGCTGAGGTGTTGTCGCCGTTGACTTTGTTGAGGCTTGAGGTTGTTGAGGCTGCTGAGGCTTGGGTTGTGGCGGTCTAATATCGGGTCTTGTGTCTGTGGAAGAGTTGGAGGAGAATATTTGTGGCTGGACATATGGCCTGTCTCGAGACTGGGTATCTTGGTTGTTCATTGGTGTTCTTGGATATTCGTATTGTGTGGACGTTGTCATCTGCATTGCCATTGCCATTACCGATGTGTTGTTGTTGACCCCGCTACCATATTGTTGCATTGCCTTTGCTTCCTCCATTGACTTTGTAATGTATGCCAGACCTACTTTGCTGAGGTAGTCCTTCTCGAGTTCCTTGCTGCGATGCTCAAACTCCTCTTTAGCCTGTGTGCAGCTGTTTGTGAATGTATCATTGATACTCTTGAGTATTGTTGATAATGTGTTGTTGGAAGTTGATGTTGTTGTTGAAGTTGGTGGAGTTGGTGGACTATTTACAAAGCTATTGAGTAGGAATGATGGTGTTGGAGGACTGATGAATGGGGTTGTCATTGTGTCCGATGTGAAGTTGCTCGGTTGCTGATAGTGATGTTGCTGCTGCTGTTGCTGTTGCTGCTGTTGATGTTGCGGTTGGATTGGAGTTGATGGATTCTTCATTGGCGATCTGTCTCGTGGCAGTTGTGGCTGAATGAATTGATGCGCTTTGGTTGGTGATGTTGTTTGTGGCGCCTGCGGAGGAGTAGGTGGAGGAGGCTGATGAGAGGTGGCTTGGGGTTGTTGATATACTGGTTCATCATTTGCATGCTCATCCTCATGCTCATGATCCTGTTCTTGATCTTGATGTTGTTCATCTTGATTGTCATTTCCATGACCCGAATGATCAAAGTCATATTCAAGGTTGGTATCACTCTCATTGAAATCAATGTTGATGTCTGTGTTTGTTTGTGCTCTGTCCTGTACATTGTTGTCCACATTCTTGTCATCCCTGGATGAGTGTTTGAGTGTGTCCAGTTGTCGTTGCTGTTGTTGTGGTTGTTGTTGTTGTTGCTGTTGCTGTTGCTGATCCACCAGTTGTTGCTCCTTCTGATCAGCGTTCTTTTTAAACTCTGTTTGACTGTCATATACTATATCCTTGCCTTGCTCTGTTGAAAGCCTTGACTTTGATACGTCCCAAAGCGTTCGAATAGGTGTATGCTTCTTGGCCAGTTTACTCTCGGAGAACTTTGATGATGCCAGTGTAGTTGGTCGACCAGTGTTCACTTGATCAGACGTGTCCATCTGTTTTGAGGCAGTTGCCAGTGCACTCGATAACTTTGAAGGTGGCAGTGGCTGAGACGTGTCCTTCTGATCCGAAGTCCCAAGGTTTGGAAACAATATATCGGCCACATGAGTGTTGATCATCTGGTGGTGGGTGGATGGATGTTAGCATCGGGCCAGTCACGCCAAGATCTAGGTCATTACACATACCGCAAGGTTATTGTCTGATGGCTTCTTGCACTTGAATCCTGCCAGGTCTAATGGAGTGGATGATGGTTGGGATGGCTGCGGGTCATCTTTGGATGCATGCATTGATTCGGACAAGACAAGAGCCAATTGCAAGTTCTCATCGTCTTCATCATGAGGATACTCGTCATCCTCAGAGTCGGTGATCACATTCTTCTTGTTCTTCTTCGACGTCTTATTGTTGCCGCCATGCTGTTGCTTCTTCTTCTTCGTCCCCAGCGTGGTTGATGACTTGTTGGCTGCGGCATCCTGGAAGAACGTCGACTTGACTCCGCCCTTTGGTGTGGCCGTCACCGATGAGATGGTGTTGTTGATGCCGTTCTTCTTCTTACCACCCAATGTGACCGATGGTATTGGTGCAGGGGGAGGTGTAGAACTTGGTGCAATGTCATGAGGTGGAACAAGTGTAGTCAAGCTGCTGCTCGTCATTGTGGTCGTGGTGGTGGTCGTCGTCGTCTGTTGTGAGACCGCGGCGTTTCGATGATTCATGTCATAGAGGTCCATCAGGTCCTTGGCTGTGATGCCACGCTCCTTGGAGCATGCCTTCATATGAGCCACGCGTGTCTCGGGATTGGACAACTGTTTGTAACATATCACACAAATGTCTGCGTCCACTTGTTGTTGTTGGCGTTGCTGTGACGACGAGGAAGAGGATCGCGCGGCCTTCTTGGCATGCTCGCTCTCCTCTCTCTTGCGCTGACATCGCTCCACATGATCGGCACGACGACTTGATGAGTACTTGGTGATGTCCTTTGAACAAATGTCGCAGACGGCAGGTTGTGACGCCTTGAGTTTATCGATGCATTGTACAATGTGATCCTCGCGCTCCTTGAATGTCAGTGATCCAAATGATATGTTGCAAATGTTACACTTGTTAAAGTATACTGGTTGAATGATATTGCTTTGTGAAGGTCGTTGTTGTGGAGGAGGTGCAGGTTTATGTGTTGGAGTTTGTTGAGGTTGAGGCAGTGGTTGTGATAATGGTTGAGATAATGGTTGAGATAATGGTTGAGATAATGGTTGCGATAATGGTTGTGATGATGGTTGTTGTTGTTGGTTATCATCATCAACATCATTATTGATATCAACATCAGTTGTCGTTGGAGTATTGTTGTCGTGTGATGACATTACTTCCATTCTTGATGGTCGTTGTGCTTGTGCCAGTTGATCCAATGTGATCAATTGTTTCGAATTGTTGTTCTTGTTGCTATTGTTACTGCTTGTTATTATCATATTGTCCATGTTATTATCATCATTATCATCATCGATATCTTGATTCTTCATAGTTTGGGCTGAAGCATGTGATACAGTAGAAGTGAATTGAGTTAAAGGTTGTGAATCTTCCCAACAGGACTCAATACCATCATCCTCGTCGTCATCAGCCAACTCGTGTGATGTATCAATTGTATTCATTGTATGATCATGTCATTGTTTATAACATGCTGTGTCAACGAATGTTAGACCATTTCGAAGAAGTGATGATTTTGGTTTCAAATTCTATCCAATAAACACATCAATGCCCAATACTTCAATTCCAAATTGATTTGAACATCATCCTTTGTTCATGGGTTAATCACAAACAGTTGTTTAGTCATTGTATTATTATTACCTACATATAGAATGGAGTCAGAATATATTGACCTTGCACTTGACTATTGGTACGTGTTGATACCTACCATTATGTTGATGGGAGTTGCCTCATACTGCCTATGCTCAGGAGGTTCAAACGTATCTCCAAAGCCAAAGAAGAAGAAGACGACGACACAACATGACCAACAACAACAACAACAAAAGACATCAAACAATAGCATAAAGAAGAATAGACATGATGAGCCAAAGGATCATCCAACATCTCCAACTCTCTCAAACGTTCATCAACAGTCTCCATTATTTGAAAAGTCAGTCAAAGCAATGACTACCGCAGGCTCACCAATAACAGCGATCGCCATCAGTCCAGATGGACAGCAACTGGCGTACAGTTCCGATCAGAGACACATCAAGATCGTCAACGTCGAGTCGATGTTCACCACAAACCCAAAGTCGTATAATGTGCAACTACCCTTTGACTATGCCAGATTGATTGCATGGAGAAACAAACAACTCTACGCCACCCTCGAGGACAAACTCATTTGCTACCGATTGCTCGACCAAAAGAACACCGATGGCAAGACCTATGAGAAGCTATGGGATGTGCCTCTTCAACACAAGACTCCCATAGTGACACTATGCAGTGTATCTAATGGCAATCATATGATATCATGTGGTGATGGTATGTTTCCAGCGAGCCCTGGCCCTGGCCATTGAACAATTGATGCCTAACACCTCCCAATCCTAGACACGACTGTTAAGATATGGGGATTGAACAATGGTGAATCACTCATGACGATCAACACTGGACAGATCAAACAATATATGGCGGCAATGTCTGGCAATGGACGATTCTTTGGCGTGGCATCGTTCAACTCAGAAGTCAAGATATGGGAGGTGATCAACAAGAAGGACGGCACATTTGAAAAGTGTCAACGTGTGATGTCCTTGACAGGCTACAGGACCAGCATCTTTGGTCTGGCATTCAATCAAGAGGGCAACCGTGTTGTGTCCTGCTCCAAGGACGGCACGATCAAGATGTGGAATCTTGATGTCAGATATCAAGTGAGCGAAGATCCAAAATGTTTGTACACGCTGTCTTGCGATCTGTCATGTCCGCCAACAATCATCTCCTATGCACCAGATGGAGGTGTCTTTGTCGTAGGCAATCAAGATTTCCTACAAATGCGTGATGCCAACAATGGAGCCATCCTCGCCACCATCTCCCGTGACCATTCCATCGCACTGAACAACAATCTCTTAGCCTGGACACCCGACTCTCATCGACTGATCATTGGAGAGGACACCCACTTCATCATCTATCGCAATCCAAAGCATAACAAGTGAAGCGAAGCAAGGAGTTATGAAGTTAATTGCCAAATCGAAGAACTTCCCATAAACAAAAAGTCGGTTGGATCAAAAAACTGTGCTCAACCACACCACATTCGACTTTTTTTCTTTAATTAATTTAAATTTAAATGCGAAAACAAACAAGTTGAGCGAAAGACGATCCCTCTCACACAAACAAACAATCGATTATAATTGTGAACAATTATTCTATTCGCTTTTTTGCTTCACCTCACACTATTTCAATACTTTACACTTCCTCTCGTTCACTCGTTTAAACTCTCGCAACAACAAGTCGACACATATATTATATTTATATATATATACTATTACTACACACTTATATTATTATCACTACACATCACATATCTCTCACTATCTGTTCACCACTTGGCATTATCTCAAGGTAAGCATAAATACTCACTCATTCACTCATTCAATCATTCATTCAAACATGATTACTAACATTATAACTTAACTCTTTCTTCTTCCTCCCTCCCTCTCTTAGTGTTCTTACAAACAATCAAACAAACAACTCTACTTTAACTTTAAACAACAACAATATACACATACACATACACAACGATCAAATAATGCCTTCAACATACGATAAGAAGAGAAAGGTGGTTGATGAAGAGGAGGACGAGATGGTCGTCCACGGAGATGAGTACTCTGATCATGATCAACAAAGCACCAAGAAGCAAAAGATCGAATCGATTAAAGAGGACGAAAAGCCAGCTACACCCGTCGCTGTAAAGGTTCTCTCACCAGACGCCTGGAGAAAGGAGCACAATGTAAAGGTCGAGGGACGCCTCGTTCCCGACCCATTCCAAACATTCAACGATATCGAGATCCCCAAGATCTTCCAGCACGCCTTTATGAGCTTCTCAGCACCAACCGTCATCCAAGCACAGTCGTGGCCCATCGTCATGGGCGGAAACGACATGGTCGGTCTGGCCTCCACCGGTTCCGGAAAGACCCTGGCCTTCCTGTTGCCTGCCCTGCTCGAGATCATCAAGCACCCAAAGAGAAGATACGGCGCCACACCACTGGCCCTCGTCATGGCTCCCACCAGAGAGCTCGCCCAGCAGATCGAGGAGGTTTGCAGGACCGTCGTCAAGGGCACTGCCATCCGCAACCTCTGTGTCTACGGAGGTTTGGGCAAAGGCAGCCAGATGCGCACACTGCGCTCCGGTGTTGACATCATCATCGGAACACCAGGCCGTCTGAACGATATCATGAGAAGTGAGCATCTCGCTACCGTCAAGTTCTTGGTACTCGACGAGGCTGATCGTATGCTCGACATGGGTTTCATGCCCCAGATCGAGAAGATCATCGAGCAGATCCCCGCCGAGAGACAGACACTGATGTTTTCTGCTACTTGGCCTCGTGAGGTCGAGTCGCTCAGCAGACGTTTCTTGAACAACCCAGTCAAGATCACTGTCGGCAGCTCAGAGCTCGCCGCCAACATCAACGTCAAGCAACACATCCACATCACCACTCACATGAGTGTTCCAGAGGTGGCCAAGATGGTCGGCGACCAGATCATGGAGATCCAATCCGACAACAAGAAGAACCTCATCATCATCTTCTGTAACACAAAGAAGCACTGTGACAACTTTAGAGACTTCCTGCTCCACGAGTACAAGCTGCAGACCGTCGTTATTCACTCAGACAGAGATCAGCGTGAGCGTGAGCGTGGACTTTACAACTTTAAGAGCCTCTACGTTCCCATTCTGATCGCTACTGATGTCGCTGCCCGTGGTCTGGACATTCCCAACGTCAAGGCCGTTATCAACCTCGATTTCCCCAACAATATTGAAGACTACGTACATCGCATCGGTCGTACTGGCCGTGCTGGCAACAAGGGAGACTCACATACCTATATCAAGGAGGGAGACACCAACCTCCGCGGACTCGGAGATATTCTGAAGCGCGCTGGTCAAGAGATTTCCCCAGAGCTCGCTGCCCTTCTTCCAAACTCTCGCGCCGGTGACAACAGATACCAAAGTTACTCTGGTCGTCGCACCTGGAAGGGAGGTGCTGGCAGCTGGGGTGGTAGCAACAGTGGCGGCGGTGGCAGAAGTTACGGAGGTGGTGGCCGTGGAGGTGGCGGCGGTGGCGGCAGAGGTTACGGAGGTGGTCGCGGAGGTGGCGGCGGCGGTGGCAGAAGTTACGGAGGTGGTGGCGACTTTGGCAGCAGTGGAGGCTGGTAACCATACCATCAATAAATAAAATATATCTTTAATTAATATCTCTCTTTCTCTTTCTCTCTTTATCTACCCATCAGCGATTTGATTTTTGGGTGCGCTGGATATTTTTGATCACGAATCTTACGAGCTTTGTTCCAGGATTGGTTCTTATCTTGGGACTTGTTGCGGCACCACAACAAGCAGGATGTTTGTGTGGACATCTTAAGTCCTCTATCTCTCTACAACTTCTAAATTTAAAGAGATGAGTTGACTTTGACCCAACTCATTCTACACTTACATACAGCAAAGATATAATCATGATCAAATATATATTTGTTAGTCTAGTACTATCGTTGGTATTGGTCAATGCCATCAAAGTCCAATTGTCAACTGGCACTCAGGGATTCAACAGACATCCATCACCCTTCATTCCAGGTCTCAACAATGCTGGTGGAGGATATACCTGTGTAACATGTACACTTGTATGTTTATTCAATCAATCAATCAATCAATCAAACATTATTTCAATTCCAGCTTACACACTCCATTCCACATTAGATATTATCAGTCGTTGAGCAATACTCATTGATTCATGAGAAGTCAGTTGATGCTGCAATGGATGATATCTGTGGATTCCTTCCAGGTGAAATGTCAAAGTTGTGCACATACATGGTGTCCATCTATGGCAATGAGATTGTCCAGTATTTCGCTGAAGTACAACATGCTGATGATGTTTGCCATAAGCTAAAGTATGTATTGGCCTTCCATTCATCCCTTCATATTTACTTACAATGATGTTCCAGGTTCTGCACACTTCCTCAATGTCGTTTGTTTAGCAATGTGACTGCTGATGTTCAACCATCACCATTGGTCAGTGGCCTTCACAAAGGCAAGGTACACCCACATCCATCCAAGGTGAACGAGAGTCCATTGGACTGGTTCAAAGACCTCATCAACAGGTTCAGCAAAGATCACTCACCCCTCGAGGATGTCGATGGTGACAAGTTCTCTGGTATGTTTCCAAATCAATCACCAAATGGAACCATTCCACTAACTCTCTCGCTCAATCAACTCAATCAATCAAAAACAGATGAGATTACATTCAGAGGATACAACTGGAGAGGTAGGGATTGTGATGATTTGAACAATCAGGTGTACCCTGGTTCGAAGTATAACAACCCTAATGCAGGTCCATACACTGATTGGAATTGTAATGGAATCAAGGGATTGAATAGCACTTCAAACATTGGATATGAGGATGAGTTGTGTGGCAACTCAGGTCCAATGGGTGTGATTGTCGTTGGTGACAGCGCCGGCGCTCACTTCTCCATCCCCCCACAATGGTTGACGGCAAGCGAGATCAACTCCACCACCTACAATGGCATGATCGAGATCATTGCCAACGAGATGGACTGGCCTCAGAGATCGACCTACACCGGCTGGAACCCATCGACAAACGAGGTGCCAGTGGACAGCATCTACCTTAGGATGCGTGAGAGAAACCTTTGCAATCATCGTGACTACCAGAACACTGCGGTCAATGGTGCTGACTCCCATGATGTCGCCTTTGGTCTGGCTCAGACCATTGCCAGGAACCAGGAGACTGATGCCCCCGTGCTTCTATTCCTCGAGTTGATTGGAAATGACGTGTGTTCCTCGCATCATGACTTTGACCACATGACCACTGTCGACGAGTTCACCACCAACACATTGACCACCCTCCAGTATCTGGACACTGTGCTCCCCAGTGGCTCACATGTTGTCTTTGTTGGATTGGCTGATGGTCGCGTGCTCTGGAACTCACTGTGGAACAGGACTCACCCTATTGGTGCCACATACGAGCAGGTGTACGACTTCCTCAACTGTCTGGATACCAGTCCATGCTGGGGTTGGATGAACCCCAACGAGACTGTTCGCGACTTTACCAGTGAGCGTGCTGCCAACCTCTCATTGGTCTACAATCAGATCATTGCCAGCCACACCTACCAACACTTTGACATGCAGTACTATGACTTCCCCTTTGATGCGATCAACGCCGAGTGGATTGCACAGGGCGGCCAGACCTGGCAGCTGATCGAGCCCGTCGACGGTTTCCACCCCAACCAGATCGCCAACTACCTCATCGCCGGCTACTTCTGGGACCAGCTCACACAAGACCATCCCGAGTGGTTGGGCTCAATCAATCCCAACAACCAACTCATCCAACAGATGTTTGGTGATCAAGGAGGATACAACTAAGTACAAGTATATGAATTAAAGTTCAATCATTCATTCATTCAATCATTCAATCATTTGTTAGACCTGCTAAAGAATGATTGTGCCTTATCAATGAGTGAGACTGCAAAGCTGGGCTTGGATGACTTGTCATCCTTGGGCTGGTCAGAGCGGTATACGGTGAATGCGTGGACAGTGTCCAAGAGCTTGTCCATATCCATTTTCTTGGGTGATTGAAGTTGTAGCAGTAGGTACTTGCTGTCAATGGTAGGTGTGAAGGCCTTTACATAGTCACTCAATTTGATCAGACCCAGTTGATGGAGACAGAGTATTGATCGCAGAGTCTGAGGTGTCTGATAGCGTGATGTCAATGAAGACCTATCAATGAACATTGTTGGATTGATGTGAAGCCTCATCATTCGAAGCATCTTGGTGTTGCCTTTCAACGCTGTGGCCTCCATTCCACTGTCACTCCATCGCTCTTCTCGCTTCTCAAGGAAGAACTTGACCACGTCCAGATGATTGTTGACACATGCCCTGTCCAGTCCAATGCACGAAGCACCCTCAGTGCGTGACTCGTGTAGGTACTCCACAACGTCGAGATGGCCATTCTTGGCTGCACCATCCATCGCGCTGAACGTGCAGCCCTCCTTCCTGTATGTGTTCAAGAAGCGTACCACTTCCAGATGTCCATTGCTCGATGCTGTGTCGATTGCTGCTGTCGTACAGCCCTCAGTTCGATTCGCGTGAAGGTACTGTACAACGTTCAATCGATTGTGTGCGGCCGCAATGTCCATGGCTGTAGTGTCCACAGCGAAGCCTTCCTTTAGAAGCATCTGAATCAATGGCACATTTCCATTGCGACATGCATTGTTGACAACCTCAACAGACTTGAAGTTGATATCAGCTCGGTTGTGTGCAAGCAGGAACTCGAGCACTTGTATGCGGCCAGCTGCAACACACCATGCCGCAGTATGTAGTTCCATGCCTTCTGTCCTATTCATACTTAGGAACTTGACAACCTCGAGGTGTCCTTTTGACGCAGCCTCAGTCAAAGCATTGGCTGAACATGTTTGAACACCTGATCGCTGAGTATGGAGCAGGCGTATGATCTCCAGGTCACCATTGGCAGCCAGCTGATCAAACACATTTGGTGAACAACGACATTGATTGCTAGAATTCTCCAACAGGTAGCTAAACACTTGGATGTTGCCTGTCTTTGCTGCGCTGTCTAGTGCCTCCTTGTCCACTGCCACCTTCAACTCTTCTACCAGATATCTGAGTATGTCCATGTCTCCACCACTCGCCGCATGAGTCAGCACACCATTGATCGGAGTATGGCCCAGTGGCCTGAGCATGCGGTACACAAACTTTACCATTTCAATGCCTCCCTTCACACCGACCGCCACAGTCATGTCGTATAGCTCCACAGGGAAGTTGAAGTATTCAATGAATTGATTGAGTTGCTCGAAGTTGTTCCGTTTGATAGGGTATTGATATACGTTGACGGGTGAGTTGGGCGTCTGTACCATCTTGCATCTAAACACATAGTCGACCATCGCGTCCAGATTCTTGTCCAACAGCTGGGTCAAGGTCAACATGCTGAGCTTGGTGCCTTGCAAGTCGGGCTCAAGATACTTTGCAATCTCCATGTTGTTCGTTAGCAATGCTTGGTTGAATGCGTTGCATATTGCTGTTCGAGTCATTGTGTAGTCGCTCTGAACAGGACTGATCTCCAATATGTACTTGACCAGTTCAAGGTTGCCCTTGTCAACGGCGGCGCCCAATGCGTGGTAAGCCGACTCCATATGAAAGCCCTTGCTCACGAGGAACTTGGCAATGTCGATGCTGCCCGAGAAACAAGCCTCGTCGACCAATGATACTTGTGTGTCGCGATTACAAGACTTGGTCAGTTGAAACATTGGCTCGAACGCAGTGTAGACTCTTTGGAACAGGGCAAGGTCATTGACATGGCGACACAACAGACCGATCGAGTTGAATGTCACAGGCTGAGAGTATTCGTCAAGAAGAGGGTTGTAGTCTGCTAGGGACTTTGCAAAGTTGTCGATTGATGGTTGGCGGTACTTGATCAGTTTGAGTGTGTTGAAGATAGCTTCGTGATTGGCCATGTGGATGCGAAGCCAGTATGTAAGCAGGTGATGATATTTGTTCTTGCTCATCCATTCCAATGAGAGTTGTGACCATGTTATACATTGTTGCCATGGTATACCATACGGATCACGATTGATCCTTAGAACAGATACAAAGATATATCTCTTTAAGTATCGATTGTCAAACACAACTTTTCTAAATAATGATATTTCCATATTTCTTTAAATTATGATCATTGGCAATGTATAGTAATAATAACTTTATATTCTATTATTATTGAATGAATGAATTCATCCTTTCATTGGATATTGTAATATTGTAATCAAGAAATTATAAGAATAGGATCAGATTTGAGCTCAATTGATTCTAAGATCATTCTATGTTTTTCGGTCGGTTCAATGAAATATTTTCCTATATTTTGGTCGGACAATTTATTACAACATTTTTTAATATCATTTGTTTAATATTGATATTATTAGTTTTGAATGTCTGGAAAATATCTATTGAAATGTTAATAGTAACAAAATTCCAAAAATATTGACATAAAAGCGTTGAAAACTGTTTTTCTTTCACATTTGCCCGGATAGCTCAGTCGGTAGAGCGCACGGCTCTTAACCGTTGTAATGTGAATTCCCTTCACAGTTGCCCGGATAGCTCAGTCGGTAGAGCGCACGGCTCTTAACCGTGTGGTCGGGGGTTCGAGCCCCCCTTTGGGCGTAACTTTTATATCTTCATGATGAGTTTTTCTTATGTACTTTTGGTCAACTTGTAGACACGATTTTCAAGTGATGATATCATTTTTAACCAAAATTATAAGTATATTCTTATAGTTTGAGAACTAGTCTATCTAAAAATATTATCTTTATTCTTTTAACTATAATTTAACTAACATAAACCATCTGTACAAAAGTGTTAAATATTTTAAATATCAATTAATTAAGAATCACTATATTTAAAATATCTCTGATTAGATAGATATTTTTTTGATTGAAATAAGTTCGGATTAGTGTAATCATTAAGTAATCACCTCATTCTTATCATTATTCAATAACAAAGTTATAACAATGACAACAAATACAACTTTATCACAAGACAAACCACAAGTATTCTTTAGAATACTCAATAATAGAGTGATATTTAGGAGCATCGTAGATGAGATACATCGAATACATGATGCACTCTATCAAGACAATTTAATCATTGATGCCGTTAACGAGAAAGACCCAGAGGCATGGATTGGAACTACATGGAGCAGACTCAAGTATCATCATTGGACCAGTTTTGAGCACATTGTGACAAATGGTCATTTTGGTCTCTTGCGTGACCGCATCAAACAGAACCTACACATTGATGCCCCGCATTACTCAAAGTTTATAGAATTGATCAGAAATAGAGTGGACAATGATATATTTGACCATGTTTATAAAAGATATCAACATCTATTCTATCGCACTTCCTATTTACAAGTGGCGATCGAGCAGGGAAACACACATATCACTCAAACATTGTTGGAGCAGACACATCCATACAAGTTTGATATCAATCAACAGAGGATATGGGAGACTGTGGCCAATCTCAATCTAGAGTCGGATGACCAAGCTCCTCCTCGATCATGGCTGCATATCATTGAGTGACTGATTGGACCTGACTGAACTTGCTAAATTCATAATCACTAGACCCAGCCTTATCCGAGACGCCTTGCTCGAGCCCTCTCCATACTTCCTCAAGGTCTTCCAGCTATGATTCGATCAGTGGCATACACAAGAATCGATTATATCCTCACAACAGACGATCAGCAACTCATTGATGAGTTGTTACCAAACAAGATCATTGACAACCCCGAGGTCACACCACATTTGGTTAGAACATTTAGTCCCTATATCCTGCCACCATTATTGAGCTCGACTGTGGAGAAGTATTGGAGACACATTGAACGAATGTCACATTATGGATTGATCACAGATGACCTCGAACTTCTTCATACCAAGGCCATCGAATCATTTTGCTCAATCAAAGGAAAAGATGGAGAGAATAGTTGGTGCCGTCGAGGACGGATCTACAGATGGGATAGTCATTAATGATCAGTACAGATTGACACTTATAAAGATCATATTGGTAATGGGCTATCATCAATCATTATACAGCTACAATCAGGGTGAAGCCCTCAGTAGCTATATAAAGACTGGAGATTGTGCCTTAATCCCCTTCTTTGTTTCTTCGATGACCATGAACTCACATATGCTTGAAAAAGATATAATAGAGATAATGATTCTCAACCTTGCTCACCTTTGTCTCAGACTCATTGCCATTAAAGATCTTAAATTAAATAAAAAAATATTATATCCAATTTTGGAATCACAATGGGAATAAGGGCAGGACATATTGTCAAGGCAACTGTATACTCCCACAAAGGTATACTTTTTTGTTCTAATAGTCAGTAGTTATTTTGTTATTATTATTTTAAAAGCTTGAAAAAAAAAAGCAAATAAAACCTAGTCAAAAATGAAAATAATAAAATTTCGGAAAATGACAGCATCTTAGCTCAGAGGTAGAGCGGTGGGCCCATAACCCACAGGTCGGTCGATCGAAACTTCCAGATGCTAAACTTCTTTTTTAGTTTTTATTAAGGGAAGAAATTGAGGTTGAAGGACTCCCTGCCCGCCGACCTCAAGAAGGAGGTAGATGAAGAAGAACTTGGTTTATTATAAATATTATGTTATATTAAAATGGCAGGTAATTGTTTGTTGATTAATTGATTGTGTGTACATCACAGTTACCCGCAATCTAATCAAGATCGACCCCCAATTTGGGATTGTCCTCTTCTGTGTTACCACCTTCCCAATTCTTCACGAAGTCCCCTATCTCCATAGGCTTGATCAGAAACCTTTGTATTCTATCATATTGACTGTCTTGGTCCAGTGTGTGATCGATATATCTAATATAGTCTATCCAATGTGGATAACTCTGGTGACGACCGAGCTTGATGTTCTCCACTATTTGAATGCAATTCCTGGCCCAGGTAATATATTTGTTGAATATTCCGATCACGATCTTCCTACAACACTCGTTGCATCCTCTCTGTGGAAACACGGTATACATCTCATCTGGATTGGTTGCATCGAACTCTGGTCTGCAATGTATTGCATCATCCCTTTTTGAACACCTGAATCTTTGTGGATGCGAGTGCACGTCGCATGGGACATCATCCACATCCTCTGTATCTATTTCGCATTCACTGTTTTTAGATGTCATTATATTCAAAGTATAAATATTTATATTTAATATATCTTTGAACTGAAGTGGAGCAATTTAAAATGAAAAGGGTGAGGTGGCCATATCACTTATATTCTTGGAATTGTTGAACCTCCCATTTCAAGGATCATTCAAAGTAGTACTTGTTGGATAATAATTTATTCATAGGATGTTGATAAGCTCTGAGCCTTTTTCTCATCTAGTACTGTAGTGCTAAGGATGTAGTCACGAATGGTAGCATTAAATGGTATTGTGTAGAGCACTTGTTGGAGCTGATGAAGCAAGAAGATCACCTCGGCAATCTTACGGTGCYTTGTAAAAGTTGATCAGACCACCAATCACAGAGGGATTGCCATCCTCTGTAAATGTTAGATCCTTGAGATAGATACCAAGGAATGGTGTGCAAGGTGGCTGGACGGTGGCCATCAAATGGCGCAATGAGATATAATTCTTCAATGGTGTTACAACCTTCTCCAGATATTCAAACGTGTTCATAGTGTCCTTGGATAGTTTCTAAAATGTGTTTCAATGTTGTTAGCTGGTTAGTGATCCATTGGATGGCCATTATCATGTGCTGATACTTACGCTCCATGTCTTCTTCAATCTTGATATTGGTCCAGAGTTTAGTCCATAAATTATTGCCGCCACTCCTGTGAAGTTGTTCAACTCGAAGCAGTTCTATGTTTGATTGAGTGGAATGAGGTGGAGTGATTGAGTGAGTGAGTGGAAGTGAGAATGAGTGCAATGTTTGATTGAGTCATTACCTGTGCGACGGCAACGAAATGGGATAATGTTGCTGCTCTCTGCTTTGACATCTTTTGTTGAACGATCTCGGATACAACCAATTGACTCAGCTGATTGAATAAATGAGTGATGGTTAGTGTATGTGTTTGAGGATCCAGTGGTAATAACAAATACAAATACATACTCTGTTAAAGTGATCAGTTGATGCTTGGATGTTGGGTGCCTTCTTCTTTGCCCATGCCTGATTGAGGAACTCTCTCTTGTCAATCTTGGCAAAGTAGAGATGATTCAACACTGTGATAGTCTGTGCAATCTCCATGCTTGAGAAGTCCAACAATGATATGGTTGGCGTCGATGCTGGTATTGGGATCTTTACAGACAGTGAATTAAGTCTACTCTCAACACTCTGTTGTGCATGGTTGATGTTGGTGTTAGTGAGTTTGAATGTGATTGTTGTTGGCCATCAGTCGAATGAATACATACTCTTCCTCTTTGCTTCTCATACTCCTTCTTGACAGAGTTCATTAGGGTGTTGTTGGATGTCTTGATCCAGTCCTCCATGCGCACGGATAGTGAGCTGGGATGATGGTTGGGAAGGTCCATGATCTCTTGGATGGGGTCGTTCTCAAAGTCGTAGAAGTGGTTGACGATCCATGCCGTCAGGATGTTGAGCACTCGGTTCTTGACGGCTGGTGTCTTTTCATACTTCTCATAGAGCATGTCCATTAGATGCAGTGGCGTCGTGAATGCTCTAAACGTGAGTAGGAATACATTGCCAAAGTTGGGATCTGAGATGTTGTGATGAGTCAACTTGTCGACAAGCTGTGCCAAGGAACCACCCATGATCTGTGGATTGCCATATTCATTGCTGGAGCAGTTCAATATCTCGACGGCATCGACGAACTGGAAGTTTTGATTCATTCTTTCCAACAACACCTGGAACTTGCCAGCTGCCTGATTGAGCAACTCACTATCCTTGTGAGTCGACAAGCTTTGAATATCCTGTTTATGTTTGATAGAATGATGGTTAGTATGATTGAGTAATTGGTCCGGCCAGACGATGATGATGACTTACCTTTAGCATGATGTATAGTCTTGGGATATTCTGAAGTGGCGCCAACAATAGACTCTTGAGGTCCATGTCCTGGACGAGTGATTGATCCAACCTGATGCCAAATGATTGTGATCGCTTCTCACATTCCTTGAGTAGTGTGGTGAGCTTCTCTGTGCGCTTGCGAGCATTGAACAAGGTCATACAGGCAGAGTTGTAGTTGTCACTGAATGGGATGTAGACACGGTAGTTGCTCATTATGTTGTCATCGAGGAAGATGTCGCCCACGACCTTGTTGATGACGTCCCAATTGTCTAGACGTGAGTCAAGGCGGCTCAAGAAGATCTGTGTCGATCTGATGAGAAGGGTAAGGTCGCAGAAGATGCCCGACACCTCCTCCTCGGTGATCGACGTCTCCTCTGTGCTCATGCTCGACAGTGCATTCAGGCCAAAAAGGCCTCTGATGGTGGCCATGCTGGCAGTCCTCAGTCGCACGGTGGACGAGCCGCTCGGACTCATGAGGTTGGGAGAGGATGCTGATGAGCTGGATGTGATTGCTTGAGTGTGAGGATTGCTGGGCGATGATGGTGGCGCCAGCGCAGACGCGGGTGATGGTGGCGTGCTTCCAAACTGTGGCGAGTTGGGCGTGATGTAAGGGTTGTTGACCTGGTTGGTATTAAAGATCGAGGCGGCGGAAGGGTGTGACGACGGGTTCTGGCCCGACGCAGTCTGTTGAAGCAGAGAGGTGACGAGCGGATCGCTAGGTGTGGCGATGGTCATCATCGATTTGTAGTATATCTTTGAAAGGATGTTCAACTGTCGCAGGTAGTTACGCTGTACCTTGAGCAGGTTCAGCAACGCCTTGGTCTTGGGTGCATCATGCACCAACGCCACGCTGTGGTACTCGCCCGCCTGTATCTGAATTACAAAGTCCTTGTCGGGCAGGCCAACCTTGGTGGTGGCCGTTTCCTCATCGTGGCACAGCTCCTTGACCAAGCCAGGCTGATAGCCCTGTTCGGTGGACGCCAGTATGCGGCCAAGCTGGCCAGACTTGTTCCTGCCCAGAGTGATCACCTGACCCTTGTCAGTGAGGCACACCAGATGGAAGTTGCCCATGGTGATCGATCGCACGCTGTGCTGGGCTAGCAGGTGATGGATGGGGGTGGGTCGACCGCCAACCTCCCACAAGTACACCTCGCCAAGCTGTGTCAAAGCTGCAATTTGCCACTCGCCACATGCAATCTGTCGCACCTCGCCTCCACCTCCACATCCTCCGCCATCTGCATCGCCCTCCAAATGATTTTGGAATGGCAACACTGTTGGAACAGTCTGTATCTTTCCAAGCTTGTCGCATTGTCCCCATGAGTACATCTTTCCAGAGTCTGGTGTGCATGTGTTAGCCTACTTCCGTCAATCTCAACATCATCCAATGTGTCTACATACCTGTGCAACAGACAGAGTGAGTGCTGGAACATGCCACCATGGTCACATACTCTGACTTTAACTTGGATACTCTTGTTGGAAGTCTTCGATGACCTGTATCTCCAAGTCCAAGCTCACCATGATCATTGATTCCCCACATGTATAGCTCTCCCCACTCTGTTTGAATGATTGAGTGTTAGTGATGGGTGATAAGGGTAGCGACCATGTGAGCTTGCTCCTTACCATTGATGGCGGCTGTATGCTTGACACCTGTGGCGATATGCTTGACACACTTGAGCTCGACCATTCGTGGTGTGTTGGAATGGACGTCCAGACCAATGCCAAGCTGTCCATTGGAGTTTGATCCCCAGGACCAAACGTTGCCACCCTCGGTCAGGATGACGATGTGATAGTTGCCAAGCGCCACCTGCTTGACACTGCTGTGTGGACTGCCTTGCAAAAAGTCCAGGGAGATGCGGATGGGCGTGGTGACAGGCGGCTTGACATCGGTCATCCAAATACTGGTGATCAGCGAGATGCCCTCCATCGTCTCTGTTCGCTTGTCCTCATCGATACGTTGTGGATGTGGTTGGGGATGTTGTTGCTGAGCTGTGATGCTAGCGTCGGCGGCACTCGTTGGTGGACTGTTACCACCAGACTCTGATGCTGTTATCGATAACTTGCGATCATCCGTCTGTGATGAAGTGTCACTACCAGTCGTCAATGGTTCAGTCGTACCCGTTCGACCATAAAACAATGTCGTTCCATTCTTTGGATCTTGACTAATACCTGTCATATATAACTCATCGTCGTCTATTCATTCATTCATTGAGTTGCACAAGCATCGTGAGTAGTGTCAGTACCATTCATTCATTCAATGAATAATTCAATCAATGATTCAAACATACCTGTTATGAATACAGTATGATATGATCCACATGCTATCCTCTTGATTCGTTTGTTATTGTCACCAAAGTATTGTATCTTCTTTGGCAAGTTCTGTGATTGTTCATCGCCATGACCCAATGCACCATTCACTCCCAATCCAAAGGTGTACACTGACATCTCTCTTTCTATCTATCTATCTCTTAATTGATTTGATTGTATCTAATCTATTTATAAGTTGTTGATGTTTATGTGAATGAATGAATGAATGAGTGGTGATTGTGTATTTGCTGAAGTAGAAGATGCCTGAATCGGAAGGGATAAGATATTTATCAAAAAAATAAATAACCTTCAAACAAAATCTTTGAATTCAAATAAAACAATGTGAAGAGACTTGTCAATGTCCTATTCTATTACTATCTAAAAGTTAACTATCTTGTTATAATATAAATTATTACTACTATTTGTAGTTGTTTAGTTGTTTAGTTGTTAGTTGTGATTGTTATGTGGGTGTGTTTGAATCGACTATGATCAAACAACAAACACACACACATACACACTTTATCGATACGATGATGTATGGTTGAACATGATAATGCCATTCAATCATTCACACTTTAAATAGTACTCACCTCAATATATGTACATCCGTAGTTCAAGAAGCAATGGACCATGTGATGATGATGGATGTCTTTCCAAAGTATTGACATGACCATGGTACCATCTTCGCAATCAATCAAACAAACAATCCAACTCATTATCCATTTAATCCAAACCAAAGATCGCCACAACCATTAATAAATAATAAGTTGGGTGTTAGTGAGTGTGGGAAGGGTGTCCGACAAGTGAGTGGTAAAGGTGATTGAGTGGTAAGTGTGGTGATTGATTGATGAGTGTGTGTTTGCCACTCATTGGCTAAAACTATGCATCGATTCAGTGAGTGAGCGATTGATTGATGTGTGTGTTAATGTTAGTGTTAGTAATAGTGTGTGTTTTAATAGATAGAGAGATAAAGAGATACAGATAGAAAAAGATAGAGAGATAAACTGTGTATAACGGATAAAGATAGATATTCAATCACAACATCATAAACTCATTCATTATTCGAAAGACCTCAACAACAGTATCAACAACATCAATCAATCATTCAATCAATCAATCAATCAATCATTCATTCACAGTGTCTGTCACTCAAACATATATATACTACAACTTATTTATCAAACAAAGTGTACAATAGTTAGTTGTTATAACAATGATGTTAAACACAAGTAACACCAGTAATGGTGGCACATCGCAACCATTCGATGTTATCAAACCAGACAGATATCTATATGATGTAATACTAAAGAATGATGGTCTACAACATTATGTATGTTATCAATCAATCAGTGTATGAATGAATGACACCTCACTCATACTTATACTGCATGGTAATCAGATACATTCAAACTTTGGATTCTATTGTGGCTCAGTGGATGATTCAAAGCATAAGGAGGGCAAGGGTATATTCTTGTATCCAACATCAACTTATATTGGTAATTGGAAGGATGATCATAGGTATGGTGATGGTGTATTGGTTGTGAATGATGGCTATCGCAAACATATAGACGCGAGCGTGGTCACACCACCATCACTGGCCATACAACCATTGGTCACGCCATTCAAATCAATGCAACAACTTCAACAGCAGGCACAACAGAACCAGGCTCTGCTGGAAAATGGCGCCACAATCATTGGCGGCGCAGGCAACACTTCATATTCAACGCTGGCCAAGATCAACGCATCGTTTGACGCCGTGGAGAAGGTGATGGGGGACGTGGCCGCGCCCACTTACCAAGCCAGCCACGACTACTACTCGGGCAAGTGGCTCAGCAGCAAGGCCAACGGCATTGGCTTCTTCCACTTTGCCAAGGATCACTCGGTGCACGAGGACTTTTGGCGCAATGGCGTGGCCATTCGCTACATCAATCAGAATCAGCTGCAGTCGATACAGGCCGATGGCTCGGTTCAGTTCTCATCGAACGAGGAGCTCAAGAAGATGCTCGAGGATTGGAAGAAGGTGGTGGGCAGCGACGACGACTTCCCCATGTCCAAGCCCTATCTTGGCTCCATGTTGGCGTCACAACACGAGATGCCCATGTCGCCATCACTGTTCAATGGTATGGCGAATGCTTCTGCTGTCGTGGGCGAGGAGAAGCCGGGCAAGCCAGGCAAGTCACCCCTAGGCAAGGATCAGTCAAGTCCAATGTCATCACCAATGTCACCAAATATAATCAATGGCGAGCAACTCAAAGCTCAGCAGACACAGCAACAGCAGCAACAGCAACAGCAGCCAGTGACAGTGCCACAGTCATATAGCTCGCCGGCCACCCCGGGTGGCTCGCCACACACGACCAAACAATCATTTGGCGTGATCACATCGTCCTACCTCAAGAATCGCATTGAGAATGAGGAGAAGTTCTTCATCTCACTCATTATGTTCATCTCGAAATGGGAGCTGCCGCTGGTGTCTACGCAGCCCTCGTCGCCTGGCAGTGGCAACCCCGCACCCTCGTCCAACGCGTCACCCAACTCCAACTTCATCATTGTGGTGCCAGACACAGACTCGGCCACATTCCTGCCGCTGTCCACGCTGGTGATGCAGTGCAACATCATGGAGAAGATGATTCGTCGATTGCTCGTCGACCCCGAGACCAGAACCACTCTCAATCACCACGTGCATCAGCAACATATCATGCCAGGCGGCGAGAATCACATCGTTGCCAGTCTGTCCACTGCGTCTACGACAAGAGATGAGCGCGAACTATACAAACTGATACCATTCTGTCTGGACGTCGATGTCACGGATGAGTTGAACGGCATTAGTCGATACAACATCGAGCCGATCGTGTCCACGATGAAAATGTTCACCAAGCCCCTCACAGACACTGTGGCCGTGCCCGACTTCCTCGTGCACTACATCTGCGACATTGTCTCGGCCTTCAAAAAAGACAAGCCATTCGAGATGTACTTCCTCAACAATCGATTCATGGTCGTCCAGGAGCAGTTCCTTCAAATAGTCAACAAGCTCGAGGCCATCAATGAGTCGCTCAACACGAACGTCTCTATACCGTCTGATGGTGTCGCGACACCACCCCAGCAACAACAGGTATCAAGCCCAATCACACCGACCAAGCCATCGGCTGTCGCGTCCAAGCAAGTGGCATCACCCCTCAAGGGCTCGCCAACAGTCAGCTCAAGAGGTGTGCTGACCAATCCCAATGGAGGAATCGCCAACAAGACAAACACGACCGTCACAGGCATGGGCACGACAAACACTGGCACAGGCACGAGCACGACGATGACTACAGTGGGGGGCAAGGTGATCAGTTCAGCGCGAACCAACTCGGCAGGCTCCACTACAACCCTGGGCGTGGCATCACCACAATCAATGCTCAAGAAACAGACGACCATTGAGAACATTCATCAGTTCAACATCAACGAGCAGCAGAAGAAGGCCAATAGCATGGACACTTCACAGCGACGCCAATCGATACACAGAAACACGTTGGACTTTGTATATCAGCTGTTCTGCTCGTCGTTCATCATGCCCACGTCGCTCGAGGACTCTGTCCAACTTCTCAACTCGATCACCACGAGCATCAGCGCCGTCAAGAAGACCATGCTGAAGAAGGTGCAGTTGTTCAAGGAGGCGTCGGTTGCCGAGAGCATCTCGTCCAAGTCACTGACATCGAAGCACTGTCAGGAGTACCTCAAGTCGAAGCAGGCGTCCGTGCAAGCATTCGTCGATACACAAGAGCGAGAGATAGCATTGTTTGATCATACTTCTCTCATCTGTGATAAGCTCTGTAAAATACTATTCAAACAACTGCTCAACATCACGATCAAGCGTCTCACCCTGGCATCCACATTCATCCAGCGCATGCGCAAGCAGAAGGAGTCCTCCGGCGACCCCCTCCTCACCCTCGACTACATTGTCAAGTTCATCAAGCACATCTACAACATCTCGTCCAAGATCCTCACAGTGTGTAGCGCTCAAGTGCTCCAGAACGAGAAAGGTAAGTACATCGATCAATATTGATTGGACCTGGAATGATCCCACTGACACACCATCTCCCTAGACATTGTAAATTGTATAAAGTCATTCATGTATGATCAGAACGATTTGTTCTCTTTGATACCACCAAAGTCATCGGCGGCTATGGCTGCAGTGGCAGCTTCCAATACCACGCCAGAGAAGTCATCCGCATCACCGGCCAACACATCATTCAGTTTGAATGGACTGATGGGTATGCTGTCCACTGGTGTCAGGAGTCTGGACTTCTTCACAATCAGTGAGCCGAATGGCGCCAACGAGACTGCGACACCTCCACTCATTGCCAACAACAAGGCAATGTTGCCATCTCCATTGTCCTACAGCCAAGACAATCTGAACACAAACATCTCTATCATATCACCTCTAAGTATGTGTGACACTATCCATCATTCAAACAATCAATGATGCTAACATAACCTCACCAATCATTATTAGACAAACTTTCATATGACATTGCTCAGGGCAACTACCATCTTATACCAATATTGTCGACTTGTGGCGATGAAATGACAGTGATGTACCTCACCAATGTGTTGGCGGACACTAGAACCAGCCTCAAGGAAAAGTCAAACGACTCCATCCACTACCTGATCAATGTATTGATCCAAACGACAATCACATGCACCTTCAAGTCCTACCGATGCGAGGTGTTCAAGACCATCGCACCACTTGTCAAGATATGTATGTATCAACTTACTCCAACTATGCCATCACCATTAACTCACTCACCAATCAATCAATCAATCAATCAATCCATAAGACAAACCAAAGGACGACCTATTCCAAAAGATAAAGGAGTTCCTCAAGACACTCTTGGATCTTTGTGTAAAGGATGATTCATTCTCATTCGCGCCACACTTTGTAATGTTCTTGGCCAATATCTGTGATGACCTTTCAGTCAAGTCAAAGAAGGAGTTTACAGACATCTTCTCGATCCAATTCTTCATCGACATCATGGAGAGAGCCAACGCAAAGAGTGGAGCACCAGGCGCCGACATCCTTCGCGCTCATGCCGCACAGATATTGATATACCTTTCAAAGTCATCACGTATGTTTCCTAAATTAGTTTGGTCCAATCCCGTCCATTCAACAACTAACTTGATGTATTCTTCTACACTTTAGACGACAACTTGGCCATCATCAAGAATCGTGGAGGTCTTGGCATTATATTGGAGCTCTGCAAGTTGGGACAGGTGTTCTCTCACACAAAGATCGACGAGGGAGACTTGTCAATTGCTGAGGTGTTGGGTGCTGGTGCACTTGCCAAGGTTCATAGAGGACTGTGGAATGGCAAAGAGGTTGCCATTAAGATATTCAACGAGGGCAGCTACTCATTCCGTCTAGAGGATTTCCTGAAAGAGGTGGCAATCATGGGTCTCATCAACCATCCCAATCTCCTAAAGTTGGAAGGAGCCTGTATTATACCAAGGAACATGGATTCAACCTTTATGATCGTCACTGTAAGTGTTTGAATACCTCATCAGACATCGACCTCGACTAACATAACATGGATAACTTTAATCAATAATCCAGGAAATAATGCACAAGGGTACCTTGTGGGACGTCGTGAAGAAGAGTCATCCACTTCCATTGATGACCATTATTAGACATGCGCTGTCTGTGGCCAGGGGACTGGCCTATCTTCACTCAATTGATATGATCCATCGTGATATCAAGGCGGCCAACATCCTGGTCGACAAGAATGACTTTGCAAAGGTTGGCGACTTTGGATTGAGTCGTGTCATTAGCAACATCAATATGACTGCAGTGGCAGGTACACCAAAGTGGGAGGCACCAGAGTGTTTGGCGGGAGAGCAGTACACGTCAGCGGCAGATGTCTACAGTTTTGGAATGATGATGTATGAGATGGTCACTGGTGAGGAGCCCTACCCTGAGATCCAGACCATTGTAGAGCTGGTCAGGACTGTCTACGAGAAGAAGCAGAAGCCCAAGATCCCCAGCTTTGTCAATCACAGTATGTCATCACTCATCAAGGACTGTCTGAGGTCACAGAAGAAGAGACCAACAATGGCCCAGATCATTCAAAAGTTGGAAGAGGCTGGAGACAAATAAAGGTTGGTTTGTTTGAACTCTAGTAGTAGTAAGTTGTGTTTATTGTATAAGTGAGAGCACGGTACGGTATAGTATCATCAGTCCTTCTTTGATTCACTGCTGTCGCTGTTGTTGTTGTTTGACTCACCATCACCTGAAGTTGTTGTTGCTGTTGCAGATGCTGTTTGGTTGCCCACCTGCTTGATCCTGTCGAGATCCAACTTCTTGCCCTTGTATTGTCTCGATCTCTCCAGCTTGCCCTTGCGGTAGAAGAAGTCCTCAGTGTCCTCGACGTAGAACAGACGGAATGTCTGTGTGCAGATGCGACACTCGAGACCAACCTCGTTGATGGTCTCTTTCATCGAGTCGTCCAGCGAGAGGTTCTTTGGGATGTTTCTCAGCAAGAAGACCTTGTATGCGCGTGGGTCAATGTTGGAGTCCAACTGCTTAAAGTCGTTGACGTACTGTCTGGCAGCAGCGATCTCCGACTCGGCGTTGGCCATCTCCTTCTCGGACTTGGCAATCTCAAGCTCAGCGTTCTTCAACATCTCTGGTGTGGTTGTGTCCATCAGCTGGATGGTGAATGCGCCCAAGGCTGGCTTCTTGGTCTCGAACTCAAACAGGAAGATGCGGTCATCCTTGCTTCCCAGCATCTCGATGACCTTGGAGTGGTAGAGAGTGTCCTTCCATCCATTGGGCTGCTTGACCTCCACCGTGAACAAGTAGAGAAGCTTCAGACAGTTCTCATTGGTGAGCAACGTCTGCAGCTGACGGGCGATCTGATTGATGAGCTTGTCCAGTGTGAAGATGATGTATGATGAGATGCCCAGATAGGACCTGCATGTGTCCTCGTAAGCAGAGATGTCGATGTTGCCAGCCAGCAGCTCCTTCAGACACTTGATGAATCTGTTGTAGCGCTCGTGCTCGTCGAGCTCTGACTCGGAGATGATCACCTCCTCGATGCCGTCCACAGAGTCGTTTGTGCCTGGGAAGCGGGTGATGTTGGGCTTGGACGTCCAGTGCGCAAGCTTGGCTGCCTCGGCCAACTCCATCGACTTGTACAGACGCTCGTACAGCACCTGGTATAATCGCAGGAATATGTAGAATGTGTTGTTGCCATAGAACACTCGCTTATCCTTCTCTGACACGTTCTTTGGAAGTATGAGATTGAATGGCTCTGAGCTCTCTGTGTCCTTCTCCTTCTCCTTAGACTTGTGTTCACCACCATTTGTCGATGCTTTGTCCGACTCGCTCTCCTGATCGGCATCCTTCATCTCGACATCGCCCTTCTTCTCCTCTGTGTCCTTGTTGGCCTGTGCTTGTGCCTGAGCCTTCTGAGCAGCCTTGGCTGACTTGTCATCCTTGAGATAGAAGAATGACAACAAGAAGAAGTTCAAGAAGTTCTCAATCTTCTCGAGGTCCTGCTTGTTCTGATTGAGCTTCTCCGCTGCGAATTGGATAAGATTGGAGATGTCCGAACACACCTTGTAGTCCACCATGTGGTAGAGGTAGTGATAAGGTGTTGGCTTTGGTACCAAGGTCTTTGATCTCCTCTTGCCCAAGTCTTCCTTCTCCTTGAGCTTCTCTGTGTACTTCTGACGAATCTCTGCCATCAATGACTTTGGCTGCAGAGTCTTCTTCTCGGCCTGCTTGAAGTATGTGCTTTGGTAGTCGAGTGATCGGTAGTAGTTCCTCTCGGTGGTCTCCTTCCAGACCTTGTTCCACTCGTGTTTGGCCTTGGTCCACTCAAGATCCTTCTGCTTGAGTCGCTTGATAATGACGGGCAGGGTGCCATAGGGGTTCTGGTACATGAGGGCGATCATCTCCATGCCTCTGTTGTTATAGAGACGCTCAATGCTACGATGATGCAGGATGTCCAGTGTGGACATGCGGTAGCTCATCCTCTCCACCTCTGTCATCGCGGCCAACTGCTTATAGATTGGGTCCAACTCCTTGATGGTGGAGGCGTTCAACTCGATGATGAGGTCTAGCTCGAATCTCTCATCCTCACACTTGAACAACACCTCTTCGAACTGGTTCTTCCTCTGGCTCTTCTCTGCGCCATAGTCCTCACTGCCTGTGGGGAATGATACCCAAACATCATTGAGTACCGATGCACTGAGCTCTGTTCTTCCAGTGCACTTTGATGGAGGATACTGAATGTGATTGATTGATTGATGAAAGGGTTAGAGATATACATTGATTGAATGAGGGTAAGGACATCTTACATTCTTTGGAAGTGCTCTGTATGATGGACCAAGCCTCTTGCAGGTCGAGAAGTCAACCTCAGAGTAGGGCTGCTTGGAGGGTGACGAAGCCTCTTGGCGCTCAATCTGCTCGATGGTCTGCTCGTCGATGCCAATGAACTGTTTGAACCAATCGTAGAGCACTGGCTGCCTGGGCAGCAGGATGTCCTTGACCAGGAGTACAAGCTCAGTCCTCGTGATGATATCCTGACTGAAGAGGTTGAGACACTTGAGGAACTCATTGTAGAGACGGTTGCTGGCTACGCCCACGCGGACCCTGTGGAAGAAGTCCACCTCCTCGTGCTGGATCTCGTTGCCTGAGCCACGCTCACGCTCGCGGTCGTGGTGGTCCGAACGGTCCTCACCCTTCTTGGACTTTCTCTTCTCGCGGCCAGACTTGGAGTCCATCGGTGGCTGGGGCACAGACATGTTGTTGGCCTTGTCGAATCGCTCACCCACCATCCTGTCCATCGAGGGCATCTCACCCATCTGGGGCTGTTGCCCCTTGGCCTGTTGTTGCATGGCCGCCTTCTGTTGATGGGACATACGTGGCTTGCTTGCCTTACTGGCTGATGACGATTGATTGACGATCATTGGCTGAGTGGTGGGCTGCTGCTGTTGTTGCTGTTGTTGTGGCGCCATGGGGTGTCCCATGCCTGCGGACGGCTGGCCCATGATGGGCTGGGCCTGCTGACTGTTGTCTGGCAGGAACTGAGTGAACTCTGACAGCAGGTCAGAGTGCGACTTGAACAACTCGGCTACCTGCTCATACACCTCGCTGATGGGCTGCTGCTCGCGCTGGTAGTTGTGCAACACCTCGAGGAACTGCTTGTAGACGTGTGGCTGGTTGGCAAAGCGGTCCTTGATCTTCTTGACGTAGTTCCTGGCATGGTCCAGCTCGTTCTGTTTGCGCACAGCCTCACCGCCACGCATGGCCTGTTGCTGTTGCTGCTGGACCTGTTGGTGATGCATCAGCTGCTGCTGGTAGAGTGCATGCTGTTGCTGCTGCTGTTGCTGGAGTTGCTGCTGCTGTTGCAACATCTGTTGCTGCTTGATTGCGGCCTGCTGCTGTATCTGGGCCTGCTGTTGCTGTTGCATCAACTGTTGTTGCTTCATTTGAGCAGCTTGCTGTTGCATCTGTTGTTGCAGCATCTGTTGCTGTTGTGCCTGTTGTTGCAGCGCCTGTTGCTGAGCCTGCTGCTGTGCTTGTTGTGTCTGTTGTTGTGCTGCTTGTTGTGCTTGTTGTTGCTGAGAGGTTGGTGAAGGCACGGAGAATGTAGGTGGTCTTGAGTCCTCCTCAGGCATCTCAATTCTATATCCAGGTGGGAGGAATGTGTTGAAGCCCAAGATCAAATGACGATGGCCCTTGAACAGCTCTGTGACTCTTTGAATCACACCTGGTGTATCAATACTAATTTTGATTGTGATTGGGTGAGTGTGAGTGAGTGAGCGTGGGTGGGGGGAGGAATGATCCCAGGCAACTTACTTGTGAGCCTTCAGATCCTTCATAATGTCCAAGAACTGATTGTATATCTTGGGCTGCTTGGAGAATTGGAGTTTGACTTGCTCGAGGAAGTGGAAGGCATTGTCAAACTGAGCCTGTCGATGTGGTTGCTGTCCTTGTCCAGCAGGTTGTGGCGATGGCGAATCAGTCACCTCTTGTTGCTGTTGTTGCTGTTGCTGTTGTTGTTGCATAGGTGGTGGCTGTGGCTGCTGGGGTGGCGCTTGAGGCTGCTGCTGTTGTTGTGATGGTGATGGGATTGAGGGCAAGCCAAATCCGCGTGGTTGTTGCTGACCAGGTGGCAATGGATTGGTGAGGCTGTTGATGCTGGCGAGGCCGGTGCCCTGGTGGGGCTGCGACATTCCGTGTGGAGGCGACAACATGCTGTAGTAATGCATCGGACCGCCGGGAGGCATGCCGCCTAGCTGACGCGGCATGCCAATCGGACCAGACTCGAGAGTCTTGGCACCGGGCAAGTCGGCGGCGTGGATTGGCGGAAGAGTGGTCGGTGTAGACATCTCGCGATGGGGTGGCGAGCCAAAGTGTTGGATGGGCGATTGGTGCATATCGATGATTGGCGATATCCTCTTGGGAGCCATCTTCATCTCCTCGACTGGTGAGTAAGGTGATGGCAGTCTCTCTCTTGGTGGCTCGCGCTCTCCTCTGTCCTGGCGATCCCTGTCGCCACCGCCGCCACCGGCACCGCCTCTCTCGCGGTCTCTCTCTCGCTCCCTTTCGCGCTCTCTCTCGCGTTCTCTCTCTCTCTCACGCTCTCTCTCGCGGTCTCTTTCGCGCTCCCTCTCTCTCTCGGATGCCTGTGATGCCGGCGATGGCAATGTGAACATCGAGCTCATTTTAGGCAGAGTGGTGGTGTTTGGTGGTGATGATGTGGGTGGTGGTATTGGAGATGTCAAATGTGCAATAGATGTTGGTGAGCTTGTTGAAGGTGATATAGGTGGTAACTCTGATGACTCTTCATTATCATCACGAGTTCTCTTCATCTCTTATCTTATTATTATTATTATTATTATTATTTGATTGATTGATTGAATGATTGAATGTATGATTGAGTATGATGAACTAATGTTGATTGATATTAAATCTGTTGAACAACTAACTATCTAATATTTATATTTATATATACAGTAAGTGATAAAGATAGAGAGAGATTGATAGAATGAATGAAAATGATGTTTGAACGAGTTACAACTCATGAAGTGTGGAGATGAGAGTGAGTGGAGGTGACTTTTGAAACAAGTAAACTCTGGTAATCTTGTTTGGGTTGGGGGGTTAGGGGGAAATGTGAGATGAGGGAGTGAACAAGCAGTCAGTCTCCAATTTAGATGCAAAATGGGGGGTTTGACTCCAATGCATGAATCACCCGTAAATCAAAAATAATTTTGTATATAAAAACTAGTTGAAATATCACACATATTTTTACACAACAATACAAAAAAAATAAAAAAAAAAGCAGTCTCTATCGACATATTTATCATTCAATCAATCAAATAAATACAAAAGATAGTAACCCTAAAGCAATTGTTTATACTTTGGAGAACAAATAATTTAAAGACATTCACTTTAGACAATCATCATCATCAACAACAACAAGATGTTTTGAGCCCAAGTCAATCAAGAAAAGTACAGATAACTCTCAATTATGACTTTGATTGTAATATATATGTTTAATAATCTTTTTGTCTTTTCTTAGGCCTATCATTTGATAGCTTGAGAGTTGGGCTTTCTATATCTTGAGTTGTAGGCCTAAGAAAAGACAAAAAGATTATTAAAATGTTGTGTATATTTATTTATTATTTCATGAGTAACAACAACAAAAGACCTGCAGATTATGGTAGTGATAAAGAGACAACTTGAAGTGTAGGCGCATTGATTTCAATGTCAAAGAATTCAGGAATGTTTATTGGTTACCATTCGAGAATGTAGGTTGACGTAAAACATCGATCTCGCTCGAAAGTGTCCCTGAGCACTATGTGTTAGGGGAGTTAGTTTGTTAGTTAGCCTAATTATTCAAGCTTTACACAGTGTTGTTGCTTTTTATAACATGCAATGGACATCACAGAGCACAACAAGGAGTTGGATTGGCATGATGGAAGCGAGTCAACCAAGTTGACTTGTCATTCACTAAAGTCATGCCAAACTACCAGCCATAGCCACATCTCTACCGCCACAACAACACATAAACTATCAGATTCTGTCGTGACAACAACGACAACAACAGTGGATACAACAGCCACCACAGACCCAAATTCCAAATCAACAACGACATCCTCAACAACAACAACAACAGTGGATACAACAGACAATGTGGCTCTGCCCGTCGAGGTCCAGCCCTGCACCAACAACCAGTGTCCACACGTACTGGTCCAGGACCTCTAGGCTTTGTCGAAGGGTGGAGATTTTCAATGCCGGAGTAGACCAACATGTTCCAAGCTATCATCATCGCCAACATGAAACACCGAACATCGAAGAAGAGGCAGTGTAATACATTGATATATTAGTTCAGTGTTTAGCAATCAAACGAGATTGTCAAATAAACGACTGTCAATTTGGCGGCACACTCACATCTACAACTTGATTATTATTATTGCAACAGAGAGAGAGAAGACAAAGGAAGGAAGTATAATGAATGATGATGATAATAGTCAATTGATAAAGTGTGTGAGGACCTTAACTGGTCGCTTCGCATCAACAAACAGAGATAGATTGATTGGTTGTGATGATCAAGTAAAGTATGTAGTATACCCATCCCCATCCCCTGTCGCGTATCACTTACAGCTGGTCATAGATACTAATACTACCTTTGAACACAGCTCATTGAATGAAGTGTTGAGAGATGGTATCGAAAGAAGAATGAGTAACATTGTGTTGGTGTCAGGACCTCCCTCCTCTGGCAAGACTACTGTATGTTTGATTGATCGTATTGATTGAATGATACTAACAAACCAAACAGTTGGTTAGACATTGCTTACGTGAATATGAGAGTGATCGATTCACTTTGGTATGGTTGAAGGGTCTGTTACATCGTGGAGACGTGTTGGCATTGCGTGAGATCATTAGGTCGATGGATTTACAACGTCATATGTCAAGTGCACATGCTGGCATCGACGAGATGACAGAGAGTATAAAGGCGGCATTGGGTCGTAGCAAGGGTGATGACACAGCCGATCCAAAGTACGCCAATATACCAAAGCATGACAAACCGATGATCATTGTAATGGACGACTTTGAACACATGGTCAAGCGACAACAAAAGAAACAACATCTACTCTACAACCTACTGGATCTCGCACATTACAACACTGTCAGCATGACCCTCGTCGCCATCACCTCCTTCCAAGAGATCCACACCAGTCTCGAGAAGCGTCTCAAGTCTAGATTCACTCAGTTGCGAATCACCATGCCATATGTATCATGTATGTACCTAATTGATTGGTCGGTCGCCCACCTTACCCTCCATCACTGGAACTATTCCACTCACTCAATCGTATTCAATCATTTAGTCGACGACATGATCAAGTCTTTACACAATCTTATGACACTGCCACAGACAAGCGAGGTAACATCATCCCAAGACTCATTTGAAAGCAAGTGGAACCAAAGTATAACATCACTATGTACAGATCGCGACCTAATTGACACTCTCCAGCATTGTCATTGTTTGAACAACACATTCCCATACTTCTTTAAGTTGTTTGTATGTATCCAGGAATCATTCCAGGCATCAATCCATCATTCAATCTTACTTACATCCATCAACCAATCAATCAATCCCATTCACAGACTGAGTGCTTGTATCAATTGGATCATACAAGGATGTATTTGACAAAGGAGATGGTGATGGAGACGATAAAGAGAGCAAGGATTACATGGATGGAGCGTGTGATGACTGATATGTCATTGTTTGAGTTTACACAGTTGGCATGCATACTCAACTTATCAAGGAAGCATAGGGATTTCCCTATAACATCAACATCATTCTCTGAAGTCTACGACATTGAGTACAGACACTTCACAACCTCATTCTACAAGACATCAGACATGGTTAACAAATCAACATATCACGCTGTAAGTTAAGTTAAGTTAAGTGATCGACTCATTCACTCACCCATTCAATCAATCAATCAAACATTAGGCATTACAAACATTACTAAAGTATAAATTGATAAAGAAGGAGGGTACTAACTTTGGAGAGTTTATGCAGTTCCATTTGACAATCTCTGATATTGAGGCTTGTACAAGAGTTGTCAAGTCTCGTGGTGATTGTCCATCATCACTTCAAAGTTATATAAGTACTTGGTTGGAATAAATAAGAACATCTCCAATCAATTATATATATGTTTGTTTTGGTGTAGGTTGGGTTTGAATGAATGAATGAGAGAATGGTCATTGGCGAGTTCGAATCGGAATCTTCCAGCTTGGTTTCGCAAACACACAGATATTCACCCAAAATTGAATTTTTCAAGGGTTACCCTTGTTAACTAACTAGTTGTGTTATGTGTGTCTAAGTCTTGTTCTGTTGGGCATCAATCTTCCTTCACACATTCAAATACACATAAACAAGTAATAATACATATATATACATATACAAACATACTTATACATTACTTACTTAGTCAATCATTCATCGAACACATTGCGACTTTAAAATCATAAAGTTGCGACAAATGATATAAGAGCCTATAAACAGAGATTCGTGCAAATATTACATCATTATAGAGATAGAGATATAGATAGTTAGATAAATAATAATATATAATATAGTATAAAATGACAGAGACAGACGATTATGATGATATCAGTTTGAAGATATTGGTGGTTGGTAAGCTTGCTTGTGGCAAGACATCAATCATTCAAAGATTCTGTCATGATGAGTTCCAACATAAGTATAAGCCAACTGTATGTTTCATCAATGAACGATGGATGATGTTAATCAATGACAATACCAATGTCAACGTTATTGATTGGGCTCATCTTTGCATCATCTTGGCAACCCTCTCACATTCATTCACATTCATTCACTTACTCATTCATAGATTGGAGTAGACTTCAATACCAAGGAGATGGAAGTAATGAATACAAAGGTTATACTACAACTGTGGGATATCGCAGGACAAGAGAGGTTTGGCCATATGACAAGAGTATGTAATTGTTGTATTGTTATGGACGACAGAGGCGCAGCAGCAAGCAGTAGGACTAATAACCAAGCAAACAATTAGGTATACTTCCAGAATGCAGATGGAGCATTGGTTGTGTTTGACTCGACGAGGAGTGCGACCTTCTACGGTGCCAAAGAATGGAAGGATGATATAGACGATTGCTTCACAAAGGCAGCATTGCCAACTGTACTATTAGCAAACAAAGTTAGTACCCATATATATCATTGATTGATTGACGACACGACACGGCTAACTAACTGTAACTGTCACATATAGAGCGATTTATTGTCAACACCAAGTTTCCCTGAAGATATCGACAAGTTCTGCGATGAGAACGGCTTCTTGGCTTGGTTCAAGACGTCGGCAAAGGAGGGCACAGGTATCACTGAGGCTCTGACAGAGCTGGTCACAATCATTCTAAAGAATCATTTGGAGTCGGTCAAGAAGTCACCGCAGGAGGGTGGCTTTAAGCTTACACCCGATGAGACACAGGCCACTGAGACAAAGAAGTGTCAGTGTTAGCAGGCAGTAACAATCAATCAATCAATCAATCAACCAAGTAGTAGTTATTAGTTAGTTTATTATTATTATTATTATTAAGTTGGCGACGCCACCAACCCATCGCATCCCCTCCCCATCATTCATTCATTCAACCAACAAACACAACAAGCAAGCAGGCATCTAAGCAAGCGACATCAACAACAAGATCTTAGGCTGCTAGCTTCAAGAGTAGAGACACAACAGTAGCAGCGGCATCCATCACCAACCCAACCCAACCCAACCAACCACAGTCTGTTGAAGTGACAGATAGTAGTAGTCCCATCCATCAATCCACCAATCAAACATACATCCATCCATCATTAAAGTAAACATATGTGTAAATATTTTATACTAGTCCTTAGTCCTAGCTAGGATAGCTAGCTAGCTATCCTCTTGAGCAACTGTATCGATTCCAGAACCAAGTGGACTTGTTGATTAGCGTAGGATGCTTGTCAATCACTGCCTGAAGTGATGCACCTGCGCCCATATGATAATTGGAATCGTTTGGATTGTCCGTGATGTTGTAGAGGAATAGTAAAGTGGAGTTGGATGACAGCTCCTGAATGAGTGGATGTCTCACTTGGCCAAGGATGATCGCTATCAGGTTCATTGATATGCTTATCGATTGTGTGTTGCAGCCAATCAGGATTGTCATTAGTGGGACCTTGCTCCTGGTCTTGATGTGCTTGACCAGGTTGAGGGACGTGGCAAACTCCTTGTAATGTTGCGTTGGTGGCCTGTCCCCATGACAATTGAATGTGTCAAAGGTCAGTCGATGGATGTTGGTCCTTGTCACCAATGGTATTGTCTGATCCAAGAGATCAGGGTTATTGGTGTCGAAAGAAACATTGGTAACACGACACTCTGGTGATTGCAACAGGTGGGTTAGTAGATCGAGTGTGATCAAGCCACTGTACTTGAATGTGGTCAATGTCGGAGTGGACTTGATATATTGAAGCATCTGGTCGTGGAAGACAATCCAATCCTCTTGTTCCAGGTCAACATCGATAAAGTCCAACTTTAAAACCAATGATTGTAGTTGTATGCAACTATTGATCAGTTGTTCAAAGAATGGTAGATGGCCTTCGATCTCGATCATTGTACTGAAGAAGCCAAAACAATTCTCAATGATACGGAGGCTGGTGATGTTGCGGATTGCACCATTATGATCAAAGATTGCTCGAAGAAAGAGTGTGTCGTCAAGTTCACATTGCGTGGATCCACGGATAGTGAGCTTGGTGAAGCAGTCCAATGTCAATGAATGGATCGTCGTACCCCTGGTCCGATCCATCCATTCTCAGTTCGAAGGTGCAGCAGATTGTTGGAGGTAAGAACTGGTCMAAAGTTGAGTACAGAGGCATGAAAAGTCACCTTGGGTTGTAGACAACTCTGTCAGGTCGCCCGTGAACAGTATTGACTGAAGTGCTGGCGAGATAAAGTCAATACTTGACAAGGTGGTGTCACCATTGTAATCAATGATCAGACGCTGAATAGTCCGTTGCATCACTGAGAATCGATTGGGGTGTTGTTGATCTATATCAGTGTTAGTGTCTGTTGATGTTGTTGTTGGTATTGGGACGATATGATGTTCGTTGATTGACTTCTCGAGATCTGCTAACGAATGAAACAATAGAGAATCATTGAGTACTGTTGCTACATAATGATGCAATCACCATGATACCAATGACAATGAGAGACACCATCTTCTACCATGACGACATTGTATAAAGTTACATGACAACCAAGCATGTCTTATAATCTTCAATATAACTGTTGTTGGTAATAGTTGTTGTATACCAATAGTATTTGTTGTTGGGTTCATTCATTCATTCATTAATTCATTTGGATTGTTTGAATCATATATTTATAACTTGTTTTCAAGAGGACTACTAGGACTAGTTCTAAAAGCAACAACATCCCTATTACCTCGAGGCCTTCAAAGACAAAGATATTGGATTAATTAATTTATTAATTATTTATTGATTAATTAATTATTTATTCTTTTGTTTTTTTTCCAATTTCCACCTTTAAATCTATTTTTTTCCTTCGTTCCAATATATAGAGATACATGGGATACAATTTGTCACTTGGGGATGATGGTTGCTTATTAGGTGGCAAGTGTTTGAGAAAGGAGCGATCTTGAATAATATCAACAAAGAATTGGTAGAGCTCGATTTGACCATGTTTGATGGCATTGTGAATTAACTCTACAAGTTCTTTATCGTCATGTCTAAAGAAGTTCATGTTTAGTCTGGCCAGCTCCGACTGCCCGACATTATCGATTCGTCCCAGTACACAATGTCATAGTCTGGATATGTTGAGAACAGTAATTGAATGAACTTTGTCTGGCTGTTGAGACAAGCGGCCTCATGTACTATCTGGACCATCTGGTGCCCAAAGTCACCAGCTTGAAGAGTCTCCTCTAGCAATAATTGGAAGCAATTGAAGTGCCAACATATTCCATGTTTTCCTTGCTGACCTCTGTGCAACAAATGTCAACCAAATACTTCAATATGTTGGTCCTTTCGTTGACTATGGCTATTCCAACAAGCTCATCCATTATTGATTGGTCCAAACTGGTGTGCTGCTCCTGCTTCTGAAGGTTCATTATCCTCGTTAGTGACTCCAAGTCGCCTCTCCATGCAGCAGACTTGAGGCGGTAGTACCAGTGATGGGCAGTAAGCCTTGATAGGCTTATTGGTGGAATAGTGGATGGCAGATGGTAGTGGTAACCCACAATTATGGGCTCCAGCGAGTCAGAGAACTTGCACAGGTGTTCAAAGAAGACGCACCTTGGTGTTGACTTGAGCACACCATCCATCAAGAATGGGATTATGTGTGCGTGTCCAGTGGAGAGAAAGAGCAAGTTTTTGATGTCGTCCGTTTCCAATAATTGTGGGAATGATCCACGGTTCAACATCTTGCATAACATCACCAGCTGAACAAAGTGTCTCAATGACGGATATAGATTTCCAAACAGGGAGGTTTGCTGTTGTACCAAGCAAAGGTGTTTTGGATATTGATACTATGGTGTATGGATTGGTGCAGGAGAGTATCGCATTGATTGTTGAATCGCTCGACATTGTCCAACAGTCCATACACCTTGCAAAGGCAAAAGAGTGGCTCAAGCCATTGGGCGATGGGGTCGCGGTATGCAGTGGCGGCATTGGAAAGGTATATTTCAGGAGAGAACAGCCGGTGGAGGAGATCGTTCTGGGTTGGGAAGTAAGGTTTGAATGCCAATAGTATGCTCTCTAGATCTGGCAAGTGTTGAGTGTTGGCCTTCATTACTGATTTGATGACTGGCGAACAAAATGGGAGGGTAGGTTTCCTTTGCAATGTTGCTTCTGCTCTTTGCACAAACTGATCTTGGACGGAAGGACGTCCTGCCTTGGTAGGGAACTCGTTGATGAGGAATTGTGCCATCTTGTATTTCGATGTACTCACTGCTTCATTGATGAGCTGATCAATGGTGTAGTAACTGGACATATGCACTGGATTGCGTTGCCTGATGAGTATGCGGACTGCGGTGATGTTACCAGCTTGAACTGCAGTTAGTAAACATTGGGGATTGGTGAAGTAGACGTTCTTGGCTTTGTAGAGTAAAGTGAACACCTCCTCGTTGTGGACATGTTGACACAGCGCCACTGCAGCCTCAGTGTCAAAGTTAAGAGAGCGTCCAGACTTGATACGATCGCTCAAAAGATAATGTTTGCCACTGTAGATTATACGGGTAGCATCGTCAAAGTTGTCGTATCTATGTAGAGTATAAAGCTTGAAGTCATCCAAAGGACATCTATTAGCTCTCTCAATCTTGACAAAGGCACAAGTACTCTATTGCCAAGTACAGAGATAATAGGATTAATCTCGCGTTCTCTTCATTATGAATGAATGAATGAATGGTTGAATGTTGATTGAACGTATGAATKGAATGATTGATATGATGTATTCATTATCTCATTGTTGGTTTCATGAATGAAAGAATGGTGGATGTTCAAAAGAGTGTCTCTTTTATTGGTCGCTGCCCGCACGCCCGTACGCCGCACGACGCACAACCACATCACTTCAGACCAAAGCCTTCAGAGTTGTTGAGCGCTTTGGAGAGACGCTCTTCAAGCTTCTCTTTGGTTGGATAGCATGGGAGAATGAGGGCGTTGAAGCAGGTGTGTGCTGAGGGCAGACGGTCGCTGTCGATCTGTTTGTGGATGGAGAACTGGATCTTGGACAGTCCTCCATAGGGCACGCGGTCACAGCCCGTGGAGAACGACAGGAACTTTCTCTTCATATCGTTGGAGAATGCGTGCACCGTCTCCCAGAAGTAGACGATCGTCTGGTCAGTGTGCGTGTAGCCACCGTCGTACATGGTGATCTTCTCCAGCTCCTTAAAGTCCAAGTCCTCCACGCCACATATCAAGTCCTCCAGCTCCTCTGATCTGAGCAACTGTAGCAGTGGAGAGTCGCACACCAACTTGAAGCCCTTATAGAACTCGTCCCATTGTTTAGAGATTGAAGAATCCAACAAATACTTTGTGTATAGTTTGAGGTACTCTATGTTGATTGATTGATTGAGTGAACGAGTTAGTGAGTGCGCTTGCGGACCATCAATCAACTTGACGTACCTTGTCGGTTTGAGTTGGTGACGAGTATTTCATCACCACCTGGCTTGAGCTCAATGGTCTTTGTCTCGCCAAAGCTGTCAGAGGTGACGGAGAAGTAGGTCATCCATTCAGAGACGTCGTCTGTCGTGTCTCTAAGTGTGATTAGGCTTTGATATATTTCCGGTTCAATTGATTCGACATCTTCCAGCGACACTGGTATGCCCAGCAACTTCTTATATACAACGAGAGGGAAGTGTACGTCCAGGATAATGTTATTATACAACGCCAGTCCAAGTATCTAATGGATAGTTGATGGATAGTTAGGATCTCATTCATCCATGGATGATGGACTGGACTGGATTACTTACGATTCCAATCAACTCAAACTCCAACTTGTCAAGAGAGTTTGGATTGAACCACCAGGTCCTCAGCTTATCGTTGTAGATGAACATGCCAAACTCTGTATCAAAGATCTTGCGTACGACGATCTGGAAGAACTCCTTCTGCACGCCACCCTGATCAATACCATCCTCTCCTTTAAACTGTATCTTCAACTCCTTCTTCATTTCCTCTGATGTCTTATTCCTTTGTATCTGTCGTGTCGTGCATTATGTGTAAGAAGTAGAACCATGATGATTGATTGGCCTGGCATGGACTGGACTGGTACTTACATTATTTAATGCATCATTGATGATGTGTTCTCGACGAACTTGGAACACCAAGTATTCATTCTATAACAAGTGATGGTTAGGTCAGTCAACAGTTTGGCCATCCTCGCGCCAGCCAACGTAGGATACATACTCGGTATTTCTTTTGTTGCAATGTGTATTCTATTGTTAAATATGTACTCTTGGTATAGGTGCTCAGTATGAATGGATAGGTGGTGTATGTGAAGCTGAAGGAAGGAAGGAAGGCCAGCGCAGGTGCAATGTTAGTACTTCTCCGAGATGTCCTCGTGTCGACTGATGACCTGTCTGGAACATACCCTGTCTTCTTGGTGTAGTTTGAAAAGTCTGTGAATAGGTCAATGTAGTTGTTGATCAAATCGTTGTAGAACTCCTTGTAGTTGGCAAACTTGGTAACAGAGTTGACCTTGTCTACATGTAGTATCTTGGAATAAGTACTCGCTAGCTCGCTCACGAGTCGTTGACAATCTACTTACACAGTAACTCGAGGAATGCACACGCACCAATGATAGGAATATCCGATACTAGTTTGATGTTCTCAGCCGTTACCAAACGTACAGAGATGAACTGTTCAAAGTTGGTGAGTAGCTGGATGAGTTGCTCTTTGGAGAATCTGTTGTTGTTGTTGTCACGTGATGAGTATCAGTATGAACGTAAGAATGGTGATAGCCATATGATTGATTGAATGACGTACGTCAATAACCAAAGACCAAGTGTATTCATCAGTGGTGTGTCCAGGTTGGTGAGACCGACGCAGAAGTACTCCAGTATCTTGGAGTTGTCTAGGTCATAGACGAGTGGATTCTGCAACAGGAATACATATGGCTTCAATATCTCCATCGAGTTTGTCTGTGGGTTGTTCTTCACTGTCTTGCTTAGGCTGATCGCTGAATCCGACAATGTTTTGATAATGTCGTCTCGTTGCTGCAGTATCATCGTCATCATCGATGTATGATTGATTGATTAGGATTGATGAAAGGGGACAGGACCATGGTCCGCACACTTACCAGTGATATTAAGTATTCAAAGGTCTCTCGTATGAGTTTGAGGTTCAGTCCAATGAAGTGATTATAGTCATTGCGTTGCTGTGGCTGCTTCTGTGCGTGCATATGTTGTAGTCATCGTGGTCGTGGTCATGTTAGCATCATCATCGTCCAAACAACGCGGCGGGACAGACAACACGACACTTACATCTGCGAACGTCGTGTTCATGTGAAGAGGTAGTTGTTTGATCTGATTGATAACGATTGAGTTGGCATTCTTCTGTACACACTTCTTGAGAAAGTCCAAGATTGACTCGTCGTTGGGATTGAAGACCAAGTTCTGCTCATCCTTCATATACATACACAGATACTGGTCCTTATGCTTATTGGCGTATTCAATAGACTTTACCGCAGCCACATTAGGATCCAATATCTTTGTACATTGTGGATTATGGCAACAATATATCGAATGTTTATCTATTGTCTCATTACATCCTCTAGTCAATTGAGTAAAGTATCTAATTCATTCATTCGTTGGTTCGTGAATGTCAGTATGACCTGTCTATCTGTGTCTGTCTATCTGTCTGTCGATCTGTCTGGGTCGCGAACACATACTGTTCAATATATGATCGTATTACTTGCTTTGACATATTACACTCCTGATTATATATATAAATGTATATCTTATATATTACTATGTACAATAATATAGATTGTTTAGTCGGGTGTTAGGGATAAAGTATTACGAGTAGTAGTGAGTGAATGAGTTAGTGAGGTAGGTGAATGCAAGTTCACACAAGTAATAACGGGTGGGCTTCAACCTCAACCCCTTCAACGACTACGTGTGTGAACATCTTAATTTATGGGACTCATCACTATTTGAATCGGATCCGAATGATGGACACAAGATGATCCAGTCTTTCCAATCCATCATTCCAATCAATCAATGAATTAATCAATGATTATCAATTATATATCATAATTGTTTAATTATATTATATTATAATTTTGATGATGGAGTTGACACAGAAGGAGCAGCACCAGAACTGGTCTTGTTGCCACCATTCTCTACATAGGATAATGCTGCACTCTTGACATGATCCACTGATCTGGCATCACCATTGATCTTCTCATATTCCAGATAGCGCTTGAAGAATTGTTTGATGTTGCGATCACTGAATTTCAATGTGATGCATCGCTCAAACAGTTGACGAATGTTCTTTTGATGACTGGCCTTGAGCTCCATGTCCAAATACACATTCCAGAGATCGGAACGGCTGGGATAGCTTGAGACCAGGCCCTCAAAGATTGTGCGGCCTCTCTCGATGTCGCCCATCTTGAACTCCAACTGTGCATACTTTGAAATGACCTCCACCTGCTTCTTCTTTGCCAATATCGTCATAACCTTTGCCAACACGCCACGGAACACGTCCACCTTGTTAGCCGTCAGCAAGAACTCTCCATATCTGCACCAGACCTTTGCGCTATGTCTATATTTCTTAAAGAACATCTTGAAGTATTCGTCCTCGAGCTATATCGTTTGATTGATCGAGTTTGAGTGAGTGAGGGCATGGACTGGAAATTGGTGCTTGAACTTACATCAAACTTCTGGGTCTGCTCCAATATGTTGACGATTGAGAAGTACATTGACTTGGGATCTTGGTATTGGATGGCGCGCTGGAACAACTTCAGAAGGGTGTCCTTGGTGCCGTACATGTTCTCAAGGTTGAGCAATGCAGTCCAGACATTGCGCAGCTCGAGCACCTCGGTTGGTATGATCTTCTTGAGTGCTTTCTCACCAATCTCTCTTGCCTTTTGTATCTCGCTCATGCCCAAGTAGAAGGCCATGTACTTCATCCAGACGAATGATGAGTTGGGTGATCCCATCAGCACACGCTCAAAGTCCTGTGCGCTCTCTGGAGCCACGTTGTGATCGGACAACATGTCTTCCTTCTGCTTGATCTGGTTCTCTGCCTGTGTCCTCGACATCTTCTTCTCCTTCTTTTGCTTCTTTTCGTCCTGGATCTCATCCTCGTCGATCGCGTCCTCCTCGGCGTCAGCCATGTCCTCACCAGCGCCACCTGCTGCTCTCTTTCTCTTCTTGTCCAGTCCGTCGGCCATGGCTGCAAAGTCCTCCTCGACCCACTTGATGGTGGCACCACCATCAGCTTGCACATGGATTGACATTGCTTGATTAGTCGCCTCGGGGGCAGATGCAGCAGCGGGAGTAGTGTTGGTCTCCACGGTACTGAGACCCTGTATCATGCTCGCAACGTCGACGTATGTATGTGGCTTGGGTGCCTCCTCTGGCTCGTCGTCCACGCTCCAGGGTGGCTTGATGATGGCCTCAAGATCGATGCCCTCCATGTCTGATTCAAGAAGTGAGAAGACGTAGCCTCGCTCAGCAGTCTTCTCCTGCTGGCACACGCCCAGCAGGTGGTCGCCAACCTGGAAGTGCTCGGCCAGTTGCTCGGCCGTGTATGTCATGCCGGCAGTGATGTTCATCGCAAAGATCACACCCCTCTCGTTATGGATCGTCTTGACCACGATGTGCTTGGTGTAGACACCCAGCACGGTGAGCGGCGACACCTCGCCCTTCTTGAGCGCCACAAAGTTATCGGTGATTGTTGCTGTACAGATCTTGATGTCACCCTCCTCCTTGAGATCGGGCTTGGTAGTCACGGCAATCGGCTTGCCGGGCACGATAAAGCTCTGGATGACGGGATGTATGTCCTTGAGCAAGAGCACACCCTCGACGCGAGTCGACAGGAGCACGCGTGCCATGTCGCTGTACACGGCGAGAACGTAGCCAAAGCCTGCTGTACCGGTCGTGCTCAGCTTCTCCTCCAACATTATCCTACGCTTGATTGCACGTGGCTTCTTGTGCGCTGGGTTGTACTTGAAGCATTTGGGCCTGACATAGATCTTGCCGGCCGTCATCATGAACAGCACGTCGACCTCAATCAGATCGTTCTTCTGGTATATGGAGAAGGGGGCAGAGGGATGGGTCTGCATGTGGACGTCGGTGGGGCGAACCTCAGCAGAGAGGCCGCGCGGCAGACCCACCTTGAGCGAGGTCGGGGTGATCTCGCGCACCAGCGCCAGACATTTGGTGCCCACGGCTATCTTGGGCATGTTGGCGGCCTCGGGCAACGCCAGACGCACGGCGCCACTCTTCTCGACGGCCAGCACCATGGCACTGAGCGCGGACCATTTGAACTTTAGCAGATTGCTGACAGTATGCATTGAGTCAAAGTTGGTCATTATATCGATGAGACCGATTGTGTTCCTGTTGATGATCACCACCATGTCTGTTACCTTGTCCGATGAGCGGCCTACCACCCAACACGGCAAAGTGACGCCAGGCTTGATCGCCGCCTGCTTGGCCTTGCCCTCGAAACTAACACTAAATGTATGATCGGCTTCGTTCACGCCAGTGATTGTTATCACTGGTGCAACCTTTGTTGTTGTTGTTGTCTCAGTCTGTTGTTGTTGATAGTTCTTTGGAATATCTTCTTCCTTGGGTGGCAATAAGAATTGAAATGGATTGTTATTGACATCTGATATCTCTGTAAGATGGACTGATGTAGTCCAACGCTGTTTGGTCTCAGGGTCTATATATGTGATGTCAACATATTGTGATCGTTCGCTAACAATCTCTGGTGTGATGATCCTTCCAATCAGTGGATGTTGTGGTTGCTGTTGTTGTTGTTGTTGTTTCTTGGAAGTTGATGTCGTTGTAGTTGATTGTGATGTAGATGCTACCGTCGACGACTTTGCCGTTGTCTTTATTGTCGATGGTTTAACTGTTGTTGTGGTTGATGCTGTTGCAGCTGGTTTTGTTGTATTTGTCTTTGTGGCAACCGTAGATGGTGCTGAGGCTGATGTCTTTGGTTTCTGTTGTGCAGAGGTGGACACTGCCGCAACAACAGATTGTTTGCCTGTTGTCGAAGATGTTGATTTCTTTTGTGACATTATATATATGTAATACTTCAAACAATGAGATAAACGATTGAGAATGAATGAAAGAATGATTTTAACTACATCCCATCTTTAGTTTTTTCGCTTCGTTCGGTCGTCAACACAACAAAGTTTTTGATTTGTTTCAATTTATTTATTTTATTTTGATCAATTCACCAAACTTGGGTTGAGATAGAACATTTTTCCTTTATTATGTAATATAGACCAAACAAAGAGAGTGAAAGAGAAATAGAGACAGAACGACTTGATGGATAATTCTCAACAAAAAGAATGATTAATTTATTGAGTGAATGAACTCAACTAAATTGAACAGTGGATTGATAAGTGTACGAATGTTTGGTTGATTGAGTCTTCAACATTTCAAGTATCCCATCAATCCAATCCGATCGAATCCAATCCAATCAATCAATCCTAATTGACATAGATACAGAAAGACACTATTTTAAAGTATTCAGACAATGTGTACTACGTTTTAAGTATTAAGTTATACACCACTCATTGAGTGTGATTGATTGATTCCTGTCACCATCAATATGATTGTATGTCTGACACTACAAACTTAACAATCTTCACCAATCAGTGACATTCCAACAGACATGTTGTAGTCGTAAGTAAGATGTGCTTGTCAAACCAATCAATCACACTCACATTCACACTCACATTCACACTCACACTCACATACAACACCCATCACAATCAATCACTCACACCACCTTCACTCACACACTCATCAATGTTATATTATAATATAACTACCATTATTGTCTTTTAAGGATTGACACTTTGAGATTAATGGCAACGACCATTCGTTGACATATGTGGGAGGTGTGAATTCACAAGTGATTGGTTGACTCACAGTGTTAGTATCCTGTCTGCGCCATGTCCAATTGAACATGACTGTCTGACTGACTGATAATCCATTATCCGAATCACGTGATCTAATTCTTGTGAAGTTGTATAATATTATGCGAGTGTATGTGTTCAAACTGATCAATCACATTCACTCCCTGGAAATTTCTTTATAAATAGAGACAAGGGACTCTTTATCAATATCAAATCAAATCAATCAAATATATCTAATTTAATCAATCAATATTTCTTTAATAATAACTATTCAACCAAAATGAAGTCTGCTATCCTGTTACTATTGCTCTCCCTTCTCTCCCTTACCTCTGCCTACTACAACTGTGGAACCAACGCATGTGACCGTTACTGGACCTGTCTGAAGGGTATCCCACCCTATCCATCTTGCTCAAGTATGTTCCACTCAATCACCAAATCAATCTTTCAATCAATCAAACTAACATATTCTTGAATAATCATTATTAGATGGATGTGGTGAGCGTGTATCTTTGACCCAGGATGTCTCCAACCGTTGGAAGCAGGATGGTATTGACTTTGTCCAGGTCACTGTGGTAGTTACCAACATTGGACCAGTTGCAATTAAGGATGTTCTGATTGATGGAGCTGAACTTCCATTCATTGGCACCGATCTTTGGAATGTTAACCGTCTTCCAAATGGTGACATCATGTTCCCATCGTATCAAGTCAGTTTGGCTGCTGGCTACTCCTTCACCTTTGGTTACATTGCACGCTCAGACTCCCCAGCCCATCTCTGGATCAAGAACATCTACGTTCTTTAATATTAATAAACTTTTACCAATTCAAATCAATCAATCACTCATAAATAGTATATATAAAGTCAAGACTGCTTGGCTGGAAGAAGAAATTTCGCCTGTATTATGATCAAACAGTATATACTTCCTGCAAGAGAAGTATAAGGACCGTTGATAAGTTGATAGGTTGATAAGTTGAAAGTTGATAGGTTGATAAAGGATTGGTGAAGGTGGCCGATCAATCAATGATAATTACTGGTGGGGTTGCACTGCTTTGACGGGATATCCCCGAAGTGTAGAAAAACAAACTAGCTCGGCATTACTCAGGTTCATTCCATTCTGGACAATGCATAAGTTCATGACTTGTTCCAAGTTGACACCAGAAAGTACTTCCAATAACATTTGGGGGATGTTCACCTGTTGTTGTTGAGCCAATCTTCTGATAACCCTGTATGCAAAGTAGAATGCATATAGGGGACATGCTTTGTGCACACCACAGCGCAGCCTGTGGATGGGATCATTGAAATTGATTCCAACATTGACAAAACTTGGTGATCTGATGCTGCAATACATATCTGGATGTATTTGTGATGGGTCCAAGAAATAATATACTTTGTCTATCCCAAATCCAATGGAGTAGTGGTCATGGGACTCTAGTTTGTTATGAAGGAAGAAGAGGGTGAGGTATCCATCCTTGAGATATCCAGTATTCAATTTTGGATTCCGTCCTCTGTATACCACAAAGTCCCCATAGATCTTGGCCAAGCGTTTGAGATTGTCATCCAAGTCCTGATGATCAATGAATCCATTCCTCTCGATGTAGTTATAAAGTTTGTCGTTATCCACTACTACTCGACCACGTTGAAGTTGATTGGCATCAGCATTCCATTTGGACTCATATTCTGTGAGATTGTTTCCAAGTAACCTTCTCCAAACTGGATCTGGTCTTCCCCATTCAGAGATGGATTGGGAAGTATTGATTGAGAATTGTGGACCTCTTGAGGTTGGGGTGTTGGGCATTGGTTGCTGAGGATGTTGGCTTGTTGTCTTTGTTGTACTACAACGCTTTGTTGTGTTTGTTCTTTTGGTTGCTGATTTGGAAGTGGTTCAGATCTTCCACTTGGTTGGTTGGTGGAGGTAGTAGCAGGAGCAATAATTGATATTGTAGTTGCTGTTGTTCTTGTTGTTGTTTGATGTTGTAATTGTTGATTAATAGGAAGTGGTTTAGAACTTCCACTGAGTTGGTTGGTAGAAGTTGTAGCAGGAGCATTAATCGATGTTGAGGATGTTGATGTTCTTGCTGGTGTTTGTTGTCGTTGCTGTGGTAGTTGTTTTGGTTGCTGATTCTTTGGAAGAGGTTTAGAACATCCACTGGGTTGGTCGGTAGAGGTAGTAGCAGGAGCATTAATGCTTGAGGTTGAGGTTGCTGATGTTCTTTGTGATGTCACATAGAACATGGCGGCCGGAGAGTGACTTAACCTCTCCGGCCTGTTTGCTGGAGAGTTGGCACTCTAGTTCTTCTGAGGTTCTACTTTGTTTCTTGTGTGGACGAGACGGCTCATTGATGTCTACATTTTGCTCCTCTCGCTCCTTCCTCTTGAGAGTATGTTGTATTAACTCCCATTGTTTATCAATGGCCTTCTTCCTTTCATCAACCTCCTTAAACAGCTCCTTCAACTGGCTTGATGATAAAGTATCAAGTTGTCCTATAGGATTGATTGATTAGATGTCAATCTAAATGTTAATGTAAATGATAGGTATCATTGATAAGTATTATGCTTACCTTGTTCATTCATATCTATCTTTATGTATATAATAATAATAATAAGTAATAAAGAGAGAAGAAAAATATTAATCGTTCAAAAACCAAGAATTGAGATATAAAATATATATATTAATTAATAATAATCTATAAGTGTATATATATATAAGAGATAATAATAAATATGTCTTTGATGATGTGCTTTGTTGATGGTATCCCAACCAATAATGGCGCGAAATTAACAACTTTCCCTTAATTTCGAGATTATTTTGGTATCCATCTGTTGAACTCAAACAAAGACCAAGGGTTGGTGGTGGAGAGAGGCCTTAAGAAGTGCTCGCAACGCACTACACATGTAAATGAGGTGTCGCCTCATCAATGAAGGTTCCTGGCATGCTGCAAGTTTATTTGTTGAATCGCAAGGAGAGGATGGATCGCACGTCGTTGACATACTGCAAGACCTCCAGGAAGGGAAGGAGGTTGAGCAGTGACTCGTCCATGGGGTCATCGCCCATCCAGTTGTTGATGGGCAGTGCGTTCTCAATGTTGTTGGAGTAGGCAATTGGTGAGTTGTCAATGATGATCGTTGTGGCCAGGTCTTGATGGATGAGCGAGAGGTCCTTGACAAAGTTGCCGTCCTTCTCCAGACAGGACTCGCGGAACAGTCGCTTCTTGAGCACGTGGCTCTGGTCCAGCTGGTCGAGCAGCGGGTCGGCGTACTCCTTCATGCTGGCTGTGAATATGACCAGGTCGTACCACTTGGACACCTTCTCGATGAAGTAGTCGACGTGGGGTCGCTTGATCACGTAGAAAGTGCACTCAATGTCCTCGACCAGCACGTTGACCGTCAAGTGGTGGTGGCTGACGGGCGTGAGTGTCGAGTGGACGAGCGTCTCGTCCAGGTCGAGGATCAGTGTCTTTTTGGACACGGGCAACACCAAGTTCTGATTGTACACAGAGAACAAGCTCATCACATTCGCGTTGGCTTGAAGTTGTCTTTGTTCTGCTTCGTCTGGCGATGCACTTATATGTTCTTTTGATACCATCCTTGTCTTGTTCTTGGACATTGATGTTGATGATGTTGTTGTACTTGTTTTGATTATTGAGTTGTTATTATCCTTTATCAATTCTATTTCTTCTTGTTGTTGTGTACTATTACTACTACTGCTGTTGCTGTTGCTACTTCCATTGAAGCTTAGAACACTGGCTATCATTGAGACCATCCAACTATATATTATATTCATAGAGTCGACAGGCTTTTGAGGGGAGACCACCACCTTCTCTAGTTGTTGGTCTGGACTCTCATTCCTGCTGATCAATGAAGCTGCTGCTGCCGCTGCTGCTGAATATTCCTCCATTGTTTATATGATGTATATATATAGTATGTATGTTTGATGTAAGATGTATATGTGATTGAATGTTTGATTGATTGATTGATTGATAAGATGAAGAGGAAACAAACTTAATAGTTCCTCGATCAGTCTATATGTATCTGTATATGTATGATGGGATAATAATATATATATCTAAACTAATAAACTATATATCTATGCTTAAAGAGATAGAGAGAGCTAATATTACAAGTAGATGTTAGTACAGTAAGTGGTTATAAATATTATTGTACGTGTGTGTTTGTGTTTGTGTTTATGTACGAATGAATGAATGAATGAATGAGTAAACTGATGATGAGAATGAATGAATGAAATGGATGGAGTGGTAGGGTAGTAGATGATTATTAGTTGGTGCAAAGACAGCAGTCAGACAGGGACAGCCAGAGAGTCATTTGATCAACTCATCACCCCCCTGGGGATGTGTTTTAAAAAATCAGAACAGTGTTGTTGCGATGGGCCAGGTCTGTACCATGCATGACGGTTGGTCGATCAATCAAGTGAATGAAATTTAAGAAAGCGTGTGTGTGTGTATGTGTGTGTGTGTTGTCGTTTGATAGATTGATTGATTGATTGATTGATTGGTGGATTGATTTAACTTATGTGACGTGTATAATGTATATGTGATTCTGATTTAAAATCAAATTGATTGATGTTGATTGATTGTTTGAATGATTGGGATTTTGGGTGAGTGATGACGATGTTATAATTGAGTTATTGGTATGGTTTAATGATCACGACCAATCAATAGAGTATGTTGTGGTTGGGCATGAATTAGGAGTATTCTTCTGATATGTAGTACCTCGAGAATATATATATAAATTTATATGTATAGTGGGAGATACTTACAAGGCCTACTTGCTATTTGTATATAAATAAATTAAAGGATGATCAAATAATAATAACTTTGATTGAGAAGAAGTAATAATGATTGAACACACAAAATGTTTATGATGATGATGGTAATCAGTGATTATTGGGTAGGTCCCTTGTTTGTATCTTCGTGTAAATTGCAATTATTAATAATCAAAACAGTGTTGTTGATCAGGCCCACACAACCTAACTTGGTTCGCAAAGAGTAGCACGCAGTGAGATTGAGTGTTGTTGATGTTGTTCATATTTATTGCGTGAGTATGTAAGTGGAGTGTTGGGGTCGGGTGCTCTCTTGTGGGGGGCGAGGTTAGAGCTCCTGCATGATATGGAGAGAGGAGGCAACTCATTGTATTAATCATTAATACATACATACACATTGCTATCATTCATTTGTTAAATCGTTGTGTATGTGTAATGGCATGCCATTGTAGTGTAGTGAGCATGCATGGTGACTAACCAACTCAATAATCATCCAGCATTCTTAAATCGATGATCACCCAGGGTCAGGTCAATCATCATCTTGTTTAGTTAATCTTTACTTTACGCGAGAAAGCGGAGCCTCTGGGCCCAGACGTTGTCCAAGTATGAATGAGGAGGGCATAGTCGAGATGCTCGAACCACTCACAAGGCAGCTTGCAACGCCGACAGCTGTTCGAACCTGGTGGCGATGGCTCAAAGCTCTCCCATCGTATTCCTTAAACGCTCGTGAACCTGTGCAACATATGCGAGTAATCCATTCCCTTCAAGGTCAGGTCATTGATGAATACCAATCTTCGAAGCCATATGTTGCCGATGATATCAATAATCCTGTGATTGATGGATGTGTCGTGCTTGTGGTGTTGTATGTATGTATCTGATCCTGTGTCCTTTCACATTATCTCTCTTTCTCTCTTTGAATGGGCGCACTAAAATAGACTCTCTGATGGTGGAGAAGTAAATCATGTGGATATTTTTTGGAACAGTGCCTATACGAGTCCCCCGCGCACAGTTTGGTGTTGCCACCCCATTAGCACGACCATCCAACCTTTGATTTAGGACCATACTAGGTCACCAAAAAGGACATGTTGGAACAGGCACACGGTGGAACTATATGGTAGGACACAATCAATCACTCGACCTATTAACCTTACTTATTCATTCAAACATATACATCAATTAACTTTTATCTTGTTATCAATCAATGTCAGCAACACTATTATTGCTTGTTGTTGCTGTTGTTGTGTGTGGCCACACTACCATGGTGACGGCAGTTGCTGCCCCTACTCTTGCAGGAATGTCCTTCACACCATCGATTGTAGAGTATGTCACACCAGAGGTGCCATCCGTGAACTTCTTCGTCTCGGTTCAGGGCACTACAACAGTGACCAACTTCACATTGACAGTGTGCTCGACCACCATTGCACTTGGTCGTGATTCAATCACCGTGGACAACATAGGCAATGTCTGTAATATAACTGCATGCTTCCCAGTTGATCTTATTACAGACAAGTGTGGAGCCACCTCCTCAATGACAACAGTCATGGCACCCATCGCCATCTCCCTCGTCGACATAGCCGGCACAACATCATTCACATCGCCTCAACTCACTATCATGTTCCCAACAACCAAACTACAACTCACATGTAAGTGTTGCCTCATACCCGGAACAATTCCAACCGAATACTAACATTGTCCAATCATATAAATATAGTTGATTTGACACCACCTGTTATTGGAGAGTTTAGGTATCTCACTCGAAATGACACGATCATTGTGTCTGTACAGGTCAATGACACTCAGACACATGTCAAGTCAGTGGTTGTATTGGTGACTGATCAATCAAACGCGGACAATAATATAACATTGTCCATTAGACCCGATGCCAACAACACATATTATGGTCAACGCAAGTTTGACACAAGTGCCCAAGGAAGTGTATTCCTCATCCAAAGAGTGACTGCCACTGACTATGCCAACAACGTCGCCACCAAGTTATTCCAAACCCCCTTCTCCGTCACCTTCCCATCACGTAAGTATTGAAACCGACATGGAATCATCCTGGATGGTACCATCACTCACTCAATATATAGCCCCTCCCAAGCCTCCATCAACATTCCCCACGGTAGTGAGCGCTATTATCCAGAACATCACTGCTGAGGACAATGCACATTTTAGCACTGTGAGGATGGACATTACATTGTCCGTGCCAGTGTTGCCAATCATTCGCACAGTGGTCTACTTTCTCAACTTGGAGCTAATACCTTGTAATGCTCAGTATGATGGCAACACATCAGTGGTTGCATACTGCACATTCTTCCCATATCCAATGAGGACACTCACTCCAACACTCGAACTAATGAACCAGTTGGGCGACCTCAAAGTGTACACATTGCCACAAGTCTACAACCTTGCTGGTGCCATCACCAACAAAGTGAACTACGGCGGCTCGACGTGGCTGGTCAACCCCGGAGGCGGCATCAACGCCTTCCTCCCATTCACCCAACAACAGAACATTACTTTCAACACGACAACTGGCACTGTGTCACCATTGCTCTTTGGCTACAGTCAATGGGCTGGCTCATTCTACGGTTACCACCTGATCGAAGGCAACCTCTACAATGGAACGATCAGTATCATCGCCCAGCTCGACTCGGCCAATCCTCCCTACGGTGCCAACAACATCATCACGCTGATCAATGATTGTTATTACCAGCCGCTTCAAATGTCTATTCCAGCACCAGAGATCACAGCGCGAGTGGACCCCGCGGCCAACTTTGTGATCAGCAAGTTCAGTGCGCCTCGCCCAACAATGGACACGGCCAACGCAACAATCACCAGTATCCCTATAATACTTGAGACCACATCCAACTTGCCAGTCTCATACATTATCCCAAGGGATGCGATTGGTGGAACAGTCTCTGGATACATCTATGAACGAGAGATCATATCGAGTGGCCAGTCCGCAGGTGTCACCGCCTATCAGACCAGTATGCAATTGGTGTCCGCCGAGTACATGCGACCCAGGGCACTCAATGTCCAACTGATGACAAGTCTAGGACCATTCGCGACGGCCTACTCCCAATGTCTCTATCTTCGCTCGTCCACACCAAACATTGCGCCAGTCGTAAAGTCATTCACGATCTATCCCAAAGTGATTGATACCCGTCAGAAGCCAGCGCTGTGTACATTCATTGTAGTGCTGAACAACACCATCCCAGTTGATGCTGTGTTTTTAAAGTTGGGAGGCAAGTGGACTCAGGAGTGCTACTTGTCATCATCCAACAGCACAGACAGCGTCTACTCGTGCACAAGACTGTTCCCCAAGCTGTCAATGTCACTCCGCGATGATGACGTCTCACTCCAGCTCAACTCAAAGTATGAGTTCTACTCAGTTGGCTCAGTATTGGACTTCCAAGGCATGAGTCGCTCGTTTGAAGTGGTTGGCATGTCAAGTCGCGACTCCATGTTGGCCGTGCCCAACGTTGTTCAGTACACATACGATAGTTCATCGACCAATCTCACATTCCAAGTGCAGTCCACTGGCGCACCAATCTACTCAGTCGAGGTCATCGTGACCAATGGCCCGAACGTACCATCCACCCAATTCCGCCAATCAGTCTACCGCACATTCCATGCTGATGCCGAGGCAGTCTTTACCGAGAAGGGTACCGTGTCACTTGGTACACTACCATGCACAGCCGCATCACTCAAGACACCATCGGTTGACAACCAACTACAGGTCATCATCAATATCGTTGATGTCAACGCATATACCTACACGATACCATATGGAAAGCTGAGGGATCAGTTCCCCTCGGTCGTAGTCACGCCACCCGTGTGCAAGGACAACGCGCCACCCATCATCCAAAGCGTGAATGTCAATCCAACTGGCATCCAACAGACCACTTCCAAGGGATACACACTCACTGTTAACATGCGAATCACGGACAACCTTAGCGGTGTCAAGTCGGTCCGCATGATCATCACCACGCCAGGCTTCCAAAGGTGGGAGTACACTCTGACATCGGCGGCCAACCTCTCGACGGGCAGCGCCAACGATGGTGTATACAAGATGGCAATGTACTTGCCCGCGCACACAATCAACACCTTCTCACTATCAGCATACGTCATCGACAACAATGACAATGGCAGGATGTACACGGCCAATGACATGTTCTACTACTTTGGCATTGGACCACTCATTCTTCAATCGACCATCACTGATCCCGTACCAACATTGCAATCCTACACCTACAACTCACCAATCAACGAGGGTCAGAAACTGGCCATGACCATCACCACTGGTGGCGGCTCGTGCAAGGAGGTATACTTGTCATTTTACACCATGGGCATTGTCAACAGACTGGCCGCCAATGCATCTGGAATGGCTGGCAACACGTGGTCAATCAACTTTGCACCATATGTGTTTGGCGAACAGTTCTTCACAATCACTTTGGTTGGCATCGACAACTCGGTGACGACCTACACAACGGACACATTGCCACAGGGCAAGTCATACTTCTATGTGCCACGTGGCAACAGTGTTACCGGGCTCAAGTTGTCAGGCCTGTCAACAACAGTGGATGGCTTCTCAATCACTGGTCAGGTATCATTCAATCAACAATTGTTATCAACTGATATTGTTAGATGTGTTGTCACCGATGTAGATAACAACAAGGTGTACAAATCCAATGTTGACCTATCATCATCTATGCAGTGTGCACTACAAGTGGACTCATTCACAAGTGAGACCAGACATTATACTTGGTCACTTGAGATCCAATACTATGTGGGCACAAGATACATGTTCATACCAACCTATGAACTACTCTATGGATACATGATTGATGGTGCACAATTCCAGATCACTGCCACTCAGTCCTCGGCACACTCTACCACACAAGCTTCCACCACCCAAGCCTCCACCACCCAAGCCCCTTCAACGACAACAACAACAACATCGCCATCTACTACCGGTAGTCAATCAACTACTACATCATCACAATCAACTACAACATCCTCGCAGACAACATCAACTATATCAACAACTACAACAACTCAGAATCCATCGAATGGTAACATATTGTCCCCACTCAGTGCGGTTCATCAACAACTTGTTGTATTTATCCTTATCTTGTTCATTACACTTTAAAGGTCACATCTGGAACTGACTTTAATAAACTACTTATCCTAAATCAGGACAATGCTAATTACTTTAGCGCCATTTTTTGAATTAACATTTCATTTTTTGATTGTAATGGTATTGAGATAGGGATAAAGAGATAAAGATAATGAAGGTACATATAAAGAGGTATGAAGCATCAACACTCAATAACTCAAACAATCAAACAATCAATCAACTAATCAATCATACAAACATCTAGATGGCATACAGTGTCAACATGGCATTGGGATGTTAATGAAGAATGTTGTGGAATATGTCGTATGCCATTCGACGGTTGTTGTGTTGACTGCAAAGCACCTGGTGATGATTGTCCTCCTGGTATGTAAAGAGACATTACACATGTCAAGACTCATCCTAACTTACAACAACATCAGTATGGGGAACATGTAATCATGCATTCCATATGCACTGTATTCTCAAATGGCTTAGTTCAAACAGCGAACAACAACAATGTCCAATGTGTAGAGCTGAATGGCAGTTCAAGACAGACAATAAGTGATCAAGATTGATTGGTGATTCAATTGATGCTCAGACATCAATCACTTCATATTTGGTTGGCTCATCATTCATCATTCATCATCTTGGACCAGCCCAAGGGAATCAATGTACATACTCTGATGATTGATGAAGACTAGTCTCCCTCAAGATGGATGGTACACTCAATACATAGAGTTCATTCACATTGGCGCCAATTGGAATCGCCCTGCAACCATCCTCAAGTACGCGACATTATCAACAACCCTCATCTCAGTCCATTGACATGGCAACCTAACGACGACGACAAACATGTTATTGGAGTAAATAGAATGATACTTGTGGAGTTTACTTTGATGATTTGGACAGGAGATGTACAATCTTTTCCGATGCCTTTTGGATGGATGGATGCGGTGACGACGATACCAAGGTGGTCAGCGACTGTCTGAGATCGTAGGAGGCCAGATATGCAGTGTGGGCAGGGTTGGATGCCAGAACCAGTATGATCTTAATGGCTGTCATCTGTGGTGCAATGCGCACGTAGTCCTGCTGCAAGTACTCAAGTAGCAACGGGACCACATTGTTATCTCTTACAACAGTCTCTTGATTGGCATTGTTTGAAATGAGCATGGCAACTGCCTCCAAACCCAACATCTTCAACGTCTCAATATTAGAGTCCAACAATGATATGTACTTCTCCAACACTCTCTCGCGATGTGGTCCATTGTTGATCAAGTCCTGTGTGTATTCTATGTTTGTTTGATTGATTGATTGATTGAGTGAGTGAGATTGGAATGATTCCAGGATGGAATGCGTGATTGAATGAGCGATACATACTTGATGAGAGGACCCTGGAAAGAGATGAGGCGACACGGAGATCGAATCCATCATTCTTGGATTGGACAAACATGTCGACAAGCATGTCGGCTCCACCCATTTTGATGAACTCGTCCTGCGCCTCGGCAGAATCCAGCAGCATGGTGAGACACCAGACGATCTGCAAACGTATGAGCTCATTCTGTGAGGATAACTGGCGGATCATTATTGGTACTCCACCCTTGGCCACAATCTCCTGTATGTTCTCCTCTCTGTGGCACAAAGTCTGAAGTACCCTGATCGTTGCAAACTGTATGTTCTCCGACTTCTCCTGAGTCATGTGCAGTATAGTGTTGACTCCCATCACGTTCCTGAACTGGCTACAAAGCACACCTGAGGTTGGATGGGATGGGGAGTGAAGGAGGGTTAGTGATCACATGATTGATGGAATGATTCCAAATGGTGTGTGTAACACTTACGATCATTGATTAAACTGCCAATTGAACGAAGTGCAGATAGTTGGACATCCTCAAACTTGGTCGCGAGCAGTTGGAACACCAGTGAGAATACGCTGTGTTCGTAGAGGTATGGTAGATTGCCTTCACTCTTGCACAAGGCCTCAAGGGCAGAGCTTGCACGTGTCAGATTGGACAAGGTGGGCGATGATTGGAGGTCGCGGCAAAGGATGATGATCTTCTGAATCTTGTCACGCTTCTCGCTGTCGAGGCCTGAGGCGCCACTGCTGCCTACCTGTGTGCTGCTGGGTGTGTCTGAGAGCTTGGGAGACACGGCACCGGGAGACTCTGGCTTTTGGAAGCGCTGGAGTGTGTGCAGCGGCTGTCGCAGGACCTTGAGTATCGTCTGGAATGACGGTCTGGCGGCAGGATCGCTCGAGAGACATAGTCTGATCAGCTTGTCAATCGCAAATGGACAGTTTGGCAATGATGGACGCACGTACGATGTGTATCCATTGTTGATGCTACTCTTTAGCTCGCTGAGTTTGGTGTTGCGCGCAAACATCTCCCAGAGGAGCACACCAAAGCTGAACACATCGACCTTTGTATCATAGCCACCCTTGCCTCCAGCCAGTACATGGAACAATTCCGGTGCCATATAATGTGAGTGTAGCATCGTATTGTTGATTGGATTCATCAATTTCTTCCTGATTGTCTCATCCTTTAGTCCTGCCAGACCATAATCCTTGATGAATACCTTTAGATCAGAGTTGAGCTGTTATGGAATGGTTCCAGGGTTAGTATGATTGATTGAATGTGTTTGAATGAATGAATGATTGAATGACATACCACAACATTCTTTGAATGAAGACTCCTGTGGACAATGTTAAAGGAATGAAGGAATGCCATTGCAGAGGATATCTCCTCAGCCACACGAATGATGAATGATATCTCAGTCCTCTCGTCCACATTCTTAAGTACGATGTCCAAGCTGTTACCAGTGACATACTCTGAGAATGTGTTGAATGTCGTAGTCATCGATGCGCCAATCAATGGCAACACGTTAGGATGTTTGATTGATCTGTATTGTTTGATTGATTAAGTATAGAGTTAGTGTGAGTGGGATCATTCCATGTCGTTTCCAGGTACAACGGACACTTCAAATTTAAACTTACATTAATGTCTCAATCTCTGTGAACAGGAGTGGCGTGCACTGTGGCGTAATGAACGTCCAGGACTTGCCAACTATACGCTTCTCTTTGTGGATGCCAGCGCGAGCTGTCATGCCGTGGTTGCCATAGCCAATGACCTCCTTGTTGTTGATCTCTTGTTCGATGTGCCATGGTTTGTCATTGATTGATGCCGCCATTGAGTTGCCGCCGTTGGCTCCACTACCACCAGAGGGTCTGTAGTTCTCCTCGATGTCGCTGTCGCATAGGATCTTGTCGATGAGGTCGTCGTCAGCCTGCTGTTGCTTCTGCAAGTGCTGCAGGTGGCGCATGTCGTCGTGCGACAGTGTGTAGTGCTGCTGTGAGAGGTAGGGCTGCTTGGGGCGGTCCTTAGGCTGCTCGACAAACTTCAGACCCTGGTTGCTCTCCTTGAACGATGTGATCATCTCGTCGAGGAGATTGTCGGCTGTGCGCACGGCCGATGGAGACAGGGGGTATTCGGACAGCGTGGGGATTGGCGTTGGTGCCTTGGGCGATGCCATGGCAATGTCCACAGGGGCATTCAGCTTGGAGGCTGGGCGGACAGTTGCCGTGCCTGATGTGATATGTGGAATACCCGATCTCTTTGGAGACTCGGTGGTCGCTGAGCTGGAGGTGTCCATCATCAACTCGTTGCCGAAAGAGCTGATCATCTGGTCGAGGGTATCCGCGGCCGAAATCGCCTCCTTTGTGAGTGCGGTCCTGTCGCTTGATGATCTTCTCTGTTGCGATGAGCTCAATCCGCGCTGTGTTGGTGAGCTTGAGAGTGGTACCTCCTGTTGCTGTTGGGCGGAAGTTTGTTGCATTGTGGACAGTCTGTTTCCGGCCAGAGGAGGAGGCGCGGCGGCACCGCCCGGTGGCGCCATACTTGGCACACGCTTTCCCTGTTGGGAGTACTTCCAGTAGAAAGATTCGAGGTCCATCAGAGTGGACTCGAGGTCAAAGGTGGAGGTCAGACGCAGTAGCTTGATTCGCGAGTCTTGTACCTGCTGATCGGTCTGCGCTTCAGTGCTGGGCAGCGATAGGTCGTTGGCCGACATATCACTTAGTAATGTCTCCAGGTAATCAAAGTGATCGCTCGATATCTTTGACATCCTATTATTATTGGCACGTGACATCTTTGGTGATTGATTGTTCCTGCTTGGCGATGCATTTCCATTCGCGTTGGCGTTGGACTCTACATTGGCATTGGCCAAGGCGTTGGCGTTGGCCATTGCCGTGGCGGTGGAAGTTGTTGTCGCTGATTGATTTAAGAATGAGTTTGATGGTGAAGACTCTGGATGTCGCTGTTTATGGTCCACGATCATCTCCTCCAGGAGATCATCTAAGTAGTCGACTGTAACATTGAGATCATATGATTCGTTAGTCAGCTGATTTGATGGCTGGGCGATCACGTGATGGACATTGACATACCTCCTGACATGTTATCGAATTGATTGTTTGATTGAGTGATTGTACGAATGAATGATTGAGTGATTGTATGAATGAATAAGTAATAAAATGATGATGGTGATGTTGAACTGAACACTTGTTAGGGTGTGTGATTGATCAATCACTTGAGCGCGCTGAGTATAAGGGTGTGATGGGGTTGGGGTTGGTTGTAGTTGATGTTGTTGTTGGGGTGTAGGTTGTTGATGGCTTAAATCTAAGATATATCATTGGTTATGGGTCCTACATGGATTGATTGTTTTCAAGGATCAAAACACTGAGATCTCGATCAGTTTTTGGAGGGTAGCCAGACCATCCATTGGTGCCGACACTCATCAAAACAAACATAATATCTGGAACGATTGATTAACTTAATGAAGTTCAAGTTTATCACTTTATTGGTTTATCACTCCTGGGGCAGGACAAGTGCGAATACATCTAGTTGTTGATCAAATGTTGGTATTGTGATTGATTTGTTAAAGACGAATCCAAGCTTCTTGAGTAGGTTCTTGCTTGCTTGGTTCTCCAAGGCCACGTTGGCACCAACTCTGTGAACTTTCAATCTGGGACACTCTACTTCAATAGTGCGCTTGGCAGCTTCATATCCATAACCTTGTGATCGATAGTCACTGAGATATGCGAATCCAATATTGATGTCTTCCTCGTGTTCACCAGGTCGTCTCTTTATGAATCCACATATACCAATTGGTGTGTTGGTGGCCTTGATCACAACCTTGTACATCGCATAACCATTGTCATTATATGATTTGACCGGTCCACTGAGTATCCACTCTCTTGCCTTGTCCAGTGAGATCAAGTCGCGCTTACCAATGAACCTCAGACACAATGGATCATTGAACAAGTCCATTGAGAATTGTTCATCAAGTCCCTCCCTTAACAATGTGAATCCCAATCTCTCGCTCTCGTATAACATCGTTGGTGTAGTAGTAGTCTCTGTTGTCATTGTTATATTGTTATAAAGTAAATATATATGTACGTAAGTATGTATCTGTTTGGTTAGCAATTGTGATCACAATTGCAATAGACCTTCGTTGAGCCCCAAGACCAACCTGGACCCCCAAACCGACTTCTTCCCAAATTTGGACAAAACGAGTCCATGCTTGACGCGTTTGCTGTATGTTCATACCCATGTGCGTCATGGTCAAGATTGATTGAATCAAACAAAGTGTTATTGGCTCTGTTGCTGCTGCTGCTGCAAAAGAGAGAGAGAGGTAGATGTAGAATGAATGAAAGGGGTATTCCCAGAAGAGCGGTAGCAGGTTGCAGTGGCCGAGATAGAGCTTAGGGGAAAGGGAACTTGATGAGTCACGAGCGCGTCCAAGTTAATTTACATAGTTTGTTGTTGTTGTAATTGATGTAGTTGTAGTCTGGTAAAGTGTAGATTGATTGAGATGATTGATTGTTGTGTATTTGCTTTTAGAGCAATCACTCGCTCTACATTGCCAAACTCTCCTCAAGGGCTCTGTACTCTTCATCCTCTTCTGAGGCTCTTGGCTTGACTTTGGATGCGGCGGGGACTAAGGTATCGTCGGTCGCAATGATTGAGTGATTGGGTGAGTGAGTATTCATGACATAGCCTCAAGAGGAGGACGACTAAACTTACATGTAATTGGTGCTTCTTTGATGATTGGTTCTCTGGATGGTGGGGCCTTGACACTAAGCAGTTGGGCATCGAGTTCTTCTTGCTCGAGCTCGGCCAACTCGGCCAAGAGATCGTCCTCGTCCTCGACCTGTGTTCCAATGGGCTGACTGATGGCACGGGAGATCTCCTCGTGCACGTCCATCTGCTCCTGGATGTCATCAAAGATATCCTCAACCTTCTCGACGGTGAGATTATTCTGTAGGACCTTCAATTGCTGAGCTCCACTTCTCATCGAGTTGAGGATCTCCTCGTTCATCTTGGCGTTCTCCAATGCAAAGATCTGTGTGGACAGCGTATCGAATGTGCCCTGTAACTTATTAACCTCATTCTGATATATATTCCTTTGCTTCAAACACAATAGTGCCTCTACGTTTACATTAATTGATTGATTGATTGATTGAGTGTAAGTTATCGGTTGTTCTATTGACTCGAGTATGACAACAACACACGTACCTCTCTTCTTTTTCTTTGCTACAAACTGTTTGGCTTCGACCTCCTTGCTGTCGGCCTTTTGTTGAAGGAACTTCTTTCTCTTCTCCAACATCTCTATAGTGGTCCTCAGCTTGGCGATTGTCTCCTGCGTCTGAGCAGGGTTGGGCTTTGGCTTTCCAAACAACTTCATTCTTTACTTGTTATATGCTGCTGCTTGTTTGTTGCTTGCTGACTGGCTGCTGATTGATGATATGTGTTGTAGTTATATAAGTTATAAATATAAATATGTATATATATATATAAATAATGTATGTTACTGTTACAGATTGAGTTGTTATGCGATGATTCAATATAATGTTGATCTTGATCAATACTTAAACAATGAATTGTTGTTATGTATGTATGAGTATAGATATACAAATATAGATTGTTGTTGTTGTAGTAGTTAGTTAATGGATGAATGTGAGAATGAATGAGTGAATTGAAAGAATAAATGAAGGTTTGACATCACCACCAACCTCTGAGATTAAGTTTTTGAATGAATTTTGGACTTTTTCGATCTTGTCAACTCAAGACACAGACGTAGCGTGGAGGTTGTCTTGGCAACGAAGGGTAACGACAAAGATAGGATATGAATATGCGTCAATCGCCAACATCGTCTTCATCATGACAAAAATGAATAATAGTGTAATGTATTGTAACTTCATTTATGTTTATTTGTATCATTGTTATTGTTGTTGGTTTGTATCATCGGAATAATTGATTGCGGGGGCCTAATTGATTGGATGGGAGTTGGAGTTGGGAAGTTGGTAGGTAGAGGTAGGAATGCTAGAGAGTCTAGATCCACATGGGAGTCAGCATAAGGTCAATATCTTTCTTGATTTTGGCAATGGCTGCATCATTTTGGGATTTGTTGGTTCCTCTCTGGATGCATTTCTCCCTGTTGCGTTTGGAAGTCCTTAGCTTCTTCTTGAGCGACACGTATAGACGATGTGGCCAAGGATGGTCTTCAGGATTCAATCCACTGTCCTCTAAAGCTCGTGAACGGAGCTTACTGAGGAAGGAGCTGGAGATTCCCAGGACAAGGGCAGCATCTGTCTGTCTCATCTTTTGATGCTCCCTGGAGAGGTACTTGCCCTCACCCTTTGCCTTCTTTAAGGGAGGCGGGGAAGGTGGAGCAATCTCAGGGTAGCTATCACTCGAGAAACTATCAGAGGTGAGCTCGGACGAGTCTGAAGGAGCAGGGGAGGCGCAGGCATCAGGTAACTGGCTGTAGGTGCACAGTTGTTGCTGCAGGGGTGCCTGTTGTTCGACAACACCCTGAGATAGCAGGCTCGGATGACCAAGTTGGGCAAAGGGGTTGGCAGTGTAGATGGGGCAATCGGTCGACTGTGGAGTGTTATGTTGTTGTTGTGGCGGCGATGACAATAATGATGATGATTGTTGTTGGCGCATGAGATTATTAAAATACTCAAGCGGAATGGTGATGGTTGGTTGTACATGGGGCATCGACAACGAAGGATGTTGTTGCTCATAGCAAGGCAGGGGCGAAGTTGGCACCTGGTGTGACAGATGTGTCCACGGCGGTTGGCACATTTGTTGTGGCAGTTGATTCAAAAATGGCTGTTGAGGCTGTTGGAGCGGCGAAGCTAACAGTTGACTATGTTGATTAGTCAACGGTTGCGACAGTGGCGACAAGGGCGACAATGACGAAGGTTGAGTCATTTGCGACGACAAATGCGCCAATGGCTGTGGACACATCGGTGACACCAGTTGCGAATTAAGCTCCTGGGTTGATATGTGCGACGGCATCATTGGTTGTTGAGGCATTTGGGTCTGATGTTGAGGTATAAAGTTTATACCTGTCTCGGACTGAAACGGATAGTAGTTGGACAGGTACTGCTGTTGGGGCGGATCAGGAGTCTGAGGAGTCTGGGGAGTCTGGGGAGGCTGTTGAGGGGTATAGCAGGACTGCGGCGTCTCAGGCGGTTGATATGACACACTTTGTTCCTGATTGGTAACGGTGTGGTTCACTGGGTGCCAATCACCAGCAGTAGAGTAGAATTGGCTAACATCATCTCCAGCTTGGTATCCGTTGGAAAGGTACGGGTCGGTATGATCATCAACATGTAGGTGCAGGTTTGAGTTGACATCCTCTCCAACAACATGTTGTTGTGGATCAAACTCGTAGAAGTTGTTGTTGAAGATGTCTTCATCGGGGAACAGTTGTTGCTGCGTACTTTGTTGTTGGTATTGTTGTTGGTCGTACGATCCAACTGAGGACGAGGACAGAATAGGCAGCTGGGACATCATCTTAATTGGGTAGTGATGACGATGGGATGGGACAGGGACGTAGTATAGAAACTATTATTTATTATTATTATTATATGTTTGTGAAAGAATAAAGTTTGTGAAGAATCACGTGACTTTTGAATAGTGTTGGGTGATGTGAACGCACCCATTCCCAATGCGATACTTTACAAAAGAATTTAATTTGCCCTGGATAATGAGGAAAGGAATCACATCGGAACATCCAGTTGAGGGAGTTCATCGTGGATGAGTGCTGAGATAACTCAGGGTTGGGTTTCTGTTATGTGTTGTTGAGGTTGACCAATTAGTTTGTTATGGATCCTTGTGTGGCCTATTGATTGATCACATGAGTGTCTTGATCCACCAATCATCCCAAGCAGGACAACTACAACAGGTGGAACAATTAATAATATTAATCAATTATTCCATCTCTTGTGGTTGGTTGCCTGGGTTATGTGTGAATGATTGTTTGGACTTGGTTCGAATGAATGAATGAATGGATGAATGAATGATTGATTGATGTGAGCTGGGTATTGGATTGTGTTGATGGATGGGTTAAGATGAAGGGAACAGGACCGACCTACTCCCTCAAAAAGTCATCGCTGCAATCTGGTTGGAGCGCATTGACCTGACCAATTGAGGGAGTATTGTTGTTTGGAGCCTTTCCAGTAGGCTACCGTGTTGATGCGCGGATCATCACTGGTTCCAGCAATCTCAGTAGTTCCATCTCCAATTGCTCAATGTGGTCCAGGGCTTCCCTGGACGGTACATTGCCAGCTCTCATCATATTCATTCGGGCAACCTCAAGGTCTCTGCGAATAGCGAGCACCTTGCGTTGCGGCCATTGTCTGCCTGGGGCTGCCTCCTTGAAGCGTTTGCTTAAGGTGGTATGTGTCATCCCGAGGTGTGGGGCGGCTTCCTTTTGCACCATGGAGAGATACCTGGCATTTAGCTCGATATACTCCACGTTAACTTTGGGTGGATGCATGACAACCAGCCCAGTGTACGGTTGCACATTGTACACTGGTGTTGGGTGAGGGGCATACGGGATAACCTGTGCACCGTGGGTATACGGGGGCACCTGAGTCTCCATGCCATCAAAGCATTGTGTCTCGTGCACCACGTTGTTCAACCGCTCCGAGGGAGGACTGTAGAGGAGGTCCTGTGCCGTGGTCTCGGCATGGTGCAGAGGTAGTTGTTGTTGGTCAAATTGCACATGCTGATCCAAAGGCTGGTAGCCATTGGGGTAGGGCAATTGCTGAGGTGGGCCTTGATAGTAGTAGCCAGGTTGGGGCGTCTCAGCATTGGTCAACTCAAACACAGTCGGATCACAGACGGAGTCTTGGAAGCCCAGATCAAATGATTGATGGATGGGGCTTACAACAAGGGGTTGGTAGTCTATGATTGTTGTACAAGGTGAAGAATGTAAACATTCATGGTTCAGGAACTCTTGAGGGTCGTCGGAATCAGCCGAGGGTGCTGCGTCCTGTTGGTAGGTCAAAGATATGGTAGTCATCATGGACTGGGATGACTCGAAGGGGGCGCTGGAGCTGTTCATCAAAGGGGGCAGGCGGTAACACGTATGATCAGTGTTTGTTGTCAATGAACAATAATATGTTGTTGAGTTATTTATATATATATTTATATGTCTATACTAAAATGGCATAAAGCATAATGATGTAATGAAAGGATGGTTTGAGGATAGGATGGGATGGGTTGGACATAGTAGAAGTGATGGATCAGTTGTGGTGTGAGGTATTGATGTAGGCAGTTTGCTCATCACACACTCACACTAAACTCACCCATCACAATCAAAGTGACAGGTATTTAAATGAAATTTCAATCAAACTTCGTCCATTATTGTTGCCAGAGATTGAACTCTCTGAACTACAAGACAAAGAAAGAATAGGTGATCCCCGTTATCATGATATTATATGGACCACAACAATCAATCAATCCATCAACCAATAATACAAACCAAAGGCAACATACATTGTATATGATTGGCATAACTGTAAGGACAATGAGTGTCCAGGATCATACCAATTTTATTGGACGTCCAAAGTTGTTCTTGATCTAAATATATATATATATATAATTGTTCTAATGGGTCATGTACATCAATGTTTGAATAAAAGTGATTGATTGATTGAATGAATGAATTATTGAAGATGACCTTTAAAACGCACCTGCATCGATGAAGACCACCGATCTTGTTTGGTTGTGGCCGACCTCCTTGCTATTATCTTCGAATTTCAACTGGCTTTAATATTATTCGAAGCTTATTCCACAGATCCTCCAGTTGCACTACCAGTTTCTGCTTGCCCTCCAGAGTATCTGTTAGATGCCAGTTCTTGGATTTTGTGTTGAACCTCCTGATTATTGGCATTGCTTTGCGATGCGGCCATTTCTTATCCACAATCTCAGACCACCTCTTACTAAGATGTGAGCTCTTCATATTTAAAAAATCCCTGGCTGCTAACTCTTGAGGCATGGCCAACAACATTGGAGTTAGCACCACTCCATTGAGTGCTGCCATGGGGATATCAGGATAGAGCCGGGTGAGGTCCAATTCACCAGGGCCATTCTCTTGGCTGCAAAAGAATAGGTTGGACATTGATTGTTGTTGTTGTGGGAGAGACTGTTGGTTGGCTATTATAGGTAAGTTGGGAGGCATCATTGGTGGTGCCCACTCCGTACCCCAAGGATGGAGGGTCGACCCTAGGCCAAGTGGACTGTGGTCTTGGGAAGCCCAAGGTATAGGAGGGACTGATTGGTATCCCATTAATGATGTAGGTAGTGTTGAAATCGTAGATGTTGTTGTTGTTGTCGTGGTACTTGTTGTTGAGTTTGATGACTCTGTTAAGGGAGATATAGACTGATGTGAAGATGATGAAGTTGATATTTGAGATGATGAGTCATCATCATTAATATGAGTTATCCATGGTATGTTATCGTATTGTTGTGATGGAGACTGTGAATTAATATCTGCTGTACTATTGTTATTATTAATATTATTATTGTTGTTGTTGTTGTTGTTGTTGTTGTTGTTGATATTGTTGATGTTGTCCATTCATTCAATCATTCATTCATTTATCGATTATTAATTGTTTGATATTTAAATAGGTAGCGTCTATCACTAGTCTTGTCACTCTCTCTTCCTCTGTCTCTCTCTCTCTCTCACTCTGTCTCTGTCTCTGTTTGTCTCTATGTCTGATCATCTGGCACAAGAACTGCAATGACCTTCACCGACACTGTTGCGCCTTTTAGCAATCTCGTCTTGTTTCTACCTTCCCACGCTGACTCAGACAAGCTGGTGGAAAACTCATGGATAAATGAAGGCGATACACAAACGAATGGAATTGTGATGGAAAAGCCCAAGCAAGTCTGTCTTGTATGTGTGATTGATTGATTGATTGATTGATTGATTGATTGATTGATTGATTGTAGGTAGTGTAGTGTTAGTATGTGTCATGATTATTCATTTTATATATACACTACACAAGTTCATGATGTCATGTTCATTCACTCCAAGAGTGTGATTGAACGTATGTTTGATGAAAGCGAGTCGATTGTGATCATTTATTTGTTTTCCTCCATGATCTGAACCATTTTGATCCTTGTTTCTGTCTCCTTTGCTGTTCCAGAAGGTCTTGGATTGGATTGTGATAGGCATTGTTGTTTGAATTGACATTGTTGCTTCCATTAACATTGACATTGACATTGTTGTTAAAGTTGTTCAGTGGGTTGGTATTGTATCCATTGTTAAACGTCAGATGTTTGGGATCTGACACCAATGATTGTTGTTGCTGCTGTTGCTGTTGTTGTTGTAGTTGTTGTTGATGTTGTTGTTGTTGAAGTAGTTGTTGATGTTGATGTTGTTGTTGCAATGGAGTTTGATAATGATTGGTACCAAATGCAGTGGCAACAGAGCTTCCACCATTATATGAGTGAAGGAATGGGTTCTGGAATGAATCCATGCCATTGACCCTGAACTTGGGCTTCTTGGAGTAGGGCAGAATGTTGTGCTTGTGGCAGTACCACTTCACATAGGCAAACACTGACAGTCCACCAAGGAGTACACCGCCACTGACATAAAAGAATGAGAATGGTGCATGCTCGAATCCATTCATCAAGTTCATGCCAAAGAATCCAGTGACCATCGATCCCATTCCAGCCGACATTGTCACCAGACTCAATGTCAAGTTCATCCTCATCATCTTGTTTCTTGCACTGTATATATATCGATTGATTTGATTGATTGATTGATTGAGTGAGTGAGTGTCGCACTGCTATTGTTATCATATGAACATGTTGATCACATACGTATCCAATTGGAAGTTGACGAACTCCTCAGTTGAGGACAACGTCTCCTTAAGTTGACTGATCTCATTTGATATCTGCTCCAACTGTCTCATATAGTTCTCCAACAATATCTCCAACTCCTCATGCTGATTCCTCTTTCTCGTTCCACTATTCATCATGATCATTCATTGATTGACAAGATTGATTGGGTTAATCATCTGATGATGTAGGCTGGTCATCCATGTTTAACATACCCTGTAATGCTTCTAAATGAGAGATACATCAGCGCCATATCCTCATCTGACTCTAGCAGTCTGCTCAAAGCATCCATGATCTCCTTTGTTGTGACCTCGAATTGATTGAGTCTGTGATTGATTGATTGATGGAGTGATTGGTTAGCTGGTGGAACATGGCATGAAGGTAGTCCAGAGTGGAGACAACATACCCTTTCTTGTGGAACAACAATAGGTTCTCCAAGTTGTGCTCTGGATTCTCATTAAGACTCTCCAACTCTTTGGCGATTAATGTACATATTCTCTGATGTTCAGCCGTTAACTTTTTACACTGATGATGGCAATCGAGGAAGGAAGTCAGTCAACTGAATGATCGGATGAAGGTTCCAGTGTTGATCAATCACTTACAATAAATACAAGCATTGCTTCCAACACCTTGAACTCAAAGGGAAGTGTAAGCGTCTCTGTGAAGAATAGGTTCTGGTTACCAAGGTACTCGCGAAGTATTGGTACCAGGTCATTCCTGATCAATGGATTCTGTGGATCAAAGAAGATGATCTTGTCATGTTGTACAATCGCTCTAATATACTGTAGTTTGATTGATTGATTGATTGAGTGAGAGTGTCAGCTGCATGATCATCATCTTCTGATGGGTGCGCCACAAGGTATACCTACTCCAATGCTAACAATGAACACCTTGTCTCTTGCAAGGATGGCTGGCATCTGTGGAGGGAAGGAGGAGTCGATGGTTCGCAGGTCACGCGCTTGTAGCTTCATTTCGATTGAGAGGTTGTTCTTGAAGATGATCTGATCGATGAGGTTCCCGCTCAGGTCCACCTCGAGCACCTTGAAGGATCGCGCCTCAGAGTGATACTGTGTGGGCATGTCTCTGCTGACAATGTTCTCCTGATCGAATATCTTGGCCTTGATCTCTTTGGACATGGCCAGTGGTGATGCACGTGATCGCAGATGACGGCTGTCTTCGTAGGCCTTGCCTGGGCCCGATGAGCCTGGCACAACATTGTTAACGCCAAATAATGACGAAGATACAGGAGGTGACTTCAAATAGAATGAATGATCGGAAGATGGTGTCGACACACTTGTTGGTGTAGATGGCTTTGAGCTTGCCGATATCTGTGAGTTGGATGTATAGTCTGTGATGATACATGAAAGTTAGTGAGTGATTGATTGATTGATTGATTGACAACATTACATACTCTTGCATTGATAAACAAGTCGGTTACAGGTCATTGATGTGATGAGCCTGGTCGAGTGAAGCGTCGACATCGCTTGATACTGCAGCCTCGGCTGAGAAGATATATATCTAAGCATACTCATAATGGCTGTTGTTTGATGTTGTTATTGTTGTTGAACGAGTGTAAGCATATACCTGTTGCTGCTTGAGATCGATCGATTACAAATACCACTACTACTATTATTAACTAATCAACAAAACAATCAACCTACAATATTAATGTTACTATCTATCTGTTTGGTTGCAATGACGTAATGTTACTGTGATGATTGATTTCAGGTTTGCCCACTTAGTGTGCAACGAACCAGACGTTGGGAATCCACCATAATATAAGAATTAAATAAATTGGACATTTAACTTTATCTAACAGATATATATATATCATCAGAGTATATTATGACTCTCAAGATTGAATAAGAAATACTTCTTGGGTGTTTAAAAGAAAAAATCCACTTACTCCGCTCTAAAAGCATTGAATTTACTTTTTCCACCCATCCGCTCGATTAGCTCAGTCGGTAGAGCACGGTGCTAATAACGCCGCGGTCGCAGGTTCGATCCCTGCATCGAGCAAATCTTTTATCTTTTTTTTTGGACTTTTGGATTTTGGACCCGTTAAGGTGTCGAAGGAAATCGCGTCGTTGGACAAGGCCTCTCCAGCGAACTTGAAATGAGTTTCAGATCAATTTTGAAAATCACTCCATCAAATCACATATCTAAAACCTCTACTCTTTTTAATCACTATTGTATATATATATATATAATAATTTATTCCCTTGATTACTTTTTTTTAAGTCCTATCTGATTTACACAATTCAAAATGTAACTTTCAGAGTTTGTTTGAAGATAAAAATAAATATTATTTGAATAGACAAAAGGAAAAGATATGTTCAAAAGGATGAATTCAAACACACACACTAGTCCACACCCCCTACCACGAATACAAACACAAGCATTGTAGTTGTTGAACAACAACTCCTAACATCCAATATTTTAGTTTAGTCTCTTGTTTGTTTGCACTATTAAGGTACAAATAATATATTTGCACTTACTTCTACATATACAACCTTATAAAAGTAGTAATACATACTATTAAACGAGGACTGCCAACAATCGCAAACGACTAGCAAAGAAGACAAGTCCATTTAATATTCACATCCTCTTTCATTCATTCACCAAACATGTATGTTACAACAATCTCAAACAAAACAATAACATACACACATACTAATAATATAGCATTAAGTGACAACCATTCAAATACAAAAGATACAAACAAACAAACATGGCAACTGACAGCTTGGAATCAACCAAGTTGACGTACGAACAGGAGTCATACTTCAAACAACAGTTGCTAAAGTACTCGGTGTTGGAGGAAATGAAGGTGTACTTTAGCGATGCAGACTTTCTCAACGAGACATTGTTCCTGCGATTCCTGTTTGACCAGCTGACGACCATTCCTCTGCTGGCCAACAAGGAGTCGGCCAAACAGCGTTTCCGGCAGCTGATTCATACACTGCCACAGATCGTCATCCAGTCGCAGCTGGCCTCCAAGGCCGAGACCACGGACCAGTTCCGCAAGTTTGTCGTCAAGGTGTTTGACGTGGCCTTGCGTACGCCCCAAGAGAAGCTGCACGACAAGACGCTCAAGATCTTCATAGACCCATCGATTGAACAGGACAGGAAGGACCGCGCAAAGAACAGGCGTCGTGGCAAGATGAACAATCAGGACACACTTGACGACATTGAGGACGATAAGGTGATGGAGGATAGACAGAAGAATCAAAAGGACATTGAGCGCGATGAATCAATCACCAAGCTGCAGAAGAAGCTCACTGAGCTGACACAGATCATCATTATGAACGTCGAGAAGAAGAATCAGGAGGCCATGGGCAAGGAGGCTCACAACGGAATCTCATCGCTGTTCAACTTGATCCTCAAGACCAAGCACTTCAAGGATCTGCCGGGCGAGTTCTCGGAGTTCACCGACACTGTGATCAAGATCATGGCTCTGTGGATGGAGAGGGAGATGCGCGATCAAAAGCAGGTTCAAAAGGCCAAGCGTCTGTACATGATCACACCAGTCAAGGCCATCAGGGCGTCACTGGCAATCGCCAACCCAATCACCTTGTTGAAGGGATTCATTCTCCTGTTCTTGGCCAAGCCGTTTGGCGCCAGGAATCTCATTCAGACTATTGCCTCTGTCATGGTGGAGAGTGGCAAGACCGATCGCACACTGAGGAAGGCGCAAAAGACTGCCGAGACTGCGCTACAGACGCTGCCCAACAAGAACACACGCAAGCTCCTGCTGCAAAAGATGAAGGGCTTCGTCTCCAACATGCACCAGATATCGACGTATGATGGCGTACAGATCGCCTACTTCAAGGAGATCCCCGACGCCCTGTCCATCATGCAATACCAGTGGCCCTCGAGTCCGCCCATCGACTCGGACATCATTGCATCGCTCGAGGAGGACCACTTCAAGACACTGTTTGAGTACGTCAAGATGGAGAGGAGAAAGAAGGAGAAGAACGACTTTATCGAGATATTGGGCAACGACGAGATGATCGACATCATCAGAGAGTTGCTGCCCGTCCTGTACGAGCCGCTAGGCAAGCTCTTCTGCAAGGCCAACATTGGCTATCACTTTGAGAAGCTGGCCCATGTGCTCAAGAAGATCATCACTGTCGCCGAGACTGGCGAGCTACACGAGGACGACGATCAAGACCTCGAGTTGAAATCTACCGACTCGAGCACAGACGACGAGTTTGACGATCCTCCTCAATCAAGGTCGGCTGGTAACACTCCACCAATAGTATCTGCCAACTCTACAGACAACAACAATAGTATCAAGAAGAGCAATAGCAGCAGCAGCGGTGGATTGATGAAGTCACTCAGCTGGTTCAGACCATCCAACTTGTTTGGATCGGCCAAGTCGCAGCCTACCACTCCCGTGCAGCATCATTCAACACCAACAACGCCCAACACGCCAAGTGGCGAGCCACTCGAGTTGGAGGCCGACGACTTGAAGAAGAAGTTCAGGAAGGACAAGAAGGCAGCGATCTCGATGCAAGAGCGACTGGCGCTGTTTGAGGACGTCAACTTCCTGCTCATGGAGAAGATCTACGACATGGTGCACGACCTGGTACTATCCGACGCCAAGATGAACATTTTGAACGACGGCTCCATCCAGACGGGCATGCTGTCGCAATCTGTCAGCTGGCTGTTGGGTCTGCTGCAGTTCCTCAAGGACGAGGAGGTGGATGTCACCAGTCAGATCTTTGACCCCCTGTCGCCGTCGATGAAGGAGAAGGTGATCGATGAGCTCAACCTGATCGTTGAGTATCGCAAGTGGAGACTGGATCATTGTGACTATGACAAGGAGGAGAAGGAGAAGAAGGAGCAGGAGGAGAAGGACAAGGAACAGGACAAGGACAAGGACAAGGACAAAGATTCAAAGAAGAAGAAGAAGCAGCAAAAGGAGAAGGATGACAAGAAGACAAAGACTACCACAACAACCACTACCACGACTACGACTACATCTACGACGACGACGACCAAGACAGCAGACAAAGAAGGAGAGAATGGCGGTGAGAAAGAGAACGAAGAGAAGGAGGAGGTAGAGGAGGAACCAGGACCTCCAAAGCCCAAACCAGAGTACATACCACAGCTCATAGGACCATTCGTCGAGTTGATCAAGTCGAGGTTCCAGAGACTGGGCGACCCAAGCAAATACTCACTGACCAATCTCTCAAAGATCATTGTCAACCCCGAGGACATACCCGATGTCGTAGAGAGTAAACTGAACTCTGCAACATCTCCAACACCATCATCATTGTCAGACGACCACAACAACAACAACAACAATACGACACACAGTTGTCCGGCAACACCAATATCTACGACAACCACTACTAGTAGTAGTCAATAGGCTTGTATAGTATACATCTTAGTATAATATAATCTTTACAATACATGTATTATTCCTTTGAATTATCGATCTCTTATTCAATTCTATTCTTTGGTTCTGTTCTTGGTGGCACGCCTATGGTGACGACGATTGTGATGATGATGATTATGATTGATTGGGTGGGTGGGCAACATTGATGTCCAACTCGGAAACACCATGACCAATGACCTCTTCAAACAGATACTTCAAAAAAACAAAAAAACGATGTGTTTGTGTGTGTGTTGGATCATTGACATTCAAGTTAGACAATCCAAAGCCGACTACCCACAATGCATCATGACCTTGTCAAGGACACACACACACACAGTCAGATGTGCGTCAATGTTGGAAGTGTGTTAACGCGAGAAACGCTCATGTCTTTGTCTGGTGAGTGTGTGTGTTTGTTTGTTGGTGACCTAACACACACAAACGACGAACCTTCAGGCCTTCTATCTGGATAGTCTCCCCTACCCTTGGTTTGTTTTTATTCAACAATAACAACAACCAGTTGGTTGGCTTGAATGAATCGATGGATGGACACCTACTCATGAGAGTGAGTGCACTCATACATGACACCTTGCAACACCCATCCCATGCATGAATGCATGCACTCATACAACATGCTTGTTGTTAATGACCAGTCAAATACATCTTGTTCTTCTTGAAAGCCCTCACTCTATCTTTCTTTACTTACTCATTCATTCATTCATTCACTTGTTCGTTATTATTCATTCATTCAACCAACAACAACTACTATCTTTGTTCATTAATAATAATAACTTTATCTTAGTAACAGTAATAATAATATATATTGGGAACTACAACAGACACAATTGCTCAGAAATTTGGCATTCAATCTCGAGGACGGACTTAGACCTCGACTTGCCCGACCCATCATATAGGCCATCAACCAATCAATCAATCTGAATCCCAATCAATCACACACAAACACACACCCAATCATTGTATCTATATAATAATACATCAATCAATCAATAATGGAATCAATGGAGACAGACTACAAGACTTTGTATTCCAGTCTAAAGAGGAAATACAATATGATCAATGAGGAGAAGGATCAAGCTCAACTGATGCTTGAACATGCCAAGAGGCAGATCAAGAAGTTGGCCAAAGAGAAGAGGTATGTGGTAGTTGATGCTTTGGGAAATGGACCGCGCACACACTCACACTCACACACTCGATCATTCAATCAATCAATCAATCGATCGATTAGCTTCTTGTTGGACCGACTGATCAAGTTTGAAGAGGTATCTTCCGACTCTGAGGGAGAGAGTGAAATTGTAACGCCAATGAAGCAGCAACAGCAACACAAGTCACTCCCAGCACTGGCGCCATCATCAGCGTCGCCCATAATAGAGATGAAGGACCAGGTGGTCCGGGAAAGAGAAAGGGAAAGAGACAGAGGTGATCGTGACAACAGATCCAGGAATGATACTGGTAGAAGTAGTGATAGAGTACAACAGAGTGGTGATGGTGGCAGTAGTAGCAGTAGAGGTAGTGACCGTGCCAATGACAGAGGAAGTGGAAAGGATAGAGATATGATCAGGGAAAAGGATAGACAACAAGCTAAAGTGGAGCTGAAACAACAACAACAGCAACAACAACCATCACAACAAAGAGAAAAGAGAGAGAAAGAGAGGAGAGAGGTACCATCATCATCAAGTGATTATTATGCCAAGGCGGCCGAGGAGGAGAGATCTTCAAGCGGTGGCAAGAAGTCGAATGGCAGACTGGGCGGACAGATGCATGCCAATCCACCCGAGAAAAAGGATGGCAAGTCCTCCTCCGCTGGACACGACTCGAAAGACCACCAGCTGCCGATTGACAAATACTCGGCCCAGGCCCTTCCAGACCTGAGGGACAGGGATGTCAATAGAGGAGCAGTCGCACCTGCGCCCATTGTAGAGAAAGAGATCGAGGAGTCGTCCCCAATGGTTGCCGCCGCTGTAGCCACCAATGGAGGCACACCCAAGCTCGAGGCTCAGGACGGCTTCTGCATGGCGTTTGGCAAGGATCGTCATTGCAAGAGCAAGGCATTGGCAAACTGTAGATATTGCTGGCATCATGCGCCACTGGACCCCAACTCTGGCTACGTCTGGTGTCTTTTCGTCTCTGCCAACAAGAAGAAGTGTAACATACCGGTGCAGAAGTCCAAGGGCCAGTCCTTCTGTGCCTACCATCAGAACCAAGGTGGAAGCAAGCCCAATGGATCCGAGGGTGGCCTCAGTGCCACCGATGGCAGCGATCCAGATTCGGACGTGCCCGAGAAGAAGAAGAAGAAGCAAAAAAATAGCGACAAGTCCGACAAGAAGGACAAGGACAGATCATCAAAGAAGGATAAGCATAGTACACATGACAAGACACCATCCTCCAGTGAGAAACGCGACAAGAACAGGGACAAGGACAGACAGTCCAAGCACGAGAGCAAGTCTAGCAGCAATGGCACCTCACCAGACAAGCCATCTACAAGAGACAGTGGACTGACACACCATGCCATGTTGTCCGAGCCTTCATCCCCAGACGTATTCCATCTGCAAGCACAGCAGGATGCATTCGCCAAGACATCGCTTCCGCCAATCCTGCCATCACTCAAGTCACTGTCACCATCGCCCTCGTTCAGTCCCAAGATGGCCTCACCATTCCCGTCTGGTTCGAGTGCCAGGGGTGAGGGCATGCCACTGCACAAGCTCATGTTGGAGCAGGACAGCGAGGTAGACATTGAAGGCATGAGTAGTCCTGGCGACAGGGCACCAATCAACGAGAAGATCGCTGTCTATGACAGCTCGCCATACTCTGACGACAGGATGCCGGCCATGAACTGAGCTGAGTGTGTCCAATGCTCGTCCAACCATATATAATGAATATAGATATAGATATAGATATATATACAACAACTACACGTTTGTCGAATGGCAACAACAGCCAGCCATGGTCAAGTGATTGTCCAAGGCTTTATAAATAAAGTTATTGATCGCCACACCTCTATCTCTTGCAGCTACAGCTCGCCACACTCTGTAATGATAACATCCAACTTGGGCTTGCTTGTCTGTGGATTGATTGCGACACTCTCAATCGTTCTGACGATCTTCATGCCATCGATCACCTGTCCAAATACAACATTCTTGCCATCGAGCCAGTCTGCTGTTGCACATGATATGAAGAACTGACATCCATTACTATTAGGCTCTCCACTATTGACCATTGACAATGTACCTGGTCCAGTATGTTTCAGCTTGAAGTTCTCATCTGGGAATCGCTCTCCATAAATCGAGGTTCTACCTGATCCATCATTCTACAAGATTGATTGAATGAGGTATAAGTATGATTGATTGATTGATTGCAACAATAACAATGATGATGATGAGTCAAGCATCATCTTACCTTTACAAAGTCTCCACCCTGTATCATAAAGTCCTTGCTAACCTTGTGAAAGCTACATCCCTTGTATCCAATCGGTTGACCCGACTTCCTATATTCGCCTGTACAGAATTGTCTGTGAATGAATAGTGTTGAGGTCAGTGACTGACACTAGTCTTTGCTGCTGTAGTGTCCAAGTCAGTAGTGATCACTTACCTAAAGTTCTCAGCTGTACGAGGTACAACATCTGCGTAGAGCTCTATCTTGATGCGACCAATCGGTTGACCTCCAATCGATATATCAAAGAATACAATAGGATTGACTATATTCGTTGCTGAACCTGTGTTGCTTGTATCTGTCATCCTTTGGTAATATGTCTATGTTGTATTATGTATGTTTGAGTTCAAATGTATAATGACAAACGAGACACTTTATTCTTTGAAGGGTCTGGATTGACAACTTTTCGCGAACAGCAACATCTTTGAACATCATTGTTGAGTGACCAGGATCAATGATATATTGATAATGTGTGTAATATAGTGTTTGGAATAATTCCAAGTTGGTATCCAACTCATAGTAATACAATGATGAATAAATGGTATATAAATTATGGTGTTTACTTTGTCAATATTTCAGCACCATCATCTGTCACTAGTACAGTATGTTCGAATTGAGCTGCCCATCCTCCATTCTTTGATGTTATTGTCCATTCATCATCCCACATCTTCCACTCTGTATAAGGTTGTGTACCCTCCACAAGTATAGGTTCTGATTGGAAATAAATAAAAGTTAGTATCCATCTCCATCAATCCAATCCAATCCTATGATGGAGTGAACTTACCAATTGTAAATATCATATCCTTCTGAATGACATAGTCCAACTCATTGACGCATTGGAAGATGAATGGTGGTGCGTGGAACTCTTTGCCAATACCATGCGCTACAAACTCAATTGGTATACTGTATGAATGTTTGTGTGCCACGGCCCTGGGAATGAATGATTGAGTGGAGAGGTTGATGATGTTCATGTCAGTCAATGTTTGGATGGATTGATTGATGATGCACAACATACTGAATCGATTGTCCAATGTCACTGAACGGTTTGCCAGGTTTGACAGCATTGATTCCAGCCTCCAAGGCCATTTTTGTGACTTCAAGCAGTTTGGAAGCAGCCTTGTCGATCTGTCCAACGGTGAATGTGGCCGAAGTATCGCCATGATAACCTTTGTAGAATACGGTGACGTCGATGTTGATGATGTCTCCATCAGCCAATGGCCGACTGTCCGGTATGCCATGACACAGCACTTCGTTCACTGACGTGCATATTGACTTGGGGAAGTTCTTGTAGCCCAGTGGTGATGGATATGCGCCGCGACGAACGATCTCTGCAAACACCTGACGGTCGATCTCATCCGTAGTGACGCCAACGCGCACTAACTGGCCGGCATACTGCAGGATGTCGCGTGCCAGATGGCACGACTGACGCATCGCGGCAATGTCCTCGGCGGTGTTGATTGGAATGTCATCGTCCATTGCAAACTCCTTGATCTCCTGGCCCATTGCATAGTATGGCTTGGGTATGTGGTCGGGCACGTCGTAGCGTGGCGAAACAACACCAGGGGCGATCAAATTGTTCAAACTCCTGTTCAACTTTTGCTCCATTGATCTTCGTTCGCGTCTATTCATTGGCTTTGACTGTGCCAACTTTGGTGCTGCTGCTGCATTGTCTGTTGTTGTTGATTTGACATCTTTGTTGTTGTTGTTGTTGTTGTTTGATGCGTATGTTCGAGTGATCACATTGATATCTTTGTTATTGTTGAATGTGACATTTTGGTTGTGATGATGACCAACAAGCAGCAATGAAGTTGATGATAACGATGACCAACTATAGTTGCTAAAGTAACGAGGTGTAGTAGTAGTAGTGGTATTGAGAACTGTTTGAATGAGTCTCTTATTGACTATTGGTCTAATGATTCTATCCATTGTATGTTTGTCTCTTTTGGTAGATCTTACACTCAAAGTCTTCGTTCGTGGGCAAAAGATAAAACTTGTGACATCTTTGGAAATTGTTTGGGGATTTACATTAATGGTGGTTCAACTTTGAACACTCCACCAAATCATGTGGTGTAGGTAGACTGACCATCCAGGAATATTACAGAGTAATATATATTTATATAATTTTTTATTCCATCAATCTATCATGTCGAGATTACCAACTACACTCAATTAAATAATTAATTGTTTAAAATTGTTGTTTGTGGACATCCATTCTTATATATAACTTTTTTATTATTATTATTATTATTTGGATTGTTACAATTGATGATGGTGTGTATTTAAGAATATATATATTATTATTATTATAATTATTATTATGATTGAGGAGAGGGAGGATTGGGGATTTAAGCTTATGATGATGTTACTGGTTGTTGTTGTGGATTGCTCTCATTTCTAAGACGATCCAAAAGGTTCTTGGTGATCTCCAGTCTCTTCTCGGTTGTTTGCTTCTCGCGGGCCAACTCGTCAAACTGCACCTTCAACGCAGAGTAGCTGTGTTGGGACTCTTGCAACTCCTTGTCCTTGTTGTCGATGTTTGCCTTCTGCTGGTCCAGCTGCTGGCTGATGACCTGGCTGCGCGCCTTCTCCTCGTCCAGACGGTCCTGGAGCTCCTGGATCTCGTTCGACTTTGCATTGCCGTTTAGTTTTACATTGTTCTCGTCGTTGTGATGCTGATGCTGATGCTGCAACTCCTCGATCCTCTTCTCAAGGTCACGAATCTGTTGCTGTTGTTTCTCGTTGGTCTGTCCGTGCTGGGCCTCCAGCTGGCAGATCGACTCCTCCTTGCCGGTGAGCGCCGACTTGATCCTCTCGACCTCGTCCATCAGCTCACTCTTGGCGGCAGAGGCGGCCTGCTCCAATGTGTTGCGCAGCTGATCCAACACGCTGCTGTGTTCGTTCTTGATAGAGTCGACGTGGGAGCAGTGCTCTGACTCCTTCGACTTGATGTGGTCGTCCTTGGCGGCCAGCTGGGCACGAAGATCAGCGACCAACTGCTCAGTCTGCTGGCTGTTGCTGCCACTCTCTGCGTGTGCTCTGTTCAATTGCTCGTCCTTTGCTGCGAGTTGATTCTTTAGTTCGTTGTGCTGTGTGTTCAAGTGGTCCAGCTCGCTCTGTTTCTGCGAGACGGTTTGCTTCAAGTCGGTGATCTGTCCGTTGACCGTAGTGTTGTCGGCGTTCAATCTCTCCACTTGGCTCTTCAAGTCGGTTATTTGGTCGTTGACGCTCGAGCCATGAGACTTGATCTCATTCAGCTCGGTGTCCTTAGCGCTCAGTTGTGCCTTCAAGTCGGTGATCTGATCGTTGACGCTGGAGCCCTGAGACTTGAGCTCATTCAACTCGGTGTCCTTGGCGCTCAGTTGTGTCTTCAAGTCGGTGATTTGGTCGTTAACGGTGGAGCCCTCAGTCTTGAGTCCGTTGATCTCGGTGTCCTTGGCGCTCAACTGTGCCTTGAGATCGGTGATCTGGTCGTTGACGCTGGAGCCCTGAGCCTTGAGTCCGCTCAGCTCGGTGTCCTTGGCGCTTAGTTGTGTCTTCAAGTCGGTGATCTGATCGTTGACGGTGGTGTTCTCGGCGGACAACTTCTCAATCTCGGCGGTCTTGGCATCGAGCTGCTGCTTGACCTCCTCAATGGACTTGTGCAGCTGCTGCTCGTTGACGCGCAGCTTCTCGAGCTCGGCAGATGTGTGACCGCTCTCGACGACCGACTGCTTCAGCTGCGTCAGCTGGCTGGTCAGATCGGCGACGAGTGCCTTCTCCTTCTCCAAAGCATCCTGGCGTCCAGTCTTGAGCTCCTCAAGTTGATCACGGAGCTTCTCGATCTGGAAGTTCTTCTCGGCGACCTCGTGCGAGGCCATCTTGTCGTCGAGCTGCTCCTGTGCCTCGACCTCCTTGAGCTTGAGCAACAGGTCGTTGATCTGGGCGTCCTTGGACTTGTTGTCGCTTTGCAACGCGAGGATGTTGTCGCTGAACGACGTTCCCTGGCGCAGGAAGATGTCTTTCTCGTTCTGGAGCTTGATGATCTCCTCTTCGAGTGCGGGCAGCTTGGCGCTCAGCTCGGCGATCTCCTTCTTGAGGGCCTCCTCACGGACGGGGTCGCGCTGTGCAATGTTGGCGGCGTAGTTATACTGTTGCAGGGTGTTGTCAACGGATGCGGCGGCGGGCTGGCCACTTTGCACCTGCTGCTCCAGCTGCTTAATCCTCTCGGCGAGGCGGGCCTCGGCGGCCTCCTTGGCCACGCGCAACTTTACAAGCTGGTCGGCCTGCATATCGATCTTGAGCTTATTCTCATCGCGCTCTCTCTCGAGGTCGGCCTCAGCCTGGCTCAGACGCTGCTTGGCGCTGGCCAACTTCTCAAAGATGCTCGACTGTGACTTGACCTCCTGCCAGCCAGACGAAAAGTCAACCTTCTCCTCAACGTGCTTCTTTGGCTGTGTGGCGACGGCTACTGGGGCGGGCTTCTGAGCTGGCTTGGTGGTTGTGGCGGGCTTCTTTACTGGGATATCCATGGCCACTGGCTGTGACTGCTCGACCTTCTTGGCTGGCTGTTGTTGTTGTTGTGGTGCTGTGGTAGTTGTGGTAGTTGTGGTGGTTGTGGTTGCTGGAGTGGACTTCTTGTTGTCCTTCTTGGTGGCAGCTGGGGCTGGGGCAGTCTTGGCCTCAACCTTTGCTGGCTGCTCAACCTTCTTGGCTGGCTGCTGCTGCTCGACCTTCTTAGCTGGTTGTTGCTGCTGCTCAACCTTCTTGGCTGGCTGTTGTTGTGTTGTTGATGCTGCTGGGGTGGTGGTGGTGGCAGCTGGCTTGGCAACTGGTGCCGGCTGTTGTGGCTGAGTAGTCTGAGTCTGAGTCTGAGTCTGAGCAGCCTGTGGCTTGGCAACAGTGGCTGAGACCTTGGTCTTGTTAACAGACTTCTTATTGTTGGCAGCCGATTGCAGCTGAGCATTCTTCTTGTTCTGTAGTGCCTGCTGCTGTTGCTGCTGCTGTGTGAGCTGTGGTTGCACCTTTGTCGAGGCCTTCTGCAAGGCACCCTTATAAGTGATGTCTGGCTTAATTATGAAGAAGTAATAGAGGAATCCCAATGGGATTGCGACCAATAATAAATAAAAGAAGTAATTGAACATCGTATTATTATTATTATTCTATTTCTATCGATATCCTAAATGTATTTATGATATGAATGGAACCAATGTATTAGATCGCTGAAAAACTACTTTACATGATCAATCAATCAATCAATCAATCATGGATGAAGATCAGAGCACATGATCAATCGATCGATCAATCAAATATATATAATACTCACTGTTGGGAACTAAGAACAGTAACAACAATGAATGATTGAATGAGTGGAATGAATGAGTGGAATGAATGAATTGAATGAATGGAATGACTGACTACTAGTTGGGGGATGATGTGAGTGATGTGGAGTGGAACTGTACTCTATCTCTGTCTCTCAATGTCTATCTGTATGTCTGTCTATCTATTTTAAAAAATGACAATGACAAGAAGAACAAACAAAAGTATTGAATATGAATGAATGATGGATGCTGCTTGAACTGGAATGAAGGGTCAGTGGTGGCTAAGAAGGGAATGGATTGTATTGCTGATGTTGCAGGAGTGGTGAGGAGGTCTCACCTGTCAGATCACTCATTCAGCCCCCCACACCCAAAAATAAAAAAAAAAGTCAAATTTGGCTGTGTGGACTTGAACATGAATAGTTTGACTTTTGAAGTTCTGAAATTGAACCACACTATTGATTGAGGTTCATCAATCAATTTATGGGTTCGAAGGCATCCAACCAAACATTGCCCAATAGTGAGTCATTCTTTTAATTGTGATTCAATCTATCAATTAAGATAATAACAAGGATACACATGTAATGCAAAGACCTACAGCTTTGTTCCCTGCATACTCCAAACAACCTTTATTAAAGGGTAATGAGAAGAGTCCTCCTCCGCCACCTCCACCGCCTCCTCCTCCACCTCAGACAGCACAACCTCCACCTCCACCTCCACCTCCACCTACAACCGGAGTAGTAGTAGTGGATTCATCTCAATCACGAAGGAGAGCATCAGACTTCTTTGATGATCAATCAACCTCACAATCAATCACAGTCATCAACAATAGCGATGAAAGTGACGATGATGAACATAGTAAGAAGAGGAAGAAGAGTAAGAAGAAGAAGGATAAAACAAAGACAAAGAGGATCAAGGGTGATAAGACTTCAAATGAAATGTATGTTGTCGTTGTCAATCGATCATTCAATCAATCAATCAATCAACTCATACTAACACGATGTGATGTAATGTTATGTAGCGCACTACTTGAGTATATGAAACCACAAATAGGAAGTGATCAGTATGTATCTGATTATCGAGGAGACAGTGCACTGGCAAGACAAACAACATTGGCTGCCAATAAGTCATTGCGCTATACATATGATCACAGTGGCGTGCTTGGCCTCGTTGGCTACGAGATGAAGTTCTCCAAGAAGCATGGACTGATACTTGAGCAAACATCACTGGCGTCGTCGGGATCGTCATCCACGACACATACACTGGGGCGATATTTCAAACAGGCTTCCACCTCGACCCCTGGCGAATCAACAACACTCATTCAATCAATCAAACAACAAACTCCAACTCAGGCGATCAACAATGATCTGTTCAGATCAGTGGCCAACTTCATCCCACAGACCATTGCCGACCCTGCATATGGAGCTGTGCGCGAGGCTACCAAGGAGGAGCTTGTTTTGGAGAAGGACGCGCTACTCAATGCATTGGTTGAGCGCGAGCCTCAGAGCATCGACTCGTGGATACAACTGGCAGAGCATCAGGATGCATACATTGTGTTCAGCTTCAAGAAAATGCGTGCGCGTCGTCCCATAATCGAGAAGAAGTTATCAATCTATCGCAGGGGCCTCATGGCCAACCCAGACTCTGACGAGCTTACTGTGCGCTACATGCGACTGGCCGCACAACTTTGGGACAAGGAGCAAGTGCGTCAACTCTGGGACAAGGTGCTTGAACGGCGCGCAAACACATTGACAAACGCGGCAGCTAATGATGGCGGCGACCTCATCTCTGACACTTTGTGGCGCGAGTACTTTGACTTCTCAATGTCGTCCAACTTTGCATCATTCAATGTAGATTGGACGCGCAAGCTATTCATTCGACTCATTCAGCAGTTGCTTGCCAAGCGCAGGACGTTCAAACCCAAGTCCACGGACTTCCTCGTGCAGGTTGGACGTGTTGAGCAGGCTCTGCTGGGATACGTGGCGCAATGGGCACGCTTTGAGCGTCAGGCTGGCTATCCCGAGCGTGCCATTGGTCTCTTCCAATCTTTGATCGAGTTCAACTGCTTCACACCAGTTCACATGGCAACCACCTCTCCCCAGGCCGTGCTCCTCAGCCAATTCCAACGATTTTGGGAGTCGGAGCAGCCTAGAATCGGCGAGCCTGGCGCAGTTGGGTGGCACCAAACACTGATGAACGATCCAACAATCAATCAACAAGATGACATGTCCATCGAGGAGATGGAGAGATTGATACATGAACAGGAGATGGAGCAAGAACCTGTTGATGACTTGGACAACATATTCACGAATGAAGATAGCAAGGTCAAGGTGAACGATTACGACATTGATGGACAAGACATGCTGCGAATGAGACTAATGGAGATCAAGGTGAAGGCAATGGCCAATTCAGAGCCTGAGGATATGGACATGGAACAGATCAATGGCTCAGCAACACAACTGGACGACAATGTCCTGTTTGAGATTGCAGAGAAGAAGCCAAGGACAATGGATCAACTGTCAACAATGGTCAGTGCCACAGTGTTTGAGCGTTATGGTGAAGTTTTACTCGCAGCCGTCATCGAGTACCTAAAGACTAGTGAACAGTTACAAGAAGAAGAGGAAGGTGAGATCATCGAGCAACAACCACGGACAAAGGAGAAGGAGAAGGAGTCCAGCATAGCCATGCTTCAGAGATGGGCAGACAAGGAGATCACGATGGAGAGGAATGAATGGATGCCACTGAAGCTCATAGACCTCGTCTCAAGCGAGAGTATGAGTGAGAGCGAGGGTGAGAGTGACCCCCATAGACTGGTATTGTTTGGCGATGTAAAGGACATACTGTTCAGACTGGTGAAGGATGAGAACAAGATGGAGTTGGTGTATCAGTACCTCGAGTTCCTCGGTGTATCCAACATCTATGACATCAGACTCCCATTCAATCATCGTCTTCGTCGAGAGTCCTACAACTCAATCGAAGACAACATATCGATGTTGTTCCAGACACTTGATGATGATGTACCATTGGTGGATACCGCGACGGCCACTGGCACTGGTACAGGAGATCAGAGACCTATCTGGGCTTCGGCATTCTCCTTGATGTCTCCACATTCAATGGCTGGCGACAAGTTGGAGTTCATAACCAGGGTGTACAGCCAGTGTTTGGGCGCCAAGCACTCAGTGTTCAATGACAATGTGGGCTTTGCAATATCATTCATTCAGTTCTTGGCCAAGAGTGGACGTGTGGACGAAGCCACAACATCAGTTGTGCAACTGCTCAAGCAACATCGTAACGCCACCAAGTTGTATGATTGCTACGCTCAACTCCTTGTCTCTTCGAAGAAACTGCCAGAGGCACGCAAGGTCTACCAGACAGCACTCTCAACCCTATATCAAGGGGACGTAAACATGGACAGTCATGCGCACTCTCAGCCAGGCGAGTACTTATATCGCCAGTACTGTCTCACAGAGCTCGAGGCTATATACCAGACATTGAAGCGCGACCCATCACTGCTCAAGAAGTTCATACGTTCAAAGAAGTCATTCTTGGACATGTTCATGCTGCCCGTGCACGTGTTGTGCTGCTTCACCGAGGGCAAGTTCCAGGTGTTCTCGACCAAGACCACCCCGGTCACCACTGGTCGCCTCCTAATCTGTCAGAAGAACTATGAGCGACTGGCACTCAGTGCGCAACGCCCAAGCACCGACTACTGGATATGCTTTGTGTTGTTCAAGCTGCTGACCACTGATTTGAAGACGTCGATGGAGATCATGCAGGCTGGACTGGCGTCCTGTCACAACATTGAGCCCAAGCAGCACGAGCTGCTTACAGTGCGCTTCGTGGAGATTATCACAAAGTACTCGCCAATCATTGGATCGCCACCATATCTCATCAAACAGGTGATCATGGATCGCCTCGGGGACTATCCCGATCACCCACTGTTGCTGTCCTGCTTCCTCAATTGGGAGGGCGCCACATCGTCCTCGATGCGCATCCGTCAGTACTTTGACAGGACCAATGCCCAAGACGACAACTCGACGATCTTCTGGTTGTTTGCTCTGCGCTGTGAGATCAATCGATTGGGCAGCGCATTGCGCATCAAGTCGCTGTTTGAGCGCGCACTACAATCACCTCTGACTCGACACAGCATCGTGCTGTGGCAACTGTATATACGATTCGAACGAGCTAGACAGCGACCAAAGGCTGCCAAGGCACTATATTATCGAGCCATCAAGGAGCTACCCTGGTCCAAGTCCATTTGGTTGATGGCATTCAGTAGCAGCGACATCGTCCAGCCTGCTGATGTTACTGTTACTGCTACTGCTACTGCTGGTTTATTGAGCGAGATGGAGCAACGCGATCTTATACCATTGTTAAGAGAGAAACAGATTCGACTGAGGTCTCCTCCTCCTACATCCGAGCCATTAAACGACTACAACTCTGCTGTTGCTGCTGCTTCTTCTGTTGAAGATCATTAGCAGTTCAATATCCTGTACATTCTCCATTGTGTCTTGTCATGCTCCAACACATCGTTGTTCATATGAAGCTATGTGATCGACCAATCTTCTGTCGTTTACTTCTCGTATCCCTTGCTTCCAGGCACAGGCTTTGCCTCCCAGTGAGACAAGTCTACCTTCTTTGACATTTTCTTTATGATTGAATGAATGATTGAGTGAGCGAATGAGAGGAGTAAGCTGATGTCGAATGAATGAATGAATGAATACATACCTCATACTCCTCTTCGAGAGATGATGACTTCTTGTTTGGGTCACCAAGTCTTCTGCTATCCCATCGCTCATACTTGTGCTCCATGAAGTGATTGAGAGCACCAAAGCAGACGATTGTTACGCCCAACATTGGTGCCAATGTATACCAAAGTGACTTCTTATTGATCTTGAAGGGTAGCTTCATCCTCTCTCCTACATATACTATCTGTTCGCTCAATCAATCGATCATTCAAATATAAATGAAGTCGCACACACACACGACTTGTCAATCATTCAGTCATCAATCAATCACACACTACACTCTGCATGGTTATGTGATGTTATACAAGTTACTTCAAGTGATGAAGAAGAGTCTTTATTCTAGAATGATAATAAAGAGGATGGATCGGATCGTTTGACTGACTGCCAATCAAATGGTTTAGTCAGAGTCTGACTCGTAGGTGCGGTCATTAGCGCATGGAGTGCAGATTGGGTCCACGTGCCATGGGTTGGAGTTGTCGGCACAGAAGTTGGGGTAGATGGTGTCGGTCTTGTGAGCGAGGATGCCACCGATGATTTGGGGGGGTGGGCTCTTGGGGATACCATAGTAGTTGGCGTTAATCTTGGCAGAGGTGATTGGGATCTGGCCGAGACACTTGTCACAGTAGAGGGTCTTGATGGAGGTACCGTAGACGACCTTGCGGAAGCCCATCCACATGGCGGCCGAGTGGCACATTGGGCAGGACTCGCCAGTGGTGTACAGGTAGTAGCCGTCCCAGACGTTCTGGTGGTGGATCTTGGAGCAGTTGAGCATGGCGACCATCTCACCGTGCAGGATGGCAGAGTCTGGGTTCTGGTTGAGGCCAGTGCACATGACTGTGCCGTTGGGGTGGACGATGACGGTGGTGAACAGGTTCTTCTTGGCGACGGCGAGGTCGTAGGCAATCTTCATGTACTTCTCGTGGAACTTGCGCTCAGTTCTGGAGAGGTCGCCTGGGTAGAGCACCTCGGATGGGCGTGGCTGGAAGAATGGCTCGTCGCAAGCCAAGGCAACAACTGCTGCCATCATAAGCAAGGTGGCAATAATCAAGATCTTTGACATTGTTTGTTTGTTTGGTGTTTGTGTGATTGTAATAGTACTAGATACAGATAATAATACAGATATGTAATGTTGATATATTAATGATTGATGATGACAGAGGTCTCTTTAAAGGTTTCCTTTCTTCCAAGTCCCTGATCACCCCCCAGAGTGTCAAGGATGCGGCCCTTCATTGTTGAGTTGCTTCCAGTTCCTCCTCACATGATTGCGCGTTGTTGTTGACGGTTTGGGCCTCAACAACCCCAACATGGAAAGTGGAGTTGATTAGAAGGAAGGTCCTCTTGCCTTGCCTGGCAAGTGTCATCCATGTGATACCACATCACGATGATCACAATCACATACACATACACATACATACAAGTCAGGAAAATTCACCATCATCATTGCCTTGCCTCAGCGGATCTTCTATCTCACAACTTTATCAACAACATCACAATATTAATATTTGCAACATGGGTGTGGCCCCGCCAAGCCTAATCAGTAAGTCGCGCCTCTCTCTACCAGTTGACGAACATTGGATACTAAAATCTTGATTGCGTCTCACGAGATTGAACTCGCGTTGATCATTGCTATTGAGTTGAAGGACATTATCTGAATGAGGTACCCCCAGATGATGGTCGACCCCCTTGCCTAACATCTGGACCAAACTTTGATCGTCCGCAGGGTCCTTGCACCTAGAGCTGGCACTTTTGAGATTGGAAAAAATCTTCTACAGTCGCGAGAAGGGTCTTGCAACGAGAGAGCACGATTATGATCCTGATCAGGTGATCAAACAACCCCTCAAGCAGAACGAACGCAGAACCGACACAATGGGGTGATTGTTGTTGTACTTCCACGATCCAAATATCTTGTCTTTGTCTTCCTGTCTGGCTTTCTTGTCAAGTGGGTCAGTGTCACGCATTCCAAGACCTGACATTCTTGGCAAATAGATTGACAGGTTGTTGTATGTTCAACATCCGGGTTGCAGCGTGTGTATGTTTGAGCTGGCAAGAATGATGGAATGTCGTGACGAGCAGTTCATCCAGTTACCCAACAACAGGGCCATCGCCCTTCTACAATGATGATGATGTCGATGTCGATGCAGATTTAGATTTATGACAAACACCAGCCAGCCTTCATGAGATAAATATATAAATATATTGTTATAGTTGTACTGTACAGTACCTGTACTATTGTGTGTGCTTGGTTTGGTCTGATATGGTCGACCAAGACATGTGTTGACACCTGTTTAGAATAATCCTACACTCTTCTTCCTGTCCGTCTTCTTCCAGCCTGGCAGTAGGTCCCATTCAGCCCTCTGCATGCCCAACACCTTTTGGAAGTCTTGTTCAGATAGGTACATCTCCAGTACTGATCGATCAATCTCTGGTGGTGTGTTCTTCTTCATCAATTCCTCCAATGGCAGAGTCTGATAATACTTCTTCAACAACGTAGCTGCTGACTCTCCTTTTGTTGCCTCGTCCACATCTGGTATATTGTTGCTCTGTAATATAATGATTGATTGAGTGTTGGCCATGTTAGTATGATTGATTGATTGATTGATTGAGTGAGTGAGTGACACTTACAAGGAAGCGGAATGTATCCCATGCATGGAACTCGCAGGTAAAGTCAACTGGCTCTTCCTTCTCCTTGATAAAGATGACAGCGTCTTGTTTACGTCCATCCTTCAATGCCTCGAGATACTCCAAGGCGATCTCCATGGCCCTCTTCTTCTCCTTCTCTGGTGCCTTTGATCCAGCCCAAACATACATAATGACCTTGTTGTCCAAGATGTAACATCGACTTGATTGCAATTCATATTGATTAAAGTTGAATATCTCATCGGCCTTTGTTGATGTGATGTGGATTGAATGTCAGTAGTCTGTGATTATACCAATCAATCAATCAATGTACTCTATATACATACTCTAATGATTGTACCAGTGTTGTTTACAGAGAATAGCTTGGTTTGCTTGGGTTTCAGAAGGTATGAACCGTTGGCGTAGGTGTGCTTGCCTCCGAGCATCTTCCAGAACTCCTCAGGCTCGCTGCCTTCGTTGATCACTGTTGCTGACTTGGAGGGTGAGTTGACGATCAATGGTGCAATCTTGTCGGCTTGCTCCTTCAGTACCTTGGAGGCACCCTTTGACACCCATTGGTAGGTTGTGTTGGAGTCTGTTGCAAAGAAGATGTCACGCGAGTTGAGTGCTGCAGCGGTCATCCTTGACATCTGGATGGCAAAGTTGGTGGTGTCACGCTTGCCATGCACGTGATACAGACGCTTGGACTTGAAGTCGTACTCGCCGCGCACACCTCTGTGCACGACCATCCTGCCGTTGAAGATCATCGAGAACTGGACGGTCTCGCGACCTTGGCGGATGGCCTCCTGGAAGCAGTCGCCATCGTTGCATGTGGCAATGTACATGTCCTTGGACAGCAGGGTCGACATGCCGACCTCTTGGCGCGAGGCGTCCAGACCCTGCCAGATGTAGATGATGTAGCGCAGGGCGTTCCAGCGTGTGTATGTGTACTTGATGAGGTAGCAACAGCTGCTGTAGAACTGGCCGTACTCCTCCTTGGGGATGGGATGTATCTTGTTGTTCTCGACGTACCACATCTCGTAGGTGCCACTGCCATCGCTGCGGTGTGGTGCCTCCTCGGGCGGCTCTGAGTTGACCATCTCTTGTATATCGAACCTGCTCATCTTGGCTGGTGCTTTCTTCTCGTAGGGGATGCTGACGTCAAAGGTGCGAGCCTTGCCAAAGCCCATGCGACTGAGCGACACTTCGTGGCTGAGATCGGGCCAGTCAAAGAACTTCTCGCGGAACATCACGGGCTCGCCACCCTCGGATGTGACCACTATCTCGACCCAGCTGGGACGCTGGGCGCTGGCGGACATCCTCTCCTTGGCCTTGGCGACGAACTTGTCCTTGTAGGTTGGCAGGTCGGCGTTGCGGCCCGACCAGGCGTAGTACTCGCTGACTGTGTCGAGTACAAAGAATGAGTCGGAGGCGAGCAGTTCCATGCTGAGTGCGGGGGCATCGACGGCGACCAGCTGGTCTGCGGCCTGGTCGTACTTGAGCAGCGAGTAGAGGGTGACCCAGGTCTGTTCGGCTTCGAGGTCGTCGCCGCCGTCGGCTGCGATTGAGTCCTCGAACTTGCCATTGATCCTGCGGAAGAACTCAACAGAGTCCTTGTCGCCTTCGTCAATCTTGTGGATGGTGGCGTGGCCGCCACGCTCGTGGCTCTTGATGATCTCAGCGATACCCACGGCCTTGGACTTCTTGGCTGCCGATGACTTTGATCCGTACCACACGTAGATGTTGGAGTGAGCGTTGGAGTCGACCGACTCGCCGCCCAGTCCACTGTTCTCAATGCCACAGTCCAGAACAAAGGAGTCGGTCTTGTTGAGTGACTTTGTGCTGACCTCGACCTCCCTCGTGAGGATTCTCTTCTTGCCCTTGCATTGGATCAGACGGGTGCGCAGGCCGGCGTAAGTGTCCACAGCCTTCTTGTGCACGAGGAACTTGGATGGATCGCTCTTCAATGTTGACGACACAGAGACACTCTGCGAGCGACCCTTGACAAAGGTGGGTGCCTCTGGCTCGTCCACTACTTTGGGCCTGGTGACAAGAAATGAACTGGCCTTGCCGGCATCCTTCTCCTGCTTCTTCTTTTGGGCCTCCAGGGCGAGGGCAGCCATGCCGCTCATCAGTCCGGCGGCGCCTGGTGGCATGACGATCTTTGGTCGTGCTGGCGAGGACGTGCTCTCTTGTTGTGTCTCGCGGTTGGCCTCGAGTGCCTGTGAGAGCACTGAGGTTGCAGACGAGTCGTCGCTGTTTGAGCGCTTGGAGCGCGCAGCGGACGAGGTGGAGGGATCGATGGCGATCGACGCCCTGTGATGCTTGCTTGGCAGCTTCCTGCCCTTGATCTTGGCTCTGTCCAATGTGATGCTAGTCAGCTTCTGTGCGATATATTCGTCGTCAGCAGTGGGCTTCATCTCCTGTGGCGCCTCCAACTTCTCCTTGAGCTGCTTGTCCAAGTTTGACTTGAATTGATCGGTGACTTTGATTGATGGTTGCTTCTCGGCAGCGGCGGCGGCCAGACTCTTCTTCTTCTCCTCCTCCTCCTTCTCCTTCTCTGCAGCCAATCTCTTCTTCTCCTCATCTGCAGCCAGTTGTGCGGCCACACGCTTCTTCTCCTCGTCTGCGGCCAGTTGTGCGGCAACACGCTTCTTCTCCTCATCTGCGGCCAATTGTGCGGCCACTCGCTTCTTCTCTTCATCAATGGCCAGTTGAGCTAGACGTTTCTTCTCCTCCTCTGCCGCCACGCGCTTCTTCTCATCTTCAGCAGCCTGTCGTCTTTGTTCCTCTTCAGCGGCTTGTTGAGCAGCCAGTCGCTTCTTCTCTTCCTCTGCAGCCTGACGTCTCTGTTCCTCTTCAGCGGCTTGTTGAGCAGCCAGTCGCTTGTTCTCCTCTTCAATGGCCAGACGTGCCTTCTCCTGTTCGGCTGCAACACGTTTCTTCTCATCCTCTGCAGCCTGACGCTTTGCTTCTTCCTCAGCGGCCAGACGTATCTTCTCCTGTTCAGCAGCAACACGTTTCTTCTCGTCCTCAGCAGCCTGTCGTCTTTGTTCTTCCTCCGCGGCTTGTTGTGCGGCCACACGCTTCTTCTCTTCCTCAGCGGCATGTCTTCTCTGTTCCTCTTCAGCGGCCTGTTGAGCAGCCAATCTCTTCTTCTCTTCATCGGCAGCCTGTTTCTCAGCGGCCAGTCTCTTGGCTTCCTCCTCAGCGGCTTGTTGTGCTGCCAGATGTTTCTTCTCATCCTCTGCAGCCTGACGCTTTGCCTCTTCTTCAGCGGCCAGACGTGCCTTCTCCTTTTCAGCAGCAACACGCTTGTTCTCCTCCTCGACAGCCAGTCGCTTGGCTTCCTCATCAGCGGCTTGTTGTGCAGCCAGACGTTTCTTCTCCTCCACTTCGGCGGCCTGTTGTGCGGCGAGTCGTCTCTGTTCCTCTTCGGCAGCTTGGGCGGCTTGTTGTGCGGCCAATCTCTGCTTCTCTTCATCTGCTGCCTGTTGTGCAAGTCTTGCCTTCTCCTTTTCCTCCGCCAGACGTCTTTGTTCCTCCTCTTCAGCGGCTTGTTGAGCAGCCAAACGTTTCTTCTCATCCTCAGCGGCCTGTTGTGCAGCCACTCTCTTCTTCTCATCTTCAGCGGCCTGTCGTCTCTGTTCCTCTTCAGCGGCCTGTTGTGCAGCAACTCGCTTCTTCTCATCATCGGCAGCCTGTTGTTCAGCAGCGAGTCTTCTCTGTTCCTCATCAGCAGCTTGTTGTTCGGCCAGACGTTTCTTCTCATCAGCAGCCTGTTGTTCAGCGGCCAGTCGCTTGGCCTCCTCTTCAGCAGCCTGTTGGACAGCCAGTCGCTTCTTCTCTTCCTCTTCCGCGGCCTGTTGTGCAACGACACGCTTTCTCTCATCCTCTGCAGCAGCAGCCTGTCGCTTGGCTTCCTCATCAGCGGCTTGTTGAGCAGCCAGACGATTTTTTTCATCCTCCTCCGCGGCCTGTTGAGAGGCCACTCTCTTCTTTTCATCCTCTGCAGCTTGCTGGGCGGCTATACGTTTCTGTTCATCCTCTGCGGCTTGCTGGGCGGCGGCCAATCTGTTTTGTTCAGCTTCAGCAGCGAGCTTCTTTTGCTCACTGTCCTCTGCCTCCTTCTCCGCGCGACGTCTCTCGGCCTTCTCCTCGTCCAACTTCTTCTTCTCCTCCTCTGCCTGCTGTTGTTGTTGCTGTCGCTCCTTTCTTCTCTTCTCGCGCTCTTCGGCCAGCTTCTTCTCCTCCTCCTCCAGCTGTCTCTGGGCCTCCTCACGTTGTCGCCTTCGTTCCTCGAGTCTCTTTTCTCTCTCCTCTCTGATTCTCTTTAGTTCGGCGTCTTCATCATCGACAGCTGGAACCGATGGGGATGATGTGCCAGTGGCGGTTGGTGTGGTGGACAACGACGAGGTGTCCTTTGGCTTGTTATCCTGGGCAAGGTCGAGTAAGTTTGAACTGCTGGTGCTCTCGCCAACCTTGGTCATTCTGCTCTTGCGCTCATCTTCAAGCTTTGTGATGTCGTCCTTAAGTTTCTTGTCCTCTTCCTCCCTCAGACGCCTCCTTTCCTCACGTCGCCTCTGTCGCTCCTCCTCGTCCTTCTTCTCCTGCTCCTGCAATTGTTTGAGTTGTTCCTCACGCGCCTTCCTTCTCTCCTCGGCACGCTTCTCACGCTCCTGCGCCTCACGTTCCATTTCCAGACTCTGGGCTTTCAAAGCCTCAAGTCTTTGCTTCCTGGCTTCACTATCATTGTCTGCCATATCTATTGATGTATGTTCAGAGGTGATGTCTACTGTGTCACACCACCAACTCTCTCTATTACTACAAGTTAACCTATATATATAGTTGGTCGAACTGAATGTTATTGGTGATGATATAATCATATCATAAGTATATGATTGATTAAGTTGAGTTGAGTTAGTTATTTAGTTGTTATTATTCTTAACAATCATAACATATGGATGATGATGATAATGATAATAATGATGTTGTATCTTCCTTCGTTCTATCCTTCCTGTATTACTACCTTCCAACTCCACCTCCTCCTACTCATATTCTTTATACTCCAAGATGATCCATTCCAATAAGTGTAGCTGTCCAACCATCAATAACATCACATCAACAACACACAATCATAACATCACCACACAAACACTACACTTCATTCATTCATTCATTCATGTCCTATTATTACAACAACAACGACACACACACACAGACACACACATGGAACAAACAAATAAACACAAAGACACACACAAACACATAATAAAGAGATAGAGTAGGATGTGTTGTGTTGTGTTATGTGTTGTATAAATAGTCTCTTACATACTTTTAGAATTACACACAAGTAACCTTCTTTATCTATCGACAGGTGTATCAAAAGGGCTGCTGCTACTACTTCTTTTGATGCTCCACTGTTGTTGATAATGATGATTGTAACTTGATTTGATTGATTTGATTGATTGATTGATTGATTATTACTACAAAAAATAAAAGATATATATATTATTATACAGATACAAACAATAGTATTGTTTAAACAACAATTCAAATGTTGGCATTGGTCAATCTAAACACCATCCAACAATGTTGCCCTCGGACAGCATAACACAATCCATAATGATTATTATAAACAATATCAGTTTTTTCAAACGAAAAGCCATTCAAATTCAAAAAAAAACCCAACAATGTCTTTGAATCTGATCCAGCCCATTCTACGTTTTGTTGCAAGGTGATCAAGTCGTTGTATTTTTGCTTCCAACTATATTTGAGAACTTCACTTCATCTTGGCAAAGACACACTTGTGTTCGAACCACATCACACACTCATACACATAACACACAAATACAAAGACATACATATACAATGACTAATCTATCTTTCCTATTTAAGTAATAATGTGAATGAATGAATGAATGAATGTACCTTGACAAGCATGAATGAACATGAATGAATGAATGAATTTTATAAAGAGTTATACTCTGGCAAAGACAAAGAGTTAAAGATAGATAGATAGATGGACTTAGACAGGAAGATTAGCAAGTATTCAGTTGTGGTCGGTGCATTCGCAACGGCTGCATTGGTGATGTTCACAGTCAGTCTGGTGTCACCAATATATACGATACATTTTAGACAAGAGTCCATGGTCAATGCAAACACTCATCGACTGGTAGTGGACGACCAGGTATTCTTCTCGTACAAATGTTATCACTCTCATCAGGTCAACAACTCTAGACGTTACTCATGGGTCGATTCATCATACCCTCGCATGAACAGTATACTATCACTGTCGGCCACATTGTTAATCATTTCAATCATTTTCCTTATACTGTTTGGAATCAATATGGTACCGATAAAGAAGGTTGGCGCCACTCGCTTCCAAGTGCTTGGATTCATCCTGGTGTCAATCACAACAGCACTGACCTTTGTCTCTCTTCTCTTGTTCTCTGGCACTCCCAATGCACTGCGCTACACCACACAAGCAGGTGGCGATCCAACCTGCATCCAAAGGAATCGATTCGTTCATCAATGTGCATCACATATGGGTTCCGATAAAGATGGAGACAGTGTATGTAATGACACTGGAATTGGCATTGGCGGCGACACTTAACTCACTCTCATGACACTCCATCGTAGGAATACAAATGGGGATTCAATCTAGGATTCTGGGCAGAGGTGGCAGGCTTCTTATTGTTGATTGTGATCATTCCATTGTATGTTAAGATCATTAGACTGTTGAGCCAGGAGAGACAACTGGATATTCAGAATGTGGAAGCGGCAAACAACACTGAACCAAAAGAGCCAGAACATATTGTCGTTGGTGTGAGCCAAGACATTGTATATGGCATCGATGAAGTTGATGAGAAGTAACCAACAACATATCCATGGACAAAGTCGATTGGTCCTGGTCCATTCAATGTACATTGATTGATCTTTGGAATAAATAACATATTTATATATATTATAATAGTTGGAGTGGAGGGTGGATGGATGGACGTTCGTTGATTGATCAATTTGGATTGGCAAGTATGTGCACGGCAAAGTTGACACCTGTTGCTTTGGCCTTTAGACTCTCTTGGATCATCTCGGAGAACTTGACGGCGGCCTGTTCCTGGGTCAGGTCAAGAGCAAGCGCATCACGAAGATATTTGATGTCATCTCTATGATTCAACTCTGGCATACCAGTTGATACCATCTATATTGAATGGAGTAGTATGTTAGTTAATACGATTGGATTGGATTGATTCCAGTGATTGATTGATTGATTAGGGATATACTTTACCATCAGGAAGAGGTTTATAAATACATGAGCCTTCTTTCGAATGATGTTGTAGGCCTTGCCACAGAGATCCTCGAATGTCTTGAAGTGCTCACCAATGATATGAGCGAACGAACGAGGGAATACAAATGGTGATCGTTCTCTCTTGATGCCATTCCATGTCTGAACATTGCCCAAGAATCTTCCAAAGTCAATGTGGAAAAGGTGACCAGACTTGGTGATCATAATGTCTATTGTTGAGGTAATTGATTGATTGGGTGAGCCAGGGTTAGGGTCGGCTAGCGCATGTGCTCATTGATTAGTCAACTTACTGTCGTTATGACGATCACCAATTCCAAGGATAAAGGTGTAGACACAGCATCCAGCACATGATCGAACAAAGTTCTCGACTGCTAGCTTGTACTCAAACTCTGATGGATTGACCTGTTTCAACCAGCTGTCAATGGCTGTCTCTGAGAAGGCGGCGGCAATGCCACCAGAGAGCTTCTGGATCTCTGCAATGGTCACTGACTCGCCAACCACCTCGATCATTCCTTCGAATGGTCCTGTTGTAATACACTTGTAGCTGATGGTCTGGAGGTCGATGCCCTCGCTCAGCCACATCCTATCCATCAGATCAATCATTTGAAGTGTGAGTTGGTCTTGACGCAGGTCATCGCCAGCCTTGAAGATGGTCAAGATGTTGTCACCAAGTGGGTCGCTATTGATGAACGATAGCCAGAGTGGCAGAGTCTTGGACTCCTTGATCTTGCACGCTGAGACCTCAATGCCTCTGGCGCTGAACTCTGGATTGATGGGTAGCTGGAAGTCATTGGCCAGCTTGAGATTGGACAATGATGTTGTGATGTAGTCCTTGCGCTTGGTGTTTGGCACGGTCTTCACACCGATCGCCACGCCCTTGATCATCTGGTACAGGTCGAACTGTTTGTGTATCTCTTGCAGACGATTACCGCTGCCCTTGAGGAAGCTCTCCAAGATGAGTGTGTATCGCTCCACCCACTCGGCGTGCAGCTCGCGGTTAAGGTTAGAGATCTCCGCGACGATCTGCCAGAAGAAAAGATGGCCCATCTGTTGGCGGTTGAGGAGTACGCGGCGCAGCAAGAACTTGGCCAGCACCGAGTAGTGGTTGGGCTCGTGCTTGAGCGCCTGCACAAGCTGCGGCAGGTACAGCGTCAGCTCAGAGTCACTCATGCGACGGAGTGTGGTGATGGCGAACTTGCGCACCTCGCCGTCCAGGAACTTGGAGCTGAGCAACTCGAGCGTGTCAACGGGGTCCAGGGGCAGCCAGTCGTGCATGATCTGGTATAGGTCCTGTACGCACTCTGGACTGTTCCAGGGGACGGACAAAATGACCTTGGACGCCGACTTGGGTACGGTCTTGCAGTAGTGGCGGTGTCGCCAGCACAGGTCCAACTCGTCCTGCGTCAGGTCCGTGAGTGGATCCTTCTCGATGATTGTGGTGAGGTGTTGGAGTTGGGCGATTGTGAGAGAGGGCTCATCCTTGCCGCTGCGACTCGACTCCTTGCCGGGTGGCAATGGTGCGAATATGATTGGGGGCGAGGACATCTCCACCTCGAACGACAGACTGATTGGATTGGACTGCTGATCGGTGTTCTCATTGAGCGATCCGATTGGATTGGGCTTGGAATCGGACCACGTCCTGAGGCAGTGGAAGCCCGAGTTGAGGCGGTTCTGGTAGTTCCACAGACGGAAGTTGACCCAACCCAAGACGGCATCCTCGCGCACGCCCGGTATCTTCACCTTGATCTGCAACAACATGGTCGTGTTGGATGGGATGTGATTGTATGATGTGCCCTCGACCCATGACAGCCACGAGGGGTTCGACATCAGAGCGATCTGAGGCGACAGCATCTCCTGGCCAATCTTGTAGCCGCACTGGTACATCTGGCAGCTGATATAGAGCTTGGGCGACTTGGGCAGCGCCGACGCCAGCGACGGGAAGTTGTCGACGGGGAAGTTCTTGAGACCACCGACGCGCAGACGGAAGTTCTTGGTGACAGAGTACGAGAGGTTGGGCGTGGAGTGATCGAGCTTGTCGTCGTCCAGCTCGATCTCGAGCGACTCGCGCGAGTGCAGCTTGGACAGCTCGCTGTAGTCAGAGATCAGCTGGAGGTGCTGAAGGTCCAGCGTCTGCTTGGGCACGAGAATTAGATCGATCTTCTTCTGTCGTCGCGATCGCGTGTTGATGTAATCGATTGATGAGAGTGGGATTGATTGATTGAGCAAATAGATCTCGACGCCACGTATCTTGACGACGAACATCATCTTAAGCTCCTTGACTGATGACTTGGACTCGGGCAGCTTGTGCGTGATCTGGATGATCTTGGCGTACTTGGAGTAGAGGCTGTCGATGAGCTCGCCCGCCGCCGTCTGAATATGGCATTGGAATGTCTTAATAATGTTCTCGCTGATGAATATGCGCATGTTGCATGTGCCCGCGTGGCCCATCGTGAGCATCTGGTGGTTATTCATCACGGGCGACGAAGGCTGGTCGGCGCCTGTTCTTGGAGGGACCGCGCGGTTGGAAGGCGAGCACGACTTCCACGAGCCACTGCTCGATAGAATCGAGACGTTCTCGACTGACTTGGAGATGTTGTCGTCGTTCGAATTGTTCGTTTCGGCATTGGCCGCGGCAATCTCGAGTGGTCGCGATGACGATGACGAGGTGGAGGGTGGCGATGTCGCCAGGAATGAGGCGTGTGCCTGCGGTGAGAGTGATCGCGAGAGATGATTGAATGAGCGTGATGGTAGAGGGTTGGTAACTGAGCGCACTCTGATGAATGATGACATTGGAGTGCGATAGGACTTAAGGTCGCCATCCAACTTCTTCCTCTGTCTAGTGATTGCCTCGAGGAAATCAATCATCTTTGTCCTAAAGTATATCGATTCTTGATTGGTAGTCTTTAGTGACTCATTATAGTTCTCTATGATTAGGCTGATTTGATTGTTGATAAGTTGTTCCTATTGTATTGGGTGAGGGAGTGAGTGAGTCGACTATGATTGAGTGAGCGGCAGGTGCGCTGGATGGATGGTTACTTACTTGTTTGTTTGATACAATGTATATTACAGGATTAAGAGAGTGATCATTAGATTGATTGACATGATCGGCGAAGTAGGGGATATATTTACTATTGATGGAGAAGACGTTAGTAAATGTCCAGTCGCGAATGGTTACACGGAAACACGCGGAAACAAATAAAGAAGCGATACTTACACAAATATCTTTGGCTCGTTGGAGAAGAAGGTATGAGATGATGTCTTGAGTGATAGTTGATCGACATTGCCTATCTCCATCTTGGCGAGGGTGTAGGCGGCTGTGCTTTGGAGATGCTTGAAGAAACGATGTCGCAATGATTCGATGGTGTCCAACTCGACGCTGTACACACTGTAGTGAAGCTCACCAGAGAGGTTGAGTGTGATTGGATACTGCTTGGTCTGCGCGACCAACGCAGTGAGGTCAGGTGACAATGCAGCCTTGTTGGCAATCTCGGGCAAGTTGGGCGTCGACTTGGACATCAACTTTGGCGTGGACTGATGACGTATCAGCATTGACTTGCTGGTGCCCGTCATTGCCTGCACTGGAGTCTTTGATCGCGGGTCGGTCGTGGTCGCGGGTGGTGCGGGCTCATCGATCTCGTGATCGCTGGGGTTGTTGCACTTGAAGGCCACGTGGATGTTCTTGATGATGTCGCGCACCTTGAAATCCTTGCTGCCCTCGGCCTCGAGCCTGGCGACCAATGCATCAGTCTCCTTCTTGCTGGTGGTCTTCTGTTTCTCTGCCACCTGTTGCTGCATCGCCACGATCTTTGTCTCCATGTCGCTAATCAGATTGAGTAGATGCTCCTCCTTGTTGGCGGCCGAGTGGAACAGGTCGTGAATGTTCTTCTGCAGCGTTGCCGCCTGCTGCTGAATCTCGCGCATCTCTCGCAGATGTGGGTTTGACTGGGCGGGCATTGGCGCAAACATCATGTCCTTGTTGAGACGTGTGTTGGGCTGGGCCAAACCGCAGCGAGTGGACCACTCGTCGATGTAATTCATACGCGTCGTCTCTGTCTGCAACATATCGGCAAAGTCCTTACGACCGCGTTCGATCAAACTATCAGCGGCACGTTTCTCCAACTCCTCAGTCTTTGCCCTTGTCGTACTCTTCTGTCTATCCAACACATCCAACTCCTTATCACGTTTATAAACGTCGACCATCACTGTATAATACAATCTTGTAGCATTCTTCTTTATATCCTCTGATCTTCTCTCCAACTTGATTCTACGTTCATTATTATGTGGTTGAGATTGTATTTGAGCTTGTGTCTGAGTTTGTGTTGTTTGAGTTTGAGTTTGTGTTTGGGTTTGAGGTGTTGCAGATCTGTCTGGAAGCATGTGTTTTGTTGGGCCTCCAATAAAAGACATATCTTATATCTCTAATAATAAATAAATATATATATAAAGTTGAGTGTGAATAAGTATGAATGAGAATGAATGATTGAGAAGACAAGTTCTTTGGAATGGTCGTGAGCCTGCCCTTCCCTACCCCTCGTGATTCGCAATGCAATCAAAACTTTCGGAGACTCCAAAATTATTTGATTTGCGTTGTGGATCACCCTTTTGAAATGATCTGATTGTTTGTTTGTGGAGCTAAGAAAACGAATGATTAGTGTGTGTGTTTGATTGATTTGGGGTTGTGTGTTCCCAATCCAACCGAATCAGCAATCAGATAATAATGGAAGGTAGGAAGAGGGAACAAGCAATTAATTGGACCATTCTTGCGACCATGCCACATGACACATCACATCACACATCACATGGCACATGACACTTGATCAAGCTAACTGATGCGTTATTATTATTATTATGAGGATGTGGCAGCAGCAGCGGCGGCGGCAGCAGCACGGGCCTTGGACACTTCGCCATAGGCCAGATGTACACCTGAGGTGTAGGTGTTCTCAAGCATCACATCCAACATTAGACCGGCTGACTGATTGACGTTAACCAATTGGTTGTTTGTGTAGAGGTCGGTGAACATCTTCTTGGACTCCTCATCCACTGATTGTGTTCTAATGGTGACCTGCATGTCAGTGTCCATGGGACCTGGTGACCAACTGAATGCCTTGATGTTGTTTGTTGATTTCTGTAACAATTGTGATTGATTGATTGGAATGGATTAGTTTGGGTTAGTGATGGGTCGATGGGACTAGACATGGCGCGTCAATGGACATAACATTACATTCTCCTCAGCAATGACAGAGGTCAACATGTGGCGACTAAGTTATGATAATGATGATGATGTTAGTGTGTGGCCAATCCAACAATGTAGCGTGGATGTACTTACGCTGCCTTTCCACTGCAGTATACACCCCAGGATGAGAGTGGACGAACAGCAGCACCTGATGAGACGTTGATCAGAGTGATGTCGGTGGCAGCGACAGTCTTGAACTTGGCAAGGAACAACGATGATGTTACAATGGTCGACGTGACATTAGTAGTAATGTCATTGGCGATTGATTGGAAGTCCTTGAAGCTGGATATTGGTAGTCTTGTTAGTATCTCGCTCAACAAGCAGGGATGGCAATCCAACAACATACTTCTCAGTGAACTCAATCGAACCAAGTGAACCATGATTGTTGATCAAAAGGTATCTCTGGTATCCTGATGTTGTTGTGTCAACCTAAAACGATATCATAATCGATTGATTAACATGTGATCACTCACTCATTCGGTCACTCACACTTCACTCAAACATACCTGATCTATCGATTGCTTGAATGATTGCTCGAGAGTTGAGATGTCACCAAAGTCACATGTGACCAAGCTGACTTTGGAGTCGGCTCTGATCTGCTTGATGATGGTCTCAGTCGATTGCAATCCCTCTCTTGATCTAGCGTACAATACAAAGTCAATGGAAGGAATGCGCTTGGCAAGCTCCTGACAAATTGCAACACCAAATCCCTTTGATGCTCCTGTTACCAATGCTAGTGTCTTCAATTGTGACATCTTATTATCTATCTCTATATTATGTGTTTGAATAAGCAATTAATGTTTGCCCTGATTGATCAATCATTCCCAAAATATCCAGGTCCTCCAAAGGACCTCACACGGGACCACAGACAGAGGTCCACGGAGGTCGTGACGCCAAAGTAGGACGAAACATCAAACTGATCTTCTGATCTTATCTACACTACATCTTCCATATTTTAATCGTTGGATCTTTGTCGATTGAACCAGAGGCTATGATGTTCTCTGTTGGGTGACATGCGATCGCAAGGACAGTATCGGTGTGGCCTTCGAGTCGCTGGAGAACCTCCTTGCTCTGTAGGTCCCACAAGTAGATGGCATTGTCCTCCGAGCCAGACACCACCCAACGTCCACTACAGAACGCTGAGAACAAGCAGTACTTCTGGTTGATGTGGCCTTCGTAGGTCTTCATCACCTTGTTATCACTATAGTTCCACAGTCGCAGTTTAGAGTCCAAAGTGCCCGCCAGCACATACTTCCCATTAGGTGAGAAGCTACAATATGATACTATTGGTGGCTTATTACTCTCGATCAACAATGTGAACAATATCTTTGCTGTTGATGTATCCCAAATACGACTGGAGTGATGAATGTGATGTATGTGTTAGTCAATGAATGAATGAACGTTGGGATGATGATATTTACATTGATCCATCATGACTACTTGTGACTAGTACAGTACCATCGCGGTTAAATTGCACTGATGAGACGGTCTCTGAGTGCGCCTGTATCGTCTTTAGTATCTTGCCCGTCTTGACATCCCATAGTATGACGTCTTCATCGAATGATCCACTGGCAATCATGTTGGCCTGTGGACTAAAGGTGCAACAGAACACATAGTTCTTGTGACCCTTGAGCACCTTGAGTTGTTCGCCTGTCTCGCTATCCCATATTCCCACTGTCTTGTCATCTGAAGCCGTACAAATGTACTTTGAATCCGGTGACCAACTTGCATCCGACAGTCCAAGCTTATGTCCCGTCAGTGATCTCAAGAATACAAATCCATTATTAACATCCCATATCTTTGCTATTCCATCGGCAGCTATATCGTTCATTCATTCATCCATTGGCGAGTGTTAGTTCATTCATTCATTCATTCATTCATTCAATCTCTCTCCCTCTCTCAATCTCCTAACATACATGCACTTAACAACCATCTACCATTGGGAGAGAACTTTACACATGATATCGATTTGGTATGTCCTTGTATAGTATATTTCAGCTTAAAGTCTGGCTTTGTAGCCTTTGTCTTTGATTGAAATGTTGAGGATGTTGATGATGATGACCCTGTTGCCTCCTCAACATTATTCATTATAGTATCTTCTTTTGTCTGTTCCATTGTACTTAGGAGTGTTCACCTTTATCTCTAACTCTAACTCTATCTCTATCTCTCTAACACTTTATCTCTTTAATTAACACACACAATGTTCTTGTTTCTTGCAAAAAACACCGTTTGGTTGGTCTTTCCTTGTTTGAGCGCGAATTGAAACTGAACACCCTCTACCCTTTTGGAATTGGTTTGAACTTCATTGACTTCTCTAATTGGTCATTCACCTTTTATATTTATTCCAATGATTTATAAATATTGGTCATTCATCATTATCAATGTTATTATAATTACATGATAATAATTTATCATCAATCAAATAATAATAAATGTTATCAAATATAGAATAATAATATGGGTAATTCTAATTCTAATTTAAAGAAATGTAAGTTATAAATGAATATTTATATTATATTCATATTAATATTAATTCATTATTATTATAACTAGTTACTTTGGATATTAAGATAACAAAGTTAGATACGCATTTACATAAGGATGAGAAGTTATATTTGTTTAAAGTATTACATTACTTTTCCAATATCCCAGAAGTCACTGGATTAATTGATCATATTCCTGATTTGCTGTTCAATATACCTGATCAAGATATACATGAAGTATATAAGAATGATGATTATTCCCCTGACTACATATTTAAAAGATCATTTTATGTTGGTAACTTCAAATTATTAGCCACTTGGTTAGAGACTAAGTATGTTACCGCTCAGGACTTTGGTCCCATCTGCGAGTTGAAGTGGGGACATGATGGAGGCGGACCAAGTGTTGGAGTCGCCGCAGGAAGTGAGCTCATCACTCCATCATATCCAAAGTTACATCAAGAACAAGTAGCACGTAGACCTCAGGCCCAGGTCGATTTAGTCAATGCCAGACAACATCTAATGTTGGCAATCCAACTTATGGCACCAGCGGTCAACACTCAACTGAATGTTGCTCATGTCCTAATGATACAATTCGCCTTCAACACAATTGTAGCGACCTATGCCAACATACAACAAGCAACAGAGACGGCTAGAGCCACGTTGAGGTCCGCCATGCAGGCCTTGGATAATGCAAAGTTGAACTGGGGTGTCAGGTCCGTCGAGTTACTACTCGAAGCCAAACGACTTCTATGCGGTAGTGGTAGTCATAGTGGTAGTCATCATAGTGGAGGTAATCATGTTCGTAGTCCATCAGAGTGTACACAAGACAAGTCCTCCTCTTCTTCTTCATCATCTTCTTCTTCTCCTCCATCTCCTCCACTACCTCCACCACCACCACCTCCTCCAACTAGTCAAGATACTCCAACTCCTGCAGCTACTACAACAATACCACCTAGACAAGAAGATGATCATAAAGGACCAAGTAGTGATAATGAATCAGAATGACCTTAATTAATAAATATAAATACAACTTAAGTTATATATCATTATTGAATGAATGGATGGATGGACCGATCTGAGTGCGTTGTCAATGGACATGGTGAGAACACCCCTTCGAACACATTCACACACAACACCCCACCCCAAACAAACACTTATCACACTTGGCAACAACACATACTTGCTTGACTTCTTCTCCTGCTCACGAGTATTAGTTCTCAACAACAACAGCTAGATATTTACGACAGTGAGAGAGAGATAGATATACATACATACATACATACATAACAGTAACATATTCCTCATAAATATAAAAACAAACATTAGTAAACTAACTATAGTTAGTTAGAGGAGATTCTAGAACATTCATTAGAGAGAGACTAGACTCTAGAGACACAGTGTGTATATATATATATATATAAGAATATTCATTTGTGTTTGGTGATGGTGATGATGAATCTCGTCCTCCATCATGGTGTCATTAGTAGTAGATATACCGACAAACACGACGACATCGACGTCGACGAATGATTTGTTATGCATTGGCATCTCACCAGAGATGTCAGTTGTATCTTCATCATCAAAGTCGATGATCATCAACAATCATAATAATAATAATAACGATATAGCAACAACAACAACAACAACAACATCAACAACAATATATAATAATAACAACAGTAACAGTTGTGGTGAGGCAATGATGGTAGGCGACTCCCCATTGACCAAGTACTTTAACAATTCGATGTTTAGTCCACCTGTACATTCTACATCCTCTTTCATCTCATCAATCAAACATCAACAACAACAACAACAACAATCACCTCGCATCAACCTCCTCACACCACCACAACCTCCTCCCGTTCATATCATCGAGCATGTACATGACCATGATGATGATGTTGATGTTGATGTCAATGTCATCGACGACGATGAACCGAACAACTTGTACAGAAGAACGATAGCACTCAACATATCACCGGAAAACCTGTTGCCGGTCGATGCGCCAACCGAAGGTGCCGCCTGTCCCTCGCCCTACAAGTCCTACATGGTGACGCTGGGCGTGGCTGGCAGCAGTCCCAAGCAGAGCGTGATGGTCTCCCAGGAGCAGACGGCACACGACCGCGAGACACAGGGCGACCAGTCACCCTACGACGCCGACGACGAATATGCAGACGACAATGATGGCGACCATTCGCCCACCGCCGACAGCGCCACACAACAAAAGAGTAGCAAGCGAGAGAAACAAACAGGTGCCTGGTGTCACCAATGCAAAGTGCTCAAGTTTGAGTATATCCAATGTCGCGCCCATGACAACGGACTACCAGCGTGCAACAAACGCTTCTGCTCCACTTGCATGACCAAGCACTACAACAAGGAAGTAGCCTCGCTTAAGCAGCGTGTCAAGCCCTGGGTGTGTCCATTCTGCAAGCAGACATGTTCTTGCGCCGCCTGTCGAAGGAGAAGAGTATGTATGAGTGTTGATTGAATGAATGAATGTATAACTGACTCATGTATACATTAGGGCGAGTTACCTGAGGTTGGCAGCACCAAGCCAGCAACACCTCCCCTTGGCCCAGTGAAGAATAAGATGGTTGTGAGGGGCACTAACGGCCTGAAGCAACAACATGAGGATACGGGCGTCGAAGTGGTCGGCCACACAGCAGACAAGAACATCGTGGTGATGTCAACAGGACAACATAGTATAGTGACGACACCCGCCGCATTCTACAACGTCTTCCCACCAGAGGATGCCAAACAAGAGTTCAACGTGCTCACACCGATGTATCGTGTGATCCCCGAGGTCGACCGATCGGACGGCTATAAGAAGCTGCTACGCGCTTCCTACCGAGGCAACTGGACCGAGCGCTTCGACCTCACCAAGTACATGGAGCGTATGGATCTGGACAACATGTTGTTCGAACAAGAGATACTGCGGAGAAGGGAGGAGGAGGACCGGATCGCTGCCGAGGTGTTTGAGAGACAACAAATGGTTGTGGAGAATGGTATCCTGCACCAGAAGGATGAGTTGACGACCGATGGTGCCCCGATGACCTCAACTACTTCGACCTTGGAGACCCCCAAATCCACGCCACTGCGCACCAGAAGATCCACTGGAGATAGCATCCCTCTCAACTTTGACATGTCCCTGTCTGCTTTGTCCCGTCGCAAGCGCAAGTCACCAAAGAAGAACGCCGGTGACCCTGAGACTGACTCCAATGGACAGCCACCCGCCGAGCTCTCCAGTGACGAGGACACCTCTGACGAAACATATTTGAAACGACACGCTGTGCTGGCCGCCGAGGAGAAGGTGTGGTACGCAAGCTTCAACAAGAAGAAGGGACGCAAGAAGGATGCGGTCCACAAGCAACACTCTGCGCCCTCTTCCGCTCCTCACTCGCCGTTGATCAAGGCCGCAAGCAGCCAGTCGGTGACCTCGTCGCCGAATCTCCAGGCAGTCAAGAAGATTCCTCTGCGAACCAGACTAAGAACGAGCTACCCTCCAACATAGACGTATATCCTGGCTTCATCAACATTATCAAGTGAGTTTGGAAGCATAGTCAGGCCAAGGGCCATTGCCTATTGGCGTCATCAGCGGTCCTGCTGCCGACCAACTGTAACAGCAGCAACCACCGCCAATCGGATGAAGAATCTATCGCACCAATAGTGAGCACATCCTATTGTTACAAGCAAAAGAGCACCCATCCAAGTTGTGAGTCAGTTCATCAACTTTGGTTGGAGAGAGAGAGAGAGGGAGATAGAGAGAACGAGCATCGATCAAAGCTGTCCCATATCCATCCGGTGCCAACACCAAGGTTGGAAACCTTGTTCAATACATAGTTATTGCAATAAATACATTAATGTAACCAGCCCCAGTTATAGACACTCCTTTAGATTATGGTTTAGATATTATTAATTAATAATTCTTTATTGATTTGTTGATTAGTTGATTAGTTGATGATTGATTGATTCATTGGGTGATCATAGCTATTTGATTGTTGGGTTAGGATGGTTAGTATTTGAATAATGATTGATTCTCAGAGGTGTGGATAACTTACCATCATGTCCATTCAAGATGTCCTTGTCAACGGTCACACAGTACTTTCCGTTGCTGTCAAACTTGTTGTCATTCTGTACCTTGCCAAGTTGAGTGTAGCCATTAGCTGTGATAATGATACAGACATCCTTGGCTGGGGTGGTGGGGAGGAAGACGTAATAACCACCGCTAAGGTTGTTGGATGTAAGAGGATTGGTCACTCCATCGCCATCGGTCCTGGTCATGTTGAATGCTGCGAGCCTCTTGGTGAGGTCGAGGACTCCATCCTTAGTGGCGGTGTTGTCCCAAACATATCCTTGTAACTTGAATCTCTTCATCATGCCAAGATGAGCATTGGTGATATCTGCGTCGACAATGGTGAAGCAGTACTCTCCCTCAAAGTTGTACTTGTTGTCACCGGGCTTGTCAGTTGGCCAATAGCCTCCTGCGAGGTAGGTGGCCTTGATGCAGTAGTCTCCTGGAGGGGCATCATGGAACCAATACTCTGATGAGGGATCTGGAGTGATGGTGGCCAAAAGGAACCTGTCTGCCTTGGTGAATATCTGCATCCTCATTGGACCGAATGGTTTGTTGGTGTCGAGTTTGCCATCATACGCGGAAGTATCATCCCAAATCTTGCCCCTAACCTGGAAAGTCGGACCCTTGATCATGGCTGAATGGAAGGGAGGGATATAATTAATAAATAATGTTATGTCAAGACAGAGTATAGACTAACTTACCATCATGAGCATCCAGGATATCCTTGTCAACAGTCAAACAGTACTTGCCAGTCAAGTCGAACTTGTTGTCATTTTGTATCTTGCCAAATTGGTAGTATCCGGCCGCCTTGGTATGGATACAAATCTTGCTGGGTTGATCAGTGGGCATGAGAACGTAGTAACCTCCTGTAGTGATGCCCGGGGTAGAAATAGGGTTGCTGCTGCCATCGGCCTCGGTCTTGGTCAAATCGAAAAGTGGAACTGGTTTGGAGGCGTCAAGCTTTCCAGTCTTGTCTGCGGTGTCATCCCAGACGGTTCCAGCGACCTTCCATCTCTTGAGCACTCCCAGATGAGCATCGGTCATGTCAGTGTTGAAGATCGTGAAGCAGTACTTTCCGTCGATATTAAACTTGTTGTCACCGGCATTGATGGTGGGCCAGTAGCCTCCGGCGGCGTAGGTCTCGGTGAGACAGTAGTCACCAGCACGCAACATTGAGAACTTGTACGAGCCCGTTGCTGACGCAATCGAATCAACCACAGTGTTGTCAGACTTCTTGGTAAGCGACATCTTGACTGGACCAAATGGCTTGGTTGTGTCTACCTTGCCATCATTCTTGGTCGTGTCATCCCAAATGTTGCCACCTACATCGATTCCTTTAACGAATGCTAGAACAATCATTGATTGATTGATTGGTCGAGTTAGTGCTACTGTATGACGGATTAATTGAATGATTGTTACTTACCAGCATTAATCAACTTATTCTTGTCGACTGTCAAACAGGCCTTGCCATCTTTGTCAAAGTTGTTGTCATTCTGCACCAAGCCAAGTGGGAGGTATCCAGGAGCTGAAACGTAGAAACAGACAGGTGGCTTGTTGACTGGGATATAATAGAACATCGATGTTTGAACGGTAAAGTATGTCCAGACCAATGGTGTTCCATCACCATAGCTCCATGATGTATTGAATCCTGGTATCTTGGGACCAGCATCGGAAAGCTTGCCTTGTTGCACCTTCGTATCATCGAATGCACCAATGGATAGGATGAATATCTTGTTCATGCCCAGATGAGCGTCTTCAACACTGTCGGTCAACTTGAGGCAATATCTTGCGGAGTACACGCCAAACTTGTTGTCACCAGAGTTGTAGGTGGGTGCATAACCTCCGGCAGCATAAGACTCGATTATACAGTAGTCGCCAGCTTCCAAACCAAGGAATTGATATGGTCCAGTTGCATTCTGTTCTGACACGAGAGAGTTGTCCGATGATTTGATGAGCTTCATTGAGACCGGTCCGAATGGCTTGGACTTGTCGAGCTTTCCATCAAAAGCCATGGTGTCATCCCAAATGAATCCACTGATCTTGAGGCCCTTGACAAATGCTGGAAATTGATTGATTAATTGAATAAATATGGTTAGTTGCATGAGGTGGGAGGGGGATGATTACATTAATCAGTGGATGATAATTACCGGCATACACCGTCATATCCTTGTCGACGGTCAAACAGGCCTTGCCATTATCGTCAAAGATGTTGTCATTCAGTATCTTGCCAAGTGGGAGGTATCCAGGAGCTGAGACATAGAAACAGACAGGTGGCTTGTTGACTGGGATGTAATAGTACATCGATGTTTGAACGGTAAAGTATGTCCAGACCAATGGTGTTCCATCACCATAGCTCCATGATGTATTGAATCCTGGTATCTTGGGACCGGCGTCGGAAAGCTTGCCTTGCTGCACCTTCGAATCATCGAATGCACCAATGGAGAAGATGTATATCTTGTTCATGCCCAGATGAGCGTCAACAACATTCTCGGTCAACTTGAGGCAATATCTAGCGGAGTAGACACCAAACTTGTTATCACCAGTGTTGTAGGTGGGTGCATAACCTCCGGCAGCATAAGACTCGATTATACAGTAGTCGCCAGCTTCCAAACCAAGGAATTGATATGGTCCAGTAGCAGTCTTTTCAGACACAAGAGAGTTGTCCGATGACTTGATGAGCTTCATTGAGACTGGTCCGAATGGCTTGGACTTGTCGAGCTTTCCATCAAAAGCCATGGTGTCATCCCAAATGAATCCACTGATCTTGAGGCCCTTGACAAATGCTAATTAATTCATTGATTGAGGGTTAGTTATTGGAAGCGTTGGGAGGGTGTCATTGGTACTTACCAGCACCGAGGTTAATGCCATCCTTGTCAATGATCTGGCAGTGCTTGCCATCAGTGTCAAAGATGTTGTCATTCTGCACCTTGCCCAGGGGTTCGTAGCCACTGGCCTTGATGTAGAAACAGATATTATGCGGCTTGTTGGCGGGGATGAGTAGGTAGATGCTTTCGGAAGTACCCACATGTGTGTAGATAATGGGAGTTCCATCGCCATAGCTCCATGATGAATTAAAGAATGGTGAAAAGCCCTTACGGTCAGAGAACCTTCCTTCTTGGACAGCAGTGTCGTCGAATGATGAGATGAGGGTCTTGTATTGCTTGAGCATACCAAGATGAGCGTCGTCCTCATTGGCGTTGGTGAGGGTGAGGCAGAATTGCTTAGAGTTGATGTCGAACTTGTTGTCGCCCTTGTTGAGGGTGGGGTAGTATTGGGCCGGGGCATTGGACACTGTGACACAGTACTCACCTGGATAAAGACCAGAGAACTGATAATCACCGGTAGCAGCTGGAAGTTCCGCAACAACAGAGCCATCAGACTTCCTGGTCAGAGTCATCTTGACTGGACCGAATGGCTTGGATGTGTCCAACTTGCCATCAAAGTTATCGGTATCATTCCAGATCGAACCCTTGATTGCGAACAGTGTAGATGATGTGGTAACGCCGGTGGTAGTCGGAGTAGAAGTGGTGACAGGGGTCGAGGTTGTTGGGTTCGAGGTAGTTGGGTTCGAAGTTGTTGGGTTCGAAGTTGTTGGGTTCGAAGTTGTTGGGTTCGAAGTTGTGATTGGAGTTGAAGTTGTGGCAGTAGGGTTCGAGGTTGTTGGGCTTGAGGTTGTGGCTGTTGGACTTGATGTAGTAGTTGGGGAGGAGGTTGTGGTAGCTGGACCAGTGGTGGGAGGGGATGTGGTAGTGACTGTTGTTGTTGCCGATGTGGTTTGGGTGATTGTTGACGCGGGACCAGTTGTGGAGGCAGTTGTTGTGACAGTAGTAGTTGCCGAGGTCGACGTTGGTCCAGTTGTTGGGCGAACAGTAGTGCTGGCCACTGTGCTGGCAACAGTTGACTGAGTGGAGACCGTGGTAGATGCAACAGTTGATGTTATTGGTCCGGTTGTTGATGCCGTAGCTGGAGCAGTGGTCGTCACAGTTGTCGACGCCGAGGTAGACTGGGTGATGGTCGAGGCAGGGCTTGTTGTTGTGGCAGTGGTTGTGGCTGTCGTAGATACTGTGGTCGAGGTTACACCAGCAACAGTGCTGGCAACAGTACTGGCAACAGTTGACTGCGTGGAAACTGTGGTAGAGGCAACAGTTGATGTTATTGGTCCAGTTGTCGAGGCAGTACCAGATGCAGTGGTCACGGTTGTAGTTGCCGAGGTTGTCTGAGTGATAGTGGAGGCAGGGCTAGTTGTAGTGGCAGTGGTGGTCACAGTGGTAGAGGCAGCAGTTGATGTTATTGGTCCAGTTGTTGAGGCCGTAGCTGGAGCAGTGGTCGTCACAGTGGTTGATGCCGATGTCGTCTGGGTAATGGTGGAAGCAGGGCTCGTTGTGGTGGCAGTGGTGGTCGCTATGGTAGACACAGTGGTCGAGGTTGGTCCTGATGTCGATGTTGTGGTGGCAGTGGTGGAAACTGTCGTCGAAGTTGGACCAGTTGTTGGTTTCAAAGTGGTGCTTGCAACTGTGCTGGCGACAGTGGACTGCGTAGATACTGTGGTAGAGGCAACCGTTGAAGTTATTGGTGCTGTGGCGGTAGCTGTACCAGAGGCAGTGGCGGTAGTGGATGCTGTTACACCGGATACAGTGCTGGCAACTGTACTGGCAACAGTGGACTGCGTGGAAACTGTAGTAGTGACAACAGTTGATGTAATTGGTCCTGTAGCCGAGGCGGTACCAGCAGTGGTGACGGTGGTAGTTGCCGAGGTAGTTTGAGTGATGGTAGATGCAGCGCCAGTTGTGGTCACCGTGGTGCTGGCGGAGGTGGATACGGTGGTAGTCGCAGTTGTAGTTGCCGAGGTTGTCTGAGTGATGGTGGAGGCTGGGCCGGTAGTTGTGGCAGTGGTGGTCACAGTGGTCGAGGTTGGTCCAGTGGTGGGTTTGACTGTGGAGCTGGCGACAGTGGACTGAGTAGAGGCCACAGTTGATGTTATTGGACCTGTAGTGGACGGGGCAGTGGTGACAGTGGTCGTTGCCGACGTAGTCTGAGTGATGGTAGAGCCTGGGCCGGTAGTTGAAACGGTTGTGGTGGCAGTAGTGGACACGGTTGTTGAGGCCTGACCACCTACAGTGCTGCCAGCAACAGTCGACTGAGTGGACACAGTTGTAGACGTTACAGGGGAAGTTGCAGTGGCACTAGATGTCACCGGACTGGTAGCAGTGGTTGTGACAGTGGTGCTGGAGGTTGGATTGGCTGTTGTTGTCACAGTGGTGGAAGCAGAAGAGGTCACGGGGGAAGTACTGGTCGCGGTCGTTGTAGCCGATGTGGTTTGGGTGATGGTAGAGACACCTCCAGTGGTAGTAGCAGTGGTCGACGCTGTTGTCGAGGCAGTGGTAGGGGCACCAGTTGTTGTTACAGTGGTAGAGGAAGTGGGGATGGAGGTTGTCGTAACTGTGGTAGTTGCCGTTGCCGAAGTACCGGTGGCTGTCGTGGTAACTGTCGTGGTGGCAGACGTTGTTTGAGTGATAGTTGAACCCGCTCCAGTTGTGGATACAGTTGTTGTAACGGTGGTGCTGGCAGTGGTACTAGTCGGGGCAGTTGTAGTAGTCACTGTTGTAGAAGAAGTGGGAATAGAAGTTGTGGTCACCGTTGTTGTAGCGGTTGCGGAGGTTGCCGTGGCGGTGGTGGTTACAGTCGTCGAGGCTGAGGTGGTCTGAGTGATGGTGGAACCCGCTCCAATAGTTGATGCCGTGGTGGTAACTGTAGTCGACACAGTTGTTGAAGACACTCCCGCAACAGTGCTGGCCACAGTACTGGCAACGGTGGACTGGGTGGATACTGTCGTTGAGACCGTGGTAGAGGCCACTGAGGCAGAGCTGGTCACAGTGCTGGCAACAGTACTGGCAACGGTGGACTGAGTGGACACAGTGGTTGTGAAAGTAGTAGAAGCCACTGAGGCAGAGCTGGCCGCAGTGCTGGCCACAGTGGACTGTGTGGACACAGTAGTGGTGATCACACCCGTGGTCGGTTGATTGGTAGTTGTGGTTGTTGTCGCCGTAGTAGACGATGTGGTGGAGCAATATGGAAGTCCATTACCCAAGAGGCAAATCATGCCCTTTGGACACTTCATGAAACGGCATTTATCAATGCATGTCGGGGCAAGACCAAGATGTTTTCCACAACAAACTTGATCTTCCGGGCAATAAATCTGACCACATTGTTCTAATTATTTAATTATAAATATTATAAAGTTAGTCAAGATTGTCCAATCCAATCCAATCGAAGTACAATGTATACTACATACCAGCTGTGGTAAACAGACAAAGTCCTAATAACAAAATAATTAATGTCAAAGATCTTAACATTGTATATTTGTTGTTGTAGGAGTAATATGAATAATTAATGATCCATAAGGGTAGCAGCCCTAGTTAATAGCCATTGCCTATCTACCTACCTACAGGATTATACATTTTAATATTATTGCGGTAAGGGTCAAGTCTCCAACCCAACATCCAAGTACACCCCAACACTACTGCTCTCTGTAATAGTGGTATGTATTGTTATTGTTGTTGGTTATTATATTATTGAGTTGAGTTGAGTAGGCTAGGCGTAATTGTTTGTTTAATATTAAATCTCTCTCTTACCATCATCCCACACGAAGAGTAATGTATGTCTGTCAGTCAATCATACATATGAATAACACCCACCTGAGGTAACAAGAATTTCGGGGGGTAATTTCTTTATGGGTCAAATTCATAGGACAATGACTGATAGATAGACATAAACGGGTAATAATTGTTGTTGTTTATTACAAACCAAAGAAGTTCTTGATGTTGCGCATGATGTTGGGTCTATCTGTCACCATTTGGCTTGATGATGACTGGGTTGTAGACTCAGTGTGAGTGATTGTGTTGGTTCCATGGCTGTTTTGGATATTCATGGTATTGTTGTTGACCTGGAGGTTGTTCTGGATCATTGTGATGGCCGGCTGTGAACCAGCGCCTGTGGCCTTGATTGTTACATCGTATTGCACATTTACAAGTCCACTGGCGATATGTTAGAGTTATTTGAATTAAGAATGAATGAATGTGTAAACATACCTTGTTTCCTTGGATGTGATCAGGTTGCCAGTGGACTTCTTGTCGCGCAGCACTACTGTCCTTTGCTTCTTGGTCAATTTCTCTGGATCAATGATGGCCAGGTCCTTGGATTGCTGGGCAACGAGGGCCTTGGAGGACCTCTTACGCTTCTTTGGCACAAATCGCTTGTCTCTTGGTTGGGTAGGGACCATTCGATCAGACCAGACTTTACCCATGCTTGCATGACAYTGGATTGACAGGCACTCTTGTCCCAAGCATAATGGGTCAGTGAGAGATAGTGCTCGGGCTTGACTTTGAACTTTGGATTGGCATGTATCTCTTTGAGTAGCAAATCTGAGAGACACTGCCTAAACGAGGAGAAAATAACCAAGTCAAGGGGCTGGATCATGTGAGTAAGGTTGGATGGGAACGAGTGAATGTGTAGGTTGTTCTTCTCGGCCACAGCGATCACCTCGGAGAAATAATTGGATATGTGATTGTCCAGGAGTAGTAGCTTTGGCTTCTTGCTGTCAAAGTAGCTGCACAACCATTCTATAAACCTGGCCTTGAGCTCCTTGGTCATCTATGATGTTATGATGTTTGACAGTGTCAGTAGTTACTACTATGGTTATATTGACTTGGTTGTCCTACGTGTCCAGGAGTTGGTCACACATACATATCCACTGCTATTGAATTCAATGTGTCCAAAGTCTGCATGATACTTGAAGTCCATCTTCTTTGTCGAGGGGAACTGCAATACACCATATACAGGTAGAGCCTTGCCAGTAGCAGTGATCGCACCAACCAATGTGAAGTGCTGACTCTGTGTCTGTTTCACTATCTTGGGCTTGGCTGTCTCGCTGAGGCTGCCGCTGTCCATGATGCAGACCTATATTAAATGATTGAAAATGTCAGGCGCTGCAACTGTGAATGAATGAATATATACTATGGTGAATGTAGTTTACCTTGCTTGCAACATTTGTGAACACAACACCTTTCTCGTCAATGTTGATCACATCACAGCTGTTCGATGCCTTTTTCCAGGATGAACTTCATGATGGTCTCTCTAAACTCATTAAGTGATGCCTTGCGCTCGGCGTTCATACGCACAAGATCTTGCTGTTTGAGTTTCCTCAACTTTAGAGTTGGATGTCTCTTCTTGAACTCCTTCCACCAGTCATCCGATGGCAATTTGTCTCTGCTTGTTCCTGTTCGCTCAGTGAACATCTCCACAACTCGAGTCAACACCTGTCTCTTTGTCATTGGCTTGTAATGTGCAATCGACATCTCTATCTCCTTGACAAGCATATCCTCTTGCTCCGCCTCCAATAGTCGCTTGGTAGATGGGATGCCATTGTTGGCCAATGCCTTGGATATATCGCTTGGCCTGACATCATACTTTAGTGCCAACTGTTTATGTTGTATTGTATTATCCTCGTGCAATTCCTTAAAGACTTCCTCCATTCTCTCTTTATAGTCCTTTTTCTGTATCCTGGTTGGAGTATTTCTAAGAGGTACGCCTGACATGTCTTAAAAATGCTCGTAATAATAGTACATGTAGATGATATCAAAATGATCGTATAATTATATTTGTATAAGATATATTATATATGATTAGATAGTATATGATCTATAGAACAACAATATTATCTGTTTGTTTAATAATTTGGGAAATTAATTAAATGAATCACGTCTACAACTATCTCAGACCTGTAACCTTCATCATTCACGCACAAATATCCCCACAGAGAAATTACCCCCTGAAATTCCGAATACCTCAGGTGGGTGTAATAAATCATCACACACACATTATTTTGATCATTGTCGACTTATGTGTGAGAGTATGTATGTGTGTGTGTAGATTATGTGTGTATGAATGATTAAAGAGAGAGTTACTGTAAGTAATGTGGTTATGTAATACGTGCGAGCAAGGCGAAGATTGAACGAATTGTATTACTACGTATGATCTTTCACTTTATATTGTTTGAGCTCTGTGTGAACGTGTAACCCTTTTTGACCTTGCTCTCTCACAAGACAATAGTACCTCATGGGGTACAGGCCTTAATGACTTTGTAGGTGATTTAATAATAGTCAACAATAATAATATTGTACAAATTTTGGGAACACATTATATATATTTCGATTGAACTTGGTTGGTTTGTCCCAGGAGTTGTTGAATGGCTGTAGTCCAAGAGAACAATGACAACTGAGTAGATAGACCTGGAATGTTCATTGCCAATATATAATGAGAAGTACCTCAAAGTTGATGAAACTATAGTTTGCTCCAGGTATTCAATCAAGTCCTGGACTTGTTGATTGAGTGTATGTTCACCTTGATTCATGATCACTAATGAATTCAATTGATTTTGAGCTATCTAATGGATGTCGGGCAATGAGGGAGGATCTTGATCACTTGATAAAGGGTAGGAATATCCATGATCTTCCAGATGAGGTGGCGGTGGACCAATGGATGCGAGAGGAAGATGGGAAATTTAATATAAAGAGATGTTTTTTGTTTTTTTTTTACTTTATACAAGGATAGTTTATTAATTGAAGCATTAATAAATGGTACTCATTGAAGGTACGGGCTATTTCTGTTGATTTGTGAGGGCTATCGGAGTAGGAGTGGGACCTGTCCGTCGACAGCGGGGAGGCGGACATCTGAGTTAAGCGTGTCCAGGAGCCAGCGGGGTCGGAAAGAGTTGAACATTGACTTTGCATCCGGTATGGTGCCAGCAAGGAGCTGGTTCTTGATCATATCTTGTGTAATACGGTGTTAATGCTTTTTTTTTTTTTTTTTTGACTAGAGTGGAAGTTTATTATTATTGCAAATAAATTGGCCTCATTGAAGAGGCGGGATAATATATATAAGTTAGTCGATTTTGAATTTTCTTGATTTTTTTCTTTCTTTTCTTTTCTACTGTAGGCCTCTGAATTCGACCACCAAGTATTTGTTGATAGTTGGCGGCAGAGGCGGAAGACGGGTGTCGCTGTTGCGAGTGCTGAGGTGCCACTTGGTAGTGAACTCGGCCATCTCATTCTTGATGTTGACTGGTCGTCCGGCCAGGATGTGACTCGTGAGCGTGGACATGAGGGAGCGCCACCTCTGGCGGAGGAGGGACTTGAAGGATGTGATGCACACCAAGCTGAGCTTGGCCATCTGGGCCTCCTTGTTGCCAAAGAGGTGGTTGGCGATGTAGTGCCAGAGGTAGAACGTGTTGACGATGATTGCCATGAGGTGGATGAATGGAAGGTTGGGGCGACGAGACTTCGTGGAGATGTCGAATTGCTCATCAAAACAAATTGGAAAAGGTTTCGACACCTGCAGGATTCGAACCTGCGCCCCCGAAGGGAATTGATTTCTAGTCAATCGCCGTAACCACTTGGCTAAGGTGTCTTTTTTGAAAGCAGGCATCAAATGCATCCCTTTTATGCGGACATTTTGCTCTTTTTTTTTGATTTGGCTTATTATTACTATCTCCTTCCATCGAAGCTGGTACTCAAAGAGGAAGTTAACAATTCGATTTATGTCATTGGTATAAATAACTTAGTTTATTGGTTGAACGCTTTTAAATGTCGTTAGGTATAGGTAGAGTGGACGGCTTGATTTGAATCGGTAAGCAGTAGTGTTAGAAGATGACAATGTCATCAAGGTGGAAGCTGGAGCCTGGGGCATCAGAACCGGTGAGCGAGAGAAGAACGTAGGCAGAGTTCCAGCTGGGGCGGTGATGGGGGCGGTGACTTTGTTCCAGGTGGTGCTCAATGGAGACAGAGCAATGCTGTTGGTCTGGAGGACGGCCTGTGCACTGTTCAACCACTTGATGGTGAAGGTTGGCTGCACGTTGGTGCCGGATCCTAGGCGGGTCCACAGGGTGACGGTCTTGGCGCCGGCGGTGGCGGCAAAGCCTGGGTAGTTGCTGACACTGACTCCCCATCCCCATTGTCCAGTGACGGTGACCAAAAGACTCTTGGAGCCACTGTGGGCTTGGGCAGAGGATTGAGCGACATCGGCAGAGTACCAGCTGGCCCATTGTCCAATTGAACCCTCCAGGGTGGCAGAGTTGGTGTCCAAGAAGTTGGTGGATGGAGCGGATGTTGGGGTTGGTGTCGAGGTCTGAGTTGGAGTTGGGGTCGAGGTGGAGGTAGGGGTTGGAGTGACGGTCTGGCCGTTGATGGTGCTGCCAGCATCCTGGTTGTATGGGGCAGAGATCCACTGCGAGAATGAGATGTCCATGTCGGTGTCGTGGGGCATGAATCTCCAGTTGCCAATGTACTTGTTGTTCTTCCAGACGTTGTTCTGGTGGAAGGTGATGGCCTGCTGGATCACGTCGCCAAGGTATGGCGAGTTGGCAGGGTAGGTGCCCCAGTTGGAGAAGAGTCCCTGGCGGCCACAGAAGCTGTTGGTGCAGTTGATGGCTGCGGCGTTGAAACGGAACTCGTTGTGCTCAATGTTGATGTTCTGAGTCTTGTAGCGGTAGCCCCAGGTGTTGTTGAACCATGGGCAGCCGTTGGATGTGTCCCAGGTCTCGTTGGGGCGGCAGAAACGGTCGGCATTCTCCCACAACACAATGCCATCCCAGTTGTTCTCAAACAGGTTGTACGAGATCTCAGACTGGATGTAGCGTGGGCCTCCAAGGACGTCACCGCCAGACTCGGAGATGTAGATGGCGCCCTCTGGGAACGAGTCGCCGGCGGTGGATCTCTGCTTGCCGTTGAGGATGCTGTTCCTGCGGAAGGTGTTGTTGCGGATGACAAAGTTGTAGCTGATCTCGTAGAAGATGCCCATGCCGTCGTTCTCCTCGATCAAGTTGTTCTCAAAGAGGAACATGGCGTTGTTGTTGTCAGCCCAAAGACCTGGTCCAAGGTTGTGATGGACCCAGTTGTTCTTGACGATGGCTCCGTGGACATCCCAGAACTTGCCACCACCAGTGCAGCCACAGCCTGGGCGATGGAGCTCCCAGTTGTCGACGTTGTTGCCAACGACCTCATTGTCAGTGAGCACAATGTCGTAGATTCCTGCGGGGTTGTACGAGGCGAAACCAAACTGGCCGTTGTTCTGGAGGCAGTTGAAGCGAGTGGTCGAGCCAGAGCCGAGGAAGAGACCGGCGCCATCGTTGTCGTGGATCCAGCAGTACTCGACGATCCAGCCTGAGCCGTAGTCGTGGTTGACGGTGGCCTCATCGTTGTTGCTCAAACCAGTGCCATAGTTCCTGATCTCAAGGTAGGCGGATGGTGACGTTGACGGCGGGTTGGGTGAAGGCGTACAAGTTGATGTTGCGGCCGTCAAAGATGGCACCTGGCGCGCCAATGTAGGTGGTGTTGTCTCCTGGGATGACTTGGCCGTAGAGGTCGTCGCCGTGGGTGTGGATGCCTGGCGCGAACCAGAAGGTCTTGCCTGGCTGGTTCCAGTCGATGCCCGAGTTGTCACCGGCGGGAATGACGATGGCGCCTGGGGGTGGCGTGGTGGGACCGCCTCTGAGCAGTGGGCTACCACAGATGGCGGCGGGTGGGGTGGTTGGCCACGCGCTGATCGTGGCAACAATAGTACAAAGAACTACAAATTGATATAATATACGCATATTTGGTTGTTGTTGGTGAAGTTGCGAATGAATGGGATGACCATACTCTGAAGTCAGGATGAGTCCTTTTAAAGATGGTGTCCCTCCCAGCAAGGCGGGAGTCCATCTCCGTGTGATCTAACCACGCGCGCATGACCATGGTCAATCAATCAAACACAATATGTTGTCCAACATACACACCTCCGCGTGCGACATTATGATAAACTACAAGGGTTAGACGAGCAGTCATGTGAGAATGTCTTCGAGGCATTCGTTACAAGGGATATGACATGCCCGCCGCCTCATATTCGAAACATCACAAATATCTATTCGAAGCATCGTCGTAGGCCAGGACCGACAACGATCGAGTGAGCGTGGTTTGAGTGTGTGTGAGGACCCAGATGGGTTTGACTGATTGATTGGATTGAGTGTGGGTGTTGGTGGTGCCGGACGGTCGGTCTGCGGGGTTGGTCATTCGAATGTTGAACTGTCAAATGATGGGGTGGGCCGCGACAATCTACAACTTCAAAGCGCGAGCTGCTTCATGAACGTTTGTTGTTGTTGTTGTGTTGACCAACATGCCAGTCAGACTGACTGACAGATTGAGATTATTAGAAATCGAACAATAAGTTGGCATTGTTCATGACTTACTGCCGAAATAATATCGTTGGAATATGATCATTCCAAGGCCCTCATGGACACCAGTGATCGCGATCATTCATTCATTTCATATCTACCTTGATATGTGTCACAAGTCCAGTAGACAGTGATGTTCGTTGTTATAACTGCTACGACTACTACAACAATGTAGCATACTTATTGAGTAGAGGATCTTGAAGAAGGTGTTGTCCACCATCACACTCAATTGTCAACAGTACTGTGACATCTCCTGTGTCTCCATCTTGCATCATGATTGAGTAGCCAGGAGGATAGAGTGTCACTGCACCAGAAGTCGCTTCAAATGGTCGTCCCCATCCCATGTCCATCAGAGGGCCGCGCAGATCGAACCGACACCAGTTGGTCAGGATGACATCGGCCGACCATCCAATCAGTGACGGTGTATGAGACTCAAAGAATGCTATCCTGTCGGCGATGGCCTGAGGCGTGAGAGCCAGCTGCAGGTTCTTGCGTATGCTGAGTGCCACACGTGATCCTGCTGCGGATGAGGCATCGAGTAGATCTTCGCGGGCAATGTCCACCGACCATAGATTGTTGAAGTTGCCAAAGTACTTGCCATTGGCCATGGCGCCGTTGGGTGCTCGCTCTCGGCCATCTGCTGCCATTGCTACCTTCTCGATCTGACTGTCCACACTTGATCGTCCTCCAAGTCTTGGAACGTTGCCAAGGTGTCGCGCACGAGTGAATGCACCAATGATGACGGTTGCCAATGCATCGCCAGATGATATCCATTGACCGTTGGTGGTTGTGTTTGGAGTGAAGTCCTCCTTCAACATCTCCATTGATCTTTTGTTGATTCGCCACCATGATATGACTGAGGGCACCATCAGGCATGCTGGGGGAGGTGCCTGCTGTGACAATGGAGTGAAGGGGGCTGGTGGGAGTGACGACATCTTGGCGCCAGGGAAGAATCGACCGGGTGTACGAGACCAATCATCTGGGATCAATCCAAAGTCAACAGGCTCACCTCTTGAGATCCGTGCCCAGAGCTCGAGAAAGTCGAGGAATCCACGAAGATCAGTCACTTGATGATTGATCGATGATGCTACACAGATTGTGCCACATGTGAACTGTGATCAGTGGGTTGTGAGTTAGTCAGGTCCAATGCATGGAGGCGTTAAAGCAGAAGGGCACCATCATACCTTTGTGATCTTGACAGCGAGAATGCTTGCTGATGGAGGGAGAAGTGCATCGGTACGAGGAGACAGGTTCTCGTTGTCGACTGTGTAGGGTGAGTCAGCGATGTGTACAATGAAGGGTGTACCTTTAGGTCGCTCTCTATCCATCGTGATTGAAACAATGCCCTTGTCATCAACTGTAGTGATGGATGTAACAGGTGGGTAGAGTTCAAGTGCTTCAGCAAGTGATGCCTTTAACCTATCAATCATTTCAAGGTAGACTGCTTCGCCGCCGCCTCCTCCACCATCACCAACACCATCATCCAATCTGTAGAATCTGTGATTGTGTATCTGCATTGGTGGACTGATCAGGTCCAAACCGGACAATGTAACAGTCAAGCATTGCTCAGTCAGTGATGACGATGATCTTTGTCTGATCTTATATTTATTTGTAGGGTATATATAATCTTGTTGTTGCATCACCTTCTTTAAAGAAAACTTCAACCTTTGAAAGTTTTTAATATGTCGTGTCTTTAAGGACTCTCTGAAGATGGATATGAAGAAGATGGATTTGAAGAAGATGGATATTCATAAACCCTAAAAAAAACCATATTGATAATTAATACAATACAACTATTATTGAAGATTCAGATTGTAAATATATACTTATGCGAAGTTAATTCATCAGCATTACAAAGGTATGTGATAAATAATATAGTATATAATAAAATTAATAATATTTTGTTATTCATATTAGAATGTTTAATAATAATATAGGATATGGATTGATTAATGCAAGAATTGTGATTATTATGTATTGTTTGGAGTTATATAGTCTCTTAATGTGTTGATTACATGTATATATATATTTTTTTATTTATTGATTTACAAATTTTGGATTTTGTTGTAATTCATCACATGTGTGGAACTTATCTTACACTAAGATAGAATAGAAGTTTAACAACCGAATAGTGTCACAATTATGATGACCATAATGTAGTAGTTTACCATTTCAAGTTGATTTGTTGTTGAATCACTCTTTGTCTTTCAAATCAAACTTTATCTGAATTATGATTTCCCGTTAATAGTGAACTACATTGGAATAAATTTTATTATTTATACATCCCATATTGATTTACCACACTACACAATCACCTTGGTGAATTATTACATGAACATAATATAATATTTTTGATCGGCAATATCAACCTTCGTTTCCACCCAACACTGTTGGGAGAAATTATTCCCAATTTCTTGGTTGGTGAATTACATGTCTATATATTTGTGTGTTGGTCAAGTATATGAATTACAACGAGCTCCATACGTATCGTGTTATTTTAATTGAAACTCCATGACATTCCCATCACATCACATAACATTCTAGTGATCCATGATGCGAAGTGTACCAGAGATGATCTTGTTCTCGAGAGTCACTCCATCTGGGATATCGATACGCTCACCATGATTGGCAACGATGATCACCGTGCCCTTTAAAGTGGTGTTGGTGCCAAAGTAGACGTCTCCCGACACTGTAAGATGGTCCAACTCAAGCAGGTCTGGGATGGATTTGAAGCGTCGCTCATAGTCCGACACTGTGGCAAACTCCTCACCGAGCTTCACCAGTGGCACGTCTGTAGAGTCGCGCGATGGGTTCAATACCATCTGGCCATGGTCAAACTGGAATAGATTGGACTGTGATATGAACAGCTGACTCGTCGACTTGATTGGTCTGTAGCGGCCACGTGGCACCATGATAGCCACTGAGTTCTTAAAGTTCTGGATACCCATACCTGCTGGTGTCTCAAGTTGTACAAGTGACTTGGTGTTATCCTTCTGTTTGATTGATTGATTGATTAAGTGTTAGTGAGTGATTGGAATGATTCCAAGGAGCGAGGACATAAGGTCCTACTACTACTACTTACTTGGTAGTTTACAATCCAGTCCAATGCCAACTTGTTCTCAGAGAGCAGGCCGCTGACAGCCTTGAGGTTGACCCATATGTTGTTGGTGTTCCAACATTTGAAGTCCTTGAAGTTCTTTAACTTCTCAGTCTTGACTTGTGACAACTCCAACAAGTGCAATCTATTCAAGTAGTTGATCAACACTCCACCAGTGACATCAGTGCTAATCCTATTAGTGATCTCCAGACCAAACTCAACGTTGTTCTGTACCATATGGTTCAATAATTCTGTATAGATTGAATGAGATATAGTGAGTGAATGAGCTTGATTGCTTGATTGACTGAGTGTTGGACGCGACGATACATACGCATGTCAATGACTGAACCAAGGTTCTCAACATTGGAGATGAAGATGTACTCTTTGCCTTGAGCAAGGAACTCATCGAGAAGGCCACAGCGCTGAAGACTTCTAAAGACATCTCCACTTCCAGGTGGATACCAGTCCTTGGCATTGAAGGCACCAGCCTTGGGCACAACGTTCAGTGTGTCTTTGTACATTCTTGGGAACTTGGACTGCAAGAAGGTCTTAATGGTGACGCGATGTGACTTGTACTTCTCGATGATCTTGATCGTCTGCTGATCAGTCTTGAACGAGTTCATCAGCACCAAAGGTACATCGACGTTGTAGTCTTGATTGATTTGCTGATGTTTGAACAAGTGTTAGACAGTGCGCACGTGCAGTCGTCCTTGATGCCAATCAATGACAATGAACTTACCTCAATGTGGGCGACGGCCATGTCGAGGAAGGTGTTGCCAGGTCCGACTTCAATTGAGGACTTGGCGCCCTTGCATCCCATTCTTGTGCCAAGACCTCCGTTGAGCTTGACAACCACGAGCTTGTTGAGCAGCTGAGCGGCGTTCTCTGGATGGACGGGCGATAGGACGCTCAACTGATTGTAGTCGATAAAGGATGACTTGTCAGGCATGCAGACGTGCTCCTTTAGGATGGCGTTCTTGTTGATGTAGTTGTCACGCTGGGCGACGAATGCCTTGATCTCATCGGGCAACATGCCCAATGCTTGCAAGGACGACTCGTCCAAAGGTGGTGCGAACCTGGCACTATTGTCCAGGGGTGGGTACAAGTCATCCTCGTGATTATCACCAAGTAAGGGATCTACCTTTACCTTGTCCAGGTTCTGTCCTTCTGCCAGGACTTTCTTGTCATTATCATTATGTATCATTATATATCTACTTTATGTATCTATATCTATGTATCTATCTCTAGGTTTGGTTTGACTAACTTAACAATGTTGTTGTCGTTGAATGAATGAGTTGATAAATGAATGAATGAATGAATGATTAATGAGTGAGTGAGGTGCATAATGTTGACTTCAAGCATAAGCTTAGATTAATAATCATTTGGTTGGTTGGTTCCAAACTCCGAGGTGGGTGATCATCGGTTGGGTGGGAACACCAGGGACCTCACTTGGTGCAAATCAGTTGATCAAACAGTGTGTGAGTGAGTGGGTAAACCTTGGTGTGAAGATCCAACCGACGCTGGCATCTGATCAGAGTTAAACTAATACAAGAATGAATCTTTAGATTGGTTGATCAATCAATACTTATACTAATACTCTAACTATATATTATATAATATTATAATATTTGAATGACAAATTGAGTTGTTGAATCGATGACTAATCATTATTTAGCTTGTGATTTGTTGTGTGTGGTTTGTCAATCAATTGATTGATCAGGCCTACCACATGTTCATTGTACAAAACATACAAACAGATATTATACAAAGAGATAGATTGAGGATAATGGCTACACTGAATGACTTGTTGAAGGAGTTAATGTTGTTGGATAAGGATAGTGGCGATAATGATGGTGCTCAACATAATACAACTTTGGATGATAATGATCACAAGTTAAAGACTCCAATTGATGTTTATAATAGGTTGTGTACAGACTTCCCAACACTAACATCACGTCAACTACAATTGTTAATAGATGACCTAAAGTCAACTTTGGACACACTCGACAATGCTCAACAACAACAAGCACGTACTCAACAACAGACTTCATCATCATCAACATCATTGGCACAACAATACAAGTTCACAAACATACTTGTTAGTACTCTATCAGAGTACTCATTAAAGTATAACTCAATGCTAAAGAACAACAATATCAACAACAATGACACGAGTCAGTCACAGACACAGACACCAACACAACAACAAGAAAGCACACTACTGGCCAACTGTTACTCAACACTATTCTACATGTTCTTTGTCAGGCTTCTCAGGTTCATACTAAGGTATGTTTGATTGATTGATTGATTGATTGAGTGAATGGGACTATTCCAGGTCAACTAACTCACACTCATCCTCTCAAACAAAGAACCAAGGACTCAAAGGTCATCATCGAATTCTTAAATGACTACTACATTGAGCATGAGAGTGATGATGATGTAGATGATGTCCACGAAGAGGAGGACAACAAAGATGATGATGACAAGATTAGAGTGATCAAGGACGATGATGAAGAGGATGGAGAGGAGAACTATCTCGACTTTAATGTTGGTTCACATGATTTCCATAAGGAGTATCATCAACACGAAACAAGAGAACAACAAGACGATTGGACACTGATATGTAACAAGTTATTGAACATATATCGTCTGGCATCATTGAGTTATGACAATGTATCACAAGACACCGTTTGGGAGGATCACTCTATAATGGAGGACATCAAGGATATTGTCCAATCACTGTTTGACACTGACAGTGAACATCTCATGCCCATGGTATCACTCATACCCCTGTTCATCTACTTGCTCAGGGATCGAGTATTGGCCAAACCATCAGAGCTACCCTATGTGCTACCACAACTCATTGATATACTTCACACCTCTTCGTCCTCTTCCTCCAATGAGCCGCAACTTCAACAACTATCACCATTCCAATCAAAGACATTGCTTACGGTACTTGACAACATGGTATCGATACCTCATAAGCTGATGCCAAAGCGATCATCAACACAACTCACTCAGACAATTGTTGATAACCTGGCACACATAGTCAGTCGACTGGCTGGGTGGAGTAGTATACCAATCAACCAGCTATCCAACATTCGTTCCAGCTCTGCCAAGGATGAGCTTGAATGTGTAAGTTCGATCCATCACTCAATCACTCAATCACTCATTCACTCGATTCACTCCATGCCACTCCATGATGAACATAGTTATCCAGAATAAGTCTCTATGTTCCAATGCAGAGATACAATGATTGGGACAACATATTCCAGTCCAAGACACTATTCTCCCAATACCTAACACTATCCATCAAACTATTGAACAATCCAATGGTATGTTATTAGATAGATTGATTGATTGATTGAATGAGTGACTAACTAACTCGTGTGTACACTGCAGGATGATGGTGAGATAGCCAATGTCGAGCCATTGAGATGGTTAACTAGTGCTTGTTGTCAATCTATTCGATTGACAAAGTTTATACAACTAGTACCAGAGTTCATCGGACTGTTGGAGAGCAAGGAATCATTGTTCCACTCAACACTAAATCATTATTATGTAGTGTGGAGATATCTCTTTGAAAGATATCCCGTCAATGTTAATGCTCAAGTTCAAGCCCAAGCCCATGACAATGACAATGTTAACGTCAATGCAGTCCAAATGCTATGTCAAAAGATTGATATGTTTACCAAGTCTATATCATATGCCAATAAGGATACCAAGCCATTACAGCAAGCATTACAAATACTTCAATTGTTGTCGATCACATGGTCCTCACAAGGTGTTGTCCAACAACAACAACAACAACAAAACAATTTCGACAAGCCAATTGAAACAAGTATGCGATCAATGGAGAAGAGAGTGATCAATGAGATCATGAAGTTGCAAGCGGCATCCAATATACGTGCGCAGATTGCAGCAATACCGTTACCATCAGTAATTGAACCGTTGGCAGATACATCTATACAGCGACAGGAACAACGATTAGACGACCTTCTCAAAGCAGAGTTGGTCCAACTCCGAACGAGTCTCAAGACACTCCTCGAAATTCAAAGTGGCGACTCTAGTAAAAGATCGTGAGGTCATGACCATCCGACTTTAGTTCTGAACTTTGCTTTGTTTGTGGGGGCATCCATCGTGATGGGGTTTGATCGATTGATGGTTCGTATCAAGCACAAAACGGTGTGGTTGTGGGTTCTACGACTACTTCCAGTTGCTTGATGGATTGATTGGTTGTTTGTGTGTATGATTGATTGATTGCTTGGGTGAGTGTTTAGGAAGGGGAGCGTCTCTTATGGAATCAAGGCAATGTATGCATGGAAGCAATAAAAGGAGGTTATTATCATTACTTAACTTATAACTTACTTAAGTTTATTATTATAACTAATACAAATACATTAATAGATAGATAAATATATATATACATAAAACAACAACATGGTCAATGAGGATACTCACCAACATCAACATCAACAACAGCAACAACAGTTTGTTAGTATGAGTAGTATGAATAGTCTTAGCATGTATAGTGGAGTAGGCGAAGGATTAGATTGTAGTGGAGTATCATCAACAAGTATAGGTTGTAGTCTTTGTAAATGTCAACATCATAATAATAATAATAATAATAACAACAACACTATATATAAGCAACAACAACAATATAATCATAATATGTTACCAAAGATTGATGAACATCAACAACAACAACAACAACAACAACAACAATATGTACATAATGAAGAAGAACAGGAAGAAGGAACATCTAGCTCATTGGTTAGATTGAATGTTGGTGGAAAGAAATATATAACTACAAGAGATACATTGTTGTCAAAGGGAGAGAACTTCTTCTCATCACTGCTGACGGGTAATCTGCCGTCGATCAAAGAGGATGGCTATTACTTCATCGATAGGAATGGACGCTACTTTGAGTACATACTGGAGTTTCTGAGGACGGGCTATGTGGACAATCCGATCGACGTCAGCATCGAGTCAATCTTTAGAGAGGCCGACTTCTATCTCGTCAATCCAGGCTTCCAGCTGCAATGGCTGGCGCAGCAGCTGCACAAGAGTGCGTCGGCCAGCAGGTCCAACAGTAGTAATGAATGTAGAATGATACAGAGCAAGGCAGACTCGTCGATGGGTGCATCGTCTGGCGAGGTCAACGCCACTCAAAGCAATGCCGCCGCTGCCACCTCAACAATGATCACCGCCGCTACAAGAAGAAGACATCAACAGCATCAACAACATCAACACCAACAACTGGTTAACAATCAAGACATTAGGTGGTCACTTGGAGGATTGGTCGAGCGACTGTTAAAGATATAGACTGATTGATTGATCGATTAATCCAGGAATAAATAATAATATGTAGAATACCCTTGATTGGGACATTATAAACATGTAGATTGTATTTGAAAGTACTACTTCACACTTGTTGGTGAATGGATAGATGGAGAGGATGATTGAATGATTGGATGGGATGGATGGAAGATGGACAGGACGGTCATTACTGGACATAGTTGGCTGGGATCCATCCCTTCTTGCCTCTGAGCTCACCTTCCCACCAACCTCCATTGTCCTTCTGGATGATGGCAATTACATCGCCCTCTTTGAAGGACAGCTCATCTTGGCTGGCTGCGTCATAATCGTACAAGGCTCGGACTGTTGGTTTCTGTGGAGCCGCTGGCTTGGGAGCCGATTGTTGTTGAGGTGGTGGTGCGCGTCCTTGTTGTGGAGCACCGCCGCCCATTGGAGCGCCACGGCCGCCACCCATTGGAGCACCGCCGCCGCCACCCATTGGGGCACCACGACCACCACCGCCCATTGGGGCACCGCCGCCGCCACCCATTGGAGCGCCACGGCCACCACCGCCACCCATTGGACCACCTCTGCCGCCAACGCCTGGCATTTGAATGCCAGTTGGCACTTGGAGTCTTGGACCGCCAGTGTTCTGGGCCTGAGCTGCAGCCTTCTTTGGAGTGGGAGCACGGATCTGCGCGTTGGCCATCGAGTTTGGATTGTAGTTCTTTGGCGTGGAGTTGGTGGAGCTGGGCAGGCCCGAGGCCACACCGACAGCAGGACCCTTGCCACCCTTCTTCAGGATGGGGATGGGCTGCGCCTGCTCGTTCCTGGCAAAGGTGATCATGCGCTGCTCGTTCTTTTTCAGCGAGTAGGAGATGTTGTCCGAGAAGTTGATGTTGAGAGCTGAGCCCGAAAGCTGCTTGTAGTTCTCGATGAGGATGATGAGCAGCTCTGTCTTGCGCTCGTTTTCGATAACCTGGTCAAACTCGGGCAGGCCTAGCACGACGTAGTTGTCGGCCAGCGTCGAGACACCGATCGAGCGGATGTCTCTGATTGAGATCCTCCTCAGGAGCGTGTACACCTCCATCTTCTTCTTGATGGCCTTCTCGACAAAGTAGACGGCCTGCTCCGATACGACTAGGATCAGTGGCTTGGTCTTGGCGCGACGGTCCACCTTGATGACGTTGTCGGCAAAGACGATGCGCTCCTTCTTGTGAGCGTTCTCCATGGCCTCTTGCACCTTGAACTGATTGTCAAAGTCGATGTAGTCCATGGTGAACTTGCGGTCGATCGAGTTCCTTTGGCGCTCCTTCTTGTTGAGGAAGATGTTGGCGATCTGGGCACGCTGCTCTAGCGAGTGCTTCTTGGCCTTCCAGTTTCTGAAGGCTTTCTGGATCTTGTGGATGCACTCGGTGTCCTTGCGGTCCAGCGCCTCCTCCAGGTGGAAGACGGTCTCGGGATGGCGCACAAAGATCTTGGTCGTGCCCATCTGCCATTGGGCTGGGTCCAGGTTGAGGTCCTGGCAGATAGTGCGAGCACCCTCCTTGGGGTCGCCCTTCCACTCGCCCCACAGACCCCAGGTCTTGGAGCTGAGCTTCTTGTAGCGACGCAAGAATCTCTCGAATGGCGCACGGTAGGCGAAACCGGCACGACGTACACGAACGTTCTCGAGCAGACCGAGGTACTGCACCTGATGTCTAACTCTGTGTCCATCCCAGTCCTTTGCCTTCTTTGTCTCGTTGGGCTTGATGCAACGAACATAGTGAGGCGTGCATTGTGACAATGCCTTCATGAGCTCAGTGGCAGAGTTCTTGATCTTGAAGCCTGCGGTAGTTGGACGCTTCTTCTGGAGCAGTGTCGTGTCCTCATTGAACAAACTGTTGAGGTAGGCCATCTTTGAGGTCTGAACGGCTTCGATCAGGTCGTTGAACAATGTGTCCTTGTTCTTGTCTGAGAATCCTTCGGCCTCGTACGTCACCTCACCTGCATAATGCTTGACGGCAAAGGCACCGGTCATTGATCGCCAATGGAGATGGCCATCAAAGACGCCGGCCATCTTCTCGAGGAACTTCTGGTCAGTACCAGAGGACTGCGCGTGGATCGTGTAGCAAATGTCGTCCAGCAGCGAGAAGATGCCGGGTGGAGCCTTGCCCTCGATCAGATCGCACACAATCTGATTGTTGAAGTATTTGATGGGCTCCCACTTGATGCCCTCGCGCACGTACTCCTCTTGCTCGGCCTTGAGGGTCAGCTCGATGAAGTATTGTTGCAGCTTCTCGTTGACAAAGTTGATGCAGAACTGCTCGAAACCATTCTTCTCAAAGATCTCAAAGCCAAAGATGTCCAGGATACCAATGACGTTCTTGAATGGTGTCTGGTAGTAGGACAGCGCAACATTGACTCGCTCCACCAGCCAGGTGAACATACGATCGTAAATGGTGCGCGCCAGGGCATCACGAGCGCCGTTTGCCTGCTCGACATTCTGTGGCACATTGTAGGTGGAACGACGGTTGCCCGTGCCACCACCAGCGCCTCCCGTGTTGATCACACGGAACAAGATGGCGTTCTGTAGTGTGGCAGGGTCGATGCACAGCATAGATGCGGCCAAGTCCAATGCGTTGGGGTCGTACACGGCGGCATTGCCCTTGTCGTCCTCGATAAAGTAGATGTTACCAATGTGAAGCACACATGAGACGATTCGCATGAGGATGCCTTGCTCCTCGGGCGACATGCCGATGGTAGTCATGGCCTCGCGCACCTCGCGGTAGTCAGCGGCGTCGTCGACACCGTCAACAGTGTAGCACTCTGATTGATTGAGGTAGTAGAAGCTGTCGGGTGTTGACAGCACCAGGTCCTTCTTCTCCTGTGCCGAGGCACCAGCCAGCAGCTGGTAGAAGATGTGGAAGTTACGCTCGCCTGGGTTCTGGTAGACGACACGCGACTTCTCCAGCAGGTAGTTGTAGATCTTGCCACCGACGGGGTCACCAGCCTTGTCGAACTGGATCTCAAAGTACTTGCCAAAGCGAGACGAGTTGTTGTTACGCAGCGTCTTGGCATTGCCAAACGCTTCGAGCAGGGGGTTGGAGCCGAGGATCACGTGCTTGACGTACTCGACCTTGTCGGTGCCACCCGACACCTTGGAGATGTAGTTCATGATCTGCTTGGCGCACTCTGTCTTGCCGGCGCCCGACTCACCCGAGATGATCACACATTGATTCTCCTGATCGTTCTTCATCGCGCGGTAAGAAGCCTCTGCCAACTGATAAATATGAGGTGGTACCTCCTGTGCATGTCTGCCTCTATATGCATCGACATAATCATCTCCAGTGTTATTCAGGTTCCTGAATGGATTGACAGAGATCAACACTGGTCCAATGTTTGTCTGTCATGTGATAATGTATCCAAGATTGTTAGGTCAGCTGACTCTATCTGTCTGTATGTATCCCTGTATCTGTATGCTTACATAGATGAAGTCATTCATGTAACGCTTCTTGAGGTTCTCAACGATCTCATCCTCAGAGATCTTTGGAAGCATAACAAGGTCATCCGTTCCTTGTTTGGCTTGAACTTTCTTTGACTATTGTTTGGGTTGGTTAGTGAATGGCATGATCATGGAATGAATGACCATGACTTACCATTGTTTGTTGTTGTTATAATTTATAATACAAGTATATTTTACAATAAATAATATATATTATTGTAGGTTTGGTTGGATGGATTACGGTTGTTGGTCCTGTTGTTGAAATAAAGATGGAGGAATATATTAGTAACTTTTGGAAGTTGATTGATTGCCTCTGGATTTGATCGTGATCGATGTTGGAATACAACACAAACACACACATAAAACACACAAGAAGCTAGCTCCTGTTATCTCTTAATGTAACGACAGGCTTGGATCAACTGAGGCAAAGGATGTTAACACACGAGTGTTGATGAACAACACACTAACAAACACATACATGTATGTGATAGTTGGATGATTGATTGATTGTTGATTAGAAGGGATATTGATATTTATGGGACGATGGTTTCATTTAACTAATTTGGGTGTGTTGGGGTGTTTTGATGGCCTCCTTCCCTTCAAACAAAATGAAGGAGTTGGTAACATCGAGGTGTGTGCGCGAGTTGAGTTTGTTTGTAGAGAGCGAGAGATAGAGACTATACAGTAATCGTGAATGTATGAATGAATGAAGATTGATGACCTGTTATGAAGTGTTGATATAACATATATGTATGTAGTGTGTGAACTAACTAATTCAAAGCAATGCAATGCAGGAACCTAATGTACTATTTACTGTTGGAACTGTTCCAATCCTATACCAAATGAATAGAGAGTGATATAATAGATAAAGATAAATGAAGAAGGAGATGTCTTCTTAATGCAATGGCGCCAGATGATTGATGGAGTGAGCAGGTAAGTAAAGGCATGTTGGATGAGGATGAAGAGGATCACCTCACCAATTATTTTAATTTGTTGTTGTTGTTGGCGTCGAATTGGAATCAGTGATTATTTGAACCAACAAAGGGGGGTCTATGGTCCAAAAACGATCAAAAACTACCCAATGTCAATGGGTATCCTTGTTGTTGGACAACAACAGACTACCACACATACACACAAACAAACACACCAGAATAGAATGGTTCAAGGACTTACACATTCATTGAATTCATTGATTGTTATGATTGATTGATTGAATGATGGAGGCAGTCAGGTCACGTGAGCCCTGTAGAGTGGGTGAATGTGTGATTGATCAAGTATCTGGTACTATTCCAAAATGAGTGAGAGATAGATAGATAATAATAATAACTAGTTATTTATTTAGGCTTGGGAATGTTATACATGGTCTCATCTTCAGGTCGCAGATTGAGGATAAAGTTCACCTTCTTGACCTCGGTGAAGCCTTCCGACACCTTGGGCTCGACAAAGTTCTTGTTGAATGTGGCGTAACCAATGCCTGGCACGTGCTTTCCCTGTCCCATACGCTCACGATAGTAGTTGAGATGCTCGGCGAGCTCACGTGGTGTCTGCATGTGGAAACAACGTACGGGCACACCAGCAGCCTTGGCTGCATCGATGTACTCCTTGCGTCCACTTGGCATTGGGTTGGTGTTGTCAATGACCACCGACTTGCCCTGCGACAGGAACTGGATGGCGGCCTTGAGGCACTTCTTGGGATCGCCCATGGTGTCGCGGTTCACCCAGCCATAGCCTGCGGGGACAAGGTGTGTCTTGGAGAATGTAGACTTGCCAGAGGCGGGCCAGCCACATAGCACGATCATCTCTTGCTTTGGCGATGTGATGTTGCCGCCACCCTCGAGGATCTCACCCGATCTTGGTGGCTGTGGCACGGCGAACTTGGAGACGGCGCCCGATTTGTCGACGAATGGCTGCTCGCCCAGGAAGAACTCCTCCGGTGTCTGGAAGGCGATGCCGCAGGTCATGGCAAAGGCGCGGTCAGAGTTGGCAAAGTCCTTCTTCTTGCCGGGCTTCCAGTTGTCGGGGCGGCCTGCTGCGTCACCGACGTAGAAGCATTGGGACGCGTCGAATGGCGCGCCAGTGTTGTTACACTCCTCCTCCAAGAACTCCCACATGAGCTTGTTTGGCTTGCGCCACTCTCCGTTCAAATCGCACGCCATGATGGCGATGCATGGGATGCCGATCTCCTTGCACAGGTCCTGGATCTTGCCCGAGACCGAGTTGAACTTGCCCTTGTCAAACTTGGACTTGATGCCGACGCCACCCTGGTTGGTGATGACGATCACCTGGTAGCCGTCGTCGTGGAGGCGCTTCATCTCGATGGGCACCGAGTCGTCCCACCATACCCAATCACGGCGGTCCTTGGCAAACTTTGCGCCAGACTTTGTGTGGATCATTGTGTCATCCATATCAAAGGCGGCCACCTTTGATCTTGTGATTGGTGCCTCCAAGAAGAAGAACGACTCCTCATGTTGAGTCCATTGGCCCAATGTTTGAACGGACTTTGTTATCTTTCTTGATGAAGTAGTAGTTGTAGTTGTTGTTGTAGTCTTGGCGGCAGTTGTTGTGGCGGCAGTAGTTCTGGCCTTCTTGTTTGGCTTGGCATCTTCGACCTCATCTTCCTCTTCCTCCTCGTCTTCAGCAACGGCAGCAGTTGAAGTTGTTGATGTAGTAGTGGTGGTAGTCTCATCATCATCCTCCTCTTCTTTGGCCTCTTCCTGTTCCTCCTCGACATCTCTTCCTCTCTTCTTTGTGGCGGCAGGCTTCTTGGGTGCGGGTGCAGCCTTCTTCTTTGATGCGGCGGTGGCAGGCTTGGCAGGTGGTGGTGCAGTTGTAGTGTCTGGCGATGCATTATCAGCACCATCAACAGATGCCTCCAAGATCATCTTTACCAAGTTTGCCTTTGTACCCTTGACCTTAATATCCATTGATTTACAAATCTCTCTAAGGTCATTATAAAGCATAACCTCGAGTGATTCTTGTGTATAAGTAGTCATTTTTTGTTTGTAATATATATATGTTGTAATGTATACGTTATGTTTGTTGCTTATTCAGTTGGAGGAGGTATTAATCAATTTTGGAGCAAGTCACATGTCCCTGGTTTCCCTCATTAGAGGAATTTTTTGAAATTCCAGATATGATTGTAGCGATCAAAACAATGATGGGGCAAGCAAAAACGGACGGAATGATCCTTGATGACAGGGGTATGATTTATTTTTTTCATATTCGCGCGGTTGATCGATGGTTTAGTTACCTGATTTGGAAGGTGAAAGTGATTGATTGCCTTGCGTTGGACCTGCAGGACCAACAACCTTGCCGCCATTATTATTTGAGTTGGACGATAAAGATGAGGAGGAGGAGGAGGAGTAAGGTGAGTAACGGTTGGATTTCAATGGAGATAGTAGTTGTTGTTGGTTGGTGCTGGCACTGCTGGAGCCAGGCACATGGTGATGTGGCGATAGGTGATGATGGTGATTGGATGATGGACTGAGCAGTTGCTGTTCGTGCTGTTGATGCTGTTGCAGTTGCTGATGCTGCTGCGCTTTGTAAGATGATGATGAAGAAGATGAAGATGTGACGGCTGACGTCGATGTCGTTGATTTAGAAGAAGAGGGTAGTGGAGATGGTACTCTCTCTTGTGAAGATGTATGTTGTTGTTGATCAGGAGATGATGTAGATGTTGATGTTGATGTCTGCGTCGCAGGCACAGCTGTACTCGATGATGTTGATGTAGTTGTTGTTGTTGTTTTCTGTTGTTGATGATGATGATGTTGTTGTGAGTTTAGCTCACTCTTGAGTTGCTTGACTGATGGAGCGTTGGAAGGGGATGATGCCGATCCAGGCATGCCAGCAGAGATGGGCAGACTGGCACACTCGTAGAGGTCCAGTATCTGATTGCCAATGTCCTCCAGGATCTCCAGCTTGATGTTGAGTATCTCCCACCACTGCTTCTTGCCCTCGGACGAGAGAGGGTAGTTCAGAAACTTGGACGCGAGGAACACCGCGGCGTACGATATCAGTATGGGCGGATAGCGGAGGCAGAGGTTCGTTCGCAGACTGTCATTGATAAAGTTCCATGCGATCTGACACAGATTTTTGCTGCCGTTGATCAGCTTTATGTATTCCAACAGGTACTTGTACGGATGGTCCACCGTCAACTCAAAGTTGATCGTTGTTAACAACAAATGTTCCTTCTCTACGACCTTTTGTGATAGCTCTACTACCTCCTATATTGTTGATTGATTGAGTTAGTGATTGATTGATTGAGTGAGTGAGTGAATGAGTGATGGACACATACAGGTGAGTCTTGAGCCTTCTCCCAGTTCTTGAAGCGACACTTGCATGAGAGATATGATACATCAAGAAGCTTTCGAGGCTTCTCCTCTACTTTGCCAGCAAGGAATAGACATGTAGTGGCAATGACCTGTGAACATTAATGAATGAATGAGTGAGTAAGACATGTCATGCGTCGTCGCATGCTACATCATCAACGTCGACGCGACACATACGAATCTATCATGATCTTTCAGATGATGTCGAATGAAGAATCGATGAAAGTATGTCGTTGCCGTTGCTATTGTAAGCTGCGAACTGTATGATGAGTGAGGGAGATGGAGGTGGATGTCAGTTCAACTTGAACGAGTCATGTGATTGATTGAATGAATCAAACATACATCTTTAGCTTGATGCCAAGGTCTTGAATGAATGAGCATGCCGATTGACGCTGAGTGATCTCTGATTTAACATCATCACCGTAGTGCTTGTGTATTTGGTCCCTGGTGAAGTACCAATGTGCGTTCGGAAAGCTCTTAAAGTCGACCAATGAGGAGGGGTCCTTCACAGGCGTCGCGGCTGCCGACGATGTAGCCGTAGCACCGACGTTGTGCTCACTGTTGCTATTGTGATTGCTCCCATTGTTGTGCATTGTAGTTGGTGCACCTTGTTGATGCTTTGAGTGCTGCTGTTGTTGTTGTTGTTGCACTTGTGGTGGTTGACTCATGACTCTGTCTCTCTCCCTCAATGACTCTGCTGCTGCGCTTGTGTCTCTGTATCTGTACCTGTTACCTTCTCTAACTACTACTACTACTGCTACTACTACTACTACTACTATATTATTAATAGTTTCAAACTATATTACATTCACACTGTTGAGGAGCCTAGGCTGTCCGTTATTGCAATAGAGCACACACCTTGATTAAAGGAGACTATACCTAAAGGTTGGGAATGTGATGCAGCGACGCAATGTGTCAACAACAGCCCAGCTCAAACAAGTATGTTGATGATTGAATTGATCCAAAGGCCACTACCTTTATGAAGAGGCAGCTGGATGTTGTATATGTTTCTGCTGCTGACAATGAATGAATGAATGCGCCTTGATTGATTGTTTGTTTGATTGTTTGAGATTGATTGATTGAGTGTATTCAACAATTGGTGGACGATGTAATCAGCATTGATAGAGGTCCAACCAATCCAAAGTGATGTATGTTGTCAACTGAGTTGCTGTATATATGTATGTATGTATGTATGTATGTATGTATGTATAAATATGTAGTTGTCGTTGATACCTGTGATGATACTCTGTACTTCCACTACTATTACTCTACACACCTTATATACTTCTTAATACTGCTACTACTAATACTACTCTGTCTAACTGATCTCAATAACAATTACAACTAACAAACAAACAATGCAATGTCATGTGGTGTTGATGTCAACAACACAAACAAACTTGAAGAACTGCATTCGCTCATTCTTGGTTTTTTATAAATTATGTCTGAACTTCATCAAGTCCAACAAATTGAACCATAAACAAAATAATCTTATTGGGTAGGTACCAATGTTGGTGAATTGCAATGACATGATCAAACATCATTATTGGGCTTCCATTACCAAAAAAATAATATCTCTATCCTCCCTTTCAGCCATGTTGTGTTCAATTCAGTTCCACTTTCCAATTCCACCTCAACATCCACATCCATCACCAACAACATCATCCACTCCAATCCAAGTTGTAAAGATACAAGATAATAAAAATAATGTATATTAATAATAATAATAATAATAAGATTGTTTGTTTGGTCATCATAAGTTTGTTGACAACTACAAATGTAGTGTTGGCTCAATCAAATTCAGTGTGTAGAGCAATCACTTTCAGTGGCGCTGGTGATAGAGGTGCATATGAAGTGGGTGTGGCTGCTGGTTTGGTAACAATCCGTGAACCACAAGACTTTAGATGGCAGATTGCCACTGGTATCAGTGCTGGTGCAATCAACACTGCTGGAATGGCCATGTTCGCAATTGGCAAAGAAGAGGATGCTGTCCAATTCCTAGTCAACCAATGGGAGGATGTCTCCAGGAAGCGTATATATCCTCCTAATCACTCATGCCTGGAATCATTCCAATCACTCACTCATTCACTTCGATAATCTGATCAAACATATAGAGATTTGGAAGAATTGGCTTGGTGGACCTGCCGAGGGCTTCCTTGAGAGGCAAGGCCTGCTCGATGATGAACCCTTACTTGGATGTAAGTAGACAACCGAGTCCGAACCACTTCCCCAATCAATGAATCATTCTGACGCCCGGTCCCAACACTTCATAGTCTTGGAGAACTTGTATAATGCCTCGATGGTCGCTCAATCAAACAGGACAGTGTTGATTGGCGCTACGAGTTATGATACAGGATTGTTCACAAAGTTCACAAACACAGCTGATCCTGATATTGTGTTGATGGTCAAGGCTTCAGCATCAATTCCAGCACTGTTTGAACCAACAAACATTCGTGGTACACTATACATGGATGGCGGTGCAACTTACTTGACACCAGTAACAGACACTGCTGAACTCTGTGCTCAGACTGGTGCCGAGAAGACCATCATCGATGCCGTTATCATTGGAAAACCCGACAGCACTGTCAATGTCACCACCTGGAAGACACCCGCACTATTGATGCGCTCAGCAGACATTGTCATGACCAACATCTTCATGAAGGACATCGAGACTGCATTCCAAGCCTATCCAAACATTATCATCAATTTGTAAGTCGTCCTGCAGCCAAGACATCGCCACTCTTCACTCACTCACTCGCGAAACAACTTCCACAGGTACTATCCAAGCCAGCCACTACCAGGCGACTTCCTTGGCTTCCAATACTCCAAGGAGATGATATCCATTGGTATCAAGGATGCCACGTCTGAGAGTCCATCCTTGGTTACCTTAGACATTGGCAACTATAAGGAGGCCTTGGCCACACTAAGGGCCTGATCCAATCATTGTCCAGCATGATACTGATTAAAAGAGTTCCACTCTTCATTGTATACATCACTTGTGATATTGCTTGTCGCTGGCTTACTTGGCTGGCTGTTTATTTACATAAGGACCTGGACCTGTTTGGGGTCTAGAGATAGCTGCTGGCACGATTGAATAATGCCTGTCCAATGTAGTTTGATGCGATTGATGATGCAGTACTACTGCCCATGATACCTCCACTGCTATTGTTACTATTGTTACCCTTTGCGCACTTGAAGAATCCATATATATTTGCCATACTAAGTGAGAGTGCAATGATTGTAACTGTGGCGTGATCATGATTGAGTGATTGAGTGAGTGTTAGGCGTGGCTGACATCATGATCACATGATCTGATCAATGTAATACATACTTATCATCCAGTTGAAGCTGAAGGATATGAGACAGGAGAGGAAAAAGAGTGCCCAGACTACTGGCGTGAAGTATAATGACAACCAAAAGACGATCGATTCTGCTTGGTTGTATTTCGCATCCTTTGATTGATCAATCGATTGAGTGATTGATCAGTTATGATGTGTGGCGAGTGTTAGGTCAATGTCAAGTGATTGATTGAATGAATGAATGTGATTGACTTACTGCAGGTGCTTGTTCAAAGTACCATTCATTGGTACCATCATCTTTGACTTGGTTCCACCAACGTAGACCAACGAGTAGTCGACCAGTGACGTTCTTGACAGTCCAAAAGTCAAAGCTGAGTAGTAGAGTACAGAATATGAAGCTGAGTATGAAGCCTCCACCAAAGATAAAAGGGAATAGATATACTAGTATTGCCACGACCTTGAACGCCACATGAAACAGTGTTGCCCATGGATGCTTCAAGCCTTTAACAAATGATACTGCGCCACCTCCACCACCACCCGCTGGTTGATTAATGAATGGATTGGTCTCGGCTGATCCAATCGGTTCATTGAATCCAAACTCATTGACTTGCATAGTTTAGTTTAGTTGGTTTGTATATATTATCTGTATCTGTATCTGTATCTGTATGAATGTGTTTGTTGGGTAGTTGAGGGAGGCTTCGCGCGAATGAAAGAAAAAGGTGAGTGGTAATGAAGAGTCACACACTCTTTATTCATTCATTGATAGTTAATCAAAACACTTGCATTGTTGTGATGTGATGTGGATGAGTGCACTCCCTCATCAAATCAGACGTGGCAGCACAAGTCTTTGAGAAGTCATATGACTGCAAAGATCAGACAAGTGATAAGTTCAATCAACAACAGATATATTATGTCTATCAATATATCTATATTTGAACGATCAATCATTCATTCATTCATTGACAATTACAACGACATCACCAGTGCGACAGGTGCTGCGAGATCTATACCTACTTCGTTTGATTGTACACTCTCTCGACATTACGACATTACGACTTCATCAACATCAACAACAACATTCTACGATGATGATTGGCGCCTGCAGAGGGCGTTCACGGTCGAGCATCAACCTGGCCACACCTATGTGACCCGCCCGCAACGCCTCTGGAAGGAGGATCACTTGAACAGGTGATAGTGGCAGCAGAGTGGTCCGATTCCAATGGCGAACGCAGTGCCCTCACAATGCTCTTCAATCACTGGGTCGTCTGCCTCACCCACACCAGTCCGGAGGATGGCCTTGCCATTCTCCGCCATCTCAACAAATGCCTAGTTCATCGGCGACTCCAACTGAGCAACCACTATTTTGCCTTCACAGGACACTGAATATAACATGGTCTGCACAGGTGGCTCAAAAATGATTGACTTCCTCCTCTCTGAAGAATGAGTGCTGATCCCCGACCAGTGTATTCTCCCCGGCATCATGATCAATCCGGCGGTCACGGATCCAGGATCGCCCAAAGAATCTTCCGCATTGAGCAAGGACTGAATGAGCACTTTAAAATGGCCAAGTTCGCGGCGGACATTGGAGACGAGACCGTGCTCAAACAGTCGCTAGAGTGTCTCAATCTTATCGACTGTACACCGGAGCAGCTGGCAATAATAAGACAGCAGGCGATCAATCGTGGACATCAACATCTTCTTCATCTGTTCCCACACCATGATACTGATCCCGCCACATCCAGATTTAATCTATCGTGGCCAACCTTTGTGTTTGATAGGTCGATGGACGTGAAGCTTGCGAGGGTACTGGTCGGACAGAACAAGGAGTTGGTGAGCGCAATCATGTACGGTGCGGCTGAAGCTGGACGAGTGGATATTGTTCGCCAATTCAATCTTGAGGATGACTTAACAATTGATATCCTTGAAGTTGCTGATTATGGACATCTGGACTTGGTCCGCCATATTGTGGACTCACTTGGCAAGAGTCCCAATGATCAATCAAACATTCTTGAGAGAATATTCATCAAAGCAGCAGAGGTGGCCAAGTATCTGTTGGGCGTCATGGATAAAGACCGAGCTGTGCAGTGCGTAGCCAATAACAAAGAGAGAGCAAGAGAAGAGTCACAGCTATTACGAGGATTTGGACGATCACGATCACCTTCAAGGAAACGAGACGACAGTAAATTGAAGATGGCGCACCAATCAACGTTGGCAAGCCTTGACTTCCTCGTGACAGTCAACCTAATAAACTACAAAATGGAGATTCAGCTCCTTGAGAACTAATTAATGATACATTTATCCAGCATGCGCTGTGGAACAATCCCAGCTCCAGATATATACATTGTGTTGAATTTGGATGGTTTATTACAATCAAACAAACAATCAACGAGAAGTTGAACGCACCTGACTACTGACTTAGAGTGAGCTACATGTGATCTTGAGGTAGTAGTTGCTGAAGCTTTGCTCACAGTTGGTGTCAAAGTTGTAGGACTTGCATGAGCCTGAGAGACATTGTTGTCCCTTTGGCTGCTCACCGTCACATGTCAATGTCAGCACGGTTCCATCGTCAGTGGTGAGTGTAGTGCCATTGGTCGCGTAAGCATAGGCCACCAACGAACCGAGTCCACAGGTCTCGTGAGTGTATATTGCGCCAATGATATTGCCAGAGCCAACGTCGACGATGGGCTCCTGCGAGATGTACATGGTGGCAAATGGTGTTGGAGCGATGTACTCTGTGAATTGGAGATCGGTGACACATGTTCCATTCTTGTAGGAGTCGTCGGTGAAGTTGCCAGCGCAGGTGCCATCGTCAAAGATCTTCCAACCGGCGCGCAATGCAGTCACGATGAACTCGTAGGACACTGTATCCAAGTCGATGCAATCATTCAATGAAGCTGCATATCCAACACCACTAACATCTCCAGTGCATGCCTGTTCTGCGCGTGGTTGGAAGTTGACCATCAAAGTGTTTGACTGAGCCAACGCTATCGTTGCAAAAATGAATAGCAATGTTCCAATTATCTTGATCATTCTCTCTAAATAGATAAATAGATTGATTATCTGTATGTGTATGTGTGTATGTACAATGAATGAATGAATGAGGTCATCATCTCATCCATGTAATGAATAAATATCTTCACTTTATTTTTGCATTGTGTGGGCGAAGACCTCCAATGGGGTGGACCCATCTCTGATTGGAAGCCTCCTTTGCCTTTTCAAGCTTCCATGACCCCACTCACACATCTTCACAAAAGACGATCAATCATTCTTTCACTCAAATCTTAATCTTCTTTGATGATGTCATATATATAACTACTATAAACACACAATGATATGAATATACTATATATGATACAAAAAGGTTTATTTGTTTGTGCCAAAGGGTGTTTGAATGAATGCAAGGGAGTCAGGACCATAGACACTCTTGACAATGGTACACTGACTACTCGGGAAAGACAGGGCGCCCTTGCTCGCCATTTTCTGTCCTTCATACTCTTTGATGTGATGTAGATACACTCTTGGTATTTACATTTGATTGCTGTTTGATGTGTGAGAGTTGATGTTGGGTGGACCCTTCAAGACTGGGTGGGTCTTGTGGACTAAGGCGCGTGCGTTGTAGGGAGGACACTACTACCGAACACTTTTAGACGGTCAGGTCGGCATAACGCTTGTCCTCGAGGATTGGCTGGAGCATGGCCAATGGTGAGAGGGTGGTGGTGTCACCGGCCTCGATGATCGCCTTGAGGATCGATGGCGAGAAACCAGACACAAGGCCGACACCTGGAATGGATGCGTCTCCTACGGGGGTGGTCGTGTAGGATCCGTTGACGTTCCAGTAGATGATCTGGGGTGGCTCGTAGCCGGCCTTCTTGTACTGCTTGAGCATGTTCTCGTGGTTTGACTTGTAGCTGTTGTCGGCAGAGTCAAACTGCATGTCCGAGATGACGAACAACTTCTTGGGCATGGCCTCCTGGGGAAGCTTGTTCTTGATGGCCTTCTGGAGGATCAGGTCGAAGACCAGGTTGAAGTTGGTGGAGCCACCCCATGGGAACGCCTTGATGCAGCGCACGCGCTCAAAAAGGCTGTTACCAACGACCTTGCAGAAGGATGGCGTCTCGTGGAAGGAGATGACGAGGTCTCTGAATGGCTCGTCCGTGAGCGACGAGATCAGCAGTCCGAGGGCGACTGACACCTCCATTGGGGTACCGGACATGGAGCCAGAGACATCAGAGAGCACGATGCAGTCACTGAGCTTGCCAAGCTTGGCGGTCTCCTCTTGGAGCACCTTCCATTGAGCCTCGAGGATGGGGTCGACAGCGCTGGCGTTGAAGTAGGACTTACAGATCTCGTGTGGGAACAGCTGCTTGGCGTTGACCTTGGCCTCACCCTTGGTCAAGGCGGCGGTGTAGGCGGCAAAGCGCTCGGGCTCGTGCTTCTCGAAAGACTTGCGCTGGAGCTTCATGCAGCGAGATGGCACCTTTCCAAACTCGATCTTGTCCCAACCGTCCTGGGACATGAGGGTCTCGGTGATCTTGATTTGGCGACGCAGTGGAACCAAGAAGCGCTTACGGTACTCCTTCTTGGCGTTGGTGCGGTTGACGCTCAAGACCAGGGCCAACTTCTTGGCAGCGCTGCTCTTGACATCGTCGTGGTTGCCCTCGGTTGGAGCCCACTTGGCGGCAAGGGAGACCGAGGCCTTTGGATCCTCCTCCAAAGCCTTGAGGTCAGCCTTGAGCTGAGTGGAGAGGGCCTCGAGAGCCTGGGACTCGAGGTTGGTGCCAATCAAATGTGTGATATCCTTCCACGAGCCAAAGTTTGGAATCTGGGAGAAGTTCTTGGCGACCGTCTCTGGATGATGCTCCTGCATCCAGGTGATTGATGTGAGGAAGATTTGGCGCTCACCCTTACCTCCACGGCAATCACGGTTGTAAAAGACAATCTTGAGTGTGTCCAATGGCGACACCTTCCAGGACTCGGCGAGCAGGGTGGTCAGCTGGGTATCGGCGATACCACGAGCAGTATGATAGAACAGGTCGACGCGTGCGTCACCTGTGGATGTATAAGCAACTGAGCCCTTGGCAGTGACGGTCTTCTTGACCTTTTGTCTATACTTCTTGGCAGCAGCAGTGTTTGTAGTTGCGCGTGACTTGGCCATTATTAAATTATATTATTCTATTTAAATTGATAAATTGGCTGATTGCTAAAAGCTAAATTGTATATGTGTGTATATATATATATGTATCTGTATGTATATATATAAATAAATAATCAAATGAATGATGTTGTTGTTGTTGAATGCTCAAGGCTTGAGTATAAATGGATGATGTCTTAAGGTGTGAGTGGCTTTGAAACCCATTGAAAGACATGTAACACCAGCATGAACTTGAAGGTTTGAGGTGATGTCACACACCGCATCAGATTAGATTGTAGTAATTTTTAGAAACAAAAAAGAAAATTAACAAAATTATTGTCGATCGCTTGTTGATCAAAGCGATTCGTGAGTACAAGTAATGCATCCAAAGCGACAATGCAAAACTCGCTATCCTATGTTACTTACTATGATCATGAGACTAAAGACGACGAAAGAGTTATGAATGATTGATAAAGAGAGTGACTTGCAAAGTATTGACAATGGAAACTTTGAAGTTTAATTAATTACAAGGTTGTTGTTTGGTAAATGAATGGCTGGTATTATGGATCAATCAATCAATGATTGAAAGCCACGCAAGTTGAACTCTTTACATTATCAAAGTATCCATAGATGGAGGGATACTTGATTACTACTACTATTACTACTATTACTACTACAGATTGTCTAGTTGTATGATTATGTACAACTCATATACTCATTCCTCTCGAATAGATTATCTATCTCTCTACTATACTGAATGAATAGATCATTTGAACAATTGGCCGAGAAGTTCAACAATCTAAGTAATTCCAATTCAAGTTGATTCATTTCTTGGACATTAATTCCACCAACTTGAGAATAGAACTCATTGTTGTAGAATCTAAATGGAATGAGAGGACATAACATGTTAATATGTATGTATGAATGAATGAATGAATGGTATGGTACTTACATATCATCTTGATACTTTGTTGATATTACTAATGTTGTTATTAGGATACGATGAATGTTGTATGAATTGAGTGATAGTCCACATTCTAGCATAAGCCTATCAATGTATATAAGTGACATTATGAAACATTCTCTTGAACATGGTGAATATTTAAACAAACGATGAATATAATCTCTAATTGATATCAATGGTAATTTGTTGTTTGGTGGATAGAACTGAGTATGAATTGATTTGTTCTGTTGTTTCATTATTGTCGACTGAGTATTGTTAGACAATGTTGGCGCAATTGATCGATTGATTGTTGTTGTTTGAATGAACATACCTGGTCACCTTTCCTAACAAGTGAGTTTATAACTTTGGCCGTAAGGTCGATCATATCGTCCAAGCTCTCTGGCTCAAGGGTCCTTAGCATCTCGAGTATTGTAGACATTATTATTATTATTATTATTAATAGATTTGAGTTGTTGGATGTATTTACAAATAATATAATATAAATATAAATATAGTTAATTAATTAATTATTTACAAGAGTTGGTATTAATATCAATATTGGAGATAGTAAGAATGAATTGATATTTGATCTGAAGGTAGATACTAAATTATTATACAGTTACAATATAAGTAAGGGCGTTAGGATTGGTTGGTCAACATGGAAGGGTTGGATCACGAGTCTTTGATGGTTCGATGTCTCTCTGCAGTAATGATATGTTTGACAAGACGATGAATGGATGAATGCCGTTGGTGTAGTAGTGTGATGTCTTTGTGATTGATTGGTGTGTGTAGGCTTTATGTCTTTGATCTGATCAGATAAGGTAGTACTACTTTAAACTTTAAACATATGATGATGATGATGATGTCCATTCTGATATCTCACTCACCTTTAACAACAATCGCATCAACATCAGAAGGCGCTCAAGTTCCATTGGCCACACTAACACAAACAAACAAACAAACATTCACACACATAAAGAGAAGGATCATGAGGCCACTGGTGACCACATCATCATCCACCGGAAGGATGGATTATAATACCTGTTAGATGATGGATCAATGGTGAGCCCACACTCTCGTTCGTTCTCACATACACAAATGAGTGAGTGAGGTAGTGAATGGCAATGGTGGTAATGGAGAGAGCCACCCTCAAGGGCATTGATACATAAATGCTATAAAGAGGTAAAGCCTTGGACATGGACGAATGGATGAGTTGTGGGGCTCTCGAAAGAAATATGTGTGGCAGTGGGATCTTGATCACTTCTCACCCACGACCAATCACTTTCGTTGGATGGTAGTTATTTGTTTGTTACTTTATGTGTGTGTGTGTGTGTGTGGTGATGGAGTGTGGGTGATCAAACAGACACACACACCACCCGAGGCCGATTGTAATACGGTGAATTGGAGGCAGTTGTGTACGATCATTGATCCATCGACCAGTGGATCAGAGATATGTAGTACAAAAAGTGTAGGACCTTAGATGACTGGTACCAATAATACCGATGCAAATAAAATGTAGTCGAGTCGGTAGGCAAGGATGGAGATGGGTTGGTACTCACCAATGTATATCTTGATTTGGACAATAGGTAGGTAGTTGGTTATTACTATGACTAATGTTACATTTAATATTATTGAAAATATATATTGAATTGTTATTATGTACAGAGATAAGATATGTATAAATATATATTACACCCTTTATGTTGGAATGTATTTGTTATAACATTGTCAAATGAATGAATATAACTCTCTATCAATCAATTAAACAAATGGTTTGGAATGAAGGAGGTCCGACTTATGGACTTTGAATGTTAACAATCGCCAACGGCAACTAGTTGGTCCTCAGAATAGGAGCAGGGGAGTGGAAAGACAGACAGTTGATTGATTCGATGAGGCAAAGCAAAGACGTTGTTGCCTAGCCTACCATGATTGATCAATGGTAGGTCAAAGCGCAGATAGATTCCAGGATGGATGCATCCTGTACATTGTGTGTTATATGTGTATGTTGTGTAAGTAAGTGTGAGTGATTGTTTGATCCAATGACTTAACGGGTTCAATTGAAGGTCCAATCAGGCCTCTTCATCATTCTTTGCATCACACACAATCAGTCATACTCACACAAACTTAGAGTCTCCATCATCACACCCCACAAGTAGTGTGTGTTTTGAGACCTTGAGGGCCTTGGAGTCCCATGAGGACCAATATCGGCGCCACTCATTGTCAAGAGATGGTCTAGATTTATATCTCTAGACTTCTTCACTGAACCAAGCATGCAGGAGACTGTCTGTTGTTGTGTTAATGTGAGAGTTACACACAATAACAATTACAAGTGACCAAATTAAGGAGCATAGTATGGTGTACCTTACCTTCCAAAAGGGAATGCAGATACTTTGTTCCGATTGATGATACGACATTAAATTATTGGAGCATGATGGTTATATAAAGGATAAGGAAGCGGGCGATATTTCCATTGTTGATGAAGGACGCCCGTGGCCTTGTTGTGGCCGATCGTTTGCAAAGGGACACTCTAATAGGCTGACGTCAATTTATACTTTGCACGAGCGTGAGCCACCATCACTTTTTGTGATGGTCCATTGTTTACGACGACCAATCGTCAATCAATCAACTCTTGGGTACAAACACCGGACCGGTGTATGGCTGCCTGTCAACCTTGCGCAACAGCTCGTTCCTGACTTCGTCTCTCTTGTTGATGCCATCAAACACACAGCCATGCGACGGACGTGGCACGAAACGTCCACTTCCAAGTGTTGTGCTCAATGTTCCATTGTTCCAAACAACCTTGCCTGCGACGATCGTGGTGGCGGCCAAGCCGCGAACCTTGATGCCTTCGAATATGTTAAAGTCAACTGCATGGTGATGGGTCTTGGCAGAGATTGTCTTCTCGGCCTGCGGATCCCAGATGACAATATCGGCATCGGAGCCGACCTCAATGCGTCCCTTCTTTGGATAGATGTTGAATATCTTGGCGGCTGTCGAGCTTGTCACTCTGACAAAGTCGCAGGGCGTCAGTTTGCCAGTGTTCACTCCATTCTCCCAAACGATGGACATACGGTCCTCAACTCCGTTGACTCCATTGGGTATCTTTGTAAAGTCGTCCTTGCCCATGGCCTTTTGGTTGGCACAGAAGGTACAGTTGTCTGTGCCGACACAGTGCAGGTCGCCACTCGCCAGCAGATCCATGAGGAATCCCTTGGTTGTTGGATCGGGTCGCAGTGGTGGTCCCATGACAAAGGCAGCGGCGTGGCGCCAATCGCAGTTCCACATATGTGTGCCATCAACACCGAGTCCAGCGGCGATCGGCTCACCATAGACACGTTTGCCTTCCTTTCTCGCTTGTACTATTACATTTGCAGCCGACTTGCTCATAACATGTACGACATAGAGAGGTGTGTTGACTCTGTTGGCAATTGTAATTGCTCTTAATGTGGCCTCGGCTTCACACTCCTCTGGACGGGCCATCTCGTGGCCCTCTGGTCCAGTGATTCCAAGTTCCAACATCTTCTTTTGGCCCTCGAATACGAGGTCTCCATTCTCGGCATGGACCTGGGCCAATGCTCCAAGCTCCTTGCACTTCTTAAAGATGTGGAACATCTCCTCATCGGTAACCATCATTGAGTTCTTGTAGGCCATGAATACTTTGAAACTGTTGACACCACGTTCTTTAACAAGAATCTCCATCTCTTTGGCAACTTGCTCACTCCACCAAGTGACGGCAACATGTAATGAATAGTCATGATTCACCTTGGCATCAGCCCATCCTCTCCATTGATCATAAGCCTCAAGTAAAGAATGTCCTTTGAGTGGGATAACAAAGTCAACTATATAGTTTGATAGATAGATTGGTTAGTAATGATGAATGAATGATTAGTGAGTGGTAGTTGAATGAATGGTCTGGATACATACTAACAAATGTTGTTCCACCGGATATAGCAGCCTTTGTTCCAATATCAAAGTCATCTACAGCTACTGTACCCATGAATGGTAGTTGGAAGTGCTAACAGCATACATTCATTATTGATTAGTGCGTGGTAGTGCATTGATGGAATCACTCTTTATGGAATACATACAGTATGTGGATCAATGCCACCTGGTATGACAAACTTGCCAGTTGCATCAATGACTGTTGTGTCATTGGATAGTGGTGATAGGTTGGTGCCAACCTGAGTGATGATACCATCTACCATCAACACGTCAGCCAATGATTGTCTATCCTCATTGACCACAGTACCATTCTTAATCAACAATGATGTATTAGTCATTCTATATAAGTATATAATATCCTTATTTATCTGTTATCTCATATATGTATATGTATACCAAATGAAGTAATGAGTTAATGTTAAGATGGGGTCAACTTGAACAAGCTCGCAATTAACATGCATTCTAAGATTGAGTGATGGAGGGGCATCCAATCATTCATTTATCAACTCTTCACAAAGATATTTTCATTCTATGATCACTATTGAACTCAAAGAGAGAGAGAAAGATAGATAGAGATGCTGCGGAATGGATTGTTTGTCATTGCATTTACATTGACATTAATATTGGTTGTTAACATTGAATATGTTGATGCCAAGACATCATCATATTATACAAGTGTCAATGATATCAGCAAAGGTATCAATTACTACAGTCAACTAAACTTGAACAACAATGCTACACAACGTGAGATAAAGACCGCCTTTAGAAAGCTATCCCTTGAACAGTAAGGATAGCACCTTTCATTCATTCAAGAACATCAAGCTGACCTCCAACTCCAACTCAATCTCCAAAGTCATCCAGACAAGAACAATGGAGTCACTTCAGATGAATATGTAGTGATAACTAATGCATATCAAATATTGAGCGATCAAGAGACAAAGGAGGAGTATGATGACTTGCTTATTAATGGTATACCTTGGCATGAGAACTATGTCGGTCGTTACGCCTATCATTACACTGGTGTGAGCCATGATGTAAGACATGTGTTGGCCGGCCTGATACTTGTGATCACGCTGGGCAAGCACTTTTATCAAGTGCATCGACATAATCGTATGCAGGGATTGGCCATGAAGACACAACGCTATCAAGAGGCAATGCAACAAGAAGGCGCCCCACCACAAGTAGTAGTGAAGGGCGCAGAGAAGCCAACCTGGAAGGACCTATTCATTCTACAACTTCTAATGGTACCTGTTAGAATACTCAAATTCCTGTATCGCATCGTTGTAGTACAAAGACTACGTTTCCAAAAGACACAAGAAGAGATTGAAGAGGAGTATCGTATTGCTCAAGGCATGACCCGCGAGGAGTTTGACAAGTACAAAGAAGACTATGCCAAGAGAATGGAGCGATTCAAACAGAGTAACAGGTATAAGAAAATGGTCAGATACATGAAGAATAAGTAAAAGTGGAATGATTCCATATTGGCCCATCATTCATTCCGATCGGAATTAGCCAAGTGTGTGTCGGGACGATCGGGATCGACTTATTGATGGACCATCATCGACACCCATCCATCACAATAGTCTATGATCATGCTCTTCACAGTTTATGGGCAAACAATCATAAAAATATCTCTTTTGCAGATGTCTTTGAATGGGAATGCATGCGTGTTACTTGAAAGAATGTGAGCCAAAGAGGTCCAAAGCCCGACGAGGTGCAAAGCTTCAAGGACACCCCCATCCCTACATTCATTGATTCATTCCTTCATTCTACTATTCTATTTATGTATATATATATACATATACACATACATTTATATATAAATAATAAATATGTCAACTACTACATCATCGCCTAATAGAGGCTCTGCAGGTGGCAGTGGAAGTGGCAGTGGAAGTCACTTGACTGCACCAACCACACAGGATACAAGATGGAAAGCATCACCTCAGTCTACATCACCTATACAGATGTCTCCTGTTGTACATGCCTTGTCAACGCCAACTACAACCCCACTATCTACATCGCCTCCATCATCACTATCAGTAGTCAACAACAACAGTCCAAGGACAAGCACTAGCACTAGCACGAGCACGAGCATGAGCACGAGCATAAGCACAAGTAAAGGAGCACAAGAAGTGTCATCATATGTTAACAACGACGTTAATGATAGGGAGGCGACTCTTACCATCTCTGCAGCAACTGATATGACAACATCATCATCTTCATCATCCACAATGAAGAGGTCAAGTTGGATGGCACCAAACAAGAGTATGTTTGTGGATGAATGAGTGAATGAATGAATGACCATGCCTCTGACACTCTCATGCCTCTTTGAAGATCACTTCAAGTATAACTCTAGCCTTCGACAGAGACTGGATGACCTTGCAGCCGGTCCAATATCAGAGTTGATTGTACTACGTGTGTCTATACCTGATATTCAATCAATCGTCTCATTCAAGGTGCAGCGCGACTACCTCGTTAAGGACTTGCTGAATGCCATTATCAAGAAGAAGAGACTGCTTAACAATCTTGATGGTCAACAGTATGCACTATACATCGCACCAAACAATGCCAAAGCCGACTGTGGCGTATGGCTGGATGAGTCCAAGCCATTGTGGATCTACGAGCTGTACGACAAGGATATGATCGAGTGCAAGAAGAAGCAGGAGTTGGAGCAAGACCCTGCCTATCTCAAGGTGGTCTTCCCCGAGCAGATGAAGACCAAGACCTTCCAGGTCGACCTCAAGATGCTGGTGCGTGACGCCATTCAAATGATCACGTCCAAGTTTGATGTCCTATACTTTGTCGGCCAAGACTTGAAGTACTACGGTCTATTCGTGTTGAATCACGATGGCTCAGAGGTGTTACTTCAGGAGGACTCAATACTGGAGAGCTATGCATTGGGTAACCTCAGCATCATTGAGTTCAAGAAGAAGGATGTCATTGTATTATCACTTGGGGAGCACTCAGCGACAACCATTGCCAAGCTGTCGGCTGCTGGAACACCCCCACTCCTAGCCGACACCGCATCAGCAGCGTCTGGCTCCTCATCATCCACCTCTTCGTCCAAGTCATCGTCGTCCTCATCGCTGACGTATCGCGCGTCGTACGTCGTGCCCACCAATCAAGTCACCATCACATTCTCAACAAAGTCACTGGTCAAGGATATTGTGGCCGACCTTTCACCTTGGCTAGAGTCACTGATCAAGGTCAAGACTATCAACTACAAGCTCATGTTGAGTGAGCCCAAGCTTTGGCTCATCGAGAGCAATCCAATCTCATCCTACAACATCAAGAAGAGCGACAAACTTTACCTCTTCCCCAAGATCGACGACAGCATCAACAACGACGATGGCATCTGTCTCAACGTCATGTTCTCGGCCTGCAATGCAACCGACCACTTTGCCACCAGGAACAAGCTGTCCAAGTCCATTCCAGGTGAGATACTTATATTGAAGGTATGTTTGTTGTTGCGAGCCAGGTGGAATCTCAGGACAAGACTAACGAGAGTGAACGAATAGATTGACAACGTTGTACATCTGACGGATTGTATTAATGGACAACCTGGCGGACTGGAAGGAGACTTGTTCATGACAAACTATCGACTGAAGTTCTTTGAGACCGTCTCTGGATTGGAGTATGATATACCATTGTACTCGATATCAAGGGTGGAGAGGGTGGGCTCGTCCAAGTCCAACACCAACTGCTACTTGGACATCAGTTGCAAGGACTTTAGGTTCGTTCGTTTCTTCTTCCCTCATCCCAACGACAAACGTAACACATCAAGGAAGAAGCTCTACAAGACCTTGAAGCAACAAGTCTTCCCAGGCAACCAAACCAAGTTGTTTGCATTCTACAACAAGTATGTATCACCTCACCCTCGCTCAATCAATCGATCACATATTCACCAACTCAATCAATCATTGCAGAGAACATTACCCAGTTGATGGATGGTCAGTCTTCAACTTGGAGGAAGAGTATAAGAGACAGGGTGTTGGCAAACCAGGAAGTGGATGGAGGATCACAAATGTCAATGCAAAGTACGAGAAGTGCGACACTTATCCATCATTGTTGGCGATACCTGAAAGGATCAACGATTCAGAGTTGGACAGTGTTTTCAAGTTTAGGAGTCGTGGAAGGATACCCGCGCTATCATGGAAGCACCCGTACAATGGTGCATCAATCACAAGATGCTCGCAACCTTTGGTTGGAATCACACGATCACGTTGCACAGAGGACGAGATGATGTTCCGCGAGATTGGAAGTCCACGACGGACTGGCGACAGATCCACATCCAAGAGCTCACGATCCTCTCTGATGATCAATGTGAGCTCACATCATCATCACACCGAGACCAAGACCCTCTGTCTGCTCGACGCGCGTCCCAAGGCCAACGCCATTGGTAACCGAGCAATGGGAGCAGGCTACGAGAACACCTCCACCTGCTATCCAGAGTCGACGCTCGACTTTTTGAACATTGAGAACATTCATGTGATGCGTGACTCACTCGACAAGTTCAAGAGTACGTGCTTCGCGGCTGTTGGCGGTATCAATGGCCAGTACTCCAAGGAGCAAAAGACAATTGGATGGTTCAATGGCATTGATGCGTCCAAATGGTTCGAGCATCTCGTCCTGATCCTGGAAGGCGCCGTAAAGATCGCCGACAAAGTGCACAATGCCAACACTTCAGTCTTGATCCACTGCAGTGATGGATGGGACAGGACAGCACAACTATCATCTATCTCCATGTTGTTGCTGGATCCCTACTTCCGCACCATCGAAGGATTTATTGTATTAATAGAGAAGGTAAGTCTGTTGCCCTGCATCCTGGCTGTCCACACACTTGGTCACACTCACTAACTCATTCAATCAATCAATCAACTCAGGAATGGCTATCATTTGGCCACAAGTTTGCACAAAGAATTGGACATGGTGACGCCAAGCATGGAGATGAGCAACGCTCTCCAGTGTTCTTGCAGTTCATTGAGTGCGTCTATCATATACTCAATCAATTCCAACAATCGTTTGAATTCAATCAGAATCTGCTGATGGAGATACTGCACAACCTGTTTTCCTGTCGCTTTGGTACATTCCTCTTCAACTCGGAGAGAGAGCGCGTCAACAACAATGTCAAGACGCAGACAGTCAGTCTGTGGAGCTACGTGCTGGCCAATCGCGACAACTTCCGCAACACATTATACGTGCGCGATGAGCGCGTACTGCCACTGCGTCTCGCCTCGCCACTGTTCTCCGTTTGGAAGGACTACTACTTCCAGCATCTGTTGCCAAGCACCGACGAGCACAACCAATCCACACTGGCACTTCAGAAGGAGATCAGACATCTGCAGCGCGACAATGAGGAGCTACGTCGCCAGGTTATCACTCAGCCACCCTCCAGCATATTCTCCACATCGACAATATCCCTAGCATCAGTCATGTCGTCGCCAATGACCTCTCCACCCAAATAGATGGCGATGGCCGTGATGTGGACGTGCAATTAAACCAACAACATTGTATTGTATTACTCAATCTAATGATCGATCATAGGCTACTGTCCTCATCGGCCTCATCCTGTCTGATGTATATACTATCCATCTCTCTGATGTTGTCGATTGTTTCCTCATCGTCTTCCTCACTGTCATCATTGAGCAATGGCACCAGGAATGATTGTTTGGTGTCTCCAATGACGTCAGAGACATTGGCGGCCTTCATAAAGTTCTTGAGAATGTTGACTTGCTTGGAAGGTGCCTGCTCCTTGGTGTCGAACTCCTCGTTGAACAACCAGCCCTGCTTGAACCTGCTGACGTCCTTGTACTCGGCATAAGGGAAGAAGTAGTGATGAATCACAGAGATTACAAACATCTCCAAGCAAATGATAAAGTTCTGAAGTGCCTCTGATATGTTGTGAATAGTCCAATCTCCAACAGAGTTGATAACATGGAAGTATGATAGGAGTGCAATGATTACTCCTTGCCTGTTCAATGTTCAATGTTCAATGAATGAGTGAATAAGTGAATGAGTGATTGTAAGTAAGTGAGTGAGAGTGGATGGCTGGGGCAACAACTATGTCGTTGGAATCATACCAGAATGAGAAGAAGATGACCATCTTGATACACATGAACTTGCCAAATGGTTTAAATGGTTGTAACTCTTTGCTCATACATTGATAGAAGAGTACCAGTGCATAAAGACTCATCTGTTGGTCGAAGGTATGGTCAATTAACATGTCCAATCAATCGATCAATTAATGAATCATATACATATACATACCCAGACACTGATGTTCTCTATGATGACCAGCCAGAGATATCCACGATCGGGTACAAACTTGCCTTGACCATAGTATCCAAACACTTGTAAGACGATTGAAACAATTGCTACAACAGGCTTGACAAATACAAATTGTAATACCATCTGTTGACAATTCCTTAGAAATGTTGGACCGAGTTTGATTCGAGGCAGACAATAACTCAGTGGCCATGGATGTAGCATCGATTGCTTCTTCTCCAGTAGTTCAAACACATCGTTGTGCATCTCTACATAAGCCACAATCAAACAAAAGAATGAATACAAGACATAAGCTTCATATCTGTGATCAATTGATACATGAAGTTAGTGATTGATTGATTGATTGAATGATTGAATGGTCATGAACATACATGTCTCTTGTGAAATCAAAGTATAGACTATACTCAACAAAGAGTAGGGATAGCCAACTGTCAATGGAATATACAGGTACCATTATCAATATCCTAATTATATATCTTTGTAATATTGGACAGTTGTAATTCCTAAGATGCTTATATATCAAATGTACAGATAATATCAATGAGAGTAACATTGCCACTCCAGACACCATCCACATACTTTATACAACTTATTAGTATTGTGTTCATGTCCTTCCATTCATCCATTCATCCATCCTTTCTATCCAACAAATAACATACATCTCAAGTATTGTAATGTTCATGATTGTATATCTATCTATCTATCTATCTATCTCTATCTATCTATTATCTTCTATATATCTTATATTTATATTACAATAGTTAATAGTGTTGCAACATTGGTGATAATGATGTTGTAATGAGTGATGTTGAACAAGAGGCCTAATCTAACTCTGTGTGCTTGTGTGTTGTTGTTGTTGAAGTGTTGTGTTTGTGTATGTGTGAGGCTTTGAAGAGAGAATAGTGTTTGATTGATTGATTGAATGTGTAAATGAATGGTGAGCTTATAAATAAATTAGTTGACGAACTATCTATTATCAGAACGAGTTGACCAATCTGAGGGACCTTTGTGGATTCAGAAAACAATGCAACACACACTCTTATTGGGCCATCAAACAATCATCTAATCTTACAACAGTTATATAATGGGGAAACTCATCAATAATCATCCTCTTTTTAATTAGAATGTTTTTATCTCTACCTCATTATTGATATATTTTAAAACAATCCATATTGAAATATTATTAATATACAAACTATACAAATAAATAAATATTATTTATTACAAGTACTTGTTAATATACAACTTGTCAATGTCGAAGTTGATCAAGTTGATATCTTGGACTTTGCAAAAAAGATCAACAAAAACTCGTGGATTCTGATGTTTGAAATGAATGAACCTTGAAGTTACTTAGCCCGAACCGAAACATTGAAGCTGTGAGATAGATAGAGAAAGGGAGATAGATAGAGTGCTCTGTAACCCAAAGGGTGATATATATATATATGTTAAGATTGCCATTCAAACATCTGACACCATTGCTATTGCAGCAATGTGGTAATGCAAGTGTCAGCTCTGTTGCCATTGCTTCACTGTCATCATCAACAACATTGTTATCATCATTGTACAGGCATAGTAATACTTTACAACGACAACAACAATATATATATCGATCAAATAGTACAAAGAGTAGCAGCAGCAGCAGTAGTAGCAAAGATGAAGTGTTCATTGATGATCATTCTTCGTCTACCAATAGAAGATTGAATCTACAACGTCAATCGTCAAACAACAACAACAACAACAACAACAGTAACATCAAACAACAAGTACAACAAATACAACAAGTACAGGAAGAGATACTCGAAGAAACATATGAACAGACACCTAGCACATCCTCACTTCATCCAAGATCCGCGACAGATAACGAATTCACCAAGCTCATTGACATGTTCCAAGACTCCATGCCATTGGCCATCGAACAGTATGTATGATTGATTGATTGAATGAATGAATGCGTCACAATCATACTCATTGTCTCATCGAATGAAGATTGAATAACTACCTTTATGGTACTAAAGATAGTATAAAGTTAGAGGAATACATGGTGGACGAGTTCCTTCACTTGATAAAGGGCGATCCTTATCTGAGTACAGACTTGTTGAATACATTGTTGCAGTACTATATTAGAGTGGATAGGTTGGAGAAGATCAAAGAGATAATAGGTCTATATATATATGGTGTGGAGAATGCAGACATCAATCAAACGACATTGGACCTGGTCTATGAGTACAGTGCCACGCGACAGCATCTTGTACTCGACTCATTCAACACGCGACCCGAGATCATCCAGTACACGCTTCAGACATGTCTGTTGGCGGAGGCTGGCCCCGATGGACTTTATATCGAGCGCGAGTATCTGTTACACAATTGGGACGTACAATCAAAGCCATTATATTCACCGATACCCTTGCTAATGGTATTCAACGAGCTCAATGTACTCGAGGGCACGGACAACTCTGGCGCCGCCCAGCATATCGTCGACTTCCTCTACAACAAACTTCGCGCGCTCGACTCGGTTCGCGTGCAAGACATCGCACTCAATGATATTGTGGGCAACTACTTGTCGATTGGTTGCTACAACATGGCATTGCGTTGGTACGCCATTCGTATTGCCGACTTCCGTCTGATGCCCAATCATCACACGATTGGCAAGTTCATCGCCTATCAATCACAATCCAGAAAGAGTGATGAGAACCTCGACGCCGACCCTCAGATGGCATACTGGCTAAAGGCCAAGGGATTATACACGGACAACTGGCGACTGGGCATCACACAGAGCATTCAGAACGCATTCGTCGAGAGCCAGAAGGGTGTCGATACCAACGCGATCACAGCCAGCATCAAGGACTATGTCTCCACAATGGACGAGATCGACACGCTACTCAATCACCATCTGGTCGCAGGCAACGCACCAGAAGTGCGCCTCATGTTGTTGGAGACCTACTTCAAGACACAGCGATTCCCCAGCGGAGCCATGTTGCTCGAGGCAGCCGACCTCCTATTCAAACACAACCCGAAGGACTACCTCGACAACTTGCTCCTGAAAGCACCCCTGCACTTCCTGCCGCTCATCTGCACTCCGGCGCACTTCTCCTCGATCCTGCAGACGGACCTGGACCAGGGCATACGCATGCTGAGCAAACAGCAGGACATCTTTATCTTCTCCAACTCGGCACAGACATGGTGCGACATCATGGTTGGATTGTTGAACAATGGAGGTCACCTGTCATTGATTGGCCGAATGATTCGCACGCTCGTCAACACTTTCAAGACTATAACGCCCAAGATTATCAATGATATTGGCATGTGGATGTATGCACATAATCGATTCGATGGCGAGGTCATTTCCGCGCTGGAGGAGTACTCCAATGCCTACATGATCAACCCACCCCTGATCAAACATCTCAAGATGTCACAGCTGGCCAAGAGTCGAAGATTCAAGGAGGCACACGATATATTCATTGGCATGACTGAGAAGAAGAGCCGCACATATCAGGTCGCCACCGATCTGTTCTTGAAGCAATGTGCATACTCCCGTGTGGTCTCAAAGCGTCTAGGTGTGGCATGGTCCGAGCCCACAATCGATCAACTTGAACGATTCCTTCAGATCAGCCTCAGCTTCCACAAGACCAACCCAGCGGTGTTGGCCATCATTACTGGTACTCTATTGCGTGATAACAGTCAACCTGGCATTGGTCTGGCACTGGTCAAGCAGAACATTGCGCGAGACGAGAAGAGCACACATGCTGACGATATCTTTGGCAAGTTGATTCGATCGTTATCCAATGAGAAGGAGAAGTTGGACCTGGTCACACACATCTCTCAGTACAATCTGATGCACAACAAGAAGACAGTGGAACATACGATCAAACAACAACGTAATATTAAGTCGAGCGCGGGCGCCACAGGCAAGGACAAGACTGCAGCGGAAATAGAGGAAATGGATATAGACAGTAACTTTTTGGAAGCAACCGACGCTCCCAATGCTCCCAAGTCTACCGCATCCACATCTTCAGCAGCGAAAACATCACAACCATTATCCCAAGAGACACTTGACTTTATTCAACATCACTTTGTTGAGCATACCATCCAGCCTCAGATCCACACCTTCCGAGTTAATGATCAAGGAAACAGACAACAACAGACAAAGCCAGCATACGAGTCAATAAAGTCAATCGATTGATTGAGTGAGTGATGTATCATTCGCGAATGATATATTGATGGACTGGAATGGACAAGTTTTATATATCTCTGGTTAATGGTACGCCAACTAAGAGCGCAATGTGTAGTATCTCTGGTCACTGGTTATGCGATTGAAGTTGACTAGTAGCACATAAGCTGTGAGCAATGCCAGTAAGAGTACGAGGAAGTTCTGGAAATAATAGTTGGAGATTGGTAAATATGATTGTCTGATGGCTGGCGGGCCAATGGTTGGCATGTGCATTACTTACTTGAAGAAGTGATGGAGTATTCTTTTGTTGTTGTAGTTGTTGCTGTTGAAGTTGTTTGAGTATAGCCTGTGCATGTTGTTGTTGTTGAGGTTGTTGTTGTTGGGTCAGAGGTAGGGGTTCTGGAGTTGGAAGAATGATTGGCATTGTTGATGATGATGATGCCTTGTCATCTTTCAGTCGATCAATTATTCCTTCAATATGCCTCAGTTTGTTGGTTAATGCGGCCAATTGCTCCTGGTCGTCTTGATGCTGGTTGGTTGTTGTGAGTTGTGAATTATGTACATGTTGGTCGGTTGTTTGTTGTTGTTGTTTAAGTTGTGTCTGCTGTTTCTGGATATCCTCAGACTGTTTGATCAATCCCTGCAGACGATTGGATAGATTGGTGATAATATCGTCTTGCGCCTTATTCTGTGACTTCAATCCTGTGATCTCCTTCTTTAGGTTGTCCTCGATGTTGTGATTACGCTCTGCCAACTCCTTCTCAAGCTTGCCATGCATATCACGCCATAAATCATCCTGTTGCTTCCTCTGATTGGTGCTCTGTTCATTGAGTTGATTGAACTGAGTCTGTAGCTGCTGACATCTGTTCTTCCACTTGGTCTTTCTGTTCTCCGACTCCTTGGTGTACTTCTCGTTGTTCAATGATTCCTGTGCCAAACAGCTTTTCTTGAGCTCGTCGAATGCCTGTGTCAGCTTCTCCAACTCATCGATTCTGTTGTTGCCTCGGGTAACCTCGCCTGACAGACCAGCCACCTTGCGTGCCATCTCGCTGCGTTCACTCTCGAATCGCGCCAAGGCCTCCTGCTTGCTCTCGATCAATGCCTTGGACTCGCTCAATTGCTTGTTCACATTATGACTCTCTTGCTCCAGTGATGTAACCTGCTCCTGTAGCTTGGTCTCGTTTTTCCTGCACTCCTCCAACTCATTCTGCAGACGCAGCATGTAGTTGGAGAGGAAGCCGGGGTTAATGGCCTCGCTACCACCAGCCTCCTCCACCACCTGCTTCAGAATACCCTGTTCGCTCTTCATCGTCTGGATCAAAGATTTGAGCTGTGGCGCTGGCAACTCGTTGTTGACCGATGGTTGATTGCGTACAGATTGTGCACGCTCGCCATAGTATAACGATGAGATGGTGTCGCGCAAAACAGAGTCATGTCCACTGACCGAGCAGTTGACAATGAGACATGTCTTGGAGTTGCCACCCAGACAGTTCTGAAGCAGTTGTGTTAACTTGCTGTCGCGATATCGTACGTGCTTTGAACGCTTGGCAATGTCCTCGATGACTCCACCCAGAGCATAGAGTGACTTGTTGATTGACTTTGCGTCGTCCAATCGCTGACCTGTCGCGCGTGTCGTTGACACAGACTCTGAGCCACTGAGATCCACCATGTAGAGCAATGAGTTGACGATGTCCTTTGTCTCGACATCCTCGCGGTTCACCGATACCAGGAATAGTATGTGTCCACGTGACTCGGCCTTACGAGCTGAAGCAGACTCAATCAGCTTGGTCACCTGTTCGATGTGGGTGATCTCGAGCTGCACGGCATCGGGCACGCTGAAGCCCTGATCGACCAGTCGCAGCTCCAGGTCGGCCTTGTTGTCGGCCAATAGATCACGCACCTTCTCCTGTATCACCTCGATGTAAGACACCTTGAGCTGGAACTTGTATTGTCTGGACGATTCTGATATTCGCTGGAATAGCTGACGCATGGTGCGTGGGATCAAGCCCCAATGTTCATCGGGCGCGATGGGTGGAGCGACGACACCTTCTCCACCTCCACTGATCGAGTCTTCCATGTCCTGTAAAGTGTCGTGCTGAATCAGGTCTGACTTTAGCTGACCGACCATCGTGTAGGTCTTACCCGTACCAGTGCAACCATAGGCAATGATGGCCGCGTTGTAACCATTGACTACATCTTCAACCAGTGGGAGACCAACTAGTTGATAGACTCGCTCCTGACTGATCATTGGCTGAAGAACGCGGGAGAACTTGAATGATAGTGTCTTTGCTCCATTGTTGACAGTAACTGATGCACCGTCATTGGAGAAGACGATTCGCTTGTCTGGCGCACTGTCCAACAAGCCTTCATCAAAAGTCTCGGGACGGAAGCGGCATATCACCTTGACGACCGAGTCGTCCCTCGAACTGGTGCCATCAAACACGCAGGGCGAGGGTGCGCGTGAGGAGGGTTGAGGATGGGTCTGTTTGATGCCAGCTGGGGAAGGTGCACGTGGCGAATGTGGCGGAGTGGATGGGGATGCGCCTAAAGCTAGGGGAGACGCGTTCATTGAGAGTCTTCGAGGTAGTTTACTGGTTGAACCCGTTGCGCCAGCGGCCGAAGGTGATGGACCGATTGAATTGGTCAATGATGATGATCGCCTCTTGGTAGTCAATGTCGCTCCATGATCGTGAACAGACAGCAATGGTGCTGAGTGTGGTGTCTGAGTTGTGGTGGATGATGACGACGAAGACGATGATGATGATGGTCCCATCGATGATGATAATGAAGTCGGTGTTATTGTGACCTGTGTTTGAGTTCTTGACGATGGAGCTTTCAATGATGGTGGCAGTGGTATCTTTGACGCTGTCGCATTCGTAGCCTGTCTGCCTCCACCATTCATTGATGAAGATAATGATTGTGATTGAGTTGAGCTCATCTCAATCACATATACAATAATAGTTATTTATATAATATATTTATAGTTGTTGCTAAAACCAAGAACACGTGATTGATTGAATGACCAATTTGAGCGCGTTCTGGGGAGTGGGTTCGTTCGCACTCAATCATTCAAACCCCATCTCCCACACACGATCATATGATCAAAACGCATGACGTGTGTGGAATCGGAGATCTACGATCCAAGACGTCCAAGGACATCAACCAATGACACACAGTCCCTTGGACTTGGTCAATAATAATAATTATATATATTATATATTTATTTAACATGAATGTTGAGTCGACTGGAGAGGAAGGATATGATCTTGTCCTCACTAAGCTGGCTGACAACTGGTTCGTCGGGTGGTGTTGGTCTTTGTTGGCTCGGTGGTATAGATTTCGGTGGATACGTTCTTAGAATGGCACTCAGATGTGGATCCCTAACGGTGTTGTTGTCTCGCTTCAACATGCCATAGATCTTTGGTGTGATTGATGTCATTCGCTTCACATCAAACAATGATCTGAACAGACGACAGCGTGCTCCAGCACTGTCCAGCGATTGCAGAATGAGTAGGATCAGATGCTGATCAATGTTGTCCTTGTGCACGCGGAACACTGTCGACTCGCGCCTCAGGGCTCTTTCGTAGTACTCGCGAATCACTGCATTCTGTTTCTTCTTGGCGCACTCTTCAAACACCGTGGCGTAATCGGTCTGTGTAAGATCGTTGGTGGGCAGGGGACGGCCACGAACGATCCCATAGAAAGTGTCCAACCTGTCCAGAGTCAGCAGCTCGTTGGGCACCAGTGAGCGAAGGAGGAGCTGCGCGCTCAGACGGTAGGTGAGCAGATCCTTTGGACCCTGCATTGTGTGGAAGACTTCCACGGCCATGGCGTCCTCGCCACGCTCCATGTGCATCTTAATGATGAGGTTGGTGTGGGGCGTAGACAAGGACTTGGCGGGCAACAGCGAGAGTATCGTGTCGACCAAGCCCTGCACTGCGGGCTGATGTAGGTTGGCAAGCAGACAGCTGCCAATGGTGTTGAGTGATGAGATGTGGAGTTTGGGTCGCGTGTCCAAGATGCGCACTAGCAGGCTGAACCTATTGCTGAGAACCAGATTGATGATAATGTCGTTGAGTGGCGTGTCCCATGAGTCTTCCATCGCCTTTGACTGAAGAGGTGTGAGGTTCTCTAGTCCGCGCACGCCTAGCGCCAGGTCGTTCTGGATCGCATGCGAGAAGAATCTCGGGTTGATAAACACAGGCGAGAGAGCGGGTGGAACGATGCGCAGGAACTCGCCATACAGGTCGGGCACCGAGTTGTAGATGGCCAATGCGCACTTTATGATCAGCTGGTCGCGCGGCAGTTCCTTTGTCACAAAGTAGTGTCGTTTGAGCAGGTCTATGATCGCTTCGACATCGTTGTCCTCAAGATACATGTCCAGCGCTGTGTCGGCGTCGATCGCCAACTGTCCACCCTGGCGCATCGAGGCCAGGCGTTTCATGTCATCGCCCTTGAGAAGCGGATCCATCAGCTCGGTCAGGTAGCTGCTGCTGGCCCTGTTACAGGCCTCCTCATTGAACGACGGACCACCAATGAGCATCCAATGCTCAGCCATCCCATCCTGGTTCCGCAGCTTGTGATAGACGGCGAATGGCGCATAATTGGCAAAGGCCAGCATGTTGACGCCACGAGCGTACCAGTCCAACGCCAGTTGATAAGAGTCCAACTTGAGGAATGTGGAGATCACCTTGCTCAGCCAATGACGGCGCGGATCGTGAGCCGCGCGCAACGCATAATCCTCGGTGGGCTGTTTCCACAACATAATGCGCAGCCACTGGAACAGCTCCTCGTGGCGACGCGTCTTGACCTTGTTGGCGGGCAGGGTATCCTTCGCCATGGTCTGATTGTAGACGATGAGCGTGTGTAGCACCGACGAGAGATGATTCTGGCCAACGCAATCCTTTACCCATTGAAGCCGTGTGCCTCCGCGCTCAAAGGCGCGCACCAACAAGTGCTGAGCAACGTCGGCGCGGTTCAGACTCTTGAGCAGGAGGGCATCCTTTGTCTCGAATATGTAGTCAGAGACATCCTCCAACATCGTATCATTGAGTAAGGGTGTCGGGCCACACCAGGAGTACGTCTCGAAGCATACGACCAGCATATCATTATCGCGCTGTGCTATGTAGTATCGAACAAAGTCCTCCAACACTGCTCCTATCTTTCCTCTTCTCTTCTGTAGTATCCAATTATATATCGTGTGTACCATCTTGCTGTGTTGTTTATCCTTTACATGTGCCTCCTTCATCAAGTACATCTGAAGTCTAAGTATGATTGAGTTGAGTGATTGATTGAATGAGTGAGTGATGGAGGTAGCGAGGAAGTGAGGAGTGTGATTGACTACACATACCTCTTCTCAGCATATGAGTTTCTTCCATTGATGTAAAGTTCACGTATATCGAACAGCTCTTTGAATGTATTATGATTGCAGTATTGACGTAACAACGCTGAATGTACATCTTCATCAGAGTCTGTTAATCGTTGTTGTTCATCAATAGTTGTTGATGTTGATGTTGATGTTGATGGTGATGTAGATGTTGTTGTTGTTGATGTAGTTGTAGAGTATGTATGATGGTGATGATGATTGAGTGTTGAGAGAGACAGAGGACATCCTCTGGTTGAGTGCAATGACAAAGATGACCAAGTCGGCCTCAGCCATCTAGTTAATGATGTTGATGATGAACATATTGCTGTTGCTGCCGTCCTTGTTGTTGACCTCTGTAACAGCAACATCCTATCCTTCCTCTTAATCAATCAATCAATGAATGGACCATGCATGAACTCTTACGAATGAGCTCATCAAATCATGTTCAACTTGCAAAGTCGAATTGTTAGAGGGCAAGGGCGAGGGCAAGGGTTGAGGGCAAGGGTAGGGTTTGGAAACAAGATGTTTATTTGTTGATCGTGCTGGCTCTGGCTAACTTCAACTCCATATCACGCATGAAGATACGTGCAAGCTTACGCTTGCGATGGAGAAGTATACCTCCAAGTACTAGACCAAGTACAACGATGAATCCTCCAACGGCAATCAATGCAATCTTCCAGATGTTGTTTGGTTTCGAAGCAGGTACAACACACTTCTCATCACTAACATCGGTTGTAGGCTCATACACATCGAATAGATGACTGAAATCAGGATCGATAACAACAGAGTCATTGTACTGTGGTATAACGGTGCCGATCTTCAAGCCACGGTATTGGACAGAGTCGGACTCGTTGGAGCCAGGCAGTCGTTTGTTGACTACAACAGTTGTCCTGTTGTCTACGATGGCAACAGGTGAGAACTGGGCATAGACACTCTGGCTGTTGATGTTGAGCTTGATCCAGCGGACATCATCTCGATTGCCACGTGATGTTCCGATGTCGGTGGACGAACAACCACTCTCTAGCTGACCCTGAAGAGACACCTCGGTGATGACTTGGAGCGAGTTGAGTGTGCTTTTGAAGTCAAAGTGAGTCAGCTCGATGGTGACCTTGGACGAGGCTTGTGGCAGTTGGCTGGGCACATCTCCGAACGTGTAGTTGTGAGCGTCACTGAAGAATTGGATGGTGATATTGACTTGGGTGTCGCGGCCTGGTAGGGTGGCTGTGTAGACCACGGCACCGGCTGCTGAGCCATTGGAAGCGGTCCATTGGTCCAACTTGAAGCTGTTGACGACCTCATCGGATGGGCTGAGCTCCTTTATCTCAGAGATTGAGATCATGGACTTGAGAATGTTGGTATGATCAAGATCATCTTGTAGGGAAGAGCCGGACTTGGGTCCGTCTGGGTTGATAACTGGACGATCGATGGGAACGGCCTTGGACGAGCACTCTGGACCGGTCCATTCATTGAAGCACACACAGCCATTCAGGGTGCAGTTGCCACGATTGTTGCATGGGGGTGAGCCGGGGCAGTCGACACCTGGGATCACTGGTGGCTTGGGAGTTGGTGGCGGAGTAGTTGGTGTTGGAGTTGGTGATGGTGTTTGAGTAGGTGTTTGCGTTGGTGTCTGTGTTGGAGTTGGAGTCTGAGTTGGGGCGGGAGTAGGAGGGGGAGGAGGGAGCAGGGCTGGGATGTTGGATGGGATGATTGTCCATGGTGCAGACTTGACTCCGTTGGACTTGATGACAATAGAAATGGATGATGTGTTGACTGGCAGCACCTTGATGGTCTGCAGATGGATACCCGACACGAAGCTGAGCTCAAGTGGTACGTATCCATTGCCATAGTTGATGGTGGCCGTTGTCAATGCTGGGTCGAGGTTGAAGTTCCTGCCGTACAGAGCAAGGTAGCCACCACGAACGGACAACACTGAAGACGACTCGATGATTGGTGTGGAGTGATCGTATGTCGTTGAGATGTAGTATGGCATACTCTTGCTCTTTAGTTCCAACGCACTGTATGACTTGTAGTTCTGGTCATTGTCCATGAATCCATTCACAGACATCAACAACTTCTTGCCACCACCAAAACCGAATGGAAGTTGGTAGTTGACTGTGAAGGTGTCAGTGCCAGAGCGAACCGATCGGATGCGCACTGTCTCCAATGTCTCCGAGGTCAGGTAGATGTATGGAGAGTGGCGCTGGGACACTCCAGAGCCAGAATCCTTCAACTGGAGGGTCATGGATACATTCCTGTTGGTACCGCCAACATTGACAGTGGTGGTAGTCAGGTCGAACTGCTCGATGTTTGGAGTTCCGGCAATGGACAGGTCACTCGACGAAGTCCTGATGAACAGTTGGTCGGCATAGGGTCCCGCGTAGATGGTGGACATTGGGTTGAATGTCTTGTGAGTGACACCCTTGGTATCATAGAGTATGACATTGGTCAAGGTGAAGGTGGATGCACGAGTCTTGTACATGTCCATTGTGACGGAGTACACTCCATTGTAGATGTTGCCATTTATCAGGTCGGACGTGTCGAACTGGACGGTGTATGCATTGGGCTCAATGTCTGAGATGATGTCAATTGAGCCATGCGAGAATCCGTTGATCTGGTCAACAATGGTCAGCTGCCAGCCCATGTTGGTTGGGTCTCTCGAGCTTGGTGAGACGGATCCCGACAGAGTGATGACACCTGTTGATGGAACGGCTTGGATTCTTGTGATCATTGGTGGCATGATATCACCTTGGGACGAGGTGATGTTGAGCATGGCACTTGGTCCGACCTGGGCTACGACTGCACTCGAAGGAATGAGTGAGTTGCCGCTGTAGATGTAGTACTGGCATTGGCCAGACAGGAAGTTACTTGGAGTGTAGAAGTTGAACACAAACTGTCCGAGCGAGGCGTTGAAGAAACCAGTGAACTGGAGAGATCGGTCATTGTCAAAGGACAGGACAGGCATCATATAGGGGTGCGGGTTGGTCAGTCCAACGTACATAGTGTTGTTCACTTGGGTGGCCACGAGATTGAGATTGTTGTTGGCGAATTGCACTGAGGTGATGTTGAGCACGGTAAAGATATGTAGGCTGCTATCCAGTACGTTGTTTGGAGTGTAGATGTCTGTGGTCACGGTAACAGTGCCTCCAAGCTCATCCATTACAACAACATTGTATGGGAGAGGTGAGGTATACTCGCAGAGACGTTCAAACACTCCATTGTATCCGGTACCAGATATCAGATGGGACTGGTTCAAGCTGAAGGTGTTCGACACAGTGATGGCCTGGACGTAGTACTGTGAAGTGATGTCTACCCTCAACAAGTATGTGTTCCACTCGGCAGGGATCACCTTGAGGTCATTAACACGAATTGACGATTCTAATTATGAATGAGCTATTGTTAATATGATTGAACGATGAATAAATGAGTCAATGGACATACGCTTGCTGTTGGTGGACAACGAGTAGGTAGTCGGCTGGCTATCTGTTATCTGTGGGACATTCAGTTGGACATCGCCAGCCAGGTTCTTGGAGAGCGAGAAGGTGTACTTGTACTCAAACTCATCAAACTTGAATGATGAGCCAGTCTGAGGTTGGAGCATTGGCATTGTAACAATCCTATTGTTGTAGGCAGGAATAGTACAAACAAAGTCAAACAATGACAGTGTACCAAACTTGGCATCAACCTCAACAATCATTGAGTCTGATCCACTATCATAGTTAGCATTGTCAATTTGAAGACTTTGAAGGTTACCAGCTAATATTGTAAATGATTGTTAATATTTGATTGATTGAATGGGAGGAAGTGATGTACATACTTAACTTGGTGTAAGTTCCAGAGACTGTAGATATTGGGGTGGTATTGGAACGGTCGAGAAGGTAGGACTTGATTGGTGCCTGGCTGAATGGAACTACGTTGATGTATGTGGTAGTTGATACATTCTTCTTTACAGCAGTGTAGGTGCTGTATGTCGATGATGAGTAGGCAAGCAACATGGACTCTGAGTTGGGGACATCAACCACATGCACCAAAGACTGTGCAGCATATTGATAGTCTTGTTTCACTGTGGCTGGTGGATATACCTTGCCAGCAGTTGATGTTGTTGTTGTTATGGATGCTATTTTGATTGAATGATTGATGTTAGTTGATTGAATAATTGATTGATTGGAAGATGGAGTGATACTTACAAAATGGAGGGAATACATTTGGAATTAAAAGAGTTATTGATGGCAGTCCAGTGTAACTGATAGTTGTTTCGATTGGATTAGTTGGCGATAATTTGTTGTAGGGTGGAATGACTCCTATCTGGAGTACCAACTGATTGGATATCAGTTTGTTGAGTTGGCTGACCTGGCAGGTATACTGTGCAAGCTTGGTCTTGCAACTGAAAGAGTTGGTTGTCATGAAGACCGATGGATTAGAGTTGAGCTCGGCCAAGACATACATGTAGCCATTCATCAGATATGGTGTCCTGGTCTTTGTAATATTGAACTCGGATGAGGTGAAGTCTTGGATTAAAGTTAGATATAGTTTGATTGATTGATGGATAAGTATGAACATACCATCACAGATATATGGTCCAAGTTTGAATTGTTGTGATTGGACATTGATAGTCATGTTGGTTGGCACGCCAACTGGGGATGCACTGGCACTAAGCTTAAATATCTGACGAGTGCTACTCTGTGTATCGACAGCGGTAACACTCAATGATGTAAACATCGAGTTGGCCAGCAAACTGATGCTGCCAACATCGATAGTGGATTGACCGCTCAATGTAATATAGAATATTGGTTGACATGTTCCACCAGTCTGGACGTATCCATTTTGTGGTACAGAGTACCTGACCAACAATATATCAGATCCTGCAGCATTAACTCCATTAAAATTGGAATTATCTGTAATTAGCCAAAGAATCAATCAGAGAATAAAATAAAGAATTAAAACAAAGAATAGAATAGAAGGAGAGTGAGAAGTAGAGATAGAGAGAAGTAGAAGAGAGATAGAGAGAGAGAGAGAGAGAGGGATAGAGAGATAGGATATTTAGAGGAATTGAATGAATGAGAGGAGAGTGTGGGAGTAAAGTGGAGGGTTAGAACTGTGTTGGCAAAAGAGTGATAGAGTAGAGAGAGATAGAGAAATAGAGAGAAAGAGATAGAGATAGAGATAGAGAGATAGGACACGAAGATGTGAAGAAATTATTAATTAATTAATTCTTACACAGCAAGGTGATTGTCAACAATATATATATAAAGGTAAGAAAAATGGAGTTGGATGGTTGAGTTGTTGTTGTGGCCATCTTTAAAGGGAGAGAGGGAGGAGGGGAGGGAGAAAAAAGAGATAGAGAGGTAGAGAGAGATAGGGATAGAGATAATAAATAATATTAAATAAAGAGAAAGAGAAAAAGGTAAGTGTGATTGTTATGGTGGGACAATTGGAAGAAAAGGTGTCAAGGATGTCACACGAAGAAAGGCAACGAATGAAGGAGACAGTTCACATGTATCTCTTCGTCAATAATAAGGAAGCAAGGAGAAGTATAGTGTGTGTTGGAAGAATAGTATGTCGGTGCCAGTGTCCGACCCTTGGCCTACAGTTCTTGACTTGGCCAAAGCGAACGAAGCGTAGTGGGCTGGCCAAAATGTGTATCCCAGCTGCTACTGAGGCCTGCCCATATTATGGTGACTATGATCGCCAAACGATCACGACTTTTGCCTTACATGATCATGTCATGTCTACGACATAGATTAATGACACTTCTTCCCGGAGCTGTGTAAGATCTTTGATGCAAAGAGGTGCCAAACAAGCTGCAAAATTCGAAACGGCTTTTTGGATCCCGATGACGAAGGCCCACACAAAGATATGATCAAAAATGTGGAGATGATGGCCTACTTAAACACAAAGACTTGTGCTGCCGAGAGTGTCACTCACTTGTGTACATAATACGTAAAGAGAAAGGAGAACATCAGTGAAGAAGAGAGCAACAACACACACCAACAACGAATGAGTGGGAAGTGTCGAACCGACACAGCAAAGAACTTGTTTACAAAGTTGAAAGAACAGTATTGAGTATTGAAATAGTTGTAGACTACGAAACAAACAAGACATCATTGCCTTGTCTTGTCGTGTCAGATATCATACGATTGTTGTTTCTTGTCCAATTGCCGATGACTTTTGGTGTAATCCTGAACACACCAATGAATGATGTATTTAAGATAAGTCCCAACACGCTCCATTGACATCAAAATAACCATCCATCATTGAATGGACATATTCCAAAGATTATGGCGTTGTTGTCTTCGTTGCCTTCGTCTTTCTGTCCGACCATCCCATCCTAATCAATCACCTACACAATACATACTCATACAAGAAAGATAAAGGATAGAGATAGGGATAGTCTAATACATCGATCGATCCTGGTATTACCATTACTGTATTATTATGTGTGTATCGATGTACTCACATCCATTTGATTATATGTTGTGTTTGGGGATGTTTATAAGATAGAGGTAATATGAAGGAAGGTAAAGTTCAAGTTTGAAAACTTACCCTACCCTTACCCTAAGTTGTTTAGCATCAATGATTATTTTCATTTAATTTTATTATTTTGATCAATCGTTCGTTTCACTCGACTTTTTGTGTCGCACTCAAAAACACGAATAACATAATCTTAGCAAAACGTCACCAACAACTTACATTACACCATACAACCATACATATACATACATATATATAATATAATACATACATAATAATGGTACAATCAAAGAGAAATAGAGTTGTCTCATTGACAAAGGTCACAAAGAACCCAGGCGAGAAGAAGAAGCGCCTGGTGTCCACCGTCAGAGAGTGTGTGGAGCAGTACGAATACATCTACCTGATATCATTTGACAACGTTCGCAACAACCATCTGAAGCAGGCACGTGCCGATTGGTCCAACAGCAGATTCCTCTTTGGAAAGAAGAAGGTCTTGGCCATCGGTCTCGGTCGCAGTGATGCCGAGGAGAACAAGCCCGGCTTGCACAAGTTGGCCGCACAACTCCAGGACTCTGGCGAGTGCTGTCTATTCTTTACCAACGACTCTAAAGACACTGTTTTATCGTATGCATCATCATTGATTATATCAGGGCAAGAGTGATACACAGAGGTCTAACAATCATTCATTCATCCAATCATTCGTTCAATCAATCATGCCAACTCGATCGCGCACATAAACAGATACTTCAACACATACAAAGAGAATGACTTTGCAAGAGCTGGATTCATCCCAGAGGAGACCATTACTAGACCAGAGGGCAAGATTGATATGCCACACACTCAGGAGACCTACCTGCGTAAGCTGGGCATGCCTACTTCGCTGAAGAACGGAGTGATTTTATTGGAGCGCGAGTTTGATTTGGCGACTGCCGGCGTCGCCCTCACACCAGACCAAGCCAGACTGTTGCAGCTGTTCGACATGAAGCTGTCAGACTTTAAGTTCAACCTGATTGGCTTCTGGAACAACGGAGAGTACACAATGCTGCAGGAGGATGTCAAGGCTGAGACCTCTGGCGACAATGAAGACGAGGACATTGATGAGGAGGATGACGAATAAATCATCACACTAATCTGTTAAGTTAACAATCAAGATATATAAATGTACATGGTTTGATTGATTGATTGGATGGATGGATGGATGGGATATATATTATATATATTATGTATGATACAGGGTTGGAACTGCTTCCAAGGGTCCTAATGTCCACTCTGTCTGTTCTTGAGTTCGTTGTTCAACGCTGAGAGGTTGAGTGTGCTCTTGTTGCCACCAGCGGCACCGCCACCGGCACCTCCATTACTGAACGATGATAGGTTGAGCATACTCTTATTGCCACCAGGGGCTCCACCGCCATTGAGAGGCGGCAGGCCGAGTGCAGGAGGCGCAGTCTTTGCCTTGGTGGTCTCTTTCTCTTTCTCCTTCTCCTTGTCCTTGTCTTTGAGCTGGATTGATGAGAAGATCTTGTTGAGAGATGGTGGACCTGTCCTCTTCTTCTCAGAGATGGTGGCCGTGCCGTCTGGATGCTCCTCCGTGACGACATCCGACTTCCTAAACGTGGACCTGCCCACCGATCCAATCAGCCTCAGTGTTGAGTACTTGCTCTCACCTCCTGATGAGTGAGTGTGGCTGTGRCCGCTGGTATTGTTGCTGCTGCCGCTGCCAGTGCTGGGATGATGTGGCAGGTTTGGATTGCCTCCATTGACCTGGCTGAGCGTCAGTGAGTTCTGGATTGCGATGTGGTGGTTGTGTTGCTCGGACTTCAAGTTCTCCATCTTGAGCTGGCTGGTCTCCTCGGCCATTCCCTTCAATCGCTCATCCTTCTGAAGAATAGTCATTGTATGGAATGTTGGCTGTCTAGATATCTGTCGTTCACCGCCAGCTGGTTCTGGTTCCTGTGGTACCTTCTCATCGTCCACCTCAATCTGGACACCTCCTCTCAGTGTTCCACCTCTAGTAACTCTTCCTTTGGCCTCTGTTTGAATGATTGATTGGTTAGCATCGATTGATTGATTGATCAAGCTTGAGCTAAACATACTTATGTTGGCGAAATAGTTGTCGATGTAGGTCTTGGCTTGATCGGCCTTCTCCACTGCCCTCTTGTCCAGTGTCAGGTTGTTGGGCTGGAGGTTGTTGATGTCTTCAAACACCTTCTTAAAGTGCGACATCCACAACTTCTTTGTCTCATCACTATCCGCCATGAATGTATGAGTGTCCGATTGCAACTCAACATCAAACGCGAATGACAATATAGCTGGTATAGTTGATTGATTGTGAGTATGGTATGTATGATTGAGTGAAGTCCAATAGACACTTACGATTGCCTGGTATGTCTGAGATGTTTGGACTTGGCTTGAGGTCGTCTATCTTGAGGAACTTGAACTTGGACTTGCTAAATATGTTGGCTATGTTGGCTGTTGTCGATGGCTTTGATAATAATAGAATGTCGTTAAAGAGGAATACATATACACGCTTGGCCTTGGCGTTGGATGGGCCATGCATCAGGAATCCCTCATGAATGTATCGTCTGTCCGCCACCACAAGGTTCTGAATGAGAGTTGGTGAGTCAGTGTCAGTGCCGAGTGTCGCGTGATCCTTGAAAGGTATATACATACAGGGAACTTTCCAACCAACTTGTTCTGTGCCTCAATGACTTTGAGTGAGTTGTCAGCGCGTCTCTTGGTGTCGTTGATAGAGATGGCCACCTCTTTGATCACTTTAAGTCCTTCAGAGATGTGAAGGAAGTCTGGATGAGTGCTCTCAGTGTGCTTGAGTAGGTCTTGCAGTAATAGTACATAACGTGGAATACGCTGGACGGGCGTGATCAGCAGTGATTCGAGACGCGAGCGAGGGTTGATGCGGTCCTCTGCCTGACGGATGAACATCACAAACTTCATGTCCTTGTTGCACGCTTCCAGACGACGCAGCGACGAGTCAAAGTTCTTGACATAGTCGGTGTAGGCCTTGAGGAAGACGCCCATCGTCGTGAACGACTTGCCCAGGATGGAGTATGGCGTCCAGCGCGACTTGTCGATGATGTACTCAATGTCGCTGAGCAGCTGTCTGTTGATGGCGATGATGGCGTCGATGCCACCAAATATGAACTTGACGTCGTCTGGGCTCACAATGCCATTCTTCCTCAGTGGCTCGATGAACAAGTTGGACAACTGCTCCAGAGTCCTCAGATACGTTCTCTCCGTACTAGCAATCTCTTGTACAATGTTCCATCTATATCTGTACAGTATCTCTGTTTGTTTGGAACAAGGTTAGATTGATTGGATCGGATGGTTGATTGAAGGGCACTTACTTAGCTTCTTAAAGGGTAACATCTGTTTGTAACGTCTGTAACATCGTTGGATACGGATTGCTGATTGTTCTTGTGCTTTGGTGTATTGCTTGACGGCGCCGGCGGCTGGTTTGCGAGGTGGTGGAGGCAGTGGCTTCTTTGGTGGCGCCACTGGACGATATATCGAGTACCTTGGATTGTAGGCTGCCTGTCTAGATTGGCTTGATTTAAGGTTGTTGGCATTTTGATTTGGTGCGTTGTTATTGGTGGTGGCTGCTGATGATGGTGATGGTGTTGGTGATGTTGCTGGTGCCGATGCTGACGCTGGAGTTGGAGTAGGTGATGAGGGCGATGCGCCCGATGGTCCAAGACCAACAAAGCATCTGGTCACTCTGAACTTTGTACCTCCTGCCATCATCTCGAGCTCTCTCTTCTCCTGCTCCTTCAACTGATTGATTTTGTCCGCATTGCCAAGTCCGAGCTCCTTCAAAAAGTTGTCGTGCATCTCTTCGATCTCCTCATCAGTGTCGTCGTCATCATCCTTTTGTTCGATGAGATCCTTCTCATCGTAGTTATTGTCGCCAATTGAGCTGCTAGTGTCCGAGTCGTGGTCATTGACGTTGGTGTTGAGTGACATCGATGATGAGCTTGGCGATGTCGTGATTTTGAATGTTGATGCTGATCGCGGGGCAAGCTTTGGTGCCAGTTTGTTTGGTCGTGGCGGCAGTGCCGACGAGACGAGTCCTGGTGAGGCAGCCCCGCCATTAACCAAAGCCGGGGCGGCAGCAGCAGGCGATGAATCAGCCGACAATGTCGGAGAGGCAGTGCCCGGTGTTATGATTGGTGACTGTGGCGTCGATGGGGAATCGCTCGAAGCCGATGACGAATGATGGTTATGCGCGCCCATCATCACCGACACTGAAGCCGAGTGTGTCCTTCTTGGTGGTGTCGTCAAAGTGTTGGTGCTGCTGGTGTTGTTACCACCATTATTACTATTGTTGGTGTTGGTATTGGCTGATGGTTTGAGAGGTGATTGACCTATACGCATCGATGAATGACCTGTTGGGATATGTGAACTCGCTCCAGTACCTGCAATCACAGCTGGAGAAGTCCTTCTTCCGGCTCTCTCATCTGTGCCAGTGTCGCTCATTCCTTTGTCTTTTTCTTTATTTCTTTCTTTGTTCCAATTACTTCTACACAACTATAGCTACTACTACTACTACTACTGCTACAATGTATTATTAAGAACTAAGTATTATAGATTAGTAATCGATTTGATTGAATGACATTGATTACACATCATCACTCACTAACTCACTCAGTCACACTTAAACACCATCAAACAAACTGTTTTGAACAATGTCGACTGAGATCTTGAAGAGTGTTGAGATGAAGGGGCGTCTATGCCCTCGACTGATGCCAAAAGGACTAAGCCCTAGATCTTGTAGTGTGAGTGTGTCGTTTATTCAAATAAACAATCACTACCAAACATACACACACACCAGCAAACAAACACTATCATATACCACACATAAACAAACACTTTGTCAACGACATTCGTCAAGATCAAAAGGGTACACTCTATCTCTCCCTCTAATCTTATAATACACTAATATATTCTGTCTATTTGATTGATTGAAGGGTTGTTGTGATTAACCTACTTTTAATAATTTACTTCCAGATGGTGATGTTACCTATTACTACAAACTGTTGAATGTATGTATGTATGTATGAATGAATAGATGAATAGATGAATAAATAATAAATAAATAAATAAAGGATAATAATATGTATGTATATATCTGTTGATCGGTTTGGAGAATTAAATTACAATTGTTGACGATGTAGATGCAGTTTGGAGAAACAGGTACCAAAAAGTCAGGTATCCTCCCTTACCCAATACTCAAAATTTGATCGCAAGGGTCATCATCAGACCTGGAGCATTCCAACAAACAAAACCAACCATCGATGGGTAGGCACCTCCAAAAAAATAGATCTAAAATTGTCCACATACAATTTCTTTGATCATTCAAATAAAACGTATGCGCACCTAATCAGAAACGTTGTTGTGACGGTCCATCTAACCGAATGAATGTTTGTCCAGTCTTTCAACAAACAATTATATTATATTGGTCAGAGTACAGTTCAGTTCTATCAATCTAATCTTAGAAATAATTATCATTATCATTCAAGAAGGGATTGGAGGATTGTTGGAGTTGATCAACATATCGTAGAGTAGAGCAGAGTAGAGTAGAGTTGAAGGATTGAGTACATAAACTTGATAAAGGTGTTGTTGTTATCTGTGAGTCCATTTGTAGTGACACCACCTACACACACTACCATGAGGGCCATTCCAATGCAACAGTAACACACACACTAAATGAGAGATAAAGAGAATCCATCCATCTCCATCCATCCATCTATGCAAGCAAGCAAGCAACCAACCATCCAACAACAACTTCAGAGGAATGATTCATTTATTCATTCATTCATTCACTGTGTTGTGTGTTACGATGGATGATACTTAGAGGTGAAGTGAAGTAACATTAGTGCGCATACAGTGAGTACCCACTTATCCAAAAGCATGGAGTAGTAGATTGAATGTAGGTAGCCACATATTGCCACACCCCAACGAGGCGAGCACCCACACAACTGGAGAATGAATGCATCACAGTGGATGTACCACGCACTCACTCACTCACCCAAACACTCAATCACTCATACATTTGATCAGAGTAGCATATTTGTGTAACTACAATAACAACAACAACAGCATCAGCAGTAACAGGATATACCCTTCTTGCATGTGTATCATGTGTATGAGGCCATGCTACTTAGAACTGGAGTATTAAGTAGTATCTGTGGCTGTAGAGGTGATGGTGGCACACCATACATACATGGAATCAATCAATCAAGCAAGCAAGCAAGCACATCACCATCATCGCCAAACATCACCTCCATATCAAGCCAAAGGTAAAGTAGAGGTATATTGGTAAGGTAGGTGATGGCACACGAGCAAGCAAGCTGTAAGTAGCGATGATACTACTATTGAGTGAATGAGTGAATGAATGAGTACCCATTGTTCACCTTGCCAAGCATCCATTTAACATCACTCCTACCTATCCTTCAAACATACCCTTTGTTACATTATAATAGTATCCACCCAGATTGTGAAGAGAGAAAGAAGATACAGAGATAATAACTATTGGTAATTATTATTTATATTATTTATTAGTGGAAGGATATTATAATATATTAGGATGATACTAACCCTTGCTACCTACTTCCCCTCCCTCCCCTCCACTTATATAGATAACTCGAAGTTAAAACTCAAACTACTACCAAACTCTAAACACAAACTCGTTAAACAAACCAAACAACAACCATAACACCATAACAATATAATTCTTTAAAAAGAAGAAGAGAAGATAGAGAGTATAGAATGATCAAGCTAGTAATTTTGGCTGTACTGTGCTGTCTAGCCACTGTTGTATTGTCAGAGGGCGCCAACAAGGAGGTGGTGCTCTCCATTAGCGGCATCCCCGCCGAGGTCAGTTTGATGGCCGGAGACACGCTGACCTGGGTGCCCCGTGACAAGGCCCTGCACGAGATCCACGTCAATGACAACAACAAGCACTACCAGATGAGAGGCAATGCCGTCTCACACATCTTTAACCGCATCGGAACCTACTCCTACGCCGTCAAGTCGGATGACAAGTGGCAAACATTCACCGTCAAGGTGTCCGCCGGTGCCGCCCCAGTTGCCCAGAAGAAGTTCGTCTCCCAACAGAACGTCTTCAAGCTCCAGCAGGACATCCAGACCGAGTACGAGAAGCGCGAGTACCTCTACCGTCTCCAGCAGCAGCAGGAGGACAACGCCAAGCACGGAATGAAGGTCGCTCCAGGCCCATACGGCAACATCCCACCCTCAGCCGTCCGTGTCACCCCAGGTGCATGGCCCGCTCCAGAGACCAAGCCAGAGCCAGAGACCAAGCCAAACCCAGAGACTAAGCCAGATCCAGAGACCAAGCCAGACCCAGAGACTGTTCCAGAGACTGACAACAAGCCAGACCCCGAGGAGACTGACAACAAGCCAGTCCCACCAGTCACTGACAACAAGCCAAACAACAAGCCAACCAACAACAACAAGCCAGACACTGAGACCGACAACATCCAGGAGAGTGACAGCAAAAACGCTGGTTCCAGACTTGCTGCCAGCATTGTCCTTATATTGGTTCCCATCGTTGCTGCCATCTTCTAAGCACGCCCTTTGTTGGCCAGTCTTGGAGAGGAGAGGAAAGGAAGTTGGTTACATTGTCACAGCCATCATCCTCCTCCACATTTAATTAAACAATCGTATAGACTCTCAAAATAGTTTATTATTATTAACTGATTGATTGACACTCTCTAGAGGGATGAGGATGGCTGCAGAGAGATGTCTACACATTGCTCTGCACCAGGGTATTGAGGCAAGTTGAGTTGGAACTCATCGAGGAATGATTGTGGAAGGAATCGTCCACCAAGGTAGTGAGTACCTTTAAAGCTTTCGGCGCACTTCTTGGGAGCGGCCAAAGAGATGAGCAGACTTGGCGTGAATGTGTTGTTGACATTGCCTTGCTCAACATCCCATCCCGATGGTATGTCAACAGAGGCAATTGGCAATGATTGTGAGTTCAATCCCGTCAATGTCTTTATAATCGAGTCGAATGGTGCTCTAATATCACCTTTGAAGCTGTAACCAAAGATTGAATCTATAACCAATCCATATCTTGATGTCAATTCAGACTCTGCTGGCATGTTATCCAAGAAGCTAATACCAACATGTTGACATTGAAGTACCAAGTTCTGACCATTCATTCATTCAAACATGTTAGTTAGTGTCATCAATGGATAATGTTGAACCTGAATGATGATGTTGATCATACCTTATACAAGTCCTTATCTGTTCTCTTTGGATAGAGTACATCTACTGCATAACCAAAGTGTACAAGATGTCTTGAGGCAACAAGTCCGTCACCTCCATTGTCTAATGAATGAATGATTGAATGATTGAATGAGTTCGATGATGTGGATGAATGAATGAATGAATAGTTACATACTTCCTGGACCACATATTGCTAGTACTCTCTTTGGTGATCTAGCCAATGACCCATAACATTTCTGGACGGATGCTGCCACACTTAGACCAGCAAGTTCCATAAGCTGGTCAACAGAGAAGCCATACTGTTGGCCCATCAGCAATTGATCCATTCTAATGGACTCACTTTGTCCCATGTACTTCAATGCGTTCATTCTATTGTGTGTCTCTTTGTTTGATTATTGTGAACTAACAACTAATGTACTATCTATCTCTACCTCCAACACTACTCCAATGAATGATTGGTTGATTGTTTCATTCACGTTCAATCTCAGATCACATGTTAGTGTGAGTGTAGATTAGAAGAGTCATCGAGGCTTCCCCTTAAAGGGGTGTGTGGGATCTCTTCATCTCAAGTTGGGGAGGCAATGTCGAGTGTGGGGTGATGAGCAAGAACCAACGGCTACTTCACAACAACACAGTTCTGCAACAACAATTCATTCATTCATTCAAACAGTTAGAACAACATTGTTCTTATATTAAGATATAGATAAAAAGATATAGATATATAATAAAGATATATATTAACCATCATGCAACGAAATGATGGTGGTGATGATGAGTCGACTGTGATTGCTCAAGTAATCGCTGATGACGATGGAGGTGGTGTACAGTCGATCAACCATCTGAGGCAGTGTTGTGTGGTAGTCAGAGTAAGAGGTCCAGAGGAATCAACATTAAGAAGTAATAGATCATCATCAAGCTTAGTGTCAACATTCTCGCATTCATTGTATGTGTACATGACAAGACATGACATGATACATCACACTTATACTAACATTGATAACATCATTCATTTAGTGATGGTCGCACAACATTCAGTTGTAGTGGATTCATTGTTAATAAGGAGCAGGGATTGATATTGACATCGGCATCGATATTTACACCATTCTTGAAGGTGCGTCCATCAGCTAATGGTGTCGCCAACAACTCTGATGACTCATTGGAGATGATCAAGGACACAGAGATAGACATAATGTGCAATTACAACAAGGATATCAAACATGATGATGTTGCAACGAGCAACCAACTGTCAATATACAAGGTGGCCGAGGAGCGTGTCTATGACCCTCTGAAGGATTGGATACCTTGTCGATACCAATCCATGTTGCCAGTGCACCCTTCGGTCATTGAGATTGTCGACCAGATCAAGTCATACTTCTCCGTCAGCACGCCCAGAGCTCTGTCTTTGGTGCTGCTGCGAGCGACCACACCATTAGTCGACCCAGCAGTTCGCGCCATTACCTTTGCCAACACGTCGGTGGCCTCGCGCACCGGCGAGAAACTCACAATCATAGCATCACCATTTGGCTTCATCTCACCGACAATCTTCCTCAACTCTGTATCCAGTGGTATACTGTGTAATGCGATTGCGGCTCGTCCATACGATCACCCTTCACTCTTCCTCACAGATGCACGTTGTCTGCCTGGCAGCGAGGGTGCTGCCGTGTTTGATTCTCATGGTCATCTGGTGGCTGTGGTCACGGCGCCTATCCGAGCAAAGGATGACAAGATACCTTTCAATCTATCGCCACTCATCCCTTCACATACATTCATCACCAATCTCAACCTTCAAGGTCAAATTCACATGTCTTCACACACGGACCAACTCGTCCGCAACTATAAAAGTAGCATCAGTAGCAGGATTGGCAGCAACAGCCTGGTCAACAGCAGGTTGGATCAACAGAAGCACTCGATAGTATTGGTCAAGTTCAAAGACACTTGGGGATCAGGTGTTCTGATCTCAGAGAATGGATATATATTAACCAATGCACATCTGCTTGGTCCGTCAATACCTTCGATCCACAAGTCAGACATCAGTGGCGCATACCCGCCATCGATGTACAAAAACTACAGTGTCGACCTTCGAATCGATTACTCTGCGATGAAAGGCAAGGAGACGATCAAGGGACACGTATGGCTCCAGGGCAACATCGAGTACATCTCTCACACTCACTTGGACATTGCATTGTTAAAGATCCGCGACGAGGATACAACTTTGTTCAACCATGTCGACTGCAACATGTTGCTCAACGTCAAGCATGGTGCAGAGGTATCCGTGCTTGGATATCCACTTCTGCCGCCAACTCAGAACCCTCCAATAAGTGTGACCAATGGCATCGTATCTAATATTATATTCGTCGAAGGAATGGCAGTCAGCTATCAAACGACTGCACCTGTGCACTCTGGCAACAGTGGAGGAGGACTGTTTGATCATCAAGGCAACTTCTTGGGCATTGTCACATGCAATGCCAAACAGAAGAATGGTTCAATTATCACCGACCTTAACTTCTCCATACCAGTTGCATCACTTGTACATTTCTTCAACTACGCCAATGGTCAAGGTAAGTTCGAATCGAGCCAACACAGAATAAGTTCATCTAACTAAACACTTGCTATACACAACTCAGATAAACATGGATTGGAAGTAATGAGAAGAACTTCAACCAACAAGTTCCTGAAGGCACTTTGGAAGCTACAGATAACATCGTCACCTCAGCCAAGTACCACGACTGATGGTCGTGGCAAGAAGTACTCTGAGTTCATGGAGAAGATGACCAAGACACCAATCACTCAAAAGGAAGAGATTGATCAAGCTCGTCTTCGATCAAAGTTGTAGCAACACATAGGCAACATATATATAAAGAGAGAGATATATAGATCGATATATTGTTTGTATTTATTATATTTGTTATAGCCATGGATAGCTGACTGACTCCATTTGGCTTATGTTTGATGAGTTGGAAGACAATTGAATCAACTCGTTCACCTTCTTGACGATTGGTGTGAGGAACAGTGTCTTGTCTGGCTGCACTGGCGGGGTGATGACATTGATCCTTGTGTTGATCATCTGTTTGATGACCTTGAGTGTCCTCTCCAGGATCTCTTGGTGCAGATGTTGATTGTTCTGTGTCTTGGCAATTGGCTCAGAGATGTGTCCACAAAGTATCTCATCGAATATGTACAGACTGAGAAGGTTGATAAGTTGATCCTAGAATGTTTGATTGGATGGTTGGATGTTAGTATATTGTTTGGGTCGCATACAAAGAGTCTATCCAGCTTACCTTTGTTTGGGAAATACACATGGCAGTTGCCAGCAGTGAACTTTGATAGCCACCCTCGATAAAGACTGGATTGAGGTATGATCGAATGTTCTGTGTGAGACGGAATGGTACCACTCCATTCTCAGTGAACTCTGCATTCTCACAGTAGTTGTCGGTTGCCCACTTGCCAAAGTAGACTGAGCCTGTGGACTTGGAGAAGTAAATGTCCGAGGGCGATTGACAGCCTGGTTTGCTAAACAGGACGTAGGAGATCATAGAGTGGAGACCCCACTGGGCAGCAAACGACAGCTTGAATTCATATTGCTCTTGGTAGGTGGTGAGGTTCTTCATCATGTAGGATGTCATCAGAGAGTCGCTCATGTACTTGGATATCTCACGGAATGCCTGGAGTTTGGTTGGCTTGTGTGCCTTCTCCTTGGGTGTTGTCTCAGCAGCGGTTGAGCTGGATCCTAGCAGCTTGTTCCTGTAGTGAATGAGCGGCGAGTAGAGCTCTTGCTCTGGCACCTGGCTGGACCAGACACTGATGAGTGGGGTCATCTCTCGTCCACCAATGGCCTGAACTAGGTTCAGGTTGTTGTTGATGGGCACCATCGTTGGGTACTGGTTGAAGGTTATTCCACGGCGTCTCGTCTCTCTGTACTTGTTGAGTAGATTGTTGATTGAGCAAAGTAGTTGTGTGCGTCTCTCAGTCTTTCTAAGGGACTGTCTGGGCTTGAACAGTGGCGTCTCAATGTCGATCAAGAATGGATAGGCGCGTCCATTGGTGGCGTAGAAGGTCACGCGTGGGCAGAGCATTCCATTGGAGTTGAGGACCATCTGTGCGGTGAGGCCAATCCTGTCGACCTTGACATTGTTCTCCTGGCTTGGATCCCGAACTCCTCTGTATAGACTTGGCACTTCGAGCAGGGTTGGACGCAGATCAGCAAGTGATGGCGCCAATGTCTCAAGACGGATCGTGGAGTTGTGACTGAAGTAGTTGGCAACTGTAATCGATTCGATTGTCGTGTAGGTCGTGCACAATGCTGTGCTGTGTTTGCGTTGCACCCATGTGATGAGCTTGGAGATCAGTGATGACAATGTAGGCTTGCCATCAGACGCGGTGTCCATTGCTGAGGTTTGCAGTCCAATCATTGGTCCAAAGTCATCGGCAAACTCTTGCTTGTATCGCTCGACCATCAGACTGTGGAGTGGCGGATGGTTGACTTGAGGGGCGCCAGCCAGCGGCTCCTCAAAGTAGTGCTGCTGTACCTGTTTGAGCATGTCTGTGATTGAGACGGGGATATCCTCCGAGACCAACGGTACCCTGAATGCTTCGTTCAAGATGTGGTTCAATGATGATGTAAGGTGATGCACTGAGGGGATGGTATGTGTGAGCTGGGCAAAGCCAACAAGCATTGTGTCAATCTCATTGATGAGGCTAGCATGGAAGGGCTGCAGCAGTACCGAGAGAGTCTCTGCCATCTTCAAGGGGCCAGGAAGTGGAGTGGCCTGTGCGCCCGGTGTTGGCAACAGCAGGGGGTTCGTTGGGTTTTGCTTCATGTCGCCAACAAGCTTGCGGAAGTGGTAGTAGGAGTAGTTGGGATAGAGACAACACACCTTGTTCAGCATCTGCCAACAGAGGAAGCCATAGCCGGGGAACTGAAGGCTCATGCTTGCACCCGTTATAAGTGTTGGGATGTGACTGAGCCACAGCCAGTGTGGCAACACAGTGATTGGCTTCTCGATTGAAGAGAACACCGACTGGGCCAGGGAGGGCTTCTTTTGTGGGGCTGCTGTTGGCGTGCCAGGGTTAGCCTCGGGGGTGGTTGCTGGAGCTGGGTTGGTACCCTCTGTTGGTGTTGTTCCGGGTGCTGCTGGAGCAGGGGCGGGTGCTGCTGGAGCTGCTGGGTTGGCACCTGCAGCAGCGTTCTGGGGCATGGTGGGCAAGGTGTGTGGCACCTCACCGCTACCATTGAGGTAGAGCAGCCAGAGGAACCTTGGGATAAGCTTTGAGCCGTAGCGAGGATCACATCTAATGCCTTGGATATAACAGTTGATGGCACTCTCCGCCCATCCGGCCTTGGTCTCAGCATCCATCGGTTGTCCACCAGTGGCACTGCCACCGCCATTGCTAAACATGCTGTCGCAGAAGTATCCCCAATTGATCCAACTCTTGGCGTAGTTGTCAAACAATTGGATGGCCGTCGAGAAGTTGAGGTTGGCGTCAGAGACCTGTCCCAGACGGCTCTGGAACTCGCCCTTGAGCTGGAAGAACTCGGACTTTTGGAGCGGTAGGAAGTAGTCAAGGTTTGTGCCATTGATGATGGAAATACCAGTCTCATAGTGCGTGGGCAACTGCAGGTAGCACTTGATCTGCTCCTTCAGATTGAGGAAGATGTCCTGGACCTCAATGTGCATGTTGAACATCTTGCTGAGTGAGTTGAGACACACCTCAATGATGTGATGCTTGCGAGTGATATGTGCAAACTTGTTGGTGGTCCAAGAGGTCTCGGGCAGGACGATGGGCTTGACAGGCTGGTTCTGTCCAGCGTTGATGTACTCGGAGATCTGCTCGACGCCAAAGCCCAACAGACTGAACACTTGTTGGCGCCATGTGAGAAGGTCGTTCCATACGCCTGAGTCCTCGTCCTTGCTGGGCAGTCTCTCGCGCCATATCGTGAAGATGGTCTTGACGTCGTTGATCGTGTTGACGAGAACGGGTCTGCTCAGAGGCGCCGTATGCAGGTTGGAGATTGAGAACGTGACCTCCTTGAGAAGGTGCACGGCTTCCTGCAGCTCGACGACCTGCTGCATCTCGACCAGGCCCTGGGAGTGCGCATGGAACGCGCGCTCGGGCAGACTGACCCACTTCTTGAGTATGAGCTGGTTGGAGTTGACAATGTTGGGGTCGACCTCTGTGAACTTCTTGTCGATGATCAGTGAGTAGCCCTGCAAGATCTTGCGGATGGATGTGTCACCGTGTGGTTGTAGCTTGCCCAGCGCCTCTCTCATGAGTGTCCACGCCGACAGCTTCCATGATGACTCTACCAAAAGCTCATTCATGTTCTGTTGGCGCGCATAGTCCAGTAGGACCTCCCATTGATTAAGTCGCTTGGCGCAGTCGATCCAGTGGTCTTCCCACAGTATGTTCTCGCTCTTTGTGGTGGACTTGGCACCATTGCTGCTGTACTTGTTCATCGCGGAGAAGTACACCTCTTGTGCCGACTGCCAATAGTAGAACTGCTCAAGGAGCAGGCCCAGCTTGGTCTCATCGCAAGTGTAGCGACGGCGCAGCAGGCCAAAGAGGAGGTCGCGCTCGTTCAAGTTGTTGTAGAGCGTTCCTAGTGCGTCCCAGACGGGCTCGGTCTGCTCGGGCGTCTTAGAGCCCTCGAGCAGATTGACCTCGAGCATCTTGACCGATGTGTAGTAGGCATTGTACGCGTCACCCAGATAACTGATGATCTCAACGGGGATCTTGGGTGCGGGTGTGCACTTGGCCACACCCTCCAGCAGTGTCTGAACGATCTGATTGGCCTCGGGCGTCGAGAGCTGGATGGCGTTGTTGGGTGTCTTCTTGTAGTCCTTGGTGAGCAATGTGGTCAATGACTTGGACAGCTTGTAATGCTCTTCCTTGGACAGCTTGGCCCACATTGCGCTAAAGACCAGCACCCACAGGTGATGACAGAGTTGGATGTCGTTGAACGTCAACTCGCTAAGCGCACTGATGATGTCGCCTGTCGTCACCTTGTTTGACGACACACCTTCGATCCACTCGTCATGCGAGGCCAACATGTCGGCAAACTGTGACGATACGCCTCCTGGAGGTGGAGAGGCGCCCGCCGAAGCAGAGTGGCCCTCAGTCGAGGGAAGGATATGATGGAATCGTGCCATGCTGTTGTGAAGTGATACGCTACCAGTGGCGGGGAGGATGGCCAATAGGAGGTCCAGAGCATGACGTATCCAATAGTTGTTGCCCAATGCGTCCCATTGTTGAATCGAGACGATGTAGTTGAGTCGCTGGAAGGGTGTGCTGCCGATAGATTTGTGCAGGATCTCAAAGAGGCCACGACGCGTCTTGGGGTCGTGCGAGCGCAGGCCAAGCATGAAGCCGGGCTCGAGCTGGGAGAGCTCCAGACGGCTGCTTGAGGGGTCCGAGTAGACCTGCTGAATGAGCGAGAAGTACGAGTTGATCAGATCCTTGTTGTCGAGCTGGCCAAAGCGGCTCATCTTGAGAACAAAGTTCACCTTCTCCTTGGACATGAGGATGCCCGCGTACTCCTTCTGGGTGATCAGGCTGGTGGTCATGGCTAGTACCTCGGACAGCAGCTCAATGTCGTTGCTGTGCTCGAGAAGTACCAGCAGGGACTGCAGGAATATCTTGCGGTTGTCAGATGTGAGCTTGACAATCTTGGCCTTGACCAGAGCATAGCACTTGATCAATGCCTGGGCGATCTCCTTCTCCGATCTCTTGATACCTTGTGGGGCCGGTGCACCAGCGGCGTTTGGCGCGCCGGGGAATGCACCTGGGGCTGGCTTCAGGCCCGGCTGTCCAGGGACTGCCACGGCGCCTTGCTGGGCTGGGGGTGCACCTGGTGGGCGAGGTGGCTGGGCGCCAGCGGGCGGTACTGTTCCAGGAGGGAGTGGCATGATGGGGATGGTGTCTGGCGCGAGCAGGAAGCCTGTCAATCGCTGGATGATCTTCATCAGGTGGGGGAGATAAGGCTCGATCCAATCGGGTTGCTCATCCTTGAAGGTCTTGAGCACGTTGAGTATCGAGATGTTAAAGTTCTTCTCGAATGTGGCCAGGATGCCATCGATGGCCGTAGCCATCGACGTGTAGAACTGAGCCAGCTCACCATTCGTTGGGAATGTCTGTAGCGTACGACGCAGTATGGCGCAGATCAATTGCGATATCTTTGGATTGTCATGCTGGAGCACTTGGACGTAGGCCTGGATATTGGCCACGTTGGTCGTTACGAACGTGTTGATCTGGAACTCGTAGATGATGTTGAGTATGTTGAGCGTGGTCGAGAGAATGAGTGGCTGATCGCTGTGCAGCAGTCGCTCAAACACTTGGAACTTGATGTTTGCGTCGGGCCAGATAGAGAGCGCCTGGCGAACCAGATCCGAGCACTTGTCCACCAGCACAGTGTTCTTGGCGTCCGTGCCATTGGTCATCAGACGTATGAGGAACAGCAGAATGTGCTCAATGACACTTGCGGGGAGGCGATAGTCATCATCAGCCTGTTGCTGTGTGATGGGCGTGGCCACCTGCTGGCTGGGAGTCGTGACATTGACCTCGGTGGTGGGTGTGACTGGTGGTACAGTAGACGGCGTTGGCTGGCTGGTCGCTGCTGGGCCAGTCGTAGCCATGGCTGTGGCGGTGGCAGTGGCTGTCACTGGGAGCAAATGTGGATTGATTCTCCACTTCTCCCAAGTGATGATCATCTCGATGATGTCGATTGAGAGCTTCTTGTTCTCTGGCGTGATGTTGGACACCAGGCCAATCTTGGGCAACACGCTAACCATTTGCGAGATGAACTGTGCTCGTGATGGGTAGAAGAGCGTGGGATGACGCACGATCAGTTGGAGAATGTGCACGACCTGCTGCAGCGAGTGAGACTCCTCGACGATCACTTTCTTGGTCCACTTGATCCACATGTTCTTGAAGTTGTCCACGAGGCGCACCTTGAGCGCCGGCACGAGGATGTCGAGAGCCTGCTTCACCAGATGCTTGGCCTCGTTCTGGAAAGCCTTGAGTAGCTGCACGTATACCTGCAACACAATCTTCACGGGCGTTTCGTAGGCTTCAATGAAGCGACAGGCCAACACGTAGGCAGTCTGACGGCATGTGAAGTCCTCGTTCTTGAAGTGATTCCATGCAAACTTGATGAGGTCACGTCGTGTGTCGATGAGGAATATGGGCACGTTCTTTATCAACAACGTCTCGAGTTGGAGTAGCTCGACCAGCAGCATCTCATCGTTGGGTATCTCGGATTCGAGTGTCTGCTTTGCCAGCTGGCCAAAGAGTTCGGGCTGGATGGTGCGTTGTGCCGCGTCGAGTTGGAAGTATGAGTTGAGCAGTGGGATGACGATGTTCTGGATGGCGTGCACTTTGAGCTCTGGCCCAGCCGTCTGCATGAACTCGAGGTATTCGCGCAGGATGTCCTGCTTCTGTGCCACGGTCGTCGTCTCCATCAGCTCGCCCTGAAGATAGTCGCGGAGGAATGAGAAGTCGATGGGGCCGCGAATGAGGAATGCAAAGAGCATCTGGAAGAGCAGCTCGGTCGATGCATAGTTCTGGCGACAGCAGTGAATGAAACACTTGATGATGATCCTTGTCTCCTTGAGTATGGTGGGCGAAGAGATCTCGCCGTTGTTCCTGAGGATATCCTGGCGGGTGGGCGAGCGCCAGATCTCGAGCAGCTTGTCCAGGACGGGTCGGCGCTCGATCAGCCACTTGGGGTCATTCTTGATGATCGTGTTCACAATGCTCAGGCCCAGGTATGTAAAGTCTGGGTTCATCTGCGTCATGTCCAGCCACACGCTGTAGTTCTTGGCCAGCTCCTCGACGATGGGCTTGGACACCTCACCCGCCTTGACAATCAGGCGGAATGTGGTGGCGTACTGTGGCAACAGGGTGGCCATTTGTGGGATGGTCCACGCCTGCGTGATGAATATGTCGACCGCCTTGGCCGGATACTTGGCCAAGAACTGTGTGAAGGGCTGGCGGTATGGGCTGTTGACCTCTCGACCGAGCAGCTGCTCAAACTTCATCGTGAGCAGGATGGTCTGGTCGATTAGCTTGCCTCCCGTTGGCAGCAGGTGGAACGTGTCGATGATCGCGGCACAGATGCGCACCTCTTCCGTCTCCTTATAGCGGTTGGCGATAGAAGTGAGCTTGCCAGTGTCCCTCAAACTTCTTAAGGTACTCAAACAGGCGGTCGCCCAGAGCGGCGTTGAAGCACGACGAGAGCAACTCGAGCAGACGCGACAGGCCTTGGAGGAAGAAGACCGTGATGTTCTTGGGGTCGGTCAGATTGGTGAGGATGGGCTTGAGGCAGATCTGGAGCACGTCACGATTGAGTCGCTGTTGGGTAATGGAGATCTGCAGGCCACGCTTGGCCACCGCCGAGATGTCCTTGTTGCGCACGGTCACGGCTTTGAAGAACGCGCGGATCGTACGGTTCTTGAGCTCCTGATTGTCAAAGGCGATGTACTCAGGACATGTTGTGGCAGTCGTGATCATCTCGAGTCCAGCCTGGCGTAGCTGGGACATTTGGGCAATGGCGCGTTGTGAGTTGGCTTTGGCCACGATGGTAGGGTCCTCACCTGACACTAAAAGACACTCAAGCAGGAACTTGGTCGAGTCCTGATTGAATGGTATCATTGAGAGATGCTGTGAGAGACAGAAGTTGAGGCCCTCCATCAGTCCAGTCTGCGCACCAATCGACAGCAACTTGAGCGAGCGTGGTAGGATGCGCATGAAGAATGAGCGTGGGTCATCATGGAGCAGATGGACAGGGATGTTTGTGATCTCTGAGATTGTCTTGATCAATCGCTGGACAACCTTTCTCGTGTGTGATTGCACCGAGAACAGCTGACGGAAAAGGAACTCAATGATCTCCTTCATAAGTGCACGTTGTTGATCGTCGAGCTGGGCAAGGGTTGCGTGTGGTGGGAGTGGTGGAGTCACTGGCACGGGTGGTGCTGTGGGGGCTGTAGTCGGGGCGCCCGTTGTGGGCGCTGGGGTGGCTGTTGGTTGTCCTGGATTGACAGGGGATGTACCTGCTGGTGCTGACGCGACTGTGCCTGTGGCAGCTGCAGGTGACTGTGAAACGGTTGTCGAGGGTGTCATTGGCGATGATGGTGATGAAATGTTTACAGGTGTTTGATTGATCTCCATTGGCGCATTGGTCGATGGTGTGTTCTGTTGTTGGGAGGTCGATGGTGTGTTTTGATCGATGTCCATAGCGTTCGAAGTCGCCGTCGCATTAGTCTCTGTGACGGATGAAGATGATGCATTGTTGTTGTTGCTCGAGTCGATGTCCATGGTTTGTTGTTGTTGCTCAGTGATTGGAATGTCCAAGTGAGGGGTACACAGCTTGATCAGCTTCTCGACTACCTCAGTGGCCGTACTGATGAGTGGCTGGAAGCCTGCGTAGGAGAGACTGTCGATGATGTGAAGGAGTGCCTTGAGCAGTTGTGGCTGCAGGGCATTGATCCATATGTTACACTCTTGATACTTGTCCAGGAAGAACTTGATGCCCGCGCAGCCGGCATTCATCTCGCTAAACTTGGCCTGATAGCAGGCATTGATGAATGAGTGTATCAAGTAGCTGAACAGTGGGCATGGGCTCGCATCGCCTGGCGACACATTGTACACTTCACACGCGCACTTGTAAAGCATGTCGAGAATGGCGGTCTGATCCTCTGTCGACAGCAGGTTCTTGCCATCGCCTGGCGCTTTGGACATCAGCTCCACCAGTGCATCGAAGAACAGTTTGGGGTCGAGTTCATGGAGTGAAGAGAGCGGAGTGTCGAGACGACGTGATGCAAACATCAATGTGAAGTGGCTGGCAAGCTTAGCCAGGTAGGGTTGCGACTCTTGGCGCAGGGACTCGATTCCATAGGCAACGTAGCAGCCGGCGAACATCACCCTCATGATGCGAACCTCATCCATGTACTCCTCGCGCGTCTTTGATTGCTGTGAGTGGGAAGCAGGTGCAGGTGGCGACGTGGGCAGCGTGGACGGCGACATTGACGAAGCAGATGGCGCAGGGAGTTGTCGTGGCGCCTCAACAATAGAGAATATGATTGGCATTGATGCATCCTGTTGCTTGTTGGCCTGAATTGTGTTGTAGATCTGTGAGGTGTGTGCGTGCAGCGGCTCCTTGTTTAGATTGAGTGAGATGTAGCGACGCAGCAAGTTGAAGGCGTTCTGTAGCAGGAATGGGTCGCTGTGATTGAGCAGCACGTTGGTGGCCGTCTCGGACGAGCGATCCAACTCGATGCTGAGCTGCGTGTCGGTTCCCAGTGGCAGTACCACCTTGAACGCGTCGATTGGTGTGGGCGTGGTCTCGATCAGTGGCGTCGAAGCGTGCACCGTCAGCGAGCGACTCTTGCCAGCCATCTTGCCTAGGACACGCACAGCGTGTGGACCAAAGAAGTAGGGCATGGGCTTGAGATGTGCCCAGATGGCGTGCAGGAACTCAGTCTTGTTCTCGCGGAACACATTGAGCAAGAAGTCACCTGTGACATTGTCAACCAGAAGCTCGATCGTCTTGAACGCGATAGTCAGGAGGTCATGCGAATTGGACTTGAGAGCAATGATGAGCGGGCGCACCAGCAGATGGATGCAGGGCAGGAACGAGGTGATGCGCACGGGCACTGTGAGCGCCAGCTCGACAAACAAATGGATCATATCTGTGGGGTGCGAGCTGGACAGCAGCTCGTTCAGGGTCTCCAAGATGCCTGGAAACAGGATAGTGATGTCCTTGGTCAGGTCTGGCTTGTTGCAACCTCTAAAGATCATCTTTAGCAGCATAAAGTAGTTGAGCGAGCCCAATGGGTTGGACTCAGTGGCCAGCTTCACAGCCTGAAGTATGATCGACTGGAGCACTGATTGAACAGCCGGCTCAATCTCATTGTTGACCAGCACCGTTCCAAACAAATGTTTCAGCAATCGCAATAGTATAGGATCAGGTTTATCGGTTGGTAGTGTGTTCCTGATCGTGATGAAGGTGCAAGATTGTTATGGTTAGGGCAAGGTCAAGGGTAAGGGTAGGTGACGAACATACTTTAACTTCTCATTGAGGAATGGCGCGATGATCTCTGAGAACTGCTTGCTGGGACTGTTGGATTGTGTTTGGTTGGGACTGAAGCTCATGAGCACTTGTGGTATGATGAGCAGGGTCTGGTCTTCGGTGCAGCGGTCGTAGAGGAAGCCAATGGTCGAAGTGAATAGCTCCTGGAATGTGCGATACTCTAGTTGGAGCAGCGTGGTGGAGAAGTGCTCCAAGCTCTCCTTCTCCTCGTTCGGGGCTGGGTTGATGCCGCCGTACGCCGGCAGACATTTGATCAGATTCTTGAACATCTTGATGTACATGAGTGACTCCTCCACATGCGACAGACCAATGCGGACCACTGTTTGGGTGCCCGCCGTCGTCATGACGGGTCGCTGGCTGGGACAAGAGTTGAGCGCCCACACAATGTTCCTGAAGCCTCCAATTATGGTCTTTAACAGACTTCGGCAGTCCTTGATTGGGTCTCCGACGGGCATGCTGCCAGACGATGAGTTGTCGGCTCCTGGGCCAGGGGCATCCTTGCGCGCATCTGCGGGCGCCGCTGCACCCGAGGTCGCGGAGGAAGATTCGTCTAACTGTGCCTGTTGCTGTTGTTGTTGTTGTTGCTCTTGCTGCTGTTTCTGTTGCTGCAACAGCTTTGGTATCTGTTTCTTGAGGCTGACAAACTTGTTGATGAATGCCTCAAAGATCTTGTAAATGATTGAGCGAGCCTTGAACTCGGGATCGGGCTTGCGCGGAATGTACTCGACGATGCTGATAAACAGCTTGGCCGAGATGGCCTGGATGCTGAAGTGGTTGGTGGAGTCGTGGAGATGCTTGCTGTACAGTGTCACCACCTTGGCAATGTGCGCCAGTGTCAGGTCGTTGCGCATGTGATGTATAAAGTCGGCCAACGAGGAGTAGGCAATGAATCGTAGCGCCTCGTACGATGTCTTGGACGAGCCAATTAGGATCTTCTCGTCCAGCAGCAGGTCGAGATAGACGATGAAGCGCGACTTAAGCTCCGACGACAGGATGTAACGCGTGGCGAACAATAGCTCCTTGCGGATAGTCGACGACTGTGGCGGACAATTCTTCATCAAGTGGATGACGTACTTGGGGAATGTGTCGGCGTATGGGCGGATAAGGTCCATGTGCTGCTTGAGTGTGTAGGCCAGGAACGAGAGTGTCTTGACCTGCGCGCCAATAAAGTCCACGTATTGCTGGTGATGCGTGACCGATGCCGTCTCGGGCGCCTGCAGACTCAGTGCATTGATGATGTACGGGATGAACTTGCCCACGTTGCCCGCCACCGAGCTGGGATACAGCTGGAACAGCAACACGACGATAATAGGACTCTCGGTCAACACCTTGAACGACGACATGCTGGGCGTGATTGGGAGTGGGCGTGGCTGGCCGCCCTGGATGGGTGGCGAGGATGTGCCGCCGCCGCCGCCGCCGCCCGCAGTCGGCGAGGTTATAGCCTGCGTGCCAGGTGCTGCGCCCGGACCACCGGGCGGAGGTGGCGTAGTGGATGTTGGTGGAGGCGGCTGTTTGAATGCCTTCTCCAGGGTCATCGGCAGATCGTTATACATCTTGTTGACGATGTTGAGAAAGGGTTGTACCTCGGCTTCTAATGTCGGTCGGTAGTTCTTGTGCAACTCCATTATGATTCTCAGACAGACCAATGCATTCTCCTCATTGTCCACCTCGATCAAATACATCGACAGCTGCAACAAGTTCTGTACCTGTGGCTTCAGTATATCATTGTTTGGTAACTTATTCAATATCTCCAATATAGTATTACGTATCTTCTGTTCTGGTGCATTGGCATCGAATTGAACCTTTAATTGATTCAAAGTTAGAGATTGAATGAATGAATGAGAGCATGATGAGATACATACCGCACCCTGTCGTAATATATTATAGAATACTGGGAAGAGATACTGTAGGAAGGAGCCATACTCACCAGAGTGAATGACCTCGATGTTGTCGCGTATCTCTGTCACCATGTTCAACAGGTGAACATGATCAGCGTTGGTCTGCAACTCATAACACTTACGAGCGCATATTTCAAAGTTGACTTGATGTGACATCAATCTACTACTAACTCTATTAACTACTAACTACTAACTACTACTTGATTGATCTATCTGTCTATTCTATGTTTACTTGTTGTTGATCAGGTGTCGACACACAAACACAAATGTCTGTCTACCTCTTCCTCTCGTCACTAACTTTCTTGTCTTGTCTTGATATACTACACGTCGGTTGTGTGTATATTGTTATATTATTATAATGTTATATACAATTAGAGGATATATATATTGTTGTAGTTGATGATAGTAAGTAATGTTGAAGGAGAAGGAGTGATTGGTGATCATCAATCAAAGTATGCAAGCTGCGACGAAAGTGAAGAGCATCCTCAAGAGTTGTGTGTTCCCTCTTTTTTTGATGAATGAGCAAGGGCAAGGGTAAGGGTCAGGGTAAGGGGCAGGGTAAGGGTAGAGTATTGGATGAAGGAGGTGATTGTCAAGGTACCATCTACTTCTGGAAGGGTTACCATCATCTCTGGTAATACCTAATCAATCAATAAATCAAGAATTCAAATATTAAATAATCGTCGCCTACAATCAATCCTTTATTCCATTCCAACAACAATGGATGCATGATCACTCATGCATACATACATATATAATGAATTGAAGATGTGATTGATGATGATAAATGATAATCTAGTTGGACATCTTGTCAATTGATGCACCAGCCAGATTCTCATGTGGCATTGTGTTGACCTTGGCGCTAAAGTTGTAGAACAGTGGGTAGTTCAAGAGGTTGAGATAGTCGCTGGTGTAGAGGTCAGCATATCTGCAGACCTGCATTGAGAAGAAGGTCGGGTGCGATCCAGTCTTGAACAAACTGCCAAAGTACTTATTGTACGATTCGTTCAACTTGCTCGTCGCTTCCTTGATGTGCTGACGCAACACCGTTATATCAGGAGGTGTCGTACTCTCCGAGTCCAATCCACGATATATCTCTGCTCTGATGAACTCAAGATTAAGTAAATGGATAATAGTATGTTGCTCCTCATTCTTGAATGTTAATTGAATGAGTTAGTATGTGTTGATCATGATCAATCAATCACTGAAGTACATACCAACACTTCCAACTCATGTTGGAGCTCTGGGACTACGAGTAGATTCCTCCAGCCATGAGACTTCTTGGACTTGATGATGTCCGCAAAGATGTGATCACCAGTGTAGAGTACACGGTTGCCCTTGGCACCAATGAGCTTCTGAAGCAATGACAATGATCCTCCATGATACACCTTGCCAGGCTCGAACCTGTCCTTGACATTTGTGATCATCAAGTTACCTGTGTTGATGTCTACCTCTCTGATGGTGGTGCCCTCTGCAAAGAACCTTGGTTTGTCAGCTCCAACAATGATCCAGTCTAAAGCGAGGATGAATGAGGTGAGTGTTAGCATGGGGACGATGGCGAGGTGGCGTGGACAACATGGACATACCAAAGAAATCTCTCCAACACTTGTAGTTGGGATTGGTACCGTTCAAGAGGTAGGACATCACTTGGTTTGTGTAGTAGAACTCACTGTTGGTGAGCAGGAACACTTTGTTGCCATTCTGTCTCATGCGATCAAAGAGTACGTGTGCGTTGGTCTTCTTGATGTACCTGGGCATGTCTTCCAACACCTTGGCTTTCAGACTGCCTCCATTATGAACGAGATCCATAGCCTCGCGGACATCCTGGAACAAGTTAGAGAAGGACAGGTCGCCAACTGGCACCTGATGCTCATTACTCTTTGACTCTGTTGCTGCCGCCGCCGCTGCCGCTGCTGCCTTGTGATGGAAGGATGCCAGAGATGGGGAATTCTGCTGTTGTTGCTCATCGGCCAGCTCCTCAGTCAACTTGAGCCCGCTTTCCTTCTCCAGATGATCGATCAGATCACTGTACAGACAGGCCTCGGGAAGTGTGAACAGTGTGTTCAACAAGTAAAACCTCTTTCCAAAGTCATACTCGCCATGCACTCTCATGCTAGGGTAGAGATCGACCATCTCCTTGTAGGTCAAGGTCCTCTTTCCATGAAGACATAGTACAATGTTACCAAAACTGTCAATCTTTAGCAGGTTACCAAGTTCTTTGTCAATGAACAGGCCTCTAATTGGGAACAAAGGGTCGTATCTAAGCTTCTTAATCGTTGATGGGTATCCGAGCTCGACCAATCTCTCAATGACCATGTCATAGGTCAATTGTTCAAAGTCAGGTGAGTTGTAAACGGCAATAGTGTAGTCCATGTCGACTGGATAGAATGAGATGGTTGTGTCAATGGTCTGCACATTAAATGAATCAATCAATATGGATACATACATCCAAAGAACTCTATCCTATCGAGTTTTAGATCACGATTGACAAAGATCCTCTTCTGGATCTCACGCTTATGGATTGGAGGAAGGACATTGGATGGCAAGTCCTTGTAGTTCTTCAACTCCTCATCAGTTGGAGGGTTGGACAAGTCATCTATTATGAATGAATAAGTGAATGAAGTGAATGAGTTAGTATGTTGTTTGCAAACTGAAGAAGTGAGGGAAGTATCAATCAAACATACTCAATGATATCTGGTTGAACTTGCCCAAGGGAGACTTTGGCTGTGGAGTATTGTTCTGCGAGTCAAGTTGTCTTTAAAGTGTTAGTTAGTATGATATGTTCAATATTTTGTTTGGATGATTGCATTCATTTGAACATACTCCTGTTCCTGACGCCTTCTTTCCATTAGCAATCCAGTTGCTGAGTTTCTCAATATGTTATTATTATCCGCCATTTTTGTAAGAAGAAGTATGTAATATGTTATATCTTTGTCTACTAAACTAACTAAATGATGATGTTATTTGTTTGATTGATTGATTGATTGTTTGCATATGCTGATGTTGTTGGTGGCAATAACAACCACACAACCAACTTCAATTGATTGAGTTGTCTTTAATTTAGGGTCAGTCATTCATTCAGTTCATCATCAAGACACACTTTCATAACCTTTTAATTAATCTTGAAGATTGACTGAGGTCCCATTGGAACATTAATGTTACTGAATTCAGTGTTTCCCACACCACAAACAACCCCATTAAAGACAAATCACCATGTTTGTGTGTTAAGCCCAAAACAAAACATCATTTGGTTGTTGGCAAAAAGTCAATCAACTTGGTCCATTTGTTGCGTGCGACCATTCATCTTATACAACTAAGTTGTAAATCACCAACTACTATGTTTGTAGAATGGTTTATTTTCTTCAGTGTTGAAGAGATAAATAATAATGTTTTGAACAATCCTATTAACCTTACTCTAGAGATCTCTAGTCTCAAATAGTATCTCTATTACTTTGTTAACTATTCACACATGTTGTAGATACTATTCTGCCAGGCTGTGTCTTTGCAAAGACTTGTACACTATTGTGTTGAACTTTGATACCAGGCAAAAATCAAAAAACCCACCAAGGTTGATATTTTTAAACGTTAAAAAATCAATCAAAACAACGACAAAGTATTTTTCGTACATGATCAAATAGCAAAGGGTGTGCCAAGGTTGGTTGGCTCCACTCCTATGACAGGGAGAGCACATTCACTCACTTATCAATGACAACCTCTGTTGGTGTTGGTGATGAGGCCAACAACAATAGTGAAGGATAGCCGTGTGGTTGAGCCCAGCGGGCACCGCCCCATATCTGACACTGCTCTACCCTACAAGCACAAAAGCCTATCCTCATGATCATTCTTAGTTGGTGATCACCAATATATATTATTATTATTACAGATAATCAGATATGTTTAGATCAGCATCAGCATTAATCGTTGTATTATTAGTTGCCAGCGTGTTGGGTAACTCCACACCACAGAGCATCAAGATCTCGTTGACTGAGGACCAGGCCTCCATGCAGGTCACCTGGTACACAGACTCTGAGGGCTCCTCGCCAGTGGTCCAGTTCGACTCAAAGGGCTTCGACCCATCGTCTCTGTCGGCCTCGCTCATCCAGGCCAAGACCGTCGAGTTCACCGAGAAGCTCTGGTCCGGCTACACCAACTACGCCACCATCTCGCAGCTCAGCGCCAACACTGTCTACTACTACGCCGTCGGCGACCAGAAGACTGGCGTGTGGAGCGAGCTGTTCAACTTCACCACCGGTGCCATGAGCGCCGACGTCGTGCCCTTCAACTTTGTCACCTACGGCGACATGGGCGAGGGCGTGGACAACTCCACCGTGCACAACGTCATCAACAGACTCGACTCTTTGCAGATGGTGCTGCACGTCGGAGACATTGCCTACGCCGACCTCCAGTCTGGCAACGAGGGCAAGTACGGCAACCAGACCACCTGGAACATGTTCCTCGAGGAGATCACCCCAATCGCCACGCGCATCCCATACATGGTGTGCCCAGGCAACCACGACATCTTTGACGGTGTCAGCTCCAACTACCAGAACAGCTTCATGATGCCACAGGGCTCGTCCGGCGGCAACTGGTACTCCTTCGACTACAACGGCGTGCACTTTGTCGGCATCTCTTCCGAGACTGACTACTCGTCGACCTCGCCACAGATCGCCTGGTTGGAGAGCGAGCTCAAGTCATTCCGCAAGGCCAACCCAACTGGCTGGTTGATCGCCTTCTCCCATCGCCCATACTACTGCTCATCAGACTTTGGCTGGTGCAAGGACGACCAGAGCAGATACGCCCTCCAAAAGACCGTCGAGCCACTGTTCTACCAGTACAACGTCGACCTCTTCATCGCCGGACACTCGCACGAGTACGAGCGTTTCCTGCCAGCCTACCAGAACGAGGTTGCCGGCACCTACGAGGACCCCAAGGGTCCAGTGTCCATCGTGATCGGCACTGCCGGTTGCCAGGAGGGACTGAACCCATCGTTCCAGGAGCCCGCCCCATCCATCTCGTCGGGCGTCCGTCTGCTCACCACTGGTTTCGGCCAGGTCTCTGTCATCAACTCCACTCACATCCAATGGCAGTTCATCAAGGACAACACCAACGAGATCCTTGACGATATCTACTTCACCAAGGGAACCTTCTAAAATGGTCGAATACTAATGTTGGAGTAATGCTCATTCATTCGTAGCGTTGGATCCAACATCAATCAATCAATCAATCATTGTACCATTTAAAGTCCGAACTTATTATCCAACCTCAATCGTGTTGTCATGTTGATGTCTGCGAGGGTATGTCTGTGAGGGTTTCGCGACTTGTTCGTTTTTCGATGTCATTGAGCTTCACATGCAAGTCTTGTCCTGACTTCGTCAGACTCGGTCACTCTTTGAATCCAACAACTCGTACTACTACTATACTTATAAGTGAGTGACTACAATGATAGTAATAGGTCGTAGTCTACTCAACCACAGAGCATCAACATCATCATTGAGGACATTGACACGACTACTGCCATCACTCTCATGTCGATCACTCACATCAAACTATCACAGCAACAATGATGACAATGACAGTCCATCTGTCTTCATATCAACAAGCATAAGCCAACCATTAAGATCATATAGTAGTAGTAGTGATCATGTACTTGGAGATAATGAAGGTCGTGCAATCTCATTCAAAGAGACACGCGAGTATCTTGATAAAGAGACTGATGATGATAAGATATGTCTTTGGTATGTTAGTTATTGTTGTGTTGTTGATGTCAAATAGACATGTCTAACATCACGAATGAATGAACATTATATAGTATATCAATCTTATTTAAGAAGACTGCACATCAACCGTGGATTGCAAAGTCTTTGATCAACTACATGTTGGAGGAACATCCTTCAAAGATGTCGGTCAATGTGATCAATCTGTTCATTCGACGTTACTTGATTGATGATAACTTGCGTCTTGTGTCACGCACTTATGGACTATTCAACTACTTTGGACTGCAGCCCAACTCGATGACACTGTCACTCTCCAAACAGCTGTACGGTAGTCACATGAAAGACTTCCAACTCTCATACTTTAATCGTCTGGACATCACCCAGTGCGTCCTGGAGCACGAGCTGCAGAATGGGAAGAACTTGGACATGTTGACCAAGGCCGCCATCAAGATGCCACACACGGTCATGGCCAACCTCGTCGTGCTCAATCATATTCTCCAGAATAAGCAGGTGTCTCACTTCCTCGACAGCATCATAGAGCAGCACTATTCGGTCGAGCACAGACAGATCGTCTGTCGTATGATGTGCACTGTCTATCTTCACTTTGATGCGGTCCTGCCTGCGATGCTGACCTACCTGCACACCGTGCTCGACTTGGCCACATACCCAACCATGCGCATGGTGCGCGTATTCCTTCAGTACTCACTCTATAGGTGGGATCAATATGCCACTGAGACCGCATCTGGCGCCATTCCGCCGTTCGTGGGGGAGCTGCGACACAGACGTAATGTTAACTACTGGCTCAACTACTGTCGACAGTTCCAGGACAACACGCCAACGCCCTCATCGTCGCTTGGCGCAGCCTACACTGACAATGAGTTGATCGATCCAGTGCTGATGAAGATAATTGAACAGAATGGAGGCCGTGGGGCCCTGTTTGGTCAGGCCTCAGAGAGTGACGTGGCCCTGGCTGGCCTGATCGATGCACATTACCTCGCAGAGAACAAGGACAAAGAAGTGGCGGCCATCATCAAACATCTAAAACAGCACAACTTCCGCACTTTAACATTGCCGCATGGCGACCTCATCATACAGTGCGCTGAGCTATTATTCAACGCGCTGCCCGCCGACAAGTACTTCACCGAATTCCTGCCGTCGGTGCCCGAGGCCTTCAAGTCCATCTTCATGACATCGCACACGTTGAGTCAAGTAATTGTGGACAACTTGGAACAGACAGTCAAGGACTACTTGATCAAGGAGGACATGATATTTTTGCGACGTTCAATGCAGACTCGTAACGACCTGGTGGTCGGTGCGCTGATGGCACACGACTTTGACCTGGCATCCGATCTCCTCACTGCGCTCCTCACCAATAACCCACTCGGGCTGCTGCCCGACACCATCAAGCTGTACATCAGGTACTGCATTCAACATCACAAGCGGCCCGTCGCCATTCCCGAGATATATTATCAGCCGAATCAAATCACCTCAACCGTCATCCAACGATGCTGCGAGTATCACCGACTATATACGCTCATCATCGATGGTGAGCTGGAACCTGCCGATGCACTCCTCAAAGAAGTGCGACTCCACACGGACATTTACCTCTATCCAGTGGGCACCTTGCTGTTCATCAAGAAGACGGCGGCTCAAGACGGCACACCAACGCCAATCACATTCGATCGCTTCACCAACGAGTTGCTGCCATACCTTCAGCTGGACCTGTCACACACCAAGCATCACACTATATATGGCGCAATATTCGAGGAGCTGCATCATAATCAATTGCTGACGCCAGAGTTTGTGCGCGCATATATCGACAGCCAGGGCGAGCAATTCGTCATGGGGCCGGTCGACCAGCGCCTGCTGTGCCTAATGCTGATCACCCTCCCTCAGCCAATCGAGAGGGTTGTTCTCTTTAATCGATTCTCCGTCGCCAACAACACATTCAGCAAGCAGGTTCTCGCCGAGGTCATGAAGGTACACATGGTACAACAAAATTTCGATAAGAAGATAAGGAGCATAGAAGAGTCACAGAAAATCAAGGAGGACGCTGACGCAGCAAAGGCAAAGGAGGACAAGAGTAATAAGGAAACACTCGTACCCTTCAATGGCCAGCAATTGGAACAGATCAAAGGATTTATTAAGAAGTGTTACGACTCTAGTGGAATGACCATTGGCGTACACGAGATACCCAATAAGCCATCCTGTAAGATAAGCTCATCGACTCGAGCATTCATCAATAGACACTTCCTAACGAGACTGGATTTACGTAATACTGAATAAACCTTGATTGAAGCCATTCTAATTATACTCAATCTAGATTGAGTATTCTACATTGGAACTATTCCATTATCTACTAGTGGTAGTTTTGATTAACAGTCTGTTGAATTTTGAACAGGTCCACATTGATTTTGGTTGGAAGTGTGATTGGAGGCAATTCCAAGTTTGGAGGGGAGATTGCACCATGGTATATGTCGGCAACAGATATTGGTAGTTGATAGAGTGGGATACCTAGTTCATTACATTGTTGATCATCGCCATGTCCATATCCTCGCCATTCTACTCCAGGTGACAATATATCATTCATTCCTTTTTGTTCTTTTTCCGCATCAAATGGTGCACTTCCACAAGAGATAATCAGAACTGGTTTCTCCGTGCCTGGCACTGGGACACCTTGTTCAACTCTTTGATTGACTCCTCGTTTGTACATCATCACAAGTAGAGGAAATGGATCTTCTCTCATTCCAGGATATACCTTGTCAAAAATCTTTACACTTATGACTGCTCTAATGTTTGTCCTTTGGTTAAAGTAACGCTGGCAGTTGCGATGTAGTGTACTTAGTGATTGAGAATGTCCAGTCATGATCACAATATTTGGATATGGACTGCCAAGATAGTTTGATGATAGTTCTTTAACTACTCTTGGTTTAAATTCGCAGCATATGCACACATCGGGTTCTACCATATCATTGGTATCAGAGAGTATGGTCGGTGTGAACCAAGCCTTTATATGATCAGGGAAATTGGCTTTATAGGTTATCCTGTCTGCTATTTGTTTGGCAAACTCTTGATGGGTTTCTACTCGGACATAGGACTTTAGTTCAAACATATATACTATTCCATCAAGGTATTGAAATCTTTCTCTAAACTCTCTACCAGCAGCATCATTATCTCTTCTCTTCCAATACCTCCAGAATGTAATACTTCTATCAATTATAACACCATCTTCAGGTATATAATCTAACTAAGCAATATATACTTGTTATAATGTATTATTGTTTATTTGTAAATTATTCGTTATTATTACATACCTCATATATTCTATTAATCTTATTATTCCAACCTCTTATTTTATCTATATGAGATTGATATGTAGCTTGGTCCATACGTCCCTCTATCTCACTATTTGTATCTGAACTCATTACTTATTATTATCTCTATTTACAAATAATGTTGAAGAACCTAATAATGAATGTTTTGACCTTTTTGGGTCAAACAAGTAAAATGGTGGGGTTGCTACTTAGACCAGGTTGTCTTCTTCGAAGAATAGGTCTCAAGACAAAGAGATTCATTGGTCTTGTGGTGTTCATTCAGGTACAGATATCATCATGTCGTTGATACTACGACGACAAAAAAGATGGTGTTGGCCATCTGTCTTTGGTGCTACATCAATGATCTTCATTAGGAATAGTCAAAGACTGATTATCACCTCACCATCATTCAGCAACAATAACAACAACAGATCATATACTACAACGACAAGTACCAATATAAGTACAAGTACATCGACAAGTACATCAAGATCATATAAAGATAGCAATAGCAATAGTAAAAGTAGTAGTAATAGTAGTAATAGTGGTAGCATCTATCAAAGAGATAATAATAGAAATAGATATGACAGAGGAGGAGGAGTAGGAAGACAAGCTCAATACATAAACTTGATGGAGTTTGATCATAAGTTCAACTATGATGGTCAAGACTACCAGCACATGGGTAAACTCTTCACCACCGAACCAAACAAAGCCGATGCAATGTATGTCATGACATGTCATCAAACACTCAATCAATCAATGTCAAGAGTCGCCAGTGTAGTGACCTATACTAACGCGATCACCCGCACATAGAGTACAACAACTACTAAAGGAGAGGACGATTGACATGTTCCCAATACTTAAATGGATCATTCATAAACGATATATGTCACAGACTCTGTATGATACGCTGGTGTCACAGGCAGTGCAGCAGAAGAATCATTATTACTTAGGACCTATGCTTAGATTGCTGCATGTTGGTGAGCTGGGCCTACAGCTCGGCCAGACGACCATCGATACAATGTCCAAACATTACTTCTTTGTTGAGCGCACGAGCGATGTGGCCAACATGCCCGCGCACATCATTCAGAACATTTTGGAGCATCCTCGCATCGCCTACCGCAAGGTGTTGCTCATCGTCAACAGCATACGATCACCTCGCACACTGGCCACACTGTTACTGTTCAACGAGATGCAGGCGTTGAACATCCCTGATGCTGAAGGCGTGTTCAGTCCGCCCCCACCCAGCGACCAGGTCGGCTACAGCCAACAACTGCCGCCAAAGATATTCCATCAGCGACTCTACCAGATACTGCTCAAGGATCAGGTGCACAAGCCCGAGGCCATGGACGAGATCACTCACTTTATCATCCGCGACTCACTCAAGCTCAATCGACCGGACCTCGCAACGATATGGCTGGCCCGACGCTACCACACCTATAACCTACTACCCACACGGGCTATACTCAGCATGTTCTTGGCGCACTACAACGGCAACAACAAGCCTGCATACACATTCTGGCACAACTTCTATTCAAACCTATTCACTATATCCTCTGATGACGACCTTGCCAATGAGATGGCGCGATACAGGGATCACTCAATCAATCAGTTTCTGGTCGAACGCTGCGGTGATCAATCACAGAGACAGGGCAGAACAGGCCTGCCAAAAATCTTGGCCGAGCATCGCAGCAGTAGCCAGCTGGCAACACTCATAGCCAATAACCTGATGTCCAATTACTTTGGCCAGGACTCAGAGTATGGTCAATTCCCCGAACACCTCTACTTGGATCGACTGTTGAGCGAACTGTGCGGACGCGATGGCACTCAGTTCGACATTGTTGCCTTTGCCAATGCCGCTCCACGCATCACTCGTATCCTATTTGCTGGGCCATTGATCCTGTCCCGCCTTGCAGTGAACAATGTCGAAGCGGCACTCAAGTTCATGGCCGATCAGTCCGACATGCAGATACTCTACACAAACAGCTATCAACTGCGCAACGACCTGTTGATTGGACTCAAGAATGCCCAACGTTTTGACATCCTTGTCGAGTATCTCAATTGCGTCAAGCCCATCACCCAGTCCACTGTCAACGAGCTGCTCTCATCCGTCACTCAACACTTTGAGTTGGCGCCCTTTGCCTCGCGAGCGATCATTAAATTGGTCAGCGCCCTGGTGCCCAAGGGCAACCCAGACAGCAGCTGGACACACGACATGGTCAATGCTCGCCTCTCGATCATACCAGGTGACTCGCGCGATCAATTCAAACAAATATTGGCTGCAGCTGGCGACAACAGGACCAGTGTCACCGATGCGATTGCGACCCTATTCTATCTCGAGCAATTCAAGACACGGCCTTTGGACAGCAACAATGAACGCCACACCCTAGACAACCTACTCAAGTTCATCGGCTCACCAATAGGCATCGACTGCCTCAACTCGCCCGATGGAGCGGTGTTGCAGGTGCTGGCCCAGGGTGGTAGCGTCGGAAAGGATATAGTGATCGAGTACACCGAGTACCTTTCATTTATATATATACTCGAGACGAACAAGCCCGTTACATTGTCGGCCCAAGCACTATATCACATTGCGTTGACACTGGTCGATAACAAACAGGAGTCGACTTTAATCCAGATCTTCAACAAGCAAGTACCAGAGAACAATTATGATGGAAAGTTAATGGACATTCTGATACAGGCCAACAGTGTAGCGCAGGACACAATGACCAGTGAGACCTTGGCCAAAGCATCAAGAAGAGGAGAGTCCACATCATCACTCTCACAATCAAATGGGGTGATCAAGCCAGTAGTTACACTATCAGATTCGACAATGGAGTACCTTCGCAAGTTTATGTCCTCTCCAATGACCATCACTGATTGATTGTTTGATCGATCAAGTAAATAATGATTTGACCAGTGTTGGCAAGTTAAGTATGTTGTTTGTTTATTAATTAATTAATTAATTGATTGATTGATTGGTTGGTGCCATATGAAAGGGTAGGGTAGGACATTATATTGCTTACTTGGGAACCTAGGTATGGAGAAAGAAGGTAAGGTTAGTAGTTGTTAAACAAAAACAACAGCAGCATAGTGAAGTATGATGGTTCCACTTACAAATCCTGGGACGGCATTGAAAATAGGATCACCTGTTTTGAGGATGGTGAAGCAATTCTTTCCTTGGGCATCGAATTTGTTGGATTGACCCTTTGGTCCAATGATGTACTTGCCGCTTGGGTCAGTGGCAGTCAAACAGTAGTCTCCTGGAATAACATTGGGCTCAACGAACTGTTTGACACGTTGTGCATTCGCATCAGTGGTCCATTTGTTGATCTGAGTGCCATCTGCTTTCGTCAAAGTGACGATGATGCCTCCAATTAATGGTTCAGCGTCGTTGTCACTTCCATCTTTGTTGAGGTCTTCATAGGCATGACCCTGGATAGTAGCCAGTGGTATGTTGAGTCCTATTGAAGCTTTGACCTCAAAGTTGGAGTTGGCGGTCGTCCTGTCTGCGGTGAAGCAGTACTTTCCATCTGAAGCAAACTTGTTGTCAGCAGCAACTGGTGGCGAGATATATAGTATCCTATCCTCAGGAGTGAGCATGAAGGTGAGGCAGTACTCAACACCCTCCTTAGGAAGATCGAATGAGTAAGCACCGGTGCTTGGCGTGGTTACCTTGGTAATCTCATTTCCTGAGACCTTCTCAGTGAGTGTAACAGTAACGCCCTGGATCATTGTGGTCTCAGAGGCATCCTTGATACCGTCCTGTGATAGGTGTAGGAGCGAGCGAATCATTGTTAGTTGGGCGGGTATGATCTATCGCATTGATCACTTTTAATATTACTTACCTTGTTCAAATCACTCCATGCAACTCCCATTACCTTGAAGTTTGGAACCTGTGATTTACAGAAGTATGAATGGAGTGTTAGTGAGGGAGAACAATGTTCATCCAACTTTAGATGAATTGATGAGTCTGGATCAAACTTACGAAACCTGGAAGGACAAGCATCTTTTGAGTCTTGTCTGCTGTAGTAAGAGAGAAACAGTATTTGCCTTGGGGGTCGAAGGCGTTGGAGATACCCTTTGGTCCAATCCTGTACCTGCCACTTGTATCTACGGCGGTCATACAGTAGTCTCCAACTGGGTTGTCTCTCTGTATCCACTGCTCAGTACGGGCAGTACCCGAGGCAGTGGTCCATTTGTTGATCGGAGTGCCATCGGCCTTGGTGAGAGTGATGTCAATACCAGGAAGCAAAGGTTCACCTCCATTGTCACCTCCACTGGCGTCGAGGTCATCATAGGCATGACCCTGGATCACGAATAGAGGGGCATAGAGTCCCAGAGGTGCTGGGAACTCATTCTTGGCATTGACAGTGGTCGAATCAACAGTGAAGCAGTACTTTCCATCAGCATCAAACTTGTTGTTGGCGGCAATTGGTGACACTTTGTATGCCTTCTTCTGATCGTTAGTGAGAGAGAAGGTGAGGCAATAATCGCCAGAGTTCTGAACACGCAACTTGTAATCACCGGTGCTGGTAGTGGTAACCTTGGTAACCTCATTTCCTGAGACCTTTTCAGTGAGTGATCCAGCAATTCCAGCGATTAAAGTAGTCTCGGAAGCATCCTTGATACCATCCTATTGTGTTGTTGATGAGTGAGTGGGTGAGAGAACGAGGCATCATTGTCAGCACATGTAATTAAGATGGTCTTTGACCATGGAATAGCATTAACTTCCACAACTTACATTGTTCAAATCGGACCATGCGGATCCAACAACCTTGAAGCCATCTGGAACCTATTTATAGCAGAGTGGAAGAATTAATATGATGGTTTCAATTATGAATGTTGATACACTTACGAATCCTGGCAATATCTTCCATGGAGTATCTGTAGCCCTTAACGTGAAGCAGTAGTCGCCTTGGTCGTCAAAGGTGTTGGAGATACCCTTTGGTCCAATCTTGTACAATCCACTTGGATCTTCAATATGTGCGCAGTATCTTCCTGGTGGAAGATCAAACTTGTATTGTGTCCTGTCTGGAGCATTGGCATCAGTGGTGATTGTTTGAAGCACACCACCTTTGCTGTCCTTGAATGTGATAATGGCTCCTCCAAGCATTGGCTCAACGTTGTCTGATCCATCCTTTGTGTTGTATAACATTTAAAATTGTTAGTTTGAGTCTATCGACCAATCAATCAATGAATGAATACTTACTTTGTTAGAATCAATGAATGCACGACCAGAGACATTGATCTTTGGAATGTTGAGTCCAAGTGGTGCCTTGAGCAGATGGTTGCTGTCGGCAGTGTCCTTGTCTAGAGTGAAGCAGTACTTGCCATCCTTGTCATACTTGTTGTCGTTGCCAACTGGTGAGACAAGGTATTGATCCTTTTGCTCTTGAGTGAAATCGAACTGGATGCAATAATCACCGGCGAGGAGATTGGGAGTGGTGTATCCATTGGTGGCATCAGTTGTGAAATTTACAACAGGTTTGCCAACAGTAGTGATTGTACCTTTGAATCCAGCCAACTTGGTCTCAGTGTCAACAAAGTTTCCATTCTATTTGATATTGTTATTGATTGATCAATTGAGTGAGCAAGAGTGAGTGTTTGATTGAATGATTGAATGATTGGACACTTACGTTATCAACGTCATTCCATGCGAATACATTAATCTTGAAAACACGAGTCTAGTGGATTGATTGAATGAGTGAGTAAGAGTGAGTTGAATCGAAATAATAATTAAAGTGGATATACTTACGAATCCTGGCAATATCTTCCATGGAGTGTCTGTTGCCCTAATCTTGAAGCAGTAGTTGCCTTGGTCGTCAAAGGTGTTGGAGATACCCTTTGGTCCAATGATGTACTTTCCACTTGGATCCTCAGCATGTGCGCAGTAGCTTCCTGGTGTAATATCAAACTTGAACTGTGTCCTGTCTGGAGCATTGACATCAGTGGTGATTGTTTGAATCACTTCACCCTTGCTGTCCTTGAATGTGATAACGATTCCTCCAATCAAATCCTCATTGTTGTCTCCACCATCCTATGGGTTGTTATTAGTAAATCTAATCAATCGATCAATCAAATATCATCAATGATTACTTACCTTGTTTGAATCCATGAATGCCCGACCAGAGATATTGATCTTTGGAATGGTGAGTCCGAGTGGTGCCTTGAGTATATGGTTGCTGTCGGTGGTGTCCTTGTTGAGGGCGAAGCAGTACTTGCCATCCTTGTCATACTTGTTGTCGTTGCCAATTGGTGAGATGAGGTATAGTTCCATTTGTTCTGGAGTGAGTTCGAAATGGATGCAATAATCACCAGCGATGAGACTGGGTGAGGTGAATCCATTGGCGGCATTTGGTGCGATATCGGCTACAAACTCACCAATGGTCGTGAGCTTAGCAGTGAATCCATCCAACTTGGTCTCAGTGTCAACAAAGTTTCCATTCTATATTGTTATGTTTGATTGATTGAGTAAGTGATTGAACGTTCGATTGAGCAAGAGTGATTGATTGAATGACACTTACGAGATCAACATCATTCCATACAAATCCAGTAATCTTGAAAGCTGGGGTCTTTTGATTAAGTGATCAACAAAAGTTAGTGATCGATTGATTGATTGAATGAATGATTGAATGAATGAATAGAACTTACGAATCCTGGGTAAATACTCCATGTGGTGTCGGTTGGTCTGATGGTGAAGCAGAAGTTGCCCTGTGGGTCAAAGGTGTTGGAGATACCCTTTGGTCCAATGATGAACTTTCCACTTGGATCAACAGCGGACATACAATACCTTCCAGGGTGCAACTCAGCCTTGAATTGACCCCTTCTTGGTGCATTGGCATCGGTGGTCCATGTGTTGAGTACATCACCATCGGCATTCTTCAAAGTAACAACAATACCTCCGAGCAGTGGCTCAACTTGGTTGTCACCTCCATTCTGAATGATTGATTGATTGATTGATTGTAAGTATGAGCGAGTGAGTGTACGAGTTTGATGATTTTGAAGATACATACCTTGTCGAGGTCCTCGTAGGCATGTCCTTGGACGGATATCTTTGGTGAATAGAGACCAATTGGTGCATTGGCAACTGGACTATCTTTGGTGAGGGAGAAGCAGTACTTGCCATCCTTGTCATAGTGGTTGTCAGTGCCTTGGGCGGCGATGAGGTACTTGGCAAGCTGATCTGGAGTGAGCTTCATCTGGATACAATAGTCACCTGCCTTCAAATTATCAACGTGGAAGTCGTCGGCCAAATTGGCAACATGGGTGCCATCCTTAAGAGTAAGCTCACCCTTGACTCCAGTAAGCTTCTGCTCAGATGATTCAAAGGCGCCATTCTAATCATTCATTCAATTAGTGTTAGTCATTCGATCAATCAATCAATTATAGCTGACAATAACTTACGTTGTTCTCATCATTCCAAGCGAATCCTACAACTCTGAAGGCTGGAATGAATCCTGGTAGGACGATCCATGAACCGTCCTTGGCACGAATGGTGAAGCAGTAGAGTGAAGATGAGTTGAAGGTGTTGGATACACCCATTGGTCCAGTGACATACTTGTGGGATGGATCAACAGCCTTCATACAATAGTTGCCTGGTGCAAGGTTGTCGAATCTGAACTGGTTGATACGGTCAGTGCTTGGGACTGTCGTTATGGTCTTGATCAGATGGTTGTTGCCATCGAGCAATGAGATCTCGATGCCAGCAAGTAATTGTTCGACCTTGTTGTCACTTCCGTCTTGGTTCTCATCCAAGAAGGCGTGGCCGCGGATGTAGACGGGTGGGATGTGCATTCCGAGCCATGCTCTGTAGTGGTGATTCTTGGTTGTGGCGGGGGAGACGGTGAAGCAATGGCCTCCGGACTGGTCAAACTTATTGTCTTGGCCAATGGGTGAGACCATGTACATAATCTTCTGGACTGGGGTGAAGGTGAAGTTGACGCAGTAGTCACCTGGGTGGACATTGGTAATCATATATCCATCCTTGTCAGTGGTGAACGTCTTGACCAATGTTCCATTCTTGAAGGATAGCGAGCCAGTAAAGTCGCGCAGGTTCGTCTCTGGTTTGACAAAGGCGCCGTCCTATTATTGGATCAATCAATCCAAAATGATCAATCGAGTGAGTGGGTGAGTGTTGTGATTGATTGATTGATTGATTGGTATAACATACATTGTTGGTATCATTCTATGCGTAACCTTCGACAGTGTAGAGGTTGGTAAGACCATGGTCTAGACGGAAGATATGCTTGTCATCGGTGGTAGGGATTGAGAGTTCGAAGCAGTAATGACCTTTCTGGTCAAAGAAGTTGTTTGGTCCCTTGACAGAGGCAAACCAGATTCCATTTGGATCGACCATGTCCATGCAGTACTTTCCAGCATCAAGATGAGTGATCACATAACCGGCCATATTGGTGACAAAGTTGGTATTCTTTCCATTGGACACTTGGGTAAGCACACCATTAATGCCTCCAATATTGACATCAGCTTCAATGTTACGAACAAGCTTGTTGATCTTTCCATCCTATTGATTGATAGATTGATTAATATGTTGACAGGTTGTCATTGTGTGAATGAATGAATGAATGAGCAATCAACTTACATCGTTGGTATCAAAGAAGGTGACTCCTTTGACGGTGAACTGTGGGACAAATCCGGCATAGACAGTGTACCAACCATTGGGAGAATCAATAGCATTGAGTTTGAAGCATAGCTGACCACTGGCATCAAACCAGTTGGAGACACCCTTTGGTCCAATCTTCCACATTCCACTGGGGTCTGACACCTTGACACAGTAATCACCAGCGTATAGTTCACTGGCAACGAATTGAGTGAGGGTGTTATTTCCTGGGCCAGTAACGAACTGTTTGACCAGGGTGGCACCGCGGTAAATGTCAACGTGGATTCCGGTGATCAGTGGCTCGGCGCCATTGCCATTGCCACCGTCCAAGTTAATGTCATTGAAGACGCTACCACGGATCGTGTACAACCTTTGGTTGATAAGGGTAGTCGAGGCGGTGGTTGGTACTGGGTTGGTGGTTGAAGCAACAGTGCTGGCAACAGTGGACTGAGTGGAGGCAGATGATGTGGCGATTGTCGATGTGATTGGCTGGCCAGTTGTATAAGGTGGACTGGTGGTTGTGGCAGTAGTTGTTGGTCTGACAGTCGATGGAGCAGTTGTGGTTGGTACCGGGTTGGTGGTTGAAGCAACAGTGCTGGCAACAGTGGACTGAGTAGAGGCAGTTGATGTGGCGACTGTCGATGTGATGGGCTTGCCAGTTGAAGGTGGACTAGTGGTTGTGGCGGTAGTTGTTGGTCTGACAGTCGATGGAGCAGTAGTTACTGGGGATGTGGCGGTTGTGACCGTTGTTGTAGCGGTGAGTGAGGAAGATGGACCAGTGGTTGTGGCAACAGTCGACGCAGTTGTAGTTGGTCTGACAGTCGATGGAGCGGTCGATGGCAATGTGGTAGATGCAGTTGTGGAGACAGTAGTGGTAGCTGTGATTGAGGCCGAGCTAGCAGTCGTGGTCTGGGTAGTCGATGCACTGGTGGTCACGGTTGTCGTTGGCCTTGAGGTTGCAGGGGCTGTGGTCGTCACAGTGGTTGAGACAGAGGTGGTTGCAGTGATCGATGCAGTGGTGAAGGTGGTCGAAGCAGTGGTCGTAGCAGAGGTCGAGGCAGTGCTTGCAGTTGCCTGTGACACTGTTGAAGCGACAGTGCTGGCTACAGTGGACTGAGTTGACACTGTTGATGTAGCAACTGTTGAGGTTGGAACTGACGATGAAGTCACTGGTGCAGTGGTCGTCTGAGTAGTGGAGACGGAGGTGGTCGCGGTGATCGATGCAGTAGTGTAGGTGGTCGAGGCAGTGGTCGTCGCGGTGGTCGAAGCGGTTGTCACTGGAGCAGTGGTTGTCACAGTTGTGGAGACCGAGGTGGTCGCGGTGATCGATGCAGTAGTGTAGGTGGTCGAGGCAGTGGTCGTCGCGGTGGTCGAAGCGGTTGTCACTGGAGCAGTGGTCACTGGTGCGGTGGTCGTCACAGTGGTGGAGACGGATGTAGTCGCAGTGATTGATGCGGTAGTGAAGGTGGTCGATGCACTGGTGGTAACTGTGGTCGAGGCAACTGAAGAGGTCACTGGGGCAGTGGTCGACACTGTAGTTGAGACAGAGGTGGTCGCAGTGATTGACGCAGTGGTGAAGGTGGTCGAAGCAGTAGTCGTCACGGTAGTTGAAGCAACACTTGCACTAACTTGGGACACGGTCGATGCAACAGTGCTGGCCACGGTTGATTGAGTTGAAGCCGAGGTTGAGGCCAAAGTTGTTGGTTGACCCGATGTAGCAGTGGTTGATGCAACGGTTGACTGTGTGGACACGGTTGTGGAGGCCGAGGCAGAGGCTGATGAAGCACTTGTGCCTGTCACTTGATAACATTGTGGCATACCGGTTTGATCAACCGAGCATTGGAAGCCACCTGGACATTTTTTGAAGAAACAAGCAGATATACACTTTGGTGGAATGCCAGGGTTTGGCTGGCAACAAACATTTCCAAAGGGACATTGGAGATTACATTGATGTCCCTGGGCTATATTAAAGTATTTGTATTAATATGATTGAAGATGTAGATGTGATCACTTTTTGAATTTTTTTATCCTTTCCAATATTGTTGCTTCCTTACCATTTGTTGTTGCCAAGACCAAGCCCAAAAATATCACAAAGGATACAAGTAATTTACTTGTACTTTTTGGATTCATTTGGATGAAAGGAATGGAATTGTTCCAAATGGGGGTAGGTGTTGTGGTTGTTGATGTTCTAAAAATAATTATTTATTATTATTTATTATTTAGTATTATATATATTGATCTTATCAAGAAATAGAAATTACAAACAAAGGGGAAATACGCACCTTGATGTTGATTAATAAGTAATAATAATAAGATTCAACAATGGGTCATGACTTGCTTATATATATATATCGAATTTTAATAACTTTTGTGTGGCACTCATATGATTGTTTGTTGAGGACACTGATTGTACATAATGAGGAATTAAAGAACATATACCGTAAGAGTAGTAGCCCATGCATATGAATATACCCATCAAATAATGAAGCTACACCTACTAGAGTAGTGAGCTCATGTGCTTTTTGATGTGTGTGGGTTGAGTAAGGGCCGTGACCCGGTCAATTATTATGTGTTGTTTGGAGGAATAGGGGTAATCATAAGATTGATGGCTAGGTGTAGACTCAATGAAGTAAGGGAGCTTCCCACCAAGGGGTGGAAATTCATCAATAATTAACTTTGAATAAGTGAGAATGACAATATGATTAGTGAAGTGTTGTGTCTATCAATCAATGTAAACTTCGGGTCAAGTACGGTAACTGCTATATACTACATATGATTGATTGTATTTACAATTCCACTTTAGATACCTAATTGGTTAACTGGAGAGCATGTGCACCTTTGAATTAATCATATTTAAGATCAATGGAGGGATGTAATAGAGTACTTACTCTCCATCAAACACTATTGAATCAGTGATTTGATTGATAGATAGTTAGATTGATTGATTGATTGTCTGTGACTGAGTTTGTGATTGAGAGAGGATATTTGTGATTGATTGAGTAGACCTATGTATGGAAGTTGAGGATCTTGAAAAGATAGATGTTGGCCTCGTTTAAGACGTCGACCATGGACTCGATGTCCCTTGGAGGGGTGAATGGGATAGCAATTGACATGTTGTCCAGGACAACAGTGATGTCCACATACAGGACATGTTAAAGCGAACCTGGATTGATTCAATATAAAATTTGATAATTATATTCTTAGAAAATAAAATAATTGAGAAGTCCATGAATAATTACACGAGTAAATTTGTGTGTATTTGTTGAGCCTTTATTTATTATTTATTATTTGTTAGAGAGAGATAGATTGTTATTTATATATATAGATATAGATGCCTTTAAAAAGACTACGAAAAGGTGCAATTGATCAATTCCTTGTACAGACAAAGTCCAATGATCAATCATCCATCGAGAGCAATGACGACATTGAACTTTTGACCTCAACATCAACAACAACAACAAAGAAGATCACCTCTAAACCTCATACTACGACGACCATCGATTTGGACAGATTGTTTGATCAGAATGAAGCATACCAATCAACACAGCCTCTACATCTCGTGAAGGATATACCGGATCATGTTCAAGATGATGATAATGAAGTAGAAGAAGAAGAGCAAGCCACCAACACAGATCATCATCAACAACAACAACTTGTAGACACATCAGCAACGTCACAATCAAATGATATTGATATCAATGATATGACACTGCCACCTCCATCATCATTTGGGGATCATTCCAATGCTGCTGACGATGATATCTTCAGTCAACCATCACATGGTGATCAACACATATCCTCACCACAAAGAATAACAACTATAATCGATGATGACGAGGATGATGGCAATACGAATGATTGGGGAGACCAACAAATACAAACACCAACGCCATCACCACCAACCATCAAAGCACCGCCTGCTGTCACTGTTGTCAATGAAGAAGATATCGATGAAACAACTGTTATTGATGAGGACGAAGACAAGCAGGAGTCGACTCTGGTGGTCGAGGACATGGATGTGACCAATCAATCATCAGAAGAGACACCTCCTCGTAAAGTCAGAAAGGAAAAGAAGAAGAGAACCAAGCAGGACAAGAACAGACCAAAGCCAAGGCAGAACAAGAAGACAGACACAATAGACGTGAATGATGAAGTGGAGATGGTTCAACACAACAATAGTGGCAAGACTGATCATGATGCTGACATTGCCCTCGACGACGAGGCTGACCACGACCAAGACTCAGACACCAACCCTCATTCATTGTTCATTGGTCAGAGCGTGGCTCGCATCAACTCAATGTCATTCTACAAAGGTTTCCGTCTGTTTGGCTTGGACTACTATGTTGACTTCACAATAATGGTGGATGACAGTGACATTGGTGGCGTGTCAACCTCTCAACTATACAAGATATCATCACTTTGGCAATCAGACGATGACAACTGTCCCTATGCAGAACTGATAGTTATCAAGAAGTCTGGCGACAACAACAAACGAAGCACTAAACAACAAGGTGGTGCACCCCAACACATCATACTGACCAAGGAGGTAGTCATCAGGAAGCTGTCAAGACTGCGACGAATACTTCATTGTACAATCGATCCCCAATCAGTGTATAAGAAGCGTGCGTACTACCCTGACAATGCATACTACTGTCTCGATCAAGACTACAATGTAATCAACTACAAAGGCCCCAAAAGACTACTATATGACAGTGTGGCGTTGGTGTCTCCGCCAGCATCCCAACAACAGAGCGTGGAGATGGTGGAAATCAATGTCAAGCGCAAGAAACATGAAGACAATGGATCATTCGACGACTTCACCATCAGCGGGCACGTCGATGTTGGTGTTGATGTTGATATGCAAGATGGTCATGATGATGATCGATCGGATCATGATGATGGATTGTTTGGAGGCGGCAATGATCGTCCAGATTCGCCGTCAGTCGAGGATAGGTCACCCGAGTCGCCGTCGGTGGAGGAGAGCTCAGCACACACAAGAAAGAGACTGAGGAAGCTGCGTCCAGCTGACTTTTGTACTCAGGCCGATGCATGGGATCTTGAAGGACTCGACAACACGATCAAGACATCCAAGCGAGACAAGAAGAAGATACGAAGAGCATTGGACGCGATCAAGGGCAAGAGATCAGGCACCTTAAGCTCTGACATCGAGAGAGATGAACATGATGACGATTTCTTGGCGTTTGGATCTGACGACGATGATGAATCAATGATGAGCAGCAACACATCAAAGGATACCACCAATAACGACATGAACAATGAGCTCAAGTTAGCTGTCGATGAAGAAGACTCAAAGAGAGGTGACTATGTTACATACGATCTGACACAGGAGGAGAAGGAGAAGATAGAGGACTCGAAGCGCATGTGGGAGGACAGTCAATTCGCCAAACCAAGGATCTCACCAAAGAAGCCAACATTGAACTTTGAGACACACTCAAAGTCATCGCAGCTCATGGAGGAGACGTTGAAGAAGTTGATCCGCGAGAACCCACTCAAGAAGCAGACAAAGATCGATCACTTCTTCACCACAATGAGTGGAAGTGACAAACACAATGCCATCGACCTAGAAGACACGTATGTTCCTCCAGCCTCTGTACCTGTGCCCAAGAGAGAGCCCAAGCCACCAGTGTTGAAGCGAGAGCCAAAGGCATCTGCAAGAAAACCATCAGTAGCGAGACGACCGACCGCAGAGCTATCATTCATGATGCCAAATGGAGACATTGCACCAAGATCACAGGTGCCAGCCAGCTTCAGCTCAAGGAAGCTCCAATCTCAATCATCTCAGTACTTTGTGGATGGTGTCAAGAGTGATGAGGAGAAGGACGACTATGAATACGATGACTTTGTCGTTGAGAATGCAAGTGATGAGTCTGATGAAGAGGAGGAAGAGGTACTGGATCATGGCGATGATGATGATGGAGCAAACCAAGTGGATGAGCATGAAGACAATGGAGAACATACTGATGGTGGTGAAGACAATGACGGAGGAGATCAATCCGACAACGAAGACGACCGATCAGTTTGCAACAAGCTTACTCCAAACAGTATAAAGAAGCAAGGTAAATATTGAGCAGGCCAGAATCGACATTGCAGTCATCTAACAACGTATATCAATCACTCATATCTAGTTGAGCATTTATTCTCCAAGAAGTTCACAACAAAGGAATCGTTCGACATCTTCCTTCAGTACATCATCAGTTGTATATTGGATCCAGACTTTATTCAATCAGTCATGGAGAGTAATGATCGTTACTTCATGGATGCACTGGACAAGATAGAGGCAACAGTTGTTTCCAGAAAGGATATATTGGTAACAAGCAGTGTATGGCAGACAGACTTCTTCCAGGACCTCAAGTATCGTCCTGGATACACAGGTGTTCGTGGTGATGGATCAGTCAGATGCCAATCATGCATGCGAGCCACTCACTCTGCCAGCGAGGTAGTGTTGTTCAGTGGCAGCTCCTATGAAGTGACTGACTTTTGGAAAGGATACTTCAGAGTATGTACCTCTGATTACTAGTACAATCATCAATCAGACTCACTCATTTACTCATTCAATTGTAGCGACCTGAGAAGCTTAGTATCAATGAGACTGAACCCGTGGACAAAACGTACAACCTTGGCACACATTGCTACAAACGATCATACCTATTCCATCAACTACATCACTATCCAATGCGCCTGTACAAGACCATCAAGAGCGAGGTGCGCAAGTATATCTCCAAACACCCAGGTATTGACTCTCAAGAGATATTGTTCCACTTTATCAACAATCCAAGTTGGACTGGCAGTGTATGTATTCAATCAATCAATCCTTCCAACACTCAAACTAACTCTATCCCAACACCACTACAGTACTTTGCCAGTCTACAGTCCCTGCTTCAGCAAGCAGATGTTGGAGTTAAATAATAAAGTCTTGTCTCTCTTGGACAGGACAAACATGTACATACTATACTTTATACTCATCAATGATTGCTGTTTGCCATTAACTACTTTGGCAACAACAATGCAGAGCATGATTTATTCTTCTTCTCGATGGATAGATCGAGAGCAGTCATGCCACCCTTGGTCACAACCTTGGTATCGGCATCGTACTCGAGCAAAAGCATGACCATCTTGGGCAAGCCAATATGGGCTGCCTCGTGAATTGGGAACCGGAACTCCTCATCACCAATGTTTGGACTGGCACCAAGCTCCAACAGTTGGCGAGCTGTGCTCAGCTTGTGTTGTTTGACTGCGATCAACAGTGGAGTCGACCCATCGACACTCTTCAAATTGACATCCAATCCACGCTTTTTGACGAGATAGTCGATCATATCCTTGTTGCCACTTGTGGCTGCGATGTGTAGCGCAGTCTCCCCGAGGATGTTCAATGCATTGATGTCCACACCCTTGCTAGTGATAAGTTCCATGTCCGACACTGTACCAGAGAATGCTAGTACGTGTGCCAGTGTATCATTGGTCTGCTCCACCATGTAGTCAACACGTGCTCCATGCTCCAGGAGTAAGTGCATCATTGCCGAGAAGTTTGATTGTGCTGCCAGGAAGATTGGTGACGTGCCTCCAACGTCCCTAAAGTTGACGGCTTCAGGTTGATGCGCCAGTAGCAGTCGAGTTGATTGAATCTTGTTTGATGCCACAGTGTAGTGCAACGCTGTGTTTGTGCGGTCCTTGTCCTTGGCGCCAGCCTTGATCAACACCTTTAGCACCGGTATATATGTATAGAAGCCTGCTCGCTGGTAGGCCGTTTCATCACCACGAGGATTGACATAGCCTATGTCTGCCTTTGCCTCATTCACAAGGAAGTCGACAAGTGGCACGTCTTGATTGGAGATGGCCGACATCAACGGTGAGTCACCTTCCTCGTTGACATTGTTTGGGTTGGCTCCCGCCTCAAGCAGTCGACGACAAAGGGGAAGCATACGCATTGAGGCTGCAATTCCAAAGGCATCAGTCTGTGTTGGTGTCTTGATGTGCACGTCTGCGCCAGCCTTTATCAACATGTCCACTACTTCGAGCGAGTCGTTTGCCACCTGCTCCTGCTCAGTCATCTTTGGCGACGGTCTCGCGCCCTTCTGTTGCATCATCATCGCCATGGCACAGTAGTGCAACGCAGTGAAGCCGACCTTGTTGGCAAAGTTGACATCGTTGTCCTTGGGATTGGCCAACAGTTGTTTGAGCATGTCTTTATCATTCATGAGTATGGCCACCTGGATCGGAGAGTCATCACGAGCGATGTACTCATCATCACTATGTACGATCTTCTTGAAGCACTCTGAATGTTTGTTCTCCAATGATTGTTGTACATTTGCACAACATGATGTACCCGTACTACCTTTCTCCTTGTTCTTGGACTCACTGTTGTCGTCCTTGTTGCCACTGCTCGTCTCTCGTTTTGTTCTTCTCGCTTTGTTGACTTCTTCTTTGAAGTTACTGCTTGTTTTGGTAGTTGTTGTTGCTGTTGATGATGACGATGATGATGTATATCGTCTAACTATTGGCTGTACTACTTCACCTTCATTGATTGATGTAGGGGACAAGGATGATGATGCATTGACATTGACATAACCAATGCGTGGAGTAGCAGTACCAATGCAATGAGTGACCACCTGACGATATGTACTCAGAGCAGCATGCCTCGACAAGTTATAACCATTAATCATTCTATTGATAGATATCTATCTTTCTTCTTTAAGTGTTATGTATACCGTCACTATGATCTCATGATGTTCAAATGATGTGGACTGCCTTGCGGGGAAAAGCGTGGACTCCCCACAACACGCACTTCATCCACTCCCTTGCCCAACATGAACTCACTATGATCCCGAGCCAAAGTCATTCATGGCTGCCCAATCTTATTCCAAAGGGTGATCTAATCATGACCGACCAAACAATGTAATGTTGGTATTGCGGACACTCGGTGTATGATCAAGAATTCAAGACCGACCTTTCCGATGCTGAACCGGTAAATAGGTATATACCACGTTGTCATTATGAATGAGTGATTGGCATCAGGACGCCACCAAATCAATCATTGTACCCAATACTAATTATACTCGCGATGTCATGATGCTTATGATCAAAAACCATGACCATGCACTGAACTGATTGATTCATTGATTGATATCCTTTCATCAATCGACTCTTACTAATACTCTTCTATATATGTTGTGTGTGTGTCTATGTAATCTTATAACTCTTGGGAGTTGAAGACTAAGTCAAAGAACGTAATGAATACGCGTTCGCAACATTCGGCGCCATGAATTAGAGTTGTATCAACTTTGAAAATTGTACACTTTTTCAACTTCAAACAACACCAACCGATCTTACTCATTTTTTATCTTTGTTTCATTCTTCATTACACTATCAAACATACACACGTACAAACACATATTATATATATACATATAACTCATGAGGCTAAGGAATTCAATGACTTCATTGGGATCATCAGCTACTGCTACAACTGCCACCACTCATTATGTTGAGACGGAAGAGGATGGTGCACAGGATGAAGAAGACGATCAAGACTCAAGACTACTTCGTACATCAGCACAAGAGGCATACAGAAATAAAGATGTTGCAAAGTCAAAGGCTGCTCATCGTAAGATTGATGACGAACCACATAAGAGGTATGCAATGCAATCAATCAATCATACTATCAATCACATACTCATACATACAACAGCAATGCATTTAAGAAAGGATCAATCAAATACTTAAAGTCAGGAATAGGCTTTGGATCATATGCTATACTATTCTGTATTGCAATAGTCATCGGACTTGAAGCACTATTCAATAGATTCAATCAACACAACATACAACAACAACAGAATGCAGATAACAACTTAGTACAACGATGGACTAGCGGGCATGACTGGGACTCTTTAATATTGTATATTACAACAGTCATACTCACGGGCAGCGGTGTGGCACTCGCCTTTATCGAGTCGCACAACAAGCGAGTGGACATCAATTTTTATGAGTCGGAGAAGAAGCGAGAGACATGGGAGTATGACAACTATGTGGAGGGCGAGCAACGCGAGATGGTCGAACTCTACTGCAAGAAGGGCATGAATCAAGACGATGCAGTAGTCGTCGTCGACCTTCTCAGCAAATATCGAGACCTCTTTGTCGACATCATGATGGCCGAGGAGTTGAACCTCATCCCTGTTGAGCTACATCTATCACCAATGGAGACAGGTATGTTTGATGTTGATGTTGATGTTGATGTTGACATGACCTAACAATCACAAACATAGGCCTCACTGCAATGATATCATTCTTGATCTTTGGACTGGTGCCATTGACACCGTTCTTCTTCTCTCATCTTATTTATTCAGAGTTGCAAAGGAACATCGCCTTCCCCTTATTCATACTGATAGTCGAGTTGGAACTATTCCTCATTGGTGCTCTAAAGGTAATGAACTAATGAACGCAACATCATCATATTATGACAATGACACTAACAAACACATGAATACAACAACTTTAGAGCAAGTTCTACGTTGGTACATGGTGGGGAGAAGGTCTAATATCAGCTTGGAATGGAGTTGTCTCTATCTTGGTCTCATTGGTCGTTGGACATTCGCTTGGATTTATAGGTATAAACATTACATCATAATTGAAGACTACAAGACAATGCAATGCAATTCAAAGCAATGCCAAGCAAGGCAACAGACTGTTATTGGATTGTATACAAAGGGTTGGACAATACACACTCTTGTCAAAGCGTGATTGACTAATGATAGCTTTATTGGAATGGACTCAAACCAAACTAAACTATCAGACATCGACTGGGTTCTACAGTCTGCTGGTCCCTCTGCAAATGGCCTATGAAGTAGTGGTCGTTGAGCAGCTTGAGCATCATACCAGAGTGGAACTGTACGTTCTCAGTGCCATCTCGTCCGGCAAAGCGTATCAGTGCGTTCTTGCCACCCGGATGCGCTCCGACGTACTTGGTGATGTCGTACACCTTGTTCTGGATGATCATCCAGAGATCGTCAACAGTGTTGTGCAGTGCGATCTCCTCTAGACTAAAGTAGTTCTGTTGGTTGACTGTGTCCTTGATGCTGCCTGGCTTGTACTTAACTCTCCTGTTGGTGTTGCTGCTGCTGTTGTTGCTCTCGCTGTTGCTGTCGACACTATCACTTAACAATGTACTGCTGTTGAGTCTACTACTACTACTACTGCCGCTGTTGTTACTTCCATTGCTGCTTTGAAGTACACCCCTACTAGTAGATGACTTTAGATCGGTCGAATGTCTTTGGTTCGAAGTTGTTGTAGTTGTTGTCGCTGTTGAAGTTGGTTCGGCTGTATGTTGCTTGCTATTCAGTTGTTGCTGTTGCTGCTGTTGCTTCTCAAACTTGATATATATAGGTGATACGTGACTACTTGTCTCGTGGTTGAACTGCTTGTGCGTCGAGTCGCAGTAGGGATAGGCCTTTGATTGCTGGCATGTGCACAGGGGTATCTTGAGGTTGGAGTGGACGATAGAGTCGCCAAAGGTGTTGAATAGCAGGTCTGATGCAGAGTGCGATTCAGAGGCTTTCGGTTCGGTAAAGTCCTTCAGTGATTGAGTGATTGTGTTGAGTGATTGTGATAGTGGATGTTCGTTCGATACAGTATGTTCGATTGTGATTGTTGTATTATTATTATTGTTGTTGTTGTTTGTTGTTGTTGATTTACTACTGCCACTGCTGTTGCTACTGCTATTGATTTGTTCTGATGTTGATATCGGACGTCTTCGCAAACTAGTTGACTGTTGATTCTTCTGTTGTTTTAATCCATTATTACTACTACTTAGGGGAACATTCGACTCCTCTATATCTATAATCTGAGTTTGATTGTTTCCACTGCACATACAGCCTTGACATTGTGGAACTGTTGTAGTATCCATTTCTTTTGCTGTATAGTATAGTATGTATATATTGTGTGTATATATATTGAGCTTGATATGTTTTTAATAATGTTCTATATATTAATATATATAAATATAAATATAAATAGATAAAGAGATATTATTTGTTTGTTTTCTGTATTTGTTATATATATAAATATATAAATATATTTATAACCTCTCTAATGTTTCATTACGAATTGAATAATGATTAGTATCACTGGTAATGAATTATTTCACTGGTATTATTTATGATTGACTGATGATCTAGCTAGCTGTTCTCGATTGTTATCGTTATCGTTGTAATAGGGAGCATGCTAGAGATAATACATAATGAGAAAATGTGTAGAGAGTAATAATTGTGTTTGTGTGTATGTGGTGTGAGTGAGGTGAATGAGTTAGTGAATGAGTGTAAGTTGAGAATGACCAAGTAGGCGTGTTATTGAGTGCGCATGAGTCTGTGTGTGAGCGTGTGTTTGGGTGTTAGTGAGCAGACACGCATACTTGTGAGATTGAACACACACGATCACAGAGATGTCACCAAAATAATTAAAAAAATGTGTCATTGACAGTCACCAAACAAAACAGACTTGTTGACCTACACGATAAATGAACTTACCAATATTGTTTTAGGATGGTATTGTACTTTAGAATGTAATTATATGTATAAATAAATATATATATTTGTATTTATGTATGTATATATGTATGTAAGTATTGTTACAACTTTAGAGAGAAAGTTGAGAACCATCCAATCTATTTTTAATGGGTTGTTGTACAACAAAAATCCCAATTTTTTGTTAAAGGTCATCCAACAAAAACGACAACAATTGATTGGAAGAATGTGAGTCCTATTCGGGACTCAGGGGTATCCAAAACACCGGAACTACGAACATCTAGATCCAGAATACATATATAAATATAACTTATTTATTATTATTTGTATACTTTCTTCCCCTCGGAAACACCACGGAATTGATAATATACCATGCTCAACATGATTGTTAGGAGTACTGTCATAAATATTACCCAAGAATACTTGTTATCAGTGTCTGGTAACAATATGAAGGGTCAAAGGTTAGTATCTGTATGTGACATGTGTGTGCTTGAACGAATGTACACATACCTGCAACAACACAACAATATAATTTCAGACCTTGTTGTGGTCGATGCAATTTCTGCTCTTCGACCTTGCCATAGACATTTCGTATCCATGTGGATAATTGAAATTGTGGTGTCTCTTGTAATAGTATTACCCTTGCACCTTGTGTGTACTTTGGATCATAGGAGCCATAGCCAGTCTTCCTTCCATATCCCAAGTCAATGCCATGGTAATCGCCATGAAAGTCATTCTTGTGATCGTGGCCAAAGTATAGTCCCTTGATGTCCTGTCGCTCAATCATTGCGTCAATGAATCGAGAGTGTGATGTGTTGTAGCAGCATACTGATGCATCGCCAAAGTCGCCATATACATCAAAGTTGCTCCAAAGATCGATCACTTCAACCGGTGGCACATGGACGAATGCAACTGATGGCACACGATTATGTAGGTCACTCTGTTGCTGGTACCACTCCACCTGCTGAGGCCTGATGCAGCCCCAGTCACCTAATCGTCCACATCCAGGATTGTCACTGTCGAATATATAAATGAGTGATGCCACCTTGTCCTGGTCGGTCGGGTTCGACGACAAGATTGGAAGAATATAATTCGTTTCGCCAACTCCATTGATCGATCCATGCTGTGACAAACTAAGCTCCGCGCTATGCTGTCTATCCAAGTCGACCAACATGCTGCCAGAGTACAATCCCTCTGCGTCGTGATTTCCAAAGGTGATTGACCATCTATTCATTAATGTAAGTATCAATGAACACTACTTGATTGAATGGATGATGATGACATACGGTATATTCCTTTCAATCATTGGAGATGTGAGCATATGCCACACCTCATGGTATAGGGATAGATTCAGAAAGTTCTTGTTGTAGCCACTGATCATATCACCAGACAACATAACATAGTCTGGCTGTTCATAGTCCAACAAGTTGGCTTGTGCAATTCTATTCAATCGATTGAACTCTGGCCATTCGCCATAATGTAAATCTGTAAACTGTATCTGTTGTTATATTGTTCCCGATCCGATGTGAGTAGGTGAGACTAAAGGGGAGAGGAAGAGGAAGGTCATCTATTCTATCTTTCATTCATACGATTTTGAATGTTCCGTCGTTTCTATATCGCAACTTCCTTGTTGGGATTGTCGCCGTCGCCGTCGAGTTTGAGTTGTCTATATATTGTGTATCTGTATCATTGATGTTGTTGATGTCGATGTTGTTGTCTGTTTCAGGATGTAGAGCATTGATATGACAGTTCCGCAGTAGAGATAGATGTATTGTTATAGCAATTAATATCAGTTTAATTATCTTCAACTGACTATTACGATTCATATGTATAGCGTTGGTGTATGACATTATGTATTAATATATCTGTGTTGTTGTTTAGACCATCTTATTTGTATCTTTGCATTTGAACGAATGAACAAGGTGACCCTTCAACTTCTTTCATATTCATTCATTCTTCGTCTTCGTCAATCTGAAGTTATAATATTTTTATTAATAAATAAAGTACAGTAGTAATAATGTAGCCATTAGGATGACTGACAGTGAAGAGGTAGTGTAGGAGCGAGTGGCACTAGATGGTTTGCCAGTGGTAGTTGACATTGTTGTTGTGGTCGTGGATTGGGTGTTGGAGGTAGTAGTGGACGACGTAGTTGTAGAGGGCGAGGTCGTTGATTGACTTGTTGTGCCTGTCGTGGAAGTAGAGGTAGAAGTAGAAGTAGAAGTAGAAGTAGTGGATGGACTAGTTGTCTTCTGGTACACTCTTACATAATCAATGTAGTTGTATTGAGGCCATGTTGTAGTCTCATTCGGTGAACCAGACCACTGTTATCGATTGGATTGTGTAAGTATACCTCAATAGACAATGATCAACATAACGTAAACTACTTACACCTCCTCCAATAGCAGTGTTTAGGATGATATAGAATGGTTGACCAGTCTGAGGAATAGGTAGATGTGGATAGGTACTGTTTACAACATTGAATATCACATTGTCAACCATGCTATTGAGCCGATGAATAGTCAAGTCAGTATATGTATGTACAGATTATTCGAAGAGTCATAACACTTACAAGACCATCCAGTCAGGTTCCCAGATAACAGAGTAGATGTGGAACTCAGTGTTCATTGTTGGCACGGAGGTACCATTGAATTGACTGACGAGGTATTTGCGTTCACATTGAGAGTTGTTGTTGTGATGGAATGTAGCGTAGGAGTTCATATCATCGTTGATTGACTCGATGATGTCTATCTCACCAGCACTCAGATAGCATTCACCTTCCTCCAAAGGCATCATCCAGAATGACGGCCACATGCCCTTTGCAATTGGTAGCTTCATCGATGCCTCAATCCTGCCGTAAGTGACATTGAGTTTGTTCCATGTTGACACCATGCCAGATGTGTAGTTCTTTCCTTGATAGTCCTCTTCTTAGACATGTACTACGCCACTATCACGTAAGTTCCAAAATGACTTGTTCAATGTATTACCATTGAATTGATCCTCAAACTGTAATGACCAACCATCATAACTAACTTGTTGTCCATAATAATATGATTGTACACCTCATTGTTGAAGGTTCAATATAGCAACAAATAGTAATATTGGTAATATATATTCATAATAAGACATCATTATTATATATTTGTTTGAATCAAGATAATATAAAGACTAAACTAGAGTCTTTGTTTAGCGATATATTATCATAAATAGATACAATGTATGTATTAATAGGAGTACGAAGGAATCGGAAGTTGTAACCCATTCTCGTGACATTGTTTGAAATGGTGCAAAGGGTAGAACCATTGTTTACCGGTTTTTGGTCCCATGTCCTTCATTTGGGTCATTACTAAAACCATTCGAGAATTTATCATTTTAGGTCTAGAGATAATATATATTATATATATATTGCATAACATTACTATTTGTTGTTGAAAACCAACAAGAAGTAAGAAAAAGTGACTTTGCAAATAACATTGTGAAGTTGAACTTTTGCAAACTCATCCCACACAGGTTTGCAAACAATGACAACATGACCTTTTCAAAAAAAACAATCAACATGGATACTTTATTATTATTTACAACATTAGTATTATTAATAATATAACAAAATGACAAACAAACATAATATTATTATATATTTATCATTGTTGATTGTATCTACAACGTTGATCTTTGCTAAACTACCATCTCCATCAACTGATTCACCATTCGAATGGGTGTCAGCTACCTACAACACCAGTTCAAACCAATGGGTACTCCAAGTAAGGTATTCAAACCTTCAAGGTATTGGTACATCAAACAAGTTTATAATCAGTATGTATCATTCATTCAATCAATCAATCAATCAATCATTCATTCATTCATTTCTAAACACCATCATCATCATTTAGGAAGGGATAATCTTGTGATTGAGGATGAGAATGGAGAGGTATGGCTTGTAGAGGATAACTTTGAATCAAACATCCAACTTGATTTAATCCAACAAAGTATGTTGATCATTCACTCCATCATCCGTCCAATGATTCACTCACACAATCACTTAATCACCTGATCAGAGTTGGAGCGAGACTTTATTGGAAACTATTATAGTGTCAGAGATGTGAGAAGAGATGAGTCTGATTATTATGGAAAGTGTAATCAGTCTTTGAGTCTTTGTTGTAATCAAACAATATCAAGGACATTGGTCCAAGATCCTCAATCTCATGTTGAGATGTTCATCTTATCACTCTCGCCATCATCATTGGTGTCCAGTGCAATCATTGATGTTCAAGGCTATCGAGAGATCAACATAACCAATCAATCAACATTCCAATCACCCAACCTAACAATATCCATTCAGGGATCGGTCAACAATGTTGATGCCATCAACATATTCCAACAATACTACCTTGCATTCACTGACTCCAACACAACCTTCCTCGTACCAAGATCACTTGTTGGAACCAAAGAGAATCAGATTGGTATGCAACCCTCTACATTCCTGAACAGGACAACCTGTGACACACCTCTTGGACAGTTCGTCCAGACCAATCCAAACATGTAAGTGGTCGGTCGATGGCCAGGGACTTGGCTCATGATCCTAGATACTAACTTAACCCCAATATAGTGATGACCAGTTTGCAGTTGTCCGTGGAAACACGATTGAACGTCTACTCAATGGAGAGTGTAACCTCCAAGTTGGTGGAGTCGTACCCAACTTTGTCCTGTCATGCTCCAACTACCAATCATTCATCACATTCAAGTTGAATGCTGCCCAATTCCCTCTAGTGCAAGCTAATGGAGTGCCATCAATAGTTGTATGTATCAAGTATCCATGTGTCCACGGTCTAGACTCTACATGTATACTAACTCTTGATATTTATATATATAGAACACAGCATCACTTCCATTTGGTGATGATAGGTATTATACTGAAGCGAGTAAGTATCATCTTTACCTCATTGTTCTAGGTAGTGTATTAACTCTTATTTGTTCAATCCAATCAACACAAACAATGATCAGTCATTGATGTTAATTGTCCATCTGGTCTATGCTTTGTCCAGTTTAAATCGTTCATGTGCTGTGTTGATGGAGCAGACTGCAGTGGTCAATCAATCAACATATACCCATCGACCAAAGTATCAATGGTCATCGATAGCAACAAGACAAAGAGGCAATCATTCTACATTCAGAGTAGAGTATGTATCATTCATCCATTCACTCCAATGTTGAGCTAGTACTTACAATCTTATATAGAGAGCAATGTCAACAAGTGGATACTGCAAGATTGCCTACTTCAATGGCCTCAAGTTCGTACAGAACATCCAGGTCAACTTCACTACCACCCAATTTCCACCTCCTCCAGACACCATGGTAGACGATGGAGCAGCGCCTCAGTCAAAGGATGGAAGAGTGTTCAAGTGTATGTCAAGACCTCACTCACTCGCGTTCATTGACACGATTACTCACTCACTCAATCACTCTTACTTACATAACACATCAATCATTAGCCACCTATGCTGATATATGTAGTAGCAAGGTACCACCAGCTTACTTCTACAATGGATCGTGTTATACAATCCCAGATTGTACAGGCGATCGAAAGTTTGATACACTTGCCAGAGCATGTCGACCAAACTGTCCACCAGATAGGACATATTACAATCCGGAAACGCTCACCTGTTCCACTGTACCCAAATGCACCAATGGTACATACGATAGTGTGTCTGGAAGGTGTATTCAATCAATCGGAGGTGTAAGTATTATCCAACCTTCCAGCCATCTAATTGGCCGTGTTAACTCATACATCAACCATCAATAGGTCAATACATGTGTAGTTGGAGATGATCCCAATTGTACATCTAAAAATGGAACGACACCAACGTTCAATACTGGAATTGGTAACTATGGCAATGTGTCTGTACCTCAACAAGTACCAAGCACATCAATGTCATCAGGGGCTGTAAGTATTGATTGATTGAATGTCAGTTTGTCAGGTGGACATTCTCTCTCTCTCTCACTCTGGCGATACTAACATAACATTCATTCATTCATTCAATGTGGATCCCATCTAGATATTCTTCATTGCAACTGTTTGTATGCTTATATTGACGATAATAATTGGAATTATTTCTTGTGTCAGTTGTTACTGTTGTTATAAGAAGAGGAAAGGAAAAATGTATGATGAGGACATGCCTCCTCCACCTCCACCTCCACCTCCAAGAGGTAGAAGAGATTATTATGATGATTATTATTATGACGATCCTCGTCACTACAGAGAAAGAGATGATAGAGGTAGAGATAGATATTATCGACCTCCTCCTCAAGGCAATGGACAACTGAACAGAGAGGGCACTCAAATGTATATGGTTCGAGGACGTGGTCCACGACCAGTTCGGAATACGAATGTCCAAACCTAACTCCAAAGAGTCATGACAAAGGCCAGAGACACCTCAATCGTTAAGGCTCACTTCCAACTAAACTCCGAACTCCAACTCCAGCTCCTCTCAATCAATCAATCAACCAATCAAACTATCAAGCAAACAAATGAACATAATAAAGTACTAGAACACCTGACCTTTGATCGATATATTGAGCGTGATTGATTGATCGCCACTAACTGTCTGACAGACTGATGTTAACATGAGTATATACCTGGACCACCTTGTGAACCTGGAATACAACCAGTCCATGGTATGGGCTGGCATCCACCTTGGGATTGAGCTTGATCACTACATTGGGATATGATTGGATATCCATCGACACATTGATAGAGGCGTCCGTCAACCTTTAGATTGTCCGTGTAGAATGTTGTGTAGTTGGCTCCACCACAACTGTCATCCTCTTGATAGAAGAATGCATATTGGATCGAGTCGACAGGATAGTTGGCACCGGTGTTGATTATGGCAAACTCGCTGCCCGACTGATCAAAGTTGATGCGTGTACATTGGCCCAAGGGATACTTGTCCGTGGCTATCAAACCAGTGCAATTCTGATTATTGTAATATGATACTGTGATGTTGTCTGGGTGGTGAGGGTCGGTTGACACCAACACATAGTTATCCCATTGATAGATGAAGCAGGTGTTCACGGGCAGTCCATATCCTACACCTTGGTTCGATGTGCAGTCAAGTGATGTGAATGGATTGATTGTAATCCATGATGGCCCTGATGTTGCTCCAGCTGATGAGGTTGAGCTGATCACAACCAACGTCACAAGCAACACTAGAACTGTTGTAGTTGTTGTCATTGTTGTTGTTGTAGTTGTCTATCTGTTTGTTGATTGGTTGTTTGATTTATCGATCAAAATATCTTGTTGGACCATCGTTCATATTGATCAAAACAAGGTGAACTTCCACCATTATCTAAAGTGATGCAACTAGTACAAGTAAGCATCGATCATTCATGATAACTAATCCAATTAGTTGATCACACATAATTGGTTCATCAGTTATTATATTAGATAGTCGAGAGTCCAATCATTGTCACATGTTAGTGCCCCCAACAAGGCCAGGTCACACACTCAATCACTCTATCAAACACACATGATCAAGTTTAATTTGGACCTGACTGGTCATCTAGATGTACATTAATTTATCATTGACATCCATCAAATATTATTCACTATCCATCTGCCCTAACAAACAACAAATAACTATCAATCAATCAATCAATAATGACAAACAAGACATTGGTTGCCTCTTTGGACCAAGATAAGATTATCAAACATCTTGAGCATTGGATCAAGCATCAGATCAATGCTTTGACGATTCCAGTCATTGGTATCACTATAACTAATGCAGAGAAGACTCTTTATGCCAATATTATCCATCATGAACATCTTCTTACACCAGTGCCATCATTAACAAGATCATTGTTCAATGTTGCCTCTGTCAGCAAACTGTTCACCTACGTCGCTTTGTTACAACTCGTGGATAGTGGCAAGGTGAAGTTGGAGGACCCTGTCACCAAGCACATACCAAAGTTCGCACCAACCAATCCTGATGAGTGCCCAGCTGGCTCGCCACCTCTATATCCCAACATCACTCTGTTCAATCTGATCAGACATACCTCAGGCTTGATCCGTGAGCCAATTGAAGGCAACTACTTCAACCCAATCCAATGTGACCTCAACAAGCTCGTCGAGTCCATGTGCACCAGCAAGCTTGTCAACAGTCCAGGCATCATCCACAAGTACTCAAATGCAGCGGTCGCGGTTGCTGTAAGTACCAATCCATTCATTCATTCATTCAATCGATCAATCACTCATACTGGGGCCATACATAGGGATACATTGTTCAAGTGGTCTCAGGCATGTCTTTCGAGGACTATGTAGAGAAGAACATATTGGATCCAATTGGAATGAGTCATTGTACTTTCCAGGACAAGTGGAACAACACTCGTTACAAGGATGAGGACGAGATGAGATTGGCAGTTGGTCATATGTGGCGCTATTGGGATGAGTTTAGAAACACTAATGTCTTCTCTGAAGCACCACTGACTCGGTTTGGAATGTTCCCAGCTGGTGGACTGAAGTGTACGATCGAGGAGATATCTGCCTTCCTCCGTGTGTTCCTAAATGGTGGTGCACCATTGCTTAAGGATTCGACTTTCATCCAGATGGTCACGCCACAGCCTCTGGCCCAACCTACCTATGACCTGCGCAAGGACTATAATCACACTCAGAGTGATCTCACTCATGGTCTCGGCGTGGAGATCAGTCAGGTCTATGGACTGATGATGGCTCGCCATGGAGGTGCCATCAATGGATTTGCAAGCGAGTTCAGGACATTACCAGCACTCGGCATTGGCATCTACACTGTCTGTACACTGGACTGCATCAACTCGGTCTCCAACCAGGTCGCAGAGTATGCAATACAGTTGATCCTCAACTATATGATTGAGCATGGTCAGCTTGGTGACTTGACCATTGACCTTGCTGCGCTGGCGGCAGCCACCGACCACTACCGCTCGCTAGCCAAGGCTGAGCATCTGCCTGTAATGCTGCGCAATCAGGTACTTGGTGTGTACCACTTCAACAACTACAACAAGGACATGGATACTCATCGATTCAGGATCTACCAGGAGTACAACACCAAGACATACATTCGCTCTCACTTTATCAACAGTATCGACTGGATCCGTCCAAGTCATTGCTCGCAGATCTTCAAGAATGGCGTGATGATCATCAATGATCGTCTGTCCTTTGGTCAGCCATTGGAAGTCTCTACCTCAGCAGATGGCAAAGATACTGCTGTTGGAATGTTTGAGCGCCAGAAGGAGCTATCCGACAACAACCTATTCTTCCAACCATACATCCCATTGCCAGAGGTGACCAAGCCACCTGAACCAGCACCAAAGTTCCTTCAGGCACTCGTAGGACATTATGAGACCAAGGACCAGCTCGCACTTATTTTTGAAGAGGATGGATCATTGATGCTCTGCATCGAATGGTTGTTCATCTACACTCTCAACTTCCTCGAGAAGCGTGAAGCTGATCGCACGGTAGTGTTCAAGCTGAACAGGGACACGATGTACAATGATGAGAAGGTCATTTTCTTCTTGGATGCCAGTGAGCGACCGATCAGATTAGAGTTGGTTGGCATTCCATTCATATGGACGAGGATTGGACCGGCACCAGGTGAGCGCCAACCAGGTGTGGGCACGATCGAGCTGGCACAGGAGATGTTGGAGATATCGTACACTGTACCATGCCCTCATCCAGAGGTGCCTCTGAACGAGCACAACTTGGTCGACCTGTCTACCATCTCCCCGACCATCAAGATCGACTGCAAGTATGCCTCGACCGACAACTTCTTGTACATCCAGCTGTACAAGATACCAAAGGCGTTCCTCCACAGGAAGGCAGCAGAGTCGTTGTTGCAGGTACACAAATGGCTGCATAAATGGGGAGTTGGCCTGCTGATCTACGATGCATACAGGCCTTGGAATGTCACCTGGACCATGGCAGAGAGTGTGATACCCGAGTTCAGAGGCAAGTATGTTGCTGATCCAAACCTTGGCTCTGTGCACAACAGAGGAGGTGCAGTCGACCTCACACTCTATGAGTTGGATACTGGTGCGGCGATACCAATGCAGGGCGAGTACGACGAGTTGTCGATCAGATCACATCGATCATTCTTTGGAGGAACGACCAGACAGCGTTGGTTCAAGAAGTTGTTGACCGTTGCCATGATGAACTTTGGCTTCAGACCCTATGAGAACGAATGGTGGCACTTTGACTACAAGGACAGCTTCCCAGTACTCAACATACCATTCGACAAGTTGATCTAATCCACAATGTGTATATCTCTTGGATGTCTAAGAATAGGTTACAAACAATGAATGAAATGAATTCTTCTTTGCTTCAAAGATAAAGTATTGACTTGTTCATTGTATCATCGACGAACAGAGAGAGTGAGAGTAATAATGAAGTTGTTTGGTAACTCAAAGATAGAGAATAAGGATGCACAAGATAGTACTTCTTCAAGCATACGAAGTAACATTGAGTTGATGAATGGAAGACTGATACATTTACAAGAGAAGGTGGATGAGATGGGGACAAAGGCTAAACAGTTAGTAGAGGAGAACAAACAGAAAGGTAACAACATCCTACTCCAAGTAGTAGTAGTTCATTATCTTACTCATTTATTCGTTCATGTATTACTACAGAGGCATTGATATGTTTGAAACAACAAAGACTGTACCAAGAAGAGTACGATAGAGTGAGGATGGCTATTAACAATGTTCATTCATTGTATCAAACAGGAGATGATGTTGTGTTACCAACTCAAGGCAAGGATAGTGTTGATGTTGTCTATGACTAAGAAGGCATTGACATGGATTCACACCCACTTGCGCACTACTCTTATCTAGTTGTGTTATTACCATTCTTGGTCAAACAGATCCATGGATGCATCACCTATCCCTTCCCCAAACATGTTGGATGGAGGGGTATATATCCTTTCTTGGTCATTCAGATCTGAAGTGTATATCACTCACTCACTTTCATTCATTCGACATGGAACATGATCCATTCCAATTGAGATAGAGATAGTTAGAGATAGAGAGATAGAGATAGAGATAGAGCTAGAGACATGGACATTGCATGTTTGATTGATGTTAGACAACATACTACGAGATTGACCGAACAATTACAAGAGAACCATGAATGTTTCCAGAAGAAAGTCAAGAAGACACATGCCTTGGAGGAGAAGATAAAGGATTCAATTGCATCATTGTCAGCTTGGGACAACAAGATATACAATCTTCTTCAGTATGTAACGATTTCCAGTATTCATTCATTCTTAAAACTAATGTTTGGTATCTTTTAGAATTGGTAGTAACTCAGATATTGAGATACAAAGATTGGCATTGGTACAAGATAATTACTGGAGACATTTGAAGGGAGGAGAGTACATGAAGAATGAGTTGACAAACAAGATCCAGAACATTAGTGAGGACAAGGAACAATTAAGACAAGAGTATATTCAATCTGCTACAGAGTTCAATAAGTGGCAATTGGAATATGGCAATATACATACTATCAAGCATGTGACAATCAAAGATGAAATGGAGTTGGACCATCTCAAGCTACAATACTACCAGAACCTATCAATACAGAATGAGAAGAGGTCCTCACAAGACAAGACCAAAAAAGTTGAAGAAGATATATCAGAGTTGACTCAGAGCATCAGAGGTATGTTGTAAACTATGAAGAAAACTCAATATTTATTCTAACATGTACAATGTCAATGATCCAGAGAAGGAACTTACAATCTCAAACTTGGAGAATCAAATTGAGGACATGACAAAGGAGATTGATGAGTTGAATTCCAAGATCAATCACAACACGTATGTATCTGGAAATGTTTTCTGAATGATTGATTGATAGATTGATTGTTACTGACATGATTATTGTAATCAGAAGGAAACAAGATCTTAATACTACTACCACAACAACAGGTGGTTCACTACCAAAGAAGAACACTCTCTTTGGAGGTGCTCATCATACTTTGTCAACTTCAAAGAATCAATCCCATAGTGTTCCAAAGACTCAACAGAGCAACAAGTCAAGTGTACAAGGTAACTTCCTGTTGGGGACTCACAACCATGGACCATCGGTGACCACCAACAATACCAACCTGATCTCAATCCCCTCCAATGCACTCAGACCAAACAATCTGAGTCTCAAACAGTCAAAGAAATAGTAGTTGTAGTAGTAGGAGTAGCCGTAAAGACGACAAATAACTTATTAATATATTAGAGGTACAAGGAGCATGCGTGCAAGCTACATTTACAAACAATACAATGAATGACCAGCCAGACGGGTTTGTACATCCGTCCGGACGGTTAGGTAGAGCTCTCAAAGATGGAGGGTCCATACTCGATCAGCTTCCTTGTGATTTCGTTGACAAGGTTCAACTTGAGGATGCCCTCATTGGTCTCGTGCATCGGTCGCAGCATGGCAGGTCCAAACACAATGGCCAGATTGGAGAAGTTCATCATGTTATACTTTGAATTCTCCACGCGTCCAATATTATGGAAGAAAGGTAGTAGCAGCTGCAGTAGCTTCTGGTTCTGTCTTGGCAACGCCTTAACCAATGTTGATATCTGCTTCAATGTTGTGTTCTGTGCTGCCAGTGCCAAGAATGCATCGTATTTATCTGTTTCGAATTGATCAAGATTGATTGTTGATGTTAGTACGCACATATGGATGGCCATCAGCCGTCAATGTTCGTCCAACATACCAAATGTCAAGATAGGCTCTGGCAACTCTCTAAAGAACAACTTGAATACTCCGGCCAGTGAGTGGATGTTGTTTGGCTCGTATTTGAGTGGCTGACCGGCGTTCATGTGTTGTTTGTACATCTTAATCTCGAGTGATGATCCACACACTCGGAACAGTCCCTCTTCCTTCAGACCATGCTGCTCAAAGAAGTTGACAAAGTCGTACAACACCGATGGTAGTCCATCCTTGCACAACTCTGGTTTAGTCTCAAAGTATGCCAAGCTCTGTCCAAACAATGTTGATGCTTGTTGTGCTTGATGCTCCTGTTGATGGATGTGCGTGTTAGTTAGTTTGGTTGATTGATCGATCGTAGGGCGAGGATAAGGGATACGTACGAGAGTATAGACATATTTCAAACGAATGGAGACGTCTCCAGTGACTGTGTTGTTCTTTGCCTTTGGAATGAGTGGAAGGTATAGCTGTACATCTTGTCCAGGTTGGAGTGCTGTCAATGGGATAACCACCTTGCCCATGAAGTCTGCTGCCGTGAACTTATCCTCATCCCATACAAGTAGATAGAAGTATCCATCATTCTTTGTAATGTCACTACAATATTGTAATGTAAGTCGTCAGCTGACTGTGATTGGTGAGCGTACCTGACATGTCCAAGCGAGATACTTACAATGCAAATGGTTCGTTCCATGTTGGATTCAGGGTCTTGTAGATGGTTGGCGTGCGAGATTGTTGTCTCTCGATACGGGTGATGGCGAATGGATCGGCAAAGCCATTGAGGTCTTTCTTGGCAAGGTCACGTCCTTTGATGATCGATCCTGACAGTGTGCCATTGACAGCCTTCTTGGATTCCTTACAAACATCGATACACTTCCTAATTGCCTGTACCCATTGATCACACTCTGATGCTGACTTGGCACAGAACAAGTAATGTCCATTATGGGGTGTCTGCAATTCGAAGCCATTATTATTGCTCTTTGACACTGATACTGCGCAGTCGTCCAAACATATTGCACCCTTGACCTCCTACATCATGTTTGATTATTTGATTGATTGAGTGAGTGATTGAGTTAGTGGTTGTGGGCATTTGGAATGGTTCCAGATGTTGATTGATTGATGGATTCCATCGCGATGGTCCATGATTGATTGAATGATTGAGTGAATGATAATATGGTTCCAAAAGTTTGTTTGAGTGATGGAATGGTTCCAATGATATCTCCACGCGTCCAACCAATCAACCGAATAGAGACACCTACCTTTGATAGTGTATAGTAATAGAGTATTCTGTTGTACTTGATGAAACAGAATCTCTCCTTCTTGGTCAACTTTTGTTTCTTCTTTATCTTGTCCAGTACACCTTGATGATTGTTATCCCTGATGAACTCATCCGTGATGAATGCTCTTGACATCACTTTGTTACCCTCTCTCTCCAAGAACTTTGCAACACTCATCGATCTCGCAATCTTTGGTGTTGCGCCAATGATCTGCAAAAGGTTCTGCAACTCTGCCGATGAATGTGATGTAATATTAACATTATGTAACTCTATATTATTCAACTCCTTCTTGATCTATTGTATTGGGGATGATGTAAGTATTAATGGACATGTCACATCAACTCATTCAATCATTCAAACTTACATCTTGTGTCAACTTTTGCAACTTCTTCTGTGTCACCTGGATGATGAATGAGGTTGTCTGATCGTATGTGACTTGGAGGTCGAGTACCTTCTTGATCTTTGTTCCAACGACCTTGCGTGCCTTTTGTACATCACGTATCGATACCACCTGTAATGACAGATGACTGTTGAACAAAGGTGTCATGTTTGAGTATTCTGTTGGCTCCATGTTTGTTACACTTTAAATGTAATAATAATAATACAATACAATTGTTGAATGAATGATTGAATGAGTGATTGTCATGACATGCACACCACCAATCAGCCCTTCATCCCCTCTTCCAAACAACCACAACACCAACACTACTCCGAAACAAACTATCTCTGGCGAGTGAAACAGGATTAGCCCCTTCAAATTATTTGAAAGGTTGAAAAAATCTCTCTTTTTGAGAGTTGTTTTGATTAAACAGCCATCTTGTCTTGATGATCGGTTAGTGGACTATTATTTGTATGTATTATAACTTTCTTACAAATAAGTATAATAAATATATATATATATTTTGTATTTATTGATATGTCCAACAAACTTAAAAGATATCAATATCTATATTATATTACACAAATAAGTTATATATACCCGAGTTATTTGGTGTTTCATCACTCGTCACTCATCACTCAACATGTCCCAACAACTTAACAGTTGTATAATGGACAAACTTGATGATTGAAGTATGGATGCTTGTTGGGAACACTCAAACATCCATCCACCACACACACCACCTTAACTTTGTTGTGATGATACCAATTTTCCCACTTTGAAAGTGAAGGGGGACAAACAATCAACACACATAATCATCAAGAAGTAGTAATAGTAGTATAACTCCTCTATTCATTCAATAACTTAAACATAAACATAGAGATACTATCATCACTACACAATATAGTAAATATATAGTATTGTATATATATTGTTCAAAACAAAATAGACAGAAGATAATATAAGACAAGATAAGACAATAACAAGATATGTTTGCAGGTGGAAAGCATAGGAGTGGAGTGCTGTTTGTCAACTTCAATCAAGACTTTACTTGTGTAGCTGTAGGCACTCCAGAGGGTTTCAAGATATTCAACTCTGAACCTTATAATCTATGCTTTAGTCAATGTATGTGTCATTGGTTCATGTTTGATTGAATGATTGATTGATTGATTGATTGATTGAATGAATGATCTAACTGTTTGTGTATAGCTAGTGGAGGTGTAGGCCTTATCGAGATGCTCTTCTCCACCAGTTTGGTGGCATTGGTTGGATCAGGCGAAGGTGGATCATCTCAGAGACGACTGCTGATAAAGAACATCAAGACCAATCAAACAATATGCGACTTAAACTTTGTTACTGCCATACTCAATGTAAAGATAAATAGGACCAGGTATGTTTGTAATGTACATCGATCAATCAAGATCATGATCAATCAATCTAACAATCGTACACCTTGTAGATTGGTCGTTGTAATGGAGACAAAGATACATATATACGATATAAACAATATGAAGTTGTTAGAGACGAGAGATGTGGACCCTAATCCAAGAGGTCTATGCGCTCTATCACCATCACAGACCAATTTCATGGTCTATCCAGCGTCACAGAACAAGGGAAACATATTGATAATGGACCTGCTCACATTGGAGACTGTCAATCTGATCCAGGCTCACAACAGTCAGATATCACAATTGGTACTCAATCAGAGTGGAACGATGTTGGCCACTGCCTCGGAGAAGGGCACCGTCATCAAAGTCTACTCATTGCCCAATGCCAACAAATCGATATCATTTAGACGTGGAACCTATTCCGCCGTTATTCACTCCATCACATTCAGTCATGATTCAAAGTATCTTTGTGTCAGCAGTGACAATGGAACCATTCATATATTCAAGATTGACTTTAGTTCCGCGTAAGTCATCCGTTCACTCACTCAATTAATCATACTTGGAACCATTCCACTTACTCAATCAATCAATCAATCATTATATTTTAGGTCTGGAACAAACTCTGGCGTCACTTCTTATTTGCCTGAGATGTTGAGCCAGGTATGGGAGCCATCGAGGGACTTTGCGCATGTAAAGATACAACCAGGAATACCAAGCCTATGCGCGCTGAGTCAGGACAACAAGACTGCTATGGTGCTAATGGCTGATGGACTCTATCTCCAATATCAATTCGATGAGAATGTTGGAGGAGAGCTCAAACTCAGCAAAGAGTTCTCATTGTTGATGGAGCCACAAGTCGACGAGGTGTCTGCCAAGATGTTGTAGTAGTGGTCGACCAGGCAGGCACGTGGACCGTTCAATCAATCATATATGATCATGGATTTATTGCTGTAGCAGTGCTATCGAATGGCGACTTTCTAATGTAGGTACAGCCGCAATATAAACAGGACGGTCGTTGGTTGTCCACCTCTTTCTGCGTCAACAAGTTCATGAAGTTGAATGTCTTGAATATGTTTGATGTGGTCGCATCGTTGGCGGCGATCACTGATGTCGCCTCCCTCTTGAATATCAATGACTTCATCAAACACATATCACAATGGAACAGGATGTGAGTGTTCAACAACAGCTTGGTCCTCTGGCATCTTGACAATGCGCATCCATTACCACATTGTTCAGGCTCACCAGATCCACTCGACAATGGTTTGTTGGCAACGTCTATCATTGTTGTTGTTGTTAGTGTCGGTCATGGACAGTGATTGAGTGAGTGAGCGAGGGCTACTTACCTGCTTGACAATAGACACATTGCTCACGGTGTGGCAGACTCTTTGGATCTGGTATTGGTTCATTCAGGAGTGCGTACACTTGTTTGGCAGTGGACAACTGTGTATCCTTGTCACTGATCACATTCTCATGATTGATCTCCAGTAGCCAATCACACATCAATAGTAATGATGTACGTTCATGATCCAGTAGTGCTATTGATTGATCGATTGAGTGAGTGAATGATTGAGTGTGTGGATGATGTCAATCAACTTACGATATTGTTTGCGGTTTGTCAAGAAGTTGGATAATATCTTGACGGTGTAGACCATGTCAATCTTGGACATGAATAGTTTGCAAAGGTTGGTCCACTGATCGATCAATCTCTTTGGATATAATGTCTTGATTGAGTTGTACGTGTATATGAATAGGATGTAGAGGTGGTAGTAATCATTTAGACTGTTGTTCTTCTTATTCTGTAGACGATCCAACTCGGCAATAATAGTGTCCAATACTTCCACCAACTGATGTTCATTCAAACATTGTTGGTACACCAGTACATCCCATATCTTTGACAGGCTGTCCTTGTTTTGATTGTATCCTGCAATGTAATTCGTTGGATGGATGGATGGAGGTAGGTGTAAGTCATTCATTCATTCATTCATTCAATCGATCGATCAATCCAAGTAATTACTCTTGATGAAACTGAGTAGATAGTTGTCAAAGTCCAAGGTATGATAAATCTTGATGGCTGATGATAGGTTATGTACCTTGAACATTGCCTTGACACCTGGTACACTATGATCATGGACATGGATGACAATGGTTAGTATGAGTGGAGTGATTGAGTGGAAGTGGAATGATTCCATCATCCATTTTTGAATGATTGATCGTGATCGATAGTTACTTCTCTCCAACGATTAGGAACATTCCATTGGGAGATGGAAGTGCATGGAAGTAGTTCTCTGACTTCTCTTGTGGGTCATAGGGTAGACCAATTCTCTCCACATTTAGATCCTTAATGTCTAATGATTTCCAATAGCGTTCAGTTGTTGTGAACTTGTATAATGTTGCATCGGCACATGATGTATAGAATTGGTTGGACGTGAGGAAGAATGCGCCAGTGATGTTGCCAACCTGTCCAAATGATAGCAATGGTGACAACAACTTCTTCATTGGTTGATATAAATGGAATCCAATACCCTTGCCAATGACCAATATGCTCTCTTGTATATCCTACAATATATAAGTTTGATTAGTACTCAATTGATCAATAACTGAATCACTCGATCAATCAAACATACATGTGATTTGGACCAATCCAGGAAAGTGATTGGTGAGTCATCTTGTTCGAGGACTTGTGCCAGTTGTTCGATGTTGCCATCTTGGTCAAATGTGTGAATGTAGACTGCTCCGCGACTGGTGGCAACAGCTAGTACAGGTCGATTGTTGATCATATATGGTGCCCATTGAAGTTGTTGTATCCATCCACGTCCTGGACGATATGTTCCAAAGTGTTTGAACATTGATTTGATGTCTGAGCTGTTGGACTCGAGATTGAAGGACCAAAGAGTCAGCTTGCGCTTGCTGCCCAATGCCAGTAATGAAGTGCGTTGCAATACAGCACCATTGACCACGGTCTCGAATGAAGGTGACCAATCCAAACACAACGTATCCATCAGCTCTGATTGTCTCACATGATTGTCATTGACATCAAGTGATCGATTGATTATGACATATTGCCTGTGATTGATTGATTGATTGATTGAGTGATTGAGTGAGTGATGGATGATTCCAGATGAGGGCAATGTACCACAACTTACTCCTTCCATTGATAGCTATCACCATCGTCATCGGGTTGCTTGAAGTCGTTCTTCTCAAAGTGCTCAAAGAGGTAGTCGGAGAAGACGGCGACGCTTTGCCAGTCGGGTTTGAAGGTGTTGAGTGCAAGGTTGGGCGGGGCAAAGATGTGCACGTGAAAGTCATTGGTGCACGCTGCAATGAGTGGTCGTCCACCATTGATCAACGGTGAGAATCTAGCCTGTCTAAAGTGTGGACTACTTGACAATGTATCCTGTCTAACGTACATCACTCCCTTATTCAAGTTGTAACTACTTCTCAATGGCGGCATATCCAACATACTATATTGATGTATTCCAGTGCCATCCAAAGGACTCTATATAACGTATCAAAAGGGTGTTGGATGTTAGTGAATGACTGGCGACCATTCATTCATTCATTCGACCGATCAATCAAACATACAAAGATCATAATAGATTGTGAAAGAGTGATTAAGAACTGATCACTGTCAGACTGATCGACACATGATGATCCTATGTATGTACTCTTGAGTTGTCTCAATGTTGGATTGAACTGCTTCATAATGTATCTCAACTTTGTTATACTATGTACTAATAACACAAATGCAACTTCATCATTCGTCTTCCCTCCATTTTGATCAGCTGATCGAGCACGTGAGTATATGTGTGTGGGTGGGTGTGAGGCAAGGGTTGTCCAAGATTGATTGGTTGGCAACTCAAGAATGCAATGATTAGCAAGCAATAATACTAATAATAATGTTTAATAATAATAATAATGTTATAGGGACATGGTGGTGAGCTGTTGGTCCTTCAACTGCAACAGCAACAGCAGCAGTATAAGGGGGGGAGAGCAAGGGCGAGCGAAGGGAAAGATAGGGATGATTCCTCCACATCCATCCAATGTTTGAGGTTTGGATAACATCTGTACAGTCTTTTTTTGAGTTGTTGTTGTTGTTGGGATATATAAATACATATTACATAGTTCTTATATATATATATAAATAATAATAAAGCAATGATGATCGATGATCAATGTGGACCCAGTGAAAGGGGTCATCGGACGGACGTGACTAGACTTGACATGCCACGTCTCAATCAATCATCTTACTTCAGTATGACGCTGAATGAAGACACGACGATCTCCATCTCTTTGAGTAGAGAGTCCTTCTCCTCAGCCGTCTCTGTGTAAAACATCATCGCCTGTCCACTGAACTGTAGCTCCAAAGCGTTCTTTGTTACAATGCCATGAAGCTCTGTTGGTTTGAGTGATGATTGAGTGAGTGAGTAAGCTAACGATTGATCCGATTGAATGATTGATTGGTTAAATGAGACTTACTCTGACCATCAGGGAGATTCTTGAAGCGAAGGTTCTGCAAGGGGACGGTGTTCTTGAGTTGAAGCTTCTTCTTGCTCTCCTTGGCTATCAGCAAGAGGTCGTTGAAGAGCAGGTAGGTGCGCTCCTTGCCCTTCTCCTGATCAGTGCCATATTGAGTGAGATGACCCTCGCGGATCAGGAAGCGACTGTCAGAGACGAGCTGGAGGTCCTTTGGCTTGGACTCGATCCTGTTGGAAATGCTGGTCAGTGTCTGGATGCGGATCTTTTCGTTCTCCTCCTTGCGCTGGTTCTCATTGACGTCTGCACAGATGTCCTGCACCTCAAACAATGCGATGCACAGGTTATCATAGTCTGGATGTGATGGCTTAGTGTTCTTAATGATCTCCTTCAACATCATGTGATATCTAGTGATGCGCTGCAATGGAGTGATGAGCAATGCCTGAAGGTTGGTACCTGTCAAGCTTCCATTGTTCCAAAGTAGTTTCTCAGAGTTCTGTGCCAAGAGTGATCGAGTTGGTTAGTGATTGATTGAATGGTGTCATGCTTGTGCGTTGACATACCTTTAGGAAAGCTTTGAACTGACTCTTGGAGTTGGACAACTTGTCGATGGCTGTGAGGACAGTCTGGTAGGAGAGTGTGAAGCTGTTGTATATCAACTTGAACTCATCGCGTGTGACAATGTCCACGAGAATGTCACCGATGCGCTGTGTCATGTTCCACTTGCAGATCCTCTCGACCAGTCGTCTGTACAGCTCGCTGTTGATTCGTAGGATGGCCTCGTGCTTGCCAAAGATGAGGTCGACCTCCTCCTTGGAGATGATGGGCACGTCGGCGTGGCACATGCCGCGCAGCGGGTAGGCAAAGTGGTCGATCATCTTTTCCAGGCCGTCGACGTATGTGTGCTCAGTGTTGATGAGCTCCTTGATCGCCTTGGTCCTGAGCAGCTCGCGCTTGTACTCTCTGCGGCACTTCCAACGACGTACGTGCGACTGTATAATGGTGGCAGCTTCGTCGCGGGATATAATGCGCACTGGCTTGGGCGGGATGAACACCGACTCAAACGAGGTTGACAGGTCGGGGCTGGTGTCGACCTTGGCGGGACGCGATGGTGGGTTAGGTGCGTGTGGCGCCAGGGCAGCGGCAGTGGTGGTGGTGATTGTCGATGTCTTGAGGTTTGACTTCTTGGTCGTCTCCTCCGACTCAAATGATGTGGTCTTCTTCTCAGTGGTGACGATGTTTGGCGAGAACGAGACGGTCTTGGAGCGTGGCTTGGGCGTCTCCTTCTTGGGCTCGCTCAAATGGATCGATGAGTGAGCCTTGGCATTGGAGGTGGAGGTGGGCGTGGTACCGGCCTTCTTTGAGGCGTTGTGCAGGTTCTCCAACTCCTTTTTCAGCTTGTCCTTCTCGATGCCCGACACTGATGGTGGGGATATTGGTCTAGCCGACGCAGAGGTAGGGATGTTGTTGGTGGTGGTCGTCGTTGTAAGGTGGCTGCTAGACGAGGACGTCGATGTGGTGATGTCCTCAAACAGGTCGAGTGGGAAGGATGCGGCCGAGGAAGCGGCAGCGGTCGGTGCCATGCTGCTCGTGGTCGTCGTGCTGCTCGAAGATGTGTGACTGGATGTTGTAGTTGTATGTGATGGTGGTGGCAGTATAAATGGATTGGTGTTGATGTTGCTGCTGCTGGGCTTGCTCTTGGAAGCGGCGGCAGAGGCGGCAGCTGCGGCCATTCTCTCGGCGGCCGCCTTGTCCTCAAACTCCTTCCTAAGCTTCTCCTCCACCTCCTTCCTTATGCGCTCCTCCATCTGCTTCCTCAACATCTCCTCGGTGAATGGATCAGAAGTGGGCTGTGCCTGTGGCTGTGCCTGCTGTTGATCACCAAAGAGTGATGGCATCTGTTGTAACTGTGGCATTTGCTGAGGTAGTGGCGCGATGGTCATCTGCTCAAACGCAAACATATTTGGTGATGCTGCCTGAACACTCGATGACGATGTGATCGATGTGTTTTGTTGCATCATTGAGTATGATTGATGCTGCTGTGGTTGCTGCTGTTGCATCTGCTGGTTAGGCTGGATGATACTGGCCAAGGCAGCTGTGTTGCCATGCTTGTTGGGGTTGGCAAAGGAGTTGCCGGCCTGGAGATGCTGGGGGATGGGAGGAATGACCAGGTCAGACTTTGATCCAATGCTGCCAGTGTTTGGCGCATTGTTGCTGACAACCTTTGGAGGCGAGGGCAGACTGTTTGTGAGCGATGTGTGTGAACCAGACGACGTGGGTGAGAGCGAATTGTTCTGGCCGTTGAGTGAAGAGGCCGATGCCGGCATCGATTGCTTCTGTTGTTGTCCAGTGAGCGAAGACGATGGAGACACGCTTGCCTTGAACACTGAGCTTGGTTGGTTCATCACATGATTGGACACTGGTGGTGGCATGATGATGTTGTTGTTCATCATTGGCTGTTGCTGCTGCATCATATTCATCTGTTGCTGCTGCTGTTGTTGCTGTGCCTGTTGGGCGGCCATTGGATTGAGCTGTTGGTTGATTTGTTGATTGATCAAGTTGAGCTGGTTCATGTCCACACTGGTCGATGGCTGGGCGATGCCCATTGGATGCAATCCTTGCATTGGTATCATCTGGTTTGGAATCATTCCTGCAGTAGCACCCATGTTTTGCATTGGCATCATTGGGTTGATCATCATGCCCTGAGGACCAGTCATGCCTTGCATTGGCATCATTTGATTGGGCATCATACCCTGAGGCATGCCCTGCATTGGCATCATGGCGTTTTGACCACCCATGGCCTGAGGCAATCCCTGTGGGCCAGTCATGCCCTGCATTGGCATCATCATGTTGTTCTGCTGCTGTCCACCACTGTTCACTCCCTGAGGCATGCCCTGCATGGGCATCATCTGACCCTGCATGGCTTGCTGCTGCTGCATCTGCTGCTGCAACTGCATCTGTTGCTGTTGTTGCGGAGTCGGCAGGTTCAACGAGCTGATGATCTCCTTGTACTTGTTCTCATCGTTCCAGTTGGCAGCCTTGTATTGGGGACGACGGACCTCCTGCTCGATCGTAAAGAATGGGTCATTATCCTTTGTCGGGAACCACCTGTCCTTGTTGGTCGGTGCACCGGATGAATTCTTGCCACCACTGTTGACCAATGATGAGTTGCCTGTGCTTCCAGTGTTGTTGTTGCTGTTGCCACCACTGTTGACCAAAGGTTGCATGGCGGACATTGGTTGTAAAGGTTGCATTGGTTGCATCGGTTGCATCATACCCATCTGTTGTTGTTGTGGTAGTTGTTGCTGCTTGACTTGGTTCATCGGTGACATCATCATATTGTTTTGTTGTATTTGTTGTTGTTGCATTCGTTGTTGTTGCTGCTGTTGTGGGTTCATTTGGTTCATTTGGTTCATTTGCTGCATCGATGGGAACTGCTGAAGCTGGGGCTGCTGCTGTTGTGGGTTCATCTGGTTCATTTGGTTCATAGGCTGAATGAAACCATTGTTCCCATATTGTTGTTGAGGAGCAGGAGCAGCGCCTGCAGCTGAACTATAATAAACCTGCTGTGTCTGCTGTGAGAATGAACTTGATTGATTCATATAGTACTGCTGTTGTTGTTGCTGTTGTTGCAATTGTTGTTGTTGTTGTAGTATTAATTGTTGTTGTTGTTGTTGTTGTTGCTGCATTGGATTCATTGAATAACCTATATATTATTGGTGTATATATTATTATTAATATATTGTTTATATATATCATTCAATCAATCATACATACCATTACTCATGAGTTCTTTGTAAGATAGTTATTGATTGTTGTGTCTGCTAGCAATCCCAGTTATTATTATTAAATATTATTATTAAAATGTTTGTTTGTTTGATTGATTGATTGATTGAATATATGCTTGTTAGTTAAGTTAGTTATTACAAGTAGTAGTATCAATATGTTGTTATAATGGTACAAAAGATAGAGATAGAGTTGTTGAAGTGAATGAGTGAGTGAGTTGTTTGCTTGTTTGAGAGTTATTATGTTTGTGTGTGTGTGTGTGTGTGAGAGAAGTCGAAAGAGGTGTGTGAGTGGTAAATAATTAAATTTTAATGGTCTCTTGATTCAAATAACTAACAAAGATAGTTGTTGATGGAAGTTGTGAGTGAGATAGAGTGAAACGAAAATTAGTGTTGAATTCTTTCATTAATGAACGTGAGATGTGACTTTCCCCCCAACTTCACACCTTCACTCAACCATCCCAGGCAATAATTGCTCACTTGTTTGATCATCAACAATCCCATAACATCTAAATAAATCTTTGTTTCGATCGTGATTGATAGAGAGAGTGAGAGGGAGAGAGAGAGAGATAGAAAGAAAGAAAGAAACATAGAATGTTTAGAAAGATGAAGAGTATAGTGTTTGGTGGCGGTAACAACAATAGTACCGCCACCAATAATACTACCAATGTACAACTATCAACAAATGAACAACAACAACATCAACAGCATCAACAACAACATATTGATGATGACAAAGAGAATGTACAACAACAACAACATCATCAACATGATGTGACACCAGAGGTCACTTCACCAATGTCTTTACATCCTCTTACACCGCCAACACCTCCAAACTGGATGCGTCTTACCATGAACATACCACCGATGGCAGCACTCAACAACAAACAAGTCGAGTCTCCAACTTATCAAGCACAACAACAGACACAACAACTTACACAACAACAACAGATAGAGATAGATACTACTCCAATCGATATATGGAGTATAATGATTGATAGTGATGTGGCCGCGATTAGACAGGGCGCTGCGGTGACTTCAACAACAAAACTGAGAGTGCTATGGCAGGAGTATGTGGCGAGCAAGTCTGAGAAGGACAGGTTGGTCAAACTCAACATGGTACTGCCGCACTTTATCGCCCTGCTCGAGGAGCATGGCATCGACCTGCAAAACATGAACGATATATTCGTCGGCGGCAACACCAAGGCGTTTGCATTCGCCGTCATCAAGCACTTTATCAAGGACATTCAGGAGCTGACGCATGCACACGGCTCCAACAAGTCAGAGATCGTTCGCTACCTCACCCAATGTGGGCCAGCCAGCTGCGGCTTCGAACTGATCTACACCATCGAGTTGCTCTCATCGTGCAAGGCTGCGTGCGATGTGATGGTGGAGCAGTCCATGCCATCATGTCTGGTGCGTGTACTACAGTACATGTTTGTGTCGCCCTACACCCTGCTGGAGGAGTTCAAGGGCGTCGTGGAGGACCGCATCATCAACATACTCTACAACATCATATCACACAAGGGCGCACTGGAGGAACTGCAGCGAACAGACGCACTGGCCCTCTTCTTCTCCCTACTTGCCAACAACCAACAATCACACAACGCACTGCGGATCAAGATGATGCTAATCCCTCATGCCTTGACCGACCTTCAATCAAACACAATCCATTATATCAACGACAAGAAGATTATACATAATGCCATTCATAGCCTGAGTAGTGGCAGTGGCGTCAGTGGCGTCAGCGGCAGCAGTGGACAACAACATACCGAGGCGTCGGTCAGGCTGATACAGGTACTCGTCAAATTGCTTCAAGAGTCCTGCAAGCGATCAGTATTGTTAATGGATGACTTTACGCGAGCTGGTGGATACTTACTTCTTGTCAACACATTGGTACACTTGGATCAGGTGGCGCCATCTTCACACGCATCACCATCACTCTCATCATCAACCTCAACATTATCATCACCATCACTTGGATCTGGATCAGGGTCATTATCATCAAAGGACAACGAACTGTTCAGCTGTCTATTGGACTGTGTCTATGCATTGACCTGCGTTGGACATGGACCGATCACACTCCATCATGCCAGCGAGGGTCTAGAAATACCCTACCAGAAACCAATCACACAATCCATCATCAAAGATATAGCGCGTATGTTAATGAATGATTAACCTTACTATGACTGGCTGGCTTACTTACATCATCGCCTCACGCCATTCATTCATTAGATCAAGAGAGCATCGTAAGGAACGAGGCTGCATTCAAAGTGTTTGAACAGTACTTCCTGCGGAGCAACATCGAAGTGAGACGCGAGCAACTACTTGAGCGAATCCTCACATTGTACACCATCAATCCAATTAACTACCAACTACTTCGACATCATGATACACTGGCCAAGTTCATCCTGATGTACGCCGAGCTTGGCGACCTTCTAAAGGTGAGTGAGAGATGGAGCCTATACTCAATCAATACGCAGGCGCTAACATACCGCCACACGCTCATTAGCTACACATTATGACGATTGTTAGTGCAGTTGTAACAAAGTTGGAATGCGTACCATTTCAAGAGCTGCGAGCTTACTCATCTTTGATCATGAATGGACAGCCATCATTGTCCACACTCGACGTCGTCTATCAGCTGATAACGACAATCGTGAACTTTGATCACAAGTATCGCCAGATGATTCGCGAGGCAGGACTGTTGGACGGCCTGCTCAGCGTGATCGATCGATACCGCACACAGATAACCCTGCCACCCAATCACAAGCTTGTCGAGGCCTACCCCATCGTCCTTGACGCCACATACATGTTGTTAGGCGACAACACAGACAACCTCAATTATGCCAGGAAATGGTAAGTACTATTTATACAATGATTTGAATGAATGTCCGTGGACTAACAATGAATGATCAATCATACATAGTGATCTCGCTCAGACCCTGTTGACGTTGGTGCCTCACTCATTCGTTCGATCAAAGGCACTTAGGATTGTACAGCAGCTGATCAAGCACGACCCTGACACATCACAGCAAGAGTTTAACGACCTGATATGCACGCTGAAAGGTCGTAGCACACGCATGCGTACAGACATTATCAATGCCATCAACAAGTTGTTCAACATCTCAAAGTTTGCTAGGGATTCATTCCGCGAGCATGATGGTTTCGTAGCCATCCTCTCAGTGTTGCTTCAATTGGAGTCATGCTTTAAGGAGTGTGATGACTACAACAACAATGGCGTTGGCGCGCCAATATTGGACAGCTGCGACAACAGAGACAACAAAGAGGAGTATATTGAGCAGAGATTACTGCTGTTGGAAGCGATATGTAGGGTCACAACATCGGCAATGTCGGGCAACACGAACAATCGAACGTCATTCGAGCAGCAGATAGGATACTCGACATTTGCACGCGGTCTTATAATGACGGGCGTGCTGCAGACTGAGCACGCGACACGTGTTGTCAGCCAACTGTTTGACATGACCACAGAGAACCTGAGCGGCAGGACGGACGACGACTGCTGCATGCCCATTAGGAACGTCAATGCCTTCATTGTCATTATGGACATCATTCCTGAGATTGCCAACCCAGTGCACGTGCAGGAGATCGTCAAGCGCATCAGTCAGATGGCCAACTATGGTCGCTCTAACCAGGAGTCACTGGCCAAGCTGTCGATCCCCGACTGGATCCTGACCAAGTTCTCTGAGACCCTGGTCGACAGCAGCGATCCTCTGCAGCCACATCTTCTCAGTCTGATGCAGACCGTCGGCGCCAACTGTCTGTCTGCGTCCGAGCTGCGCCAGTTTGTCAAGTTGCTGCAACTGGACAACTCTCCAGCCGTTCTGCTCAAGATCCTGGCTGCAATGGCCCAGTCGCCGCCCACTCCACCATACTTTGAGTTCAATCCAAACGACAAGTTGTCGTACGCATACATACACTTGCCACTACAGCAACATGCATGGCCGCCCGCCAGCGGCTACACCATTCTCTTTTGGCTGTACATTGAGAAGAGCGGACCACAGATCGACCTAATGCACCTCTACTCAGACGACAAGAAGTCAAGCGTGGCACTGCTGATCAAGAACGGCACGATGATGCTCAGCGTACTCAATGGCAACAAGTTCACCATCGAGTTCCCCGAGCGCTTTGAGCAGGGCCGCTGGTACCACGTCGGTCTGGTTCACTACAATCGCCGTCTGTTGGCTGGAAGTGAGGTCAAGCTGTTCATCAATGGCTTCCCCTCGAAGCACACCGTGTCCAAGGCACAATACCCTGCCATGGCCACAGCTGGAAGCAACTTGTTCTGCGAGATTGGCACTGGAGCCATTGGAAACAGATATCCTGGCGAGCAAATCTGGCGCATTGGCCAATTCTACATGATTGAGGACACGCTAAACACTGAGCACATCAACTCGATATTCTTCCTGGGGCCAAACTACTGCGCCAACTTCCAGGGCAAGTTCGCGCCCTACCAAACGTTCGAAATCATCAACCATCACAACCTTGTGGCCATCGAGGAGCTCAAGTACCACGACAGCCTCGGCCCACTTAACTTCACCAAGATGTCTATCAAGGTCGATGAGAAGTCCATCCTAGTGGGCCTGTGTGCGGACAACAAACGAATCAAAGTACGTGGACAGTGCGTCAAGAGCACGAGCGAGAAGACACAGTTGCCTCCCCAGATCGATTGTGTCATTGGCGAGACACGCAACAATGTGGACTTTGGCGTCAAAGACATTGATTTCACCGAGGAGATCATCAATCAGAGCGTGCGACATCAGCGCGGCCAACTCATGGGCTGCATCGAGGCTTTCCGTGGCAACAAGGTGGCCGACGATATCGCCAAGATTGGCGGCATGTCTGTCATCCTGATGCTGCTTGAGAAGGCCAAGACGCACGAGACCTTTGAGGATGCCATCCGTCTGCTAGTTGGTGTCGTCCAGAACCATCCCAAGAACACCCACGAGATGACCCAGATCAATGGCTACGAAGTGATGGCATGGATCTTGAAAAGCCGTCCACACCTCTTCACGACAAGCACAGTGGACTTGCTGTTTGACCTCGTGGGCATCAACGGCAACACGACGGTAACGGGCGTTGTCAATCGCCGCGAGGGTACCATATCCAACTGGAGCGCTTGCAAGCGCCTTCTGATGAACCACACGATCTGGAAGCACCTGAGTGTCGAGCTGCGTCAGTACATGCTGATGGGCCTGCATGATGTCATCGTGGACAACCATCAGTACATGTTCAACACGGCCATCTTGCGCAAGTTGCGTATTGTGCAGGACCTCTTTGACATCCTCAACACAGACACTGTGTGCGAGGAGACTGTCAACATCGTTATCAAGATGTTGTACGCGGTGTTTTGCGAGAAGCTAGTCGAGCAAGACATTGGCGTGCTGTCGGCCTTCCTCATTTGCGGCCTAAACATGAAGCATCAGCGTCGCCGCCACGTACCAGTCGACACGCGCAAGAACCGGATCATCAACTCTGTGCTCCAGATGTTCCTCCAGGTCATCACGGTGACCAAGGACACCAGCGCCATTTACGCGCGTGTCTCACCCTTCTGGTGCTTCTTCTTTATCCGCGAAGCCCATCCCCCACTGTCCGTGTCGCTGGCGCTCAAGATCGTATGTGCACTGTTCCTGATCAAGCCCAACTATCTCGCCACATTCATCAAGAAGGATGGATTCCGTCTGCTGGAAGTGTCGCTGGCCAAGTTCCACTGCCACCAGGAGATCTACCTCACCCTGCTACACTTGCTTCTGGGCAGCAGTCCACCCGCCCTGCTCGATCTGCACGCCGCCGAGACGCCCAGTCGCCTCGACCTGCACATGCTGATCAATCTTCATCGCTCCAGCGAGAAGAAGTTGTACAGCATCGATGCCGCGCACCTCATTCTCTCATTGATCAGGCGATCATTCGAAGAGATCAAGTCTCCAAGCAATGCTGCACAGTTTGGATCATTCGTCGACAGTAACTTCAACATGTTGGCTGGTGGACTCTCATTCTCATTGTCCCCCATGGTTGCGCTCCAAACGCCACCAAGCGGTAGCATGTTGCCAGCATCACCATTGTCGATTGCTCAGTCTATCGATCAGCCATTCCCAAACACAACGCCTACCTCATCAACTTCGACCACGACAACGACGATGATGCCATCGCCAATATCAATCAGTCAATCATCGAGTACCAGCCTTTTGTCAATGGACATTGGCATCGCACCAACCATGTCCACGTCGATCACGATTGAGGCCATCTCCAACATGAATCATACAGTGCTCAAGTACCTCGAGTACCTGTTCAACGAGAACCCAAGTTTCCAGACCGAGTGCTACAGCGTCACGACCATCGAGTACCTCATCTCCATCCTCTTCCCTCACGAGACATTCGCTCTCCATCCAACAACTACCATGAGCACGCCACTCATGGACCCAACACAACAGCAGAACACAGGAATAGGCACGGGAATGAAGAAGGACCGCGTGCTCGACCTCATCCTCAACCTGTTGTGTCAGATCGCACTGTCTGCGCTACACAAGTCCAACAAGGCCATCCAGATCATTGAGGCCGTGCTAGACTCAACGCCAACATTTGCTCGCGAGGAAGACATCATTGCCTATCATCAGCGCATGTTGGGCGACATCCTCTATGTGATGGAGACCAATATAACCAAGACTGAGTTTGTGGAGATGAGCGACAACAGACTGGTACAGGGCAACTTTGTGAAGTTCTGTCAGATGGTTGTGGACCGCGCCAACATCGACAGCTACAAGTCGATCGCCAAACGCGTATTCCTGTTCCTCGTGCGCGTCCTGGACAAGTTTGACGCTGACGACCGTCGCTCGCCCAAGCAGGTGCAACAGCTCTATCGCAGTCTCAATAGAGTGATCCTCCTCCTGCTCACCAGTCCTGAGCTCGAGGCCGAGCGCTACTTCACCATCAATCACATCATCAATCATCAGCGCATTGTGATCAGCGCCAACACAGGCGACACAGACTTTGTCCTTTCATTCTGCTACCGCCTCTACAAGCTCATTGGCGAGGACACCACTGGCACAGCACTCAAGCTATGGGCTCTGCTACTCCTGTTGCGCTCTCCCTTCTCCGACACCATCGATTCGTTGCTGTGTCTAAAGTCGCAGAACCGTGGTGGCGAGGTTCTAGACCTGCGTCCAGGCTTCGAGTTGATGGTCAATGACATCAATCGCTTCGAGGAGTGGCTACGCGAGAATCAGACATCAGTCGAGGTCGTGTTTGAGGAGAATGCCAAGCGTGTACATCAGGCCTACCTCAAGACAGAGAAGAAGATCGAGGTGGAGAACTCGAGCGCATATTCCAGCGCCAAGAAGGACCGCGAGGCCCGCCGCGACAGGGATAAGAAGCGCGTGTCGGACAACAGTCTGGAGAACCAGATACACACGAGTAAGAAGATCGGACAGTTCAAGGCGGCCGAGACCGAACGCGCAAAGCGCATCAAGAACAACGAGAAGAGTCGCAATCGGTTTATCTCCAAGCAGCTCAAGATGATGCTTGACCAGGTGACGCGTGAGCGTGCCGTGTGGGGCCCATCCGGCTCGTCGCCACTCGACAAGTTCAAGCTGGACTCTACCGAAGGCCCGTACCGCATGAGGAAGAAGATGGAGAAGAACTACGACTTTTACAAGAACTATCGTTATATCGAGGCTGCGACCGTCGCTGAGTCCGAGGCCGCCACCATCATTGACTCCTCATCAGTGATGGCCCCCACCAGCGAGGACAGCAAGAGCTTCATGGAGTTGATCAGGGATCCATCGACTGTCAATCAGATCGAGTCTGCATATTGGAAGACGTTGGAATCCACCGAGTCACCAGAGGCATCTCCAATGCTTCTAAGCAGCACAGCCAACATGCCTCCACCTCCACCTCCTCCCCCAACCACTGGCAGCGACAACACTCGCAGCCGACCGTCCACACCCGCAACGCCCTCATCCAACAAGGGCACTCTATCAAGTAGTGGAGGAAGTAGCAGCAGCATCAACAGCATGGACATCACAAGTACATCGTCCAGTATCAACACAAAGCTCATCTCAGAGTCAACCATCGATACCTCCGCATCCGACCTCACTCCACCCGAGTCATTGCGCTCTTCCACAGATGAGTCCATCGTACAATCACCATGCGCACATGGGCTGGCCGACGACAACAACAACAACAATAACAACAATGACGAGGACGATGAGACGGCAACGGACGATATGTCCAGCTCTCTGCCAGTTCACAACGCACCACTTGATCATGATGTGGACATTGCCGAGGCCAACATGGACGACACAGACAGCGACAATGACGACACAAACAACTCGATGAGCAACAACAACAACAACAATGGTAGCGAAGAGGAGGACAACCTATCATTCACAAGAATGCTCGACACAACAGACCAGGCATTCATGCGCGCCAAGAAGGAGGGCGACCCACGCCTCAGCACCGTGCTTTACAACTGTGGTGCGATCGACGGCATGGACAAGGTGGAGAGTATCTTTTTATTGTGCGTGCATAACATGTACATCATCAACGGATACTCCAAGGATGACAAGACTGGCGAGATATCCGAGGTCGAAGAGAAGCTGAACCTGGAGTGGCTGCTCGAGGGCTCGCTCATGCCCACTCGCAAGGTCATCTCGCACAACTGTCTCAAGCTCTCCTACGACGATGTGCAGGACATACTCAAGCGTCGCTACCTACTACGCGACGTTGCCATAGAGTTGTTCTCAACGGATGGTCGTAACACTTTGGTGGTCTTTTCCGATTCACTGACACGCGATGCCATCCACAACGACGTCGTGATGAACATGCCCGGATACGCGACGGCAGGCGACATAGGCACGCTGAGCAGCTCGCACAATGTTGAGGACGAGCGAGCGTCATCAATGTGGCGCAAGTCACAGACATTGCTCTGGCAACAGGGCCTGATCTCCAACTTCCAGTATCTGATGTACCTCAACACTCTGGCAGGCAGGACCTACAACGACCTGACCCAATACCCTGTGTTCCCGTGGATCCTGTCAGACTACACTAGCGAGGAGCTCGATTTGGCCAATCCTGCCATCTACCGCGACCTCGCCAAGCCAATGGGCGCGCAGTGTCCCGTGCGAGCACAGAAGTTCACCGAGCGATTCGAGTGCTGGGATGACCAAGAGATCAATGAGCTGGGCCATCTCGTTCCCAAGTTCCACTATGGCACGCATTATTCATCGTCAGCCATCGTACTCTACTACCTTCTGCGTCTGGAGCCCTTCTCACAGCGCCACCTCAAGATGCAGAGCGGCCGATGGGATCAGGCCGACCGCCTGTTCAACTCGATCGCCGACACATGGGCCGTCTCGTCCAAGGGCTCCATGACATCGATCAACGAGCTTATCCCCGAGTTCTTCTACTTGCCCGACTTCCTTCGCAATGACAACCGCTTCAACTTTGGAACTACCCAGACGGACGAGGTCATTGACGACGTGGTGCTGCCACCCTGGGCCAAGGGCTCGGCGCAGGAGTTTGTCAACATGCATCGCAAGGCACTAGAGTCGGACTACGTGTCCGAGCACCTTCACGAGTGGATCGATCTGATCTTTGGCTACAAGCAGCAGGGCAAGGCTGCAGAGGATGCGCTCAACGTGTTCTACTACTTGACCTACGAGGGCACAGTCAACGTGGACTCAATCACTGATCACATCAAGAAGGAGGCCGCCATCACACAGATCAACAGCTACGGACAGACGCCACGCCAACTCTTTGACAAGCCACATGAGAAGCGCAATCCGGCAAACTACACCGTGCCATTCTACTACAAGACGATGGGCAGCGTGCTGATCAAGGACATTGGTGAGCCGGTCGGTCAGATCAGGGTGTTGAACGAACGAACACACTTCATTGCCGGACTCACCAAGCACTTTGTCTCGCCAAACTACCACAGCTACATCTTGTGGGGCTTGCCCGACGGCAGCATCAGACTACACATCAATGACATCCGAGGCTCAGTTCGTGTGCTCGAGGACCATCATGATGGTCCCCTGACCATATTGACATCCACATCCGATGGCTACACTGGAGTGAGTGGAGGAGCGGACAGCATGATCTGCGTGTACAACATGCGACAGAAGAAGCTATCGTTGGCCAAGCGATTGGTTGGACACACGGGCTCCATCACGGCGCTCACCACTTCCAGGTCCTACTCTGTCATTGTCAGTGGTTCAGAAGATCATACCTGCATCATTTGGGACTTGAACAGGCTCACCTATTCCAAGACGCTCACGGGTCATGATAGTCCTATCTCGTGTGTGGCCGTGCACGACACTACTGGAGACGTTGCAACATGCGCCGGCTCAACCATCAATATCTACTCAATCAATGGACAGCTGATACTTTCACACCGCACTTCGCAGATTGTCTATGACCAGATCACCTCATGTCTCTGGGCCAAGGGTCGCGAATGGCTTGGCGAGAACGTTCTTATAACCGGCCATCGTGATGGCAAGATCAAGGTTTGGTCCATGGAGAACCAGCCCATTGCACAAACAACATCATCATCTTCAGCCGTTGGCGTTGTTGTTGAAGATGCTCCAGTCGAGCAGTTTGCTGGAACAAGGAAAACAAGCTGTCCCAATACGAGGAAGATTGAACTGGTGCTTCGAATGACGCTAAACAATCCAACATCACACATCAACTCCATCACGACACTCTACCTTACCCTGTACGTACTCAATCAATTAATCAAACTCAAACCCAATGCACCTGACTTACCAACTTACTAACAACTCGTGATGTACCTATATTTACACGCAACAGTGACCAACAGAAGCTGTACTCAGGTGATATTGATGGCAAGGTGTACGCCTGGTCGGAGATGGACCTGCCTACACAGGGTCGCCAACGAACGTGGAGCGTCTCTGCGCCCAAACCAAACATTCATTAATAACCATACAGCACCCAGCTATCACCAGATCAGGTCATGTTGAGGATGAGGCAAGTCTACAGGGCCAATCTCCTTGGTCTGGATTTCCGTGATGACACCTTTGCACCTGCATTCACACCACACCGGAGGTGTGTAGAGGTCCAACAGGCAATCAGAATAAACCCTTCTTGTGCATCACACACACGCTCACATGAGTTGTGCTGATCAATCAAACTGACCTCTAACCCCACCACACATTCACACACGACTGATCAATCAATCAATAAGTCTATCTGTCGATAAATACCAGGTCCAATTCAAAGGACAGATCAATCAATCAATCAATCTATCTATCTATCTATCTATCTTTGTATAATAATATGTTGTTGTACATTATTATCTCCTTTGTATGTTTGATTCGTCATTCAAACATGGAATAATCCCACTCATTACTTACATCCCAATCATACACCATCAAGGTTGTTCTGATTAACTCACTTCAATGGGGTGATGCCCTGTCATGTGAGGCCAAAGACCCAAACATCATTGCCCAAAATCTTGCCAATGTACCTATCCACATGTGCTCCATGTTTCCAAAGCTCTGGCTGGATATGGATAACTAACAATGACACCCTTCCATAGGCAATCAAATTCCCAACAATATCTCAATCATTGGATAGTGAGATACCCACCAACTATACACCATATACACAGTTTATAACATACTTGGAGACGACATATCCATTGGTACACACCAAGTTGAATAGGACAGTGGTCAATCAATACTCATTGTTGTTTGAATGGAAAGGCCGCAATAGGAGACTGAAACCAATATTCATCAATGGTCATTATGATGTTGTGCCTGTCGAACCCAGCCAATGGTCGGTCGATCCCTTTGGAGGAGTGATCCTGAATGGCACAATATGGGGTCGAGGAGCAATCGATAACAAATTGATAGTGATCGCTGCTTTGGAAGCTGTTGAATCACTGTTGCTAAAGTCATTCATCCCGGAGCGCACGGTCTTCCTTGCGTTTGGCCATGACGAGGAGATCGGTGGCAATGATGGCCACAAGAAGATATCAGAGTTGGTGCAGTCCCGAAACATAACGGCCGAAATGATCATTGATGAAGGCTTGCCAATCATGGCGCCTGGCTTCCTACCTGGCCTGATCACACAAACCACAGCGATGGTTGGTGTGTTTGAGAAAGGCTACATTTTCTACAATATCACGGCTAAGGGACAGGGCGGCCACTCATCGATGCCCCCTTCAACCCAGTCGCCTATCGGCATCCTGTCCAAGGCCATCACGACACTCGAGAGCAACCAACTTCCCGCGCCCAACTCCACCATGAGGAATGAGTTCCTGGAACAGTTCCCATCGTCGACCATCTCGGCTGTGCCCTTCCTCGACTATATGAGGCGCACGACTACCACTGTGACACTTATCCGCGGTGGCATCAAGTCTAATGTATTGGCGACATCGGCCACTGCATGGATCAGTCATCGAGTAGTGCCAGGTGATGATATCGACGCGATCATTGCACGTAACAATCGACTGATCAATGATTCCAGGATTAGTGTGGTCATTGAGGCTACACTACCGCCATCGCCCTATTCAAACATATCGACTGATACATACAAAACATTGCGACGCACCTTGATGTACACATTTGGTGGTGACCTGTTGGTAAAGAGTGGACTGATGTTTGCCAACACTGACACGCGACACTACTGGCCCGTGTCATCAAACATCTATCGCATAATGCCAATCATTGGCAGTGGAGCTGACCTTGGTTCCATCCATGGTTTCAATGAGAAGTTGAACATTGACAACCTAGTCAACGCCGTAGCATTCTATCGAGAGCTAATTAAACAGTTCAACATTGCTGACTGATCTTGCTGGAGTGAGTCCACAATCCGGTCGCACCATCACCAAAGTTGGGCCTATTTTTGATTTTTGATGATTTTGATTTTTTTGTTTGAGCTTCTGGATGGTCCTTTCTTAGGCTTTCAGTGAATCGATCAAAAAGACTTCACCTTATGACGTAAAAGTATCTGTTTTGGACCCATAGGTGTCACTTGCGACCATCTTTCTACCCATCCGACAGGCGTCCACATCTTCAAATACACAAACAATCCTCCAAATCACTTTTGATCTTAACTTAACTTTATTATCTCTTTGTACTCTATCTCTCTATTTATTTATTTATTTATTGAAATAATGAAGTTATTAATTGTATTGTTAATAATATTGTCATTGTTATCTTTACCGACGACATTTGGACAAGAACAACAATTGGGTGATGCAGAGGTTGGCGATACAATCTCTGTAAAGTCAAAGAAAGTTGAGACTTTGTATAAATTCCAAGTCGATGGCACTCTAGTCGACAAGCCCAAGATATCATTCTCACTCTCACGTGGATCAGCCCAATACAAAGATATCATTCGTCAAGATGATGGAACCAACAACTTCACCATCGATGTATGTTCATTGATCGATTCAAAGACTCCCACTCACTGGAACTATCCCAGCCTAACTTTGCCCACCCCACCCCTCACACACTTAGGACTTACTAACATTGTCATCAGCAAATAAGCTGGCTGGACAGTTCTCTTTTGTAACATTGCTTTGTTTGATGGTGTCCTTCACTTTCACATCCAATCAGAGCACTCCATCAAGGATGCTCTCAACAATGTTGGTGCTGACAGCTCTTTCAACATTCGTCTTGGCAATCAATCTGGATGAGTTGACCGTCGTCGTGACTATCCGTGTGCCCACTGGTTATGTGTTCAAATCGATCAATTTGGATACGGGCAAGGGCAGCCTCGACATGTCTGGCCTTCAAGCCACAACGATCAAGGTCAACGCGTGCAATGGATTCGACTTCCCCATCTCGTTCAATGGACTATCCGTCACCAACCTGGACCTGTGCTCGCAGTCACCAGTCGTGCTGGCCAACTTCCAGACGACAACAAACGCCAACGTCAAGGTCACCACACCCGAGACCGTGAACGTCCAGTTCATGACCGGATACCACGGCTCCCTGTCCATCACTACGGCCAAGGACGTCAAGCCTCTGATAAATGGTACATGCACAATGACCGAGACCCCATCTGACACCACCCTGGTCACTGCTGGCTCATGTGGCAGTGCTTCATCATCAATCAATCTGCGTGGTGATAAGGGAGTCTCTTTCATCGCCGTCGAGACTTGTCCACTCGACTCCACTTGGAGGGATGCTGCGCCAGCCGCTGACGGCCCCGCCTCACCCGCCTTCTCCACCATGTCGCCAGCCTATGTCATCAACATGCCATCTTACAACGACTGGCACTACAACAACTGGTTGGGCGCACTCGTCTCTTACGTCCAGACTCCCGCTGGCGCCATGCTCGGCAGCATCGACGTGGGTAACGCACTCAGTGTCACCCAGGTCAAGTGGCAGTCGTCTGACTTTGTGATGATGTCGATGAACCGCGACTTCTACCTGCGCAAGGGTTACTCATACAAGATCGAAGTGGACCTACTCACTTCCGTAGCCGATCTCAAGGTGTACAACCTGTCTGTGTGCACCTTCCCCTTCTACAACGTGTCTCGCGATAAGGTCTACTTTGAGGATGGCGTCGTGGAGGCTGGCGAGTGTCAGGCTTTCACTCAAACAGGCACCAACCTCGCCACCAACACTGCATGGACCTCGGTGAGCATGACCTTTGTGCCAACCAAGGAGGCACCAGTCACACCAATTGGCCTGCGTCTCAAGTCCAAGCCACCCGGCTTCAACTCCACAGTCTACTTCCGTAACATGCGCTTCACAGCAATGCCAGCAGCCGTTGTTCAGCCAACTCTGCTCTCCAAGGATTCAATGTTGGTCACGTTGCCCAAGGCTACGAGCGGACTGACGCCTCAGGACAGGAGCACATGTCCACATCTCCAGAGTGGCCTGGTTCACTGGCACGACCCTGCCACATGGGGCGGAGTCATCCCATCTCCATCATCAATCATCACGTTGCCCGAGAACACCAAGGTACTCATCTCATCATGTTCAATCGTGCGTGGCGTCGTATACCAAAAGATCGTCATCCCGGCCACCTCCCAACTCATCTTCTCCGACTCCTCATACTCAATGAGCATCCACGACATTGACGTCCGCGGCCAACTGCTCATGGGTTCAAGCGCATGCCGTATGAATGGTAACATCGAGCTGGTGTTCAGCGGTTCATACACTGCGGGAGACACCATCTCACCTCGTATGGGCAGCAAGGGTATTGCCGTGGCCAAGGGCGGCTACATCAGTGTTCAAGGCAAGCAGTACTACAAGACATGGTCGCGTCTGGCTGCCAGCGCCTACGCCTTCGAGTCCACAATCTACCTGCAGGACAATGTTAACTGGGAGCCCGGCCAACAGGTGTTCATCACCACGTCCAAGTACCAGGACGAGCGCAGCCCACAGAATGAGGTGCGCACAATCCGTGCCGTCTCCAATAACATCGTCGAGTTCACTGAGCCCCTCCGCTTCTTCCATTATGGAGGACAGGAGTACCAAGCCGAGGTCGGTCTGCTGTCACGTCGTATAGTGTTCCGTGGCGACAACGACTCTGATGCCGCTGGCTTTGGTGGCCACGTCCTGACCATGAGCAACGGTCAGTTCGCTGGTATCCAACTAATCAAGATGGGTCAGACCAACCTCAAGGGTCGCTACCCACTGCACTTCCATCTCGCCAACTATGTGACCAACTCATACATCTCGGACTGTTCAACTCAACAATCATTCTACCGCTGCTACACCATCCACGGCACCCACAACCTGCTGCTCACACAGAATGTTGCGTACGACACATTGGGTCACTGCTACTACATTGAGGACGGTGTCGAGGAGAACAACACTATCTCCTACAACTTGGCCGCATACGTACACACCATTGGCCGCCCAGCCAACGGTGCTGCCAATGGCCAGATCGGAGAGTACATTAATCAGACCGCCTCGCTCACTCAACCCGCCGACGCCGCCGCCGGCTGCTACTACATCACCAACGCCTACAACACAATCATTGGTAACGCTGCCTCGGGTGGCTGGGCCTCGTACTCCTTCCCCAACCTGCAATTCCCCGTGGGTAACTACCGCAACCGCACTGACATCAAGCCCGAATCGAGAGTCACACTCAAGTTTGACGGCAACACTGCACACTCGTCCGGTTACTTCTTCGAGTCGTTTGGCGCCTGCGTCTACTGTGGTGGTCGCCTTTACTACAGGGACAACACGACCGATCTCCTCACCTACATCTCTGGCCGCCAGGACCGTGACACAACCGACGCAGCTGGCAACAAACTGTTCATGCAATGGACCAACATGAAGGTATCGCTGTGCCAGGGTGGCATTGGACATTGGGGCAATGAGATTGAGATCAACGGCTACGAGTCGCACGACAACCAGATCTCGGGCACAGTGTTTGGCTCGGCTTGGCTCAACAACGCCATTGTTAACGCCTTCTCAGACAACCCAGTGGACCAACGTCGCGACCAATACTACGGCACGACCAAGCGTCAGGGCTTCCAGTTCTACGACACGGTCACTCACACAGTTATCACCAACATCAACTTCCGCAACTTCCAGCACGACGCCAGCGCCAGCACACCAGAGGAAGATAACGCCGTGATCGTGTCCATGACTCACAGTGATCAGTTCAAGCCACAACAAATCTCTGCCACCAAGGGTATCACATTCACGAATGTGCAGATGTCTCAGCGCATCGGACATTATGTGCGCGAGACAGGATCCAGTCGCTACTTCAACTTTATAGACTGGGATGGTTCCATTGTCGGCGAGTCGACCCCCCAGATCGTTGGTTCGTCGCTCTCCTGGTGGAACTTCAACAGCGCATGCAAGTACAACGCTGACTGGAAGGTGCACTACTGTCCATTGGGCAGCAACATGGTCGGCAACATCGAGTTTGAGTCACCGGGCATGACATACGCCGGCAGCACCAACAACGTGCTGGGCAACTCGTCTTTGTTCGGACCGAACTTGCCAGCCGGTGGCCAGACAGCCATCTTCACCAGCAACCCTGGTATCACGGGCATTCTCGATCTGGGATGGTTCCTGAACTTTGACAACCTGGTCTCACCCTCCAAGTTCACGTTGGACATCCGTCAAATCCCATTCGGACATTACATCCTACTTGCCATACCATACCCTGCCTCGTCAACATTCTCTGGTACCGCAGACTACAATTGGCTCTCCAACAAAAAGACACTGACTGCTGCCACATCAGTTGCCCAGGTACTCTCTGGCACAGGCAGACTCTACTACTTTGATGGCAGCAACCTATTCATCAAGCTAGTCAACCCAGCCTGGACTGGCGCACCCGAGGAGGCATTCACCAGAGGAGGTGTATCAATCGTAAGTTCATCATCCATCGCTCATTCATTCATTCCCTAATATAATATAATTATCCACTAGAATGACTTGTACTGGAGCTACACGTATTCTGTCACAGCCACCTGCCCAACATCTGATTGCAAGCGTACCAATGCTGGTGTTCTCCCAACATGGCCCACTGTATAGTTATAGACCAGTGTCATGACCCCCTCCAGTAGACCACTACTAAATGACTCCAATAAACAACACCTTTGAGCGTTATTGATTGCCACTCCTCTTTGGTACAATAATGTTAAACACAACTAAAGGATGTTTCCTTCCCTTTCCTATCCCGCTGTGGCTCATCAAACTATCTATTTCAATCAAATAATAATAGGCAATATGTTTAAGATTTTATTAATTAATAAAAATTCTACATACATGAATATTCTAAAGATATTGTAGATATTTCAAATCTCTGATAATGATTAATTGATAAAACCAATTCTATAATTTATTGATAATTTTAAAATTTAATAACTAATTTGCTGCTTGATGGAGAGGGGTTAAATATTATTGAAAAAAAAATAAAAATTCCAATCCTTTATAAAGGAAGAAAAATATTACAATTCATTTCAGAATAATAATAATAATAATAATAATTGAATACAAAATGAAACATATAGGAAAGATATTTATTCTTATAATATTTATTACCTACTTTACTCTTGCAAATGCAATAGACGAAACCAAGATAGCTACCTCTATTAATCCACCAGATGATGTAATTTATCATAGTTACCAACCTAGCGAATTTGAAGGTGAAGAAGCATTGAACATTGAAGTAGAAATGAAAAAGATAATTAATAAGATACAACACAATTATTTACAAGCCTTTTTGGATAACCAAGAATTACTTAAACTTAAGTTTAGTCTTAAAGTAGCGGTTAATTTAAATAAGATTTTTCCTGAAAAAGATTATAAGGACCATATAATCGATCTTGRAAAAGAAAATTAGTGAATTAACATTATTATTAGACAAGTTAAAGAAAGAGGATGATATTTATTTTAAAATGTATTTTACATTGGAAAGCTTGRAAGAAAAAAGGTTAAAATATATCACTTTTTGGACATTTATTTATTTTGGAAATTTCACATGAATATCCACCAATGAATTGTATGAGTGATCCGTGGATTATTGATTGATTAGAATGGTGGAATCAAATAGGGAATAATCTGGCTTGTACTAGAGCTACCCGTTGTCTGTCACAGCTACCTGCCAAACATCCGATTGCAAGCGTACAAATGCTGGTTTTCTCCCAGGACGCTCTAGTACAACAAATATTGAAATAAATAATTCCGATCATTATTGATATATAAATCAAACAAATGTATAAATATATTTATTCTTTCACAATAATAATAAAAATAATAATAATAATAATAAAAATGAAACATACTAATAGAAAGATATTTATTCTTTTAATATTATTATTACATACATTTTGTTTGCAAGTGCCTTAGACCTAACCAAGAATGATGACTCTAGTCCACCCGATGTAAATTATTGTAATGCACCTACTGAAGGAGCATTATGGAAAATAGAAATTGTGTAGTCTAGAATTTATTGGTTTCCTTGATCATATTATTTATTTTGAAACACCAAGTAAATAAATTAAATGGATAGTTTGTTCAACCAACAAGATATAAGATATATGTTCAAACATCAGTCCAACCTTGTATTGTTATGTGGATTACCTGCATCAGGTATGTTAGTTAAAGTAACTTTGATTCATTCACACATTACTTACTTACTCACCTCTAGGAAAGAGTTTCTTGTGTCAACTCTTATGTGATCACTTGAACAACACAACATATCGACTCTTTCATATTGAATACGATAATATATATAAAAGACTGCTACTACTACAACAACAACATCAATCAAGTACATCAAAACCATCATCATCATCATCATCTGATCAGATTGAACATGGTGGAACATTATGGAAGCAAGTTAGACAAGAGATACAAAATCAAATAGAGTCAATCATTGGATCAACATCATCAATGTCAACGATGTTACTACCACCTCTAGAACCAAGTTCGACTACTTCAGCCCTCCGCTCAAACATGGACAACAACCAAACCAACATCATCCTATTGGATGATAATCTCTACTTCAAGAGCATGCGATATACTTACTTTAAGTTGGCTAAACAATGTATGTGATCAATCATTAGATCATTCAATCGATCAATCAATCTGACATGCATCATCATCCCAAGACAACTCTGGCTTCTGTCAACTGTATCTTCATAAAGATGCATACTTGTCGAAAGCCAACAATCAATTGAGATCTCTTCAAATTATACAGAATAGTCCAATCACAGTCTCTGATGCTGTCATTGAGAAGATGGATTCAATACTTGAGGAGCCATCTCCATCACATCGATGGGAGTCCAACACAATGGTCATGCCAACGATCAACTTTATAAACGATTCATACAAACAGTTGGACATGTATGTACATGTACATCAGAGGGACAACCTTGATACTAGGTTACTAACCTTGAACTGAACCGTGTAGACAACGAATATGGGAAGAGATATATGGCTTACTCAATCAACATGTTGGTGAGGATGAAGTGGTAGTAGAGCAACAACAAGAGAAGAAGATACATGATAGGGAAGCAACAAAGAGCAATGCGATACATCAACTTGACTTGGAGATGCGTCGAACAATCAATCGACTAATGACCGACAATCCAACGTTGAGGGACAAGGGCAAGCTCCTCAGTGCGTACAAACAATCATTCCTCAAGCAAGTGTTTGACATCATTGACCAAGAACATGGAGAGACATTCGAACTCGAAACCGACATCGACCAACTGATCAATCGATTCAATAATGGTTGTTTAGACTTGTTGGAGAGATAGAGATATCTCAATAATTCATTACATTCAATACATGTCTGATCTACAACCTTGGCTGAGGCTTGTACGAGCAGTTCTCGATGATGGTCGCGGTTGCTTGGCCAAATCCAATGCACATTGTTTGTAATCCGTAACGCTGTCCAGTTCTCTCCAACTCGTTGACCATCTTGGTCATTAGGATGGCACCAGTGGCGCCAAGTGGATGTCCATGAGCGATGGCACCTCCATTGGGGTTGACCTTGGACATGTCGATCTTGAGCTCCTTGACCCATGAGAGCACGACAGAAGCAAACGCCTCGTTGATCTCAAAGACGTCGATCTGATTGGCGGTCATGCCAGTGTTCTTGAGTGCCTTTTGTGTGGCGGGGATTGGTCCCAGCAACATGTACTCGGGGTCTGAGCCAACAACGACACAGGTGATGATCTTGGCGCGTGGCTTCAGTCCAAGCTGCTTGAGCTTCCTGCCAGAGCATAGCAGGACGGCCGATGCGCCATCACTGATCTGTGAAGCATTGGCCGCAGTGATCAGACCACCCTCCTTGAATGGAGTCTTGAGCTTCTTCATCTTGGCATAGTCGACTGGCACACGTGTGCCCTCGTCCTGGTCAAACACCTTGTCGCCAACCTTGATGGGCATGATCTGACTCTTGAAGTAGCCGGCCTTGGCAGCGCGGTCGCACAACTCATGTGAACGGCCTGAGAACTGGTCGAGCTCGTCACGAGTGAGCTTGTACTTCTCAGCGATCATCTCTGCCGACACACCCTGATGCAAGACCTTAAAGTCGAATCCCTTTACAAAGTCAGAGTTGTCCATCTGCCAATCTGAAGCCATTGGTACAATGCTCATCATCTCCACACCACATCCAATGGCAACATCTATATCTCCAGCAGCAATAGCCTGTGCAGCAAAGTGAATAGCTTGTTGTCCACTCTGTTTGATTGATTGAATGAGTCAGTATAATTGATTGATTGATTGGATGATTGATTGATTGATTGAATGATACATACTCCACACATTCTGTTCAATTGGACAGCAGGTACATGTCTTGGGAAACCAGCCTTGAGTGCAGCGAACCTTGGTATGTTGGCACCTTGCTCTTTGACAGGTGACACGACACCACCAATGATATCCTCAACCAATCCTTTATCAACTCCACTGCGCTTCATCAACTCATCCAGTGTCATTGCAAGTAGGTCAACTGGCTATATATTGCCCCATCTGATTAGAGATCACTTGATTCATTGACACTATTCAATCATTGTCGTAGTCCATACCTGAATAGAGTGTAGCATTCCATTATTATATCCTCTACCAATTGGTGTACGGACACATTCTACAATATATACATCGCGATCTACTATTGCTGAAGTCATGCTTATGCTTGTTTATTTCTTTGTTTGTATATATATATTTATTTATTTATTTATGTTTGGTTAAGTGTGTTGCTCAACTAACAATCACTTGATTGGATGAACACACACACAAGTGGAAGTACCCCAACTTCAAATGGAATCTTCGCACCATCTTAGTCCTTTTCAGGACTAAACAATGATCTTGATGACATCAGATCAGTGATGTGAAGTATATTTTGAGTTATTTTCACAATAACAAACGAATAATAATCAAACATAAATAACTTTGATTCAATCAGTATTGTTTGAGCAAGATGATTGGTGTGTTCAATAAGGCCATTGGACGACCTCCCACCAATCGATCGGTTTAATTGTCAGCACACACGCGAGTTCAGTTGACGCTTCATCATCATTGGCTAAAGCCAATCAATCAACAAGCAGGAGATAGTCAACAACAATGTTGTTATTGTCCACACCGAAGCATCAACATCAAACAATCATCAATCATTCATTCAATCATTCATACAATCATTATAGATAATAATAATAATAAGTTAATAGTTTATAAATGTCCAATTATAATTATATCCTGTTGACATTGTTGTTGACAATAACATTTACCATTAGTACCATTAATGGTCAAACATGTCAATCATGTGTCAAGTTAAATGAAGTCTGCAATAAGACAACAAGTATATGTTCAAAGGGTAGTGGATGTGCACTAACTGATGATGGCACATACAGATGTTTAACAATACCCGGCAATGGAGAGGACTGTCGACTCATCAAGCATTGTACCAACTTCTACACCTGTGATGAAAAGACCAATAGATGTGTCTCGGAGAAATACCTTGGCTTTGGCGAAGAGTGCACCAATAATACTCAATGTTCAAGAGGTCTGACTTGCTCCAATGTTGGATGTACCAGCGTCACCTATCCCAACTGCTCCACCTCCTTCTCATGTAAATACAACGAGATATGTATGAATGGAGCTTGTGCCGTCCCGCCACCAGATGGATCCGATTGCAAGAACGGTGATGAATGTGAGCCAATGAGCAACTGTTTGAATGGCAAATGTACTCCATACCTCTCGGTCCAATCCGGAGGTGACTGTGATATGTCAATCGATTGTGATGTGCCCCAAGGTTTGATCGTAAGTCATTACTCACTCATGTCGACATGCATGGATGGGCATTCATCAATCACTGACTCATTCCATCATTCAATCTTATAGTGCATTGATAAGAAGTGCCAGAGCAAGAATATATTGACCAATACCAAGTGCAATGACTCGTCAACATGTTGGAAGATGACAGACAATGCACTTTGTAAGTGTGATGGCAAGTCATCACCTTCCATTGGTTCATGTGCTTTGACGATCGATGTTAACAAGGTGACCAAATCAATGTTCACCAACTTCAACTCGTGTCTAATGAACAATAAGTGTCCAAAGGTTGATCAACCAATTCCAGGCACCTGTTACAACAAGTGTGGTGTACCAATGGCTGAAATGGATCTGTGTGGCAATGGAGGATCAGGACTCCTTATACATCCCAACACTATCCTAACATGTCTGGTACTGATGGCTGCTGCATGGTACTTGATGTAGAGTAGTGTACCCTAACTACTTGTTCCAAGGAATAGGAGATATTTTGAAAGATTAAGCTCGCTTTGATCTTCAGAGCGAGGTTTCAGTTTCTTCGAAGTTGACCAAAAGTTTGGAAACACAACAAAATAAATGATCTGACACACAACAAGAATCAATCAACCGACCAATCGCTCATACAACTAACTATTACTACTATTATAATAATATAATGTCTCTTGACTCACTTCCAAACATTGTCTTTGTAAATGTGTTGATCATGGCGCCACAGGTGGACCAATTTATGATTGGTCTAACATCAAAGCGAGCGTGGACACTTTATAATAAGCTTCCAATTGATCAAGATATATGTATGTACATTTTACATCCATCAATGATGGTATAAACGCAACAACACTGACACAAGTCACTATTACTCTCGTTGGTCATTCAAACAGTTGGAATATCATTGAAGAAGAGCACACCTTTACATGACGACAATACATCATATAACTTCCCACCCAATGTAACAACACTTGAGTTGAGAGGATCATATGATTGCGTTGACATTGCACCAGGCTTCATCCCAAGCACGATCACAACTCTTAAATACAACGTTGACAGACCATTAAATACTGAAGCAATACCCATGTCAGTGGTCAACCTTGAGTTTAGTAGATCGCACAATGCGCCATACCTCAATTACTTAACCGGACTCATTCCAAGCACATTGAAATCTCTAAGTCTGGAAAACTACCACCTCCATCCCGTATCAATCCCAACATCACTGACCAAACTCAAGATCACTCATCGGATCAATCAGCTGATCCCACCAATCAACAATTTACACAACCTCACTGAACTCTACATTCATAGTGAGATCAACCCAATCACCTGGGCCAGCTCCCCGGAACTGAAATCACTGACGACACTACACATTGGACGCCTGACGAGCATTCCTCCCATTGGATTCTTTTCCAATGCCATCAAGAAGTTGACATTCGACTATTACACCTACGATCTCACTCCTGGCCTCTTGCCAACCTCCCTGGAAACACTATCAATCTCCAAGGCGTTCAATGTTGGGCTAAAGGCGGGATGTCTCCCATCCTCCCTCACCTACCTCTCACTCGATCAATATGACCAGCCCATCCAGATCGGTGCATTGCACGAAGGACTTGTATATTTTGATATTGGATCAACATTCACTCATAACATTCAAGAAGGTGTCCTCCCAACCTCTCTAAAGACATTCATCTTTAGCAGGCTCATCTGTAATGAGACTCAACATATCATTCTCCCAGATCAACTTGAGAATCTATCTCTTAGTGTGTACAGTGAGAGTGTATGCACACTGCCCAGTCGTCTAAAGTCATTGGCAATCAAGTCCTTCCACTCAACTACTATGATATCACCTTTGCCACCAACATTGGAAACATTCTCAGTCAGTTGTTGCTCCAATGGTGTTGACATTGCCATTCGCAACTGTCCATCATTGACTAGTTTGGAGTGTCCAAGCAACTTGTTCAATTCAGATATCCAACCATTCGTACCCCTTGGATTGAGGAGCCTTGTCATACTCGTGTCCACAACCCCATTCACCTTGCCTCTAGACAACAGCTGGAGCAACCTTCAAGAGATAGTCGTTCATTTACATGATAACTATAATCTCGATTCAAGATCCAGCTGGGAGGACACTATGTCGTGGCTAAGAAGTAGTATGACAAACAACCGTTCTATCAGAGCACTAATCAGTGCCAAACGATCATTTGACATCTATGTGGACAACGGTCTAAAGCCACGGTTTAGTGTCCGCCACGATCTCTCTGATGATGGAAAGACGATGGTATTCACCTCACGTTTCAGATACAAGTACTTCAACTTCTAGTTGATGATATATCTCTATCTATCTTTATACATTTATAATACAATAACATCTTCACTATCACTGATTATATCTATCTTCCTCTTCCTTGGCTTCTTCTTTGAACTCTCACTTGCTGTTGGTATGCTCTTCCTCTTCTTGTTTGGTGTGTGGGTTGTTAATGTGTTTGATGTTGCTCTCAGTCTCCTCCACCTGGCGATGAATGGTACCATCATCTTCCTCTTGAAGACAACATGATTCGGTGTGATTATACCTCTGTCGAGTGCCAGCTTGATGAGTGGATTGGATGCTTCTTTGAACTTTTGAGTATCATAGCTGTAGTCATCATCTTGCTCCATGAGATGTCTATTGCAATTGACTGACATTGCTGAGCGCAGTGCAAGTTCATGTATGTTCAATCCATCTATATCCACATTGTTGGTCTTGAGTTGCTCCATCATGAACACCAAAGACTCCACTCGATCCGTGCTCAAACAATTATTCACTAGTGACTTGTAGTCCGTGCCTGCTCCATAAGTCTCCAATAGGTTCATGAGGTGACGAGCAAGTTCAACGTTGCCAACACTTAGAGCACGTCCCAGCGTTCTCTCAAAGTCCTTGGTATACTTGTTTGTCAGCTCGGAAATCTCCTTCACTCCTCTGTGCAGACACAACAGCTCGGCAAAGTCCATAAACTGCTCTGGGGTTGCCAGCTCACCAAAGAACATGAATATTGACTGTCGGACGTCACCAGCGAACTTGTCCATGATAAGTGGCAACATCTTGAACTGTCGATTCACCAGCAGCATCAACATATGAGAGCAGTTGGCCTCAATCTCCGTCATGAGACCACGATAATGTTGATAGAATAGATGAATGTGCTCGATACTCTTTGTACCTTGGATACTGAGTAGCTTGGTCTTCTCTTGATCGGATGCTTGAGAGTGTTCCAACAAGTATTTGATGGACTCACAACTTGAACCATTCAAACTGAACAGTCTGAGAGGGAACTTGGGATTGAGTGACAGTATGTTCTCCAACTCATCCACATCTGGCACACCGACGAGTTCGAACAGTAGATTGCTGGGGTTGTTGTTGATGAAGGGAAAGATGGAGTGAGCCAGCTTAAAGTGACCCATGGCGCACAGCCTCTGCACAACCTTCCTCTCGATTGATACACCCTTGCTGTGTAGATATGAGACAACCGAAGGGTCTATATTCTTCTGGACAATGTTCTGCGCGAGGTACTGAGGAGTGGATTGATGCCATCCGTATACTAATTCAATGAACTCCAATGATGACTTGTCAATCAAGATTTGTCTTGGTGGTTCTGTGGACAATTGATAGGCGAGCTTGACTTGTTTGATTGAGCCCTTAGTGTAGATCGTGTTCAGGCCACCATGATCAATGATGTACTGGGTGAGCTCCTTGCTGAGAAATTGATTGTTGAGCAAGACTATAGTGCCGCATAACCTTGGGAAGTTGCTGAACCTCGCGGTTTTGGCCTTGAACTGATATTGAAAGCCACCTTTCAGCAGGAACCAGTACTCAACCAGTAGTATAAAGCTGTGTGCTTCCTTCATGTACCCAACACAGTTCTTGAGCAGACCCGCAACATGGTCTTGCGCCTGCTTTATCAATTGTGTACCATTCTTCATGTTGAGTGTCTTGATCATAACATGCTCTAATGTGTCAAAGGATGATTGAGTAAACTTGTCCACATCAAGCAGTTGCTCGACAATGTATTCGAATCGTGATGGACTTATGGTCACTTCAGAGATGGTGGAATAATACTTCTCAAACACAATGATGTTGCCATGTCTGATGATCAGGTACATAAGATTATCACAAAGATTGTCGAATATGTCCATTTTGCCCAACTCGAGGAGTGTCTGCATGGTGGAGGCCAACGCCGGTGGCTGTACATACTCAGTGATATACTTGTTGGTTGAGAGCACCACTGTTGAATGGTGCTTGAGTATCAGTTTGAGCAGGTCAGGGTCATCAGAGGTGAGCACGTAGGGAATGGGATTGACAATGTCCTCGATCTCAGACTCTTCGGCATCTTTGATCAGATGACGAAAGAGAGGAAAGTTCAGTTGGTACAGAGTCTCGTTGAGCAAGTTGATACCAACAAAGAGATTGTATTGTTGGTCGATCATTTGATAGAGATGCGCGTCCATTAATGGGATGAGTTTCCTGATGTCGTTGTTTGTGAACCATAGTGGCTCACGTCTCTCCAGCTTCAAACGAAGCAACTCAATGAAATTATGATCAATCATCCAAGACACCTCAAAGATCTGATCATACTTCTTGATCGGTGCGAATGTATTGTTATTGGTGTAGCTAATAGTAGGGTACATCATTGTCCTGGACATTATTTTATGTTTGCTCACTGATTGAATGATGGTACGCACTAGATAACGTTGTTTGAGTACAGAGTATATGGCCAATGAGTGTCTGGCCGTCTTGCAACTATCAATATTGCATTGTCTATTGTCTTGTTGTTGTTGTTTTTGTGCTTCCGAATCATTTGTTGGAGCATTGACCCAGAGAAGAAGTGGAGACTTCCTTTCCAAAACCTTTGTATGTAGAATAGACATGTTATTGTTGTTGTTCGTTGATATCCTTTGTTTCTTTCGTTGTTGTACAACAATATCTCTATTATCTATATCTCTATCTCTATCAATACTTGATGAATGACCCATTAGTTGAATGTTAACCCATCTAAAGTAATGTCACTTCACACTTCACAAAAGTGACATGTCAAACAAACACACTTTTGTTAAAATCATTCATTGACATGCTTGGATTTATAAGAAATCAAGTCAGATAAGTTGTCATTAGATCTATAATTCGAATTATTCCAAGAAAAGTAAACTGACTATCATTTATGGGACCATTGTTGACTTGAGGTGTCAAATGACAAGGGTAAACTACGTAACTTTCCTCGTCTAAATCTTCCAACTGTCTTTGATTGAATGCTTGTCAATGGCTCACCCAAGAAGTTCAATATCGACTGGATACATTATTGGATGTTAGTTTGTTATCATGACTAAAGTCATTTGTCTTGGAATGAATATACACACCTTTAGCTTATCAATTTGATCTACTAATGTGGCGGCCTCCATCATCCTTGTTGTCTGGTCCTCGATCATATAATGTAAGTTCAACTCGGATTCAATACTCTGTTGTAGTAGTCGTCGTTCGTGAGTATTAGTAATATTATTGATTGATATTGATTGGATATCATACCTTGATTGTTTCCTTCTCCAATAAAAGATAATTGCTTGTAGCATTGTTGTTGTTGTTGTTGTTGTTGTCTTGCTTGAGTGCCTTTGATCGGATAGTGAATATTGGTGAAGACTCTGTGATTATTACATTGGAATGTATCTCAGCTGTTCATGAATGATCATACAAGTCAATGGTTAGTAATCAATCCGGATTGTCTGAGGTATGAGTGAATAACACTTACCATTGGCATTCTGAAATACAAGTCTAAAGGAGGCAAGTGCCACAGTATGTCTGTGGAGTGCCACCTCCTCGAATAGGGTCATCGAGAAACGATGATCGTTGGATGGCTTGCTAACTACTTGTTTCTTGAGCAATGACACCTGCTTCTTTAGCTTCTGAGTGACGGCAATTCGCTTCTCAATCATCGAGAGAATATAAGAGACGAATGACCATTGATTACCAATTGATTGAGTGGGACACTGCATCAGACCAGCCAATACCTGCACCCATCGATACAGACGTCCATTAACCACCGGTGGAGGTGTTGTGCCACTGCCAGCGCACTCTGCTGCCAGATCGATGGTGTCGTCTGGGAACAGGTTGGTGTGGAGCTGATCGCTAATGTCATTTGAGACCAAGCTGACCAAGTTCAAGTCGACGTGATACTGGAACTGAAGCTGGACGACCTGGTTCGATATGTTATACAAGAATACCAGTGAGAGTGGATGTACCAATGATGTTGTTGTCGTCTTTGTCTGATCTGTCTTTGTTGTTGTCGATGTGCCTGTTCCTGATGCTTGTACGTCATCTTCCATGGATGATGTAACTTGAGAAGTAGATGATGATGATGAAGATGTTGATGATGATTGAGTTGTATTGAACTGAATGGCCTTGTCCATGTCACCTTGTATCTTGATGTTGAGATCTGATTCTGGTTGTTGTTGGTGCGTGGCGAGGTTAGTTTGTGCCGCCAATGGGGTGATGCTCCAAGTGTGGCACACGTCGCCGAGGTGTACTCACTCTTTGAAGATGATTGGAATGAAAGGATGGATGTATATATCATATATAATGGCTTTGGTAAATGTACTACATTCAAGTTGTAACTTGAGTTGAGTGATGGTTGTAGCGTTGACAGTCTCTGTTGTTATTGTTGTTGGAGTTAGTACGTGTCTTGTTCTCTCTCTCTCGATCTCGTCTGTGACATACCTTTGACAAGTCAGATACAATCTTTGGTAGTGACAGGAGGAAGTCTTGCTTGGTACGATTGAGTGCTATCATAGACTTCTTCTCCTTCTCGAGATTAACCAATTGTTCAACCATCTGTGCTCGCTCTTCCAACTCAAAGTTCAAACGTTGTATTATATCATTATGTCTATTGCTGTTGTTACCATTGGTATCACCATTCATTACATCTTCTTCATTATTACTATGATCCACAGACTGTGCACACTTTGATTGATAGTACTCTTGTGATACCAACACTGGCTGATCCTTATCAATGCTATTGTCGACGAGCATTAGTATGAGTATGAGTATGAGTTGATATGACGCCCTCACTCGCGACTATTATTACATACTCAAACTCTGTAAGTGATCTTATCTCCTTCATTAGATGGTTCTTCTCGTATACATAGTTCTGATAGAGTTGATTGATATTGTCCAACCTCTGACGCTCTTTGTCTACATCGCCTTTGGTGGCCTCTGACGCAAATTGATCTGTACGATTGGCATCCTTCAGATCCATGAACAATGATAGTACTGTTTGATGCGTTGCGCTGTCAGTCAAACCATCGCCACTATGTTGTTGTTGTGGCATGCCACGCTGTTCCATCATCGTTGAGCACATTGATCTGATCCTATCGGCCACGACGAATGAGTTTGGATGTGGTAGGTCCACCAATGTCTGTATAGTCAATGGTGTTGTTGTTGTAGTAGCCTCTGTTGCCTCACCTGCTGGTGGTGAAGTGCTACTCTTCACCTCTCCCATCTCAACATCAGCTGAAGACATTGTAGTTATATATTTTATTTGTATATAAATAAATATCGGGTGTGATGATCATCAATCAAATAAAGACGAATGTGATGATCACATTCATACTCATAGTCACCAAAACTCATATATAATGTTCTAAAGCGCTGATGTTGTAGGTTTATTGATTGATTGATTGGCGTGGACATGCACTGGTATGATCTGGCACGCCACCTGGACAAAAGAGTGAGAGAGTCTAGACTCTTTGAGTGGACTTGCTATCGAACCATTTCCTCAGGTACCAAATCTGAGCAACACCCATAGAGACGAGAACAAACAGTTGGATAATGGTCCATCTGACCACTCTTGCGTTGGTGCTCTCAGAGGCTAAACAAAGGAAAGACAAGTCAAGTTAGTCATCTGAAACACTTCATTCACGTGCATCATCATCCTTCATCAGAAATCACTTACTATCTCTGTTTGTTTGCTCTCTGTATCTCATCTTCTTCTGCTCAATGACAATCGAGTGCAACGCTCTCTCAATCTTTTGGATTGATTGATCCATTGGGTTCAAAGTATCTTGATTGATCGATTGATTGATTGATTGAATGAATAAAGTTAGTGATCTATCTGGTCAACGAACGAAGTGGATGTTATGCTACATACCTCCCTTGACCAAATCCTTCTGGTCGTCCTCGAATCCCCATGTGAATGTAACGACCTTGGCAGTGAACCTTGACATCTCGTTGCCAAAGCAAAGCTTGTAGGTACCAGTATTCGAAGCGGTGAACGATTGTCTACCCTTCATTGTTGTATCAAAGTGCAGTCTAGAGTACAATGTGTTTCCTTGTGGATCGAATATCTATGTTGTGTGTCATTGAAGACATTGTCAAAGGTGCGTGTGTCAGATGACTGTATCTGTATTACTGTATGATTGATTGATTGATTGTTTGTTTGTTTGTTTCGTTCATTACCTTGACATCAATATCCAATAGACCACCTCTGATCACTTGATAGTTGATCAAGGATGTTCTACCAGCCTCGACGTTCTCGTAGTAACACTCTTGATTCTTTGGCTCGATTTGCATAGTCAAAGCCTCTGCGCCATTGTATGCCAATAGCATCAACAGTGCTGTAACGACAACAATATACAATGACTTTGATACCATGTCTATCTATCTGTGTAATCTAAATATCTGTATGAATCGTGTTTGAAGTCAACAAAGTATGAATGTGAATGTGAATTGGTTGCAAGTTCAACCAAAAATGTGTGTCGACTCGACAAAGGACCTCAGTGACGTGTGTGATTGGTTGAAGGGAGGTGGCAGCCAACCAGTCCTGATTTATTACAATATGTGTCTAAGTTAGTATAGTACCGTTATCCATGTCATCTTGATCTAGACTCAGTTGGAAGGCTGGCCCACGTTGTGTGATGAATACATTGTACCGGGATGGTATCATCCATGTCTTGGTATGTGGAATACATAATATCTTGTTGTCTTCGTTCACTATCACTGGTACCAATGTCTTGGCAAGCCTAGATATCACTCCGAGTCGCTTACGTATATGTCCTCCAAACGACTCGTCAGTGGCCGGGTCATAATATCGTACAGAATGTAAATTGTGATTCCTGATCACTGTCTTGTTGGCCGCACTGACATCCATCATGTCATTGTTGTTGTTGTTGCTGACATTGTTGTTGTCACTCCAAACAGTACTGTCTGTACTTGGTATTGATATAGATATTGAGTATGGACCAAATTGGATGGGCTTGCCGTCCAAGTTAGCCTGCTTGATTGGTACTGTGATTGTGTGTGTAGGGAAGATGGACTGACCGTGGACGACAAGGTACTCGTCCTCAATGTAGAAGAATGTCCTGTCCAATGTCTTGCTGTTGGTATGCTTTAACGCACGATACATGCGCACGTACTCGCTGTGTCTGAAGAACATGTGCTCGCCACGCAGTGCCATCGACACGTGATACAGCACGCGCACTGCGATGGGTTCTGGCAGCTCGACCAGTCTGATCAGCGGGATAGAGAACATTGGTAGACAACGATGAAATGTTTGCATCACCTCGTTCATGATGAACTCTTCAACCTGTTGTTGGAACATGTTGCGATACTCGCGAAAGATTGACAGCACTGAGTTGAAGTCCTTGGGAGGGATGTCCATGCGTGACAGCGCCAGACGGATGCGATTGCGTTCGAATGATGTCATATCGTTGGTGGCATCATGTGTGAATCTGACATTGTACACGTTGCATACGCCAAACAGCTCGTCCTTTGACATGTCTAGTAGTGGGCGGTAGACGCTGATGTTTCCGCCAGGTGAGTCGACGCGCCGCGACATTGCCGCCAGGCCCTCGATGCCACTGCCATGTTGTAAACGATGTATGAAGGTCTCTATTTGATCATTGCGATTGGATCCAACGAATATTGCATTGGCTTCGAATCGCTCGGCTATCTGTTTCAGGATGTCAAAGCGACGTCGACGCAACGCCGCCAACAATCCAGTTGCAGGGGGCCCGCTGCCAACCCAGTCGACCTTCATTACAATATGTTGTATATCGCTACCAAGTGCTTTGATGCATTCTGATATCGCAGGTATGTCCTCCGAGGGTGGAGTCAGACCATGATCAACCGTCACCGCGACTATCCCAATTCCATGATTATTGCACCATCCCTTCAACAGGAACAGCAGTGCCATGCTTTGATTGATTGAGTGAGATGATGAATGAGTGAGTGAGTGATGGAGCGAATGGAGTGAGTGATGGAGCGAATGGAGTGAGCGATCGGGTCGACCTACCTATCTGCACCGCCTGAAGCTGCGACTATGATGTATTTGCTCTTCTGTATGTCGGGATACTCATTCATACTCTTGATGAATCGATATAATAGTCGTTCGACTTCAACTTCATTCAGGGTTGAAGTTGCTCGTGACTTTGAATACAATGCCAATGCTTCATCTCTAATCTTTGTTACTTCATTATCATCAGCTGTTGTTGATCTCTTAGTAGTCTTTTTTGTCTTTATGGTACCTGTCTGTTGTTGTTGATGTGTCTGAATCTGTTTGAGTGACTTGTTGAATGTGGACATTGTGGCAGTGGCAAATGATCGATGGAGGAGTGATGATGACCGACATTGAGGCCCTAGGATCAGAGGTGAGCAAGCTGGTATTGCTTGTCTCAGTGACCTCAGCATCGTATTATGTATATGTATATAACAAATCTAGACAAGATAAAGAGAATGAAGTTGTTGCCTGAGGCAACTTGGCGAATTTTATACATTGAGGTGCGCGCGACCAAGTCTGCAGCGACATGCATGCAGACCCCTTTTGAAGGTTTATTGATGTGATGGATGAGAATGAATGAATGAATTAACATGGTTGAGCCCAGAGATAGTCTATCGATGACTGGCAACAGTGAATAGACAGGAGCAAAGAGCAAGGAAACAGGCACCGAGGGCTGCCCACCAGCCTCCGCCGGGCATCCACCTGTATAGGTTGTCCTGACCATAGATGTTGCTGCACCAGCGGTCGCGACAGTAGGAGGTGGTAAGCTCGTCGTTGTTGAAGGCGCTGGGCAGGCCAAAGATGGCAAAGAAGGCGATAAACAGTGTGGCGACGGTTCCACATGCACATCCAATGCACATCATCTTCCACATGCATGAGCGGCAGGCCTTTGGCGAGAGGAAGATGATCAACTGCAGCAAACAGGTGGCCAATGCCAATGCAGTACCAATAGTGAGGAATGACAGACTGGTACTAAATATCTGGCCAGTCTTTGTCATCTCATTGGAAATAACAATTGAATCACAAACTGAATTCTCATTATATCTATATCTATCATCCTATTATTATTGAGTTTGATTGATTGATTCATTGATTGAGCGAGTGGGTTAGTGTGTGTGAATGTGTGGTGTGTGTGATTGATTGGAATGATTCCATGTGATTGAATGAATGAGTAATGATTGAGTGATTGAAGTGATTGAGTGATTGAGTGATGTACTTACTGAGAATGAAGTCTGACACCTGTAGTTCAACCAGTAGAAGGATGCATCAGCTTGGTCTTTCTTAAATGTGGGCTTACGTGTGATCTGGAACCATGCGAACGAGAACGATAGTATACATCCAGCAATAACAAACAATGAAAGGAATATTCCAATCTTTAACTTCATCTTATATTAAATATATCTTGTATCTTTATATCTTTATATCTTTACGATTGAATGAGTTACTGAGTGAGAGAATGAATGAATGAGTGAGATGGATGGATGAATGAATGAGTGAGATGGATGGATGAATGAATGAGTGAGATGGAGTGATCGTTTAATGTTGACAACGGTGCAGAAAGTAAGTGATGCCATCGAAGCCCATCTCACTTAAAGGTTTGGATATTTTTTTTGATCAAAACGATCGGATTGTTGGATGATTATCATAAAAACTGGGAATAAGGTCCACCACCTTTAGCAGGTTGTACCAACTATTACACTTATTATTACTTACCTCTACACCTTGATGTGTATTTGCTGATTGATTGATTGATTGATTGATGAAGGGGCTAATGGATAAACACATTGGGTTGGGTGGAAGTGTCTGTCTCTATTTCCCAATTGCTTACCACAACATACTTGTAATGCAATGTATTTGCTAGACGAAGGAGAGGATGGGTTATCAAAGGTTCGTACGTTTATTTGGGTGTAGGTGGTGGATGCCAGTCAAAGGACTTAGAAGCTCTTCAAGAATCCCTTCTTCTGAGCGAGTCTGTTAAGAGCCTCATCGGACTGGGCGTTGTTGCGAACGAATCCACAGAAGGCAACAGTGGTCTGCTTTCCAGTGTAGAGTCCCTCAGAGTTAACGTGACCAATGTTGATTTGTACAGAGGCGTGATCCTTGGCAGTGATCAAACGGTTGGTGGCAGAGCTATAATAATTGAATTCAATGATGATTGATTGATTGATTGATTGATTGATTGATTGATTGATTGATTGATTGTTCGATCGATTAGTTTAGTTGTTTGATAGTCCTGTATTGTCACTCGCCAGGCGACAGCAGCAGCAGTAGCAGCAGCAGAAGCAGTAGTAATAGATCCATGAATATCTTCATTCCATCATGTGCTCCAAAACGAATGATACAATATCTTCATTCATTCATTCATTCATTCATTCATTCATTCATTCAATCAATCAATCAATGATTCTGTATGTTCCTGTATTTGTATTGTATTTTGTTGTGTTCTACTCTGTCATCATGAATGTTATGCTATGTCCACTCTACTCCATGGATTGTGGTGATCTTTGATTCTATTGCCAATTTGTTGCTGTAATTGTCGTTGACACAACCACTGCCCCTGCTACTGCGCTGTGATGTCTAAACCAATGAGCATCATGACACATACCACTTTCTTGGAGTGTACAACTCGATAGTCTTCTTCTCGTCGTTTTGCATGGTTATATGTATCTGTACCTGTGGGTGAGTCTACTTGGGAGCGAAGCGAAAGAACGTCAATGCTATCAATCTTGTTTCCTTCATAGTCGCCGCGAAGTTGTGTGTTCTGTTTGTAAAATTAAAAAAAACAAATTGGTAACGATACCAAAACTACCATGACTTCTTTTCATTCCTGTTTATCAAAGTTATACACACACAAACTACATTGTTTATTCTCTTCATTCACAAACAAACAAACACACAACACATACAGATAGACACTTGTTCGACACGAATGAGTAATTGATCACATAAGTGAACAATAATCATTCCTCACCAAAGTGGCAGAGTTGTCGCTACTTTGAGTGATTGTTGTCGACTTGGAGGTACAACTGCCACTTGAGGAATCTGTTGTTGTGGTCGTGGTGGTGGTAGTGGTGGTAGTCGAGCTGCTGCTATTGTTGTTGGTAGTATTATATAGATTGTTGGCAAGCTTTGGCTGGAACCAATACTTTTCAATCCATTGTAGAGTGGCTGCTAGGTCGACGCTGTTGGCCACGTCCTCCAGTGTCGGAATGAACTTGGGCTGGTCGAGGTCGATACTCTTTGGCAACAGTGGATCGATACGATGATAGCACTCACCGAGCAGTTGAGCACACTGGAAGTCTGTGATCTCTACTGTGGAGTCAAGGATCATGTCGATAAGGGTTGGCGCCCACTGTGCCAGACCCCAATCTCCAGCGCCATACTTGTCCTGTGTGAGGTACTTGCCGTCTCTGCCACTAGAGAGAGACAGGACCACGATGGACTTCATTGGGATGCCCGAGGAAATGGCACTGGTGACAGCGCATAGTGATGGATTGTTGGCGCAAACACCACCATCAACAAAACCCTGATAGATTGGGAAGTATGTTGGAGCGGCACTGGTTCTCAAGGCAATGTCCACGGCAAGATGATTGTTGGTGTTGGAGTTGTGTAGGTTGTGGAACAGACGTGGGGCCCACCTTCTATTCTTCATATCCACAGCCTCTCTATTGTGTATCAACACAAAGTCATGGTCCTCGATCTCTTTATCGTTTACATCTTGGTCATCACCATTTGGAAGATGAGCTGTAGATTGATTGTCCAATTGGAAGCTGGGCACCAACACCTTCTTCTTGAGATCTTTCAGTTTGATATCGCCAAACTGTTCACTCAACACCTGTTTAAGTTTGTAGTTGGAGTATGCTGAACCAATGGCACTGTCCAAGGACACCAGTTCATGGTACCATGACTTTGAGAAGATTTCAGGTGCCAACTTCTTAAAGAATACCTGTGTCTCCTCAATTGTCTTGCCCATTGCAAGTACCAATGATAGTATTCCACCAGCAGATGCACCTGTAATCATATCTACATTATCCAAGAATGTTGGATACACCTCTATTATCCTAAGTAACAGAGCTGTCTCTATTACAGAGCGTACTCCACCTCCATCCAAGGATAGAATACAAAATGTTCCTATCATATTATTATTATTAGTAATAATACTAAATAATATTTGTCTCTCTATATACCTTTATCTGAGGCCATTGAGTTATATATATTATTATTTTTCCTATCTAATGTATCTAGTCTAATGTTATAATTAGTTATTTGTTAATTCTTTGTTTGATTGTCCAATGAAAATGGTCACTTACCCTTTCTTTCTGTCTCTGATTGATATTTAAATAAATAATATTATATATATATATATATATAAATAATAATATAGTTTATTATATAATGGAATATGTTTGGTAAGTGTAATGAAATGTTATTGAATGTGTACACATAATTAATTTCAAGAGAGTGTATATCAACTATTACTATTGTGTGTGTGTATATGTGTGTGTGTTCACACACTAATAATTATACTCTTCTCTCTCTCTCACTCTCTCTCTCTCTCTCTCTATCCATCCCCTCTCTATTTGTGTGACTCACTCACTTACTCATTCACTCCACAAGAAGGGTTATTCATTGTCATTATACAACTCAACACACACACACTCTCTTTCTCACTTCACCAGGAACTCTCAAATACATGTTGACATAAACACACACATAAACACCTATCTTACAGATAAACACAAGTTGTGAGGTCATCTTTTATTTATTTGTGTTACCGAATGGAAATTCGATGGAGGTCACGACATCTACCCATCTTTTGATTTTGAACTGTGTGTGGGCGAGAATCATCGATCACAAGTCAAGACTTGTGTCGGACCAAAGCGAATGACCTTTGATTTGAGATTAATGAATCGTATTTGTTATAAGCTAAAGTGTTTGAATTTATTATTAATTATTTGTTGAAGCATCTGTCAACCCAAATTGAAACTTCATAATTATTTCAATTTTGATCAAAAAAATCTGGAACAAGTCCGTCCTTTGCACCTTGCACCAAAGACTGATCAAATATCACACTTGCCTCGCGACAGTTGGGTAGCAAAGACAATGGACACAAACACACACTATCCAATACCAATACATAATCATAGAGATATTTAGATAGTTATAGATAATAATAAATAATATGAGTTATGAGATTGTCAATGAAGACATTGTCATAAAAGATGATGATGAGAATGACAATCAACTACAACAACAACAAGCAATACTGAATGGAACAATGATTGTTGAACCAATGTCACCCGATTCAAATGAACAAAGATCACTACTATCATCAGAGAAGAATAACAATATAATCATCAACAATAACAACAACAATCATGATTATCAATCAGCAGAGACGACCCAAGAATCAACATCACCTGCAATTCTAACAGATGTACATTTGGAGGACCATGATAATGACGATGAAGATGAATCGCAATACCTTCCATTGGAAGTTGAGAAAATTGTGTCCTACTACATGTTGATATCACATCTAATCACGAGAATGGGTGATAAGATGTGGGAGTTCATTGTCCCCTTGACATTGATCGTCATCACTCCCAAGTCACTGGTTCCATCATCACTCTATGGTCTAGCAATCACCCTCGTCAGCATCCTGTTGGGACCAACAGTAGGAAGACTTATAGACATTGAAAGAAAGCTCAAAAGTAATACCGATCCTCCATGATTGATTGATTGATGGATTACTAATCATTCAACCCTCGACCCAACAATAATCAGTGATTAGAATAGGCGTTGCCTTGCAAGCACTGTCCATTGGTACTTCTGGAACAATGTTATTCTTTCTCATGAAACAGTCTACAAAGTATGAGAGTGTTAGACTGGACATCTTTGGAAACGTGCCTTCAACTTTGATGTTCTTGACATTGTTGTTCTCTTCGTCATTGCATTCGATCGCTGCTCAGATCATGAACATTTCGGTCGAGAGGAAATGGGTGCCAGCAGTGATCAAGAGGGACTCTAGCCTCACACGAATGAACACTCGCATGAGACAGATAGATCTGATCACCGAGGTGTCGGCACCATTCATTGCAGGCCTGCTCACCGTCATCCCAAAGGTCAGCGCATTGAATGCGTTCGTTGCCATTGCCGCGTTCAACTTTGCATCATTCTTCCCTCAGTTCTACTTCCTTCAGGTGGTCCACCAATTAGTACCATCACTAAACAACCGCAACAATGCAGTGGCAATGGATCAACTCAATCAAGAGCAACAAGACTTGGAGTACTCAGAGGTCCAACTGGAGCTCCCCAATGGTGCTGATCAACAGCCATCTACCGGTAGATCCTGCAGTTGGAGAACCATCATCTTGGGTGAGTGGAATCCGATCACCAACATTGTCAAGGGCTGGCGGCTGTTCATTCGGCAGCCAGTGTTCTTGGTCATCATGGCTTTTGTTTTCCTTTGGTTCACCATCCTCAGTCCACACGACCCACTGCTCACCGCCTATCTGTCATCGGCTGGCTACACCAACCTACAGCTGGGCATCTTTAGAGGTATTGGCGCACTATTTGGCCTGATATCAACTCTCTTGTTTGAGCCACTAGTACGCCGCTTCGACATGATCAACACGGCAACAATCTACATCATTGAGGAGGGTGTCACGGTGTTACTGGCTGGCCTGGTCTTCACTCTGCTGCCAAGCACAACAGTGACCAAGTACATTTTCCTCGTGTTGATCGTAGTGTCCCGAGTTGGACTGTATGGCTTTGAGATTGGCGAGATTCATTTTGTACAGCGCGGCGTCAAGGACGAGATACGCGGCAACATCAGTGGTGTTGAGTCATCACTGACCAGTCTGGCAATGCTCACAGTATTTGCTGGAGGACTCATCGTCAACTCCACATCAAACTTTTGGATTCTAGTTTGGGTATCCATCGCCTTCATCAATCTTGGCGGTGTCACACTTCTTGTCTGGCGATTCTCTGGCAAGTCATCAGAAAGTGCCAAACTCCTAAAGAATAACAAATAAATATTTATTATTATTACTTACATGTATTGATTGATTGAATGATTGATTGAATGATTGATTGAATGATTGACCACACAATGAATAATAAATATTATTTATTACTTTATAAGGTGTTAACACTTTAAAGTTGGGTCGCGACTATGTCAACATCACCTTAAGTTTTAATTAATTAATTCTCTAATATTTAAGTAGATAGGGTATGGTTACCAGGCAAAAACCGAGTGATGGTGATGATGGGGAGTAGTGGTAGTTGTGTGGGGTTAGTGTGAAAGTTGGGAATTCAGAAACAACACTGACCCGAATTGGATGAACAGTACTGCACTGTTGCACCCAAACTACCCACTCGTGGGGTAAATTTCATTTGATGGATGGCCGACAAAGCCTGAGCTCACACTAATCACCCATGCATTCATCATCAATCATACATTCATTCATTTACACACGGACACACCGACATACACATACATTCATTCACACACATACATAACAAATACACACGTTCAATTCAATTCAATTCAATTCAACAACAATACATACATATACTATCGTTTATATATATAATCACAAACGCCGCATTCTTTTCCAAAAGTGTTATTGATCGTTCAATTACATTTACATGTAGATTAGTCCAAACCTGTATCACCCTCCTATCCTAGCTTGTTATTGGTCATCACTATAATAATAATAACAACAATAATAATCATCATTACTCTAAAAGAAAGAAACATTAACAACTCTATCAATACTTCAAATAACATACACATCTGTATCTTTGATATCGACAATATCAAAAAGGCAGTGAACTCAATCATCTGATCAATCAATCAATCATACCAACACACATACCAACACATCAATCAAACAAATAATAATACTACTATGTGCAGATTTATATTCTATTTGGGACCACCTATTAAGTTATCGTCCATTGTGACAGAGCCATCACATGGATTGGTCCAACAATCACTTCACTCGACATGTCCAGGTGTACATTTGAATGCCGATGGCTTTGGAATTGCATGGTTCGTTCCGGAAATATCACCAAACCCTGGTGTGTTCAAGGATATCACGCCGGCATGGTCAAACATCAACCTGCGACAGTTGGCTCGTGTAACAAAGTCTGGATGTATCATGTCACATGTGCGTGCCGCCAGTGCTGGCGCCATCACCAACAACAACTGCCACCCCTTCACCTTCAAAAACTTCAGCTGGATGCACAACGGAACCGTCTCCTACTTCCCCAAGCTCAAGAGGAATATACTAAACATGTTGACGCAAACAGTGAGTAGTAGCAATAGTACATCAGTGGGCAAGCTGACATGGAACAACAACTAACATTCAATCAATCAAGGCATTCGAATCGATCAAAGGAACGACAGACAGTGAGATGGTGTTTGCATTATTTATTTCAAACTATGAGCGAGAGACTGGATACAAACCAAAGCCGGTGGTCCATCAGACGACAGCAGTCTACTCGACACATTGCTCGACCGAGCCAGAGGAGGAACCGTTCCCCCTCATCGACAACTCGGAGCTTTTCCCAAAGGTGCTGCGACAGACTATCAACCAAATCCATGAGCTCATCCTACAGTACGAGGTTGATAATGGACTCGTAAAGGCCGAGCCGGCCGGCGCCAGTCTCCAAGCGACATCCACCAAGTGCAAGCTGAACTTGGCCGTCTCGGACGGATCGACAGTGGTGGCCACACGATATGTCACCGGCACGATGGATGGTGCTCACACTCTATACTGGTCTCGCGCCAAGTCGATGGTGTGCGATCGTGGACAATGTCAGCTTGGTTCGTCCAAGTGTTCGGACCAATATTCACTCATCATCAGCTCGGAGCCATTGGCCAGCGACTTCAAATGCGAAGAAGTGCCCGTCAACCATATGGTCATTGCCAACTCTGAAGGTTTATTCTCCATCGAGCAAATCAATTGAAGCATTCAATCAATGCTTTAATTGATTGGTCTATCCCAAACTGCGATATCGATATCGAAATCGATCGAACAACCAACGACAACACATATGTTTGTGTTGGACTACCTACTCGCACTCCATCTCCCTCTCCATTCATCCAACCACTCCTCTCCGTCTATCCTCTTAAACTTACATTCTCTTTCCATTCTGGCAATTTCTGGCTCGTCAACCAACCCATCCAAGGGATAGGGATAACATGGCCATTGTTGTCCATTATGGAGTATAATAAACTTTGTAATTGAACTCTTTCTTGAGAGTACTTATCCATCATCCATCGCTCACACACTCAACTCAAACTCACACTCACTCACATCATTCAATCACATCAGCTGACTACCTTTGATGATGTGTGAGTGAGTGTGAGAGAGTGATGTTGATTTAGATATATCCCATCACAGTCGCCCGCTGGGCGAACACCAATCAAACAAGTCAGATTATTAAGCAAGCCAAAGTAATATTGAATTCTATCTATCTGTTGCTTGCCCATTGTACTCTGACTCGGCTGATTAATATACGATATCTATTGATTATTGGCAACAATTAGTACGATATATTCACCTGCTTGATTTAGGTTTGATGTATAATTAATATTATTATTATTACATTTCGAACTCAAGTTGGGGATTGATGTCCATCTTATTACTAATGTTTAGGTTACTCATGGTAGTATGTTAAAACTTACATTGTGATTGAGTGAGTGAGTGAGTAGGTCCCATCATCCATAACCATTGGAATAAAGTAATAAATACCTTCAATTATCAAACAACATTTCAATCATTGATTGACATTACTTATCCATCAAGAATATATAAATTAAAATATGGGTAAATACTTGGTAGCAATAATTTTGGTTCTATTTATTGTCCATATCGAAGGTAAGTCCCATAATAATTATTGGATTAATCATCATCCATCCTAACAATATCAAATCCATACATTATAGGTAACACTGATGATGATTGCCATACACCATGTGTCAGCTGTAAATGTGATGATGACTGCCCTTCTGATAACCGATGTAATGTGGGCTCATGTGTTGCTGGCCGATGTACTATCAAACATGTGACATGTCCTCCAACTAGATGTGGAGCCAACGGTACTTGTTCCACAGAGACTGGAAAGTGCATGTACAAACCAATGAATCCATATTGTTGTGATGACGGCAATGCATGCACCCGTGATTCCTTTGACCAATGTCTTGGCTGTGAGAACATTCCAATTGCCGGATGCTGTACCTCTGACAACCAATGCCAGGCCACTGCCAACTGTACCACCAGTACGTGTGTCAACAACAAGTGTGTCGCCAAGCCAATTCCAGGTTGCTGTACCTGTGATGGTGGTATGTTTTGTCAATCAATCTATTCATTACATCCTTCCGTGCATGTATACTAACTCGCGAATCATCAATTCTAGAATGCTCTGATGGTAACATATGTACCAGGAATACTTGTGACTCGGGAAGATGTAACTCTGTTCAGATACCAGGCTGCTGCAAGACCAGCCAAGAGTGCCCCTCTAATAAGTGCCAGACAGGTCATTGCTCAGACAATAGGTGCACATATACATCCACCGGTCTGTGTTGCAAGTCTGATGCCGGCTGTAGGGATCTTGATGTCTGTACTAAGGACACTTGTAATAGTGATGGCAGTTGTAGCCACACCCCAATCCCAGGCTGCTGTGTACTCGACTCCCAGTGTCCACATGATGATTGCAACATTGGCTTCTGTGGCAAGGACAACCAGTGCCACTCCAGACCGAACCCCGCCTGCTGCACCTGCAACGACGACTGTAACGATGGTAGGAACTGTACTGTAGACGTCTGTCGCAATGGCAAGTGTGAGCACTCCAAGTATGAGTGTCCGACCTACTCTGACTGTTGTTTGGCACGCTGCACTGGCTATGGATCGTGTGACCAGTCCTTCATTCCAGGTTGTGTGGACGATGGCGAGTCCGAGCACTGTGACGACAACAATGCCTGTACATATGATAAGTATGACTGCCTCAAGGGCTGTCTCAACATTCCCAGGAGCTGTGATGACCACAACCGCTGTACAACAGACTCTTGTTCCAGCGTCACTGGCTGCGTGCACACTGTAATACCTGGATGCTGTACCTGTGACGATGATTGTGATGATCACAACTCATGTACTGTGGACTCTTGTACGACCTCTGGACAATGTATCCACACACCAATTCCAGGTTGTTGCCAGAGCGATAACAGTAAGTAATCATACATACATTTGATTGATTGATTGATCCAACATTAACAATGGTACCATTTCTCGCCACTCTATAGATTGTTACGATGGAAACAACTGTACAATTGATACTTGTTATCGCGGAAAGTGTGTCCATGCTCAAATATCCGGTTGCTGTACTTGTGACTCTGGTATGTATCCACAATGATCATTACAGATATGTACCTTACTAACAACATCCAATCAATCAAACATTAGAATGTAATGATAACAATCTGTGTAGTGATGACTATTGCCAGGCCAACAAATGTATCCACAAAGACAATGGACAATGTTGTTTGTACGACTCTGACTGTCGTACCAATGGTGATCTGTGCGACACCAGCACATGTGTCAACAAACGATGCCAGCGCAGAACGATGGACTGCGACGATGGTCTGCCATGTACAAATGATTTCTGTCAGGAGGGCAAGTGTAAGTATCATTGATTGGCATGTCCATGTCCATGTCCCAATGGCCTTGACTAACAACATACTTTAATATTACATTCTTTGTTCATTCAGGTAAACATACTTGCAAGACCTGTCTCTAGGGTGAGAGAGTGAGCCAGGGAAAGAGAGAAAGAGAGATACAAGTTAGTGTACATATTCTACCATTCACTCAACTGATCGTTGGGACCAACAATAAAGTGTTACATACATATACATACATACATACATTACAACTATACTCGTTGCTTAAGCTCTGTGAATTTGGAATGCTTTGTCTCCATTGCATGCATCGATGCTTCCTTCTCGCCCACCAATACTTTGTTGCAGTCTAAACATATCAACTGGAACTTGTTGGTATCTGTGAACTTGCCCTCCTTGTTCTCCTTCTCGATGAATGATGTAGCTTTCTTCAATGTTGTCGCGTCATTTGATGAGAATATAGTAATGTCATACTCCTCGGGAGAGGGATGGATCTTGACCGGTGATAGTGCCAAGGCATCTTTGGGGGATTGGATAGTTAGGATGATGATCCTCTCGCTCACTCTCGGATAACATACCATAATGTATACCATCATAAACTACATATACCCTCTCTTTGTAGTTACAGTCCTCGCCATAGCGGTACAGGATCTTGGTTGATATATCGAATGCACCAATCTCCACCTTGTAGTGCTGGGACAGTATGGACAACTCAATTGCACCACCCCAATGCTTTGGGTTTGTGATCCATGCGCAATAGCTACTGTTATCCATCCCCAGGAATCCTTCATTATAAGTGAATGGATCCTCTATATTGATGTTGAGTGAGTGAGTGACCTGATTGATTGATTGAATGGATGACATACGCTTAACTACATTGACAATGATTGATCTTAGATGTGATGCCTTTGCTCTGTTCTTATGCTCCAATACGTATGCCACTGCACTAAACAAACAACTGTTGTCATTCTCTGTCAATCTTCTTACGATTGTTCCCTCAGGTCCACTGGTATTCGATGATGATGATGACGTTGCTGGTTTAGTAGTGGCTGTAGTAGCAGAAGCTGGGACACTTGATTCACCACCAGCAACAGCAATCTCCTCCACTGTTATTGTGTCACCATTTGTTATATACTTTGCAATTGTCTGCTCTTTGTCTGTTACATCAAGTGCTGCTGGAGGATAGCCACACAATACTGAGTTGAGTTGGATATAGTATCAGTTAGTGTCACAGCTCTCTACTTCGATCACTCTACTCTACTCTACTCACTCTTCTGTCTTGCGACCTCTATACCAGTCTTCTCTTGAATCAATGATTGAAAGGTTGCAATTGTAGTGGTAGCACTGTCCAATGATCTTATATTCTCTACACCAGCCTTACTTCTAATTCTCACTGCTATGTTATTACTCATTATTATTACTCTATTATATATATGTCTTATATTATTACTACAACATGTATTATGATGTTACTGAAGTGATTACTTTTAAACCCCTCAGGGGTAATGAATGGCTCACCCTCTACACCTTCTCTCTGATCCAAACTTAGACCTTCTTCCACTATGCTTGTGTTGGTCTACACAAGTAATAATGCACTTTGAACTTCACCACATTCGCCTCATCTAACCCCGAACAATCCGACTTCATCTTCATTCTTCCAAACCTCCTGGAATAAAATAGTAATCAAATACTAATAATTGTGTATATAATAATATAATAGTAATATATTCATCTCTCTCTCTAACTATATATCTCGAGTAATCCTCTCTCCCTTTCTCTTTCTCTCTCTCTATCTACACTGTAGTTGTTGCTGTGACGTTTGAGTGGCATCTGGTAATAGTGCTGTCGAGGATATGGGTGGCGTCAATGTCGACGATGATGTTGTAGTTGTTGTTGTAGTGGTTGTTGTTGTAGTTGATGTTGTAGATGTCGAGGACGATGATGGTGGTGGTGGCGTTGGAATGCTGCTGTTGCTACCACCTCCAACCACCACTACATCATTGACGATTGACGAAGAAGGTGATGTTGATGAAAAAGTCGAAGATGAGGCAGAGGAAGATAGTGAGCCAGAGCCTGTGAGTGGGCCGGCTGTACCTGTCTCGAAGAAGCTGGTCGTGTCCTTTGTAACCTCTTCGTTGTTCTTGTTGATCAAACTGGCGATGCTGTGGCGATACTTGGAGTGCTTCTCCTTCTTGAGCGTCTTGGAAACGGAGATGCCACAGGCGTTGCACAGGTCTTCGTTGTTGGGTCCTCGTCTCCACTCGGGTGTATCAGTGGCGTTGCAATGTGCACATGATTCAGGCTTCTTCTTGCGCGGCCTGCCACGCTTCCTTCGCACGTCGTCAGTGGCCACCTCTACCACGGGCTTGGGCCGTGCCTGGTTCTTCCTGGGCGGCTTGCTCGAGACAAAGTATACGCTGTGTAGTTCTAGTCGTGTCTTCTTGGTGCTGACGTTGCTGTCGATCGGATCATCCTCGCCATCGCTTGGTGGGGATCCAGGTGTCGCTGTGGTGGTCGTAGTCGAGGTCGATGTCGAAATGGTCGTGTCAAAAGGATGGATTGGTCGAGGTAGAAACGATGTTGGTGATGAGTATCCACTGCCACTGCTTGCCAACGTTGGCTCGGACATTTGTTCCAAGTCCAAGTCTTGGAATTTGTCCAAACTCTTTGTGTGTTGTTCTTTGTTGGCGAGTGTGGCGGCGGCAACTTGAGGGTCGGGAGGAGGTATCACAGCGAAAAGGTGTACTGATCTTGATGTTTGTTGATGTTGTTGTTGTTGTAGTAATAGTTGTTGTTGTTGTTGCTCATAAGCAGCGGCGGCCGCTGCTTGGTCGTATGGGTCTGAGCTGTGGGTAGGATCGATGTCTCGAGAGTAATGCTGAAAGTGGGAGGAAGGATGGTTGGTCGATGGGTACCGGCTGTTAGGCGGCACGCTACCGTGGCCAAAAGAAGAAGGAAAAAGGTTGTTGTTGTTGTTGTTGTTGTTGTCGCCATTAATACTACTATTACTACTACTAATACTGCTGCTACTACTGCTGTTACCAGCAGTAGTTGAGGCGCTAAGATTACTACTACTATTACTATTACTAATATTACTACTACTGCCACTACTGCTGCTGCTGCCTTTTGGATGCCGTATGAATGAGCCATTGGCGCCACTGATGATGCTGTTGCCGCTGTTGTTGTTGTTGGCAATATTGTCGGACTGTTGTTGTAATGAAGATCGATTGAAGTAGTTGGGTGAGGTTGGTGCGGTTGTAGGTGAGGTAGGGGTCACCGCCAATGGTTTGCTATAGGGTATACCGTTTGGCGATGTGGGGATGGCGCCACTGCCACCAATGATGGAGGAAGAGGAGGAGGAAGAAGAAAAATGTTTGGAGACGATGGTCGGCTGAGGCGTTGCGCCATCATCGCTATATTGTGGCTCGATGCCTCTGATAGATCGTTCATATAATCGTGATGAAATGTAGTTCATATTGTTGTTGCCGTTGCTGTTGCTGTTGACTAGTCCGCCATTGCCAACAAAGTATGGTGTGGTGTTGGACATGGACAATTGAGCGAGTGGCGGCGGATGGACACCATGTTGTTGGTGTGGCAGCAGGGCCTTGCCACCACTGCCGCCACTGGGCTTGAGTGAGACCAACTCTGGCGACTGCACCATATTCATTGGCTGAGCTTCGAGCTGTGAGTAATGCTTCTTCATCAGCTGATGTGGATGTGACTGTGGCTGTGGATGTGGCTGGGGCTGTGGCTGTGGCTGTGGATGTGGTTGATGAAGGGGTTCCCGCAGACGTGGTGGTACTTGGCCCAGCCAACTGCGTTGTCGCTGCTGCTGCTGTTGCTGTTGCTGTTGCAGATGTAGTTGGTGTTGTTGTTGCTGCTGGAGATACAACTGTTCCTGTTGATGTTGATGTTGTTGTTGTAGATGAAGTTGATGCTGCTGTTGTTGCTGCTGAGTGTTTGGTTGTGATTTATGGAAGTGAAATGGAAGAGGTATAGGAGGACTTGGTGATCTTGCTGCGTGGCTCTTGTCCCTTATGCTGGCGCCGCGGTTCATTGTATATTGAAAGAACATCCAACCATATATCCAATGCTATATAATATATATACTCATAAAATATATATATAAGTTTGATTGATTGGACTGGATTGGAGATGGTTTGGATTGGAGATGGATTGGACTGGATTGCTTGGTTGATTGCTTGATTGCTTAAATTATTGCAGTGCCTTATGATCCAAATGATGGTGCTGAGCTTGGTCCGTTTGTGGATGCTATTGTTGGTTTGTTTGATTGTTTATGCTGTTGTTGTTGTTTGATGATGATGTTGATGTTGTTGTCGCAATCAATCAATCAATCAATCGATTAATCAATCAAGGATGTAGCAAGTAATGTGGATGTGGATGTAGATGTAGATGATGAGGATGTGGAGGTAGTTGAGAAAGAGAGGTAAGGTAAGGTCAGGTCAGATCGGGATGGGAATGAATATATATGAATGAATGAATGAATGTGACTGACTGACTCGGCGATGGTGGAGGCGTGGGGGCGACGCGGGGGGTGTTGTGGCGAAAGAGCGCCAGACAGACGCGCCGGCCGGTCAACCAGCCATGCCAGCCATGCAAGCCAGGCAGCCACACTCCAGGGAAATAGAGGGAAGCTCTATGCCTATGCCTATACCTACCTCTTCGTGTTAAACAAACCACAACAGGGGGCGGGGTAGAGATGGATGGATGGACTAAACGCAACTACTTTAGTTACTTGACTGTAGATGCTGTTGTTGAAGATGGTTGGATGATGGATGGATGGATGGATGGCCACGGCACTTCTGCGATAGATGTAGATGGCTGGATGTGATGTTGAAAGGGTGCTGCGCTGTTGTTGGTTGCTGTTGGCAATGTGTAGATTGGAGCCGAGGATGGTGATTGGTTGTGATCACGGGTGGGGGTGTGTTTGTGTTTGTGGTGTGTTGGTCGAGTGGGGGTGATCACTGAGTGGGGCCTTTGTGATTGTGCGCGTGTGTGTACTTGTTTGTTGATCAATCTGTGATGTGGGGGATGGAGCTGGTGTCACAGTTAATGATTGGTGATGTTAAAGGTGATTGATTGGTTGTTGGAAGTAAGCTATTATTATTATTAATTATAGTTGTTTGGTTGGATGGATGGTAAGTTGTTATTATTATTATTATTGTTGTTATTTGTTTGATTATTGAGTGATTGTATTTGTAAGTCTATTGAATGACGAGGTGATGTTGGTGACGGAAGGGTAATCCCTGGATTACTTTACCTTGCCACACTAGTTGTCGGAGTTTGCGTGATGATGGCAATGGGGAGCTCTCCTCTCTACCTCTTATTATAAAAATAATAATATTAGAAGTAGTCAATTACAACAACTACAACCCAATCTGATAATGTATGATGTAACTAACTATTGATTGATTATGATTATATAAATAGTAATATATATATATATATATATATATATAGATATAGATATAAATATAGTTGTTGACTGTTGACTGTTGAATGTTGACTGTTGACTGTTGGGATTGATTGTTTGAAGATAATGAAATGGTGGCGCACGCGCCGCGGTTCTGATTGAGATCGGCGTGCCGCGTCGACGATGTAAAATAAAATCCCTCTTTGATTTCTTGCTTGCTTGCTGGCTTCTTGCTTTTGTTTGATTATCTGTATTCTTTCGTCAATCAACAACCCTTTTAGAAGTAAAGTAGTAATGTAAAGTAAAGTAAACTATAATGAATTGACTGAATGACAGACAGAATGATTGAATGATTGACTGACTGACTTTGAATGACACGAACCCGGGATGGTCCACAACTCATTCATTCACGCACTCACTCACCAACCATCAAGCAGCAGCAAGACACGTTCAAATCATCATTGAATCAGGACGGACTGAGAGGAGAGACAGAGACAGACAGTAAACCTACTATCCTTTATTTAATTTTATTTATATTAAATATTGAAGTGTATCATCCATCATTCATTCAATCAGTTGTGATTAGGTCGAGCCTACGTTCGCCCATTATGCAAATCTCTTTGATGTCCTCGCCCCGGCGCCAATCCATCATATATACTCCATGAGGAAACTTGCAAGTTGTTCAACTTTTTGCGAAGACCCGCGCGCTCAATTGGTCGACTTTGATTCGTGTGTGTGTGATTGAAGTGTTTGTTGACATCCATCCACCCTCGGTCCTCAGGTAGCCTCCACCCATTTCGGTCCGACGCTCCACACCAGCTGCCTATTGGTGATGTTGATGATGGTGAGTGGGGGGCAAGTTTCCCTGTAATGATTGGTGGCTTGTGTCCACCCGGGTAGGTGCAGAGCATGAAATGAACATTGATCTAGATTGGGCTTGTTTGTAAGCAGGAAGGTATAATATGCTTGGGCTGGGCAGTGTGTTCCCTCATCCGTAGGTCACAGATCTGGATCTATCACCATGCGTGCTCAACAACAAACACTACGGTGTAGATAAATAATGATGGGCTCTCACCTTCGTTCAGTTTAGTTCGTTCATTCGTTCATTCAATGATGTTTGGATGGATGGACCAACCAACATCCAATTTAAAGTGACACACCTATCACTTCCTCTCTTCAGCGATCGATTGTTTGAATGGAGGTTGTGTGAATGAGTGTAAGGTGGAGAGATTGAAGCTCATTGCTTAGGCAATGTTGATCAACTTACATTCTTATGTTAATGGGTTGAGTAATGTTTATAACGTCTCCCATTCTTTCCAACCATCTTTGTCGACTTGAACTCGAGACCTTGTCGACCGAAAGAATGATTGATTGAATGGTTGAATGGTTGAATGTGATTGATTGATTGGTTGATAGACTGAACAATTGATATCATTCAATCAATTGACCTACATTGTATGTCAATGGTAATAGTAACTGTTTGTTCAATCAATCAATCAATCAAACAATCATTATCATATGTAGTAGATAATAATAATACATACATATATATCAATTAATTGATTTTAATGGATGTAGGAAGATCGCCAATCAATCAAACAGGACATTGTAAGTTGGCTCATATAGTTTGATTGATTTCCAGTTGATGGCGCGGGTGTCACACGATGTTGTGCGTCGATTCGTTGAGATAGGCCATGAGGGCCGCCCAATGAAACAACAACTTTGAGCATAAGAATCTATTGATCAATCACTCCCCTCATTCATTCACGCACGCCCCGGATTACGCTACGACGCCACTCTGCTCGTTTCTACATACGTGTCATACCATCCATACCATCCAACCAAAGTTGGTATGAGTCAACGCTTTGACTTAGGTGTGTGGTGGTGGCGTGGGAGTTGATTGAGTGATTGAGTGAGTGAGTGAGTGATGTTGATTCAGGGAGTGGTGAGTGGATGGTTGTGGATGCGTCCGACCATGAGGGGTATGCTATGGGAAGTGAAGGGAAGTGAGAACGAGTTCTCTCAAGGCGTTTCGAGGCCGACATCAAAGATCCTCTCGCATCTCACAACTCACATATCACGTCTCACATCTCACTACACAAAGACAAAGACATTGACATAGACATACATACCTGGGCATGTAAGTATATTGTATTATATTTACTTATACAGATAAACAGATAAACAGATATAGATATATATATAACTTATAATTATATTAACATATTAATTTATTATTATTATTATGTCTTAGTACATTGGTACTAAATGTAAAGTGTCTCCCTCCATCCACATTCAATCATTCAATCAATCAATTACACTACTATGTCCACATACACATTCACTCACATGTGAAGCTTGATCACTTGATCATTGTCTGCCCATCCATCATAACTGTACAACTCGTCTATCCATCCACATCAATCCATGTCCATTCTTTCATAGTAATGTACACTGTTGCATCTTCTTTGACCTCTTCTTGCGCCTGCAGGGGTCTTTGCTTTGCATTTGCTTCACCAGTCGCTCAAAGGCAGAGGCTATGTTGACTCTGGTCTTGGCAGAGGTCTCGATGTATTCGACATTGCCACCCCACTTCTCCACGAGTTGTTCGGCCTCCTTGGCCTCGACCTGGCGCTGACTCTCCATATCACACTTGTTGCCCATCACTATCATCGGTATCTTGCATGTTGGGAGGTCCTTTACACGACAGACCTGATCCTTTATAGATTGTAGGTCATAATAGGTACTCCTGGCTGCAATACTATATACCAATATGAAGCCTTGTCCATTACGTATATACATATCTCTCATTACCAAGAAGTTCTCCTATATATATTGTTTGTTTGTTTGTTAGGTGTCGTTCATTCAAAACTTGTGACCAACTTACAGTTCCTGCGGTATCCATGATCTCCAACATGTAATGTTCACCATTTAGTTCCATGATCTTTCTATACATATCCTCTATTGTTGGATCATATTGATCAATGAACTCTCCATTGACATATTGTATTGTGATGGCAGACTGGATATATATATTTGGATGTTGATTGTAAAGTGTTAGTGATCAATCAATCATTTAACTAGTATATATGTCGACAAATACCTTTCCAACACTTCCACTACCCAGTATTACAATCTTTAAACAATTCATTATTATTATATATATCTATCTTTATTCAAACAAACAATCAATCAAAGTAACATGGAATGAGTGAGTGATGGAGACATCAAGCACAACAACAGCAACAAACATCACGATGAGGAATGGTAGTGAGTAGTAAGTGAGTGTCCTTTGGTGAAGAGAGGGAGACGGACCAGTCAGTCTGCCAGCCATCCAGCCAATCAGCCAAACAGCCAGAGAGGCCTCATACAAAGGCTTGACGCTTCCCTCAACACCATCACAACAACATACACACTACACACATACACAATGAACAAACACAGAGACACAACGATGGTAAGGTTCAGACGTTTAACCTATTCATTGATTGATGTACCACTGGACCATCCTTTCCATCCATCCAATACATCAACCTCATCGATAAAGCCATGAGGGCCTCAGGGGCTAGATCGAATAAGGTGGCGTGGGGTGATTGTGTGTGTGGTGGGGATCACCATGTCATGTGATTGAAAGTACTCTCAATTCCATTTGGGGGTGTGTCAGAGCTTGATCTGAGATGAGTGTGAGTGCCAAATGTGGATTGAGACCACGAGTTAACACCTTTGAGCTCAAAGCATCTGAGTTGGCTGGCTGGCCTAGCCATTCCAACTTTGACAACTATTCCAATCAACAATCAATCATTGTTGGTTGGTTGTCCAAACTCATTGAGAACTGAGTGAGTGAGTGAGTGAGTAATTGAGTAAGTGAGTGATTGAACTATTCTGACACTGAGTGTCATTGTAACACAAGAATGAAAGAAAGTATGAATGAATGAATAAATATAAGATATATTAGTTCCAATTTCATCCTCTTGAGACTGGAAATAGTATGAGTGTATGTATGTGAATGAATGAATGATTGGATGTTTGACAATGGATTCTGGAAGCTAGATACTGGATGATTCGAAGATATATTGATCCACAGATTTAACTTGTTCAAGGGTGTGTATTGGGTATTACAATCATTGGATGATGTACAGATAAAGATATGTTGTTGTTGGATTGATGATGTTCAATTCCATTATGTTGTTGATGGATGATGGATGGATGATGTGTGAGATGGGCTGATGAGTGGAGGTATAAGGAACTTATAATATCTCTGTATAACGACAACATGGTGTCGACAAGTACAAGAATGACATGCACTTGTAACAACCATGGTCTTAATATCTTACGACGGGTCTAATTCCCATTGGTCGAGTCTGGCACCTGATAGATCTATGTGTAGAGTGGACTGATATCCCGCTGCCCCCTTGGGAGACGGTACTCACATGAACACAAAGCATCTGTTACCCACCCACAATGAACTATCTATCTATCATCCATCGGGAGGGAGCACCTTTCCATATATGTTTTAAGGGTGGAGGGCTAACTGGCCAATGAGCCATGGTGTGAAGGTGAGAAAGAATGCATCGAATGGTCGACGCGTGTCCATATCGAAATGAGGAGACGACCCATACCGCCACCATCTGATGTATTCCGCATCGTCGTGCAGTGGAAGTGAAAATCGATGTTTGATCATCTTGATCCAGGCGGCCAACCTGCACCAATATAAGGGCCGGCCACCACTCCTTGATATTGTTTGTTTCTTTGTTTGATTGAATGCACTCTCCTCTCAATCATTCATTCTTTCAGATGTTGCTGTTTTGTGGATGTGGATGAAACAAACAACCAATGGAAGATGCCGTTGGTTCGTGGTGGATGGGGTGGGCAAGACCAAGATTACAAACAATGTTGTCAACATATTGCATCGATCAGCTGATGTAGCGTCCAGTCGTCCGGTCATCAGATGTAAAAGGCGAGTGTGTGTGAGTGAGAAAGAATGAATGATTGAATGAATGGTGGCTTTACAAATCCCCGCAAGCGATCAAAGGAGGGACCACGCGGACCACCGGCGGATCTACACTCGATCTGATTGGTCATGCACTAATATGGGAAATGCAAGGAGATGACATTCCATCATTTTGGCCGTGCTTGGCAGGGTGTCTGGCCATCGCAACCACACGACGCCAGTAACATCGTCGTTCGGCGTGCGTGGCAACAACAACAGCAATAAGCATAACGTGGTGATTTTGATTGTCGGGTGCGAGCACGCTGCGACGAGGAGCAGTGGAAGCCGTCCGCCTGTGAGGAGGAGGCAGGGAGCAGGAGATAAATTATTATTAATTATTAATTAGCGTTGGGGGGACTGGTGTTGATGGGCCAGGCAGGCGAGGCGTGGTGGAGACGGCGCAAGAGAATTCACCTAAGCTCTGCTCCCAACTACAACAAGAGATATTATTTATGTGTTATCAATCAATCAATCAATCAATCATGTGACTGACTGACTGAATGTAAAGTAGTCAGCTGATTGTGATTGATAGTTTGTTGTTGCTGTTGCTGTTATGTACGGTTCATGATGATGCTGTTGAACGAACTGAACTGACCATCACCTGACCTGACCTGAACGATTGGTCGCTGCTGCGCTGTTGTGTGTCCCTTCTAAAGATGATGATGATGAAATTAAACAACAAGCCAACCAACAAACGGTCACTTACATACTGCCCATCTCCCATCTACGTTCAACGGGAAGGAAGGAAGGAAGGGTGGGGAGGAACATGAATGAATCTGATGGATTGATGGATGGATTGATTGATTGATTATGATTGATTGATTGATTGATTATGATTGATAGATATGTTTGTCTGTTGATTTGATGGTCCTACCTACAACGGCCTCCTGGAGAATAACAACAACAATAGCTAACTTAACTGCAAGTCAAGTGGTGTGATTGGCATTCATCCTCGAATAGGTCACCACCAAACAACTATATATATAATACTTCCAAGCCTATTTCTTCTGATCTCCATTCTGCCAAAAGCAACAAAGAGATTAGAGTACGTCCAACTTTGTCAACTCCAGCTCCATCCTCCTCATTATCCTCGCAACAACAATCGCATCCACATACCTACATTCGCACTCTTCATCACTTACATACTCACTCACTCATTGTCTGAAGTGACATAGTCTATAACTTATCTATTATCAGCCAGCCAGCCTGCTTAACACCATCCAGCCAGCCAGCCAGCCACCCATCACTACACAACACTCACTTGATTACATCAATCAATCAATCAACCAATCAATTAGTCAATGTTTGTTCCATCCATGTTCTCGTAAGTATTCAGAACTCTGAATGTATGAGTTGCGTTCGCGCAGCTGACTTGTGGAGTTCGTAGCTCTGTGAACTCCAACCAATGCCCCTCTCTTGCCTTGTCGCCACTCAACAAACACACGCCCGCTGCCCACACTTCACTTGCAAACACAACAACAATCACTCCCTCACTCACACGCCACCCGCCATTCGACGACCAAGACTGGTCATCATGAGGGCAGCCCCGCATCCTCTTGCCCAAGTACATGCGTATGCCCTCAAATAGAACTCTCCATCGATGATGTGTTGATTGTGTTAATGCGTGTGTGTGTGTTTGATTGATGATACCCCAACCCGTTTTTTAACTGGTTGATCAAAAATGGAGTATTGGTCCTTCATTCTTTTGCTAAAAATAGTGAACTCGATGCCCATGCATCGATCTATCTTATTGTATCCTACGCGCCTGCACATGGCAATCTCAGAAATCACTTAGACCCGTGGTGTCCATCCATCTGCCTCCCACCCACCACGTCATATCGCCAGCCCATCCTCATTTGACAAAGCCCGATTCTATATTTAATAGCATAAATCAATCAGCTGATTGAATATATTCTTATGAACAATCTGTGTAACTGGCACTGGAGGCCTAAGCTGGTCCTCAAATTGGTGGTGACTGCCCAGTGTAATCAGCTGTTGAGGTCAACCAATCAATCAATCAATCAATCAACCAATCAATCAACTCAACTCAACTCCACTTCACCTTTAATTCCTCCTTCACTCTCTCACTCTCAGGACATTCATCTCCTACCCTGACGTCATCACTTGAAATACATTTACACACTTATACACATTTACATATACTACCTTCAATTTAAAATGAGCACATTATCTGACACTCTACCTCTGGCCTCTGTTGGCCTTACACACATACCTGATAGCTATCAGAACTGTACATACATGTCGGACATGGCAGCCCCTGCCTCTCCCTCAATCAACCCTACAACAACAATACTCAGTTTGATTGAGGGCACCACCCTCACCAGTCTCAAGTCAGGTGACATTCTTGCCGACATTGCATCCAGTTGTCTACAGACAATCTCACACATTGGTGATATTGTAAGTGTGGACAGAATTATTACCAAGTCAGCTGACATGGAGCAAGTCAGCTGACTTATCAGCTGACATCAGTATTGTCACATGACACTAACAAAATGCAATACCATAACAATCATTAGTGTACTCCATCCAATGAGTTATTCTATGCACCAAACAAACAAGTACCAAAGATGCCAATTGGAGATTATATTACAAGATTGGTACAATACTCACCGGGCTCAAAGTCTTGTTTCATTGCAGCATTGATATACATGGATAGGATGGTACTGGAAACTGGTTTCATCCTAAGTTCCTACAATATACATCGTGTTATCCTCACAGCTCTCCTAATAGCCACCAAATATCTTGATGACATGTAAGTTAACTTACAACTACAACCTACTCACCTAAACTCATACTAACTTCCGACTCACTTAGCTTCTATGACAATGAGTATTACTCAAGACTTGGAGGCATCAACATTAAAGAGATGAACCAACTAGAGTTGGACCTCTTGAATGTACTTGGATTTGCTGCTTCATGTCCACAACATCAATTTGACCAATACCTGTTAGCCATAGAGTCATCCCGTCTGAGATCACTGGTACACCTCAACCTGATACCAACACTCCAGGAGGCATCAGTGTCTGAAGGTAGCCAGAGTCCAAAGACTGAACGTAGCAAACGTAACTTTGATGACATGGTCAGAGGATGAATCCCATCGCCATTCATTGTTGGCCATATTATTATATACTATCTCTATTACTACTTATTTATATAACCATCCATATAACCATAATTCAATCATATAACATTATTATTATTAATTTATTATATAGTTAAATTCAACTGTAATATATATCAATCAATCAATCTTATCAATCATATCAATTATATTCAATCAAATATATGACAATGCCTAGCTTGATATTCATTTATCCAGCAAGCTAAATGCATGCTATAACACAAACAACTTGTACCATTACTCCATAATAAAGCACCAATATAACTTGGTGCAAGATCACTCGACAATAGTTGTTGAGTAAACAATGTAATCAATCCATCCTATTCTACCTCTTATCTCATTACTGCTTATACTAATCCTTAGTTTGTGTCAATACTGGCGATTTGGTTGGAAGTCAAAGTCAAAGTTAACAAATGTGACGAAGAGTGAGAGAGACAGGTAGTGATAGGTTGTTCATTCATGTACATAAGCGACAGTAGAGTGCACTACTGTATTGTCGAGTTTAATCATATTGTGTTAAGACAGACGACTGACTAGCTATCTGATAGTCTGGTCCAACTTAAAGTTAATCATCTTTGGATGATGATAATGTGGGCGGATGTCCATCATTCGCTCAGTTGGCCTTCATCTTGATATCATTGAATAGGGCTGCTCGGTTATGTTGTTGTATCCTTGTATCCTCTGTTATAATTGAGTTGTATTGTTTGTTAGATATATGTGTACAATTCAATCAATCATTCGTTTAAACATACCTTCAATGAGTGGAGCGGACTTGTCGTTTACTTGAGGTACTGGATTCAATTTGTAATAAGTGGCTTCAATCTCATGTAACAGATAACAATGATCATTCTTCTTAATGTGTATGTTTGCTATAGTGGAGGGTATGATATGAGCAATTGGTCATGCTAGCTTGCTATCTCTTGTATAGTATTACTCACAGTCAATGAGAGGTACAGATTTGTCCACTGTATATGTTTGCTTCAAAGCAGTACCCAGTTGAACCTCTTGGAATAGTTGATCAGACATTGTATCTTAGTAAGTAGTATATATGATGTTATGTTATTATTACTATAAATATAATAAGGCAGCAATGATTATGATCATAACAAGGCAGTAAGAGAGGGAGTGAGTGAGTGTGAGCAAGTGCTAGAGTGATCTAGTGAGCCAGTGAGTGGCAATGAGGGGTGTGAATGATCATCGTCTTTATCAACACACACGCATGCCTTAACTCTTGGTAAATACTCTGAACGAAAGGTTATCGTTCTTCCACGATTGATCAATCGATCAAACACCCTCAAAACACCTTCAAATTAATTTGATCGACACAATCGTCATCATCAATGGGCGATCATGGTTATTGATCAAATTGGAACTCATACTTTCAAAGCTGTGTGTTAGATAATATCTTTACAGTTGTGCATTATTTATAACTGTTTAATATTATTTAGTATCTATTATTATTATTTTTTATTAGTTTCGAAGTTCAATTAATGTATTGGGATAATTTTTTATAGTTCTTCACAATGGGTAAAAAATTGATCAACAAATGGACTTCTGATTTTTGTGTGTAGAGTCTTATTAATAAGTTGAGTGTCCAGGATGAAGGGTCGCAGGTTATTAATTTGGATTACTATCCAAACCGAAGAGACATAATACACAAAATCAGAAGGACTAAAAAATTACAAATATCAATAGACTAAACCAAAATATTAATACGAATACCAATACAAATACAAATAAATAATATCAACATATATATACAAATAATGTCAATTTCTTCATCATCAATTTTAAAACAATTATTCATTGTTGGAATAATAATTATATCAATTAATTATGTCAGTGGAGATTATGTATATTCGGAACCATGCCCTAATTCACAGGGTATATTATATATGTATCGTTTAACTGATGTTTGTGTAAACAATACCACAATGAAATGTGATTATGAACATGGACATATAATATCTGAAGAGTTCATAGATGGAACATGCACTGGAACACCAATACAATCAATTAATATTACATTCTCTGATTGTACAGCTGATAGCCAAACAATGACCTGCGTTACCAACATGAATATTCCATCACATTCAATTACAACCAATATATTTGAAGGTCCATCATGTGCTGGTACACCAGTGGCTACATTATTCATACCATCAATTGGATGTATATATGGTACTGTTGTAACATGCAACTCAACAACAAGTAGGACAACAATGTTTGAGAATTATGACTGTACTGGCAGCCAACAATTCAGTTATGTTGGTGATATCAACACCAACTGTCAACAAACTGGATCAGATAACTCAATGATGATTCATTGTTAACTCATCAAACAAAATAAACTTCTATTCATTAATTATCCATTCTCACTCCCTCAGACAATTTGGCACTTGATCACTTAATCACTAAATCATGGAACTATTCCACTCAACGAATATTTTTGAATAATGATAGATACATATTGCTATTTATTTAAAGTTAGGCTAACCTTAAGAAGGAGAGCAATTTAGAATGCCAAGACGGCAGCCAGGAGAACACCACCAACCAATCCAGAGACAACTCTTGATGCACTTGATCCGTCATTTCCACCGGCTGGAACAACATTCTTGCCAGAGATTATGTATATTCGGAACCATGCCCTAATTCACAGGGTATATTATATATGTATCGTTTAACTGATGTTTGTGTAAACAATACCACAATGAAATGTGATTATGAACATGGACATATAATATCTGAAGAGTTCATAGATGGAACATGCACTGGAACACCAATACAATCAATTAATATTACATTCTCTGATTGTACAGCTGATAGCCAAACAATGACCTGCGTTACCAACATGAATATTCCATCACATTCAATTACAACCAATATATTTGAAGGTCCATCATGTGCTGGTACACCAGTGGCTACATTATTCATACCATCAATTGGATGTATATATGGTACTGTTGTAACATGCAACTCAACAACAAGTAGGACAACAATGTTTGAGAATTATGACTGTACTGGCAGCCAACAATTCAGTTATGTTGGTGATATCAACACCAACTGTCAACAAACTGGATCAGATAACTCAATGATGATTCATTGTTAACTCATCAAACAAAATAAACTTCTATTCATTAATTATCCATTCTCACTCCCTCAGACAATTTGGCACTTGATCACTTAATCACTAAATCATGGAACTATTCCACTCAACGAATATTTTTGAATAATGATAGATACATATTGCTATTTATTTAAAGTTAGGCTAACCTTAAGAAGGAGAGCAATTTAGAATGCCAAGACGGCAGCCAGGAGAACACCACCAACCAATCCAGAGACAACTCTTGATGCACTTGATCCGTCATTTCCACCGGCTGGAACAACATTCTTGCCAGAAGCCGGGGCAGACTTGGAGCCAGTCTCAGATGGGGTGACAGCCTTGGATCCAGTCTCAGTTGGTGCAGCCTTGGAGCCAGTCTCGGCTGGAGCGGACTTGGAGCCAGTCTCTTGGGTGACAGCCTTTGAGCCAGCCTCCTGGGTAACAGCCTTGGAGCCAGTCTCCTCAGTGGCGGCCTTTGATCCGGTCTCCTCAGTAGCAGCCTTTGAGCCAGTCTCCTCAGTGGCGGCCTTTGATCCTGTCTCCTCAGTAGCAGCCTTGGAGCCAGTCTCAGTTGGGGCAGCAGCAGATGCTGGGGCAGCAGCAGATGCTGGGGCAGCCTGTGAACCAGTCTCAGTTGGTGCAGCTGCTGATGCTGGAGCAGCTTGTGAGCCAGTCTCGGTTGGTGCAGCTGCTGATGCCGGGGCAGCCTGTGAGCCAGTCTCGGTTGGCGCAGCTGCTGATGCCGGGGCAGCCTGTGAGCCAGTCTCAGTTGGTGCGGCCTGAGAGTCGGCATGGACCATAGCGATGGCCAACAGGACAACCAAAAGGAGAGTAATAATTTGAGTTCTCATTCTTGTATTGGATTGATTGATTGAGTAAAAGTTGAAAGGTTATGAAAGTCTTTGAGTACTTTAGATGCTTTAGAATACTAAATATTGTTGTTGCTTAGTATTGTAGTTGAGTTTGATGATATCAAGTGACAGTCAGCGTCGGTCTGGATTTATACATGATGCTTGATGTCTGGAAATGACATGTTTGTTGGATTGATTGATATGTCCACACACACGCATATAATGGAGAAACCCGAGTGATTGATTGATTGGTGAACTAATTAGGAAGAGTTGTACACTGGCCCACCATTAAACTAACAGATACTTAGGTTAATCCAATGCATGGTGGGTACCACCCCACCACCATCATCATCATCATCACCGTTACCCATCCAATGTAATATACTGATGACGGGTAGGGGTGATTGAATGAGACAAGACACTGGCGAGTGTGTGAGTGTGGACATGGGTGGTAAGTAACCTGATGCAAGGAATGTACATCTTTGTCTGTCTCTTAAGAGTGTTTGTTGTTGATACCTACCCCTAAGTCAATTGCGAAAGTGAGATCATTAACATAATCTCTTGTTATAACATGTCATTCATTCATTCATTCATTCAATCATGTGTCTTGTCAATCAATACGTGTTTGTCTTGATGTTATTGTTTGATTGATGTGGTTGTTGTTGTTGTTGTTGTGAGTTCATATATCACGACCATTAACATACACATTTATACATGTATATCTAAACAGATAGATATAAATGATCACTCTTAGTGTGTTTGTGTGAGTGTGATTGATTGGCCCACCAACCCCACTCACACACATTAAGTGGACAACAGCTGAACAAACACATTTATAATCATGTATCATAATTCGCCTAACTCTTAGAGGTGGACTTACACATGATCATGTTCAAAAGGTCTGGCTCATAAAGAGGAGACATGCTCTGACCATGTCAGTAGTAATGTACAACCTACCTCCTCATTTGGATATCCAGAGTTTGATTAGGGAAATGATCACATTGATCACTGCAGTCCATACCGGACCTGTGTGTGGTGTTACAATCCACATCCATCTATATTATCTTAATCAATAATTTTATTAACATAGATTGAAAGAATGTGTAGAGTGATTGTATTATTGATTGAGTGAAACAGTGAGTGAGTTGGAGGGTCATTCACACTCCCTTGCTCTACACATTCTCATTACTGATCAATCTACAATTACATCTAATAATATTAATAATATAATAATAATAAACTAATAATATTTCCATTCAAACAATCAATCAATATTAATATTATTATTAATAATAATCCTAATTTTAATAATTATTGATGTTCTGTAATGGTCTCTGGAAATAACATTGCTTTGGATTGGCGACGACCTGTCAGTCCCATGGGAGTGTAGCTGGGTGAATCGTGTGGTGAGATCATTGTGATTGGTGAATGGAAGCTCATGATCGGAGAGAGAAGCATCAGTTGATCTGCTTGTTTGCGGTACGGACACTCGGGACACTGACAGATCTCAGCCTCTCCATGATTGAACGATGAAAGATTGAATGAGGAATTGGTCGACGATGCCTCGCTGTGATATTGATTGTTGTTACTATTGTTGTTGTGATGATGTTGTTGTTGATGTTGTTGCTTCACTGTTGGATCATCAAATGTGAAGGCATCCAGTAGGTCGCACAAGGTTGACTTGTCAGGCTTGTCCAAACACTCTAGCAACTGACTAAAGTCTATCTTCTTATCTTCCTTGCCACGATACTCTTGCTTGTATACTTTGATCACTCGATTGAAGCACTCGAGGAAGTAGTCAGCTGGTTTCATCCTTGCACCGCCCGCTGCACTGTCCGACCTCTGATCACTGCACTGCTGATGACTGGACTTGACCTTCTTCCTCGTGGACAGATCACCGACATCATCATTCTGATCAAATGGTGGAGATGAGGGTGGGGAGGAGTCGTCCATCGCGCCCATGCCAGGGTCATCGGCACCATCTGGATCGCGTCTAGCATACTCCCTGGCATCCATCGAACGTTGTTGCATCATTGTGATGACAGCCTTTGATTGCTTGGCCTGTAGATTCTCCAACTTGCTCAGCCTCTCGGTCAGGATATCAATGAATGTCTGCTTCTTCTCACAATTACCGTTTGGATCCTTCTTGATGTGGTCCACCTTGGACACGACACGTATTGGATGTGAGAGGTACGCGTGTGGTGGCATGGACTTTTGGCTGTTGTCCGTCACGCTCAGCAGGATGTAGAACAAGTTGCCCTGATGCTGACTGGACAAGATTGATATCTTGGTCTCGATTGTGAAGTACTCGCCCTGTGGACAGCTGCTGCCGACGTAGGTGATGGGCGAAGTCTGGATGAAGCTCACCTCTTTCATGGGCTCGTTGGCGTAGTACAGGCCACACTTGACGTGGCAGTTGGAGAAGTTGAGTGCGTAAATGTCCAACGTGCGCAGCTTGATCACGAATGATGTGTTCTTGACGACGATGTGCACGCTCGAGTTGCGGTTGTTCAGGATGACGCTCTCCACCGAGATACACTCCTGCTCGACGATCTCCATGTAGGGCGAGTAGGCCACCTTGGACTTTTGATTGAGCAATGTGTTATGGTGATGCGTATTGATCGATGTGTTCTCGGATCGCGTCTGAGGTGACTTCTTGCCTCCGTGTTGGTGTGATGATGATGGAGACGACTGAGACTGTGAGTGTGATGATCGTTTCTTATCATGTTTCTGTTTCTTTTGTTCCTTGACTGGGGGTATTGGGGATGATGCCAGTTGCAACTGTTGTGGCACTACCTGTTGTTGAATTGGCATTTGTTGGAGTGATTGCATGTGCATAGGTGGTAGATACATTGTTGTCGCCACAGGACAATCCAGGATTGATATATCATATGTTGTATTCATCTTTCTAAATTATCTAAAATTATTAATTAATATTAGTTGTTGTGATGGGAATTATTCCATAATTATTATTTGGACTTACCTCTCTGATTCTTTGATTGATTGATTGATAGAATAGTATTGGAAACCTTTTGGTGAAGTATATAAACTACAAGAATATAGATAGTAGTAGAGCTATGTATGTGTACAATACAATGGAATGTCGTTGTCGTCGTCGAATCAGTGATGTTGTTGTTGTTTGTTGTTTGTTGTTTGTGGAATGTGTTGACAACGATCTGGTGGAGGACATCACATCCGTTGTATTGATCAGATATTACAACACAAATGCCCATCATCCACACATTGTTGTTGATCAATATCGTCTGGATGTGATTGATTGATTGAGGGAGTGAGAGGTGTGAGTGATGAACTATATATATACATGACATCTGACATTGTGACATCCATCGATGAATGACACTATATGAGTAGTGTGTGTGATTGATTGAAGTGTGTGTGAGTGTGAGTGTGAATGATCACATGATTGATGTACCATCGGTCCATTGCAATCAATCAACACCAAATCGAGTGTAGTGTATACAATGTAAGATTCATCCAATCTACAACATCAACATTGATTGTAGCCTGTCATCATCCAACCATGGATTCCAACCATTCATTCCGTTGTATATCCAACCCAAACCAGTCCAATGGAATCATGTCATCCTGTTGTTGTTCTCCTGCTGTGTGCCTGATGTGATATGAAGTGAAGTGCGAATGAATGAAGTTGGATGTGGATATATGTCGCCTTTGATTGTTGTACAACAAACAGCCACATGCATGCACGCATGGCTGTTCGCATATGAGTATGTATATTATTATAACACAGAGGTTGTTAGAAGAAGTACTTGGCTCCTAGCTTCCTGACCCTTGCGTCGAATGCTGGTGATGTGATCGGTGTGTTGTATGTATAGAATGGGTTCAGTAGTATCTAAGTAGTTAGTGAGTGTCAAAGGGTTAGTGATGCATTGAATGAGCGAGCTCTAATAAGTGATCGCCTACCTTAAGGTACAAGTCATGTACATCCACAAAGAAGTTCCTTATAGCATCTTCATCCTTCTTCTCATGCAGTAGCATAAACTTGATATCTATATGATTGATTGAGTGATTGATTGATTAGAGTCAGTCTGTTGATCACGTGCATGCCATCCAATCAAACAATCAATGAATACATACGTCCAGCAGTGACATAGGATGATATATTAAACTTGTTATACTTATCGACCACCTTTAGATTCATGTTGTTCGTCTTCCACAGTACCTCCTCTACAATGTCCAATGAACTATGTAATATATATTGATTTATATAGTTTGGTTCTTTCTACATCATCATCATCATCAACATCATCATCGTCATCATAGTGTAGGTTGGTCAGGATGTCTGTTGCTTGCCTCCAATCGATCAACATCATCACTATCATCATACCTTTTGAGATGATTGTGGAAACTCCAACTCATATATAGGATTATCATTCTTTCCAATGATCATGAATGTATATGACGCCATCTTATCTATATCTATCTATCTCTGTCTATATCTGTCAATATATATATCTATACAAATAACCTTGGAACTCACAACAATGAATGAAGATCAAAATTATCTCAAGATCTTTCAAAGTGCGAGCCACTTCACTTAAATGTTGGAAACACCTATGGACGATATTTATAACCAGTTTATTAACTAATTTTGATCATAATACATATATTAATAATAGTTAGTATTAACAGATAAACACTGAACTCAGTTGTAATATCAACAACAATGAATAATCAAGTAAATGTACCTCCACCCTGGTTCGCCCCTGCTATGGAAGCTGCCCTGGCACCAATTCGTCAGGAACTGGCGGTGCTCACTCGTCAAGTGAACTCTATCAATCACAATGAGAGAGCTAGAGCCAATAACTTCCGAGCTCTACACGCAAATGATACACTCATACCCGTACACAATACCAACAATGTGGCACCAGATGGATTTCCAGCAACAAGACGAGCCTTATGGATTCTCACCATTGACCAAGTCACCAAAATACTTCAACATTATGGATTGGCAACCTCCTCCAATGTTGGGGAAATGCGAGATTCTCTATCTGTGTTCATCAACTTAGCCTGGCAAGTCTAGACTACATCCTCGACTACCCTTGGTTTATACACATCAATCAACTAAATGGACTTTATCTGTCTTGCTTGTGGGTCTGTCATTCATTCGAGTCAAATTATGAAAGAGATAATTGATTACATGTGTACACTTATCTCTAAGAATGAATGAAGTTGTTCTTTCAAATACTTCGAGAATTCATAAGAAGCAACGACCTGTCGTTCTTTGCCGGCTCAAGATCAAACTATTACCATTTTTGATTCATTTCATCTATCGAGATCTATGGTGTCGAGACATTGTATACAATGTCATTCCCATGCTGACATACAGATAACAACATATATAACAATGACAACAAAGGATATCAAAGAGATAATTGGAGATTATAATATATTCTTGAGGATATTACTTAGACATCTGAGGGAGAGTGGTATCAATGTAGACTCATTAGTATCAGATCATCTATGTTATAGAGTATCATCACAAGAGATATATCAAACAAAGAAATCAGAGTTCTTGTCAAACAATCATACATTGTTGGCAGAGACAATGGTCAATGGTCGTCTGATATGTACATTCAAGTTGTCTCAGCCATTGGTCTATCATGACACGGTCACTGGCACCACCAGGACCATCGAGTTGGTTGAACTTCCCTCACCAAAGCCAAACAGACCACAGCTGGATGGTCTGGAGCATACAGAGTTTGTGATTGACGAGGACTTTCAAAAGTTTATCGAGAGACATCGCGATGTGATGCGTGGACAGTGGGTGCTGCAGGCGTTGAACAAGGAATTGAATGCCGATGTCGAGACAGAGTTTGAGCTGACCGAGCAGGACAAGCTGGACATTGGACATCCCTCGCATCTGATGGCAGAGCGCAGGACATTCTCTGCCAAGTTCCATCATCAGACTCTCGAGAAAGTTATCGAGATCGAAAAGGCCATGGAGTTGGAGCAACATAATAAATAGACACTGATGATGGATCTCATCAGTCAGATCTGGACAAGATCCCAAATGAAGTTTGTCATTTCATTCATTCATTCACAGCCATTCAATTAATATTTTTATTAAATATATAAATAATTATTTGAAATTATATATATACAAGTCATGAACCTCAATACTTTCCCTATACTGTCTCAACGTGCACTCTCCTTTCATCCTCCACCGCCAGCTCAAGTGGATACTCAACATCCCACTCTGGAGGAGACGGCACAAGCAATAAGATATGCCACTGGTGTCAAGTTGCAGTCAGTAACTTCATTCGATAGCATTGTATCTGATGCTGATCTGGTCTCAGTTACAATATGGGAAGCAAAGACAATCAATAATTATCAACGATGTAACGCACCACTCTGGTTTGCACCGTCATTGAAGGACGCTATAGGTGAAGATCTACAAGATATTCGAAAGACTTTAGCTGAACTCACTCACCCGGAGAAATTGAGCATTCACAACCAGAGGGCAAGACTCAACAATTCATGTGCAGTCTTTGCCAATGACCCCCTCACACCGCTATGCAATATCCTCAATGTGCAACCAGATGTGTTTCCAGCTACTCTACTCGACTTTTGGAATCTTAGAATAGATCAAGTCACTGATTTAATCAATCATTATGGATTGAGCGTCTCTCCTAATCTTGGAGAAAGGCGAGATTCCTTAGCAAAGTTCATCCACTTGGCAAATTAGGTTACCATATTACAGATACTAGTTATTCAATAAATGCACCAGTCTTTCTCAATATATCTTCTCACTTGCCTACTTTGATCAACACCGAATCAAGTTTGTTTTCAGTTGCTACAGTCATGCTGCATGCTATAGAATCCATGATGAGAGTTGGTTGCATTTCGAGCTTAACAAGACCTGCAGAGATGACATTATGTTGGTGGAGACTAGGTCCTAGTATGGTTTGAGCTTCATTTACTTAGTTGAGTATCCACTTGAGCTGGGGGAGCAGGATGACGATTGAGTGCGAGTGGAGTCAATTCAGGGAATGGATTCAGATTCATTGTTGTTTGTTCAGAATACAATGATTAGGTTTGAGTCTATAATTATATCTCTTCTTTACAAATAATATTTGTATATATATTGAATTGTTGTATAATAATAATGCTTGTATAAATAAAAAATGTTCGCAAACCCGCCTTTTTTATAGATTGAACTTCAATTTCAACATCCCACTCTGGAGGAGACAGCACAAGCAATAAGATATGCCACTGGTGTCAAGTTGCAGTCCTTTGCTTCATTAGATAGCATTGTATCGGATGCTGATCTAGTCTCACTGACCGCATGGGAAGCCAAGACAATCAACAACAATCAAGAAGGAATCGAACCACCTTGGTTTGGACCAGCGTTGATGGCGGCTCTTGGACCAGATCTCCATAATATTCGAACCAATATTGCTATTCTCAATCGCCAAGTGAACTCGAGCATTCAAAATCAGTTTGCAAGAGACAACAATGCACGAGCGGTACACCCCAATGACCCACTGACACCCTTACGCAATACCCTCAATGTGGCACCAGCGTCATTTCCTACCCGACTCGCCTTCTGGGATCTCCTTATCGAACAAGTCACGGAATTACACAATCATTATGATTTGGCAATCTCACTAATTCTTAGTGAAAGGAGATATGATATGGCTAGGTTCATCCATTTGGCAAACTAGCCTATGTTCGATCACTCATTGTCAACTTGTACAGATTCAATCAATACCAAACACTTTGCGACTACACTGGGCAGTATCCTGAGAGAGGGAACTGATCTACAACAATCAATAAATAGTCACACCATCAGTCAGATCGATGCCAACAACCAAGGTTGCACACCTGTCTTTATCGATACTTCTTCTCACTGACAATCTCTGCCTCTTTGATCAACTTGGGATCCAGTTTGTTCGCAGTTGTTCCAGTCTTGTTGGATGCTGTTGAGTCCATGATGAGTGTTGGTGGCACTTCGTAGATGGGCACAACACGACCAGCTGAAATGACATTGATGTTAGTGATGACCAAGTCCTTCTTGAATGGTTTGCGCGTGCTGTTGGTGCCAACCAAGTTGAATGGACTCTTGTAGCCCAGCACCTGGACGGTGGCTGCGCCAGGTCCGCCAGGCGTGTAGTCGTTGATTGTGAATGTACATGTGAAGAACTTCTCGGTGGCCCCGCTGGCATTGGTGATCTTGGCCTTGTCAAACTCGCAGTCTTGGATGCGTGGCAGTTGCAATGGCGCCTTGGTCACCAACTGGATACGGTCGCGATGTGTCTGGATCGCGTTCACAGTGACATCAAAGAACTTGCGATAGTTGTACATCTTGTAGGCCAGATTCAGTAGCATTATAATGATGAATGGTGCCAGTCCACTATCATCCATCAACACCAACACATAGGAAGCAATGCCATAAAACAATGCTTCGGTTGATCGCAATACATTTCCAATTATCGATCTTGAGAATAGTCTTAAGTATCTAACACCACCTAGCAGTCTTTCATTATGTACCAATCCAAGTTCAATATTGTAGTTATATCCATTTGTCAACAAATGTGATCGACTTATTGTGTTGTCATGTATTCCATGGACACAGCCCATCAGTCGTGTTGGTCCAATTGATCTGTATATACTATTACTACTATTATTACTAATGTCAGTATTTATATTATTTCTTCGACTTTGGTTTTGACTTTGACCAATACCATGACTACTTATAAAGTAGTACTCTGGCCTTAATGTTTGATTGTTAATGACATTGATCTTGATATTGATATTATTTAGTTTGTTTGAATATTTGTTTCTTGTTGTAAGTAACAAAGCACAACGAACTATAGGATTGATATTCATAGTGTATCTATCTATATATCTTTCAATATATAATTCTGAATGTAATAATAATGTACAATTATCACACTGAACACCACACCCACAACACAACTTCAACTTCATTCTGTTCATATTTGCATCATTTCAATTGAATCGACACTCTCTACACACACAACTTACAAACAAATAATTGTTTATAACACACACATTGATAACAATCAATGGAACAAACAACTAATCATTTTTACATTGCGTCAGTGATGTCCACATCATTATGTGTAAGTCCGATTGACAGGGAATCAATGATCTATTCATTTGAAAAGATGGGTCAAGACATGTCTCAACGGTTGGATCGTTGCCCATCTCAAATCTTACCTGAATCAAAGTGTTGTTGAAAAACTGCAGTTTTGTGGGTCCTTGTTTGGTGTTGGTTTGTGGTGTCTGCCCATTGTACACCCTCATGAAGACCAAACACTTCAAAGTGTCAAGGTCATTTTGGTATCTTCAACTACATTATAATATATAAATATATTTAGTTGTAGATATAGTGTACATTATTATTATCTGTATATAATCAATCAATCAATCAATCATATACATATAAGTGTTGATTACACTATACAATCAATCAAACAATCATGTCAGCATCAACACTTAATATATCTTCATCATCTTCAAACTCGATAGATCTATCTTTATCAAGTTCGAATGATACTACAGTGATGGCATCAGCAGCAACAACACCTTCATCACCACCAGCAGCAGGCAACATTCAATCAGAGTTTGAACAGTTGTTGGAGAAGCTTGGAATCACTGATCCTGTGAAGAGGAAGGAGATGATGGGACTGCCCGACGCCTCAAAGCGTGTACTCATCGACCAGAACAAAACAGATATCTACAAGACCGTTCGAACAACAAAGCCAAGCGCGGCCGAGTCATTCGCCGACGTCAAGAGCGTAATCCTCTCGATCAACACAAAGTCCACGTCGATCGATGCCATGCGATCACTGCGTGTGCAGCTCAACACATCGCCCGTCGACTGGATCCAGTCGTTCCTTAACAATGACGGCGTGCAGCCCATCCTGGACATCCTGCACTCGATCGAGAAGAAGCGCAAGAACAAGTCCAAGCGCAAGGACCTGGCCATCCTGCAGTACGAGTGCATCCGATGTCTTGACGCCATCATGAAGATGAAGATTGGTATGGAGTACATTGCCAAGTTCCCTGCGGCCACCAACCAGATCATGCTGGCCTTTGACTCGGACATGACCAAACTCAAGACCCTCATCCTGCGTCTCCTGGCCGCTGCGGCCATCCTCCCACTTGGTCACGGAGCAGTGCTCACCTCCATGATCTACTACAAAGAGATACGCAAGGAAGAGCAAAGATACCATACTCTCGTCCAATCACTCAAGACTGAAACTAACAGAGAGTATATCGTAAGTTTTGATGATTGAGTCAGTGATGGGCATGGTACCATGCATGGTCGACGACACTGACATCCAACCACCTACCAGGCCACATGTATATCATTCATCAACTGTCTTATATCATCTCCAGCAGAGGTGTCTGCGAGGATTGAGATAAGAAAGGCATTCCTCAATCTTAAGATTCTAAAGTACTTTGAGAATCTTCGCGAGCAATTCAATGAGGACAAGGCTGTCACGACACAGCTCGATGTGTTCCAGGAGGAGATGGTCAATGACGAGCAGTTGAACGCCTCACAGACTTCAAAGCTCTCCATCGAGGAGATCTTCTCACAGATCTCGGCAAGAGTGACGGGCACGCCGTCCCAGGCCGACCTGGTGTCCCTGATGAGCCACTTCCAAAAGATGGCCTCTTCCTCACTGGGATTGCGCGTGTGGAAGCTATATCTCAATCTGTCGGTGCAGCTGGAGGAGGAGCTAGAGTCACACCCCGAAGTCGACATCAACACAATCAACCTGGCCTTCCCCGAGCAGAAGAAGAGCAGCAGTCTGTTCTCGTTTGGCAAGTCCAAGTCACCAGTTACTTCGCCCGGACTCTCCAGCCAGCAGGCCGTAGATAAGCATAAGCTCAGGAAGGACAACGAGGAGAAACAAAAGACGATCGATCATCTTTTGAAGCAGCTCAACTCATTCAGTGGTGGACAGGACATCACCAAGTGGATGTTGGAGCGCGAGGAGAAGAACAAGATGATTGCCCATCTCATGGCACAGGCCAAGGTCACCGATGGCTTTGCCGAGAATGAGCAGCTGAGGAAGGATCTGGAGGCCACCAGACTCGAGCTGAATTGTTTGAAGAGCTCACCAATATTGCTGAGCTCCACACCAACCATGCAGATGCCCAATGGACGTCTGTCCTCTGGCAACACCTCATCGCCAGCCACACCAGATCTTGCACCAAACGTTGGAGGCGATGGCTCAGGCATAGCGGATTCAACGTCAGATCCCAATGAGGGCGGACCTCCTGCGCCACCAGGCGACGGCCCACCTCCACCTCCACCACCCCCTGGCGGCGGTCCTCCACCACCTCCTCCTCCACCTGGCATGGGCGGACCTCCTCCACCTCCCCCTCCTCCCGGCTCAAAGAAGGGCACTCCATCGCGTCCAGCCAAGCCAATCATCAAGCCATCGGTCAAGATGAGAAACTTCAACTGGGTCACAATGCCCGTGCTCAAGGTCGAGAACACACTATGGGACAAGATGGACGAGAGTTCGATCATTCAACAGCTGGACACCAACGAGTTGGAGGCACTCTTCTCTGCCAAGGCCCCACCTCCCAAGGCCGAGACACTAAAGAGTCCAAAGAAGATGGCCATCACACTGATCGACCCAAAGAAGGCCAACAACTGTGCCATCATGTTGCAACACTTTAAGCTTGGCAATGCCGAGCTCAAGAGAATCCTGTCGACTATGGACGAGAAGATGTTGGATCAACAGAATGCCACCTACCTGGTCCAGTTTGTGCCAACCAAGGAGGACATCGACATACTCAAGGAGTTTGGTGGAGATGTCAGCCAGCTGGGCGCAGCAGAGCAGTTCATGATGGCCATCATGGACATCCCCAAGCTTGATGCCAAGCTGAAATCACATCTGTTCAAGCTGAAGTTGCCCAGCATGTTGGAGGACATGAACCCAGACATTAGAGCCGTGAAGCATGCGTCAATGGAGATCAAGTCATCGCGTCGTCTCCACGAGATACTGAGGTTCCTACTTGGTGTCGGTAACTACATCAACGGTTCAACAACCAGAGGTGGTGCACATGGATTCAAACTGGACACATTGAGCAAGCTGAGAGACGCCAGAACAAACGACGGCAAGATGTCACTCATTCACTACTTGGCCAAGTTGATTCAAGAAAAGAACGTCGACTTGTGGAGCTTCACCAGCGATTTGAAGCATTTGGAGCACGCCGCTGAGGTGTCTATCAACAACATTCAGCAGGACTTCAACGAGATCAAGCGAGGAATCGAGCTCATTGAGAAGGAGTTTGCCGCTCAGGTACCAGGCACTGGCGCACCACCCTCAAGTCAGGGCGCATTTGAGCAGTCAATGATTGCCTTCCTCAGGACGGCCAAGGACGAGTACAACAAGCTCGACACACAGATCACCGAGATGAACAACCACTACGAGACGGTCACCAACTACTTTGGCGAGTCCAAGGCCTGTCCACCCGACCAGTTCTTCTCATACTTCTCCGACTTCTTTGACGACCTCGAGAAGGCCTGGAAGGAGTACCAGAACATGCTCAAGGCTGAGAAGGATGCCAAGTATGAGGACCCTGAGAAGGGAGGTCTGGAGGACATCACTACACACATCCGTTCGGGCAAGTTGTTCAAGGATCGTCGTCAATCGTCCAATCTGACACATGCCATGGCAGAGAAGGTGCAGCAGGCCGCTGCGTCATTGAAGCCAGCTGGCGCGTCCAAGAACCTTCAAGTACCATCACCCAAGCAACCACAACCTGTAGCACCATCACAATCACTACTTAAGCCATCCAGTCTGCGCACTACTACATCATCCAAGGACAGTAAGGACAAGGAAACGCCCAAAGACAAGAAGTAGAAGTAAAATCCCCAAACAAACAATGTGTATTTATGTTCATCAATGTCGTTGTCTTTACTTTACTTTGTTTGTTAGTCTCGTCCAGGACTGTGCTAGCAATCCTGATTGATTAATTAGTTGATTAGATACGGTGGTCTTCCTCCAATTGCATCACTTTGAGATGCTCCTCGTCACAGGCGGCTGGAGTATGGAACTTCATGGAGTACTCGCACTTTGATGGCTCCTGGATGTCCGATGCGACATTCTCTGAGCCACACTCAACGCTGACGAGCAGTGATCTCTTTGGACCGCCCCAACATTGTTGTCCATTCTGGAAGGACATCATCGAGTGTCCTGATCTCCATTCCTCAAATTTACTGTTGGTAATGTTGGTCGAATGGTTAGGTCAACGCCAGAGAGTGGATGTCGGTCTTGACTACTTACCCAAGACTGGTGCCTCCTTGTGATGCTCTGTCATATGGACAGAGAGTGTAGGTGTATTCCTTGGTCTTGAGATCGAAACACTTGCCAAAGAGTGGAAGGAAGACGTTGTCCTTGCCATGGTCAAAGCTCAACAACTTCTGGATGGTCTCAATCGCTTCCTCCTTCTCGCGCAAGTCTGATCTGGCGTTTGAAAGTAGAGCTTCAACGTCTCCAAGATCTAGATATTATGGATTAGTGATGGATGGTTAGTAAGTTCTGGTCATTCAACGTTGGCAACAACAACAACAAAAGCGTTAACATGTGAGTGATGGTGATGGTGAGGATGACAGTGAGAGTGATGTGATGATATCAACCCAAATGATCATAGTCTAACGATGGAGGGAGATATGGTGTGATGAGCTCCAACAGCGGGGAAATGTAATCAATCAGCTGCTGCATTATCTCTCTGCTGCTCGGTGGAAGATAGCTCAAAAGAGTTTGTATGACAACAGATGTTTGATTGGTGGATGATGTCGTGTTGTTTCCCCTCATTGGTTCTGTCGAGTCCGATCTTCTGTTCCTCTTCCTCTCCTTCTCCTGTGCCGCAGATGGCTTCCTCCTCCTGCTCCTATGTGTCTTCCTTCCATTATCCTCATCATTGTTGTTGTTGTTGTTGTTATCTATATCATTACCTATTGGGGTTGGTATTAGTTAGAATGGACATGGTGGATCATCAGTATGTCAACTTTACCTCTATTTATGGATTCCAGTAGTTCTGACTTGACCTCCTCTGGTTTCTTGTTCTTGTCATCCTCGTCGTCCTTCTCCTGGTCCTCGTTGGTGGCCTCGGCATTGTCCTGTGTGTTGTCCTCAGCGGCTTGGACGGGTGCCTCGGCGGCCTTGGCCTTCTCGAGCTCCTCCTGCAGCTTTTCTCTCTCCTCTTGCAGTCTGGTCTGCTCCTCATCGCGCTTCTTCTGGAGTGTCTCACGGGCAACCTCATGCTCCTTGATCTTCTCCTGGAGTGGGTCGATCTCCTTCCTCAGTCGCTCCAGTTCCTGAGTCTTCTCCACCAAGATTCGCTTGGCGTCCTCAATCATGTCAGCCTTAATCTTTAGGCCATCTCTGAAGCGATCGATCTTCTCTTGACGTGCCTTTCTCGTCTCCTCTCCCTTCTCAATACAAGTGTTTGGACATTCAGTCTTCTTGTTGTATTCATCAGATCCATCACAACAGTCTATAATGGGAGAAACATAACATGTTAGTATTCAATCACTCAATCAATCAATCAATCAATCAATCAATCAATCATAAACATACCGCACACTCCATCATTGACATATGTTGAAGAGATTAGCTCAGAATGATGACCCTTGTTCACACAATAGTATTGACCGTTTGAGCATGCTGATGTACCTGGTTCATCAGATCCATCTGGACAATCACAATAGTCATCGTTGACCTGTGTAATAGGTATCTGCTTTCCATTTGAGAAACATGTAAACTTCTGTCCCTTGTAATATTGTGCAACTAAGTAAGTGGTAATGCAGCATCATTCGTTAGTTAGGTGTCTTGACATTGATTGTTAATCATTCATTAATTACCTTCTGGTGATGCACCGAATGATGGTGACAGTGGCTCTTTGGTCGTTGTTGAGTTGACCAAACCAATCAACACTACTATAAATACAACAACAACAGATGATTGTCTCATTCTTAATATATCTATCCTCTCTATCTCTATCTCTATCTCTGTTCGAACTCTGACACGTGTCAGGTCATCTGAGCTATCCTTTGCTGAAGTGTGGGAGGTTGAACATGAAAGTTGGTCATCTCGAACTTCATTCATTCAATAACATCCTTCAGTTCAATTATTCCATCAGATTTGAAGAATCATTCATTCATTCAAAGATATGAACAACTTACCAGACATTGTTATTAATGATATTTATAAACTACTCAGAGATGAAGTGGACAAGATATGTCTAGCATTGTGTTGCAAGAGATTGATGTTAATAATGAATAAGTTGGTGATGAAGGATCAAAGGAATACACCTTATGTATTGGATAAGGTATCTTCATTGACAACACTTCCCGAATCAATCACATGGATTCTAGTGAACAATGGACTTGGCAGGATCTGATCAGTGCAACAAATACCATTCCCAGATACACTTGAAATACTCGAGTTTGGAGATGCTGCAAAGTTCAACAAGATGATCACACGGTCGTCACTGCCTGACTCCATCACCAAGCTATCATTTGGATATTATTACAACAAACCAATCACTGCTGAAGCAATGCCTCGATCACTCAACACATTGATCTTGGGATACAAGTTCAACTTACCCATTCAATCAGGGTCGTTGCCACAAACTATAACAAGTCTGACATTTGGAGATAAATTCAATCAACCTATTAGGCTTGGACAACTACCTTCATCACTCACTCATCTTGAACTTGGGTATCGTTTCAACTCAACAATCGAACAAGGGTCACTCCCTGTGTCAATTACACAACTCAAGTTTGGCGTACTTTATAACAAGTTGACTGATGGCTTACTCACTCCGCTGGCTGTCCTCAGATCATTGTCATTTGGCATGGAATTTAAAGGCCCATTAACACCTGGATCACTCCCTCCATCACTTCAAAGTCTCGACGTTGAACAATCTAGAAACATAGTGATACTTCCAGACTCTTTGCCTCCATCGCTCACTGAACTTTGCTTCCAGCATCACAACCAATACCTTGAACGAGGGATGTTCATTTACCAAAGAAATCCTCCATTCTTTATAAAGAGAGATACGATTGTGGCTGGTTCACTGCCACCTTCAATCAAAAAGTTGATAATACTCATTAACATGAAGTTGGGGATAGATCCTGGATCGCTGCCACAATCACTTCAAACATTGATCATAAATGGGACAACTAACTTGGTGTTGGGAGAAGGTATACTTCCACCATCTCTCACCGAGTTGTCATTTCCAAGGATTGGCCATCTCACTATTATTGGTGCCAACTCAGTACCATCAAATCTTCGTTGGATTACAATCCAAAACATTCATCATATCAAGTACTTTGAACACCTTACACAGATTGAACAAGTGGAGTTTAGTGAGCCATGTCTCATCTCTGGCCGACATTTATATCCAAACGTATTATATACAACAACAATAAGATGTAATATACTCAAGATAACAGTTGAAAGAGTGAACATAAGTACTGTCAAATCCAAGTCACGCTTTGCCAATCAAGAGGAGATCTACCATGTGGTCTCAAAAGTGATTCTAGCCGCACCTAATGTTGGAACATATATGGTCGATCATTGTAATGCTTTTCCAAACTTCACTTACTACTTCCGAGTGATTGACGATCACAATGTAATGATTGTTCGTCCTAACTTCACATTCAAATTCATCACTTTGTTGGAACTTCATAATAATAAAGTGATCCAATGAATGTGTGAATGAGTGTGATCACCTGATTGGGTGATCATTTTCATTCGACCAATCAAACAATCAAAGATGTACAACATACCAGATATAGTTATAATTGATATATATAAACTACTTAATGATGTTGTGGACAAGGTGTGTCTTGCATTGTGTTGCAAGAGATTGATGGCGATCTGGATAAAGTTGGTGAAGTTGCAGAAGGAAATCAACCAAAGAAATACAACTTATGAATGGTATTACAACAAATCCTCACCAATCTTACAACAACAGCAACAATCACTTCCCGATTCAATCACATCGATGCGAGTGACTGCTGATCCTGACGGTCTCGGTCTCGCCTCAGTGCCATTCCCAAAGTCAAGTCTTTTAAAACTCGAGCTTTCAGACTCGTTCAACCATATGATCTTACCGTCCTCATTGCCAGACTCCATCACCGTGCTAACACTAGGCTTTTATTATAACCAACCAATCAATGTTAATACATTGCCCAAGTCACTCAATACATTGACCTTTGGCCAAAAGTATAACCAACCCATTCAAACTGGTTCTTTGCCAACTACCATCACTTGTCTAACCTTTGGCTATGAGTTCAATCAACCTATCGGGCCTGGACAGCTCCCATCATTACTCACTCAACTTGAATTTAGATATCGCTTCAACTCAATCATTGCTCCTGACTCATTACCTCACACGTTAATACAACTCAAGTTTGGTAAAATCTTCAGCAAGTTGACTGACAAACTGCTCAGTTCACTACCGATGCTCAACAGCTTGTCTTTTGGTTTTGGTATTGTTGGACCATTAACACCTGGATCACTCCCTCCATCACTACAAACACTCGATATTGAACGATCGCCTAGACTCATCGTTGATGATCCGCAATCCATCCCCCCTGCGCTCACCAAGTTGAGTGTCTTTGCTCAAAGTCAGGTGAGCCCATTCCCTTTACATCTGTTATCACTTAGAATATATGAAATCGATGACATTACACTGGTACCTGGGTCTCTGCCATCGTCATTAACAGAGTTGATAATAGTCAGCAGGATAAAGATAGTGCTCTCACCAGGATCACTACCTCAATCACTTCAATCATTGATCCTTTCGGGACGGATGGACCAAGAATTGGCTCAAGGCACACTACCACCTTCGCTCACTCTTTTGTGTCTTCCAGACAACTGTACACTCAACATTGTGGACACAATACCATTGGGTCTTCGCAGTCTCTCCATAGCAGGTGTTCACTTGGTCAAGTACTTTGAACAACTTACACATCTTGAGCATGTCGAGCTCAAGCTTCCATGTGATTTGGACGACACGAACATCTCAACATTGAAGTGCAACAGACTAAAGTTCACAGTCAAGAGTATATACGTTGATTGTGACCCATCGATGGACTTCACATTTGCCACGCGGACAACTACTCCTGATGAACTCTTGGCTGTCATTACAAGAGCTATTCGTGCCTTTCCAAATGTTGACACATTCGAAGTTGTCCAAGAACTACATTCCACACACCTCATCCGAGCGATTGACAATAATCAATTTCTGCACCTCCATTCCAATCATTCATTCAAACTAATCACACTGTCATCATAAGAATCATGATTGACTATTCATGTTGTTTAGAAAGCCCTCACCCTCAACCCTTGCCCCAACCCTCGACCCTCGATCACAAAGAACTTGTGAGAAAGTTTCACCTTTTTGTTTGATTCATGGATGTTCATTCTTTCATTCATCCATTGTATAATATATAATACATACATATAATAACTGTTTCATCATTGATACACTACTATAGTCTGTTGTCTATTAATCATCAGTTCAAATATAATAATAATGGATACAAACAAAGATATAATACATCATGATGTTGTGGTTAATGATTCAAACACTACAGAGCAGCAAGATGTCGTTCATCCTGAGACATCAAAGCATCAAAGATATGATCATTCAATGTTGGACAACTTACCAGACATTGTTATGGTTGATTTATTTAAACTACTCAATGATTTGGTCGACAAGGTGTGTCTTGCATTGTGTTGCAAGAGATTGATGGCAAATATGAACAAGTTGATGGTATCACTGAGGCAGAATGCTCAAAGAAATACACCCTATAGATGGTCAGAGACGACAGAGTTGCCAGAGTCAATCACATGGATGCGCGTGGACTCCTCCCTCAGACAAAGTAACATACCCTTTCCCAAGTCACTTGCAATTCTTGAACTAGGAGGACGATTCAACCAGATGATCACACCATTATCACTGCCCGACACCATTACCAATCTCTCACTTGGCTACTTTTTCAACCAACCAATCAATGTTGGTGATCTGCCCCAATCACTTCAGACCCTATCTCTTGGATCAATGTTCAGCCAGCCATTACAGATAGGGTCGCTTCCATCATCACTCACCACGCTCATACTTGGCGATTATTATAACAATGTAATCAGTGTTGGTACTCTGCCTCAATCACTTCAGACCTTAACCCTTGGCTCAACGTATAGCTTGCCCATTCAAGTTGGATCGCTACCACCAACATTAACCAGTCTGACCTTAGGCTACAATTTCAATCAACCGATTTCCAATGGACAGCTCCCATCTTCGCTCAATCAACTATTCTTTGGATATTACTTCAACTCATACATTGAGCCAGGCTCACTCCCTCACTCGATCCCACACACAACTCACTTTTGACTACTCCTTCAACATGTTTGACGAAGGCCTTCTCAGTCCACTCACTCTCCTCAACAATTTGACATTTGGATATTCATTTTTGGGTCCAATTACAATGGGATCACTCCCTGAATCACTCCGATCACTCAATATCGAACAATCAAAGAGGATAATCATTGAGCCAGATTCCTTGCCTACCTCGCTCACTCAACTCAGTGTTTCAGGTCTACTTCCAGATCAACCGCCCGCCTTCCCTTCGCTTCAATCGTTGAGAATTAGGTTATTAAATGACAACATTCTTGCTCCTGGATCACTTCCATCATCAATAACCAAGTTGTATATATCAACCGATCATCAGGTGTTGATCAAACCTGGATCGCTTTCATCATCACTTCAATCAATTGAGCTTGATGGAGACTTTTGCAATGAGTCTCCAGGAGACAAACTACCATCATCACTCACCAAGTTGGTCCTTTCACAATGTAGAAGAATGAAATTTGATAAAGATTCATTGCCATCTGATCTTCAAAGCACCTCAATACCCAATCTGGAATTTGCCAAGCAATTCGAGCACCTCTCACAACTTGAAACAGTTGAGTTGTTGTATGACTTAACTGTCAAAGGCAATGACACGCCATATTCAACAATACGATGCGATAAACTAAGATTCCAAGTGCAACGAATCAATCTTGCTTATGACCCTGATTGCGACATGGATATGAGCCCACGCGTAGCAACGAAGGATGAATTGTTGGAAGTTATTGCGCGAGTTGTTCAAGCCACTCCAAATGTTGGAACGTATTTTGTGGATGAAGATGACTGGAACATTCACCAAATCAGAGTGATTGACAATAACATTGTTTTGATCTGTACCAATCATTCATTCAAGTTCGCCTCAATCTAGAAATATTAAACATTTTATAATTGTATTTCGGATAACAAATAGAAATAATAGTCTTAACCGATATTAGAACAATTAATTCCCCTTTGGAAATTGTTTCTAGTTTATTCAACTTAGGTGTACTTGGAATAGGATTCATTGGTGCTAGAGTATTGGTTGGAGTATTGATTATTATCTTGTTCACCACCTTGGAGGACACCATCGTTGCTGTTTGAGTCGTATCCATTCTCGATGACCTCTTTGTTGTTGTTGTTCTGGCTACTTATGATATTGTTGTAGGTCTTATTATCTCTTGCATTCTGTCTTTGTTCAGAGGGAGCCCTGTCGTTTGAATTGGCATTGTTGGTTTCACCACCGAGTCCCAATACATCCTGGACGACCTCAACACCCTTATCAAAGACAACATCCTTTACTAATTAAATATAAAAAAATTGGATAGAGAGAGAAGAATGAGAATAAATATTAGAAAAATAAAGGTAGATAAGGGTACTTAAATATTACTTTACTTACATCCCATATTTCAATAGTTTTGTTTGTTAGTTTAGATGAATAATAATAATTAATTATGTTTTGTTTTTGTTGTTGAAGAGGATACGATCGTATGTATTTATAATGAATTCTCTTATTAAAAATAATATTCCAAAATCTAAACGTTACAATTTTAATTGGTCATTCTACAAATAATTGGTGGGATCAAGAGGAAGGAGGTACGCCCACCCCATAAATTATCGGGGGTAGCTGGCTTGAAAAAATCATCAAAGGGGTGAAGATCAATTCATACATATTTATGGATATACATATGTATGTTTCAATCTCCACCTAGTACTGTAAATTATTTGATGAACAAACAATAAGCCAATTAAACTAATAGTTTCTCTCACTCAACCCCACTATTGTAGAATTCCCAAGATTGGATTGTTTTACCCAATCGAAAAAAACATCAGGATAATGTAGGGAATGGGTGGATAAACACTCAGAGAGGGTGATATTTTTATTTGGATTGATTGAACCACACTTTCCTGATTGTGTTTGTTCAATTAATTGATTAAATAATTGAGGGGGTGTGGAGGGAATCCGATTGGTCCAATCCGAAATAGATGACATAGTAGGAATAAGCATGATCAAGTGTTGTTGACATCATTGTCAGCAGCACACATTATTAAATGTTCTTATGTGTTGAAGTAGTTCTTGTTGTTGTTGTTTGTGTCGCCTTGTTGGTTTGTGTGAAGTAGTTGTAGTGGTTGTAGTACCTGTATCTGAAGATGTAATAGTGCAGTCCATCACCTTTCTTATTTTTTTGATGTCATTATTTGTAGTCCCGTCCACTATTGGCATCTATGACAGTGTGATAATTGTCAAGGAACGATGCCAAGTAACTGTCGACCATAGAATCAATGACCTTCTCCGGCTTCTTTGACTCCGGTTTCTTGATAATGCCACGAATTTGTTCTGTACATTTCCTTCTTTCAATTTCAATCAATTTCTCAACCATCCTGATCTGGTCTTTGATCAATCAATCAATCATCCCACACAAAAAAACAAACACATAAATGATCATCACTGATACCTGCTATGGAGTCATACCTTTGAGGAGGAAGAATGGTGACCAGGAACAACAACAGGAATGGGAGATACTTGTTATACAACACTTGAAGGGCGAACATTGGGCCTTCCCAAAGGGTCATCCAGAACCAAACGAGACAGCATTGGAGTCTGCCAAGCGTGAACTACACGAAGAGACTGGTTTGGTGATCGATACATTGCTGGTTGAACAACCATTGACAGAGCACTACAACTTTGAGAACAAACGTGGCGATACAATCAACAAGTCTGTGCACTACTTCTTGGCCCAAGTGAGCGGCACTCTCGTACTTCAAGCTGAGGAGGTGAAGGACTCGCGATGGGTGCCAATCAATGACGCTCATACACTTCTCACATTCGATGCCGCCAAGAACCTACTCAAGTCTGCAATCGACGCATTGCACCAACACTCAATCAACGACAAGATGTTGGATTCATTCCATGCCAACAAACATCTGATCATCGACTCACACAGCCACATTCACGAAGATGTGGATAACCTCGAGTTCGCAGACATCAAGCTACCCCTGCACTGCACCTGGTTGATGGGAACGACCGTGGACGACTGGACACGTGTCAACAGATATGGTGACCGTCTGGGCACTCGCACCATTCGTTGCTTTGGCGTGCATCCCTGGTTCGTGCATCTCGTGCACCCGCCCAAGGAGCTGCTGGACACAAACCCCGAGCAAGACCCAACCAAGATGGTGTCTGACACCTACCCAACGGTGATCAACACTGCTTGGCCCGACCAGCTACGTCAACAACTCACACAGTATCCCAATGCGATGGTCGGTGAGATTGGAGTGGACCGCGTGACCAAGTGTCGCGCCACTGGCAAGAACGAACAGGCTGAGCAATGGATAGTATTTGATCAACTGATCAAGATTGCAGTAGAATTCAATCGTCTTGTCAGTCTACACTGTGTTCAACTTCATGGCAAGCTCCTAGACTACTTCATCGCACTACCAATCGATCAGATGCCGAGGAAGATTGCCCTTCACACGTTCAGTAAGTCCACTCACACAATCAATCAATCAATCATACTGACTCAAGCACAACAACTACAACAGGCGGCAAACCATCAACTGTTGACTCATTCGCCAAGATGAAGACCAAAGGCAATCGCTTCTACTTTGGCATCTCATTCATTAATCTCTCATCATCAAAGGTGTACAAGATGATCAAGGTATGTATTATGTTGGATTGATTGATTGAAAGTTTATTGACTCCATGCTATCAACAACAGTCGATACCTGATGATAGACTATTACTTGAGTCTGATCAAAACACTCCACTGGAGGCAGAGTCGAGCATATTGGATGTTGTAATGGCCATTTGCAAGGCCAAGGAATGGACAGTGGAACAGACGATCACCATCACCAGACAGAACGCCATTGAGTTCCAAGCATGATGGTCATCAATCCACGATCAATCAATAATCATCGTCATAACCATAGGCATCATTGCTTCTCCAGTTTGGCTCTGGTACAAAGTGCTTGTCCGCCAACCTCATGAATCCAAACATGTCGCGATGAAAGAAGTTACCATCAAACAATACGCCCTTGGAGGCAATCCTTCGAAGACAGGGGATGGAGATGTCGCCGTACTCCACTTCGAGAGTCCTCGCTCTGGGAAAGGTTGTCAACGACCGTCCAATAAAGTGTGGAAGGTCCATACCAAAACAGTCGTCGTCGTCAATCGTGGAGGTTACCTTGAGCTTTAACTGTCGACATCGTAGTTTGGATGGCTGCGCCAAGATTGCTGGTCCACGTATCATGATCTCCTCGTCCACTAGCACATAGTCGAGATGTGTAAGATGCTCAATCTGCCTGATGAAACTGAGGCTTGGGATGGACAGCTTGCGCAGGCCCACAGGCCAAGTGTCGTGGACGGTAATTGTCCCGCCCCTAGGCAGCATCAACTCGGTGAGGGACGGTGGGAATGTGCCGCGAGGAATGTCGCCAGTAGAATCATACACGCAATCGATATCCAGGGACAGCAGGGTCAATGGGATAGTACCCTTCAACGACTTTAATGGAAACTTTCCCAACAGAGTCAGCTTGGTGAGGGTTGGCGGAATGAATCCCATTGGCAACGGGGCGAACTTTGAGTAGCCGATGGTGAACGATCGGAGTGAATGCTGAAGTGATCCAATGTTGGCAAAGGTGCTCTTAAGCATTAATGAGTTGCCGTCTATGCCTGATCCAAAGGAGAGGTGTTTGAGCAAGGGTGGGAGTGATCCTCGTGGCAACACCTGTTTAAACTTCTCCCCCTCTAAGCTCAAAGCAATGAGAGACCGAGGGAAGGTACTTGTCGTGATAGGTTGATTGAAGGCATCACCAAGTTTGAGATGTTTGAGTTGAATGTTCATGAATATGCCTTCGATTGTTTGATTGAACGAGTGGCCCAATGTCAACGTGGTGAGGCTGGCTGGGAGGGTTCCTGGATCAATCAACGAGTTGAACTTTCCAACAAGTTTGAGCGTCAACAGTGATGGCGGCAACACACCCGGTGTGATACGTTGATTGTGTTCAAGATGTAGTTTGGTGATGGATGGTGGCAGAAGACCAGGTGAGATGGTGGTGTTCAACTTCAACTTTGTTATCGTGTTTGGTAGGGCATCAGATGACAATCCATGCTTGTAGCTTAACATATCCAAAGAGCAAAGTTCCAATTCCTCTTGCATGACAATCCAAAGCACAACCTATCAATCCTATCATCTTTCAAATAATTAAATATAATTATTAATGTTGTTAATGGTAATCTATCCATCATTAAATATAAGTTATACACATAACTAGTTGTAATTATTTGATAGTTTGGATGATTGATTGAGTGAATGAAAGAATGATCAAAAGTGATCGAGTGTGTTAAAAATGGTCACGTGATTGATTGGGTGTGGACTACCACAACATCACTTTATAAAGGAAGGGTCATAGCACGACCCAATGAAGTGCCAACCTTAACCAATGTCTCAATTGGCTTGGCACTGTTGACAACAATGTCCTGATCATAGGCAATAGTGCCCTTCTTGAACAACAACAAAATGGTCGATCCTCCAAATGCAAAGTATCCTTGTTCATCGCCCCTGAATGATCATTGATTGAGTGAGTGAGTATGAATGAATGAATGAGTATGAATGATTTGGATTGACTTACTTTTGGACATGCTGTCCTTCGGTGGTGAGCAGGTTGATGGAGCCAACCATGGTGGCACCGACACTGACAAAGATGACGTTGTCAAAGCACTTGGAGTGGATGATGGTGACACTTCGTTTGTTCTCAGTGTAGACGTCAATGTCTTGGTTGATGGCCACTGGGTTGACGGTGAAGTACTCGCCATCAATGTGTTTGGTGGTGCCAATCACTCCATCCACAGGTACATGGAATCTATGGTAGTCCTGTGGCGCTAGTCTTGCAATAACAATCGAACCGCCCTCATACTGTGAGGCCAAAGCTTCATCCTGCAACAAAGATGCCAAAGTAAAGTTCTTGCCCTTGATCCACAACTCCTTTGCCTTGTCAAGTGTTTCGAATACATGTAGACGTGCATCAGCTGGCGAGACTGCGATGGACTATGTTTGATTGGTGTGTCGTGTAAGTATGAGTGATTGGAACAATTCCAGTGAGTGATTGGATGGATTGATTGAATGAGTAGTTTGGTGTTTGGAGTAGTCCAGAAATTGAGTGTTTTGATTGAATAAGTGGGATAGTTCCAGGACCAAGTGTGGCGTGATGGTGATCAAGATACATACTGGGTTACCAACCTCGTATATTGGTCTGGCGGATAATTTTAGACGACGATAGAAGAACTCGTTGAAGTTCTTGAAGGAGGTCAGTGGTTCCAGGATCTCATCGATGTTGAGGTTGTGGAACTTGATGAATGGTGGGATGTCCTTGACACTGTCAGCGGCAGCATACTTCTTGCCAGTCTTGTTGGTGAGGAACTTGAGCAGACGTCTCACCTGTGTGTTGTTGCAGGCACTTCTGCCAGACTTTGTAGAGTACATCACACGCATTGCTACCTCAATGTAATGAGGTATCTTCTCCTCCTCCAACTTGCCAGTCTCTCTATTATGAACATTGATCACCTTCATCTTGCGATTGTCCACAGTCTTCAATGAAGAGTGATGACTCTTTGAGAAGATATTATCTGCAATAGTTGAGTATGAATCTGAGATTGCATATGTCTCCCTGTGTAAATGTGATTGGTTGATTGATCGAGGGTGCCAGTGCGTGAGTTAGTGAGTGTCCTGGCGCGTCATGTGACCATGGCGGGATGCATACCAAATCAAGTCTGGATTGCCATCCAACAATCTCTCTACAATCTTCTCTCCCTCCTCAGTCTCACTAAAGAATTGCTCCAACTCTGATACAGAGATATTTCCATCTCCATTGAGATCAGCCTTCTCAAACTTAATTGATTGATTGGTTGAATGGACTAAGTTAGTGAATGATTGAATCATTGAATGAATGAATGACATACCATTGTCTCAATCTCTGACATTGGGAAGTCAGAGTTGACAGAGGTGATGAGTGCAGTGTAGTCTGGCAGTGACAGTACATCCTCGGCTTCGTTGTTGGAGAAGTGTCTGCAGACACTTGTCCAGAATGCAGAGTATACCTCCTTCTTTGTGATAAAGTTTGATACCAAGTGTATCTCACCACGATCTGTCTTCTCCTTCTTCTTTACAGGGTACCACTTATCCAATGTTCCCCTTGACAATGCTGGTACATCAAGTTCAATCTCTCCAATATAGTCTAGTTTGATTGAGTGCCCAAGTAAGTGAGTGAGTTAATGGTGATGAATGAATGAATGAATGAACATACCGTTGGAAGTGATCTTGTCCCAGTCCCAGATGTCAAACTTGATGGTGTAGGCAGACTGTGATGCACGGATGACGAGGTTGTGTGATTCGTCCCATCTTGGATTCAAGGTCTTCTTGATGACCTCACTCTTGTACACCTTCTCACCTGCGAATTGAATTACAAAGAATGGATCCGATTTGCCATTTGGGTCCATGGCAGGGAGGTTCTTGCCCTCGACCACTATAACATTATAAGGTATCATAACATCATGATTGTCAGTGACTGAGGTGTCCACTGGACACTAATTATCAATCATTTCAATCATACCTTTCAAGTTTAGAATGCCAATTATAGGATCCATATTATATTATATAAATACTTATACTAATGATTGTTTGAATGAATGAATGATATCACAAATTGATCTTCTCATTTGTCTCAGCGTGTGTCTACCAATGTAAATTCTAATGAATGATCATTCATCACACACACCCACACTTGCACTGATCAGATTTTTTTGACCAGAGGATTGTGGTCGTCATCACCTGGCACCAAGGTGTGGTTATGTTAGCACTCGGTGGTACACCAGTGACATAGTTACTGCAGAGTCAAGACATCCATTTAAATTCATCTGACAATTTACTTGTTCAACTCATACACAGAAGAGTGACCTGCGAGTCATGTTAAGTTCTTGTCTTAACTACCTACAAACAACCAAACAACACGACTCTCATCTTATAATAGGTTATAAATTTTATATATACCCTAGTTGTTAACAGAGTTATAGGATGACCTGGAGACTAAAGCGAATGCGAACAAGTCCACGGATAGACGTGGATGGTATTCATTCATTCAATCTAACATTCTTTCAATCATCACATTAAACATTATTATTATTTGTATATGTTTGTGTTTGTTGGACCACCAACACGATAAAGACACCTTGTGATCGGAGGTAGCAATATTGTCCCCCCCCCCCATTGGACCACCTCTCTGGGCTTGAACCCGAACAAACAAGAACCTACAAGATGTTATAAATGGACCGCATACTAAACTTAATTCTCCTAACCTGATCATGTCCAAACATAAGTATCTAGATAGTAATTCTGATGGGAATGGTTAGGATCATATTAGCAGGGACACGGAAATCCCACATTATAATACAATCATTCCGGAATGATCAACTTTATAAGGTTCATTGTATTGGACATGTTTTAAGTGATCTTGTTGGACATCCCATCCCATGTCAGAGAGGTGGTCCATCCGCGCATTAACTTAAATTAATTAGATCCCGCACTCACTCCCAGACACACCACAAACACGATCAAACAAATAACTGATGATGATGATTACAATAATATATATGTAAACGTACACAAAAGAACTCTGACGAAGAACATATATTTAAATGATTCGAATGAATGAAATAGGCTAATTATAGTGACATAAACCATCATCAAGTCGACAAGTCTAAATCGGCAAAAGAATGGCGCGCATCAATGAGTTGCCCCCAGACATGTGGTCACAGTGACCCACCTCATGTGGTCATCTTGGTAATGAACGCAACCATATTTGATTTTTTAACTGTTTGACGTTTGGAACCTTCAAGAACTCCTATTTGTGTCATCGTGTGTGTATTGGTGAATGTGGGATGTGGGATGTGGATGTTGGGGGTTGATGGCTGATGAAGTCCACCAAGGTTTGCTTGGAGGACCACCAGTTAAGTATGTTAGTTCCAATTCAGAATCATTCGTTCATTCATTCATTCAATCATTCAATCAATCTATCAAACAATCAGAGATGAAGATTATATTTATTATTTATTTGACTTTAACATTATTATTGTTGAGGTCCAATGCAGCAACAGTTCAATGGACTGGAGCAAACTTGGAAGATAATTTCCAAAATAATACACTTTGGTCAACTGGTACAATTCCTACAAATGTAGATGATGTTGTTATTGATGTACCAAATACTATAGTAGATATTACAACTACAGATGTGAATGTTGCATCATTGACATTAGGTCCAACAAATAATAATATCAATTTGATAGTCAATAATAGTTTGACTGTCAATAAAATAACAATTAATTTTGGATCAACTCTAATATACAATCAACAACAACAACAACAACAACAATTCAAAGTAGTACAATTGATCAACAATGGACAGATACAAACAAATGATCAATTCAACTCAAATGTATCATTGACAAACTCTGGTGCATTCCTCCAATGTAAGATATTCAATCAATCAATCAAAATGACACTCACTTACACTATACGTCAATGTAAAAGATGCTACATCAACAATGAACTCAATATCCAATACTGGATTGTTCAGTGTCCAAGCCCCTTTGATAATCAACAAACTGGAACATAATTCACCAGGATATCTATTGGTCAACAATCAACTCACTATCAATGGTGATGTAAGTCTTTGAATCATGGATTGAAAGATCCATAATGGATACTAATATTGACAATTATAATTTATCGATAGAAATCCAATCCAACTTTATTGAGCTCCACAGCATTATTCAACTATTCATCAGTTCAAACAAACACCGATATTAATATTTCTGTATGTTCATAATCATCATATTATTGTGATATTACAATATTTTATTTATATTAATATTCTAACCTTTTATATAGGATGAATCAGATGTCCAATCAACATATACATCACTGCGGATTCAATCCAATGGAAATGGTCCAAGACAATTTAGAATTGGTGGTGGTTTTGAAGTTGATAATTCAAATATCACTTTGATCAATTCCAATATGGTACATCAGAACTCATCAAGTTCAAGAATATCAACATCCAACATTGAATGTTCCAATAGTCTATCATTGAATGATAACTCCATGTTGGTGGCCAAGTACTCAAACTTTAGTATTGGATCAATTACAATTGGTGGACAGTCTAGAATGGCACTTGAGGAATCAATTTTGGTAGTGTCATCATCATCAGAAGGTAGCAATTGGCTACAAAGTGATCAATCAATTGTATCAATATCATCAAACTCCATTATGAATATTGGTAATCACATGTCATTACAAGATACATCATCATTTATTTTGTCCAAAGCACAACTCAACATTGGACTGGGATCAACCCTTACCACCCAAGCTACACTCACCATCACCAACTCCAACGTTACCCTATCCAATCTTCAATCATACAATCAATCAATGATATCAATAATCGACTCTTCTATTGATGTATCCAAGACCTCAGAGATATCTGTAAGTCCATTATTCAATCTATCCACCCCTTGCCCTTACCCTTGCCCTAACCCAAGCCATAACCCAAACCATTTTAGGATGATGCAAGGTTTACATTGTCATCTTCCAAGATTGGTGGACAAGGATGGATTTCAGTGAGAGGCAATACAATTTATAATGCAGTTGGATCAATTATTGAGGTTCAATCTTCATTACAAGTTATTGAATCTGCTTCATTTGTATTATCTCCAGATTCAACATTGAATATTAGAGGACATGTTATATTTGGATCAAACAACACTGCATCCATTGGAACATTGACCAACACTGGTCTACTTTCAATCTACAATCAATACCTTAACATTGGAACACTACAAATCAATGATCAAGGTACCATCACACTAAGTGTCAGTTCCACCAACTCAACTTATGGTATGTTTAACATAATATTAATAATTTGATTAATTGATCACTAACTTATTCACTCAATCAATCAATGAAGTTAATGTTACATCCAAGGCCACCCTTGGAAACAATGCCTTAACTGTTAGAGTCGCTTCATACCTTAAGAATGTCAACTTCACATTGGTCACACTTCCAGTTGGTACTAATTTGGAATCGGATGTATTGAAAGGTGTGAAGTTCTCAAGTTATGATCTTGAATCTGGTGATGATGTTAAAGATATCCCATCATCAAATTATAGAGCTGAACTAATTGGTAATGATTTGGTAGTATTCATTGGAAATGGTGATCGTACTACACCATCAACTGGATCCAAACTATCGAATGGTGCCATTGCAGGAATTGTTGTTGGAGGTGTTGTCGCTCTTGCCCTACTCATTGCATTGACCATCATAATCATCAAGAAACGCAAGTCCACATCCTCATCCAAGTCCAGAAGATCAAAGTCCGACGAAGGAACAGCTCAACTTAGTAACATGAAACCATAATCCATAAACAATAAATATAATTATTTATAATATAATATAATTCAAATTATGTGTGATGTGATTGATTGGGGTGGAATGGTTCCAGGTCACATGTGGGTGGGTGAGTTTAAATCGTACAATGATGGGATTTAATCTCTCTTTTTGTCTTTAGACATCAAATAACCCCAGTTTTGTGTGGGTAAAGAATAAAGAAGAATGTTTGACTTTGACTGATGATCAAAAGACGCGCATTATGATAAAAATAGAACACACTCAAAACTCACTATCTCTCTTTTTTTTCCAACAACGAACAATTGTGATGCTTGCAGCGCTTACAAACAGTGTTTTGAGTTGGAAAGAGCGAAACTTATTCCCAACCGACTAAATGGGGCACGCCAGCACACACAATTTCCATCATTCAATCACAAACATCTTCTTGTTGGTGGTGTTTGTTGTTAAAGTGTGTGTTTGGTTGACTCTGCAGTCTGAGAGTGAGTCAGTCTTGTCATTGGCTGTAATCATATTCATACCTAACTTATAATAATACTTATTACTTACTTACTTACTTATATCTGTATCACTACTAACTAATTATTATAATCATTTATTAATTATTAATTATTATGGGTAACTCAAACAGTGTGATCGCTCCTGATTCATCTACTGATGATGTTGAGGCAGATCAGGTGGCACCTGATAAGTCATCGTCATCATCATCATCATCACATTCTACAACGAGGAATAAGTACAAAGTACAGGTAGTTGATTTGGATGGAAGACTACACGTTGACTTTAAGAATAGGAACTTGAAGAAGTTAAAGTTGGAGATATTCCATGGTCTGCTCGGTAGTGTGGAGATCGTCCGACCAGACTCACTGAACAACAGTGATTATCTAAAGAATAGGAATACGAATGATCATGTAGTATACAAGTCTGCAACACAATCACAGTTGACACAATCACAACAATCACAGACACAAACACAACAGACACAGATGACACAATCACAAACACAACAGACACAACAGACACCACTGATACAAGTACAACAAATACAAGAACAACAACAACAACAGCAACAGATTGCTGTTGCCAGTCAATCGGCTATTGCCAACTCTATCGCGACTACTACGCCCCCACCCACACCCCCACCCTCGACAAAGCCATCGGGCTCAAAGAAGGGATGGTCGGCCGCCTCGCCCAGCCCCACATCTCACACGGTGTCCAAGAGCTTCATCGAGCTGAATCCAAAGTCCAGCAGCGAGCAGGCCACCGCCAAGCGACCACCATCAAACTCGTCGCCACCAGTCGTCTCGCTCGACCAGGAGCCAGAGCGCGTGAACAACTCATTCGTCAACTCGTCGCCGTCCAGCTCACCGTCCAGCTCGCCCTCTAAGAAGTACCGTCTGCACTCACAGTTCAACCCCGACCTTGAGATCGAGTCGCTGGCCGAGATCATTGCCAATGAGGACAAGAAGACTGTCAGCGTGTCGTCCGAGCCCATCTCCGAGTCGCCCACGTCATCATCCTCGCCTTCTCCACTCATTAGCTCTTCGCCTAGCCAACAAACATCCACTCTGACGGCCTCATCAACATCAACATCAACAACACCACCACTGACGGCCAGCGGTGGTGCGTCCAGCAACAGCAAAGAAAGCGGTAAAGACAAAGAAAAAGACAGCGAGAACAAGTCATTTTACAAGACGATCAAGAAGACGATTGGCAAGCCAACCTCGAGACATGGCACACCCAAGCAGATAGTGCCGCCCGTCCAGCTGCAGACGGTGGATGGTCGCAAGATTGTGTTGCACTCGCTCGACCTCAGTCTCAATCGTTTGGAGTTTATCAAGAATGAGATATTCGACATCCTGGCCGAGATGAGTCTGGTCGAGATCTCATTCTCCTCCAACTTCTTCACCATCGTGCCACCCTTCATCGAGGTTGTCAAGACCCTGACAACCATCAACTTTAGTCGCAACAGGATCAGCAAGTTCCCCATCGATGTCCTCTCACATCTTCCACTTCTGACGCATATCTCAATGGACAAGAATAGGTATGTGTGATTGATCGATATGGAATGATCCCATCTAATACTAACATGCACACTCATACATAACAGCATCACGTCCATACCAGAGGACATTGATAGGATAAAGAACTTGAAGTACATCTCGATGAAGTACAATCATATTGACTCTTTGCCAAACAGCTTCTGTAACCTTACTCAATTGGTGACGATCGACTTTACTCACAACAAGCTGAAATCACTGCCGGCTAACTTTGATCAGCTCGTCAATCTAAAGTTCGTGTGGATCGGCCTCAACCACATCCAGACGCTGCCAACGATGCGCTCGCTGGTCAACCTGCACCACATCGACGTGTCCTCCAACAAGCTCAACTCAATCTCTGCCGACCTGGCCCTGCTGGCGCCCAAGGGATTCAAACCCGGCCGCAACGTCGAGGTGCCACTGGTCGAGGGTGGCGGTCTGGGCTGTCTGAAGGAGATCAACATCAGGGACAACAGGGACCTGTTGTCGATACCCGCTGAGTTCAAGCTGGTCGAGTCCGTTCTGACCATGTTCACCAGTTTGCCCACAGAGATCATCCCCAACGTGTTCCTTGGCGGTCTGGACAGCGCAAATAACGCGTCCATCCTGCAGCAGCTTGGAATCACCCACGTCGTGCTGGCCATTGGTGACCTGGCGCCATACTTCCCTCGCAGCTTCAAATACTACACGATCGACGATGCTCGTGACACTCCCAACTACGACCTCTCCGTCCACTTTGAACAGACCACCGCCTTTATCGAGCAAGGTCGCAAGGTTGGCGGTGTACTAGTTCACTGTCGCGCTGGAATCTCACGTAGCTCAACCCTAATCATTGCCTACCTGATGAAGTACCATCAGCTAACCTACAGGAATGCATTTAACTTTGTACAAGTATGTATTGTTAGACGTCGCCACATCATCGTTAGTTCGCTCACTAACTCAATCAATCAATCTTCTTAGGCAAAGAGAACACAGATTATGCCCAATGTAGGATTCAAGGAGCAGTTGTTAAAGTATGAAAGCAAGTTGGACATCAACAATAAATGCCAGCAGCAGTCCTGATCATTGCGCTAAGGATAGGATGTATTTGTAGACGAACCAAACACGATCAATCAATCAATCAATCAATCAATCAATGACTCTTTATATATATGTACAGTAACATTGCGCCGCCTCAGCCTATCTAGCTGGCCAGGCTGAAGGATTATCACGACACTTTTGTAACAGACCTTCCAACTTCTCCTGCACCTCCTCCATCTTTTTGGGTCGCAGCTCTGGATCTTCCTTGAGCAGGAGCTGGCACAATAACTTGGCATCGGGCTGCTTGATCTTGCTAAACTCGAATGATGCCTTGCTAAAGTGATCAGAGTACTGATAGCTTGTGATCAACTCATACATGAGTGCGCCATAAGTGTATATGTCAACGCGCTCATCGTACTCGCCATACTTATCATGCTCGGGTGCACAATAGTGTGGCGTATGGCTCTGGCCCGTGTGTCCCCAGTTGTGTTGCTTGTTCCTGGTCGTCGAGATGCCATAGTCTGTGACCTTACAGCGGAAGGGTGTGTCGACGCACTCGTTAAACAACAGGATATTGGATGGCTTCAAGTCCTGATGGATGTAGCCCAAGTTGTGAACGGCCACCAACGCCTTGCATATATCGAGCAGCATCAACAACAGCAACTCCCATGGATACTTGTTATCTGGGCTGATGGTGCCAAGTGGCGCGCGTTCCAGCAACAGACCATATTGATCATTGTCCAAGTCTTGACAAAAGGCATGCAGGCCAATAACATGCACGCTTTGGATGTGCCTAGAGAATTATGAAGAGAGTGAGTGAGTCAATGATTAATTGATCCAGGAATAGACGATCAAACATACGACAAGAGTGATGCCTCGCGTCTGAACTTGTATAGGGTTACGAGCTTAGTTTCAGCATCCATGCCAAGTCTGTCGGAGCGAGATAGTGCGCCATTGTGTAGCTTGAGCAACTTGAGCACCATGTCTTTGCCAGCAAACTCTGGTCTTTTGGGCACAGTTGCTCTGTAGACATTGGCGTAGCCACCCTCGCCAATAGAATCACCTTGGTCCACCAGGGCAATTGGTATGATTGGTGCGATGATCACTGGGTCTGGGATGGTGACCAGTACCATCTTGCATGTGTTGCCCTCGCCCAATGCCAGCGCCAGGTTGATATCATTGTCGAGTGGTATCTCCTGTTTAGAACTGTGTACCAGTCTCATGGCAATGCTCATTCCCTTGTTGATCCCGAATGTCTTATATACCAATGTTGCAAACTCACGCAAGTCAGGCTTCTCCACTGTCAAGAACTTCTGTTCATCCTTGAAATGGACGATCACAGTCATCGGTACTGTATTGGCCAAGATGTTAGTTTGAATGATAAAGTGATGGCCATGGAATGGCCATTCCGGCTCGATTGATTGAACGAATGTTTGATGGCTGGGACCATCCTGATTGAGTGATGCAGTGACATACGTTTGGTGATGTAGCATGGCAGACATTCACTGCGCCTGAGACAGAGGTAGCAGATGTTGACTTTGCATGAGGAGCATCGATAGGGTGGGTAGGATGGAAGATGGCAGTAGTGGCAGGGCTCGTTTGTCGTGCCAAGATGGCTGAGATAGGATTGATGTAGGTCGATGATCTCATCGATTGGGATGGCAGCGACTTTGACAATGGCACTAAAGTTGTCTGTAGAGACGAGATGTAGATGATTGGACTTGGTACCCGAGTCGCCATGCACCAAGTTCCTGATCAAATACTTGCCATGTGCACGACTCCATGGCTTTTGTTTGCCGACGTAGAGCGTGGCGCCATCTCGGTTGATCTCGAGCACCTGACCTGCATCCTGATCGTACAGACGCAGGAAGTATTGGTCGTTGGTCTGACGCACCAGGAGGTCGGCCTTGGCCGCCAGCTGTTTTGCCAGTCTCTCCAGCCTCTCAGCGCGTTGGCTTGTCTTGGCCAAGACACGCTGCTTGATTATCACGCGAAACTCTCCAACCAACATGCTAAACAAGTAAAAGTGTAGGATGAAGTCGTAGTAATACTTGATGAACTCTTTGTGCATTGGGTATTGTTCTGGTGATTCCATTGTGACCTTTAGCGAGTGGTGATGGCCAGGAGAGCTGAGTGTATCATAAGCAGCATAGGTACGTCTATCCTCCACCAACAATATATCCACCAACTGTTCAAACTTGAGTCCCTTGGACAAGTTCTGGATGCACATATGCAATGTCATTGTCAGATCCAATGGAATGTCTTTGAACTTGTTCTGTTGGAATGATCGTTCAAAGGGAGATATCGGAATGATTCCAGAACAAGAATGATTGATTGATTATGTTAGTCAAGGGAACAGAGTAAGTGTGCCCGGCCCGCCGGCCACAAGTGTGAGGCCTAGGCCTAGTGAGGCCAAGATCATCAATCAACAACACATACAAAGAACTCGGTGCGACCTGGAGAGGTAGTGCTGACAAAGTGATGCTCCAGTGTTGCCAGGAGAAGTGTGACAGTTTCTAATGTGAGCTTTGATTGATAGGTTTGAACGATGCGATGTATCTTTGCTGGTGTCAGATCAGGCAGTACAGCATTTGGACCAGGTTGGTAGTTTGACAACTCTTCCAACACCTCCAAAGAATGCATATCAGTCCATCCAATGGAGCCCGCTGTGATCAGATAATCAACTGGAAGACAAAGCCACCAGTTCTTCATTGGGTCCTCACCCTTTGATCCTGATCTCGTGCCTGATCTCTTACGAGGGCTTGCCGTAGGTGGTGATCCAATCATTCTCTATCTTTCTTGATGTTATATATGTATGTTGTATGTGTATCTCTATCTTTGTTTGTATTTGTATATAAAAGGCAAATTGACACGTGGAGTGTCCCGATCTGGGTCTTGACTAGCAAGATTTGTGGGCTACACTCGCATAAAGAAGAAGTGGTATTGATCAACCTTACCACAATCACACACTTGCACCCTCAAGTTAATTAATCAATCAAGCACTCGTCCACACACACAATCAAGTCACGTGATCATTCAAAGAATACTTATTTCAAATCAACCGAGTTATCTTAACAGGTTCTACAAGCACGAAGGTCGATAAACTTAAACATCAAAGGTTCGTAATAATAATGTACATTATCAATAATAATGATAATAATAATAATAATATATATAATGTATTCCAAAGGTGTTGTCGACAACTCCATTCACTACTATCTCTATATCGCCTCCAACTGGTGCATGGCATTTGATATAAATATCTGAGTCAATACCTTCTTCATCGTCTCTGGATTCTCTGACATCTGTAGCCAAGGATGCTGTATCCATCAAGTTGATTGATTGATTGATTGATCGAAGTGAAGTGGATGGTTAGCATCATGTAACCACTTCATCTACACTGACTCATAAAACATACCTTTAGCAACTGTTCGGCAGAATGTCGCTTTGATGGATCAACTTCGAGACATAGGGTGAGGAAGTGTTTGAATGAGTCGGACCACAGCTCTGGACGATCGAGACCAGTGCATCCATAGGTGGCAATGGCAAACATGGCATTGAGTGATGACTTGCGATTGGGTGGCTGTCCATTTGCCAACTCCAGCAAGCATATACCAAAGCTCCAAATGTCAGACACGCATCCATACTCAATGCCCTTGATCATCTCTGGTGACATCCAAAATGGTGATCCTGCCATGTGTGTCAACTTGCGTTGAGTGGCGTCCACGCAAAGTCCAAAGTCAACTTTGATTGATTGATAGAATGTAAGTGATTGTGATTGATTGATTGAATGAGTATGGCACACAACATACCTATCTTGATCTTTCCTTCGATTGTCATCATGATGTTGCCAGACTTAATGTCGCGATGGACTAGGTTGTGCGAGTGGAGGTACTTTAGACCTTCCAGCATGCCCTTGGCGACATATGCTATGCAGCTCTCGTTGAACGTGTGATTGGAGCAGGCCTCGGTGAGCGTGCCACCCTGCATGTACTCCATGGCGATCCACACCTGCTCGTCCACCAAGTGGCTACGGAAATACTTTACAATATTGGGATGATTACAAAAGTGCAAGAAGCCAATCTCATTCAAGTTGGTCCTCTTTGCCTTTGGCGTCGTGTGCGCTATCTTCTTAATTGCGATCTCGCATTTGTCCAACGTGGACTTGGCCAAGAACACACTTCCAAATCCTCTGTATATGTGGCGTGTCAGTAAGTCACGCCTTTCCCGCGATGCTGTTGCTGCTGCCACCATGTTATAACATACCCGCTTCCAATCTGTTTGAGTCCTTTATACAGTTTCTTGACGTCGCCCTTCTCGAACAACTCGACGGAGCCCTTGGGCAGGATGGATTGCTCGAGACGAGACTCATCGTACGAGTCGTCCTCGTTGTAGACATTGTTGTTTACGCTGTTCTTGCTGTTGGTGGTGTCGTATCGCATCGGTCCCATCGAGGACGACGCTGTGACAGTAGTGGTGGTGGTCGTGGCGCTCATTGTTGGCGAGGTCTCGGGCGAGACGATGGCCATCGGCTGGATCTGCACCGACTTGCGCGAGTTGTTGGCCGAGCGCAGATTGAAGCCCGTGCGGAAGCGCAGGATGGGCAGCAGGATCTCAAAGTGCTCGCGCAACTGCTCGTCTGGGATCTTTGACTTCTTGATCATCTTGATGCACTCGGGCGGCAGGTCGTCCACCTTTGAGACAAAGATAGGCTTCTCCTTTGCCCTCGCGCGTTTCTGTTCCTTTCGTCGTCGTCGTTCGTCCTCATTATTGATCAATCTACTCGCTCTTGAACTCTTCCTATCATCGTTGGTTCTACTTGCGCCTGCGCCTGTACCAGAGACTGAGCCAGAGACTGTATTATTGTTGTTGTTGCTGCTGCCACTCTTGAATCCAAAGATACCTCCAGATGTCGTGCCTCCAGATGATCCACCATTCATTCTCTGTTGTGATGTTGCTGTTGATGTTGTAGTAGTGGACATTGTATGATTGTGAATGTATTGTGATTGTTGTGACTGTAGTTGTGACTGTTGTTGATGGTACATCATTTGTTGATGATGTTGTTGTTGCTGCTGCTGTTGCTGCATGTGATAATGTTGTTGTTGATGATTGTATAGTTGTTGTTGTTGTTTGAGTGCAGCCATCTCTTTTAGTGATGACTGATCGACATATTGTAGGAAACCTTGTGGACCTGGTTCACAACTAGTAGGATTGATCTCTCTCAACAAGTCCTCAACTGATGCAGCACCAGCTGTCTGTCCACCAAGCTGTGTGAGTATATAATTGGAGCGATGCATATCCCTGTTCACTCGCTCACTCCTATCTTCTTTTCTTCTTTCTCCAATCTCACTATATCTATCTATCTATCTTCTGTAATACTATAAATATTTGTTTGATTGAATGAATGATTGAATGAGTTAAGAGTGATTGTTACGAGTGATTGTGGTTTTGTTGTTATATGTTTGTGTGTGTGTTTGTGAGTTTATGTGTTGGAATGAATCAAAGAGAGGGAGTGTCTGTTTGTCCTTCTGTCACACACAAAGGAAACACACACTGGATGATAAGATGGATACATTGTGTGGTATGGCAGTGAATTGATCAATCAAACCTCACACACACTCTCAGTAGTAGTTTTTGTTTGATTTTTTTTTCCAAACAAATAAAAAATGGGCGAATCAGGTGTTTGAAAACACTTGATCAGTCGACATCAAATTATGGGATGTCTTTGATCATTTGATGTGACCACCACATGTGCCACTTGGTGACCTTCTTTGTCTTATGGTGTGAGGGGGTTGTGTCTCGAAGTCAGGTCGGAGCGACCCAACTTGAAATTGATTGACAAAGGGTTACATCTATGATCCCCTCAAAGTCTTGGACCACTTAGTAGGAGTTGGCATGTTGTTCTCAACAACAACAACGACACTTCATTCATTCATTCATCCATTCAACTTAACATCAACAACTACAACTATACCTCAATGAATACTTGATCATCAATCAATCGAGATATATATATATACATTGTTGTACAGATACAGGCTCAATCACTCAATCTACTCATATTAATGAGTACCCAAGGCTAGGCCTTTAACAAACAGACAGACAGACAGACAGACAGTTACTCAACACAAGACAGGCAGACAGACAGACAGACAACAACAATAACAACAAATAATGATACAACTACAAAGGCAACTAATATTGTTGCTAATACTATTGTTGATGAACATCAATAATAATGATGTTGGAATGATGGTTCAATCACGTGAAAGAGGATTCGTTCCAACTACAGAGTCATCAACAACAGATAATAATGCTGGTGTTACAAATAGTGCAACAACATCAGCATCGACGACGACAACAGGATCAGCAACATCTAAACCAACACAGAAGCCATTCCCACCAGAGATAAGATACTCGTATCCGGTGGAATGCATGTTCCCGCCCGACCTCAACGGCGCACCATACGTGCCCTACACGCCACAGCGCTGCTCATTCCTCTACGACGCTGACGATGAGACGAGCAAGATGAAGTCGTGTTGCTCGCAGACCGATGAGAAGACCTTCCAAGCACGTCTGGACAACATTGCCACACAGTTCTACGCGCCGCTCTACGACTGCGCCGGCGAGAAGATCAATGACACGGGCTTCCAGACTGTGATGTTCAACGGCTCGACGCCCGACTTGATCACCACGTCCGAGTACCACGAGGTGCTGGACACGCGCTACCACGCCCACATGTGCATGGAGCACCTGCAGGCCCTCCAGTGTGTGTTGTGCTCGGTCGACCAGTACTCGGTGCTGGGCCGCTCTGAGCTCGAGCATCGTCCAAACAACTACCACTACGAGGTCACGCCCATCTTCTACATGAACCCGTTCCCGCCCGATGGACAGCCGGTCGTGCTGTGCACCGAGTACTTCTACCGCCTGTCCAACTACTGCCAGTTCCTCAACGTGCGCAAGGTGCCCTTCCACGAGCAGTACAAGCCGGGCAATCGCACCGGTCGCATCCCATTCGCGGGCATCACGGCCAACGCGGGACTACCCCGGGGCATCACCAATCTTCAGGCCTACGTGACTACGGACTCTTTGGATGTATTATGGACTTCGGATTACAATTGTATGACAAGGCCACTGTCGTACTTTGAACCAAAATGTACAACAATCATCAACAACACATGGTCTGATTCATATCGACAATCATACATTCGACCTGATGACAGTGGAGAGATACATGGTCTAGTTGGCGGCGGAGCCAGTCCAACAGCCCAATCCCAATGCACAACACTTATCACATTACTAATATTATTGAACTTACTCTATGTCCTGTGTATTTAATCATCCATCCATCCATCCATCCATCCATCCAGTCCAATCAAACAACTTGATCAATCCTCCTCCTCCCCTTCCTCCCTCCTCCGTACTCCCTCCCTATTATTTATAAATAAACGATGTAAATCTTTACCATAATATATACTTGGTGAATGCCAAGACTGGTGCCAAGACTGGTGCCAAGACTGATCATCATCACATCATGTCACCTCAATTGCTTACCAATGGTGTTGGCTCCGATTGTTCCCAACCCTTCAGCCAATCGAAATATCTTTCGAATTCTCTCTTTTTCAAACAAATTGTAGAATTCACTCAAACACAACAAGTATTAGCTTCAAGTCAAAGTCAAAGTCAGAGATAGAGATAGAGATAGAGATAGAGTTGTATTTATATGTAGTATATATATATATCTCACCAACTAATGTGTTTTGTATAATAGATAAGAGAGAAAGAGAAAGAACTTGAAGTAACATTAGATAGGTTTATAAACATTGAGGAGAGTGACAGACAGGCTGAGAGATAGAACAGATACCATGCAGTCATCATTTCTTACGAGGTTCTTTCAGAATCTGTCGGAAGAGAATCAACATGACTTTGGTCCATTGCCAGAGTTTGAGTATGGACAACAGCCTCAAACCTCTCATGCATCGTCATCATTACATTCATCATCGTCATCAGTGTCCAATCAAACTCCACCACCATCACAACATAGTCAACAACAACAGCAACAGCAACAGCAACAGCAGCAACTACTACAAGCACAGCTACAGCCACAACTAATTCCTCAGCCGCAGGCACAGACACCTCCACAGTCAATCCCACATCATCATACACCAACACAACAACATACTCCAACACAGCAACATACTCCAACTCAACATACTCAGCAACATACTCCACAACATACGCCACAACATACTCCACAGCAGTCGCACAATAGTCATCATTATCATCATCAGAAACAGAACTCACAGTCAGGCGGTGGCAGTGGTGTTGCTGCTGGATCATCGGGATCAACATCATTGACTTCATCGGCGATGGATCTGTCGACATCCGACCCCTCAGTCTCGAGCCATGGCTCACTCACCGATGTTACACTCTCCAATCAACAGAGTTCTCAACAACTGAGTACATCGGGTGCGAGCGACTTGTCGACTGACCCCTCAGCATCTGAAAAGGCCACATTGGTCGAGGTGCTGCGGTCAAAGTTCCAGCACAACTCGGCCAAGCCCGACAAGAAGTTCTGGATGCCCGACGCCTCTAGTGTCGTGTGTTACGAGTGTGAGGCGCCATTCACCATCTTGAAGCGTCGTCATCATTGTCGTCTATGTGGACAAATCTTTTGTTGGAAGTGCTCTCAGCTATCAATCGAGATTGGCAACGGCGACAAGATAAGAGTGTGCAACTATTGCTACAATCGATACAACACCACACAGACTGGCGACGAGGAGGTTGCTCCTCCCCGTCCCGAGCTCGCCTCTGATGAGTACAGTGATGGTAGGTTGACATGCATTCGACACACGCTCACTCACTGACACAATCAATCATTATAGAACCAACAGCGGCCAACACTAATGCAGGCTTGTTTGCAAGCAAGCTTATCAACTATGTGCCGTCGTTCCAGTCGCCATTCTCAAAGAAGACTGAACATCCTTTGCCTTTGACTGATCCATCGCCTTTGGAGTTAGAAGAGCATCTTTCAAAGTTGATGCGCGAGATTGGTGGCAATGAGATGAACTATGATCTATCAGAGGACGACACATCATCCGATGGTCTGTCAGAGGACGAGCAGGTGTTGCCCACTCAGGAGCACATCTCCAACCAGGACAATCAAGAGGCAGTGGACAATCACATTGCGACACAACAGCAACAGCAGCAGACTACATCAACATCGTCGTCGATTGATATCATTGGAACATCAACACGACATCCATTTGCCAACACTCTTGGCGGCTCATCAAGCCTCATCCCCGGCTTTGCGAACCCCAATGGCAAGGGCTCGGTCACCTCATACTCAATGTCTGACCTGCCACACTTCAAACCCAGGGCCCTCAGCGACAAGGGCGACTCCTCGAAGCAGGCCACAAACAGCGATGCGACTACATCATTGGGTGGCAGTGGACAATCACCTAAACTCAGCTCAAGTCACCAGACACGCAGCATACTCTCGCTGTCGTCGTCCCCATCGTCTCCTCCACCCACACCAAGCACGAGCTTGGCATCATCAATGTCTGTGTTGCCCATAGGTTCAACGGCACCCATGTCGCCGCCAATGTCTGGCCACCACGCAGCGGCCCACGCCAACCATCCAACGTCCTCCATCCACCCACTCAAGACGTCCGCGCCAGTAATGGCCAACAACAACATCAACACGAGTACAGGTATCCATCCACACACACATCATGGCGGACATCACCACCCAGCCACGCCGGGCAAGGGCAAGGGTGTCCCTCCTATCAGCATCTCGCCATCATCATTATTCTTTAGTGATCCGAGCATTGTGTCACTCAAGAGTCATCCCAAGACGACGAACCGCTCCAAGTTCCTGGAGAAGTACCCTCTGCCACGCAAGGAGCAGAGTGCTGTTTTTGCCAAGTCGCCACTGACCACATCGCATCGCAATCAGATCAAGAACTCGCCACTCTACGACTGCTATCGCCAACATATTGGCGCCATTGTCACCCAGCTGCTGACCAAGGACCACATCGATGTGGCCAAGTGGGGAGATGTCATCATGAACCTAGCACATGATGCCTGCACCAAAGTGAAGATCTCTGTGAAGGAGGGCGACAAGATGCCCACTGGCGAGTACATCAAGGTAAGTCAAAGTGTGTCCTTGCCTAAACTATCCCTCATCCACTCACTCAATCATGCACTTCACTTAGATCAAGAAGCTACCTGGTACTGAAGGCCAGGAGGCCCAGTACAACTACATTGATGGTGTGGTGATGACAAAGATATTGACACATAAGAAGATGCGCAGTCGCTTCATATACCCAAGAGTGTTGTTGTTGAGCAGCTCAGTGGAGTTCCAGCGTGTGGAGAATAAGTTCTTGTTCTTTGATCAGCTGTTGCAACAGGAGAGAGAGTACTTGCGTATTCTGGTGTCCAAGATCGCCGAGAGGAAGCCTGATTTGGTGTTGGTCGAGAAGACCGTGTCAAGACACGCGCAAGAGTTCCTCCTCGACTCTGGCATCTCACTGGCACTCAATGTCAAGCCTCGTGTGCTTGAGCGACTGGGTCGCAGTCTACGATGCGAGGTGTTGCCCACATTGGACAACATGTATCCAACGAGCACGGCCGCCGCTAACACTGCTGTCACGGCTGCGCCTGCCATGGCACCCGCTGGAAACAGCCCGCCAAGCAGCCAACAGGCTATCGCCTCAAAGACCGAGATGTCCAAGCAGCTGGGCACATGCGGACAGTTCCGTGTGCAGACATTCACCGAGGAGACATCGCTCAAGGAGAGCGGCACTCACAAGAAGACACTGATGTACTTTGAGAAGTGTCCGCCCGAGCTTGGCGCCACCATCACGCTGGCAGGCGAAAGCATTCAAACCCTGTCCAAGATCAAGAAGATCCTCGAGTTTGCGATCTACGCCACGCACAACGCTTACGTGGAGATGAAGTTCCTGCAGGACCAGTCGTCGACCATAAACGTCGTCCAGCAACTGCAGCTGCAGCAAACGGCAGACTCCTCACGCCTGTCGTGCACGCCATTCATGCGCTTCCCGCTGCCCAAGTCTTTCCCGCACATTCCCTGGCGCTTCCACTTCACCTCGCAGCACAACAAGAACAAGAAGTCACTGCTGCAGAGCTTCCACTTCCCACACGCCGACTCGGGCCAGCAACAGATGGTGCTGCAGACGTTTGGTGAGGATGAGATCCTGGGCATCGGCCTATCCGAGGCGTTCGACCCTTGCTACTCCAAGCGCTACCCCATCGAGATCGAGTCGATCCTGGACCATCAATCAATCGTCTTCACTCATTCAATCTTCTGCAACACCAATCAGTGTATCCCATTCGAGCTGCATGCCATCGACTACTACACAGAGAACGATATGACAGTGGGCGAGTTCCTCATGAAGTGTTGCTTCAACACGGCACACACCTGTACAATCAAGGACTGCAACCGTCCACTGCTGGAGCACGAGCGTTCCTTTATGAATGCCAATGGACGCATCAACATCTCGCTGCAGCGCATCAGTCCTGTAAGCACTCAGTCGCAGCCACAGCGTTGCAGTGGCGCCATCTCAATCATCACTCGTTGCAAGATATGCAACGTCTTCTCGCCCGAGCAGGTCATGGCCAATGAGGCGTGGGAGATGTCCTTTGGCAAGTACCTCGAGCTGACCTTCTACGGCCAGAGCCAGTTCGTCGCCAACTATGGTGACTGCACGCACAGCATGAGCAGGGACCACATCACCTACTACTACCATCAGGACATGGCTGCCATCTTCTCGTTTGAGCCACTGCCCGTGCTGCAGCTGACCCTGCCGTCCAAGGTGTTCTCGTCCAATCAGGGCGTGAAGCAACATGTTCGCCAGCGCGAAATTGAGTTGCTGAATGAGTGCGCCAACCAGGTCTACAACGACATCTTTGAGCGATTGAACGATCTGCTCGAGGAGGGCGAGGACCGCGCCAAGAACCTGATGCCGGCGCTCTCAGAAGAGCGTCAGCTGGTGCTCACAAAGATTGGCGTCTATCTTGGCAATGACATTGACAACATATCGGAGGAGATCAGTGTCGGCCTTACCAAGATGCTGTACGCCTCGTTCATGACGTGGAACTCTCAGCTGCATGGCATTGTCAACAGTACATCACTTCAAAAGACCAGACGATCAATCATTGATCCATCGAATGACACGTCGCCTCACGCGACCACTCATCTCAGACACAGCATGTCGCCAGAGGCATTCAAGGCTCAGCTTGAAGACATGGCTGCCACCTCAGTGGTCACAGTTGTGCCGGCACCAATGGCACCCCTGCCAACCACACCACCAAACTCATACATGCCAGCGGTGGAGCAGCAACAACAGATACAGCCACAACCAACCAGCACTGCGATTGTACCATTGGACAATAATGGCACGGTGGAGAAGAGGAGCGTCTCGCCAGGAGGAACACTGAAGCCTGGCGAGCAGCCAATCGTCACAATGTCCGACTCAAAGATTGATGTAACCGCATTCGTCTCTTACTCCAACTTGAACAACATCAACAACAACAACAACCTTCCACCAAAGGAGGTGAAGAACAAGCCATTGAAGTTCATCGATACGATCGCTGGAATCGTCTCGTCCATCTCCTCGACCAAGATCCTCGGACCAACAATGCCATTCCTATTGTTGGATGGCTCGGACAACATTGCCATCTACGAGAATGAGCCCAGCACAACCATCGCCTACACATTGGTGTCAGAGGAGTTCAAGGCCTCGTTTGACGAGCTGATCCAGGAGGAGCTGGGCAAGCCGGCCTACCAAGAGACAGACGACACGCCCATCAACCCCAACACGCCCAAGAATGACATTGGCAACTTCTTGCGTCAAAAGAGCACGACAGAGGCCGCCAAGAAGCGTGCCACAGACTTGGCCAACGCACTCAAGCAGGCCGATGCCAAGAAGACCATGGCCAATGCCAATGCTGGTGCTGCCGGTGATCAGAGCTCACCGCTAAACACCACGCCAACCTCCACTCCATCGCTCTCATCAACGCCATCGCAGAATGAGCTGCCATCGCCAGCTGCAGACACGCCAGGCAGCAGTCACCGCAGCACTGAGAATGTCAACGGTATCAAGAGTGATGGAATGTTCAACGACAGGAACCTCAGGATATCGCGACTACTAGTCTCAAGTCAGAGGAAAGAGATTAGGAATAGTAAGTTTGATTGAATGATTGATGAGCACGCGACACATGCTGACTAATCATCCCCATCCTATCCTTAGGATACAAGTTCGAGAAGAATGGATACGAGTTGAATATCTTTTGTACAACATACTACCCAGTGCAGTTCAGTGCACTTCGTGAGCTGGTCTGCAGTGAGGAGTCATTCATTGAGTCACTTACAAGGTCCAAGATATGGATTGCCAAGGGTGGCAAGAGTGGCTCGTCATGGAACAAGACACTGGATGATCGCTACATCCTCAAGAATGTCAGCAGGATTGAGTTGGAATCATTCCTCGACTTTGCTCCATTGTACTTTGAGTACCTTTGTAAATCATACCTCCATCAGGTAAGTCCAGACCATTCCATCAACCAATCATCTGTGGCCGCGCCAACCTAACTAACCCTCAATCATTCAAAACAACATAGATACCAACTGCACTGAGCAAGATACTTGGTGTGTATAGTGTGCGTTGGAAGGACAACAATGGAAAGAGTCTAAAGAAGGATCTCATCGTCATGGAGAACCTGTTCTACAACAGGAATGTAACAAAGGTATGTTGGGCTGGACATTCACGTGATAGTAGCGGCCATGTTACTTACACATAGACAACACACATCATAGACATATGACTTGAAGGGATCACTCAGGAGTAGACTGGTCAAGAATGAGTCAGAGGTGTTGCTCGATGAGAACTTGCTACAAGCATCATTTGCCTCACCGATATGTTTGTCAGAGTATGACAAGACACGTTTGGCATTGGCAGTATGGAATGATACCGCATTCTTATCCTCACTTAATGTGATGGATTACTCGCTGCTGACTGGTATAGACACAAACAACAACCAGTTGGTAGTAGGTATTATTGATTACATGCGCAAGTTCACTTGGGACAAGGTCGTCGAGATGAAGGTGAAGCAGTCTGGAATCATGGGTGGTGGTGGCAAGGTGCCCACTGTCATCTCGCCCAAGCAGTACAAGATCAGATTCAGAGATGCCATGTGGCTCTACTTCACAATGGTGCCAGACAAGTTCACCAAGGTTAAGCATCTTGTACCCAACGATAACAAGGACAAGATGAGTCATCTGGAATAAACTATACCGAGTATTTGTTTGTTGGTAATTACAAAGTATGTTTATTAAATGTTCGATGGTAGGTAAACATCTAAGAGCGGCAGGAACATATTGATTGGCAGGCCCCCGGTGTGAACATTAAACAGGTAGCGGCCTCTCTTCTTGGAGGAAATGAATGTCGCAAGTAGATAATTGCCATCAATTCTACCTAGATACTTGTTATTGCCTTTTGAAGCTCCACACCATATACATATTCACGTTGAACATCTTCATTGTGTTCAGTAGCACCTTGAAAGGTGACGTTGATGACACCACCCTTGTCCCTCACAACTACTCCTTTCCGGAAGATGTTTAGATGGGCAGGATCGGTGGACCTGGCCATAACAAGGGTACCCTCTTTGACTACTGGATGGTGGTCCCATGGATCAACCCCAAGTACTTTGGCTCGGTCTGCCTCGTCTTCTGATGTAGTGTCGTCCTCGGATGAGTTGGCACGGCTCTGTTTATGTTGTGTCCTTGAATTTGCTAGGTTTAGGGCAGATATCTTTGGTTGTTTGACTGGTGAATGGTGTACATCATCAGATGATGGTCGTTGATGACCCTTGCCATTACGAGTGTCTGATTGAGTGGTAGTGACACTGTTTGATTGAGTGGAAGTGACAATATATGTTTGAGTGGAGGTGAAAATAACTGGTTCACGGGTGACAGTGTCTGATTGAGTTGCTGCTGAGACACCGTTTGACTGAGTGAATGCGTTGTAGAATGGTATATAGACTTTTTTCTTATTGATCCTATCTGAGTACTTTTTGAAAGATTTGTCCAACATCTGATGAATCAATGGAATGCAATTATTAATATTAATTAATAATTATAAAACAAAATAAACAAATACTATAAACAACACTTACAATATCAACATCCTCTCTTGTGTACAGAGGAGTGCCATTCCTTACTTTGTTGTCCACCATTATGAGTAGATAATAACTAGAGGTTGTATGAGAGTAAAGGAGTATTGAATCAGGATAATAATGTATCAGAAAAGGATGGGAGGAATGACTAGTCATTGAAAAATATTTGAAAAAAAGCGCCACATTCTCAGTCTTGGATAATAATAGTTGTTTCGCCACCATTTATCCATTATTGACAAAGGGTACTTTGGTGAGGTGCCAAAGTAATTGCTAAAGTATATTTGATAAGGTATGGAATTCTTAGTAGGGAGACAAAGAAATCGTCCAAGAAATCGACAAGGACAAGTAATAATAAGATCCAAAATTATTGCCAAATCGGGAAGGATTTATGATTTAAAAATTGATTATTAATAGATCAACAAATAGATGAGGGTATGTGACATAGAAAACATACATTCCACAATTCAATGTAAATATATATAATTAATGTATTTGTTTATATGTTGAATGTATGTTTAATATGATCACTAGGGCAGGTCTGGGATAGAGCAATATAGCTACAGTTTGAGTTGAATTTAATGTTGCTCTCACACAACCTTGCTTCTTGACGTAGATGGCCTCGTCTCAGTTGATTGGATGGGTATACATTGTTGGGGATAGTTCCAAAATTGGTGATTTATTCACTTGACCACCCCCCACAAAGTGGTTTTCAACTTCATCCTCTAGTTCATTCTTTTATCTTCATAAGTTGTTATAACAATAATGAATAAGAATACAATCCAATTAAAAGAGTTGGAGTGGAAGATCACACAGATCAAGAGACGTGATTTGAAACCTTTCGAAAATGATCAAGTAATGATTGATCATCCTGGTTCAGATCCTTTGATCACCCTTGACAATGTCACAATACCAACAGATGTCCATCTAACACTGATGCAACGTAATCTAATTCCAGACCTCTATGTTGGTGAAAGAGAGGTATGTTCATGATCCCTCGTTCTCTCATTCACTCATTCACTCACTAACTTGATATCAAGATTGAGTTTAGATGGATTGCACTATCAGACTGGGAGTTCACGTGTGAGGTCGAGGTCAGCCAGGAACAGTTGGACAATGCTGGTCATGTTGAGATGGTGTGCGAGGGAATTGATACTGTTGGCACAATCAAGATCAATGATCATCATGTTGGAGACGTGGAGAATATGTTCCGTTGTTACCGTTTCAATGTTGGTGCCTACTTAATGGTTGGCAAGAACATAATCAGTGTGACTATATACTCACCGGCAGTATATTGTCAACGCAAGGCATTGGAGAATGGATATGAAATACCCCAGTGGGAGTATCCCAATGGTATCCATCACAGGAACTTCATACGCAAGGTTGGCTGCCACTTTGGTTGGGACTGGGGTCCCTGCTTCTGTCCCATGGGCATATACAAGCCCATTAACCTGGAGTTCATTGCCAGGAACACACCCGTTGTCAGAGGCCTGTACATCGAACAGACTCACAACAACGACGATGTGCATCTCAGTGCAACGGTCGATATCTTTGCTCAAACATCAATCGACTCGAGATTAACTTGGACATTGGAGGTTTCAAGACGTGGTGAGTCACTGGGCAAGACCTGTCTGGCGAGCCAATCAACAAAGATGGGCGACAGCTCATTTAGCATAACCACTCAGATCAACAAGCCATTGAAATGGTGGCCCAATGGCTATGGCGATCAGCCACTATATGACATCCATCTCTATCTTGGCGAGACTCTGGTCATCACCAAGCGCATTGGTATGCGCGATTTCAAGATCGACACATCCGAAGGACAGTTTACTATTGTGGTGAATGGCGTCCGTGTGTTTGCCAAGGGCGCAGACTGGATCCCTGCCGACACCTTCCTTAACCGCATAACACGTGACCAACTAGAGCACCTTATCGCCAGCACAGCCGAAGCCAACATGAACTGCCTACGAGTGTGGGGTGGAGGACTCTACGAATCGGATGACTTTTATCAACTCTGCGACGAGCATGGCGTGATGATCTGGCAGGACTTCATGTTCTCATGCGCCCTCTACCCATCCAACGCAGACTTCTTGGAGAATGTTCGCATGGAGGTCATCGACCAGGTGCGACGCATTGGTCATCACGCCTGCATCGCCCTTTGGTGTGGAAACAATGAGAATGAGCAGGCAATCAATGTTTGGAAGCCATCCAAAGAGAACCCACCACGTTATATTGTAGACTACAACAAGCTCTACATTGAGACCATCCTGCCAACTCTAAAGCAGCTGCAGCCAACATCATTCTTCTGGCCCAGCTCACCATCGAATGGTGTCCATCAATGGGGCGACACCAATGATCAGACCAGAGGCGACACACATTATTGGGAGGTGTGGCATTCAAACAAGCCATTCACTCAGTACCTCACAGCCAAATCCCGCTTCCTCTCCGAGTTTGGCTTCCAATCTTTACCTCGCGAGAGTGCCCTTCGCAGCGTGCTCTCTGGTCCCGAGCAACTAAACATCACCTCGCCCGAGATGGAAGGCAGACAGCGCTCACCAACACCGGGCAACCTTGGACTGCTACAGCACACGGCTCTTCACTTCCGCGTGCCCAATGGCTTCAAGCATCTCTGTTACACCACACAGATACTTCAGGCTATATCGATCAAGACTGGATGTGAGCACTGGCGTAGGATGTCGCCATACTGCATGGGAACACTTTATTGGCAATTGAATGACATATGGGTTGGCCCATCGTGGTCATCGATCGAGTACGATGGCACATGGAAGGCTTTGCAATACTTTGCCAAGAGATTCTACCAGCCTCTGTTGCTATCGTTCGTTGAGAACCAACAGACGGGCAACCTTGAGGCTTGGCTGACGAACGATCAGCCGACCAGCGGTGTCCAAGGAAAGATCCATGTCGAGCTCTGGAACGTGGTCAGCGGCGAGAAGACCTTTGAGGCGGAGCATGAAGTGCAGGTGGAGCCGCTCTCCAATCAGATGGTGTTCAGTGTCGAGAAGACCAGTCTGTTCCCCGCAGGCATTGTAAACTATGGACGCTTTGCCTACGGATGGCTGGAAGTGTCTAATGACCAGCAGGCTTTGAAGTGCCTGACGGACAACACCCACTTCTTTGGTCCGTACAAGAAGCTCAATCTCAAGGCACCCTATGTGCACATTACCAACGAAGAGGTGAACAGTGAGGGGCTGGTGGAGCTAACCATCGAGTCGAGGGAAGTTGCTTTGTTTGTGTGGTTGGAGAGCACTACACCTGGCAACTTCTCGGACAATGGATTCATCATGTTCAAGGACAGACCATGCACCATTGTCTTCTACCCGACACAGCCACTGGATGCCGACGAACCAGTGGCGCCAAAGTTCAACGTCTTTTCTCTCTACGACACATATGGCACTGAACGCGCTACCAATCAATGAGGGTCGACCTGTAATATGTGGACATTAAACATTGGCAATGTTAATTATATAATGATCATGTATTGTATATTTAAATTTGGACATCATCATTTATCCTTTGGTTGTTGCCTTGGATGCTGCTGTTGCTGCTGGTGAGTTGGTTGCTGTAGTCGATGGAGTTGTGGTGGTGGAGGGTGTGATGATTGGTGGAGTATCCTTCAAGAAAGGATGGTTGAGACAGTCCTTGGCAGTGGCACGTCGCTCGGGCATGTAGTGCAACATTGGTGTCAAGAACTCGACAAACTCGGTTGCCTCTTGATGACCAAACTTATACTTCTCGGTCAACACGTTGTAAAGAGGCCACTGCTCGCCAAGCTGTGGGATGTTCCTCAGCTCGCCCTTCTGAGTGAAGAACTCCTTGGACTTGCTGCCAAGACTGACCACCGACTTGGGGAATTTGCCCAGCAGCTCGATCATCAGAGCCAGATGATCGTCAGACTTGTTGAACGTGTTGCCTGCCTTGGGCTTGAAGAGGTGGTCGCCTGTGGCCAGCTCAAAGGCCATGCATGCTGCGCTCCAAATGTCCACTTGCACCGACCACTTGCTGCGCACGATGGCCTCCGGTGATCGATATTGTCTCGTCTGGATGTCGTCGGTGAAGTGAAGATTCACCCAACAGGCGTTGCCCAAGTCGACGATTTGCACCTGTGGATAGGCGTCCACGGTAAGCTGCTCGCCCGACACAGTGCGGGTGCTGTCCAAGGAGTAATAAAACCTTCCATTGCTGTATATCCTTCCAACTTCATCCTCCTTCTCTTGCTCGCTGATCACAACAACGTCATCAGTACTCGTGACTGTGGCCGTTGTCGTTGTCTCCTTGATCTCTTCCTTCTTTTCCGCATCGACCACAGCTGCTGCTGCTGCTGCCTTTGACGCTGCTGCCGTTGCTGCTGCCTTTTGCTCATCTCGATGATGGACGGGAGGTGGCAGACTGTCTGTACTCTTCCTCAAAGAGTTCTTTGATTGGCTGCTGGCGGTGCTCTCGTCTGAGGACGTGCTGCTGTAGCGCTCAGAGGAGGATGATGGCGAGGGGGGCTGGTTGGCCGGTACATTGATGCGCTTGTTACGGTAGTAGCCGTACTGGTGTCCCCAGGTGAAGTCCTCGATGGACACATCAAACTTGTGCCGTAGCAAGACATTCTCAGGCTTGAGGTCGGTGTGAATGATGGCGCACTGTGTGTGCAAGTGGTCGAGACCCATGATCACCTGCTTCATGATCGACTTGACGAGTGGCAGGGGGATGCCGCGATAGCGGTAGTGCTTGATGAGGTCGAGCAAGTTGTTTCCCAACACCTCGAACACCATGCAGATGTGCTTTCCGTTTGGACCCTTGTGCACAAAGTGATCGAGCAAACGCGCCACCGCCACAGAGTTGCCGCTGGCCTTGAGCAGCTTGATCTCGTCCTCGGCCGTCTCGGTGTAGGACTTGGCCGAGCGCACAATCTTGAGCGCCACCTGCTTCTGCGTCTCCTTGTCCAGACACAGCCACACGGTGGAGAAGTGGCCCCAGCCCAGCTTGCTCACAATCTGGTAGCGTCCATTGAACACGTCATTCTTGCGCACTGGATGATAGCCGCCCACCTTGTAGTCCAAGATGCCCTCGTCGTCCGACTGTGACAATGGAAGGAATGACAATGCTGCGGCCATTGCGGCCGCTGCCGAAACGCCACCCTCTGACTGTGCAAGCTTCTTCTTTTTCTTTTGTAACTTCTTCTTTTGTGATGCTGACAATTGTGTTTGTGTCTGTTGTTGTTGCTTACCATCCAATGATGATGTGGTCGTAGTTGTTGTTGTTGTTGTTGTAGTTGATGATGATGATGATGTTGACGCACCCAATACTGTCCCACCAATACCACTACTACTGCTGATGCTTGTGCTGCTACTTCCTCCAAGTGTTGTCATTGCTAACTAGTTGTTGTTGTTTATAAATATTGTATATATATTATATATGTATATGTATATGTATATGTATATGTATATGTATATGTATATGTATATGTATATAGTAGTGTTGTGTTTGTGATGGTTGGTTGATAGAGAGATACAATGCGTGAATCAATGAAACGAATGAACAAACAAACAAACAAACAAACAAAGAAAGAGAATGTTGAGCGACTTGTGAATCGTCCAACAATTCAAAAAAAATAAAATTGAAAACCAGATTCAAACAAACTTCAAAATCATTCCCAACCAATCAATCAATCATCATTCATTCAGTCAATCAAGCAACCAATTAGTACTACAATGGACCACCAATACTAATCCAATCAAAAGAAATAAGAAGTACGGATTTATCCAGTTTAGTAATCACAATGATAAACTAAACATACATCCCTATGACGACGAAGCGGAGGAAAAGAAATATCTGTTGGGGTTCGATGTGCCTCGCCCATCAAACAAAAAACACACCGTGTGATCGTAACAACTAAAAATTAATAAAATGGATGGGTAGAGTGACGTGATTGCCTCTGGGAGTTGTCCTCCCTACAACACCGTTTTACCCTCATAGCTTGCCAGCTCCCTATCAATCTTTCCATCTACTGATTGGTGGTTGTGTGTGTGTTAATGAGTGTCTTACCATTAGTTGATAACACCTCCGCCCTATCGTCGCCTCAATATCAAAATCGTTGATGGGAATCAATCATGACTTAGATTGGAGCCTCATTCGAAATCTTTATCATTTATCATTCATCATTATTTATATATAATACCTCATTCTAGAACATAGTTAAAACTTTGTATTTAAATATAAATAACTTATATCAATCAATCAATCATTAGCTTTATTGTAATATTAGTAGTATTCATATCAATCAATCAAACATACATAGGTAAGACAGCTTGTGGTTGATATTATATTATGTCCAACAACATCAACCTTTTCAACCCGTCCATCAACTCAAGAGGTGATGTCATCTCCAACTCAACTGCAACAGATATCTCTCTCCTTTCACACACCACACACATTCAAGTCAATCCAAACACACACACCCAAATCATCATCATCAATAACAACAATGTGTGTGGTTGTGGACAGACGTCTTTACATCGATGTCTGTCATGCCATCCCATGTCTGTGTGTCTCACATGATGATGCAACATTTATAATTGTTGTTTTCGATGATACACATATAAGTATATATATTGTTATTATATACTTTGCATTGATTGCTTACTCATTATAATATTAAGTGTCGATGTGTATACACCTCGCGATTACCACTGATATCAATCAATCATTCATTCATTCTTTCATTCACTCATTCACTCTATAACAATCAATCACATCTCATATCGTCCATCTTGTTATTGACACCAATGTATACATTCTAGGTTCATTCATATCATATCATTTCAATCAATCAATCAATCAATCATTCAATCATTCAGTATTATTATTGGACAAGGATACAGAGATACAGAGAGATACATAGATAGATAGCTAGATATAGATATAGAATGAGTTTAAAGACATCGGACCCAATTGCTTACTCTGACCAGGCAACAAGAGCAAACTACTGGAAGGAGGAAGCTGTCAAATGGGAGAAGTTATGTATAAAGTACAAGAAGGAGGCAGAGGATCTGAGAACAAAGTTGGACGATCTAAAGGTCAAATATAATGAATTGTAAGATAGATAGAGGATGTGGATATGACAGGTTCATGATATTGACATCAATCAATGTAATGTAATGTAATGTAATGTAGATTGAATGTTGATGGAGCGACTACAAAGAGATCACCATCATCATTGGGTACATCGAATGAACATAATCAACCAGTATCAATTGGTAGTGTTGGAAGTAGTGGAAGTGGTGAGTTGGCAATGTCGCCAACGAACTCTACAGAGAAGAAGAAGAAGAAGTGGAATATTATCAAGTTCTTGGATAAGAAGCAACCGAGCTCAAACGCATTGCCAATCGCCAGCTTGAAGAAGGAGTTGTCAATGTCGTCCACATCGATAAACACAAGCAGCAGCAGCTTAAGCAGTGTTGTGAATAACAACAACAATGACGACGACTCACAACTATCCAATGGCTTCACTTATGATGAGCGCGAGCTTAGCACACACTACCATCATCTGCCCAAGCTATTGGTCAAGCCACTAAAACAAAAGTCGTCGTCCTACGTGCGCTTCTCTGGGCCCGACTGCCCGACGCCCACTGAGGCAAACACAGTGGCGGGTGCGGCACGCGAGCTGTACCAGGTGACATACGGCGACTCGGTCCACGCGCTGTCCACCAGCACCTACCCCTCGCCCATTGGCTCCAAGGGCAGAGACGGCGACCCCATCGCCGACCGCTACAACGTCGTGATCTACGAGAACAGATTGATTGCCTGTTTGGCCGATGGCTGCAACTGGGGCCTTCGTCCACAAGAGGCCGCAAAGAAGGCCAGCGAAGCATTCATCGAGTACTGTATCTCAAAGAGCGAGTCCATCCAGGATGTCAAGCAAGTTGGCAAGATCCTTTTTGATGCGTTCGAGTCGGCACATCATTCAATCCTCAAGGGCAAGGACGACCTGTGGGAGGCCGGCACCACGACCCTGCTGGGAGGCCTTCTGCTCGAGATCAACAAAGGCGACGACAAGTGGTCGCCAGAGTGGGAGTTTGTATTGGCGTCGGTCGGTGATTGCAAGGCCTACCTGATCACCGATGGCGAAGTGTCAGATATTACAGAGGGCAACAGAGTCAGTCTGGATGCCAAGGACTGTGGTGGTCGTCTAGGTCCACATCTGGATGAGGGCAAGCCAGACCTGAGGAATCTCAATGTGTTCTGCGCCAGTGTCAACCAGGGCGACATCATCCTACTGGTGACAGACGGCGTGCACGACAACCTCGACCCCTCGCACCTTGGCAAGACGCCCGCCGACATGTCCAAGGAGTTCAATCTCTCGGGCGCCAAGTGGGCCGATGTCGACCTGTCCAAGGCCGTGCAGGCCAAGACGGCCTTCACCACCAACTTCCTGGAGACTATGCTGCAGGGAATTACATCGCCATCCGAGATCACACACAAGCTTATCAATCACTGTTGGGACACGACACAGACGTCGCGCAACTTCATGGAGACCATGTCCGGCAAGCGATTGCCACAGGACTTTGTAAAATATCCAGGCAAGATGGATCACACGACGTGCATCTGTTTCCGCGTCGGACAGTTTGACATCTTGAACGACGATGGCAGCAAGTCGTCATCGTCCACAGCGTCATCAGTGATGCCATCGCCACAATCATCAACACCATACAGCTCACCCAGTATCTCATCACCACACAGCAACAACAACAACAACAACAGCCATCATCCACAGCCACATAAGGATTGGGTAAAGACCAAGGTGTCTGTACACCATCCAATCATTTCACCGTTCCTGAAAAAGGAGTTCTCTCTCGATTCCATGGCCAGTCCCAATGACACGTCCAGCCAGATATCGACACCCAACAGTAGTCCACGCGAGGATCAATAATGGGTTATAATCTTCATCATATTCATTCCATTCCCATCTTCCGACTACAACTCCTACCTCCCTCAACCCTTTTTTCCCCTCTTCTCGACTCATCCCAGCCCAGATCAATCTAAATCCAATTACCAAACTATCCAGCCAGTATCAATCAAACAAACAACAACCAAAGACCATCCTCGCTCCCCTTCCCCCTCCTCCAACCAACCAAGTCATGCATGCTGTCAGTCGAATCATTGACAAGCAATGATGAATGGCCAGTTGCAACATGCCAAGCGTGTTGTCAATGCACCTACTCCAATAAACCCAAAAGGAAGTATTTGTAAACATTCTCTATTATACCTCTTCCCCGGTGTCGGGCTCTCGGAGTTAAATCGTGAAATCAGATTTGGCCCATATTCCCAATGTGTACCACGATGACACAAACCCTTTCATTCTTTCATTCATTTATTCAAACACACAGCACAGACACAGAGATAGAGAGATAGAGGATGATAAAAGCTATACTTATTGTAAATAACAGCGGCAAGGCAAGGTTGACCAAGTTCTATGAGAAATGTGTAGGTGTTATCAATATCAAAGAGTTGAGTTGTATTTGAATAGCGCTCTCTAACTCAAATGATTCAAATAGTCAATAGATAAACAACAGCAGATTATTAGAGACTTGTTCTTATTGGTTTCAAAGAGATCGGATCGATCATGTAACTTCCTAGAGGTTGAAGATATATTCGATACCGACACCAAGATCATATATAGACACTTTGCAACACTATTCTTTATATTCGTAGTCGACTCATCAGAGAGTGAGTTGTCAATGATTGACCTCATTCAAACCTTTGTAGAGACACTAGATAAGTGTAAGTATCAATCAATCATTCAATCGCTCATTCATTCATCTCACTCACTAATGACTACTTCGTTCTGATACTTAGGCTTTGAGAATGTTTGTGAACTACACTTGATCTTCCACGCAGACAAGGTACATTATATATTGGATGAGATGGTTATGGGTGGACTGGTATTAGAGACCAATCCAAACATCATTGTATCAAACTACGATGCACAGAACAAGATGGAGAAAGCAGAGAGTCCAATCATGTCTGGATTCCAAGGTGTATTCCAAACTATCAAGCCTAGATAATGAATAGTTCAATATTATTAGAGTCATATAATAATAATAACAATAGTATATAAAGTGTAGAATCTAGACAGGTAAACATCTTATCTCTGAGTTGTGCCCATTGACACGCCATCATTCTGTTCGAGAGGACCTCCAAAGTCGCAAAACACAACAACTTTGTGTGTCATCGATTGAGGTCTTTCATTACTTTGAATGCCCCAGCAGAGGACATAATGACTATTTGTTATAACAATATATAACAATTAGTTGTTGTTGTTGTACATTCAATCAATCAATCAATAATACCTATTATAACAAGAGACAAAGAGAAATAGTAGAGAGAAAGAATGACAGGCTCATGGGTGTTCCTTGCAGCAATTGCACCTGTCGTCACCTTTATTGAGGGTGGATGGAGGTATATGGGTGTAGGTAATCAATAGAATGCATGCATGGTGTCATAGTATGAGTGGAAGTAAGTGAGACTAACAGACAGACAACATACAGGGTGCATCTATAGTATTTCATGGAATCAAGACGTATGTATTTGGAAAGCTGGTGAGAACAGTCGAGTATCCCGATGGCGAGATGGTATCGATAGTCATTCGTACCAACAATCTGAATAGGTTGAAGAATGAAGTATGTTGTTGTTATATCATCATTCATTCATTCAACCTACATACTTACTCAATCACAATCGTCAACAACAAAGATCATAAAGCATCAACCTGCATTGTTCCCTGGTGTCGAACTCGATCAGGCAGATGTAAAGTACATGGCAAGATGGACACCGCCACACTTCACAGAGGTATGCACAAAGAATAAGGACCTCAAGATGGTACCGGATGGAGGTGTTGTGTTCTGGTCACGCTTCGAACCAATACCAAAGAGAAACGTCACACTGGACATCAAGGACAAGGATGTTATCAAGCTGGATCAGGCCATCAGTTTTGTCTCTAGAATGGGCGGCAAGCAAGGAGGTGTCGTTGAGGAGGCGGCAAAGCTGAGCGAGCCACAAGAGAACGCTCTCATCGATATGTTGCTGGAGAAGGACGATGGCGTATTGGCGCTACACAGGAACTTCAATCAGTTCCCTGTACTATTCAAATATCACGCTCTGCGGTACCTTCATGCCAAGGGTAGACTGGTCGTTGCCGACCAACCACAAGTACAAACACAAGCACAGGCAGCACAAACACAGACTCAAGTGCAGGCACAGACTCAGCCTCAGACACAACAGGCAACTACTGCTGCTGCTGCTCAACAACAGCAGAAACAACAGCAACATGCTACAGCGGCCACGACTAAAGGACCAGCAACTGCCACACAACCACAGTCACAGACACAACAACAAAAGACACAACAAGTTATACAGAAGCAACAGCAACAGCAACAACAACAACAAAGTGAACAATCCAAACCAGTTTCTCCGACACAGGCACCTTCGCCTCATGAACTGACAAACACTGTATAGACATATCCCATCCTTCTTTCTCATGGACTGCCACTTTTCACTTCCAATCGCGACCAATCAATCATCGATCCATTTGGATTAAAGATATACATTCAGGGTCTTGCCATTGTCCATCCATTCACAAGAAGGACAGCAACAGCAGACACTGTTTTATTTAGATAGACATAGTCTTCTTGGCGAGCTCGATATTACTCTATCTCTATCTCCTGGCTTTGTCATCCATGGTGTTACTCTCCTTCTTGGGTGACTTGTACATGAAGTACCAGACAGCAGCGACCACCGCCACACCTAGACCAATGGCCGGCATGTTACGTTGGAACGGCGACTGTGAGTTGGGATCATAGGTAAACTTGTTGGGGTTCTCAGTGGCGAAGGTCCTACTCCTGGTCGATTTGATAAAGAATGGAGATGACCTAGTTGTAGTCATCATCATTCCAGAAGGTGTAGTGACTGGTACCTTCTTGAATACACCTTTGGTAATAGCTCTGGAGACTGACATTGTTTGAAATCTTTAGACAAGCAAGTATTACTATTATTATTAGTTTGATTGATTGATTGATTATTGTTGTAATTATAATGGATGTTTGGATTGTCCATCAACTTCTTATGTAGTTGGGCAAACCCAAGTACCTCAATCCAATATTATTATTATAAGGTCTCTGATGCTTGAAGCCCCACACACACTTTCCTTGTTTGTACATCCGATCAAATAAAGTATTGTCATAGTTATACAAGTATCCAAATAAGGAATTAAGTATGAATGAGCATCCTCAAACCAATAATGTAGTGACACGTTATAATGATGATCCAAGTGATGATTGGATATTAAATTAGTTAGAGATACAGAGACATGTGTTTATATATAATGTATAAGTAAGAAGGATAAACAATCATCTCAAGCCAAGGTAGCACTTGATTATATTTCCTCATCACTGTCATCACCATAGGCAACAATGTTGCTCTTTGGCTTCCTGATAATAGAGATGATGGAACCAATGATGAAGGCGGCAACGATGCCCCAGGTGGCATAATAGAAGATGACTCCAAAGAAGCTGGTGCCCATCTCGACACGCGAGATCAGCAGACCGATCTGAGTCATAACACATGCTGATGGTGGTGCGTTGATGGTGCACGACTCAATCGCGTTGCTGGTGACGTTGTACCAGACTTGAGTGCCAAACATGGCGTATTGTGGTGCCAGCTGCACGATCTGGATGTTTAGACACAGGTTGGAGAGCATCAGGATCACCGAGGCAATGAGCAAAGCCTGTGGTGCAGTCCTTGATGGTGTGAACTCGTACAGCTTGATCCAAAGGAATCTAATACCAATCTTCACAATGCCTGAGAGTGTTGCAATGTACACGTAGAGAATGAGTAGACCAAGAAGAATGTAGTCCAATGGGAAGTACTGTTTAGGTGAGTGAGCAAAGGGAAAGGTTGGTTTGTTAGTAAGTGTCTGCCTGTGTGCGTGTTGAGAACATGAATGAGATCGATTCATACTGGAGCAGAAGCGGACAACATGAGGTCGATTGGGTTCTTGAGCTTGGGATAGTCGGTGAGGAATCCACATGCAGCACCACAGACTGAGCTGGACAGCTTGTCAATGATTGACAGGACGATTGAGATGATGAGCAGCAGTGAGATCAGGAGGAAGATGAATCCAAAGATAAAGGTGAATGGTCTGACAACGACCAAGATCTTTCTGATGCCAGAGTTGGAGGCGTCGAGTCTGCTCGAGTGCTTCTGGAGTACTCTCTCCTTGGACTTGAGCAGGCTGAGTGTCTGCTCCTCGTTGGCAGACATGGCCTTGCCGCTGGCGTATTTGGACGAGTAGTAGTTGGCCTTCTCGCGAGTCTTGTAGATGTTCTCGGTGATATCGTGACGATCGTCGCTGACTCTGCGACGGCCCTTGATGAGACCGATGGGGAAGGCTGAGAGACCAAAAGCGGTGAAGACGAACCATACGAGGAAGCCAAGAATGGTGAGACAGGCAATGGCAAATATCATGGACGAGACGGCTGCGTTCTGATTGAGCAACTCTTGCTCCAACCAGTCCTTTGCATTCTGGTTGTCCACTGGCTTGTTGGAGCCGGGGCGGATGAAGGCACCAACGATAAACAGAACAATAGCAAAGACGATGGTGAACGAGGTATATTTACATGCGCCAAGGATCCTGGCGCCAGTTGTCACTCCACTTGCCTCATCCTCCTCCTCGTAGTAGAAGTAGGCAAATGGCATCATGACCAAGGCAAACAACAATGTGAAACCATAGAACGCTGTATTACATTGTGTTGTTGTGTTAGGGTCATGACATGTCGCGCTTTAAAGGGAATGAATACACATACCATAATAGAAGATTCTAAGCGAGAGATTGCGTTGATCAATATCATTCTGTGAGATGGTGATGTTTCCAAGTGAGTTTGACATTGTCGAGACGTTCAAGATATCGACTGGAATGATCATGACACAAAGCAATGCAGTGGTCAGTCCAATGATCGATACAATTGTCGTGAACTTCTCCGACTGATGCTTATCAGAGTAGTATTTGATAATGATTATATTCAATAGCACTGTGCACTAGATATCGTATGATCGATTGATTTGTAAGACATTATGTTTGATTGATTGATTGATTGATTGATCTAGTCAACTAGTTAAGACATACTATTGCTACAATGCCAAAGGCAGCCCAACCAAAACCTATTTGTAACATGATTTGGTAGTATTTATGTAAATGTATGTATGTGTATTTGAATGAATGAATGAAAAGAAGATGTTGGTGAGAGAGAGAGACAGAGTTGGAGTGTTGTAGTTGTGGTTGGTTTGAGTTGAGGGGTGGATGGTGTGAGTGAAGTGTCTGTATCCCAGGACACACACAAGACAGAAAGTTGGCAAAGTTTGGGAAGGAAAAATCTGTTTTGACATCCACCCCCAAATTACCTTATCGGGAAGGTCGAACTTATCGATCACTTATTGTTGGAACAATGAAGTCAAAGGTCTTGAGTTAAGTCATTGAATAGAGATAAAAGGTAAAAGGGTTGGAGGAGAGGTGGTTGCGCAACGTCCGTTGGATTGTTTGTTGGATACTCATTTGAGAGTGATCCAGGAGTCTTGTATATAATTCAAAGACACTACGTTTGTAATGATCTTATCGATGTGTGCGAATGTCTACGGTGTTAGCGTAGAGCATCCTCAATCCGGCGGACGTTTGCGATTTATGGTCTTTATGCTCATCATCATATCCATTATCGTTGTCATAATTTGGTTTGGTTTGTTTTGTTTGTTTGGTTGTTAATGATAACTATTGCCTCTGTGCACCTGCTTCCCCCGATCAATCAATAGTAATACAATCACTTATTAGTGATCAAATACAATACATTGTCAACTGTTATGGTAACAACATCATCAACAACATCATCAACTGTTGTTGCCACATTGTTTGTGTGTGTTGCCAAGTGTTTCCAATTGACATTCATGGACTACTTGGCGAAATTTCCGAACTGACTCTCTCGCCCAACAACATTTGTAATCCACAAAGTGTAAAGGAGGAGTAATAGTAAGCAAGAATACAAGCATTCTGATGTGGATATGTACAACTGGTGGGTGAGCATGAAGTAACATACTTCATGCTCACCCTTTTAATGGTCATGTCTAAATGACTGACTGTTTGACCTATTTGCTTAGGCTGTTTGTGCTACTCTTACTGTTAGTACTGCTGCTGGTGCTGCTGTTGATAATAGTACTGTTTCCCTTGTGTAGGTCTGCTGGCGTTGGAGTGGCATGCGCAGTACCCATTAGTTTGTAGCCCGCGAATGCCATCAAACCAATGGTGGCAGCAATGCCCCATGCATAGGTGTTCATCTTTGCAAAGCCTCTATAGTACTCATTGATCTGACTGATTGATGCCGGTTGTCCATTTGCAGCACGCTTTGTCAAGTTCTCTCTAATACTCTCTGCCATACTATGTCCACTTTCATTTGTTGCTCCACTGGCAGCATTGAATGCAGAAGTCGTACCTGTACCCTTCTTCATTGTATCAAATAAAGGGTTGTTCTTTGGTATCTTCTCTGATGTTGTCTCTGTAGGTTTAGTCATTCTTATTTTTATTATTATTATTATTACTATTATAATGTATAACAAGTATTTGAATGAATGTGAACGAATAAATGAATGAATGATAAATTGCGAATCTTGTGAAGTTGAACCCCACCCTTTTCCTTTCCAAGTTGAGAACATGAATGCATCTCAACGTCCATGGACATGAACAAGGTTTATTGACAACAAAGTTTTAATATATATATAATGATATATTTGTTATATTATTCATATGATTGAGATGATAGTATGCCAAAGAGATGGTCAATGTCGCGAAGATCCCAACAACAGACTTGGTTTGACTCGTGAATTGTGATTAGCTGGTAGGCCATATCACTTAGGGATGGATCCACTCCTCCATAGGTGATGGGCAAGACTAGCTTGATTGGTGTTGTATCTACAAGTGGGAAGGTGGCCAGTGGTCGCTGCATTACATCATGCAGTTGTCCAATCGATGGAAATCCATCTCCCAGCATGTTGTGGCTTTGAGCATAGACTGCCACCTCGTTTGCCAGCTGGTCAACATCGATGTATATTTGATTGTAGGTCGATACCATGTTCCTGGGATCAGGCTCCTCCAATGTGATGTTTGGAGCCATTGATTGATCTGATCCTGACGCGCCACTTCCATTGCCTTTGCCATTGTTGCTGCTGCTGTTGGCTGATGTCAGACTAGGCGATATATTCGTGCCCGAGACACTCTTACCCAGAACACCAATGAGCGGAACCTTTGCGCCATAGGTCTTGGGAGTGACATAGTGGAGGTGATGGAATGTTTTGAACTTGATAATGTCGTTGAATGGTGAAGGATGTCCACGATCGGCGCCTGTGCGAACACTGACGCATTTAGTCATATGAGGATAGATTGGATTGGTGTACTTGTACTGCCAGCTCTTGGTGAGATTCTGGTTGGTCTTGGCAGTGATGAACACTCCTTCATTGCCACCACTGACCACCAAACTGTCAATTGCGCCATCGGGTTGTTTTGCCACTGCCGCCGCGGCAGCTGTGATCACCAGTTTGGCACCAGGGATGAACGACTCCTTTCGTCTGATATTCCTAAATCCAAGATGAACAGTTCCTTCCAGTGTGCCAATGGCCATTGCCATCTATTGTTGCTACCTTCAATGCCAAGGTGTATGAGTGCAATTGTTATACATGTTATGATGTTCTCCATTACTGATGGGTCGGTGTATGTTTGCGCCAAACTGGCATTGGTCACCAACTCGCCATTGTCTTCGAGCATGGTTGGAGTGGGTCTAGGCTGACACTCAAAGCCACGCTTCAGCATTGTCTCATCATCCTTATATCCCGCCATTGCAAACATCTGATTCTGAAGGTAGTCAATGTTGTTCAACTTATACACCTGCTCTGTGCTCCAATCCCAGTTATCTCTCATATTTTGTTTGATCTCATATATCTCTCCATTATTGCATCCCTTATCAAACATGTCAATGTCAGTGATTGATTGATTGATTGATTGAATGAATGATTGAGTCCAAGTAGGTACATACGACGAACAAGTGATGTTCCATATCAGCGATGGCTGTAATACTGTGATTGAGGTCAAGCGTCTTCATGGGTAACAGTCCTTCAGAGTCGTTGGCAATCTCAACCAATGTTATCTTGCCACTCTTTGATATAGTGGCCAAGTAATGTCCATTGACTATATAATGTATAAAGTGTATATAATGATCTATATCAATCACATGTCTCTTAAGCTGATCAAACACATGTTAGTCTATCAATCAGATCATCTGATACATGGTCAGGTGGACTGACTTACAATCACAGCTTGGAATTGGACATAGTCTATTCTGATCTTCCAGAGTGCTACTTGTTTGTTGGTTGTGAACCCGCTGAGTATAAGATTGGAGACTTCATTGTACTTGTTCTTTGTGATTGACGCAGTGAGTTGATGCAACTGCTCACCAACTTGTGGCTCCAATGTGAAGAAGTGAACCCAAAGTGATGCCAGTCCTTTGTACCTACACACATGTAAGTTGTGTCAGTTGAGTAAGGTCGAGTAATCGAGTCCAGAGTTGCGATCACACTTACATCCAGCATTCAATGTGACCATTTGAGAATGATAGTATGAGTAGGTTGGCCTTGGATATTGCATTGATAATTGATGAGGTGTCGCAAGAGGAGGCGGGAGTGATAGAGGTCAGATAGGAAGTGCCACCACGTGTTCCGAATGATGAGAGCAATGCTCCAACCAATGAGTTGAGTCCAAAGTACATCGCCTCTCTAACAATCCTATTGATATATGTTGTGGACAGATGACTGGTGTCGATATGTCCACCTGATCGCAAGTAACCTAGTATCCATGCAAACACATCACCATCACGGTCGATAAATATATGACCATCTGCATCGCGTGGCACATCTTCTTCCCTCTGCTCTTGCAGCAAGTGTGCAAAGTATGTATTTGGTGCGCCATACAACAATGTGCCTATTGTCGTCTGATACTTTACACCTCCAACATTGAGTACAATCATCATCGTCATCATGTCATCTTTGCTATTACCATCCATTGTGGATGATGAAGTGTATAAAGTTGTTGTTGGTTGTTGTTGTTGTATTACTACTTTGTATTTGTATTTATCTGTGTGATTGTTAAGTATGATGGCAAAAGCAATGACTCAAGACTACACACTACACAAATGTTGTTGATTTCCCAACTACAACACAACACACATATAATAGTAATAGTCGGGTTACTCGAATAACCTTGGCCATCCTGATTGGCGAGGGACCTCACTGGTTCTCAAACACTTTGGTTGTGGGTTCTAAGACATACAAGCCGTGGCTAAAGATATTTTCAGATTGATTGGTCGATCTAATCCCATCACCCACACATTCTTCATTATACCTATTCCATGTAATAAGTAGTATAACATTGGCTTGATATTAATAATGAACATAAACCATTATTACAAGTTGTAATGTATCCAACTCATTGGTCATTTCATGGGAAGGATGGATGACCAAAGTGGTTAACATAAACATGGGATTCTGAACTCGTGGTTGTGCGTGCACCCCTTCAAGTTCAAGTCCCAAGGGTGTTCTTCATTCATTCATTCATTCATTGATTCATGTTCATTCATTCTCTCACATTGTTGTTATAATACAAATACAATATATAGTACTTCTTTAGTTGATTCATGTTTAGAAGATCATTATCAACAATGTCGAACTACCTATTCAAACCAAGTGCACAAGTTAGCTCATTTGGACCATCAGTATGGTTAGGTACGGTGTAGTTCATTCACACTGATACAATGAGAGATATACTCAATCAATCAAAGAATGATTGAACTAACTCATATGCGTATATACTGCCACATACAACAGAGTTCTCACCATTATCAATCAAATACAAGTCTGTCAACTTGGGTCAGGGCTTCCCGGACTTTGATCCACCAGAGTTTGTTACCAATGCTCTGAAACGAACGATTGATGCAGGTGGCTTCAATCAATATACTAGAAGTCCTGGACATCTGAGATTGGTGAACGCCATTGCCAACACCTACTCTCCATTGTTTGGTCGTCAGATCGATCCAATCACGGAGATACTCACAACGGTTGGTGCGTCCGAAGCACTCTTTGCCGCCATCCAATCGATCGTGAACAGAGGCGACGAGGTCATCTTGATCGAACCATTCTTTGACATATACACTGGCGCCATTATAATGGCTGGAGGTGACATCAAGGCTGTGTCGCTGCGTGAAGACAAGACATTGCGCGGGGAAGGCCAGCGTCGATCGTCGGCCCAGTGGCGTCTCGATTGGAGCGAGCTAGAGCAAGCTATTACCGACAAGACAAAGCTCATCATTATCAACAACCCGCACAACCCAACGGGCAAGGTTTGGTCTCGCGAGGAACTACTCAAGTTCTCCGAGATAGTCAAGCGCCATCCCAACCTCACGGTGCTCAGCGATGAGGTCTACGAGTGGATGACCTTTGACGACGCTGTCCACACTCGTATTGCCACGCTGCCCGACATGTACGAGCGCACAATCACCATTGGCAGCGCAGGCAAGACCTTCTCAATCACCGGTTGGAAGATCGGCTGGATCATTGGACCAAAGGCAATCGTGGGCACCGTCGCCAACACACATCAGTACATCCCTTTCAGTGTGTCGACGCCATGCCAGGAAGCTGTGGCCATTGCCCTTGAAGAGGCACCAAAGCTCAACTACTTTGCCGAGCTCAAAGCTATGTATCAATCAAAGCGTGACAAGCTGCTGTCTGGACTGACCGCTGCCGGTCTGGACCCCATCGTACCAGAAGGCACGTACTTTATCTTTGGTGACACGTCCAACATCAAGCTGCAAGGTGACCAAGGTCAGAACACGTCGATCACAGGCATGGGCAAGCATCTTCGCGATTGGAACGTCTGTCGCTGGTTGACCACAGACATTGGTGTCACGGCCATCCCGCCCTCTGCCTTCTACAGTATCGAGCACGAGCAAGAAGGTGCCAACTATGCTCGCTTCTGTTTCTGCAAGAAGGATGACGTATTAGATCGTGCCAACAGTTCACTATTGAAGCTAAAGCAACTGCAATGAACATAGATATACATAACTCCATTCATTCATTCATTCATTCATTCCGAAGCAGCCTGTGATTGTTTGATCGCGCGTGTGGTCACGGCCAATGCCACTTCCCAACTTCATCGGCTCGTTTAGACTTGCAGTGTAGACAACAACCCCCATTTAAACATCAATGATGTGATTGACCATCAGAGCATCAATGGTCATGAAACCGAGTTCAATTTGGGTGATGACTATGGGCAAAAACACAGATATTTGATCATTTTGATAATTTTTATTATTTTTTAGGACTTTTCCAGGCCCCAAGAGCCTCACATTCATTCATAAGAACACTCGGGCGAGGGGGCACCAACACCCTTTGATGATCGTTCACTTGCATACACCATTCATTCAGTTGTCTAACTCAATCATACAATATAAATATATATCTCAAACAACATGTTTAGACAGTTGCTTTCACAAAAGACCACAACAGGTCTAGTTTCAGCAGCCTGGCGTACATCCGCCAGTGCTTCACCCTTGCGCACATATGCCTCCAGCAAGACTACTACATCATACGTGAACGTGACCAGCCCCAACGAGAGTGTGTTCACCGCCCTGGACACATTCCCACGTCGCCACATCGGCCCATCAGACGAGGACATCAATGTGATGCTGTCCAAGATCACGACTTCCAAGGCGTCGTCGGTGCGCCCCACCTCGCTCGACAACCTCATCGAGTACACTGTGCCCAAGAGCATCAGCATGCAGCGCGACCTCGACATCGAGGGCAACCACATCAAGGGTGAGAACCAGATTCTGGCCGAGTTCCGTGAGCTCGTCAAGAAGAACAAGCTGTTCCGCTCGTTCATCGGCATGGGCTACTACAACACGATCACGCCACACGTCATCCAGAGAAACATCCTGGAGAACCCAGGCTGGTACACCCCATACACCCCTTACCAGGCAGAGATCTCACAGGGCCGTCTCGAGTCGCTGATCAACTTCCAGACCATGGTGACCGACCTCACCGGTCTGGCCATGGCCAACGCCTCGCTGCTCGATGAGGCCACCGCCGCTTCCGAGGCTGTCACCATGTGCATCAACCTGTCCAAGGGCAAGAAGGACTTTGCCTTCCTCGTGGACAAGCGCTGCCACCCACAGACTATCGACACCATCAAGACCAGAGCTGAGCCAAAGGGCGTGCGCATCGAGGTGTGCAGCTATCAAGACTTTGACTACTCTCGCAACGACGTTGTCGGTGTGCTCGTTCAGTACCCCGCCACTGACGGTTCCCTGCGCGACTACAGGGCCGTCGTCGAGAAGGCCCACGCCAACAAGGCGTTGGTCGTCTGTGCCACCGATCTGTTGGCACTCACCATGCTGACCCCACCAGGCGAGTGGGGCGCCGACATTGCCCTTGGTAACTCACAGCGCTTCGGTGTGCCTCTTGGATTCGGAGGCCCACACGCCGCATTCTTTGCCACCAGCCTCCAGTACAGTCGTCAGATTCCAGGTCGTATCATTGGTGTCAGCAAGGACAGCGCTGGCAACCGCGCATACCGCATGGCATTGCAGACTCGTGAGCAGCACATCAGACGTGAGAAGGCCACCAGCAACATTTGCACATCCCAGGCTCTCCTTGCCAACATGGCCGGTATGTACGGTGTCTACCACGGACCAAAGGGTGTCAAGCAGATAGCCCAAGCAGTCCACAAGAAGTAAGTCTCGGTCTCCCTCCCCTTTCCTCCCCATCTTGGAACCATCCCACTCACTAAATCACTCAATCACAGGACAATCATTTTGAAGAATGGACTTGAGAAGCTCGGCTACGAGATGTTGGATGCACCATTCTTTGATACGATCAAGGTGATCACCAATGAGCACACTGACAAGGTGCTGAGGGAGTTGGAGAAACGTGAGATCAACATTAGAAAGACATGCAACAAGTCCGTGTCGATTTCTCTGGACGAGTCGGTCACACCAACTGACGTTCAGCGTCTGCTCGAGGCCTTTGCCGCCGCCAATGGACAGAAGTTGTCATTCACTCCACAGTCGCTCGAGAAGGAGTTGGCCGATGGTGCCACCGCCATCCCCGCCTTCCTCCAGCGTAAGTCCGAGTTCATGACCCATCCAGTCTTCAACAAGTACCACAGCGAGCACGAGTTGCTCCGTTACATCCATCGTCTGCAGAAGAAGGACTTGGGTCTGACCACAGCCATGATCCCATTGGGCTCATGCACAATGAAGCTCAACGCCACCACTGAGATGTACCCCGTGTCATGGCCCGAGGTCAACTCGCTCCACCCCTTCGCCCCATCCTCCCAGACACTCGGCTACAAGGAGATGTTCGACTCACTCAGCAAGAGTCTTGCTGAGATCACTGGCTTTGCTGGCACTAGCTTGCAGCCAAACGCCGGTTCACAGGGTGAGTACGCCGGTCTGCTGGTCATCCGCTCCTACCTGCGCTCGATCGGTCAGGACAAGCGTGACATCTGTCTGATCCCCGTGTCTGCACACGGAACCAACCCAGCCTCCGCCGTCATGGCCGGCATGAAGGTCGTGGTCGTCGCCTGTGACGAGCAGGGTAACGTCGACGTTGCCGATCTGCGCGCCAAGGCCGAGAAGCACAAGGACAACCTGGCCGCACTCATGATCACCTACCCATCGACTCACGGTGTGTTCGAGGAGGGTGCCAAGGAGATCTGCCAGCTCATCCACTCGCTCGGTGGTCAAGTCTACATGGACGGTGCCAACATGAATGCTCAAGTCGGTCTCTGCCGCCCAGGCGACATTGGCGCAGACGTCTGCCATCTCAACCTTCACAAGACCTTCTGTATCCCACACGGTGGTGGTGGTCCTGGCATGGGCCCAATCTGCGTTGCCAAGCACCTCATCCCCTTCCTGCCCGGTCACTCTGTCGTTCCAGACGTCAGCACTCCACAGGCCATCGGCGCCATCTCTGCCGCACCATGGGGCAGCAGCTCGATCCTCCCAATCACCTACATCTACATCAACCTCATGGGCGGCGTTGGTCTGAAGCGCGCCACCCAGGTGGCCATCCTCAACGCCAACTACATGGCCGCTCGCCTAAAGGATCACTACAAGATCCTGTACACAGGTTCGCACGGTCTGGTGGCCCACGAGTTCATCATTGACCTGCGCTCATTCAAGGAGACGACCGGCATCGAGGCTGAGGACGTCGCCAAGCGTCTGCAGGACTACGGCTTCCACGGACCCACCATGTCATGGCCAGTGGTCAACACACTGATGATCGAGCCCACAGAGTCCGAGTCCAAGTACGAACTGGACCGTCTGTGTGATGCGCTCATCTCCATCCGTGGCGAGATTGCCGAGATCGAGTCTGGCAAGGCCAGTCGCGACAACAACCTCCTGGTCAACGCTCCACACACTGAGCACGTGATCACCTCTGACAAGTGGGATCGTCCATACACACGTGAGCGTGCTGCCTACCCCTCAGTGGCCACTCGCGAGTCCAAGTTCTGGCCATCAGTTGGTCGTGTCGACAACGTGTTTGGAGACCGTAACCTTGTGTGCGCCTGTCCACCACTCAGCGACTACCAATAGACAATGATAGATGTTCTTGTTTATTTTTTTAAATATTCCAATCTCTGTTATAAATAATTTACTTAATCCATCCATGTCTTGCCAGTCCTTCCTCATCTGAATCACCAAAGAACCAAGACAAGGCATATATACCACCTTTCCAGTCCGCCAAATCTCAAGTGATCATTCACACATTCAACCAAACAATCAATCATTCAATCATTCAATCAAACATGCTGGACAAATACAATGATTATATTATCATAGAGATTGGTGTACATCTCTCTAGTGTTGATATAGTGGCATTGAGATTGGTCTCCAAGAGGTTATTCAAACTATTCCCTGGTCGTCTCAAGATCCTAAAAAGAAATTGGTCATTTGATGATCTTCGAGATGTCGACGGTTCCATTCAACAAGACACAATACCATCATCAGTGACTAATGTTGACCTTGGTGACTACAATCACCTACTTGAACCTGGCATCATACCATCTTCAGTTATCATTCTCAACATGGGTCGCTACAATCAAACTCTTGAACATGGTTGCATTCCATCTTCAGTGACCAAGCTCAACATTGAACAAACAAGATTGAATCATCCAATCAAAATGGGAGTATTACAAACTTCAATAACAGATCTTTGTATTGCCGATCATATTATATGTCCACTTGGCAACATCCCATCATCAGTAACCAGTTTGGAAATAGGACTTGTCCCCCATCATAGTGATTATTACGATGAGGATGACATTGATAATCAACCTCCTTCATTATCGATCCCACCTTTTGTTACCCATCTCACTCTTGGATATATACATCATGATGACTTTACTGTGATGTCGGCATCGATGCCACCATCATTGACATGGTTGTCAATGTCAAGCTACTTTGATGATGTTCAGTCTCTTCCACCAGGGCTCACCTTTCTACACCTTGACCATTCGGCCAGGATACTACCTGGTGCACTGCCCCACTCTTTGACGCATCTCATATACGTAGATCAAGCCTACTCTGTAGATCGTTCGGCTGGTACCATTTCTGTCAGGCCCGGTACAATCCCACCATCAGTCACTCAATTGACCATTGGAAACATTGTGCCATATGGTGACGCATCAAACAAGGCAGTACCCCTGCTTCCCAACTCAATCACCGACCTGACCTTTAGTGATTACTGCAATCAACCTCTGGGCAATAATGGTGGGATCATAATCCCAGAGGCAGTTACCAAGTTATCATTTGGACATTGTTTCAATCAGAGAGTCAACCCTCACTTACTTCCATCATCAATCACCAAGTTATCATTTGGATTCAACTTTAACCAACCTTTAAGATTCAATTCAATACCACCATCAGTGACAAGATTGAGATTCGGAGAGTCTTTCAATCAAGTACTACATCCTGGTACATTGCCATCATCATCATTAATACACTTATCGTTTGGATTTGATTTCAATTGTCCATTGGCAGTCGGTTCGATACCAAGTACAGTCCGATTCCTAAAGTTTGGGGATCGATTCAATCAATCAATATCGAATCCAATACTTCAAGAATCATTGACCAATCTTAAGCTTGGCTACAAGTTTGACAAGATGTTGGATGTGCCGAAATCATTGGTCAAGTTGAGGATTGGACGATTTGGTCCATACCATCAGGACCCAAACGACGACTCACACAATGTCAAGTTGTTAAAGAGAATACCCAGAGACCAGATCAAGACAATACATTTGGACACAAAGCCATCATCACTCAAACATATATCGATTGGAATGGGACATTACCAACACATAGTTAGTGTCAATGATCAGCGTAGACTCAACTTCACCATCGTACATCACAAACCATTATTAATATCACTTGAGTTTAGATCTAGGAGTTTGTCATCAGTCAGGTATCCACCTTAAGTTTGTCAGTGAGTACTAAGAGATGTGTACTTGATGTCCTTCGAACTGAGAGTGGAGTATCAGGTATGTCAACATGTATAACAGTGAATGAATCTAATTTGAGTGAGTATAATAATGTTTCAAGAAATGGTTTGTGATGTACGATGGTGAAGTTGAGTCTACGCACTCATTTCTCGAATCTTCTCACTTTTGGAATCAACAACAGTTCTGAAGATCATGACGACGATTCATTATTATTTCGATCTATCTTAAATCATTATCTATTATATATATCATATATCATATATATCTTACTATTAAATAAATATGTCAACAACAACAAATACATCATCAATTGAATCTATTGCTGTAAAGAAGGAGATTGAACTGCATCACCAACTTCATGGAATCGATTGTATTGGCTTTGATATGGATATGACCTTGGTGCGCTACAAGAATGATGCCCTCTGTCGTCTGATCTTTGACAACCTGCTCACTACTCTTATACCAAACCATCCACATCTCAAATCGGTAAGTGGCTCAGCTGATCACTGGCTGGGATGACAATGAGTGCGCCACACTAACACTCTCTTCTTCCTCCACAGTGTCCATTGAACATGGACCTTTGCCACAGGGGAACAATCATCGATATTCACAATGGATACATACTCAAGTTGGACAGCAAGAAGAGAGTGTTGCGTGCTTACTTTGGTGATGAGGTCGTGTCAAAGACACAGATCGACAATGAGTACCACAAGGCCACGATTGAGGGCACCGATCTGCCATTGGAGAACTTCACTGGCAACAGCTCCAGCAGGTACCTGGTACTTAGTTCCTTCTTTGAGCTGCCTCTCGGTCCAATCTGGCTCTGTCACATCAACCATCTGAAGCAGCTTGAGACATTGGCACCTGGCCAGGAGTACGTCAGCCTCAAGAAGAACGACATTCAGTCCTTCATCAAGAGCATCATTGCATCGATGGACTACAGCTTCAACGACTATTGGAACAGCGAGTACCATGCCACCATCCGCGCCAACCCCGGCAACTTTGTCTACAAGGCCACTGAGGAGTTCAAATCGTGGCTGCGTCGTATGCGTGAGCGTGGAGTCCGCGTGCTCCTCATCACCAACTCCAAGTCCGAGTACGCTCACATGCTCATGACCTACTCGTACGGCGAGAACTTCCAGGAGCTGTTTGATCTGGTGATCACTGATGCCAGGAAGCCCACCTACTTCAGTCCCAACAACACATCGCCCACCTATGACCTGAAGAACTTCTTCCCCAAGGAGATCAACGAGTCGATGAAGCACAACGGACTGCTTGAATTCAACACCAACACCGTCTATCACCAGGGCAACGTGAACGACCTCATCGCCTCAATCCGCGCATCAAAGAACAAAGAGGACATTTCATTCTGCTACGTTGGAGATCATCTGATCTACGATGTCACCTCTCCCAAGCAGTAAGTAATCATCACATGGATGGATTGACGGGCTGGACGCGACAGCATGCTAAACTCAATCAATCGATCAAACAGACATCTGAAATGGATGACCATTGCAATCGTCGAGGAGATTGAAGACCCTGATGAGATTGTGATATTGAAGCGCAGTAGTCCACCTTTCCAGTCCAAGAGTGGTGCGGTCACCACTACAGGCAAGCAATATGAATGGGGATCATTCTTTAGCTTCCACGATCATGCGGTCGGTGCGACAACTGAGACATTCTGGTCATATGTCATCAGATACAATGCTGATATTGCCGTGCCCTCCGTGGAGACACTGGCCAAGTACTTTGACGACTCTGCATTCGACAAGGATTCATTGTTGCCATGCTCGATCATCTACACATAATTTCGATTAATACAGGATACAACAGTGGAGCTGACGACCAATGGAATGGATAATAGCAGGTGCACTCATATATAAATGTATCATTTTATTTGATCAATTGGCGGACATGGTACCAGTCAGGATATTAGGCTGGGATTGGTCTCTTTGAGACATCAATGTTCTTTTTGAGTGACTCGATAATGGTAGCCACTGGATCCTCTGAATCGCCAATCTTTAGTCCATGTCCCTTCTGCGACATTCTCTTGGAGGGCGACTTCTTGAACGCTGTGATAATAGTGCTAAACAACGTGAAGAACTTCTCGGTGTTGTACTTGCCAGAGTCTCTGGCGGCGTTGGCATTGCTGGTGGACGAGTCCAGCATGTTGGCAGTGGACGTACCGCCACTGGTGGTCGATGGCAGAGGTGCAGAGTATGGATTGAAGAACTCATGCACCTCGTTGAACAACTTCTCCGTCTCAAGGTAGTTCTTCTGGGTGGCCTTGAGCTTGTTGAAGGCGGTGTTCATGAAGCCTGGTGCGATCACAATGAATGGATCCTCACTGTCTGTCGAGTTGACAATCTCGTTCACCTCAGCGGTCAGCTCATTGAAGTCGTTCGAGAGCTTGGACAGCTGGTTGCCCACCTCTTGCAGGTTGATCAGTGACGCGTTGGAAATGTGTGACAGCTCGTTTGGCAGCACGTAGCTCTTGGGATGGTTGGCCAGAAGAGTCTTGATGGCAAAGTCCAACAATGACCCACTGTTCTGATTGTCTCTGATCTCAAGGATCTTGTTAAAGGCATCCAATTGGAAGCCATCTGCTTGGCCCCTGTTGACGTTGCCACCATTCATGTAGTTTCCAAGCGCCACAAGGATGCCCATAAGATGTATCAACGAATAGCTGGTCTTGAGCTCGTTGGATGCGATCGATACAATGTCGGTCGAGTCCGAGATACTCTTGATCAGGTCATCGAAGCGGAGCATGAACTCCCATACTCTCAATCTTTGCTTGACCTTTGGGAAGCCATCGATCATCAGACACCATCGCTCAGGCTTGTCCAAGACAAAGTCCTCGTTCAGCTCGAGGATCGATGACATCTCCTCCTGGGTGGGTATGTTGGTGTGCAGGCTGGACACTTGCTCCAGTGTGAGCTTGGATGAGTCCAGCTCTCTGAGTGCTCTGATCAAATTCTCATCGCTTGGCAACTTGCTGCACATAATAGAGATGGCATTCGATCTCTTTTGTGACAGTACACTGATGACCTTTTGAATGGGCTTCTTGTTTGGTCCTGTCTGCTGGGTACTGTTTGCGGATGATAGTACTGGCGAACCATTGAACGACACCAACTTCTCAGTGTACAAAGAGAACAAGTCAACAAACTGTTCCTCATCGAATGCAACCTCTGGCAATATGTTCCAGATTGACTTCTTTCCTCTAAAGAGTGATTGGTAAGTTACTCATTCAATCAATCATTCAATCAGCATTACTTACTCTCCTGGATGATTGATGATCCTGCTCCATGGGAGTGGCTTCATTCTCTTCTTTGGTGTAATTGGCTGCTTTGTTGGCGCAGATGACTTGATGTAGGTTCTGGGAGGTGGCTTTGGCGAGTGTGAGACATCAAACAGATTGAATTGGACACCGGCAGCTGCGGATACGGGTGGCTTACCGCCACCACCATGCTCTGCTGCAATCTTCTTCTCAGCCTTTGGTGGCAGCTGAAGAGTTGTAGTCTTGTCCATTATTGGTGACATTGTAGGCTCAGCCGTCTTTGACTTTGGATTATTGTTGTTGTTGTTGTTTGACGATGCAGTTGAAGCATCATCGTCATCATCAAAGCTGTCCTCCTCAAGGGTTGACGAGTCGAACAAGTATGATGTGTTTGGCGAGCGAACATACATGCTCTTCCTAAAGGCGCTGGTAAACTTGTCGTGACGCTTGATGTAGGATATGTTGACTGGGCCCTCTCCAATGATGTCATTCTTCTTGGCCAAGTACTCGTCGTATCGCTCGGTTGGTGCGCGGTAGTTGATGTATGAGCCATTCTCAATGGCAGACTTGATGGCATTACGCAGGAACTTGAGCTCGTGGCTCAATAGACGGACAAGTGGCTGCTGCTCCTGATACTGCAACAGAGTCATCTCCATGTCTTGCTGCGACATGCCACGAGTTAACTCTGGGCGTTTCCTCCCGCCGACCTCAAAGGTGATTCCAGCCATCGACTGAAACCGAGCGAGCTGTGTCTTGAAGTCTGAGTGAGTGAAGTGCTCCTGGCTCTTGAGGATCTTGACAATGCCCAGCGACTTCCAGCGCGTAAGTAGCTTCTCTACCTTGCGTGGGTTGGGTGCGTTCTCGAGCAGACAGTTAAAGAGAGTCAGCGTGTTGAGCTGAGTCTCCAGGTCGCCACTCTGTAGCATTGTGATCAGGTTGCTGTAGGGTGTCGTGCTGGTCTCGACACTGTAGTTCTTGGCTGCACGATGGACCAATGAGAAACCATCAAAGTTGCACACGACGAACAACAACTCGATCGCTTGACGACACACGCTCGCCAGCACAGTTGAGGTCAGCAGCGAGTACAATCGGTCGATGAGCTGCGGACGGCTCATGACCTCGTCGAGGCCGCTATGGTAGCCCATGAAGCAACGCAACGCGGTCAAGGCGTACGACTGAGTGTTGCCATGGCTCTTAACGATGATGTCGAGCAAGATGTTGATGCCGCCCTTTGAGATGAACTCCTCGACGTACTCGTCGTCCTTGAGTTGGAAACGGATGTTGAAGATGATGTCCTTGGTCGTGGGCGACGTGGGTGAGTTCAGCTTGAGGTTCTCAATCACTCGCTGGGCAATCGCCTGAGGACGCATGCGCAGCAGGAAGTAGGACTTCTCGGCCTCGACCAGCTTCTCAGGCGTGAGGAAGGCGTCCTCGACATATTGAAGTGTGACGGGGTTCTGCAAGGCGTACGAGGCGACCTTCTCCACTGGTATCTTAAAGTGAGTCAACAACACCTTGATATGATCCTTCACCGCTGTATCTCCATCGAATATATGTGACACTGACTGGCACACTGGGTTGCTCCTATGTTCATTGCCATTCAGGAATTCAACTCTAATCTTCATTTTTGATGATTATCCTTTTTCCAGGTTTGTTGGATATTAATATTGTTATTAAAATATTAAATAATTATTTAAGTCCAAATGATTGATTGATAGATTGAATGATGAATAATGCTGTAGTATATTTGATTGAATAGATGGATCTTAAGAGGAATGGAATAAGAGTTGAGTAGACCATTCATAAGGTTGATTAATGAATACATTAAACATATATATACCCCAACCAAACTAACACACAATCAATCACATGAGAGTCTAAAGGTTCAACAACAATAACAACCTGATGAATGTATTATTGAGGGTGTCCATCACATCACAATCCAACAACAAAGTGAGTGAGTTATAAGTGATCAGACACACACACACACACACACACACACACACTTTAACACACGAGCACCAATGGATGTACACTTTAAGGGGGATGAATGATTGATGTATGAATTGATGGTGACTCCCTACCTCCCAACAAGGTATCTGTGTTGAGTTATAAATATAGCACATAAGTAAGTAGTATATGGATGGCCTCATTTCCCCACTGTAGTCACCTGACAATGCAGACCAAGATTGTATGATTTACATAACATGATTGATTGATGTCCAGCCGGCTGAGCTGGCTCGACAAGATATATATATATCATTAATACATCATATGATTATAAATAGTAATGTTGCCATGGATGACATTATATAATGTCATATGAACATCAAGGGATGAATGACGAATGAATGAGAATGAATGAAAGGATGAGGTGAAGACGATTACGATGTGATATTACATTGTTTGTGTTTGGGTAAATGGAAAGGTGGACTGCCGCTAGATTGATTGGTCGCGAATGTATGTTGATTGAATGAATGAATGAATGAATGAATGAATGACATCTACAGATCCTCTATATCCCTATCTATCTATATATGTATAAATATAGATTGATTGGCTTAGTCAAATGTAATTGGAACGTCCTTCTTGGAGCCATTGAGTGTGGCGGTGATCTTTGGATGCGACAGGGCAAACTGCTTGAACTCGCTGAACGAGAGCTTGCCATCGCCATTGACATCGAGCGATGAGAATGCACCCTCGGCGAATATCTGTGCCATGTCCTCAGAGAAGTTCTGCAAGTCATCTGGGTTGAGCTCATCATTGGTCTGATAAGAGAGTGCCTTGAAACCAGAGATCCAAGCCTGCTTGAACATCAATGACAACTCATGCTTTGAGATATATCCGTTACCATCGAGGTCATATGCCTTGAATGACACTATAATTGATTGATTGATTAGTGAGTGAGGTGAGGCGAGACGAGTGATTGAGATACATACACTCCAACTTCTCTTCGATTGAACCCTTGCAGAGCATAGATAGACCACCGACAAACTCTTGGAGATCGACTGTGTTGTCCTTGTTGATGTCGAGCAGATCAAAGAGACGATCTGGGAATGGGGTACCATCGAGGTTCTTCAATCCACAGTGGGACAACTTGTTCAGACCCAACTTGAACTGAGCGCGGTCCAAGGGCTTTCTGCCTCCCTCACTAATCTCTGAGAACACCTCGTACAACTTCTTAACCTCTACCTTGTCGACTGTGTATCGCGATGGAGTGAGTTAGTGAGTGATGATCATGGATGGTGTTCCACTGGTTTCGACTTACAGTTGGTAGACTCTTGAAGCTTCTTGACGGTGTCATTGTCAATCTCTGTATGTTTATGTGGATGAAGGTGGTAAGTGATCTATTTGGCTGTTGATGATGATCTGGTTGCCAACAACATACTGTACTTCTTTCCGTTGTCCTTTGACTTGGTCTGTTTGTTTCCCATTATTAATTTATGTGATTGTGTGTGGATAATAACCTTTTAGTTAAATTGCGATGAATATGACCTTGTTGTTGGACTTTGATCACAAAGATACTCCTGTTGTTGGAGTGCAAGAATGAATCAAAAAAGGTAACCAAAAATAAAATCAAATAAGTTGTGACCACACACGTTTTTTTGATCAGATGAGGCCTTCATCATCTGTTGTTGCCATTCTTGGCATCTGATCGGCATCATATGGTAGTACAAAGTCAGTAATATTAATAACAAATATTATATGTACGAATGATAAAGATCCAAACAATTGTATTGTTGTTATTGTTGGGATGTTTGTTTGAACATGTAATGAATGAGGACAGATAGAGTGAGAGGGTAATTGGGAAGTTGATTTACAAGTTGGATCTGGCAGCAAACTTAATTACATCATTGACTAAAGAAGTGGAGAAGAAGTAGTTGATGTTAGTGAATGTTTGAAGAGAGTTGACGTCAATATGTTTGCGAACATACCATCAATTCCAAGACCCTTGGCGATTCTGGTACCATAGTCCTTGTCGGCCTTGTAGAAGTGGGAGATGGCACGGAGTTGAATCTCGCGGATGGTGACAGCCTTCATGTGACCAACAATGTTGGCAACAAGACGGGACTTGGCACCCTCGTCCATGAGACGGTAGAGGTCACCTGGCTGGACAAAGTCGCAGTTGGGGTGCTGGTACTTCTGACGGCCAGCGACACCAGACACGTTGAACTTGTGCCATGCAGCATCGGGGGCAACATCTGGACCGTTGAAGCTGTTGGGGTGGTAGTTTGGACCCTTACCACCGTTGCCGTTGACGGCCATGGAACCGTCGCGTTGGTAGTTCTTGACGCCACCCTTGACGGCGTATGGGCAGTTGATTGGGATCTGCTGGTAGTTGACGCCCAGACGGTGACGGTGGGTGTCGGGGTAGGAGAACAGACGTCCCTGCAACATCTTGTCCAACGATGGCTCAATGCCTGGCACCATGTGCGATGGCGAGAAGGCAGCCTGCTCGACCTCGGCAAAGTAGTTCTCTGGGTTGCGGTTGAGAACCATGCGTCCAATTGGGATCAAGGGGTAGTCCTTGTGTGGCCACACCTTGGTGATATCGAATGGGTCGAAGCGGTACTTGGCTGCGTCGTCAAACTCCATCAACTGGATGTTCACCTTCCAGGCGGGCTCACCTCCCTTGGCGATGGTGTCGAACAGGTCACGGGTGGCGCAGTCTGGGTCGGAACCAGCCAAACGACCAGACTCCTCGGCGGTGAAGTTCTGGATGCCGCTCTCGGTCTTGAAGTGCAGCTTGACCCAGTAGGCCTTGCCCTGCTGGTTGACCCACTTCAATGTGTGCGATGAGAAACCATCCATGTTACGGTAGGACTTGGGAGTACCTCTGTCCGAGAACAGAATGGTGAACTGATGAGTTGACTCTGGAGTCAAGCTCATGAAGTCCCAGAATGCGTTTGGATCCTTCAAGTTGGTCTGTGGGTTACGCTTCCTATATTATATTGATCATAAATGTTAGTCAACATGTCTGGTTGATTGATCGAATGAGATTGAATGAGATTGATTGATCCTTACTGTGTGTGAATGAAGTCTGGGAACTTGGATGGGTCACGGATGAAGAACACTGGGGTGTCTGTTTGGAGTTGATGATAGTAGTGTTAGAGATACGTACGCTCACTCCAGTCACATGATCAATCAAGATTGTATACATACTGTTTCCAACCATATCCCAGTTACCCTCCTCGGTGTAGAACTTGACAGCGAAACCTCTTGGGTCACGGTCAGAGTCAGCAGAACCCTTCTCACCTCCGACAGTCGAGAAACGGGTGAAGATTGGAGTACGCTTGCCAACCTTGTTGAGGAACTTGGCGCGACACCACTTGGGCACGTCTGGGTTGGTCACCTCAAAGTAACCGTGGGCACCAGCACCCTTGGCATGAACGACACGCTCGGGGATACGCTCACGATCGAAATGGGCGAGCTTATCAATCAAGTGGAAGTCCTGGATCAAGACTGGGCCTGGGTTGCCAGCAGTCTGTGAGTTGAGGTTGTTATCAACTGGTGCACCGTTTGATGTTGTAAGAATTGGATGTGACATCTTTTTCCTAAATATATAACTGTTTGTTTGTTTGTTTGTTTGTTTGTTTGTTTGATTATTGATTGATTGTTAATATCTGAACTCTTCTCATTCAATCAATCACTCAATCAATCATTCAAAGTTGCAAGCATATCAATCTCCAAATCATATTTGCAGGATGTTTGTTCAGCATTGCACAATTGTCCAATTGAGTGAGCTGAGTTGAGTTGAGTTGAGATATAATAAGATATACACTTACATGAATTATGTATATGTAATGGAACTAGAACAAACAATATGAATGAATGAGAATGAATGAAGCAACTCTCTTTATGATGTGTGTATTAGAGAAAGAGAGAGGGTTGTTGATGGATGGCCCAGATGACCCCCATTGGACTGTTCAATTTTAACCACTTCAACTCATACACATTCACATACACACACTTACATCAATTCAATTTAAAAAATAAAATTCACTCACAACTACAAAATCAATATCTATCCAATTAATCATGGATTTCCTTTTAGGGCAGGATGCAGATGACATGAGTTGTGTGTTCAACTTCCATTCCATTCAACTTGTTCGGTCCTTCCTGGTTGTCGCACCTTTATTGGGTCAGTCGTCATTCGGATCATGGCTACGGTAATGAAAGGACTCTGGTGATGATGATGTTGATATTGTGTTGTCTACAACTAGGCTACTCAAACAGACTCTTCAGTTCAAGCTGCGCAAACTCAATCTGAAGGTCGGTACACTCGAGCATCTGATTCTGGATTGACTGTTGAGATGATGGGTTGACGGTCATAACCAAGAACTGTTGGTCTTGGTCAAGGAATGTCTTGAAGTACTTCTCATACACCTCCATCACCATGCTCTTATCAACCTTTGTTATTCTATCCAACACTGCTGTCTCATCCTTGATATGACCAGAGTTGCCCTGTATGATGATGATTGAGTTGTGTCAGGGATGTACCTCCGTTCATTCATCTACATCAATGATCACTTTAACTTACCCTGAACAATGATATGTATGCACCGAATGCCAACTCTGATGCGGTACAACGACAGTTGAAAAAGTCGTAGACGGCACTGGAGATGGCTGTGTCGACCTCGAACTGTGTCAGTTTGCTAGAGGTGGGAAGATCGCGAAGATAGTTGTGGAACACTTGGAGTGCTTGTACTGGTGAGATACTGTCGCTCAATGTGAACCATAGAACCTTCTTGAGTAGGTCGTGATTGAGGAAGAAGCCATAGGCGTAGCCCTTGCTTCGAATCTCTCCCTCGCCCGACATGAAGATATCGCACAGCACACTGACTGCAGGGAAGTCTGGATGACGGCGTGTCAGTGGCAGACGGACGCATTGTACCAGATTGTTGGACTCTGCTCCATTGATCGATATCGCATGGCGCACTGGCAGCACGCCGTCAATGATTCCAGACTCGCCACGCTCCAGTGGAGAGAAGTAGGGCATCTTGGTTGTTGTCGCCGGGGTCGCGGTTGCTGGGCTTGTGGTTGTGGTCGAGTCGGTGGACGCAGGTGACTCTGTTGGCCTCTTGCGTTTCCTGTCAGGGGTGATGCCAGACTTGGACAGCATGTCGTCCCATGCTGAGGAGAGCTCAGAGAGCAGTTGATCGCCATCAACTTGCTCGTTGTGACCTACTTGGACAAATATGCGCTCGTTGTTACATAGCATATAGTCGCGGATTGAGTGTAGTGCGGTGACTGTCGTTGTGATGTCGCCTTGTTTGAGTTGACGGTGCACGCCCTGCAGGAAGGACTTTTGTTGGAATATTGAGATGGACGACTCGTTGGACTTGGGTCTGTTGCGCACGAGCAGATGGCCACTGTAGGCGTTGCACACGGATCCACTGTCATTACTGATCTCCTTGAGGCCCTTGGACAGGTTGGTGACGATGTTGAGCAGTCGCCTCTGTGTGGGAACAAAGTTGAACAGGCCGTGCGTGATCCAGTGCACCAGGCGACTGAACTTGTCGACTGTGCAGCTTCCAGCCACGCGATACAGCTCGTCGTTGGAGCAGGAGAATGATGAGCCAGAAACGCCCAGACCGGCGTCCAGGGATACGACCTCGCGTGATGTGGCCATCGCTACCTCTTTGAATGGGACAATCTCGCCAGTGGCCGCCAGACGTACATCAGCCTCAAACAGCAGGTTGTTGAAGATGGTCAAGTAGGGTTTGAGCTCAGCGGGCAGGTCGCGTATATAAAAGAACATCGTCGACTGGATGAACTGTGTGGGGATGGTGATGTCTTGCACGTTGAAGCTCGTTGGGTTGCCCTCGGCGCCAGACGCGAATGACCTGATGGGTGACTCAACGAATGGAATACGCTTGATGTCTGGGATGGCGGGAAGCTGAGACTTGAACGACTCTGGGAATGACTTGTTGTCCTCAATGGCCTTTTTCAGATCGCGGTCGAGCTGCTCCAGCGCCTCCTTGCCCAGCTGCTCACAACGCTCACTCGTGCGTGCCAACGATGCCTCAGACTGCTCTTTGGCCAGCGCGGTCGAAGGCACCATCAGTATCTCGACGTAGGGACGTCCAATGAACCAGGTGTCCAGCAGGTCGACCCAGTACTGGCGGTCCTTGAGCTTGAGTACGTCCAACGTCTGCAAGAACTCGAACCTGGTGCGTATATCCTTGAATTGCGCTAGTGCTTCGGCAGCCGTGGTCGCGTTCTTGGGCGGGAAGACAATGTCGCATAGCAATGTTCCAAATACAAAGCCGAGCGGGTCCTCCTCGTAGCCTTCCAATATCTTGATATACTCCTTCTCGATTGTGAATTGCATCGCCTCGCTGTCCAGTCCATTCTTCTTTATCTCCTCAAACAACTCGATCACTCTATTGTACATTGAACCAGGATTGAGCAAGTTTGGGTCGCCCTCGTCTACATCCTCAATCACCTGTCCATCGCTAGTTTTTGCAATGTTGTCCTTGCCATCCTCTTCTTCTCCATTGTCGTCTTCGCCATCGTCGTCCTCTTCGTCGTCCTCGTCGTCGCCATCAGCATCCTCGTCATCATCGCCGCCATCCTTTCCAGATTCGTCATCATCTTGCTTGACATTGACACCAGCAAACTCCAACACGATCTTTGATTCTTTGATCTCTTGGATAGTGAACGCAATGTTGCTGGCCAGATGACAGCTTCCATGAGTGAATCGCTGCGGCAGCGCAGACGAGCTGTTGCCATTCAAGTATCGTATCAGCACGGACAGCGCTGCCAGTGTTGTCGTGTCGAAGATGGTTGGTCCGCGCCATGCAATGGCCACCTGACCCACCGACTCGTCCTCTGTTGGGAAGTTCACTGTCTTTGTTACCGATTGCTCCAAAGGTGGTATCGCCTGTAGCCAAGGTATTGTTACTGTGTGCGGTGATGATGGCGTTGTCGCGCCATTGGTCGTCGCGACCGCGAATGGACTTCTAACAAACTCAGTGTCGTCGAGAACGGCGAGTAGACGTGCCTCATCGATGCAGCCCTGTACGACGATTGTGACGTTCTCGGGATGGTAGTAGAGTCCATGATATTGTCTAATGTCTTCGTTGGTGAGCTTGGCAATCTCGCGAGTGAGCCCGCCGTATGAGTTTGCATAGGGCGTGCCTGGGTAGAGCAGCTGGACCAGGTTCCACTCCTGTAGCTCCTCGAGTGTGTTCTCGCGCGCTTGCATCTCGCACATGACCACGCCCTGCTCGGCGCCGCGGCCGTCCACATGATAGATCTCTGTGACAAAGTCCGACGTCTTGAGTGTGGGCGCCATGACGAAGCGCAGCAGTTGAGGCAGGTAGCTGAGCAGGCCGTCGGGGCCGACCGACTCGATCGAGTAGCACGTGTGGTCCTCTGAGGTGTACGCGTTGGACGGGGCCGAGAAGCAGCGATGCGCCAACACCTCGATGTACTCGCGGTAGGGCACCTGATCGCAGCCCTCAAACACCAAATGCTCGAGTGTATGTGGCAGACCCTTGTTGTTGTGTGCCTCTGTTGGCACGACTATTGACGCATTGACCTTTGGTCCAGATGAGTGATGAAGTATGAGTGTAGTGTGCGCTGTACGATGTCTATACCTGACGACTCTGTCATTCGCACCAAACGGTATATTGAACTCATCGATCCATTTGAACGACTTTGTATCTTTATCACTCGACATTACTTATTGTTATATATATGTATTGTATGTATATGTATATGTATATATAAATATGTTGACACGAGTTATAATGATAATGATCATTTGAACATTCGTTATTTCCTTTTTTGCCAATCAATTGGTCGACTCGCCTACCATGCCTTTATTTCCAATTAATCATTGATTGAGTGATCACTTGAACCCAACAGTTACAATTGCGATGCCAATACAATGACAGAGTCGAGTGATACAATGATGTGGACTCTTGTTAATCTCACTCGCAACCATGTTCATGTCGATCAATCAATCAATCCTTGAGTAGGCATTGGCATGATGTTCGAGAGGTTCACCGATCAATCGATATTGTGTCCAGTCATTGAGTGGCTGTGCACCGAGTGATTCGTAGAATGCAATGCTTGGTTTGAGCCATCGAAGAACTTGCCACTCGACACGTCCATATCCTTTGTCATTGGCCAACTTGCAAACATGTAGAAGTAGTTGTTTACCAAATCCTTTGCCTCTATACTCTGGTTGGACGTATATATCCTCGATGTATAGACCAGGTCTACATTGGAATGTACTAAATGTTGTATAATGCAGTGTATATCCAATCATTCTTCCTTCGTACCAGCCACAATACACTGTGATCACTTTGTCATTTCCAAATGCCCACTTCTCAATATCTTGTTCATTGCCTACTACCTTGTTTGGATGTTGGTGATCATATAAGTGTCAATATATGTAATGGAGTTAGATGATTGATTGATTGATTGATGGATAGATACTATACTGCATGTGCAAGTTGTTCAAACTCTGCCAACTCCATCAGCAGTTTGTAGACCCCTGGTATGTCCTCTTTGGTTGCTAACTTGATATCCATTGCATGTTATATATATATATATATATATATGTTATTAATGATCATGATGGATGGGACTTGACATTCATTATCATCATCATCTTTGATTAGATTAAACGGTCATTCAAAGAGACATCAACTTTCTGTAATGGGTGCTAGATATTTGGAGTGACCAATCAATCATTGAGAGATGAACAGATGATCGACGATCATTCAAACATTTTTAGCTAACTATATATAAATATTAATAAACATATTTATTATGTGTTTGATAGATAAGATGATTAGAAGTTGGTGAGATGACCCCAGTTGTCGAGATCCTTGATGATCTGTTCAGCCTTGGCTCGGATTGCAATGTGTGCATCTTGTCCGACGTAGAGGTGTGCGGGTAGTTCACCTTGATGTTCAACGACTTTGATGAACACTTGAGCCAACTTGTCAGGATCACCAACAAGAAATGTATCCAAGTTCTGGGCTGGCACTTCAACTGCCTGGACATACTGATCCTTATATACACTGTTCTGATAGTTGGGCACCTCCAACTTGTTTGGATTCATAAAGTCCGTCTTGAATGTACCTGGATTGATTGCCACAACACGGACACCAAATGGCTTCAACTCAGCGGTCAAGGTCTCAGAGGCCATGTTGAGTGCACTCTTGGTCGTGGTGTAACTTGAGAAGACTGGATAAGGTACCAAGGCAACCATTGACGATACATTGATGATGAATCCACTCTTCTTGGCACGCATCAATGGGGCAACATGTCTGATCACACGGAGTGGTGCAAAGAAGTTGATCTCAAAGTTCTTCTGGATGTCACTGTTGGACAAGTCCTCAATTGTACCAACGGCACCATAACCAGCATTGTTGACTAATACATCGATGGTACCAAACTTGTCAGTGGTGGCAACAATTGATTTAAGGACACTGGCATCACTTGTGAGGTCGACCTCCAAAGGCAAGAAGTTCTCGTTGTCCTCGCCAAACACATCCACAAGGCTCTTTCTTGAACGAGATGTACCCGCAACCTTGGCACCACTTGCCAAGAGTGTTTGAACTAACGATTTACCGATACCATTTGAGCATCCAGTAACATACCAAACTTTTCCAGACATTTTAATATTTGATTGATTGATTAATTGATTAAAAAAGAAAAAAGGATATTGGAATAATATATTATTATTATATTTAAGTTATCTTGTTATTATTTGAATGATTGTATATTGAATGGATGGTCATTTGAGAATGTATTTATAGTTTAGTATGAGTTGTCCATCAAAAATGAGGTGGACCTTATTCCAATTCTTTGTTTTTGGTCAAACTTCCAAAACCACACATCCCCCCACCCCAACGAATGTCCTTGGATTGGAACATGATCTAAGAACATCACTAACCCCCACACTCACACTCAACTAAGATGTTGGAATCAACAATCCAATATCTATATTACATTGTAATAATAACATCACAATGATGAAGGTGACCTTAAGTTTGGAATATGAATGGATCGATCGATTCTTTGTTGACATGATATGGTGGGTCATTCCAATGTATTAAAAGACATAATGTTTGGATTGATGATTACTGAACTTCAATTTCTTAATACTATCTCAAAGGTCTTCTGGTAATTGAATGGGATAATGGCGAAATGGGGAAAGGTTACGGTTGAGTATTTTGAAATACTCAACCAAATGTAAATTTCAGCCTACCATGATCTGGGCAGGAAAGGAGTGTCACGAACGGTTACTAAACAAAGACAATCAAATATCTATATTTGGATAAACAGGTGTCTAAAATCATTCCTTCGCTCTCTCTAACCTATTCATTCATTTTTTTTATTCTAATCGGGATATTTTAAAAAATTGTGTAGAGGGAGGGAATGTTCTCTGTTGACGATATCGTCTCCCGTTTTGGAAGCGAGTTGGGTCTTGAATACCACTCGGTTTCAACTTTGAAAAGAATGCCAAGGCAGCGGCGCAGACCAGTATTTTTGATTCAGACATCGCATCACTAAATCTGCCGCATTATCTCACACCAGCAGTGGAGCAATTTTAGTATTGTGGAAAGATTCACCAAAGCTTGGATCTTGGCCTCGGAAGTCACGGGCGCCACTCTCATGATTTTACAGCCATCACCTGACCACTCAAAACCTACATTGTATGTTGTTGTTTGTTGTTGTTTGTTGTTGTTTGGTGATGCTCATTGACCCTCCAGAGTGGGAATTCAGTTGTTGTTTCATCCATCCATCCACTGACTCGACACATTCCTATCCTGACTTACTGACTGAAACACTGATCTCTCGTGTTGGCAAGTACGAATGATTGAACTAATCAATTGATTGAATCTTGTTGATAAAGATAAGTATTCGTTTTGTTCTATGATGTATTCCATTATATGGGTCATAACTATCGATCAAATATAATATTTTAATTATTATTATTATTGTATACTACATTATAATATATATATTATAATTAGGTCAAAGTCGTTGTAAATGATATACAACGACCTTTTATATTATCATTAGATCACTTAGTATCATCAATATATATCTATAAAGTTCACAAAATGACTGGATGCTCCTAACAGGTCCCTAATGATGATAATGAGTTCAAAAGAGACCTGATAAATAATAAGTATATATCTATTCAATCTATAATAAATCAGTCAATCTATCAATCAATCAATCTATCAATCTATCTATCTATTTTATTATTTATATATATAGCTAATTAATAGTAGAGCTCCTCTTAGGATGATAGAGTTACTCCCAAAGTCTCCTATAAACTTTTAATGAAGTCTCTGCATCACCGGTATGATATATATCCCCTCCATCAACTTCACTCAAACATGTAATCAATCAAAGTAACGAACCTCACTCTAACACTCGCTCACTCAATCAATCAGATGGTCACATTTTCTTTCCAATTATTGGGTCTAGTTGTGGCCATATTGTCTACTTGGTCGTGCCTATTAAAAGTTTATAGCAGACATGCACAGTAACACATCGCAGAACCTCTTCAATCACAAATACTTAGACATATTAGTATATTATAATAATAAACTTATTATTGATTGGTGGATTGATTGATTGATTACAACAGATGTAGCCCCTTGTGGCGATTGAAATCAGCTAGTACAAAGATTGACCAGGTCAACAGCTACTAAAGACTCCATATAATTTGAATGAACAAAGAATATCCTTCCTTTCCTCAGGTCTGGACCTACCTTGATCAATTCTACAATGTATCAGTGACATGGCTGTGTCCCATAATTATTTTTAGTGTTGGCCACCAACGTTGAGATCACCTTGGTGTATTGTTGAAGACACACTAATTCAACCCATGACCCAAGTTCAATTATTTATCTCTAGAGACAGACGATTAACGAGTGTATGAATTCATGTGATCAAACATAGTGTTCAATTTAAAGTGATTGATTGGAGGGTGTCATCATGAGTGGCTGCTGCCTCCACAATCATTCCCTTCATTTTTTCAATCATAACAAATTCACCCCAATTGAATACCTAGATCTTATTCCTTGTATCTCCACTAACGACATTAAATAACTCGAGGTGTCGTCGCATCAAATACACACATGTCTCAACCACAATGTACACTTTACAACTATCGACATCATCAATCAAACAATCAATCATTCAACCATCACACTCACACACACACGCTCATACTCACACAACACATGACATCACTACTCAAACTCATTCACACATACACCAACCCAACCAGACATTCACACTGATCAATCAAATTATAATAGACAATGGAGCTTGCTAGAATGGTCAACAACATATACCCTAGGGGTGTCGTCTATATTGTCGATCAATGATCACAATGGACGCCAACACTACTTCAACAAGCGGGAATTGTAATCTGACAGTGGACATCCATTTGAAATTCCTCGCATGACATTGACGACATGTATCTAATGTAGACAGCAACAGACGGTCTGTTCAATATCAATTGGTACATATATAACCTTTAGTTAGGTAGTAGTAGTAATAGTAGTAATAGTAGTAGTATTTATTTTTTCTATTATATTTATAGTGAAATGGAATCAAGTAGAAGTAGTAGTAGACTAATTTGGATATTATTGTTGGCAACTTTGGTGTTGGCCTCATATGGCGGTGTTGGAAATGCCGAAAGCGATTTGTTTGGCGATACCTTTCTAAATTATGAACTACCTTGCAAGAAGATTCCACCAAGTCCAACAGTACCAGATCATGTGACTAAGGTCAGACCATCAGTATGTATACTCACTCATTCAACATACATTCATTGATTGATTAACATGTATTTTGAAACCAAAAGGATATTAAGGTTGCTATGGGTATTGGAGATAGTTCTTCCGCTGGATTTGTCATGATGTATGAGAAGTTTGGTGACTCCATTAATGAGTTTAGTAAGTATTGAATCATTCTGGTTGGAGTTTGAGGATGATATTAACATGTCTTTGGTTGTTGTACTATATTCTAGGAGGACGATCATTCCCTAATGGAGGTGATCCTGGCGCAGCAACAATTCCAAACTTCCTTAAATCAGTAGGAGCTGTAAGTGGTGCACATTGGATAATTGATTGATTGATTAACACTAACTAACATTCAATACTTTGGTAATAAATGTAGAATGTTGTTGGTGGTGGAAGAGGTTCCAATGTTCCACTGATGTTTCACTATGTTCCAAAGAACATGAGGGCCAATGCTTTCGACTTTAACAAAGCTCAGCTTGCTGCTGCTGCTTCCCAAGGTATTCTGGTTGATGTTCCAGACCTGGTAGAGTAAGTAGAAATATATACAAAACAGATCCTTTGGAAGTAACACTAACATACTTACTTTCATTTGTTAATATAGGTATCTACACTTTCATTTGAACAAGACCGATCCACCAGTTGACAATGAGAAGGATTGGAAACTGTTCACATACTTCATCGGAAGTAATGATGTGTGCCATGTTTGTGATAACAAAGAGACTAGTTTCTCCAATTGGATCGATGGATATTATAGTACATTGGCTTTGATCAAGGAGAAGTTCCCAAGAACTATTGTCAACGTAATGTTGATCAATAACATTGTGAGAAGTATGTATATTCGTTGCTCGTTCATCACCTTATCATAACTAACATTGGATTGTTGTTTGTTATAGCCGAGGAGATATCAGTTGGAAAGAAATGTAATAATCTTAGAAGGTTCTTGGAGTTCTGTACATGTTTGAACAATGAGCAGGGAAGAGCTGCAATGGCCGAGAGGAGAGCAAACATTACCAGAGTGATCAAGGAGAGTGTCACCAAGATCAACAAGTTGAACTCGCCAGAGTTCAGAGTAGTACTCCAACCATTCATGGAGGATTACAAGATCGACCTGGATCACTTGTCACCATTCGATTGGTAAGATATATCACAAACTCATGATGAGTCAATCAATCAATCAATCAATCACGCATTCACTTACATATTCTGTATCAATAGTTTCCATCCCAATCAGAAAGGATCCAAGATATGGTCTCTGGCATTGTGGAACAATATGATGTCTCCACCAAAGCTAAAGAAACACTACATTGAACCAAACATCAAGCCTATATGTCCGACCGAAAACACATACCTTGTATACGACGAATAATAATAATGTTGTTTAGTTTGTCAGTATTAATAAATATATGTGTAACTTATAAGATAATATCATTTATCGACTAATTATTACAATGAATGATGAATTGTGAGGATGAACGAATGAACAATGTGAGGTTATGAAGGCTTCAAAAGCTAAGAATTGCGATGTTGTTGTATCTCAAGACAAAGACACACCCCTCACTTGTTTGATTCATTTCATTCCATTCATTCATTCAAATCATTCTATTCATTCACTTTAACATGTGATTGGAAGTACATGTACATACATATACATACTTATATATATCACTTCACTCACTTGTATATACACATTGACGAATTGACATATTGTAACAAAGTACAACATCTTTAATTTATAACAACATAATGAGGAGGAGTCAACAGCAGCAACAGCAACAGCAGCAACAACAATATAAACAACAAAAGTCATTGTTGAATGTACAGGATGTAGATGATGACTTTGATGACGACGATGATGATAACATTAATAACTCTAATAGTAATCGGAGAATAGATGATAAGTACCGCGATCAAAGGGTGGAGAAAGATAAGAATCTGCCCCGATCAAGGAAATATTGGAACGCTCTGAAGCGTTGGTCATACTTCTTCAAACATCTACTGTTGCATACGTTCAACAACAACCGACGCAACAAGCTCAGCTACCTCCTGGGATTCTCTGCATGCTTCCTGGTGGTATTCGTCGTCTCACTCTGCGTGTCCATCATCTCAAACACGCCGATCGTCTTTCTCAATCTGTCCGAGGTGTCGTCGGGCGAGATGGACATCAAGGTCATGCCTGGTCAATGGTCCATGTCGACAAACCTCAACTACACGCTGATCTCACAGCTGCTCAACGAACCCTCTCAGAGCTACCACGCTCCGCGCCAAGAGGCTACTGCATTCATCCTCTCCGCCGCATCATGTCCCAATGGCAACGTCAACGAACAGAATTGGAAGTACCATGGAAATAACTGCGAGCCCTCCTGCTTTGATACAGTGTGCAGGGGAGCAACGACCGACAAGGCATCGTTGTTTGCCATCGACACGTCACAAGAAAAGAGGATGGGCCTTGGACGTGAGTGGAAGCTGCCCGCCCCAAGTCCTGGTAGCATATACCTTCAAGAGGATCTGGCTAATGCGCTCAACATCAAACAGAACGACTATGTCTATGTAGCCGTCAGTGCACTTGATCTTCTCGAAGCCATCTGGGCCAATGCCAACACCTCCTCAGAGTACCCATACATCTATCTCACCTGCAAGGTCGAGGCAATCTTCTCGTCACCAGGTGGCAAGTTTGGATCGTCCATCAACAATGCCATCATCATGGACTATGCCACTCTGATACCATACACTGTCACACAAATTGATCCAGAGATATCACCATTCAGTAGACAGTAAGTGTATTCAGCCCTGCCCTTGTGATCAATCAACTAACCATAATAATCATTCAGATTGATTAACAACTCAAACTTGTATGAGTATGCAGAGTATGTGATCATCAATCTACCACCATCACGTTTGGAACCATATATCAACTCGAATCAGGATACAATCTTGAAGAACTTGGTTCAGTTCTCATCAAAGGTGTTGTACAAGATCGGCTTCAATGATCTGGATGCAGAGTTGCCAGTGATGAGCGAGCTGTCAAACAATCGCTACGTGTCACTCTTCCTCGGTCTGATCCTCAATGTAATCATATTCATATTGCTGTTCCTCTCGATCTTGCTCATCTACTCACTGCTGATGATCGACGTCGAGACAAGGACATTTGAAATGGGTGTCATGCGAATGATTGGAACGACACGCAGTGGTATCATCCAGCTGATGTTGTGCAAGGCATTCAGTTACAGTTTGCCATCATGGGTGCTCGGTCTCGTGTTGGCCCAGGTGTTTGGCTTTGTCGTGTCGGCCTGGTTCTCCTCGCTGACTGGCGTGCCCATCCCACCCAAGCTCACACCAACCGCCATCCTCCTGGCCACTGGTCTGGGCATCTTGATCCCCGTGGCAGCGGCCATCTTCCCAATCAAGAGTGCTTTGGGTCGCAACCTGCACGACTCACTCGATGTCAAGCACTCCAAGTCCAGCGCCGTTCAGATCTCCATAGAGCGCTCTGAAGACAGCAGCTTCTCATCGTCTGTGGCCATCGTTGGATTCATCTTGGCGGCCTTTGGTTTTGGAATCTACTATATATTCCCCCTGTCATTGCTCTCCTTCAACCTGGCACTTCTGCTCAACATGTTCTTCCTGCTGCTCATTGCCATGCTGCTTGGACTGATCCTGTTGGCACTCAATGTCGAGCATCTGCTCGAGCGACTCATCGTGTTCGCCCTCCTCTTCTGGGAGAAGCGTGCGATACCCCAGATCGTGCTCAAGAACCTCGTTGCACACAAGCTGCGAAACAGGAAGACGGCCATCATGTACGCTATATCACTGGCATTCATCATCTTTGTCAACGTCTCCTACTCGACACAGCAGGCATCGATGAACTACAAGATCCAGCAGAGTTACGGATCATACTTGCGAGTGGACATGGGACGTGTGCGCATATCCACCAGCATGATGATGGACATCGATCAAGAGCTCACATCCAATCCCCTCATTCATTCATTTGGCTACATCTCCATGCCCATGTCATCAATCTCGCCAACATGGCAGGCAACACAGATATCCAACATTGGACGTATCTATTCCGACAACAACAACCTATACTCAGCATCGCCCGCCATCTTTGCCACTGCCATCCAGGGCTTCCTCAAGGTGTCGTCGCTGGCCAGCGACCCCGACTATCGCATGGACACTGGCATTTACAATGGTGTCTCGGAGCAGATCTACTCGGAGCAGAGCTCCAACAAGATAATCATTGGTTCGCTATATCAGAGCAACATTGGCGCGTCGCTATCGTCCAAGATACTGCTCAAGATCAACATCCAGGATTGGAACAACCATCTCAACTCGACTGGTTACCTCGTCGAGCCGATGGCCTTCCTGGACACGGCGCCCGCCTTCCGATTCTCCAAATTCCCCTCGGTCACCGGCCAGGATGCAATCATCTCAATACCAAGCTACATTGAGTATGCTGGAGATCTCTACGACTCTGTCCGTGAGCTGCCCATCAAGTCCATCATTCTAAACTACGACACTGCGCACACCAACCTGCTCAAGGAACAGCTCAAGAATATGTTTGACGGCATGGGCATCAGCGTGGACATCAGGGACTATGCTGACAAGGTGGCGCCATTCGAGACGGCCTCCACCATCATTCAATATTTCTTCAGCTTCACGACGGTCATTGCCATGATGATCTCATTCTTCAGTTTGATGTCATCGATGTTCACCAACATCCTGGAGCAGAGCAAGGAGATTGGAGTGCTACGCGCAATTGGTATCCCGCGTCCTTGGATGGTGCGAATCTACATCTACGAATCGTTCGTGTTGGTGTTCTCCTCGTCACTACTAGGCGTGTGCATTGGAAGTATTGTTGGATGGACGATGATCTTGCAAAGAGTACTGTTCACGCAACTGCCCATCCCATTCGTATTCCCATGGGTACTGCTCATTGTGATCTTCATCTGTTCGATACTATTCTCCTTTATCTCAGCATTTGGTCCAATTCGCAAGGTACTCAACCAACAAGTTGTCAGCATCATGAGGATCGTAACATAATACATTCAATCATTCATTTATATAATTGTAATCAAATCCAGATTTTTCCAGATTTGGAAGTGATCGCATGATTGAAAATTCGCCAAGTTGTCAATGATTGACAACTGGAAACACATACCATGAAGATGTTGTTGGTTACCATAACAGTTGACAATGTATTCTATTTGATCACTAATAAGTGATTGTATTACTTATGATTGATCGGGGGAAGCAGGTGCACAGAGGCAATAGTTATCATTAACAACCAAACAAAACAAACCAAACCAATATGATGATGAGCATACAAACCGTTAATCGCAAACGTCCGCCGGATTGAGGATGCTCTACGCTAACACCGTAGACATTCGCACACATCGATAAGATCATTACAAACGTAGTGTCTTTGAATTATATACAAAACTCCTGGATCACTCTCGAATGAGTATCCAACAAACAATCCACCGGACGTTGCGCAACCACCTCTCCTCCAAACCCTTTTATCTCTATTCAATGACATAACTCAAGACCTTTGACTTCATTGTTCCAACAATAAGTGATCGATAAGTTCGACCTTCCCGATAAGGTAATTTGGGGGTGGATGTCAAAACAACCCTTTTACCTTTTATCTCTATCATCTAATACCTTATTGACCCGACGATTCTCTCAATGACTCCTGGTACGATGTTCAATTCGACTTGAAGTCGAGACCACCCCCTTGCATTTTTCTTGAAAGTGTCCAGAAACGAGACTTTCGCTAGTTCATCCTTGTCTTTGTCCTTGAGTCATTGGTACAAACACACACATAATACCAGAAGACAACATGACCTCACTAATGATGATGAGGTCATTCATCAAGTTACCATCCCTACGAACATATAGTTCAAATACACTCAATCTCAATCCAAGATCATATAGTAGTGCCACAATGTCAACATCAACAACAACTACATCACCAACTTCATCAACTACATCATTCAATCTAACACGACAATGGTTCAATATTGATTCATTGTCTACATATTCACAGTTGCGACAGGTAGTCAATAAAGCAATCAATCAATCACAGTTTGGTGGCGATGACAATGTTACAAAGACATACCAACCAATGTTCACGGCAGTGTCTGTGCCAAAGATACCCGGCGACTACTCAATAAGCAACACATTCCAACTCTCTCGAATGTTGAAACAGGACAACAACAAGGTGGTCGCCGATCTGGCAGCAATGTTGCGTAAAGACGTCGCTGAGAGCAAGGCGCAGGGCCGACTGCACATGCTTTCTGAGCGCGTCGAGACCGAGAAGGGTTTTGTCAACATCACTTTGTCGCATCAATATCTCGAAGCCTGTCTCAGGCTGTGGTGCAGCGATGATAGTGCCACAACCAAACAACCATTCGCATTGGAAGACATTCCCACCGTTGTAAAGGATGTGCTGGTGGACTTTGCCTCACCAAACATGTCAAAGGAGTTGCACGTTGGCCATCTTCGATCGATTGCGTTGGGCGAGTCTGTGTGCAGGATACTCGAGTACCGCGGACACAATGTCGAGCGCATCAGTCATGCTGGCGACTTTGGAACACCAATGGGCATGGTCATCTTGCACGCATTGGAGCAACGCGCACCATTCCTTCAACACATCTGGGACAAGCAATGTCCTCACAAGACCATGCAATCACTGCCCACACCAAAAGAGCTGAGCGCATTGTACACTGGCGCCAAGAACAGGACAAAGAAGGATGCAGAGTTCCTCAAGCAGACTCAGCTGACTGCGGCTGAGCTACAGAAAGGTCCCCCCACTCCAGAGGGTGGCGGGTCAAACCCCGACATCTACCAAGCATGGTTGGACATCTGCGAGGCCAGCAGGGCCGGCTTCAACGAAATTTACAAACTACTCAATGTTAAAGTCAATGAGCGAGGCGAATCATATTATCGCGAGTGGCTGGAAGATGTCATTGGCGAGCTGGACAAGAAGGGACTGGTCACCATTTCCGATGGCGCACATTGTATCTTCCTCCCTGGCCAAAAGGTGCCAGTGATCATCAAGAAGAGTGATGGCGCATATCTCTACGCAACGACAGATCTTGCGGCGATCAAACGTCGTCTGCTGGTCGACCCCAAGCAATGGATCATTGTCATCACGGACGACTCGCAAAAGGGTCACTTCCAACAGGTGTTTGAGATTGCCAGGATGGCTGGCTGGCTGACCGATCAGCAACAACAACAGCAACGAGTAGATCATCTGGCGTTTGGACTGGTGCGTGGAGAGAACGGCCACAAGCTGAGCTCGCGAGATGGTGACACCCTGGCTCTGTCAGAGCTCCTGGACGAGGCAGTGGAGCGAGCCAAGCAGGCAACGATCACCTCACGCTCACTAACACGTGCCGAGAAGCTGGACACAGGACACACGGCACAGCAGGTGGAGGGGGGCGAGCGCGTGGAGGACCGCTTCGAACAAGAGCAATCCAACTCACTGGATCACTATCGACGCATTGGACTTGGTGCCATCAAGTACTTTGACCTTTCACAACGTACCAATACCTACGTATTCTCATTCGACAAGATGCTCTCATTCAAAGGCAACACCTCAATCTACGTCCTCTACTGCTACACCAGGATATCAACATTGATGAAGCGTTGTCAGTTTGATATCACAACAGTGGACATCAAGTAAGTTGAACGGCCGTCGTCTCATATATCATGATCCCTCACTCACTCATTCACTCATTCAATCAACCAATCATTATGTAGTTCTGTTGAGTTTGGAGAGTTCACAGAGAAGGAGAGGAAGATTGTATTGATGATATCAAAGTTCCCAGATACTATTCGAACGTTGGAGAGTACTTTGAAGCCTGGCGTGTTGTGTGACTACCTCTGGGACATATCAGATTGTTTCCATCACTTTTACGAGAGTGATAGGATAATAGGATCAGATCGAATGGTTCAACGATTGTTAATATGTCATGCTATCCAACGTGTTATCAAGACAGGTTTCCAACTACTTGGTATTGATACTGTTGATCGTCTGTAGTTACACTTACTACACCTATTAAACTTTTGCAAGGAATTTGGATCATTATCAATCATATTATGGGAGGATTCATTTTGAATCTCACTCAAGATTGTTGTTGAAAGTGAGTTTTGAAGATTGTTGTTGTTCTTGCATTATTGAGTTGCACAAAGACCAAACTTGGATGTGTAAGAGACGACAACGTGCTATCATCCTGTCATTGTTATAAATACTTAAGTTATAAATATACGTATATATATATATATTATATATACAAAGTTAGAGTATTACAGGAATCAGATTATTGATTGATTGATAGATTGATTGATTGAGGAGATTGAAGATCCTGATAAGATAAGATTAGATTGACAGATAGATAGATAGGTAGACAATAGAATGTATACTTCGATTGTCAAGGCTGTTAGGAAGACAATATCAGCAGAGAAGAATAGGTATGAGTGATTGAACTGAATGACTACAGCATCACCAGCATCAGCTACACACACAGTCACTGACAGTAACATCAAACATGTTCAATAGATTCGAAGATGAGACATATGATTTGGACCTGACTTATATATGTGAGAGAGTAATTGGTATGTTATACTGATGTATAAGATTGTGATTGATTGATTTCCAACTGACACTCTATACTTGAAACAGCAATGTCATTCCCTGCAGAGGGTGTCGAGAGTGCATTCAGGAACTCGATACACGATGTTGCTCAGATGTTCAATCAGCGACATGAGAATCACTATAGGATATTCAATCTAAGTGAGAGGAAGTATGATTACGGTCTCTTCAATGGCAATGTATGTTTGAGTGATCGGTCTGATCCCAACCCAATACTCATTCACCATCATTCTCAAACAACTAGGTCATGGATTGGTGTGGATTCCCAGATCATCATGCTCCACCTTTGGCTCTGATGTTCAAGACTGTGATCTCAATATACAATTACCTTCAACAAGATCCACTCAATGTAGCCATCGTCCATTGTCTGGCGGGAAAGGGTAGGACTGGCACGATAATATCATGTCTGTTACTCTACGCTGGTTTGTTTGACAATGCCGAGGATGCCATGCGTTACTTTGCCGTCAAGAGATCATCAAACAACTATGGTATCACTGGTCCCAGCCAGATCAGATACACTCAATACTTCTCCGACATCTATCTTGGCAATCAAATGCCCGACCAAGATTCCCTCACTCTCAAGACCATCACTATGCACTCAATTCCAAAGGTATATCCATTCGACCATGTGATCGAACATGTCAACATTGACTCACACTCAATCTTTCAATCAATCAACAGTTCTCACTTGGACCTCTTAAGAATGGAGTGTGTCCAGTGCTCAATATATACTCTGCTACGACTAGGATTCGACTGTTCTCATCGGCACCGATGGAGGGCGACACGAGTGAGACGAGGACTTATGCCGCAGGCCCAGCCACTCTGATGTTCGAGGTGGGCATCGTGGTGCGTGGAGACTTGCTGATTGTATTCTCGCACATCACTCCATTCTATCGCACCGAGCAGATCGCTCGGTTCAACTTCCACACGGGCATGTTCTCGCGACCCCGTCTTGTACTATACAAATCACAGTTGGATGGCGCCGACGGCGACAAGCGCTTTGCCAATGACTTTCATATCACCGTTGACTTTGACACGCCCAACAAACCCTTGACAGAGGCGCAGTCACTATTGTATCAAAAGGAAATCAAGAAGGAGCTCAAATGGATCAATCACGAGAAGAAGAAGTCGACGCCACGCAACGGGTCCATCCTCTTCTATCCCAAGAACAACTCAGAGAAGATCAAGCAGGCCAAGGACATTGCGTCACGACAGGGCTCAAGCGGCGTGCACAGTGGGTTCTTGATCAAGAAGGGACACAACTTCAAGAACTGGCGACGCAGATGGTTCGTGCTCAAGGATGGCCAGCTGGCATACTACAAGTCGCCCAAGGACACAGTGCCCGCTGGCGCCATCCCTATCGCAGAGATTGAGTATGTGGTCGTGTGCGATGACAGCTTGGCCAAGGAGGGCTACTCCTTTGCCTTCCAGGTGGTCACGTCCAAGTCGATCAACTACATCATTGCCGCGGACAATGAGCGCGACCTTGAGGACTGGGTGGACTGTCTCAACAGCGCCAAGCGAATGGCCAAAGAGGCCGGCCGTCTATTCATCGAGATATTGGACGTCAAGTACTCAATCAAGGACGATGTGATTGATTTGCAATCGAGCTCATTGCAAAAGGTCATACCCATTGGCGACAGGTCAGACGTCGACCTCATCACCTACCTCACACTGACAATGGGCAAGAAGCGCGACGTCACAACATACGAGTCGGCCAAGTTCAATCCACATTTTCAATATGCTGGTGACTTCATCGTCTATGACCAACCATATGATCTCCACATTGGGTTGTGGTTCCGATCGTCAATGCTCGAGGTACCTGACACCCTGGTCGCAGAGTTGTACATACCATATGCACAGCTACGCGAACAATCCTTCAGGACTGAGTACCGCAAGTTCAATCGTATCTACACACAGTTCATCACCAATCTCGAGTTGAAGATTGGCATGGCATTCAGAGCGACAGAGGACTTGAACCTTGTGTAAGTATCCAGTATGTTTGTTGGTTTGGTCACATCAGCTTTCTAACATTGTTTGTCTTGTAGAGAGTCACCAGGAAGCGGTCACAGTATTCCAATGGACAACCTTTCAAATACGCGCAAGCTTAGCAATGGAGCCAGCTCCTCAAGCCCACCTGGCAAGCTGTTCTTTAGCCACTCGATGAGCTCCCTTGACATCTCGAATGGATCATCACATACCCAAACACAGACCCAAACACAGACCCAGACACAGACCCAGATACAAACACAGACACAGACACAACATATAGATACGACAGATAGACATACAGAGACAGAGACAATGGTACAGATGATACAACATGGATCACCATTACGTGAACCTCTACCAATGCTAGATTCAACAGAGAACTTATTTATTGAGAATATCCAGAGTCAGCTGAATGATGTTAGTGACGAAATGGATGCCAACGAACTGATGCATGAATTCGAGAGAGACTGTGTCACTACTGACTAGTAGTCGAGAGAGAGAGAAGACTACACGTTGTAACCATCATCATATTGTCTGTTGTCAATAAAGTCAAACTTGGTCGTGTTCAACAACCCCACACACTTCTTGAAAGGACGACACGTGGGGTAGACCTTAATGAGCTACTTCCCAACTTCAAGATTCATTTGACATCATTATCATATCTAATCATCATAATATACATACATAGAATAGAATAGGGATAGGGATGGATACATTAGAGAAATACGTACCAGCCGTTGTGTTGAAATCATGTGAACAGGCTTATAATCACATCGATCGCATACTAGCACCTTATAACTTGCCAATCCCGACAGAGTTTGTTGTACTGGCATTGGTTGGATTGTTGTCTGCCATTATTATATCGGCGATATTCGGAGGAAGCAGTGATAGTCGTGGTAGCAGTGGATCATCAACATCATCCTCGAGCAGCAGTGCAGGCGGCAAGAAGAAAGGAAACTCACTTGTCCTTCTCGGTCTCTGTGACTCTGGCAAGACAACACTCTTCCTCAAGTTGATCCAGAAGTCACTTACATCATACTCTTCAATCTCAGTCAACAAAGGAAACTTCAATGTAAGCTACATCACATCAGGCCTTGTGTTGAGGACCAACCTCATACTCATACTCACACTGACTCGATTACAGAACGCAGGCAAGAAGCTACCCATTATCGATATACCAGGTCATGCAAAGATGAGACCTACACTTCCACAATACCTCTCACAGGCATCATCCATTATCTATCTGATTGATAGCACAACATTCTTTGATCAATCAATCGAGGAGGCTCAGTACGTATCATCCTCAGCCCAGCGAGTGACCAATGAATGCATTGACACTGACACCATTCATTAGGAACCTTTACGACATTCTGGTGGACCCAAGCGTCTACGAGAGAAGAGTACCAATCTTGATATTCTGTAACAAGACAGATTTGACAACTATTGGAGAGTCAGATGTACAGTCTATTCTGGAGAGAGAGTTGGATGAGCTGCGAAAGACTAGAGGATCAGCCCCATCAATGGCAGGCAATGAGGATGCTGGTGTCGAAAGAGAGATCTACCTTGGCAATGAAGGCACTTCATTCCAGTTTGATCATCTGCCCAACGAAGTCACCTTTGCCCAGGGTTCAGTCAAGTCAGAGGAGACTGAGGCACCAGAGCCAATCATGTCATTCATCCAGCCAAGATAAGAGCAATCTAGTACAAAGTAAAGAAGATAGAAGTAGTTGTGTGTTTTCCAAGCATATCCATCGTTCGTTCGTTCGTCCATTGACTATCGACAGTCGCCAAACAAGGGGATGGTCCTCTGGCTTTATTACACATAACTACTATTGCCGCTATACTATATTGTCCACTGTGCTGACCTTCCAGTTGATACCATCGCCCTTGGGCAGTCCACTCGGACATAACCATTGTCCTTTGCTCTCTCCAAATACTTCTTTAAAGTTACTATTTGTACCTCTATCATATCTCCACTTATAAGTTGAGCTCTGTATGTTTGTTAGTACTTGATCCAGTCGACTGATCAGTCAGGTGACGTCATTGATACATACTATTCCATTCCTTTTAGCAGACTTTAACTCTGATTTGCGCTCGTATCGCTCGACACTGGTGAGGTTACTAAAGATGAATCCACTCTGGAAATAGAACAGACCTGACACGCCTAGTACCACTGGCACTACCAATGAGAAGTTAAGTATGAATAGTACCATCACAACTGTTCCAGGTACACTAAAGTATATATCCACTTGATCTGGATTTGGTGTTGGATTCCTTGGATCCTCCGCCTGTTCATGGTTTGATTGATGGAAGTATGTTAGACCATCATTGATTGTCACAATCACTACCATCCACTGTAATAACATACATTCTGTAACTGTACATTCAATATATAAAAGGCACTGATGGTCATCATTATGATGGTCAGTGTACCAGCCACTGTGGTGTAGAATAGAAAGAGAATGAATGGCTTTTGATTCTGATATCCAACGCAGTTGGCAATCCATGGACAATGATGATCTTGTTTCAATATACATCGTTTGCAATGTCGACAATGATGTGTTCGCGGTGGTTTGAATATGTTACATGTTGCACAATAACGTATATTTGTCACAGGCTTTGATGAATGACTGCCAGAGCGTTGTTCCCTTATCTGTTTTACAATGTCCTCCAACTCATCTTTACTCTTTCCATCTGGTCTCTATAGTATGATTGTGTCAGATCAGTGTCAATCAATCAATCAATGAACCAATCGATCAATCACATGAACATACCCAATCTGTTGAAGGATAACCTGGTGGTGTAACGATCGCACTCCAATAGCTGTAACCCAACATGTAGAGTAATATATGATATAGTATAATATATAGTTGTCCGAATATATTCTGAGTGAAGCCAAGAGGTTGAAATACTATCAGCCATTGACTAGTGATCTCGAACAGTATGAATGCTGACACCAGCAGCACAAGAAATGACACCATCTCCTTTGCCTATTTGTGTGTTTGTAGTTGTTGTTGTATCACTTGTGTACTGTCCTCTCTCTGTGTCTTTGTCTGTATAGTTGATGATCAGTTATTATTTGCTTAGCAAGATGTATGTATTTATATTAACACAAATGTAATAAATGGTTGAAGAATGATTCATTAATTTGATTGATTCCAACCACATCACACCTCTTGACTAGTGTTTGTCCCATAAATGATCTTCTTTTTAACAAGACTAGACTTACTCCAATATTGTGTGGACCAATGTAGAACTTGAACAATGGATGGACCAGACCTATGATGCTAAACTGACACCTGGACTTGTACAAGAGTAAGTGAAGATGCCAGGCCTGGTAATCTAAAGTATCTGAATGAATGAATCCTTTTTCAAAAACCAAGTCTACTGAGTGAATGAATGACTCATCATCCAAACCTCCATTGTTCATTGATAGATAACAATACACATATAATACAAACAGATCAGATAGATAACAATGGCAAAGAATAAGAAACAACAAGTAGTGGAACAGAAAAGCAACAACAGCACAACTAAACAAAGAAGACCACAACAACAACAACAACAACAAGAAGAGCCAGAGGAGGAGTTTGTTGAAGAGGTCACATTGAAACTTACAAAACAACAAAAGAAAGCAAATAGACAACAACAACAACAACAACAAGACGATGGAGATGACAGCAGCAGCAGCAGTAATAGTACTAGCACTACCACTAGCACTTTAAGAAGTATGACTGCAATTGACAGTCCTAAACTAGACTTTAGTATCAGTGGCAGTGACACCATCCCAAGTGGTGCAGGTAGCACCATTGGTAACATTGGACCTATCAGACGACCAATCACTCATGTACAAAAGAAAATATACACGCAGCGAGAGTTGGAGGAAATGTATGTATCGTTATTGTCATTGTCACATCGATCAATCAAAGTCACGTCATACTAAACTTGTCATTCACAACAAACAAAGACGAAAGGCCAACAAACAGGTATTGATCAAGTTTATCATATTCACGATATTGATGTTCCTGGTACCATTCAGTATCTACTTCTCATTCATGGACTATGGCGCAGACTACTTTGGCGTGGTCAGGAATGAGAGAACTACATATAGTGGCATTCTGGCACTCTCTGGTATGGGTTGTGTGATGGTCGCCTACGTAGTCATGGCATTCTTCTTTGAGAAGTGATCATAATGGACATACAAACAATCAAACGAACCGAACGAATGATTGACCGACGACCGACTACTTATTACTATATAAAGGTATAAGTGTATTTACAATATTCCATCTCGGTATACCAGCGCGACTGGAGACATCAAGCATTATCCTGCATCATTGTATGTGTCTGGTAGGATACCCAACCTCTTATGCGAGTTCTGTTTCTTCAAGCTACATCTTCCATATCCATTGATCTTGAACTATGATCGAGGGCATATTAGTGATTAGGTGGATGATCGATGATGATGATGAAGATGATGCTTACATTGGTATTGAACTCTTTAACAAACAGTTTGTAATCATCATCTTCAAACACTTGGAGATAGATCTCGCGAATACCAACACCAGGCTTGGGCTTTATCCTTGCAATTGTATCCTTGAACAAACGACCCAATCGTTGATAATGTGCTTCCATCTGTGTCTTGAATGCTGATGACATTCTCTCAGCTCTCTCATCCCTTGCCTTAATCTGTTGATGTAGTTCCTGTAATGTGCGCGAGTGTCAGTAGATGTGTTTCCGCAGCCACACCATGTCTAGAGACATACATTGAAGAAGTAGTCAAAGTTGTCAATCATTAATCTGGCGACTGCTGAACCAGTGATTGCTTCGGTTGTTAGGGAGGTGCTTAGATGATGTTCATAGTCGCCTTGGGATGATGAGGAGTCGACTGCTGCAGACTCTGTTGTGTCTGACTCTGGGGTTGTCGATGATGATGGCCTCATGAGGAATCGACCAAAGACGGCTGCGACAGACTCGGGTGTCTGTACACTGCCATTGTCAGCCTTGGCCACACAGAAGTCGTGTAGCATTCCAAACAACTTGACAAACAACTCGCGGTTGGCCTGTGGCAAGTGGTATAAACTCTGTCGAAGTAGCTCAAGATGATTGTCACAGTATAGACAGTAGATCCAGTGTGTGCGGTCGTCTTCGGGGATCAATGGCTCAATCAAATCGAGCAACTCAATAAACATACTGAGTTGATTGATTGCACTGACCCTCCTTGTAAACAATGCCAGATCACCAATACTAATAATATCAATAGGTTGCAATGCAACAGTATTGATTGGTTGATAAGGATAGCCAGTATACAACTCCACCATGTTGTCCCATTCTCCGCTTGTGACTGATTGAGTGATTGATCGATGCCAAGTTTGTGCAAATATTGTAAGTATGATGCGAGTCAAAGCATTCACTTCACTCATTCAATCAATAATTCTTACACTTCTCTTTTAATACATTAAATATGATCAAGATATATGTATCATCACGATCGATCGTCAACATATTTGAGAGATAATGATACAGATAATGATAAAGATAAAAGAAATAATATATATTATTTGTATAAACAATTGTATGTGTAATCTTAACAAAAATAGAGTACTGTTGAGATCTAAGCACTGTATCCACATCGGGAAGTATGCGTCTGATGGGGATGTGGTGTGATTGATCAACTCGCAAAACAGCCATCCTCACACACTTTATTTTTCGAGTTTTTGGGATTGTGGAGAAGTCTGAATGTCCACACAAAGTTCTTCCAACTTTGATGGAACTGTACTTGGATCGACATTGGCATCGGCAGCTGTTCCATTGTTATTTGGTAGATTGGGTAACATCTCATCAATCATTCGTCTTGATCGTCTGTAGGCAAGATGTATTGAATGATTGATTATAAGGAATCCAATTGGACTGGTGATGATGCCAGAAAAGATTATCGTTTCATTCTGTTTGACAAATCCAATTATAAACATTATCACCGTAACCAATATTAAACTTATTCCAAAGAATGCCCAAAGTGTATTGAGTCGAGAGTAATTGGAAAAGATTGATACACGTATCCTACCAAGTTCTTGTAATTGATTTACAGGAGCTGCCACTACACCTGGTTCTCCTTCTTGTTCTTGTCCTTCATTTTGTTGTCCATTCTCTGTTTCTTCTATTATTTCGTTATTATTATTATTATTATTACTATTATTATTTACATCTACATTATTATTATTTATATTAACTATTTGATCATTGTCAACATCAATTTCAATCTGTTGTTGTTGTTGTTGTTTGTTTAGCTCAACTTTATCTGAAGTGGATGATGATGATGGACCATCTGTATATTGAACATGTTCCTGTGCTCTTTGATATTGTTGTAATTCTGTTCCAGTTGTAGAGTCATCATAAGACTCTGATTTATCAATCTTCATATCTAAGTTAACTTTAAAAATATTTATCCGGATTGTATAACAAAGATAGATCATTGAGTTGTTGATGATGATTCTACAACAACATATGAGACATGATACAACATCAACAAGTCAGTCAGCCATGCTTGTTGGGAGGAATGTCCTCCCACTATTGAGTTGAGTTGCAATGAATGTTGGCAAAGGTGAGTACATCATAAGTGTGGGTGGTTTGTGTGTGGTGTGGGAGTCTGATGTTCAATGGTCTAAGAATTACCAAATTGGGTGTGTGATAGTATCTGTATGAAGTGTGTGGGTGCATCTGTTTGAAATAAACGGGTTAAGGAATATTCCTACTTATTATTATTATTATCATCATTCATGTTTATCTGTATGTTTGTACTAATAATAATAATAATAATTGTTTTTTGTTACTAATCAATGTGTTTTTGAAAACCATCACATAATAAATGAAGTCTGAATTGGGAAACGAAAAAAAAACATCATTCAATGGGGTCTATTGATAAAATGAAGGTCGATTGTGATGCTCATCATTATTGGATTGTTCACCATTACTTTATATGTGTGCACACACCTACAGATATATATATTATATTTCATTTATATAAAGAGTGATTGAGAGCATTAGATAGATAGATAGATAAAGAGAGAGATATTGAATATACTCGTTTATTAATGAGAGTCGACTTATATGTTTGACAACATAACAACAACAACTACACAACAACAACAGCAATGAACTCACAATCGACACAGAACAAAAGAAGGTTGATATCATGGAATCCTCATATAACAAATACATTCATTGTGGGATCAAATGATATACGTCTATATGAACTAAAGCATAGGGTATGTTGATATTGTTGTTGTTGTGCTGCATGTTGGATGGTCATGGTCATTGACACTCATTCTCCCTTATCCAATAACATTAACAGCAAAGTGGAAGTGGAGGTAACTCACTTAGCAAGGTGAATATGCCATTATCATTCGACATTGAATATCCACCCGATGGTAAGACAATGGACACTCGATCATTCAATCAATCAATCACAGGTGTCATGACAACTACTAACAAACGACAACCGACTGATCAGATTGGACACCACAAGACAAGAAATCAATCGACCTCCTCAGCGTCAACAATGACGTTCAATATCTAAAGGTAACCAATTGATCAATGCAGTAATGCATGACCCTCAATCAATCAATCAATCACTCACTTACTCAATCACTCAATCTTGCAAAAAAAGTGCATGGCATGGAGTCCCGACCCTGCAGACCCAAACCTCATCGCTTGTGGTCTGGTCAATGGTAAGACTATCCTCACCAGCTTCTCATCAGTCAAGAGGAATATAAAGGAGTTCGTACCAAAGCATATAAGACCTTGCAATACAATTGCCTGGAATCCAATCAATAAGACACACCTGGCCATCGGTTTGGACAAGGTTCGAGGTGACTCCTCCACCTTGGTCTGGGACATCAACTACCTTAACAGAGCTGCGACACACTCCTCAAGTGGACATATAGTTGTCGATGCACCACATGAAGTGTAAGTGAGACTTTTTGGACACGTCTATTCGGCTCACTCGCTCATTCGCTCACTCAATCAATCAATCAAACAGATCACAACTATCAGAGAACAGCTTCAATACAATGAACACAGAGCCTGTCGAGACTATATATCAATCGATTGCAGAGTTTACAATATCTGAAGCGACAATGTCTCTGGCATGGATACCAAACAATCCATTCTGTTTGATCATTGGTACTGGTGCAAAGTGGTTGCGCATCTTTGATATTAGAGACCCAAACACGACACAGTCGGTGCCGGCACATCAAAAGTCAGTCAATGGCATCAGCATTGACCCATTCGACAACAACAGGATGGCTACGATGAGTGAGGACTCCATCGTCAAGATATGGGACATGCGCAAGTTTGACGATCCAGTCATGACGATCAACACCAACTACAAGTCAGTGCAACAGATTGAGTGGTGTCCAACTCGCTCAGGTATCCTGGCCACCAGTGGTCGCGACAAGAACTCCATCAAGCTCTACGACGTCAAAGCTCCAGTCGAACAAGCCAGATCCCCACGTCCCGATCGCAAGAGTACCTCTGATCAGAACCTTATGTACAGCTTCAAGCCCACCAAGAGTATGTATCCTCTCCCTCGACCATCCCTCGCTCACATCACTCACCATCATCCATCGTCACAGCACTGCATGTTCAAGACATCTCATCATTCTCATGGCATCCAAAGAATGAGTGTAGGATGCTCACTGTCTCGCATCAAGGTGTTGTCGAGGTGATCAATGTAAACGAGAATATACCACTGGCCTGGTCACCAGCAGGTGACCTCTGTTTCTCATTTGGCATGCATCTCATTGAAGGACCGACAAAGGGCAACACAATCGAGCCCAACCTTGCCGAAGAACGATTCGCAAAGTATGTCACAGCATCCCATTCATGAATGCCCAATGCCCTACTAACACCAGACACAATCAACAACAATAGCCTGACAAACGATGGAAGATACAATCGAGATATTTCACTGCTGATGAAGGAGAGAGCAAAGACAGGATACTCAGCCAACATTGACGACAATGTAAAGATATCGAGCAAGTTCAACGAGAAGGACATCTTTTATCTGTGGGGTTGGATACAGCGCATACCTCAACTACTGCAACAGTTCCAGAAGAAGATTATAGTCAAGCCTGCAGAGCAACTACAACTACAACAGCAACAACAACAACAACAACAAACAGAGGCCACCCAACCAAAGGACAACGAATACATTGGAATATATAAGATACTGCATGATCAGAAGAGTATGTTATGGCGGCGACAAGACTATTATATCGACCATCCTCTGACACCTACCCTTTTGTAGCCTTTGCATCACAGACGATTGAACAGGTACAGATTGGATTCAATACATATCTGTCAAGCCAGAGAGCACTTTGCTCGTTGATATGTGGATGGGGATTCTCTACCTCTAACCCAATCGAATCAACGCTGACGATGCTCGAGCGATCAGGTGACTTTGAGAAGGCGGCCGCGATGGCCGTCTTCCATCTGGAGATCAAGAGAGCAGTGCAGATCATCCATAATGGCTGCATGGTGCTCGCGACACAAGGCACACTCGCCGCCAAGGACAGAGAGACCAGTCTACGACTGATGTCCTTTGCCCTGGCTGGACTTGGTGATGGACCTGGCGCCAAGGTCAACTCATTCTGGAAGGAGACATGTCGTCAAACAGCCAAGAGCTTCTCCAATCCATACCTCAAGCTGTGTCTTGATTTCCTCTCAATCAATGAGCAGCGAGAGTTGAGCAACATTCTCGAAGAGTCATCAGTGACCCTTGCCACCAAGGTTGCATTTGCTTGCAGATACCTTGATTCACAAGATGTATGTCGTGGACAGCAAGGTGGCGTTGATAAATCGATATACTGACATGTCCCTCCCTCCCAGCTCGTCTCATTTGTTGACAAGATGACTCTACAGGTGGCTGAACAAGGTAACCTGCATGGCATCATACTGACAGGACTTTCAGTGCGTGGTATCGATCTACTTCAGCAGTACATTGATCGCACCAGCGACATACAAACGGCGTGCCTGGTGGCAAGCCTGGTGGTACCCAAGCACTTCCACGACAAGCGAGTGCCTCGTTGGATATCATTATACAGTGAGCTGCTCGACACGTGGGAATGCTGGCATGAACGCGCCACCTTTGACATCCACCGCATATCCTGGTCGGAGCCACCCACTTCGCAGATCTTCGCCAAGTGCGGCTACTGCCAGATGTCATTCTCCTTTGAATCAGTATCGAATGGCTCGATGGCCGGTCGCAACCCGCGAGTCAACACGCGCTCCAAAGTGCCGTGCTGTCCACACTGCAAGCAGCCACTGCCGCGCTGCTGTCTCTGTCTGCTGCCGATGAGCTGCATGGTGCCGGGCATCGATTACAAGAAGCCATCCAACCGCGAGTTCTGGACGGCTGGTGCCGAGCCCTTTGACGACTGGTTCACCTGGTGTCAGACCTGTCGCCACGGCGGCCATGCGCGCCACATCTCCGACTGGTTCAAAGACCATCAACAATGTCCTGTAACCGACTGCACCTGTAAATGTTCATCCATCTAAACCCTTCAATCATACATATATCCTATTATTATTATTATTAGTAAACTACTTTTACCTCCCCTCCCATAATCATTATTAGCAATGTTATATTTATTTAGAACTTGATGCGATAGGTACCAGCATGCTTGAGATGCTCAATCTCACCGGCTAGTGGCTCCATGATTGTTGGGAGATGCTTGGCGATGGATGGTCTTTGGTTCATGCGATCCAACCATGTCATGACATTGGGATACTTCTCATGATGTGGAAGGAATCCCTCGCGAATGTAGATCGCCCAAGCATACACTGCCATGTCTGCGATGGAGAATTGACCGCCAGCAATCCACTCCTTATCCTTCAATTGTTGATCCAATACAGTGTACAATCTATCGGTCTCCTTATAATATCTCTCTTCGGCTGCTGGCACTGCCTCTGGAGCAAAGCATGAATAGAAGGTGTATTGGCCATTCATTGGACCCAAACCGGATATCTGCCAGGCCAACCATTGTAGGACATCGGCATGCTCACGAGGATTGGTCTTGATGTCTGGGAGGAACTTGCCATGCTTGGAGGCGAGGTATAGAAGGATGGCTCCGGATTCGAATATTGGTAGTGGTGGACTGACTGTATAATCAATGATTGCTGGTACCTTTCCATTTGGGAAAGTCTTTTTGAATTCTATCTTCTTTGGACTCTCGTCATTGAATATATCAATCTCCTCGTACTTGTAATCTATTCCTAACTCATCGAACATTATCTTTATCTTCCATGGATTGGTAGTACCGCATCCATAAAACAAGTATGGCTTTCCTTCATTAAGTTCTTGTGAGTTTGAAGTTGCAGTTGACATGATTGATTGATTGATTGATTAAATAACTTGATTAAATAAATTGATTGATTGTTTGTTTGTTTTGTTTGTTTTGAATGATTAAGGATAAGTCTCAGACTTAGTTTAAATAGGATATCAATCGAACAATTAATATTGTTCTATTGATTGATTAAAGGAAATGCCCAAAAATTGATGTTCGATCGAACGGGCAAATATTTGGTTAATCAAAAATGGAAGATATGTCAAAGAATGTCATTCTAAGGGAATTTAATGATCATTTCCCGATTCGGACAATGTCTATCTATCTATCTATCTATCCCTGGTACTTTTAAAGACTTTGATAATATAATATATACTTTACATGATTCTACTCTTTCACTTAATCACAGCTATCTCTATCAATTCAGCAATCATGTAATCATGTTTGAGATGTTAGTGTGGTGTTGACCACGAACACACCCTAATTTGGTTAAACTATTAATTAACTTCTCAATTATCTGTAAACAAATAGATATATATAACAAATATATAGAATAATGGATATGCACTTTGATCCTTTATATCATGTCCAACATGTAGACAATGATAATGATGATGATGGTGTCGGTGATGAACAACAACAGCAACCACAACACAAACAACAAAGACAGAACAATGAGATTGTTGAACAAGATGATGATGAAACAGACAGCGATCAAGATACACTTTTCACCTTCAAGATACCAACGATACCTACAAGTATATGGGGTTCACTATCGTCTATAGTTGATACTGTTAAACAAAAGGTAGGTAGTCTATCATTGATTGATTGTATGAATGAATGAATGAATGTCTAAGACCAAATCAATCAATCAATATATATATATGTTAGTCTGAGGATATTATCAATATATACAAGGAGGATCTTTCCAATGCTGCAGCGGCATCATCATCAACATCACCAACAGCCAATGTCACAACAACTTTGACAGAGACAGGCGCTCCAACCAGTCCCCTCGTGGCACAACCAAAGCCAATAATCAAATCATTCATTTCAAATATATCTAGCTTCATTGGAGAGTATCCATCACCTCATAGACAGGAGCAACAGCAACAAGATAAGAAGCAGCAATCATCACAACAACCACAGCCACAACAACCATCACAACAACTATCACAACAACAACAAACTAGGAATGATCAATCATTGCCAGATGGTATAACTCAAGAGGATATTGAATGTTATACAAATGAACCTAAGGATGACAAGGAGGAATATTCAAGGTTTATAGAGTTGTTCCAACTTCAACTGTACAAACCAGCCATCATCACTGCACTTTCAACCAATCACAAGCTACAAAGATGTTATAATCATCTAGTGCCTGCCAGCTTAACAGAGTTCAACTTCTGGTGTATATACTTCTTCAAAGAGTATGTATGGTTAGTCGAATATTTGATTATGATCAACTGACTCATTCATTCATTCAATCAATCGATCAATCAGGGAGATGAACAAACTCGAGCCACAAAGGAAAGCATTGCAATTGAATGAACTATTGAATAAGGAGGTTGACTCTGTTCAATGGGACAGTACTCCACCATCAATGTTAACCTCGCATCAAGATGATGAGGTAGTGGTCCATGAGCAGCAACAACATTTAGTGGCAGAACCAGACACAGATGACAATGACAATGACAATGATAATGATGATGGCAATGATGACGACAATGATGAGAGTGAAGACAAAGAAGACGACAAGTTAGAATGTAAACTGATAGATGAATACTCTAGAGGATCAAATAGACATCAATCATCACATGGTTTGGACAAGTCACAAGAGCTACCACCACCTAGCCAGCCACAAGTACCTTCACAACGTACACCAACATCAGGCAGTGAGACCCTGAGTGACTGGGAGGTGATGGAAAAGAAGTTGTCCGATATCTCAGAGTCTGACGAATGGTCCACCTGGGAATGAATCAATCAATCCCAATCCATTCATCCCCTTATCCGCATCAATCTAGTTGGAACATACATAGACACACAAATAATAATACATTATTATTGTTTTCTTTATCTCTGTAACATTCGGTTGGACCACATGGTACATCCAAACAAAACCCAAGTGATCGTAGTATGACCAAAAAAGGTAAACTTACAAAACTATCCAAATTACACATGTTTTGTGGGAACAACAAATTTGACGACTAAATATTTCGATTTAATTTAGGTGTTGGTGGAAAGGGTGTGAGAGAATTGTTAGTATTAGAGTGTGTGTGAGGGTGTGTGAGGAGCGTCTATTCAACTCTTCGTGCGAACAACACAACACGAGTGAGGTGGTGGTGGTGAGTTGAGTGAGAGAGGGAGAGGGGAGAAGGAGACGGAGTAGTAACACAAAACCAACAACAACACCAACAACAACTAATAGCTAGGAGTATACACATACATATATATATATAAATATTTATATTTCGTATATAATAGTATATATATATAAAACCTATGGTATAGAGCACAAGGGTATACCTAATACTATCGATAGTAAAGAGTGTATACAACTCTCTCTCGTCCCATCCCAGACCAACAACAACAACAACAACAACAACAACAACAACTGTTCAGCGTAACTCTACTTATTAAAGAGTCGCGCAGCCTTCCACAACCATCGAATCACATCACACGCACATCACGCAATATAATCACATACTCAAATCAATCCAAATCAACAAAACAACCAACAACAACAATACAATGTCTACACAAGTTAGCAATACTGTAGGAATGGGAATGGGCTTGGGCGGCCCAATTCCGTCAGCAGCTAGTAACGGCGGTAATATGAGCACGTCGTCAACGATGAGTGGCATGAATGGATCGTATGGCACGAAGAGGAAGTCGTCTTCGTCGTCGTCGCCGTCGACTGGCGTGCCATCGGCCGCACACTACTCCAACGGGGGCGGTGTCGTCGGCAACCTGTCGGCTCACTTTGGCGCCAACAACAACGGAAGTCACAGTGGCGCCTACTCGCAATCACTGTTGCCCAATGGTGTTGGCAGCAATGGAAACGGAAGCGTTAGCAGCAGCATTAGCAGCAGCAGTAAAGGTGCATGCTCCAAGTGTGGCGGAAAGAAGAAACACGCAAAGACATGTATATATAGAAGGAAAGAAGATGATGACGAACAGATGAACTCGAAGGATATTATTCAAAGAGTAATTATATATATATATATACCTTGTAGTTTTAAACTTAAATAATAATACCTTTCTAACCCCCTCCTCCTCTTGCTCCCTCCTTCTCTCTCTCTATCTCTATCTAATAGCTCGATGTCTCGGCTCTCAAGAGATATAAGAAACACTACAGACTGAAGACAAAGCATAACTCATCGAAAGATGAGTTGGCCTCTGCTGTCAGGTTACATTTCGATGGTTTGCCTGTGAACGAAGGCGAGATCATTGAGAACTTTATGTCAAAGGTCAAGAATGCGCCAATGGCTTACCAATAAACATCCCAACCCAACAGCCAAAGCCAAGAGTATTCTTAACCAAAAGTCTATCGTAATCCATTCCGCTCCACTCTACATTCACTCCACAACACATACGTGGAAGTTAGGTGTCTGTATAATCTTGGGCTCGATGTCCAAGGACAAGTATCGAACATTCAACAATCAATCACAATGATCGATCCTTTGTTGATGGAATCTTCGTTGGTGTAGGCTACAAACACGTGCTTCGAATTGACGAGCCAAATGGGGCGTTTTGTGGTCCTTTGAGGTGTTTTGCACAACTCCAAAAGACGTGTGTTGTGTGCCCATCAACAACTTAAAGTGCTTTATGAATGCACACTTGAACATCCAGTTGTGTTGTTGACCAACTTATTATTATTATTACTCTTTAACTAGTTGTAACAATTACAATTACAATTACAACTTTGATACTATAAGATGGTTGAATCAGAGATCATAAAGAAGTGGACAATGGCCTGTACAGCGACTGTACTTGCCATTGTTGTTATATATCAGTACTTCATCAAGGGTGACGATAAGGATGATGGTACCAACTCTTTCACACATTCATCCACTCCATACCCTGCTGCCAAAAGTTCACCTGCTGTCTCTTCCCCAGCAGCACCTGTTCCTGCACCTGCTCCAGCACCTGGATCATCACCTGCGCCTGCATCCCCTGCTCCCACCACATCAACAACATCAACAACTTCAACATCTACAACATCCACCAATCTATCAAAGTCAGTTGATGCAATTGTAGACATTGAGGAACTAAATAGACAGTGTGGCTTTTGTCGCCCAGAGATGGACATCAACTCAAGAAAGCCAACGGCCAACTCTATTCATGAGTATGGCAGACATTATTTCATCTGCAGTGGCGTGCCAGCCGATCAGTGGCCAAGCAAGTTCTACTCGATGAACGCTCAGCTGACCGCAATGTCCGAGTCGATCAAGAAGTACGCCGACGTGCAGAGACTGCCCTCGATCTTTAACGCCGTCGACATGGCCTCGACCACACCCGACACCTACGACTTTATCGTCTTCCCAGAGATGGTCAAGCTGATCGACATGACCCCGGAGCGCATCGAGGCCGTCATGCAGTACTTCTCAGAGAACGACTCGATTGGCGACGGCTTCCCAGCCAGCGTCAAGGTAGAGAACTACTCTGGTCGCCATCTGTTTGTCTGTGCTCACAAGCTAAAGGATGCGCGATGTGGATACTGTGGACCGATCTTGGTCGATCAGCTGTCGACAGAGATCGAGCAGCGCGCATTGTCCTCTGAGATAAAGGTCTATGGCACGACACACGTCGGTGGCCACAAGTTTGCTGGCAATGTGTTGGTGTTCCCACCGGGACACTGGTACGGCTACGTGACACCATCTGATGTGTCGGAGCTCATCGACTCGGCATTGTCGGGCGACTGTATAAAGAGATTACATCGTGGCTCAATGGGACAGCCTGTTCACAAGGAGGAGAAGAGCAAGGAGGCTGGTCAGGAGAGCAAGGATCACAAGAAGGAGAAGAGGGATAAGAAGGATCACAAGAAGGATCACAAGAAGGATCACAAGAAGCAACATTGATTGATTGATTGATTGATCGAATAAACTTCCAATCATGTCATCGTACAACTCTCTCCAATCATTCATTCGCAAGTATATTCTGTCTTTCTTGAAAGTTGATGCTGCGCTGTTGTCTTTGAGTGTCACTTCTCTTCTCATTGAGACGAGTGAGTTGAGCTTGTTTATTGCTGCTGCTGCTGTTACGGCTGTTCATATGAAGTGATCGTAATTATTAATAATACTATGTGCTATAATGTTCAAGACTAAGAGTAGTCTACCTGTATTGTCATCTTCTTAGTAGTTGTCGTTCTTGAAAATGTACTCTGTAATCGATCAGTCAGTATGAATGAATGAATGAATGAATGAATGAATGAATGAATGAATGAATGAATGAATGTTAGACTACTACAACATACCTGGGTCCTTTCTTGGCTTGCGGTTAGACAGTCTCTGACGGAGTGGGATGACAATTTGTGGCATGGCAACAACTAGAGAGTGTCGCAAAGAAGAGTGTTGTGTTAGTCATGTCTGCTCATCAGGTGTATCATTCCTCCAAACATGAATCGCGATCGCTCATTCTCTTGGACTGACTGTGATCGCACTACATGTTCAAGTAGCCAGTGAGTCTGTTGATATTGCATCGCATAGTTGTGTTGATCTATCTATCCACTATTGCATGCAGAAATGACGTACAGACACCAGTGAAGACCACTGAAACGAAGAAGGCAGGCTCTGTTCTCAACCAACGATAGCAGTTAGCCTTTAATGTGTGAAATCCCATCATAAGTCCAGACATGACTGATCTGATCTTGTTTATATATATATATATATTATTTCGAATGTTGTAGAAGAATGATTGATGAATGATCACAAAGTCCAAAAAGTATTGGTGTTCACAAAATTCTAGCCCAAAACGCAAGTTTCACTTTATTTATCTCATTATCTCTATTTCCTCAAGTTATAACTACATCATGAATGAATGATCAATCACTTATACAATTGATTCAATGGATACCTACATATCAACTTGAATCCCATTAGCCCAGCCATTCAATCAATCAACCAATCAATGAATGAATGAATCATTTAATCGATTCTTAGGCTTGTTCACATTGAGAATTGATCTACAACACTAACTTGATAACTTAATCAACAAATATACGTTATTCGGTAAGTACTAAGTATTACAACTACATACAATAGAGATAGATATTTGTAAAGTTATAAGACGACAAAAAGGGATATGACCTCGTTTGAAAATATCCAAAATAATAAAAAAATGATCAAAAAATCAAGATGGGCTGTGAGTCCCTTCGTTTGAATCTGAGCCACTCAATCTTACGTTCACTCAATCTTCCACACACCTTGTGTTGATCAAAGCTCATTGTCACAATCACTTTACGAGATATAATCAAACATATAAACATATAAACTAAACAAATAAATAAAGATGATTAAGAATACTATTGTATCACTACTTATTGTAGTATTCATTGCCACTGTTGCCAATGCTCACCTTTATGGAGTGTGGCAATCTGGCTCAGTCGCTGAGTTTGGAACCATCGATCCAACTACTGGTACATATCATCATCACTCATTCATTCATCATCATTCATCAAACATTCACTTACCATCACTCTCACTCATACAACAGGAAACACAACAATGAAGCTGGAATTCCCTGGATTCAACAACTGGGTTCCAAGTAACTCTGCCATGAACAACTTCACAAGTATCTTTACCTTTGTCCTCACCTACAACCAAACTGGTGTAAGTACCATCAAACAATCACTCAGTCAATCACCCTCAGTCAATCACTGAATCACTCACTCAATCCTATCAATCAAAACAGACTCAATTCCTCGTGTCAGTCAATGTTGCCACCAACAAAGTTATCTATTTCGTCAGTATTCAAGATAATGCCGTGCCCTACGGACTCCACTATGACAGCGATGTCAACTCCCTCAAGTGTGTCCTAAAGGGATCCGATAACAACACCTGGTTGATTGGTGAGATGGATCCTGCCTCAGCCTCATACGATGTCTATTCTGTAAGTTGAGAGTGATCATCCACTGGAGCCATTCCATTCACTCACTCACACCCATACTCACAATCACTCAAACACAATCACAGGAATTGGATGGAGCATTCATCTCAGCAGGCCTTTCACCATACACTCATTCATATTTTGTTGTGATTGCGTCATTGAATGGTGAGAACACTACAATGTTCAGCTTTGATACTAGATCTGGCCAGTTGACCAACTCTGTTGTCCTTGGTCAGCCAGTCAACTCGATGGGAGGCCCATTCAACCTGCTCTACTTGCCATCGCTTGACATCCTGGTCGGCACAGTTCTGTTGAATGACAGCTCATCCGAGATTGGAATGGATTATGCCATGATCGATACCAACAGTGGAGTTATCAAACCACTTGGATTCTTCCCACCATCTGACAATGCACTCGTACTATCAAGTGCTGCACATCAGAACCTCATATACACCTTTGGTTACTTCAGCTCCACTCAACAACTCATCACTCTAAACGTCCAGACACTCTCACAATCACCAGTAACAGAGTCAGACATCCTCGTCTCGCTCGGTTACTTTACCAACTTTTAAATTAAATATAATTATTTAATTATTAATTATTAATATTAATTCGATTAAGGTGACTAATCTCCAAAATAATTGATTCAAAGTAGTCTGGAAAGTGTTGCTTGATCTTTGAACTAGCCTCACCATCGGTTGGCTACAATGATGTCAAACACACACAAACATGCCCAATAACGGGAATGGAATGGGGGTACCCCTTTTGGAATCTTCATTGGTGTTCCAAAACCAGGACACACACCAACTACGCGTCAAAAGTGAAAGGGTCATCCAATAATCATTAGAGTTACTAAAGTGTATTTATAAATAGAGACAACTACTTATACATATATATATATATATATAACATTCATTCATACAATACATATTAAGATATATAGAAAAGCCAAACATGTCAACATCAACAACATTATTGGACAACAACAATGCTGAACCAGTGTCACCTGATACAGCAGCAACCACTGTAATTGGAAAGACATTAGCCACACAACACAAAGGCAGATACGTAAACAAATGGATGACAATGACGACAAGTGATATCTTTATGTATGTATGAATGATGAATGACAGAGACAACATTGATTGAATGAGTCTAACAACATACGACAATGACAGAGCCGTACTCAAATGGAGAAGAGCAAAGATAGAGCCATTGACAGATGATGAGAAGAAACATGTTCATCCTGTGATACCGGTTGATTTGGATCGTCTGCGTGCTCCTTTGGCATCACCTAATAGTTTGAGATGTACTTGGATTGGACATGCTTCATTCTTTGTCCAGTTTGCAGGCGTCAGCTTTTTAACTGATCCAGTGTTTGCTGATCGTTGCTCACCGTTCTCCTTTGCTGGTCCAAAGCGCTACCGTGATATACCATGTCAGTTGACACAGTTACCACAAGTTGACTTTGTCACAATCAGCCACAATCATTATGATCATCTCGATGTCGATGTCGTCAAGGCACTGGGCAACAACACACATTGGTTCGTGCCCAAGGGACTAAAGAGTTGGTTCGCTTCATGTGGCGTCAACACGGTCACTGAACTCGAGTGGTGGGAGGAGGCAAACTTTGGCGACCGCGTGCGTATCACATGCACGCCCTGCCATCACAACAGCAATCGTGGCCTGACCGACAGGAACTGCACACTCTGGAGCTCATGGGTCGTGACCGACACGCAAACCAACAAGAATGTGTTCCACTCGGGCGACACAGCCTACTGCGATGTGTTCAAAGAGATTGGTCATCACATGGGCGGTATCGATTTTGGAATGATCCCAATCGGCGCCTACTCACCACGTCACATCATGCGAGAGATGCACGTCGATCCTGCCGAGGCGGTACAGATTCATCGTGACATTGGCTCGAAGCGATCAGTTGGAATGCATTGGGGTACATTCATCCTGACTGATGAGCCACTCCTGGAACCACCCAGGAAGTTAAAAGAGGCTGCCACTGCAGCTGGACTCAAGGACAATGAGTTCACAGCGATGAAGATTGGTGAGATAATTGACATGGATCTGTAATATTTGTATTATTTTAATTAAAGTTGTGTACATTATCAATTTGGAAGTTCTGATCTTTTTCTCCAAGCACGTGATCTGGTGCCAGACCACCCATTTATCTCTTTCGTCTTCTCAAGTTCACTCATTTCATTTCCAACTTATATTAATATACATATATTTATACTTGTAGCATCACTGTTTGATAGAACAATGAGCGGCAATAATGTAAACAACTTGGACATGATAGATGCCCAGCTGATATCTTTGGAGTTGATCAGAAAAGAGATACCAAAGGATGGTGCATGCATGGTATGTATGATTCATTGATTGATTGATTGGATTACAGATGATGTACCAACTCAACTAAACAAACAAACAGTTTAGATGTATAAGTGAGTTCATTTATGGTTGTCAACAACGTCATCAATATATTAGAGCCAAGTGTATCGAATACTTGAAGGCTCACAGAGATAACTTTGAACCATTCGCATGTTTCAACAATACATGGGAGCACTATATCGACTCTATGTCAAAGGATGATACATGGGGCGGTGAGATTGAACTACAAGCCCTCTCACTATATTATAAGTATGGTTGTTGGATAGCAGTGGACTGGCTAAGACTATTCTGGCAACACTCACTCACTCAATCAATCATTCATTCAGAGTTAACTTCATCATATACGTTGGTCATTCAATAACAAGAGTGGATAATCAGTATCCAACTTCGATATCATTGGCATACTGTCAAGGAGAGCACTATGATCTGGTCTATCCAATCAGTCACATGAACAATCTCAAGATGGTCCAATCACTGATATACAATATCCTCGCCGAATCATCACTATCTCTTGACACTCAATCACATGCTCAACAATGGAGAAACAACTCTGTCATAGGTTGGGAGGAAGAGACAAAGGGTATGTTGTGGACACACTTTGAATGAATGGACGGGACAGACACTCATCTGATACACTATAAACCACAACAGCCAAACAACTAAAGGACAAGAAGATTGCAGAGACATTGTTAATGAATAAGCGAGTCTATATCAATCCTGTGGAAGAGTATCAATTGAAGCAAAAGAAGAAACAACAACAGCCAAAGCAGCCAAACACTGATGGCAACAACAATCGATCAATCAATAAGAGTGGTGAACCAGCAATCAATACTGATTCACCGAATGTTGTAGACACTATTGTCGAGGACAACAGTAACAAGGACATAATATATCCAGCCATGGAGAATGAGGAAATCGATGAGGAGCTACGTGCAATCATCAAACAAATTGAGCTCCAAGATCTAGAGGAGCAAAGACAGCTTGGACATCAGAAGCATTTCCCTGTAAGTTGACCTTGGGATAACTTGGCGTCATGTAAGAGTGAACATGTCAGACTGACAATGTTATCTCAACAATCATAGACTCTACATCAAGGTGGAAACAAGCAACAATCAAAGAATAGTCCAAAGAAAATGGTACCATCACCAAAGTCTCCAGCACCAATTGATAGTGTGCCAACTTCTCCAGCAGCTGCTCAAACTACCGCCACCAAGACAGCTTCGCCAGCTCCGTCATGGGGCACAATCCAGGATTGGTCCAAAATTGAACCATTACCAATACCAGCTACTTCCTCGCCAACTACTACCCCTACTGCTCTGTCAACATCATCAGATGGCTCTGGTGATCATGACACTCCAGTTGCTGAAGAGCCTGCCAAGGTTGAACTACCTCCCAACATCAAGATCACTTACAAGAAGGATAAAAGGCAGAGAGGGAAGAAGATTTAATTAATCTTCGTTGTTTAGAATAATGAATAATTATATATTATTGTTTGTTTGTTTTGTTTATCTCTGGAATGGAGTGGCATGCTGATCGATTGGTATGTTCTCGGTGATACCTCGTGATGATGGGTAGTTGAGAAGTTGGACCGTTTGCTTGGCGGGATATGTCTCAAAGCCAAGATCAGTGACCCATTCCTTCATCTTAAAGTAGAACTCATTCTTGATGGGTCTCCATCTCTTTGCATCTTGCCATGATGATATAATTGATGCTCCAAATCGTCTAGAGGTTGGATAAATAATTGTCAGTCGATATCCTACGCAACATTGTCAGCTCTCCAACTGTTCATATACCTACACTGTGATATGTGTTGTTCCCTGAATGGATACAAAGGTCAGGGATAGATCATTCCTCCACTTCTCTGGCTGTGCCTTGATCCATTTGTCAATCTTGGCCTCTAAGATGTAGAGTTTCTCGACTGGTGTAGTGAAGTTGATCAACAGATCAATTCCAATCCAACAATCCTCTGAACGCTGATGGTTCTCAATCTTCCTGGCAGTCAACATGTTTGAGTTTGGAACATAAACTGCCTTTCCATCAGTACTCTTAAAAGATGTGAACAGGATTCCTATTCTCTCGACAAACAGGACCTCCTCATTGATTGCAATCTTATCTCCAACTTCAAATGGTCGAACTGATGATGAGGACATTGTAAGTAATTATAAATGATTGAGTAATAATTTGAAGTTGGAAAACATACCAAAGAATATAAGGATTAGAGATTCAAAGATATTCCTTAGTGTTTGTCCAAATGCGAATGATAATGCTAGTATTGTCGTGCTGATCGGTACCAACAATGAACTAATATTGACTCCATAGAGTGATAGTACAAATAGGAACATAAGTATCCAAAATATGAAGTTAATGATATCATTGATGACTTGTCCAACACTACATTCAGAGTAGAGAGGGAGTGTATCTTGGTTAGTCATGTGTATCAAGTATGGTCCTGTCAATCCACCATGCTCCAACATACTCATCATGATCTCTTAGTCTATTCTCCAATGTCTTTCTTGATCTTACAACTCTGAGTACCCATGCGACTATATCATCTCGGGTAATCCTATCCTCTAGTAACTATTTGAGTGTTAATCAATCAAAAAATCAATGATTCTTGATTTCAAAGTACTTACTGATCCAAATGTATTGTAAGTCTTCTCCAGATGCTTCTCTTTGACATAGGCTCTCAGATCATCTTTGACAAGATAGTCCTTGCCCCTCGCAGCATTCTTTAAGATCTGTTTAGCAAGCTTCTTGGCGTCCTTGGGTGAGAAGTCGCTGGCTCGTGAATGGAGCTTGCCACTAAGGTTGTTCCTGTTCTTCAAGATCTCCATCCATTGTGACACGCCCAACTTTTTCTTCTTCTTGAGACTGGCAGACACTGATTGACTCAGTAATGATCCCTTGCGTGTTGACAGCTGCTCCAGCAACTCTTCATTCAACAATGATGTCTTGAGCAGACTGTAGAATGCCTTCCTGTTGGTCTTGGCCGCCAGAATCTTGACGAATGCAATGCGACCACAATAGAACAATGCCACGAATATGAATGCCTTCAACGTCGTGAAGTACTTTTCAAAGTCGTCGTAGGTCCATGCAGGTGGCACCAACATTGGCTTGGTCACAAACAATAGTACAGTGCCCCAGATTATAACGCTGAGTGGGAATACCAGTGCATGTATATAGTAGTAGATATGTTGTTGTAGATACAATGTGGTCTGGAACAATGAGAATATGCCACCAACGATCCATGATGCCACCAGATAAGTCATAATAAACACGTCCAAGTACAATGCCCACCACAACAATGGTCGATTAAGTATGCCAATGGTATCTTTCCAAAAGATATAACATACGACGCCTAATATTAGATGGATGGAATGGTTAGATTGATTGATTGATTGATGGTGATTGATTGATTGATGAATACTCACTGATACCTGTGATGATCAATAGGACTGCAAGTATCATGATGACTCTTGCATTATAACTACAAATGAGGTTCTTGAACTTCTTTCTCTTCTTCTTTTCTTTGTTGGTGTCATCTTCATCATCGTCGTCGCTGGGAGGTGGGTCGCCCATGTTGTCCACAGATGACTCCTGATCGTTCAGGATGACAACTTGTACAGGTAATTCCTGTGCTTTTGCCAAAGGTGATTGATATCTTTGTTTGATATTATTATTATTGTTATTATTATCTATATTGTTGTTGTTGTTGTTGATGTTGCTTATTATATCTGGTTCACCCATAAAGTTTACACTCTGAGCAGCAGGCTTCAACAAGTGACTCCTACTATTATCATTGGTCAACTTTGAACTGACGAGGTCCGATGCCGACTTTGTCAGATTATTATCCCTATTGATAATCTTTGATATTGACTCTTGTTCAACTGCCTTATCATCTCTTGACTGACTTGGTGATAAAGTTTGTTGTTGTTGGCCACCTGATGACGCTGAACTACCTGTACCAACTTGTTTATATTCATTCATTTGAAGTCGATGTTTAGATTGCATGTTTCTTTCTATCTTAATCGATAACAACAACAAAAACAATCATTCATTAACATACTTTGTAGTTCTAGAGTATTGTCATCATCATCATGATCGACAGTCTTCTTCTTTCCAAATACCATCGCTGGCTACCATCCACACTTGACTCTGTTTCAAGCAAGCTATCTATTATCTCTAATGTTATAAATAAAGTCTAATCTGATAATAATGTAATGTGATTGGATGGATGAATGGGTAATGTTCAGACAAACAGATAAGTAAGTATTGTCGAAGTAAGGAGTATGAATATATATAAATATGTTCCTTTTATGTGTGTTATGTGTGTGTTCAAGTAGTATTAGGTAAGATCGTGGGTTGTTGACATGTCTCATGAGACTTGACATGTGTGGGGTGTATCCTCAACAACATGAATTCATTTAAATGGTTGTCGACTGACGAATGTGGAGGACCCGACCATTCAGATAATAATAGTGTTTGACATTCCAAAAGACACACAACTTTGTGTAAGGGTGTCAAAGTGAGGAGTAGATGGTGTGGTTTATTGTCATTGCCATTGAGGTGCATTGCATTGTTTATCACTCCATCTCTTTCAAATTGAAGTTGAGCTTATGCATCCATCATACTCTTTCTCTTCATTGACATATGCATGTTGTTGTTGTTGTCAATCATATTCATGTTGTTGTTCATGTTGTTGTTGTTGAAGTGCAGTGGCATGAATGATGTTTGTTGTTGTTGATGCATTTGTTGTTGTTGTTGAAGTTGTTGTAGATGTTGTAGATGTTGTAGATGATGTTGTTGTTGCTTTGGTGATGTTGGTGTTGACTTTGAATTGTTGTTGTTGTTGATAAGATGGTTACCGGCAGACGTGGAGATGGACGATGATGAGGTTGTTAGCATTGGTAGCTGACTCAGCTTGAGTGGAAGACCGGTGGAGGAGGATGAAAGTGAGGGTGTGGTGTTGGGAGTAGGCGTGGCCGATGAGGACGGTGTCGAGCTGGTGCGCCACATGATCTCTCCGTTGGGTCTCTGCAGCGCTGGGTGCGATGGCTGCGAGGGAACGGTGGGAGGGGACGACGTGGGCGACGAAGGCGACGAGTCAGTCTGGTAGGTGGCCAGCGGTGACATGTACTGGGTCTTGATGCCGTTCATGCTGTGGCCCATCATGGTGTTGGCGCCGCCATACTTGAATGGCTGAGGTGGAAGAGGCAGCAACTCGGTGGCGACACCAGACGTGTTGTCATCATCCCTGCAAAGGATCGATGACAAAGAGTGGTGGCTACTGTTGACACTGCTGGCACCACTGCTGCTGGCACTGTTGCTGTTGCTGCTGCTGCTGCTCATCGTGGCAAGAGCCGAGAGGAAGGTGAGGGAGTCCAACTCATTGTTCGTTGGCGATGTGGGAGTCGACTTGACAGACTCGAGTGCCTTGAGTGGGGGCACCTTGGTCGAGACGGGCGACACTGGAGTGCTGGAAGTCAGTTGCAGGCGGGAGGATGAGGTGGATGTTGTGTTGTTGTGGTTGGGGTACGGTTGCTGCATGGATGATGCGGGTGGAGAGTTGGGGATGGATGCGGAGGACCTCCTCTTCTTGGAGGAGTTGTTCATGATGTCTCCATTCATTGGACTGGGCGACGCCGAATGGTTTGGAGATTGACGGTTGGCAATTGCCGGGCCTTGGCCAGAAAGTAGCGAGACCGCTGCGGTGGACTGTTGTTGTTGTTGGTAGAGGTTGTTGCTGCTGTTGTGCTGGGGCAGATGACGAGGGGAGAGCATGTGGATGAGATGGTGGTGCTGCTGCTGGCCAAAGGGTGCGCCGACAAGAGGGGGCACAGACATGCCGACGGGGTGGTGGACAACCTGGTGAGCGAGTGGATGGGAGCCATACTCGTGGTGGGACGCCGCGGTCTGGGACAGCGCAGGCGACGACTTGGACGAACAGGGCTGCTTGGGCGAGCTCTGGTTGGAGCCATCGTCTTCGGGGTCACTCTCGCTGGCTTCGCCACCGGGCACGCCGTTCACATCGGCATCGTCCTCGGCTGCGCCATTGGCGTCGGCCATGTCATCGTCGGCGATGTTTTCATTGTCGGTGCCCTGAGCAAACACCTCCGAGTTGGACGAGGCCAGGTAGGAGTGTGGCTGCTTGAGGGGCTGCTCGCCCAATGGCACAAGCTCGGCGCGCAACGACTTCTTGGGTATCTTGGTGATGGCCTTGACGGGGATCACCGACTTGGACACCAGCACTACCTGGTCGTAGTTCTTCTCGCACAGCTGGAAGATCAGCGGGAAGAGTGGGGCGCGCTGCGACTTGCCCGTGACCTCGACCTTGAGGTCAAAGGTGAGCTCGCCGCTCTCGTTCTGGTCGAGCTCCTTCCAGCCGCATTGCGAGCGGATCGAGAGACACACCGAGAACTTTGCGCACTTGGCCGTTATCTTGAGGATCAATGCGTTGTCGGGTATTCCGTTACCATGTTCCACAATGGACAAGTATACCTTGCGTCCATTATGCTTGACGATTCTATTCTCAAGTGTAACCTTGAGGTAGTATCCTTTGAGTATTGTTGTCATTATTGAGTTTGATTGATTGAGTTTGATTGATTGATTGATTGATTGATTGATTGAGTTCACTTATGTTGAAGTATATAAGTGTTGGCAGTTGAAGGGAGTGTAGTGTGAGATGTAGTTATGCAAGGCTAATGGTTATTGAGGGTAATGTAGCAATGTTGTGATTGATTGATGTAAGGGATGAATGAATGGTTGGTTGTTGGTGAGGTGATGGATGGGGCTACAGAAGTCCGACTGGTCGATCTTCTGTTGAATCAATATCGGGAAACCAAAGAGGTGTCACGCCACGGAGTATGCCGGCTTGGGGTTGGCTTTCACGTGAAGAATGAGAGCACTTCTTATTCTTGCCAACTACTACTTGTTAGGGTTAGGGTAGTGTAGTGTAGGGTAGTTCGGCTGGCTTGTCTTGTGGTGAGTGGGAGGGAGGGCAAGGTCTAAGGTCAAGGGTCTAGGGTTGGGTTGGGACTGGATTGGGACGGGTATTCTTCCAGACACTATATTATTATTTGGAAATGTAGATTGTAAGTATATAATGTAAGATATATATCTTGTCGGGCAATCCATCCATCCATCCATCCAAACAAACAATAAAACAAGAACATACCAAAATGATTGGTTTCCAAAAAGGTGAGATGAGATGATCTAGATAAAGCTTAAGAGACTAAGCTTTGCTAACTAGAATTTGAAAGAGTTGGCGATTTCCTGCCTCCGTTTGTGTGTTGTTGGAACAAATGGTTGTTGGTCGATGAGAGTGAGAGGAGAGTTGATGGATGGAAATCAACTCTTCCTTGGAATTATGAGTGATGATGGTAAGTTGGTTAATGTGAAAGCTTTCACTATTTGGTGTTGATGGAAGAAGTAGGAGAGCGCCAACAGAGTCGATCACTGAATGGCACTACAAAACTACTGTTGGTTATTATTATTGTGTTGATCGTGTGATTGTGTGATCGTGTGATTTATGTGGTATGGATGTGATGGTAGTGGTAGTAGGGTAAGGGTATGATGGGAATGATGGGTGATCTTGTGTGTGATGGATTGATTGATTGTGTGTGTGTGAAAGAGGGAGGGGTGATCTCGGAAGCCTATTAAGATGTGATGTGCCTCACTCGTGATGGGATGGATGGGGTGTGGGTGGTAAAGGTCGCGTATTATGTCTACCTCTTCGTCACTCTCAGAGTAGTAATGTAATGTAATGCAGCAGTGGTGGTAGGTGTAGGTCTCTCTTTGTTTCCTTTCCAACGGTCTCCAATGGTAATATTCTTATAATTGTGTGATTGGATTGGGCAGCAGCAATGTCGGGTGATGCAAATGGCGATTTGGTGATGATTATGTTATTATTTATGTGTTTGTTGTTATGTTATATGTTATGTTGTGTTGTGTCTTTGGTGTTGTGTTGGTTATGTTATGTTATTATCTCTCTCTCTCTTGAATGATTGATCGATTGATTGATTGATTGTCCTGGTTGGGTTATCTTTTTGGTATAAGTTGAGTTGGAGTGTGTGATTGTGATTTTTTTGTGTTTCCTGCTGGACCTCCAACAACTGACTGACTGGACTGATTGACTGACTGACGACTGAGCTAACTACTACTACTAATACTAGTACTACTACTACTACTTGCTGCTAATACCAGTGATTGATGATATTGGTGAATGAAGTGGAAGGTAGGTGATGTTGACTTGCCTCTCACTAACTGGTCGGTATTGCTCTCATTCACTGTGTGTGGATGGATTGATTGTTTTGTTGTTGATGTAGTGAGCGTGATCTTGGCTTGTTGTGAAGAAGGTTGTGCAGAAGAGAGAAATTTAAATCAAAACCACAAAGAACCGATGAATGTCACTGGATGGTGGCACTCTGAGGCATTTTTGAGAAGCCAAACATTAAAAAATTAATCGTCTGATATGATTTCTTCCTGAGTGTGTGAGGTGTGGGTGTGAAGTAGTGTTGGGGCTAAAACCGTGATTATGCCCTTGCCCATATTCGGGGGGCTACTTATTTGAACCAATTCCTTTGTTTGATCATTATCAATATTAATTAAATTTTGATTTTTTTTTAAAAGTCGTAATATTGTGTGTGGGATGGCTTCACATGATCACGCTCTTGAAAAGTCGAACTTTGAGAGGTCCACACAAGAGACATTCTAAATTATTCTTTCACCAAGTCACTGCCGAAATGGAATATGTTGGGGAATGGGGCGGGCCTGGATGATGGATGGTTGAGGGGTGTCATCCCCATCATGACCAAAGGGTCAGTCGAGGTATGTGATGATGAACTTGAAGTCATTCAGTCTCGGGTGTGCCTTCGACACTGAATAATAATACCAATCAAAATCAAATAAACGACTCGTTTGATTGGTGATTTGAGTAGAGAGTTGTAAACAGTTGGTTGGTTTTATGTGAGTGGGTATGGTAGGGTAGGACAGGGTCATGGTAGGGCAGGCAGGCTTGGACAGTAGAGTTGTACGGCTGATGTAAGGGTATGTTTCGTTTTGATTGATTGATTGATGGAGTTAAATTGAATGATTGAATGATTGATTGTTGGATCGTGACCAAACTACTGGTTATATCTCAAACACAGACATAGCTACACTACTCTACTTCTCGTCGACATCTTCCTCGCCACTGATGGATGACATGTGCTTCCACTCTCCATTCATGTTACATTTCCACAGCGCTACGTTACCATCGTCGCCAGACGACGCCAGTATGGTGCCGGTGATGTTCCATTCAACGCGCCACACCTCGGATCGGTGGAATGGGTTGCATAGCACCTCCTTGAGATCCAGCCGCAACTTATCATTGTTGGTCAGCTTCCATATGCGCACGTTGTGATCCTTTGAGGCGGTGGCGATCAGATGGTAGGTGCGACCCATGTTGGGTGCCCAGCATATGTCGTGGATTGAGCGGTTGGTGTCCGAGGGGTCGGACAGTGCGCTGCTCGAGCTGCTAGAGGTGGACACTAGCGAGCTGGGTGCGAGAGGGCCGCCAGCGCCGCCAATCGAGAAGCTGTTGGCCAGTGAGGTGGAGGTGCCGCCGGTCGTCGCTTGAGCGGGCGCCATTGTGCTGTACATTGTGTCCATCAGCACCCACTTCCTGTTGGCTTCGTTGTATTCCCATATCTTGATGAACTGATCGTTGCTGCCCAGCGCAATCATCTGCTTGTCGAACGAGTTTGGGTTCCATGAGATACAGTTGGAGGCGCCCTTTTGTGATTCAAACTCCTCGAGCAGCGGCCATTGAGACAGGTTCATAATGTCGAGCGCTTCGTAGATTCGAATGTAGCCGTCTGAGGAGCAGGTGGCCAGACGCAGACCGAATGCCTTGGGCGCAAACTTGATGTCGGTGACCGAGTCACGCGAGTCGACCAGCGTGGCCTTGAGCTGCCAGCGCTTGGTCTGATGCTCGTCCTCGCCCTCCTCCCAAATGCACACTGTTCTGTCGAATGAGCACGAGGCGATCACCTGGCCGTACTCGGGATGTGCCCAGGCCACCTTCCAAACGCTGCCTGAATGTGACTTCCACTCTGCTGACATTGTCCACTTTCCAGTGTCTGGACTCAAGTCCCATATCTTTATCTTTTGATCTGATGAGCATGTTGCCAATCTCTTTCCATAAAAGTCATAGCTGACATCATGTATCAAGTCATCATGTTGTGTTGAGAATCTGTGAAACACTTTCTACTCATTCATTGAGTGTCATATTAGTATGTTGTTGATCGATTGATTGATTGATCAAGTTGATTGAGCTGATTGATTGAGTTGATTGAATGAATTGCAATGCATTTTACCATACCATCATGGTTTGTAATGTAATGTGTTTGGTCAATGTTGTTGATGATAACAATGTAGACCACTATATTGTTTGTTTGTTTGTGTTGTTATACAGTTAGTGTAACTCAATGAATGAATGGTCACAGATCATCAAGCTCAATGAACTAACTTCACATCATTGAATTAAAGAGTAACGTTTTCCATTTTTCATTAATTTTCGTCTTGACACACACAACACGAAAGACATTCATGACCCCAACAACATCCTATCTCTTCTTACTCTCTCACTCATTCAATGTTCACAACAACATCATTCTGACTGACTCAACTCTACTCATCAGCCAGAGAATGTTCAATCAGATTAGACAGTGCAGTACTACTCTACTGTCATCAAGCAGACAATGCACTGCATTGACCACCAGATCAATCTGGTCCTCTAGCAACAGCAGCAACAACAAGATCTCAACAGGAGCATCACCAATGCGTTACTCATTCAACTTGGATGGATCTTTGAAACAGAAGCAATCAAACAACAACAAGAATGTCAACATGTTGCGTACCACTTCACCATCTACATCATCACCATTATACTTTAATACCAATGATATATTCTCACTATTCCCTTTAACTAATAGATGTATGTTTGGCTTCTATAAGTCATGCCTATAACGATGCTCTTGTGCATATAACCTAACATCAAACACCAATATAGATACACCAACGACAACGACAACAACAACCATCAACAACATCACCAACAACAATAACAACATTAATAATAACATTATAGTTCGACAGAATGATACAGAGTTCATTGATATAGAACCATCGGAAAGTGCGATGATACAGGAGCCATCGACATCATCAAATGGTGACAGTAACTTGGATATGTCTAGCATTATCAAGAAGAGGAGACTAATGATGACCAAGCACAAGCAAAGAAAGCTGAGGAGAAAGATGAGATCGCTCAAGAAGAGACTCGGCAAGATTTAATAATACTCGACCCAATCGAACCAACGACCATCAATGCCTTCACTCTCTACATGTAGCGCGATCAACCAACCAATCACATCACATCCCTCAATCACAATCACTAATCAACCTTGAATAAATGCAACAACATATCAACAACTACAACGAATGCGAGACATGATGTAGGATGAGGATGAAGTTGAATGTCCACGTTCATTCAATGAAGTGGAGCAAGCAAGCATACTTTATTGATAACAATAACGATTGGAAACTATACATGGACGTGCTTGGACGATTGATTGATTGAATGGATGAATGGATGAATGAACAGATGGTTGGATGGATCAGTCAGACATCTTCTCGGGTGGCGACACCATGGTGTCCTCCAACTGCTGATGGAATGAGAGGATGGCACTGACCAATGTTTGGTACTTGCTATAGAGGAGACTGCGGACCTCTTCACTGTTGTGCACCTCCTCCTCAAGGAGCAACTGAACCTCGTCTATCTTGCGCTCAATCTCCTCGCCCTGAGCATTGTTCTCCTGCTCCTCCTGACGCAAGCCCTTGTTCTCATTCTCCACCTCTTGCATCGTGATGTTCAGGTCCTCCTTGTTCTTGTTGAATCTCTGTCTATTGCTGGCCATCGTGTCATTTGAATGATCAATGTTCTTGTCCAGTCTCTGGTGTAGCGCGGGTGGTTAGTTAGTTGGTGAATGAATGAATGGCGAGCGAGGGATAGTTACCGCTATAACACCTTCAAGATCCTTCAGAGCCTTTTGTTGATTGGCAATCTTCTTCTGCAGCTCCTTGCACTCTTGGCGAACCTTCTTGTACTTGTGGTGCTCTACCTTGGACTTCTCACCCAATGCCTCTGTCTTTTGCATGTCACCAGCAATCTTCTCCACCTTGTTCAACTTGAACTGTATCTTCTTTATCTCCTCATCCACCTTTATCACTTGATCCCTCTCATTCTTCAAGCTACTCTCCATGTCTTCAATCATCTATTTGTTGGATATGAGTAAGTCATCGATTAGTAAATGTGTGTTTCCGTGTTTCCGTGTGTTTCCGTGTGTTTCCAGTTGCGTCTGGCGCGACAAATGGTTTACTTACGCGTTTGACTCTATCTGGTGACTTTACAACCATGGCCTCCATTCTTGAAATATCTTGATTGATAGTCGATATGGAGAATATATGATCCTCCTACATGGTCGCGCGTCCGAGTGAGGATACGTTGTGTTAGCGAGTTGACAAGATGCGCGCGCTCATATATACTTACAATCTTGTGATTCAACTCATCGTCTATAGTCTTGAGTTCAGTGTTGCCTCGGGCCATCTCTGCTTGCTCCTTGTTCACTGTGTGCAGTTTGAAGTTGAGCTGATCGAGGTCCTGTTGCAGATCAAACGTTTGACGATCGATATCCTCACGTTTGTCACGCAAGATCTCCAATTGATTGTGCAGATCCTCCGACTCCTCCCTCGTGCGACTGGCCTCAATCGCCAAGTCTTCATGTCGTCTGGCCAACTCCATATGTCTGTTGACACGCATCTCTCTAAAGATGGCAAAGTTGATCACAGCGCTGAGTGCCTTCCTCGTCCTCGGGTACTCTGGTCTATATATGTCCCTCGTTCCAAAGTCAGCGGCACCAATGTTTCTCATGAATCTGATGCTGTATATGTATGTATATGTGTCAGTCCATTGATCGAGGACCATGTCTAGGATCCATGTCGAGGGCGAGGGTATACATACAGTGAACGAACAAAGTTCACTTCGCTAACAGACTCATCGTGCATATCTGGGTTGGTCAAGAGGTTCATGCCCTGGAACTTGATCTGTGCACTCTCCTCTCTGTTGTAATCCGTTGACTCTGTTAAGAACCTCTCATAGATACGTCTCATTGTATCTGGCTGTGGCTTGATAATGTCCTCCTCTGTCAAGTTGAATCCAATCTCATTCAAGTGAGTGTACAACTCCAGCGGAGTACGTATTCCAAAACTATATTGTGACATCTTTCTATTTGTTTATGTAATATATATTTGGTTGATTGATTGATTGATTGATAGGTCCATCAAGTCCATTTGATTGATCAAAAAACCGTTAATTGACCACACGAAAATGGGCGCGAATTTCAAATTTTGAATAATTGCCAAATTGAATGATCAGGGACCAATGACTATTCATCAATCTTGTTGTCCTAACACTAATCTATTTATTTGATGATCAACAATATTGATGGAGCCAGGAACACAGATCATAGAAATCGCCACTGGCGTTCTTGGTATCATTGAGCGAGGAAACGATGTCAGTGGATAACTTTGGCACAAGTAAGACCTGGAAGAAACCAAACCAGATCGCAGTCGTCGTACCAGACGAGGTCTATACTCCTCCAGCTGCAAAAGGTATGTAATGTATCCTACTCCACACAACGCATCACCTGACTGACCTATCGATCACACGACCATTTCTAGCCAAGCCACCAATAAAGAAGAAGATAAGAGAGGTAGAACGAATCTATGATTTCAAGACAAGGTTATTCTTTCGCATATTTGGCAACAGACTGCTCTCCAATGCAATATGGGCTCAGCTTGGAGATCTGCACAAACATCATACTCCACATCCAAGTGAAACGCGATCATGCCAGCCGCTCAAAGGGAAAGACTGGAGGAGTGTTCCACTGTCGAGGCTCATCAAGGTTCACTATGCTCTCTCAGACTTTCTCAAGCGATGGATCAGAGAGTCATCTGACCAGGACATGATGATGGAACTGTTTGAAGTCGCAGTGTCATATGGATGCTTGCCAGTCGTTGAGTGGCTGCACAAATATGGAGTTGCCTTTGACCGAGAAAGAATTATGTACTCTGCAGCCATCTCTGGAAGCCTCCCCGTTGTCAAGTATCTGCACCAGTTGGGGGTTGATATAAATACGAACGCTTTGCATCGGGCGGCTGTCAATGGCCACCTGGAGGTCTTTAAGTACCTCGCTCCCACTCTCACCGAGTGCTGCAATATCCCAGGGGCTATGGACTTGGCGGCTCAGAATGGTCATTTGGCTATGGTCCAGTATTTTCACTCAACAAGGACGGAAGGATGCACGAGCAAAGCGATGGACAAAGCGGCCGAGAATGGCCACCTTGCCGTCGTCGAGTTCCTCCACTTCAACCGAACAGAAGGCTGCACAACCAATGCGATGGACAAGGCTACAGGTGAGGGTCACTTTGACATTGTTCAATTCCTCCATTCCCATCGAACAGAAGGCGGAGAGCCACACACTATGGATCGCATACATTCGGAAGATACCGGCATCGCCTTGAGACGAGTTCGCTTCTTCCACGACAATCGCACAGAGGGATGCACGGCATTACTGATGGACCGAGCCGCAATTATGGGAAACCTCCCCTTGGTCCAATTCCTCCACTACAACCGGACAGAGGGCTGCACACGTAACGCAGTAGACAACTCCATCTTGTATTGTCACTTTGACGTCACTTACTTCCTACTGACGCACCGAACAGAAGGCTGCACCTATAGGGCAATGGACCGAGCCGCTTTTAAAGGGTCTTTGAAGATGGTCCAGTATCTGCATCGCAATCGAACAGAGGGATGTACTACCAAGGCAATGGATGATGCATGTGAAAAAGGACACTTGGACATTGTCCAGTTCCTCCATTTCAATAGAACAGAGGGATGTACTACCAAGGCAATGGATCGGGCGGCTAATAATGGACATCTATCCATCGTCAAGTTCCTTCACGACAACAGAACAGAGGGATGCACAACAAGAGCGCTGGACATGGCATCAAAACAAAGACATCAATCAATAGTGGAGTTCCTCGAGAGTAACCGATCAGAGGGGTACTCTCAAAGGTACAGTTGTTGGTAATGAATGAATGAATAAATGAATGAATGAATGAATGATGACTTTGTTGTTATTTATTAATAACTGGCAATGTGACTCTTGATCTCACTCTTTGACCTTGACTTGGCGGTGTTCCTGGCGGTGACTGTGGGCTTGTTCGACCTGGTGAGCTGTTTCTTTACACGTTGTGTAATCTTGCGTTGGCTCTCTTGTCTTCTCATCTCGTCCAATGTCTGTTGATCGATGGTGGGCAGCTGATCACCTTCCTCCACTGGTGTCTGATCACCCTCCAACTCCTTCATCTCTTGCAAGAACTCCTTTCGCAGTACGATTGGGGCTGGCTCCTCATCATTCACATTAGAGAACTTGAAGTTTCTATTGTTGTTGGCCTTCAATCCCCTCATCTCCTTTGTCAATTGTTTGACCTCCATGGTAGTGGTGGCGGTGGAGGTGGTTGGAGCAACGTGAGCTGGCTCATCCTTGGCCTCCTCCTCATCATCTTCGTCCTCACTTTCGTCGTCCTCATCATCCTCATCATCCTCATCATCTTGTTCCTCCTCTTCCTGTTTGTCGCTCTCCTCTTTGGCAACTTTGCGCTCTGTGACTTGGTCTTTCGTCTGCTCATTGTCCTCATCTCCATCATCATCCTGGCTATCTCCACTCTCCTCCTCCTCATCCTCTTGCTCCTTGGTCAACTGTTTGAATATGTTAGTGGAAATGTCCATGTGATGATTGACTGGTCATGCCCAAAACATACATCATCCATATCCTTTTGCAAGTCCTTGGTGAATCCTGATGCGGCAATAGTGACGTCCAAACTGTACAGACTGTCCTTGTAGTCAGAGAACTTTGGATACTGCTCGCCAATAAAGTTGAATCGCTTCTCAAAGAATGTACGGATACAGTTGACATCGCGATCAAAGTAGTACTCGGCGTTGAGATGTGATGTCGATACCATCTGTGGGAAATCGATCAATGTGATCCTCTCGTCATCGTCAATCATAATATTGAACTCGTTAAAGTCACCATGAATCAGTCCATAGTTGGCCAACTTTACGATCAAGTTCATAAGGTCGCTGTACACCTTTCTTGGATGTCTCAGCTCAACAATCTGTGTCCTGGATGAGTATGAGTATGATGTCAGTCTCTGTCTCGTTCAGTCATGGCCTGACCCTTGAACTTACAATGGATATCCCTTGACTCGGGACATGACGATACAATGACGATTGCTATCGAATGGTGTTGGCACTGGGAAGCCATTCTCATGGAGTGCCTTCATGTAGGCAAATTCTTTGAGTGCCGAAAGACGTGAGAGGTAGAGCCACGAGGCTGACTTGCGATGTCTAAGATAGTCACGATTGTTCTTGATCGTCTTGAATGACACACGACCCAATCTATGCAGCTTAAGGATCATCTCTTCATTCTTCTCATTGGCAACTGTGTAGATATCTGTTTGTTGTGTTGTCGGGTTGATCATGACCAAGTCGAGTGAGTGGCGCGAACATGGATGGGCGTGTGGGTGGGATGATACCTACCAGACTCCTTTCCAACTCCAATCTGATTGCCAACGAATGCTATTATATTACGAGATACCAATGCCTTGAGACCAAGATAGTCATATCCAAGGTATGTGAGCTTGTATCCATCATCTAAGTTGAATGAATGAATGAGTGAGTGAATCAATGAGCAAGTGAGTGATCATGAGTGACATACACTTCCTAGCATCATGGAATAATAGTTTGAACTTGTGTATATTGTTGATTGCCTTCTTTCCACCTCCATACTTTAGATTTGCAATGCTACAAATCAAACTGACTGGTACGATCTCATGATTCTTCATGCCCATCTCAACGGCAACCAATGTACGCCAGTCATCCTTTGTCAGATATCTAATAGCCTTGCAATCTAACTTCATATCTTATCTCTGTATCTCTGTATATATAACTTGTAATGTAATGAAGTGTTTCGTTTTGTTGTTTTGTGAATGAATCAAAACACACGAATCGTTCGTTTTCTTTAATTTTTATTATTTAATTAAAAGTTTGAAGATTGAATGGTTGATGGAAAGTACATTATTATTAAATACAACAAGTGATTATTTGATTGATTGAGTGTGATTGATTGATTGAGCGAATGAGTGTTGTTGGAATCATTCCAGTGGGTGATCATTTGATTGAATGAGTGACGTGTGAATGATGTTAGAACTTGTTAATGTTGTCCAAACGATGGGCTGCAAAGTCAGGTGAGAGATAGTGCTTGATATCACAGTCTTTGGAAAAGAGTGGATCGCGAAGTTGCCAATGATTCATCTCGGAATGAATGCCAATGTGTCGTCCTTCATGTGTGGACAGCGATGCTTTGAGTAGTTCAATGAAGCTCTCACCTTCATTCTGTCTAATACCATTGAATACTACACTAATGAACTTTAACGATCTATTATGTTCAAGTGATCGACCGATCGTCAACAATCCCTCTCCACCAATACTACAATAGTCCAACCATAGATTCTTGAGTGATGATCGATCAGATGCCAGCACATGGCCGATGTCCACACAGCCACTCGCGCCAATATAGCTGTGCGATAAAATCAGCGATGTAAGATGATGACACACCGTTGGCGACTTTGCAAGCATTGGCGAGATCAACTGTTGTTCATTGGCGAACCTGCATGCAGAGAGGTTAAGCACCTTGATCGACTTGGGCAATGAAGGTATGAGTTGCTCATCGATTACATTTAGAGATACATTGATGTAGGTCAGTGTGTTGCGACTATGATCATCTTTGCTTGGGAACGTGATGGAGAGTGGCGTCACAGATTCGTCGTGCATCGACCCGCCACAGCTCTCCAACTCAACTATTATAAGTCGTTTGCAATGTAGTAGTACGAGATCGATGAAACGATGTAGTGTTGCAGCACTTGGTATGTAGCCTACGTCAATATGTTGCAATGTTTGTTTGAAGCCAGTGTAGCGAGGTGATTCGAGCAGTGTGATCAGTCCATCGATGAGTGAAGGCGAGCAATTGCGCAAGTACATCATTCTTATATTGTTAAAGATTGACTCTAGTGACATAAAGTCCTGGATGGTGAGTGAGTTGGTGTCACGTGGATAGACATGCCAAGGCAATCTCTGTGTGACCATATCCTTGAACCTCTTTGACACCAATCTCAGAGGTAATATACATCTTGATGGTTGTTCATCCACTTCCTGCAACAACTCTAGTATCTTAAGTATTAAATATGTTGGTAGTTCTTTTGTTGTTGCCATTATTATTACTATTATTTGTAAAATATTAGTTGTTTTGTGTCACATACAAAGAGTCAAAACTGGGTGATGATCGAAGTGGGTTAATCTTTATGAGGCTTTTCCGAAGTTCGGACGAGGCCTTGACCATCATAAGGATTGGGCTCCACCGGGAATCGAACCCAGACCACTACCACCCAAAGGTAGTATTGTACCATTCAACTATGGAGCCTTGGATGTCTGGCTAATAAATTAATCAGTCAAAGAGTCCGTTTTACGTTGGGGCAAATCCCATCAAAGTAGCCAGACTTCAAAGGCTCGATAGTTCAACCTTTAAAATATAGAGGGAAAATGATTGGTGGAACTTGAAACCTCGAAAATAGTTAATTGTCTTTGAAACTATGAGTTTGAATTTGTCGGTATTTGTTTTAATTCATTAAGTTTGGAAACTATAACAATTACAACAATACAATGATGCAACTATCACTGTTTGGAAACTCTATGTTGAGACGTGGTTGGAACAATCTACCTCATTTGGTTCATCAAGTGGCTGTAGTACAACAACTTCAACAACGACAACAACGACAAGGACAAAATTGCCAGACACTTCTTTCTCAATGTACATCACAGACTACACCACGTAGTCTTCAGACTCTCTCTTTTCAACGTTGTCTCTTGACAACACAAAGAAATCACTATACATCATTGGTCTCTACCACTGGCAACTCATCATCAGTTGTATCCACACCCACAGCGACTGCTTCTGCAACTGATGACAACTTCAATCTTCAACATCATCTTGCGCCACTCAAACTGCCAGTCTATCGACTTGAGGTTCGCAAAGCATTCAACACACTGACAGGTCGTCAGCGACTCTATGCTCACTACTACTCACAAGGTAAGATCGTGTGACCTGCCACTGTATGAGTGTCGTCATATGATCATACTGACCTTCGTCCTGATGATGATCAGCTGCATGGTGGGGAAGTCTAATATGTCTTGGTCAAACATCAGTTGAGAGTCTGAATATATTTAGACTGCTCCTTCATCTATTCACATATTATACGCCAGAGTCACTACGTAAAGCAACTGTTGAAGATGGTATTGTTACCAATCAGGAGTATGAAGACCTACTCCAATACTCTGCACAGTTCTTTGGAAACATAGGCAACTACCTCAGCTTTGGTGATTCAAAGTTCATCGTATGTTCATCCATCATGCATATGGCTTGGACATATGACGATCACTCACTCATTCAATCAATCAATCAATCAATCAAACTATGTACATAGCCACGCATTCCAAAGGATAGACTACACTCAATCATAAAGTTCACAAAGCGCGAAGATTTGTTGGAGATGTGGAATAGTTGTGGCGACTTGATGTACTCACTGGAACCTCGACAGAGAGAGTTGGGACTGGAGGAACAAGGTTTGTCGACATACTACTCACCCGACATCAAACGATCAGAGATTGACATTGTCCAAGAGTACTTGGACTCCAAGTCAATATCTGGTTACAACACAAGACTATTCAAGAAGAAGTTGTTGGTTAACAACAAGTCATCGTCAAAAACAACAGTCTACCAAGTGTTGGTGGCATCTGCAGACAAGCCATCTCCTACAGCGCCAGTGCACTTTAAAGGATTGGACATACAATTGGTGTATGGCGACTGGAATCATGTGATGAAAAAGGTTATCGATAACCTTCAAGAGGCCAGGTCACATGTGGCCAATGACATTCAACTAGAGATGACCGACAAGTACATTGAATCATTCAAAACTGGAAGCATCGATGCACACAAGGACTCTCAGCGATGGTGGGTCAAGGACATCTCGCCCGTGATCGAGACCAACATTGGATTCATCGAGTCATATCGCGATCCATATGGAGTACGTGGCGAGTTTGAAGGCTTTGTCTCGATCGTCAACAAGGAGTTGTCCAAAAAGTTGAGCGCAATGATTGATCGCGCTGAACAGTTCATCAGTCTCTTGCCATGGCCTCGCGCATTTGAAAAGGAGGAGTTCAAGCGACCAGACTTTACATCGCTCGAGGTGCTCACATTCGCAAGCTCAGGCGTGCCTGGCGGCATCAACATTCCCAACTACGACGACATCCGACAGAATGAAGGTTTCAAGAATGTGAGCCTGGGCAATGTGATCCCAGCTCGCAAGGATGAGCGAGTGACATTCATCAGTGACAGCGATCAATCACTTTACAACAAAGCATACATCGATGCATTTGAGATACAGGTAGCCATCCACGAGCTGTTTGGTCATGGCACGGGCAAGCTGCTGACGCGCAACGAGAATGGACAACTCAACTTTGATCCAAGCGTCACTTTGAACCCCCTGGTCGCCAACAGACCCGTGGACCCGCGCACAGATGTCTACCTGGCAGGCGAGACCTATGACTCCAAGTTCAAATCACTGGGCAGCGCAATGGAGGAGTGTCGTGCCGAGTGCGTTGGCATATACCTATGCGTCAATCGCGACCTACTGTCATTGTTTGGACACGTCGATCATCAAAAGGCATTGGACGTCATATATATCAACTGGTTGAGTATGGCCAGAGCTGGAGTGTGTGCATTGGAGTTCTACTCGCCATCGTCCAAGTCATTCAAACAGGCACACATGCATGCCAGGTTTGCCATTCTACAAGTGTTACTTCGCGCTGGCAATGGATTGATCACATTGGACACATCATCAAACAATGACATCATACTAAAGTTGGATAGAAACAAGATTGAATCAGTTGGAGTACCTGCCATTGGAGCATTCCTCACCAAGCTAATGGTATTGAAATCAACTGGCAATGTATCCGAAGCAACCAAGTTGTTTGAAGGTATAATGTTTGAATGATCATGCCGTGCCAGTGAGTGAGTGGACATCACTAACAATCGATCAATCAATATCCATATCCATATACAGAGTATACTAATGTATCTGATGAATATTTGGCACTGAGAGACATTGTGATGGAGAAGAAGGTACCTCGCAAGGTGTTTGTTCAAGCTCACACGTTTGTCAATGTGTTTGGAAGTGTCGACATGCTAGAGTTTGAAGACAACTGCTCAGGAATGATCGAGTCAATGACTACAAGGTTCAGCAGTTTCTATGCTAATACCTTCCCATGGTCCTCTACTGGTCAGCTATTGGATGCAATCCAGGAAGATCAAAGAAGCACTACTCCAATCAATTAATCAAAGACGAACACGAACTACACAACTTGAGATCAAAAACTGGATATTTTGAAATTCTTTTTATTTTTAATTTCTTTTTGATTATGTTCAAGTTGTTTTGTTGGGGGGTGGGATTGGTTCTGATCAGAGTTAAGCGAGGTAGGCGAAGGGGGGTATGTGAAGGAGGCGGGAACATCAAGACACCCACTATGAATAGTGTGATGGTTTGTGTGTGAAGGAGGCAGAGAAGACAGAGACTCGGTCCCACACTCTCCAGAGAATAGACGACCATGTCCCACTTGAAGCTTGATGCTGTGTCATTTGTATTGTTTGAACCCCAATCGACTCTGACGGATACATAGACAGATATAATATATATATATAACATCAATCTATCAGAGTTCATCCATCCATTCCATTTCAACCTTCAATATATACATATATTATATATAACATAACTTTATATATCTTTACCCTTCTTTTGTTTCATTAACGTTAAAATATTAACGCGAACAAAAGTAATCAATTAAACAAACAATATGTCTACCACGACAAAGAATAGAAAACAACAGTCGTTGGATGGCGTCGACTTTGGCGCTGAACAATCCAACAACCAACTCACTGAGAAGCAACGCCAGGAGTTGGCCGACTTGAAGAAGGTCGCCCCCGCCAATGAGTTTGGTGGTGCCATCGGTACTCCATTGCTCACATTCGGTTTGCCAATCGTCGTCTACTGGTTGTGGGCCTCGCTCGAGTTCAACCAAGGATTCCCCCTGCGTCCCGAGTCCCTCTCGCTCGAAGGCTTCCAAAAGTTCTTTGGCCTCCTCTACACCCTGGTCATGGAGCACGCCTACCCCACCAAGGAGGCCGCCATCATCTACTTCTCCTGGTTCTTCTTCCAAGTTGCCCTCCAGCATTTTGTCCCAGGCAAGCACGTCCTCGGCTCGCCACTCCCCGGCGGTGCCCGTCTCCCATACGTCCTCAACGGTTGGGCCTCATGGTGGATCACCATGATCGCCGTGCCCGTCGCCGTCTACTTTGGTCTCTTCAAGGCCACCATCCTCTACGACAACTACGGCCCAATGCTCACCGTTGTCAACCTCTGGTCGTTCGTCTTCACTGCCCTGCTCAAGATCCACGCCGTCGTCAAGAACGAGGAGGAGCGCATGTCTGGCTACTTCTTCTACGACTTCTGGATGGGCTTTGCTCGCAACCCCCGTATCGGCTCGTTCGACCTCAAGCTCTTCTGTGAGGCCCGTCCCGGTTTGATCCTCTGGGTGCTGATGAACTTCTCGATTGCCGCCAAGCAGTTTGAGCAGTTTGGCTACATCCCCTTCTCCACCGTCATCGTGTCTGCCTTCCACTTCTGGTACATTGCCGACTACTACTACCACGAGGAGGCCATCCTCACCACCATGGACATCATCACCGAGAAGTTTGGCTACATGCTCGTCTATGGAGACCTCGCCTGGGTGCCCTTCACCTACTGCTTCCAGACCTACTACATCCTCAAGCACACCGACGCCAGCGGAAACCCCCAGACCCTCACCCCACTGTACACCATCGCCGTGCTCGCCCTGTTCGCCTTTGGCTACTACCTGTTCCGTTGGGTCAACAGCCAGAAGCATGCCTTCCGTCGCAACCCAGACGAGCTCATCTGGGGCAAGAAGCCACAGTTCATCCTCACCAAGCGTGGCACCAAGTTGCTCACCAGCGGTTTCTGGGGCATCTGCCGTCATCTCAACTACACCGGAGACATCATCATCTCGTGGGCCTGGTGTCTGCCATGCCAGTTCGACTCGATCGTGCCATACTTCTACGGAATCTACTTCACCACCCTCGATCTCCACCGCTGCCACCGTGACCACCGTGCATGCGTTGAGAAGTACGGTGATGACTGGAAGGAGTACTGCCGTCGTGTCCCATACATCTTCATTCCAAAGATCTTCTAAAGAGACAACCAATGGTCTTCCCTTCACTCACTTACTCAAACAACAACAACCTCTATCAACCAACAACAACATTCAGCGTCACAACCAATAAACCAAACCAATCTCATCACACTGATCCTTAATACATATACTTGCATGTATAACATTGTAAGTATAAATGTTGACAAAGAGATAATGGCGACTCTCGTGAGGGTGTTCATGCATTCACAAAAATCCTCCAAGAGAGAGCGTGTGGGTCACTAGAACCCACTTCCTAACAAAAGGGGAAGTTGGAATCAATCTCACACCCATCAGCCACCTCCAACCCTCAAATGGTGTGCCCTTTCTCAACTCTACTACTACTTTGTTGTTGTTGTCTCTCTATCTCTCGTGTTGTTATACAGATAAATAGAAAGAGATAACTTTAATAAGAAAGAAGAAGAATAAGAAGAAGATACTTTTATAAACCAATCATATATTTAAATGATAATACTCTCATCACCACTGCCGTACCAACCAATCAATCAATCAATCAACAATTATCCAATCTTGGATTGGATAGAAACAGAGATATATAGATAGATAGTGAGCTAAAGATATATAGCAAGGCTCAATCATCAACTACAGATAGTTGTTTGTCAGTTGTCTAGAGTGCACTTGGCAATCAATTTAGAATATATTGTATTTATTATATTAGTTCCAAAGGATAACAATAATAATGGGGAAGCTATACCTTACACATCTTGGAGGACTGAACGTTTATTGCTGTACAAAGTGTCGAGCACATCTAGCCAACAAAGAGGAGATTATATCAAAGGTAACACATTCGTCATCCTTTGATATTGTTAAAGACTTCCGGGAGCAACCTCCCATTAACTCATTACTTAACCATCCTCCTCATTACCTTCTCAATCCATATCCAACATCAACAACAATGACAACAATACTAAATAGCAATTCCAAGGTCGAAGCGGAAAAGCCTATCTATTTGCGTCTGTGTATGTAATCCTCTTCTTTTTCCAAACTACCTGCCATTTCCTAACATTATATTTGGATTCCACTATGATTGGTACAGAGTCAATGTATGTCTAGGAGACCCAGAGGATAGGGTATTCAACTCTGGAGAATACAATGTTCGAGACGTTATATGTTTAGCATGTCTATCGATAATAGGATGGAGATATGTAAGTGATTGAATGGATTGGAAATGGATATTTATTCTTGACATTGTTTGGAACAAATACAGACAGACTGACACATTAATTGAATAACCAACGAACAACAGGAGAAGAGTTATGAAGAAACACAAGCATATAAAGAGGGCAAATATATTGTAGAGAAAGCAAAGATACTCAAATGTAAATAGTAATAATAATAGTAATAAAGCTTTGGCTCGACAACAGGTTTATGTATATATAGGAACAGGTTGGTGGCGGTCGTGTGTCCTGCCATTCTTGGGCAAAAGGACTACACGTTGATTGATTATGTTTATGTTTATTTGGGGGATTGTTGGGATGTGATCGATCACCTCTCAATGCTTCCACGAACGCTCGCCCATATGATCATCGTCTTCGTCTTCGTCATCATCATCATGGTGATCTATCGAGTCATTGCCATCCGCTGAAGTGTCCTTCTTCTCCATGTTGGGCTTGACCTCATTCTCCACCCAAGTGATGTTCAATGTCTGCCCTTTATAGCTCTTGGCGACCAAGAATACCTATTATTCCATGTATTAGTCGTGTGTTAGTGGATAATTCTTTGTCTCTGATGTGATTGATTGATTGGTTGCTTACTCTTTCCGCAAACTCTCGTTTGGAAAACTTGATTTCAACTCCTTTGTCACTGACGGATACAGAGACAATGTTGGGGAAGAGTGCGCGAAGGACTGTCTCCTTCTTAAAGTTCTCGGGTGGATCGGCGATAAGGATGGTGGTTGATCGATGATCAAGCACAAGTGATATGTTCTTGTGTTTGGCCAATGGCGCAGCGGGCTTCTTTGGTATAGGGGCAACATACTTCTTGGCAATTGATGGACGAGGAGCTTGCAGCAAGGGTTGTGGCTGCAGTGATGTTTGTGGTTGTCCAATTGCGATGGTCGTTGGTGAGGATAAAGAGTCGCCAGTGGCACTATTGAGGCCCTCTGGTAGCTCAATTCCAAGACTCTTGGCCTCTGACTCCAACCTTTTCAGCTTCTCCATCAGTTGAGCATCGTTGTTATCACTGTTGTTGTTGTTGTTGTTGTTGTCGATATTATCATTGTTGTTGTTGTTGCCATTGTTTGAAGGTGGTGTTGTCGTATCTGTCTTCATCTCCACATCATCATTATCATTGCCTTCACCTTGTGCCACATTCATACTCTGCTGTTGCTGAGACTCTTGAAGTAGTTGTTGCTGTTGTTGTTGTTGCTGCAACAGTTGTTGCTGTTGAATGGCCTGTTGTTTCTGTATGATTTGTTGTTGATGTTGTGTCGACTTGGCAATGCTCTCCTCTATACTCTTTGCCAGATTCTTGATTGTCTCCTTGATTTGCTCGCGCTCCTTCTCGTCCGTGGCCACCTCCAGTTTCTCAAGCAGCTCCTTATGCAGCTTCATCTGGTTGGCCCTCAGTTCGTCGTTGCGGTCCTTCAACTGCCGTGACAGCTGCAGACTCTTGCTCTCCTTTAGTCGTCTCATCAGCTCCTCCTCCTTCTTTTGCAGCTGCTTGGCATCCTCCTCGCGCTTCGCATGCAGCTTCTCCTGTCGCTCCTGGTTCTCCTCAAACTTGGTCTTCTTGCCCGTGTATGATTGCTGCCAGAACAGCTTGATGAATCGGTTGTTCATGATGGCCTCTGGCGACTTCATTGCCTTTTGCGCGTCGGCGTTTGTGGCAAACTCGATTGACGCCTGTCCAACGTTGATCTTCTCGATCTTGACAATGTCTCCAAACTTTGAAAAGTGCTCCTTGATCGCTTCCTCTGTGTTTAGTGGCGCAGGTATGTTTGTGATAACCAGCACAGTCGATGTGGCGTCGGGACATGTTGATGAGGTGCCTGCCCACTTGGGCTGGCGTGGTTCACGTGGCTCACGAGGCTCTCGTGGCTCGCGAGGCTGGTGATGACCACCGCCCCTTGGTCTCCTGTCTCCGCCCATGTGTGATCGGCCCTGATAGTTGAACTGACCGGCTAAAATATCGCTGTTGCCATCGATCGGCATATTCATGTCAAAGCCACCTCCATTCGGGTCATTGAATTGTTGTTGTTGCTGATGTTGTTGCTGTTGTTGCTGTTGTTGCGCTGCCATCATCATCATCATTGGATTCATTCCAAATGGTACAGGCTCCCCACCAGGTTGCATCATGTATGGAGGTTGATGAGGTGGGTATCCGCCACCACCATAAGGTGGTGGACCACGTTTGCCGCCGCCACCGCCGCCATAAGCCATTGGATTGGTTGATGGGTCAAACTGCTCGTCACCTGAGACTCCATTCGAGTACCTTGACGGACTGCCATTGCCAGCGTATCGCGAGCCACCACCTCTGCCACCGCCTGATGATGAGTTATTCGTGTACTTCTTCCTCCTGTCATTATCGTAGTACTCGCCCTCTGTACTCTTGCGCTTCATACTCGAGTGATGCTGTTGTTGATGTTGATCATCATCAGGATACCGATCATCATCGCGATCATCCCTATGTGATGAAGACCTTCTATGTTCGCTTGATCTACTATCTCTTGAATATTCTCTATTGTCACGTGTATATCTATCTCTATCTCTATCTCTATCTCGTCCATATTCTCTATCTCTATCTCTACCATAGTCTCTATCTCTATCTCTGTCTCTCTCACGTGACCTGCGCGGTGAGGGGGACCTTGAACTGCGTTTACTGCTCCTGTCGCTGTCTCTGTCGCGCTCGCGGTCACGATCACGGTCGCCAGAGCCGGGCGAGATGGACCGTGAGCGAGAGTCTGATGGTGTGTGTGATGAGTTGGTGATGGGAGGGGACGTCGTGCCACTGCGCTCAAAGTATCCATCATTGTGCAAGTAGTCCAACAACTTCTTGATGAACGACTGTGTGTTTGACTCCAAGAACTCTTTCAGATCGTTCAACATCAGCTGCTCCAACTCTGTTGCCGACCGTTTACCAGAGGACAACAGAGCAACAATGTACTCTGCCAATGATTTGGGATCTACATCACATATAGGTGCTAAAGTATCATCCAAGAACTTATTGAACTCTTTATCATTACTTAGATATGATGTTGTCATTGTCTAATATATATATTTATATAATGTCTCTCTTCTTCTTCTTTGTTATATATAATGTATACAAATAATAATAATGAACATGAACAACACAAATAACAGATCATAATACTTCATCAAACTCACATGACACATTCATTCTTCTCAAGTTTCGCTTCCCACCTCGCGAACTTACCCTCAATGGACAAACCCCCATGTGATTGGACATACCCCCTCAGACATACCCTCTCAGACATACCCTCACAGACAGAGATAGACTTAATATATATCTTTCAGTTTCCCGTACCTGAGGGATACCATCATATAACCAACGTTGTCGAGATATCTATTGATTGGGAGACCAAAGTAATGTTTAAGGGCGAGGTCTCGGGTCTCTCAATGATGGAAATAAATTGGAAGAAGACCCCAAACGATGATCAGACCCATAATGCCTTGACATTGATTAGTATTGTCCATTGACATATGTAGTCAATGACTATTAGAAACAAGATCTCATCACAGCAACAAACACGTCATTGAAGAAACAAACGAGATCTGTCCACTCAACACTTCATTCCTTTTGTTGTTGTTCATGTGGACATACTTAATAATGCGTCTTTCGTATTAACTGTTTGATGACTATGATCAACATTATACCATCCATTGTCAACGTTGATTCCAAACAAGCATTGGGGCTGGTAATGATTACATGTATTATTGGTCTCGAAGTTTAATGTGTAACCTAATCAATATAAATGTCTTGTTCAAACATTGATAGATTATGTCATCATTCACCTATTGATTATCATCGTTGAATAAGTGTTGACCATACATACTATCAACTTATGTGATGTTGATGATTACCCGTTGTATTGATGACCTGCTTGCGTTCCAAAGACAAAGAAAAGGAATGCGACTCGATCACATGATGAGTGAACTCATGTGTGCCCATTCCATCGAGAATTTCATCTTGGAGGTGGGTGTGGTGTGTCCTCGAAACAAACACTTGTCAACATTGTGTGTCTGTCAAGTTGCCTTTGCAAAAAGATGATGTGGAGTATTGATTGTCACACAGCTACTGATTATGAATCAGTCAATAATGATTAAGTGGCAGATAACTATATATACTACCATGGTATGTATAACAATCAATCAATTAAATCAATCAATCAACTAAATCAAACCAATAATAATTATTTGATCAAATAATCAATACTATCAAACTATAATAATAATATGAATCCATTACTTGTCCGCGTTTCAAGAGTCCGTCCAGCCAACATTATCCAACTCCAAAGAGGATGTGGATGGGGATGGTGGGGAAGATATCACAGATGTATGTATTATCATTTATTGATCAATCAATCTTTTCCAAAAATATCATTTACTAACCATCAATTAAATTAAAGATGACCCACAAACTGAACAAGCAATCCAAGAGTTCAAGGAGGATGTATACAAGTTCAAGACCAACTTGAAGGAGTCAATGAAGAGACATCATGATTGGCATCAACAGAGAAATGATGTCCTCAAGACTGAGTACAACAATCACCATCGTGATTGGTTTGGAAGGGATGTCGATTCAAACATTGCTCGCTCCCCAAGCACCGTGGTCAACGAGACTGGCTCAGCCTTTGAGGTCGAGATCGAGCTGCCAGGCATCAAGAAGGATGAGGTCAAGATCACATTCTCCAAGGACAAGTTGATCGTGTCCACTGTCAAGGAGGAGGCCACCGCCACCACCTCTGCTGCTGACGCCGGTGCCAAGAAGTCCAACAAGAAGTTCTACTCCAAGGAGATCCAATTCCATGAGCAAGTCAACTTCAAAAACATCAAGGCACGTCTCGAGGATGGTATCCTCTACGTCACCGTGCCCAAGGAGTTGGTTGATCAGTCCATCACAATCCAATAATAATATATAAATATTATACAAATAAAGAAAGAGATACCAAATTTGGTTCAATGTATACATACAAGGGATCAATCAATGGCATGATTGATTGACCCTGGTTTATAAGTTCGTCGGTCATATATATATGTGTGAGTGTCGTTCTCTGGAATGATTCCAAGTTGAATGAATGATTGATCAATTGATCTTCTTGACAATTCCAGTGATGGATGGTGAGGGCGTGACTGTGGATGTGGAGACGGGCGCGACTGCACTAGCCTTCCGACTGTTTTGATAGCGTAGACACTCACTTAGGATGATCAACTTGATCAGGATCTTGAGACATACGAGGCATAGGTATATGAGTACCAGTAGCACGCCGCCAAACAAGACGGATACTCCAGACACTGGGATGAGTCGACTGAATATTCGCACAATCACAGTTGCCAGCGGGAATGGGATGAATCCAACGATGCTAGTAATGCCCCAAGAGCTCTCGGTGAATGATCGACTTCTTGAGTCAAGTATCGTCTCCATCAGAATGTTAAAGAACTTGCTATATATGTTTGGCGGGATCTTGTTGAACTTGGTGATGAACGCATGTTTGATGGCATCGACCAACATCTCTGCGCCCCACACCGAGGCCACAACCACCATCATATTTAGAACAAAGTCCTCATTCAAGTCCCAACTCAAGTCGCTCAAGTTCTGGAAGAATATGATCGCCAAGTAAATGAATATCTGGAATCGTTCCACAATATCTAATGAATGAATGGAGGTGTAAGTGATGAATGCTCGTCAAGACAAAGGTCGGGGCCTATCTTACCGCTACACGATATCTGGAACAGGTTCTCCTTCTCGAATCTCTTGAAGACTGATCCTTTGAGCTCGACAAAGTTGTTGGACATTATTAAGGTGAGCAATGAGTTGTTGTAAGAGTTGATGGCGACATTGAGTGTGATCACTTGTGTGAATAGGACAAGTGAGTGTACGCACACATAGCCAGTGCACACCAGAGTGTGAGTGAAGGGTGCCAGCATCCTTCGATCAGGCATCACCTTTCCAAATGGTGTAATCTTTGCAATCTTGGCGGGCGTGCCACCTGTGGTCGATGATGGTGCGGCGGGTAGCGGACTCGTCAAACTGACCGACATCCAATACAGTGAGTCAAAGATGTCTTGACCAAATGAGCAGCATAGCTTGTCCAACACTTCGAGCACATTGAATATGATGTACAGTTTGATGACGGCCTGTCCACGAATGTGATGATAGACCATCGATGAGTCAATGACGTTGAGGAATGCCAATGATATGCACCAGATAAAGAATCGGAATGTATCATATACCTGTGTTGGTGTCAGTCGGTATCTAGTCGCGTGATGGGTAGTTAGGACAAGTTAGCTAGAGTCGCGTTGAGGCGAGGATGGTAACATACTTTTTGGAAAATGGCAAGGCGCACAGCTTGAGGAGGGTGATGATGATACGAATGGGGAAGAAGGTGAAGAGGTAAAGAAAGTGCTCGAAACAGATAAGGAAGCCAAAGGAGAGCAGCTTCTCGAGCTCCCAAGGCACGTGGACAAAGTTGTACACTTGCTCTCGTTTGAGTGTGTCGTCCACATTGACTGGCATGTAGTCTCCGAATATCTCATCCTGCAGGTATGTTTTGAAAGACCATGACTTGCTTTTGTTGTTGTGGCAGCACTTTGTTTGTCGCCGCCGTTGCTGTTGCTGCTGTCGCTGATGTCAAAGTTGATGATGAGCTTGATATTGATGAAGATGATGATGCGCCATTCTGATGCTCATCATGAGCCGCTGATATGTTAAATGGTATTGGAGCCGAGGTATCTGTCGCATGATCATCTTCATCCGATTCCTTTGGACGTGTGATCTGCTGGATGCTCTTCAATGGCGTAACTGACCTGTTCCTCAACTTGGGTGTCTCTGCTCTACTACTACTGCTCCCACTAGCACTAACAGTGTTCTCTATATTGCTGTTATTGTTATTGTTGTTGATGTTGTTGATGATATTGATGTTGTTGATGCTTATCTGTTCGAGCTCTTCATCGTTGACTGTTGTGTTGGCGCCAGTGTTGACGCAGGGCGATGATGCAGAGATGGTCTTGAGTAGATCGGATGAGAGTCGGGGAGAGTAGACTAGAGGTGATATAGATGGTAGGACATGATTCATATGATCCAAAGAGAACTGTTCATTGTTTGGTACTATTTGATGATCCTTCTCGCTTTCCTTCATTGGCGATGCCTCAAGGCTATGTATACCTTCCTCTGTACATGTTGATGTTGTAGATGATGATGAAGTTGATGGTGATGTTGATGATGTGTTTGGTGAAGCGTCCTTGTGATTGTTGTTGATATTGTCAGACAATGAATGAGTCAAAGACATTGGCGATACATGTTGATGATCCTTTGTTCTTCCGATGATACTATCGCTCACACTGCCTCTGTTCTTGCCATTGTTATTTCTTTTGTTGTTGCAATTACTACTGTTGCCACTACTACTGTTGCTGTTGTTGTTGTTGTTGTTGTCATTGTTTGGTACCATCGTTGACTCGGATATCAACTGGGTCATTGATTCAGATAGGGCGTAGGGTATGTGAAGTAGAGTCTTTGGTGGATTGTGATTAGAGTATACTACCTCTGTCAAAGGTGACGAGTCCAAACTCGAGTTGTTGGATGCAGGTGACTCATCCATCTCATTCACTTGCATATCAATATAATCCAGGACTCTTGTGTTGTTCTTCTTCTCGGATGTTTGAATACTGACTCCCTCATTCCTTGGGTGACGCAGCACCAACTAGTGTGTTGGGGGTAACTCAACAAACTTTGTATTTATGGGATGTCCTTCATGTATCCGATAACTTCAAAGAGATAATGTCCATGTTGAACATGCATCATGTCGACCGAATGGTGAAGGAACAATCAGATGGTCATTGGTCAATGTCATACGTTGAGTTTCTAAGATCTTCCGTTCTTTAAACAGGCGCCTAGACTATCAAGGCAGAGAAAGGTATTCTTCAACTCCAACATAAGTACGCATTCAATAACTAAATCAAATAATATCTTGGTATTGGTTTATTGATTAGCTATTCCTATAATACCCATCAACTACATTATGTGTCTAGTCATTCATTCAATTCATTCAATTCAACCAATGGTTAAGGAAAACCAAGACAAGACAAGACAAGACTGGTCCATTGATATAATATCAATAAACAGTTTGTTTATGTTTATGATGCTATGTTATTATTACCAAATCGAGAACATAATCAATCTTCTATCTATCTATCTTGATCCTCAGGGACATTCTACGATAGTGAACCGTGCCCTCAACACTACAAGATTGTTTGGAATATTTGATTGATAGACAAGATAGTCAAGAATAGGCCATGAATCACCTGTCTTTGTCTCTCGAACCACAGAAAGACTCAATGTTCGCTAGATTGTTCGGTCTCGCGCCCAAGACCAAACTACAGATCAGGTCAAGCATCACCCCACTCGAACCCTGTTGGCGGGGGCTGCAAATGGTGGACCACACACTCCACTCGAGTTGTTTGTTGTTGGACGACGTCCTTTCTCCCTTCAAAGCACACAAGAACAAAAACAACAAGAAACAAAACAAAGTAATTCCCAAAAAGTGATAAATTGATAGGTTGTGAATGAGTTGAGGAGGGTGTGAAGATTGCCCTCCTTTGATGTCAAGTAAGGATGTCATCAACAATTAGTCACTAACAAGGCTACACCCCCACGTCCAGCATACCAGGGCCATCATTGAATTATTATTCGAGTTGTTCTTGTTGGCACGACAACAGCTTGCTTGTCCTTTAGTTTTTGGGGATTGTTGTTTGTTGTTGGGTGAATGTCGACGAACTCTAAACATGGGCATACCATTCAACTTGACTTTGATTGAATACAAGACTGGACTACTACCTTGTTGTACTTTATAAAATTCTTGTTCTCATTATCTTCACATAATACAAATATTTATATATATTTGTATTCGTCAAGTCTAGACTAGGTTTAGTTGTAGGTACACACATACAATCGAGTAGTTGAATATACTTTGGATACCATACAGACAATGTTACATTTCATTTGATTGATCATTATCATTGGTATTGGATTGGCATTGGTGATGCCCATTCATTGGACCCATCCACACACCCAAACTCAATCAACCACTTTCACTGTTCCGCTCTCATATCTGATATCCACGATGCCAGATGACCAATGCTCTCTCTTTCTCGCATTCATTCGCTCGCTCAATCACTCACCCACCATACAGTGTTAATCATATTTGTTGGACGGGTGATGGCAATGTGATAAGGCGTTGAACCCGTCCAGGCCCGACACAACTACCTTCGCTCTCTCACACACTTATCGATTCATACACACACACACACTTTCCCAACTGTTTGGACTCAAACACAAACACAAACACAAACACACAAACACACACATTGCACTGACTTGCAAAGTGCCAGTCACATTGCAACGCCATCTCAGTCCTCCACTCCAGTGTTCTACTTCGTCTATCTCCCACCAAGCTTTACCCAACGCCCAATGATCACACCTTGATCGCACGTACCCAGTTTATTTGCTTTGGACGGGCACTGATCTAGAGCATCCTTGTTCTTGTTATTGTGCTCCATTCATCAGTCACTTCGTCCTCCAGTCCATCATCATTATCATTAAGTCCATAATTCCAATCCATTCATCAGATGTTTGTTTCTTTCTTTGTTTGCCTGATTGACTGACTGATTGATTGATTGAATGATTGATTGCTTGGTCACATCATCGGCATCTATATCACCCATCGTCATCAACAATTATTATTATTATTATTAATATTATTTATTTATTAGATTCACACATCTACCCTGTATTATTATTATACCCATAACAAACAGACTCTTCTTCTTTCCCTCAACCAATCAACCAAACACACAACCAATCAAACACACACACACACAACTAACCAACTTTGATCAATCGAACCATTCATTCATTCATTCATTCATTACCACCCCAACAAGTGTGGAGCCACATCATCAACCGCAGTCGACTGGCAAGCAACAACAAATACAGTAACAGGTGCCCCAATCAATAACCTCGACTGATCGAAAGAGGATATTCCAAGTAATAGTGTATATAGCGGTTTAGTACTAGTAGTAGTAGTAGTAGGGTTGTATTCCTATTGCCCTCTATCTATACACATAATACCATTATATAACTTTATTCTCAACATTACTTTTTATATATATATATCTTGTATTATAGTATCAATATATATAGCATTATAAGATAACAACAACAATAATAATAATAACAATAACAATAACATGTATTCAAAGTCACAGTCAACATCACCAAGTCGTCAGCATCAAATGGATGACCCATTGCCAGCAGGTCTACCTTCATCTATATCAGCCCCCTCACTACTATCGATTCAAAAGTCAGACCAACCATTCAAGTCAACACCAACTAATAGTGGTCGAGAGTCAGCACATGTAAAGCATAGAAGTGGTGGTAGTGGCAGTGGTAGTGGCAGTGGTAGTGCAGGCAAGGCAAGGAAGAACATATATAATAACAGCAGCGGTAGCAGCAGTAATAACAATAGCAGCAGTAATAGCAATAGCAAGCATAATAATAATAACAAGTCAGATTATAAGCAGTCTGGCTCATCATCATCATCATCATCTTGTATTTATAGTAACACTCAACAACAACAACAACAACAACCGAGATATAATGTCAGTGGCAGTAATAGTAGCAGGCATCATTCATCTCGTAGGAATAATAGATCAAGTGTTGACAGCATAACTACTCTCTTGGATAAGTCGATATCGATATCATCGGCAGAGACAGTACAACAGCAGCAACAACAACAACAACAACAACAACAACAATCATCAGCATCAGCAACACCTGAACCACAACCACAACAATCGCAATCACAACAAACAACTACAACAACATCATCGTCAACAACAACACCAACTATCAATGATGAACAAGCTGGTGGATCAACATCGTCATCAACTTCAATGGCGGCCGCATCATCTAGTGTGGCCGACGTTGCAAAGAAACAAACATCGACTATTGACTTTAATCCAATTGTAATGGATGAAGAGTCGCTCAACTCTTATGTTCCCCTGCTCCAAACCATTGCCTCGCAGATTGAGGAGCGTCTGGAACCGGTCGAGTCGATCGTCCTGGACGACACGGCCGACGCCTACGCAATCTTTGATGCCGATCAGCTGCCCACGATCTCAGTGTTCCAATACCTGCGTCGCATCCTCAAGTACACGACGTTCAAAGAAGAGATATTCATCATGTCTGTGATCTATCTCGACAGACTGAAGCGGTTGGTGCCGCCATTGCAACTGCACATTCTCAACATCCATCGTCTCATTCTCACCAGTGCTCTCCTTTCCTCCAAGTACCAGAATGAAAAGGTGCTGAGCAACGGATACTACGCCCAGGTTGGCGGCATTACCCATGATGAGATGAATGCACTGGAGCTCACACTTCTCGATCTCTTCCAATACAACCTCTTCATTTCCAAAGAGGAGTACGACAGTTACCTAAACTCTGTTCAGCCAGCACTGGATCACCTGTCTCAGAGGCAGGCTATGGCCATTGCCAATGCACAACAACAACAACAGACGACAACCACATCCACCACTACTTCACCTTCACCATCACCATCGCCACCTTCATCATCAGGTGGAAATGGGGGATGCCAGGAGTCATCGCCAATGCCATCACCTCCTCATCCCAATCCAAACAATGCATCATCGACTACACCTCCACAATCATCCAAGACACATAGCAACAATGATAGGGCTTTCCGACAAAAGTCCTACAGTAACAACAACAACAGCTTTGCCCAGACAATCCATCGAGCAAGGCCACTTCACAATGCCAACTATAACACTTATCCACAACCTCAACATATAAACAACCATCACCATCAACAACAACAACATCCAAACATATATTATAACAATAACAACAACTATATAGACAATAACAACAACAACAATTATAACAATATTGTATATCAGCAACAACAACAATACTATCCAATGTACCATCAACGATCATCAGAAATGTACCATCCGCACGGCCAGCCTGTAACCGGACATGGTGGCGCTGCAGGATGGGTGTACTATCCAAACGCTCCGTACCCTGCGTACGACCCATCGTCCAGATACTAGAGTAGAGTGGACGATACCAAGACGAACGACAACGACAACGATAAAGAAAACTACTACCATTACCTTTTTGCAATAAAGCAATGTGCAATCCCATGCAAGGATTGCTGTATTTATTGTAATTAAATACGATTGATTGATTGATATTGGATTGAGTTAAAGTGGTAGAGATGCACAGCGCGCACCAGGAGGCTTCCTTGGCATCGGGCGCTCATGACTGGCTTCGTTTATTCTGGTACTCCTTGAGCGCTGCTCCATAATCAATCTCGGGCATTGCGCCGGTGGGCGCAGCATCCAGGTCGACATACTCGCGGATACCGCGAGGGTCGGCTGGTGCCACGGGCACATTGCGCATTGGGGCTGCCGCGGGGTAGGGACGGTATCGCACGCCGCCAGCACCCTGCATCACACCTGCGGGCTGTCCGCCTGGGTTGGCCACAACAACGTTGGGCATCTGATAGTTGCCGCGACGAATCTGGATGGGTACGGGGAGGGGCAGGCCGCGTGTCCTCAAGTTAGGGTTGGCAAACATGGGTGCGACGCCAGGATACACCTGTCCGCCCATTGCTGCCATGGTCTGGTTGGCCGCCATCATTGTGGGGATCATCTGTTGGAGTGCCATGTTGGGGTCCCATGGTCCATTCCATCTTGGTCTTGGTGGCATTCCTGGCATCATTCCACGTTGATTCTGATATAGCAGTTGCTGTTGTGATGGCTGGGTCAATCTCCTTGGGTCGGAGAAGTAGTTTAAAAAGAATTGCTCAGCATTGCCCTGTTGTTGGATGATTGAATGATTGGAATGAGTGAGTGATTCGTTCGCTTGAGTCTCATCAATTGAGGCGCCATGTAATTACCTTCTCCTCAGAGTCCTTCTTCAACTCCTCTGGGTGCTTGAGGTTAATGTGCTTCTTGACATACTCTGCACCCTTGAAGAGCTTGGCGCACAGAGAGCATCTATACTTCTCCTCTTCGATCTTGAAGGTGTTGATGTCAATAAACTCCTCGGCGCTCTTCTCGGCCGCCTGTTGGCAAGTGTATTGTTCGTGGTTGAGTATCTTGGTGATCTTTGCTTTAATGTTGTTGTCCAAGTTCGTAACCCATACTTGGTCTATGTTAATGTTAAAGGGTGATAGGGATGTCGTGTCAGTAAAGTACGCTGTTGTGAAGGACCATCCAATACATACCAGAGTCCGACACTTTGGAATCGATGTCCATCTGGTCGTTAGATTGATCATTGTTGTTTTGTTCGTTGGCGTCGTCTTCTCCAACGGACATTGTCGATGCTGGTTTGGTTGATGTGGTAGTGGAGTCGTCGCTGCTGCTTGGCAGTCGTCTAAGATGGACGGAGCCACACTTCCTCTCGATCTCGTCCACGTCGTTGTACTCCTCCGAGCAATAGTAGCAAAACAAATGCACATGGCGTAGATAATGGATCATCTTATCTAGTCGCTCGATCTCCTGTTTGGTTTGATAGTGTCAGTCATAGTTGGACAGTTGATTGATTGATTGATGATCAACAACACATACAGGGAGTGATTCGTATCGCTCATCAGACAATAGTGGGTTGTCCACTATCTCACGATCTTGATCCAAATGCTTGGCCATGTTGATGGCCTGTGCCAAGTCTATTGATATCCTCTGTTCGCTCGATGCAATCTTTGGCGATATCCTAAACTTCTTCTGTGTGTCCTGCACCTGCTTGTTGATTGTCAACAGCAAATCAAAGTCCCTCATCTATATCCATTGATTGATAGAGTCAGTGATGGATGTTGATTGATCAAATTAACAAATGAACTAACTAACCTTTGTTCCATTCAACTCCTTCAGAGCCCTTAGGGAGTATTCGCTGGACTTGAAGGTTACCCATCCAAGTCGGTAGAACATCTTGTATTTCATGGGCTCGCTGAGCGTCAGCTTGACCACGACGTTGGGCTCCGACTCGGTGCCAACCTTGTTGAGCACCTCTAATAATTCCTCTTTTGTACATGTTGGTGAGATGGCCTTGATAAATAGTGTGGCGTTGTTCTTCTGCTGCTGTTGTTGTTGTTGTTGCTGCAGCTGATGTCCTGATGATGTGATATCTGTCTTGTCGTCGTGATGGTGATCGTCGTGATCGTGATCATGATCATCATGGTCATGTGTGTCCATTCCATCCACCATCTTCTCGCCATCCTTCAAACTCTCGTCCTTTAATGCCAGTGAGAAGTTATGATTCTCTAAATTGATTGATTGATTGATTGAATGGAGTGAGTGAACATGCTCGCCTTTGTGATTGATAGAGTGAAATAACATACCATCAGCCAACATGGACTTAAAGGTTGGCAATCTAGATTGTGCAAAGGAGATCTTCTCCTTCTTCTTCCTGACGAGGTAGACTGGGTCGTACTTCTCGCGGAACCATTCCTCGGTCTGGTGGTCCTTGAAGAAGAGACGTGCCTGTCGCTTGGCAAACTCCACCTTGTACTCCTCGTACTTCTTGTCGGCATCAGTGGGCACGATCGAGTCGTCCTGGTAGTCCAGGAACTGCTTGTATGTCTTAAACTGTCCGTCGAATATGTCGCCTCTCTTTGGTGGTCGTCTCGTCAGCTGTGCCGACTTTGACAAGTCGCGGCTGCTGTCGGTCATGTTGATGTGATTGTCCTCGCGGCCATTCCTCGGGGGTGGGATGCCTGGCATCGAGTTGGACATCTGTCTTCCATTGCTGCCGCCACCAGCAACACCACTGCTGCTGTTGTTGTTGTTATATTCGTTGCCCCTGTTGTCCATCCAGTCCTCCCTTCTCCTCCTGTTGTCATGTCTAAAGTCTCTGGGACTCTCGTCGCCACCACCACGTGGACCGCCACCACCGCCGCCCCTCTTGTCGGGGGAATGATCTCTCTTTCTTTCTCCGCCACGGCCGGGCGAGTGTCTCTCGTCTCGTCTATTGTCGCGACCACGTCGTCTATAGTTGCCCCTGTAGTCTCGATCACTATCGCTGTCTGAGCTCTCTCTGCCTGGTCTCAGAGGTCTTCCAAACTCATCAAGTTGTTCCTCCTCCTCTGGTGCACCAGTAGTAGTCTGTTGTTGTTGTTGTTGTGTTGTATTGCTCTCTGTTGTTGTTGCAACTACACCATCACCACCCTGCTTGCTTCCATTGCTACTGCTGCTGGTTGTGCTGCTATATCTTGGTCTATGATGCGAGTCATCATCATCATCTTCCCATCTTCTCTCCATTGTTTTTTGTTTGTTTGTTTGAGTTGTGTTTGATTGATTTGAGTATGTTAAAGTTGAGGTTGAAGTTGATTGATTGATCGTTCGTTCGTTGTTACAACTTCTTCTTATATTCAATTTGACTATATTAATATATGGTATAATAATATATATTAAATATATATAAATAAATATAATGAAGGTGAACGTGAATGAGATGTTGCTTTGCCCGCCTTCACTTCATTCAGTTGAATAATCAACAACATTCATTCAAGGTTGACAACCCCACACGCATCAAAACAACACCAACATCAACAACAAAACAAAAAATTAGATTTAAATATTAAAATGAACTTCGTCATGTAGTGATGTGATCAATCCCAATCTTGCAATCTCAGTCAATGTCAACCAATCAATATTTAGTAATGAATGAATGTTTCAGAGTAGGAGGAGGAAGGTATAACACATTTATTGAGGAAGTATAGGGGAGTATTCCTAAATATAACTGTGTTCCAAACGATAAAATATCATTATGTCTGTGTTGTAATGTAATGAATGATTGAGTGAGTGAGTGAGTAAGAGAGTCCCAAAGTCTTTGCTGATCGATAGATCATCAATCAATCACTTACCCAACTTTGCTCTACAATCTCCTTGACCTTGCGATTATATTCTCTCTTATTCTCCCTGAACAACCTTGCCGACTCTGAGTTGGCAGGTGAGTTGGGGTTTGGATCGCATAACAGAGACTGAATTGAAGTTAAAATGGCGGCGATATCATAGATTGGACTCCATTGGTTCTGCAAAATATCGAGACAGATTGCACCGTCTGTGTATACGTTTGGATGGAACATCTTTGACAAGAATCTGACCTGAGGTGGATCGTTTGGATACTCCTCAGAGAACTGTAATGATAGCTTAAACGTACCTCCTTCCCACGGTGTGTCCTCTGGTCTGTTGATTGTTGATTGTGGTTAGTATAAGTGACAATGAATGAATGACAATGACACTCAGTGTCATCAATTGAAGTTGACTAGACATACCCAAAGATGACTGCTTGCCATTGTAATATATTGTTCTCCATTGGTGCTCCACTGATACCTGCGGGTGGATCATTCTGGAGTCTCTTAAAGTCTCTCATCAATCTTCTTCTTGCTGGAGTCGACATTATTGATTTGTTTGTTTGTTTGTTTGTTTGATAGTTACAAAGGGGTATATATATATATGTTATATAAAGGTATATAAATAATTGTTTGTTTGTTTGTTTGTTCGTTCGATATCTATAATGTGACTGTATTCTATTGTTGTTGTTGTTGTTGTTGTTGTTGTGTTGTTGAACAAATAACAAGTTATTAGTAAGTTATAAGACTTTGAGGTTAATGTGTTTAAGAGCAGTTGGTATTTACAAGTTTTAACTTGATTCTGTTGTTTGTTCTTCTAGAAGTTCGAGAGAGATAATACTGTTGTTTAAAAGGCAGGTAATATATATATATGTGTGTATGTGTATGTGTATTAAGGTAGTTGGTCAAAATAAAGAAAGTACTTGAAGTCAACACAACCCTCAATTCTACCTTCACTTGTCTTCCTGTTAATAAAAATAAATAAAAATGAGATGCAAGGGGGGAGTATTCTCTCTCAATGCTCAAAACAAAGAGGAAGTTCGCCTAAGACTCATTAAAATGGTTCAATTTCTCACTCGTTCGTCTGTTTCTCAAAGATCGAAAGACGACAACATTTTTTGTTTTATTATCTTCAGTACCTATCTTTATTATTACATTCATATTAATACATATATCTATGTTATAATGGACAAACAACAACAACAACAACAACAACCTATATTATTATCATTCAAGTTCAATGTCCATGCGGCATTGATCACACTGCGGAAGTTTATCGAAACAACTCAGACTCAGACTCAATGTTATGCACCTTTGAACAAGTTGTTTCAGAAGAGTAGTGAGTCATTTACTGATGCCGATAGATTGTTTGCATTGGATCAGCTGGCATCAATAATGATGACCGTTCCATCACAGACCATGACAATCGCTCACCTCTTCCGACCACTTCTCATTGATCTCGTACCAAGATATCTGATGAAATATACCTACTCACTGTCAACCATTGAGCCGTTGACATATATACTATCCATGATATTACCAATCGCGCCTCAACTACTTGGGTATGTTGAATTTCTTGAGATGCCATATGACAGCTGATCACGTGATCAGTTGTCACGTGATCGATCGAGTCACATGATCACAAACAAAATCCAACTAACATCATTCCGTTCCAATTCCCTACCCTTACCCTCGCCCTTGCCCTCGCACCATAACAGAATAACTATTCAGTTCTATTCAAGTCAACCTTCGATATTTGAACGACTGTCATTCGTACAGGATATGGCGGAGGAGAATGAGGATAAGTGGATACAACTGGTACAGACAGGTTATCGCCTGCTGTGCTTCAATCAGAAGGTGTTCAGCTCGTTATGGAACTGGGCACCATTCTTTTCACTCGTGGAGTTGGGCAGTGGCCGCATCCGATGGTATGTCATCCAGGCCATGTCCATGGTGCTCCGCCTGCCCGACAAGAACGTCCAAGCTCTCAAGCCATACTACCAACAATATCAACATGAGATAATGTATGTATTATTGACCATGATCCCGCTGGAGATCACATTCTAACTCAGTCCATGCGCGCCACACATAGGGAACACGAGAAGGAGATACTGGACTTTGAGAGATCATTGCTTTTCTTGAATAGCAACAGTGATCTGTGCATTGTTGACGTGAACCAGGGTAGTGGTGTCGACTCCACTACCACCTCTTACTCAAAGTGTTTGGTACAGAGTGACGACTTGACTCCATCCATCGTGGACGTGTGTGGAGTACTACTATTCAAGAAGTTTGCCAATGTTGGCGCAGTCATCAATCAATCAGCAACATCATCAACATTAACATCAACAAACAAGTCATTATCACAACAACAACAACAACATCACTTGGTTTATACAGAGACAGTATGTAGGAATCTGCGCAGTTTGGCAATTTCCGTCGGACTGGGCAGACCGATACTCATGGAGGGTGTCACTGGTGCCGGTAAGACGACACTAGTTAATGAGCTGGCGGCCCTCACCGACAACCACAACATCATCAAGATACATTTGGGCGACCAGACCGACTCCAAGGTGCTGCTGGGCACCTACGTCACGTCGGACGTGCCGGGCGAGTTCAAGTGGCAGCCTGGTGCACTCACACAGGCCGTCAGCCAGGGTCGCTGGATCCTGATCGAGGATATAGACCTTGCGCCCATGGACGTTCTCTCGGTGCTGATCACACTGCTCGAGAGCCGCACACTATTCATTCCCTCACGTGGTGAGTCCATCGAGGCGGCCAACGGCTTCCAGTTGTTCGCCACCCAGACTCTGTTTGCGGGCCACTCTCGCGAGCAACACAGCAACATCCTCAGCCATCTTTGGACTCGCGTCGTTATCGAGGCGCTTACACCAGCAGAGATGCATCAGGTTCTCCAAACCCTCTTTCCACATCTCAAGCCCATCATTGCCAAGTTCATCGACACCTTTAACCTCTTGCTCAAAGTTGTCAACGGCCAATCGATTAGCAGCATTGTTAACACAACCCCCAGCCTTAACAACAACAACAATAACAACAACACATCTGGTGGCGACGTGTCCATGGTCGACGTGTCCAATGTAGGCAGCGCCGACAAATTCCAGATATCGACCAGCAGGTTCATCTCAACTCGTGACCTGCTCAAGTGGCTCAAGCGATCCAACCAGCGTCTGATGAGCACCAAGCTCAACAACGTCACGTCCACCGTGCAGGAGGTGATCTTTGTCGAGGCACTCGATTGTTTCTGCTCCATGGTGCCCAAGAAGGCCCTGCGTCTGCGTCTGATGGAGGTAATTGGCCGCTGCTGGGACATCAACACCGAGCGCGTACAATACTACAATGAACTGTACAAGCCAACCATCCAGATCACACCCGACTCGCTAACCGTTGGCAGGAGTGTTCTGGCCACGATGAGCGAGCAATCAGACTCGGTGAAGTTGGGCGGCTCGACCAAGAAGTCCCGTGTCTCTGCCAGCGCGTCCACCACACAGCACTCGGCCACCTCGGCCACCTTTGCACACACAATCAACAGTCTTCGTCTGATCGAGAAGATCTCCATCTCTATTCAGTTCAACGAGCCCATCCTCCTCGTCGGTGAGACCGGCACAGGCAAGACATCGGTCGTCCAGTACATCGCCGACCAGCTTAATCAGAAGTTGGTGGTGCTCAATCTCAACCAGCAGAGCGACAGCTCCGACCTGATCGGTGGCTTCAAGCCAGTCGAGATGCGTCTGTTGTGCGCGCCACTCAAGCAGCGCTTCGAGAACATGTTCAAGAAAGCCTTCTCCGAGTCGACAAACAGCGCATTCCTCGAGAAGATCCAGACCAGCTTTGCCAATCGCAGCTGGAAGACGTTCATCTCGCTGCTCAGCAAGGCTGTCAAGACGGTGGAGAAGCAGCTGAACAAGGATAGTGGTGGCAAGGGTGCCGCCGCGGCTGGCCAGGGCAAGAAGTCCCTGCGTCCAGAGGAACGCGAGAGATGGAAGCAGTTTGCCGCCGAGGTGGCCAAACTCAGCACACAGTTTGAGCGATCAAAGAGCAGCTTTGCATTCTCGTTCGTCGAGGGATCACTCGTCGACGCCATTCGCAAGGGCCACTGGGTGCTACTGGACGAGATCAACTTGGCCACGTCCGAGACACTGGAGAGCCTCAGCGGTCTGTTTGACGGCGGCTCGCTCACTCTCACTGAGAAGGGTGAGGTCGAGCCAGTGCCACGCCATCCCAACTTCAAGGTGTTCGCCTGTATGAACCCGCCCACCGACATTGGCAAGAAGGACCTGCCCCCAGGCACCCGCAACCGTTTCACAGAGTTCTACGTAGACGACCTGGACAACCGTGCCGACCTGTGTCTCGTCGTCAAGACCATCCTGCACGAGCTGACGGTCCACCCACCAGTCGATGAGATTGTGGACTTTTACCTGACAGCCAAGAAGGAGGCGTTGGTACGTCTGTTGGACGGTGCCAATCAGAAGCCACACTTCTCTCTACGTACACTATCACGTGCACTCAACTACACCAAGCATGTTGCGCCATCCTTTGGATTCAACCGTGCACTCTACGAAGGTATCAACATGAGTTTCCTCACACAGATTAACCGAATGTCCTATCCAATTATGGAGCAGATCATCCAGCAATACATTCGCAGAGGGTAAGTCCACTACATCAATCACTCACACTTCCAAACACTCACTCACTCAATCAATCATTCCAATCAATCAATCAGTGATGCCAAGGTGTATAAACAGCCTTTGCAGAGACCATCTGAGAAGCATATTCAGATTGAGCAGTTCTGGGTACAGACTGGTGATTTGGAGCCGATTGTTCCAGCGCACTACATTCTCACACCATCGATCAAGACCAATCTGAACAACTTGGCAAGAATCCTCGTCAGCAGGAAGCATCCAATCCTTCTCCAAGGACCAACTTCAAGTGGAAAGGTATGAATGAAACACTCCTCCTCACATCCTGGAATCATTCCATACTTACTCAATCAATCAAACATAATAATAGACAAGTATGGTAGAATATTTGGCAATTAGGACTGGACACAGGTTTATCAGAATCAACAATCACGAACATACTGATCTTCAAGAGTACCTTGGACAGTATATCTCGGACGACAAGGGAAAGCTTGTGTTCCAGGAGGGTATATTGGTGGAGGCAGTGCGCAAGGGATACTGGGTCGTGTTGGACGAGCTCAATCTCGCCCCATCAGAAGTGCTCGAAGCACTCAATCGTCTACTTGATGATAACCGTGAGTTGTACATTCCAGAGACCCAAGAGATTGTCAAGCCACATCCAAGCTTCATGTTGTTCGCCACACAGAACCCACCCGGCCTGTACGGTGGACGTAAGGTGCTATCACGTGCCTTCCGCAATCGTTTCTTGGAGCTGCACGTCGACGACATCCCCGAGAATGAGCTCGAGGAGATTCTGTCCAAGCGTTGCCGTCTCCCACCCAGCTACTGCAAGAAGCTGGTGGCCATCATGAGAGAGCTGCAGCTCAATCGTCAGGGCGCCAGCCAGGTGTTTGCCGGCAAGCATGGCTACATCACATTCCGTGACCTGTTCAGATGGGCAGAGCGTAACCCCTCGTCCTACGATGAGTTGGGCGTTGCCGGCTACATGTTGCTGGCCGAGCGTCTGCGCAAGGAAGAGGAGAAGGCTGTGATCAAGACCGTGATCGAGAAGCATCTCAAAATCAAGATGGACATGGACAAGATCTACGACTGCGCAGCCACTCCAGAGTTTACACGCATGCTCGAGATCCTGTCAAAGGATCTGCCAGCCAGCGTCGGCTATCTCGAGAAGATTGTGTGGACTGGCGCTATGAAGCGTCTGTTCACTCTGGTTGGGCACTGTCTGCGCTTCAAGGAGCCCATCCTACTTGTGGGTGAGACAGGTTGCAGCAAGACCACAATATGCCAGCTCTACTCCCTGCTCACAGAACAACACCTGCACATACTGAACTGTCATCAGCACACTGAGACTGCTGACTTCCTCGGAGGCCTCCGTCCAGTTCGTGGACGCGACCAACTTTTGTTGCGCTTCAACCAGGCAGTCGACCAGCTGGTCCAGGCAACTGGACTGACCCTCGACACGACGATGCAGCCTTCCGACCAGGTCAAGGCCATCGCCGCGGCCACCCCCGCCGACTCCCCTCACGCAGCCCTAGCTCAAGCAGTCGAGTCCGCATTCAATCAATATCAGACATTGTTCATGTGGGTGGATGGCCCATTGGTCGAGGCCATGAAGGATGGCCACTACTTCCTAATCGACGAGATCTCCCTGGCCGAGGATGCCGTGCTCGAGCGTCTCAACTCAGTCCTCGAGCCTTCGAGACTCCTTGTCCTAGCCGAGAAGGGTGGACTCGAGATCGAGGAGCATCGCGGCCACGATCAGTTCAGGATCATGGCCACTATGAACCCCGGAGGCGACTTTGGCAAGAAGGAGCTCTCACCCGCCATGCGCAACCGTTTCACGGAGATCTGGGTGCCAGCAATCACATCGCAGCAAGACCTGTTGCAGATCATCAACGAGCGATTTGCCGCACCAGAGTTGCAAGCATACTCTGCTCATATGCTGGCCTTCATCGATTATCTTGGCCAAGTTCAGCGCAACAAGCGAACGATCAGTTTGCGTGACATCCTTTCGTGGGTATCGTTCATGAATCTGGCTCGCGAGAAGCGTCTGCTCAGCCCCGCCCAAGCCTACATACACGGCGCCTGCCTCGTCCTGCTGGACGGCTTTGGCATGGGTGCAAACTCCACATCCGAGGCGGATGGCGTGCGTCTGCGCCAGCTCTGTCTCGTCAAGCTGATCGATCAGATTGAGGACGAGCAACAACGCGAGGACCTGCGCCAGTACTTTGCGCTCGAGTCCAAGCAACCAACAAGTGGCGGCGTGCCAAGCTTCATCCACGCTGACAGGTTTGGAATGGAGCCATTCTTCATCCCAATCAGACCAGACCGCGCCACCAAGATCCAGTTCTCTCTGACCGCCCCTACAACATCTCGCAATGCCACCCGTGTGCTCCGTGGCATGCAGTTGCCTCGCGCCATCCTCATCGAAGGTTCGCCAGGTGTTGGCAAGACCTCGCTGATCACAGCCATTGCTCAAGCCTCTGGCAACAACGTCGTGCGTATCAATCTGTCAGAGCAGACCGATATCATGGACCTGCTGGGCTCTGACCTGCCAGTCGAGGGTGGCAAGGGCGGCCAATTCGAGTGGCGTGATGGTATCTTCCTCAAGGCGCTACGTGAGGGTAGCTGGGTGTTGCTGGACGAGCTCAACCTGGCCTCACAATCAGTCCTCGAAGGACTCAATGCCTGTCTAGACCATCGTGCCGAGGTCTACATCCCCGAGCTGGGCCGCACATTTGCCTGCCATCCAAACTTCCGTGTGTTTGCCTGTCAGAACCCCCTGCATCAGGGAGGTGGCCGCAAGGGCCTGCCCAAGTCATTCCTCAACCGTTTCACCCAGGTGTTTATCGACGCGCTCGACTCCAACGACCTGCTGTTCATCACTGAGACCATGTTCCCACAGATCGACCGCACCATCCTTGAGAGAATGATCGAGTTCAATCGCATCCTGTTCCACGACTCGATGATCGACGCCAAGTTTGGTCGCAAGGGTGCCCCCTGGGAGTTCAACTTGCGTGACATCTTCCGTTGGTGTGAGCTGGTGGTCAAGGACGCGCCAGTCCTCGCCAACTTTGGTCGCTTCGTCGACCTCATCTACCTGCAGCGCATGCGCACTCGCGAGGATCGTCTCTACATCAAGCAGCTCTACAACCGCCTGTTCCCCGCCAACCCGATCGACTTTGACATGGACACTCTGCCACACCACGCCATCACTCCCGACTACATCCAGATCGGCAAGGCAATCATGCCAAGACGCGTGGACAATGGTGGCGGCGCTGGCTCAGACATGTCTCCAACCGCATCAACTCACAACCTCATCATGCTACAGCGTCTGCTCAACCCACTCGAGGCCATTCTCAAGTGTGTCGAGCTCAACTGGATGAGTATTCTCATTGGCCCAACCGCCACATCCAAGACGTCGGCAATCAGGATGCTCGCAGACCTCACAGGCAACACCCTGTTTGAGTTCTCAATGAACAGCGCAGTGGACACCACCGAGCTACTTGGTGGTTTCGAGCAGGTGGACCTGGTTCGCCATCAGAAGCGCATCACCACCGCCACCAAATCACTCATTGACTGCATCAGTGGCGATATTCCTCCTCAAGATGGATGGTCGCGCCAACAACACACCACGTGACTGCATTGGCGCCATTCAGGACATTCATCAGGCTTGGTCAATCTTCACCGCTCGTTCCAAGATGGTGGAGCTCTCACTCAACTCCCCCACATTGGACGGCCAGACTGGCGCGAGCAAGTCACCGACCCGCCCCGCGGCCATCGACACTGAGCAGTTCAACATACTCTTGCAGATCCTCAGAGCGCTCGAGAAGGTCATCGGCCTGTTCACACCCGAGCCCTCCGTTGTCCAATCATACGCCACTCAGATCACAGCCATTCGCCATTCAATCGACAGACTCAAGGCCACAGAGAAGGAGTCCGTCACAGGCTGCTTCGAATGGATTGACGGCCTGCTCATCAAGGCCCTGGAGCAAGGCGCATGGATCGTTATTGACAATGCCAACTTTTGTAACCCGACAGTGCTCGATCGTCTCAACCCCTTGCTCGAGCAGGGCGGTGTTCTGATGTTGAATGAGCGCGGTATGGTCGATGGAGAGATAAAGGTCATCAAACCCCATCCCAACTTTAGGATATTCCTGACAATGGACGAGCGCAAGGGAGAGATCTCGCGTGCCATGAGGAACAGAGGCATTGAGATCTACCTGTTCGAGGCCGAGATGACATCGTCCGTCAACCTGGACAATGCTCGTCTGCTTGGCACCCTGGGCATCCCCTCACAGCCACTGGCCCAACAGATGTTGGCGTTCCACGCAGCCGTCGTCACGCAATATGGCTCGACCGTCGAGAACCCAATGACCATCTCACACACCCTTTACTGGGGCCGCATGGTCATCGACCTGTTGCAGCGTGGCATGGCCCTTCTGGACGCGCTCACAGTGTCCATGCAGCAGATCTACATTCGTCCAAGACGACTTGTGACACAACGCGATGTCATCACAAAGATCTTCACTGCACACTTCTCCTACGCCACGCTCAACTCTCTGATCTTTGGCAACAACAAGTCATTCCATGCACTTGGATTCTTCCCAAGTGGTTTGACTGATCAGACCATGGCCTTGGAGGCGTACAACCTGGACCATCTTCACATCCAAGCTCTGGCGAGGGTGTCCAAGGAGGCTGGCATGAAGCAGGCCATCAAAGACACTCTTGAGCAGCCTGCCAAGCAGCTATTGGCACTGCCCGCCGTCATCCTGTCATCAGTGTTCTTCCAACCACACAACACAAACGTTGGATCAATGGTCGACCTCGTCAACAAGAACATGGACACCAACCTCAACAACAATGAGGATGTGGCCAAGCTTGGACAATACATCCAGCATGCAGCGTTATACTTTATCGAGACAACTTCACAGTTTGTCAAAGCAGACCGCATGCTTTGGTTGGATCAACAACAGGGATCATACTTGGGCAAGGCCCAAACAGACATGTACACTCAGGTCCTCAAGAAGTTGTTCGCATCGCCATTGTACAAGCGCTTTGACATCGATGTCACCCAGCTTCTGGACAACATTGGCATGTCCAAGCACGTCAAGGATTATCAGGGTCATCAATGGAAGCACAACGAATCACTATTCAATCTTGTCAAGGAGAAGGCGTCCAACGACCCCGCCAACACCTCTCTGTGGGCCTCACTCGTCGACACAATGGACCTTCTCAAGACATTGCTCGTGCACATCCTGCAGACGTATCTCCAGGAGAGGATATACACCGAGGCCGCCAAGCAGGGCAGTAGCACCCCCAACAAGCTCTCACCCATCGTTCAATCATACTTGCACACCAAGAAGAAGCTGTCCAAGGAGTCGCTCAGCTCAGAGATGATCACCTACCTCTATCCAATGTTCAAGGTGCTGGGTGAGCAGTTTGAGTCATGGTTGGCCGCCATCGCCGAGAACAAGGCACAGGCCCTGACACAGCTACCAGTCGCCCAGCTAGACCAACTCACAAGACTCAAGAACAACTTCTGGCGCAGTCTCAATGTGGTCCAGCCATTCCAGATTGGCGAGTTTGTCATTCGCTGGCGCTGGATCATCAAGGAGGTCAAGACAATCGTGCAGGCACACGCTGCCCTCTTTGTCCTGTCGAGTGGCACCGCCACCGTGTTTGAGCGCATCAACACATACCTCAGCCAGACCACGCTGTTCAGCAACAACAATCGTCTGTGGAAGCAAGCTGGCCACCCCATCGTGATGAAGACTGACGAGTTGGTACAACTTGAGGGCAAGTTCATGCAGCTCTCACAGCTCATCCGCTTCAATCACAACAATATCCTCGAGTCACCATTGCAGCTGCCAGTGTCCTACCTGGACAGCCAGTGGAAGCGCACCTTTGTTGAGGCCATCAGCACTCTCCATTGGATCAACTACCAGTTCTACGACAATGGCGCAACGACAAACGCCGTGCCACAATCACAGCGAGCACTTGAGAATGCCAAGTCGCTCATTCCCTCGTTGGTGGAGGTGCAGCAGGCGCTCCAGACCAAGCTCGATACGCTAAAGGCCGCCAACACACCGCCCAAGACAGATGGCGACGACCAAGGCAGCGAGCCAGCTGTCAACATCAACATTCAGTTCGACATGAGCACATTGCGCGCTTCCAAGGCTGCCATGTGGCCTTTGCTCCAGCACTACTCTCACACTTTTGAGAGTTCTCTGGTTGCTCAGCTCTCTCATTTGTTGCTCGGCCATAACCTGGACGTGAGCAAGGGTGTCGTGATCATTGGCGACCAACTCATGCCCACCATCAATCAGCTAGCTAACAACCTCAAGCAATACCTCGAGCTGTGCCTGACTGCCAACAGCCCCGTCCCACCCGCCAGTCTCGCCACCTATCAGAAGCTGTCGTGGATGCTCGATGGCGTGCTCGAAGCAGCCAAGAAGAAGCAACCATTCACCATTGGCATCATTGAGCTGCAGAGCATCTTCCACTCAGTGCTCTACAACTGGAATGCATCACATTGGAACAACTCTTACAATGATCTGGCTTACTTGGAGCCAGTGTCACCGGATGCCCCACCAGGTCACATCACGCTGTCCAGTCGCTTCGACAGCATCTCGCTGGGCGCTGGCCCTCCCCGCCTGTTCCAGAGCATCCAGAGCGTCTTCTCGTTCTACTTGACGCACGAGTGGCACACTACCACGCTCGAGGACGTGCCCGCTAAGGTGCAGCAGCTGCAGTCGCTCATCGACCATCTGGCCAGCACTCGCAACTCCTCAATGACCATCGCACAGACATTCAACAATGAGTGGGCAGCCTTCCGATCACTGCTGTTCATCACAATCGGTTGTTTCGTCAAATGCTACGATACTGATATGCAATCAATCATACTCAATCAAATCATGATCCTGCAGTGTGGAGACCTCACCATGACCACAGACCAGGCCATCACCGTGATCAATCAGTTGGCAAACAATGTGGTCACATCAAACAACCCGCTGCTCAACAGCCACATGACCAAGCTCATTGTCCCATGCCTGCATACGCTCGCCAAGCGACACTCTTCCAGCAGCTCCAAGGCCGACAATGGCGCGCTACTTGATCAAATGTTGCTCGGCAAGTTTGCCCTGTTGCTGTCATGTTTCCGCGTTCTCTGGCTCCTGCCCGCACACCCAGTCGACCCCACCCAGAAGTACTCAGTCATCCTGGACTACTCGCGCGAGCTCTCATCACAGCTGGCCGACGAGATCCACGTGCATCGTGTGATTGAGTCGCAGCACACTGGCAAGCAGACCAACTTGTTCATCAACGAGCTCACCGCCAAGCAGGCTGTCATTGATCGCCAGCTTAGCATCCATCAGAAGAAGATTACCCTGCGTCCAACCCCGCCCGCCTTTGACGAGTTGCATCGCGACCTCACACAGTTCATCACACAGTTCTCGCAGGTCGACAAGATCATCGACCTGGTGAGCCAGTTCGAGCTGGGCTCATCCGACGCGCAGGTGCTCTACAGCACCGAGGCCATGTGGCAGGAGAAGTCCGACAACTTTGTCTCATCTCTCGAGAAGAAGTTCATGTTGTACTACCGCGATGTGGCTGTTCCCATTGCCACAGGTGTCATGCAGATGAAGTATGGTCTTAGACTGGTGTGTGACGCGTCCAAGCAGCTCCACAACATGTCGGCCGGTTCCAACATCGTGCCACATCTTCAGCAGGTGTTGACATCCGTGTGCAAGTTCCCACGTGTGTCCCTAGCCGCCGACGGACACCTCCTGGCCGACCCCATGGAGATGTGCAGTCTCCTCATGGGCCGAGACACATTTGACGGCATTCGCACAGTGCTCCAAGCAGCCGCTGCCCAGAGTGCCACCGCACACCATCGTTCGCGCTCCAACTACCGCGTTGTGGCCATCCTGTTGCGTTCGGCTGTGTCCCAGCTATTTGCCCATGTGGCCAACACTCAATGTTTGACACACGATGTGCTCGACTCGCTTGACATGATCTTTAGGATCTTCATCCAAGAGTACAAGCTCCAGGAGGAAGAGCGCAGACGCGTCGAAGAGGAGGAGAGCCAGACCGTCAAGTTCAGAACCAAGTCGCACAAGATGGAGACACTGGAGGAGCGCGATGAGAAGGTGTTCCTCAGCTCATTCCCCAACTTTTACAAGGAGTTCTCCGATCTTGAGGACATCCAGATTGTCGCCGAGTATGGCGACATTGACCTCAACGCACCATCAACATCCGAGGACAATGGCGACGACTCCAAGACAAACAACAACAACAACAATCAAGAGGATGACGATGAAGACGAGGAGGAAGGACACGTGTTCAATCAGGCCATCAAGGACGAGGAGGTGCAACAGATCTACCTGATCCATCGACATTTGTTTGAACAACTTGATGGAATATCGCTGCCCCGCGCGCCATCATCAACTTCCAGCTTCAACCTTGACGACACCGATCGCACCCAACTGTTCACATTGTTCCACGAGTGTGGCCAGTTGCTGCTCAACGTGCTTGAGCAACGTGCCCCCAGCAACTTTGACCAGCTGTCCATCGGCGGCCATCTGCTCTCGGCCCTGATCGTTAAGGAGAAGTTGACCGAGTCGCCTCCATCGATGATCACCTACACCAAGCTTGACAAGAAGTTCCGATTCATCAAGATGGCTTCATCGCTGACCACCCATGGCACTGGCTCCGCTGGCTCCACTAGTTCATCATCAGTATTTGCCACACAGAGGAACAGTCGCGTGTACAACATCTACACTGACAGCAACATCGCAGAGATATCGATCATTCGCGAACCATTGCTGGCCATGCAGACGCGTGTCAAGCAGCTGCTGGTCGAGTTTGAGGACCATCCCATTTTGACCCTGTTGATCCGTCTCTCGGACCGCATTCTCAAGTGCCCTTCCAGCGACCCCCTGATCAAGATAGTTACCGGCCTCGAGCTACTACTGCGCAAGGCTCAGGAATGGGAGTCATTCGCTCACAAGGGCATCATGTTGCGTGAGCCACATCTCAACCAGATTTCACGCATCATTACACGATGGAGGAAGTTGGAGATTGAGAGCTGGCCGACGGTGTTCCAGGCACAGGAGAAGGAGTTTGAGATCAAGACGCTCAAGCATTGGTTCAGCCTCTATGAGATTGTCAATGATGCGCCACAAGACCTGGCTGATACCATCGCCACCGATGCGCACCTCGCTAAGATCTTCACGACCGTCCAAGAGTACCTGTACACAGCGACCTTTGGAGACATGCTCACGCGTCTGGGCACGCTCAGATCGTTCGACCATCAGCTGCTGGCCACGGTGCAGATGAACACAGACGACTCGCCATACGCCACATTGCTCATGTCCTACAAGACCAGGATACACAACATCATCCACAACTTGTACAGCTACTTCTACAACTTCATCCCGCAGTTGGAGACCAAGCTCACTCAGTTGGTCGCACCAATTGAGGAGAAGGCCGTCGAGTTCATTCGTCTCGCCCGTTGGGAGGACAACAAGCTGCTCACACAATACGAGAGATTGAAGCAGCACATTGAGAAGTCGCACAGGACACTTGCCAAGCTCACCGTCAAGTACAAGAACGTCCTGGCGCAGCCAGTCTTCAAGATCTTTGCTGAGATGGATAGCGAGCAACTGGACCTAGCGCAACTCCAACAGGCAGCTGCCCCCGCCACCAAGACCAAGAAGGCCGCTCCCAAGGGCGCACTCCTGGCCACGAGCCAGATCAAGTCCATTCATGATTGGATCGCACTCAAGCCAGAGACATTCGTGAGCGACATCAAGCAGCTTAACAAGATCAAGACACTCGCAAGCATGGACATTGGCGCCGACCTCCAAGAGCGCTTCAAGTTGACTCCCGCCCATCAGGACCTTTACCAGAACAAGCTCAGCATCCTGAACAAGAGGGTGATCGACATCTCCCAGAGCGATATCTTTGAGTGCCAGGCCTACGAGATGGTGCACCTCGGCGTCGAGTCCCTCGACACCCTGGCCACAGACATCATCGAGCGCACCAACGAACTTGCCAAGGACGACAAGGTCAAGCGCAAGGAGAAGTCCCTTGCCCTGCACAATCTGATAACCCGACTCACCGACCTTGGACTCACCTACCGCGCCTCGCAGTACCCCCAGGAGCAACTACATGTCAACTACCTCTTCAATGTTGACACCATGTCCAGCGATGCCCTGCCAACATTGGCCGCATCGCATACTGACAATGGTCGCGTGCTCATGGAGCAGGCCAACACATACTACTACCGTATTGCCGCGAGAATCAATCAACTCCGACTGCAGTCGCTAGAGTACAACCCCGATCTGTCAGCGCGTGAAGTACAAAAGATGAGCGGATTCATCGAGCACATCTTGGCGCTGATCATCGGTCAGCGTAATGAACTGATTGACGCAGTGTCGCAATGGACCACGCTCAGCACATTCGTCCAGCTCTTCCGCTCGAGCGATGACATCTCACCCAACCAGCAGTTTGTCCACAAGTGGCTCCAGCTGCAGAGCTCCCAGTTCAATCAGCTCGTCGACCTCATGAGCGAGCTGACCCTGCTGGCATCCAAGCTCGCCAATCACATTTTGCCACTGACCGATAAGACCACACTGTTGGAGGTGCACTCCACTGTTTCCCTGCTCAAGCAGGCTGTTGACAGTGACCTAGCCAATGGACGTGGACTCTACAAGTTCATTGATCACAGTCTACCAATATGCACTCAGCCCACCCAAGTACGTCTCCAGGACAACATGGACCAACTCCAAGTCCAGATCACCAAGCTGGCCGCACTCCAACAGTCCCAGACCACCGGCAGCAGCAGCATTGTCGAGGCATCAATCAACACATTCATTCAATCCGTAAGTCCATCATTCAATCATTCAATCAATCATGCACTAACACGTATAAATATCCAGTCTCAACAATTGATTCAGAGATGGAATGAGGAATCAGGACAAGAGGCACAGGCACAGGAACAACGCGTGCGTGATCCAGAGGCAATTGAGCAGTTCACAACAGTGTTTGATACAATCATCAAGCATATCCTACTCTCGATCCAGAACAAGAAGCAATTGTCCAACACTATCCAGTCACAACAAAAGGTAGATGGACAGCCAGATACCGAGGCAGATGATACCCCAATAGAGTATGATGTCCATGATGGCCATGTTGCCAAATTGAACCAACTACTCTCCAAGCATCTGTCCATGCTTCACCTCGACACGATGAACCAAGAGCTTAAGAAGCTCCATCAACTACTTGTAAGTCATCATCACTCTCTGGAATCATTCCAATCACTCAATCACTCACATACCCACTCCCTCAAATAGGTCAAGGACAACTTCACATCCGACGAGCTCAGAGTCATTAGGATGATGATGGCCAGCATGCAGCCAATGATGGATCAGTACGTGGCCTTGGCTAATCATGCAGTGTTGGACATCTTGGCTCTGCATAAGACTCTGTCCAAGCTCGAGTATATCATGTCTGGTGTGTTCAGCCAGCTCTTTACAAAGGGCTTCTGCAAGAAGGAGGAACAGAACACAGAGGCTGGCGGAGAAGGCACCAACAACTTTGAGGACGACGTCGAGGGCACTGGCATGGGCGAGGGCGAGGGCAAGAAGGACGTATCTGACGAGATCCAAGACAAGGAGCAGTTGGCCGGCACAAAGGACGAGAAGAAGGAGGAGAAGGACGACGACGAGGAGGATGAGGAGCCCGAGGAGAAGGACAAGGATGAGGGCTTCGACATGGAGGACGACTTTGAAGGCGACATGCACGACATCAAGAAGGATCAGAAGGATGACGACAGCAAGGAGAACGAAGACGATGAAGAGGAGCTTGACAAGGAGATGGGCGATCTCGAGAAGCCCGAGGACAACGTCGTCGACGAGAAGCTGTGGGGCGAGGAGGACGTCCAGGACGAGGAGGAACAGAAGGAGGATGGCCAAGGCGACGAGACAAACTCGGACGAGATGATGGCCAAGGATGAGAAGGAGGACAAGAAGAAGGATCAAAAGAAGGATGAAAAGCAGAAGAAGGAGGAGAAGAAGAAGGAGGAGGAGAAGGAGAAGAACCAGGAGAAGGGTGAGGATCAGGACGACCAGGAGGATGATGAAGGTGAAGGAGACGAGGAGGACTTTGAGGGCCAGGACGAGGACAATGTCACAAACGAGGAGAATCCAGAGGAGGAGGAGAATCACATGGACCCGAGGAAGGAGGACCAGTTCGAGTTGCCCGAGGAGATGGACTTTGGCGAGAATGATGAGGGCGATGACGCACCCCCTGAAGAGGAGGACAAGCCCGAGGACCCATTGGACCTTGACATGGACAACCAGCAACAGATGAGCGACGGCGAAGATGAAGAGAAGGAGGGCGACGAGGAGGAGGGCAGTGACAAGGACGACAAGGAGAATGGCGACGACGAGGAGGAACAACAAGACCTCGACTCAGACATCAACGATAACTCAGAGTCCACACATGTCGAGCCCGAAGCCGATCAGGACGAGGAGAAGGAAGACGACGACAAGGAGGGAACTTCGCTCACGACCGACCAACAAGACCAACAGGACCAGAAGGATTCAGAGCAGCCACTCGGTGTTAAGGACAAGACAGGTGTCAAGTCCAGCTCGGCCAACACAACGACGAGATGGACGACGAGGAGGACAAGGATGAGGACGCAGGCGATGACAATGGCACAGCCATGCCAACGCCATCCAACGACGCCAACGACTCCAGTCTGAGGAACATGCGCAATCCCAACGCCAACCAACAGCAGGCCAAGCAGAAACAGCCACCAAAGGTCGACCCCAATCCATACCGTAGTATGGGTGACGTCCAGAAGGAGTGGAAGAAGAAGCTAAAGATGCTCAATGATACCGAGCAGACCGAGGACCTCAATCTCGATGATGTGGCGCCAAAGCACGATGACAAGGCCGAGGACGATGGTGGTGATGAACAAGAGTACCAGTACATCCCCGAGGACAAGGACAACAAGGACATCCAATCCGAGCAGGCACTTGGCGCCGCAACCGACTCGCAACTCCAAGACATGCCCCAGGAGCAAACCAAGGAGGGCACTGGAGAGGACGAGGACGATGATGACGACGACCAGATGGACATCGACAACGATCAGCAAGAGATTCAGCACCAGGAGCGTCCTGAGCCCAAGAAGGACGAGCCAGAAAACAAGAAGGTGTCCACATTGTCCAAGATGCCAATGGCCGAGAAGAAGAAGCCAAAGGATGAGGAGGACGACAAGCTCAAGGAGAAGGAAGAGGACGACGACATGGACGACGACCTCAACAACACAAAGGATGCCTTGGTCAAGGACAAGGACTCAGAGAGTATCATGCGCGAAGGTGGCATCAAGGACGACGATGTCGACATGGACGACCAACAAGACGCCGACAACTCAGACATTGATGACGAGGATGTCGACAAGAAGAAGCTTACCCGCGAGGACTTTGAGCAGATGCGTCAGGACCTCGAGAAGTGGAAGATCGACAACTCAAGCAAGCAGGAGTACGGCAGCGAACTGTGGAAGAAGTACGAGCAGCTCACCAACGACCTGTCGCAAGACCTGTGCGAGCAGCTGCGTCTGATCCTCGAGCCCACACTCGCCACCAAGCTACAGGGTGACTACAAGACCGGCAAGCGTATCAACATGAAGAAGGTCATCCCGTACATCGCCTCACAGTTCAAGAAGGACAAGATCTGGTTGCGTCGAACTAAGCCCAACAAGCGCCAATACCAAGTGTTGATCGCCATCGATGACACAGAGAGTATGTCAATCTACCATTCCGGCCAGTTTGCGCTCGAAGCTATGGTCATGATATCCCGCGCCATGTCCCGCCTTGAGGTAGGCCAGCTAGGCATCATGCGCTTTGGCCAAGACGTCAGTCTGGTGCACTCATTCGACCAGCCGTTCTCGGACCAGTGTGGCGCACAGGTCATCCCGCAGTTCACATTCAAGCAGGACAAGACCGACATGGTCACGTTCCTTGGCAAGTCGCTGCAGGTTATGGAGATGAACAAGCAGTCGCAGTCAGCTGAGCCTGCTGCCCAACTCTTGTTCATCGTCAGTGATGGATGGAGTCTTCGCGATCCCGAAGGAACCAAGAAGTGGTTACGAGAGGCAAGCAACAAGAATGTCTTTATCGTATTCATCGTCATTGATAACCCTGTCAACAATCATAGTATTCTAGACTTTGAGGTATGTACATTCAATCAACAAATCAGGTCCACTCGCTCAAGCATCCACCTAACCATTCAATCAATCACTTCCAATCCAATCCAATAGTCAATATCATTCGTCAATGGCAAGATACAAAGGAGCAACTACATGAATGAGTTCCCATTCCCCTACTATGTCATTCTTCGATCCCTTGAGAATCTACCTCAGATCCTTGGTGACACACTCAGACAATGGTTCGAAATGATCAAGCATATCGAATAACCAACCAATCAACTTCATCATAATCAATAAAAATATAAATAAACAATATATATATATATATCAATTAATCAATCAATCAATCATATATTCATTTCTTTGATTGAAGTAATAATAACTTGATCCTGGAAGTTAAGGAATATTGGATTAATGTTAGGTACTGTCTGGATACTTCTCAAATAATCTATTAAACATACTACATCTAAGTCAGTGTTGCTACTATTGAATGAACTCGGTGATGAGGATGATGAATGCTTTGGTAATTCACTTGGCTTGTTAATCACAACACATCTCTGTGATTGATTAAGTTAATACCAGTCTAATAATAATTACAGTCAAATCCAGTCAATCCAGTCATACCTTAATTGACCTGCACAATTGTGGATTGTCCAATCTTCTTTGTAACAATGATTTGAAGTCAATTAACCTTTGTTCACCTGGTTCAATAGTGATTATGATCTCGGCTTGGTTGTTAAAATAGGCATTGTCGATGGCCTCGTTCAACTCGACAGAGTAGTCGATCCAACCAAAGTCGCAGAGCCATTTCCATACACCACTTCCTGTTCCCATCTTGTCACTAACTTTGTTTGTGGGTTCTCCACTACAGCCAGTAGATGTGGAAATTGGGAAGAGTGATGATGCCTTGGCCTGGTTGGGTAGTAATGTCGTGTTTGAGTTTGAGTCTGAGCATAATGATGGTAGAACTCTTATGTTTCGATTAATTGGTTTCATCTTGCTTGAATCATTATAACATTTCTCAAAGTCGATGTACGTGTCATCATCAATGTGAACTCTCTTCTTGCTACTGGCATATCCTTCTTCGATCCTCGCGCTTGTGTCTGGATCAAAGTTAATCCATCCAAGCTTCTCTTTACAAATCCATATTGCCATTGGGTCAGGAGCAGTTGGTCGATTGTTATGCGAAGGAGGAGGATGAGGAGTGTTAACCTTGGGAACATATTTCAACTCTCTCTTTAACCAGCGTATCTTGTTTGGATCGTCATATCTTCTAATCATCATCTTGCTAAAGTCGATGAATCTCTCATTGTCCAACCTGATGCTTCCCTTTTGAGACTTATAAGCTTCTTCAATGTACCTGCATAAATTAGGATTGAAGTTGATCAATTCACCATATTCATTATTCCAAGACCAAATTGCTTCTGAAGTCATGTCTATTCTAGAATATTGTATTATGTTTACCTTATTAGTTATTGCTTTGATTTGTGATTGAACATCAAACTTTTATTCACAAGGTAAATACCTTCCATTTATTTGTTTGATCAATCAAGTTATATCCCTGGTTGTTTGTTCTCTTTCAAGGCAATCAAGATGATGGGGGAAGTCGAGGGAAGTTCCTTCAAATTAATTCGTTGTTGGGCAACAGAATGTTTTTTGTTTTTTTGTGTACAACTTACTTTGGTACACGCCAAACCACAACAACAACAAAAGAGTACCACCAGGGCAAAACGAAGACATTCTTTCATTTCAATCTAATACATATATTCACATACACCAAGATACAATTAACTTGGATAACAGATACAGATAACTTCATTTATATTATTATTATATATATTCATCAATCACTCAGATTCATACAATCATTATTCACTCATTCAAACTCAATCAATCACTCAATCAATCACACACTCGATCAATCAATCATACACATTGTAAACTATTTAATATATATATATTTAGGATAAGGAGATAAAGATGAATAGATCAATAGTGCTGATGACGATTGTGGTCGCACTTTGCTTCTGCATATATCAAACGGACGCTACAAGTATACAGGGACCAGCAGGTATCAAGGTCACTGGTGCATCTGGTAATGGAAAGCCTGGTGCTGTGTTGGACAAGTATAGTAGAGACCCAGGTTTCAACTCTGCCAAGCCAAAGTTAAGATACGATTGGAGTCTCTGTCGACTACACGTCCACGACTCTGGCATGAACTACAGAGGTTTCGCCGACTTCCATCCCAGAGTCGATGAGTTCACAACTCTAAGAATCCCATTGTGTATGTTTGATTACCCTGGCATATGTCGCGTTTGCGACGTTCATATAATTAACACTCAATCAATCAAACAATCAAACAGCAAACAACAGTATTCTATTCAATCCTAATGTTACTATTTGGTTAGAGTTCCAAGCAAATGTGTCGACTGTTAACCAGGTGTACACAGAGGTTGAGAATACTTATTACTGTCCAAACGCTTCGACACCTGCCAATGCGACCGCTCCACCACCTCCCCCAGCAGGCGTCGTCTGTAACGAGACAGTGACGTTCTATAAGGTGAACGAGACGATCGTGACCAACTTTACTACGTACGGCAACATCACATTGCCACCAAAACGTGTGTACTACTACGACCTGACGCGCCAACAAGGCTACACGCTGTTCTCAATGACGGTGGTGCTCACCATTGACAAGGGCGTGCTGGTCAACGCCCAATGGGACGGCGACCGCGATCACTCCATCTGCAAGCAGTGCAACTACTGTCTGATGAACCAGTGTGCGGCGCGTGCCAACACACTCAAGTGCGACCAAGAGGCAGGCTGTGCGCTAAAGATATTCGTGGCGTGGCAGGGCAAAGACAAGAATGACAAACCTTGTATCAGTATCACAAAGGCACCGTCCAACTTTAGCATGTACTCATTCAATCCCATCTCACAGCTTGGTCTTGGTCTCATCTCTGATATTCTTGGCAAGATCGTTGGCAACACCAACAACCCCAACACAGCCTAAAAGCCTTCATCGACCAAACATTATTACCATTATTATCACCTTTATAATTATATAACTACAATCAGTATAGTATACATTACATTATTATTATAAATCATAACTGTATTGCTAGCCATCCTCCTCCCTCCCCCTTCCCTTCTTCTCTCTTTACCATCTTCCTTGCCGCCCCATCAACAACTACCTTTTTGAAGTTCGATTGGACATGGTCGTGCCATAGGATTGATGTCTTGTCTTCAACTACATTGTAATAATAAATGGAGTTATACCAATATGAATGATATCCTGGTAATGTACCCTTTGCAGTCTGTGTCCATTCATTCCCAAGAAACTGGCTTTGATCTTCACAACTTGTAAAATTGGCGCGACACTCATCAATCTACAGATCATTCAAACATATAAATTAAACAAATACATATACGACAATGAAGATATCACTGTTGTCAATCATCAAGAAGACATCGGTACTCATAGTGGCAGTATCATGTTTGATCATTACATTGTTCTCAACTGTACATCTGATAGACTTCCTCTCATGGATTACAGGTGATGAAAGTACAGCTACACAACAACAACAGAAGAAACATTTGAATGAGCAATACTATGATGATCCGGACAAGTTGCGACAGCTGGAGCGTGACACACGCCTTCATTTCATAATGGACATTGTACTTCTGACATTGTTTGTACTACAACACTCAATGTTGGCAACTGATAGCGTCAAATCATGGTTCTCAGGCAAAGGCACGGCGATCAATGCATTGCAACGATCATTCTATCTACTATGCACATCGATCAGTATCGAATTGTTGATAATGTTCTGGCACCCACTGGACAACATTGTAATATGGCGCATCGATGCACTTCAACCCTACAGCCAACTCATCAAGTCATTAGCCAAACTACTACTGCTAGTTGAACTCATCGTAGTGTTCGATGTCTTGGAGTTCACTGGTCTCAAACAAGTATGTAGCTTTTCATTCATCAATCGATAACCAACCTAACTCAATCACACTTTGCCCAGGTCTATAGATACATTATGAACATGGAAGAGAAGCCATTATTTCCAGCACATTGCAGCTATCTTCAGAGCATGAGACATCCAAACTTGATTGGTGTCATGCTGCTTGTGTGGTCAAGTCACAAGATGACTCTGGACTTGCTGTCCATCTGTATATTCTTCATGTCCTATATGTTCATTGGTCACTCCATGCCAACAAACGATCGCAAGGCAATTGGACAGCATTGGTACAATCTTCTCAAATGGAAGAGTAATTAATTAAATATTTAATGGACAATAATATACCTTGTTACTTGCTAGCCAGCTAGCCTATCGTTTATTCTTTACAGTGGCCACAGTAGAGAAGTCCAACTTGATGACCGGCGCCAGGATGACCTCGCGATGGCCTCTTGGTGTGTACCATTCATAGTACTGTTGTTCTTTGATGATCTCGGTAAGATGCTCAACGATGGTCTGGTCGCAGTGGCTCAGCTCCCATCGCTTGAACAAGTTCTTGGCTTCGATGTTCCTTGCAGTAGTTGTAGTATTACATATTGCTTGCAGTTGCCTCTCAAGATGTCGCGAATGAGGTCGCTGGTGGTGTCTGTGCTGATGTGTCTGGTCGATCTGTTGATGGCCAACATGATCCTCTATGATGGCGATTGTCTGTGGCATCGTCTGCTCTTGTGGCCCATCGTCTAAAACATGTTGTTGAGGTTGTTGCTGCTGCTTGGTGGGTGTCGATTGTTGTCCATTGTCAGCCATCGTGGCGATCAGTTGGGATTCAGAATGTGATCGACGTGTCAGTCTTGGAGGTGGCACCGAGTGCGGTGACTTGGAAACTGGCATCGATGTGTTGAATGACACTAGATTGGTGTTGTTGATACCAATGGCATTGGGCGATGGTAGCTCTGAAGTGGAGAATGAGAGAGATGGGTCGCCAGCGCGTGGAGCATGATGATGATGCGCACAACATGCATGATAGTAGATGAAGCTCTTCATTGCCAACTCAAAGAACATGTACTGAATGTGACTAGTGTACACACTCTCATTGTCATTCCACTGCTTCTTCAGACCAAGCATCTCCTCAATGATGCCTCCAGTCGACTGATATAGTGGGCCTGTATACTCTTCAGTGTCTAGGTCAATCTTGCTCACGTAACACTATGTTGATTGATTGATTGATTGGTTAGCCATTCGTGTCGGGACTTAGTAGTTCCGTCAGCATACATACCATGACATTGGTTGGAATCTTAAAGTTAGGTGTCATCTTGGGTATGCCAACTAGTTTGAGCCATGAGAGGTCTGAGAGGGTCAGAGGCTCCTTGCGGTACAGCTCGATGGGCTCCTTCTTGTTGCACTTGGAGTAGCAGCACACGACAAAGATGCTCAATGAATAGACCATTGAGAGGATGCTGAGGTTCTTGTCCGGACTGCCGACAATGACCACAGTGCGTCCTTTCAGCAGCGAGTAGATGGCATGCTTCATCCACACGTACTTTTGTGCAAACTTGAGCAGACCCTTACCATACTCTGGTCGTCTGCTGTTGCCCCAAAGGAAGTTGGAGAAACTCTCCAACTTGAAATCTGATGGTGTAGTTGTCTGTTGTTGTTGTTGCTGTTGGGCTTGCTGACTCATCACTATCGGTGAGAGTTGTTGAGCTGGTGTTACAAAGGTTGATGTTGTTGGAGGTGTTGATTGATTACTCAATGGAGGTGACATATTTGAGTTGTTGTTGCTGTTGTTATTGTTGTTATTGTTATTGTTGTTGTTATTGTATAGTTGTCTAAGGTAGCTCTCATCTGGAGGTGATAATGACATGTCGGCAAAGTAATCATTCCTGGGTTGATTGATGGAGTGGACGAGTGAGTGAATGAGTGAGTGAGGCAGGTGACATTGGAAGATTGGACATGGACATACATTGAACCAGATGAGTAGACAGAGAGATAGGAGCTGGACTCGGATCCAGACAATGAGTCGATAGATTGTGCTTGGGTTTTACCTGATCGATAGGCCTGTCTGGCCTTGATATCTCTCTTTTGTGACTTTGTGTATTGATGTCTCCTCTCTGTCTCACTGTAGAAGAAGTTAAGTATCGATGTCTGGCCGATGGATAACAATGTGCTTGAAGGGTCTGTGTTGTTGGGAAAGAGTATGTCAGTCAATAAATCAGTCCAGTGGACTTGGACACAACGACAACCAATACTTACACAATGATTGTGCATCGATGTGATCAAACTCTGCCTGGATTGATGATCTGACAAAGTAGTTATGGCACTTCTCGAGCTTGCTTAGGAACTTGTCCAAGATGTCCAATGAGCAGAGCTCTTGGATGGTGCGCAGTGCGCGGTCAAGGTGTGATGTCTTTTGAAGTGAGTCAAGTATCTTGGCCTCACCACTGATGGTAGCGGGCGTATCACTGATGTAAATGTAACCAAAGTTTGGACCATCTATACAGTTTGGAAGTGTACCTCTCTTGCCACCTGCTGCTGCTGATCTCTTTGATTGACCATCCATTGTCCTTCTACGATCGGACAGACTACCATCCACATTACCATTGGCCATTGTCATCCTCCTAGCCTCTGCATCTGTCTGTCTATTCATTCTCTCTGTATCAAACATAGTCTCTATCGATCTAAGTTCTGACCTTGCATCCGAAGCTGCATTAATCTGATGTGATTGAATGATTGATTGAGTGAGTGTGGCTTGCAAATGTGGCGAGTAATAGAATGAGTGATGGTACATACATGCTTCTCAATGTCCTTGACTTTGAGAATTGCTTCGTTGACAAGGCCGACGGAAACAGTGTCCTGTGGGTCAGCGCCATTGGTCCTGATCGCGCCATAATGTTCCAGGGTGTAGTCAAGGTCTCTGACTCTCTGTCTAAACTCAATCTCGAATGATTGATGGTTAACCATCTTGAGGAAGTTGACAACCTTTTGGATGGAAATATGGATGTTAGTATCTTGACCTGGACTCGCTCGTTCGCCCGACCATCATCAATGACATACATTGGTGAACTTTGTGACAAACTTGTCAAAGAACTTGATGATCTTGTTGGAGTCACGTGTTAGGTAACTTATTACAAAGGGACGGACGTAGCCACGAGCATGGATGTCGTAGAGAGAGAAGTGGTGGACGTAGGCGTAGAGCTCGTATGCGCTGTTGGTGGTGGTCAACGTGAAGTACATGTGGGCGTCCTTGGCATAGGTGCGCAGGTCATTCGTCTTGTTCTGGAAGTCGACCGACATGATCTTGACGACGTACTTTGAGATGTCAAAGCCATCGTACAATGGCAGATGGTCGGGGATGACATGTAGTGGCACGGGGCCAGTCTGTTCACTAAACTCTGACAGTATTATAAAGTCCAAGTGATTCCTGTTGGTCGACAACAAGTTGCCAAAGCTTCCGAATGAGTTGTGTGAGTGATTACCAAATGCAGGTGCTGGGATACTGCCCATACTAGAGTATGGTGATACTGTTGTATTGTTATTATTAATAGATGTTGAGTTGTTGTTGTTGTTGTTGTTGAGGCTGCCTGTCAAGTTGGTAGTGCCACCAACAGCACCATTTGTTCGATTCATTGTTGTTGTTGTCGTTGATACTGATGTATCCAATGATGTTGTTGATGATGTCGATGTTGTCAAACTCGATGTTGATGATGCTAACTTTGTTGACTTTGTTGATGCTGTTATTGTCGCTCCACGTGGAGATGTAGTAGTAGTCTTTGTAGTAGGAGTAGGAGTAGGAGTAGGAGTGGGTTGTGATTCGTATTCGCCAGAGTCCATCTCACTGTCCAGCCATGATTCAAGCAAGAATGATTTTGTTACAACTTCGGATGATGAGTGACTAGTGACAGAGGTCATGTTTGCTGTGCTGTTGTTATTGTTGTCTTTGCGCAAGTGCGCAAGGCAAGAGAGAGAGATCCTGACGGCCTGCGCCTGGGTTGGTTAGGTGGTTCCTGGGCGATGCTCCCAAAATCAGGACTCTTGGGAGAGTGAGGGGAACAAAAGATCTTGTTTGAAAACAAAAGATTTAAGTTGGCCTTGGTCCTCTGTCTCTTTCTTTGTTAAAGTATCTCTCTATATTTGTTTTGTCTCCAAAGTCAAATAATTGTATGTGTATAATCAATTGAATAGTTATATTACAAAGTAGTGTAAAAGTGATCAGAACAATCTGAATGACTTGGTCATTGAGTTAGCAAGATGTGGGAGTGTGGGTGGTCCTTTGCTTTGACTCCTTGTTGTTGGAAACAGCCCATTTGCATTTGCTTCACACACTTTGATAAATATCCAGGGTGTGTGGTAGGGAGATTGAAGTTCCAACTCTTGAAGTCAGTTTCAACTTTACAATGAATGAAAGTCGAACTCATTGTGGTATACTTTATACAAATAATAACATTTATAACATATAATAATACATTAGATATAAATATGAGCGAGACAACAGGTGGTGATATTAATGATTCACAATCAACAAACAACTGTCCAATATGTCTATCAAGTATTACTTGTTTGACATTAGTAATTCCTTGTAATCATTCATTCTGGTAATATATATACTCATACATAATGTGTAGTTTCAACATGATATAATGTAAAGACTAACAAACAAACGACATAACAAATGTAACATAATATAGTCTAGAATGTATAGAGAATTGGATAAAGAATAAGAATAGTTGCCCTCTATGTAAGACAGAGATAAAGGAACTTGTGGTGAAGGATGAGGGTGATAGAAGGATTGAGGTGTTGCCACCTCAGATGCCACATCCAAGCAAGGTAGAAGCGGATCTAGCTTGTTTAGATCATACATACTTTACAGAGGAGATTAATAAGTTGTTGATATTGGCAAGCTCCGTTGGATACAAGGTGGAGAATGCACGTGGTTTGAACTCTAGCTCAAAGGTTTATGTCAATCACACGGCCAACAATCAGGGTGACATCACCTTGATGGTCACGATCAATGAGTCACTGGGGCGACTGCAGCATGACATGGAGCAGCTCACAAGCTTCGATCCTCAACAGATGTTGTCGGAGCTCTACTCTTTAGAGACCACATTGAAGGATCTCGATCGTGTATATAATCAATATCATCTATATCAAAACCACAATGGACATAATAATAATAACAGTAACATTAATAGTAATAGTAGTAATAGTAATAATAGTAGTAACAGACATGGTCATGGTGGGCATGGTGGACATAATAGAGCAGCAGCAAGAGGAGGAAGATATGATGATGACGACTATGACGATGATTACTACTATGACGACAGTGATGATGAGGATCATGATAAGTACTACGAGTCAGTCGATGATAACAAACAAAGATATCCAAAGAGTGGCAATGGCAAGAGGAAGTAACTGTGAGTGAGTGACATCATCAACATCCATCCATCCCACTCCCCCAGGATACCGAGGACGAGGCCTGGTGATCGATCAATCATACACACACTCAATCGATTATGTCTAGTTCTTCAAGATCGATGTCATGACCCTTGGAAGGTCTAAGAATATGACATACATGACCAGTTTACCCAAAGTCCTGTTGTCCATCCATCAGTCGGTCTGGAAGACCTAACCAGGTTAAAATAATATTATTTTAATAACACTTTCACAAGTTCATCAAGTGTTGGTGTCGAGTCGATATATATTCAGAATCTGATCTGAATGAAGCTTGGTAAAGTTGAAGAAGAAGCGAACCATCACAACATCAATAACAATGATGGATGTCGGGTCTTCCGTTTGGACCTCACCCCTTCTGTGAATTTGAACCTTCCTGGGGTTGTAGGTGTGTATGTTTGATGATGATGTGAGTTGGAAGTGAAGGGGTTGAGTTGGAAGTGTGTTGGTTCTAGTTCAACAACAACATCATCATTATCATCACTTCACTCTTCACAACAACAACTATAACAACAGTAATAACAAACAACAACTTTTACAAACAACTATTGCATACATCATCATCATCATCATTAATAATAATAAATCAAGCAGAGGATTAAAGATAGAACATGGACACCACCAAGTCAAAGGATGTCATTGAAGACCTTACTCGTCAATTGGCAGTGGAGAGATCTAGAAACAAGACGTTGACTGAGGAGGTCAAGCATTTGAAGGATCAACAACTACGTATTGTAAGTGTTTGTTATGTATATTAGACTGGACTGGACTGGATTGAAGAGAACTAACAATGACAACAACAACAACAACAACTATAGCAATTAGTTACAGAGAATGAGGAAGAGTATATTACAAACAAGTTTATGAAGTACTTGAGTCAGTTGAAGAAGGAGAAGGAGGAGCTGGCACTCAAGGTCGAGCAGGAGGAGGAGTACTTAACAAATACTCTACAAAAGAAGATGCTTGCTGTAAGTGTCATTTGAATCATCGTAGATTGAGAGTTGATTGATTGATCTAACATCTGTTGTCATATATTTAGATCATGCAAGAGAAGATAGACTTGGAGAACAAGTTGGAGGCAGAGGAAGAGTTCATCGTCAACAAGTTGCAGAAGCAGATACAATCAGTGATGAAGGAGAAGAAGTATGTTTGATTGATTGACAAGATTTGAGTGATGTGAGTGATAATGAAGTCTAACCAATGGATCAACTATTAATTAGGGTACTGGAGAAGCGATTGGAAAGCGAGTTGAGTGATCACAAGTACTTGTTGAAGCTGGAGAGTGAGGTCATCGCCTTGAGGAATAAGATTAAGGAGCTAGAAGGATCAAGTAAGTAATAGACAACGATACATTGATGAACAATACTAACATCGTCAATAGCTGAACATAGCAAGGATGACATTATATCATTGAAGGCAGAGAACTTTGTACTCAGCCAAAAGATCGTCAGAGAGCAGGAGCGCATCAACAAGGTGAACACAGAGAACACAGATCTGATGACCAGACTAGAGATTGGTGATGAGCGGTATGTTGGTCATCTGTCTGATTGAAGACATTGGATAAAGGCAACAAACACAGTCACAGACTAATCATTCAATCAATCAATCAACCAACCAATCAACGACAATAGTAACTTCAACAAACAAAAGAGAAACAGGAGTGTCTCTGTACCAAACGAGGTGAAGATCACTACATCATTCATTGCAAGTCCATCACCAAAGATGAACCCGGTGCCAATATCACGTGCGAGATCATCGTCGTCAAACAGCAACACATGTCTGCTGCCAAAGGTGCTTCGCGAGGGCTGGCTAAAGACAAAGGTGGACAGTGGGCGCCTTGAGCGCAGATTCTGCGAGCTGCTGTACAATGGCGAGCTGCGAGAGTACCTGGACGACACCAAGCAGGTGCCATTGTCGACAATCAACATGGACAACGTGGTCGATATCGTGGAGATCCCAGGCACCCCATCGCCTGCATCTGTGTCCACGGCCTCCAGCAGCATGCTCGAGCTGGTCTTCTCATCGACGTCCAATGCTAGCGCATCCGAGACGGCAACGCCATCACTCGTGGCCTGCTATTCGATCGACAAGGGCGAGCTCCAGCAATGGAAGAATCTTATGATCCAGTTGATGCCCAAGCCACCAACCATCCGCTCATCGTCCGAGTCTTCATGATTTGATTGAATGCACCTGGATGCTGCCACGAGCTGCTGTCATCTTCATCATCATCATCATCAACATCACTAAGTTACATTACTACCACTATCAAGAGGCAAGAGGCACTACGCCACACAAACACAAACATGCCATCTCCATCTACATACATCCACTATCCACTGGCTGATCATATGGACTGCGATGCGCGATCCTGGCCACACCCCCTATACCATCTCTATATCCATTCATTATCCAACAATATCCATTATCCATTATCCAATATCCACGAAGAAGAATAAGAACACGAACATTTCCACGTCCACGTCCATCGACGCCATTGTCTGCGTCATCTCGCGACGTCCAAACGCATATCCACTCACTGGGCTGGTTACCAAGTTGTAAATAAACAGGAGTCACCATGATGGGCACATGTCCAGCCCGCCTCTTATACATGCTTTAGCTTTGCTTGATATCTTGGATGGATGGTCGTACATATTTACTTCTCCTTCTTCTTTACAAAGCAGTAGTAGTTGTCATGATCCAAATTGTTTGATAACGTCTCAATGCCTGGTATTGGCGCCAGTAATGATTCAAACTCGCCATCACTGAATAGATGATAATATCGATGAAACATCTGGTATGATGACCCAGACTTCTGGACCTCTGATGACTCAATGTCCTCGCTCGACGTCTTGCCATTACTAAACTTCTGTTGGAACATCCAAGGTACAATCACATCCTGTGAATCATAGTTCTTTCCTTTCTAAAGATGTTTGATTGATTGATTGATTGAGTAAGCGAGTGATCGAGTGATTGAGTGATTGAGTGATTGAGTGAGTGATTGATCAATCACATCATACCCATTTCTGTGTCATTGCCCATGCAGTCACAAGCATCACTCCGCCAGGTTTCAGTACTCTTACGATCTCCTAGAGTGATGGTTGATGAAAGGTCAGTCAGTAAGTACCTTGCCCTGTGCCCTCACTCCACACAGCACAACATAACATACTCTAAGAGCAGCGTGTCTTCGCTCAAACGTTGAGAAGTGATGTATGACAGCTATTGAAATGGCATAGTCGAATGAGTCGTCGCGGTAGGGTAGATAGAGGTTGTCTGCAACCATTGATTCTCTACCCTTGCCATCACTGATCGTTGCGAAACTACTGCATATGTCAGAGCCAATTGTATATATGTTGGCGCTGTTCACGCCGAGGTATTTGCCATTGCCGCAGCCGACATCGACTCCGACTGCACCTGCTGCCTGTTCATTTAGAAACTGCTCCACCATTGGCCATGCCTTATATCTTGTGCTGTCAAAGTGTGATGATATCACATCATATATCTTGTGTACATGTTTAGATTCCAAATGATAAGCGTCCCTATCATTCGTTGGTTCACTAAAAGGTACTCTTGCAGAGACGTCCACCGGTGTCTTTCCATCGACACTTCTTTCATTACTCGTACTAGTTGTAGTACTAGTTGTCGTACTAGTTGTACTACTGCTACTCATTGTTTGTTTGTCGATTGAAGAATGAAAGAATGAAGTAGAGAAAACTTGAGAAGAAGTGAAGGGAGGGTCAATCAACATCAAATTCATCCTCAACTTACACGACATCACATCACAACAACAATGACAATGTTAAACAACTTATTGTTGGCATCGATTGTTAGATTGTTGTGGACTTCATCATCATCGGATGATGTGGATCATAAGAGATGGGCAAGAAGATCACTCCCATTGGTCAGTTGGTCATTCCATTCATTGTTCAGATCATTGAACTCACATCTCATAATCAATGTTGGTGCACAATCTACATGTGATCATGATGATCATCTGAATATTAGACCATACGACTATGTTGATGTTGATATGATTGATTCATTATTCGATGTAACACTTCATCTCCTCGACAACAAGTACTCATTATATCATTCACAACATATTCAATCAATCATTCTTCAAGGTGTCGATGATACAAAGAAAGAATATACAGAGGATGGCGATGTGATTCTTGACTTCAGACCAACAACCAAACCGTTATATCCATCCCACCCTCTCGAACAAAAGCAGACCGACATCAAGATGATGCTTCAATCACTCACTTCTCGCCCAAACAGCTCTGTGACGGTTGGCATCAAGAAATTGTTTGCTGGACAGGTGACCAAACTCATTGATCACTTTGCATTGGATCCATTATCAATCGATTCACTCGTCATCAATCATCTCTATCCAAATCCATTCCAATGTATGATTGAGCGACTTCCACAAGGCAATCAACTCAAGACACTTGACCTCCGAGTGATGAATCCAACCCACTGCTGCCATAGAGACTACCTCAAGTTTGAAGATGGTGACTGGATGGAGACAATGAGTAGAGAGCTGTTTGGTCGCAGCACCAACATCACATCACTGGCCATCTATGATGAGTGTGGAGGCGGTGACTCTGCCTACGCCATGTATGTCATTGGCAAAGCGCACAAGTTCTTTGGTCACCTGGATCAACTTAATAGTCTGGAATCACTCTCATTTGACTTGTCACCGACGTGTGATCATGACTATGTCGACCAGCTTCATGAGGATAAGGGTCAGGTGTTTCTTGAGTCCCTCACAAAGTTCATGCAACAACATCCGACACTGCACACGTTCAACTTTGCCAGATGTTTGCCAAAACCAAGAGGTCATCGCATATATCGGTCACGAGGAGGCAATCATCGTGAACCTACCCCAGAGTATCTACCGATTCTGGAGTACTTGTTCACGGACGCCACGTGTCCTGTGAGGAACATGTCACTGGAGATCTCTTCAGAATATACTGTGCTTCCCATGCTTAGTCGGACGATTGACTCAATCATTTTGAACAGAAGTGACTCTTATTACAGTATGGGAATGTCGTGGGAGGACGACATCTCAATGGTTATCAATCTCAAGACAATGGTTACGAATACTCTGGACCTCTCACATTTTGATATGTTTCAAATGTCAAACAATGATAGTAAGTCTCCAAAGATCATAAGGAAAACAATCAACAATGAGTTTCGATTTGGATTGTTCATTGGCGAAGTCTACAAACCTCCAAATATATGTTCCGCTTATGTTAACAATCCCGATGGTGGAATTATCTGGATCGATAAACAATGAGTATTTAATAAATCAATCAATCAATCAATCTCTAATTATTTTAAAGTGAGTAACCAGATTCGATTGTGGCAGCGATCCCGCCAGCGGGTGATCAAAGTGATCTCCAAACCTGAGCACGCGAAGCTACTTTGGCAACACATCAGCGTGGAATGCATTAGAAGATCATAAAGATAACAAAGGTCATCTTGGAGAGAGGATGATGTTTGGATTGTACAATCGCTCCCTAACTATCTGAACAAGTTTTTCTTTGCAATCTTGGACATCCTCTGGATCGGAGAGAATATCAATGAGATCTGTCAAGTCAGCAACATCGGAATGTAGGGGATTGTCACTGTTTTGTCTTGATGTCTTCCCCTGTTTTTTCTTGTACGTGGATCCTAAGGACTTCTTAGATGAGGCTGTCTTCGATGTTGAGGTTGTCCTCTTTTTTTCTTTCGTTGTTGGTTTGTCATCCTGATCATCGTCATCGTCATCGTCCTTGGGAGGACTTGCGTTTCCGAGTGATTGGCTTGTGGATATTTGTGACCCTCAAGAACTGATTCCTCGCTCCATTGACCACCTGGAAGTTCAGTATTGATCTGGTTGATTGTTGCGGCTCCTTCCATGTAGACAACTATTCGTTTCAAGTACTGTCTTTGTTTCTTCAAGGCGTCTGTGTTTCGATCAATTGCTGCTGCCATTGACTCGATGTTACGATCAATAGATGCCATTGTCTTGTTCAAATTCTCTAAAACATCTGTGCGTTGTAGAAAGGTAGAGCCGTCTTGAGTTTGAATGTTTGTATTGAAATAAGTTGAGTTGGACGATCTGGATGTCACTTTTTGAAAACTCATAAATAAATAAATATCCTTCAGTCCAACCCTTCCTCAACAACTATCATGGGTTATGCCTTGAGACACCTCACAGGCCACTATTTTTTATTATTTCATCGGTGTCTATATAACTCGTTCGTTCATCCTCACACTCATTAGCCTTGGAAACGAAACATAGAATGTATGAAGGGTTGGTAACTAAAGGGATAGGGATGGGTGGGAGATAGTTGTCTTCGTTGTGTTGTCCTTCGGATATTTATCAACAACACTTCCTACGTCGTATTGTTTCACAAATAAATAAAATCCAATTAAACAATTTATCTCTAACAGATATAACATGACATTATTTAAAGAGTACTCACCACATAATCAATCACCAATTATTTTAACGTGAGTATCCGGATTCGATGAGATGGCGCCAACACCTTGGTCGATCTGATGAGTGCTGCAGTGGCATCAATCTTTCTAACTTGGTACATGGTCAAGGTCTCCTTGCCATAGAGTCGAATTATAAAGGTCTCCACATTTGGCTTGGCAACGAATAGACTCTTGATAAATGTTCCAGCCAAACAATCATCATTCATCACTGTCTTATACGTGGAGGATACTGCCACATTCAATGATCTGAGTTTGTTTGTTGATGGAAGTTGCAGTTGATCCACATCAACAGCATAATGTATCTTTACATTCCCGATTGATTGATTGACACTGTCTGTGGTGATGCTCTCCATTTGCATTTGGAAACTGGCTGCATTGAAATCATCATAGGATGGAAGTACAATAGACAACAGATTGGCGGGATATTGAATTGATTGACAGTGCGAGAAGCTATAGCCTAGATCAAGATGTTGGATTGATGGTGGAAGTACATCATTGCCATCGATTGGTGTGTCGAACGAACGTCCAAGAGCGAGATGGGTAAGTGATGGTGGCAGCGATCCCGCCAGCGGTTTGTCAAAGTGATCACCAAACCTGAGCACGCGAAGCGACTTTGGCAGCACATCAGTGTGCAATAGTCGATCAAAATGATAACCAAAGGTCAACTTGTGAAGGGTAACGGGCAACGCGTTGAGATGTATGTTTGAGTTGAAGTAATAGCCAAATGTAAGTGAGGTCAAGGCCTTTGGCAAAGACCCTGCCACTATATCCTGATCGAATGAGTATCCCATTGTAAGTTTGACAATATGCAGGCACAGATGTAGTGATCGAGGCACGTGTGTCGTGGATAGGACGAGCTTGGTGAGTGATGTTGGTAGTGCGCCAGGTTCAAGATGGTGGTCCACAGAGTACAACACAAGCGACCGCATTGATGAGGGCAGCACACCTGGCCCCAGTGTAGAGTTGGCGTAGGTCATCATTGTGAGTGATTGTGGTAGCGATCCAATGGTGATGGGCTGTTTGAAATTACATGATCCATTAAAGAGTAGTGTTGTGAGTGATGGGAGAGCGCTAATGGAGTCGATCGACTGATTGAAGCTTAGACCAAACTTGAGCTCCAAGAGCGATGGTGGTAGCGTGTCTCGGAAGATGGGTCTGCTGAACGATGATCCAAAGTTGAGCTTGGTAAGTGAATGAAGTGTTGCCACTTGGTCAATCATTTGATTGAACCAATCGCCAAAGATTAGAGTTGTGATACCAGCTGGCAACACTGAAGGTGGAAGTGTTTGATTGAATGATCGTCCAAAGATCAGAGTTATGAGGGAGGCAGGAAGTGTGCCTGGGAGGAGCGGACGATCGAATAGCTTGCCAAATGTAATCGATGTGATTGATTGTGGCAATGAGCCAGCCTTGATCTTCTTGTTGAATCCATCACCAAATGTGAGTGATCTCAATGATGTTGGCAGCCAACCTCTGTAGCTGCTGCTGCTGGTGGTGGTACCATCTGACCTTCGACCCTTCGACCTGAGAACACGCTTGATAATCGACTGATTCATCTTTTGATTGAAGCTGTTGCCCAATGTCAATGAGGTGATGGTCTGAGGCAGTGCGCCAGGCATGGGTATCGTGTTGAACATATCACCAAAGACAACCCTTTCAACAACACCATCAGGTATGTCACCAGTCTTTAGTTGATCATTGAAAGTGTCACCAAATGTCAAAGACTTGCTCAAAGGCAACAACTGTTGTGATGATGATGTTGATGATGATGAGGATGATGTTGATCGTCTGGTTGAGTTCACATTATGCCAGAGACTATGTAGTGATTGTATCCTTGGACTTAGAAGTTTATACAATGTCTTGCAAGTCAGACACAACATCAACGAGTCAAGAACTTCCTTGTCATCGTTATTGACAGTATACAACACATCCAATATCAGTCTAATGATATTATGTGGTAGATGTTCCATCTTATTCTTATCTGTTTGTTGTGTTTCAAGATTGATTCATCCATCCATCAATCACATAAAAACGTGATGTTCATTCATTCCACAGACCAATCACTTAACCATTCAATCAACTAACCATCAAATAACATAACAAACATCACAATACTAATCAATGTACAAATTGATTGTTCGTAATGTCAATCTGACAACTGGATGTTCATAGTTTGAATACTTGGAAATGATGATTATACTTGTACAAGTATCAAAGATCATAAAGCATCAGATATTGAGTGATAATTATTACACATTCAGACCAACAAAGGGGGGTACTTTCCTTTCTTGATGTTATGGGCACATCGTCATTAACTTAAATGATGAACATACGACTTCCAAGAAATTCAACATATATGTTGCTTAGGCTAACATCACTATTCGTCTTTTTATTAATAACCAATCTTGGGTGGGTCTGTCTTTGATCACAAAACAACAACACAAATATCACAACGTCGTTTCGTTTTTTATTTGATCATTCATTACTGATTACCTCACATAAATACATAATAATAATAAATGGACGCCACTACTTCAACTCCAGCAACACCAACTATTTCATTCAGAACAATCCCTGATGCAACATTGTACGCTATCAATCATAAGGGACCATATTATGGAATTGGCAAGTGTTTCCAACAAGTTGCTCAAATAGCTGCCACACAGGGTGTGATCAGCAAGGGTGTGTTGGCCGGTCTGTTCTACGACAACCCCGCCACTACACCAGAGTCCGAGTTGAGATCAAAGGCATGCTTCTACCCATCTGCTGCTGACCTATCTGTCAAGATTGAGGATCCAGCCATAAGCACCGTCACTCTACGCGGTGGCGAGTACGCCGTATTCCTACACAAGGGACCATATGAGACATTGCCCGCTGGATGGATGTACGTCTTCAAGACATGGAGACCAGCCTCTGGTCGCGAGGTCATTGTCGACGATGACCATCCCACCATGGAGATCTATCTCAATGATTATACCAAGGTTGCCAGTGAGGACCTTCTCACAGAGTTACTTGTTGCTCTCCAATAAACATGCACCCTTTTGTCCAAAAATAATGTAATGGCCCAACACTAAACTTGTCGCTTCTAAGTTTGGTCATGATCATTGGGGTTGTGTTGGCCTCCAAAATATCAGCCCATCACCAAATTGCCTTTTCTGGACATCCTCGCGCACTCCAGAGAATCATCAATGCGGAGGTAGATAGACAAGTGAAGGTAGTAGTCGGACTATCTTTCCTTTCCCTCATTACGATCAATCAACACATCAACACACTACGAGACACCGTCAATCAATCATAAATTTACTCTTTCAAACATGTCCAGAACAACTCCATTTATATCAATTATCCTGGTTTTCATTTGCTTTTGCCAATCAGTAAGTTTCACGTGATCATCTCTCGGATCACATATATAAGGGCTCAGAGACTGACCATCCATCTATTCAATTTATTCGATCCACCAAGGTGCCTACTGCGACATCAGCTCCAAATGTGTTGAATGTATTTGCTGGCGACACCAACCAGTATGCCAGAGTGAACCTGACCTCTGGTGCATTGATGGCCAATCAGTCACCCAATCAACTTAATTGCCAACCCACCCTGTTGGGAATCGTTGGCTACCAAGGCAAAGATGGTGTTCTGGTCAATGGCTTCTCTGGTTGCAATTGGAATGCGCAAGTGTATCTCTACAACGTCACCACCAACAATTACACACCGTTGTACGCGGCTGGCTCATTCCAGATTGACACAATGGGTGGCAATGACATCAACTATCAAATGTTCAACCATAGCATCTTCTACATGAGTTTCTCCCTCATATACAACAAATACAATCTGGCTGTATACTCGCTCACCTCCTCAGGACAGTAAGTACAATCACTCATTAACCTGTGATGGATGCGATCACTGACTGACTGATTGGCTGATTGAAACTCACAGGAATGTGTACTACCTCATTGAGATGAGTAATGAGATAAACACATTCAATGGATACTTGGATGAGAGCACAAGCATCTACTACATGGCCTACCTCTACCAAAACAACTCGATTGCAATTTATCAGATGAAAGTTTCTGGCAATTTTGTTGTTGAGAAAGAAGAAGAAGAAGAAGTCGAGCAGGAACCAGTCTACTTTGACATCCCAGAGATGAGTCTGGAGCATTGCGTCAATAACTCTGCCAGCGGTGAGCAGCTGGTCACTGCCTACACCTACCTCGCCTTCCAAGTGTACCAGGGCAAATTGTTTGTGGGCACCGGATGTCGAAACCCTGGCTCACCTCTCTACTTTGCCCAACTGGACATGGACACTGGCAATCACAAGGAGATTCTCTCCATCCCCCACGTCACCATTCCAGGCTTTGAGGAAGCCTTTGTATTTGATCCTGTCACTGGCTATGTCGCAGGATTCGTCCATGTCAGCAACAGCACTCTTCAAGTGAACATGATCAACCTCAACACATTGGATGTCACCCAGAGTACCATTCCCAACTACTTCCCCAACTACACCTCTGTCATGTCAATTCAAGCAATCTAATAAACTTATCGAGACAAATCCATCAGTATGGTTTCGCTGGATGCTGTCATTGTCATCAATCATACTTGCAATTAATCAATCAATCTTATTTGTTTTATCAAGTAAGATACGATAATGGCTGGACACCACAAGTGTTCAGGTGCAAACGAAGGGTCACAAAGTGAATCCACGAGGTAGCCCAGGGCTTCGGTCACTCATACATCACCATTGTATTATTGGGCTGAAGCACCAAAGCTGATCTCCCAGTTAGTTCCCATCAATCAACCATTGATTCGCTCGACTTACACCCATCACAAACCTGGCAACACACAATCACTCACACACAGCTCGCAGATATTTTTTTCGAGAGAACTACATCGCTTTTTCTAGTACTCGTTTTTGATCACCTTTTCAAAACTAAACTAAACTAAAAAATGAATCTGATTTTGACATGAAATACTCGAGTTTTGATATAACTGACGAGCCAAACGTCCATCTTACGGCAGCGTGTCAACTCTGCCGAGTGAGGAGAGTGCGTTTGGTGAGGTATGTATGAAGAAGAGGGTCGAGCTTAGAGAATTGTTAACAAGAGTTGTGTGCTAGTGTGCTCTCGAGAAGATCGAGGTACATCCATCATTTCGCAATAGATTCATTCATTCATTCATTCACTCACCTTACTTATACATACATTCACAACCAAGTAGTAGTACTTGTTCACAAACATTTGGATTGGATAACACAATATCCAAAACCAAGGTTGTCGCCACTCATTCAACCATTCAACCAACCAACCAACCAACAATACTTTCAATAATATAACATTACCCTTGTTGTACAACTACTATTTGAGGGCACAATCAATCAATCAATCAAATATATAAATAATGACATTGGAGGAACCAACAACAAATCCATTCATCTCGATTCAGGATTATGGAGCTGATGATGGAGCGGCAACTGCACCGCTGATTATAAAACGCGAGAGAGAGACAAAGTTGATAAAGTTGCAGAGAATGCTTGGACTGCGCGCAAAGAAGAAGAAGGAGAGAGACCCCAACCAGGAGAAGATATTCAATGAGCGCTTCAGAGAACTGTCCTGTCTGCAGCCGGACGCGATGCTGGCCCGCACTGGCACACATGCCGGCGGTCTCACCGTCGAGGAGGCCGAGCGTCGACTCAAGGAGCATGGCCGCAATGTCATCACCACGGTCAAGCCCACGCCATGGTACAAGCTGTTGTTCACTGCCCTCACGCATCCATTCAACATTGTGCTCACCATCATTGCCGTCGTGTCCATCTCGACCAAGGACTACGCCACCTTCACCGTCGTCATGACGATGGTGTTGCTGTCGGCCGGTCTGCGTTTCTACGAGGAGCAAAAGTCCAGCAAAGCCTTCACCCATCTCAAGTCTCTGATCAAGACCACGGTGACCGTGCGTCGTCGTCGCAGCTCCAGTGACACTGAGGGCGAGGACATCCCCATTGACATGGAGGAGGTTGTTAGCGGCGACCTCATCCCACTAAAGGCCGGTGATGTCTTCCCCGGAGACGTGCGCATCCTTCAGTCCAACAGCATGTTTGTGTCGCAGTCCTCACTCACAGGCGAGTTCCTGCCAGTGGAGAAGTCGGCCCAGCACTCAGTCGTCCAGACATCGATCTTTGACACCCCCAACGTCTGTCTGATGTCCACCAACATCGTGTCAGGCAGTGGCGTTGGCCTGGTCTTTGAGACTGGCTGTAACACCTACATCTCGTCCATCTCTGAGATCCTCACCAGCACCAAGACCACCAATGCCTTTGACGTTGGTGTCAAGAAGGTGGCCTACCTGCTCATGGGCTTTGGCGTTGTGATGGTGCCCATCGTCATCGTTATCAACGGCCTTACCACACGCGACTGGTTCGACTCTGTCATGTTTGGCCTTTCCGTAGCCATTGGTCTCACCCCAGAGATGTTGCCCATGATCCTCAATGCCAACTTGGCAAAAGGTGCCGCCGACATGTCCAAGAAGAAGACCATCGTCAAGCAACTCCATTCAATCCAAAACATGGGTGCCATGTATGTAGATGATGTACACCTTGGTGGGATCATTCCAGACAATCACCTGTTCACACACTAACAATCAATCAATCAACTTCCATCAAACTCCAGGGATGTACTGTGTTCAGATAAGACTGGCACATTGACAGAGGATGATGTACGCCTGCATTCATACATTGGAGCAGACAGGGAGCAGTATGACAATGTGCTCAAGTATTCATACTTGAACTCACACTTCCAGAAGGGTCTAAAGAACGTCCTGGACGAGTCCATCATCGAAACCTTCCATAATAAGCAGGGCGATTCCACACCATCTGGTGACGTCGACTATAGAATGATCGATGAGTTCCCATTTGACTTTACTCGTCGTAGAGTATCCGTCATCTTGGAGAAGCAGAATGGTGCAGAGGGCGAGAGACTGTTGGTTTGCAAGGGTGCTGTCGAGGAGGTGTTGTCCTGCTGCACCAGCGTTGCCAACGCCGCCGACAAGTGTGTCGACGAGCTCACTGAAGACTACAAGGAGCGTCTGTTGCAGATCTCCCACGACCTCAACGTTGATGGACTCAGAGTGCTGTCAGTGGCCACCAAGCGCGCCGACATTGAAGGACCCGACCATGTATACGACGTGAGAACTGACGAGAGAGGCCTGACCTTCCACGGATTCCTCGCCTTCATCGACCCACCCAAGGCTGACTGCGCTGACGCCATCCAGCTGCTGAGAAAGAACAACGTCCAAGTCAAGGTACTCACAGGTGACAACCTGGCCGTGGCCAAGAAGATCTGTCGCGATGTCGGTATCGATGTGACCAAGGTCATCTCTGGCCCCGAGTTGGAGGACGCCTCGCCAGAGGAGTTTGAACTGATCGTCGAGGAGTGCACACTCTTTGCCAAGCTTACACCCATCCAAAAGTACAACGTCGTGCGCGCCCTCAAGCGCCACAAGCACACCGTCGGTTTCCTGGGTGATGGCATCAATGATGCGCTTGCCCTGCGTGAGGCTGACATTGGTATCAGTGTCGACACTGCCACCAACATTGCCAAGGACGCTTCAGACATCATCCTGCTCGAGAAGTCATTGAATGTCATCAACATGGCCATCACGACCGGCCGTACCACCCATGCCAACACCATCAAGTACATCAAGATGGCCGCCTCATCCAACTTTGGAAACGTGTTCTCTTTGCTTATCGCCTCTGCCTGGTTGCCATTCATCCCCATGCAGCCACTGCAGCTGCTCACTCAGAACCTGTTGTACGACTTCTCACAGATTGCCATCCCCTGGGACAACGTCGACGAGGAGTTCCTCGAGATCCCGCATCCATGGAGTGTGTCCAGTTTGTTCAAGTTTATGGTGTTCCTCGGCCCCATCTCATCGATCTTTGACGTGACGACCTTCTCATACATGTGGTGGTACCTGGGCTGGGACAATGCCAGCTTCGAGCAGCACTTCCAGACCGGCTGGTACGTCGAGGGCCTGATCACACAGGTGTTCATCGTGCACATGATCCGTACACAGAAGATCCCCTTCATCCAGCGTTGGGGCTCGTGGCAGTTGGTGCTCAACACGGCATGGGTGGCCATTGTCGGTGTTGCAATCCCCTACACGCCACTGGGCAAGCTCTTGCACATGGAAGCTCTTCCCCTTATGTACTACCCAGGTCTGGCCGTATCCTTCTTTGGTTACTTCATCCTGACCCAGATCATCAAGCATATTTACATCAAGTTGTTCAAGGAATGGTTGTAAACAATCGATCGACTAATCAACACCAATCATTCCGTTGCACCTCGAACAGAAGGAGTTGCTACACCAAGCAAGGCAGTTTGAGTTTGGGAGGATCATGTAGGCGCAACATTGACAACAACAACATTGCTGTCAATCATATCGATTAGCCAACTACCTGTACTGTTTTTGGAATGGCTGCATGGCCAGTCCATTATCATTCAATCCCCTCCTTCCCATTACAGCCAGGTGTGTCCAATACTCACTCCTACTCCTTATTTAATAAACCCTCCCTCCAATACTACTACTACTACAACAACAATGGCCAACTACTATGATTGATAGATTACACTACATTGATGTTTACTCTACATTACAACAGGTTTGTTTGATGATGAGATGAAAGCATGGTACTGATGATGATGATGGTTGATGGGTGGATGAGGAAGAGGAGAGTTGTTTAGATGAGTGCCATGATGTCAAAGAGCTGGAGCATGTTGAGGTGGACCATTCCAGTTCTCATTGGGTCGTTCCACTCAAAGAGGGAACGGCACAGGGCAACAGAGGCACAGAGGTTGATGTAATGCGTGAAGAGGATTGGCATTCCAGTTGGGGAGTACTTCAAGAAGAACAAGTTAATGGTGTTGTATGGCAGGTTGAAGCCTGCGGTGATGAGAGCAGAGTGGATCTCACGGAGGTCGATCGTGCCAGAGAAGTTCTAAAAGTGAATGAGTAATGTAAGTACTCGGACGATGATGAAGGGATTGATGGATAACATACCCTGTCATTGGCAACGAAACATCTGTACATGGTGTTGACAAAGGCGTGCAGAGCGGCATACTCGTAGAAGTCAATGTGACCGTTTCTGTTTGAATCGAAACATTTGATCAACTTGGTGGCAGTGTCCAAACCCAATGGAGTACCTCCAATGATCAAGGCCTGCAACTCATAAGCAGAGATAGTACCAGATCTATCTCTGTCCATCGACATGAACCAAGCGTGCATCTCCATCAACTGAGCCTGCTGCAACTGAGAGAACAAAGAGTAGTACTAAGAGATGTTGAGGTTTAGTATGATGAACATTGTTGAAGTAGGTAGGTAGTAAGTGTGAGGTACATACCCAGAAACCTTGGAAGGCAACGGGTGGTTGGAAGACCATTGGTGAGCCAACGGCGATCACTCCTGGGGTGGTGTACATCATAGCCATCTTATGTAATGTTGTTGTATTATGTTATAAATATAATATAAAATATGTTGTGTATATGTTTGTTCTAACTTGAGATGAAGTTGAAAGGTAGACAGGTCAACCAAACTTTATATTAATGCTATGACCAAAGTGTTTGACACTACTGTGATGTTGATTAAATTGTTAATAAATATAAATATCGTCAAATTAACAAATCACATCACATAACATAACCTCGTGTCAGTTCATATCAGTTCAAGGGCATCCATCCACAGAGGCTACATCATCAAACACACCCCTGGTTTATTCACACAAGTTGGTGGCTGTCAAACACACTTTTGGGATCAAATGTTGAGACTCATCAGTTTTCATTGAATGAACCAAATGTATGTAAAAGTTGAATTCTAAACAAACTAAAGGTTTTATTTAGAGAGATAAAAGATATTATTAATCTTTGTTCTGTTTGTGAGTGTACATATTACTTAATTAATTAATTACTTGTTGTCGACTTGATTAACAAAGATAAGGACAGTCTTCTATCCCATCAATCAAGAACTCAGAATGATAAGTTTTGTTTGGTGGTTGGATTGTTGATTGAAATAAATAAATAATAAAAAATCAGAATCTTCTTTTGACAATCAAAACAAAACGAATCCCAAACTGTGATGGGATAGAATGAATGAATGGAAGTGTGTTTGATGAGTGGTGAATGATTGTGTGTTTGTGTTTGGAGTTGTTGAGTTTATTCTGACTTTCATTATGTGTTGTTAAGTTATAGTTAGAAGTTAGAGAGTTAGAGATAGTAATATATATATTTATATATAATATAATATTACAATATTGTATTATTATTATTATTACTATCTGTATCATCATCATAATCAATAACAAACAAACAAGGACAGAAATGCTAAAGAATAGGATGTCACAGGATAATCTAGAGAAGTCACCACTTGTCGGACCTCCACCAGTCAAGGAGGTCATGATAAATGGCTACCACGACGAGTCTATCGCACAATCCAGACCATTCACACCAGTCTCTGCCTTTTGGAATACCGTCAAGGCTTTTGCCGGTGCCGGTTCATTCGCTCTGCCGTAAAGTATCATGATCCCCTACTCGATCAATCAATCACTCAATCACTTACGCCCGACAAACATATACAGATGGGCAGTTTCACAAGCTGGTATTTGGATTGGATCAATTGGTCTGGTGGCCATTGCATTGCTGTCAAACTATACGATGTCATTGCTGCTGAAATGTAATATAAAGATGTCGGACGAGCAGCTGGGTACGGACCAGCCACCACCTTCTTATGCCGATCTGGGCCGTCGTGCCTTTGGTCGCGTCGGTGAGCTCTTTGTCTGCTTCATGAACTTCTCCGTGACAATGTCCATCTGCATTGCCTACCTCATTCTCATTGGCCAAAACTTTGGCGAGCTGGTCAACTACAATCAACAGATCATCATCTGGTTCATCTTGCCCGTAATCATGTTGCTCACTTTCTTGACCGACATGTATGTATCATCGATCATTCATTCATTCATTCGATCAATCATGTAGCTGACTCAATCAATCAATCAATCAATCAAATACTCTAGGAAGTATCTAGGTTACACAAGTATATTTGGAGCATTATCATTGCTGTTGGCTATGGGTACAGTACTTACTTATGGTGGCATTGACTATGATATTCTGCCATACAAGGAGTACCATGTGGACTACACAAAGGTGCCACTCTGGTTCGGTGTGGCCGCATTCTTCTTTTGCAATCACATCGTGGTCATTCCCATCAGTCATGCCAGTGGTGACTACCACCGCTATCCACGCATTCTCGACTACTCGATGGTGTTCATCACGATCGTCAATGTGATCTTTGCCACACTGGCCTATCTTTACTTCTACTCGTACGTGGACCCAGTGTCGCACGTCAAGGGTGTGCCATCGTCGATCACTCAGGCACTGCCCAACGGTGTCTTTGCCAACATCGTCAGAATGTGCGTGGTGTTTGAGCTGACCTGCTCGTTCCCCATCGTTTGCGGTGCCGGACTCAACGTCGTCGACTCATCCATCGAGTTCTTCCATCGCCACTTCTCGGCCTTCCCCAATGGAGCACTCAACAACGAGGGCGAGAAGATGTTCTTCTCGCGCAACTGGATGTTCTACGCCGTGCGCATTGGCCTGACCGCCGTGTTGGCCGCCGTCGCCACGACCATCACCAACTTTGGCTCGTTCACCTCACTGATCGGCTCGCTGATGCTGGCTATCGCAGGTTTTGTCTTGCCACCACTGGTGTACATCAAGTTCTTCCCCGAGCAGTCTCGTCTCTCATTCATCATCCACATCATCATCTCTGTCTTTGGTGTTGGTGCCACCATACTTGGAACCTATCAGTCCATTTTGTCACTCATCAATCCTCCACCTTCATAAACAATAAATCGCAACATCTGTTGTTGCGCGCAGTCTTTCCTCCATCATTCATTCGTTCGCTCATTCAATCATTCTTTGTTGTCGTCATAGGTTGAATCCTATTTATTATCTTATACTATGTGATTGATAACTTGTTAGAGGTCATTCATTCATTTATTCGGTCCAATCAATAACATACCTATATATTATGTTCGTTCGTTCGATCGTTCATTCATTCATTCGTTCAGTCAACATGTGATCACGATCAGATGATAGTTAACAACGACTCATGTTTGATCTTGTGCCATTGATTCTCTTTCTATGCTTCTTGAGTGTCTTTCTTGATGTCTTGTTCATGACAGTCTCGAATGACTCTTGCTGTGTCTGTTGCTCTGGGATGACATTGATTGGCATCTGAGTCTGCATCATAAAGTTGTTCATGAAGAGTGTACCAGTTTGACGTTGAACAGTGTTCATGCTCAACATTCTGTTGACTGGTGTAATGAATCTGATAATGCCTGACATTGTCTATACTATATCTATATCTATCTTTCTCGCTTTTGTCAATCTGATCGATTGATGTGAAGTGTCTCAGTTCAGTTCTGTTTTTTTCGCAACTTTGGAAACATGGTTGACTCAATCATCAATCATTATGAAGGATCCACAATGTAACTAACTACAGATAATAATAATTAATGAGGTGGAAATAATAAAGAATTATTTGTTTGAAACAGAACCATAAACAATTCGTAAGATTTTGAAATCTCATTGATATTTTAATATGATTATGACGTAAGATTTGGGGGCAAGGTGCATAACTGTGATCGTCATACTTCGTACTTAATGATAATCCAACATTTCACTGTGAATAGAAAGCGACCGCCGATCGGAAGGAGCTATGCTTCGAACTCTCGTGGAGTCATGGCCACAATCGTGGCTGTGACGAAACAAACAAACATCCTACACATACCTAGCTGGTGTGTGTTCCAAATCCAATCGGCGACGCGCAACTACCTCTAACCCAACCCTATTGTTGTTCTGTAGTAACTTTGACGACCTTGGTTCCAAGTCGTCAAACTACATATCAATTTGGGTTCAACTTTGGCAACAATTTAATGGCCAGGAGTAGGACATTAATTTCTAAATGTTCATTATGACTAACTGGCATAGTTTAGATAGTATCCAACATAAAGGTAATTTAAAAATAATAATTATAAAGAGGTGGAAAAATTAAAGAATTATTTGATAAACCATAAATAATGTTTAAAAAAGTGAAATCTCTTTGATTATTGGGTATTGATCAGATATCATGATTGGGGCAAAGGTGCATAACTGTGATCGTCATACTTCGTACTTTAATGATAATCCAACTGATGAATAGAAAGCGACCGCCGCCGAGAAGGAGTGATCTTATGATTGCTTCGAACTATCGTGGAGTCATGGCCACAATCGTGGCTGTGATGAAACAAACAAACATCCTACACATACCTAGCTGGTGTGTGTTCCAAACCTCGTCGGCGACGCGCAACTACCTCTAACCCAACCCTATTATTGTTTGTTTACCATGAACGACACCAGGTCGTGGCGTGACCGGTCACGTCTATTTATTTATCTTTTGAGGACAATAGTATGTTGGGTTCGTAACCAGCGTTGGTATTGGTGTTTGGAATCACTTGGCTGTTGTGTAGTGATGGTCCGAGTGCTGGTGATAGAGGGGCATCTGATGGTTGGTGAAGGAGGGTGTGTGAGTATATCAAAATGATTGATTGGAATGATTGGAATGATTCCAAGATATAAATATACATACCGCTGACACTAATATTTGGTCGTTGATAGCTATAGTTGATATTCTTCTTCAACCCAGACTCTTTACCTTGTTCGGTCATTGGTCGATCGATACGAGTCTTGAGCCAAGGAAGGTCGAGACAGTGGAAGTAGTCGCTGTTGTCCAACAGGTCCATCATGTGTAGATAACAAGCATCGTTGGAAAAGTCGTATCCAATCAGTCCACACTCGTCCTCCCATAGATTGGTAATGAATGATCGCAATAGAGAGGATGGCACGTAGGGCTGTATCTCGCTGCCCTCGCCCAACTTGGGAATGCGGGGCGTGAGTAGTACGGTCAGACAGACGTTGTTGGACTTGGGATGCTTGAGGGATGTGGGGGGCTGGTAGTATTCGAAATCCAACAGACGGAAGCCTTTGTTGAACAGGAAGACGTGCGATAGGGACGAGTCAGTAGCACCAGTCGTCTCACTCAGTGATGAGAACATCACCTCCAAGAAGATGGCATTGCATCCTGCAATGTGGCCCTTTTGCTTGGCGTTCTGGTCCAGGATGGTCAGGGTTCTCAGCACCAGGTCCGTGCCGATACCTTTGCCCGACCACTTCTGGTTCACGACCAGGTATGTGACCAGGGCGTTGTTGGTCTCGGGATAGTACTCAAACACCAGACCACCAATGATGTACTTGTGGCCCTTGCCCTTGTGCTCTCCAGGCAGGCCCAACACGAGTAGTACGTGCAGGTCACAAATGTTGGGGTCATCACGTCCCTCATCAGACATTGCCTTGTGCCAGTTCTCGATTGGTTCCAACTCGTCTGAAGTGCCAAACTGCGTGATCATGTACTTGTTGTAGAAAGCGTCGAGCAGATCTTCATCATAGTCCTCCCAGAGATCCACGATCGTCCAGTCTTTGCCATCGCCCCATGGAAGGTCAAGCAGGGGCACCTTCTCTCGCAGCTCCAGCTGATCCAGTGATTGATTAAAGTCAAAGTCCTGGTTGGGTGGCGTAGACAGACGTCCATTGCGCATGGCACTCTCCCATTGCGCCGAGATGAAGTTCTTTAGAAGCACGTTGGGCAGGAAGTACTGGCGGTTGTTGTTAAAGTCCTGATAGGGAATGTGCGGCGTGAGGTAGACCGTCAGCAGCAGCACACTCTTTAGCTTCTCGTAACCGGCGCACAGGGGCGGCATGATGTATTCAAAGTTGATCAGACGGAAGCCCATCTTGTGATAGATCGTGTGTCTCATACGCGGGTCCATGACGTCCTGCTGCACTGTCACCTTCTCTGCCGAGTTGGTCTCAAGGAAGATGGCGTTGCATCCAGCCAGCTGTCCACGCTGTTTGGCGTGGCGGTCCAGCAGCTCGACAGATCGCTCCACAAGTATGCCTGCCAGGCCCTGTCCACGACTGGAACGGTGCACGACCAGGTATGACAAGAGTCCACAGTTTGTCGATGGATAGTATTCAAAGGTGATGCCGGCACCAATCGTGGGTTGCAGATCGGAAGAGTCTGTGGGCCAGCGCAGAGCAAGCAACACGTGCAGCTCTGCGACATGTGGGTTGAAGTTGGTTCGTCTCTCCTCTGAGAGCGCATTGATGAAGTTTGAGAGTGGCTCCAGCTCGTTCTTGATTGGGAAGTTGGGTAACATCAGCTCGTTGTAGAATCGAATGAGCAGCTCCTCGTCGTAGTCGTCCCAGAGGTCGACCAAGGTCCATGGCTTGCTCTGACCCCAGGGCAAGTCCAACAGGGGTATCTTCTCACGGTACTCAACCTGTTCAATCACTCGCTGGAAGTCGCTGTCCTTGTTGGGGAACTCCTTCATCTTCTTTGTAGCGTATGCATTGCGCCACAACACTGTGACAAAGTTCTTGAGCACTGAGCTTGGCAGGTAGTACTTGCCCTCCTCAAGCGGCATCTTGGGGATGTGCTCCGTCAAGTAGACGGTCAGCAGGAAGTTGCGAAGCTTGGGCAAGCCCATGGCGATTGGTGGCGCGATGTACTCAAAGTCAATCAGACGGAAGCCTATCTGGTGGTAGACTGAATGACGCATACGTGGGTCCACGACATCTTGCTTGATAGTCACCTTCTCGCCACTGTACACTTCGAGGAAGATGGCATTGCATCCGGGAAGATAGCCTTGCGACTTGGCATTCTGATCGAGAATCTCCAGGGCTGACTCCACGAGTATTCTGTCCAGGCCCTTGCCCTTGAATGCCTTCTGGACGATCAGGTAGGTGAGCAGGCCACAATTGTTGGCCGAGAAGTATTCAAAGATGATTGCAGCCTCGATTATCGGTTGTGTATTACTATTGTCCTGTGGCCATCGCAGCGCCAACAATATATGCAAGTCAGAGATGTTTGGATCGTCTCTTGCCTCTGATGAGAATGCTGATATCATGCTTTCCAATGGTTCCAACTCTGTATCCATCAGTTGATTGAGTGAGAGAATGAGTGAATGAGTGTGATTGAGTGAGGGTGAGTGTACTTACCAGACTTGTTGGGGAAGTTGGGTATCATTATCTCTTTGTAGAATCGCTCAAGGAGATCCTTGTCATAGTCCTCCCAGAGGTCGACCAGTGTCCATGGTTTACCTAAATCCCACGGAAGATCCAACAGGGGAATGCGCTCGCGCAGCTCAATCTGCTCGAGCATTCGCTGATGCTCTGGATAGACATTGGGCGACATCTTGATCTGCTGGCTGCCATAGGCATTCTCCCATTGTAGCTCGACGAATGATTTGATCAAGTTGAATGGTATGTACGGCTTGTCGCCCTTCTCATGTGAACGTGGGATCAAGCTGGTGAGGTAGAGTCCCAACATTGACTTCTTTGGCGCGGCATTGTTGTCGAGTGGTGCGAGATAGTAGTCAAAGTCCAGCAGACGGAAGCCCATCTTGTTGAGCGTGATATGATGCTGGCACACATCGATGATCTCCTGGCTGATGGTTGTGCTTGGCATCTTGATGTGCATGAAGATGGCGTTGCAGCCGGCCAGGTTGCCACGCTCTCTAGCGTTGGCGTCCAATATGTCTACTGATGACTCGACAAGCAGCTGGTCGAGGCCCTCCACTCTGTTCTTTTTCTGGAGAATCAGATGTGTGAGCACAGCGCAGTTGAGCTCGGCATGGTACTCAAACACGCACAGACCATCTATGATGGGATGGGTGGGCATCGACTTGGTCTCTGGTGGCCAGCGAACGGCAATGAGTACGTGTACGTCTGGCAAGAAGTCCGAGTCATTGCCCTCGGGCGACATTGCCAGGAGTACATTCCTCAGCGAGGAGATCTCGCTGTGCTTGACGCTAGGTACCATGAGCTCACGATAACATCGCTCCAGAAGCTCCTCATCGTAGTCTTCCCACAGGTCGACCAGTGTCCAAGGGTTGCCCGCACCCCAGGGCAACTCTAACAGCGGGATCTTCTCACGCAGCTCCACCTGCTCCAATACTCGCCCGTACTCTGGATCTTCGTCTGGTTTCATCTCGAGCTTCTCAGTGAGGAACGATGTCTCCCACAGGTCGTATATAAAGTTCTTGAGCAGGACGCTGGGGAGGTAGTACTTGTCGCCGTCCAGCGTGGGTATCGAAGGGATGTGTGCGCTGAGGTACACTGTGAGCAACAGGTTGTTGGCCTTGCCCAATCGTTTGAGTGGCAGCTTGGTGTAGTCAAAGTCCACCATTCTAAAGCCAATGTTATAGAGGATCGAGTGTTGCAGACGAGGGTCCACCTGGTCTGGCTGATTGGCAGAGCTCAATGCAGACTTTGTCTCAAAGAAGATTGCATTGCATCCTGCCAAATGGCCATGTGAATGAGCATTCTTATCCAATATCTCAATTGCCTTCTTTACCATCATTCTATCCATTCCCTGATTTGATTGAATGATTGAGTGAGTGAGTGAGTATGAGTGAGTGGAATAGTTCCATTGATTGATTGAGTGAGTGGATCATGGGATCATGATATTTACCATATTCCTATACTTCTTGTGGATGATCATATGAAGGAATAGACCACAATTGATGTTTGAGTAGTACTCAAAGAGTACCGCAGCACTGATTTGTGATGAGGTGTAGGGTATGGATGTTGGTCGACTACTCTTTAGGTTGTGCGATGATGCGCCCGAGGAGGAGGAGGTTGGAGACGATGACAGTCCCTGATCTTTAAGGTTCTGTGCAATGTCGGACATTGGAGAATCGGGCGGAGACATGCCAACGAAATCCGATGATTTGAATGCGAGCAAGATGTGCAAGTCTGGAATATCTGGATTGTCGTGTGCCTCTTCGGACAAGGCTTTGGTCCATTCGTCCAATGGCTGTATATCTGAGCTGTGGAACGAACTAATGACCAACTCTTTCCAGAACTTCTCCATCAATGACATCTCATAATGCTCCCATAAATCGACAAAAGCATATTCATTGACATCCTGTTCTGTATATATGTCATCACTATTTGGTTGATTGATTGATTGATTGATTGAATGAGGGATGGTTAGTTTATTGAATTGACTTATGTTGGATAATGTACATACTGTGCTGCAGCTGGAGTGGAGGATGATGATGAGGACATCTTTGTTTATATATTATATTATATATTCGGTCAGAATTGATATTTAATGTTTAAATTGTTGTTGATTACATGTAATGATCGATTGATTGTTTGATTGTTTGTTTGTTTATTGTGATTGTTTGTTGTTTTAGTTTAGTTTGATTGATTAGTTTGATTGATTGATTGATTATATGTTTAGTTTGAATGATCGAAGTATTGATTGAATGATTAAATGTACATGTAACAAGTTTAACTTGACTTGATTGTGGTGTTGCTGTTGTTGGTGTTATTATGATTGGTGGTGATATTACTCAATTGATGATGATGATTAAATTACACAAGAGAGATGGGTCATCTTGGGAGATTGATCCAAGAGTGGTAAGAGAGTATGAGAGTGGGGGGGTGTAGAGGTGTTGAAATGGAATCCAAACAAAGTAATTGTTTATGATGATTGATGTTCATGCTCGCTCGAGAGTTACATTGTTCATATGCTTCGATAGTTTATAATAATACTATCTTTTAGATATCAAGCAATCTTAAGTCTAAGAAGTCAAGTCAAGAACTAATCGATGTATAGAATATAATAAGAAAATGGACAACAATAACAACAACAACAACAATAATAATGGTGATGCAATGATAATAGGTGATGGTCAATCACGTCAACAACAACAACAACCACCAATGAAGAGAGTATTCACTCCATTCCAACCATGTCGATCAGCAGACTGCTACAAGAAACTTCAAACAATCAATGAAGGTGCATTCGGTGTTGTCTGTATGTATCATTGAACGAATGATTGATCGAATGATTGAATGATTGAATGAATGAATGAATGATACTTACTTCATAGTCTATAGATAAAGCATATGATAAGGAGACAGGTGAGATAGTTGCATTAAAGAAGATAAAGATGGAGCGTGAGAAGGAGGGATTCCCTCTGACATCAGTGCGTGAGATAAAGGTGTTGATGGAGCTGAAACACCCATACTTGGTGGATGTAAAGGAGATGGTGTTTAGCGATAAGAGTGTGTTCATGGTGATGGAGTACATTGATCACGACCTCAGAGGACTGATGGAGGCCATCAAGAAGCCACTGATGCAATCAGAGATCAAGACATTGATACATCAACTCTTGTCAGGTGTCAAGTTCCTGCATCAGAACTGGGTCATTCACAGAGATCTCAAGACAGCCAACCTGCTCTACACCAATAGTGGCGAACTAAAGATTGCGGATTTGGGTCTGGCGCGTGAGTATGGCTCGCCACTCAAGCCATTCTCAGAGGGCGTCGTCACACTATGGTATCGAGCACCAGAGCTACTGTTGGGCACTGCGATCTACTCCACACCAATCGACATATGGTCCGTTGGCTGCATATTTGCCGAGATCATCTCACGTGAGGTGTTACTTCCAGGCAGTTCAGAGATTGATCAATTGGACAAGATCTTCAAGATGTTGGGCACACCCAATGAGACCATCTGGCCAGGCTTCTCCAAGCTTCCCTTGGTCAAGAACCTTAACCTTATTCCACAACCGTATGTACAACTCACTCTTGATTGATTGCACGACAGCACTGACAATGACATCCTCCCCAACTTCAAAGATACAATAACCTTCGCAGCAAGTTCCCTCACATCACTGATCTAACTTATGACTTGTTGGAAAGACTACTGACATTGGATCCAGAGAGGAGGATCACTGCCTCTGAAGCACTGGAACATCCTTACTTCACGGAGAATCCACCTCCCAGGGATCCAGTTCTAATGCCACACTTCCCTACGACACACAAGGCTTCATAGTAGTCAAGCTTAGACAGACATGTCTGTCTTATCCTTCATATCCTGACGTCAGTCAGTCAGTCCCATGCTGTCGATCAGTCATGTGATTAGTTCACTCACACACACACACACACATACCACTCAATCACACTAGTTCCAGTGATCATTCGAATGTGATCGAGTGTGTTGTAGAGTGTGTGAGAGTGAGGGTGTTGGCAACAACGTCACTACCACCCATAACATCAACAACGCGCGCGACACGACACGAGCCCAATGCATTATGTATTCTTCGCTTCCTCCTCGACAAGTGATCAGATAGATGTTGATGGTTGTTGATGAGTGTCGGAATGGCGCGCACTTCCATTCCCGCCACCATCTATCTCTTGCCATTCATCCATTCATCCAGCCAACACATATCATCAACATGATTAAAATCATATGCCTGCTAAGATTGATTCTCTGTCTTGCATTTAGCGGGTGATCATCATCATCGTCGTCCACCACCTACAACATGACCTTATGTTCTACTACTACTACTTACTACTACTACTAACAACCTTGTTTGATGGTGTTGGACCACTACTACACTCAAAGTGCTAATCCAACAACTTGCCTGTCTTGTTTCGCCACCTTCCCTCCTCCCATCCCATCTCATTCATTCACTCACTATCACTATAACTCACACCCAATCAATCATGTTGAATGACATTAACTCTAATTGATTAAAGAGATAGAAGTGTAGACTCAATTAATTATACATCCAACTCCATCACTCATCTCAACCCATCCATCCATTCATCAATCCATCCAATCCAAGTGATCACTTCATCATTCCAGACTTTGACCAGACCTCCTGATCAAATCATTCATTCATTCATTCAATCAAACAATCCAATCAATCAAACAAACAATCAATCAATCAATCATTATCACTACCGATATTTGGTTCCAGCCGCTACAGACAGTGTATTAGATTGAAGTGCAAAGAGGCGTAGTTGTACACATCTCATCAAATAGCTTGTTTTCACATAACACTGTCGTAGCTTCTGGTAATTTTTGGCATCTTGCCTTGGCAGACCCATCAAGTGACGACCGAGATTTTTGGATAAGGCTTGGGCACTGCCACCTATCAATCTTCCAGGTTCTACCAACCGTTGGTCCGACAACCTTAACACACATATTACATCCAATTCATCAATATACCAGTCAGTCTACACTCAATCAATCAATCAATCATATTATTTATCATTATTTATTTATTCAAACACTCACTGGAACTATTCCAATCACTCAATCAAATAATCAAACAATCAGTCAAAGATGTCTGATTCAGTCGAACATCAGCAACAGGTGACTCCTACTTCAAAGAAGAAATTCCATATATTCCATGGACACGCGAGTAGTTCACCAAACTTGAAGCAATATGTACCTCCAGGTAGTCCACCTGACGCAGCAGCAATGAATGGTCCCAGAACACTATCAAACTCAATGGTTGGACTCTCAGATGGACGTGATCTCAACTCTTCATCACCATCACTCAGTTCATCATCCAATACTATATCACCACGTGATCGTGAACGTGATCGTGATAGTGGACTATCAACTCCAACACCATCACCACGATTGCCTGGTATGAGTATTGGTGGCAATGGAGATCATCAGGATCTAGGTAGCAGTGGTGATGACATTGCAGGTAATGCCGCACAACAAGATGTTGGTGGCAGCTCAAACAAACCAAAGAGACAATCCAAGTGGACATCGGCACTCAGACGTGTGAGGAAGAGTCACAAGCTCAAGAAAGAGATTCAAGAGATGCAACTCAAGAGTGGATTATCACAACAATATAACGCTGCCAACCCACTACCCTTCAACTACAGCCATGACAAAGACTCTGATGTGAAAGGACCAGTGGCAGCTGTTGCCGCCATGTCTGGCACGAGGAAATCCAGGTTCATTGAGCCAATTGGAACAGTATGTATTGGACATCATGGATATGGGCATGGCGTGGACTCTAACATTGATCAATCATTAGTCCACAGATGACTACACTGACATTCCCAAGATTATCAAGCTATCCATTGAATATCTGTTTGAGAAGGGTATGTTTGGCCCGTGATGTTGACATTGGCGATGATCATTTTTGATATTAACTCATGATGGACATAGCTTTGAAGGTACCAGGACTTTTCAGGGAGTCTCCCAATGCACTTGGACTCCAGAAGCTGCGACAACTGATTGACTCGGAGGAGGATGTCGACTTGTCCGATTACACAGAGCATCATAATGTTGCTGGACTACTCAAACAGTACATCAGGGACAGACCAACAGCTCTATTCCCCTACGATCTACACAAACAGATCAATGATATATATGGTAATGATCAATATTAATGTCCAAATCGGGAAAGATTGGAATCATTCCTAACCCCACTCCATCACATTCCCCGATATAGAAATGGAACCGAAGCAACCACAACAGGTAGTTAGCTTACATTTGAAGGATACTTTGAAGGCACAGGTATCCAAGGGACAATACTTGATACTTCGTTACTTGTTTGAGTTGCTGCATGCAGTGCACATTCATTCATCGATCAACAGGATGACGGCTTATAACCTGGCGGTGTGCTTTGCCCCGACATTGACACTCTCATTCGACCCAACTTGCATTGATGTCGTACACAAACTGATCGAAGACTATGAGCTGATATTCGGTATCGAGGTGATGTTGGCCAATCCAAAGTCTGGCATGGCCACAAGACGTAGACGTACGCGCTCCAACACCAGGATGGTCAAATTGTCTGCACTGTTTGATAAGCAACAACAAGAGTTGAGTGAGCTCGACGACATGGATGGACGTCCACGCTCATGTCCCGTGCCCGCATCACCTGGATGTGACGAGCAGCTTCAGGATTCGTCCAAGAAGCGACTTTCCAACAGACATGTGGCATCGACTAGTTATGAACATGACGAACTCGATGGTCTATTCAAGAAGTTCAAGGAGTTGAGTTTGGACGCTTCTAGTTCAGGATCAGGTGCTGAGGCTACCGACACTACTTCCGCGGCTGAGGTGCCCGTGGTAGTAACAAAGTCGCCCAATCACCGACCACTCCCACCAATCAATCATCGCAAGTCAAAGAGTTGCACAGCGGCAGTCATCATCAAACGACAACAAAAACAAGAACAACAACAAGAGCAACAACAATGTAATAATAGTCAACAACAACAACCAACTACCCCAACCAAGACGGGTGATCATAGGCCATTGCCTGCCACCCCTGTCTCCCCATCTGTATCCACTCCAGTATCCACCCCTGTTTCCACACCCGTCACTACCATCGCCACACCTGTGGCCGCTACCGTGCCGGCACCAAACATTGTGGACAATAGTAGCAATCCCAATCCCAAGCGCATCATTGAGCAAATACAATCAAGCAACAGCAACAACAACAGCGGATACAAACCGACAACATCAACTTCCTCCACATCAACAACATCGACAACGACACCGACCAAGCCAACATCGACAACGACAAAGCCAACAACAACAATGAATCATACACAACTCAAGAGTATGAGGATGGCCTATAAGTCTTCATTTGGAAGCAACTCGCGCAACACATCACATTTCGGTGCATCCAGTACCAGTCACGGACCAGTCAACTATCACAAGTCCAAGTCGTCGCCATCACTCCTCCACCATCAAAAGTTCACCGGTACTGGTACTGCCAGTAGTGGATTCAACAAGCCACGAGTGGCTCCACCATTGCGCAGCAATACATCGCCCTCCACCGCGCAGTTGCTGAGCTACTCCAACCCACCGCCAGCGCCACCAACCACATCGGTGATCACTGTCGTCACCAATGTCAGCAATACCAGCCAGAACAACCTGTCCAAGTACAAGGCCAAGCCAAAGCCCACGCCATTCTCTAGCACAGGCAGTGTTGTCGATGCCCCAGCATCAGCTGCTGCTGCTACTGCTCCTGCGGCCACATCATCGGTACCCACTGTCGATGGCGGCGTTGTAATGTCCAACCATGACAGTGTCAAGAACCTGAAGAGTATCTGGGAGAATCGCAAGGAGTAATGTTCATCCATTCAACCATGCTGGCAATGTATCTTATCAATCTTATGTATCTATCTCTATCAATCAATCAATCAATCAATCAATCTATTAAAGCCCAAAGCATGTGCTATACACATGACTTGAGGGCATGTATGTACATGTACGTAATGAATGAATGAATGGAATATGCTCAATGACTCATCCAACGAGTATGTGTGTTGTGTCGCGCGATGGTAATACAAACATCCATCCCCACATTCACCAACCACTTCAGTGACTTCACCACTCGCACTCAATCAATCGTTCACAAATGGTTATTAGTGACATCACCGACAACAACCCATCAATCATTTTACCAGGCATAATTTACTTGGAGATGTGAGACCATCCAATTTCATCGACTTAGTTGTGCAAACATACATTGAACATTCCTGTGACCCACAAGATCAAAGGTGTGATTGATGTTTGGGATCATCAAGTTCCCATTATTTTGATTTTACTTTCAGTCTCATTCAATAACAAATACATCTAGATCAACGCAAGTGTATTGAGCAGCATTGTCGTTTGCTTTTTTCATTCAACTCATCTAACAAAATATAAGTGCGCAATTACCCATCTGGCGGATCACGTGAATACTCTCAACACATCCTTTAAGAAATTTCTCTCGACTTGGCACTTTTTGATTACAAAATCACCCAATAACCCTTGCCCGGGCACCTACTTGTGTGCCATCCCATTGCAATTCACACAAACACATACCCCACTATCAAGCAAAGGCAGTTACTATTTCACTCACTAACACACGACAACCCCACCACCAACTCATCTCCACAACGCAAACAACAAACAATAACACATAAACAACACGAGTGAGCTCATTCACTGCATTGTCATTGAGTATTCTTTTCCAAACATACATACACATAATTAATTACGTATATACATATACTTATACAACACTTAAGAGTCATACCACACTCATCATACAAGATATTTAATTAACATACAAATTATCTTTTTAATACTACTACTACAATTATTATACTATTACATTTAATTAATATTAATAATAATAATATCTGATCTACACACACACACACCACATCTGATCAACCAATCAAACATCAACTTATAATACTATTACTACTTTATAATACATACATACAATTAAGATAGAAAAATGATAAAGACAAAGACATCATATGAAGTGTTTCACTACACAATCACAAAGGAGGAGACTGAGAAGGGTCTACGTGACGTCGCTCGTCACTTTGTTGCAGAGTATGCCGACTCATCCGATCAGCAACTCACAATCACCAGACTAAATGGTGGTATTACAAATATATGTAAGTAATATATTGAACTAGACTTCCGTCTCCTAAGCTAGACAACAAACTAACACCTCATATTAGTATACCTTGTTGAGGACAAGTCAGTTGAGACAAAGGCTAAGGATCTACCAGTTGTTATTAGACTTTATGGATACAAGTCTGAGGAGATCATTGATAGAAAGAACGAGTTGGTCGTTCAGACTGAGGCCGACTTGAACGGACTGGGTGCCAAGTTCTATGGTCTGTTTGATAATGGATGTATATATGGATTCATTCCAGGTCGCCCACTGGAGCACGAGGATCTCTGTGAGCCAAAGTTGCAACAGCTGATCAGTCGCGAGCTGGGAGAGTGGCACTCAATCGAGATGCCCACCCGCAAGCAGCCATCCGTTTGGAACACCATCAAGAAGTGGTCCGCCCTTGCCCCAGAGGTCTACCCAGACGAGAAGCGTCAACAGTTCTACAAGTTGCTGCGTGTCGACGAGATGAAGCAAGAGGCCAAGATGCTCGAGGCCACCCTCTCCAACCTCAACTCACCAATCGTCTTTTGCCACAACGATCTCCTGTCCAGAAACATCATCGTCGATACACAGAGCGAGAAGGCCTCCTTCATCGACTTTGAGTACGCCAACTACAACTTCCGTGGCTTTGAGATTGGCAACCACTTCAACGAGTACGCCGGATTCGGGCCAGACTACTCGCTCTATCCCAACGAGGAGCAGCAGCGTGTCTTCCTGGAGGAGTACCTCACCGTCGTCAACAAGGGTGTCAAGCCAACCGAGGAGCAGATCCGTGCCCTGTTCATCGAGTCCAACCAGTACTCGCTGTCATCGCACCTGTTCTGGGGCTTCTGGTCCATTGTCCAGGCTATGAACTCAGAGATCGACTTTGACTATCTGGAGTACGGAAAGGCTCGTTTCGACCGCTATTGGGAGACCAAGGAGCAGTTCCTTACTTTGAAGCCATAAGATCATAATAAGTTATATTATATATTTATTTAAATACCTCCTATAGACAACCCAACTACATCAGCTACAACAACAACAGCAACAGCCATTACAAATACCAACTCAATCACCTGTATAACAACAATCGAATTGGCGTAATAATGGCCACTACCTAAACCATAGGGACGAATCCTTTTGGTTTGGTGACACAACAGCAACAACACAACAACATCACCATCACATGACCGAGCAAACACTGGAACGTCCTCCCTCGATGAGGACGAACAAACCTTGGACGCGATAGGTGGAGTCGTACACCACCACTTTCATCTTCTCTTCCTTCTATCTATCTATCTCTACCCTTTTCACTCTACAATAGTTCAATAAACTATTGGTATTACAAAGTATTAATTAATCAATCTTGTGACATGTTTCAGAATGAATGAATCATGAGGTTGGGATGGAGGAGGTATATGAACAACATGTCATATACATATAGTATATCAACTAATAAATATATAGAAGGTTTATTACATCATATTTGTTTGAATGGATCAACATGACTAAATAATGTAGGGTGCGGTGTTAGTAAGACCATGATCTATGTTTCTCTCACATCTAATTTATATCATACACATCAGGTGATTGATTGTTTATTCACCAAGTCTTATCCTCTTGATTACAGACATCTTGAGCAATTTGACATTTATCCTATGCATCGCATGTTTATACTTGATAATCAATCTTCTAGTTGCTGTTCTCATCTTTATCCTTTATAATTGCTATCCAATTTTATTTGTTTAACTATGATATACTTATAACTGTTGATACCCTACTTTCCTTTTCTTCTTCCTCATGGCCATGTCCCTCTGCCACAGACTCACTCTACAGATCCTGGGATTATTAAACAATACTCGAGTGTGTAGTGTCCAGTTGGTAGGAATCTAGGCAACCCCTTTTAGTTTCCAGTTGGTCTGGAAACTATGTCTTTATTTGGTATGAATGTGGTGTGGGTGTGTCTATGAATGACGTTAACTCAACCAAACAAATAATGTTCAATTAATCTTGACACAATGTAATATTCAAGTAAAGCATAATCATGTTGATATATATATATTAAAAATATTATTGATGACATTGATTTTATTACTACTGACCTGTTGTCTAGTCAAAAATTTGAATTTTTTAACTGTTGGATGGGGTCTAGTTGATGAAGGGCTTTGTCGCTCTGCATGTGATGCTGATGATGTACATAGTCGAGCAGTCACTATCTTACTTCTATCTATCTATCTTACAACTATCAACACTCAACTCATCTCTTTAGTGTATATCGCACATAGACAATCAAACAATCATTTCAAACAAAGTAATAATCATTGATCGAAACGAAGAGTAGAAGAGTGTTGTAAAAGGAAGAGAGTGAGTTTAGAATGGATCAGAGTGACGATAGGAAGCGTCGGGAGCCTCCGGGTGCCACAGACGAACGACCATCAAAGAGGTTGACCTCATCGATGACGTCCACTCCCGCTACTGCATCCTCTGCTCCATCAGAGCCAATGAGCGGTAGCTCCACTCCCTTGGCCCTTTCGATCAATGCCACTGCTAGTACACCAGTCGTCGAATCAAAGGTATGTTATGCTATGTTTGATGATACCCTTTATGTCTCTGGCAATGAGTCTAACGACTGTTCTTCACACGAATACAATAGGATGTACTACTGTCTCAGAATAGGGAGATGAAGTTCAAGGTCGATGAACAGAAGGTTGAGATCAGAGAACGCGAGAACAAGATCAGATTCCTCACAGGCAAGCTCAAGAGCTCTGAAGAGACATTGAGTTGTCTATGTAGAGTTTGGCATCAAGTATGTACACTGCAAATGCACGCGAACAATGTCATCTCACTCACTCAATCATTCAATCTTACAATCAATCAAGTTGAACTATGGACTAGAGATGCTGTCGGGCAGACTAGCCATTGAGTCTACAGAGACAGATGCAGCAGCGGCGTCAGCACCACAAGTCATTTCAAATGGTATGCACTCATTCACACGTGTCACGTGACACCATTGAACAGACGAACTAACCTCACGCCAAACAGATCACGACAATGATACAAACAATAATAACAATAATAACAATAGTAATAGCAACAACAATGGTAGTAGCAACATAAGTAATTCTGTACTAGAGTCATATCATTTCCTGGCACAACATATTGTACCTCATTCATCTCATTTGATGGATGATGGCAACAACAGTGGAGCAGCACAACTCGAGTACCTGTTGCAGAGTAAACTGAAAAGGACACAGATGTCCCTGTTAAAGATAGCCGAGGCTGTAGAGCGAGAGCATTCTCTATCCACATCCCTGCTTCACTTACTCAAGTCATCCAAGGGTGAGTCACTCACTCACTCCTCGCGCCACGCGACTATCCAGCGCACTAACAATCATTCCCCATTCATTCAATCAGAGATCAAACCAAGCGACTTTGAGGCAATACTGAGAGATCACAATGAAAGACTGACGACACAGAATCAACATCTACAGAGCTCATATGATAGACTGCTGCTGCAGTGCAAGCAGTTGACTGATCAGTTGACCACGCTCACAGAGCAGTCGGGCACACATAGTACCGCGATAGGTGAGCTCCGCCTCGAGCTGGAGAAGACCAACGACGAGCTAATACTGGAGCGCAAGAAGATTATCAAGATGAACGATGACATACCCAAGATTGCCGTGCGCCTTTCATCACCAGCGCTCACCAGCAGCAGCAGTAGCGGCGCGATGACCACAACCACAACCACCACATCCACCACGATGACCACTACAACCACGACGACAACCTCGACCACCAATGGAATGCCCAGCACGCCCAAGTCGCTACAGGGTCTCAGCGGTGACCCAGCGGCTGCCGAGCTACAGGTCGAGACGAGCGAGGAGTATCTCGAGTTGAAGAAGAAGTCCGAGCAACGTCTGAACGAAGCGCGTAAGCTGCGTGAGGAGAAGGCGAACTTGATGAAGGAGATACAACAGCTGCAGATTGACATAAGGAGTCTGCCTGAGGAGCGTATCATCACCTCGGCACCCTACCACCACTTGCGCAATCGTGTCCAGGAGGTCGATCAGGACCTCGACATCAAATCAACGTCCTACAACAAGGCCCAACAGGACCTTCAGCAACTGAACCTGGCGCGTCGTACGGAGCGCGAGCAGATTGAGGCATCAGAGATGGGTAGACGACAGAACCTGGATCGTCGCATCACCAACCTTGAGAGCGAGATTGCCGAGCTCAAGTCAGAGAAGGAGAAGCTGAACAGCATCATCGATCAGCGTCTGCCAAACATACCCAGCCAAGAGTACCTGGCCGAGTCCAAGATCCTACTCGACACCAAGGAGTTGGACATTCACAAGCTCAAGAAGGAGGTGGATCGTCTCACACACAGCATTGACTCGTATCGCAACAGCAAGGACACAATCACACAGATGCAACGCGCAGCCAAGTCTGAGCTCGAGCTGAAGGACACTGAACTCAATGAACATCGCGAGAAGCTGGCCGCCATCTCCAAGATGCACGATGAGCTGAAGCAGAGTGAGACAGGAATGTTAGAGCGACAGAACCAACTGCAGCTGGCTGTGGACCTGTTGAAAGAGTCACGAGATCCTGTGGACATTGAGCAACTGCGTAGTTCAGTTGCCAAGAAGCAAGAGGAGCTGAGCGAGTGGAAGAACAAGCTAAAGACAATCGAGGAGCTCAAGACCAAGCATCACCAGGACATCACCAAGGTGGTCGACAACAAGAAGGTTCAATTGAGCAGTCTGCACATTGTGCTGTCACAGAGCAAGGGGATACAGGAGAAACAGAAGCAAGAGTTGGATAGCACAATGGTGGAGATCGATGCTATTGGAAAGTCATACGAGCAGATGCAGGAGCAGAATACTCGACTGTCCACTCAGATATCAGACAAGGAGGACACACATGCACAACTGATGGCTGAGAATATCAAGTCACAACAGGCGATCCGTCTGACAAAGGAGGCTCAGGCAGCGGTCGAGGAACGTGTGCTGCGCAGTGAGGAGAAGCTGAAGGCGCAGGCAGAGATGATGGCCAAGGTCGAGGAAAAGTATCAGACACTCTACAAGCAGCTGTCCAAAGCGAATGAGGATCTCTTTGCCTGCAGCTTCGAGTTGGAAAAGAACAAGCAAATTGTACACGAGAAGCTGTCACATGCAAAGGAGTTAAAGACACAATGGGATCATCTTGGTGCCATGGGTGATGAGCTCAAGAAGAAGTCAGATGACTCCATCGCTGCCCTTGAGAGGGAGATCGAAAAGGCCAAGAAGCTTGATGTAAGTTTGGACATTCCAGCGATCAATCATTCATCCAACTAACATCTCCACTTTCCACAACAATAACAGGAGGAGAAACAGATGCTCAAGAAGAAGCTGGAAAAGATTACTGTAAATAACTCGCTCTCATCCTCTACTGCAGAGGAGGAGCTTCGACTGATAAATGTAAGTAGTAGACTTGTCCTGTGCCGTGATCCATCATATACTAACTTTGGTACAACGTAGCAACGACTGAGGTGTACGATTTGCAACGATAGACAGAAGAACTATGTCATTGCCAAGTGCTTTCATGTGTTTTGTAAAGAGTGTATATATTCCAATATCGATACGAGGAAGAGGCGATGTCCAGGATGCAAGCGACCATTTTCAGAGAGCGACGTACATCAAGTATACCTCACCTAGTTTAGTTGATCGTGGAATAAACATCGATACTTTATACAGGACTTTATTGATCTTTGAATGAATGAATGAATATGTTTATTCATCGTGCTGCTGAAGGGCACTGGGAGGTGGCGGCGATTGAGTGTCGCGGTAGGTTCCAATTAACATCCTCCTGTTTAGCATCATCTGGTTGCCTGTTGCCAAAGGATCATTGATGACTGCTTGGTTGTCATAAAAGAATGTTGGCGAAGTATGTTGATGTAGTTGTTGCTGGTGTGGGAGTGGCGGCTGCTGCTGTTGTGTGATGGCTTGGTAAAGAGAAGGAAATGGTCGGCTAGGGAGTTGGGAAGATGTTGGAGAGAGTGGAACCTTGTTTGTGACCTGCTGTTGCTGCTGGTAGAGCTGGGGGAATGATTGTGACAATGGATTGATCTTGTTTAGAGGTGACTGCTGAAGTGGATGTGCTCTAGAAGAGGGTGGAGATGTCCTTGAATCGTTCCTAGGTCGATTCTTTTGTTGTTGTTGTTTGCTTGCTCCTTGACCAGGTTGAATAGACGATATAGGAGGTGATTGGTGATACTGTTGTTGTTGTTGTTGTTGTTGAGGTGGCTGGAACTTGGAAGGTGCACTGTATGAGTGATTGGTGAGATGCCCAAAGCTGTTGCCCAATGGAACACCACCATGACTGTTGAGTGGAGGGAATGCATCGTTGCCGCCGCCATGATAGTTTGGTTGTGTTGGTGGTGACTGCTTGAAATAGGATGGTTGAAGATGGGAGTTGGATGATGGCGGAGATTGGACGAAATATGGACGATAATCGTACGGGCTAAAAGCCAGTGATGGATCGTCGAACGCGGGGTTATCAGATTGGAGATGGTAGTTCTCCATCTGTGGTATGCCCCAAGGTGAAGAGTGTGCCTGCCAACTGGAAGATTGATCGTTTCCAACGCCAACACCGCCGCTCACATGCAACGACGCTTTAAAGCTGGAGGAGAGGGTATCCTCGAATCTCCAGCTGCCGCCATCGGACGATGTAAAGCGCGATCTGCCTGGACTGGAGGACTTCTTGTTGGGAGTGCTCTGTTGTTGTTGTTGGGGTGCGAGTTGTGGAGTTTGTTGTTGAGGCTGCAGTTGCTCGATTGGGAACAGCATCTCCTCGGAAGATGGAGATATGCTCCAACCTCCATTGGCAGGCTCAGAGCCTATCAGTGGACTGACTGCATCCTGAGGTGTAAGTGGTGTGTTGTAAATGTGAGGCGAACTTGGAAATGGTGGAGAGTCTTGGCCATATAATTGTTGTAGCTGTTGTTGTAGCTGTTGTGGCTTGTAGTGATTGAGATGTGGCTGTTGTGATCGAGGTGGATATTGGTATTGTTGTTGTTGTTGTTGCTTGTTAAATGAGGTAGTTTGTTGCTGTTGTTGTTGTTGTTGTTGGAATTGATCGCCATAGCTGTGAGATCTGAATCGATTGGATTGTTGCAGGTTCCATTGGTCCATCATACTATGGTTCATACGACCATAATATGTATTGTACATATGCTGGTTTGTCGAGTGTATCATGTTGCCACTATTGCCAAGATAGTTGTTGTTGCTGTTATCCATTTGGATGCTGTCACTCTGAGTAGGTCGCTTAGAAGGATACATCGGAGGCTTCTCCTCGAATGATCCCATGATCATTGGGTGGTCCTCGGCTGGACCCACACTATTGCTGCTACCACCAAGATTGGGGCCATCATTGGATGTAGGTGCATCACTCTTTGATCTGGATCGTCTGCTGGCATATGCTTGTTGTTGCTGTTGAAATGATGATGAAGACGATGATTGGAGGGGTGGAGGCAATCCATCTGATCCACTCCAAGGTGATCCAAAGTATGAGCCACCGAATGATCCGCCATTGAATGATCCGCTGAATGATCTGTCATTGAATGATCCACTGTTGTACAGTGGGCTGAATGGTAGTGGTGGGAACTTGGAGGTGGGTGTTCCAAAGAGTGAGGGGCTCTGTCCAAGAGGGAGCGCTGAAGATGGTTGTTGGTGAGTGTTTGTTAATGAGAACGGTCCAAAGAGACTTCGAGGTGAATAGGATTCTGGAAAGGCGCTATATGGCTCGCCCATTGAATGCTTGACTGATATTGGTGGCTGCATTCTCTTTCCATAGCTGCCTGCGCTGTTGTTATATGTGTAGTGGCTACTACTGCTACCACTGCTGCTGCCACTGATGATATTAATGTTGTTGTTGTTGTTAAAGCTGTTGTTATTGCTGTTGATGAATGAATAGTTGTGGTTGCCGTGGCCATGATGGCTGTGATGACCTTGATTATGCATGTTGTGTGAGGGAACCATAATAGGCCTTGGAACTGTCGTTGTATATTGTCGTTTCTTCATTGGATCGGGAATGAATTGGCCTTTATATTGTGCGCCTGTAATGAATGGATGGTCTCGAGCCTGCATTGGCGTCCATCTCTCGTTCGGATCCAAGCACAACAGACCCAGCAAGAAGTCTGTGAACACTACTCGATTGTGTTTCTCTGTTTGATTGATCGTGTTAGAATTGTCACATGATTGCTCACAGTCCAGTCCGCTACATACCAGCTTCATGCTCCTCTGGCGTCATATTCTTCTTGAATGTATAGTTCTGTATAATCTCTGGCAATGTCCTATAAGTAAAGTACTTCTTGGATGGTTGTTGTTCCTTCTTGGTGTCCTAATGATTGATTGATTGATTGAACGAGTGAGTGATCAATTGAATGATTGATTGAGTGATCCAAAGAAGGAACATACCTTGACATACTCCTCCTCAGTCTTGAGACTGTAGGAATATCGATGATGTCCTGACACTCCACTACCCTCGAGGATTGAGTGCTTGAAGTACTGCGAGCCATTCTTACCAGACTCGATCATGTCGTCAGGGAATGATCCTCGCATCTCAACAATGCGACAGATCTGATTGTACTCTGATGTGCCGGGGAACAGTGGTAGACCAAGGAATAGCTCGGCTGATATACAACCCAACGACCACATATCGATAGCGCTGGTATACTGCTGGCCGAGCAATACCTCTGGTGACCTATAATGTCTCGATTGAATATATGGATATACTGTTTGGCTCTCATAACAAGCCGAGCCAAAGTCGATCAGTTTGATGTTGGGTGCATTAACGCTGTGGACATGAATGAATGAATGAGTGAGTGAGTGATCCTGGAGCATCATTCATGGAGCATATTATATACCTCTGTAGCAGGATGTTCTCTGGCTTTAGATCACAATGGATCATGTTGGCATTGGATAATACTATTAGTGCATCCAATATCTGGATAAGGAATACCTGAATCAACTTGATGGACAGGCCTCGATAGGAGTTCTGCTTGACCAACTCAAACAAGTTGATACTCAGCAGTTCAAACACAATGCACAGATGCTTCTTGAATATGAATGAGTCCTGTAGACGTAGTATGTTGGACTTGTTGTCCGGATCATAGTGGCTGTTGAGCTGGGATGGTGGTGATGTTAGGTCAATGCGCCAGGCTCACTCATTCAATCAATCAACAATCATACCTTCTTCAATATCTCAATCTCAAGCTTTCCTTGATGGAAGTAGGCCGCCTTGTTCTTTAGGATCTTGACGGCGACGAGTTCGTTAGTGTCACAGTTCTGGCACTTGACTACAAGTCCAAATGTACCCTGTCCAAGCGAGTCCAGTACGCGGTATCGTTGATTAAAGTCCGAGCCCAAAGTGTCATTAACGTAGACAATGAGGTCAGAGTTGGCATTGTCATGGCCATCATTAAGTACACCCTCATTTGGCAATGTCAGTACACGACTGGTATTATGTGCGGTTGACATATAGCCATATTCAGGATTGACTTGTTTGTACAACTCTAGCAATCCATCTGTGAGCTGTACTATGGGCTGCGTTGATTGGATGATAGAGTAAGTGAGTGAGGTGAATGAATGAGTGAGTCGCCAGATACTTACGCCATGATGTGGCGTAGGCTGGTTGTTTGGCTGTTGTGACTTTTGTGAGTTGCTGCTGTTGTTGGTAGTGTCGAGATAGGAGAATGATTGATCTCCAATGGTGGTGCCAATATCAACAGCATTCCTTCCAATACTCAGAATGTTGTTTCGACCCTGTGAGACAGTCTTAGTGTTACCTCCTATAATGGCATTTGGCGAAACACTATTGCTACCGCAACTGCCGCCAATACCTTCGCTGCTACTGCTGCTGCTGCTGCTACTGCTACCATTACTACTACTACTACTGATACTAGTACTGTTGTTTGTTTTGCTAGGATGGATGGTAGACATTGTTATGCTGCTACTGCTGCTTGGAAGGCAGTCCGACCATTACAATGCCAGACACCAAAGGGAGAATGGCGCTTCAAACTGATTGTTTGGCTGTCTGTTCCTCAGTTTGATACTTGTAAAATACTGTTTTGTTTGAACTATGAATAGTAAGTTGATTGATTGATTGAATGTGATTGAATGTGAATGATTGAATGAATGAATGGTTTGAATGAATGATTGAATGAATGAATCTTGTGGGTGAATGAGTACGCCGAGTGTGTGTTGCGTGTGCTAGAGAAAGAGAGTGTGTCTCTATGCTCGAGTGTCTGCTTATGTCTATATACTGTGTGAGTGTAATGGTCTGGCATAGCAGTCATCCACACCACAACACACGTGTCAGGTTCAAGTTGCCAGATGAATCCAATCAAGATTTATTGATTAAATTAAATTTACGAGGAGGGTCATCGGAGGACCAGGTTCAACCTCCCAACAACACACTCTCACATGACATCCATGAGTTCAAAAACAAACAGCATCTTGAGACGTAAGGTGTCCATCTTGGGCTCTGTCAGCTGAGTTCAAAGCAGACTTCTACTTTTAGGAATTGGGTTTTGTCGCTTTCAAAGAGATGATCAATATGAACAAGTTCATCATGATGATTGATTGGTTGATTGTATTGCGCGTGTACACTTGACACTACTACTACTGTAACTGTTCGTTCATCACAAACAATTCAGAGGAGTGATATTTATTTGTTCAAACTGGGCGTTGTGAGTTTGAGGTCTATGAGTGCAGCAAGTACTTTCATGAGAGGGCGCACTCTTGTGTTGTTGCTTGGTTGGATTATATGTACAGGATAGGGGTGTTGTTCGTCGGAGTTCGTTCAAAGTTGACTATTATATATGTATGTGTGTAATGTATGTACAATGATAAATGTTATAAAGGTTTAAACTAAACTACTCATAGTGATCCAGCCTCAACAACCTGAACCATTCTGAACCATGATGACTCCCTCTCTGTTCTAGCAGGGATCTCAATAGATGATGACTTTGATACGCTGTGAGATGTCGGTGACAGTGGCCTTGGGATCTCCATTGAAGTCTCCAAAGATGATGTATTGCTGAATGATGGTGTCGAGTTTGATCCTCCAAAGTTGAAGATTTCAAGTGATTTTCCTATAATTCCAATATATTATTAGTACCATTGTACTTGGTTCACTCAATGAGGTCTATGATCACTTACTTAAGAAAGACATTGTTGTAGTAGGGAGTTTGATTTGATTTGATTTGATTGATCTTGGTGTATCTAGTAAGATAAGTATAACTAACTATTATTAATTATAGTTTAATAATGAATGTTATGTTAGTAATTTGTTCTGTTCACATTAAGGTTATTATTGTATGTGAGCGGAGATAGGATGGTCAGAAGTAAGGAGTAAAGAATGAGGGTCTAGGTGAAGAAAAGGAGGAGTACAAAGCAAATGACTCTTGCATCTCCAACGGACCAGCCAGCCAACCAACGACCAACTAATAACCAACAAACAAATTAACACACACAACAAACACACAAATTATAAATGTAATAATGTGAAGTGAAGTGAAGTGTATGTTTGAGGGGTGTAAGGGTGAAGGGTTGTGCACAACAGAAGTGTACTCTCTGACTTGGTGGACAGTTGGCATTGTTATTGGTCCTTGTAGTGGGATGTGCTGTGTATTTATATATATATTTTATAAACATTACAATGATGACTTGACTTACATTAATTGATTCAAAGTATACAAGGCAGAGTGTGTACGTGTGTATATATATGTTATTGTTATAGTGTGTTAATTAATTAATTATTTACAATGAATGATGATTAGATAATAATAATAATAAGAATAATGTTTATCTGTATGAATAATGTATGAATGAATGAAGAAATCCAGATTGAAATGGAAGGGTATTGTCTCCAAACTTTGCTCACTGAGACAAAGACAGTCAGTCAATTCAAATCCACTAAAATGTATTTAAATTGAAACATAATAAATTACCTTTTTAGTCATCTAGATTCTTCCTGAACCATTAATTGATTAAAAATTATTTCAAATAATTATATCTGTTGGTGTTTTATTGTGCAGGAGGGGTAGTTGTTTTGATTTGTGCGCTACAGCAATTGGGGGTTATGAATCGATTGAGGACCATGTTGGGTCTCCACAACCACGCACACACAAACACAATGAATCAAGTCTCTTTGTTGTTGACATTGGTATCCAAAGACATGAAGTTGGTGGTTGGTTCTCCACAAAGACACTCTACAATTGGTGTCCTTTTATCTATCTCTGGACACATACACACAACAACAAACAATCAAGTTTAGGACAATATCGATTGGGGGCAAAGGCCCAGGATGGAAGGTTGACTGTTATGGAAAGGAACGGTCGATTTGGTCCTGAACAGGGATTGAGTAGAAGGTGTTCAAATCAATCGGGAGTGAGTGAGTGAGTGAGATGATGATGTCCAACTTACTAACTAGCTACAACAACTTCAGACGACTTTGTCTTCAATCTCCATTGGCGTGATGACTGAGTCCGTGACTGATGAAAGGTTGTAGTTGACAACATTGGGGGAGTTATTGGAATTGATGAGAATGAGTGGGAAGTCTTGATTGACTCAAAAACAAAGTATCTGTCCAAACTAAGTAAACATCGTTTAGTTGTTCAAACAACAGAGAGAGAAAGAGAGAACGTTCGAACGAGGTGACATGTCGAACATCGACAATAACGAGTTTGACTTTGATTTCAGTGATGTAGTACAGGAGCAACATCAACAGCAGCAGGAGAATGAAGAACAACAACAACTACCTCAACAAGGTTCGACCACTCATCAACAACAACAGCAAAGTCCAAGTGATGTGGTGGCCTCTGCAATGAACTCTCTCAGTGATTGGGAACTTCATCTACTCAGGATGAGGAGGGACATCAACAATCAAGCAAAGGAGGAGAGAAAGAAACAGGAAGAACTGGATAAGGCGTGAGTGTTGTTGGACCTATATCGCATCACGATCGTTGTTAACATTGTTGCTGTATACGTAGTAAGTTGTATGCCAAGCAGGATTTGGCATTGCAGAGTCAGTATGATGACTGGATGGACACGGCAATGTCCAAGACATTCGCAAGAGAGATAAACAATACTGGTTCAAGGGAGTTTGTTGTCATTCGCTCGTATGAGGCATTCTGGAAACAATATTATGGAGAGAAGGACAAGTACTATAATGAGGTGATTGCAGAGAGTGATGCGTGTCACCTCTACCTTGATGTCGAGTACATGCGAAAGTGCAACCCGCATCTCGATGGCAGATCTGAACAAGTGATCGACGTACTCATAAAACAGATGATCAAGGCGATTGATCATGAACTACACATCAAGACGACGAGGGACGATGTCCTTGACCTGGACTCGTCAACACCCGCCAAGTTCTCCAGGCATCTCATCTGGCATATCCAAGGTCACTACTTTTCCAACAACATCGATGTTGGACGTTTCGTTAAGTATGATCGATGCACCGCCAGCCTGTCTAGACACAAACGAATGTACTAACATCGATGTTGACCCTTGATAGACACTTCATTCAACGTTGCGAACATTGTTTGTTGTTCGATAAAGACAAGTTGATGGAGAGCCAGGAGGAGAGTGATAAGGACATGTTAGATATGTTACACTACTTGTTGGTTCGCAATGATAATGGCGCCACAGTGTCGGTGATTGATGGAGGTGTATATACCAAGAACAGAACATTCAGACTGTTCCTGTCATCAAAGTTTGGAAAGAATCAACCATTGTTACTTAGCAAGACAAACACATATCCACTTGTAAACAAACAACATGGGCCTGGCGAGGCACTTGACAAAGAGGTATTCATGGCGAGCTTGGTGTGCAATGTTGACAGCTTTGACACGACACTCGTCTCCGTGGAAGTTCCTCAATATCCATCAATCGCCAGTCCATCCAAGACCAAGGGAGCAGTACATACACTCAAACAATCATCACATCCCAAACTAGACGAGTTCATCAAGAAGTACGTCAACAGTAGAGGTGGGTCCAAAAGTGGATACATTAGGAACATCAGTCAGTTGGTCGTTGGAGGAGGAGGCAATGATGGTGATAATGACAATGGTACATCAACGTCATCCACATCATCATCAGAGGGTACCTCATTATTGATATATAATGTTGCGGGAAATAGATGGTGTGACAATATTGGTAGAGAGCATAAGAGCAACAACATATACTTTGAAGTCAATCCCACTCGAGGTGTACTCTATCAAAAGTGCATGGACAACGAATGCAAGGGATATAGATCTTCCGAAGTCCCAATCGCCTCCTACCTCTCATCCCCTACTCCATCCACATCCTCAACAACAACAACCTCATCGACATCTTCAACCACAACATGAATGAATGAATGATTGGTAGACCAACAACGCGGACGTCCAATATTGATTCATCTCCTACCGACTGCTTGTCTCAAAGTGGATCAGGGATGGTCTGTTCAACTTGTTGGAGTACTGCTGTCAGTTGATAATTGATTCTCTAATGAGAGAATAGAACAAATAAACTTGGCAACTCGAGTCCTCAAAGCAATTCAGAGTGAGTCATTCAATTCATTCTTTGGTTTGAGTTCCCAAGTTTTGGGGAACTAACAACACTCAATTTTGTGAGAGGAAGAAGCAGTGAAAGAGCTGGAAAAATGTGTGAATAATCATTTAATTAAATTATGTATGTGTCACGTCTCTCTATCCCCCATTTGCAATCCACACACACAAACACATACACACTGTCAAGTTGTCACTCATCTATCTCTATCTCTTCTTTCACTTCACTTCATTTACTCACTTATCCACTCTCTACATACACACACACTATCTCTATTTATTTATCTATCTATCTTAATCAAACACATCGATATATAACTATATTAAAATAAAGATATAGTTATAGAATTTGTAAGTTATAACAACTCAATCAATCAATCAATCAATGATCATTAATTAATTAACTAACAAACAATCGATCAACCAATCAATCAATCAAATCATCAATTAATATAATTATACAGATAATCAATACACACATTAACAACATTTTTTAAACAAACAATGGATGTACAAAGAATTCATGTTGATTCACTCTCTGATATATTCACTCTGCTAGATAGAGAGACTATTGCTGAGGTGTTGAGACAACATAATAATGATTTTGAAGCTGCTGCCATCGTATTGGCAGAGTTAAACGTACCAAAACAACCAACACAGCCACAGCAACCACAACCACAACAACAGAGACCAGCTCCAGTTCCAGTGCCAGCTCCTGCTCCAGTACAAAGACCAGTGGCTCCAGCACAAAACACCAGACAAAATGTTTACAACGATGTCAAGAACCTCATGGGCAATGACATTGACGTCAACCAATCAACCATCTTTGCCATCTATGAAACCACTGGAGGCAAGATCCAGGACACTGCCAATATCCTCAAGGAAATGTACCACGACCCAGCACTTGAGCAGCAAAAGCGTGCCATGGAGGAGATGGAGGCCAAGAGAGCCCATCTCGTCCGCGAGAGGGAGAGACTGGATGGTGCGAGACAGCAGCAGTTGAAGGAGCAGCAGCAACAGGCTCAGATTTTGAAACAACAACAGGATCGCGAGAAGGTCGAGCGCCAGAGAGTCGACAAGGAGAAGGCCGTCGATGCTGAGCAGCGCGAGTTGAAGAAGTTGGAGTTGCAGAAGCGCGAGCAAGAGATCGTGCGTCAGGAGGAGGAGAGAAGAAAGCGCGAAGAGGTCGAGCTTCTCAACAAGGTGTTGGCCAAGGAGCGCGAGGCCCAGAAGCAGCAGTTGGCCAGAGAGCAGGAGGAGAACCAAAAGTTGATTCTCGAGACTCAGATCCTCAGACAGGAGCTCCAGAGACAGGACGAGGAGAAGAGGAAGCAGGAGGAGTTGGCCCTGCACGCCCGCATCATCAAGGAGAACCAAGAGATGGAGATCAAGAGGAAGAAGGAGGTTGAGTTGGAGGAGCAGAGACGCCAGTTTGAGCAACAGCAGCGTTTGCTCATCGAGCAGCAGATCGCCGTCGAGGACCGCAGAAAGCTTGAGATCGAGCTCCAACGCCAGCGCGAGGTTGATCAGCGCAAGTTGGACGAGCTCAAGATGGAGCTGGAGCACCTGCAAGTCAAGACTGAGGAGCAGCTAAAGAAGCAGGTCAGCGATTTGCAGAGACAGAAGGAGATGGAGCTACAGAGGCAAATTGCCGAGATCGAGGCCCAGAAGCAAGAGCTCGACCGTCTTCGCCAGGTCGAGATGGAGACCATCCTTCGCGAGAAGGAGCGTCTGTTGGCCGAGAAGGATGCCCAGCTTGAGAAGACCAAGCTCTCCACCAGCATCACCCTCCAACTGGCTCATGGCAAGGAGCAAGACTCAATCTGCGTCACCTACAACCTTGGCACACCCATCCACACTGGCCACTGCTGGATCGGCATCTACCCAACACACCAGCCAAAGAACGAGCGCTACCTATCGTACAAGGTTGTTGAGAGTGTCGAGGGCACTCTTGTGTTCCCCAACGTCATTCCGGGTCACTACGAGGCACGTCTCTTCAAGGACCGCTACGACCTCCTGCAGACCAGCCAATCGATCCGCATCGGACCAGAGGTTGAACTCTCTGTCAACGTCGTCCAGGACGAGATCGTTGTCCAATTCAAGATCGTTGGAGGCACTAACAACACTCGCGACTGGATCGGATTGTATTCTAAGGGTCTGCGCAACAAGAAGTACCTGGCCTCGCACTACACAACCAACTCTGGCACCGTCATCTTCAAGTCGCCACGTGTACCCGGTGACTACCAGGTTCGCTACTTTATCTACCCAACCAAGTACAACGAGCAGGCCATCTACCCATTCACCATCGTCGACAACGACAGAATTGAGACCGCCACACCCATCGTGTCCAGAGGCGACGAGATCAAGGTGGACTTTAGCGTGAACACCGTCATCCCCTACTCGTACGACTGGATTGGATTGTACGCCGCTGGCGAGGAGAACAACAAGAACTACGTCGAGTCCAAGTACACCAACGGCACAGGACTTGGCACCGTGTCGTTCATCGCCCCAAGCACACCAGGCGAGTATGAGTTCAGATTCTTCTCATACTCCAAGGGCAAGTACAACACATTCAAGGTATCCAACAAGGTGGTCGTCACTCCATAAGCCAACACGACATTGTCATCCATCCTTCCATCCTCTCGTCATTCTTGTACCAAACTATCTATCTATATCAATCGTTACGTTATTCTCTCTCCTCTCTCTCTTTCAGCAATCAACCAGCCGCACCCATCTTCAGGCTAGCCTTTCCCATCAATAAACATTTGTAACCATCAATCACTGTCTCTGTTTAGCTGAACAAACAACAATTGTTTACTCAAATGGGTAGCACCCATCTGATGCGGGGACGTCACACTCATTTTTGTGATCGTTCATTGATCAACCTTTGATGGAGGGCAAAGGTCACACCCCTCCCATGTGACCCATCGCGGGATCAACAAAATCAAACAATACACACACATTTGATTGTTGTTGGGTACTCACACTTCATCATCATCACCCACACTTATTCATCAGCATCAACATCATCATAGTTATATAGTTATAATTATATATATATATATATACATAAGATATCCAATACTGTCTGTCAAGTCAGTCAGTTACTATCATCAGATCAATCAATCAATCGATCTTCGTCATCATCAAGACGAGTGTAGTCAGGCCACACACATACTCTGCTCTTAACAGAGGAGTAGTAGTTCAAATACTCTATTAGATAGTATTATTATCATCACTATTATCATCGTTATTATACACATAGACAATCGGATAAATGCATCATTCCAATACAGGCGGAGCAAAGAGTGATGATAAACAACAACAACAACAACAACAACAACAGCAGCAGCAACAACAGCAACAACAGCAACAACAGCAACAGCCACAGCAACAACAGAATAGCTCATTGTTTGGAATGGTGACGCAGTCATTGAGAGGAGCTTTGACGACTGGTGTCACTCACAATCATAATCAAGGTGGAGGAGGACAACAGGGGGTACCTGCACCACCGCCTCCAGTAGCATCATCATCAGCAGTGGCAGCTTCACCATCTTCACCTTCGATACATATGTCAATAGCTGGTGGCAACAACTATGGCTACTCCGATTCGACGACCTACTCTTCAACACCAACTACAACAGCATCATCATCACATGGCAACAGTGTCAGCAACTTGTTGTCGGCATCACCGACACTGAGCTCGACACCATCGGGTGGCGCAAGGATCAAGGTGTCTGGCTCCTCGTCATCGTCACAGCTGCTCTCATTGTCGGAACAGGCGGCGCTCAAAGAGAAGGAACGCGAGAAGGAGAGAGAAAAGGAGAAGCTGGAGAAGAAGACAAAGAGCAGGAAGCAAGCCATCAAGGGCTTCATCAAAGAGATCACAGAGCGACGGCCGGACCATTTCGGCGAGCTGTCCTTCCTGGAGAGCAGCAAGGTTGGCATGGAGGATCTGTCCGAGATGAAGGAGTTTGACGACGAGTCATTCATCAACAACATTCAGCTGAGGTTCAAGAAGAACATCATATATGTAAGTCATCGGCACACACAATCGATGCCTCTGGCGCTCCATCTTACTCACACAATAACCTCCCTCTCGCTACGCTACTACTACACAGACCAACATCGGCCCGATACTACTCTCAGTCAATCCATACCAGATACTGCCGATATACACACAGGACATACTCAGGCTGTACAGAAAGAGGGATGGCGAGCGACTGCCTCCACACCTCTTTGCACTGGCTGAGCGCGCCTACATGAACATGGTAGACTTTCATCGCAACCAAGTCATCTGCATCAGTGGCGACAGCGGCAGTGGCAAGTCCGAAAACAGCAAGCTGGTGCTACAATACCTGTTGGCAATCAATCCAAAACATTCAATGGACATTGAGAACCTGATACTCGAGTCTGGTTCCATACTTGAATCCTTTGGACATTGCTCCACCGTGTCCAATCCAAACTCTTCACGATTTGTAAGTTGTCCATCGATCCATCGATCAATCAATCATACTTGATACTGACTCGACTCTCATGATCACTCCACAACAGGGAAAGTACATCGAGGTGTATTACAGCAGCGAAGGAGAGATAACAGGTGCAAGATTATACAATTGTAAGGAGCAACATGTTGGAAGCGGGATGCCAGATGGCGTGGGCACGGACACGTTGGACTCGCTGAATGATAGCTAACACAACAAACCAACCAACAGACTTCTTGGATGAATCTAGGATATCATATCAGGGCAAGGGCGAGAGGAACTTTCATATCTTCTATCAGTTCCTCACTGGTGCCACGGAGGAGGAGAAACAGACGTACAAGCTTGGCGAGTGGAGCAGTTACTATTATCTGAATCAGGGCGTGACGTTCACCATCGATGAGATCAACGACGCCCAGTCATTCGAGCGACTCAAGATGGCCTTTAGCTTCTTTGACTTTACCAGCTCCCAGATCGACCTCGTCTTCCGCACGCTCTCCTTTATACTCAACCTTGGCAATCTCACCTTTTGCCAATCCAAGTCCAAGGTTGACGTCAAGGACAGGACATGTAAGTAACTTAGTGTTTGGTGCCCATCAATCATTCAATCAATCAATCAAGTACTAACCTTTCATTACATCAGACCTTGAGGAGTTATCAAGATCAATCTCATTCGACACGGCCAAACTGGAGCAGATTCTGCTGCCAGAGAAGACAAACTCGGCTCATGATACCACAGAGAACAGGGACAATTTGGCAAAGTCATTGTACGCCAATCTGTTTCAATGGATTGTCGATACGTTGAACGCCAAGCTGGCGCCGCCGACGACGCACGAGCATCTGATCGGTGTGCTCGATCTGTTTGGCCAGGAGAACGCGCAGCTCAACGGCTACGAGCAGTTCTCCATCAACTTTCTCGAGGAGCAGCTGCAGCAGCTGTACATCCAGACCATTCTCAAGAATGAGCAGGACGAGTATAAGCGTGAGAAGCTGCAATGGACCAACCAGGTGCCCTTCAAGGACAATGCCGAGTCGGTGGAGCTGATGGAGAAGATTGTAAATTTGCTGGATCAAGAGTCCAAGAACGTCAACTCAAACGACGCCATATTCCTCGAGAAGCTCAACCTCTTCATTGGCAAGCATCACCTGTATCACATCAAGCAGAAGAGGTTTGGTGTGGAACACTTCTTTGGAACAGTAAGTAGATTGATTGTTAGATTATTCGATTGATTGATGGAATGAAGGTATACTGACGCCAATCAATCAATCTATCATGGTATAGACATTCTACGACATCAAGGGATTCATACAGAAGAACAGGGATGAGATGTTTATCAAGTCATCAAGCAACCTTTCAAAGAGTTCCATTATCAAACTGCTGTTCAGTACTATCTCATCTCATAATGGTGGCGACGCGAACAACAATAACAACAACAGCAGCAGTATCATCAACAACAACATCAACAATAGCAACAACAACAATGTATTACAGACAAAGCTAAAGTCAAGGGTATGTACTCAATCAATCAATCAATCAATTGCACATACTTACCATTCACCTCTCCCTCCAGCGAACACCATTATCAATCATCAAGTCACTGCCACCCAACTCAAACATACACTTCATTAGATGCCTGCGACCAAACTCAAAGAAGCTGCCTAGTCAGTGCGACTCAAAGGTGGTGAACGAACAGGTCAAGACATTGTGTTTGGTCGAGACGTCAAAGATCCAGAAGTATGGCTTCACAGTGAGCTACAAGAGCAAGATGTTCTTTGAGCGCTTCCCCTTCTTCAAACAGTCGCAAAAGGCATCGTCTTTTGCCAATCTGCTCGATCGCATGAAGGAGAGCGGCATCCAGATCGACTCGATCCTGTCGCCCTGCTCGCAGATGGGCAACAGCAAGGTGTTTCTGCGCTACACACTCGGCCAGCTGCTGGAGGATGAGCGCCAGAAGCGCCGCTACGCAGCAGCCATCACTATGCAGAAGACATGGCGAATGTACAAAGAGAGGAAAAACTACCTGGCCATGAAGAAGGCCGCCGTGTCGATACAGAAGTGCACGAGGCGCTGGCTGGTGCAGAGACGATATCACTCAACTCGCGCCGCCATCATCATACTCGAGTCATTCTCACGCATGGTCATTCAGAGGACGAGATATCTGCGCATCAGAGACGCGGCACTGGCACTCCAGACACTGCTGAGGTCGCACATGACGCGTGTCTACGTGGAGGATCTGTCCAAGTCCATCCACAAGTGTGTGCAGCCGCCTCCACTGCCCCTATCACTCATCGTCCACATTCACAAGTCGCCCACGATCACTCCGCCTGTCTCTCCCACTGGCAACTTCTTCCTCAAGCAGTCGACCAGCTCGGCGGCTTCATCCTCATCGACATCATCATCGCAGGTGGCCACCCCTACCTCGACCTCATCATCTGTATCATCTTCTCTGACACCAACATCTGGCACAGTCACTGGCGCAGTAACACCTTCGTCTGGCACTGGCACAAGTACATCGACCACGACAACCACATCGACATCAGGCAATGACTCTGGCACAAACAACAACATCGTCACAAGACACCAGCCATCCATCCCTATTTATAAGGTGAGGTTCGATGGTCAACCGATTGACACCTCCACCTCCACCTCATCCACATCCACATCCACCACAAGTAGCAATGTTGTAACACCATCGATTAACATTCAAAAGATCACACATCTTCCTGTTCGACCGACGAACTTGGTACGAGGCGTACCACCCCTGCGGATTGGCTCGGTTCGCAAGGAGTCTACAACATCATCATCCTCCTACACATCATTATCGTCGCCATCACCAAGCTCTGTGACGCCCAACTATGAGTCACCGGCCACAGAGTCGCCAGCAATCTCGCCACCCATCTCACCAAAGGATAAACTAGCGACGGACAATCAAACGGGCCAGACTGGACCAGTGTTGGAGTCTCCAAAGAGGGGACATCATCCTCACATCAGCATATTCGATCGCGCCAAGTCATTGAGCAGTCTGACAGACAATGACAGTGGGTCATCGTCGTCCAACAACAAGAAGTACAGCGCCAGTGTCATTGCGCCACACTCACACAAGAATGGACCGGCCTCAACTTCATCTCCACGCCAGCCATCACCGCGCCAGCTGTCCACGTCACCAAGCGGCGCATCGACCTCGACCAGCATTCGTCGACTCAACTCAAACAGCTCGATCAAGTACAACATCCATCTCACCGAACAGCTGATATCGCCGGGCAAGGCGAATCCAGTGTCACCACGCCTCTCGCCCAGCCCACCATCCTTCATCCACTTCCCCTCCACATCATCTATCGCTTCGCCCTCGTCGATCCAGAAGAAGCCAGCGACAATTAGCAGCGGCGGCGCAAGCAGCAGTGGCTCGGGCTCTTCCAAGAAGAACTCAGAGTTGGTGCCGCCCGTGATGCCTATCTACCGTGCGACGTCATCCATTCCCCAGCACATGTTGAACGAGGCCTCCAGCCTCCAGAGTCCACGGCGCAGGTCCAAGTCCATTGTGGTCAAGCAGGCGGACGCACAGGAGTTCATGTTCATCGACTATGCCAAGCAGAACTTTGAGCTGCGCTCCAAGAAGTCAATCATTCGCAAGAAGCCCATCTCATTCGACATCCTCACCAACTACTCCAAGAAGCTCACGTCGCCCCTGCACAAGTTTGACGAGCCAGCGCTGGAGAAGTTGGCGCTGGACATCTTTGATCATATCCTGATGTACATGGGCGATGCGGAGCGCGAACGCAAGCGCAGTCTGGGCCAGCTGGCCATCCACATTGTCAAGGCGGCACTGGAGAACCCCGAGCTGGAGGATGAGGTCTACTGCCAGATCATCAAGCAGATCACCAACCATCCCAAGCGCGAGAACAAGCTGCGTGGATGGGAGCTGATTGCCATTTGTTGTGGTTCGTTCGCGCCCACCCAGCGCCTGCTCAAGTACCTCTCTAGCTTCCTGCTGCACCGTGGCGATGACCACGACGACGAAGGCTTTTCCAAGATCGCCTTTAATCGTCTTCAATCGATCACTATGCGAGGCCCACGTGCACTGCCCCCAGTCGAGTCTGAGATCGAAGCTCTGCGCCTGCGCCTCATGCTTCGCGTCACATTCCTGTTCCCTGACGATGTTGGCGAGGAGATCGAAGTGGACTCGACTACGACCGCGGGCGAGGTCACCGAGACGCTGATGAAGCTGGCAGGTCTCAAGTCAGAGTCGCATGTCTGGTCCATCTTTGAGATCTTCAAGAACAAAGAGCGCAGCCTTCGCAAGAATGAGTACATCCTCGACGTGGTGAGCAAGTGGGAGTCGTACTACCAATCGGTCAACCTGTACAACCTCTCCCACGGCGTGCCCACCAACCATGGCGAGATCATCTCACTGGAACAGTTCCAGTTCTGCTTCAAGGTGCAGATGTTCCTCAAGCCATCCAAGCCCCTCACGAACAAGTTTGACATCCAGTTCCTGTTCCATCAGCTGATCAAGGCCATCCTCAAGGGCCACATGCCCATTCGCGAGTACGACCTCTGCAAGCTTGCCGCACTGCGTCTGCACTACGACCTGCTTTGCAACTCCAAGCCCACGTCGCAGTCGGACTTATGGCAGCGTTACATCCCCGAGAAGATGCTGATGCTGCACTCGCCCAAGGAGTGGCGCGACCTCGTACAGGAGCGTCGCTACGAGTTCAGCTCGCACCTGCGCATCCTCTCCAAGGACGACCTGCGCTATGTCATTGTCAAGTACATCACGTCGCTGCCATTCTACGGCTCGACACTGTTCCTCGACTGTCTCCAAGACCAGTGGAGCGAGATTGAGATCCCCGGCGCATTTGATGGCTTCCATCTGGTGATCGACGTCAATGGCGTGCACATCATCGCCAAGTCCACAGTGGACATCCAGAGGAAGGTCATCCCGTCCGAGCCCCTGTCGGCCGCGGACAACGATCCTCCCACCCCTCGCTTTGACGTGCCACACTCAGCAGGAGACAACACTGACGGCCAGGACGGCAAGTCAGCAGCCAACGACGACGATAACGACTCAGAGACCAATGGCGAGACCAAAGAGGAGGTTGGCTACTTCTGCAAGCTGTTGGGCAAGTCGCGCAAGTTCCGTGTTCTCAAGTCAGTACCTTACTCCAGCGTGCTGCACCATCACGTGGATGTCGAAGCCAGGACCATCATCATCTCAGTGAACAACGAGGATCTGCTCATCCAGACGCCACAGTGTCTCGAGATGGATGCGCTCATCACTGGCTACATCAACTATCTGTCGTCAGACTCCAAGTGCGCAGTGGCGCTGCGCGACTACACACCACCATCCGACAAGTTTGGCTTCAAGAAGGGCGACATCATACAGATACAGAGCAGAGGCGAGGATGGATGGTGGACAGGCACAAGCAGTGGTGGCGTGGCGGGCACATTCCCAATGAACTACGTTCAGCCACTGATCAATCCACCCACCAACAACGAGATCTCGTTGAGGACACTTCCCAACAGGACCAGCAAGAGCTCGACCAAGGTGAATGCCTCCCAAACAATGTTCACGACCAAGACTGTGGAGATTGGAACCAAGCACCCTCTGATGCAGTACGTCCTCAACAGGTTCAGATCACTCCCTGCACTCAAGCTTGCCGAGGGACTGAAGCACTCGACCACCCTCAATGTAAGTACTACCAAAGCGGGTGCTATCATTGGTACAAAACTAACCTTGCCCTTCCTCCCCAGGACTCAAACATGTTCCTTTCTGATCTACCCATGGAGCTCCAGAAGGAGTTGGAGTTCATCTTCATTGGTATGTGCTTAAGTTAATCAAAGGGTGACAACAATGACTAACATTCATTCTCCATCTCACAGAGATCATGAAGTACATGGGAGACTATCCATTGCCCCCAAAGGAACACAAGAGCAGACTACTGCAGAACATCATACAACGTGGAATCAACAAACCAAGAATCAGAGACGAGATATACTTCTACATCTGTCGACAGCTCACACTGAACCCAAGCTTGTAAGTATCAATTACATCACACTAATCCAATCCAACCTAACCAACCATAATCATATCGACACAACACAGCGAGGGTGTAAGGAAAGGAATGATTCTGTTCAGTTTGTGTGCAGGCTGCTTCCCAGCCACTGCAGAGCTGTTCCCCTTCCTGAAGCAATTCCTCACGCAGATAGACAACACGTACTCGCAGTCCAGCATCAAGAAGCTACAGTGCACCGCCCTAAAGGGTCCAAGACTGTACGCGCCATGCAAGAAGGAGATACATGCTGTCAAGGAGAAGAGAATGATCTCTTGCAAGATACATCTGGCCAATGGCCCCATTCATCCAGTCGAGATTGGACCCTCGACAACTGCCATCGAGGCACTCAAGGTGCTAGTTGAGCAGCTCGACCTCTCCTACGGCAAGGAGTTTGCCATCTACAAGGTGTGGAATGGCAAGGGTATGTACATCATTATCGACATCACCACCTTGATGTGCCACTCACTAACTCACTCAATCAATCAAATTCCAATATCAACAGAGCAATGTCTAAAGGAACAGGAGAAGATTGCAGACGTGATGAAGTTCTTTGAGGACAAGGAGAAGAAGGCCAAGAAGCTGTCGTCTGAGGAGGAGTTTGCATCAGGCCGACTGGTCCTACTGCGCAAGCTCTGGATTCCACACGCATCCTACTCGATGAGCAAGGGTATGCTCGAGCTGATGTTCTATCAATGTGTACATGATGTGCTAGCTGGAAAGATTCCAAATCTTACCGAAGAGCTCTCGATCACCCTTGCATCCTATCAGCTCCAAGCACAAGAGGGTGATTACAAAGCAGAGTCCCCAATCATCACAGAGTATGTACATTACAGAATTATCCAATAATGATTACTCATATCCCTAACATCAATCAATCATACATATTCTAGTGACACTGTATCTATGTTAATACCAACAATATTGATCGATAACATGGCATTGTCAGAATGGGTTACCAAGATCAATCATGCACATAGTGAACTGGCTTGCAAATCGATCACACCGGAGAAAGCACTCTCAAAGTATCTGGACCAATACTATTCCTTCCCGTACAGTGGCACGACATGGTTCTCGATCTATGCCAAACGCAATCAACAGCCAATGCTTTGGATTGGCATCAACCAGACGATGATCATTCTCTTTAATGAGCGCATGGATGACGAACTCGAGCGTTGGGAGATCGAAGCAGTTTCTGGATTCACATATCGAGAGGACTCGTTCAGCTTCCTCATCGGTGACTTGATCAATCCCACGCGTCGTCTGTTCTACACGGACCAAGGCGATGAGATTGGCGAGGTGTTTGAAACATTCAAGTCACTTCCCAAGGTGGACCTGGTCGAGCAGGAGAGGAGGATGGAGAAGAAACGAGAAAGGAAGGAAAAGGAGATGAGGAAAGCAGCTAAGCATCAACAACAAGAGGGAGGCGGCAACAACAACAATGGCGCCAGTAGCAGCAACAGTTAACTTTATCTTGGTCATTATTAAATTGTTGTATTTTGAACCAATTTTGTTATTCGATAAATTGTAACTAGTTTGGCAGGTGATAAAGAAAACTTGGCCATTACTAACTGGTTATTACTTTGGCACAGAACGGTGTCCAAACACCAGTTGGGGTGAGCCAAATTGTTTATTTATTAATAATATGGGCCTTTTTGTTTAAATGCCTACACCCGACCTGGATGAGAGCCGCATCGTTCTGTTTAATTATCCCTAAATATTTTGGTTGTTTGGAGTCTACGGAATATTTTGGACCAATTTTTTTGCTACAAATTAAATAATTTATTTTTAAATTAATCAAGCGCAATTGGTCTAGTGGCAGAATTCTTGCCTTCCAAGCAGGAGACCCGAGTTCGATTCTCGGATTGCGCAATAATGTTAACTTTGAGGTAATGTCGGAACTTCGGATTTGGTCAATCTCCTGGATGGATAAAGTCTTAAAAAGATAAATAACAATCATATGATACCATGTATAAATTAGGCGGTGATTCCAATGGATTTCATTCGCCACATATCTTTATCATCTTTTGTCCAATCGATGTTGGTATAGTATAGACACTCCTCTCCTGTTGATGGAAGGTTGGTATTCTTGCGATCGGTAACAAGCTTTACAGTTTGTTCCAAGTTGTCTGACCTCTCAAACACTGAATAGAAGTAGTAATAAGTGTTGCAGGAATAATGTCCAAATAGTATGTTAGTTACATGTTCCATATATGGACTATAGCTGGATGGTACTTACTCTTCTTTAAATCAGGATTGTTGTGGACGAATTCAAAGGTAGTTGTTCCGTAGAACTTGTAGACTGCCCGGATGATTTGTTCGCCCTCGTGGTCGGTGGTAACGATCACGGCAGAGTCCACAAACTCCTTCTTGATCTCTAGTGACACGTATCCAATCACCTCATCATGATTGGCTTTGGCCAATGTTTGCTTGAGATACACTTCAAACCAAGTCGTCTTGAACACTCCCTCTGCAATGATTCCATCCAGGAAATCCAAGTCTCTCTTTCTCAATGCATCAGTAAATTGTACGACTGCTTTCTCAGACTCTGGATTGATTGAATTGATTGATTGATTGAGGTGGATGTGTCAGTGGTGTGATCAACAAACAACTATGATAACTACATACCCTTTAGGAATTTGAGCAACTCATCGTTGTTGAGGTTATTGTTCCTCCATCTGATTAGCCATAGTGCAGGCTTGGTTATCATGTTCTCAAGTGCAGATATCTCTTTGAATAGTGGGCCATGTGCTGTCATCAACATAATGTTGGCGATACCAGATTGTCCATCATCGTCAATAACAACATTCTTCTTCTCCTCTACTACTTGCTCATCGACTGTGATATCCCCCTCCACAAGTTGTTCCTGTTTGGCTGTTGACTTGAGTGTAGAAGTTGCAGCAGCAGCAGCAGCGGTAGTAGTTGCTGTCTTTGAAGTGTTGTTCTTGACTCTGTTCAAGTGCTTGATCCTCTCGTTGAGGTAGTAATCATAGATGACTGATCTCCTCCATGGTGACAGTTTATCAAAGTCGATAAATGCTCTCTTAATATAATCTGTCGTCCAGTACTTGGCCAAATGTCTTTGTTTGGTTGTTATGTTGTAGTTGTTGGTAGAGGTTGCATCATGATTGACTTTTGAACGAGAGAATGATGTGAGACTTGAAGTGAAGTAATGTTGTCTAGGTGTTAGAGCTTTGAAACCAGCAGACACAGTAGTAGTAGTTTGTTGCCGCAATGATAACATCTTATAACTTATAAGTTACTTGTATAATAATACAATGTATGATTGGTGAAACTTGAACAAATGAAGTGCAAAGTGAGTGAATAGGAATGAGCTCTAAGGGCCCCCCTTTGAAGTCATTGACATCATTCACACCTCATCATCAACCTCACTCATTCAATCAGATAACAATATATAAATATCCAATCTATCTCATTAACAAGTATGAACGATCAACATCAACAACAACAGGAGGAGTATGAATTATATAGATTGTCCAACGTTACTCTGATTCGTGGAACTGCTAACCTAGGTCCAGGCGAACTAGTCATTACCAGCAAGTAAGTCGCGATACTATTATTGAATGAATGAATGATTGAATGAGTATACTAACTAACCAATCACTTGACAACTTGTAGGAATGTATGTTGGAAGGGAGAGAAGGACCATCATAAGATCACCTTTTATCAGATTGGTCTGAGTGCACTGAAGAAGAATGAGGATCAATGTGTATATTGTCAATGCGATAAACTACCAGAGGATGTCACTGCAAATGGAACGAATGAGGATGATGACAATGATGATGATGATGACGATAACAACAATAACTATCATGTATTCGAGGATGAGGATTATACAGAGCTGAGGTTCATACCATCGGACTTGACGAAATGTAAGATGGGACTACAGGACGATGATGATGATGAAGACGAGGATATTGACATGATGGACATTGATTCTGAACAACCTACCTACTATCCATTAACTCAACAACAACTAGTGGATGAGATATACGCAAAGTTATGTCAAGGACAACTGCTCAACCCTGATCCAGAGGATGACGACGAAGGCAATCTATATTTTGGTCAACAAGAGGACGACGATGACGATGACATGGAGGATGATGACGAGGAATACGACGAGGACGAAGAAGAAGGTGGCAATGATATGCACGTCATGAATCCAAACCAAGTTGATGATCTGACACGATTCCAGAATGCAGACGAATGAATCAATGAATGAACGAATCATCTGACTTATATAGATAGTAGTTTGCCTGTTTATTGAATATGCGATCGCCGCTATATATCCTCATGAATGATAGAGAGTGATCCCTGTTAGCTGCCATCATCTGTTTGTCCAAAGTGGTGGTCCGATAGATGGTTAGTAAGTGTCACATTGACCGACACGACCGACGACAACATACCAATCCAAAATGTGCTGATCTTGCCTAGGAGCGATGAAACTGTCTGTATAACTATAATCGAACCTCTGTTGTTGTGTTGATGTTAGTACTTGTACTGCTGAATGCATGCATGCTACACCTGATCAATCGACCAACCAACAACTTACTCTCCTCCCTTTGTACTCAGTGGTGATGGTGTGTGTGTCTGTGTCGAGGCTAATGATGGAGCTGTGGCTGTTGCTGTTGCTGTTGATATGTTACAATGATGGTTGGACAATATAGGTGTGATTGATGATGTGAATGTGAATGGACTTCTATTGTTGTTGATGCTGTTGCCTTGAGTTGTCGATTTGGTGATGGCGACAACACATCTTTGAGTTTGACTTGAAGTTGAGAGTCGAGTCCTCAACGATGAAGCTAATACTGTTCTTAATACACCTTGACTATTCATTGTAAAGAGGATAGGTATAAGTCACTGAGTATCTTATGTGTGTTTGATTGATTGATCAGTGTGTCGTCATTCGTTCGTCAAAGAAGTGAGGTCAGTGGCTGTCCAAAAAAAATGGCCCACTTTTTACACATCTGATCAAAAGGAACATGGAACATGAAGGCTTCAGCAGACTAGACTTGGTTGGATCTTTTATTCATTGATGGTAGTTGATAAAAGGTGATGCGATGCGATATGTATACAAGAATTGGAGATGGCCCATTGACAATGAGCTACTCTTTTTGAATTTGGAAGTTGGTTGGATGATCCAGTTCCCGGCTGGATGATGTTGTTGATGGTGACAAAATGATGCTGCTGCTGAAATGGTTGATTGAATTGGTATTGATTTGGATTGAATAGGATTTTGGATTGTGGACTGTGGAGTATGATTATTGATCAACATCATCAACATCATCATCACCTTCCTGATGATCATCGTCTCCTTGCTGGTCCAGCTCATCACCGTCCACACCACTGCCGGTTGGAATCGATTGCTCCAGATCGGCTGGAGCCGGGGATGTCTGAAGCTTGTTCATGTCCTGTTGAGAGATCATAATCCTTACATTCTTGGCCAGCGACTTGATCTCTTCCAACACCTGCTCGATGCTCCAATTCTTGGACTTGAACATGTCGTAGAGCGACGGAGAAGTACACAGTATTGACGAGGCTGGACGGTTGAACTCTGGCGTTGTGGTGGTCAGACGCGTGACCGTGTCCTCAAACAGATGGAACTGCAGTGTCTTTTGCTCGTTACGATAGATCGACACCTTTTGCACGATGAGCGACTCGGCGATGAACAAGTTGGACTCGGGGATGGTGTAGGCGTTGTTGCCATTGGCATTGTTCTTGTGGATCTTGATCGACGAGATAAACTTGCGCAGGTTGTCATGGCTGTTGTCCAGCGGGAGTTTGGAAATAGAGTCGATTGTCGTCTTGAGGTCAAAGTGTGACTGACGACACTGCGGGAAGAGAATCTTGGCACTGATGTGATGTGATTGTTTGTAAATGGATGGGTTGACGAATTGGTACTCAGTGTAACCTGATGCTGTTGTTGATGTTGTGGCTGCCGCAGCCGATGCAGATGATGGTGTTCCTGGCTGGCTGGTGTTGCCGTTGCTGTTGGGTGGTGGTGTGGCGGTAGGTGATGTGGTGGACGACACGGTAACCTTCTCCTCGAGACACTTGATTGTGAGGATGTCCAGCGACTCAGTGTCCAGCAGCGTGATGAGGACGTAGGGCTTCTTCTCCTTGAACAGAGTGTGTTGGTGCACATAGGCCTCGTTGATGCATGAACTCGTCTGGAACACGCTGTCCAGCGACTCGGTGTACAGCTCGTACTTGTCCGATGACATGGGCGCCGTTGGGATGTCCGAGCATTTGATGAACCAGATCTTGCCGGTCTTGATGTCGACCAGGGGCATCTGCGTTGCCTTGTCGATGGACAGTGTGCTGAACGTCTCGTTGAAACGGCTGGCAAACTGAGGATCATGTGTCCTTGCTACCTCCTGAATGTCCACATTCTCGTCCGAAGCTGGCATCTGTCTGTTATCCAGCACGACCACCGCATGGTTTGGCTGGTCTACAAACTTGAGCTTCTGATCACCTTTATAATCGATCAATGATAAGTATTTGGCCTTTTGAAGTTGATTGATTGATTGAATGAATGAGTGGTTAGAGAATGATGATGAGTGAGTTGTTGTCAGAGTACGACTACTTACAGCTGTATTCTTCAATTTCAGTACAATCTCTTTGGCTCTGTCCAGTTGTGCAGAGTCTGGACAGTTGATGGTGACGTAGGTCCTAAAGATCTTGATACGCGCAGTGGTGGCCTTGTTGATGAGGCCCCAAAGTGAGCCTTTGACTCCAATTACCGCACCACCACTAAACGCCGGTATGTTGACAATGGTGTTGAGCATTCTGCTGTGACCGCCACCACCATAGGCATGGGGATAGCCGCCCGACTGTGGATTGTAATAGTTGACGCCACCGGTGGCCCCACCACGGTAGCCTCCACGACCACCGCGGCCACGGATTCCGCCTCGGTAGCCGCCTCTGCTGCCTCTCATTGCGCCGCCGTAGAAGGGCTGTGGGGCACCGATTGGACTGCCGCCTCCCATGACGCCGCCGCCGCCGCCGCCACCACGTCCACCACCGTAAACCTTGGGCGCGCCAGAGCGTGGATATCCGTATTGTGAAGATGGGTGCATCGGCTGTGGATGCATTGGTTGATGATGTATTTGTTGTTGTTGTTGGAAATGATGACCGTCTTGTTGAGAGAACTGCTGTGGCGAAGTCTGTTGAGTTTGCAAAGACTGCACAGTTGGTGATAGTTGTTGTGGTATTTGTTGTTGTTGTTGATGCTGTTGCAGCTGTTGTTGTTGTTGTTGTGGTGCCATTGAGTAGTCATGTTGTGGACCGTTGAAGTGGCCTGCTCCTTGTGTATTTCTTTGAACCACCGTGGATGGAATCTGCCTGGAGTTGGCACTGAGTAGCCACTTCCAGGAGGCAATTCATTGTTTGACGTTGAGTCTCCACCTACATTGAATCTATTTGCCATTGCTACCGCCTACTGGGCTACTACTATTGTTATTACTGCCAGCATAACTCATTATTATGTTATGTTATGTATATGAAATGAATATATGTATTATATATTATTTACTATGATCAATTAAGTGTGATGTGATTGATTGATTGATTGATTGATGTCTTCGTCTTGTGGTTGAACTTGATGAAGATGAAGTTGGTGTGTCTCTGTGTCTGTGTGTGTATGTGTGTGTGTGTTGGTGAGGGAGAATGATTGAAGTTAACTCTGTGTTGTTCACTTTATTCACAATTTAATATGTGCTAGTGTGAAGTTCACCTTCCTTTTTTAGGTTCCCAGTTGGGCGAGCCTCCCTCTTATTTCCTCACTTTCATTCACTTCTTTGACACATTTACTCATTCATTGATACAGTAGAATATATATATATATTATGAAGAAGATAACTAACTAAACTAGTAGAAAGATGATTAATCATTGATGAACCTCTGGACAATAACAACAAAAGATGATGGCATGGTTATATCTAATCAATATCGAACTTCTCTCTAATGCAAAATAATGGTATTGCGCGACAAGGTCGACTTATCAACTTTCACGCACAGAGCCAAAACTTCCCCGAGACACATTGAAAAAGGATCTCAAATGCGCGATGTACCATGTGCACATCGTCGGAAATTTCGTTAATATGAGTGGTCCTATGACTTAATTGGGACAACAATGCCAACGCTTTGCCATCTACAAAGTACTACCCTATTGGATATATATTGACCCTAATTATTATTTTTAGCGTGGTCTGGTTCAAAATAACGAACGAAGACCGATGGCTCCCTGTTGTCTCTCCGGTTGGTTGTCTCCTCCTCTCTCACTTCTACATTGATGAGCTGCTACCTAGAGCGAGGGAGATCGTAAATTTATCAATCATTCAAGACCAGCTGGCTGAACTGGAGTCCTATCTCCACTCACTTTCTTCACCAAACTTGTATACTTATAATTATACATACTCTGCCGTCACCCCCAACTCTCATACATATTAACTATCTCTCATTATTCATTCTATACCTACTATCCCCTTCAATCACCCAATCACACTACATTATCCACATCCAAACCACATCTACATCATCACCAACCCATCTCCGGATATCCCACGCACACACAAACAGACATAATATATATCTACAACTTCAGATATATTATTATCCAAGACGACGAGTCAAGGTATTCCCTAAATCAATCATACATAATACCTACCCTACGACTTAATATTATAATTATTATTATTATTATTAATTTCATAAGATAAGAAATTATCATCATCATTTTATTCATATTGTTTGGAACACATTGATAAAAGATGAGAACACCAGGTATATCGATACCTCTAGATCATTCACAATCATCTATAAAGATGACACCTGTATGTATTACTCCATGTCAACCTCCTTACTCTTTCTTAACATTATTCCCTCATCATACTATTGTAGCCACCTTCAATGGAGTCATCCAGCGCAGATTTGATTGTAACAGAATCATCATCAAACTCGGGTAAAGGAAAGACATGGCCTGAGGCGATTAGAAATCAAATAGTACCAACATCTGGCGATATTAATGCAATGTTTTCAGTGTTCCTTGATAATCTTGCCAATCTTGCAACGATGCACGCCATCTTGGTGTACAACTTTGGAATGCCATCCGATTTGGTCCAACGATATTTCATCCCGGGACCTGCCTTGGGTGTCATGATTGGATGTCTGAGTCTATCACTCTATGCCATATTCCTTGATCGAAAGGAAACTAATAGTTCTATACTCTACACCTCAATCCCATTGGGATTGGATGCACCAACTACCATCGGACTTCCCCTACTCGTCATTGGCCCAGCATTCCTGAAAGCCAAACAAAGTGGACGATCAGATTATGACGCGACCATGGATGCCTGGTTAGTCGGCTGCTCCACCGTATTCATCATTGGATTCTTCAAGCTGATCCTAACAGTATTTAGGTATGTTTATAGGTTCAATGGAATGATTCCACTCATTCAATCAAACATGTTTATTAATTTAACTTGATGAACAATCAGCTTCACACTAAAGTACTTCCATCCAGTTGGAAAGGCAGGAGCATTGGCTGGAATTGGTCTGTCACTACTTGGAGTGAATGAGCTGATGATGATCTTGCAGGAGCCTGTGACTGGATGGGTGGCAATGTGGTTGCTGTTCATATTTCTGTTGCTTAGGATCAACAAGTACAATCAGATAGTCAACTTTGAATTACCATTCAACATATCTGGTGTGTTGGTCAGTGCTTTGGTCGGAACAATTGTATATTATGTGATGGCTGGCGCAAAGATATCAGTGGCGCCGCTACCCAAACATGTTTTCTCCGACTACTTCCTCAGCTTCCCACATCCTGCCAACATATTCTCCACGTTCAAGGATGCCATTTCATCCAACTTATCCATCGCCATCCCCTACGCCATACTTGTCAACATTGGAGGCTTGACCATATCGGACGCCGCCAACCTCGTTGGCAACAAGTACAACACCCGAGTTGTACTACTTATTGATGCAGTATCAACTATCATCTCCAGCTTCTTTGGATCGACCACGCAGACAACGCCGTACATCGGCCACACAGTGTTCCACCACAAGTTCAAAGCACGTTCTGGTTACTCAATCATCACCGGTCTCCTCATTGGCTTTGGAGGCATGCTTGGCTACATCTCATTCCTGAGCACCATCCTCCCCAAGCCAGCCATTGTACCAATCTTCATATTCATCACATTTGAGATATGTTCCGAGACATTCCATCCAAGTGTGGCCGGTACCATCAAGAGACATCATGCTCCAGCGATCATCTGGAGCTTCTTCCCAGCTATCTTCCAATTCGTCAACATCATTCTGTCACAAGTCTCTCCAGTCTTGGCATCTAGCATCGTTGACCCCGAGCTGGTCATGAAGACACTGGGTATCCCACCATCAGTCGTCAACTCATGTGGCGTCATCCTCCTTATGGCTCATGGATTCATTTGCACGAGTCTATTCTGGGGAACTGCCCTTGGCTTCCTGTTGGACAATGAGTTGAAGAAGAGTGCGATATTCCTGGCACTGTCATCTGTGATCACATTCTTTGGAGTGATACATAGTGTTGAACCTGCTGGACAAGTCTATGTTCCATGGCAGACTGGATCAACACTGCCTTATCAATGGGCTGCTGGATACCTTCTAGTTGCAATCATTACATTTGGATTCAGTTTCCTCAAAGTCAAAGTTGAGGAACAACCAATGATGGAGATTGAATCCATTCAAGAGGTGGACCTTCATTCAATGGAGAACAACAACAACAACTTTGCAAATGAGGAGAAAGTGATAGAGTCCAAGGTAGACGAATCCATCGATAACACTATACAGACACCTGATGGAGAATGTAAAGACACGATCAAGTCAGAATAGATATGAAGATAAATTATATATTATTTATCAATTATTGGGTTCCTGATTGATGGATTAGTTACACCAGATATTTTCGTGTCATCTCGTTGCAGGTTGCGGGTGAGGTAGCAGGTTGGAGGTTACTGATGAGGCCTGATCATTTCTATTTTTAGAAATACCCTTTAGGTGAATGATTGAACGAGCATGGTCTGTCACTGGGTGAGCGACCCTTCAACCTGTCAATCATATTAAGTTGGAAGTCATTGATTAACTAACACCAACAAAAGTTATAAAGATAACTCAATACACCATCACCTGATGCACCATCTGTCATCATATTCAATCATTATTATTCAATCACTTTGTTTGTTGTTGATTATTCAATCATTATTGTTATGTTATGCTCAAGCACAACAACATACAAAGTTGATCGATGGCATCACTATTGATTCAGTTTATAGTGCATATACATACCTTTCAATCAATATAACAGGTACATATAATGATACTGATATGTACCTTACATTCCACTATGATACTACATCTCCCGACAACACTATCAATGCAACAATAAGATGTTGTTCAGTATTCAACAATACAAAAATACCAAGACAAATCTTATCATCACTAGGAACTCAACTCAACCTTACATTATACTCTGTATCCATGGGCAATACAACAATGAACTCAACAGCCATCGCCTCATATGGTCTCAACAAACTATGGGTCGTGCATATCCTAGGTAAGTTCAAACATTGACATCTGATCATGGCCATGCTCACACACTCACTGACTCAATCATTGATCCAGACAACCAACCTCCGCACACTGATGAGAGCACATTTATATATCCAGCTGGACAGAGAATGGTGATCAATGGCACAGAAGTCATTGAGTATTCGGGGTATGGATCACCTTGCTTTATTGATATCATCTTCTCAGCAACCGATAATTATTATGGCATCAGGCTATTGAGTACTGATTCAAATGCTGAACAGAATGGTGAATCAGGGAAGATTACTACACTCTCTGGAAACTACTTAAATGGTCAGTTCAGAGCATCGACGTACATGCTCTCCCGTGCCAACATATCGTCTGTGTATCTTTACGACGAGGCCTTCAACATGCAGTCGATCAATCTAAAGACGCCACTACATTGTGGAGTTGGCGTGAAGAACGTGTCCACGATAGTGTCGGTCACCCCTGTGTCGACCTCATTCAACCTGGACAACCCAGACTTCCTCATTCCCGAACCAACCCTGGACATCTTGTTCCAGGTAAACAACTTCAAGAGTTACAAGGCATCGTACAGCCAACCATTCAGTCTACCATGGTCACCAGTTAGCGAGAACCTTGTGATGCGACAGATTGCCTTTGTTCCAACATCCTCGACATCACCTTCACAGTTGGTCATTGGTCGTATCATCACAACTGGCAATCAATCAGAGACACTTCAGTTCACATTCGATTCGACTCAACAGTTCACACTCACCCGAAGTATAGCGAGTGCACCAGACAGTGGACCAACGATAAGTGTCATTACACTCACACATCCAAGACCAGGCGGCTACAACAACTTCAACCTTAACAAAGAGTCAGGTGTTATGCCACTGTTACTCAACTTTACCGTTACATTCCCCGAACAGATATTATATATTGAGGTGTCTGAAGGCACCAACCAGAGATCATTCATCGATTCAAACATTATGATCAAGTTAACTTCACCGTCCACATACTCATCGTGGATACAATTCCCATTATACATTGAGGCCACCACCATACCGACCACATTCAACCTCACCTACTACAGTTCGAGTGGTCAACTCCATGGACCATTCACAATCACAACCAATCTAATTGCCTCCAACAGTAAGTCCATTGATTAATCAATGGATCACTCACGAACTAACACATTGAATGATTCCACCCTTCAATCAAACAGACCCAAGCACTGATCCAACGAGTAACTACATTGGATACACCGCAAATCCAACGAATGGAGGACAGGCAGATCCTGAACTGGCATTGAAGTACTCGTTGACTTTTACAGATCCTCTGATCACAAAGCGGAGATCAGACACATTGGCGATCAGATATGGTGGAATTGATTACCCCTTTGGCAATGACTTCATGTTCCCTTATGGCGTGATCAAGGGAACACCTTTATCACGAGTCTATACATCATTCACATCATTGCCATCAATGCCAGATATAACAATGATACCAACTATCGATAGTATTACAGTACCATTCACAGCCATTACTCTACCAAGTAACAACTCTGAGATCTTGGATACAGCGGCCCCGACGGCTATTGTCAATTTCAACATGACTTCCAAACGAATGAATATCGATGTCTCTGACGATCTGTCTGGCGTGGGTCAATGCTACATTGAGTTCCCACTTGTTATCAAAGGGTTGACGGTCTATCCCAAGGACGCACTGCCAATCACAAGCTTCAACAGAATGACATTCGATTTGGACATATCATCAGTATTGGATCCATTGCTATGTCCATCATTCTACTCTGTTGGGTGCTCTGATCGACTTAGAAACACTGACCTCACCATGAACACTCGATTGACATGTCCACCGTACTTTGGACCAGTTCCAACCAAGGTCAACACCAAGTACATCAATCGCAACACCATTCGATTTGATGTTAGGTATATCAATGTGAACGAACCATATCAGGTCACATTGACACTTACCACATCATCATCAACAACATCATCATCCATTGATGTTCCACTGACAGTGTCCAAACAACTATTCAACAGCACAATGTTCGCGGCTGTTGGAGATTACTCGATACCAAGCAATCAGTTGACCTCAAAGTACAATATATCACTCAACTTTCAACTGAAATCTGGACAGAACTACTCAGTACCATACTCATCACTTCAGATATTGTTGAGGAATGTGATGACCACCAATCCACCGTATTCATATCCATCATTGACCTCTGCACAGACAACACTCTACAATCCAGCTGATTCGAATGCTCCAACTTTGAGTGTTCAAACCACTGCACAGATGGTCACAGTATCAACATTCGATCCATCAGGAGTTGCCAGTCTAGAGTTCACTTACTTTACCTCATTCGACATGACTCCACGAGTGATCAACAAGTTCAACAATGACTCGAATGTTGCACCAACCTTCACATTCGACATTCCACAATCCACTGATGCCGCATATCAAGGTACTGGAACAATGACCTACTATTGCCATCCAAGCAAAGTATGCGATGTCTATGCCAACTGTCAAGAGTTCACCTACAATGATTTTTCGCTCAACACTCAGATCACCTTTGGTGGCACTCCATGTAAGCTCATTCATTCACTCGATCAATCACATGCTGGAATCATTCCAAACTAACAATCAACGCACTCAACTTGTAGTAACATCAACATTAGAGATATCAAGGTTTGATTTCATTCCAAAGATGTTGTATCCTTTCAACAATAATCAAACCTATAGGACTTTCAACTTCACGGTGGATGTGAAGAGTACTACATTGGCAATCTCGGATAAGATCAATCCAATTGTATATGTTGAGGATAAATATCAATGGCAAGCCACCAAAAGGTCCGCCACAATGACAAGGTCATCCAACTCCACAGCAACATTGGCAACATACACGGCATCAGTGACTCTACCTCGTACAATGGGATTGGATGGCGTTCAGTTCTCAGTGTTTGGTGTAACAGATGTCGGTGGAAACATCCTTGGAATGAGTCAATATGAGCTGGACAAAGCATTCCCAGGCAAGAGCAGACTGCTGGGCATCGTCACTGGATGTGCATCACCCTGTCTCCAAGGAGCTCAATGTGTCAATGGCAACTGCCAGTGTCCGCCAGGGTTCTGGGGCGACTTTTGCCAATTCAAAGACTGTCCAAACAACTGCAGCAACATTGGAATATGTATCAGTAGTGGCTATTGCTCGTGTCCCGAGGGCTTTGCCGGCGTGGACTGCTCATTCAAAATCGTTGTGCTGCCGACATTCAATGTCACTCACACCGGTGACGCTCCATCATTCTTGATCGAGGCAAATGGATTGTATGAGGGCACATCAGACACACCAACCATCATTGATCACAAATTCTCGTTTGGCGTCACGGCCACACATATCCAGGAGTTGGACAGCCAGGAGAACGTTGTCAACACGATCGACTTGTCAAACATGACCGTGACAGAGAGTGCGTCCAAAGTGGAGATGTTGTTGGTCACGGCCAATGGAGCAAGAGTGAATGTGACGACCATACTCACTGGCGCCAAAAACTACTCACAGATTGAGTGGTTGAATGAGACCATCACAATGGTACCGCAAACTGTCAAGATCACATTTGTCATTGACCGCTACACATTTGCGCATCGCGACAACATTCTATTGTTCACATGGGACTTCACCATGCATAACTATGGCTCAGAGTGCGTCGAGGATTGGGACTTGGACCCTCTGCTCTACCCTGCCAACGACTCATTCTCATTCATAGACCTCCCATATTATAGTTACCGGCTACTTGGACGATACCCGACTCGTGGACTGGCCGATGGACGCCCTTTCAGCTTGCGTAACTACCTGCGGGATGTTAGCGGACCAAATATTACAGTTGGAATGGCCGTGCCAAGTTTCAATTATACATTATGGCTCGATCCAGACTTCTCAGTGATAGTAAGTCCACTTGACAAGTCAATGAACAAGAGTTGTAGTATTGTCGCTCAAAAATGGATGTTTGCAGTAATTGTTACATTCTCAATAGTAGGTGCGCTTGGCTTAGTTGGAGTATCTGCACTAGTTGCCATCAAGTCGATCAGACATCAACTATGGTTCAGAGAATGGCGACACAACATTCATTTAGCCAAACTACGTGCGTCGCTTGAGAAAGAGAATTAATTAATTGATTATTAAACATGGTAATTTTGCCAAAGGTCCAAAGATCGGGTAACCTTGGGATGCATCCAACGCCAATGACTCTAAAAATGACAACATCCAAGCCCTTCAACTTGTTGTTGTGATACATCAGGAATTTAAAGTTTTAAATGACTGCTTTGACTGATTTTTGTTGATTTTCAAATCAGTTCGTTGAAAAATCTGCGGCCAAACCACGATTGTTTTTTTTTTGATCATGAAGAGACAGGTCCATTTTGGATGGGCACTGTGCCCTTCTAGAATACGATGGTCTTTGGGGTTACCCTACCTGACCCAAAATATCATCGTCATTACTCTTAACTTCTTTTTTTAAATTTATTTATAGATTTGATCAAACGAAATCAATCTTACCTGACTTCCTCTTAACCAACTGAATCATTTTCAGACATGAGGATATCATCAAACAAGTAATACTTTTAACTATTCAATAATAATAATGTATAACTATCATAAATTATTATTTTTAACAATAATACTATTAAGTTGTTATTATTTTAAGAATATTGAGGCACAACAAACAAAGGTCATAGATGGGTTGACAATTGATCCAATATATAATGCTAATAATCAATTATTTATAAATATTACTGGACCCTATAATGGATCATTCATAGAGTTAACATTCTCTTATAATAATAATCCATCAAATAAGTTCTCAATTACTTCTGTATCATGTTGTTCAGTTGCAAGCAAATACAGTATACCAGCCAATATCCTAAGTCTTGGCAATCAGATCACACTCACCCTAGTCAATGCATCCTACAGTAACCTCACAATGTCCACATCCGACATTCAATTCTATGGACTCGACAAACCATTCAAAGTTGACATTCTAGGTATGTTGTGATTGAAACTATTCCACCCCCACCCAAGCCTAACTCAATTAATCATGATTAGACAATCAACCACCAAGTACCAATGTGAACAAGGACTGGATGTATCTTGGAATGTCATCGTTGGTAACGATCAATAATACACAGATGTTGCAGTTCAATGGATATGATAGTAGTTGTCAATGTGTTGTTCAGTTCAATGCCACTGATAACTATTATGGTGTACTTGGATTGAGTATTTATTCAACAGAGACTGATCAAGGACAATTCTCAACCAATCTAATATCTGGTACACGTCAAAATGGACTGTTTGGAGCTTCATTCACTGTGTTTCAAGGTACTTCTCAATCCATGCTATATCTGTATGACTATGCCCTCAATATACTTCCAATCACATTGCCCAATCCATTATACTGTGGTGCTGGAGACACTACGAATATGTCGGCGATCACCACCGTCACACCAATCACATCATCATTCAACTATGACAATCCATTCTTGATTGAAGAGCCTACCCTTGACATGTTGATCCGTTACAACAACTTTGAACTATACCCTCGAGGTCAATCATCGGATGGTCTCCCTTTCAAACCCTTGGTAAGGGACTTTTTCGATATCATGACCCTGGTCATGCCTAGATTCATCAACTATGGAGGATCAGAACCATCGAGAGTGATACTCGGACGTATTATGACCAACAATCAATCAGAAGCACTTGATTTCCGTGTGGCAACCACTCAACAATATTCATTCAATCGTATTTCATCAGTCAATCCATCAGATTCAAACCCAACCATATCATCAATCACGCTCACACATCCATCACCAGGTGGATATAACAACTACCAACTCGACGCGTACACTCCTTTGTCAATACCATTACTACTCAACTTCACAGTGACATCACCAGAGGATGTACTTATGATCGTCGTAACATCAGATGCCAATATAGTATACATAGACTCCAACATCATGCCCAAGTTGACATCAGCCACCACCTACTCATCATGGATCCAATTCCCACTTCCAACGATGATACAGTCGATCTCAACTTCATACAAACTCTCCTATTACAGTCGTGGTAACAAACTCTACGGTCCACTCACCATCACAACCAACCTGATCGCTACAAACAGTAGGTACTATTTTTGTTTTATTTCCAAATGATCATTCAATCACTAACACATTATTATCATTTGATCGAACAATCAATGGAACTATTCCAATCACTCTCTCAATGTAGATACCGAGGCTCTTCCAACACTTGGATTCCAAACACCAAGAGTCAATTCAACAAGTTATGAGATGTCCCTTGAGTTTACACTTGGTTATACCAACACTTTCATTAGTACGGTACCATTGAACTTTAGGTATTCAAAGTTTACAATTGCATTCTCTTATTACTATCCATATTCAATCATCAAGGCTACACCATTATCGAGAACATACAATTCATTCACAACACTACCATTCATGCCAACAACAACCATCACACCCAAGATTATCACAACAAGCTTCAACATCAACAACCTACCAACAATCACAATCCCAGGCAATGATTCAATGTTGATTGATACAATCCCACCGGTATTAACAACGACCATCAACACTGCAACCAAGAGAATGTTGATCAATGTCGTCGACGACTTGTCTGGAGTTGGATCATGTCAAATCATCTTCAATCAATTCAACACGACGACGCTCTTACCAAGGGATGCTCTGCCATTCACATCATTCAACAACATGACCTTTGACCTCGATATATCCAGCGCCCTTGATCCACTTGGCTGTACTCAATTCTTCATTATCACGTGCTATGATCGAATTGGCAATCAGAAACAATCGAGTGGATTCTCTTACCATCATCCATACGACCCCATGCCCTGTCCACCGTACTCTGGTCCAATCCCCATCAAGATGAACTACAAGTACTTGGATCGATCAAACATCAAGTTAGAGCTTCGCTACATCAATGTTGACACACCGTACCTGGTCAATATAACACTCACATCCCAGAGTGATTCACAGGACATCTTCTCGATCCCTATGAATGTGTCAAGACAGTTGATCAGCAGTGACATATATGCGGCAGTTGGATACCTCGCCATCCCCTCCACACACAAGACAACGACCTACGAAGTGTCGGTCTCACTTCTAAACCCCAACACAAACAACAACTACTCCATCTCCCATCAAACCCTGTCAAATATGTTGCAACAGATCTATGTAGACACACCATTGTTCAACTCACTCCAGTTGTCATCGGCAGAAGTAGTGGTGTTCAGTCCATTCGATGCGAATGCTCCACAGGTTGTCAATGTTCAGGCTAGTGGAAAGACATTGACGGTGGGCACATTTGACCCATCAGGCGTGGCCAGTGTCCAAGTGACTTACTTCTCATCATTTGACATGACACGTAGGACCATCACGATGAACAACACAGACGCCACCAATCAATCTCCATCATTCACATTCGATATCATACCACAGAGTACCGATGCCAAGTACCAGAACACTGGCTCCATGACCTTTTACTACCACCCGAGCATGGTATGCGACTTCCATCACAACTGCCAAAAGTTCTCCTACTTTGACTTTGCCCTGAACACTCCGATCACATTCGGTGGCATCCAAATGACCTCGACATTGGCCATCCCCAGGTTTGACTTTGTGCCCAAGGAACTATTCCCATTGAGCAACAATCAAACATTCAGGACATTCAACTTCTCGATGGATGTGAGCAGCTCATCATTGGCCATCTCAGACATTATCAATCCAATTGTATATGTTGAGGATCAGTTACAATGGGATCCAACCAAGGCCTCGATGTCAATGACCAGACTGCCAAACTCAACCAATACTTTGGCGACATATGTTGCCTCTTTGACATTGCCCCGTACAATGGGTTTGGAAGGCATTCACTTCTCTGTCTATGGAGTGTCGGATGTTGGTGGCAACCTTATTGGCATGAGCCAGTATGAGTTGGACCTTCAATTTCCTGGTAAGAGCAGGTTATCAATCAACACAGACTGTGCATCAGAATGTCAACACGGTTCAATATGTGTGAATGGCAACTGCCAGTGCCCACCAGGATACTGGGGTGACTTCTGTCAGTTCAAGGACTGTCCAAACAACTGCAGCAACATTGGCAAGTGTTTGAGCAGTGGCTACTGCTCATGCCCAGAGGGCTACGTCTATGTGGACTGCTCCAAGAAGATAGAGGTGCTCCCACCACTCAATGTGGTCACCAACAATGATACACCTTGGGTAGTGATCGAGGCCACAGGAGTCTATGACAACACATCAATCATACCCAAGGACAATGGACAGACCTTCAAATTTGGTATCAGGGCCACCAAGATACAAGAGTTGGACTCCGTTGGCAACCTGGTCAATGAGATCCAGTTGGATAATATGTCATACGTGAGGAATGAATCCACCATCCTGATGTACAAGATCGCTGAGAATGGTGCCTTGATCAATGTATCCACATTGCTTACAGGTCAGAACTACACAGAGGTGCAATGGTTGAATGAGTCCATCAGATTGATACCACAGTCAGTCAAGGTCACGCTGTCAGTCCAGAGATATCCATTCAAGGATCGCGGGAACATATTGTTGTTCACATGGAGCTTCACGACCAACAACACAGGTACCAGCACAGGATGTATAGGTGATGACACCCGTGAACCATCTCTATATCCAAGAAGTGAAGAGTTCTCATTCATCGATATACCTTATTATAGTTATAGACTCTATGGTCGATACCCTACACGAGGCATTGCCGATGGACGTACATTCAACTTGATCAACAAACAGATTGGACCATCATCGACCACTCAAGGTAGTGGACCAGTGATCACGGTGGGCATTTCAGTACCAAGCTTCAACGATACATTATTGCTGGATCCGGACTTCTCGGTGATAGTCAGTCTGATGGACAAGTCTACCAACAACAAGTGTAAGACTGAGGAGGAGAGGAAGTGGGTAATAATAGCAATCATAGTATCTGCTGTTGTAGGAGGTGTTGGTGCACTTGCGCTAGCCACCTTAATATCTGTCAAGATCATTAGACACAAGATTTGGTTTAGGAAGTGGAGACAAGATGTTCATCTATCCAAGATGAGGTCAAGATTAGCCAAAGAACAATAAACACACACTTACTTTAAAGGTCACTGGAACTGACTTACTATCCTAAATCAGGATTATGGCAATTACCTTGTCCATCATCAAAGATACTTTGGCACTTTCATTGAAATGATCATCTAAAAAAATTTCGAAAACCATCAGATTTTAGTGATGGCGATGATCATTTGAGACTATTGATGAAGAGATAGATATAAATAACATGTACATAAGACTATTATAACTTTAGAATATATATATATATATATAACTTATTTATTGACATTGTACTACTGAATAACCTTTGTATTATTATTAAACAACTAAACAATCAAACAAACAAACAACAAAAATGGACGCTATTGTTTCAAAGATGGAGGAGACTCTCGAGAGGAAGAAGTCAATCGTACAGATAGTGGACAAGAGGACCAATGCTATTGATTATATAAGAAGAATACATGAAGCTGCATACTACACCAATCAGAAACCAATACATTGGATGAATGTTGCATCTATTCATCGTTCAGACTTTGAAAAGTCTGTAGAGATACAGAAGAGGTATGTTGTTGTTATTGTTTGATTGTTCCCACAATCACTGGAGTTACCTAACCATCCCGTCCCATCCCACTCCACTCAATTAGATTACTTGGATGGTTTAGTCTTGGACTTAGTCTTGCACCTTTGATATCGACTGATAAGGGACCAGCATTTGTTAGGGCATTGGTGCAGTTGATGGAGGAGTTTGACTATCATTACGAGTTGGGCTCGGCGATGCAGGGCGTAAAGGTATTGTTGTCAAAGAAGGGCAACACTCATACCATCGTCAATGAGAACGATCACATCAAATCAAAGATCGTCAAGACTGGCAACACGGTGGTCTACGAGTTCCTCAAGATATTCAACGTATCGATGGCCAAAGACTTGGACTACTTCCACGTCGTGTTCAGTCTGCTCGAGATACTGGAACAGATCTATAAGAAGTTTGACAAGGAGACCTGCTCGTCCAAGTACGTCTACGACGCCATCATCAAGGTGGACTCGCGTCTCAAGCATCAGATCTTTGGCTTCCTGTCCAAAGAGATTGACAAGGTTGCCCAACAGACAATCAAAGAGCAGCTCGAGTTCACCCTACTGCTCTCGTCCACCAAGGATCACAACAACCAACAGCATACACAGGCACATACCAGAGTTACCAACAACAGTCATTCATCAAGTAACAATGACAAGAACACTAGTTACTCTGATGATTGATTGGATTGATCGATTAAAGCATTGTGATATACATATCCAAGTAGTACTTTTAATTAAGTTTGGCGGAAGGATGGATGGACCATTTGTCATGGCATCCATGTACTCCACTCCTTGCATGCTCCTCCTCTGTCTTCTCACTCATTCACCCTCAACAGGCAGACTACTTTGATCCATTGTTGCTTGTGACCAACTCTTCATCATTGTCTAGGTTGTTGACGTAACGTGGCACGGTCCTGACACTCTGCATCAACTCCTCGTTGGTGTAGACGGGACGATCAAACTCGACCCAGCCTGGCGCCGAGTACTCTGGACGCCACGGACACACCTGTCGCAGGAACTTGAAGTAGGGATACAACTCGCCAGTCTTTGGATGCACTCTGGTGTACCACAGGATGGAGGTGTTGTGGATCAGGTCTCTTGGGTCCTTGGACGACTGCAACTGATGGAACCTGATCTGGCTCAGTCTCTCCAGTCTGACTCTGAACGCCCACATAATCTCACCATGACACACAATGATCACTCTCTTGTTGGCGCACTCCCTGCGCAGTGTCGTGAACGTATGCTCCACTCTCTGACAGATCTGAGCGATACTCTCTCCCTCGGGAGGTCTCCAGAAGAAACTGTTACCATAGTGTTAGTCGCAAGTCACCAGAGCAAGCATGGTCATCCCTCTCGTCAACATACCTGTCTCTCTTCCTAAGCTTCATCTCGGGCTCGAACCTCTCATTCTTCTCGGTCCAGGAGATATTGTCCATCTTACCCTTGTCACGCTCTCGGAGTTGTATCTCGGTCAACCAGTGTGCCTCTTCAAGTCCGAGAAGACTGGATGTCTCCATGGCTCTGACGTACTCACTTGTGTAGTATCGATCAAAGTTCTGGGCGACGTTCTCGCGCACCCATTTGCCTGCGATCTTGGCCTGCTTGATACCCTTGTCCGTGAGACGGTAGGATGATGAATGCTTCTTCTTGAACTCGTCGGTGTAGGCGCTGAGATCTCCACGCTTGGATCGAGACTGGGCTTCATTGCCCTCACTCTGTCCGTGTCTCACCAACACCAGCTCCAGCGGCCACTCAAACGTCAGACTGGGACCATTGATCATCTTCTTGAGTGCGTCACTGCCGATGCGATGTTCGAGAATATCGTAAATCTTGCCCTCCTTGCGCACCATCCTCTTCCTCTTGACCACTGGACGGTGTGGCTCCTCGCCAGCACTGATATCACTGCCACTCTCACAGATGAAGCGACGTCCGCCAAAGGTTGGATGTCCTTCGGCATCCTCCTCGTCGTGATGGGTGGATGCTGCAACGCTGTGAGACCCACTGAATATGGGTGAGCTGGCGAATGACTTTGGAGAGGTCATGATGTAGGTTGGTCCTGGAGCTGATGGTGTTATAGTAGGGGCGGGTGGCGCAGCAGGCTCACTTTGGGCCTTATCCTTATCTTCATCCTGATCTTGATCTGCCTCTGCTTCCTCCTCCTCTACATCCAACAATCTCTTTGCAGTCTTTTGTTGCTCTGGTAGATCATCAGGTGTTTCAAAGTCCTGATCATTATCAGCCGTTGTTGATGATGTTGATGTTGATGTTGTATTACTCATACTTCAAACATGTACATATATCTATTACAAATAATTAGTATTATGAGTGTATAATGGTTGATTAAATAATTAATTAATGATCATTGAACCTCATCAACCCACACCACTCAAATCAATCCCAAATTTGGAAATTGGAAGTTCACTAAATTAATGTCCCAAACAAAACTCCTGGTGTCCTAATTTGATCAATTGGATGATTACGGTCATTTATTAATTAACTACTGACACAGCTCATTGTCATATAAAATAATAAACATTTTCCAAAGTCAATATAGTTAATCCATCTATCATTCAATCACATCTAAACTCTTTCCAAACAAGAAACAGGTACTAACAATGAAGGCAATTGAAACAAATGATAAATATCAATCTTCCCTAGACAGCTTTTTCAATTATTTACGTTCAATCTTCTCTTCAATTCTAAGTTTGTAATCTATACTATATAATATAACTTTATTCCAAAAATAATAATATAATTAGACAAAATAGTATGGTGGACAAACAATAAAGTTAGGACAAGAATCGGTGATTGTGGATATCCAGTCCCTTTGGATATTAATATGATTGAGCTTATCAGGACCCCTCTAGAAAATAAGAAGATGGTTGCTCTTCTAAGTTTCAACCCCCGAGGAGTAGCCTCTAGACACCAAGCTGGAGTTAAACCTCCTAGGCGCACTGATGCCGAGGTCAGAGAGGCACTGTTCGTAGCCATGGATGCCGTGAATTTCACCAGAATCTTGGCCTTCAGTGAAGGAAACTGAAGGCCAAGATTCAGTATGGATCAATACCAACCATGCTTTGGCATCAAGGATACCCAACCTAATTACAAGGTACGACAATTGGGTTGAACACCGTCTAGAAGACCGACCATCTAAAATCCTGGCTGTATGGGTATTCATATACCCTTCGGGCAAGGTGGATCAAGATCTCGATACTTTCAATGGAGGTCGTTTGTGGGCACTCCTGACCCGAGCTCCTCCCGCTGAGATGCCCAACAATGTCTAGTCAATCAAATTACAGCCGTCACTCATATGTTGGATGGATTGATGGATGATTTATTGTTGCTGTTGCAACTCATATATCAGTATGTAGGCCTCAGACACTGCTACCAACTGTGGCAGTACCTCCTTGACACTCAAATCTTGCATCTCAAACCATTTGTCCTGTCCCTTGTTATATATGTATACAGAGTAACTTCCACCATTAGGATCGCCTTCATGTCTAATGTTTGACAACAAGTTATACTTGGTTGATCTATATGTTGACAGTACCTCTGGGGATAAATCTATTGATTGATTGATTGATTGAGTTAGTTAGTTAGTGATGATTGATTTCCAGCGCGACATTCATGAATGACTGGACTTAACTTACAATCTTTAAGATCCAGACCCTTTAGCGGGAAGTTGACAATGGTCGGATCCTTCTCCTTGAAGAAGTTGTTGTGATGGAATCGTTTGACGCACATGACAAGGTAGCGCGGCAGTCGACGCAGCTCGTAGATCTTGACCTCGCCATTGGGCTGCACTTTCTCAGTGCGTCCATCATACTTTTGCAACAGAGTGAATAGGGGCACCTGTGGAATAATCGATTTGTCCTGCTCGTCCTTGAACACCGCCTTTGGCGGCAGGTCCAGTACCAATGTCATGAATGGCACTTTGCTCGAGACTGTACTGTACTCCATGTTGGTCCTGTCTGCCGAGATCGTCTCGCCCTTGAGAGGTGTCTTTGTCGTTACATAGACCTCGCCACTGAATGCCTTTTGAATGATTGAGTCCTGCTGCTTGGCCAGATGTAGTTGTTGGCGCAGGTCTGCGCTGAGCATATTGAGGAACCATTGCAGCAGCTCCAAAGGATCGCTCTCTGCGCCAATAGTGAACTTTCTCTTGCTCGCACTCTGTATCGCTTGTACCAACTCATGAGGCGACACATGTCCCTTAAAGTTCCTATTATTCCATATCTTGCGTAGTAGCTCTCCAAAGTTAAGTACCAATGGCGACTTGATCTGTAGATGTTGGCGTTAGTAGTCTATCCTGGGATCATCCCACCTCCATTCAATCATTCAATCACTTACACTCTTTATGTTATCTTGATCGATGAAGTAGTCGCGGACCATGGATACACGTGCCAGTGATTGTATGACGACATTGATGAATGAGTTCTTCTTGATATTGTTAAGTCCAACATAGCCAGGCAGATACTGTGTTCCATCCAATGATCTTGAGTACTTTGTGCTCATATCCAACTTTGTAATCTGATCGGAAGTGAATGTTGGATTGATGAGATACTAGGTGAATGATTGATTGATCGGCAATGTGTTAGTATCCATTCAATCATTCATGACCTCACCCTACCTGAGAGTGAGGCGACTGTGCAGCCAAATACGTACCTTGATATCATCGAGTGATGGATCAATCACTTGATAGTCGTCGGGCAGACAGTAGATCTTTTGATTGTGAAGGTTGACAAAGACATGATGATTGGCTTGTAGACAGTGATAGTGTGCGTGTGAGCCTTCGCTCTTGCCCTGGAAGAATCTGCCGCATACCAAACATGCATAGACATTGAGATTGACAAATGATATCGAACAGATCTTCTCAAAGTCAAAGTCAAGTACCGATCGATTAACAGTGTCCAAATAAGGACAATCACGTCTTGTCATTTGCATTCTCTTCTTTGCTCTATTGATATGTGCTGCATCATCATCATCATCATCTTGACCATTATCAACAACTCCATCATTGTCTTTGTTATTGTCTTCATCACCATCCATTATTGTTGGAACTTCTTCCTCTAGTGATCTCTTCTTCTTGTTCATTGTTGATGTCGTTGTTGTTGTTGTTGTTGTTGTTGTTGAATCCATGTTATTATGTGTATAAATATATATAAATCATTGATTGAACAAAAGACGACAATCAATCAAGTCAACTTCACCAAGTCCTCATTTTGATGCGAGGGTAAGTGTGCGAGGGCAAGGGTTCAGATGACTTCATTGATTGACTTGAAACAAAAAGAGTTTGCTTTGAACCTTTCCAATTAAAGATGGACCAACAACAACAACAACAACAACAAAAAGAACAACAGCCACAACTACAACAACAAAAGGAGAAGAAGAAAGAACCAACCCATCTTGAAGCATTGAAACGTTCAAACCTGATACAACCACATCCAGATGCAGTGGACGATGCCAATGAGACAGGTTATAATACTTATTTGATCTCTGGTAGTATATCATTCAAGGTACCAATAAGATACAAGTTGATAGGATGCATTGGCTATGGTGCATTCGGTGTGGTATGCTCTGCCGATGACACTCTGGCCAATACAAAGGTGGCAATCAAACGTATCATCACATGTGACTATGATGACCCCAAGCTAAGTCTCAGACTACTCCGTGAGCTATACACCTTAAGACATCTTAAACATGAGAATGTATGTGATACTCACTCATTCATTCATTGATTGATTGATTGATTGAGTTCTAACAACTACCTACCTACCTCAACAACAACAACTCCAGATCATTCAGATTCTTGATATGTACATGATAAAGACGACACCAATGGATGAGTGTGAGGATGTGTAGGTTGATGGAGCATGATACGTACATCTTGGTGTTTCATAACTTGACTGACTGACTGGCTGACTGACTCTCATCGTTTATAGTTATATTGTTTCCGAATTGATGACCACTGATCTCCATAAGATCATCAATTCGCCTACAAAGTTGGAGAGTGATCACATTAGATATATCGTGTATCAAATACTAAAGGCACTCAAGTTCATCCATTCTGGCAATGTGTTACACAGAGACTTGGTAAGTGTCACGATGTCACCCTGGCCTAACAACCATCGATGGTAATACTTATTTACTTACTTACACCGATATCTTGGATAGAAATCAAACAACGTGTTGATTAACGACGGCGATTCCTTTGTAAAGGTGTGTGACTTTGGTCTGGCACGTGAGGAGTCAGCACCTGGAATCATGTCAGAGTATGTAGAAACAAGATATTACCGTGCGCCAGAGATCATACTCGAATGGACTTTCTATTCCAAGGCTAGTGAGTGTTTAGTTGAGGACTGAGGAGAAGGGCAGGACATGGTCGGTGAGAGATAGAATTGGTGATTGTTGTCCCACTAACATATTCGATCAATCAATCAATCAGTTGATATATGGTCAATTGGATGTATAATGGCAGAGCTTATTGGAAGGAAACCATTATTCAAGGGCGATAACTGTAGGATATCTAATTGACTGAAAGATTGATTCCATGACTAACTGATCACACATACACACAATGATAGACGTTGATCAAGTCAGGAGAATCGTGAACATTCTTGGAATGCCTTGCCAAGAGGATATTGACCAAATTAACAATCAAAATGCAAGGGACTTCATCCGAAAGATTGTGCTGGAGAATGAGATTCCAAAGACATTCAAAGAGATGTTTCCCTATGTCTGTCCATTAGGCATTGACCTGTTGGAGAAGATGTTGAAATTCAATCCAAACAAGCGTATCACCGCTGAGCAAGCATTGGCCCATCCATACTTTGGGATGGCGGAATATGTGAATCAAGAACCAGTCTGCTCCAAACCGGTCCAGATGTTCTTTGAGAACTGGGTCCTCACCAAAGACATGGTGCTCAGCCTGTTAAAGAATGAGCTCACCTTCTACCAGCCCAGGGAGAAGGACATACCACTGGAGCATCCCGAAGGGGACATGTTTGAACAACTTCAACAGCAACAGATTGATATAGTTTCAAAGATAGATTCAAACTTGAGGCAATATCATTTATGCCAACAATGGAATTCTTTTCTGGACAAGATAAACAAACTCAAGCAACAACAAGAACAATTGGAACAACAACAACAACAATTGGATGTGTTGGATAACATTTCAAAAGATCTTGGTGAGCAATTAAGCGACTCATGTCAATTCAATCATTGTAATGGCATAACAAACAACGAAGAAGAACAGGTGGAGAACAACAATAATGTCAATGTCGGTGTCAATGTTGATGCCAGTGTTGATGTCAATGTCGATGTCAATGTCAATGTCAATGTCTATGACTATGTCAAAGATCATGGAAACAGCAGAAGTCATACCAATGATATTTTCAATGGCAAAGACAACGACAACAACAATAACTACTTATCCTCCTCCCCATCATCCCCATCAGCTCCATTATCTCCACCAATAACAAACACATCATCGTTATCATTAGCGATTCAATATGATGATAATACAAAGGATACAGACTCTGGAAGTGGAAGCGGAAAGTCCCCAGCTTCATCACCATCTCTAATTACTCTCTATAAAATGCAGCGACTTCAAAAACAACAACAACAACAACAACAACTACAACTACAACAACAACAACAACAACTCCAGCCAAATCAACAAAACCAATTCGAGAAAGTATTGGATGATGTCTTTGATTTGATTTATTTGTTGTTATCTCTAATTGCACAAGTAATAGGTTCCTTGTTAATAATAATAATGTCATTTATAATGGTATTACCACCTAAAGATAAGTAAATAAATAAATATTATATATCTAAATAATTAATTAATTTTATAATTGGTTTGGTTTTATATATTATATATATTTATCTATCTATCCCCTTGATGGTATTTCCTTCATGTGGATATCAACAAAGTCTGCCTTTGATTGCTTCTTCCTGAAGCTGATCTGGAGGAATCCCGGAAGATGACATTTGCCAGTCTCCTCTAAACATTGGGTTGGCGATGGAATATTAATGTTAGTGATCACGTTGTAGTTGTTTGGAATTGTTTGGAATTGCTCCAATGATTGAATAAACATACCTTTGTACTTGTGATAAGCAATGCTATGTGTAAAAGGTGGGAAACAGTCCATCCAAAGACTCTCGTATACTACTCTTTGTACATCCTCGAATAGGGAGGCATCGATTTCGTCGTCGAGACGAGCGCGCACAGCCTCGCGAGCATTGGCATCGATGTTCAACTCGAACTCACTGCCATTTTCCAGATACTTCTCAAAGATTGATCGCGCCAGTGTTTTCAGCTCCTCTTGTGAGTAGTATTTGCGTGGATTGGGTGAGTTTGGACGGCTGGACTTGAAGCATCCGCGGTCCTTCTTGTCTCCAGTGGCCGTGGTAGTGGTAGTTGTAGTTGTAGTTGTTGTAGTACTACTATTTGGTGATGGTGGTGATGATGATGATGATGATTGTGATTGATCCGGTGTGCTATTTGTTGATGATGTTGATGTCAAAGAGTTATTACTATTATTATTGTTGTTAATTGATGACGATGATGATGTAGCTGAAGTTGGTGGTGGATCGATTGATGTGGCGAATGCCAACAGTGGACCAGTGAGTCCAGTGTAGGGTGCGGGTGGGGCCACAGTCTTGAAAGTCTCAATCTCCAACCAGAATTGCAGGGTCTCACTGCAATAGATCGCCTTTAGATATTGAAGGAATAACTCACATCCGTACTCGTCTCTGAGCACCTCATTCATAACATCGTTTGGATATATCATTGTTGATTGATTGATTGATTGATTGATTATATATGTGTATATATATTATATATATGTTGGTAGTACAGTTGCGCAATATTGAGATAATTAATTATTAATAATAATTATTATGTATGGATACAGGTAATTGATTGATTGATTGATTGATTGAATGATTGATGTGGTAATGGTAATAATAATGTTGTTGTTGGTAGTACAGTTGGCGTTGAAGAAGCGTTGAATTGAGTTGAGTGGACACAGCTAAATGGAAACTGGAAAGGTCCGAACGGTTAGTATGCGTAGGAGTACATAGGTTTAATCAAAGGAAAAGGAGGACACTGGATGCCTAGAGGTAGGCGGAGCGTCGAGTGGCATTGCCGATGAATGGATGGATGGGTGGATAGTGGTATAGTTGTTATGGTTGTTATTGGCAAGGCAGAAGTGATACCAATACTAAGATGGAGGTGTGTGTTGTGTGTGTGTTGTGTGTGTGGTGGTGGGTTTGATTGATCAATCAGAAAGTGGGAGTGAGTGAGTGTGAGAGGCCTGGTAGCGGGGGTGATACGGAGGTGTTTGAAGCACATGATACACCCCTCATTCACGCTCGATATCACCAATATTGCCAACGACCAATCTGGATTCCAAGGCTACAAAAGAGTCTTTGCCCTCCAGACCGTCACATTCAAACAAACACAATGTATATACTGTATAAGGTTGTTTTGTTTGTTTGTTTGTTGTTGTTATTATATACCTTAGGGTTGTTGCTGTTGTTGTTGTTTGTTGGAAGTTGGATTGAAGATAGATAGTGATAAGTAATAATAATTGATTGAATAGTTTTGATTGATTGATTGGTGACCAAGTCTGGTTCTGTTTGGATCGATGCGATTCTGGATGGTTGTAGGTTTGGTAATAAAGATGATGGTCCAATAACAATAATAATAATAAAAAAAACAGACGATCATAGTGATGAGTGACCAGAGTCAACTCCTCGACCAGTGCGCAGTAACCCCGACGTCATCGCTCAATATTGCCCTATGTGTGTGTGTGAGTTGTTGACAATGAAAACATTGGAATGGATGGACTGGTATGTTTAAAACGGGGGTTGATCAATGTGTGTGAGTGTGAGCGATCTGATCATAGCCTGTTGGTGTGGGTGATCAAAACAGATGGACAAGGCCAAGTTGGCACATACTGTAGGTTGTCAACAGTATGTTGTCATAAACGGCCAAGTATTACCTGTCCATCACTTATTGTGTTGTATAACATGAGTGCAATCACAACAATAACGGTTGTTTTAAAAACATGATTTAGAGATGTGATGAGATGTGATGAGGTGAAATGCTGTTTGCTGATGTTGGTAAGTATGTGTGTGTTTGGAATGATCAATTACCTTCAGAACTCTTGATTGATTGCTTGCTTGCTTGTTTGGTCGGTTGGTTTGATTGATTGATGTAAGCGCGCGTTGTAGTATTATAATATATGTAATTGTGATGTTACAAAGTATTGTTGGTCGCTACTCTCAATGTATGTATGTATATTTATATAACTAAGTATGTAGTAATATGTAAATGATGTTATTGTATAATTGAGAGATGAAGAAGTGATCGAGTGAAGAGGTTGAGACGTTGGATGATTTGTAAATGGGGCATACACAACTGAATGAAGGTGTGTTATGTCACGACTTTGGTATCATTCTTTCATTCAATAAGTGACAACACGGTGAGATAGCTCACCAACAACATCAGAGTCTTTCACACACACACTCACGCTCAGTAACAAACACACGCAATCACAACCAAAAGGTGTGTGATGGATGGTGGGTGGATGGAGGGAGGTCTAAGGCAAACAAATGACTGGTGTGTGGGAGATTGGTCCTATTTTAACTGCCTGTTTAATAAAAAAGGTGGAGGAGCAATCGGCGTGCGGTTAAAGATAGAGTAGAAAAGCGTGGACAACCTAGAGTGGTATGATGTGCCTGTGTTGCTAGGTGCGGAGAAGGCTGTGGAAATGGAAGATTGGTCCTTGCAACATCTCACAAAAATAGACTCTATTTGTCAAAAAAAAACCAAAAAAAGTGATGAATGCGTGTCTTGGTGATGATTTGAGATCAACCCTTATTTTAGGGCGGGTGAGAGTGTGTATGAGGACCTGATCAACGGCGAATCACACGCGTTAATGATTTTTGGAATGGCTTGCCGACGGTCCAAAACCGAGAGGTTGGTCCTCCTCATTTGTTAGTTTCATTCCACTCATTCATACCTTTTTGATCGATTCGAAACAACAACAACAACAACTTATTCGTATTTTGGAACAACTTGGTTTGCAACAACATGGATATGGCAGCAGGATGGATGGAGCTACATCCTCCAGTCAGAGATCACTTTAGTATTAATAATAATGAATTCATTATTATCCGTCTGATTGGGCATGTTGTTAATATAACCTTATCTGAACGTTTGGATCAATCATAGGATCTCATTAATAATTAGATGGATTGTTTGTGGATTGATGATGGATTGATGGAACCTGGACAATCTGATGGATGGATGGATTGAATGTGGATGCATGGACGGACGGATTATTATTGGATCAATGTTGTTGAATGGAAATGGATGGTTTGACCATTATTGGGTTGAACTTATTCATGGTATGAATTAACAACCAATGTATGAATGCTTATGGATGATGTCTTTGTCGTTGTCGTGTTATGGATAAAGGTATACTGCACTAGTAATACTTTATTGATTGAATGGTTGATTGATTGGGGAATGGAAGATGAGCCACAACACACATCCATTAATAATACTGGATCTTGTCAGTGATGGGTGAGCGACATAGTGGACACAACTTTAGAACGTCTGAACAGTCGTGGCAGAGACATCTGTGCTTGCATGGAAGGAGAACAATGTTGATGGCACGGTCGGCACAGATTAGACATGTGGATGATTCTTCCTTCTCCTTTTGCAGTTGTAGCAGTTGTCGTTGCAGCAACTGTTGTTTGGCGGCACCAACCGATCTGAGACTGCGATGATGGAACTCCTCGAGATGTTCAAGATCGCTCATTGACAGTTTGTGTTCCAAGTCGTCGCCCAATATCTTCTCGACCGTTATGCCGCCAACACCACCATGGAATTGTTTGTTCATCAGCGCTTGTATATTGAGTTGATTTGATTGCAGCTGTTCGAGCTTGGCCCTCAGTTCCTCATTCTCGCGCTTGAGTGACTGCGACAATGATAACGAGGAGATGGAGGACATGTCGTCGATGAATGTGTGGTTGACAGAGATTGGTGGTTGTTGTTGCTGCTCAGCAGTGCTTTGGACGTCGGCATCATTGAAACTGTTGTTAAGTGACTTCCTTGGTTTGCTGGCGATCGTTGATGACTTGGAAGAGGTGAACTGCTGCAGCGACTGGATTAGACTGTCCTTCTCCTTGAGTGCGTTGTTCAGCTTGTTGACCGTGTCCAGTGCCTTGCTCTTCTGGTTCTGCTCCTTCTTGAGTGTGACCTCGAGTTTGAGCATCTCCTTCTCGAGCGACTCGTACTTGCTTTGCTCGACCACAATGCTCTGATTGGCGACCACATGCTTCTCCTTTGATTGCTGGAGCTCAGTGGACAACAATGTCTTTTGCTTCTGCTCCTGAACGAGCAGTGACAGTGCATTGGTGAGTTGTGATTCCAAGTACTTGGGATTATGTTTGTAGTCAACGATCGTGATGGTGTTTCCAGAGATTGAGTCATTACAATGAGAATGAGTATGAGTATGCTTGGCATGTGTTGGTTGCTCTGTTGAGGGTGTGGCGATGGCAGTGGCGGTGGCAGTGGATGATGGGGCAGGTGAGGGTGATGGTGGAAGTGATGGGGGAGCAGATGAAGTGATGAGAGTTGTTGCTGTAGTGGATGGTTGTTGTTGTTGTTGTTGTTGTGATGATGATTGAGATGATTGAACATGTGGAGCAGTATCCATCAGACATGTAAGGTCCAATGAACACATATCGCTGTACAGTACTCCAGATGAACAACCACCATATACAACCATCTCGCCACTATCCAACAGGTTGCTAGTATGATGGAATCGTGTGAACAATGTCAAGCCAGTGATTGATGGTTGTGGAAGCCAACACCATCTCTCTATATTTGATTGATTGATTGAATGAGTGAGTGATCGAGATGTGCGAGTGAACAAACAACATACCCATGTCTAATATATGTACATCATTTAGGAAGTTGGCTTCATTGCAGCCACCATGGACCACAAGGTATTTGTTGCCAACGGCATTGGCCGTGTGACCATTGCGAGGTGATGGACTGATGCCACCAGCATTGACCTTGCTCCATGAGTAGTCACGAAGATTGAATATATAAATGTCGTTGAATGATCGTTTGCCATCGTAGCCACCAAAGATGACTACGTTCTCAGTGCCCTTGACGTGGTTGGCCGTGTGTCCCGTTCTTCCACCTGGTCCACTGCCTCGCGTCGTTGGTTTGACCCAACGGATTGTGTCGTTCTGTGATCGAGGCAGCTCCAAAACATAGGGACTGCGTAGATACTTGCTTGAGTGACAGCCACCAAACAATACCAATCTATTGCAACTTGAGCCGCCACTTGTGGTGACGGCGCCAGGGACGAATGTACATGTGTGTCCAGCTCTAGCATCTGGTTCAACTTTATCAAAGTGGAATGTACTCCATGACATTGTATCTAAGGTAAGGGTAACAAGGTTAGTTTGATTGATTAGTTTGATTGATCAGCTGATCAAGACACATACTTAGATTGAGACAATATAGATCATTCAAGTACTTCTTGTTGTTACGTCCACCAAAGATCATGACCATTGTTGGATTGTTGTTGTTGTCTGATGTGTTGATGAGTGTGGCCGAGTGACCGTAGCGTGATGATGGTGCCTTTCCAAGTGTATGTAACTCGTTCCAAACACTTGTGTAGGGATCGTATGCACTGAGCGAGGAGTATAGTGACTCACCTTGTCCACCAAACACATATATCTTCCTTCCAGTTGATATACTAGCGTGTCCCCATCTCGCCTCAATCATATACAATCCACCACCGAGCTTTGCACCTGCTGAAAAGGTGATCCTATTCGCTCTCAGGGCCATCCTAGCTGTATCCTTATTTCCATCTTTGATTGATTGATTGAGTTGAGTTGTCATGTCAGGTAAGTGATCACATTGATCAAGTAATATGATTGAGTGTGACTTACTTTCAGTCATAATAATAGGTGAGTGAATCTATTGTTCAATCAATCTATGTATGTATGTATAACCTGTAATGATTGATTATTTGTCTGTCTCTATATCTATCTATCTTTGATTGAATAGTTGAATGAACTTTTGAGAGAGATGTAGTAATAGTAGTAGTAGTAACCTTAACTAGATAGAGGAGGTAGTTGACATTGACATTGACTACTACTGCTGATGCTGTTGTATGATCGCCGGTCTTGGACCATCCAACCAAGCATCAAGCAGTAGCAGGTCTTGATACCTGCACACCTTCCCATCCATCTTTATGGTTAATTATGTGTGTGTAAGTGTGTGTTTGAAATGAAGTGATTGTCTCAAAGTCTAAAAAGGGGGTGTGTCTGAAAGTATAAACACCTCTCTCACACAACAATCATTCATTCGGCACTCAATTGTTATCAAACAAACAATGAATGACTTAATGAATGAAAGTGTAAGGTAGTTGCACAGGGTCGTGTGTAGTAAATAAGATCTAAAGAGACAGTAAGGTCTTAACAATTTGCGACCACCTTCATACTCTGAGACTTATTAGTCGCGGCTAGATAATTTTGGATTAGGTTTGTTTGATTGATTGATTGATAGATTGTGTAGATTGGATGACCGTTGTGAGCGAGGCGAGGCAAGCCGAAGCGTGTCGATACAAGAATTGGTTGGTCTACACATACATAGGAAATGTTGGCCCTTGCCGTTCCACCTTGCTGATGTTCCAAAGAAGTTATGGACTTCCTGGACGCGCTCGCAAGGCAACATGGTATGTTTGAAATGTTGTTGTTGGATCTGATAGTTGTTTAAAGTTTATTACAAAAGGACTTATTATTGGGGAGAAGGAGGAGGAGGCTGTTGTTGTTGCTGAGTCGTTTGTTGAGATGTCTTGGCAATGGTTGAGGTGGAGGTGGAAGATGGTAATGAGGTGGATAGGATACTACTAATTGAACTTGAGACAACTGTGGAATTGTTGTTGTTACCAACTACTGAGGCAATGATTAGCAGTCTACCATCCTCAAGGCCAACCATCAGGTGTCTCTGGTCATTTGACATTGCCAATGAGTGAATGGCAGAATCAAAGCTGAGCTTATAAGCAAACTTCAGACTGATTGATTGATTGATTGATTGAGTTTGGTTAATACAATACATGGATGTAGTTGGCGAGTCCTGGTGTAACACTTACTTATACAATGTCCTGATTACAACTGTTCCTTTGTCACCTCCTGTGATCAAGTACTCAGAGTCCTTGCTTACAATCATACTGTTCAACTTGCCATGTGTCTCCACCGAACTCAATAGTTGTCCATTGATGCTGTACAGATATATCATCAGATCATCCTATGATTATGGTAAGGTTGTGTGAGTAACTGATTGAATGATCGGAATGATTCCAGGTTACATGGATGACATACCTGTGAGTAGATAACAATATGACCTTGATTGGATATTATACATTGATTGACTGATGATTGCTTGGGAAGACAGATTGATCGTACGTATTCTCCACGACCAAGATTGTGAATGATACATGTGCCATCCTTGGAGCCACTGAGACAAATGTCCAGCTCAACATTGAGGTCCACACAGGTGATCTCATCATCGTGTCCATAAAGGATGTGAGTGGGCACGTTGTCAAAGCGTGATGTTGAACTGCTTCCACGATGAGCAATCAGGTTCCACAGCATGAGTGTGGTGTCACGTGAGCCTGTGATCAGGGTCTGGCCCTCGTCCGACCACGCCACACACGTGACAATGTCCTTGTGCTTGACTACGCTCTGGATTGGCTTGGCGCTGTCTGTATGCGCCAGCTTGAAGCTGTTGTCCCAATGTCCACAGCTGATGGTGTAGCGGCCATCATTTGTGATGGCAAAGCACTTCTGATTGATGACCACATCGTTTGCAAATGGCAGGCCAATGCGTCGCTTGTTGTTTGAGGGAGGCTCAAGCTCCAGAGTGAATGGAGAGCGATCGTTAGGCGTGTTGGGGAACCACTTGTGGCTGGTGAGCACTCGGGATCGATTGATCGTGGTGACGCGATCCGTCACGCTCAGGTAGGACATGAAGTGCGTTGGCTCGGGTATCGAGATATACACCAACGGTCTGTTGGCAATGTTGATGCCAAAGAACTGCATGTTGTGTGGCGTGCGGAAGAGTGACAGCTGACCGTCCTGCAGTTGTTCGCGAGCCGGATGCGCCTTCTTTGCAAACAGCTGCGTGGGCGTCTGGCCAAAGTTGTTGATCTGGGATTCAGTCGCTCGTCTGGTGAACTCGTCTTCGATCAAGTCAATGTCGACGCTGCCCTCGTATGTGAGGTAGTAGAACACGTTGCATGCGTCGATGGCCTGGCGTCCACGTTGCTTGATTCCAAAGATCAGGTCGATCCACTCATGTAGGTGCAGCGAGACATACTCACTCTCGAGAGCCTCGCGATTGATGCGAACAAAGTCCTGGGCAGTGGCTGCCCACGGTGGCAACAGCACGTCGCCAATTACACGGCCGTCCTGTTTGGCACCAAAGCTGAAGTTGTTGTGATTGGTCAGGAACTCGGGCATGTAGAAGAACTCTGGTATGAGCTCCTTGACATCTGTGGTGCTGTTCAGTGAGTTGCGGTAGGCCAGCTCGATCGAGTCAAACATGCGGTCGGGGTGATCAAAGTTGCCGCCTTGGAGCTGCAAGAACAGTGTGGTGTAGGGTTCCATGCGAACCAGGTAGTGCAGCACGATGCCCGCGCTTGAGTAATGAGAGCCATAGTGGAACTTGGGGATGAGTGGGTCGTCGAACGAGCTGTAGCGCTCCTGGAAGATGCTCAGACGCTTGGGATTGAGCGCGCCAATCGGTCTGCTGAGGTCTCGGTACACCTCTGGGTTGGACAAGTCGATTGTCGCAGACTTGTAGTCGTTCAACACCCATGGGAATACGGGATACTGTGTGAGGTCGTTGTACGTGCGACCGGCAATTGTGTTGAGCAGCATCAAATAGTCAAAGTTGGACATCCTGCGCTGTTGCCATTCGCTCGTCGCCTTCTTGAGTGTGTCGGCAGGGTTGGGGGTTGGCGGCACGTCCTTGGCGTACGCTCTTCGCACCGAGTTCACCTTGCTGTACACCTTGTTCCTGTCCTTCTTCTTAAAGTTGAGGAAGAATGTCGTCTGATCCTGCATGAACACCTCGAGGGCGCTGCCTCGCAGCAAGTATCGTCTGAGCTGAATGTCCTTGATGTGCTCGCAGTTCCATGACTTGATCTTGGGCTCTGGATTGGGGCTTGATGTGGCCACCACTCCCGGAGCACCTTCATCAAACTCCTGAGTGAAGGTGATTCGCATCGATGTGATATCCAGACGACCCTTGTACACACTCTTTGGTGTGACGAGGTCGCATTGCGTGCTATAGACGATCTTCTCCTTGTTTGTGCTGGCTGCGGTGGAGCTGTTGAGCGCGGGACTGTTGGGCACCGAACTGAGAGTGGTGGACAGTGACACAATCGGGTCGTCAAGCAGGTTGTCATAGTCGCATAGCACGGCCCAGTCGTCGACAATGTCGTCCTTGTTGCTGGGCACCGGTTTGAGGCCCTTGAGGTTGGTTAGTGCCGTCGACTCTGTGCCACTGCCATCGCTCGAGTTATCGCGTGCCGCCGCCATCATGCTGACATCGTCCATGGTGCAGTTGGCGTGCTCGTCGAATGAGTAGTTCCTCTTGAGCTTGCGTCTCATTCGTGATTTGTTCTCGGTCTTGTCCATCTTCCAGTGTACAACCGACTCGGTCGTGCCCCAAGGACCGCGCTCATTGGTCAGAGAACGAAGGATGCGGCGCCAATGGGCGGCAGTCTCGTACACGGTCAGTTGGAGGCCGTTCAACAGGGCAATGCGTCTGTCGCGCTCGGGGAACAACAATGTCTTGTCGATGTTCTTGAGGTCGGCGTCAGCCTTCTTCTCTGCACCAGAGAAGATCTCAGCCTCGCGATCATCAATCAGCTGCAGGTTCTTGGCGCGCTTCTTCCTGCGCGACTCAATCTTGATTGAAAGTGCCTTGTCCTCGCCCACAATCTGGCCTGCCATGTCGTGAATGTGATCACAGAGCTGGGTCCAGCGCGGGTTGCTTGTGACCGTGGACCAGAAGTCATCTGAGCGCGTCGAGTCTGAAATCTCAGAGACCCAGCGGCCAATCTCACCTTCATACTCGGACTGCTGGCTCTGTGTCACCTTGGTCGCGCTGCCACTCACCTGTTTGTGCAGCAGGTGCGCTGTGAGTAGTGAGTGAAGCTTGCGCACTAGCTCCTTGATGGGCGCCACCAACATCTTTTGGTGCGCCACACTGTTGTTGTGCGTGGCAATCTGCATGGCACGGATCAGCTTGGACAACGCGTATGCGCAACGCAGGTTGGAGTCGTCCGACTTGGAGTGCAGGTCCTTCTCCATTACCGTGCGATACTTGAACAGACAGTTGTGCGTGACGTTGACGGGCTCGGCACGTCGGTAACACTCGCGGATCACCTCGAGGAACAGTCGATGGATGACACGCTGTTGGTGGCTCTGGTAGAGCTGTGGCTTGCCAGTCTGCAGGTTGTTACTGTCATTGCCCGAGGACTTTGGCAGAGTCAACATCTTGAGTGCCTCCACCATCTCGAGCACGTCTGTGGCCAGTTGATAATCAGTCCAGCGATCATTCTTCTCATGTGTCTTGCTGTAGATGCTGGCGGGGCCAGCGTCGGGGGGTGGTGCTGCCAGGATATCAGCCACAGACTTTGTCTCGAGGGCCATCAAGTCGACGATGGCGAATGAGCTGACCAGTGGGTTGAGGTCATCGAGTGGAGAGTAAAAGATGAACTCCTCAGTGAGCAGGAGCAAGTGGACCAAGTTCTCAGACAGCCGCTTGGAGCGATCGTGTAGGCTAGAGTCCTTGTCGCGTAGTGCTTCAGATCTGATTGAGCATGCGATACCATTGAGCAATGATCTAGTCAACATATGGTAGTCCAATACTCCACGCTCTGCATAAGGTCTGAGCGATGACAATATCAACTCCAACTTCTTGTATCCCTTCACATCATTCAATGCATGAATCGCCAATATCTTCATAATGTCCAATGTTAGCTCTGTTACATTGCCGTCTACGAGTGGAGATGGGGTGAGTGTTAGTGGACCATGGTCTAACGATCGATCGATCAAACAATGAGAACATACATTGTGGATTGTCCTTGATCTCAGTGTCGTTGAGCACAGCAAAGAGTAAGTCGGGCCATTTGTCGATTTGGAGGAAGGTGTTTCGATTGGCTGCACTGTGCCCAATCAATAGTTTGATGTTCTGGAGAATGAGGAGTAGCAGTTGGACGGACTCTGCCACAGGCAGTAGCTTGAGAATACAACTCATTACCTCTGGGAATACAATGTCTGTGATAGACTCCACCATCAGATTCTCCAACTTGATCACATTGAGATTGAATCCAATGTCTCCATTGTCTGAGCCCAGTGCAAACGCTAGAAGGTGACCATATGTGAACTCGGTGAGTGGGAACATGTGGAGGGATCGGGCTATGATCACCGAGTCCTGGAAGATGGACTTGGCCTTGCGCTTCAACGTCTTGTTGGGTGAGGCACTGCCAATCATTGGCATCAGACTGATGCCTGAGCCTAGACCGCCGCCACCTCCACCAAAGGCGCCGCCACTACTGACCGGCTGCATAGGTATAAGGTGCAACTTGGCGATGAGTTGGAGCGCAGCCACACGGACAGACTCATCCTTGCGAGACAAGAGTGTGAGGAAGATGTCTGTGCTGCCCAATCGATCCATCTCGTCAAAGAATGGCTGGTACTTGTTGGCCTTGGCGATCAGATCAAAGATGAATGCCAGTGTGTCGACAGCCTGACCCACGTCCAATGTGTAAACGGCGAAGCGCAGGATGGTGGCCACCTCGGCGGGCGTAGGGTTGCGCACCAGTAGGTGCACAATGTCAAAGATCAAGTATCTGAGCTCAGACATCTCTTGTGGCGATGGCCGCTTGTCCTTGGTGTTGAGCACTTTGCTCGTCTCGTGGAACTCGCTCCAATAGAAGTTGGCAATGAGGTCGATCATGGCCTGCACTGTGAATATCTCCTCGAGTTGATCGATCTTATCAATGAGTATCTGCTTGAGCATCACAAGCAGACTCTTCTGCACCTCGACCTTGGTCTTGATCCACAGCCTAAAGTCCAGCAACAGGCGGTACACCTCCTCAACGAGGCTGGGCTCAGAGATCTGGTTGCCCATGTCAACAAAGATGGTGAGTACTCCAGTGGTGATGTACTCGGGTGGCAGCATCTGGAGGAGGTACGCCAGCACGGGCATACCGTTGCAGCGCAACATCTCCTCCTGGTTGGCCTCGCTGCCGCGCAACATGTCGCGGAACAGTCCCAGTATCTGAATGATCAGCTTGTTGGCTGTGTCGGTGGCGTTCTCTGGCTGCTGCTGAAGCAACTGTTGGTTCATCTGTGGCAGCAGTGGGAACAACACCTTGATGCCGCCAAGACAATAGATGATGTCCTTGATGTCACGTGACACGCATGGGTGCACGGAGTGAAGTGTGCCGTCAAAGTGGCGATCGGCTCCAATGTTTGGCGTCGTGTCCAGACATTGATCGCCCTCGATAGCGCGACAATTGTAGCTGAGGAACAGCCGACTGGTCAGTGATTGATCGACTGTGTGTGCGTGGCTACTCTTGCCACTACCGCCACTTGATGCCAAACCCTCAATGTCCTGTAGAGTGGCGCTAAAGTTTGGTCCTAGCGAGAACATTGTTTGAATCTGAGATGGCGACAATGTTTCGTCAAAGATGTTTAGCGCGCCCAACTGGCCGTAGAGTGGGTTGCTACGCGCCACAGCCTCATTGTTGTCCAATCGCACGTTGTTGCCAATCCTGCAGTTGCTGATCGAGCCGCTCAAGAGGTTGGCCGTGAGCTTGATTGTGGCCTTTGATCGCAGCTGTCCGTCAATATACACGCGTATCTCGCTGCTGAACAAGTTGGTCATGTAGACGATGCTGATGAAGTACCACTTGCCCTCTTCCAGGGAGGGCGGGTTGGTCAGCACGGGCTTGGGAGGGGTGCCTGGTGTCACCATCTGTATCTGGAGCTGTTGGTAGATGAACAACGCCTCGACGCCGCTTCCCGTATCGCTGAGCAGACTTATCAGTCGCGGCTTGTACTCTGGCGCGCCAGTCGGATCGACAAAGGACTCGACACGTAGCCAAGTGCAGAACGTAAAGCCCTTGGTGAAGGGCCACTTCTCGAATGTAGGCAGACTGATGAATGAAGACTTGCCATCAAAGTCAAAGTATACTTGTGGGCCAGGATTGCGTGACACTGCAATGTTCTGCAGGGTAGACAGTAGGACTGAGGTGGTGGACAGGCGTCGTCCGCCCGTGCCATCACTCTTGAGCAGGCGGAACAGCTTCTTGAGCTCACGCACATTGACACTGTGCAGACCAAGTGTTTGGACGAGGTGCAGGATCTTGGAGGTGATGTCCATGGGGGGCTGCTGCGCTGACCCGCTAATGGCATCGATCGCACACAGCAGATGGTATATCAGATGGCAGTTGCAGCATATCAGTTGGTTAGTCGTGCACTTTTGGACGATGTGTGTGATTGTGTCGAGTGCATGGCGCTGTAGGTCCAGTGGGAAGTGATGTAGCAGGTGGATGATGAGCAACAGCGCATCGATGTTATGGATGAAGTAGTTCTCCTCACGATCAAACTCATTGTCGACGACCATGTCCAGCAGGATGTTGAGTGTGATCGATGAGATCACCGGCTCAGACTTGAGTATGATGTTCTTGAGCGAATCGTATCCAATTCTTTTGATAAAGTGTCGCTTGATCTTGGCACTCTTGGCCATCATCATGACAATCGTGCGCAGCACCGAGTGTGAGAGCGTGGTCAGGTTGGCCATTGAGTTGGGCGTGTCGCTGGCGGTGGCGCCCACGTTCACAAGGTTGGCAACCTTGGCAAACATGTGGAACTTCTTGAACTGGTACTGCTTCTTGGGGTTGCCCTTGATCACCTGGCGGATGATGTCCAGCAGCGACAACTTGACCTCCATCGAGTACTCGGGCGACAGCTTGTTCTTGGTGTTTGGCACGATACTACCATCATCCTTGAAGTTGGACAGCTGATTGGCGAATGTCGTGTAGATCTCGTTGAGGTCATGCTCGCCCTCGGGACTCAGCTTCATGAGGAAGAGTATGAGCGTGAGTGCATACTGTTTCAGCTCGGGATGTTGCAGGATGTTGAACAATGTTGTGATGAGTGTGCGGTCCACCAATGCCTGATGCGACATCTCCTCATTCACGATGAGTTGGCCCAGATAGCTCAGCACCATGTTGCGTGCACGCATGGCCAGTTGTTGCTGCGACTCTGTTTCGCTGTCGACAGCCTTGTCCAGTAGCTGCTGGACAAAGTTGGCCAATTGCTCAAAGATACCTTGTGAAAGCAGGGCCTTGATTGTCTTGGGATTGCGCTTGGTGATGTTGATCAACATCTGGCATGCATCCACTATGATTGCCGGTTGACTGGCATGTGCCTTGAGTAGATCCAAGATCGCGCCAATCTCTTCACAATTGTCGCGCTGGTCCAATGTCGCCAAGAATTGAACAGTGTTCATTGTGTCAGTCCTAAGTCCATCGCTAAGGTATTGTCTTCGTTGAGCCTGTACACTGGTGTTGTTGTTGTTGTCATTATTGTTGTCATTGCTGCAGGGATAGAAGTGATTGGATGTGAGCAGTAGCTTGTAGATGAGATGCTTTCTCAACACCTCCAATGTGTCGCTGTGCTCGTTGACGATGCTGCAGAGGTACTCCAGGATGGACAGTTGCAGCTCTAAGTTGTCACTTCTGGTCTTGGCCTTGAACAAGCTCACCAGTAGTATCTTGATCAATTGGGTATTTACATGTTTCTTGTTGGTCATCGAGTTGATGTCCTCAAGCGTGTTGTTGCCAAGGCTTGAGAGGAGGGAGGGGCTTGACCCGCCCAGTCCAGAGCCCAAACTGTTGGACAACAGCATGGGTGATGTTGATGCTCCCACCAAGACGATCGTATCGCCTGACGATGGGGTCGTGCTGGAAAGTGAGCTTGGGAGTGATGATTGTTGAAGTGATGTCGATGTTGATATCTCTTTGTTGGCACCATGTGGGGATGTTGGTATGACCAGGGGAATTGAGGAGAACGTGAGCTTGTGCAGCACGTCAAACAGCTGCACCAGTTGAGGTATCCTATTGCGCTTGAGTGGTGTTGGTGTGCGCACGGCATCAGACTCTGATGAGTATGTCGTATATTTCAAACTGTTGAGTATCTTGTTTAGATTGTCMAAATGGTGCTGATGATGATAATGACTTGGATAGCATCGCCGCTCCCAAGTTACTGTTGTTGTTGTTGTTGTTGTTGGATTGTTGTTGCGATGTGGCTGCGGTGGCGGCTGCGGTGTTGTTTGCTTGTTTCTGTACCATCTCATCTGTACATCCATGTGACTCTGCCTGGAAACATTCCACCGTCCACAATATAAACTGTTTGATCACTTTGAATCCCTTTAGATTGATGAACCATCTTGCATTCTCTACATTATTGTCACTGTGATTGATTGATTGAGTGAGTGAGTGATTTGAATGGTTCCATGAATGACGATGATATTTACATTAACTCTCTGATTGCTCGAAGCATGTGCAGTTGGAATTGGAACTCGGTGTTGAAACTTTGAAGCTCGGTTGAGTGCCTGTTGCCGCCACGTTGTCCGCCACAGATGCCACCGAGCAGGATCTTCATCTCAGCGCCAGACTCCTTTAATTTACAATGTTGCTTGTTGCTTGAGAATACTAGACAGCCAAGTGCATCCACCAGTAGGTATCGGAAGTTGGCCGAACCGCTGTCGGACGCGCATACTGCGCCCAAGTTCTCGTTGTAGAACTGGATGCAGTCGAGCAGGATGCCGACGACGCCCAGCTTGTAGAGCTGGAGCAGTGAGTAGATGTTTGGCGAGGATGGTGCGCCCAACACGTCGTCGTTGCTGCTGGCCAGTGTGGTGAGATCGAAGCTGTGTCGGATGGAGCGCAGCCAGCCTGCGCGATCATGTGAGAAGTTGGACACAAAGTTGCAAAAGTGGCCGAGAAGCAGGCGAAGGTATGGCCACCACTTGCGGAAGGTGCCGCCTGCGACCGTGTCCTTGATGGACGAGAGCTTGAGGGTGGCCAGTCGCGCGGCCTGGAATGGGTGTGTGAGCGCGTTCTCCTGCAGCAGCAGGGCGTTGTTGAGTTGTGATCGCGACAATATGTTGATGAGCGCCATCAGGTAGATGCCGTCGGTGGGCATGGGTGTGGAGTCGTCAGTCAGTGCCACTGAGAGGCTCATCACGAACGTGCACAATTGTGACGAGACGAATTGAAGTGATTGAATATCCAATATCGGTGTGGACTTGATCTTCAACGCCATTGTCTTCATCTCAAAGCTATTTGCATTCATCTCTATATTCCATATATCGTACTGTGGATGGAAGTGGCTGACCACTCTCTTCAAGTGTTGTTCAGATGTTTGTTGTTGTTGAGGTGACTATCCGGATGCATGGTCAGTCAGTATGATATCATTCGAATGATTGATTGATTGATTGATCGATCATATGATATTATTATTATACCTTTGGTGAGTCGAGTGATGCTCTGAACAATCTCCAGAGGTCATCTGCTTTGGAGGGACCTGCTGAGGATCGCCAATTTGTCTCATCATGCAAGTCTGCTGCCTGTTGATTATCATCTACGCCTGTGCCACCAGTCTTTATCCTGGCTGCTCCAAACTTGATCATATTTTGTTTGATTGTTTGATTGATTGATTGTATGATTTAATCTTGAGATTGAATAATCTTATGATCAATTGTTATAAGTGATATCAATTTGAACAAATATATTATATATATATATATATAAATAAATAATAAATAAATAAATAAGAGAGATAGATTGAAGTGTTGAGAGATGAGTGCTGACTTCATGTTGTATCAATCAGGCCTAAGGTGTGGAGACACCAAAGCTCAAGATTCATGTGAGAGGGTGGTGGTCAACACACTTTTTGACGCCGATTGAAGGACCTATTGTTTTTCTTTTTCAGGTCCAGGACCACTTTTGACACACCTTTTAAAAAAAACAATTAAAACACCACATCTTGATCGACTCGTGGATGTAGTCGATGGTGGCAGCATCCATCGGGTCCTTGCGCTCGATGAACGACTAAATCATAACAAGTTAATATTATTATCATTCATGTTCACCTTCATTAATATTTATACATATAATATATTTAATGCTAAATGTATACATTGATCGATCTAGACTCCCATCTCATCAGGCAGCCATATCACAGCGCAATGAGAATCGTAAGTCTATTTATATTATTGAACGTACGAACATCATCACATGTGTAGGACCATCGCAACATCAACAACAACAAGTAGGGATAACCTCCCTTACTTTACCGGTTCTAAAAGCCCGAATACAAAGCGCTTTCTCCTCGCCGCCTGGGTAATGATGAGATGGTTTGTATTCCATTCTAAATGGAAACAGGCTGACAAGTAATTTGCTCAAACATACCATTTGTATTCGGCCATTTAGACCCGGTAAAGTAAGGGAGGGTTCAATTATTAATTATTATTATTAGATTGATTCACTTTATCATTCATACTTCTATCTATCTATCTATATATATATATATATTACATTAATCATGCTCAATAAAGAAACACAAGAACAAGTAGATGCCATCATGAACAATAAAGAGCCCAGACTACCCTCTTGCTGCCCTAACCAAACACTTCAACAAGTAGGGATGTCCACTTTTTGGAAGACTGGAGCGGACATCACTCAGAACCCAATCACACTTACATCTTGTGAGTTTGTCAGTACAAAGAGATTGATGGTCAGACAGTCATACAAGGATCTGCTCTCTATCATTCTCACTCATCTCGGCAATCAACCAGGATCACATTTCCCCAACCCTCGCATCTTTATAAGTGGAAGTCCAGGAATGGGTAAATCATTCTTTGGCATCTATCTACTCCTACATTGTAGACACATCAAACACTCTGTCATTTATCACTCATGGCAAGAACCCAACATGGTGCATTACTTTACATTTGATGTGAAAGGAGAGCCCATTGCTTATAGATATCCTTTAGACCATCTCAGCTCTCTGATCCCTAGAGGTCAAGACATTGACTACAACCTCTGGTACATCACAGATGGAACTCCACCAATCAACCTAATCGCCAAATGTGCCAACATCCTCATATCCTCCCCAAATGAATCCATTACAAATGATTTCCTCAAGATATCACCTCGACCAATCACTCTTTATATGCCTTTGTGGACACTTAACGAGTTACTTGATGCCAAGGACATACATTCAATCAAAGAGAATGATATCATAGACTCATTCGATATTGTGGGAGGGAATGCTAGGTTAGTACTTGACTCGACAATGACACAAGATTACCGCACTTCCATAATCCACAAAGCCATTAGTTCAACAGACTTTGAAGCCTGTAGGAGAGCTATCGGATCTCAAATTGAAGGAGACAAAGAAACATCACTGATTATTCACATGGATGTTAATGAGACTTATACTCATTTTAGTTTTGAGTTTGCTTCCAAATGGGTTACCAACCAAGTTCTCCTTTACAATCTTCTCCAAACTACTTCAATCCCTCAGATACGACAAATATAAAAGGAAAGTACAAAAACAATACTTAATAATTTTGTTGTTGAATTAATACCATGAGGACTGACATTGATAAGAGGAACAGGATGATCAATGGACTCATGTGTTGTTGGAGTGACAAGGACATGCTGATATCATTTCCACCTCTACCTGGAAGGCAGAGCCTCTCATTTGGACATTGTACAACTAGTCCACTGGCATTGACCATCTGTCCCATTGGACATCCATACCATCTGGCTTGGTATTGGAACTCAATCACACCATTGTTGCATCTTTGTGGTCGACATGCTGGTGTGTTGACACTCGCACTTCCATTGCTGTTGCTCAGGAAACAGGCAGAGTTGGGGCCAAATGTCTCGCCGTCCTGGCTTGGCTTGCGACTGGTGTCGAAGCAGAAGTAGCCTGCAGCAGCGCCCTCTGCAGAGTTGAACAGACAATAATCAAAGATGTAGCCATTGAAGCTGCCAACGGTGGGCTTGGAGAAGTGCTGAACAGAGGGGTCGAGCACTCCATTGTACTCGATGATAGCCGAGATACCAACTGCTGCACGGGTAGCCGAACATGAGATGTTGTATGAACCAAGCTGTGGGTTGGAAGGCTGCCAGTATCCAGTGTAGTTCCATGTTTGGGCAGAGCATGGCTTCATGGCAAAGTCACATCCCTTGTCCAGACCAAAGAGGTAGCGACTGATGCCAGTGGCGTTGTATACAGTGTACCAACCAGAGTCCACCAACAATGAGATGGTCATGTTGGTGAGTGGCGCCACAGTCTGGGCGTAGCCAAGCATCAACTCCTCTCCAATACGCGAGGCCTTCCAATGGCTGCCAGCAGTGAATCCCGATGCACCAAGGTTCTCCAACTCACCACCTGGCAAAGTATCACAACCAGTGTGTTGGCGAGCGAATGCCCTCACGGCTGGAGTTGACAAGAATGCTCTCTTGGTGCTGTAGGCTTGACCGGATGGTGATGTACCATCAGTGGTAACCTGAACCTGGGTGGTGTTATACACCTGACCAGTTGTCCTGTCAACGAATCGGCTGTACATGTAGGCCGAGAAACCAAGTGCATGAGTGGCCTCATGGAGTGCAACCCTATTAAATAATGTGTTTGATGGATTCAAAGTTAGTAACTGATCATGAGTGTTTGGAATAGCTCCAGTTTGATTGAGTTAAGTATACTTACTGGAACAGATAATTCCAGTTAGCTTGATGAGTTTGAAGGTAGGTGGCGTTGGCAAAGAGTGAGAACCAACTGGGTGCAAAGTTGATCAGACCAAGGTATGGGGAGTATGGACTGGATCCACGGATTCCACAGGCAGTGGAGTAGGCAATGGTGTTTGGGCTGCTGGTGGGATGAGAAGTGACGTACATCATATAGTCACCAGTGAATCCCCTAACATCCATTGAGTAGCCTTCACCGGAACACGTACCCTTGAAAGTGATGTTGGTGTACTCTGTTGAATTGACCTCCAGGATTGATCCATAGGTGGTGGAGATATGTGGCAACAATGTATTCTCAATCAGTGTTGCCAACTCTGGTGTGAGTACATCACGTGCGGTACATTGGTAGTTGCCAATCATTTGGCCAACTGAGTAACATGTATTGGGCTCAGGGGATCTCAAGAAGGTCGTGTTGAATATAATCCTGATTGGATGTCTGGTAACTGGGTTGTTGTTGGCTTTGAGGTTGGTGTTGGAAGCAGCACGGCTATACTCTGTGGCTGGGGCTGGATGATGGGGTTGTAGGTAAGCCAGATGTTGGGACACCTTGTCATGGATACAATTATGATTGAATGATGGATTGAACTTTTCCAACATCTCCTCATCACCACCGATCAACTTCCTCAAAGATGATTGATAATCTTGGAGGTATTGTTTGGCGTGATCCAAAGTTGAATAAACAGTATGATGTTGTGGATAATGTTCATGATCGATTGATGTGGCGTATCCAATTACAGCAAGACAACATAATATTAATATAATAATTTTAAAAGACATTATTATTATTTTTTACAAAATATTTGATTGATTGATTAGTGAATGATGATTGATTGATTGAGTGTAAATGATTACAAACAAGTATATACGTACAGACACATACAACACAAACATGGGTAAAGACTCGTCAAAGGTAGATGTTGACAACAACTTATTATTGTGTCAAGGGATACCCATCAAAAGAATGATTATCACGATCACGCGACAAGATGACCTTGGGTCCAGATGACAACAACATTTGAAAAACATACCTTTTGTCAAAACACAAGATTTGGATGGCATCTGATGAGTGCTAGACATATGTCCCGGGTGGGCAACCTGCCCAACATGAGGAGATGACGATTGACTGGCTCCGACATCGTGCGAACCCACCTTCTCGAGAAGCCGGCTTGATGGATGAAGTAGACCCGAGAATTCACAACATATCGTCATTCATTCATTCATTCATGGCTGGATTGATTGATTGATAGAATGAACTTGGGATATTGAGCCATCTGAAGAGGAAGAGTGAACCCAATCTGATTAGAAGATGGTATGGCGCTACGCCACCAGTTACCCAGAGGTAGTAGCATAGTAGTAGTAATGGTATACCATCGCAAGTAGGGTAAGGAGGTTGTTTGTTGGTTGCTCGTTCGTTGTGGTTGGTTTGTTATTAATTTGTACATCTAAAGTTATCATATACGGCTACAGAGATTGAGTTGTTGTTGTTGTTCTTGTTGGATGAGGATGAGGATGGAATGGTGAAGCTGCCACTGATCGACAGTGATGGAGGAGGTGGAGAATATGATGGAGTGAAATATTTGTTGATGAGTGATCGGATGTCTTCGTAGTGATTGGCTATTGTCTTGTCAAGGTCGTCCAGCGTGATCTCCCTGAAGCCACAAATGATGGAGTAGCGGAGATCATCGCGTGACTTTGCAATGTCGGGACTCTGCTGGCCAATCTCGATGCACCGGATCAGACGGTCGACGCCAAAGATCGAGGGCTCCAAGCGGTCGCATCTCGTCTTGACCTTGTGCATCAGATTGACCGTGCTCTGTCTGTGTCCCTTCAAGATGGACAAATGCAATGCTGTGTTATTATCACAGTCGATCAGGGCTGGATTGGAGCCCTTCTCAAACAACAAGTCAACGATCTGATGTGAAAAGTATGTCTGTGATGGCTTGCCAAATCTTGTCATGCCCAACCAATCCTGGTTCTATAATGTCGTGTCCAAAGAGTTAGCGTCGTCCTTTGATTGATTGATTGATTGATACATACTCGTAATACACAGCGATGTAATGCAGTTCGTTTCTTGTCGTCCACCCTATCAATGTCAATATTCTTACATTCCAGCAGTTCCTTGACGATGGGATACATGCAATTGTGTGCAGCAATGTGCAACGATGCGTCACCGCACGTGCCATCAAGCTTTGACAATGGTGTAGCCGCAATCGTGCAGTTAACGTCCACTTTCTTGTGCTGGATAAGATGTAAGTAAGTACAAGTGCATGCAGCGTCACGAAAGAAAACAACATACCTTTAGCAACAGCTTTACCATCGCCAGATTGTTCTCCTTTGATGCAATGTGAAGTGGATATAGACCACGGTTCTGGCATATTGTTACGTCTGCGCCATGCTTGAGCAATAGCTCCACCATCTTGACCGAGTCGGACTGATGCTGTTTGACAGCAATGTGTAATGGAGAACGTCCTCTGTTATCCAATATGTTCACTCTAGCGCATACCTTATCCGAAAGCAAATACTAGAATATGATTGATTGATTGGGATTAGCCAGTGGTCGAGGACATGTCCCAAGGTGGCTGGCAAGGAGGTGATATACATACTGAAACAACTTGATATCTCATATCGGTGTTGGGTTCGCCGTGAATGAAGCACAGGGAGTAGTGAAGAGGAGTCTTGCCATTCTTTGGGTTCATGTGATTTACATTGGCTCCAAGTGATATCAATGTCTCAATCATGTCTCTAAAGCACCACTGATCATTGGTTGATTGATTGATTGATTGAGTGAGTATACTTAGGAGCGAGTGGTGGGAGAGAGTGATCAGGTGCAAGACATACCTTGGAAGCGATGTGAAGTAGAAGCATATCGTTTAGGGTCCGACCTTGACGCTCCTTGGGACATTCAATCATGCGAAGAAGGTACTCTCGTTTACATTGTGCCTTCTTCTCATAAACATTGTACATGTCATTATAAGGTCGCTTCAAGAACTTCTTCTTCTCTTTAATCAACGCAGAGATGGTCGGGTATATCTTGCCCATCTCATCATTGAGAAATACTCCAACAAATGGTCCAAGGTTGCTGCAAGGAAGGGATGGGTTAGTGAGTGAACAAACCATGTCGCGCCATGTCAAGGCCTCGAGGGAGAACATACTATAACAAAAGGTGTTGAGGTCGTTTGCTATGCACATTGTATGATATGACGAGATTGTTTGCTTTGGAACTCTTGCGGATCAGGAATGTACCCTTTGCCATCGTCTGTAATGTAGCAGTCGCTTCATCTCTCGATAATGAATAGTTGTACCATCCTGCACACTTGACATACTATTGATTGATTGGATTGAATGAAGGGAGTGAGTGATTGATCGAATGGAATGAATGGTGAATCATTCTTGTTGCATTTTGGACATACCTCTGTTGCCCAATGACGATAGAAGTCCTTCCAAGATGAATTGGCATTCTTCTTGAGCTTCTCCTCACAGATGTTGGTCATCCATGACCATTGCGAGAAGCACTTCTCCTCCCATAGTGTATCGAGTGAGCATAGTGCTGACCAATGTCTACAGACACTGGAGGTGTGTCGCAGGTCAAACGGTGAGAGGAATCTAAAGATGTGAATGATGATCTCACATGCCAGATCAAACAGTTGCAGACAACATGGATTGGAATTGCTGTTGTTGTGGAGGCCATCAGAGAATGAGTTGTCACCCATGGCTACATTGGTGGGCACGTAGTCAAACTGAGAGAGTTGATGTTGTTGCATGTTGCCATACTGCTTGATGCTGTCCAACTCGCCGTCGTCAAAGATGCTGCTGTCGATGCTACTGCTGCTCTGGCTCATGGTTGAGCGACTTGTACTGGAGAGCAACAGCGAGCCACTGCTGCAGCTGAGTTGTAGCATGGCACCACCATTGCTCAATTGATTGATCGATGTCGTTGGCACTGAAGAGTCGCTCTTGCGTACCACCAATGCCGATGATATTGCTGTCAGCTGAGGCGATGATAATGATGATGGTGGTGTTGATGAGGCTGATGGTGGGGATGTTGGTAACGATGATGATGTTGGTGATGCTGATGGTGATGTTGGTGTTGTTAATGATTGATCCACTGTAGGTATAATAATTGATGATGATGTTCCATGTTCTTTAAATTGATTGATATTTGGTGTCTTGTCTTCTATTGTTGTTAATGTTGATGGTGTTGTCGTTGTCGTCGTACTATCGCTGCTATTATAATTATAGTTGCTTGTGGTGGTATACACATTGAACCATCCTCCAAACACAACGTCCTGTCTTGTCTCTTTCATGTTGTGTTTTCCAAAGTATGTTCCTCTTGTGTATATAATTATAATAATAATAATAATAATAATAATAATAATATAGAAGTCTATAGATGATGATGATGTGTCACAGTCTCAGTCAGACTGGCACTTGGATTGTGGGATCGTGTAGTCGCCGTTGTGGATGTCCTCTTCTCGATCGCGCTCTATCGGCAACAACCCTCTAGGTTATATCTTCTTTGTGTCTTTCTGATTCTGACGCTATTGCATCTATATATGATTATATTATATTATATTATATTATATATTATATATTTGTTATCTGTAATAAATAATATCGCGATTATAACGCCTACTGCTGGTGCTGAATGTGTGTCTATCTATCTATCTGTCAATGTTCATGTATTTGTTTGCTGTTGTTGTTGGTCTTCTAATCCTTCTTCGATTGCTAAATCCAGTCGACTGCGTCACTTTACATACATGTCACGTTTAATGACAAACAACAAACACAACAAACAATAACAACAAGTTGTACAACAGACAGAGACAGACCTGAGCTTCTTCTTCTTCTCGCACTCCCAGTCCTCATCTAGCAACCTCCATCCATCCTCTCATACACACACACACACACCCTTCTTCATTATCATTTACTCACACCATCATTAACACCACCACACCCTGTTTGTTCCCAGGATACCTATTATTTTTAATTTTTAATTTAATTTATTACTGGGATGGGGGGGATAAATAGATTCGGGAGTCAAACCATAGAACCCTTTCAAATTTGGGGGATATTTGGTAACGTTATCTCTCAAATAAATAATTGATAATAACACCCACATTGTCGATTCGACATCTTAACTCATAACCATTATGACTTGTCCACTGTCAGTCAGAGAGATAGATAGAGTCTGACTTCAGTGTGTTTGTGTGATCGACTTTGTCATCATTTACCTACCCTACCCAACCCTACCCTACCCTTACCCTCTTGTGCGCGTCTCTTCAAAGTTATTAGTGTTATTACTACTACCTAAACAGAGTTTGTCACTACTTTCATATTCATTCACTCAATCACTCAWTTCACACTCACTCATTCAGTCATTCACTCATTCATACTCAGTCAGTCACTCATTAAGACATACTCAATCTTGTTCACAGCAGTAACAAACTAGTAGTACTACAACAATACAGTAATAATCATGATATCAGATACTAGCAAGCAGATCAAAGGTATATATACAAGTTGATCGAATGTTGATGGATGAAGATATTTACATTACATTATGATTACATTAGTGTCTGCTCCAGGCAAGGTGATTCTATTTGGAGAGCATGCAGTTGTACTTGGAAAGACATCTATCGCTACAGGCCTATCACTAAGAACAAACTGCACCATTCAATTAATAGACGAACCAGCGTTCATTGTCTCATTGCCTGATCTTGGACTGAATCACGAACTAAAGTGGACCAAACAAGAGCTGTCCTCACTTGCCAACTACAAGAGTAATATACCAGTACTCCAACAACAACGTGATCATCTTACTAATCATCAATCAAACGAATAGACATTGAGTCAGTTGATAGTTTCAAACCATGCGAATGTAATAATCATTTCCTTGAAGAGCTAGCAACTATACACTCGATGAAGGGCATTCAATCAGCTCTCTTCTTGTATTGTGTACTGTCAAAGCTAAAGCATGGCGTGCACATTCACTTCAAGTCAGACTTGCCTATTGGTGCCGGTCTAGGCTCGTCTGGTTCATTCAACGTTTGTCTTGTGGCAGGCCTCCTGCGCGTCTTTGATCTGTACGCATGTGGCGGCTGTGAGCAGTGCAAGGGTACACATACCTGCAACGACACTCACTACACACCATGTGCCAAGCAACTCGACCTGATCAATCAGTGGTCGCTTCAGGGCGAGAAGATCATGCATGGCACTCCATCGGGCATCGACAATGCCGTCAGCACTTATGGTCGCGCCATATCATTCACTCGCAAGGATGGCATCAAGCCACTGGATAGAATCCCTCCCCTGCGTCTATTGATCACAGACACCAGAGTGAGCAGATCGACCAAGATCTTGGTTGAGGGTGTCGTCAACCGTCATCAGACCTACAACAATCTTATGGAGCCCGTTGCTGTCCTCATTGACAACATCTCCAAGGAGTGTCTGGCAGCCTTTGACAAGTACTTTATTGATTCAGATGTGGAGCAACTTCAACAAGCCATCGAGTTGATGATAGATATGAATCATGCATTGTTGTCTGGATGCTTTGGAGTTGGACACAAGACATTGGACCTGATCGCCACTGTTTCCAAACAGTTTGGACTTCACAGCAAGTTGACTGGTGCTGGTGGAGGTGGCTGTGCTATCACACTTCTCAAGCCAACTACAGAACAGACTGTCGTCGATCAACTAAAGGATGAGCTCAGGAAGCATGGATTCGAAAGCTGGGAGGCAACCATTGGACAGCCAGGTCTACTCTTTGAGAAATAAACAGAGACAGTGTGCGATGCGATACGATCACATCGATCGTGTCCCCATCAATCACCTTTGGAAACAAACAATCAACCAGAGGGTCGACACTCTTGCTCATATTATATAATGTATATACACCTTTATTATCTCTAGAGGATCAGCTTCATACCAGTGATGATGTCAGAGTAGACAGAGGATGGCTCACCATCCTCGACAAACATGCCCATGGGGAACTCGATGAGGTAGCCTCGGATGCTGTGCAGTTGGGTGTTCTCGAGAATGGAGGCTGGAAGACGTCCATCTCGCTTGTACTGTGAGATCTTGCGGCAGTTGTCTGGGATATAGGTGCCAAAGGTGTGCTTGTAGACGAGCGTGTTGCGCTTGGTGATCTCTCTCCAAACGCCATTGTAAGTGGAGTGGACGATTGGATCGAGGATCGCTGCGCTGACCGTGGCGTCGGGCTGGAGCGTCAGACCCAGATGGTTCTCCCACAGTTGCACGCGCAGCTTCCTGGCAAAGGCGCCGGCCATGTAGGGCTGACCGTTCATGTGCGACTCCACCATCTCAGTGTCCTCGATGACGGCACAGATCTCAGAGTCGCGGGAGCCGTCCATTGAGCGATCGTTGATGTTTGCTGAGCCAATGATCGAGATCCTATCATCGACAATCATCAACTTTGAATGCACATATATCTGCTCGGTGAATATGACGTCGTTGGTGACGCACCATGATCGGAGCGAGTTGAACGACAAGTACTGATCGATGTCGACACCGGGGTACTTTGATTGCAACTCTAACTTGATGCCTTGAATTGACTTGTGAGTCCACTTGACAATCATCCTAGATAAGTTTGTATATGTGTTAGTTGGTGGTCCAAGGAGTCATCAATGCAACTGGAATACATACTGAGTATCAAGAGTGTAGAGATCACCTTCACAATGTACAGGTAGTAGTACAATCACTCTGAATGTCTCGTTTGACAGGATGGCCTTCTCAATCCTCTTGAGGATGGCGAAGGATACTTGGTTGTTGGGCACGGTGGTGCCGACGGACGAGACAAAGAACTGGTTCTGGATGTAGATAAAGTGCTGCGACATGTTGATGATGTTGACGTAGGCCTTGTAGATAGAGTTCTCCAGCGACTGGCCCGCCGACCAGTCGCTGACTGAACGCACGATCTGCACCTTGGACGTGCCATTTGTTGGCGGCACGGGCTCCAGCGTCGGCACAAGATACGGGTACTTCTTGTAGTCCCTGTTGGAGTTCTTGGCGTGATTCCAACGCTGAATAAAGTTGGTGGCAATGTCTCGCGCAGCATTGCCATTGACAGAGATGGACACATCGTGCCAGGGTATCCTCGGATGGAACTTTCGGTCCACCAAACATATGCGCTCGCCAGACTTGGGCTTGATCACACTGGTGTTGATGTAGTCGGGTCCATGGAATGTCTTCTCCTCAACATCGCTCAGGGGGAAGTGATGCGTGTCGTAGCGACCGTAGCAAAGGTCCAGGCCGCCAATGTAGGCCAACATGTGATCGATCACAACGATCTTCTGGTGATGCGACCAGGACAGCGGCACAAACTGTGGATGTCTGATCACCTTGATGTTCCTGCGATGCAGCTTCTCAAACAGCGACTTGACAAAGCGGCTGCCCAGGTCCATTGCAATGATCGTCTCGTCCCAGATCAGGATGTAGATCTTGACACCCTCCACGGCCTTCTTGCACAGAAGCTTATCCAGCTGGTAGTTGTCGTGGTCGGACATTGTAGGGTCGCGGATCAATGACAGGCCAGGCGAGATGCACCAGCCAGCAATGTAGATCTCATTGCGTGCGTTCTTGATTGCATGGTACACGCGCTCAAAGTAGTCGGCACCATTGATGTAGTAGTTGACCTGGATGTCGTCACGCTGACAGGCGTACGATTGATAACGGTATGATCCCTTGGAGTTGGATCGGATCGTGTTGACAAACATCGACGCCTTGGACGTGGACAGCGCGATGAATGTGTACTCCTTGTCGAATGTGCGCAGGACAAAGTCCGAGGCATCCTTGCTCTCCTGGATCTCCTTGGGGTTGGATCGCAGCACCTTCTTGATGATCGATGGGTAGTTGTGATGGTTGGGGTGCTCCTTTGGCAGCACCTTGACACTGGTATTGAACAGACATATCACATTCAATGGTTTGCTTGAAAGTCTCTTGTAGGACACCAGGAAGCCATTGCGACACTCAAAGTAACGCAATGAGTAGGCGTACTTCAAGAAGCCAGCACGCTTCACCTTGTACAAGTATCCCGCGCATGACTTGTGTGATGTGTTGGTGTGTAGCTGAGGTACGGATGTATGAGTTAGCCAATCAATCGTTCGAGATCATTGCCATCCATTGGTACTTACATCTTCGATGGGCTTGACGAAACAGACGTAGATGAGATCAAAGAGACCAAAGCAACGTGGTAGGTCTGGATTGCGATTGGCACGTCTGAGGAATGAGTCCAGGAGCATTGATGGATTGGTCTCCTTGTGGGGATCGCTGTGCTTCAGGTGTCCATTCCTCTGGATTGAATTGACATTGCTACTCGACTCTTTGAAGATGGTGTTCACAATCTCATCAGGTGTACCAATGTTACCATAACCAAACTCATGGAGTATAGCCAATGAATCAATGATTCTGACCAAGTCCCTGAGCTCTGACTTGTATATTACATCCTCAGTCTTCTTTTTGCAAAGTCTGAACACAACTATGTTTGATTGAATGATTGTTAGTTGATGATAAAGGAGTGAGTGCAATCAATCAATCACGGGGTACTTACGCTCAGACCTTTCCTTGATGGTACCTCTGGTCATTACAGAGATAAGGTCGATGATGTGGGAGATGGTTGGGTTCTGTGTGGGTCCCAAGGAGTAGGCCTTGGTGATGTAGTTGAACATGAGTCGCACCAGACGATCAATGACTGTTCTCCATCGGTTGACCAATGGTGATCGATTGAGACACTCAAACTCCTTGTCCTCCAACGTCTTGCCACTGTAAATCTTTGACTCCTTGATGATGGTCAGCTTCCTCCTGAACAGCTCAACATCCTCGCTGTGTGCCTGACTAGCTGTATCATTATCTGTGTTCTTATCATGTTGTTGTTGTTGTTGATCTTGAGGTAGATCATGATCTGATTCAATCTGTGGTTGATCAGTTGGTGATGCTGTTGTTGTTGAGGATGATGCTGATGGTGCTTGTTGTATCTCGGAGGATGGTGAGGTATTAGGTACTTGTAGATATTGTGAAGATGAAGGTGCAGTTGGAGGAGGCTTGACACTCTTCTTGGAGCTATCAGTGACACATGATGACATTGATGATGATCTTGAGAGCAGATCGAATGATACCCTGTCACTGACTACCAACACCTCTGACAGGATATCAACGGCCTGAGGCAGATTGCAAAGGAACCATATTCCTTGATATATCAAGAACTCTGAGAAGTCATGAAGACTAATCTCCTCCTTCTTGAATAGATTGTACAGACTGTGAAGCTCTTCTCTTGCGACTGATCGTTAGAAATGAGAATGAGAATGAGAATGAATGAATGATCCAGTGAGAGAGTGGCATGAGGTACGAGTGATGTTAGTGAGTGTCAATATAAGGTTGAGCAAGTTATAACATACAGTAAGTCTTCTTATACAAGTGATCCTCCACCATTGTGGAGTTAGACCTCTTCCTCGGCTTCTTGAGGAGGGGAGGAGTGAAAGAGTGAAGGGATGCCTTCATGCTATTTACATTCTTGCTGAGACTATGTGATAGTCTCTGGCGAGGACTCTGATACTTTAGATTGTTGACGGCAGACCCGCCCAGTGCAGTGTTTGATGTGGATGTTGTGCTGTTGCTGATGCCATTGCTGCCGCTTAGATTGCTGCTGCTGCCAATGTCGTCGTTTGAATGGTTGATGGCAGAGTCGGTGAAAGATGTGAGGTTTGAAGCGTCCAGACGGGACACTCTTGCAAACGTGAAGTTGTCGGCGGTGGCCGTACTGATGTTGCTATCGTTGTAGCTTGGGTTGCTTATGGTCGAGTCTTCGTCGTAACTGTCGTCCGAGTCGTCGTCCGAGTCGTCGTCCGAATCGTATTCGTACTCATAGTCATACTCATACTCAAAGTCTTGAAGATGAAGTGATTCAATGTGATCGTACAGTGCTTCAATCGTCTGATCCTGTGGTTGTATTGACGGTGATGGTGGTTGTTGTTCTCGTATATTATCATTTCTATTGTTGTTATTGATATTGTTGTTGTTGTTGTTGCCGTTGTTGTTGATATCGCTATCACCCGAGCTATTGATTCTATGCTTATCCTTCTTTCGTCGGTGCCGCTGTTCCAAGCTCATAAACTTCTTTCGCAGCTTCTGTTGTTGTTGCTCCAGTTGCAACTGAAGTCGCTTCTTAATAGTGAAGTGATCGTCATCCTCTGATGACTCCATTGATCCTGCTGCTGCCGCTGCCGCTGCCTTTGCAGATTTTGATGCTGGAGATATATATATATATATAGGTTAGTAACTGTACATCAATGTTGATTGTATGATTGATGGTGATAAAGTAGGAAGGGACAAAAATGGGTGGATTTCATTGATTGATTGATTGATCAAGTGTGTGAATGGAGTGAGTGAGTGCTCAAGGCATACGTAAAATATGTAGTGCTCTGAGTATTGCTGTCATTGGTGCTGAGGGTGACTGTGCTGTTATTGAGCCTTCTGATGACACTACTGCTGCCGCTGCCGCTGTGGCAGCTGTCGCTGCCGCTGGTACCCTTGCTCTGCTACTACTGCTGCTGTTGGTATTTTCTAAATATTTACTTTGGACAATCATGTAATAATACTAATAATAATAATTCTAATATTGTTGTTGTTGTATGTCGTAATATTTGAAGTGTAGTTGTGATGTAACATTGACATAAACAGATATATTATTATATGTGTGAAGGTATTGGATTCTAACAAGTTGCTACTTTAATATAATGTGTATATAATGTGTATGAATGAAGATGATTATTATTAAACACACAGGGCAGTCTCTTCAATTGAAAGATTGTGCTATCTTATAAGTCAAACAATAATCTTAGTAGTAGTACTAACTTTAAAGGGAAGGGTATGTTCACAACATTGACTGGTCGCTATCATTATGATGTGATACGCTGCGAGACAACCACAACATCCACAACAACCACAACGATAATAATAATAATATACAAATGCAGAAAAGACTGAATTACACACGTATACATATAAAGTAAAGAGAATGGTGCAGGTACGAACTCAAGAATGAACTCATGCAAGTAGAATCTCTTGTTTCGGTGTGCGTGCGAAAGGTGGTCATTCATTGGTCAACCCATCCCAATGAGACAGCGATGTTTGTTTGTTCGTGGTGATGTGTGTGTGGGGGGGGGGGATGACATCGATGAGGATGATGAGAGATGGATGAAAGGATGAATGGATGGATGCTGTCCATTCTGGAATGTGTGAATAAATGATTCGTACTTTAAAAGGAGATTATAATATTAAAAGTTGTTTCTCTTCTTCTTCTTATTTCTTTAGGTTTACAGGAAGGACCAGAGGTCTCTAGATTGCTAAAAGGTTGTTATTTCTGTAATCTGTTATCTAATAATGATCAAAGTTGTTATTTATACAAGGTGAGATATATATATCTAATTTAGAGAGATAGAGATAGAGATAATAGGATAAATATGGATTGTTGTGATTAAATGTTAACGAATGAATGTTCGTTGTAGTTAATTATGGTGTTTGTTTTTGGTAGTTGTTGTTGTAGATGTTTGACTCACCAAACAAGTGTTTGTGTAATTGCATCGGATTGGGGGATCAACCACGCACGATGGGCCTTCAGAGAATGAAAGGTCAGACTCCCTCTTTGTTTGAAAAAGTGATCTTTTTTTATTTTGAAAGTAATCGATGTTTGCACTGATGGCACTCAAACATTTAAAATAAAGTGGAAAGGTTGATTGATTGATTGATTAAGTGCGAGAGTATAATAATAATAATTATTTATTTAATTTATATTCCAATGTTAACTCGTAGGAACATTGTTGACAAAGTTGGTGATGAACTGGATGATGAAGATGAAGAATTTACAATGACATTTACAAGACATAGATGTTCTTGATCCAGAGGTGAGCTGGTGAATCGGAGCGGGCAATGTAACCAAAGTTGAAGGAGTAGCCGGCAGCAAGACTGACTTGGTACGATGGGAACATGATGTCACCATTTGGCAGACGGTTGACATTCCAGAGATCGGTACCAGTGAATGGAAGCTCAGCACCATCAATCAGGACATCCTTAATGGCAACTGGTCCGATGTTCTTCACAGTGACAGAGACCTGGACAAAGTCAATACCATCCTGCTTCCAGCGGTTGACTACATCCTGGATCAAGGCAACACGTTCACCACATCCATCTATTTGATTGATTATTAGATTAAGTTAGTATTAGGACGGGTGAGTGGGATAGTTCCAAGGCGGATACATACTGGAACATGATGGGTAGGGTGGGATACCCTTCAGACAGGTCCAGTAACGGTCACATGCGTTGGTACCACAGTTGTAGTAGGCAGAGGTCATGGACAGGAGGGAGAGAAGAAGCAATAAGATAATGGACTTCATTTTAGATGATAATATAGTAGTTAAATAGTGAGTTTAAGACTTTAATACTTATAAGTATTGATTGTTAATTGATTTGATTGATGATGTTAATAAGAGTGTAGCTACTGGCTATTTATAATGAAATTTCCATCGTATCCAAATGGATGTATGGATAGATGTGACAAGTATTGACATGACTTGACAGGACATGACATGACTAGTATAGCACGGTTCGTCAATGGAGAGGTGCACCCGACATACGAACAACGGGCATCGTATATCTAATGATTGACAGTGCAGTTGGATACACAGACAAGCATGTCAACAGATGCTGCTATCTACTTCAAAGTGTCACTCACCATTGTTTGTTATAAAACAGGAGCATAGAAGTTAGAGTAGGTGATAGAGTGTGTGTGTGTATGGGTGTGATTGTGATTGATTGTCTTTGGACTGGACACGAGTGTGATGGATAGTGGTGTGTGGTGGTATGTATACATTCATCCAATCAATGTGTTCAAATGAAGTTGATGGAGTGAAGTAGATTGATATTGTTTAAAGATGCCCAAGAGTCAGACAGTCAATGGATGGTGAACAACAACAATACTTACTTACTTATATACGTATGTGATTGATGTCTATGACAGGCGAGAGTGACATGCATGTCCACATAGAGTCAGCGTCATGATGTTATTACTTACTTCAACACACTCATTCACTCACTGGTTCATTGAACCAACCTTTATACAAGTAGTATATAATAAGTAATGTTGTTGTTGGTTTGTGTGTGTATTATAGTTACCAATATTAGAGCTCTATCTAAGTAATTCAAAGTGTCCAACTTTATTGATTGATTGATTGGTTGAATCTGTGTTCAAACTGACTCTTTGAAAGTGTTGGCACCTCAATATTATATTGTATCACATTGTTAGGTTGTTGTTGTTGTTGTTGATGTCAAATGGATACAGATCATATCATCATCGACAACATAACAAATGTCTGAATATGAATAGACCTGGATGTGTTTGTACTTGGCGAATACGATGGTTAGAGCCAAAATATTTGACTAAATAATCTGAGTATACTTTGGTGATTCATAATGTAAGTTCCAAGGTATACTCTGTCTATCTGGTTGGTGCCAAGCTCACCATTTCAAGTGCCACCATTAATCCACTATTTAGTAATGTTTGTCAATGTGAAGACAGTCTTGAGAACAGAGCTTGATAAGCTACTTCATGTGCTACTAAGTTTAAGTTCTAGGCCTACTAAGTATAAGTTCCAGGGCCCCTACAAGCATCAACCATGACTCCAGTGACTGTCCTCTATTTATTTGTATCCAAACAAAAAGTTTATTTGAAATAATATAATTATTATGGGTTTTGTTGCATGATCATCTTAGTTTGTTCAACATTTGCAACATTATTTATTATTGTTAACACATACTTAAAATAGATATTGATAGATAATAACATGAGTAGTACAGGTAGTTCATCATCATCATCATCATCTATACCAAAGCCAAAGGTGTCGGGATTACCGACATCATCATCTTCATCATCAACAAAGAAGACTGGTCTATCAAGTGCGTCAGTAGAGAGTGCCACTACTACAACAAGTGGTAGCAGTACAACAACAAAGAAATCAACATCTACTATATCATCTATACTGAGCACACCTACAAAGACAAGACCAACAACAACAACATCAACTACATCAACATCATCAACTTTGAAGAGTCCGTTGCTTAGTGCAGCTGCCACAACTTCATTGTCAAGTACATTCCCAGGACCAGCCACAAAGAAAACAACATCATCATCTGCTACAACTCCCACTCTGAGTGGCACTTTGCCAAGCAGTACCAAGTCATTGACATCTACATCATCATCTTCCAAAGACCCAAAGAAGACTACATCAACAACATCAACTACATCAACATCATCCACTTCATCAACACCAAAGACAACAATAACAAAGTCAACATCAWTCATTGAGCTCGATTACTACCAAACCTAGATCTACTTCAATAACAGGCTCAAGTGGATCAAGTGGATCGGGATCAGGATCAACAGGTACATCAACAAGTACATCGACAACAGGTAGACATCAAAAGTCTCTCTCATCGAATGATACTACATTGCCAACAACACTTCTAAAGTCAAGATCAGATGTCAGCTCACTTCGACCAAAGTCAACATTGACTTCACAGCTTGCCTCTGGTGGTTCATCATCAACAAAGTCCACCACCTCCACATCAACTACATCCACATCAACCTCATCTAACTCAACTACATCTGCTGCTGCCGACTCACATCTACCAATCACATCCACCACCTCCACAACAACAACATCGACCAACTCTTCACTAAAGACTCCATCAAAGTCTAGCCTATCGCTCTCATCGGGTGCGATACCAATGCCATCACTTCATATCCCAGCATCAACATCAGATACATCGACCTCGACAGGAGGCTCCAAGTCATTGTCAACGACGCCAAGGACTGGATCACCATCGGAGCCATTGCCCCACCCAAGCGGCCACTCATCCACATCGACAATCGCCTCATCGGCCACGGGTTCATCATCAACCACCACCACTTCATCGACATCCACCTCATCCTCATCATCGACCACATCTAAACTCCCAGCATCTTCACGTACATCACATTTGTCCACACCAAAGAAGCCTGTTGGTACCAGCTCAACATCGTCATCATCCTCAACGACTGGAACACCTTCGGGACTCAGACCCGCAGCTGCAAGGCCCCGTATCTCCGATGCAGGTTCAAAGCCCAACGATCCAACCGTCACCATCCGCGCCCTTCAACGTGAGCGTGAGGAGTTGATGAACAAGCTCCACGATCTGACGAACAAGTCAGCCGAGAAAGACCTGCTCATCGTACATCTAAGCGACAGTGTCGAGAAGCTCAAGCTGGACCTCAAGACGGTGACGCACGAGCGTGACACCCACAAGCAACGTGCAGCACGCTTGGAGAGCGACAGGCTACATTTGGAAGAGCAGGAGAGCGACAGGTTGAAGCAGCGTCTCGAGGACACCGAGGGCAAGCTCGACTTTATGACCGAGAAGTATGGTCAGCTGCTACAGCGCTACCAGGGTATCCTTGGCTCTGTTGACAACAGCGTGCACACATTCAAAGGATTCATGGGTCAGACCAGTCAAGACTACAAGGAGAAGGAGAAAGAGAACACTATGCTCAAGAAGCATATCCTTGATCTACAGGCTATCGTTGTGAGTCTGGGAGGATCATGTCCAGAGTCGACTGTACCCCTTGGAGGTGGAGGACATAAGCATCCAAACAACAATGGCGACAACCATCATATCAACAACAACTCGAACTCATCTGGCACCAACAACATCAACAACAACAACAAACATGTAACATTATCATCAACAACACCAACATTAGCAAATGGAAAGACGACAACGACAGACATTGGCAGTGGCGGCAGACACAACAACAACAGCGTACACTCATTGCCAAGCTAATTTAACTTAACATAATGTATTAAGCCGATCAATCACACTTTATAGTGTTAGTTGGCAGCACAGTCCCAAAGTGATGAACAAGAACAACGTCGTCATCAATAAACGTGTTTAAGTTGGTCCTGATGCCGTCGTGGCCACTATTATCGCCCTTCTTTAGACAAACATGACACAATGCAAAGAAACCAGCAGTTCCTACGATGAGGAGCCGAGCCCGCCAGAGTTCGAGCAGGTTCCAACACCACGACGTCGAAAGATGAGCTAAAGAAGCAAACCAACTTGAGTGTAGTCCTTCCATAGATTATTATTAGAGTCGCCATGATGGACAATGATGATGACCACCTCTCTCGATATTTTTTAGAATGTTGTGATCACTTTTCAGTGCACTGGGAGTGGGAAGTATTGGAGTGTGATCGATCATCCCCCACCACCCCTCATCCACACTCACCACACCATCACCTGCCAACAACCAACCTTAGTTGTCATGATTCAAAACCATCCAATCATTCATTCATTCAGTCAGTCTTTTAAACTTACTATCTTATATACTTATATTTGTACAAAGTGTAATGGAAGAATGATGATGAACAACAGATCATCAACTACTTCAATACAGCAACTGATGCTGCTACTCGTTGTGGTAGTAGCCACTATCATGGTAGTTGTGGTGCCAACGATGGCACAGATACCAAACTACCCCACGATTACAGTCGATAAACAGGTCTTTACTCAATCGACAGTCATCGTCTCAGTCCTGCTCAACCATCTTACAAACGATCTCACTCTTCAGCTAACGAGTGAGCCTGTCCCACCCCAGTCATCAGTCGTCGCCTCTGGTGCCTTTAGCGATGACATTGCAACCGTACGTAGCGCAAGCACTGGTCACGGCCGTCTTGGCATGCATGTCCTGGATGTACTAACCAACCACCACTCATGCTCACTCATCCTGGATCAATCACATCAATCCTGGAACTATCCCACTCACTCACCCAATCAAAGACTGGATGGTCAAGACTAAACATTACAACTCATCCAACTGTGTCGGATATTGACCAGGCATTCATTGGTGGATTCATTGAGGGAGTGGTGTCAGCACAGAGAATCAGCCAGATGTGGACAAACTACGCGAGCAACGAGTTTACCAACTCGACACCATCAAGCACACTCATCTCTTACATGTCCAGTCAGTTGCAGTGGGTGCGTCAGAGTATTGCCGCACCACACACCGCATCGCCCACTCAGGGCAGCATTAACGGCACAGTCTACTGGTACTCAGTCGGCCTCGTCATGGCTCAGTTCGACGGTCTCGTGGCCGGCTATGCAGCCGTGCCCGCATTGCCCGTGCTCAACGAGATGGACCTCTATCTGTTGACGTCGGCTGGCGACCTCGAGACTCTGAATGAGCTCTACGGCACTGCGCCAACGGGCCGCGCTCGCAAGCACATGATGACTGGCGACCGTGACGACGCTGACGCCATCGACTTCCTCGATTGCTCGGCGCTGATCCGTGTGCTGCCCAACAACCAGGACATCTACTTTGGCCACACAACCTGGCGTTACTTCTACGCCATGATGCGTGTTTACAAGACCTACACGTTTGCCTTCAAGAACTACGGCCTGGCCTCGTCCGTGTCGTTCTCCAGCTCGCCGGGCTTCCTCTCGAGCAAGGACGACTTTTATATCACAGGCAACGGACTGGCCGTCGCCGAGACGACCAACAGCATCTTCAACGACACACTCTACACGTACGTCATCCCCGAGACGCTTCTCGTGTGGCAGCGTGCCATCGTCTCCAACATGATCAGTCAGTCTCCACAAGTATGGGTACAACTCTTCCAGCAATTCAACAGTGGCACCTACAACAACCAATGGATGGTACTAGACTACAAGATGTTCACGCCAGGTACCGCACTGCCAGCCGGTTCATTCTTCATTCTCGAGCAGATCCCAGGTTTCTGCGAAGTGTAAGTTTGTCCTTAAGCTTGAGCCTTGGCCTGGGATCACATACTCACTCGCTCAATCAACATATAGTGCTGACATGACAGCCAACCTCAACAAGAATGGCTTCTGGCCATCGTACAATATACCATACTCTGAGTATGTGTATAACATCAGTGGTTATAATGAGATGTTTGAGAAGTATGGCAACTCTTATAGTTATGAGAACTGTCCTCGTGCACAGATCTTCAATCGCAATGCCACCTCCATCACAGACTTTGCCGAGATGCAGTCCATCATGCAGTTCAACAACTACCAGAAGGATCCACTCTCGCTTGGCTCGCCCATGAACTCCATTTCATCGCGTGCCGATCTTCTCTCATCATCACCAGTTGGATTCGGTGGAGTTGATTCCAAGTAAGTACTAATCACACTGGTCACTCATTCAACTCACTCACACGTCAATCAATCATTATTAGGATCACATCATTCAAACTGGCACAGACATTGTCTTGCTCTGCCATCTCTGGACCAACACACCAGGGCCAGCCACCATTCAGATTCTCGGCCAATCCATCATTCAACAACGCCAGCCATGTTGGTCTACCTGATGTCTGGGACTTTGGTTGGGTTGACTTTTAAAATTCAACCATCCGCAGTCCAAACCGACTGATTGATTGACGACCGAACCAAAACCAATCATTCAAATTTKGATTGATTGATCAATATCTATATATTATTATTATTTTKGGAATACACTTATCATCTATATTTAGGCCTTCTGTAATAGTTTGGTGCTTTGCCCAATTGATGGGGGCTTGATTGTTGCGGTTGTGGGGCAAAAGTGATCAGTGTTTCGGGTGGGGTTATGGCGATCAATCAATGCAAATCAGGAATTCGAAACAATATCTTTGAATGTGATTGGTTGGTTAGTAAAAGATGAGTATTTACTCTTGTTAATAATCTTACATATACATACATCACATTTTTATCAAACAATCAAACAAATAATATGGTACTCCAATCATTATCTCATCTGGTTTTGCGAATCATCTTTGAGAGCTTGGATGACGCTGATGTTGTTTGCTTGCTCTTGACTTGCCAACAACTATATGGCCATAGGAAATCAGTGGCAGTGTTTAGTAATAATCAGAACCATACCAGTCATACACAAAGAGTGATCAGAAGTTATTATCGTCTGATGCCAATATTCAGTCATGTTAGACTGCCCCATCAACCTCATCATCCATCACCACAACCATCGGTAATCATCAACACGGTGAGTGTGATCAAGACCGATCTAAGTGTTGTAAACACGGCCGACTTCTCATCAATTCCATCGACATGCACATCATTGCTGTTTGGCAAGTTGTTCAATCAATTGATTGTGCCTGGTCACCTGACACATGCACACTCAATCACAAGCATACGCTTTGGCGAAGAGTTTGATCAAAAGATAGTGGTTGGCTCACTGCCCAACTCGCTCATACGTCTACAATTTGGTCGATCATTCGATCAACGACTGGAACATGGCTCGCTGCCCCCCTCCCTGCAATGCCTGCTGTTTGGCGACAAGTTAAGTGCCGATCGTCTGTACTCAAAGTTGGAGTTGGCCGCTATGCGACGTGTTACTGGCTCGTCCAAGCTGCCCTTTCCCCTTCCCCGCAACAATCGATTCAACGAGCCACTCTCGCCAGGCGTCCTGCCCCAATCACTCACAAAGTTACACTTTGGATATGGTTTTGATCAGGATCTCAAGGATGGAGTGCTTCCAGACTCAATCGAGACATTATACTTTGGATCTGGATTCAGGAGGATCCAGGATCGCGACGCTTTACCCCGATCACTCACCAAGCTCTACCTTGGCTCGTTGTTTGAACAACATCTTGAACGACAGGTCTTGCCACTGGGCCTCAAAACACTCATGTTTGGGGCGTTGTACGCATCCATCATCAATCCTGGAGATATCCCATCATCAGTCACTATATTGAGAATGAGCGAGAGGTACGAGTTACAGATTGATCGAAACGTGTTGCCTGAATCACTTAGAATCCTATCTTTTGGACAGAAGCCACACCTTCTGCCAGTGGACCTGGCCGCGCAGGCTCCACACCTTCACACACTTGTCGTCAGTAACAAGTTCAATCATCCACTGTCCATTGGAGCACTGCCTCAGCGACTGGTGCGTCTATCACTGGGGAGCAAGTTTGATCAGCCACTTGATGCCAACGTACTTCCACCAACACTGGAGCAACTCTCACTGGACTATCATTATCGCCATCCTTTCGTCAGTGGCTCACTACCTTTGTCACTGAAGAACATTGAGTTCCATGCACCCAAGTTCACCGAGCCCACAGCAAGACTGGTACCAATATTGATTGATGAATGTGTCCCATCCAGTTTGGAGTCGATAGACCTACATTGTGATGAGATATATTATACTGAGCTGATTAGATTTGGTCAGATACATTATCACTCGAGCATCAAGAATTGGAGAGTATATTGTAAGCGAGGCGTAGTCAATCTTCGACGACTTGATTCACAATTCATACTTGTAATGAATGAACGATTGCTTGAAGGTCACATCTGCCACATGAAAGACCTACCATATGTAATACCAGTAGCGCCACTCCCTGGAAGATGGATACCCAAGTCTCAACGATGTGAATAAACCCTATTGTTGGCAGCCAGTCAAAGATTGTTGAACAAATGGGGAGTCCCAATTCAAATGGAATGGATTGGATCAAGTGCCACTTTGATCATTAGATCAGAGTGAGATATTAGTATAGTAGTTTGTTTGATTTAAATAAATATATACTATTTATGTATCTATATCTACAAACTAGTTAGATTAGGGCAAGGGTAAGGGTTGAAGTGATCCATTCGTCTTGACCTCCCTCTCTTTCTTTCAGAATTTATTTTATTTTTATTTATTTTGAAGTTTTTGGTTGGTTTTTTTGTTGAACAACTTCTCTCTCTCACTCTAGCTAGCTCACTCAACTCATCTTTGTGTTCTTGAACTTAACTTGCAACTCACTCACTCAATAACAATACTAAACTTAATATTCTTTATTGACATCATTCATTATCATTGTTGTGTGTGGCTACATATATACCATACCAATCAATCATATCAATCGAGTCAGTCAAGGTTTCAGAGAAGCATCGTCATCACATAAACAAAGAAAAAAGAGGACGGAAGGAAGTCACCTATCATCGCACCACCTGGATAGTTCATTCCCATTCATTCATTCATTCATTCAATCAAACAAACACAATTGCAGTCAATCAAAGGGTCATCATTCATTATCGTTTGAACAACAACAACAAGAAGCAACAACAACAACAGCAGAAGCCTGTGTGTGAAGTGATATAGATAGAGAAAAGAAAAAAGAGTTATAAACAACTGTTGTAGAGTTTGAAGAGAACACCAACAACAATATAACAACGACAACAAGATGTCAGACGAAGATGAAGAGAACTTATGTCCTCTCTGTGTCAATAATATGTCAAAGGACGACAGAAAGTTTAAGCCTTGTCCTTGTGGATATCAGGTAGGTTTGAAGATCATCGATTGATTGAACGAACTTGAACAAGTACTCATTCATATACACTCATTCATTTAATCATTAGATATGTGTATTCTGTTTAGAACGTATCAATGACACAGACAAGAGATGTCCAGCATGTCGTAAGCCTTATGATGCAGAGCACTACTCCTATCTGTCCGACTCGGAGGAGGAGGAAGAGGAGGAGAGTGAGGACGAGCGAAGAGGCCGCAGCGGCAGCTATAGATACAAGTCATCGAATCAATTGCAATCGAGCACATCGAGCTCAGGATCTGGTGCAACAAACTCACTCGATCCCAAGAGGCAACTCAACACCGTCAGGGTGATACAGCGCAACCTAGTCTACGTCACCAACCTAGCACTAAGTGTTGCCAAGCCAGAGGTATGTTGTACTCACCTTCATTCATTGATTGATTGATTGATTGAATGAATGACTAACTAACTCTTTGTTGATGTGATCATAGACCCTGAAGAAGAACGAATACTTTGGTCAGTACGGCAAGATAATGAAGGTCGTCATCAATAAGAATCATATATACAACGTCAACTCGCCTCATGGCGCATGTGTCAGCGCCTACATCACATATCAGAGGAAAGAGGACGCCTCGACCGCTATTCAAGCGATCGATGGTCTCACAATTGAGGGCCGAACCTTGAGGGCCTCGTTCGGAACAACAAAGTACTGTTCATATTTCCTTCGCAAGCTTACGTGTAATAATCCCGATTGCATGTATCTCCATGAGTGGGGACAGGAGGACGACAGCTATTCTAAAGAGGACATTGCTGGACTAAGGTATGTATCAACAGACGTACGAACGTGTCGTACATCATTGTCATTGATTGTGCCGACCAACAACACTAACAACGTGCGCGTGCAGCAAACAACATCACAGTCATGCAGAAGCCAACCAAACTACATCGACTCCATCCCTGTCTACGTCCACTCAATCCACAACATCAAGTTATAAGTATGTTTGTTCAGGGTCACTCAATCAATCAATCAACGATCACTTACTTACTCACTCACTCAATCACTCGATCACTCGCACATACAATAACAAAGGAAACCACTTACAACTTCAACGCCTGGATGGAAAGAGTCGTCTTCTTCCGTGCCATTATCATCGACACCTCCCGCCAACTCTTTAAATTCTTCGAGTTCCACTCTTCCGACTGTAAGTACTCTTATACCGTCATGATACTTGTGCACAATGTTAACTCATTGCTGACAATGACTTAGAAAACATGGAATATCACCAATAGTTCGTCATCGACGACACTGAATCCACTGGAGTGGCCATCGGCGGCAGATTCGCTTACAATGACCTCATCATCGTCGCCCCCACCACCACCTCTGAACAAGTCGCAGGAGCGAGTGCTGCCAGTGACTGCATCCTGGGGCTCAGGAGTCAAGGCGTCCAGACAGATCAGCTCGTCCGAACCCAGCGAGGTGCCCGAGCAACAGCCCTTCCCACCCCTGTCCTCATCATTTACAAATATACCAATCACCGTGGTCACGCCCAAGACAAAGAAGGATAAGAGTGCCGCCGCCCAACTCAACACCTCCTCGCCAGTCCAATCAACTACTCTACAGCAACAACAGCAGCAACAGCAACAACAACAGTTACAGCAACAAAAGGAGAGAGAGCAACGCGAGAGAGAGCAACAGCAACAACGTGAGAAGGAGCAACGTGAAAAGGAACAGCGTGAGCGTGAGATGCAACTGGAGAGGGAGCAACAAGAGAGAGAGCAACGCGAGAAGGAACAGCGTGAGAAGGAGCAGAGAGAGAAGGAACAACGCGAGAAGGAACAGCGCGAAAAGGAACAGCGTGAGAAGGAGCAACGTGAGAAGGAGCAACGTGAGAAGGAGCAGAGAGAGAAGGAGCAGCGCGAAAAGGAGCAGCGTGAGAAGGAGCAGAGAGAAAATGAACAACGCGAGTTGGAAGAGAAGATGGCAAAGGAGAAGCAGAAGCAGCAACAAAGACAACAACAAGCTGCCACCGCACAAAAGTCAAAGACCATATCGATCGACAACAAGTATGTCAATGGCGGCGAGCCGATCGCTAGCTGGGAGGGCCTGATCCCCGACGACCAGCAGTCCGACGTCAGCTTTGACTGGCTCCCACTCAAGGGCAACAGCCCACAGTCGTCCAAGATGATCGACCTCCTCATCTCGGAGCAGCAGCGCTCGGAGCAGCGCAGGAAGACATCGCGCTTCGGCTTTGCCAAGGACAAGGAGAGCAGCACCGGCGGCATTGGCAGCGGCAGCACCGGTGGCTTCCCGGTCTCCAACATGCCCACGTCACCTGTGATCACACCCGACTCGTTCCTGTCGTTCAAGAGCGACTCTGTTACCCCACCCGCCCACCACCTGCTTGGTAGCAACAACAACAATCCGATATACAACTTTAGCAACAACGATGGCTCCAACGAATCGTTTATGAACGCTGGCCACTTCACCCCGATGCCAGGCGACATGAACAACCTGCACCTCGGCAACTCTGCCTCCAACACGCCGATTTCCAACATGAACAACAACAACTCGATCGAAGACTCACAGCAGTTGTTCCGTTCGTTGTTCCCCTCGATCAACATCAAGTTCTCACAAAACAGCAACAACAACATGCAACAGCAACAGCTACAGCAGTCCAACGAATCCAAGGCCATGTTCCAACAACAGGACCCCTCCTCTGGCCTCGAGCAATATAGCAATTGGAAGCCTCCTGGATTTGGTCCCAACCTGCGCAAGTCTGGCACAACCGGCACCGTTTCCCCGCCACCAGGATTCGTCAACATGCCCCCTGGCCTTGGCATTGGCATGGACATCCCCAAGCCCCCACCTGGCTTCCTTTCGACGCCGCCACCCCCAGGCTTCATGGGCCAGACCCCGCCTCCAGGCTTCTCCACACTCCTGAAACCACCTGCCGTCGTCGAGGACGATCTCGACTCGCTGGACAAGAAGGACAAGAAGAAGGATGTGCGAAAGGTTAAGAAGGACAAGCTGAGGTCAGAGATGGACATGACGGAGCTTCAGCAACAACAGCAGCAACAGCAGCAACAGCAGCAGCAACAACAGTTACAACAACATCAGCAACAACAACAGCAACAGCAACTCCAACAACTACAACATCAACAACTGTTACAAATGCAACTTTTACAACAACAACAACAGCAGCAGCAACATCCCAACCTCCACCTTTTACTCCAACAGCAGCAACAACAGCAGCAGCAGCAACAGCAGCCAGTCAAGCGCGTCGAGGACCTCTTCCTGAACCTTGGATTGCAGCCCAACCAAGCCAACCCGATGGGCGCTGCTGGCCCTGTGCCCCTTTTCAACCCGTATCTGATGCAACCGCCTCACATTAAACAACCGCCACCTCAACAACAACAGCAACAACAACAACAACAACCTCCGATGCCACTCCCCTTCCCCTACACCTTTTCCAACAGCTTTCCCCACCTCGGCGCCCCACTGCCACCCAGCAATAGTGTTCCACCTCCAGGCATACCCTTTAACTTATTAAACCAACAACAACAACAGCAACAACTTCAACAACTACAACAGCAGCAGCAACAGAAGCAACAACTGAACAACTCCAATCCCAACATCAACAAGACAAGCTTTGTCGACTTTTTCAACCAGTTTGATCAGCAGCAGCAACAACAACTGTTGCAGCAGCAGCAGCAACATCAGCAACAGCAGCAGCAGCCACAACAACAACAACAACAGGTTGGATATGCGTCGGCCATCAAGGGTAGCGCAGAGGCACTGGAGCAACAGATTGCCAATGCCACCAAGGAGTTGAAAGATATGGACAATGCCTGGCAACAAACAAAACTTAGAAACAACAACAGTCAAGCCTATTACCGATAGGACACACATACGCTCGTATACACACATGGGTCTGGCTGGCTGTCGACATTGCTGATTTCAAATGATTGATTGATTGGATGTATGGATGGATGGACGACACACTATCCACCATCATCATCATCGTTATCATCAACATCAGCATCAACATCATACACACACACCAACTCATACTCATACATCAATCCAACTTACTACTACTACTACACATACATACAACCCAATCCAAGATATAGAACACCTAATAAACACCTTATAGATAAACATCCATCATTGTTCTCTCCATCCACATTATTATTATTAATAATAATTAGATATTGGTTGGCAAGTCTTCAGATTCAATGAACATCAACACGAAGTGTGCTGGATGATGATCGATTGATTGTATTATCTCCAGAATTATTATTATAATTCTACTTATTATTATTATTATTATTATTATTATTCTTTATTGATACCAGTAATAATGATAAGATGCTCGGCTACACAACTTCATCACCAATCGATCAATCTCTGTATTCACACTCCTCCCCGATTGTTCGGCATTAATCTTACAACACCACATATTTAATTATGTTGATCATGGTGATGACGTTGGCTGGATAGGCAGACAATTAACTTTGATTGATTGATTGATTGATTGATTGTTCCAGACGAATGTGATGTCACCAACACACTCAAAGTGTCAATTAAAACACACATTTAGATCACTCATACACGTGATCACTTCACTTCGCACACACTCAGCCAATCACTACGCCCCACACTCTAGAAATGTGATCAGTAATTAGGACATCAGGATATGTCACAAGACAATGTGAAAGGTTGTGCAAATGAACTATACTACATCCTCCCTTATATTTAGTTCTTTGTCGGCCGTATTGATCATTACTCTTGATTGATTGATTGATTGTATACACATACATACATACCAATTTGATAAGGATGGAATCCAATGATGTATTCTTGATGTCCATCTTATATCGCCAGACTCGCTAATATGGGCACTTGTCAATCAATCAATAAGTGAGTATATATGTCTGTGTTGGAGCTGTATTGCACTTCGTACATCTAATCAATCATTAATTATTGATAGACATCCAATCAATCATTATCAATAATATCCAATCAAACATATAATTATCTGGATAATTAATAATAATAATTTGAAGAATGAATAATAATATATCATCCTGTTGTCTATTATTAGTATTGTTAATAGCATGTAGCACTATTATGGTGACTGCTGAGCTTGATGGCTCAGCCACCTACTACCTATACACAAAGACCAAGTCCAAATGTTCAGATGATTCCAAGACATGCGCAAGGTACTTCTTCCGAGAGCTCAACTCCGTGCTGGACTGGATCCCCGTCATCAACATCGAATATGAAGCGCGTCTCAACTCATCGCTAGTGGCCAGTGCCGCGGACAAGACAGTGATCGCGCTCGGATTCTTTAAAGAGATGAGTATCGGTGGCGACCCATTCCGATCGTTCAAGATGATCCACGCCTTTAGATTGATGCCACAGATTGCAAACTCCACCATTCCTCCCGACACTGGCGTGTTCTTCACGATGACTGGTGGCGAGTCGCCGGGCTCCAAGTGCAAGAACTGTTACGCGGGCACACAGCTCAACAGCAAGACCAACACAGTGTCCTACGTCAACGTGACCAACCCTTACGACAAGATTGCCACTCTGGACAAGACGTGGCTCGAGTTCACCTTGACGCAGGGTCTGCCCATGACATCGGTGCTAAGCATTGGCCAGGACAAGAAGACCAAGAGGAACATCTTGCTCGGTATCTATATCAATGTGCAGGATCCGGACCAGCCATGCCAGAACAATGACCCGGTGTATTGTCCAGATGGTGAGATGGCAGTGTTCCATCGTGATCCAAGGAGATGCTACGTCAGTGACAAATGTGTCAAGGCTGGCAAGTGTGCCAAGGCTACCACCGCCAAATGTCCGACCAACTACCGTCTCACCAGCTTCCCAGCCCTGCCAGATGGTTGTCTCAAGCACTTTTGTGAGCCCAACTTCTTGGTCAAGACTGCATACAAAGTACTAAATCATTAATGATCATCGCGACCCCCGTCCTCTCTCACTCTCTGACACTCTAAACATGTACTTACTTGTATAACCTATTAATAAATATCTATTCTTTCTTTGTGTACTTTTATACACAAAGTGAATGAATGAATGGATGAATGATTGGTGCACCAAAACAAGTGGGTTGTGTTTCGAACGAATGGTCACCTGACTTTGTCATCTTTGCCAAAGACCCAGATTCTCAAGACAAGATTAACTTGAATGTTGAGCCAAACTAAAATACTTTGGTCAATCTTATTGTTGTTGACTCATTCACATCATAACTATTAGTGTATATATTTATATAATAGATATATAGTTAGATATATATATATAGATAGGATGGATGAACGAACACACTTACTGAAAGGTGTTACGTCAATCGATAAATATGATCCATTACAATATAACAGTAATAGTAATGATGATGATCCATTAGCAGTAGCATCATCATCTACAAATAATGTAAACGATGATACATTTAATTATGATACTATGATGACGACTACGACTACTACAACAACAACAACATCGACATATAATGCATTACAAGACAATGATATTGGAACATCAAGTAGTATTATACAACAACAACAATATGATCAATCATCACCATTATCAAGCTCACAAGAAATATCGAATTACCCTGCAGACCCAACAATAAGCGAAGGATTGGAGGCGTATGTTCACCTACTCTTTAGTCCATGTCCCAATCACAATCAATCACTAACTCCATACTCACTTATTCAATCAATCAATGACAGTACATATTGGTTGATGAAGAAGAGACAATGGTCAAGACTACGAAGAGGAACATTCTCAAACGAAAAGAGAGGCTTCTCATTGCCATGGTTGATACTCTTCCTTGTACTATACAGCGCATATCTATGTCTTCAGTTGTTTGAGTTTGACAGAGTACAGGTATGTCTTTGGATCATTCAATCATTCAATCATTCAATCGATTGATCAATCACTAACCTCAATGACGTATCCTAGGGCTTCATATTGGAGTTCATATTGATGGGATTCATCTCTGTGTCAATGGGACTTATTGTACCGCGATTCACTTGGATTGTACGAACACTCTTCTTGGAGGCGTACGCTACACTCTATCTATTCTTCATCTTTGATCTGTACTACAAGAAACAGTACTACATTCCCCTGGTCATCCTGGGAGGCATTGCTTTGATCTTTACGATCGCCTGCTTCTTCATCTACCCTTTGATCCAGCAATGCATATTCAACATCACAGGCGCACTCACTGTGCACAAGGTCCGAGGCGAGGCCAATCGATACACGATCAACGAGCGCACTTGCTATGGCAGACAAACCACTTGCATTTACGAAGGACCGCTCGTGGATGGAATGCCAGAGGGCACGGGCACGTGGATGGACACCACCTACCAGGGCGAGCTATTGTCTGGCCTCTGGGAGAAGGGCATCCCGCTCGGACCCTTTGAAAGCATGGAGAATGACACTCGCTCACTACTAGTCAATCTCAGGATAGTGTATGGTACCAATGGAGGTGGCAAGACATGGCTGGACCGTGTGCCTCTGCACACTGGTGTGGCTGGTGTCGAGTGCTGTGTCTCTGGTCACTTCTTCAAGGGTTATCCCAAGGTGGACATGATCAAAGGACCAGACAATTGTCAATGTGGCAAGCAATGTACATGTATCCGTGCTCTGTTTGAGAACAGAAGTTATAGACATATAGATGATGATAAGACCATCGTAAGTACACACCCTTTGAAATGAGTCCATTCAATCAATCACTAACCATTCCTCCACTCAAAGACCTCTGTTGTAGTTTCAGTCGATAGGAAGCATGATACATTGGTGGTGTCAGGACATAAACCAAAGTTTGATGTAAGTTCAACATCCGTCATCATGATCAACTCGTGAATAAGAGTGACTCAACTCCTCCTCCATTCAATTCCTATCATTTCCTTTAGAAACAAACATCGATCACCATTGACCTCACCAGCTACAGACCAAAGAAGAGCCTAACATTTGATGAGAATTGGATATCCAGTCAATCGAATGAAGGTCTCCTATTCATCCACGGTTATGATCATGACCTCAAAGATGCCATAAAGAGGTATGTGATGGACACGATCAATCAATCAATCAATAATCTTACACTCACTCACCTTAATCAATCAATCAAACATAGATTCGCACAATTCCTTGCACTTGGACACTTCCCCAACTATCTGAAACCATTTGTATTCAATTGGCCATCGTCAACCAGCTCATTGTTGTATTGGTGCGCTCATTCAATTGCTTCGGACAATGACAATCACAGAGATCTCCAAAAGTTCATCGAGAGTTTGGGACATGCTGGCATACGCACGCTTCATGTCATGTGCCATAGTATGGGCTCAAGATTCTTCCTGCGATCATTCTCCAAGGTCAAGAAGGCGTTTGGAAAGCGCACTATGTTAAGTCCACGTGCAAGCATGGACAACACACCAGTACACAAGACACTCAAACAATCATCGCCAATGGACAAGAACAAAATATCACTCACCAACCTTATCCTACTCAATCCAGACTATGAGATTGAGACTTTCAAGAATGACTATGATGAGTTGAGAACTGTAAGTAACAAGTTTGTTGTCGATGTTGTCTCGTCAAGTGGACTGACAGACTGACTGACACGACCTACCTCTCCAGTATTGCTCCAACATCACTATTTATGCGGATCACAGGGACATGGCAATCAAGATGGCATTCAAGATGTTACAAAAACAGAACCTCGGTAACAATAGTATGTTGAACATTAATGATTGATTGATTGAATGGACATGACTAACTGACCTATCTATCAATAATATAAAGTCCGACCAATTAGTGATGTTAGAGGTTTACCATTGGATGTGGATATCGTGGACACTGGTGACTTAGATAGTAACATGTCAGAGAGACATCACTCATTCTTTAATATCAATAGGCTGATGGTGGATGACCTGCACGACCTCATCGTCACTGGCAAGCGAGCCGAGGAGCGCACTTCGCGACTTAAGAAGGTGCATGACGTCTACAGGTTCTCTATTCTCCCCTCTTCTGTAGTTGTTGTGTAACAAACTCATAGATATAGTTCTTCTTCTTTTGTTTGTACCGCAGACTACTGGTATATCTCAAGTCAACAGTGCGCCAAGCATACAAGTCTGTGTACCAGTCCTCTTGTGGATAGTTTGGCTCGGCCAGATCACAATCAAAGAATGTCGCCCATGGTCTTGTGTGATATATATCATTACAGCAATCCTATATTACAACAATAATATTAATTGTTAATACTACTTCTACAATCAATCAATCGAATAATACTTACTCCTGTACAATTCTGACCATGTGTTGCCATCACAAGTACACCAGATGATGATGAGTTCCAATCAATCGACAACAATGTTACGGACACTAATAATATACATGATACCAATACTCTTTGAGATATATAGTTATTCATTTAGTTAAAGTTTGGATTTACATTGATTGATAGTGTGATCATGTGATCCAGTGAGATAATGACCACACTCGGTCACACACTAACACTATCCAGGGTTAAGATCAGAGAGATCAGTGTTAGTGTTCCAGAGACTGACTGGTAAACTAAAAAATCTCTGTTTGTCCAACAACAATCACTTTGTCATCTTTTGAATGAACTAAACAAGATAGATACATAGTCTATGGATCGTCGATCACTCAATGTTCGTCATCCAAACAACACCTCATCACTATGGACACTCTTGATGGCTTGCATAATAGCATCATTGCTATTGATCATCATGCTCAATATCAATATGAACACTGGTGACACTCAACATTTTACCTCAACATCATCGACACCGACATCGACATCGACATCAAGCAAACAGCAACAACATCAACCTCAACATGAAGAACAAAGACTTGAAAGGAAAAGGATCAATGAACTTGAGAAGAATACTTTGTTCCAAAGAGTGCTTGATGAGGTGAATAGAGAGTCAAAGTTGGTATCACCATCCACTCAGTATGCAGCCATACCAATGAATGATCACTTGACACTCGATCCAATAATTGATCAATCATTGCTCAATGATACTACATGGAAGCTCAACTCAACTCTTAATCCATTCCTCCTTGGCAAACCATTGATCTTCATTCACATTCCAAAGACAGGTGGTACATCATTGGCCTTGCAATTCGAGCGCAATGAAGTCCGCGGCAAGTTCAGACATTACTGGTCACATCCAGCAATCGATGACCTAAGATCACTTGGAGACATTGATACAGTGTTTGGTCATGTTCGTTATGGTCTACACTTCTACTACCAATCACTCAAGAAGAAGCAGAATGGTTCAGCATCATCATTGAACTCTTACTCATATATGACCATGTTTAGGGAGCCTGTGGACAGAGTAGTATCACATTATTATTATCATCGACAATATGGACTTGCACTCAACTACACTCTTGACGAATGGATACGTCGGAGTCCAATGGCAAACAATGGACAAGCAAGAATACTATGTGGAACAGACGTATTTATATCCAATCATGAAAAAGACATTGAACAATGTGCATTGCATCACTTGAAGTAGTAAGTCAAGCCAACAAGTGATGACCATGGAATATACCACTGTCTAACTCATACAAGTTCATTCAAGTTCATAGGTATAACAGAGAGGTTCGCCGAGTCTTTGGCATTGCTTACTCATTACGCTGGGTTCCAGAGAGTTGAATATCAAAGGTCTAATCAAGGAAAGCAACGACCTCAATCACTTGATGGTATACCATTGGCAACGATAGAGGAGATCAAACAAAGGAATAGCATTGACATAATGCTTTACCAATTGGCGATGGAGATATTTGACCAACAAGTGGACGCAGTTGGAAGGTCATTCATTCAAAAGGAAGTTGAACAATTGGAAAGATCCCAAGACTTTGATTGAGCGAGCGAATGATTGAATATACAATAGAGTTGGTTCACATTTATTCTTTGATGTCTCCAATACCATCTCCATAGATGGCAAATTGCTTCTCGTCCTCTGGAAGATTGGGCGAGTCGTAGATCTTGCAGATTCTGTTCTCTCCTTTACCCTTGCGCAGTGATAGTCTGGTGGTGGAGGCGTGTGCAATGATGTGTCCACCGATTGGCTTGTTTGGGTTGGGATTGAACATGGCACCTCCATCGACTGATGCCACAACTTGGTTGGTGATGACGACGGCCACTCCAAACTCATCGGCCAAACGTTGAAGTGCTCTGAGGAAGCGAGCAAGATGTCTCTGACGATCGGACAGCTCACCTCTGCCACTGTAGTCGGTCCTGTACAATGATGTGGCACTGTCTACGATGAGCAGTACGTAGCGGGCCTCTGACATCATTGCTGAGGCTTGTATCAGCAGTTGCATTTGGTGATCAGAGTTGTAGGCACGGGCATAAGCGACATTGTCGAGCACGTGTTCACCATTGAGGTTGTATCGTTCGGCGATGGCCAGCAGTCTCTCGGGACGGAATGTTCCTTCGGTATCAATATACAGTGCACGTCCCTCGCCACCACCTTGCGTGAGGGACAGTTGACAAGTGACGCACAGTGTGTGGCAGATTTGCGTCTTGCCAGTTCTGAACTCTCCAAAGATCTCTGTGATTGAGCCAGTCTCGAAACCACCGTCTAGCAGACTGTCAAGCTCCTTTGAGCCCGTTCTGATTTGGATGATTTGCTTTCTCTGTGAGTTGAAGTCGGTGGCGCTGACAAAGCCCATTGGTACCAGCTTGGCAGCCTCAGCCAACAACTTGTCGGCCTTTGGCTCAGAGATGTTCTTGATGGCGCACAGTGTCTTCTTGGTGGAGAATGCGATGGCTTGGACGGTGTTGAGGCCTGCTTCGGCCAACTTCTTCAGATCGGCAGATGTAATACCATTGACTTCCAATTTAGACAATGGGATTGGTCCACCAGCGTCCTCCTCTTCCTCCTCTTGTTGTTCAGTTGCCTCAACATCAACAGCTTGTTCCTCCTCCTCATCTTCGCGTTGTCTTTGTCTTGATGCCATTATATTAATATATTATTGTTTGTGTGTGTGTATGTTGATTGAGATAATAATAAAGTAAACTCAAAATTTTGTGGGTATTTGATCCTCACCATGTCCACTTTTTACCGCGAAATCAACGATTTCGAAGAAACTCAAAACTCATAATCTTGAGCAAGGGCAAGGGTAAGGCAAGGATATTGCAATATCCTTGCATTTTAATGAAGACTTGTATGCCCTTTGATGTCATCCACGACTTGTTCAAACTCTTTGAAACTATTTACAATGTCTACTGCCTTTGTCTGATCAGATGATAACAGCCAGGTTAGTACTATACTTGGTTGTCCTTGCTGTATCTCTCTCTTACCTTACACACATCTGGATACTCATTCATCTCGTTGAGCGTTGGTTTCAAACCTTGTATCAGTGCTCCAAACTTATTATGGAACTCTAACATTATGTTTAGAATAAACTTTTCAATCTCCTCTTCGTTACCAGCCTGCTCCTCGTGGAACACAGACACTGTGATCAAGTCCTCCTTCTCACTGGACATTCTTATTGGTGCCACCCTCTTGGTTGACGATGGCGATGAATGATGTCGAAGTTTGGCACAAGACATTGATTGGTTCAATGATGCCGCTGACATTGATGCCTGATTAAATATAGTTGGATTCTCAAACAGAACATTCCTAACATCTGGAAGTTGGTATTGTTGTAAGTATATTGTGATTGATCATCAACAATGATGATGACACATACGTCCAGTGTCTCCCAATTCATTGGACAGTTTATAAAAGGTTAGAACCAACTTGCATATGTTGTCAGCCATTGATGGTGAACCTGTCCACTTCCATATCTTTTCAAACAAACATATCCCTGTATTGCTATCACATACATTCAATCGAAGCAGTGACTAAGTTGATGTTGTTGACAATTAGTAAGTTAGTGTGCGCTTTGAACTTGGCATCCTCCCTGGCTAGAGTGTCGTCGCTTCATCAAACAATCAAAACAGCTATCTTGGTTCTACACATACCATTCTTTTCTAAGAGTTGGGCTACTCTCAATAAATCAGTCAATCAATCATTGATCAATCAACAATATTGTATTCTATTCTTTAGTGTGTATCACATGTGATTGATTGATTGATTGAATGAATGAATGATAGAGTGTAGCCCAACACACACACACACTTATGCTTGTGAGTATAACTCATTAGGGCAGTTCACAAGCTAGCTTGATTGAATGACGAGGGGTTACTTGAACACCTCACCACAAGTTGTTGGGGGTCTATCTTCTCCTCTTTCACTCTTTTCCAGGACCCAACACATTGTTCCTCCTATGATGCTCAAGTTGTAGCAAGTGCAAGTAAGAAGCATCGACTACGTTGTAGAAGCAATGAGTGTGGGGCAATAATAATACTCTGCAGAGTATGAATGTATGTATGAATGTCACTTATAATTCAATATCATATATTTAAAGAATATATATAAACACATAACAAATAATGAGTAGATACGAACAACAACACGGATACAAGAGGAATACTAGCGGAAGGAGTGTGGCATCGTCAAGTTTGAAGAATGAGAAACTTGGAGAGGCATGTGCTGCCAGTTTGGAGGAGTTATTAAAGTTGGAGGATAACAAACATTGTGCAGATTGTGGATCAATTGGTATGTTTGATTGATTGATTGAAAGATGATTGATGTATTGATGGAATGACTAACAATTGAACTAATTTGAAGGTCCGAGATGGGCATCAATCACATTTGGAATATTCATTTGTTTGAGATGCTCTGGAGTACATCGTTCAATCAACTCTGGACAGACTTCAAAGGTAAAGTCTATATCATTGGATAATTGGACCCCAGAATGGGTGGAGATTATGAAGAATATGGGTAATGGAAAGTCCAATGCAATCTATGAGGCATGCTTGCCACATGGCTACAGGAAGCCAGACATAAACTCTGATCCACAGTATGTAGAGACCAACCAATCAACCAATGAATATATGGACTGATGACCATAGACTCACTCTAATACTCACGCTCATCCTCTCAATAAGTTATCTTGAACACTTTATCAAGGCAAAGTATGAGAATAAGGAGTACACAATGGAGAATGCTTCTCATCATAGTAGCAGAGATAGAGATGGTGGTCATAGAAGACATAGTGGTGGTTACAATAACAACAACAACTATAATGGCAGCGGCGGCGGCGGTGGTGGACGGAACAGGAATGATGAAGAGTCACGATACAATGATCATCATAATCACAATTCATCATCAAGAGGTGGTGGAGATTCAAGAAGATTTGACAGGAATGACATGTCAAACAATATGGACAACCGTCGTGATAATGTACAGGGTAGAAGACAACATGATATCAACAGTCCGCCAGGAGCCAATGGATCAGGTGGTGGTAGTCATGGATCACAATACTCAGACTCCCGAAAGTCTACAAGTCCTTCACTAGTTGATGATGGGTTTGGATGGCCTTCAATCAACAACACTCAACATAACAATATCATTGATGGTGGCAACAACAAAATGTCGCCAATGTCTGTTGGAAACAACAATGTCAAGAACAACAACAACTTGTTTGACTTTGAGAGTGGACCACCTCTTGCTCCGATACACTCGACTCCAATGAACAATGTAAATAGTCCAATGAATCAAGGCATGAACATGAACATGAACATGAACATTGGTCAAGGAATGGGCATGAATAACTCCTCACCTATGAATCAAGGTATGAACAATCAAATGTTCAATGGAGGAGGCAACAACATGATGAACATGGGAATGAACAACCAGATGCGACAAGTCCCAATGCAGCAAGGTATGATGATGCAGCCAATGTCAATGCCAATCTCACCTTCTGTCTATGGAATGCAACCAATATCACAAATGGGTCACCAACAACAACAACAGCATATGGGTCAGCCACAGCAGATGCAGCAACAATTCATGATGCCAATGCAAATGAATGGTGGAGTAGGAGGAGTAGGAGGAGCCAACAACAGTAACTACTTCATTCCTCCGCCCAACAATCCCCAGAGACCTAACTATAGTGGTGGCGGAGATCTACTTGGTAACGCACCTACATCAAACAACAACGCCTCAATACCCAGACCATTCTCATCACTTGGTGAATTTGACAACTATTCTGATGGCGTCAGAAACATGGCACCAAGTCAACCAAGTGGCACAAAGGGGAACCAAGTCAACATTGACCTTATGTTCTAGAAAGGTACCAAACCACATACTCCGGAGTCAGGCGGAATACATCAAATTAAAAAAAAATAATCGATATATTTCCAATTTAATATTAACAAATATTTATAATTAATACTAATTAATCCTAGAGTAAAAGACTGAGGTTGTTAATATCCTCACTATCAATTGATCTACTAGAGTTTGGTACATATTGGTGTCTCAACTTCATATTCTCATCCCTCAGCTCTCGTACGTGAGCATTCAATCTCTCAACCTCCCTCTCCAAGTACTCCATCCTTGCCTTGACATCATTATGATAAGTTTTTTTCCTCAGTCTATAGCTCCTGCTTGCCAAGTTCTGTCTTGTCCTTCTGCTCACTAACTTGTTGTCTGTACTTGATTCTTCATCGTCTATTATTAGAGTTAGTAATTGTTTATGAATAAATTAATTAAGACAAATTACAGTTGTTTGACATTTGGTATCCATCATTGATTTGATCGCCTCTTTGATAGGTTAGAATAGGAGATGAGGAGTTGGATGATTTCCCTTGGTATCCATTTGGAACTGGAATCTGTTGGATTTGAGAGTTTGGAAGTTGATTTTGATTATTGGATATTAGGTGTTGTGAAGGGTGAGTATGTTGATTAAGTTGATTGGCATAGGGGTGTGGAGAAACAACTGCATGTTGCATCTTGACTTGTATTGTTGAGGGAGGTAGATGTAGTTGTGAAGATGATGGAACAATATGGTGAAGATGATGATTGTTTGGAAGAGATGAGGTGGCAGATGGTATTGGACCACATGAATCAAACAAAGTTCGATTTAACATAAATGAATGATTATGATTGTGGCTGTTATTGTTAATGATTGCCGCTACAGCAGTTGAGTTTTCATTTGTTCCAGGAAGTGGAGCCAAAGTGTAATTATTATAATTATTGTGTGGATGTTGATGGTGAATTTGGTGATGGTCGCCAGAGTGGCCAAAAGAGCTAGATGATATTGAGCTCATAGGTGTGTCCTTGAAATGATGTTGAGTTCTAGATCAAGTTGTTATTGTTGTTGTTAATAAAATAACAAGTATTATTATTTCTAAACTATCCAAACTTCTGAACATGAAAGGTAGAGGAGAGAGAACAGAAGTTGGAAACGAAACAAAGAAAAGGAGTTGTCTTGAACTAGAGGTGTCCAATGGATGGGCGTGGCTGCCTGTCGGTCAAACATTTCATGGCAAATGACAACCATACCCACCCACTTTCACGCATGTCTTCAATCAATCGACATTCACTCCTATGTTCATCACTTTCGGCATCTGTTTCAAGATACCCCTCAACACACACACACGAGCATGATAGATTCGTGTTGTAGTCTTCAGATGATGAGTGTGGTTGGACGGACAAATGAAATGCGCTAGAGTGGATCACGTGACTGAGTCACATGAGAATACGCCGACTTGTCAATCAATATGATTGATTGTTTGTTTGATCTTCCAAATGATCAACTGCAGGACGGTCCAACGCAGATCACCTATCCTCACCACCAGATCATTCTCAGATGATTTATCATTAGTGTAGCCGATTATATAATCTTAATTGTGTGTGTGTGTATGTGTTTGATTGATTGATTGATTGAATGATTGGCTATGGTATGGCATGGTAGGGTATGAGAGATTGAGGTGATTGATAAACCTAGCAATCGACCAACATTGATGTAACATTGAATTCCAATATTGACTAAACTGGTTGGAAGTTGGATTCTGCAGTGTGGATGTGGCTGTACAACGTTGTTTGGGAGGTGTCCTTCCTCCGGCTCCTTTTTTTAATTATGTTTGTGATGTTGGTTGGTTGGTAGAGGTGGTCGTGGACATTGGGATTATGACGCTATCGCATAGTTAGTTCTCTTTTTAATTATCTCGCAAGGTGGTGTGTATGTTGTTGTTTATCTGGACGGTTCATTATTGACGGATAGATTGGATTGGATTGGATTGGATTGGATGGATAGATGGATGGATAGATGGATGGATGGATGGCTGTCGCTTTCAGTCATTGCCAATCCCCCCTAATTTAACGATTGATTGTTTGATTGAATGAATGATCGACAGACCAACCAACCAATTGATTGAGTGAATGATTGAATGAATGAATGAGTGTCTTATTCGGTAGTGTTTGTAGTTGTTGAGCTGCTTCCACCTGCTGCCTCATTGTTCGTCAATGTTGTAGTTGATGGTCTTGCTTTGCCTGTTTCCTGTTGTTGTTTGACCAAACGATCAATCGGTAAATGAGTAATGATTATGTGTTAGGTATGACATGTGCACAACATGATCTATTACTATATCATCAACTTACTCTATAATAGAGTGTATCATAGGCAGGTGACTTTAAGTACTTGATAAAGACCTCAGGACCCTTCTTGGCCTCTGCCTCCAGGGACTCTTTGATGGGGTTGAGTGAGATGTCCACCTTCTCCAACTTCTCGAGTGAGCCAATCGTTGGTGGTACCCATTCGATCTTGTTATTGACGACATTGAGCACTCTGAGCTTGTTGAGCGAACCAAACTCGCCAGGGATCGATGTGATCTTGTTGTTGGAGCAGTTGAGATGCTCGAGCTCGAGACAACGCGACAGCTCAACGGGTAGCTCCGTCAGCTTGTTGAACGAGATGTGCAACTCCTTTAGCGTGGTGATCAGGCCGATCTGGCTTGTGAGCTCTGTCAACTTGTTGTAGCTCAGATCCAAAAAGTGAAGATGATTGAATGAGCCAAAGCCTCGTGGCAACGCTGGCAACTTGTTAATGCTAAGATTCAATGTCTGCAAGTTGCTAAGTTGTGTAATCTCATGAGGCAACTCCTTCAACTCATTCTGGAACAAGTTCAACAATGTCAAATTCCTCAAGTTACCTAATTTCAGTAGGTAGGTAGTATGAGTATGTTTGATTGATTGATTGATTGATTGATTGATTGATTGATTGATGTGAACATCCGCACATACCAATGGTAGTTGGCAGTCTTCTAAGCTCATTACGACTGAGGTTTAGTTTTACAAGTGAGTCGACTGATCCGATTGAGACGGGCAACTCGTGAATGCCCTTGCCGGTGAAGTCGAGCTCTGTTTCATTTGTCTCACGAGCTCTGTCGATTGCCTTTGATAGGTTAGCTCCCATTGTTATTATATAAATACAATACTAAACTGTAATATTTGTATAAGTATACTTATAAATAAATATATATGTGTTATACTAAGCGTGATTGATCGAATGGATGAGTGAACACACACACCTCGATTGGGTGAACTCAACAACACTAATCACCCAACAACAACACTTCATTTTTTTTGTTTGTTTGCTGGTTTTGAGAACAAAAGCGAGGGAAGATGCTCATACCTTTTCATTCATCGCCATCAAATATTTTGCAGTGACAAGTCTATCGAAATTTGATTTGATCACAGTAACAGGAATTGAAGAGAATGACAACACCAAGTTCCCAGTTCATCATGGTGAAATACTTTGGAATGTGACGTTTCCAACAACTACACAATATCATTCAATAATTCAATCATTAAACTTATTATCTACTTATAGGTATGTATAAACATTATAATTATTTCTTTCTTTCTTTATTACTTTTAGAAGTTTCTTTTTATAAACTGTGAGTGTGTTGATGTGAATAAGATCGGATCAACCCCCACAATAATCAACCCCCGATGATCCTACGGGTCAACTGACTCACCAAGCCCCAACCATGGTGCTGAACAAGTTCAAATGGGATTGGTGGTGGTGGAGGTGTTGCGAGGAGAAGTTGAATTCAACTTGCCAAACTTAGTTAGCTCTCACACAGGCAGACAGACAGACAGCCTTAGTTTGATTGATTTAAATGTTAAATGATAGTATCACCTTTAACTCACTCGTACACTCATTCATTCATTCAATTCATTCATTCAGACATACAGGATATCATCTCAATCATATAATATAATATATACTTATACAATTACATACATAATACAGTTAACAAATAATAATAACAATGGACGAGTTTCAGATCACAAGGAATGAGTCATGGATGAGAGAATCTCAATTCTGGCGTATATATATTGCTGGCTTGTTGTTGGCAAAGTTGGTCATACAGGTGTTGTCACCAGAGTTCCAGTATGCTTGGTTGACAGTCACAATAATGCATGCAGCAGTCACCTATTGTGGATTGCATTGGCAAAAGGGTCTACCATTCCTCTTCCACCAGGGCAAGTACTCACGTCTGACTCTCTGGGAGCAGATTGACAAGGGACAACAGTACACACCAACCAGAAAGTTCTTCACATTGGTACCAATCGTATTGTAAGTGTTGTGAAGTGCAAAGCAATGACATTGATTGATTGTTAGACCTTATCACTGACACTCACTCACTCAATCACTTTAGGTTCATGATCACATTGAATGACAATGGATATGGAGGAATACCATTCTATCTCAATGCAGTGCCAACATTCATCTTGCTGCTGGCCAAGATGCCTCAGTTGCATCGTGTCAGAATCTTTGGAATCAACAAGTATTAATGGAGTACCTTGGACCCAAGGACAAAGATACCCGAGGCCAAAGGCCCTCAACATCGTGATGAACGTAATGAATGAGCCCTGATGACACAGCGTGGAGTAAACCTTGTACATAACCCAGCCGACTCTACCTTTTTTGAATAAACTTCCACGCGTATATGTGTTGTGAGGCTCTGGACAACCATCCATCACTACATCGATAATCCAATCCAATCCAATCCCTCCTCCCCCTACATCCTTGTCTTGATTGATTATCCACATGTTGTCTTTGGTTTATTGATACTGGCTTAACCTAACCTGTTTCCACGTCCCCATCTATGTCCAGCCTCCTGAACGGGCACCTGTCCAGCAGCGAATCCTTGACGAGCGTTCTTTAGGCTGACTGGCAATATGTTGAGGAACCACTCTGGTGTCTTTAGGTAGTTTGGACGTCCACGCTGCATTATTGGATAGATGTCGGTGAGGTAGTGATAGATGTGCGCCACGATGATGCCACAAAAGTCACTGACGGGCCAGCCACCAGTAAGGATGCCAAACAACAGCAGTGCCCATGGCAAGTAGACGGCCTTGAACCTGATGCCAAAGAAGAAGGACACCTCTCCCTGTGGGTTCAATCTCGACCACAAGTAAATGATCACCATGATCATCGCATGTGATATAATATAGAATTGCATAAAGAATGCGACGACATGCATCAACAAGTTGGTGACGATCAACATGTATATAAAGTCGCCCTTTCTTCCTCCAAAGTTCTCATTCTCAAGGTATGATCCCTGTTGTACCCTATACAAAATGTTTGGTTTGATGAGTTAGTGATTGATTGAGTGAGTGATCGATCACTATGATTGCGATACATACAGGAAGATTAACTGTGATAGGAAGTAGAGACTGGGACGACCCATGTAGAGTGAACCTGTGAGTAGACGCCATACTTGGAACTCGGAGAATGTCTTTGAGTAATCAAGTATCATTGAGTATGGTGATATGATTCCAAAGTGACCAATCATTGTAAGTCCTCCCATTCCAGCGAACAAGAACTTAGTTACTGGTGGTATTCCAGCCCACCATCTTGCTATTTCATCATTCATTCTATCTTGTATGTATTTGAATATATATTAAGTAGTAGTATGTATTTGTTTGAACAAAGGCCTAACTTTGATGAATGAATGAATAAATTGAGATTGAACTGCAACTTAGGGGTTAGTTTGAGAATTGGGCTGAATGAAAGGTGACTCATCAATCTCTTGGAACCGATGACCCTTCGAAATTGGAAGCTGGAAGTGATACTAGTAAACATGTGCGGTCATAATTATTTATATATATTTATTGTTGTTAAGATATACGTTTGATTGGATTGACAATAATTGAGTGTACAAAACTGATTGATTGATTATGTGTGGCGGATCTATCCCACTCCCATTCCCAATGAATGATCAATCGTTGAAAGTCGTTGAAAGGGAGGGGTGATTAACGATACTCCCTTACTAGATACCTAAGGAAGATGTAGGCTAGAAGGATATAACCTCCAATCATTCCAACAAGGACGTACATGTCGGTGAACAGTCGGTTGGGATCGGCACCAATGGTCTGCAGGAACTCAAGTCCATCGGCCCAGGTACCGTTGGTGTTGGGCGGGTTGTAGAACACCCACAGACCGTCAAACTCGTTGACTACCGGGATCTCCAGACCGTACGACATGAACGAACACCACACCAGGAACTTGAGGTACACGGGGATCGACTGGCGCGCCAGCAGGAAGCCATCAAACAGCAGGAATACAAAGAGCAGCAAGATGGAGATCATGTTGGCCGTGCCAAACGTTGGCGAGATCATACTGATGGCCATGCACATGGCTGATGCGGTCGAGGAGGTGAGCACCAGCGAGATGAGGAAGTAGAGGAAGTGGTCAAAGCCAGGGCGGAATCCAATCATGTAGTAACAGATCGAGCCCAACAAAATAGGTGGGATGATCCTCATTGGTATAAGGTCAGTCAGTACCTTTGCCAAGAAGTATGATGATGTTCGATAGTATCCATTTGCTCTCTCTCTAATGAATATGATTCTGTCATTGTAGACTACATGTTGATTGAGCATTGGTTAGTTTGTGGACCTTGGAGAGGAGTCTGGACCCAGACTGGCGGTACTTACACAAGTCTAATGAAGTGATTGAACCGAATGACAATAGAGATATCATGAAGAACATTGAACCAAACCTGTTCTGAGCACCTGGTTCCAGGTTGGCAGGTAGCTTCCAGAATAGGACACCAAGGATGAAGCCGACAGAGATGTGTACAAAGTAGGTCGTTCGCAAAAGGAATGGATTCCTGATGTAGTTGAGCAGTGATCGATGCGCCACCACAAAGAACTGTGTCCAGAATGAGGTGGCGTATGCCTCCACCGACTCCATCGCATCAATATCCTGTTGTGAGCTCTCGCTCTCATTGAACACATAGTTCATGTGTTCGTAGTTGGGATGGATACTCTTGTCGTTTACGGCCGAGATGATAAAGTCGGCAGGGTTGACACGCATCAAGAACTTTTGGTGCTCGGCATCCTCGTTGAGAGACTTGGGACGCTGGTTGACAAAGTACTGCACCGACTCGGAGGCGCGGCCCGAGTAGTATGGGTGGCCATGATGCAGGATGATAAGGTTGTCAAACAGGTCAAAGATCTCGGCTGATGGCTGATGAATACTGAAGATGATTGTGCGGTTCCTGTTCTTGGCCAGCTGCTTGAGTAGTGTCATCAGCTCGCTGGCGCTGTGGCTGTCTAGGCCAGAGGTTGGCTCGTCTAGGAATAGGATCGATGGGTCGACCAGCAGCTCGGCGGCAATGCTCAGTCTCCTGCGCTCGCCTCCTGATATACCTCTGTTCTCTGGTGTTCCAATACGGTTGTGTGCCACGTGTGATAGGCCGAGTTCGGCCAACACAGAGTTGACTCGCTCGACCTTCTTGGGAGGCGCCATCGACTCGGGCAGCTTCAGCATGGCCGTGTAGTGAAGGTGCTCAAAGCATGTCAGCGTGCCAATCATGATGTCCTCCTGCGTGACATAGCCACTGATTCTCTTGAAGTTTGGCGGCATCTTTGCACCATTGATCAGCACCTCGCCTGTAATGTCACCAACGTTCTTCCTGCCCGAGAGGATGTCGAGGAGCGATGTCTTGCCCGAGCCCGAGAGACCCATGAGGGCGGTCAGTTGGCCAGGATAGCAGGCGCCACTCACATTGTCGAGGATGGTGGTGACCTTGCGGTCCTTGTTGGAGAAGAGTTTCTTCTCGCGCACGATACACGTGATGTTGTTGAACTTGAGCTCGCAGTTGATGTGCACGTCGACCGTGGGCTTTCGTCTCTCCTGCTGCAGATAGACAATGTAGTAGACGATGGTGGCAATAAGGATCAGTCCGACGACGATCGTGCCACTGGAGAGATAGACGTAGAGCAGGTGCGTGTAGAGGACAGGCACGGGCGGGATGGGAGGGGGCGGATGGCACTCGCCCGAGTTACACGCCAGGGGGATCGCAGGTATGATGGCCGAGATGATGTTCTGCCAGAATGTACAGTTGCCAGACTTGTCACAGCTGAAGCTTGATGGGCCTGTGACTCCAGAGATGACACCACCCAAGAAGAAGCCACAATAAGAGGTGCACGCACAGCTGCTGTTGCCACACTGTATTGCCTGTACCTGTCCTGGCAATATATCAATGTTGCACAATGTAAAGTTGCAAGAGAAGTACAGAGGAACACCAGTCTCCTTGTAGTAGAGATGCATCGAGCATGTTCCCTCACTAGTATTGTATGATGGAGTGGGGAAGAGGCAATCCAATGATGCTGACGCAGTGCTGTTATTCAAGTCTCCATTCACTTGGGGACCTAATGTGTAATAGTTCAATCATTAAGTTAATCAATCAATCCATTCATTCATTCATATGGGATGATCCCCTACTTACTCGTGACGACACAACTGTAGTACTTCTGTTTGTACAAGTAGACTGACTTGTCACATACGTTGGTGGAGCAGGATGAGTTCTGCATGCACACTGTTTGGTACCATCGATTCAAAGTCAGTAGATGTACTCTCAATCGATCGATACTACATACCATTGCACTCTAAGCCTGACCATCCATCTGGACAAACACAGTATCTTCTGACACCTGGCACATAGATTGGTGGACAGAAACGACCTGCGTTACAGGGCATGTTGTCCCAGTCGTAGGTGGTGTCATTCTCATACTCGCAATTGGGACCATAGTATAAGGGATTGCAGAGACATGATGAGATTCCGCCAGATTGTTCACATGAGCCTTGTCCCCACTGTGAGTAACAGTCGTATGGTCCACATAGTCCTTGTGAGTTGAATTCAAACGTTGTCTGATTGCATGTCTGACCTGGAAAGTATGGATCATCAGAAGAACTTTGAACTGATTGTTGTTGTTGAGATTGATATATACTATTGTCAACATTAGGTGTAGAGTCGACATCTTTTACAACAATCAGTAATATGAGTAATATGCATAATGATCGACTATTAATATTATTATTTTGGAATGGTTTAATTAATGACCTTGTCATTGTGTAACATGTCGATTCTAGAATTATATTGTTGTTCTATATATATATATTATATCTTTATGAAGGGTATTATTACTTATCAATTAATATGAATGTTTGAATAATAAGTTATTAATTATTACAACTAGTTAACACAATAACAGTTATAAATTAAGATTGTTTGAAAGAGAGAGAAGAGTGAGTCAAGATCAAGTTGACAGAAGTTGAATGAATGAACACCACAACCACACCACCTTCATTCTCACTCCTACACCGCCAAGATGACTTGCCAGATGCAAACAAGGTCAACAACAACACCCCAAATACCATCCATCCCACTCAATCCTTCTAACTAAGTGTGTGGTGCCACTTTAGCCCTTGTCCCCATAACCAATTTAGGACTCGAGTGAGATAATAAAGGATACGTTTTATTTATTTGTTGATGACTGTACAATTATATTTCATTCTTTGAGAATAGTAATCCAATCAAACTCTCCCTAGTTTTAAATGATGACAAATCGCCCCCTTTTCAACGTATATTTGTTGATAAATAGTCTTTGCGAAAAAACAAATGCTCTATCATATAAGGGTTAGTATCCTGGACTTTGAATCCAGTCATCTGAGTTCGAATCTCAGTAGAGCAAATATTTTTTTGTTCTTCAACTAGAAAGAATTTTATAAATATCTTTTTTGAGGTGACCTCCCACGGCGATGAGGAGGTCCCACATAAATGATACCCAATATTCAAAAAAAAAAAAAAAAAAAAAAGAGAGGTGATCCCGCCAAAATTTAGAATTGTTATTTGAAGAGTGATCAAAATGATAATATTTTATTATTTTTTGATAATGTTGACAATTGTATATTATCCACATACATAATGACCATTGACTATTGGACAACATGCTGGATTTAGTCGTCCACAACCTCCATTTGGTGGATTATATACTTGACAATGTGAATTGATGTAGTCTCCAGACTCGTTTGACCAATTCCATGAACCACCGTTAATTCCACTACCAATACGATTGGCGACCTCTGCAGCTGCGCACAAGTACTCGGGACCATTCATCTGGCTAAGGTTGCCAAAATTGTTGCTACAGGCAGACACACAGTAGTTCCACATTCTGGTGCTGGCATCAATACAGACGCCACTTAATGGGTTAGTTGCCGTACAAGTACCAGACCAAACACAGACTCCACAGCCGACAATGGTCACAACCGCACCAAAACACATGAAAGCACAGGTTCCCCAGCCTTGACTAGTGACCATTCCAGTGCGGGACTTAAAATCTTGGGCAAGGTGGTTGGCATCATCAGTCGTGAGGGCCTTCCAACCCTTAATACCTTGTCCAAGGGAAGCTTGAGTTAATAAAGTCATCAAACAAATGACCTTGATGAGTTTAATGTTAATAGAGAACATTGATTGATTGATGTGATTAATAATAATAATAATATATATGTTAATTATATTATATAATAACACTCTATGTCTATTTATACCAATTGATTAATGGTTAAACTACCTGGTTTATTTTCATATTTTAATCCCCAATCAAAATAAACTATTTTGATTGATTCCAAGACTTAGATATGATCCAGTTTTTATTTTTATTCCCTGAAAAGCCAAAATTGATCGATCATCTGAAATAAAGAAGATTTTTTGGTTGGAGGAGTATCAAGGCAATCAATCTCATCAATTAGGTATTTGTTGAAACAAATAATAATATTTACATTATCTTGATTCATTCAATTGATACATTCCATTTGAATTGTTTTTCAGTTCTGGGAAGATCCATTTCTTCAACTTTAATTGTCTCAAACTCGTATTATTCGAACCCAACTTCCAACATCATCACTCTCTTCTGGTGCTTCCAAGTTGGAATGTTGTTCTGGTCCTCGTTCTTTTACCAACTCTGTCAATCACTGGATAAAACTTAACTCATCTATGCATCTTTCAATACTTTGTGAGACCGAAAAATAACTCAATAATGTAAATTCCACCCATGGTATTAAATTAGAAGACACAAAAATAATAATTCTTATTAATTATAATAATGTTGTCTTTGATTAATTATAAAGACAAAAATAAGTTAGAGTTAATGAACTTCGTTCTTTGAGGTTTAAAATAAAAATCAAAAAAATCAAATTGAAGATGACGTTCATGATGATCAAAAAGAATGAACAGAGCACAGCAACAACTCAGTATTCGACTCACAAACATACACACACATTAAAACTTACTTAGACATGTCTACCGAGAGATCCTTCATTGCCATCAAGCCAGACGGAGTTGCCCGCAACCTCGTTGGAGAGATCATTGCCCGCTTCGAGAAGAGAGGTTACGTCCTCGTCGGTCTCAAGCAGCTCGTCCCAACCGTCGAGATTGCTCAGACTCACTATGAGGAGCACAAGGAGCGTCCATTCTTCTCAGGTTTGGTCACCTTCATCACCAGCGGCCCAGTCGTCGCCATGGTCTGGGAGGGTAAGGGTGTCGTCGCCACCGCTCGTGCCATGATCGGTGCCACCAACCCACTCTCCTCCGCCCCAGGCACCATCCGTGGTGACTACGCCATCGATGTCGGCAGAAACATCATCCACGGCTCTGACTCCCCCGCCTCCGCCGAGCGTGAGATCAAGCTCTGGTTCAACGAGTCCGAGCTGCTCTCTGTTGCCAAGCCAAACCCACACATCTACGAGTCAAAGTAAACGACGCACCAATAAAGGCCAAGCTCTAACAAAGCATTTGTCTCTGTTGGTGGATCTTCTACCCGTATAATATCTATCTCAATGTCTACTCTTCATCGTCTTCTTCTCACCTCCCAAGTACTCCAATGATAGATTGATTGTTTTAGATGATCTTTATTGTGTTGTCCTTGCTCAGGAGACCTTATGATCTATGCAACAAGTCTTGAAGCTTCCTCATCAATAGCTCAATCATGACAGACTTCTATTTGTTTGATTGATTGAATGAATGAATGTTAGATGACATTGTTGACAACTTCAGTACTGTCTAACTTACCTCGTGAAGAGATTGAATAGAGTCACAAAGACGTTGGTTCAATGAAGGCACTTCCATCTCAAAGATGTTGCGTAGTTTGGCAAGTAGTTCGCGACTCTCCTCGGGTGATAGTACTGAGGATGGGTTGTTAAGAGAGTTGGGCGTCTGCATCTGTGACATGTATCTAAGTGAGTTGGCCAGTGGAGAGGTGGTCTGGGTAATCTTCATGGTGCTGTCTGATCCATTCTGGCTGCCCTTGAAGTAGCCAACGACGCTGCTCATAAGCTTCTGAGTGGTGAAAGTGGGGGCCTTGGACTCTTGGAAGATGGAGGATGTGGTGGCTGTGGGACGCTTAACTGGTGTGGTCGAAAGATCGCTCAGTTCAAGTGCGCCATGTGTCGACGAGGTGAGTCTTGGGCTTGTGGTCGATGCCGTTCCAACAGTGGACGATCTCTGCTGTTGGGAAGAGGAGAGCAACTCTGGTGAGCTGGTGGACACTGGATGAGTGAACAGATAGCTGACCGAGCATGAGTAGTAGAATGCATGGGAGACGACCAACAACAACAATGACTCAATATTCTCGACCAGCACACTCCTTTGCATTGTGGCCGCGGCCAACATCTGACCAAGTTTCTGTTGCACCATCTGATTCCTCTGTGTTATGTTGAAGTAGAGTTCATCGTCTTGTGCCAGTATCTAAAGATAAGTGTGCGCGTTAGTCATCCTGGTCATGGTACCAGTGGGCCTGGCAAGGCAAGGTACACATACTTGTTTATATTGTACGTTGGAGAGCTGTTCCACATTGTCATTGTTGTATGTAAGGAAAGTGATGAGCTCTGCGCTTTGATTGTAGTCGATCAGACTGTCCACAAGATATTTGAGTGGCAGGTCCATTGATGGTAGTGATCCAGATGTCGCGCCAATCTTGGAAATTGATACGTTGGAAGTGAAGCAAATCGTTCCAAACTTGGAGTCTAATTGATTGATTGATGTGATGTAATGTTAGTGGACGTGGACATGGACCTGAACTCAAGGCCAGCTAACTTACCTGACAATATGGACACTCTTCTACAATATAATAGGATGTCTCGACATAACAATGTGATCTGGGTCTTGACATCGACATCGAATAGGGACTTCTTCTCCTTGACAATGTTGTTGAATTGTTGTCTGGACTTGAGCTCAATCTCTTCATCACTACTGGCAACGACCTCTGTACTCTTGGTGGTCTTGCTATACTTGGACAACAGTGCCAATAGCAATGAGTGTGTCTTGTTCAGATGTACCTGGTGCTCGATCGATGCATGCTTGGATATCTGAGCATAGATAAACACTGTGAGCTGGAGGATGCTGAGTGTTGAAGTGGTGATATGTTGATGCGAGTCCTGCAGGATCACCTTGAACAGGTCAGAGTGTGTGGCCACAAATGTCGATATCTGATTGTGGACATCGAGGCGATCGTTTGACAGCAGGAACAGACCGGCCAACAGACGCAGTGCGGGGATCAGCAGGTGCAAAAAGATGCCATCGGCAGTGTCCTGTTCGGTTGGCATGTGATTGAAGAAGTGGCACTGCTGCAGACAGTTGATGATGTTGTTGTTCATCAACACGCGCACACCGTCCTGCTGCTGCGACACTTGAAGCAACAGCGACATCTGAGCCTCGTAGACGCGAAGCTCCCTCATTCCAACCTTCTCCCAGCTGTTGCCCAGTAGTCTTGCGCATTCCTGTACGACGCTGCCAATCAGACCCTTGTCCTCGATGAATCGGAGTGTACGGTTGCCGCGGTGTGGGTCGGCCGCCACTAACATCTGGAGACATGTGAGTGCGGCGATCTTCCAACCGCTCGAGAATGAGTTACAGTCGGCAGAGAGAATGCGGATGAATCGGTCCTCGACCTTTGTGATCAGGATCAAGTTGTATCGCTCCATTGACTTTAGCTCGTCGGCTTGAGGTGGGTGGCCGCCAAGTCTGATTGATGAGGTGGTGCCATTGGTGGAGGAGCCAAGTGGATGGTCCTTCTGCTGTTGTTGCTCCTCTTGCGTCAGCTGGAGGTAGTTGATGATGGCCGTGTAGGCAATGCCCCTGATTGGCTGGTAGGGCGAACGCAAAACAGTCTGGAGCAAGCCCTCGAATATGCCCTTGATCTTGGTCTCTAGCACCTCGTTGAATGTGTTGAGTGGGTATGAGTTCTTCTTGATCTTGAGCACCGAGAGCAGAGTGAGAATCGTGTAGCCAATGGACACGCCGCAAGCCACTGGATAGCGCTCGTTGAAGAACTCCATGGCCAGACGCTGGAGCAGCTCCAACGGGATCACCTCGTCGATCGACATGATCAGATCTAGCTGCAGGAATGAGTCGTTGACAAACTGTTTCCAGCCCTCGAGTGCGCGTGTCTTTGATCCGAGCAGTGTGATGAATGCGTTCAGTCGGGCACATGTCTCGAGCTCCTTCTCAATTTCGGCGGTGGAGGGGTAGCGACTGTCCTTCTCGAGATGCTTGCGCAGCAGGGGCAGATCGATCACCTGGCAGTCGCGGTATGTTGTGAGACAGGTCGACTCGAGCACTGGCGACATCTCAAAGATCCTGGGCTTTTGCAACTCAGGGAACGTAAAGTCGATGATGTTGAACAGTGAGAGCACTTGGATGGCCCCAGGCGCCTGGTTGTCAAGTGCTGTGATCTGCTGGCCGCCCAACAAACTGGAGAAGTAGGCCTTGGTCGAGAGGTCGGAGGTGGTGTGGCCCGTGATGGCCATGGTCTTGAGCAGCCAGGACAACGAGGATATATGTGCGCCCTTTAGACGCTCAGAGCCGGGCACGCTGGCTTCTGCAATTTGTTGTTTGAGCAGGGCGATGCTGTCGCGATAATAGTTGATCTTGAGGTACTTGATCATTGGTCTGCTCGTGGCTGGATTGGAAGTCATCTTGTGGACAATGTCGTGGTAACAGTCGTTGAGGTGAGGGTACCTGGCGACAAACTCGCGTGTTGACATCTTTTTGATGATGACCGAAAGACATGTGCGAGCATTGATCTCAAAGTCTTGCGACAGGTCGTACGTGGATGGACATCCGAGCAGGAAATGTGCCAGAGTGTAGTTGCTGTTGTTGGCCGTCTTCTCAAGACAGAATAGGATGAGCTGTGCGATCGTCCACTGGATAGAGTTGGCGCCATACTGCTGGAAGTGCGACTCTTGCTGATAGAAGCCACCTGTGTAGTCCTCCTGCTCGGGCTCAGAGAAGTCGAGCACCTTGACAAACTTCTCTAGAAGCGCATCGGCCGATGGCGATGCCAGGAACAGGGTGGAGATGCGCTGTGTGTACACTTCGAACGAGTAGATCAGTCTGAGTGCCTTGAGGCCGATCTCCTTGTTGGCGTGATCGACCAACTTTGCGATACTAATGATTGGCGACGACTTCATCGATGACAAATGAGTGACTGTCGAGCGTGCATCCTCCACCGAGTACACTGTGCTGTCCGACACGAACAACAAAATGTCCAAGCAACGACACAATGTCATCTGGAACAGTTCATTTGGTTCGTTGGCCTGTGTAATCTGATCGGTGTGTGTTAGTTGGGTGATTGGAATAGTTCCATTGAATGAGTAGACTAACTTACATCTTCATTGGAGGCAGTCTCGATAATGGCAATGATGGTCTTAAGAGTGAGATTGTGGCTGTCTTTGGTGAGCTCGAGGTAGAGTGCATAGACTGGATGCGAGCGATCGATGTGATGGTTGACAACGGCATGCTTGAACTGTGAGAGACAAAAGACAAAGATATTGAGAATGGTCAGTGTGAATCTCCATTTGTCCTGAATGTTGATAAAGGCCTTGTTGTTGAATGATGAGAATAGGTTCATGATGTGCTCCAAGTATCCACTCATCAATCTATCGTTGGACCGATCAAACAAGAATGGCGACGCCTGTATCAGCTGATAGAACAGCTCCAAGAACTGCTGAGTGAATGGGAACTCGCCATGTTCCGAGCTCTGTGACTCCATTCGCAGTCCAGCAGGGAATATCTGTGACTCGTTCAGAAGTCTCCATATCTAATATGAGTGTAATGTATCTTGTAAGTATGTTTGATTGATTGATTGATTGATCGAGGACAGGGGTGCCTTACCTCTGGTACATATGCTTGGTACTTGGCGCAGGCTGTGATGGCCTTGAGCGTGGTGGACTTGAGGCCAACAGAGACGGGCGCAGTGATGTAACGGAAGAATAGCTGGAGGATTGAGGTGCTGCGACTGAGCATCTGGGCGAGGTGTGGCGAGTAGTTGATGACCTCGGTGATGAGACAGAGGAAGGCATTGAGCGCCTCTGTGTCATTTGGCGACAGTTCAGTGTTGGGTTGATTGAGTCCCTCGACGTAGAATTGCATATGTTGCAATATCTTGTTCCAAGTGAATTGCGACGAGTCCTTTGTAAAGAAGTTGTACACCTCAATACCATTGCACACGGTGAGTGCGCCCATCATCCTGAATGAAGTGATGATCAGTGGGTTGGGTAACTGAAGCCACAACATCTTAAGGTATCCACAGTTCTCTGAGAACTCCCAGAACTTCTTGGACGACTGTGCTCCATTGCTATAAATGCTCGTCAAGAACTGGTTGAAGCTATTGAGGAATGGCAAGTCTTTTTGATTGATTGATTGATCGAGTGGGGGTGAGTATGTGAGCTGGGAGGCTGGGGCTGGGGTTGGAATCATTCCACTTACATTGATTCTTTTTATCGATTTGGAATACTTGGATGAGGTTGCAAGCGTATTCGTCAAGGACGTAATAGTAGAAGCCAACGAGTGCTGATGACTTGAATTGAGGTGCCTCGACTACCTTGGCCAGGAACTCAGCTCCATTCCTATCTTGTGGGAATGCCTTCAAGAGGTATTGATCAAAGTCCTCATACTCCTCCTTGATGCGCATCAGATAGAACAATGATTTAAGTGTTGATTGGATTGGCAAGTCTAAAGTGTTGATTGGATTGGAGTGGAGTGGCGGAGGGGTTAGTCCCAGATCACACGATGAGACCTGATCGATCAATCAAAGAGGCAAACATACTATGCTCCCAATCAGTGTTGATGTCTGTTTGGATCTTGTCGAGGAATTGACTAGAGGTCAATTCAGTGTTGATTGATGGCTTCCTCTCGATTGGATTCATCAGGCTGACCTTGGGCTCGACAAACAATACAAAGACATTGAGCATCAACGAATAGGTGATCTGGAATAGTGGCGCGTAGAATGTCGACGTCTGAGTCTGATTGCTATAAAGTCTCGAGGCCTCCTTCAGTCTCTGTAAGATTGATCTTATCGACTCCTCCTTGAGTGTGAACTGTAGGGTGGCGTGATCGTGAAGAGCAAGTGAGTGAGTGGACGAGGCCAGGCCATCTGGATGAATTGCTACATACTTGGAAGCTTAACAAGAATAGACATTCTGTTATCTTTATGCACTCTTGGACACGATAACCAGACTCTCTCAGATTGGTAGGAACGGTAATGTTTCTAATCTTCTCCTCCAATGTCCTCAACAACACTGTTGCAATGCAGTCCTGAGTCGACAACAAGTCGCATATATAGTTCTGTAATATATCCATCTTATTCTTCTCTCCATTCTCTTCATTCAAGTACTGTATGATTGATCGATATAGATTGATTGAGTGAGTGAGTGATCGAACGAGGCAGATAATTGATCATGTCAACTACATACATCCAATATTCTCCTAAGAGTATCAAGATAACATGATCTACTATGATATATAAAGTCCTCTGATAGGTCCAGTAATGTGTTGGCATCTCGTGATGATGTCTGTGTGTTTATGATTGATTGATTGAATGAGTGAGTGTTCACGACTGTTTGATTGATTGAATGAATGATCGACTACAACAACACTTACCATCTCGACAACATGTGCCAATACTTGACATGAGAGATACTCATCTAGTTGAAGTCTATCGGACAGTTGGAATGCAATGGTCAAGAACTCGTCGATGACTTCAATGATTCGCCCACCGAATGTGAACTGCTTCTTTGACTTGAGATCAGCTCTGATTCTATCCGACTCTGTCTGTGATGCGCGTGCCTTGACCTTCATGAAACGATCTGCAACAAAGACTGCACGCTGTGCCCATAAGAACTGCATCAGTTCATTATCTGTAGCCGAAGCATTGCCACTTGGACTCTTTAGTAGGGAGACCAATCTTGCGAGTGGTTCAGCAAACACTTCTTCCTCCATTGTGGTCTGACTGTCTGTCTGATAGTTATATGATGTAATATATATTATACTAACTGATTGTGTTTGGGGCTCGAATGATCATTCATGCATTCATTCCCAATCTTCACTTTATTCGTGTTGAACATGACTTTGCGCGCTTTGACAATTTGTGTGTGAGTGTATGATTGCTGGATTTGGAATGATCATTCCAGGTCATGGATAACTGACTGACTCTGATTGATCCGTTAGGGTATATCCAACCCAAATATGTACTTTATTTGTTCGATCAATCAATCACTCAAACTCTGACTCTTACTCTGCCTCAGACTCATCAGATGAGAGTTGATTAGAGAGGTCCAGATATTTGAAGTAGGTATTCTGTGCATGGTCACCAGTATACTGTACAAGACATAGTACATGGTTAATACTAGTCTTCCTGAATACAACGTAGTAATCATAATGTTTCTCCAATTTTGGTGTTTGGATATAGAGGTAATAGGTCTCTACATTTGGATAAGCTCTTATAATTGTTCCAAAGTATCCCAATACACTTGACCACAATGTATAACTCTCTATTGGTATATGTATCTCTTTCATCATATTGTTAACACCATGTGCAAACATTATCCTGTCATACTTGTTCTGAGCCAACTGGAATCTCAGCACTTGGACTGAGGGCGGGATTGAATCCCACATCTGCTTTGGCAATGAGAGTGAGTGGAGTCGCCCTGGATACGCCTTGGCCAAGTACTCCTTTTCAAAGAACTCGCCAAACTCTAGACTCGTGAGTGATTCGGGGAGGGTCTTGGGTTTGATCGCTCGATTGAACTTTGCGCCAAACTTGAGGTCTGTGAGCGAGTTCGGGAAGAATCGAGATGGCAATGCCCTGTTGAAGGAGTATCCAAATAATAGTGTGACCAAAGTTGATGGGAGCTTGCCCTTGATATGTGAGTTGAATGAATAGCCAAAAGTGAGAGAGGTCAGGTTCGTTGGTAACACAGCGGCATCAATCTCCTCGTCATAGTCCGAGCCAAACTTGAGGTCAGTCAAGCAGGGAATATCGCCCAAATCAATAGTCCCTCCAAATGAACAACTAAGGGTCAAACTAGTGAGAAGTGGCGGCAAAGATTCATTGCTCAATCGATCATCGTATCGATTGCCCATGACTAGAGTGAGTAGTGATGTGGGCAGCGTGCTTGACTTGAGTTGCTCACTGTAGGACTTGCTCAACTTGAGTGTGATGATGGTCGAAGGGAGAGTGCCCTCCTCAAATGGGTGATCATAGTATGCGCCCAAGTCCAAGTATGTAAGCCCGTGGGGCAGAGTACCAGGCATGATCGGGTTGTTATAGCGATCCATAGTCAATGATAAGAGTGAGGGCGGGAGGAGATCATTCTTGAGCTCAGATTTGTAGCCGCCAAAGTTAATGCTGGTGAGGGACTTGGGTAGGGATCCAGGTTGGAGCACCTGTTTGAACTGCTTGCCCAGCTCCAACTTGGTGATTGATGAGGGGAGAGTGCCCGGCTCCAAGGGCTTGTCATAGCCATTCAGCTGTAGATTGAGTAGATATGGAGGCAACATGCCAGGTTGCAACTGGCAATTAAAGCCCGGACCAAAGGTGATGTTCGTGAGCGAGTCGGGAAGAGAACCGGGGACGATCGATCGATTGAATATAAGGCCAAAGTATATCGTCGCCAATGAAGGAGGCAATACATTCAGATTGATTATGCGATTGAACGACTTTCCAAACTCCAACGATGTTAAAGAGCTTGGCAATGTGCCAGGTGCGAGAAGTTGATTGAAATGCTTGCCAAGCGTGAGTGATCTGAGTTGAGGTGGTAGCATGCCTGGTGTGATGGAAGAGGCCTTAAAGTGCCACCTCGAGTTGTTGACCTCCACATTGCATCGTCTATTTGAATACACTCGGAACAAATGTTTAGATGACAGTCCCAAGCAGAGTTGGTCAAATATCTGATCAGGTTGGTTGTCACCAAGTTCATCGAGGATGCTTCTCACAATGAGATCTGGTAATGAATCCATGATGATCACTTGTATCTGTACCTCTATCTATTCCCCTTTGGTATGTGATTGAGTGATTGTGATAATTCATGTCATCAAATGACTCTAAAATAAAAATGGCTGGAAGCTCTGACGACAATATCTGTCTGACAGGTCATCCAGTTGTAACCTAATATAGGGTTAGATCAGGTGATGATCAATATCTGTCCATATAAGGATAGGATAGTTTCATGGTCCACCATGGACACTCAATCAATAAGTCGATCGATCATTCTCTCAATCAATCAATCAAAGAATCAAAGAGTCATAATATTATGTAGAGTAGTTCAACCAACTGTGCACTATTTACTGGGGTATCTATCTAAGGTCCAGCTAGAGCTCTCGCTGCTCATCATCATTGTCGTAATCACCATCATGAGGTAGTTTGTTGTTGTATATTGTCGTATTCTTTCATTGTTGTTATCATCAAGACGACCCATTCTGGGCCTCTGAGCCTTCAATCATTGGTGCTGTTGGTGCCAACTTCATACGCTCAATCTGTTGTTGTAATTCTTCAAGCTTGGCTCTTAGTTCCTTGTTCTCATCTTTGAGTGACAGAGCAATCGTTTCGAATGTGATTGGCTCTTTGGATGGCTGTCGGTAGTAGCGATAGTAGTAGGTGCGCCACAGCTGGACATGCTCGCCGCGCCAGACTGGCATAGGGCTGGGCACACGGGGCCTGTTGGGGTTGTAGAATGGATTGGTAAAGTGCTGTCGAATCGATGGCGAGTTGAGTTGCGTCCACAGCGACACGGTCTTGGTCTTGATGGAGACGCGCTCCTTGTCCGAGTTGCACAGGAACGTGCCATACTGACAACTGTACAGCGCGTCGAGTATCGCGATGAGGTACTGTTCGTTGAACTCAAAAAAGTCGTGATAGTAGCATTGCACCTGATAGACACAGTCGATAAACTGCAGGAAGACTGGCGAGCGCTGTGAGTCTGTGTAATAGTTGCGATCTCCATGACGCACACGTGTGTTGAACATGTGTCCAAATGACAACCACTCCTTCTCGATCAACACCTGGAAGCCCTTGATCGTACGGTAGTATGGGTCGAGTAGTAGTAGTGCCAGCGAGGACAGCTGCGATGTGCGATCCCATCCGTCAGAGCAATGCAGCAGCACTGGGTTGCCAGTGTTGATTAGCTCGGCAGCACGTGTAGCACCAATGAGTACCGCTCGGATGTGGTCCATCCATTTGGTGCCCTCGAGTGCGCCCAGCCACCCGTCGTCAATGTTGGGTGGGGTGTTTGAAGTGTAGACCAGCTGCTCGAGCTTGTTGACGGCATCTCGCATGGCATGAATGTTTCCAATACCCAAGAACTCGATGTTGCAATTGTAGGACATCTCGTAGCCCATGCCCTTGGCCAGATTACCAATGGCGTTGGCCTTTGGACGCGCGTCCAAAAGGTACAGAGGACGGTTGGATGGGCAGCACGTCCTTATCATCTCGACCAACTTCTCGTCCTCGGCACAGCGAGCACGCGTGATGCCGACCATTGGCTGCGAGCTACGCGCCAGTGGCACACCCTCGCGACTCACCCAGCACACGGTGGGCAGTCTACCCTTTGATCTGAAGCCAGCTGCTACGCGCAGCTCGTCGTCTGTGATACAATCGGGGACGACGAATCGTGCAGGATATGTCGGTTGTTCATACTCGCAGTTAACATCGGATGTGCGCCACAGCTTAAAGTTGAGATCTTGACGAATAAACTCGGAGAACAGATCGTAGGTGCGCCATCCATCGCCGGCGGCCTCATCCGGCACCAGATTGAACTTGTAGGCAAACAGCTGTGTATGCTCAAGCGGGAAAGCCATCTGTCGCAGTGCACCAATCAATGGCGCGGTGTGGTCGTGCTGTGGGTTGGGATCGGACGATGGGTAGAGCTCGCGCGGTATGATAAAGAACTCCACCTTTCTAAAGTCCTTGCACCAGAGCCCGATGAGTTGTTCCACCTTTATATGATTGACACGGTCAATGCGATAGATCGTTGCCAATGGTATCGAGAAGTTCTCAGTATACGTGAGCTTGCTGACAAAGATCAAACGGAAGTTTGTCGGGTACAATATCGATGGGATGAACTCTCCAGTGAGGTTGTCGATGTAATATACAGGGTACTTGTCATCACCTACTACCTCGCCTGGTAGTATCTTGAACTCTACCTTTCTAGCACCCTATAGGAAGTGTTGTTAGTCCTTGTCCTTGTCCTTGTCCTTGTTGGTCCCGAGGCCACGACTCATTCAAACTTACCCTTTGAGGCGAGTCATTGGACTGTGAGAGCAACTTTTGTTGTTGCTGTTGTAGTTGTTGCTGTTTCAGTTGTTGCTGCTTCTGAAGCTGTGCGTGATGATACTGATGGCTGAACTTTTGGTACTCTGGCTCTAGCTTTGTGATTATATACTCGTCGACCTTATCGAATAGGCCCAATGTAATTCGCTCGTTGATATCCGTCGCCTGTTGAGTTGTCTCTGTGTTTGTTGTGGTGGTAGCTGGGTTGATTCCGCCCAAGCTACCATTGCTACTGCCGCTGCTGCTGCTATCTAATTGACTATCTGCTGCTGCTGGGATATCTCCACTAGATGTCTTTAATGAACCAAACAAACCAAGACCAGCATCATAACCGGTACTGTTGAATAGACCTGAGCTCGTGTCGTTCAGGAGCGACTCTAACTTCTTGGTGCTGGGCGACTGTACTGAGAGGAACTTGAGACTGGTGTATGTGGCCATGTCAAGGGGCATGGAATCGCGAGGCAAATACGTGTTGAATATGAAGCGTGCCGATTGCAGCGCCTCGTTAAGGTCGCCGGCGTTCACATGCTTGATGTACTGTCTGATGGCCGAGTAACAAGATATCAAGAGATGGAATAATATGTCCTTCTGTTGTTTGCAATGATTCTTGAATGCATGATACATCTCATGATACTGCTCGTTGCATTGTAATAGATTGTTCAATGACACCACTGATGACATGATTGTGTTGATCTCTTCGGTTGTTGGTGTTGGTAATGATGATGATGAAGATGATAATGCTGTTGCTAGGTATGTTGATGTTGGTGGTGATGATGATGTTTGTTGTTGTTGTTGTTGTTGTAGTTGACCATTTATATTATGATTGATACTACCATTGCTGTTGTTCAATGGAGTTGTGATGACAGGTGGTATCCTTTGATCATCTTGATCAACTAGTGGATGAGAATGAAGAGGTGATATTGATGACATTATATATGTATTTATATATAATATATATACAATTATAAGTCTATATATATAAGTATATAAATCTCAGTTGTATCTCACCTAGATGTAGTATAATTGTTGTGTTTGAAAAGTTAATGATTCACAATCTCTCAAGGTGAACACTCTTTGGAAAAATATCAAACCAATTTGAAAATTAAAATAATAATTGCACTCGAATGATCACTTGGTGAATGCTCAAGTAATGTATTACATTATATGACTTATAAGATAATGTTGTTATCCTTAGAGAACCAATCAGTGAGACTGATGGACCAAACAATCTTGGTGTGAAGAGAGGATGCTTCTCATAACAAAGGGTTTTTAATACTTCTCACTCAATCTCAATCAATAACTTTAGGTTCCACCTGATGATGACTTGCTTCTATAAGTTCACAACTTTGATCGCTAGAGTATGGTGTCCATCCACCACTTAGAACATGGTAATTGAGAGAGAATGAAGGATCGTGCCATTCTTAGGGCCACTTAAAAATGAATCTTCTTTCTTTTTTTTCTGTTTAGTGATTAACAAAAAGGATTTGCTCTACTGAGATTCGAACTCAGATGACTGGATTCAAAGTCCAGGATACTAACCCTTATATGATAGAGCATTTGTTGAAGATGGCAATGACTGTTTTGGTAAATCTGGCAATTTTTAGACCACCTACCAATTAAAATTATTGCACCCTATGGGGTTCGAACCCATGATGGCGAAGCCACTGAGACCTGAACTCAGCCCCTTAACCTCTCGGGCAAAGGTGCTTGTGAAGTTGCCCAATTCAATTTAATTCGCTTTATCCGACAATGAAGCAAAAAACCGGTTCATATCCGTCTCTGGATTGTAGCATGCGATCTTACACAATGGTTTAGGTCTAAATCATTTCATTTTGTATCTCAATTCTCTAATTTTTTAGATTTATCCTTTTATTTGATAATATCAAACCCACTGCTCACCACACTCATTGTTGTTGCTTTTTATGGTAAATGAGATCTGAAATATATAGGATTGTATCAATTATATTATGTACAAATACTGATTCTACTAAATTACATTGTTATACTCTACTCAATAATAATTCTTTAGTATATGCTTAACTTGTTATTGAGTAGAATATGAATAGTAAATAAATAATATCTTGAATGATTTGAAATGATGATTCACCAGAATGTCTGATCTCTCATTTTTTGTAAAACCATATCGTAAATTTATTGATAGTAATCAACATTCCAAAAAGAATATCAATAGAGTAGTTTCATCCTCCTCATTTATTCAAGTGTTAGAATCAAAGAATATCAAGACTTGTCTTTTGTTTGATCCTACTACATTGTCTCCCAAGATAACTACCTATCAAGCCTTGCCATATATCCTGAAGGCCAGTATATTGATTGACGAGGTGGTAAATATTATTGAATTTAAATTATTACAATTAGAAGTATTAATCCTTTATCAACTAATTATAGACCTCCTCCAGTTCAACTGTTCAACAACCAACAAAAACTACTTTTAAACCAACAACATCAACTACATCAACAACACAGACATCAATCAAATTACCATCAACTTCACCAAGAGATTGGTGTGAGGATATATTACATATTCTTCTCTCTTATATGTTCCACCAATACATTACCAAGAGAGGTTCAATTGATTGGATGTAGCGCCGTATACGCCTTTTACCAAGATGTCAAGTACATACTTGTACCATCAGGACACAATGGATATCATAGTACTCCAGGCCCACAACCACAACCACAACCACAACAACAAGAACCAACTAGAGTACCTACTTGGATAGGCAAGAGAGGAATCAGAGCAGCCAATTTAAAGAAACAACAACAACAACAACAACATTCAAAGAAACAGAAGGATGACAGAGGACAAGCAAAACAAGTAGCTGTAGAGAAAGTACCAGAGAATCAAACCAAAGTTGTCAAACCAGACAAATTCATTCACTCATTATGGTTTGAACAGATGCAACTGGATATTCAATCATGTAGTGCATATCAACTTGATATGATCAATGCAATCATGTTGGCAGCCAAACTACCCTATTCATTCTCTACTCTGGCCCACGATCCCAGTCACATCTTTATCATTGCCAATCTCTTGGTCTCTATGGTCAATCGGAAGCAGTTGAATTGGTCACCAGATATCTTTGACCACTTTGTACTATCAATCAACAGTCAAGATACAAGGGATGAGATCATTATCTACAAGGAGTTCATGGACTTTGTGTTTAAGTATCATATTGTCCAATCGATTCAACAACCAATGACTACCAATATTCCATATCCAACTATTCAATTCAACACTGCTGTACTCTACACTGTCAAGAATCGTAGTCATATCCCATGCGCATACCAAGTGTGTCCGTTGTTTGACCTTGGTAGCCTGTGCAATCTAGTGGTGCCTGGAGGTGAAGCCAAACCAATCATGGTGGTAGATTGTAGGAACCTGATGATCAAAGGTATTCAAGGTGGATTGATTATATTGTTAAAGAATGATAATCTATTGAAAGAGTTTGGCAACAACAAGAACAAATCATTTTCAATCAAAGATCAGTCAATCTTTAATCATCATATAGTGGTATGTGTAATGCAACTTTTAAACATTAATTTGATTGTTTACTTACCTACTTATATATACACACACTCTAAATAGATTGACATTACAGAATGGTTGTCATCATTCAAACCAACAACAGTAGAAGATGATAAATGGTTATTTGTAGGTCACAACACATTGAAGATACAATTCAATCACAGTCGTATTCTAGGCGATATTGTTCAAAAGGGATTGGACCATCTGAGGATTCAACGTTCTCTGTTGTTTGTACGTCATAACAAACAATATACAGCAGCATCAGCTTTGGCAAAAGGCAACAACATGATGATGGAAACAGTAGATGTAGACACTGATAATGTCTATGTATTCTGTCGAGAGAGCACTGGTGGACAACAGAATCAAATGGTGTCACAAGTGTCAATGGCATTCTCCTTTGCTCGAGATCTCATTCACAAGGAACCTCTTTACTTGTTCAACATTCAGCGATTGAACAATGAAAAGGTATCGATAGACTCACTCAATCTGGCACCATTGGCAATAATGGAGATCTCATCATCCTATCTCTACTCGATGAACGACCGTGTTCAACTTCAACATCTACTCACCTTGATATCCTATGGTGACGTTGTGATTGTTGTACACATTGATCGTTTGACCAGACGATTGGATGAGTTTATATCAATATGGACACAGTTCAAGAATCTCGGCATTCGATTGATGGTATTGAACAACCTGTTGGAGTTTCAATTCACCAACAACACAATGCACTATCAAGGTGGACTCTACATTGACTTTTCTTCTGATTTCTGGTCGCCATTCTTCAATGGTTCACTCACTCAATACAATGGTGAACAGAGGAAGAAAGTGAACATGTTTGGTAAACACTTTGATCCAATCATTGGCATTGACGCGATTTTCAGAATCTACTGCACTCAAATGGAGTATTCCATTCAACTCTGCTATGACCATTCGATCTATACACAGAGATATTATCAGAGCAAGGATATCATCAATACACCATCATGTATCAACGACTTATTCATGCCATTCTTTAAAGATATCACGGAAGGATACATTATATGTCGTACATCTGGAAGCATTCGAAATGCCGATTCTAGTTCGATCCCCATTCAATCCACTGTGGCAACTATGACCTTTCCATCTGTCAATAGTAATCAGGTATTTGAGAGTCAACCAGCAACAATGTTCTACAAATACCCTGAGGGACAACAGCAGACCAAAGAGCTAGAGACCTTCATTGCTCGTACTATATGGCCAGGTATGTTGTAATACAATGAAACAAAAACTAGGTTGTTGACAACACACTAACAACAACAACAACAACCAGACTCCATTCTCTTCAGAGTACATTCAAATTTATTGAAAGGTCGAGAACCATGTAAGATCATCACATCATCAATCGACCGATTGTTTAGGGACCCTCACATGTTCAACTATTACTTCTCAAAGATCATTCCTGATCTTTATGAGAACAGGGTTGGCATTGTCATTCTTTTCCCTCCAATGGAACTCCTCAAACATCTGTTCAATGACCATGGTATCATCACACTTGGTAGTCAAACACACATTGAGGAGAGTGTATATGAGCAAATCTATGCCAGCCCAGTGGTTGGAACAATCAATCGTATCACTGGTCGAGACAATTTCCCCATCAACGATCGAGCTAGAACACATGCCATCGCCAACTATCACAATTTTATCAAGAGGATCATCGAGACTGATAACCCACGCACTGTCCATTTCTTCCCCATCACCATTACCACAGACAACCTCTCATTCTTTCAGTCCTCTGTATTCAATGCATACATGTTCAGGACATATTTTCAAATGATGATGTGGTCCGCACCTCCACTCAGTCTGGATGGGACATTGCAAATCAGGTCGATCAAGAGTATTATTAGACAGACGAACAAGGCTGGCAAATCAACACCAATGACATTGGCCAACATGATTGACGCCATCACATTCAGCACCAATCTCCACAAAGGTGATGTATTGTCAGCAAACAACAACACAATGGTTGATAGAAAGATCAAGAAAGATACTCTAGCTACAAGGTATGTATTCAAACGAATATAAAATCAACTACAAAACTCACAAACTCATATTAATTGAAACAACCAGGAATCGATACGAGACTATCTTCACCAACTCATTCGATTACGGCAGTAACAATAGACAGACACAGACAGTCAACTGCCAATTGTGTAAGGAGTGCAAAGATCTAAACGCCATTGGTAGATATAGCAAGTTGTTCTGTTCGCAGAAGTGTCAAGATGATTGGCTTCAAGGTGGGCAAGAACCTCGGATTTTATTCAAATGCACCAAGGTAGATTGTCATCGCTTCACACTCAAGGGTAACAAACTTTGTTACCTCTGCAGGGACTTGGCAACCAAGATTACAAATAGTAATAACACCAATGGTTGGTAATGGTCAAGGCATGGTCTGGTTGTGATAGTTCATGTCAATCTCATTTCATTCATTGAGATGTCAAAGCAACATTTTCAATCATGAGTAGACTTATTAAATGAACTATCATTATGGCATTTATTGTAAGATTTTGTGTGTGTGAGTATGGTTCTTTCAATCATTCGAGAAGGATACACTGAACAATATTTATCTACCTTAATAAATAATGTCTTTTGTCAGATTCAGATCGATTCTCCCCAAGAGTAGAAGTTAAATAAATAAAAAAAAATATATTTTTTATTGGTTTTTTATATTTAAATAATTATATATGATTGGAAGAGGGAGAATTAGTTATGAGTATTGGGTATCTTCATATCCAATAATTATTTAATTAAAAAAAAATTTTGATTAAGTTCTAATAATAATAATATTTTTTGAATTATACACAATGATTAATCACCACACCTCTTAAGAATGAAGAGTATACTTTGGAAGACATAGAAGAAGATGACTTTAACAATTTGGATTTGGTTACTTTTTGATCAATAGGGGTCCAGAAGTTTTTTTTTTTTTGGATGTATTCTACATTCTACATTCTACATCCAACCTCAAGGACAAGCCATTCAAAGCATATTACCTTCCATTTCAAGGAGAGATGTAGGGTAAAAAAAAAAAAAAAAAATAGGTTTGTATGCATTCTGTGAGATTCGAACTCACGAACCTTGCGGACCAGAACTTGAGTCTGGCGGATTTAACCACTTTCCTAAGAATGCCTCTGTTAAACCAACAACCCAACTATTGTTTATGACGGGTATTTTTGCTTTTTTTACCAAATAATGCCAACCAACAGTTATTCTAGAAGAAAACAAATGTTATTTTTAAATTAATTTAATATTTTTTCTAATTCTTAAATGATTATTTTTAGATACCCATTGTAATAAAAAATATCTTACTGGGACACATTTTATCAATTAAATACAATTGTTGAGGACCTCCCCATTTTTTTGTGAACAAATTTCGCAACACCTTTCTTTGATCAAGACCCTACCATTCTACAACAATCACAAACACACACAACACAACACAAAATCACTGACTTGTCAAACATACAAATACATACAACAACAACATCAGAATGGAATATAAACTACTATGTATGTTGCTATTGGCAACATTGTTAGTGTCATCGTCATGGGCCATCAAGAGACCACAGGCCTCGACTCGCAACAGCATACAGGTCACATCACACAACAGCCCACCACTGCCACTGATCACATCGGACTGGAGCTCCATTGCCCAGACAGAAGAGACTTGCATGCAGTGCGTACAATTCTTTAATGTCTACCTGCAAGAGATCATTGACATCATCACCGAGTATGGCGTGGAAGAGTCGTGCTCGCTGATTTGTGGCCACCTAAACAACTCAAATGCACGCACCACTTGCACGGTGCTATGCGACGTTATTGGTGTCGACAAGTTCTGGAAGATCTTTTTGCTCGATGGTATCAATCCCATCTATGCCTGTCAGATGATCTCGACTTGTCCGATCGGAGTTGATCCTGCTGTCGACTTTCAGTCGTTTGCCATCGCTCCAAAGTCTGGCTATCCAGGTCAGGCCTTCACCATGACACTCAACTTTACAGTAATCAATGCCACTGGTACAGGTCAATTTACATATGTAGTATTCTACTGTGTAAATAATTCAAAGTATTGTAGGTTATCATGAACGAAACTGGTGCCATATTCCATCGATACTAATTGCATCAATCTTCATATCAATGGTACAACACAGTGTACTCTCAGACATTCCCAAACTATACACCAGGAACATACTCTGTTGACTTTGTCTTCCAGACTAGTGACAATGGAACCTTCCCATTTGGTGCCTATCCAGTTCAAATGTGTAAGTATTCATAGTACTAGGATACCAGATTATAGACGACTGACACCATCCATCCATCGATCAATCAATCATCACGATCACATAGTCATGTGTGCCAATGAATGTGGAACCACAACTCCATACTCTGTAGCATTGAATCAATCGGCATTGATTGAGTTTGATCTATTAGAACCTCAAGCATCACTCTAATCAATCCATATCCATCCATCCAACCAACCAACATCCACTTCCACCTCCACCTCCACCATGCCGACCGAGAGCCAAGGGTGGGTTCCACCACCCCCTCACTCCTCCAACCTATCTATCTATCTATCTATCTATTATACCTATCTGTTGTAACATTGTATATGTACCTTTCCCCAATTCTTTAGTTTACATTAAAGAATCAACCTCGACGAGCTTCATTAGCACATTTAACTTTACTTGTTACTTCCTTCCACCAGCAGAGGCCATTATTGGCGGTGGCGCTCCATTGCTATTCTTGATGGGCAGCTTGGCATAGATGGCCTCTGGCGATTCAGCAGGTGTAATTGGTGCTCGATCAAACTCATAATAGTTGAGTAACTCTTTGACAACATCCCATATCTAAGTTGATTGATTGATGGATGGATGGTGTTAGGACAAGTTCAGGACATTGAGAAAGATGTTGATGTATACACTCACCTCCTTCATGTCTATACTCAGCTCGGAGAACCATTGTTTCAAATCCTTCTTCTTGATAAAGGCCACTAGATATATACAGCCAAGGGCGATGATGTAGGGAGGGTAGAGTAGGGAGACATCGGTCTTGTATGAATCGTTTACAATGCCCCATACTGTATCCAAGCAGTCCAATCCACAGTTCTGCAAGTAGGTTGGAAGGCTCTTATATGGATGGAAGATGATCAGCTCAAAGCTGAGCTCCTCCAGTACGTAGAACTCGCACTCCAATATATCGTTCATTGTGAAGTTGAACGTCGTGTCAATCTCCTTCATCTTCATGGCACACTTCTTTGCCTGTGTAATAGACTCCTCCACCTTGGATGATAGATACAGACAGGTTGTTGCGATCAACCTTGGTTCACAATCAACAAAGCTATTCCTAATTATATCGGTTGGGATGTGTCAGTCGTCAAGTGTAGCGTAGTATGAATACATCAAAGTATCCAATACATACTTGAGATAGAATCGTTTAAAGAACACTATAGCAGTGGCTATTGCTCTCTGTCTAATCTTGAGTGAAGATCCAAGTAGTTGAATCACTGTTCACAAGTCCAATGAATGATTGTCAGTCAGTCGGTCAGTCAGCCAGTCAGTCTTCAATGCTCTCCATCAAACATACATTTACAATAGTGTATCCTCATTCTCCGTAACTCTACCAATGTTATATATTGCTTATCCTTCTGATTAGCGCACTCTATCTTTGCTCTGTCAAGTATCCATGCTTTGCTGTTGGTAGTGATTCCGTTCCAAGTTAGATTGGACATTGTTGGATAGACGTGTCAGCAACTTGTCCCTTGATGATAGTGATGGTGATGGTTATGCAACCATTCAAGTCAGTCCTACCAATGTGTTGAGTCCCAGAAGTTGGCCGCCATTATAATCCCGTCTTTATATAAGTTTGATTGATGATGTGATTGGTATGTTGGGATGGATATGAAGATGATAAATAAGTATATGTTTGTGTATATGTATATGTACAAGAGTTGACGTGAGTTGTCAATGAATGAATGAATGAATGAATGAACAACACAAGGTGAATGAAAATGAAGAGAGTCCCTCCGCTTAAACACAACCCATGAACTGTTGAGTTGGATAGACTAGACAACAACAGATAAGACAGAAGAGAGAAGAGAATAGATTAGATGTTATAACAAAAAGGGTTTTAATGGTAGTTGATGTGTATGGAGGTAATGATGTTTGAAGCTTGGGTTTTTGGGTAAGAGTAGCAGACTACTGGCCTTGCTACAACGTACTATAACATACTGGCAGCATTGCTTTGCATGCTGCTTGCCTGCTTAGTCGTGCTGCTGTTGTATCGCTGGGGGTTGATAATGAAGGTGGTGATTGGGGAGAGGATGAGACGGATGCAGGTTCATCGTAAAGTGAGTCGCCGCCGCCGCCTCTCTCTTGGAACAACATCAACAACAACCTTGTGTGGTCTTACTGGCTAAGTGGCATCAGTGGTTGACCTGGGCAGTTGGAGTCAGAGACACCAGTGAGCAAGATACCGACGATCAGTCCGTAGAGACCCAAGGCCTCAGAGAAAATGAGGATAAGCATCATAATGACGTAGAGCTTGACCTGCTGACCAAAGGCACGGACACCAGAGTCACCAACGATACCGATGGCCATACCGGCGGCGAGACCACAGAGACCGACAGTGAGACCGGCACCGAGGTCAGTGAAGGACTTGAAGAGGGTGTAGTTCTTGTCTGGCTTGAGACCTCCGACGATAATGACACAGATAATGAGACCGTAGATAGCAATGACACCAGCGAAAATCACTGGAATGAAGGCTCTAATAACAAGGTCTGGCTTCATGACACCCATGTTTGAGATACCGACGGCAGACTTGGCAGTTCCGTAGGCAGCTCCCATAACTTATTAATAATTAATGAGTGAGAGAAAGAATGAGTAGAAGAGAAAGAAGATATGTTGATATTAGTATATTTTGAACATGTGTGACATTGTCGTGATCTGTATGTTCGCGAGCGTACCTGTGAAGACGAGGGCAGCAGTGACACCCATGGCACCAAAGAATGGTGCGTAGACTGGGCAGGCTGGAGTGATAACACGAGCCAACAAGGCCAACAATTGAATCATCTTGTCTGTATATGTGTTTGTTTGTTTAAGTTTTAAACTTAAATAGAGAGGAGTATATATTAATAATTATATAATATAAGTACGACTTTGAAGGAGGTAAGGCGTAGTAATGAATGAAGACTAGTTGTCAAATGATCTGCGCGCAAGTCAAGTCTGGTGTGTGTGTGTATGTGGTTGTCAATGTTATTTTGTGCGATAGAGGAGACACTTGTGTGATATAAATAATAAAAGAAACGAAGCTTTTTTTGTTTTTTTTTTCTTTCAACCCCATCACTCTACCAGAATAGACTTGGTGGCGTGGTCGCTGGTGTGGAAGAGAGAGAAGTTTGGGCCTGGGATTGACAAACCATCCCACTCCCACACACTAATCGGATTCATTCGTGATGCCTGGTATCATTGTGTCTGTGTGTATCCGGCACACCCAGACAGCCACTGCCAACCAGCCAGTCAACAAGTAAAGTGTCTTGGAACAGTCTACCAACTTGAAAGTTGATCTGGTTGTTGATGGATGCATTGTTTCATTTACACAACAACAGTTGCCCTGGTTTATATATTTGTTCTCGATGTCATGTATGTATACTGGTTGGTTACAAAGATTGAGTAGTTAATTAAACCAGGCGTGTCGGTTGCAATATATTGCTACCAGAGAGAGTGAGAGAGAGAGACATTGCATTAGAGACAAATTGAGGGAGTTTGAGTGAGAGCTAAGCGATTGCTCGCTACAACTGTACATTGTTAACATCAACCGAACCGAACAATATCGACTCGAATGATATTTAGAGTTAGCCATATGTATAATGCTTAAAACTCATAGAGACAAGTCATGACGTCTATCAACTTCATTCATTATTGTAATAAGTACACCTCTTGATTGACATTGGGATGGTCACACTTTAGTACAGCATATCTTTTCGAGTTTGTAAGACACCTTGGTCGACCAGTCGCGAGACAGTCTGGTCCATTCACATCGCTGGACAACAGTGTCCAAGTGATATATAAATGTATAAATTTATATCATCCATGGTTCAAAATGATACATCAACGACAACCAAACCAATAACAACATCAAGGTTACATCTTTGAGTGATGCTGTATCTTGCGATGGTGTTGGCTATCAGAACTTAGTTTTAAAGGTCCACATATGTTTGATTGGTCAGTGACACCTGTGCCCCTAATGGAAGCACTGTTGTTCGGCCAATGACAACGATCCAACCAGAGAGTTTAAAAATAACATCACTCGATCTGGTCTTGTCCACACCCTTTTTTGGACAAAGGATGACCAACCGTCCGTCAAATCGCGACCAAACCAAGCCTCTTTTGGCAACACAGACATCAGACTTGGTTGGTTCAAAGGGGGAACCTTGTTTCAATTAATACTTAAATTCACAGTGAGCCATTATGGAAATGTTATAGGATTGATGGATGGGCCCTAGGTGCTTTCAGTGTAGTGTTCAGTCAATGACATCACAAGGTTGGTAGGTAGGTAGGGGGACAGTAGCATAAGCATCCCAGCTGGATACTTCCTCTGTCGACCCACATCCACAATCCTCTCTCTTTCACTCAATCACAACTACCCCCAATGTCGCATCACCATGCCTAGTCATTCAGTCGAGCCTACACTTTAATGTCCATTCTTCAGTAGACAATTCAACAAATATCATGATCAATTTAACTATTATCATCATATAGTTCATTAGTTAAAATAATAATGAGTAATTTATATGATACATAAATAATAACAATTATAATATTATATTTTTTTTTTGGACAGAAGTAGAACAAGGATAAAGACAAAGACAAAGACAATCAATCATATTTAAATTAAAATAGTTCATGAATTATATGATAGGTAGGTACCAGCAAATCAATTGATTCACCAATAATGAAAGGATAAATATTATATAAGATCGTATGAATATTATATCTATATTTTATATATAAATAATATATATAAATTATATATATATATATATTTATATATCGGTTTTGATCTATATTAATGTCTCATATAAACTCGGCCCCCACCATTTAACCTTTTTAAGCCTCGCTTTGAGCAAAATCGTTCGGTAGACAGAGTTTCGAAGGTGGTGGTTGGAACTTTGATTCTAAATTCAGACCTAACAACACCAGATTAATCAATCGTTTCCAGATGTGACTACGGTATTCGTTTCGTTAACATCCGAGTCTTTCACGTTCGCCCGAACGGTCATTCATTTTATTTACCAGTTAATTAATTCTCCATCTCTTTAATACTCAACCATTGTTATTACAATTTAATATATATATATATATCATTATTATTATTATTAATATAGATTCTGTCGATTGATTATTATTATTGTTGCTATTTAATCTCTCAAACTCTATCTATTGTAAAACAACAATTAAATAGATGATAGGTAATTAATTAATTTATTAACACAGTCTTTATCTCTTTGTTCATTCTATCTCTATTTAACTCAGTTACAAACAAACTATATTGAATAACTTCACCTCTTACACCATATTTTCCCTTTAAAAACATTTATTCATTGAGAGTGTGAGTCCCAATCTTGTTACCAACATCATATCATATCACATCATACCCAACCACATCAGCCATCATCTCAAGACTTCCACATATCCTTTTATGGTAAAGTTAGTATTATCACCCCAATCTCAATCTTTAATCACACACATTTATAAGTAGTATTGCTATACCCATCCATTGTCATTAATCACCACAATCAAATAATAACTTGTGATGTTTATTAAGATAAAGGGTGGAGTTGTTGTGTCCTTTTGTTGAAGTGTGTGGGGAGGCGTGCATTGTGCACTAATGTGTAAGGATGTACTTCCATCACTTAACTTCACTTCGATGCATGAGTGAATGACTGTATCTCTAAGTTATGTGTGTGTGTGTTCATGCGTGTGTGTACTTATTAGGCAGTAGTCCACCACCGAATAGGAAGGACAGGACGCGAGAAGATAAAGGTAATGGTGACCAAAGTGATGATGGTGATGGTGCAGGTGTAGGTGTTGTTGACAAGCCCTTCTTTCTTACTTCAAAAGGACCTGACCACCTTCGATGACTAGCCATGAGCATCCGCCGGCGGTCCCTTGCTTTGACCACGCCTTTATCCCCATCCAACCATCGCCCATCAGGTCATTCATCTCCATCATCATCTCCAACATCTCCCCAGTTACCATTCATTCTTCATTCAAGGATTACTCATTGTCATTGTGACCAACCTACCAACCAACCAACAAACAATAATCATACCATCTTATAACATAGTGCTATTTGACCAAGCATCATGATTATCATCTTAAAGAGTTCTTAAGATTGACTAACTTCACCATCGTCATCCATCAGGAAGTAATCAGCTATTCGAAATTATAGCCCGAAGAATCATCATCAACAACAACAACATCAACAACTACAACAACAACAGATTCATAATCAACTATTATATATATGAATGTCTTCTGTAGCATCTATGGATACATTATTGAAACATTATTATGATAATAACCTTATGATGGCGGACACCATGTGGACCATGTGGTACTCCATTCTCTTGGCATCACTGGGAACCATTGTATACTGGAAGAGAAGATCAATAATCATAATTCTCTATAACTACTTTGTTGATTTCCCCGCCAACAACAACAACTACAACGTCGACAACAACACAGTTGACAACAACACCATCGACAACTCTTCAGAAGAAGCAACAACATCTTATTTATTAAACAAACAATCACAAGACACAGATAACAACAACAACATCAACAACAATAACAATAATAACAACAATATAGTCAATAACAATAATAATAACAATAACTTGATAACATTGTTCAACTTATCATTTGGAGGAGTAATCATATTGGATATACATTATAATATAATATCAGTGTTGGATACTGCCAAGGACATTGTACCAAATTGGAAGGAACTAAAGGGTACCAGCTTCCTCGAGTTGGTCACACCAGAGTATCAAGGCGCCATCACTCAATATCTCGAGACCAATCTCCAAATGGCAATGCCCACACCCTCAAGCTCAATCGATGTAGACATTGCCCTGCTGACCCAGCGCCAGGTACTGAGTCAATGTCCAACGTCCATCGTTATTCATTTCCGCACATACGATCGCCAGGCTATCCCCGTGGAGGTCAAGATGACTACCCTGGAGTATGGACCATCCAACAATGTAATAGTCCTGGCACTCAGGGACATATCCAAGCTGAGTGAGTTGACCGAGGTGGTCAACAAGATCGATCAATGCCGAACAAACGATGCCAAGGTCGACTTGTTGTCGCATATCTCACACGAACTGAGGAATCCAATCAGCTCAATCGTCGCATCTGTACAGCTGCTCCGTGCGACCGAGCTATCATCACTTCAACGCGAGTACCTATCATTGGTCGACTCATCAGCCACATCCCTCCTGGAACTCATTGGACAAGTGTTGGATATTGACAAGATTGGCTCGGGCAAGATGAGACTACACAATGTTGACTTCAATCTAACGCCACTGGTTGAGGATGTGTGCGCCATCGTCAGCACACAGGCATTAAGGAAGGGTGTACAAGTTGGAAGCTATATCTACACTCCATGTCCACTAAGTGTCTATGGTGATCCTGTTAGACTAAGACAGATATTACGTATGTATTGTATTGTTTTGATGGATATAAACATTTACTAATTCTATACAACATCAAGTTAATCTATTGAGTAATGGAGTCAAGTTCACTAAAGAAGGCCAGGTGGTTGTCATTGTGGAGCCAGTGTCATATACAGAGACCAGCCATACACTGCGGTTTGAAGTACGTGACTCTGGAATTGGCATTGAACACAACAAGATCCAAAAGTTGTTCAAGAAGTACTCCCAAGTACACAATGGAAAGATGTCCGAAGAGATGGGCGGGCATGGACTTGGTCTTGTTATATCTAAAGGTAAGTCAGTCAAATGAATGAGTTTGATTGAATGACTATCAATTTACTGACATCACATTCTAATCAATTAATATAGATCTCGTTGACATGATGGGTGGCAATATGTGGTGCAAGAGTACACCTGAAGGAAGCTCATTCTTCTTTACCATCAAGTTTGAGGTGCCACAGAAACAATTGCCATGTCCTGTTCCCAACTTTAATGGATTGCGAGTGTTGGTGGTCGATGAGAATGAGATCATTCGTTCGGTGATTTGTTCCTACCTCAAGGAATGGAATTGCCAGACGGTGGAGTGTGCCGAGGTGTCCGAGTCGGTGAAGGAACTCAAGGCCCGATGCGACACCAAGGAGAGGATTGAGCTTGTCATTGTCGATGTCGACAACACCACACTCAAGTCATTCCTCAAGCTCAAAAAGACCAAGGAGATGGAGGACTATGGCAAGATTGGCCTGATCATCATGTCCAAGGACAGGTCGGTCGTTCATGGCATTGGTGTCAGCAACACAGCCAAGCTCACAAAGCCCATCCGTCAATCACACCTGGTTGCCTGCATCCTGGCCAGTATGCCCGATCACCCACTGGTCTCCCCCGACATTGTGTCGTGCAATGGCCGTTCCACAGCGCAGCTCCCACCTCACCAGCCCCTCTGGAGCAGCGACTCATTCTCCTCGGTGCTCAACTACCATGACCAAAAGGACACATCGGCCGTTAAGAACATTGCCACCTTCAATCCACTTGGCGATCAATTGACTGCCTCTGACGTCTTCACCAACGTCTCTGCTGACAAGGTGTACCGCCCACCCTTTAGGAAGATCACCCGTCGTCATTCAATCGACATCATCATGTTTGAGGGCGCACCTCAGTCCCCTGCCGATGACCCCAACGGTAGCACCAGACACATGACCATCAATGAGTATCCCTGTGTGGTTGACTCTATCCCCTTCAGGGGCGGTCTGTCCGAGACACCAGACAGCTCAGCCTCGCCCAGCGATGTTGGGGAGACCTCTCCCAAGATGCCAAGTGGATACATTTCCGCGATGAGCTCATCCATCTCCACAACGCCCGCTACCAACAAGGAGAATGAGTCCGTACTCATCGTGGATGACAACGAGGTTTGCTTGAAGCTCACGAAGCGCGTGGTAGAGGCTGCCGGTTATCCAGTGTGCGCAGTGAGTCGAGGCTCCATTGCGCTGGAGGAGTTTGACAAACACGACTATGGCATCATCCTGATGGACTGTGAGATGGAGGACATCAATGGATACAAGTGCACCGAGATCATTCGCGAGAGGGAGACAATTAGAACAGTCTCATCAATCAACTCTGGAAAAGTGCCACACGTGGCCATCATCGCCATGACGGCCTACCCTGAGGAGGACACCGACCAGATGAACAAATGCTTTGCATCGGGCATGGACGACTACATTTCCAAGCCCTACCAGATCGGCCACCTGCACGCCACGCTCAAGAAGTGGCAGGATCGTGTGTTGGAACAGCGCGCCGGCATGAACGAGAGGATCCAATCAATGAACATGTTCCCGCGCGTAGAGTCCGACTCTGACTCGTCCAATGGCCATTCGAGCGACGAGTGCGAAGACGATCAGGCAGTAGCAGCAACCACCATGCCAGCGACCAACTCGATGAAGATCACATCAAGCGACGCCGCCAACCAGAGCATCCTACATCCGTCCTCGTCCTCCTTGCTACCCACTGCTGCTCCTACTATCAATAACAGCTCTGGTTAGTGTGAACAGCCTTGCCAACCTGATCTTGTATACCTTGTACCCTTTTATTCTGCTTCTTCCTCTTCATTCTCGAGACGACTAGTCGCTGTGATCATGATGATACTGATGCTTGGTATGTTTCGTAGTAATACATGTTGTTGTTGTTGGTGTGTTGTTGACAGAGCTGCAAGCTAGTTGGACCGTGATCAATCCTTAAAGAGTCTCTTTCAAGAGGATGACATCGACATTGTCGTGGACACGTTGCAAGAGGATCTCACCATCGTAGTTGATGATCTTTCTCTTCTTGGCAGCCTTCAAGGTTCCAACAAGAGCCTCAAAGATGTTGGCAACTGAAGATATATATTGTATATAGTATGTCAGTACATTTGTAGATCATTTATATCGATCAATCGATCAATCTATACCTTGGTCATCATTGAAGAGGACGCCAAACTTGACGACGGTGGTTCCGTTTGGTTGAGCAGTGCCCAGACGCTTAATCTCTCTAATCAAGAGGGTTACTTCGTGATCAACGTTCATTATTATTATTTATAGATACAGATACAAAGGTGTTGTTTACAATAATGATGGAGAGTGACCCAAAGATTTTTATGATGATGGACTTGGTTTGTTTTCCAAGATGATCACATACCCTTGCCCTAACACAAGCCTCAATCCATCAATGATTATAATGTTGGGATGTTTCCATTTACATAGACACTTTTAATAAATAATTAATTACAATTAATTGTCCATCAAGTAAGATAGGACTATCGGTTATGTACAAGTGAGAGATGGGTTGGCATTTCTATAAATTGATAGATTGATTGATTGTTAGTGATCATATACTTTAAAGGAGCGAGTAGGTTTGATTGATCACATACCTTTTCCTTGGACTTGACGACCACAAACTCCACATGAATAGGTCTTGGCCAGACATAGGTCTCTATGATCATCCATCTGGATGAACTTGATCAATTTGTTGCAGTAGTTACATTTGACTTGGCGGAACAAACACTCGACATTCTTGTGATTGGTCATTTGATGGAAGCCAACTTGGGATCCACATGCATCACACTCTGTCATTGAGTTGCGTGGTAATATACCTCCAGAGTTTGGCTCACGAGTTGGATTATGATGTTGATGATGGTTATGATGAGAGGAACCCTTGTTGTTGCTTCCAGTGCTGGCACTGTTACTCCTCTCCTTGTTCTTGTAATAGTTGTCTACAATGTCATGACCTTTGTAATCAAAATCATCAACCTTGAAGTCATCATTGAGGCAATCACCACCACCAACCAATGATGTTGCTCTATGTCTACCAACATGTCCATGATAGTCATTTCTGTTGCTATAGGCCACAGAAGGGAATTGACGTAAAGGTGTTGGTGGCTCAGTCTTTGATCTCTCCCTTAGTGGTTCTATCGATTTGAGACGTGCCTCTTCCTGTTGTATCTTCATTGCCAATTCGTGATCGTTGAGGAATTGCTTCTTCTTGTCCTCGACCATCCTCCAAGCCTTGTTCTGGTCCTCGTCATAGTCCAATTGATTTCCAGACTCAAAGGCCATTGAACTACCAGGGAACACTGGCTCAGAGTCCTTTGTCAATCGCAGTCCAAACATCTCATCCAAGGGTATCTCTGCCCTGGATGTCATCATCTGATGTTGGTTGGCCGCTAATTGTTGGATACCAGGTTTTTGGACGTTGGCATATGCTTGCTGTTGTTGTTGAAGTTGAAGTTGATACAAGGCAAATGATTGTTGTTGATTGGAGGAGTGAGGAAGATAGAGTAATTGTTGTGTTTGAGCGTGTGGATTATATACAGGTTGCTGATGATGGTTGGCAGCAATATAGTTGGTTGGTAATGAGTTGTTTAGATTGGTAGTTGGGTGTATTATGGGTTGGACTGGTGTTGTTGATCCCAGTGATTTGGTCAACTGTTTGTTGGGTATAGCTGAGGAGGTTGGCGGGGACTTGGCCTTCTCATTCAAGTAGTGATGTTGATCGAATGGTTGAGTGGAGAAGGGTGGGAATGAGTTGTCATGTCTGGATGGATGACTGTGTACCATATAAGTACTTGGCGTTGCCGAAGACAAAGACAACTCTTCAAACTCACTCGCCAACAATGGTGGGTTTCGTGAGCTGTTACTGGACTTGCGATGATTTGGTGATGTAACATCACGTGCTGGCGAAGATGAATGGTATGATGAGGATGAGGCGGAGGCGGGGGAAGAACTGGTAATGTTGATATTGTTGTTGAATGATGTTGGAGAGAGTGCTGATGATGAGGAAGATGGGTGGCCAGAGGTGTAGATGGGAGATGGCACATCCTTGTTTGTTGCGATCCACCTCTTCTCCACATACTTGAGTCTAATGAATTCTCTAACCTTCTTCTCTTCCGATGGTAGTGGTATTGGGAATTCCTTATGACTCCATCTTGCTAACCAAATATCCTTCGCTCTCCTATTTCCAATTGACTTTAACTTGGCCACATCATCATCTGTGAACTTATCAGTCGACAAGCATTTGACTCTATTGCCAAACTCACGACTATATTACATAATATTATACAGTTAGATGATTAATTGTTTGATAGATTAATTGCCGGTTCGATACTTACTGAATAGCTCCACAGACTGAACAAACGAATGTACCAAAGCTGGTATTCATATACCTTGGAAACTACATTATTATTGGTTGTTTTTTAGTATTATGTTTAATTATCGATGATAATAATAATAATCAGTTAATACATACACTATCAGTGCAATCAGCACACTTATTGTTGTCCTCGGCCTCTCTTAATTCCCAAAGGAATGATTCATTCTTTCCAAGCTTCTCTCTTTCAATCATTCTTTAAGTTATGTACAATTAAATATAATAAATAATAAAATAATATTATGATTGGATGGATAGGAATGATTAATTAATTAATTAATGGATTGAGTATGGAATGAATCTTTGATGATCATCAGATTGGATTGATTGATCAACAGATAAATGATTGAGTGATATGGGGTGGTTTATCGTTTATATCTTTGTGGGTGGACGATATTGGGATAGAATAAATGAATGAATGAATGAATGATTTAGTGTGAACAGATATGTCCAAACAGTTAGATATAAGTAATACTGTTGTTGTTGTTGTTGTTGTTATTGTTGTGTTGATTTATTATATTTGTTATATTTCTCAAAGCAATAAAGAGGGAAGTGACAAATAACTACAACGTCTTTGTTGACTTTGTTGAATGTGTTTGGTGTATATGTGTTACCAACTGCCTAAAAGTTGTTGTTGTTGCTGGATGTCATTGATCAATAAATCAATCAATCAATCAATCAATCACTTCTCCACTCTCTTTCTCACAGTTCACAAGTAAGTTAACTTGCCAACATCCAACAACAAGTAATGAAGATTCATATAATCTCTTAACTATTATTTTAATTTATTTACACACACCTAACATGTACTGTATGTGTCAACAAGCACCAGTGCAAAGAAAGGCTGCAATGTTGATCACCCCCTCAACACCCACCAATCACTAAATCATTCACTAACCACCAATCAATTAAATACATTGCCCCCCACCACCACCTATTATTATTACAACGATGTTATGAGTGGGGTTAGCATTCATTCGAAAGGTTGTTGTACTCGATCAATCCGGCAAGGATGCTTCCAAGCCTCTACTTTTATTACATGTTTGAGTGGTGTGAGCTATAACTCACACACGTGTTCCTTACTCAGTGGAGCTTTGCTGATGATGACTGTCGGCTTAAGAATGGGAATGCACTGTGATGATGGTGATGAGACGCGGGTGCCGAAGGACTGGTTGGCGAGGTGGTCGTTGATGATGATGATAGCGCAGTTGGAGGAGGTGATTGTGGCGGCGGCGCCATCAATCCAGACGATGACAATGATGAAGAGCTGCTGATTGGATTGTTTCCACCATTGGACGTCGAAGATGATGACGAGGCCAGATCATCAATCGACCAAATCTTTACAAGTTTGTCCTTGGACGACGTTGCCAACTTGTTGTCCTTAAAGTGCAATGAGAAGATGGTCTCGTGATGTCCACCCATTGTCCTGCAGGTCTGATTGTTGTACGGGTCCCAGATGCGGATCACTCCGCTCTTGCCCGACGAGATGATCTTGTACGGGTCGAACTGGACGCTCCACACCCATTGCTTCTGCTGCGTCTCTTGCGGGATGAACGTGTTGATCGTGCGGCCCGTGCCAATGTCCCACAGCTTGACTGTGCCGTTGCCGCACCCCGTCACCGCCTGGCCACCCACGACGTAGACGCTGGTGACGTCGTCGTCTGCCGAGAACACTCGCACGCATGTCGATGTCCGAGTGTCCCATACGCGCGCCGTGCAGTCGGCCGATGCGCTGACCACCGTGTTGTTGAACAATGTGTTGTTGCCACAGCTGTCGCGGTCGTAGCGCACGCTGTAGATGCCATTGGTGTGGCCCAGCAGTGTGGACAGCGTCGAGCCAGTCTCGGCGTCCCATATATGCAGCGTGTTGTCCAGTGAACTTGTGAGCACCTTGCCCTCGACGTCGCCCAAGAAGTTGATCGATGTCACTGCCTCCTTGTGGCCAGTGTATGTGCGCGTCGCCTTTTTCGTCTTGGTGCTCCACACCTTGGCGCTAAAGTCCGAGGAGGCCGTGAAGAGACGTGACAAGTCGTTACAATTGTCCACGGCTTGCACGATGCCCGTGTGGCCCTTTAGCGAATAGAGATGCTTGGCTTTCTTGATATCCCACATCTTCAACTTCTTGTCCTCGCCGCCACTCATCACGAATGAGTCTCCAACCAGCTTAACACTGTATATACACTTGGAGTGGCCCTTTAGCGTGCTCTGATTGATCTTTGACTCGAACCATGTCCTTTGTTTGCTGTGTTTGATTGATTGATTGAGTGAGTGAGTAAGTGATTGGGGTCGTTCACCAAGCTCCACACGACTTACGCTTTGATGTGAATGTAGGATGCCTTCCACGACTGGTCTTTGGATATCTTGTTCATTCCGCGATGATTGCAGAACCTGCTCCAGAGGTCATCGTCGTCAAAGATATTCTTCCATGCCTTGCAAACGGATGATGCTGCCGCTGTGGATGCTGGCGACAGACAACTGAAGATGAGTATCATTAATGATCGCGGAAGTGAGCTCATTGTCGCTGGTGCTGCAGTCGCCACCACTGTAGTCGGCGTGGTGGACGTAGCGTTTGGTGATTGAAGTGGTGAAGTGGTCAATGAGAAGCGGTACTTGGGCGGTGTGGGCACGGGCACGGGTAGCTCCTGCGCATCGATGATGTTGGACAGGAATGGGTGCTTGAGTAGCGCGCCAGCGTCAGGTCGTTCCTTTGGATCGCGCTTAAAGCACAATGTCAAAAAGTCGATTGCCTCTGGCGACATGGTGTTGGGGAAGTTGGGCATGGCGCTGGTGGACGCGATGTGGTACATGACGGCTGCCATCTCGGTGATGTTGGACCAAGGTGGCGCGGCCGTGGCCATCTCAATGATCACACAGCCCAGACTCCAAATATCGGAGGAGCGGCCGTGTCCGGTCTGCTTGATGACCTCGGGCGCCATCCAGTAGGGCGTGCCATGCATTGATTTGAACTGCGACACGATGCCGCTGAACATCTTTGAGCAGCCAAAGTCGGTGAGCTTGACAGAGCCCTTGGTGTCAATGAGAATGTTCGCGCCCTTGATATCCCTGTGTATGATCTGGTTGCTGTGAAGGTATTGCAGACCTTGCAGTATCTGTTTGGTGTACAGCTTGATGATGCTCTCGGAGAACGGGCCAAACTTGCCCAGCAGCGAACTGATCGATCCGCCCGGTATATACTCCAGGAACACATTCAAATGAGTGCTGTCCAAGCATGTTCCAAGATATCTAACAATGTTATCATGTTTAAGTAGTCGCAGTACCTCAATGTCCTTGCTGAATGATAGCAGCATCTGATTGTTTGAGACTGAGTGTTAGAGTTGCGCACGCGCCTGGTCCGCCTGACTTGTCTCGAGATACATACTGATTTGTACTTGGCATCAATGACGTCGACTAGTTCGAGCTGCTTGACGGCAACAAGCTCGCCAGTGTCGCAGTTTAGACCGAGGTAGACAGCACCGTAGCCACCTCGGCCAAGAAGTTGTCCCTTCTTCCATCGGATGGGCTGTAGATTGACGAGCTCCTCATGCTCATTAATGATCAATGTTGGGAAGTTGTTGAACTTTGTCATGTCGGCACTTCCTCTGTTTGTGTTTGGACTGTTGTTCATGTTGTTGCCGCTGCCGCCACTCGTGTTGCCGCTGCCGCCACCGCTATTGTAATTATTATGATTGTTGTTGTTACTTGTATTATTACTACTGTTGTTGCTATTGTTACTATTGATACTTGTGTTGCCTATGATGCCACCATTCATCATCATCACTTGGGGTGATGATGGTCGAGCCAACACTCGTCCGCCACTCTCGCTGCGTGGACGGAAAGGATTGATGATTCCACCACTCGAGTTGGACATGGCGTGACCGCCTCCATTGTTGTTGTTCTGATTGCTATATATTCCGAAATGCTGCTGTTGCTGCTGATGCTGCTGATGATGCGGCTGCATGGGCAGCGGCTGTGAAAATGTCAACTGGTTGTGGATGGTGCCCAGGTCGAGCGGGTCGTCTGGCTCGTCATCCAAGATGAAGTCATCGTGATTGCCAATGGAGGGACGGTGCACGCGCATGAATGAGCCAGAGTTTGGTGAACCGCCAGGGGGAGGCGAGGGCGGTGGCGTGCGAAGAGGGGGCGGGTACTTTGGCGAGCCAGGCGGAGTGCGCAACGGCGGTGTCAAGTCCTTTGTACTGTTGGTACTGGTGTTGTTGATGTTGTTGCCGCTGCCGCCGCCGCTAAAGCTCGATAGGATGGAGGAGTGTGGGGGCGAGTAGCTGGTGATCGGCGAGCCGTACACAAAGGAGAGCGGCGAACCGGGTGGCGAGGGAGGTGGTGTGCGCAGTGGTGGCGCGTTCGAGCCCTTGCGCGGTTGAATGATCAACGACGATGATGACGAGCTTGGTGTCACATTATTACTGCCATTGCCATGAATGTGTCCTATGCTACTGTTGCTCATGTTGATGCCTGTAGTCATTGGCGACGAAGCTGCCGACGACGCAGCATTCGAATGGAAGCTTGTATTAATCTGTGAGTCGCGATGTTGCTGTTGCTGCTGCTGTTGTTGTAGCTGTTGTGTGTCGCGGAGTGATCCGGCATTCATAGGCTTGAGAAAGAACTTGAACAGCCTCGTTGGCTGGTTGGGGTTATGGTGCAAGCGTAGCTCATTGCACATGTTGAAGGCTTCTAGCAGATCTTCGCGTCCGCGTACACTTATCGTGTCGCCCTCATTGTCTTCATATTGATAAATTACAACTGGTAGGCCAAAGTCATTCTCCAACTGTTCCAACAGTCTCTCATACGCAATACTAGCGTTGACCTTTATAATCCTACATTCGCCTCCTAATATACATTTGATCCTTATACTCTAAAGTTGGTTTGATTGATTGATTGGTTGATTGATTGATTGATTGATTGTTAGTCATGTTCATTGACCATTGACATTGTACATTGTACATACTTGGTCTAATGATGATGATGATGACGATGATGATGATGTTGATGATGTTGAGATGCCTGTCGAAGACATTGTGTTGTCAGTCCGGGTCCGTCTATCGGTCCTTGCTGGGTCCTCGTTGTCTCGACAATGCACCAATCAATGCTGTACAGATTATAACAAAGATTAAGATTTAAAAGGAGATGAATGTGATTGATGTATGAGTGAATGAATGAATGTGTTTGATGAATGAATGAATGTGGAAGTGAGTGTGTGTATGTGTGTGTGTGTGTATGTGTGTGTGTGTGTATGTGTATGATTGATGGGAAACAACAACAAAACACTACTTGTCGCACAAACAATGCAACACCCTGTTTTGATCATGATTTTTTTTTATGAATCTGGTATGTTTTGATCAATCAAATAATGATCAAACTTTCATCAAAAAAGTCATATGTTATGGGACATCTACAAAGTTGTTCATTACTCACACTCAGGAGAATGTCTCATTCATTCAATCATTCAATCAACATCATCAACATGAGTAATACGATCGGTGATGATGATCATCATGGACATGGTCACGGTAATGGACATGGACACGCACATGGACAGGATGGTCAGTGCTCTCATATGGAGTTGAGCAGTACATCACAGTCATTGGATGAGTTGGAGTTTGAACGTGGAGTATGGGGAGCAGTAGTCAATAACAATGTGGACAAGTTACGTTCATTGTTGAATGGCAATGCTGCATTATCAAATGCTGTCGATAGGACTGGTTACTATCCACTACACTATGCTGCAAGACACAATGACACCAAATGTCTTGGTCTCCTACTCGACTCTGGTGCTCGAGTCAATGTGATCACTGATGGTGGCGCCACTCCACTTCATCGTGCAGCATTCTGCGGTGGTATCAATGTATGTATAAATACTTAAACATGTTTGAATGAGTGAGTGAATGATGTTTGTTCAACTTGTTAACCATACCTGTATGTTATATAGAACTGCAAACTATTGCTTGAGCGTGATGGTCGTGTGTTGGATCAACAGGATGCAGATGGAATGACAGCATTACACAAGGCATATTCACAGAACAACTTGGATGTGATTGAATATCTCATTCAGCGAGGCGCTGACACAAACATCAAGGACAGGAGAGGCAAGATACCATCAGAGTACAAACCTTGAACATCTCTGGAACTTGAGTTCAAACATCTTTGGTCTCACATTGTGACCACAAAGTCATGGTCCCCTTCCCTCCTTTTTGGTTCGTCAAGGACCTGGCCTGGTCTTCACCCTCGACCGATATATATTCACTCACCCAAAGGATAGATCAAACTGGTTGTTGGATGGACGCTTTGGACCATGGAGTCCATGATGCCATCCCAAGGCGATGCTTTTGGAATAGTTCCAAAATCAATCCAGTCCATTTTGTCCAGGGAAACAAACACTCGACCAACTGATTGTCAATCTTCGGAATAAATTAAGAATCTGATCACATGATCGTCAATCACATGTAGTGTGTTTGAATGATTGAATCAATGTTGATCATTGTAATTGAATACATGTAATATATATATATATATAGATGAATGAATGGAAGAACAATGTAGAATAGATAATGAAAAGACCTTCCAGAAGGCATTGTCACGTGCTGAACCTATTGGTAAACTGGCAAAGTACTTGTTGGCACATGAACGTCATTTGCTAGACACTGGTGCACTGCTCAATATAACACATAGAGGATCAACATCAATATGGCTAGAGGCACCCAGTACCATACCACCAGTCGACATGACCAATGTATATCGTCCAATGGGTGACATCGAAGTACTCTACCTCGTGACCAACCATCATCTTCCTGACACTCAACCGTATGTACCTCACTCATTGGCCACGATCACTCACTAACTGGAACTATTCCATTATAGATACCAAGCAATCATTGAAGGAGAGATTGGAAGAGCATATGCAAATAAGTACTTGACTGGAAAGAAGTGGACAGATACTAATCCTTCGACTGTTGTGGAGTTCACTTGTCCAAAGAGTTTGGTTGAGAAGCTAAAGACGATACAGATGAAGGTGGAAGATGGTGCACTGTCAATGGGTCTGGGAAACAAAGCAGGTGGTGGCCTCATTCACTTCAACGAGAGTATGATCAATGGACAAACAACCTATCGCATCGTCAAGATTAAGCGTGGACCACCAGAATGATTGGAATGAATGAATGAATGATTGATTGATTGATCAATGTGAACCCGTGTYCCTAACGGGTCCATGCAGTGACCAAACATCATGTTTATGTGATTGAATGATTGATTGATTGATCACTCAGTAGTCGTCATAACGTTTGTAGCGATTCTTCTCACCGCGCTCAGCAATCTCATCCTTGGTGTAGTTCTTGAACTTGCCATAGTTGCGATTGAACTGCTTGAAGATGTGTGAGCAGGTACCTTTGTTGACTACTTTGGTCTTGATGTCGGATGGCGAGATGAACTTCTTGCCAGAGATCTCGGCGTAGACGAATGACAGGATAATGTCCATGGCCAAGGCGATCAGGATGTAGGCATCACGTGTGATGATCACCTCATTCTTCTTGGCATGCTTCTTTATCATTGTTTTGGCCACCTTTACAAGGTAGTCGCGGTCCACACGGCTCGACTGATCCCTTGCTGGTGGCTTCCATCTGTTGGTGATCGTCTTGTCGCCCCACTCCTGGTCCACGTTGGCGGCCAGGTCGCCAAAGAGGTCCTGCGACACCTCGCGCACGGCGGCGGTCGTGATGTAGATTGTCTTCTCGTCGCCAAACTTGGTTAGCGCGAGTTCGAACAATGTGTCGAGTATAAGACCTCGGAGATCTGAGAAGAGATGTGCCATCATCTTCTTGGCGGGCGCCACCAACCATTGACCATGACAACCGATCGTCTCCGATGTGAACCTTTGGACCATCACCGAATCTGTTATTGCCAACTTGTCCACTCCCTCGTCTGCCTTGAGCAACGTCTCTCTACCAATAGCATTGATATACGAGTCATCCTTGCCCTTCTTGCCCTTGGGCTTGGCCACCACCACCTCCTCTTCCTCCTCCTCTTCTTCTTCCTTCTCCATCTCTTTGTCGTCCTCCTGTTCGACCTCAGCTTCCTCTTCTTCTACCTCCATCACTTGCTCTTCCTCTTCCTCTTCCTCTTCCTCTTCCTCTTCCTCTTCCTCCTCTTCCTCGGGCTCCACGACCTTGGTTCGACGAGTTGACATCCTGGTGGTAGTGGTGGACTTGGCAGCCTTTGCCTTGGCGGTGACCTTTGATTTTGAAGCGGTGGCAACCTTCTTTACGGTCTCCTTTGGAGTGGTAGTAGTCTTCTTTACAGTCTTGGTGGTGGTGGTGTTGGCCACCTGTAGACGCTTAACCAACTCGGCTTTCAATCCAGTGGCGGACAAACCCTTGGCGGTCAACTGTTCCCTCAACTCTCTAACTGTGAGCTTGCTCAATTCCATTGTTGCGGAAGGCATTATTAAAAATACAAAATGATTAAAGATAGTTGATATATAATATATAATATAGTATGATTGATTCAAATAAAGTAGTGGATGATTGATTGATGATCACTAACTAGGTTACACTCTTACAAATACACTACCGTTGCCCGCATTGAGGCCCTCAACTTTCAAATGTGGCGCCACAAATTGGACGATGGTTTTGAGATGAGGGAAACACAAATCATCATACCAATGGCGATGATGTTCCAAAAAAGAAACGATATGTATTCCAATTGGTGATGGTGTTGATTGATTGATTGATCTTCATTGTGTATGAGTAGGGAGGGCGCCAAAAAGGTTGCGAGTTGGAGAGATGGGAGAAGTGGATGTTGTCGGATGTCCAACAACTGATGTGAAGAAGGAAGGTAGGTCGCGCGACCAGAGCTTGTTGACTGGTTTAACCAAAAGCATAGTTGTAGGTTTGAGATACATAGTTCTCAGCCAGTCCAGGTACATTGTCGGTCGTTGGCCACATTGTGAGTTTGACAGCATCGGCAACGATCACTTTGCCAGTGGGTACATCCACGGAGGTGACGTGAACAATGGGCGTAGTACCCTCGACAAAGTAGAATGAGTCCAGCAGGATCCACCGCGCGCCATAATGTTGTTGGTCCAACACGAACTGATAGGTGAGGTCGGTCTGGTCGCCGGTGGTCACCGTGTAGACGGCCTTGGCCGTCTGATTGACTGCGGCGGGGAACCACACGCACACTTCGTACAGACCAGTGACATTGATGGGGAAGTTCCACATGACAATGTAGGGCGCGATCTTGCCGCCCTCGATGTAGAGGTACGTCTTGTTGTAAGCTTGGTCTGAGGTGCCATTCAGCCAGGGCGGCGTGACCACAGCCTGTGACGTGTCCATGATCATCTGGATCGGATTGCCCTTGGTCAGGTTCATGCCATTGATCAAGGTCTCGGCAAACATGCCCAGGACAGACGATTGGTATGGGTAGTGGCCGTAGTTCTCGTAGCCATCACTGTACACTGATACGATGAGTTGTCGGCCATTTGGCAGGATGATGTGCGCGATCTCGTTGACATCGGTTGCGCTTGTGCCAAGCACTGAGTGCAACACGGAGCCGGGCGGCAGACCAAAGCCCAACGATGTATACTCTGAGAATGTTTGGACTGAAAGCAAATCAGTCATGTATGCCTGGCCAGGAGGGATCACTCCACCAAACACAGTATACAACATCAACAATGCTGAATGGTATGGTTCCATTAAGTTTGGTCCAACAATGCCCTCAGCCAATGCTTCGGCCCATACTGGTCTAGAGATTGATTGATTGATTGATTGTAAGTGATTGATCGATTGATTGAATGAGTGATGCGATGGAATGAGGCACTTACACTGGTCCTGAATTGGATGGATATATCTTGTTGATGATGGTTTGATTGCCGAGTAGACCATTGGCATTGAGGAAGTTCTCAATGTATTTACGCTTGTTCAACCATTCATCGAATCCAGTATCATTGGACATTTGATAATATGCATTTGGCGCGCCAGATATCCTGTCCACAACGATGCCAGCATGTATCGAACTCAAATCCTTCATCATAGGCTCAGTCACCATCTGCAGACAATGTGGATCTTCATTCTGTGCCACGCACCAACTGATCATTGATTGAATGAATGTTAGTGAATGTACGATTGAGTGATTGAGCGATTGAATGAGCGTTGATGGATACAAACTTGACGGCAGAGACGAGGAATGGAAGGAAGGCACATCGAGAGGCATTGGCAAGTTCGTTTCCATTGTAGGTGGCCAATGACCATGATCCAACTGGATTGAGTACCATGATTGAGAAGTCCAGTTTGGTGAGTGTGGCATGTACCTTGATCAACCATTCTCGAGAGGCCATGCCGACAGCCAACAGTTGGTCATCATCGACAATGACGAATGGTGACGTAGTGAATGGTACATCATTGCCATTGTAGTTCCTAGTGATCACTATCAATGATATAACGATGGATGCCAATGACATCAATGCCACCATTGGCAATATCTGTTGTTTGAGTGATAGTTTCTTCTTTTTCTTTGTTGGCAACAGGAACATTGCACTGCCACTATGTTGTGAACTGAATGAATCATGTGGAGATGATGGAAAGTTGTTATTATTATTCGATAACAATGGAGAGAATGTAAGGAATTGTTCATCTGCATCAACACTTTGATTGAATAATGTAGTTGATGATGTTGATCCACCTCCTCCAGGACTATTCAAATATTCATTATCACTATTAATATCATTATTGTTGTTATTATTATTGTTGTTGTTATTGTTGTTGCTTGAGCTACCAAGTAATGGACTGTTGATACCAATGTTTTGTTGTTTATCCATTGGTATCTCTTTCTTATTACGCATGCTATATTGAGCTTGACTTCGTACGTATATCTTGTCAATCAATCAATGGATTGCTGATGATGATTGAAGTTAACTATAACTACAACTACAACTACAACTACTATTTGTTGAATGTAAGAATGAATGAATGAGACAGCGGAAGATTGGTGGTCGGCTTCATTTATCATGTCTCGCGACCTCAATAGTGTGGCACTCAATCTTTGCAAAAGAATGGTGTTCGCGTCATTCACTTTCAACTCGCAACTCCATTTGACGCTCAGTGATCCCTTGAAGATCATTCATTTGACTTGCACGTGCATTGCACTATCATACACATACATACACATACATACATACAAGATGGATAACAATAACAACAATAATAATAATAGTGAAGCCTATACATCATGCACAGTATACTGTTACAAACTTAAATCGGTTCAGAATACATCACCTGCATACTTGAACTCACAACGTGCTTGTATATTGAATGATAGTACATCGTTGGTGGCATCAGGCAATAGACTGTTTAGGATAGATGTGCAGTTCCCCAAACAGGTGGTGAAGAACTTTACAAAGATCAAAGGCATCCCAACGCCAATAATCCTCGAGGATGGCGCCATCAAAGAGACATCGATAGACATCGCCACCAACACACACATCAAGCGAGAGATACAATCGGTGGTTTCCAACAATGATTATAGTCGTGTTGGTGTTATCGACTCGCATGGCGCTGCCGCCATTCTGGACAGCGAGTTCAAGACACTGTACTCGCTGCCGCCCGTGCCCAGCGCTGTCGATAGCGGCTGGTCGGGCATCAGCTTCGACCCAAAGGACAGCTCGTTGGTGGCCACAACACGACACTTTGAGCGTCAACTGCACCTGTACAAGGGCGACCAACTGCTCACATCATTCCCACTGCAGAACAACCCAACGCAGGTGCTACATGTCCGCGAGTCACTGATCGCCGTCACCGAGAACAATCAACTCAACATCTATGACATCAGAACGAACAAGCCAGCACATCTTCAGAAGTTCGCGCTCACACCCGAGCCTCTGTACACTCTGTCCGCATCGGTGGATGGCGTGAACGTGGGCGTTGGCGGTGCCGCGCGCTCATTCGCCGTGTACGACAGTCGCAAGTGGACCAACATTGGAACATGGGCCAGCTGTCTCAAGTATGAGGTCAGCTACTCACACTTCTCGGAGAAGCACTCTGACGTTGTGTATCTCAGCGGTCTGGACTCTGAGATACTGGCAGGCGAGTGGGATGGCTCGGGCGTGGCCAATCACTTCAGTGGACTGCGTGTAGACTCGCGTTGGGTTGGTGTCAGCAAGCTCAAGGGTCAAGAGTCACTGTTTGGAATGACATCATCAGGCAACATCTACTATGTTCATGATGCCGACAGACTCTACACGCCACCTCCCGTCACTCTGAAACACAACTTGAAGCCCCAACATAACAAGGAGAAGAAGAAGCCAAAGAAGGACCAGCAGCAACCACAACAGGCACAACAGGCACCACCACAACAACAACAACAGGATCACGACATGGATGCTCAACTGTAGAGATAAATAGATAGAGTTATGTCACAATATTTATAAATGATTGATTGATTGATTGATCGATCGACTGATCACAATATTTAGGCGAACAGTACCATGAACCAATTGCGAAGGACAAAGAGCAGGACAAACTCTGCAACGAGCATGCCGAATACAAATACACTGAGCAATGCCTTCCATGTGAATGTCACTTGCCAATGACCAATAGCATTGACTTGGAATGTCGACTCATAGTATGTCATGTTGAACACCTTATTAGTCACAGGCAGATACAGATACAATGCATTCTCATCCTGAACACGTTTGTCCAACAGAGCCACAACTGATTGTGAATGCAAGTCGACCAATTGATAACGTTCATCCTCATGATAGTGCTGGTGGTCTGTTCCATTCCAAGGATGGGATGTTAGTGAATGATCATGCCACTGGGATGATTCCAACTTACACTTCATGGATACAGCTTGACGACCATAACTCAGGAATATCATTGATCTGGAGTGATAGATGAGTAGGATTATTTGGAAGACTAGGGGCACGGCCAGGAAGACGATGTAGAAGTAGGGCTTCATGGCTTTGGCTTCGGTGATGAACAACACCCAAAAGGTGAGTAGTGCAGGCAACACGAAGAGGTAGAGCAGGATTGGATGGAAGAGGAAGATAAAGTTCATTAGGAATCCTGTTGGGCGAGGTGGCTCACACATCACATTCTGAAAAGCATGTGTCTGTGACATATGATGTTCCAGTCTCCTTATATTAGCGCCATTCGGACGGCTCATAAAGTATTGTTGGTCATTAACCTGTGTATCTATATATTGATTGATTGATTCATTGATTGATTCATTGAATGAGTAAGAGAGAACATTGACTTGGAGTGATGGCGGACATACCCATGAGGTTCTTGAACTCGATGGAGGTCTCATTATTCCTATTCTCGTATAATGCTTGATCGTTGAATGATTGCATTCTTTATTTATATAAATATATATGTATCTGGTAATTATTTATTAATAGTAATAGTAATTATAGATGTTGTTGACGATGGAATGTAATAATAATATTGTTTACAGGTAGCAAGGTACCAATCATTCATCCTCCTCCTCAACACATGATCATGTGCTTTGGAAACAGGAAGACCAGCTGTTCTCCATAACATATATCACATTAAACAGTCCGGGTGCTAGATCAAACTAGTGTGTGCTCACAAACACCTTGTTACACAAACCCATTCTCTTTCTCAGGGTATTGCTCATATGTGTGTATGTGTGTGTTTGATTGACTGACTGATTGATTGCTGACCACACATCCATCTCATTGATGTGTAAATGAGCACCTCATTGATCATACACTTGATGTGGATGATGTAGTATGTATATGAATGCTGAAGGAAGTAACAATAGGTAAGAACATCCAGACGAATTTTGTGTTGCTGAAAGCAAGTAGTGAATGAATACCCAACACATGTATATATGTGGTGATCATACCAACATACTTCTGACGATGCCCTGTAACACAACATGTTCAAATGAACAACATTCATTAAAAGTGATCACTTTAAGAATATGAAAGTAATGAATGATATGTTTCCAACTTTTAGATTATCTTGATAGACAATATTGTATTCACACTTAAGTATTCTATTCTACATGTATCAAACATAATAGACTTAAGAGACAAATAATAAATATGTCATTTCATACCTTAAGGAGAGATAGAGTTGTCTCATGCAGAAGTTGTGTGTCGGGATGGTGAAATAGGGGTAGATACAAACAAGACAACATCTCTGTTCTAATTAGGCAATAATAATTGAAATTGACGTCAGTTATGTGCTTGTGTGTGATTTTTCGAGGTTAGTAGTGTGTCATTGTGAGTGAGATTGAATGAGAGAATGATAGTTATGTGTGAGTGAGTGTGTCCAAGCAATCATATCCTTCAACTTGACTATTATTACTACTACATCAATAATATATATTTATATTAGAATTATTAGTTTCACCAACAACAAGCTCACTTTTTTGGAACAAACAAAAAACAAAGCAATCAAACCAACCAAATCAATCAATCAATCAAAAGAAAGAAAGAAACAAACGGCATTCCCTAATAGAGATAGGATATAGAAATAGAAAGATGGCAGTGGCACTTACAAAGACTGTTATAAGCATGAACTCGTTCATCGAGTCATTGGTCAAGCTGTTTGCACAGACAGCCGGAAAGGACAAGCTGGCCAAGATTCTGCAGTACGGCGCCAAGCTGTTTGGACACATGTGTCAGCAGAGAAAGAAGGCAGAGTGGACGGGCATCTGGAAGAAGATCGAGACGTCCGCCGGTGGCGCCAGAAAGGTGTGGCGTCTGGGCAACACGTTCTCCGAGCAGCAAAAGATCCTGCAGATCATCAAGGCGGGCAACGTCTTCCAGATCCTCAACCTTCTGGCCCTGTGTCGCCAGACAGGCATGTACTTCTACTGGGTGTTTGATCACCTCGTCTGGACCACCAGCGTCGGAGTGACCAAGCTCGACACTGCCAAGCTGAGCTGGTACTCTAGCGTCAGTTGGTTCATCGGTCTGCTGTGCTCGATCATCATCGACATCCAGACTCTCAACCTGACTATCAAGAAGGAGCGTCAACTGATTGTGGCTCTGACCTCGGCGCCCACCCCCCAACAGGAGGGCGACTCTGCCATCGTCCCCGTCGACAACACCAAGCTCAAGGCCGAGCTGACCACTGTACAGAAGAAGAAGAACGAGCTGTATCTAAACTGCATCAAGAACGGTGCCGACTCCATCGTTGCCGCTAACCTATTGAAGTTCTATCAGACCAGCCAAGGCACAGTTGGTATGGCCGGACTTGTCTCTGCCATCATCGGAGGCTACCAAATGTGGCCTGCTGCACCAGCTCCAGCATCAAAGTAAACAAAACTATAATACTAGTATAGTATTTGGATGATTGTATCTGTCTTTCATATTCAGACGTCATCATCCAATTACTCCTTCGAAACATCCATTCAATCATAATTGTTCGGAACTACGACAAACGAACAAGTCATTTTTTCTGAAGACGATGTCGTCTTTTTTTTTGATCAAGCCGTCTTACATTCATACATTCATCCATTCATTATTTGTATCATTATTATTACTCTTTGTTATATATATTTACTAATGTAAGTTGAACTGCACATATCATACCTCATCTTCACGATCATCAATCAATCAACAATCAACAATCACAATAATAAGACGACAAATGAATCATATGGTTTGGATGATGACACCAAAGAAGAGCCGTATTAATAACTTTGATTAAGAACATCTTACTAAAAATGCAACTATATGTTGTATTCAACTGATCCCCTACCATTATAATATCATTATCGTCGTCTTAACAATCAACATCAACATCAACTTCCAACTCAATCAACATCCAATCAACCAATCGTTCATTCAAACGTATACAAATAACTAATCTCCTCTCTTTCCTCATACCTTACAGATTGTCTATCTATCTATTTAACGTAATAATGTCAATAAATACCGAATATATATCCATAACTTCATTAAGTCTTGTCTTTGTCTATACTATACTATACTACTTTAGGAGGTACTTTCTGATCATTGATCACTGTGCTTTGCGAGGTTAACCGGTTGTTTGCTATCAATTGGAATCTGGTGCATTCCTGGATATTCACCAGTAGCGCCTGGCATGGGACCGGGCCCTGGGTATTGAGAGTATCCTTGTGGAGCTTGATGATAGTATGTTGGTGTGGGGGATGGCGCGTTACCGCTACCCTGCTGATGGAAATGGGTCATTGGGATGTACTGTTGGTTGGGGTATGGCGAGGGATGTGCCATTATTGGTTGTTGAGCCAATGGTGACAGAGGAACGGATACCTCGCACCATATCTTTGGTCTTCTCTTTCCTTTCTTGTTGGAGAAATCCACATACTTTAGAGTCCAAGCAACACCAAACTGATTGTGGAATCTAGTATGAATACCAGCAACAGTATATGCCAAGTTCTTGATATACTATGGTTGTAAATTTGGTAATGTAAATATAATGGACTGATATTATCTTCAGGGAGGGACTCTGGGACTGATCATACCTTGGTCTTTATAGTTATCATTACACCTAGGAAACAAATGAATGTTATACTTAGCAATAGAATACCAATATACCAGTAGATTGGAGTGTAGTCTGATGATTTGTTGGCTTGTCCAACTCCAAACATAACAGCTCCACATAGGAATACAGGAATTAAAGTTGCTAGTTGACCCCATAGAGTGTATACTGATACACGATCCAGTGTTCTAATGGCCTTGTCATATTCCTCTTGTGTACAATGAGGATGTAATTGTATAGGCATATCCCTTTGCCATCTTCTCTTTATGAATCCAGCTCTTTTTGAACGAATAATCGCCACACCATCATTTGATTGTGGATATATAAACTTTATGATCATTATTATTCTGGACAATAAATATTAATATATATTTATATATATGTAATTAATTGATTGAGTGATTGACAGTGATTGATTGATTGATGGAAAGGTTGGTAGGATTACCACAATGATGTATCATCATGATTATAATACATATTGTATTGCCACCTTAAACATTTAAACTTATACATGATCACACATTAACATACACACATTGTCATTCAATGAACACTCACACATATATATACCATTATCCTCCCCTTTAGCATACTTACTCTCAAGTTGATCAATAATACTAAACACACACACTCGATTGATCAACTCACACCACCACACACACATCCCAATTCAGTCAAACGACGTCGTCTTATAAGTGTCAATCAATCAATCAATCAATGTTTGGTCGTCCTTGAGTTAATTGTTAAAGAGAAAGAGAAGGGATAATGGTTAGTTTATTACTGCAACCACTTCTGGAGATAAGACTCGATGGTCTTCTGGGCTGGAACCAAGGTGGATGGTGAGTATGAGTTGGGGATCATCATATCAGCACAATGAGCAGTGCCATGGATCAACAATGATGGGCTTGGTGAAGTAGTTGGGTTGGTGTAAATGCCAAGTGAGTGCCATGGGTCGATGTCTCCGTTCTGTACATTTGATTGATTGATCGTAAGTGAATGAGTTTGATTGATTGATCAAGATGAATGATGTGGATAACTTACGACATAGAGGATGTTGGAGTTGACTGGGTTGAGATCACCGTAGGTGGTATGGGTCCAGTTGACGTTGGGCAAGAAGGTGAAGTTGAAGACGTCGTCACATTGTTGGGTGGCGAATTGGATTGGGAACAGATCACCGAATGGCTGGTTGCTCGAGTCTGAGGTCTGGTAGTAGCCAAACTCAGTGCAGGTCTGGTAGAACCACATTCTGCCTCCGATGGCATTCTCGTCGTTGGTGACATTGAGCATCTCCTCAATCATTGTCTGGTAGGTGACGTCCGATGACTCGTTGTCAGCAAAAGTGTTCCAGACGGCCAAATAGTTGGTCAAGGCGTCGTTGGCATTGTTGGTCATGGTTTGGCAGAGCTAAAGGAGAGAGAGAGTTAGAGTCAGTTGATTGATCATGTGATCAAGTGATATTCTGGCGCCAGAATACTTACGCTGGTGGTTGATGGACCTGGACCCTCAAGGTTGTACTGGACAACTCCCATGAAGTTGCCGGCCAAAGATTGCATAAAGTTGGCAACGTCGTTTTGGGTCTGGAGAGCTGGGACGAGCTTGAACATGTTGGAGACGGACTGGAGTCCACCCTGTTGCTGGAGCATACCTTGGATCTTTTGAGTGGCGGCGGCAATGTTGTTGACACACTGCTGTCCGTTGGTGGTGGCCAACAGCGAGTTCTGGACGACCTCGAGATATTGGTAAAAGTCGACCACAGCGTTGACTGGGGCCGACGAGGCGATGGTCAAGTCGACGAGGGCGGGGTACTTGAGACGGAACCACGAGGTCAGGGCACCTGAGTAGGAGCCACCGAACGACACCCACTTGCTAGAGGCGGGCACGTTGTACTCGGCGGCGATGAACTGTCTAAAGACGGCGTTATCGCCGAGGGCCTGCTGGGATGACAAGTAGGCGAGGTTCTCGGTGGACAAGTCTGGGGTAGCAAAGCTTGCGCCATAGTATCTGTGCTCGAGCGAGATGATCAGAGCCTTGAAGGTCTCTGCCCACTGAACAAACTTCATTCCAGTGACGGTGCCCAAGTCCATTGGACCCTCACCATTGATCATCATAAACACTGGTCCGGTACCATCCCAGTACTGATCATTGATAACGTATCTCTGTTGGAATGTACCCTGATTGGCTTGATTGAAGTGATCCAATCTCTGTTTATGTTTGATTGATTGATGATTGATTGATTGAATGAGTTAGTGAGTGAGGCACGAGGGGAGCGAGATAGGACAGGAAACATACCTGAGTGAACCATTGGTACTTGATTCCTTGGAGATGGGCATCTTGATGACCGACTCTGGTGTGTCTGTGGAGGTCAACGTGTGGACGGAATACGCGAGCATCCGCGAGCAAGGCTGAGGCCACGATGGAGAACAAAGCCAACAATGCAACTTGATGTCTAAACATGTTTATATCTATCTATATCTATCTATATATTAAGTGTTTGAATGAATGAATGAATGAAACGTTAAAGACCAATTCCAAGTGGACGGAATTGTGGATTGAACTTTACTTTTTTATCCCCGTTTGATTGAAACGATCAAGTGGTTGGTTGTGGGCAGTGGGGGTTGGGACCTATGGGGTACCCACAACCTCACAAAAAAAAAGACTCGCGAGGCTTCCATTGGGAAGTTCAGTATTAGTGTTACTGGAAGTGTCGCCAGGTCTGTAAGTAGCGAGGGGCATCCTGGATGATACTGGGCTGGACTGGTCGCCAACCTAACATACGCTCGGCCTTGCTTGAGGAGACGCATTGGGAGATAACCAGACATTGTTGGAATAGATCGTCAGAGGCAGGTGGAAGATAGTTGATCGGTTTCATTGGCACGCCAGCAGCTTTGGCAATGGCTTCAATAACATCGACTACGCGATGGTGGTATGCGCCACATATGAATGTCTGTCCACATGCAACATCATTGTGTTGGGCCGCCAACACATATATCTGGGCCAAGTCATACACATGAACAAATGTAAGTTGTTGTTGCTCTGTGATGAACAAGGCGAATGTGCCACTGGTCACAGCTTGGAAGTAGTCTGCCGATAATGATCCAGCGCTACCATATACCAATGTGGCTTCAATTATAATAGCATTGATCGTTCGGTACTTGCACTCAATATCACGTCGCATGTACTCGAGTGGAGCACATCTGTCATATCCAGTGTCCTCTGTGATGACATGATGTTGAGGATCATCCATTTGACCATAGACCCATGTTCCAGATGTATATATGATTGTTAGTGGACGTCCACCATTGCCAGAACTTCGTCGATCATGTAGACGCTTTAATTGATCGAATACCAAAGTGACAGTATCTGGTCCAAACTCCACTGCCTCCACAATCACATCAACATCATTGCCCAACTCCTCCCAAGCGGCAAAGTCCAACACATCCTTGGCATGTACAGGTGTGACTTGATTGATGTGATCGATGTGATCGATGTGAGTGATGTGAACATGTTCAATGACGTCGTCAATACATTGACATACTCTCATTCCTTAGCAGAATGTCGTCTTTCTTGTTTGATCGAACAAGTGCATAAACCTTGTATCCAGCATGAACAAAGGCAATGGCCACCTCCTGTCCAATGTATCCACCTCCACCAAGTACAAGTACTGATTGTTGTCTTGTATTACTCATTGTTAGTTTGGATTATTGAATGATTGATAGAGTTGTGTGATGATCATCTATGTGTGTGAATTGAAATTTCATCGGTTTTTTGAACAAGTATGTTGGGAACCTCATGATCCCAACAAGTCACACTCGTCATTGAACTAATTATCACTATAACAAGTACAACTACATAGTTATATTTATATACTTATTACTATAAAGATGTTTAGACAGGTTGTTAGCACATTGAGACTGGTATGATCATCAATCAATCAATCAATCAATCAACATCATCTCGATCAATCAACACCCAGACACTAACAATGTGATGACGATAATGATGAACAACAAACAGAATCAATATACATTGATACAGAATAACATAAACTATGCTAGATTCTATAGTAACAAGTGTTTGGTGGTCGCAGAGCATGATAACAATAATATTATGCCATCCACTTTGAATACGATCACAGCTGCAACAAAGATTGGTGCACCAGTTGTGTTGTTGGTCGCCGGTGATAAGTGTTCGGGCGCTGCAGACAAGGCTTCCAAGATCAAGGGCGTCACGACTGTGTTCCACGCCGACCACCCACAGCTCGCCCACTCGCTGCCCGAGACACTGGCGCCCGTCGTCATCGGACTCAAGGAGCGTCAGCAGCTCACTCACATCTTCACACCAGCCACCAACTTTGGCAAGAACTTTATCCCACGTGTCGCCGCACTGCTCGACGTTGGCGCCGTCTCTGACATCACTGCGATCAAATCAGAGGACACCTTCACTCACCCAATCTACGCCGGCAACGCCATTGCCACTGTGCAGACAAGCGATGCCGTCAAGATTGGCACGATCAGAACTACAGCTTTCGAGAAGGCACCCGCAGAGGGAGGTGCTGCCAACGTCGAGGCATTGGATTGGGTGGCGCCCCTCGTCGAGAAGGCTGCCGCCGACACTGGCGTCACATGGGAGTCTGCCGAGATCGTCAAGTCTGAGCGTCCAGAGCTGACGAGCGCTCGCGTCGTCATCTCTGGTGGTCGTGGCATGAAGAGTGGCGAGAACTTCAAGCTGCTCGAGGATCTGGCCGACACAATGGGTGGTGCCGTCGGTGCATCGCGTGCCGCCGTCGACAGTGGCTTCGTCTCGAATGATCTGCAGGTCGGACAAACTGGCAAGGTCGTCGCTCCAGAGCTCTACGTGGCCGTTGGCATCAGTGGTGCCATTCAACATTTGGCCGGTATGAAGGATAGCAAGGTGATCGTTGCCATCAACAAGGACCCAGAGGCACCAATCTTCCAAGTTGCCGACGTCGGTCTCGTTGGTGATCTATTCAAGGTTGTTCCAGAGTTGACTGAGGCCATTAAGAAGGCTAAATAGGATAATTCAATTCAATCAATCGACCAATCAATCAACCATTCAGTAAAGTAAATTAAAGTAAAGTAAAGTACATCCAGCCACACGATCATGTGGCCCCATCAATTTGGAAACATCCTGGAGGAGTTATTTGAGTGGGACACGATCACATGATCAATCATTCATTCAATCGATCATTCTATCAAACATGTAATAGTAGTAGAGTAGTATGTGTATCAAATGAATAGCCATAATGAAGGATATGTCGTTGGGAATGATGATGAAAGTGATTTTAGTGATGTAGAGGTACCTCATCAACAAGAACAACAAACAGCACAAGTCGATGACATTGACAGAGTGTACAAGATATTATTAGTTGGAAAGGATGGTGTTGGAAAGAGTAGCCTAGTCGAGAGATACACCGAGGGACACAAAGGTACATCACTCTGGGGAATGAATGATATGGCCATCTATGTACGTATCACTCAATCAATCAATCATACTTGGTCACTCATTCACTCACTCACATGACACAATCAATCTATCTATCAATGTAGTGGAAGAAGAAGGTGGTGCTGGATGATGGTGGAACAGCCACTTTATATGTTATGGACTGGACTGGAACGTCGGAGGATATGCCAGCTTGTATATATCAGTGGGCACATGGTATAATGATGGTATTCGACTTGACTCAAAAGGAGACATTGACATATATTGATAAGTTTATGACGCAACAGATCAAAAGATTCGCCAATAAGAACATTGTTAAATTGATGGTTGGCAACAAATGTCATCGAGCTGATGGTAAACAATTCATTGATCTCAAGTGTGCAAAGATACATGCATACAAACATCAACTAAAGTACATAGAGACCTCTGCAAGATGTTATGTCAACATTGACGAATCATTCAAATTGATGGCCAACCTAATCTCATCATCATCATCATCGTCTGCTTCCTCCAACTTCTCAAATTCCTGAGAACTGGAATATTCATTTCAATCAAGTGATTGATTGATTGATGGATGTTTAATTAATTAATCAATTATGATCAAAATAATAAAGAATGAAAGACTCTGTTTCCCTTTGACAATAGACCTTCTCTCCTTTTAGGGTTGATCATCCCTGGGGTATGTGAGTGAGTGGGGTTGGAACACAATCAATCAATCAATCAAAGAAGGGGGGGTTGGTCCAACAATGGACCATTATGGAATAGTTGTTGAACAGATAATAACCTACTTGTAGAGATAGATAAAGATAGAGAATATATTAAATATAATAATAAAAAGATGGATACATCAATGTCATCAGAGTTGTCTCTGTCCACTTGCACCTCAAACAGCTGCGGCGGAGGTGGATTGACTGCTGAGCACTCTGATGTCTCAACTCAAATGACGACATCAGCAGGTTCATCATGTACAATGATGAGTACAAAGACAACATGTTCATTACAACATCATCAACAACATCAACATCAACAACATCAACAACAACAATATGATCAATTACAAACATCATTCCAACAACTCTCAATCTCATGCACGTCGACAACATCCACATCAACAACATCAACAACAACAACACAGACTTCAACATTCCCAATACTTAGAATGATGCCAGATATATTATTGATACATGTATTCAGTTGCTTGGCCAATGATTATGATAGGATTGCTTTGTATTCATGTTGCAAACGATTGATGAATCAGAAGTTCCTTGGCACATTGACACAGCCCATTCACTTTGGCGATGGATTCCACATGTGCTCCATACTGAACTGCTTCCGATCAGTGGTAGTATCATACCGACATGTTCCAGCTCTGATCAAAGTGTACCAGCGACTGGCACATCTGCGTCCACACTTGACCAAGATACACGTACGTCACGATCAGACCCTGCGACGAGGCACGCGAGTGCTGGACTTTGGCCACCTTCCCGACACTCTCACATCGGTTCGCATTGCCGACCTCACCGAGGCCGACCTCCAGCATGGCTTGTTGCCGGCGAATGTCACCAAGGTCACGTTTGGCTTCATGTTCAATCATCCTGTGCCTCCAGGTGTGCTGCCTGGCGGCACGCTCAAGCTCAAGTACGGATATCTCTATCGACGCGCCCTCGAGCCGGGCGCCTTCCCCAACAGCCTCACTCATCTTACATTTGGCGACAGCTTCAATGTACCGCTCAATCCTGGCGACATCCCACAATCGGTCCAGTTTCTTGAGTTTGGACGTGCGTTCAAGGCACTGTTGCTGCCGGACATCCTACCGACAGGTCTTCAAACATTGATCATGGGCAAATACTACAGTCACCCAGTCGAGCCTGGTGTCTTGCCGGCCAGCCTCACACGTCTAGACTTTGGTCAATACTTTAGCAATACTGTACGCGAGGGTTCTTTGCCCAAGGGTCTGCGCAGGATTAATCTTGGCAACTACAACTCACCCATCCCACTCATGGCGATACTATCAGAGGGCTTGATCAAGCTATCATTCGCTCAAGCATACAACCAGGTGATCAGCGATGGGTCGCTCCCATCTACGCTCAAGTCACTCGCGTTGAGCTCATCATACAATCAACCGCTTCAGGCATTCGCACTACCTCGTGGCCTCACCAAACTGATCATGAGCAACTTCTATCGATGTCCATTCTCGCCCAACATATTCCCCACGTCATTGCTCACGCTGGACATGCGCTGCGCCGTCGTGGACGAGACGATGACGGCAGACGTGTTGCCTCGCTCGCTGACGAACCTCACATTCAAGTACTTCTTCCTCAAGACATTGGAGCCGGGCTTCCTCCCGCCCGCTCTAACCTCACTCAACATCTATTGTCGACAAAAGGTGCCACTTGCGCCAAATATGTTGCCAGAGACACTGACGAGCTTGACCCTGGACGCACCCTATCTCGACGCGCCATTAAAGCCACGCGTACTCCCCACTGGACTCAAGACACTCACACTCACAATCAATCAGATGTTGACGCCGGGCGTCCTCCCCATGGACCTCACACACATGCGCTTTGGCAACAGCTTCAACCAACCATTGGAGGCCGGCAGCCTGCCCGCCGGCCTGCGCACGCTGTTCTTTGGCGCCAGCTTCAATCAGCCGCTCTTCCCCAAGGTGCTGCCGCCGTCGCTCACCTCCCTCTCGTTTGGGTCGATGTTCAACCAGCCGTTCTGGTTTGGCTCGCTGCCCAAATCGCTCGAGCTGCTCGAGTTTGGCAATCGATTCAACTTTCACATTGAGCCGGGACATCTGCCCACCTCGCTACGCAGCCTGGTCTTTGGCTACGATTACTGTCCGCTCACGCTTGGACCGGGCGTGTTGCCAACAGGTCTGCGCAGTCTAAAGTTCTCGCATGGCATGCGAGGATTTGGTCGCGACGACTCGCTCGTCGCAGAGCTTGTCCTGCCAGACTCGCTTGTCGAGCTGTACTTTGTCAACGAACTCATATGTCCGCCCACATCCAAGGCGTTCATGCAATGGCTGTCCAAGAGACAAGCCAGCTCGTCTAGCAGTGCCATGTCCGCTCCTCCTCCACCTCCACCTCCACAGCCCGTAACTGTCTCCATCGCCAAGCAATCAGCCAAGTCCAAAAAGACCAAATGCACTGTGATGTAGTTAGTTAGTCCGTCCACTTGAATGCTGCGTTTATAAATGAACCATGGGCAGAGTGAGTGACTCTCTCTCTCTCTCTCTTGTCCACACATCTGGTGTTATTTGTAAGTTGGAGTGATGCCATTGCATCCATAAGGGCAAACAAAGGGTCTTATCTCTTTGTGAGTTGTAATGTGAAGTGTTGGAGTTTATCGTAACAGACTGGAGTGTAATGGAATGGACTTGGATGCTCACATCATCTGTCCTCGTGACTGCTAAGTCCTTCTAAACAATGATGTTGGTCATCAAGGCAAAGATTTGTGCACATCGTGCCATCACTGATGGGGTGCACCACGATGACCACAACAACAGAGAAAGACACACAAAGAACCCCAAGGCCATTCAAACCCAAAAATAATGAAGGTCCCCACGCTTTGAACGAATGTGTTTTCAAAGGGTTTTTGATCTAGAATAGACCTTTGGTGTGGTGGGCATAGGGCATTGTTAACTGGTGTTGATATTTTTGTCTACCATCTGGTAAGAACTCCTCTCATCACACTCACTCATTCACTCACTAACTCCATCACAAACAAACCGAATGATCAATACTTCCCATCATTCCATATATCATACATTCTTTGATCAAAGACACAATACATTTCCATTCGAATCATTCATTCAATCAATCAATCAATCATAAAGAATTAGTATTATTGATCAAACCATACCAGATAGATTTCACTCAGTCAATCTGATCCATACATCAACAATGTCCACTGTCAGCAAACTACCATTAAATGTAAATAATCAATCAACATTGGGGCTGAGGCCAAGGCCTAGGCCTTTGGCTAAGTCCAAAGTCCAAGGTCCATCAATATCAATCATACTTACAAAAACACATACATAAACAAACAGAATGAAATAGAGCTGATAACAGAGGAGGTGGACAAGGGCTTTGAGGACTCGAATCTTATCCGAAAGTTCCTCGAGAAGAGAATACAGATTGAAGATGAATATGCCAAGAACTTGCAGAAACTGGTAAAGTCACAGCCAAGTCTCACCAAGCTTGGAGGCATCAGTGGTGCATTCTCAGTCATCCTAGACAACACCAATCAGTACTGCAATCATGTCATACAGACCATGCAAAGAATGAGTGAGGATGTAAACACATCACTCAAGAACTTTCTCAAAGAGTTAAAGAATGAACAGAAGAATGTAAGTGTCTGTGGCATGTGGCGTGTGGCGTGTGGTCCTTGTCCATGTCCAGTGCAGGGGGCATGAGCAGGTACTGATCGATCAATCCATCCATTATTAGTATATATTAGATGGACAGAACTTGGCAAAGGAGAGGAAGGAGATATTTGATGCTTTGAGGAATGCCAAGGCAAAGTATGATTCAGTCTCAGCATTCCCAGATAGTGATCAATCAAAGATGAAGGAGGCAGAAGAAGAGTACAAACAACAAGTGGCCGCAGTCAATCGATATCAAGCACTATTCCACAATGAGAAGTTACCAAAGATACAGAATGTATGTTTGATTGATTGATCATGACCTGAGGGATGAGGTTGAGGCTGGAATAGTTCCAGCCTCGGCCCCCAACACCTACACTCACTCACAATCACTTCCCCCTAGGACTTTCAACGATTGGAGACAATGAGGATGCAGAGAATGAAGACAAACTTGAAGAAGTATGTTGGAGAATGGGAGACATTCCCACAAAAGTTGTCATTGTCGATGAAGGCCTCGGAGGACTCGGTCAACGCGATTGATACAAAGAAGGACATTATGACTTTTGTTCATTTTAACAAGTCGTTGAACAATCAGTGGCCAGACTTCATCTTTGAACAATGCGACAAGAAGAAGAAGAATAGTGGTTGGCGATCGACAGTGGCCGCACTCAAGAATGTTGGAGGTGGCAGCAGCGCCGGCCAGCCCGCGCCCAGCCACAAGGACTTGATGAACTCGTACGTGCCCAACACACAGAAGCAGGACGCGTCAAATAACCACCCGAACGCCGTGTTTGGCGTGGCGCTGGCCGATGTGATGGAGAAGCAGCGCACGAGATTCCCCGACTTCAACGTGCCCTACGTGCTGGTGTTGCTCGTCAGCCAGATCAAACAGCTCAATGGCCTGCAGACCGAGGGCATCTTCCGCATACCCGGTCACAACGCCGACGTCATTGCCATCAAGAAGCGCTTCAACGAGGGCGACTACACACTGGCTGAGAACAACGTGCACACGGTCACCTCGACGCTCAAGGCATTCATGCGCGAGATGCCCCAGGCGCTCATCCCCGACGCCATGTACGAGGCGTTTGTCTCGTGTGACACGGGCACAGAGATGGCCAACGTCGTCCAGAAGCTGGCGCCCGTCAACCAGCGCTGTCTCACTTACATGTCGCACTTTTTGAAGGAGCTGACACTGCCCGAGAACGTGCAGCACAGCAAGATGACTATTGACAACATGTCCATATCATTCGCGCCCTCACTCCTGCGATGCAGCAACCCCGAACTCTTCATGACCAACATTGAGCGCGAGAAGAACTTCATTCGCGTGCTGATCGAAGCGCATGCCGAGCTGTTGGAAGCGTTCCCACTCAAACTTGGCGGCTTGGACTCGGTCGGCAGCGGTGGCGGCGGTGGTGGCGGGTCAACATACTCGGCGCCCCTCGATCGATCAGGTCCGCCTCCATTGGCGCGCACATATAAGGAGAGGAGCGATACAGTTACTGCAGCGTCGCCCCCACCACTGGCTTCCTACCACCCACTGACATCATCATATGACGACTATCAATACCCTGCCGCAGCCTCTGCCGCGGCGCACTCACCCCAACCACCACCCCTTTCATCCATGTCCTCGGATCAATCACCTTCCAGGCCACTGCCTGCGCCGCGACAGATGCCAGTGCCTGTGCCGCGACAAATGCCTGTGCCAGTGCCATCCCAAGGTCAAGGACATGGTCAAAATCTAAACAGAAGCCTAAACAAACAACAAACACAGGCACTACAGCAACAGTCATCATCACCTCCACCTTTATCCTCATCACCAATAGACGCACCACCAAGAGTCAGGCCACCACGTCCACCCAATGCGCCAACAGTCAATGGCGAACATCACAACACACCCACCAACAACAACAACACATCTGGCGGACCACCACCACCACTGCGCTCACCAGACAAAGGAGGCGCTGCCATGTCACCGCCACCTCTAGCGCCAGTTGATCGCGAAAGGAAATTCAGTATATTCTCCAACTTGCCACCACCTCCAACCATGCCACATTAGAATAACTACCACCACATTATTATTATTATTATTATTATTATATTATATCATATTTAAGCATAATCTCCTACTACATTGTAATAAATTAAGTTGATTGGATGAACCCAAAACTTGTAAATCCAAGTTCCACATAAAATTAATCATCATTTATACATCATAAACTTATGCTCCTAGGTATTACACATAAGTTTATTCATTCATTCAATCATTTATTCATTCTGATTTAATATCCAGAAATAATATTATTACAAATGATTATCCATACCAATATTAAATGTCCAGATTGTGGTAAACAAACAGTTGATAATATTATGGAACAATCTACTATTATAAATATTCTTAAAGGTTACTTCCATTGCAATTCATGTGGAATGGACTGGAAATGAGGTGATATCCCTCACCATCATTTGATATATATCCCAAAGTAATCAATTAAACTATTAAACTAAAAAATAAATAAACTATTTTAATCAACTTGATCCATTTTGAGTACTACCCCCCACCATCAACAAACAAACACCGTTATTTTTTTCAAACTTGTGTGGATGTATCTGATCAACACTTAAATTTATATTTATAAATACACACACTGAAACAGAGATATACTTACTTACTTATTTATATATTTATACCAAACTCTGTATTATCTATCATAGAGTTAAAGAGATAGAAATAGTCATAACAGCAACAGCAACAGCAACATAATCAAACAAGACGACAAGATATCATCATTCATTCATTCATTCATTTAGACTTTGAACTTTGAAAGATATATAATCAACAACAACAACAACAACAACTACAATGGGTCAACTACTGAGCTTTATCAATGGAACAGATCATGCTGAGCAGATATTCATTGACTTTGAGAGTAATGATCATTAGTCACATCAATCACCTCAACATGCATGCATTCAATCATACTTACTTTGTTGAACAAACGAACAACAACAACAACAATTAGACGCTCAACCATCGGAGGAGGAGAAGGTACTTCATCAGACAGTGGGTGAGGTGTTGAACAAGGGTCCAGAGATACTTCAGAAGCTCACGACATACACTGGATGCAATGAGTATATTAGAAGAGCGATTACCAACCCTGGCCCAGACACTGAGGAGACGGCTTGGGAGCACGTGCTGCCTGCAGTCGACATCTTGCAGGAGTTCTACGACTATTCATTGCTGCTGGAGGGTTGCTTCCCCAAGCTGCTCGTGGCACTGTGCAAGGACGATCCAAAGATCAGTCTCTCCAACAAACAAGCTCTTGCCAAGCAGCTGGCCGACGTATTCGACTTTGTTCTGCGATTCGACGATGCCAAGATGGTCAATCCAGCGATCCAGAACGACTTCTCATATTACCGTCGCACATTGAACAGAATGAAGCTCACCAAGAAGGACTCAAACATCAAGATTCGCGATGAGTTGGCAAACAGAATGTCATTGTTCTTTGCCTACCCAACACCAATGATGAAGGTGCTCAGTGAAACTACTGCCAAGTTCCTTCAAACTGTAATATCACCCAGCAGCATCATCATCCTCCTCATCGTCAGTTACTGACATCCTCATCACAATATTAGGAAACCACTGTGCCTAGAGATCACGTAACAACTTCGCTGGCGACAATGGCCAACGTTTGCCATGACATGGTGGACAAGAAGAAGTAAGCAACAACGAGATCATATGACCAATCGACATATCACTTCGCGGACACTAATCATCATACTCTTACTTCACTTCAGGTTCAACAACAATGAGATCAATATGTTCTGTTTGAGAGCTATGGTTGGCTCCATCATTCTGTTCGATCACATACATCCAGCAGGCGCCTTTATAAAGAAGTCATCGATCAATGTAATATTCGCCAATCAATCCAAAACGACAACAATGACAGACATGATCATGTGACTAACTCTGATGACCCTCCTCCACCCCATTAAACCAATCACCAGATCAAAGGATGTATTGTCACTCTCAAGGATCACAACACAAACTCATTGACAGATGGTCTGCTGAACGCTCTAAGATTTACGACGATACACTTGAACGATCCAGAAACGCCAGGTTCCATCAAACAGTTGTTATTGCTCGATTAGATTATCCAACTCACCGCCAAACTATCATCAACTCTTCTCCACCTATCAATCTCTTTCCGCCTCAACCATCCATTCATCAACACTCCTCTCTTTAATCATCAATCCATCCATCCATCAACACATCCATACTATCCTCCTCCATCCATTATTCTTCATTCACATTATCATGTTCAAAGGAATTAAATTAGTGTCCACCAGTTGTAAACTATTCCCTCCAACAAGGTCACAAGGACACTTTGAAATCAAACAACTAGACCATGAGAGTGATTAGTCGATCACAGTGAATGGCAAGAGAGCTGGATGATTGATTGGGGGTGAGGAAGCGAGGTGTTTGGTAGTCTTTATTATTCTTTTTTGTTTATCTGATGTTTATGTCTTTTTTTTTTCTTCTTTGTTGCCTGACTGATACTCGCTCTTGTCGTAGTTGGGTACGTGGGTCGGAGGAAGAGCGAGTGTTGGTAAGGGAGGCAGTCAGCCCATGGGGGCATGTGGGGCAGGGAGCATGTTCAGTTGAATAGGGAGCAGAACGACTGAACTGAACAGATCTGGTCGTCTTAGTATTCGGAGCATGATACAGTCGGTGTAATGTTTAGTAGCCTTCTGAGGTCGAAGGTCATGGACTGGAGGTCGGGGACAGTCTGGTGTTGGTTCTGGAAGTCCTCAAAGTTTGGTAGTGGGAGCGAGCTGGGTGGCGGCGAGTTGTTAAACGCACCACCTGCCCAACATGATGATTGGGGCGATGAAACTCTCTTTGGAGAGTCACTTCCGCGAGTTGGAAGCGATGCGTTCATCTTGCCCATCGATTGTGTTGGTGTTGATTGTTGGTGGGAGAATGCTGGCTTGTTCTTCTTTGGTGTAGAACTGTCGATAGAGGGTGCGGCATCTGATATCTTACTGATGGTGGCTGGTGTCAGCAGGAACTCATCATCCATTTCAGTTTGAGGAGTGACCTGTGGTGCGATTAAAGATGAAGGTGAAGATTGGAGGAGTTGGATTGGGACCTTGTGCATTTGTTGTTGTTGCTGCTGTTGTTGCTTTGGAGAGCTCTGCTTCAGAGTCTTTAAGCTGGTCTCGTCACGTTGGTTGGTGTTGTTGCTGTTTGGGGTTCCGTAGGTTTGTTGGATTGGTCTCCTCCTTTGTGGGGATGCCCTGCTGCTACTGTTGTTGAGTGCAGGCTTCTTCATTTTCAGCTCATCGTGTGTAGACATGATAAAGTATCCCTCCTGGAAATCTCCAACGTCTGTCTTGGCAACAACTGCCTCACTGAATTTGTCATAATCGATACGATGTATGGCCAATTGTTTAGAATATGATAGGGAAGGGGTGGTGGTTGGGTAAGACGATATATACCTGAATGATGCTCGTTTAACAGGGGACGTTGATGGTGAAGTATTGTTGTTATTCCTTCTTGGTGTCCGTTTCTCCATCAGAGAACTACTGCTATTACTGCTACTGCTGTTGTTGTTGTTCATTGTTGTTGTAATGTAGGGGATATGTATATACAATTATATAAATGTGAGGTATGTAAACGAAGATATTGATGTTGATTATACAGTATTATCCTTTTAAAAAAAAGTCAGATAACTACTGTTATGAATATAGATTGATAATGTAAGTGTTGTAGATTGTAGGAAATAGTTATAATATAGAGATTGTTGTTGTTATAGGGTCATAATACGACTTCTAATTGAACTTGTAATGTAGATGATGTTTGGTAAAGGTAAAGGTAAAGGTAACGTATAATTAATAAATACAAATACAACTTCTTCTTCTTCTCTTTTCTTCTTGTTGCTATTGAACTAAACTAAACTAATTAATTATTGTTTGATATATTAAATTAAATAAAGTTATAAATATGTGTCAATGTTGTTTGTTAGTTAGTTAGAGACGTTGTTCATTCATAAGCTTAGTAATATAAGAGCAGTGAGTTATATGTATATGTATATAAGTATGTATGTGTAAGTATGCAAATATATATATATGTGTAGTAGTAAGTGCAAGAGTGAGTGAGAGAATGAAGGTTGGTTGGTTGGCTGAACGGAGGATTGAGTGAGAGTGGTGTGTGTGAGAATGCGATAGAATGAGGTGGTGCGTCAGAGTGTGAGTGAGTGAGAGAAGTCACCAGAGATCGCGAACTTAATTAAAAATAATTAAATAGTTGGGGTCACACAAAATGGTTTACGAAATTGAAAGACTGACCGTTTTTGGTGATAAACTTACCTTTTTGTTTTATTTAATGGTGTGTTCAATAATTCATTAATGAGTGAGGAGGGAAAGATGGAGAGAAAGAGAAAGTGAATGGTTGTGATGACTGACTGAATGAATGAATAAATGAATAAATGGATAAATGGATATGATAACGATGTCACTGCTCACTCACTCACTCACTCACTATTGCTATTGCTTCAATGTCATCCAACCATCCGTCCACGTACTGCTGCTTTGAGCACACCATTCCATTTGACACACAACACACAACACAATTAAAAACAATCATTTTCCGATCAGCCAAGTCAGATGAGAGCAATAATCACCTTGTATTATGTGATTGAACAAACATTCATTCAGTCAGTCAATCAGTCAGTTGCATAAACACTCACACACACAAACACACTGTCAACAATCACAACCACTGTGATTGATTGATTCACACAAACACACACACTAGTTTTCTGACAACACATATCCAGACAGACAGCTTGTAACTGGTTCAGATTCAATGGCGATGACTGCGATTATTATGCCACTGGTCACCCTCTTGATATCTGTCATCTTGTATCATATTAGTAGGTTAGGTTTTGTTTGAACAGCTTGAATGGATGGATGGATGGATGGATGGTGCATCATATGTCAGAGAGGTAGTTGGCAAGCTTGTCATCGATGAGGTCTGGATTGAATGATTGATTGATTGCTTGAATGACAGCTTACCGTAATGTGTATGGAGTTGAATGGAGTGATGTCGTTGGTTGATCAATACATGGATGGATGCCAACCATTGGATGAGTATAATATCCATCCGTGGTATTGTCACAATGACTGTTCGTTAGCGATCAATCACTTCCCCTACCCATTCGATATCTTACTTCCATCACCACCGTTCAACTAGCCAACGTCCACTCACTCATCCACTCACTTCACTCCACCCAACATTGATTGACATCCTGTCACACCATTCCAATACTCTAATTATAGTACCGCAAATAGTGTTATGGATACTGCCCGTACAGGATGTCAAGGTACGTTATGGTGCCAAGTGGGCACTGGTTACTGGCGCATCCTCTGGCATTGGAGAGGAGATTGCCAACAGACTGGGTAAACAAGGTGTCAATCTTGTGCTGGTCTCTGATCAGGATCAACCACTGACAGCAGTTGCCAACCGTATTCAGCGTGAGTGTCGAGTGACCACCAAGACTATCTGCGCGGACCTCTGTACAGACCAGTCGGTGCAGACAATTGCCAGAGAGACCGAGTCCCTTCCAATCAACTTGGTATTCAACAATGCCGGCTATATTGTGATGGAGGGATTCCATCAGAGTGACCTCCAGTCCAAGGTTAACAACCTTCACTGCAATGCTGTGGCCGCAGTAAAGATAACTGATGTGTTCTATCGACGAATGGTCGAATCCAAGACCAAGGGCGCCATATTCTTTACATCCTCAAGCGTAAGTATTGTTGGCTTTGGTAACATTGTGTGGCCTGTCCACTCACTCGTGTCACCTCCTAGGTTGCCTCATGTCCTTCACCAAACTCTGCAATATATGCAGCCAGCAAGTCGATGTTGACATCATTCGCAGAGACACTATCGATTGAGGCGCGACGATTCAACATTGATGTGCTTGCGGTGCAGCCTGGCTATGTGCGCACCAAGATCTTTGACCGCCTCCCCAACTTGTACATTCTCAAGGCATTGGCATTCATCTCACAGGATCGCTCGGCAGTTGTCGACATGATGTTCAAGAGTGTTGGACGTCTACACTTTGTAGTTGTGGACAGCGGTCCATTTGCTATTGTTGCCAGCATTGCTCGAAGTATTCTCGGTGGCAATGTCATGACCTTTTTAATATCACTAATCACCAAGTACATCCTCATTGACATGAGGAAGTTCAACGAGCCACCTTCAAGCAGCAACAGCAGCATCAGCAAGAACAGTAGTAGTGATGGAGACAATCGGAAGAAACGTTGAGACATTATTCAATTAACTACATCCATTGATTCATTCATTCATTCATTCATTGTCTATTAATTCCGTTGCACTCCTCATACATCCCTTATATGACAATGTTTCGAATGAGGGAACGGTCGTCAATAATGAGGGATCAATCACAGTCACTGACTATGTCGTATTAAAGTTATTAAAGTTGGAAACAAACAAACTTGTCGCCCTGGGTTCACACTTCTCCCGCTTTGCCAAGATAAATTGGTTGCCAAACTGAAACTTGGTGTGCGAGGATACATACAATCTATTGTTGTTGGTTGTTATTATTATTGTTATTGTTGTTGCTACACCTGGTGAATGAAAGAGTATTGAATCAATATCACTTTCAATTTGTTCAATACATATACACATATTATATATATACATCATTCATATAAAACAAAATAAAATGTCAACAGGAATAATGAAGTTGTTTGGAAAGCCAAAGCCCAATCCTGCTCAGACGCAGGAAACAATATCAAAGTTGAGAACAACAATAGATATGTTGGAGAAGAGAAGGAACTTCCTCCAACAGAAGGCAGATAGTAAAGAAGCTGAAGCCAAGCAATTTGTTGCCAAGAAAAAGAAGAGAGGTATGGGCAAGAATGATTGAATGAATGAGTGAATATAATAATAATAACTAACGTTTGATTGATTGATTGATTGATTCTAATAGAGGCACTGTTATGTTTGAAACATAGGAATGTATATCAGAATGAAGTTAACAAGTTAAATGGCACCTACGATACATTGAATACCCAGATATTCGCATTGGAGAATGGAGTAATGAATGAGGTGATTATGGGCTCGATGAGAAGTGGGGCTGAGCAACTGAAGGTCCTCCAGAATAATCTCACCGTCGAGAAGGTTGAGACCATCTTTGACGACATTGAGGAGACGTTTGCTGTACAGGATGAGTTATCGAGGGCAATGAGCCAACCCATGGGCTCCCAAGTAGACGAAGATGATCTGTTAGCAGAACTTGAGGAAATGGAGAAAGAAGAACTCGAATCACATCTGTCAACCGTCAAGGCTCCACCATCCAGAGAGCCTGTTATTAGAGAGGCACCAATTACATGTAAGTATTAATTGATTGATAGATGGATGATGTGGACGATCAGGTACTAATATATTTATAGTCCCATCCGCATCCAAAGTTAGACCACAAATCTCGGAAGAGGACGCAGAGTATAGAGCCCTTGAAGAGAGTTTGCTTATGTAGAGAGAGTGATTGGTTGTATCAATGCTGGATAGATATCCAATCAATATCATTCAATCAAAGTGTAAATTAAGAAGAGGGTTTTTCCATATGTACTCATCATACTCTATTGTTCCAACTTGGTTATCAAAGTCGACATGACGATATAATAATACAATGTCACAATTTAACAAAATCTTGGGTTGAATAATTATTCTTTGGCACAAAGATAAGATGGATTGAATGTACCAGACTGGACTGGGTCATTATGGTTGCTTGTGCCAAGAATGATTGGTTACCAAGATAATAATTACAACTGTTCATTCATTCATTCATTCCACTGTATCATCAATTATTACCCGATTCATAGGTAGTCGCATCATTGTTCCAATACATTATCGAGACTTTGAAGAGCAAGTCCCGATCCCGCTCCCATCAATCCCAGATGGCGAACTGCAATGCCTCAATTGGGTACCATTCACCCACATTACTCTAGAGATAGACGAAATTTATTCGTTGAATTTCAAGTTTGATTGTATCCTCGCACAACCTTATCTCATTCATTTTGATTTAAATGTTTTTATTTGTAAAAATATCACTCTGTGTGAGGAAATACATAGTGAGTCATTGAGGTGGAAAAACATGAGAACTGTGTGTGACAGAAATGTGCACAGTGAGTCATCAACAGGACACATACAAATTGCTTTTACACCACTAACTTGCGCGAAGGATCGATGGAAGGTCAAGACTCTCTGTTCAACATTCCACCAACACTTCAATATTATCATTATCTAATACTAAATATTTATATTAATACACACATAAATATATAACATATAATAATATATATTATTATCTGTTGTTTATACCAAAAGAAAGAAAAAGGAATTAAAATAATAAGTTAATAATTAATTAATTAATTTGTAGAGTAATAGAGAGATAAATAGAAATATAGTTAGAGTTAGAGAGAGTGTGTGCGTGAGAAGAAGGAAGGAACAAACAAACAATATAATATGGTTGCTTGGAATCAAGATGGAGGTCAATATGATGACCAATTGACAAACTTCACATCAATTGAAGAGTCAACAACTACTACAACATCAACAAACAACAATAATAATGTTACCAATAACAATGGAAGCTTCTTCAGTGCACCAGAGGACTACTCATTCTTCTTGAGTAACTCTGCCAACAATCTGTCAATGGCATTCAATGGCAACAACATGTTTGGTCTTAGCTACCTTGGCAACAACACCACCAACGCTATAACCAGCAATGGTACCTGTTCATCAAACAATGACATGTTGTTGAACAACAACAACTACAATGACTACAACAACTTTCAACTCAACCAAGCAACTACATCAATCCCTCAGTATGACTTCAACAACAACAACACTCAATCAAATGTAGTTCAAACACAACAAGTCGTCAGTCAAGTGTCCCAACCAATGTCTGTTGAGCAGTCACACATCTCCATTGAGTACACTCAACCAAATGATATCATCAGTGGACAGATGTACAACATCGATGGACAGCTGCACTGTCTGTCTGACTACAGCTCCCCAGCCGATGTAATCTTTACCTCGCCGGGTTCCTCGCACGTGCCATCGTCGCCCAGCGACTCGTATGCCATCGCCTCCAACACTGCCGTCAACACGTCCACAACCACGACGACCACATACGTTGCCTCGCCACCCGAGAGCTCAGCCAGCCAGTCGACTCCCATGTCTGAGGAGCTCGACGACTCTTCTGAGGAGTCGGACAGTGAGGAGGCTGCCAAGCCTGCCCGTCCATCCAAGAAGCGCAAGAACTCCTTCGACCCAGACCACAACTACGGACCAATCCTTCCCAAGCACATCCAGCTTGAGATCTCCTCCAAGGAGTTTGAGGTCTATCGCAAGAAGTTCTACAGTGGCAAGTTGTCCAAAGAGGTGTCCAACAACATCAAGAACCAAGAGAGGTAAGCATTCAGTTCACATCAAAGCAATCAATAATGAACTTGTCTCTAACTAATACATTCAACAACAACAGAAAAATCAAGAACAGAGAGTCTGCTCAAAAGTCTAGAGAGAAGAAGTCCAAGAACATGCAGGTGCTTGAGGACAAGCTCATGGTTGAGAACAGCAAGAAGCAAGACCTTGAGAGCAAGCTGCAAGAGGCCAACATCAAGAACTCATACTTGATGGATGAGGTGCGCAACCTCAAGGAGCAGTTGGCAAGAGAGAGGGAGAGAAACGCCTCATTGTCCTCCTCCTCGTCTTCACCAACTCTGTCCTTCTTTGATGAGAACTCCAAGTCGTCATTGATGGGATCGTTCTCCAGCCTGTTCTCGATCGGCAACGGTATCCCAACTGTTGCTGGCGGTCAGCGTCTGGCCTGCTTCTTCCTCCTCTTCCTCATTGTCATCTTCACCAGCTCCAGCGGATTCCAGCCTCACAATGCTGGCCACGCTGGCGTGTCTGGCGTGCAAGCCGCCTCCTACCCCTTCAGAATGCCCCAGTACCTCAACAGAGGACTGCAGTCCTACCAGCAACCAACCGAAAGCCAGCTCAAGTTAATGAACAGATTGTTTGATTCCCGTTTGATTTCAGATTGGAACGGACATGCAAACAGCGACATCACCATCAGTTACACACCAAACGCCGCACCAAAGATTCTCAAGAGAGTGTTGGAGAACAAGCAACAGCATCTTCAAGCAAGAGCCGAGCTTCCAAAGCAGCAACCAATCGATGTCAACAACAACAATAACAACAACAACAACAATGTCATCAATAACAACAACAACAATGGAGAGTTAATCAAGAGACACCCATCAAACACACCAACCATCCAGAACAACTTTGTAGAGCAACGTTTCCACTCCACTCAACCAGAAATCAAGGCTGAGAAGGAGATGTGCGATGCACCAGTGTTGCCCAACAACTCGTCTGTGAAGATCTCGATCCGTTCCAACTACAAGATCACCTCGCCCGATGGAAACAACAACCATTCGATGGACTCATTCAACGATCCCGAGGACCTGGTCAGCAGGAACGCCGACCCATCCAACTTCAACTACCGCGAGCTCAATGTTGACGTCGAGCTTTTGTTCCCCTCCAAGGAGTTTGAGAATGGCTCCAACGACATCTCCAAGCTGTTGCTCAACGCCGGCAGCAATGGACAGCCACTCAGAATCGTTGCCAATGTGTTGGACATGACTCCTACACCGGTGACCGCTGGTAATAGCAACAACAACAACAACAACAACAACAACAACAGTAGCAACAAGGATACGGCACCAATGGACACAATTGACAAGATTCAAAACCTTGCCAGTTTGGACTAAGCCAAGCCTCCTGGTCTTTCGGTTGTTCATTGTTCCTTCCTTCCTACCTTCATGGGACTAGTAGTGCACCTTGACATTAGTAATGTCATGGTAGTCTGTACATTTATCAATCTATCTACAAATAAAAAGTAATACTATTGTTTGTGAACCCTATTATATATGTATTGTATTATGTTGTAGTTGGTCAGTCCTGGGAACAATCAATCGGGTCCATTCTGATGAACCGAACGAATGCTTCTTCCCGATTCTATTTGCCAGTGTTGTCGTCCAAGTCTGAAACTGCCCTTTTACCCAGGGTTGGGGGTTGTTTGACAGGACACCCATTCATGAATAACTGTTGGCATTCATTCCATCCAACAATAGCGAACGAAAGAGAGAGTGAGATATAGATATTAGTATTATACATCATTGTAATAACTCATACATACATACATATATATATATATATATATAATGAATGAAATAGTAGAGACGAGTAGTAGTAGCGGTAGTGGTCATGGTAGAAGGAGTAGTGCTGATATGACAGAGAATGCAATTGAGATGACCGAGTTATCAACATTGCCATCAGATGTAAACAATGTTAATGATGGTGCTGCGGCACAACAAGCACAACAACAAAGTAATGATAATGGTACACTGCGGCGATCTCAAGAAGGAGAGCAACAAACACAAACAGAGGAGCAAGAGGATAGTGGAGATGTTGAACTGGGTGCGACTGCACCAAGTGCGTCAAAGAAGGTACATACATCGTGGAGAAAGACTGCAAAGACATGGACATTGAACTACTTTGCAAAGTTCAAGGGCACCGATGCCAAGTCACCAAAGATGGTTACCTACGATGAGATGATATTCAGTTGGCTGGGCTCTGCGATTGGCATTGGCGTGTTGGCAGCGATGCACTACTATGTGTTGGACCGACATCAACTACTCTTCCTCATTGCAAGTTTTGCTGCTTCAGCCGTGCTCATATATGGTGCTCCATCTGCACCATTGTCTCAGCCACGCAATCTAGTGGGCGGTCACATAATCTCGGCTATAGTGGGCGTGACAGCACGTGTAGCTTTGGTCGACACCAAAGAGCAATACGTCGTGGCAAGCTTACTCTCTGTGTCAATATCCATTGTACTTATGCAGATGACCAAGACATTGCATCCGCCTGGTGGCGCGTCAGCGTTGATCGCCGTGATGAGCCCAGCAAAGCAGCGATGGGCAGGCTACCTCTACGTCCTAATGCCCATTGGCACTGGCAGTCTAATCATGCTCCTGGTGGCACTACTCGTCAACAACATGTCTCCAAAGAGAAGGTATCCTCTCTGGTGGTGGTAGACGTAGTCGTAGTAGTCATAGTAGTAGTATCTCTCTGGTGTTAGTTGGACCGACAACACATACACCTTTCCCTCCTCCCCTCCTCCCTTCCTCCCTTCCTTCTTTCATTCTTCCATCACATTCTCTCTCGATTATCATTTCACATGGCTGTTTTGTGAGTGCACGTACAACAACAACAACAACAACAACACGACATCAACAGCAGTATACACACCATTATCATCTTACTCTAGCGAGCGAGCGAATGAGCGAGTGGCTGATATTATTGTCTCGACGTTCCACACACCAACCAACACCAAAGATATTTATTTAATTAATTATAGATAGATAGATTAGATTAGACAATCCACCAACAAACAAGATGTCTCCCCATTACACCACCAAACCAAACATTTTGTGGATTCTACTATTGCCCATCATTTCAAACCATTCATCCATCAATCCATCAATCCACACTTACCGTCAAACACTGGAGGCATCATGGTCTTGTGTCGATGTTCTTCCTCCATATCAGTCGTGGGCGAGAAAGCCAGCAAACAACCTACCCCCCCAGGGCAAGAAGATATCTTCTTGACTGAGTCAGTCGACCGATGGAGTGGGGCGTGGGGGTTCTAGAACAACAGCAACAGGAGTATCAATTAATCAATCAATCAATCAGAGCGCAAGATCATTATTCATAATCATTGTGCTATAAATACTTTCCCGGACGGGGATTGCTACATTGGATTGGCCGTCAAGGAGGAATGCATTTGTCCAGTTCCCCATCTCCACAACCCCCATTTTCCCCAACTGCACACCTTGCATCCGTGGCTTCAGTCCTTACCCGCTTGGATGAATCCATCAATCAAGTAACTCTGCCAATGATCACTCAAGCTCTGGCAACACTACCCAATGAGGATACTTGAATGAATGAATGAATGAATGAAACATCCCCATTATCGCTCGTTCCCCAAGTGCACTACAACTACCGGGCCACTCACACAGCTTCAATCCATCATCCATCCGTTCATCCAGCAAACAACAATGAAAATGGATCTACATCTCCCCCATGTCTGTCTGTTGCCACGATATTGGGATGTTCGTCTCAAGACTGTGAATCTTGGAGTTTGTGTATGTGAGTGGGAAGTATTGTTGTTGTGGGTGGTCGTGCAAGGGCACGAGTGTGTGTGGGCACGTGGCAACACAAGGTACTGTTTTGGCGAGTGGTCCGACCAATCACATTCGTCAACAACACTTTCACACTCATCCTTGGAACACCCCCTCGAGTCATCACATGGCTGGCCATTCCATACCATGATATATATCATCTGTGTGTGAGTTAAATAGCAATATATACACAATGCCAACATCGCATCGATAAATGAACTTACCCACACATACCCCTAAGCTGTTTGACAGCCGCTCCATGGCCTCGACCACACAGTATCCGGAGCATCATCTTAAGAGACTCTCTGCCTGCCTGTATGAGCGAGAGTGTCTGTTGATTTCTCAGTTGCTTTCAATTCCTTAAGATAATCAACCCAATCAGTCTGGGGGCCAGACACTACCACTACGTTAATCACATGTACCTTCCTACTACATTAGGTAGGCCTGGTCTTGCCCCTGCCTTCAGACTCGATGGATGTCATCTAGAGGGAGGGAGGGTAGAGGACTTGACTCAAGATGTAGTGGTGGTGGGGGTGCCATTGGGGGGACGGCGGGGCCAGCAAGTATTGAATGAATGGGAGATGAATGAGTGCATTGACAGCAGCAATGATGGTGCAAACCTACAGAAGACATCACATTGTTGCCATGGGCAAAAGGCATCCTTACCCATTGAGGATGGCATGCCATTTCCGGACGTGACAACAACGTGCTCTTCCAGCGGAGAACAGACGCCCATAAATCAATCAATCACAAGCCAACAAGTGCTCTTCATTTATCGATCCAATTGTACCATTTGCCTATCTATCCTTTGTCTCTCACACACCTACACCTCATATATTAAATCATATTTAATATATATTATATCTATCCAGTCATTGTCTCTCTTTAAACCTTTGTCTGTCCCGCCATCATCTCTCTCTACATTCACACACACACACAGCAGTGTTACTACTATCCAACGCACTACTTTAGCCACAATCATAACGGCAGACCACTGGACCATCCATCCATCTTATCCCATCCGACTTACTTATTATAATATCATAAGATACATATATATCCAACTATCTCCAACCAAATAATAATAATAATATAATATCACTATTATTAATATATCAATTTATTTATAGACTCACCTTCTCTCAACTACCAACTTTGGATAATTTATAAATATTTCCATCTTGGAGAATTATAAGATAATCTTAATACTTAACATTCATTCAAAATATATACTTTACTTAAATATTTATTTAACCAATAATAATAATAATGTCACTTGTATCAACTCAATATCCAATGTCATTCCATTTTAATACTCCAACATACCAATCACCAACATCATTCCATCACCAACAGCATGGGCAAACTCATCAATCTCCACACCAAACCCATCAATCACCTCTCCAACAACATCTACTCCATCAACAGCAACAACAACAAAATCATCATCAACAACATCAGCATCCTCATCAACATCAACCAACCAATTTGAACGCCATGGAGTGCCAGCCCCCGTTACCCACCTACCCAAGGTTTGCCGCTGGAGGTGCTGCAGCTGCCGCTGCCACCACCTACGACTTTGAGAACAAACACTTCAGTTACTCGCCGTCCATTCCATCTCCGCCACTACCATCACCAAGATCATCATCTCCACTTGTATCACACAACACCAAGAACAATATCCAAGTACTGGAGAACCGATTGGGACAATTCTGGACTCACCAATTGAGTGTGATCTGCCAGACCGAAGACTTCAAGTCCGCCCATGAGCTTCCACTTGCCAGAATCAAGAAGATAATGAAGTCCGATGAACAAGTTAATGTATGTATCACTCCTTCTAATATCCATCAATCAAACAAATATTAATATTATTCCATCCTTCAATTAATATTTTTAGAAAGTATCTGTGGAGGTACCAGTTATATTTGCCAAGGCATGTGAGATGTTCATCCTGGAAATGACCATCCGTTCTTGGTTCCATACCGAGTCCAACAAAAGAAGAACACTCCAAAGAATTGACATTGCCAACGCATTTGTCAAGTACGACATGTATGATTTCCTAATTGACATAGTTCCCCGAGATGAGATATCCAAGCCCAAGAAGTTCTTTGTAAGTATCCTAATTAATTAATTAATTGATTGAGTGAGGTCTCTAACATTCAATGTCAATATTTTGTAGGAGGAGTTATTCAAGAACTATACATTATCACCAGAGTCATTGCATTTTTATCAATTACAACAACAAATGTCAGCAGATAAGTCAATGAAGAGGTCTCACTCAGAGTCTGACAACAGTAACAAGTCTGAGGAGGCCAGTCCTGAAGCCAGTCCAAAGAAGTTGAGAAGTTTATCCTACGACATGTCCTCCCAACAAAGGGGTCAATACGCAATCCAACATCAACAACAACTAGGACAACAAGGAATGACTGTGGCCAACCACCCACATGGTCATCTCCAGCATCGCTACTCCCACCCCGACTTGAGTTGCCACACTCCCAGCTCCACGTACTCGCCACCTTTGATTGGAGGCGGATCTAGTGGAGGGGCTAGTGGTGGTGACATCAGGACATCCCCAGCTCCATCACCATCTCTAACTTCCCTCTACTACATGCAGCAGCAGGGACAACAACATCAACAGCAACAACAACAACAACAGCAACAACAGCCAGGCAATGGAAGTAGCCAAGCCTATTACTTCAATCCTACTGATTGATCGGTTAATTGATTGTGAGTTGTAGTGTTCAGTTTATAATAAACAGTTTACACTGTAAAACAAACAATGTCTCTGATTGTCGATTAATGCTTCATGTAGGCCTCGATCTCCTCAACAGTCCTTGGCAACATCTTTGAGTAGTTCTCTGATCCAGTGGCAGTGACCAGAACATCATCCTCAATGCGGACACCTCCAAATCTTCTGAACCTGGCCAGCACATCCTTGTTGATGAACTTGGCCTTGGCGGGATCGGCCAACGCAGTCTCGAGCAGATGGTCGATGAAGTAGCAGCCTGGCTCAACCGTGATGAACATGCCCTCCTTGAGGTTACGAGTGGTACGAAGTGAGTTGATCTTGGGCTTGGCATCGGGTCCAGCAAAGCCACCGACGTCGTGAGTGTTGAGTCCGAGGAAGTGACCAAGTCCATGAGGGAAGAAGATCGAGCCAATCTTGTTCTCGACCAACTCGTCCAGTGTACCTCCGGTCAGGATACCGCCCTGAAGGAGTCCACTGAGGATACGGCGCTCAGCCAACTTGTGCATGTCGACCCAATCGACGCCGGGCTTCATGGCAGCGAGCACGGAGCGAGAGGCGTCCAACACAGCGTTGTAGACAATCTTTTGGTCGTCGGTGAACTTGCCGTTGGCGGGGAACGAGCAGGTGACGTCGGCGCAGTAACCGTGGTACTGCGAGCCCATGTCAAACAGACACATTGAACCGTCGCGGATGATGGCGGCGTTGGGCTCACCAGCATGGCCATAGTGAAGAACAGCCGAGTTGGTGTTGGCGGCACAGATGCATGTGTAGCTGACATTGCGGCAACCAAAGTCGTGGTATGCGTGGTAGAGATACACACTCTCGCATTGGTACTCACGCTGGCCTGGACGGATCTTCTTCATGACCTGCATGTGAGCATGGCATGACGACTCGACAGCGTAGCGCAGCACCTCGAGCTCCTTGGGTGTCTTGATGACACGGCACTCGACGACGTGTGGGAATGCCATACTGTTGTTCACTGTGAACTCATTGATGCCGCTAAAGTGCATTGGCTTGGTGGTGTTGTGGCTGTCGTGGTTGAATCCCTCGACCGTGTAGATGGTCTTGCAGTGCTTGTTCTTGAGGTAGGCGGCCATGTCGCCGACAAACTCCACGTGGTCCACCAAGAAGATCTTCTTGTAGTACTCCTTGGAGTGGATCTGGCCGAGCCAAGTGGCGTACTCTGCTGGCAACTGTGGGATGAACAGTGTTGACGTTGGGTTGGCGGCATTGTCCAACTCAATGGTTCCATAGCAGTCTGGCATATCGCAACCGAATGCCCAGAAGAAGAACTTCTCCTGGAGGAATAATGGCTCTGTCGAACAGTACATGCGTGAGAGTCAGGGACCAATCCATCACCACCTATCATCCATCCAACCTTGTTAATGCATGCATTATATAATTCTTACCATGATCAGAGTCATAAGAGTAATCAGCCTTTCCACCTTGGAACAAGATGCAAGAGTTTGGTTGAATCTGATCCTCTTTGATTGATTGAGCGAATGATTGATTGAATGGGATTGATTGATAGTGATGTTTAGTTAGTGTGAGACAATAGCATTACATTATGTTTAGTATTAGATACATACTGTCTGATGATGACAAGATGGTAGTGATCAATCTTGCTCTGTTCTCCTTGTGCAAGACCAATGGCACCTTATGAGTGCTGTTACCCAACCAGTAGTAACCTGGTGAGTAATGTGAGTCTTTGTGAGTCTCTTCACAGCATGTACCTTCCATTATATCTATCTACTTTATGTATATATATGTTATCTCTTGTATAAGTATCAAACAAATATCTGTTTGTGATTGTGTTGTGTTGTTGTTGAACAAACACGACCTTGCAATCAAGGACCCATAATTTAAGAATTGAAATGAAGTTGAAGATGGTGTTGATGACTCAGTGATGTTCATCGTTCACTCTTTCATTCATTTAACATTCAAATACAGGTACAGTCGACAACAACAACAATAACAACAACTACAAACTACATCAGTAACAATGAATGATGATTCAAATAATAATGCAACGGAGGATGCAACAGTCGAACCTATCAATATTGTAGAATACCTGAATAACAACTTTGTCAATGAATCATCATTCGGTAACTTACAACAACTAAAGAATCAATTACTAAAGGAGAAGCAATCGATTACAACCATAGTATGTCTCTTGTTTGATTGATATGATTGATTGATTGATTGATTGAATGTGAATGATTGACTAATATGATGATGATAATAGTTAGCGGACATTGAATCAAAGTCATCATTAGATACATTGGAGAATAAGTGTACATTGGCTATAACACAGTTGGATCAATTACAAGATAAGAGAAGTGCATTACTTAAACAACTACAACAACATAGAGCAAACTCTGACATTGAAACACTTGGCAAATGTACAAACTTGATCAATCAGATCACAAGGATAAAGAAGTACTTCCAAATACTACTCATCATACATCTATTCTAGTGAGTAATACCAACATCATGAGCAAGGGATGTAGAGTATGAACTAACTAACCAACCACAATAGTACCAAGGTCAAGACATACATTGATGAGAACAAGCTTGGAAGATCATTGCCACCATTCATCAATCTCATTGAGATACAGAACAACTTACATTGTCTCAAGTCTCCATTGATCACAAACAATGATGATCAACATCAACCATGCTACCATCTTACCAGACTCATTGACCATATGATCAGCGACCTCACCAATCTACTCGAGAAGAGAATGAAAGAGTATGTGTGTCATTGTACACATGGTCGCCAGTCCGCTCCCTCGCCTTTCTACTAACAATTCACAATACGAAACGTCATGACAGAGAGTTGAAACAAGCTTTAAAGGATATCAATTGGATCTCATTGATGGGTTCACCTAATGATACCAAGGTCAATCAACCGAGCTCGAGTGCGAATGAGTCGCCAGACACTCAACAGAGACTCAAGGCACTTCAATCATCATTTGTCAATCTCATTGTACTTCAACTCACATCGCAGAAGTATCCGACGACTCTGCCATCATCACTTCTGTCCTCTGAATCCAGTCCATTCAAGTCTTCGCAACAAGCTCAATCATCATCACAACAACAACAACAGCAACAAACATTGACCGCGGTCAACTTGATATTGGAACCATTGGTCAATGGATTCCGCTTCCACTTTCAAACGAAGCGCGTCACCAACATGCCAGAGAAACCAGAGTGGCCGATACATTATGTGAAGCGCATCATCAAGGAGTACATGCCATACATCCACGCATTGCAACTGGCACTTGGACAACGCCAGATCACCCACATCAATGTACAGAGCTGGTTCATCAGCGGCCTGGTGGAAACCCTGGCCAGCAAGTTCCGCGAGGACATCCCCTTGCTCACCTCTCGTCCGGAGAAGACCAAGCTATTCTATCACATGATCGATGAGATTCTCTCGCTCGAGAAGCATCTGCTACACGTCTATCAATATCCATTTCCACAGGAGCTGCTTGGCGAGGCTGCCTTCATCGCGATCGACAACAGCAGCGACAGCGCTACCACTGGCGCGGGCGTCGCGTCACACCGCGACATGACACCATTCAACGCAGTGTTTGAAGATGAGCCAATATTCGAGCGATGGATCAACATTGAGATTGACGCCAGTCTGGAGTACTTTGAGCAGTTGACCAACTCATCAAAGCGTTGGAAGCCATACTATCGCAAGGACTTTGCTGACCTCGACACGATGAAGCCCTCGACGTCGGCCTACGAACTGGTGACCCTGCTGCAGATGTTGACCGACCGCTATTCACACCTCTCAGACGCGTCACTACAGTTGCAGTTCTTCCTAAAGATCCAGTGCAACCTGCTATCACAGTATCATGACGAGCTGCAACGCATGATCCCGCCCGACACCTACTCATGGTCCAAAGCGCACGAGTACGATCAAGATCAGCTCAAAGAGATCTGCTCGATATACAACTCGATCGTGTACATTATAAGTGTGTTGAAGGATTGGAATGATCAGCTAGTGTTCACCAAGCTGGACGAGTACATGCAGAGCAACAAGGACGACCTGGAAGACTATGGCGACGAGGACGACGATGACGACGATGACAACATGCGCACGTACTCTGCATTCAAGCCAACGATCGACCGATACAAGACACTCAGCAAACAGTTGATGAAGAAGATTGTGGACATTGTCTTTAGCAGCTTCTCGACCAAGCTTAACCAGAACTACTACCTCAAGCGTCGTCCATCAGGCTGGCATGGACTGCACAAGAACAAGACCACATCATCATCAGTCCCCACAAGGATCTCATCATCCACGTCCTCAGACGACGGCGATGGATCAGACGATGGAGGCGACAATGATGAGGAGCAGGAACAGAAGAGAAGAGCGAGATTGGATCTCAGCGGCGGCATTTCATCGGCATCCATCAATCCAGAGTCATTGGTGGACCTGTCGCCAGAGATCACTGATGGTCTGTCAACGTTGAGATCACAACTTGGCACGATCCTGCCATCGTTGTGTGATAACAAAGTGGCATCATTCTGGCGCAAACTATCTGGACAGATTGACAAGTATCTGTTTGGTCTACTCTTGGACAGCACCTCATGGAGCAGTCTAACATACCGCGATGGACTTAGGATTGGAAAGGATATCAAGACTCTATTCTTAATATTCAGGATGCTATCAGATCAACCAGAGAAGTATTTGAAGAAGTAGGTATTCATTCATTAATGATTGATTGAGTGAAATGAGTGACAACTAACATTCATGAATGTTCATATCAAACAGAGTACACGAATCATCAATATTATTGAAGATGACTGATAGGCAATTACTAGAGTTGAGGAATGAGTTAAGGTCATTGGCTGGCACAAACACTGAACTTCAACTGTTACAAAACAGTGGCATCCATAATATCACAGTGGAGGAATGCGAATCATTGGCATCATTGAGATTGATACAATAATTGATTGATCGATTGATTGATTAATTGATAAATTGGATGGACCAATCAATATCGTCAATTGTTTACTCAATCAATGTGGACCTACATTGAGTAGATAGGCACCTCGCATGCCATTGGCACCCTCCAAAAAAACCAGCCAACCTCCACATGAACATGACGGGTCCCAACCCCACATGACCTCCAAACAATTAAAAGGGGGGGGTGGTGGTTACCCGACCACTCATCTCACCTAATCTTGACTTGATAGTCTAGGCCTCAATGATAGTGTGTTTGTTTAGGTTAGAGCAGTAGAGATACACACACGACGCCGAGGTCCACAAGAATAGTACAAAGTAACTACCTATTATCTCTATCTGTTGTACAAATACTTAGATAACTTAAATATTTATTTGACAGATAATTCTAGAATATTATTAACTCTGACAATTGTAAATATTAATATTAATTATACTTATTATGTTCGATAATAAGCGAGTCATCATCCAATGACTCAAACACAACAACTATAACCCTCACACACACATGCCAAATCAATCAATGAACACACCACAACACTATACCACTCACTACATGAAGCTCACACCCTCTATCCCCACTCTCTACACACTCATCCATCCACTCACTCCATCCATCTCATACTCTTAAACTCATAAACCCAGGACGAGTCGCTTGTTTGTGTTGACTGCTACCACATCTCTTCTCACTCTCTATCTATCTCTTGTGTATTCATTCATCCAACTGCAATTGTGCCCCAGACACAGACAAAGTTCATTCTTTAAACTCCTGGCTAATTGTGCCTACAAAGAAACAAACAAACAATAACATAGTAGCAGCAATAACAGCAGCTCAATATTTAGTGTCAAACTCATACTATACTACCAACCGACAATCTTAACATCACTGCCGGCCTCACAGCCTCGCCCTTTCCACTCCAACTCTAACACTTGTTCATGACATCAACTTGGTATCATATTGTATAATATTAATATAGAACTTTCCCCATTTACAAATAATAATAATAATCTAGACAAGATTAGATATACACATATACATACAGAATGAAGGAACAATTTGAAAAGATATCTTATACCTTCTCCTTATATAAGAAGATAGCATTCCTTATAATGATATCAGTCCAGTTTGTAAGTTATATACATTCTCATCAATCAAACCAAGAAGTAGACATTCCCTCGCTAACCATGATTGGATCATTTATTCATAAAGGTTGGATTAGGTTTACTAGGATCAGGACTGTTTCATTACTTCAACTATGACGCCACAAGTGATTGGCGAATGCCTTATATATGGTTCGGAGCAGTTGCCGCCTCAATTGCAGCAATATTTATAATGTTGGCCAATTTGATTGGGCATCTAAAGTCATTATCAGCTGCCTTTATATTGGAATTAATAGTGTTCATGGTAACCATCTCTGGAATTGTGATTATGAGCATTACCGATATCAAGTTTGTCGACAAATTAGAGTACTGCGACGAGAGGTCATTGGACACATTCACCTGCGTCAGTATATTCGGTCAGACATTCTGTGGCAAGCACATCCTTAGTCAATGTGACCGATTTCATAATAGCATGGCAATGATACTCAGTGGTCAAGTATCAATGGCAGTCGTATCTGTATGTGTACCTTTATTATTAGAACGAATCAAAGTCATATTTCATCTGACTAATATCCATCTCCATGTTACAGGTTGCACTGATGTTTGTAACATTCCTAAAGTTATACCCTACCTTTGAAGAACAGATACATTATCAACCTCTATTGTCAGCGATCAACGAAGGAGACGACGATGACGCATTCGATTCTATACATAACGTATAAAAAAGACAAAGTTTTGTTATTACTAGATCAGATAGATACAAAGAGATGGATTGAGAGATATAGGTTGATGGTTTATTGAATGAGTAATGTGTGTGAGGAGATGGAGATATAGAGATAGAGAGATAGAGACCAAGTCTGATGATGAATGGTTTGGCAAGGTGTATGTCGACACGGGTGAACGCAAGGCAGCTGCTTGAGTACCCAAGCTCCTTTGTGGACATGGGACAGATTGACTGCAATGTTGAGAGATATAGATATGAATGAATGATTGATTGATTGATATTGATTGGATTGTTGATGAAGTGGATATTGATTATGCTGTGTTTTGTTGTTGATAGAGAAGGAGATATGCTTCGCGTGACAGTACTTCTTGTTCAGTCACCTCGCTAATGTTGGCGTCGTCGAATTTGATCCACTGGTTGTTGGGTTGCAGAACGTCGCATGTGTAGTGACCCTGTGACAGGCCCTTGCCATGATGTCCGACCACGGAGAAGAGGGAGTACCGCTTGGTGGACTCGGTGCGAACTGGTGTGTGTGATTTCAGCGTGAGGTTGGTCGGGAAGGACACATGCTTGTCCAGCTTCTGTGCCTTGGTATCAAAGGCGAATCGTTTAAAATGCACGACAAGGATACGAGGCAGTATCTCAATGGACATGGACTTGCTGGCAGTGATCTCAATCTTCTTTGTCTGACATGTGTATCCTTCCAAAGTCTCCTCCTTCATGAATAAAGAGAGAGCATCGTCCAAAGTTGCTACATTCTCTGGCTATAATAATCGTACACTTTAGTTAGTATCTCTTGCTCTCGTAGGGTCATGATGGATAACTTACGCGAATGTCCAAATGTAGGCAATAGAATGGTTGAAGTGTGATTGACTCTTTTGACTCGTGTCTGTTGACACTGCTCCTGAGAGTGCCAGAGAATATTTGAGAGATAGGTGATGTTGCTACCGATGATTGATCCTGTATTATGATCATGTAATGTTTGTTAGTAATTGAGTTGGGGCGATGTGTGAGTGAATGATTGATTGATATGTACATTGATAGTCGATGTCTTGTTCCTCTGAACAACCACCTGCCATTCGCCCTCCAAGTCCTCCTTGTTTGGTATGTTGGCCTCTTCCTTTGGACCCTCGATATCGCCTGTTTCATTTGCCATGTTAGTAATCTAATCTACACTCAAGCCTGCCACAAGATAGACTTTGGTACTTACGTATCAGTGTAACGAGTTCCTCGTGGATGAGGTCAAGGAAGTAGATCAAGAACTCTTGGGCATCCTGTTGACAACTCTGTTGCTGCTGCTGTTGTTGCTGTGACTCGTAGACGATGAGCTTTGACTTCTTCTTGGTGATGGGCACCGAGAGTGGGATCACAGGCATTGTGGAGGCCTCTTTGGGAGATGGTGACACCTTGGAGTTGAATGACTTGACCAAATCATAAAAGTATCTTGGGTTGATTGGAGCAGGTGTTGAAACGGCATTGTGTTGCTTGCCACTGTTACCGCTGCTACTATTGCCGCCGCCAGTCGTAGATCCACTGGCTGGTGTCGATGGCTGAGCAAAGTAATCATTGTTGAAGTGAACCCTGAACATGAATGTTTGTGAGTGATGCGATCCTATGCTACCAAGCATTGTTGGGACAACTTACAAGTTTGATAGAGTGGGATACTTGGATGCTGGAAGAGACTCAAAGTCTGTTGAGACAACCTTTAACAGTTTGGCAAAGGGTTGACATYCCAACCAATGATTGGAGTATCTGTATTGTTATGTTGTTGTTGTTGTTAGTATGTATACAACTCACTTATTCATTCACTAATGAATACTTACGACATTCATAAAGCATGTGTTGGAAGTGTTGACAAGTCCTTTGGGTTGGAATTGGACTGCTTTGGACTTGTTGACATAGTCATCGTAGTGGTTCATCCAGGCCAGCTTGCGGTCAATCTCCTTTCTCAGCTTCTGTTGGTTGGCACTGGTGGTAGTGTTGAGTGCACCGGCAACATCGGTCTGTGATGAAGATGGTTTGTTGGCGGCGGGACTGTTGGTATCTAGGGACATCTTCTCAATGATGAGCTTGGACCATAGTTGAGCCGCCTCGGCAGAGGCACCCTCTTTGGACTGGTTGCTTGMGTTGTTTWCTGTGGCG